CCCCCCCCCACGAATAATCAACACCACGAACGTATACCAGAATGCCAGGGGAAAAGGAAAAGGGAAGAGGTATAGACAAAACACCAAAAAAGAACCCCCAACGATATTCAACCACTTCGTTCGTCCCACTTCATCTGTGGAATCCCAACTACCATGTATATGTTGAAACGTCAACCAACTCCCCAGCCGCTTACTTGGTAATTACGGGACTGGATCTTCATTGATTCACTCACTCTGCCGAAACCACAATTCATTGGTGAATATGGTTCCGGTACGACTTTCCGAGATTTGCGGGTCAAGAACAAATGGCTCCCCATTGGTCATTCAATGGTTCTCAGCTGTTTGATTGCTTGATGGTGAAAGGTAGGAATTTGGGAAATGCATATATTATTGGCGAAATGTGGGCCGGGGTTCCGCCGGCGCCGGCGATGGCTCGGTGAGGTGAGGTCTTGAAAGGGGAAGACTTTGTTGGATACTGCTTCTCATAGTAGTGATTCTTAAGGGGCCTCGACAAACTTCTTGTTCCTCTCGATGTACGCCCGATCCCACGCCCTGAGGCCTTCTTCATTCGCATATGAACTTGCTTCATGCCTTTGCGCCGGTTTGTGGTAGATGAGCTCTCCCAGGTTCCCTTCCACGGTCTCTCCCGAGTGGCCCTTCTCCACCCAGTCTTCATTCTTCACCTTCTCGAACTCGGCCAGTTCGTCAAAGGCGCGCAGGATTGTGCTCATGGGCGTAAACTGCTCCTCGGAGAAAGAATCTAACAACCCTGGAGGCGCGAGACCAGACTTCACTAATGCTGGACATATGGCGTTGATTGTGATGCCCACCGTGCTGGATCTTGGAGCGAGGGAGCGGACGAGACCGACGAGACCATGCTTCGCCATGCCGTATTGCGGACACTGCGGGATGGGGTAGATGCCTGCTGCGGAGCTCGTAACGACGATCTTCCCTCCTAGCTTTGGTTTGCCGGCGCCAGTACTGGGTAGAGACATGTAGTGCGCCGCGAGCTTGATGCCATAATACGGTCCGATGAGGTCGATGTTCAGTGTCGCCATATTGGGCTTTCCCGGAGGCTTGGAGGGATCCCCTGAGATTGTTGCGAAGATGTCGTCTCGATCGTCTATACCGGCATTGAGGGCGCAGAAGTCGAGGCGAGAGTTCCATTCGTAGGCCTTCTTGAAAAGGGAGGCTTGGTTGTCCCACGAGGACACGTCAGTCTTGACGAAGATGGTGCCATCAATGGAGTCCTTCGGCGGATTGATGTCGGCTATGACCACGTTCCACTGTCGCTCGAGGAGATGGTGCGTGAGCGCGAGGCCTATACCGCTAGAGCCGCCGGTCACGATAGCGGTGGGAGGTGCCATTGCTAAAGAATGTTACAGTGGTACGTCTTCCTTGCTTGGGACTTTGCTGTCAAGGATGGAATAGACGGAAGATTGCTGATCTGGTCTGGGGGACTTTCAACATGCTACACGTACAGTATACCTACTTGACTGCCGCCCACCTGACACGGAAGTGGAGAAGCTGCAATTGCCGGCGACGCCTCGAACCACGCATGGCTTGGGGCGGACGCACTCCGCTTCCCATCTCGAGTCAAGCTGCCACTGCTCTGGTGCTCGAGCAGACGTGACCCCAGCAGGCGAGGCTCTGCGAGCCAGGAGGACGACAACCGGGAGAAGACGTGAAGTCCAGGCAATGATCACGTGGGTACACGGATCTGCTTGGCTTCCGTCCCGTCCCCTCCCGCAAGGGAATGTTGACATTTTGAAACCGCACTTCGTCTTCTTTCTCTTCCATCTCCATCATCAATCTTCATCGTTCTGGTCCACCCATCATCTTCGTACTCATAGGGCAACGAGTACACAACTCTCCTTTTCGCCATCATGGCTACATGTTCGCCACAGTGACCCCATCCAGTCCAATGTATGGCAGAGATGCAGGTGCTTCCCCCCGTACCCTATAGCCTCCAGCATCAGGTATGCCTCCCCATCACCACCACCACTTCCCTTACATGATGAATTGCATACCAATTTGTTTCAAACCCCATCGGAAGGGCCCTAACCCATCGGTGTTGAAATCGGCGCATTATCTGATTGGACACTCTCCATCTTTGCATCAGCTTACTGCTTGCAAGTCAGTTGCTAACTTTTCAAGGTGGCAAGGCAGAATAGCCTAGCAGGGGCAAGACGACATTGGCACCTGCGGAATCATCTTCCGTAGCGTTCGCTTTCGTATCATCCTATCAAGTATTAAATATCTCCAAGGTTGTGGTCCGCTAGCTTCAGCATGGGAGGCATCTTTTCAATACTTTCGTCAATGCCCTCCTTACAAGGCGCCTCAGTGAGTTGTAAAAGACATGCGACCGATGGGAAGCCATGTGAATCATTTGGAGCAGTAGTGTACCAAAGGCTAAGCTCCCCGCTCGGAGCTTCAATAGTAAATCATGGCTGCTACGACACCGACCTGTGTCTACGGCGTCTTGAACGACGAGGGCCAGAGTCGACAAGAGAAGCGCATTGGCGAAGTTTGCAGAACTTTGAGAAGGGTTGGAAAGGTGAGGTTGTCACGAATAGTCCATTTTGTTATCCGAGAGAGACCCATGCTTGGAGAGCAAGGTCACAACCGTCAACACACGAAATACCGAAATGCCCATGAACAATCGCTTCCGTAACAAGGAGAGTCATTAAGTCGTAGCGATCTCACCTCAGTGCCAGCACAACCATCGTTTTCGGCGACCATGCTTCCACCACCTGCTCCCACTACCACCTGCAGCCTCTCCACTCAGCAATGCCCGCATCTTCGCGGCCGACTACTCCTCGTCCTTTCCAATCTTGGCGAAGTGTGGGTCTGCCATAGTGCCGTGTCTCTTCTGTTCATTGGCTGCTGGAAGCTGGCATAGCAGCATAATCGACCTCTGGGTCTCTGTGGTGGCCAGACGATCGTCGCCAGCTTTCTGCCAGCCTTGCACACCAAACAGCTTTGGTACCTTTGTCCACGAGCAAACGATGCCCCTTTTCGCGCAGTCAGTGCAGCGGTCCTGGTTTGGAACCCGCTCGCACTTCATGTTGCTGTTAACTGCTTTCATAACGAGGTGAAAGTCACAGTCAGTCCGCTTTTTCACGGAAGCATGGGGCTTGCCCGCCTTTCCATCCGGCCACCACTGCGGATCCGTAAGCCAATCGAACTGCAGTGACTGCCACTTTGCATTGACGTTTTCGAAGCCGTGGTCTTCCATTGCTTCCACGACCGCACCAAGGTCGAAGTTTGGTTGAGGCAACGGAAGAAGAGGCTCATTGACAACCTGAGCTCGAATGACCTGCCGAAGGCGGTCAACTTTCACTCGGAGCAGGTTTGCATGGCCCCACCACTCGACTGTCTTCCAGAATTTGATGTGCTGATTGTTGATTGGCTCCGGCCACTGTCCGTGGGTCAAGTGCGCATAGAGAGACATAGCCATCGGGAACCCTTTGATGCCTTCGCCAGGAGCATTCCCAGAAGCGTTCTGCCAGTTGGACTGGTAGTAGCGATAATGCCACTGTTTGTCGATCTTTGACTGCCACACTATCCTGAATGCCATTTTGCGGGAGTAGTGCCAGATGTCCCATGGCCCCAACTCAGGCGTACGGAAATAGGGGACGTCATGATCCCTTGACTCTGGGAACATAACCTCCTAAATGGGGTACACATCGTCGCCGACCTGCGGATGATCTGCTCCTGGGACCAGCTTCCAATCGGACCTGGAGCCCCCATGGACCGTGCCTGACAATGGAAGATCGATGTGGCAGACCTCCTTGCGTTTGTTGTCTTGGTACAGCCGGATCACGAACATGCGGGCAGCGACGTCAGCCCTCAACGAAGAGCGCTGAAGGACCCATCTGTCCTGGAGCTCTTGGACAGTCCATTGAACCTTCTCCCATGAGTCCATGTTTTCAGTCCAGGGACTACTCCCGTTGCAGCCGCCATCAGTGCCAAAGGGCTTCGGTCGGAATGGCCGGCCAGGGTACGGAAAGTCTGAGAGCTCCATGGCCTGTGTTGAAACGGTCATGAATATGTTGCAATGATTGCGCGTCTCGAAGTTCTCCGCAATTGCCTGATCGACGCTCTTCTGGCCATAATCCCTCCTCCAGTTCAGCTGTCGATCACTGTACGTACGGAGCATGAGAACCATCAATTGTTCCAGGATGGTCCTCAGGCCTTGCGCTCTCTTCGCATTTCCTCCTTCCGTGTTCTTGTCGCGGCTGATCTGCACCTTGATGGAGCGCGTGGCCGCTTGGGCGAGTTGGTAGTGATAGGCTTGATCTTTTGCTGGGTTGTTGATCGCCGAGTCATGATCACTGTTGCGTCTCCACATATCGCCGGTCTGGCCAACATACAGGAAAGGCGCCTTGCCAGCCCAGTTGCCGCTCTTGAAGTCAGAGTACAAGCGAAGGTAGACTCCGGCGGTATGGTTCTTGTCTTCGATGACCTGGCCAGCATCAATGACCTCCCGTAGAGTGAAGTCCGGTCTGGTCAACACTTTGACGACTTCCGGTCGCATGACGTCCCTGAGCATTGTACAAGTTTCGCGGACCTTGTTCTTGTCGCTCACCCAGTGGAGGATCTCTGCTTTGAACTCCGGAAGCAGCTTCTGGTTTGCTTGCATTTCCATGATGCCAGAAATCAAAGCCGAGAAATGGGTCCGAATGTCTTGCCGTCCACCAAAACTCTGTGTTGGACCAAGCTGACTGAGGGAAACTTTCAATGTAGGCTTCTCGTTGCCTACGATCTCAACAGGAAGGATTCCTGAGAAGCTCCATTAGTACCAAGTTGAATAAACGACGATGGACTGAGACGAACTATCTGCCCTTCGAAGGGCGTAAATGCGAATGCATTTCAACTTCGCTACTACCGTGTACTCTGGTCCACGGTTTTGAACAACCACACGGACCTCTTGCAGAGTCGGCTGGTAATCGACGACATAACCAGCATCTTGTGGTCGCAGTACTGTCTCACCGCTGCTGTTGACATGGGGCGACTCGCATTCGAACATGTGATTCACGATCTGCAGATGGCTGGTCAGCACAACGAAGCAGAGTAGAAGGAACGCAGTGCAGGTAGGTACCTTTTCTGCGGGAATCGGGGTGTTCGATGGTGTGTTTTGGGCACTGCCCTGCCTGCTGCTCGGCTGTGATGCCATGGTGTACAACCCTGCCTGACACTGCGGAGGTGTGAAAATGCCAAATGGAGTGCAACGGCCAAGGTTGGGGGCGCAGGATTGTCTGACAATTCGCTGTAGGAATGGACTGGGGGTTGGCAGATGAAGAGGGAGGCAGTGAAGAAATGTTCTCGGACAAGGAAGGGAGTATTCGACTCGCTCAAAAGTGGAAGGTGTGAATCGTTGATTTGTCGTTGCTCTGTGGTCTGGGATAGAAGGGTGGACGTTCCCTCCTTTATGTCTTTGCTCTGACCATGAGCTGGTGAGTGTTCTCTTGCGACCCTCTTCGCCTCAAAATGCCGAGTGTGTTGGCGCGATAACTATTGCTGTCGCTATCCGTTCTCCTGCTGCTTCGGATTCGTGGTTGGGAAGGGCCGAGACTCTCCTTCGCGCAGGCGAGTATTGATTCTGCTGCTATCCGTCCAGCCCTCACTGCTACTCATGCCCAACGAAGGTTGACCATGTTGCTATTCGTTCAGCTCCTGCCTCATCGGCCTGATCGGCGTCCCAAGAAGGACCGAGGTTCTCCATTGCATATCCATTGCGTCTCCATTGCGCAGAGTAGTATTGATTCTGCTGCTACCCGTTCGGCCTTCAGTGCTGCTCGTGCCCAGCCAGAGCTGGCCATGTTGCTACCCGTTTCGCCATTGCTTCGATCTGGACTTGGCCTGGGTCTGGAAACTCGATATGGGTCTGCAGATATTGATGTTGGCTCCATGGCGTTCTGTCTTTGGGACAGATGGGTATATTCTGCATTCTTGTGTAACGTCGGTTGGAAGCCTGCAGCTCCAAATGTCGTATGCTCGATGAAGATTCGCGGACAGGTCACAGATACTCATTCCGAATCGTCGATCGAGCGCATGCTTTGGTGGCTGGCGATTATCAGACCATCAAAGGTAGATGTAAAGACGGATGTTGTTCTAGTCTCGGGTTTTCCATGTTACACAGCTTCTTGATGGCTTTTGGTGGCGTCCGGGGTGGGACTCGATCGATAATTCTAGTGGATTTGCAGGTTTCTGGCGGTGAAGACAACCTGGGATATCTCTTTATCCACATATGGCGGCGGTACGCCTCTCCAATCGAAGCACAGTGGGAGGAGCCAAGTACAATGTGCTCGTGCGGACTGCAACCGAACTACATGCCGCTGACAGGCAAGAGGGGGGATCGACCAACGCCTCCTGAACCGTTGAGTCCACTCGAAGCTATCCGAAGGTAACCATGAGTCTGGCTTTCATGTCTGCGCTCTCAGCCACCAGCCCACAATCATCGTGTTCGGTTCCATAGTATGGGTTGGAGGGCATGGGTTGGGGGGCATACGAGCTTCCCCAAACATCCATCGAAAGTGCGTCAGTGTCTCTGCACACCATGATGCATTGACCTATGTGTAGTGTAGACGCGTGAGCACTTATGTTCAGCTGCAGATGCAATCTCATCCGCACCTTCTGGCCAAGCCGATCACCATGCCGGTTTCTCCTTTTCCTGCCGATCCCATGAGCGCCAGCGTTCACACCAGGTGGTCTCGTCTGGCCGAGCATCGGCATTGGTCGCAACAAAGTGGTCTGCATTCTCCCCCGCTGCTACAGCCGCGATTGACCCCCAAGAGCCCAACGACGTAGGCTGTGTAGATGCCTTGATTGGCACATTGTTTTTCTCTCCCTTCCTGTGCGTCTCCGTGGGCTCGGAGGGTGTCTTGATAACATCGGCAATGGCAAAAACGTCGCTGCCGGGGTAGATTGGCTGGTAGTTGGAGAGGTGGTTATGGCGTCCTTGTTGCTGGCGCGATGCTTCGCGCTCGAGACGACGAATGGCACGAAGAGCCTTGCGAGCTTGCTGGGGTCGACATGTCAGCACTGCGTCGGATATGATGGCCGTGAATGTACGTACAAGGCAGTACTCGCACGTCTTTAGCACTCCCTCTTTGCCCAGAAATTGGCTGCCAGGCTTTTTCTTCATGCATGTAGTACAATATTTGGCCTCCATGTCGGGCATACGCTACGATCAACCATGTCGGGTGCCGCGGGATAGTGCTTGAGGCAAGGATGCGGAAGGATGGATAGGATGGGGCGACTGCTATGACCGAAGACGAGGATGAGGATACACCTCGCGGGCCGCTCCAATGTGTGGGTGTGTCGGTGTTGGGTGTACTTGGTCTGTCTCATCCAGGAACGATGTCTTATCAGTTAGGTATGGTCGCATGTACTGGTATCTGTTCAAACGTGATGCTGCTACTCCCCGCGCAAGCGTTCATCGCAATACCGGTCGCGCACGCTTCTCATTCCTCCAAACAATACCTCAAAGCATCAACAACACAAACGCCACGAGACCCTCTGATCGTGACTGAGGGCCGTCGGCATTGCTTCTCTGTCTACATTTAGCTTCGGGTTCGAGGTAAGCGGACTGGAAGTCATCGTAGCTTCAAGTTGTGGCTTACCGTATGCTGCGCCATCCTCATGGCTAACAAGCCACTCGAGCCACCCTCTTCCGCGGAGGACCACCTTCCCGCACCGCTTGGGAACATCCTTTCATGCCCTTCACCTCATTAATGAAGAGGATACTGCATCCGAACAATCGTCGATCCACACTATCCTGGCCAGCTTGATTCGTTGCATGTGCTGTTTCGATTGCCGATTGTTTGTCGCGGTTGCTATTACTGCCACCGTTGTTCTTGTGATTGGGTCGACGACGACTGCAGGTGGTGGAGGATGGAATCGCTCGTGGCAACAGCGGCGTAAAGGCCAGTGTGAGAGCTCGAGTCGAAGAGGCAGGATGACGAGCGAGAGATCGGCCAACACTTCTGGGAGGTTTACGGTCACTCAACTGTCATCTGGCATGCGCACTCTCTCCACGAGACGCACTTTCTCCACGAAGAGACAAGCGTCGACATCTTGCATCAGTTCAGATTGGACGCCCACAAATCGGCCTTCTTCTCGAGCCATTAAGCCCCATGATGCCGGCAATGTTGTCGATTTCTCGTCCAGGGCCGCCAGTCGAAGACCGTGGAATTCGCGATCTGGCTCTTGAAAGGGAGACAGCGAAGGGCACCCAATAGTGCAACTTGACTATGTATTGCCCAGAGTGCTGGCGAAAGACGGCGTGAAGCGGTCACCTGCAGCATCGACCGCAAACAGGACGATGGTCTTCGACCACCTTTGAACGGGACTGCAGGACCAAGGATCCAATTCTGTCCCAGATCGGTCAACTTGTTGTCGACTCCCGCGAGCAGTGCCAATCATTCCGGGGGCTCTTTTGCGCGAGGCCTTACTAGTGCGACATGGCTTGGGACGCATGCTATCTTGCTCCCCTGTCATGCTTTGTGATGTTAACAACGCATCGATCTGAGAGCACAGCGTCGGTGTCCGTGCTGCTGTCGATTCTGTGGAGAGGCAGTCAACGGCAGTAAATTGAGCTGCCCGCCTTGGTGCTGATGCTCGTCGTTGGACGAATGTATTCGAAGAGGAGGGATGCAGCGGGCCGGCCGCAGTAAATTGAGCTGCCCGCCTTGTGCTGATGCGTTGGAAAGGTTTCGTCGAAGAAGGTAGAGGCGACGGCAGTAAATTGGGCTGCCCGCCCTGGTGCTGCCGGTCGCGCGAGAAGGCTTGCGTGCAGGCGAGGTTACCAGCCACAGTAAGCTGAGATGTGTTGTCGGCGGACCTGCATTGAAGATGTTGCAGACTGAAACTGACCGAAGCAGATCGGAGGCAGCAGTGGTAGGTCGAGGTGCCAGGCTGGTCGGAACAACAAAGGGGCCTGTAAATTGAGCTGCCCGCCGAGCGGAACATGGCTGCGTGCCAGGGCAGGAGGATTGCCGTTCCGGGGGTAATTTTTTTTTTTTTTTTTTTTCTTTCTCAAAGCAAAACGTTCACATCATCCTGCGTGGAGGTCAGCCTTATCATCGATGTCGAAGACGAACAACCAGCTGCCGTGACTAGAAGCTGCCGTGCAAGGGATTGCTTACAGCACGGCGTCTCCGCCACCGGCTCTGTGACAACAATTTAGCACGGGGCAGGTGATTTGAAGTGCCAGGTGAGCACGAACCTTCCCTCTCCGCCTCCTTCTCCTTCTTCGCCTTCTTCTTCTTCGCTGCGAACGGTTAGCTAGCCGTCGGCTACGGACTGCGTGGGACCAACGCTTGGTTTTCTCCGCGGCTGAGCCTTGAAGTCAGCAGGTGGACGACGTTCGAGGTACAACAAGGTAAGCATACGCAGCGCCGCCGCATCGTCCTCTTCCTCATCATCGTCATCGAAAACTGACGTGTTGCGTTAGCCAGGCGTCTCGTAGCAGCGGACTGCTCTGGTCGTGAGCTTACTTCTATGTGCGGCTCCTAAACGACTCGTCAGCAAGAAGATGAGATACCGCGTAATACTACACGACTTACTCTTCGCCAGCTTCTTCTTCTCCTCGACTACATTACATGGATCAGTACCTGGTCGACGCGCTGTTGAAGCACATCGCTATCATACCCTTGGTCTCTGCCTTGGCTAGAGAACAGGGTCAGGTACCAATTCGCTGTTGAAGCAAGTAGGTTGATGGACCTACTCTTCTTCTTCTTGCCACTCTCTGGTGGCTCTGCCCGAGAAAATTAGCATTTTGACGTGTTCGGGCAGCGAAGCTCAGCCATACCGTTCTCCTTCTCTGGAGTCAAATCTATGACGACTACCGGGTTCACCCTAGCCGCCGCCCTTGCCATTCTTGCATGAAACCGCTCGAGGGCTTCATCAACTGGCTGGCGGAAGGGTTCATCCCCGGTAGCCGTCGCATCCCCAACAGCAGGCCATCCTGACTGGACCTTGGTCCAGCAATCTTCTCCGAACAACGGCAAAATCTCAAAAAACCCGGTATAAGGCATCGCGGCAACAATCAGATGCAACAATTGGGTCAAGGTGTGTGTGTATACAGGTGCTACCATCTCGACTCTACTCTACTCTACACTGACCTACCGCTTTTTGCCAGGCAGCCGTCCTGCACGTGATTTGGCGTTAGACGCGCATGGACCCTGTGAACTCTAAACCAACCCCAGAGGAAGGGCCTTAACCCGTACAATGTCTATAATGTGCATTATTCTGATCCCAACCATCCTACCATTCTCCTCGGACGAGATACTTGCAATGCACTTGCTAACTTCTCGAAGCACAGGTCAGAGTCGAGCCTAGGGGGGAGTCGAGCGCCATGCAGCGAGGCGAAGTGTCGTGTCCTATAATCGACGACGTTGATGACGCTTGTGACGAATGTGTCTCTAGATGGCTGTAGCTGCGTGCATTCATCGATGGGCCATCTCCTCCAAGCGATCGTAGATATCGTCGCTTCGCCAATGGCTATACCTGCGGCTGCTTTTATGCCGCTTTGTGAGAACTGTGTGCTAGTCTTAGATTCGTCTCGTAGCCGAAATTTACTGTCTTCCAACGTCCTCTCTTCTCGAGCTTTCCAAGTTCTTACTCTTCGTCGCTGAGCTCACGGTTCAATTCCAGACTGTGAGTGGCACCATGGCGTCGAACACTGCTTCTGAACGAAAGCTTGAAGTACTTCAAACTGCAGAGATGCAGAAACATTCAACCGGTACACGAATACACCAATTACCGCACTCTCTCCAACCCTACCAACCCCACTCCACTACTCTAATACACCTCAAGCACATACCTCCCCTCCTCCTTCAAGCGCTCAATCTCCTTATGCCCATCCCTCTTCTTCCCCTCACTCCTCGCCTGCACCTCCACCGCCTCCTCCAACACCTCCGTCACATCCGGCACCGGCCACGTCGGTCCACACAGGTAGAAAGCCCCCTCCTCCCGCAAATACGCCCGCCGAATCTCGCTCAGCGTCTCCCGCATCCTGTCCTGAATATAGATCTTCTGCGGCTGATCGCGCGAAAACGCACGGCCGAGCAGCGTGATGATCCCTGCGTCTTGGTACGCTTCCCACTCCTCGCCGTACAGGTATTCTTCTTTTTGGTGGCGAGAGCCCATGTAGATGAAGACGTCGCCGATGGGCATGCCCTGCTCGCGCTGCCAGGCGCGCTCTTGCACGAAGGCGCGGAAAGGAGCGAGACCCGTGCCGAGACCGGCCATGATGATTGGTGCGCTGGACTTGGGCGGGAGTTTCATGACGGAGGGTTTGACGGAGACCGTCACCGGGGCGCCGACGGGGAGGAAGTCGAGGTAGCGGGTCGCTTGGCCGAAGCGGTCACGGCCTTTGGGATCGACCCAGTTGACTGTCACGATGAGGAGGGAGATGCTGTTGGGCGTCACCTTTTGGGAGGAAGCGACGGAGTACTCGCGGCGTTTCATGGGGTTGACGATGCGGACGATGTCGTGGAAGCTTGGGTGAGCGGATGGGAACTCGAGCAGGATGTCGGCGTACGTGACCGTGTCGACTTCGGCGCGGCGCTTGAACTCGATGGCGGCTTCTTGGTTGCCACCAGTGCCGAGCATGAGGAGTTGAGTCTTCTCTGCTTCATCGGAGGCGAACTCGGAGAGGGCCTCGTAGAAACGCTTGGGAGGCCGACCGAAGATGTCCACGTTCTGCATCAGGGCTTGGTAGACGGTGCGATTCTCTAGCACGGAGGAGTCGTCGCGGGTCGGTACCTCGACGATCTCCTCCGGATTGAGGCCATAGAACTTGATGAACTCCTCAACATCAGTCTGGTTGTTCTCAGCGTGGATGCCGAGCGCCTCGCCGATCTCATACTTGAGCCCACTATCGCCGAGGTCGAACTCGATGTGGAAGATGTTGCGATCGTAGGTCTTGGGCGTAAGCCGGCGGTGCTCTTTGACATGCACAATGGCCGTCTTGACCCCAAGATCTGGTCGCAAAGCAGTTGCTGTGCCGTATGCCTCCTTGAAGGCAAGGCCTCTCGCAGCAGTCTCCCACGTACGAAGGTACGATGGCGGTTCATCCTCAGTCCTGTCCACCATACCGAAGCTGTTGACGTGCAGGTCTTCAGTGGGAGGCAGAGCATCATTCTCTTCCAACTCAACGGTGAGCCAGCTTTCGGGCACCTCGATCTGCTTCAGCGCGATGTCGAGATCCTGCGCAAGCTTCTCTAGCGCATCGCCAGCGCTCATGAGCTTCTTCAAGCCTTTCTCGTACACGTCTGGGGTCGCGACGTTCAAGAAGGCAAGCTGCAGCAGGTATGCCTCCATCTCTGGCTCTTCTCCAACCTTGCCGCTGAGGGACGGGTCCAACACCATCAGGTTGACCTTCTTCGTAGCAATAGCTTTGCGCATAGGTGTGCTGAGCTTCTTCTCGACGTCTTCATCTTTCCATCCAGCGGACTTGAGGATCAGCGAGCCTCCTTCTTTCAAGCTCTCGACGACGTTGAACTCTTTGATGAGCTTCTCCTCGCCCACAACTACAACATCAGCCTCCTTGACGCTGTATGCAGCCTCGATGCTCTTAGGCGAGCAACGCAAGTCCGTCCGAACGGCGCCGCCTTGAACCAGATTGTCGCGGCCACTGCGAACAGTCACGTTCAACGCGCTGTCATCAGACAACAGCTGGCCCAGCATCATAGGGGCTTCAGCGCCCACGCTGGTCTCAACATCCCAGAAAGTATATTGCCTCGTCTCTTCGCTCGTAAGCGTGATAGGCGGCGCCGGCTCTGCTTCCTTACCAGGCGCAGTCGCAACGTGGCGAAGAAGTCGTTCCATACGGTGCACCGTCCAAACTACATCGCGAGCGTACTTGATGTCGTAAACACTCGGCTCACTGCCAACGTTCATGCTCTGGAAGTTTACCGCAGCCAAAACGTCGGCGTAAAGGTTGCTGGAGATGCTGTTGTCCGTGACGCTGGTCTGGTCCTTGACCTGGCCGAGCACAGTAACCTGCTGGACGCCCGATGGCAAGGCGGCGAGGAACTCCTCCTCAACAAAGGGACGGTAGACGCGAACATTGATCACGCCGACCTTGACGTCCTGCTCGACCAGCTTCTCCGCCACCTGCGCGGACAAGCTCGACTCGACCGTGCCAAAGACGACCAGCACGTTCGTCGGCGCCTGGTGTCCAGAGTACTCGAAGCACTTATACTCTGTCCCCAGCTCTGCATTGAACGCCTGCACCAACTTCGCCACCTTACCCTCGTTCGTCAATCTCTTGCTGCCCAAATCGCCTTTCGCACCTTCCAGCACAGCATCATACACCTTCTTCAACCCGTCCACATTCAACACGTCAATGACCCTCGTCGTCTCCCTCCCCACCGTGATCCCATCATACGTATGCATCGCCGGCACCACACTCGCCATAATCGTAGACAAAAGCGCCATATGCTGCACCTCGAACGCACTCTTGCTGGCCACCAACCCCATGCCCATCTCTTCCGCCACATTCAGTGCGGAGACATAATCCGTCACCAGGCCGGTCTTGGTCTCTGGCGCATAGTCTACCGCCGCAACTTGCAGCGCTGTTGGGTTCGCGACATCATAGAGCAAGCTCAATTGATCGAGACTCGGGCGCAAGTACTCCAGACTCGCCGCCGAAGCCAGGATTGATTGAGGTACGTGGCGCTTCGAGAGATCGAAGTCCGGGCTGAACATATACCCCAACGCCATCGCGCCAGCTCCATGACGAGTCTCGAGCGCATAGACGGAAGGGACATCTCCACTGGCATTGCGAGAGCCGGTGGCGGACCAGCTTTTCGCAGCGACGTCGAGATCCCAGGACGATGGCGAGTATGTGAAGAGGGTCGAGGAGAGGGCGTACGAGACCTGCTGGATCAACGTCTGCGCGGTCAAGTACGTTGGGCCGGAGACGGATGAGAGGGAAATGTTTTGGCCGAAGGGCAGCGAGGAGGACTTGGACGTGTTGTCGAACTTGCCGTCCACGGTGGCGCCGGGGCCGGTGGACTCGCTGGATTGGAGATGCATCGTCTTGAGAATGCGCCGGGGTGTAGGCGCTGTTTGTGGGCGGCGACAATGGTGAAGAGAGTGGAAGTGAATCACCGCCGGCTCAGAAAAAAGCTGAACAGTCCCCACGCAACTGCCGATCCGGGCGATCTCGCTCGCTTTGCCTAAGGCATGTCACCACGAACATCTGTGCAATGGTCATAGAATAGACACAAGAGCAGTCGATGCAAATCTAACATTCGCTGCGCAGCAGCCGACTCTCCAAAGAAAGCTGCCTCGACTACCATGGGTATAAGGTACGGGCATGACACCGTCACGACCCCAAACATGCCGACAAAAAACCATTCTTGATCCAATCCAATCTCCCCTCGAATCCATAAGCCCTCATGCTCCTCTGCCGTCTCATACCCGTCCTTCCACCACCCCCGCCAGCATCCCCACAGTCCCACTCCTCACCAACCCTGCGGAACCAACCGTGCCAGCCGACCGAATCGATGCCGAGCATCGGTACACTATAACGATTCCTCATATAAAGTTCAGCATAAAGCTCGTCATGAGAATAAGTAATATTACAGGTTTCGTCATCGCCCTGCTGGTCGAGACTACTTCGGGTAATAACCTTCAGGGAACTCTTCGAGGGGGCCGGAGGTAGCGCTCATGCCGGGTGCTGCGCGGACGGCGCGGATTGGAGGTGGCTCTTCCATTGTGATGGCGACTTTTTCTTCGCTGCTGGAGGTGCGGTTTAGTGTGTCGTGAGGTTGGGCTGGGGTGCCGTTGGGGGTTGGTTGTTGCTGGGTGGTTGTGGGAGGTGGGACGTTCTCCTTCGCTGGAGGAGGGGGTGGACGATCGTCAGTGACCACTGGTGCCGGTTAGCATTTGATGCTGGTTTTCCAAGTCTTTGGGCAGATCTTACCATTCGACTCCTCCATCTTGCCCTGCTCGTGCTCAACAGCACTATCATTCTTCAAGCTCTCCTCCGCCCGACTGCCATCATCCACAGCAGAGACAGCTCCACTCCTCGTCCCATCGACCGTCAACCCCGGCTCAACCGGCGACACCCTCCCGACATCCGCTTGATCACTCTTCAGCTGGTTGTCCTCCGCACCATCCACACTTCTAACAACAGGTGCTGGAGCCGGGGCAGCAGAACTCTCCTCCCTCACCACCAGCCCAGGCTGCGCCCCATGGTCCTGAGGCACGGCCTCCTGCGGCTCCTCCTGCTGTCCCGTCGCTAGCGGATGTGTCGGCGGCAGCGACTTCGAAGGCTCTGTTGCGCTATTCAGCGGCGAGCCGGACTCTATTGGCGGGATCTGCGGTGCAACGGCATCCGAAGTCGGCGTGGGTGATTGCAGTGGTGGAGGTTGCGAGGTAGGAGGGGGAGAAGCGGCTGCTGAGGTCGAGTAGTCGGATTGTTGTTGCGGTTGGGGTTGGGTCTGTGATGTTTGTTGCTGGGATGTTGCGGTAGGCTTCTTGTTGCGCTTGAACATGCCTTTGAAGGCGCGCTTGAGGGTGTTGAAGGCTTGGGGGGCTGCATAGTGCATTAGCATTGTGAGCGTTTGATGGAAGCATTGACGTGTGGGAGATGGGGATGGCTATTGAGAGCCATCTTGCAGTGGGTAGACGTACGAACGCCGGGCATCGTGTCGTGCTATTCGCGGTTGTGCCGTTGCTGTTGTGTTTGTACTCTGTCGCACCGCTCTGTTCGTCCTGGATCCTCCCGGTCCTCCGCTGGGTTCTGCTCACTGCTCGTGCAGACGGGCTACCACCATGCACTGCACAACGTGTGGATCGTGAGTCGAAGATCGATGGGACAGGACGATGGCAAGCGCTTATTGTGATCGTATCGAGGAGTGAGGTGAGCTGAGGTGTGCTTTTGGGAAGTCGCAACGGCCAGACACGCCAGTAAATTGACTGTCGATCCTTCCCCAAAGCACGAGCAAGGCGAGCGTGACCGCGGTTATACCAGAAGCTTAATTGTTGGACGTCTTGAACAACTCAAGGCCCGACCAAGGAGGTCAACACTACATGTAAAAGACAGTGCATATATGTATACCTTACTTATCCTCCATTCATTGCTCGTGCATCAACATCTCGAACACAGTCTCCGTCTTCCAGCAATCAGACGCAGAGAAGGTCTAGCCTACTGCTAGCCGAATGCTAAGAATAGTCCCAACGTGGAGTGCATACGAACCCTTGCTTGAGACGACTGTGCTGTTTCAAAAGGCCAAGAAGTCTGTATCAGTATATCCTGCTCGATGCAGACCGATCTCCTGCTCGTGCAGCGCTTGCACAGCCTGTGCGATAATCATCCGCTTTGCACGGCACGGCACAGCCTGGCCATCTGCACACATGTCGCAGAACCACGCGTCGTTGTCCATACACATTCCGTTGTCAGTCACATGTCGCAGTCGTGACACCCTCAGTTCGTGCTCAGCCACCATCTCTCCGCGGAGCAGGTGTTCGAGACACGCCAGCTGTAGCATTGCTGGGTGCAGGTCGTTGCGTGGCAGCCCAGGGTGCGGCAGTAGGAGGCATGCCGGAAGCAGCGGGAGGTCGTTGTGTCGCCCCCATATGAGAGGGCCCTGCATGTTGCTGCCGCGTACCGGCCCACGGCGCCCTCATACTCGGTACTCCATTCCCCACCTCCGCTCCGCCAACCCCGGGCTTCGCCCATGGTGCCTTCGTGCCAGCACCACCTGGAGGCGGCATCGACCCCGGCGCCTGCTGGCCACTCCTCGGCTGACTGGCCGCGTGCGCAGTCTTCGCCCCGTCTGCCATCACACTCTCATGCCTCTCCCACCTCCACAGGCTCCCAAAAACAAAATGCTGCACCACCGGAAACTTCCCCAGCACCTCCGCCACCCACATCTTCACCATGCCCTTGTTGATCTTGCCCCAGCCGTCCTTGATTCCGCTCACGTCATAGAGGACAGGTGAGTGCTCCCAGAAAGGGCCGCGCTTGACAGCGTAGATGAAGGCGATGGCGGAGAAGTACATATTGCTCTCTGCTAGATCCGCGACGAGAGCCTTGTCGGTTACGGAGCTGGGCAGCGGAGAGTTTGGAGAAGAGCCTTCCGTTGGAGTGGGTTGTGGTGGTTGTGCCGTGACGTCGATAGCAGGTCCGAGTTGCGCAGAACCGAATATGTATGGGAGATGGCTGTGGTCGTCAAGACCCCAGACACCATGTGAGCCTGCCGGTTCAAGGGTGTATGTATTTATAAGCACGCGGACTAGGATCAGATATGGCTGCATCACGCCCATAACTATTGCCCTCTCCTCGCCGTCCTCGAAAGCGTTTAATTTCCACAGACATCCCAGGAAAGCAAGGAAGCTTAGCTCGTGCCCTGTACCATAGTCCAGACGTTGAGCGCTGCCGAAGCTGCCGAGAAGATAGGCTCCAAGTTCGTCCTTGAGAGCCGACTGCTGCCGTTCGTATCGCTGTAGAAGAGGTACCAAATGCTTGTCCAACAGTTGATCCAGGGCCTCTTCCATGAGCTTGAACCATGTCCGGAACGCTACGTTGCCAAATCTTCTTGGTCCGGTATCCGGTGGCGCATCCTTGGTTAGTGCTTCAAGGTCGGAGACCAGATCTTGTAGGCTTTGGACGGTCGAAGAGAAGGGTGGTGGCGAGTCGAGAGTGCTTGGTTGGACATCGCTTCCCGATTCTCTCGTTGGGAACATGGAGCGGCTCAGTTGGAGAAGCCATGTTACGAGATCTTGGTATGCCGTAGAGGTGTGAAAGAATTGTAGGTCATCACCATCGTTAATCCTTTTGGATGGACTTGAGAAGGTGTGCTCCGCGGACGCTGGAAGTCGTTCCAAGGTCGGAATTGGTGGAGGGGCGGCCATATTTAAGCTCCCATTCTTTCCTATCCTTTAAGCCAATGTTCACGAGGTTTGTTTTCAAGCGATGTTGGAAGCAGAGAGCTACACGTGATCTTTTCTTAGCGCGTACTAGCGCGTCGAGGCGCGAAACTCAAATCTGTCGCTACAACAACCAAGGCAAGAGCGAGCGACGAGGCAAGCGCATGTGATTGATCCAGTGGGGTCACATCACTTCAAGACAAACCGCCCTCAATGGCAAAAAAAAGCAGATTCATCTCGCCGGTCAAACAAACTGGTCTGGCGACAGACAAGAACGCCGAATTGCCCGCTTCTTCCGATCCCGAAGAACAACAACCAACAATGGGCAACGAACAGTCCAGAGCGCTTAACGAGGCGCAAGACCGCACGACTACCCGCCCGAGCACTGGACAGCTTAAAAAGCCTACCAAGAAGATCGCTCTGGCACAGAAGAATCCAGCGTATCGTAATCCTCTTCTCACGGCAGGCGGAACGAGGCAGAGGACGCTGGGAGGAGGGAAGAAGTCGGTGTACGAATTTCCTGATGCGGAGGAGGAGGTGCGGCTGGTGCCCAAGACCAGAGGCGGGCTGTATCCGCTGACGGGCTTTTCGCCGTTGAAGGGTGTGAGGAGTCGGGCGGAGGGGGCTAAGGCAGTGGGAAAGGCGGGGCCTGTGACGAGGAGTAGTCCCAGGAAGTCGAAGCGGACGGAAAGGGTGGACGAATCGGAGGAGGGCGAGGGAGAGGGAGAGGAAAGTGAGACAGCTGAGGAGCAGGAGGATCGGGAGCAAGAGGGCGAGGTAGAAGAGACGGTGCATGCAGAGGATGGTTCGAACGTTGAGGGTCAGGGTAAAAACGATGAAGAAGGTGAAAATGAGGAGGATGAATACGTTCAGGTTGCAAGTCCCAAGGCAGGCGCTGCTCACGAAAAGGGAACAAGCTCTGCGAAACGTACATCTACTCGCGGGAAGCGTGCGAAGACACCGGAAGCTCCAGCCGTAGCTCCACCAGCGGCAAAGAAGAAGCGCGGTCGGCCTTCGAAGAATAAACATACTGAGGAAGTCGAGCCTTCGGACACCGTAGCAAGCAAGAAGCGCGGCAGAGCGAACGAAGACAGAACAGCAGTAGCTGAGCACACTCCAAAGCGCACCAGACGGCAGACACGCGCCGAAGACGATGCAGAACGGGACGAACAGGTAGACCGGGAAGGCGACGACGGTGAAGAGCAATCTCTTTTCCAGAGCATGCGCAAGCGTAGACAGGAGCCATGGAACCGCACTCGCGAGGCTGAAGACGATGCGGTGGAAGAGGAGCAAGCAGTTGATGCTCCTAGGCAGGGCCGACAAATGACAGGCCAGCAACAAGCTGCGAAAGGCGCTGTTGAGGCAGTTGCGCAGGAGTATGATAACGAAGACGAATCAAACACAGAAGAGAGACAGCCGTCGCCATCGAAGACTAACAAGCGTCCACACTCATCGACAAACGCAAAAGCGAACACTAGCTCGAAGCGCAGAAGGCCTGACACCGCACCAGAGGAACCTGAACCGTCCGCAGAAGGCCATGCCACTCAGAGTAGGTCTGGTCTCACAGAAGCTGACAAGCATCGCATCTTTGGGCGATGGCCGGAACTCAAAAGGGCGTTCAACGCTGCAGATCACATTGGTAGGCCTGTGGAAGGTCGTGGCGTTACGCGAGTCCGATATGACAAGGTCCCGCTTGAGTTGGAGGATAAGCAAGTCAGGGCTGCTGTGAAGCTGTGCAAGAAACTGACTACTTCGTACAACACCTCTAGAGACAACACTGGCGAGTCTAGCACGCCAGCAGTCGATCCAGCAAGTGTGCTGTCGGAACTGAGACAACGGATCGACGGTCTTTGTGGCAAGAACGAAGAGTACGACTACGACGGTAGGAACGTCGACAGGTGCACCAGCATGTACTATCATCTGGTCCCGAAACTGCTAGGCCTCGTCGAAAGTGCCGTTACCTGCTATGAAAAGCTGGACGAACGCGAGTTCCCTGCCAACGAGCTCACTATACCTCATCTTCACGTCGTCAACAGAATCATCAACCTCCTTCTCGACCTTGTTATGGGCGCAGCTGAATACCATCCACGACCCGAAACAAGCTACCACGTGGTCCAGCCCGTGCGCGAAATCGCACCCATCTTGCGAGACGTCCACCGTTCCTTCCATGATCGAATTCAACACCATCAACATCGACTCGCCACTCAACGTCAAGCCCAGATCGACGCCCAGCAACGAGCAGCCGACCTCGAGCAAGAACAACGCCGAGCAGTCCAGCAACAGGAATTCGACCGCATGCAAGCCAAATGGATCCGCCTACATGAAGTCCGCTACTGGGCTGAAGGCGGCTTTCCACCCCATCAGAAGGTCGTTCATCTCGAGCGCCCGGTGTACGATGTCGATCCCGATGGCCAGCGGTTCGTACGTACGGAGTCTTTCCGGCCGCGTGTAGGGCCGCCACCGGGGCTAGTTGAGCGCGCTTCGAGGTTGGAGCTGAGTATGGTACAGTATAGTGCGCTGTTGGACGGGCTGAGGGAGTATGCTGGGGAATTTGTGTTTGAGCGATTGTTCGCTGAGTGCTGTCGGAAGGGGCGGGAGTTGAACAGATTCAATGTAACGGAGATTGTCACGCAGGCGGCGGTGATGAGGGAGTGGTTGATCAAGTGTGATCAGAAGAGAGGGAGGGAGACGGAGGCGTGGGTATTGGGAATTCCTGTATGGACGAGTGGGCATCCTTCGCTTGCGGGTAAGGAAAATGAGGAAGATGCTGGGGAGGCGGAGGCTGTTGAGGGAGAAGCCTCGACCAGGAGAAGTGGTCGGCAGGGCGAGATGATCACGCTGGATGACTGACGATTGTATGACCTGTTGTTCGGGACTTTGGATCGCCTTATGATACCCTCGCGAAGAACTTCTTCAAGGAACGGGCCGAATGCTTGCGATAACGGTGGACAAGGTACTTGTGACCAAGAGCCTTGTGACCTACCTTCATACACCGACAGTGCAATGCAACTCCACAAACCCGCATATCCGCAACGCCGCAACGCCGCGGCTGCTTTTTGCCTTCTCCAACATCACATGAGGTTCTCCACGACGTCGATGCTGACATGAGACGATGGTCTAACCGCTTCAGTCTGTCTCGATCAGGCTAGCCCGGGGTTAAGTTAACACTAATCATCCTACGTTGCAGTCTCGCCTTCTTCCTTCCACAATCAGTCGCTATTGACATGCGGGAACAAACCCCTTCAACAGGGATGGTCTGGCAAGCCGTATGAAGTGACAGCGCAGTTCACATTGACAGTGTACTCATTACTTCACACCCCCGATCCTCTCTCGTGAGACAATGGAATCAAGATCCGCCTGTGGAGGGCTGACTGCCGCATTTCTAATCATCCGGATTACTATCTGCAGGCATTGCGGGCGGTATGCCGAGTTTCGGCCAGTTCGTGGGGGATGGTGTGGTGTACGTTCAGTTCCGTTATCAATGCACGGTCTGCATGTGTTGTGGTAAGTTCGCACGCCTTGCCTTTGTCTCGTACAGTCAATATGTTTTCCTTTAAGAAGAAACACCAGAGCGTTGCGGAGATCCATCTTACTGCCCAGGACGGCGGTGTCATCACTGAAAGTGGTGAGATTGTTCATCGCAGCAATGAGGACATAGTGGGCAATGCTGTGTTCAAGCTACGGCAAGGGGAGAGGTTCACGCACTCCAAAGTGTTGCTCAGAGGTATGGCTCGACCCAACGCCTCACAATGGCTATTCTCACACACCGTAGGGATTGTCACTACGACGACAGAGACCTCACCATCTGGGTCTTTGCAGCCACGTTGGAGAACGGAGAAGCTGCCGGTAAGTCTGTGTAATGAATCCCTGATGTCGTCGTGTATCTAACGACTGCCAGTTGCTAGCTGTCGCTGTCCAGAGCAAAGCACAGCCCGACTTCCGTGCAGAAAATGGCATCATCAACATCCCGTTCCGCTTCAATCTGGACGAATGCAAGCGCAGCTCCGACGTACAGGATCTGCCTCCCTCGGTCGATTGGAAGCAAGACACGAAGTGGTGGTCGTCCCTGAAGCAGTCGGATGGAGCTGCTCAGTATAGCATCGACTATAGTATCACTGCCTCCGCTTGCTGTGAGAGCAAGCTCATAGCGTCGACGACCAGAAAGCTCTCTGTCTTACCGGTTGCTGAGGAGCAGCCTCCGCCATACGATCCAAACTCTTTAAGCAGGCCAGGGGAGTACTTCACAGTGAGCTCTCCACGGCCCTCGAAAGCGAGGCGAAGAACGGCGGGTCATCAGTTCCAAGTCGCTGCCCAAGAACCAAGCCCTCTCCGGCTGGACGTCAGCGGCCACACATTGCAAACGTCTGTCGCCATACCACTGGTAATCAAGCTCACACCACAGGACAACGGCGATCTCGACGAAAAGAGCATACCCGCGCAATGCAGCTTGAAAGCGCAGTTAGTCACACGAACGTTCATCACACCCAACCATTCCAGGACGATCCCAACAATGGAGAGAATAGCAGCGGATGAGGATGCCCGTGTCAGAACAATGAGAAACAATGAACAGAGCTTCACGTTCTCCCTGTCCGGCTGGCAGCAGTATGGTGAAGGTACAGCACAACGAACTTCGACACAGCGTGCGTTCCTGACAAACACAGGTACCTCCGAGCACTTCGCTATAACAAGACTGCCGTTCTTATTCAACATCGACTCTCCAACAAGGCTGAGTCCGACATTCTTCACACCTCTGTTGTCAAGACAGCACGCCATCGAGCTCAAGTTCACCTTTCTACAGAGCTCGAGGACGCTTGAGCTCTCGCTACCATTGCAAGCAGTGCATGAGGCGGGACCTGTCGATGTGTCGATGCGGAAGCAGTTTTTGCAAACGGAGACCAAGTGAGCTGGGTATGATTAGCTGAGATCTAGCAATCAGATCGCAACCCTCGTTTTTCGTGGAAGGGTCTTGTTAACGTATCAATGCAAGTCACCGTGGGTTCGGCATTTGTATTGTGGTTGATCAAGCGTTTCTAGCGACTCTTGTTTGTAATTCTCCAGCGGGTCAGGGGAGGCGTTCGTCTCGTGGGTGACAGTCTTGTTCGTCGATCTCATCTGATCACATACAGCTTGCTATGTCTCCAGTTCACGTGTCTGTTCGACTGCTTCCGCATCGGCATTCTCATCCTGTGAAGAAGTAGTCGAAGCAGATAAGAGACCGTAAGCTGCACATGATCAGCTGAGATCTACCAACAAGACGGTGACCCACGAGACAAACGCCTCCCCGAATTCGCTGAAGCGTCACAAACACGGCTAAAAACGCTGCAACCAAAACAATAACACCCAACTCACGGCGACTCGACCTAAGAGTTCAACACCTTCGTCTTCATCCACTCACTGGTGCCCACGCCCAAATTCAACCCATTCCTCGCCCACCACCTCCGCACCTCCACTCCCCTCTCCCCCTCATCACCATCCTCCAACGCCTCCTCAATATCACACGTCTTATACTCCACCTTCAAACCGCTCGTCTTCCACCACTCCAGCACATCCACGTTACCGCTCTTCGTCGCGCCGACCAGCACTTGGTTGTCGAAGATGATCTTGCTGCCCTTCAGCTCATGCCAGACTTGCAGGATGTCGACGTGGCCGTGCGTGCTGGCGAGTTTGGCCACGGTGTCTTCGTGCGGGAAGGCGATGCCGGATTGCAGCCACCAGCGGACGACGTCCGTGTGCCCGTTTTGCGTGGCGTAGCAGATGCTTTTGCCGGGTTTGAGGCGGAGGTTGGATTTGTTGTCGTCGGCGGTGGTGGTTTGGTTCTTCCACCATTCGAGGACGGAGACGTGGCCTTGACTACTGGCTTGTTCGAGGGAGGCTTCGGTGTATTTGTAGGGAAGGCCGGAGTGTTGCCACCATTCTAGGACGTTGACGAAGCCGGCTCGGGAGGCACCGTCGAGGGCTTCGATGGTGTATTCTTTCGATAGGAAGGAGGGTGATGTACGCCAGAACTCGAGGATCTCGGTCCGTCCGAAAACTGAGGATGCTTTGTCTGGTAAGAAGGTTTGGCCGAAGGTGTTCCAGAAGAGTAATCTGTGGTTCGTCTCGAGGTATGACAGAAGTGGTGTCATGGCAAAGCGCATGATCAGCCTGATGCATAGCTTCGACAGCCATCGCGGTACACTTTCAGCCGCGATGAACTTCTCCACATCTTCGACACTGCCGCGCAGAATCGTAAGTTCCAGTCTTTTCATATAATGCTGCGGCCCTTGAACGTTCGAGTTGACGTGGACAGACCAGTCCGATGGAGGAGGTAGGTTGGTGTAAACATGCATTGTCTGCGCCAACTCCCAGTCACCAGTAAAGTCAAAGATCATCGTCCAGAGCTCAGGTGGAAGGGTGTTGTCGGTCTTCTTGCCGGAGGTGGCGAGGGATGGCCGCTGCGTGGGCGACACTTCCATGTCCTGCCCAATGTTCATGAGATCCACCTGATTGCGTACTGCATCCACAAGCTCCTCAGTCGCATCGTGCGACTTCATCTTCTTCTCGTCGTCCACAAACTTCCAAAGCATCGGCTGCAGCACTTGCACCCAGTTCCATTTCCGTCGGATTTTGGTGAGCTGTTTCTTGGTCATTGGATTCTCCCACATCAGAGCCGACATGCCGGGTACCAGCAGCACTTTCTTCGACACATTCCAGCTTCGCAAGATCTCGAGTAGCAGATTGTCGGTGTGCCCATGAAGCATCTTTGCCAGGTTGTTCGCATCTATCGGTGCCAGAACCAGTATGTCTGCCCACTCACACAGCTCTGCAGCTTCCTTCTCGACCTCTTCCGTGTAAGTGACAGCTGTACTGCGCGAGATGTTGGACGTGGTCAAGCAGTACGACGAGGCAGCAATGAAATCCTGGCTTCGGTAGGTCGGGTCGAGGATGGCTTTCAGTGAGACATCGTCAATTTCTGCAATCTTTGGCAAGACGTCCTGAATGATCTTCTGGTCGGCGCATCCGACTGAGGCGAACAGAACGTGCAGGTCTCGCCGTCTCTCGAGGTCGAGTCCTGTCTGGGACGGCTGGGGTGTTGTGCGGGCGGACGCCCGCTTCGGCGATGCCATGGTTGTATTCCTCCTTTGTGGTCGTAGAGTTGTTGAGAAGAGTTAGAAGACGTCGCGGTATGGGAGGTGTTGCCTGCTCGAGGGAGTTGTGGTGAATGCAGTCTTGATGCTGAGATTCATCATGAGCGGCGCCACAGAAGCCACGCGACGCGGGTAGATAAGATCCGCCGAAAGCTTGAATCTCTGTCTCCACTTCCCGCGTGTCATGTGAAAGAGCCATAATGATCGGATGGTTCCTGGAGGTGCCGTAAGGTAAGTTGGAATGGAGATGAAAGCACTCGGTGTATAGGAGCTCCGGCGCCACCTTCCCACGGCTACAACCATACTGACGAAGAAACGAGCCGTCGCCAGAAGCAGCAGCGATATCCCCGCGTTGGAGGTAAGACATCTGGGGAAGAGCATACAATCGAGTACAGCATATAGCCGCGCCTCGAAGATGGCGATTGCATACGTCAACACACTGTCGACTCCGTGTACGCGGGGAGTGCTTCTCGGTCCAGGGAAAACGATGTCGTAGAGTACAAAAGTTCTCCTCAAGTTTTTTGGTAGAATAACAACATATTATCATCTCTTGAAGCTCTCCTCCCATTCTTGTTTGATACCCGAGGGCTAGCGAAGAGTGAAGATCGGTTGACGATACCGATACTCTTCATATCATATACCTTTCAGACACCGTTTTGTCGTTGTTCGCCATCTTCTCATCTTGGAAACTACTCGTGAGCCTTCTCAACATGACGAACGACACCTACGACGCCATCATCGTCGGCGCTGGCTTTGCGGGAATCTATCAAGTATATTCGTTGGCAAAGCTAGGATTGAATTGTCTGGTTATTGACGCTGCTGGCAATGTTGGTGGAACGTAAGTTGAATCAAAGATGAACTGTCTTATGGAATAAATGCTGACGAAGGATCGTTGCAGATGGTACTCAAATCTGTACGCAGCACTCTGACCGTACGCATACTTGAAATACTGATTATGTGGCAAAGATACCCTGGCGCCATGTCAGATACCCGTAAGTGATGTCGTCCTGAACATAAAGAGAAACTGTGTGCTGACGGACTGAACAGCAAGTTCGGTCTATCGATTCTCCTGGGACAAGGACGATCTGATGACTTATCCATGGGAGGAAGGGTAACATTTCCTCCATGACCGAACGCGACCACTGATCAATCACTAACCAGCATACCCATCCCAGCTACGTCAAACAACCCGAAGTCCTAGCCTACCTCAACCACGTCGTCGACAAACACGACCTGCGAAAGTACATGCGCTTCAACACCGAAATGACCGCCGCCCACTGGCAAGACTCGGACCAGATGTGGCATCTCACCGTCAACGGCAGCGACAAAATCATCGCCAAATACGTCATCACCGGCCTCGGACTCCTCTCGCGCACGAATCTCCCGGACATCCCCGGCATAGACACGTTCGAAGGCGACATGTACCACACGGCCAAATGGCCGCAAGGCTACGACGTGACCGGCAAGAAAGCCGGCGTGATCGGCTGCGGCTCCACGGGTGTCCAGGTCATCACGGACATCGGCTGCAAAGTCAAGCAGCTCGACTGCTACCAGCGCCATCCGCAGTACACCGTCCCGTCCGGCGATAAGAAAGTCACGCTCGAAGAGCGCAAATTCCTCAACGACAACTGGGACTCCATCTGGCACCTCGTGCGGCACTCCATCACCGCCTTTGGCTTCGAAGAGAGCAAGCAGTCCTACCATGACGCCAGCCCCGAGGAGCGCGAGCGCGTTTTCCAGGAGGCATGGGATATTGGGTGTGGGTTCCGCTTCATGTTCGGCACCTTTAACGACATCGCCACGGACATGGAGGCGAATAAAGGAGCGCAGGATTTTATTCGAAAGCAAATCGACACGATCGTCAAGGACCCGAAGAAAGCCGAGAAGTTGAAGCCGCACGACGTGTACGCCCGTCGACCGCTGTGCGATGGGAATGCGTCAAATGGGCAGAAGTACTTTGAGCAGTTTAACCGGGAGAACGTCGATGTGGTTGATTTGAAGGAGACGCCGATTGAGCGGATCGAGGCGAAGGGGATCCAGACGGCAGATGGGAAGTTGCATGAGCACGATTTGCTGATTTTCGCCACGGGGTTCGATGCTGTAGAGGGGAACTACACGCGGCTGGCGATCCATGGACGGGATGGTATGTCGTTGAAGGAGTATTGGGATGATTTGGGGCCGACGAGCTATTTGGGGTCGTTTGTGCCGAAGTTTCCGAATTTCTTCTTGATTTCTGGTGAGTTGTCCAGCTGGGGAATATGTGCTATGGCTGACTTGTTTTTGCAGGCCCCAAAGGTCCCTTCACCAACATGCCGCCCTCGATTGAAGTCCAAGTCGAGTTCATCACCGACGCCATTCGCGATGCTGAGAAGTCCGGCGTGCGACTGATTGAGCCCACGGAGGAGGCAGAACGGCAGTACTCGGAGCTCTGCGACCAGCTGGCCGAGAACAGCTTGTTCTGGAAGGCTGAGGTATGTTTCTTCTTCTTCTTCTTCTTCTTCCGGGTTTTGTGCAGGGCTGACTTTTTGCAGGATAACTGGATCTTTGGGGCGAATATACCTGGTAAGAAGCGGTGTTTGAGATTCTTCTTTGGTGGTATGGAGGCGTTCCTTGATAAGCTGGAGGAGGTGAAGAAGAATGGGTATACTGGATTCAAGCCGTTTACGCAGGATCATGCGGCTCCTACTAGGTTGTGAGGGGGTTGTTGCGAGATGTTGGCATGAGATGGATCCATAGCGAGCATAGCTCCCGTCTTCAGCATTACGTGGCAAGGAATAATAAGCCGCCACAGATATACCTACCTGTATCGTTCCACTCTCAACGCAAACCTACTCACCTCGTTATCGTGCCCAATGCGACATCACATTGCCCTTACACACTCTGTTCATCTCACAGGTATTCCGAGTATGTCCAACGACCCACCGTGAGTTCTGACCTTCGGAGCGGTGAAATGGTGACAAGCTTGACCGCCCTCTTCATTCGAGGCGCAAGAGGCGTTCTGCACCCCAACCACCGCCTCGAGATGTGAGTCGTCGCCTTGCCTCCGCGCTGCCCGTTGCCGGCATCATGCACTGGATCGGACGCTTTGATATTGACGGCCTCGATCGGGAAAGCAGCCGAAACCTGGTTCAACGCTTGCCAAGGTGGACGTTCGGAAGGCGGCCTCGCTGGTGCTGCGCTTTCAGTGCTGCCACGTTCGCCTGGGCTCGCTGTGCTCTGCAATGCTGCGTTTAATTCTGCAGTAGACCGCTCTTGCCGTCGTATGCACAGTCAACGGCGAAAAGAAACCAGGCAAGAAGGGATCTGTGCAGAAGAGAGCCAAAGTTGGCACTAGCGACGGCAGTCAACGGGGAGGAGCAGCACAGGCGCCCGGGGAATGCCTGGAAAGCGTGGGTTGAGATGGTCGATCCTGCGATCGACAAAGAACCCCAGCAACATCCGCATCGAGGCTCTTGTCATCGACGGGTTCGTCAGAGATACAAGTACATTCTCCCCGTGCAAGCAGCGTCTGGTAAAACGCAGAGCACCAGTGTTCCCTTCTTGTTCTTTTATTTGGTACTTGGAGACTTGGCGTGAGTGAGACCGACTTCGCCGCCATCCGGAGCTCTATCACGCGTAGATAGCTCGAGTCACCTGTCTCAACGAGCGAGCTCACAAGGCCACACCACTGGACACCTGGGGTACCTAGCGCCACCACGACGGTACAGCATCCGCAACCCGAACACTGCGGGCAGGAGCTGCTTCATTACCTGCGGCCATCATCGAGGCATCTGGATCCTCGCTTCCGAATCGCTGGACGGTCCTCCTTCGCCGCCTAGGTTGCTTATCAGGCTTTCATCAAACCATCTTTGCTGCCTCAGTTCGTCATGTCTCCAGCAGACTAGAAGCTCGAGCTGTCAGTCACACCCTGCGCGGGACTCAACGTTACCTCCCACACGATTCACTTCGCCATACGACGCCTACCGCAGGCCACCGTGACCATGGAGCGACTCGCCAGCCGCTCCGAGCCCGTTACCCACCCATCGTAAACCACTACCACACTTTCGATACGAAACAACAATCCCTGGAAGCTGCTCCAGAGCAAGCGCCACACATCATCTCGACGATGCATCAACATCCTCGCCCGTCGCCGCGGAGCTCGACTCCGGCGACCAACCCATCGACGAACCCGGAACGCACCAACAACCCGAGAGAACAGCCGCCGACTCGCAACAGATCGAGCGTGGACTTGACGGCGTATACTGAAAGAGCTGGTGGTGAGGCCGGTATGGCTGCTCGTACGGAGGGTGCGGCCAGCGGCAGCTCTGATAAGGAGAATGTGCGGCTCAATCAGATCATACAGGTATGTCCACATCGGATGGGAGGAGAGGAGGTCGTGGGGCCGTCTGATTTAGAACGGTGATGGCTTGAGGTGTTGAAGCCCTTTTCATCCCGTCTGAATCGAGAGGCCCGGCATTCCACAGAGGATGCTGAGATGGCTATTACTTTGGCATTCTGTTTCCCGAGCCATGCTGACGAGACATGTAGCAATTCCACACCAAGTCAGCCTTGATGATTTGTGGCTCTCGAGCCAGTCTACCTCCGGCATATCTGAAAACGGGAGAGCGACGTCAGAACAGATGGGTAAGTGCTTTTCCCTTCTTTCTTATTCTTCAGATTGGGCGAGGAAGAGAGAGGTCTGGTCTATGGCTTCAACGGGAGAGATATGAAAGGTTATGAGGTTTGAGGAGGAAATGACCTTCTTGCTGGATCCCTTGAGCTGGAGCAGTCTGGGGCCCAACAGGTGGTGTAGCAGAGGATGGGCTACCAGCAATACTGCTTGCCATACCACGCCTGGCCCATGACGGTTGATTTGACGCCGTATCCCTTCTCGCCCGCATGAGCATGATTGTTTGCCTCTTGGCTTTTGCTGTCTTGTCCGCCTGCCTGCAGATGCATGGAGTTTGTTGTAGAGATTTGCATGAGAAACTGAGACTGACAAAGAAAATGGTAGTTCAATATCGTGGTTGACGAGACAGACGTGCTGGCCAACGATCTCCAGGAGTGGCGAAGAGTCGATCTCTACATGGAGAGACCGTCCCCTATGGTGATTGAGATCTATCTTGATACGTCCCATCTGCCTCACAATCAGGCCCTGCTGTGTGTCGACGAGAGTGGTAGGCCCAGAGAGGTGGCTTCAGCTTCGAGCAGAGACGGTAGCCCGGCGCCGTTCAGGGGCGGGAAGAGGTATCCTGAGATCGTTCTGGAGCGCTGGACGATTGAGCTGGGGGATCGTGCAATGCTGTCCAACAAAGAGCTGGACGAGCCCTTGCCCAGCGTGTACAAGAAGGGGGTGGTGGCGTTCAGATCGCTCTACAGCTTTCTGCGGATGCTGCCGGCGTGGAGGCTATATCGTCAGCTTGGCAGGCAGCCTGGTAGCTCACAGGCTCTTCGCATGAAGTTTCGGATCCGACAAGCACACGAACTCAATTACGACAAGCACGACGACCCACTGACGAGACCACTCTTCGCACCACGAGAACAGCAAGCACCACACTATGGACTACGAGGAGCGCAGCCTGCCCGAGAGTCAACTCAACATCGGCAGCAGACACTATCAGATCTCCCTACGCCTGCTGGAGCACTGCAAGCGCGTGTTGACCTCCGCAGCCTATGTGATTTTACTGTTGCTAGCAGTGAGAGTGTTATTTCTGCCGCTCTCTTGAGCTCAGACGAGCGCTACCTAACAGCACAAAGCGGCCGCTCTTTGCCAGGAAACCGCTCAGAGCAGCGTCGCGAGCAGTACAGCAGCACAGCGGTTCCTACGACAACGCGAGAACGCCCGAGAGGCCTGCTAGGAGCATACGGCAGCCTTGGAACAGTTCACGCAACAGACAGACGCAGCTCAGCAGTCGCAGATACAAGACAGCGAGCACAAGAAGCAGACACGGAAGAAGACGACGCGATGAAACGCGTCGGCGCGCTCAGAGAAGAGGCTGGCACCTCGCCCATGCCGCCTGGATACTTCAAGAATGGCCCCATGAACCCAAACCCCTCTCCTCGCCAAAAAGACTCTCCCCTCTCGAAGCTGGGATCTCTCGCCACATCGCCACGTCCTACGCCATCGCCTCGTCCGTCACCAAACCCCATCTACCCACCGTCACCACAATACGCCAGCGGCTCAGCATCCAGCAGCAAGCGGACCTCACTCAATGCCCTGCCACAGCAACAACTCCGAAACCCCTCCCTCTCCAACGAAGTCGCCGTCGCCTCTTCCGGTTCCTCCTCGCCCAAGCCCGCACCCGTCCGCTACAGCAGCAGCTTCGCCAACCGCCCAAGACGCTGGACATCAAGCAGCAAGGCAGGCGAAAGCAACACCTCCTCCGGCCGCGGCAGCAGTGACTCCAAAGAAAAGCTCAGTCACCTGCAGGAAGGCACGCCCGGCAGCAGCGGCAGCGGCAAGACCGACGACGAGGACATCGCGTCCTTCATCTCCGACCTCGAGCGCTCCAAGGACACGCGCTTCGCCTCGCCGCCCCCCTCCTCCGCCGCCCCGTCCCGCGGCGGCGGCCACGTCGTCAACCTGGGCAAGTACAGCGCGCTGAAGACGGACAGCTCGGCGCTCGCGGAGGAGATGAGCAGCTCCTCGCTCATCCAAAGCACGCCGCCCTCCCGACGCTTGTCGAATGTGCCCGGGCTGTCCGTCTCGTCGTCGCCGTCGCGCGTGCAGCCGCACGCGCCGCACGTGCGTTCTCGGCTGTCGACACACAGCATTGTGGAGGAGTCGGCGGGTGCGGTGGGGGCTTCGGGGTCGTCGGGGCAGAGAACGGGGATGCTGGAAGAGGAGGAGGACGATGAGTTGCCCTTCCTCTTCCAGCATGATGATGATTGATGGACGGACGGAGGGAGTAGTCGGTCAGATGCTGAGAATGGAAGACTTTTGCTTGTGATATCTTGTGCCTCTTCTCCATTTCCTACGTGCTACATGTGATGCCGCCTACCTATCTTCCCGAGAACGTCACTACTGCCGCCATTACAGGCACTGATATGGATTGATCATACTGCTTAGATGCCGGAGAGCAAGGCCATATCTTAACATTTTGTTCTACCTATTCTCCATCCTGGGCGATTGACGGCGCTGCTACAGCTATAGCAATCCACTTCGTCAACCCGTTGCCCTCCTGGAGGACCTGCGCTATCCGCTGCTGAACTCTTCCACGGTCTCCGCCAGCTACCGTCGGCCATGCCACTACAGTCAATGAGGAGGTGCTCCTCGGCAGTCTATTCCACGGAAAGCCTGCTACATGTCCCATACTGAAGCGTGTCGTGAACCCCTCAATTTGATTGGAGGAGGCGACGTTAATTGTCCCTCATCTCGCTGCATCACCTTCGACTACCACAACCTTCTCAGATTGCCATATAGCTCCATCGTCCCACATCAGACCCATTGACCTTCTGTTTCCTTCTCGTAGAACCGCTTTGACTCATATCCGCGGACGTGACAAAGAACGACTCATCGTCTCAAGCCGATCTTATCTCCACCACCCCACCCAACGCCTTCCCGAAGTGATTACGACATTGAGGCGCGACAGAGACGACTCCTATCGCATCGCATCGAATCACAACACACACTCGTACGACAGCAAAGACCGGAAACACTCAGTACCACCTAAACAGCCCAGTTAAGACTCATCGCGCGACAACCAACAAGCCCCGCGACCGCCCTCCTCCCGTAGGAGAGTATCCCAGGCTTCGACCAAAGAGCACCTTAAACTGCCGTGATCCGCCGCGATCACAGCCGGTGTTCTCGCGGCGAAGTCACCGGGGTATCACTCCTTGGTGTGTCGCACCTCTACGTCTCGTCATATGAGCAGCTACCTGTGGAAAGCATACTACGAAAACGATGTTCTGGGCTTCCAGCAACATCTGCTGGCCGCGGCCGCGAATGGCAGACCGTATACGGCGGCAAGAGGTGGGCAGGTGATTGGGAGTCCGGCGCAGATTGGGAGTTCTCCGAATGTGCCCGCGAAGGCACGGAGGCAGGGGCAGCATGGTACGCCTGGCGGGTTGAGCAAGGCCGACGTGAATGCGCGGGATAATACTGGGCAGACTTTGCTGCATCATGTCGCTTCGTGGACGGATGTTGAGGCGGTTGGGTTCGCCAGCGCGCTGATTGATCATCCGTCCGTCGACTTGTATGTGCAGGACTATGAGAATGGGTGGACTGCGCTGCACCGCGCGTTCTACTTCGGCAACGTCACGATAGCCCGGTTGGTACTCGAGCGAGACGCAAGCAACGCTTTCGGCAGGACCAGTGGACAGACGCACCAGACTGTTGGTCTGATCAAGATCAAGGATAAAGAAGGTCATGGTCCGCTCGATCTTTATGCCGCCACCATCAAGGACAGGACACTACGACCAGATGTGACTCGCAGGGCTAGATCTGGTTCTGATGCAAGTGACGATGATCGACCTGGCCCAGACAACGACAATGAGGATGGCAAGGTCCGCATCGGCTTCAATAACATCAAGTGCGACCAACTCTTCAATTTTGGCAGCAACAAGAATGCTTCTCTTGGCTTTGGTGACGGTGGCGACCGTCAGTTTCCAGAGCGCATCCATTTGCGACGCCCGGCGCATCTTATCAAACGCTTCTATGCCGAGCATCTCGAAGAAGAGGAACGGAAGTGGACGAGGCACGATCTGACTCATCGACCAAAGCGGGTGGATCTGTCCGATATGTGGGTGGAGGACATCCCGTGGCTGCCCAAGAGCCGACCCTTGACCATTCAGGACGTCCACATGTCGAAGCTTCATTCCGCCATCCTCACCACAGACCCAGAGTCCAACTTGTACATGTGCGGACATGGACAGGGCGGTCGGCTGGGTATTGGAGACGAGCAAACTCGTTTCAACTATGTCTGCGTGGAGAGCGGAGCACTTTCAGGCAAGCGGGTGGCAACTGTAGCCCTTGGCCTCAATCATACACTCGCCATCTCCGAAGAAGGAGAAATCTTCAGCTGGGGCAACAATGGCTTTGGTCAGCTTGGCTACAGTCTCCCGAAGACTGCCTCGAGCGATGAAGATCCAGTCAGCACCATTCCGCGACAGATATTCGGTCCACTGAAACGGGAGATCGTGGCAGGTGTCGCAGCGTCGCGGATTCATTCAGTCGCGCATACTGGAAGCTCCCTGTTCACGTTCGGCAAGAACGAAGGCCAGCTCGGTATCGTGGACTCTGACGCGAGATCCCTTGAAGTGCAGACCACTCCGCGGAAGGTCGCCGCTTCCCTATTTGCATCCAACATCGCTGCCGTTACTGCGATGGACAAAGCTACAGTGTGTCTACTCGAGAGCCATGAAGTGTGGGTGTTTGCCAACTATGGTTACGCCAAAGTGCCGTTCCCGCTTGAAGGCTTCACCAATTACTTCCTGAAGCAGAGCTTCCTCGTGACGACTTACGATCAAGAAGCGAACCGCATTGTCAAGGTTACTTGCGGTGGCGACACCTTGTGTGCTCTGTCCAGCCGAGGCGAGATCTACACCCTTTCCATCAGCCAGCGACAAGACAATCAGACCAGCTCATCCACGACGAATCCCGCCAAGATTCGCAGTGCTATCACTCCGGCTCAATGCATCTGGTCGCCGAAGAAGAACAGCATGGCTGCTAGAGACGTTGGCGTGGAGGCGGATGGTTCGATCATCCTCTCCACGGAGGAAGGCAGCGTCTGGAAGCGCACCAAGCGAGCAACGCTCAAGGATGCCACGGCCTCAGCAACTGGTGATTACAAGCCCAAGGACTACAAGTTCTCTCGTATTCCGGGCTTGACGAGAGTTCTGGCCGTACGCACTTCTGCCCACGGAGCCTACGCTGCTTTGAGGAAAGACTGCGATGTCACGAAGACGCAGATTGTTGTCGAGAACCAGAGCTTATGGAAGGACTTGTTCCAGCTGCTGTCCTTGAGGAAACCTACCACTGCCAAGCATGAGGTCGATGATGAGATGGATGAGGAGACGAGACACCGCTTCTGGCAAGGCCATCGCAAGCCCGATCCTGTGCTTATGCTGAAGCGTGCCGTGCTCGACAGCAACGACATCGAAGCCGATTTTGAGGACCTGGCCGACCAGCACGCCTCAGACTCATCCTCGAATTATGATGCGTTGATTGGCACGACGACATCGAAGGTCAAGATTCCTGTTCACCGCTTCATGCTGACAGCCCGGAGCCGTGTCTTGCGGCGTGGCTTCCGCAACTTATGCGAGACGTCCACCTTCACCACTGATGTCTTCAAGTGCGAGATCGCCGCGGGTGGTGAGACAGTGATCGAGTTCAAGGGCGCCGATATTCTGACGATCGTTAATCTGGTCATCTACCTCTACACCGACCAGCTGGTGGATTTCTGGCATTTCACCCGCAACATCAAGAAGCCCCTGGCAGACCGGTATCGAGCAATCCGCGGCGAGCTGATGAAGGTAGCTACCAAGCTCGAATTGGACAAGCTGGAAGTCGCGGCACGGCAGATGGTGCAGCCAAGGGCATGTCTGAACGTGGACTTTGAGGTCGCCTACGCTGACCCTGCGTTCTTCTTCGACGGGGACGTGGTCGTCCAGCTTGAGGATGAAGATGTGCGGGTACACAGCGCACTTGTCCGGTCTCGCTGCCCGTTCTTTGAGGGGCTGTTCATGGGTCATGCTGGTGGACGATGGCTTACCGGACGCACCGACGACGACATCACCGTGGACTTGAAGCATGTCAACTGGAAAACTTTCTCCATGGTCTTGAGACATATCTATGCAGACACCGGAGCCGAGATGTTCGATGACATCGTCAGCGTCAGTTTGGACGACTTTTTGGACACGATCATGGACGTTCTAAGTGTGGCGAACGAGCTCATGCTTGATAGGCTATCGCAGATCTGCCAGGAGGTCATCGGTCGCTTCGTCGATGTCCGCAACGTCTGCGGTCTGCTGAACGCCATCTCGCCTACCTCGGTGCATGAATTCAAAGATGCTGCACTCGAGTACCTGTGTCTAAGCTTGGAGTCGCTGCTGCAAGGCCATCACCTCAATGAATTGGACGAGGATCTGCTGGAAGAGCTGGACAATGTGGTGAGGGAGAATCAATTGGCTTGCATGCCTTTCGCGAAAAGTGGCCGGGCTGAGCTTCTGCTCCATGAACGCCATCCGGAGCTTGCTGGTACCATTGATCAAAACCGCCGGGCGAAGATCGATGCGATGGCTCTTCGAGCACGGCATGTGGGCTTGGACACCTTTTCACCCGGTTCGGTTGGCGATGAAGTCACTTCTCCCCTGACGCAGGCGAAGGCGCGGCAGAAGTCGGCCAGTCTACTTACTCCAGCGTCGCCGAAGCTGAAGGCTAAGGCGTCCACGAAGGACATGATGTTTGCAATGGACGACGAGTTCGACCCAGCTTCACGATCACCGGAGCAGTCGCCTTCCATTCGGCCAATGACTAAGACTCGGGCTCAGGATGCAATGGCGACCAGCTCACGGGAAGATACGTGGTATGATTCGCGTGGGCGTGTCATGCCTTCCCCAAAGATGGGCTCGCAGACAGCGTCTGGCCCTGAAACACCCCGATCGCCGCAGATGCCAGGTCGAACACCAACGAGCGGCGCGCAGCCGTGGAGACTAACGCCTTTGACTGCTCCTAAGACCGACATGAAGGACATCATGGCGCAGGCTGCGTCCACGAATCGAACGTCGACGCTTTCCCAAGGTCTGGCGAGGTCAGATAGTGTAGACGTTCCGTCGCCGTTTAGCCTGCCAGCACCAAAGATGTCGCAGAAGGATCGTAAGCGGCTGCAGCATTCTCAGCAGTCCGAGGGTGCAGTCCCGCAAGTCGAATCGAAGCCGCAACCGGCTGCTACGAAGACTCCAGCAGCGTGGCAGCCTGTGGGCGCCCAGAAGCCGGCTACGTTGAAAGAGATCATGAGTGGGCCTAGCAGCAGCAGTCCTACGAACAAGCCGCCTGCTGCACGAGCGGCGAGCACGCCACAACTTACCATGCGCCAGACCGTCGCGAATGCTAAGACGTCCAGCCAGAGCGGCAAGCCAGCGATAGGCCCAAGTGGTCAACCTAACATTCAGCACCGCAGCATCTCCGAGTCCAAGCAGCCCGCCACCGCCTCTCCAGAGTCCACCCCCCCGCCACAAGTCACCCACCACTCGAACAGCAAGCCCATCCCGCAATCGATCAGGCACCAACCGCCCCCCGAGCCTATACTTGGCCTCTCGATGTCCGAGATCGTCGCGCAGCAGCAACTCGAAAAGGACGTGGTCAAGGAAGCTGTGGCGCCTCGGGATCTGAACGACATCCAGGCTGAGCAGGAGTTCGAGGAATGGTGGAGTAGGGAGAGCGCGAGAGTGCAGGAAGCGGAGAAGAAGGAGGCTGAGGGGAAAGGCAGAGCGCCCAAGAAGGGGAGGCATAGGGGTAGGAAGGGTGGGAAGGGGGCGAAGGGGGAGGGGGGTGCTGCTGCTGGTTGAGGGTAGAACAGGACCTCAGCATATAGAGATGCATTATGGCGGAGTATACTTTAGACGTGTGTACATATGAGTGTATTAGCATATTCACTGAAGGTATTCCTGGACTGGGTTGTTACGAGGTGAAGTCTCACGCCTCCTACCAACGGCTCGGCCGCCATTGGCCGCCGGCACTTGCCCCACTAACGGCGGCAGTCGGGCCAGCAATGCTCGGAACGCTCCTTCCACACGAGCTTCACCGGCAGCACGCACCTGCCCAACGCATTGTGCGTTACACATGAGGTCAGCGATCACGCGAGTGTGAGACAGCCGTTGACTTGCCACGAGTCTGTCGTCCACGCGCATCGCATCTGACCGACTCCAATGGGCCCCAGTCAATAACCCGCCGACACCCCCCATCAACAAACCCCCATCTCCTCTCCACTCTTTCCGCTGCAGCGACCCTATCCCACCTGCATCCACCGCCACCATGCCGGGCACCCCCTCCACCCAGTCCGGCGGCGGCCCACAGCGCGCCCCACTGATGCGCCGCGAAAGCAGCCAGACGTCGCACAGCTCGAGAAACAACGTCGCATCCCCCGGCTCCGGCGAGCACCCCCTCCGCGGCCACGCCGTCAAGCCCGCCGCGCGCCACAAAGGCGTCATCCTCCCGCGCAACCACTCCAGCGCCCGCAACCTCCAGAAGCTAAATCGCCCGGCGCAAGCGCATCATCACGCCGCCGAGGAAGGGCGCAGGAGGCAGCGGTCGCATGAGGGGGATACGGAGATACGGCTACCGGGGAGTCTGGACGAGAGCAGGCCGCCGCCGATGAGGAGGAATATGACGGCGTATCAGTTACCGAGGAACACGTCGCATTCGAAGTTGAAGAAGAACCTGTCGCATGGGCAGCTCACGCGATTAGGGTCGACGAAGAATCTCGCCGGGTTGACGGCAAAGGGACCGCCGTCGCCGGGTTTGAAGGCGAGGAAGAAGAGGCCTAAGTCGGAGGACTTTAGCCATATGGAGAAGGACTTGCATGAGCAGGAGGTCGAGCTTGCGCGGCAGCGGCATGAGCGGAAGGGGAGTGGTGGGAAGAAAGTTGGGTTCGCGGTGGGGAGTGACGAAGGTGATAGCGAAGGGGAGGGTTTGACTGAGCAGATGGAGGGCAGTGGGCTGCAGGAGGACGACTGGACCGATCAGAGCGCCAGCGCGAGTCCGTATAGCACGAGGCAGAACACGGCGAACAATTCGAGGAGAACGAGCATGATTCTGGATAAGCCGCCTGATAAGGCGCATTCGCCGTTGAAGGCGGTCACGAATCAAAAGGAGAGAGAGGAGAGCACGTATACGGAGTCAGGTCTGGCGACGGAATCGAGACCGGGCTTGCAGCAGGGCGAGGTATTGGAGCAGAATGGAGCGAGCGAGAGTAAACCTGCGAATGGGGTGGAGGATGACGAGGAAGATGAGGACGAGGATGATGAAGAAGATGCTGACAAGGACAGCGAAGACGAAGACGAAGACGAGGAGGAAGACGACCCGCCGAGCCCACGAAGCATGCCACAGGTGATGAAGCGAGGTGAGGTTCCAGCAGAGACCTCACCTCCCGTCCCAGAAAGTGCAAAAGTCATGCAGAGGTCACCTCTACACGCCGCGAAAGATCACCCCAGTCCCGCGACGCAACGCATACTAAGTCGAGGCCCATCGCATAATCCAGCGCCAGCTCTTGTTAGCAACGTCAGTGCGATGGATGTTGCGCATAGCACTCAGCCTTCACCCGCACCGTCTATGAGATCGTCGAGATCAAATATCGGCGAAGGCAGCGTCGAGCAAGACTCTGGGGAGTTGGTCTCACGCTTCCTTCCCAGTGCTTCTCACCCATCCACCGGAAGTGGTGGCAATACGGCCATGAATACACCAAAGACCAGCAACTTCCACACACCTGAGAACGAAAGCGTTCTCTCCTCCCAACAACTCGATGGATCACGCTCTCGACTTCACCTCGGCGCCATAAGCCCCGGTTCCTACTCCGGCTCCTCTGGCGCAGCGACGCCCTCAACAGCCCGGTCCCGCACCGAACTCCGCATGATGAACGACAAAGCCATGGCCGACCGTGAGGACCAAGCCCGCCTCAACCCCGTCATCCCCGCCCACGTCTTCGACCGGCGCAACGAAACCCTCAAATGGCAGAACGTCGAAGATGGCCCTGCAGCCAACACCGCGCCCATGACCCCGGACCTCTTCCAGGGCCGCTTCAAAGCCATCAACACCGAGTTGAAAGTCGTCCAGCGCTTCCGTGACCCCATCGCCGAATCCATGGCTCGTCTGAAACACCAGCAAGGCGCGCGCTTCGCACAGCTCCGCGGGCACAAGCCTGCCTCACAAGCCCAGCAGACGCCTTCAGCACAGATGGCGATCAATCGCTCTGCATCCCAGCGCGCGAAGGGAAAGCAGCCTCAATCAAGCAATCTCTCCACCTCAGCATCCCCGCCCAAATATTCCACCAGCCCCGCTAAGCCGGCGCTCGCAGGGTCGAAGAGCACGACGCAGTTGCCGCGGAAGGCGGAGGCGAGACGTGGTAGAGTCACGTTTTCGGAGACGCCGCCGGAGGTCGGGGAGGCTGCGGAGAGGGATGCGGGGATGGGGGCGGATGCGGTAGCGAGGGCGATGTGGGGGGCGTTGTACGCATCGACAGAGGGGTGAAAGGTATGGTATGGTGTGTTTCTTACTCTTCTTGCGTGTTGTTTTTGTGGCATGGTATGGCATAACTGGCAGTGGGTTGCACTTGGGATGGCATGGGTTAGCGTGGAGTTCTGGATCCTATGGTCTTGGGCGCTCTTGATGGGTTGGAGGCAGGCATCGTGAGACCGTACAGATGCGAGTTTTTGGTGTGTCCGTTGGGGCCATTGGTCCTTGCTTGGTCCGCGGTGGGATTCTACATTGTGACGGCCGTTCTGGCGGCACCATCGCTTTTAGCCGCAGAGGCGACGGGGACAAACTCATTGTGCTCTGCACACCAAATTTCAGGGAATTTCAGCTGCTGCGTTCTCCTGTTGCCGTTGCGGTATGACGCCTTTGGTAGGGCACTAGGTAGCAGGTAGCAGCCAACAGAGCTAATCCTCTCGAGAAGATTAAACGAGCCTGTCCGCTGAGCATCTTCACGTGTCAGCCCGGGATGACGTCGGGATCGCAAGCTCCTACGCCTTACGCCTTAGGAGGTGCACTGACGTACAACGTCTTGTATAGCTCAACAAGCACCAACATGTAGGGCGCACTGAATAGGCAGAGTGACATAGCTCGAGCTTCTCATCAAAACGAATGAACGGAAGGGCGTACACCTCGACCTATATAACAAGACAACGGTCCTTCGTCGTCGAGATGGCTAACGCTATCCACCACCCACTGCCGCCATCCCTAGGATAAAATTACAGGATCATGCAAAACTACAAAGTCACCCACCTGTCCCCCGGGCAGACCTTCACCAGACCTGCCGTCCTCGTGAACCCACTGCTCAACAAAGAACGGGAATGGCCATTCCGCGACCTCTCGCACGTTGAAGCCTTCCACAAGACTCTGCCAGACTACAACCAGACACGGCTTCATAGTCTTCCCTCTTTGGCCGCAGAGCTAGGCATAGGCAACGTCTTTCTTAAAGACGAGTCGAACCGCTTCGGACTGCCGGCATTCAAGGTCCTGGGAGCTTCTTGGGCGGTACACAAGGCGGTCTGCCAGAAGATCGATATCGATCCCGAGAATACGTCTGTCACGGAGGCCACCGATATTCTGGAGCGAGATGGGACCAAAATCGAGCTCATCACCTGCACAGCCGGAAATTGGGGCAGAGCAGTCGCTCGCATAGCCCACTACCTCCGCGTGAAAGCACGAGTCTACGTACCAGGCTACACCAGCGAATCGACCAAAGACGCGATCTCCAACGAAGGCGCAGAACTGGTGGTGGATTCGGGCAGCACCTACGACGAAGCACTCACATCCGCGCAGCGAGACGCTGAAGCCTCTGGCGCTCTGCTGGTTCAGGATGTTAGCTGGGAAGGCTATGAAGATATCCCTGCATGGGCGTGTCAGGGCTACGATACCATGCTTCAGGAAGCTGATCGGCAGGCCTCCGATGCTACGGGAGGGAAGAAGCCGAATGTTGTCATTGCATCTGTTGGCGGCGGATTGTGGGCACAAGCCGTGGTGGCGCACTACAAAGGCGTTGATACGAGTAACATCATCGTCACAGCAGAAGCAGACACAGCCACCGGGTTCAAAGAGTCCCTGCACTGCGGCGAGAACACGGGCGTGCAGAGCGGCGTGACGATCATGGAGGGCATGAACTCTGGGTTGACGATCGAGTCGGTATGGCCCACGCTACGGGATGGGACGGATGTTGCGGTGGCGGTGACGGATCGGGAGGCGCATGAGAGTGTCGAGTTCCTTCAAGGGCAGGGAATCAATGCTGGGCCTTGTGGCGGGGCGACGCTGGCGGCGCTGAGGAAGGCGGTGGAGGCCGAGGCGGTGGGGGAGAGGGGCCAGATGGTTGTGGTGTTATTTAGTACGGAGGGAGGGAGGGAGTATGAGGTACCTTCTTGAGAGACATTCTCGCATGTCAGAAATGTATTGTTATACAGCTTCCAGCACCGTTTTAGCACACTGACGATTCCTCTAGGAGTTAGAGGATTGAACGTTTACTGTAGGAAGATGAAGGCTTCCTTGCCTAATTTCGCCGTTGACATGGCCGTTGCTGTACTTCTCGACCTCGACACTGTGATGTGTCTGAGCACGAACTGCCGTCAACCGCGGCTCTTCATCACGTCGCGGTTCGCGTGCTTGTCGTGATTCGTAAATTGTATTAAATCTCCGAACAAGCGTCTGGAGAGAGTCTGGAGAAGCGTGGTGACGCACGGATCATTGTAACCTTGTTGGGCGCCAACAGGGACACAATCTCACGATAGCGCTAGTTTAAATTGCTTTGACTTCAGGGACGACGGGGAGTTGCTTCAGCACGATGGGGTCGGAACGAATGCATCGTGTGGTAGAGGCAGGACATCGTAGTAGACGTTGCGACGCAAGAAGTAGAATCAATTGTCGAGGCCTCGTTCCAGCAGTCCGGGCTTGTTGTCACGACAGTCAGGACTGCAGACGCAATTTTATTTCCTGAGCACCAAGCCGCCCAATCCCCAAGGCGATTGGATGTGCGCGCCAATGACACAATTTGCGCCGGGTATTGATTGAAGGCAGCCCGCATGATGATGATGATGATAAGGTGCGAGGTGTCGCCTTCCTGAGTGACCTTCTGGTTCTTCTTTGCTGAGAGAACGTTTGACGACGACAGCGACAACGACTTTCCACCGACCAACTCGGAACCACAGTCTTTTACCAGCACACACGGCTACACAGTCTCCACCGTCCTTACCACCTTGTCGTCGCACTCCTGACTTCACGAGGGACCTGTCGCACCGCAACCATATCTGAAACGACCAAGCGCTTGCATCCAACACGTTTCACCAGGATCGCAACACGACATCTTCAAGCGCGACTCAGGCTTCAACTGTCCCGCCATCGACTTGACCCTTCGATCAGCTCGTCGCATACCACGCCATCCGACTTTTCGCATTCGACCATCGACGTTGTTGGCATCAACACATCTACATTCCAACCCACCGTCATCTTGCAGCGACCCAGCTGTCTGGCACGATCCATTCTCCACCCACGACTGCTTCTAGAACGCCATCGCAAATGCGGCTCTCGACCATCCTCGCGCCGGCGCTCGCCGCTTCTTTCGCGATCGCAGAGACTCTCCCCACCACCTACACCATCACGCGCACCGTCGAGCGCGTCGTGCAGACGACATGGGCGACTTCCACTCCGCCGGCCTCATCTTCGACGTCGGAGACATGGGCCGCTCCGGTGTCTTCGTCTTCTTTCTCATCGCACGCTAGCGCCGTCAGCAGCTATGCGTACGGCAACAGCACCACTGCCGCAACTGGCGCCACTGGAACAGGCGCGACTGAAACAGGCGTATGGTCGAGCGCAAGCATCAGCCCAACCGGTACATCGCCAGTACCCGTAGCGACGGGCGCAGCAGCCAGATTCGCAGTCGACAGCGTCGGCTTTGCTGCTGTGCTCGGGCTCGTGGGGCTGGTGGCGTTCTGATCGCACCCTGAAGAACTTCTTCACTTCACCTTGATACCCCCTTTATCCTCGAAGTCGACCGCATGCTGCTCGCCGGACGATTGAGCTGGGAAATGCGACCTGCGGCTTCGAGAGCTTCTTGCTTCCACACGGTTTGATGATGATGTGTTTGCTATGCGGTCATGTATTTAGTCTTGACAAACGATGGAGTTTTTCGATGGAGGAGTGGGCTTCTGAGACTTTCGTGACGAGAGCAGAGGAGATACCCTTTTTTTGTATACTTATCGCTAGGAGGTACAAGACCGGGATACTTCTCCCTGTTCCACTCATATCTCGCTGTCCTTCTCCCGGCTTGGAATGTCCATACTTGAAAGCGCGGCCGCAGTGGCAAGCGCCTACTCGCCCAGCGTGACCATCTTGACGCTATCAGCTGCGTGGTCTAGACTTCGTAGAAAGAAACATGAATCATGAGGATATCGCTGTTCGTCGAGCTACGAGAAGCTGATTATTGGTGGAAGAACAAACTTCCGTCCGGATCGCACTTACCCGAGCTCTAAACTGACCTCCGTCCACCAAACCTTGTATCGCCAGCGAACCTGGTTACTCCGTCTGGACAGAACAGCAGAAGATGCCCCGGCTCGTGCCTGCCGACATGCTGCCCAGGCCCAGCTACTGGAGATTCTCCGCGAAATCTCTCCAGTCTCCACATGGGCCCGCCGCGTGCAAACAGCATGGATCCCCTTCGTTGTCACGAGGGCTGGAAATGGCTTAAAGTCTAAGGTTAAAAGAAAACTGATATAAGATGGTACAGAGCCCCATGCATGGTAGGTCAAGCATCTCTGTGCTGTCCAATTTCTACCTCCTCCACCATGGCGCTCCCACCAAAGTGGTACCAATTCCTTGTCTGTGTCTTTGCCTCTCTAGGCTCCTCCCTCTATGGCTACGATCTCGGTGTCATTGCTGGCGCTGTCAACAGCAAGAATTTCGGCCGAATATTCAGTCCTGACCCGAATGAACTTGGAGCCGTCGTCTCCGTCTTTACGGGCGGAGCCTTCTTTGGTGCTGCGTATGCAGGGCCCATGGCCGATTGGCTTGGGAGGAAGAAGACGATCTTGGTCGGAAGTGTTGTATTCATCGTGGGCGGCGGACTGCAGACTGGCGCGCAGAGCTTGGCCTATCTATATTCTGGAAGAGGTATGTCGGGATTCCGAGGCAGAAGGAGGATCAAGTGCTGACACGAAGCAACAGCCATCGCAGGCCTCGGAGTCGGTGCGTTGGTCATGATCATCCCGCCATATCAAGCAGAGCTCTGCCATCCGGACATCCGAGGACGTGTCACTGGTCTGCAACAATTCATGCTTGGCGTGGGTGCTCTCATCGCTTCTTGGGTCTCGTACGGGGCATACACGGGCTTCGACAACGACGACAGCAACCAGTGGAGGGTCAGTCTCGGAATTCAGATCATTCCAGCTGGCTTCCTCGCGCTTCTCATCATGTTCTTCCCGGAAAGTCCAAGGTGAGAACTCTACGCATCAAGATGGTAGACTACATACTGACAGCTTCACCAACAGATGGCTCATTGACCACGGGAGGGTTGAGGAAGGCCTTCGCACTCTGGCCAAGCTTCACGCCAACGGCAACGAGCAGGATCCTTGGGTGCAAGCCGAGTTCCAGCAAATCCAGGACATGATCACCTTCGAGCACGAGCACGAAGCCAAGTCGATCGTCGAGCTGTTCACCAACAAGAGCTCCTTCCGACGATTGTTCCTCGCCTGTTCGATCCAAGCCAGTGTCCAGATGACCGGCGTGTCCGCTATCCAGTACTACAGCCCGGTCATCTTCGGCCAAATCGGTATTCCTGGCGACAAGGCGTTGCAGTACCAAGCCATCTCCTCGGTCATTGGTAAGTAACAACGCGTCCAACAATTCCTTACCATCTACAAACAGCTAACAAGATGGCGATAGCGCTGATTGCGCAATTCCTCTGCATCCTCTTCGTCGACTACGTCGGCCGCCGCTGGCTGATGATCGGAGGCAATCTTGGCAACTGCCTGACCTTCATCATCGCGACCATTTTGCTCGCAAAGTTCCCGCCGGGCGTTGCAAACAATACTGCAGCATCGTGGGGTAAGAGACTAATGGGCAGAACCCTGCTATGTCTGACACAGTCGCTAACCCTGAACGCAGGCTTTATCATAGTTACATGGATCTACAACTTCTCGTTCTCTGTGTCCAACGGGCCTCTTTCGTGTAAGTACAGGGAGAGGGGGACCGACTACTTGGACGAACTCGCGCGACTGACAACGCCGTAGGGATCGTACCAGCCGAGATCTTCGACACACGCACGCGGTCAATGGGTGTCTGTATTGCTACGATGACCTCGTTTGCTTTCAACACTATGATCGGGCAGGTCACCCCCATTGCCATCGAAAACCTTGGCTACAAGTACTACTATCTCTTCGTACGTATCCTCCCCTGCACGACAACGAGCACGTATCGCTGACTTAACGACCAGATCATCTGCAACTTCACGAACGCACTGTTCTTCTGGGCCATCCAGCCAGAGACGAAGAAGCGGCCGCTCGAGGAGATGAACTACTTGTTTACCAACGCACCTATTTTCGTGCCCACGATGAATATGAAGAACTTCGAGCAGCATGATCTTGAGCATAGAGTCGCTGAGGTGGAGCGCAAGGGGAGTGTGACGAGCCATACTACTGAAGTGTGATGGCTCTGACCGGATGAGGTGGACAAGGTTGCCTGTACAACTGGATTGGGAAGCAGCAGGTACAACTATCAACGTACTCGTACAATACTATACAACCCCATCTAGCAGAGAGCTATCTACTCATAAAAACACGCCTCAGGCTTGTGAACACATATCTTCCCGCTCGAGTTAGATTTCAACACCAATCTCGGATCCTTCTCGCTCGCCTTGATCGTCTTACCCTCGACCTCCTTCTCCTTCATCAAGATCTCTTCCACACTCCCGTCAACGTATCCGGGCATCGCTTTCCAGGTCACCTGCTGGCCTTCCTTGGGCAAGCGGTCTGCGGAGCCACGAGGCGCGGGTTCTTCGGCGTTCATGTGTTTGGAGCCGACTTTGCCTGGGGGTGCGTTGCCGCCGTTCTTGTTCGAAGAGGTCTGCTTTTGCTTCTTGTTGGAAGATGGACCGTTGGAAGTCTGCTTGCGCTTTTGGCCGGCGGAGGGTTTCGAATCCTCTTCGTCCTGCTCGGCATCGTCTTCGCCCTCATCTTCCTGGTCATCATCTTCTTCCTCGCCATCGTCGTCCTCACCGTCCCCGTTGGGATCCTGGTATTCCTCCTCGCTGTCGTCTGCCTCGGCGGCATCATCACCCTCACCCTCTTCCTCTTCGTCCTCCTCGTCTCCATTCTGCTGCTGCTCCTTTGCCTTCTTCTCCTCATACTTCTCACTCTCCTCCTCATTAGCCTTCTTCCGACTTTGCTTCGCCTTCCCCGTATTCTGCACAAACTGCTTGCCCTCCTTGGACTCTTCTTGCTTCTTCTCATCCGTCTCCTCCTTCTCCTTCTCACTCATATTCTCCCAGGCTTTCTTCGGGAGGTACCGCTTCTCCGTTCCATCTTCCTGCTTCGCATTGCCGGAACCTTCTTTGGTCTGCCATTCCTCTTCCGACCACTTGGAGAGATTCTTTTGCGATTCGTCCTGCTGGGACTTGTCGGTGTTGTAGCTGCCGCCGCGCTTCTTGTATTCTTGGGCCATCATCTGAGCCTGTAAATCGGATTAGTCGACGGACTTCGGTATGGCTCGAGAGGACGGCGAACCTTGCGCGCAGACCATTGCCCTGGAGCGCCGCCTTTGTCGCTCTCTTGGATCTCCTCCTTGACCTGGTCGCGGAGCTCTGGGTCGGTGTACTTGTCCTTCGGAGGCATGATGATCTTAGGGCTTCTCGTGCTTCAAGAGAAAAAGAAAGTGATCGAGCAGGATACTCTTGACAGTACAACAGACGACAGTATTGAAGTGTTGCTAGGCACGAGCAGTCAATGGGGCGTTAAAAGGACTGAAAGTCCTACCTTGAGCCTACATGTGTGAAGCAGTTCCGAACCAGACCCCAGCCATCCCCGTCATTGACTTGCACTCAGAGGACAAGAATGTCGCACGCATCATTGACATCACCATCGTGGTGGGAGAGGAGTCGAGAGGATGGAGATTGAGTTCAGATGGCAGATCTCCGATCTGCAGGAACGATCGTGGAAGACCAATGACAGCACAGCATTCGAGGTCTTTCAGTGGACACAACGAGAGTACTTGGATACCACAGATTGCTTGTCGTCATATCGACCGCAAGAGAAAGATACAATCATCGAACCATTAGAAAGCACCACTTCTCTCCCTACCCAGATCGCTCTCCGCAGCCTTTCTCAGAACTTCCACAAGCTCAATTTGACCTCTAGCAACCCCCTCTTCCTGTACCATCTCCTTCGCGATAAGTCCGCCGGGAAGACAAGCCGCTGTCATCTCCGCGAGCTCGTCCGCATACTGTGCAGGCACGTGCTGACCGAAGAAAGCCGGAAGTTGGTCAGGCTTGATGGCATTGATCTTGACCTTCTTTCCAGTGACTTCTTGGAGTGCCGACTGAACGTCGAGGGCGCTGTAATCACGCGGACCACGCAGGTTGACGCTGTATGGGCTTGATGGTAAGGAGTTACCGGTGTCTAGCAGCTGTTGTGCGCAGACCTTGCCGATGTCGTCGAGGCTAACCTAGGAGACAGTCAGTGTTCCGCATGACAGATGCTTGGAAGACTAAAGAGCTTACCACCGCGATCTCATGATCGTCTGGCGTGATATAGGAATCAAAGTACGGCGTGTCCGCTTTCGCCGTGTCCAAAGCAGAAACCCAAGTCTCCATGAAGAAGCCCGGCTTGACAACGACAACCTCAGCCGCGCTAGTCTTCAACGTCTCGTCCGTGACATGGTTGATCGACAAGATGCCAACGCCTTTGTCATTCTGTGCTCCCATCGCGGACAGAAGAACTATCCTCTTGACCCCAGACGCTGTCTCAAGTGCAGCTTTGACGTTGTTCGCTGCGTTGCGGCCAAACTCCGATGAGTCCGTGCCATCATAGGTCGGAGGCGGAATATAGAAGACCGCATCAGAAGTGCTAAAGTCCAGTCCAGTGCCACTGGAGACATCACCCTTCACGGCCTTGAAGTCGGCATGGCTCGTGAACTCTGATGGAGCCTTCGAGACGTCCCGATACACGGCCTGGATGAGCGGCGGCTCTCCCTCCGCGAGCAAAGACCTAATGGTTTCCCGGCCGGCTTGCGTAGACGCTGGAAGGACGGTGATCTGGAGAGGCATCTTGTGAAGGATTTTGAGAAAGGTATGAGGACAAGAAGAATGGACTGGGAGCATGGGAAGTAAATTGTGACTGTCTTACCGTTCGACAAGGTCTTCGCAGGCATGCTTATACTCGTCGGCATGCTTTTGCCTGGCTCTCTAACGGAGTTACAGACACGTTTCGAATCTTTCTGTTTACATCAGCAGAGGAAGGCAACAGGTCTTTTGTCTTGGTCGGGGGAGGAAGAAGAGAAGTTTAACCTGGAAAATGTATACCAAGCCATTGGCGATGTGTATTTGCGGCGTTCGGGGTTCGGCGTTGTGTTCAGCTGCCTCGCTGGCTTTCGGGATGGAAATCTTGTGCAATTTAAGGTAATGACCTTTTACTTCACGTCCATCAGAATGCTCTTGCTACAACAGCCATATGGGACAGGAGTGTCGAATGTTCACCAATGCATCCGCTATCTGTTGATGGCAAGCCGCCTTTGCTCAACGGACGCGCAACTCGAGGTTGCGACTTCTGCAGGTAAGCATCACACCACCTCAGCCCATCTACGTACCCGCTCCTGCCGCTCAAGCAGAAAGACTGCTCAGCCCATGCTGAATGGACGTGCTGGTCTGCGACGATCAAGATCCTTTTTCAGGCGTTCGACGCTGAAAGACCACGGGCCGTCCAAGTCTTCAGAAACCGAGCGAGCAGTACCGTCTTCTGGAGCACGACAGGACGGTTCAGATACCGTCAAGTGCGGTTGTATGGCACTGCATCGCTCGTGGCGAGCTGATGGCTGAAACACATCAGCTGAGAAGAGACTGCCTGCCTGTTGCATTTTGCACAGAGACCCAGACGCAGGCGTGAGCTAAGGCTCCAATGGCATTTGAGCACTCTACAGGATGTCTGATGCGGAAGAAGAGAAATCACCTGATCTTGAAGTCGTCTTCCGGAGCTCGAGTCTGCAAAGGATACGTTTCTCGTCCATGGCTGACAGCTACCAAACGACAGCCCAGCCCCATTGTGCTGTGGCAGGCTGTGGCAGGCTGTGGCAGAGACAAATCGTTTCTATGGCGTGAGAAGACACGTACTTGCCTCACACCCACAAACTGTCAGCCGTGCAAGCTGAGACTCCTGTTCGCTGCAGCATGGTCCGGTAAGTACCCCCTCTCCAGCTATAAGTCATGCGATTATTCTTCGAACACATACATCTCCTCTTCTCTCTTCTCTTTTGCGGTGTTACTTTCGCAACACATCGTGCTATGTGCCATGGCCACCATACAAAACTTTAGCGGCCTTCAGTACCCTAACTCGAAGGACCCTCTCCTTCAGCAGGCCTGGCGCAACAATAACTACCAATACGCCACCTCCACTCATCAAATTGACCATGATATGCATCCCGGACTGATTCTCCAACCGAAGAATGAACAAGACATCATCACTGCTGTTCGGTACGCAGAGGAGAAGAAACTAGCCATTGCCATTGCAAGCGGTGGCCACCAGTACAGTGGAGCATGCTCTACCTCCGGCTCAAACATCCTTCTCGACCTCAAGAAGACTTTCCTGGACCCGAAGAACGACTTGCGCATCTTGCATAGGGAAGAGGTCCAGCAGATGGTGCAGCGTGTGATCAAGGACCCAGAAATCCAGCAGACGAAGAACGACAAGACCTTCGTCAATGCGAGCGTCAGTTGGAACTTGGGATCGTTCAATGGCTTCCTGAAGCAAAACAAGTTGTTCGTTCCGCACGGCCAATGCACCGATGTGCGTGTCGGCGGACACGCTCAGACTGGCGGGTATGGCCAGCTCGGTAGGAGCTTCGGGCTGTTTGGTGATCATATCTGGGAGATCAGACTGGTCGACCACAATGCAGAGATCAAGGTAGTCGACAAGGCGTCAGATCCCGAGCTCTTCTGGGCAATCTTAGGGGGCAGTCCGGGAAACTTTGGTGTCATTACTCACTACACTATTGAGGTACACCGTGAGTACATCGTAGATTACCACACTTCTTCCGACAGCGACTAACGTGTCCAGGTGATTCCGAGTACGACTTCATCGGTGCCGACGGCCCACGAGGCATCAAAGCTGTCTGGTAAGCCCAAACACTCAAAGCCACCTCACACCGTACGAAACACCAGCTGACCCTTCCACAGGTGGTACAACCAATCAACCGTCGAAGCCCTCCTCGACAAAGTCGCCGAAATGGCCGACACCCCCGACTTCCCACGCAACTACGACCTCTGCGTCAGCGTCCTAAGCTCCGACTTCCCCCTCCTCCACCTCGTCCCCGAGCTCGACGGCATCATGAAGCGCGACCACCCGGACATCTTCGGCTACGACGGCATGCCGTCCTGGCCACCCTGCATCATCCTCTACGCGCAATGGGCGCCGCTCGCGGAGAATGACCGCTATGACCCGAAATGGTTCGCCGACTTGGCGAATGCCGGGAAATGGCGACTGCACATCGATGAGTTCGGCAAGGACACGCCGAAGCGCATGTCGGAGATGACGGGCGAGTGGATTTTCAGGGACATCAGGGAGTTCGACCATCCGTATGAGAAGAGGTCGTACTTGACCAACAGCACTACTTTAGGACGGGATGGCTGGGTGAAGCAAGTCTCCGACCGCATTGACGAGATTCTCCGCCCGTCGTTCAAGGAGGAGTTCTTGCAGTGCTGGCTTTCGTGTCAAATTCAGTGTTTTGGTGGGGAAAAGTCGATGTTCTGCCGGAACGCGGATAACGGGACGAGCTACAGTTGGCGCGACTCGACGGTGTGCTGCGTGCTGGATTGTTTTGTGGAGTCGTCGTATAAGCACGTGGCGGAGAAGTGGCAGGAGGAAAATGATAGGGTTATGAATGGGCCGCAGGGGTGTTTTAGCAGGCAGGATCGAAGAGTGCTTTGGGGTTCATACGGGGAGTTTGATCTTCACAAGGCTAGGAGGTATTATTATGAAGATGACGCGAAGTATGAGAGGCTGCAGAAGGTAAGGGCGAGGGCGGATCCGGACGGGACGTTTACGGCGAATACATTTGCTGTGAGGCGGGCCGGCACTTGAGCATGTTCGGGGTGGAGGGAAAATGCCATCATGTACTGCATCGTGAAGTCGTATGGACAGTCCGCCGAGCTCCACGAACTCTCTAAAATCATGATATGACCGAAGCCACCTACCCTATGCATTCATCTAACCCATCAATGCCATGTCATACAGACAACTCCCATACTCTGCCATCAGCTCCACCTACGTCCCATCCTGCACCTGACTCGGATCCGTGATCAATTTCGTAATCTTGCCAATCGCAATCGTCTGCCCCTGATCTCTCAACGTAAACCGACCCAACTGCGGGTAATCCTCGAACCTCTCGACGCAAACACTTCCCGCCCCACCGGTCACCTCCAGCCTTGCGATGATGTTCATGCCTTGCTTCGCGAAACCAGGCGGCTTCTTCGATTTGCGGTTCGTCTTGGGCTCCAGCTTGTGTAACAGCGAGGCGAAAGTGACCTCCTCCGTTGCAGAGTGGATGTGGAGCACGCAGTTGAAGCCGGCGGAGAGGATACTCTTCAGCTCGAGCAGACGGATCTGAGCTTCGAAAGCTGCGACGCAGTGGACAGGTCGCTTTGGGGAGCAGAGTACGAATCCGGGGTAGATGTCTTCTTCTTCAACACCCTTGATGCGGATACGGACTTGTTCGCCGCAAGTGGCGTGAGGAATTTCGTCTTCAGTCTCGCCGTAAAGGGCGGAGATGGAGATTTCGGCTTTGTTGGGCATCATTAGGTATTTGTTCTCCTTCTTGATGACGCCGGCTTCGACTTTGCCTTCGATGAGAGTGCCCATGTCGCGATACTTGGCGGCGATGGGCATCATGAAGGGGGCGTTGAGCTTGCGCTCGAGTGTCTGCATGGAATCGAGGTATTCGAGGAGAGCTGGTGCGTCTGCCCACGCGGCCACGTCCTTTGGTACTCGCTCCTTGATGCCGAGAGTCTGTTGAGCGGCGATGGGCATGAAGACAAGGTCGGTCTTGGGGTTGTAGCCGAGACCCTTCAAGAACTGGGTGAGCTTGCTGGTACATTCCTTGTACCGGTCTTCGGACCATTCGACGGTAGGATCATCCATTTTGTTGACCACGACCACAAGCTTGTTCACGCCTTGGGTCTTGGCTAACATGGCGTGCTCTCGTGTCTGACCGCCCTTCTCGAAACCAGTCTCGTACTCGCCTTTTCTAGCAGAAATGACCAAGATACCCACATCAGCCTGTGAAGCGCCTTGTACCATGTTTGGTACGTAGTTCTTGTGGCCTGGTGCGTCCAGAATGGAGTATCGACGTTTCTCGGTCTCGAAGAATCCTCTGCCAACCTCGACAGTGATACCCTTTGATCGCTCCTCCTTAGTCTGATCCAGCGCCCATGAAAGGTACCATGACTCTCGTCCAAGATCTTTGGCTTCCCGCTTGTACTTCTCCATTGTCCGCTCGTCCACCATGCCAGTAGCATATAGAATACTGCCACCCAGTGTACTCTTACCAGCATCAACGTGCCCCAGAAAGATGACATTGACATGCTCCTTCCCGTACAGCTCAGACAACGCCTCCTCATCGACCTCCTTCTCTTGCTCTTTGGCTACCAGGTCTGCTTTTCGCTGCTCGAATTTAGCATCTGCCCGGGATGGCGATGATCGTCCAGATGCCGTGGGAGAAGTGTTTCCACTCTTTTCCGTAGCGGGCGCAGATTCGCCCGTCTTTTCGATTGCTTTGGCAGCAGTCACCTTCTTGCCGCCAGTGGGCTCGGCGGGCTTGGATTCCTCCTTCGGCTTTGCTGCAGGTGGTGTAGATGCGCCCAGGGAGAGTACCTTTGCGCCGCCAGCAGACTTTTCGACCTTCGGCGCGGCTGCTCCTGTGTCTGATGCGCTGAGTGAGAGCGTCTTCACGGGTGCCGCTCCACCCGCACTCTTTACCGGCGCAGGCTTTGGTGCTTGGGCTGCTGGCTGCTGCTGTGTCTGGTTCGCACTCGGCAATGCTTCCCCTCGTTTGGCAATCATTGGGGTCTGCCGTTGGTGTGGAGGGACATACGAATGCTGCTGTGGTTGCTGAGGCTGCTGATATTGCTGCTGGCCATATTGCTGGTATTGCTGATATCCAGGCTGCTGTCCGTAGCCGTACTGCTGGTATTGCCCATAACCTTGCTGACCGTATTGCTGCTGATATCCATTGTACTGTTGCCCATAGCCATACTGCTGGAATTGCTGTCCAGGTTGGAATGTCTGAGCACCGGGTTGGAAGCTCTGTGCGCCTGGCTGGAAGCTGTTGCCGCCCTGGAAGTTCATCTGCCGTTGGGTCTGGTTGGCGAGGTCTTCGTCCCTCATCTCATCCTCCCACGAGTCGGGCTGTCCGTTGGCCATGATTACGAGTCAATCTTCGTCGTCCAGCAAGGGTAGTGCGTGCCGCTCGTGGGCTACTCGGTACTTGACACCGCCTCTTGTCGGCGCGGTGGCCGATGTCTTAGCAGATCTTTCTGAGCTGTGGTGTTGCACCGTGGACGAGGTTGTATTCCGGCGTGATGAAGAGTTGGAGTCGTCGAAGCTGTTGAGGTAGTCGAAGTGAATGTTGGACATTTTTGGCGGCGAAAACGAGGGATGTGGGGTGGTGTGGCGCTGTGGCTGAATCACGTGCTCACCTGTTCTTTTCGCGCTTCTTCTTGCAAACGAAAAACATTCACCGATAGGCAGCTACAGGGAACTTCTTATGCTTCCTGTACCTCTACGGTGTGACTCAACAACACCATGAGGTCTTTCTTCTCCGACATTCCTCCTCGACCCGACTCACATCACAACATATGAGTCGAGCTCGATCCCCAGGCACGAACAGTCCGGGAATCAACCATGGACGTTCTTCTGGGCCGGGTCACCTCCCAGGCCATGAATTATGCCATCCGATCGGGCGTCACGATCACCACCACATACGCCATCAAGCAATGCGCACGCCTACTCAAGGAAACGCCCCGTTCGCAGGCGCGCGATGAACTTCGTCAACTGCAGCTACGTCTGGAAAGCAAGATTCGTATCATCAGTCCCGCGATTGACATGATCGAGCTCATCTCGGCCAGAGGCAACACCAGTCTGGAGTCTGCCGTCTCGCTTACCAAGGCTATCCGATACGAGATTCAGTGTCTCGGTACGCGATTGAGCGACGCTGCGAACGATGAGAGGTCAATCAAGAAGCAGTCCAGCCAGGCGAAGGTTCGACAGGATGCGGAAGCCCAACTACAGCGCATTATTAGGACCATCAAAGCCCTCTTGACGAAGATTGACGACGCTATCCCCTTAATCAATCTGGCCATCACGACTTCTGGTGTGAACCTGAGCACGAAACTCTCTGGCGCCATTAGCCCCAGTCGCTTACTACAAGCGTCTACGTTCCTCACTGCAGCGGACAGTAAGTTTGCCACTCAGCCAGGAGCCAGGCGCGTGAAGGTCGGTCCAACATACACGCTGAGTCTGTACATGCTATTTGCCGGACACACAGGGCGGGAAGAAGGCGAGAGGGAGATGACGTGGAAGGAAGTCGTGCACAAAGCGAAGGTGAAGCTCGTAAGAGTACCTCTGGACGCATTGTACGATTTACCAGGTGGCGGCGCAAGTGCTGTGAACGGTGGTTTGGTTGCGGATGAGGGTACTATTCCTGGAGAGGGGAAAGCAGGAGAGTTCGCATATCAAATCGTCATTATCGAGGACCTCGACGACGATCGCGTGCACACCTTCGACGATGGCGAGGTACTGCCTGGCCCTTTCGAGGATGTGGCGAATGCCGGCATTCGAGACATTGTGCCTGTTCATGAGATATCAAAGGTCTTCTACGCAGACACAGGCAAGATCCTCAACATCCGCGGAGATGGCGACACAAATAATCCTGTGCTGCTGCTCAGGAGAGATGTTCATGCTGAGCCGCCGAGGAGGATGATGCATCGGTCTCAGATGGGTCAAGATGCGTACTTTGACGATTCTGTTATCGGAGAGACTGAGGTAAATGGCGCTCAGTCAGAGGTCGATGCCCAGATCCATCGCGAGTCTGCACCCAACACTCCGAGCAAAGAGTCTCCAGCTCGAATCAACGGCGAGAAACTTCACACAGCCTGGCGGCTCCCTCCAGACCTCGATCCCGAATGGCTGGCCTTCGAAGTCTACACCGAAGAACCCGACTCTGAAGAAGACCCAGAGGAATTGTCGTCTCGCCCAACAAGCAGCCGGGAGGACTCACCAGCCACGACCCTCGCAGGCGCACTCTCCAAACTAAACTTCCGCGCCTCAACCCCAACCTCCTCTCCAGCGATCAACGGCGCCCACCTCCCCACCACCTCACCGGCCCGTCCAGCCCCTATAATCAAAACCAGCCTCTCCCTCCTCGAAATGCTCCTCAAACTCACCGCCCTCCAGCAATTCCGCCAAGAATCCCATCTAGCGATCGAAGACGAACTACTCAACTTCTTCCTCGAAGACAGCTCGTCTGCTGGCGCCGGACCGGACAAGGACTACCGTCAGCGGCTGAGACATGACGCCGTGAAGCGAGTGGGCTTCGATCCGTATGATGAGAGCCCGATCAAGCGGCGTGGAGAGACATACTTGGAGCATGCGAGGGGCAGGGCAAGTCCAAGGCCTGAGTTCGATGCTGGCGCTTTCACGGGGCAAGGGTACGGGGAGTGGCGGGAGGATATGCATGAGCCGATGTCGAGTCCGCCCGGCATGGTTCGATCGTCAATAGAGGAGGGTGGAGGGATGCCTTCGTCGCCGTCGCCTATGCCGTCAGCGCCTGTGTCTGGTTCGGGAAGGAATGGATCAAGAGGTGGTACGCCGGCGCAGACGAGGAGTGGTGCGGGTCGGACGGCTTCGCAGATGTCGTTGCTTGCTACGCCGCCGAGCACTGCTGGGAGTCGTCAGCACTTCCTACGCGCGCAGAGCGAGCCGAAGGTCAGGAGTCCGCTTGGGACATCTGCGGAGGTCAACAAGGGTACTTCAGGATCTGGTGGAAAAGAGCCTTAGGGCCAGGCCTACTACGACAGACCGCGAAGGGTCAAGATCAGGAGAAGATGACTGGAACGTTACTACGACTTTGCTTTTTGCTTTCTACTGCATGGCGAAGCGTATGGATAGAAGCTCAAGGGAGCGTTTTCGTCGCGGTATACCCATAGTGAGCATAAAAAGTGTACAGCAGCAAGGATACATATGGCACGTCAATTGTCCATACTTGTCTCCATCTCTTTTTCTTCATTCTCGCAGCTGCTCTCGATGCTGCCTACACTGGTGGCGTGATCCACGAAGAAATCCAAGCTCTGGAGACCAAGGCTTTCGACGCGATCTACGACGCGCTGACCGATCTCCTGATCCAGCTCGCTTACGAGTGCATACGGCGGTACAACGAGGACCTCTCCTCCTGTTCTTGCTCCTCAAGACTCAGAAGAGGAAGTCGACGAAGCCAAACTTCCACGACTCGAAGAGGAAGAGCGGAAAGCGAAGAAGTTCACACGCCAGCTCAGAAAGGTCAGCAAGAAACGCCGCGGTTTCCGCGAGTGGCTAGACGAGCTTTACGAGTACTACGAGTACGCTACATCGGAGATGGCTACGAAGGAAGAGCAGCAGGCGAAGCTGAAGACGCATCTAGCGATCACGCCAAAGACGGTCGGGTTTCTCTATGATGCGGGCTACACGACGCCAGCGTCGCTCCGCGAAGCCACGCCGAATGAAGTCGTTGCGAAGCTTGCTGAGTTGCCGGGATTGGACTTTAAGAAAGCGAAGGCGTACTACCTGCGTCCGCTGCGGAGGATGGTGATGTTGGGTGATATCGAGGACCTGGACGAGGCGAGGACGGTGGCGGCGAAGTTGCAGAAGTGGTCGATTGTCGAGTTGGTGCGGTTGGGGGTCTGGGTGGAGGGGTTTGATGATCTGAATGGTGTGCAGATTCACGAGAAGATGAAGGGCTGTGGTGCCATATGATACAACCGTATGAGTACAGTGCAAGCCGTCTACTTGATCTTCTTCGCCTTCAGCCGTATGGTCTCGTCGTTGACGAAGATGCCCTTGCCCTTGTATGGTTCTGGTTTCCTCCATTCTCGGATCTCTGCCGCGAACTGCTTGACCACTACTTTGTCGATGCCTTCCAGTAGTATTCGCGTTGGCTGCGGACAGCTTGCTTTCACGCCCATGGGGACTGGAAGCTCTATCGGGTGCGAGTAGCCGACTTTGAGGGAGACGAACTTCTGGCCTTCGAATTCAGGCTTTTTCGTGATCGCTTTGCCTTCGACGGTCGCTCGATAGCCTACACCGACGAGGCGGAGGATAGCGGTGTGGCCTTCGCTGACCCCTAGGATGTGGTTTTGGAGGTATGCTCTGGTTGTGCCTGGAACATAATGATCAGTCACAGCCTGTTGTCACATGCTTCACATGTAACGCACCCCACATAGCCTTCTGCTTTTTATCATTCGCATCCAATATACTCAGCCCATATGTCTTGCCCTCCTCACCAGCCGTGATGTCGATGTAAGGCGGTATCTGCAGGCTCATCTTCCCCAACGGCCCTTGGACCTCAACTTTTCTGCTCGGTTCACTGCGGCTGATGCTCCGGCCTTGCTTCACTTGAGGGGCGTCGAAGATGGTGAACGTGACTTCGGGGGGTAGTGAAAGCGGCGCGCGGCCGATCTTCGAGCGGCATGGTGGGGAGGTGGTGAAGTGAGCTTGCTGGCAGGATGGGGGGTGGGTGAAGGCCGGGACAAGGAAGGCTGGCAGGGTGACTTCTTGCGTCGTTCGTGGTGCGAGTGTTTTCCGTAATGCTCTTGATGAGCGCGCGCAGTGTATTAGAGATGCCATGGTCGTGTTGCAGAAGATGAAATGATGGTCGTCTTCGATGCTCAATGGATATGGGTGGCCCGGGCTCACCTCCGCGGAGAATCCCGACCTCACCTCCCGACGACAACCTCACTTTCTCCTTTCACAGGCCACCAACACGCGAGATATCACTTTGCACATGTAAGGGAGGCAGCGGCACGTGAGATAACCTGTAACGACGTTAAGGGCATCACGGCCAATGCTTGCCTTGCCACCTTGAGCTGATACACCTTCGAACCAACGCGTCCAATCCACATTGCAGGTCCAAACAATCACGCAACCTCCATTCACCTTCCGTCAATCCTCTCCTTAAATACCCAGACGGCCTCCAGAATCTTCCGCGAATAACACGCGGGTCGATTAAGATCGGCCTCCAACCTACACGACCTTTACAACAAGGGCGCGAGAGGTTGAGGCACCTTTGGTTGTTTCCCAACGCGGCACTAATCACCATGGCACCACACTTCAGGATGGCCATGCTCGCGAGCACGGCACTGATAGGCCTCGCAGCATCGTGGCAACAGAGTGGTAAGAAACCAAGTCTGACTGAGCACTATCCGCGCACACCCCATTCTATGATTCTGCTACTGACGTTCGACAGGTCCCACAGCGGTGGCACCCATTAAGATTCCGGATGTCGACCTCGACCACAGCATCGTGTTCGAGTCCGTGCGCGATCGGCTGCAGTATCTGCAAGGCATTGCAAACCACGTCAAGACTCTGCCACCGTGTGCTCAGCTCGCCACAAGCGCCCTCTTGCATACCTGCTCTGCGCTGGAAGGCTTTAACCCCGATGATGAATCTGAGCTCAAGCGTGGGTCTGACCTCTTCATCGATGAGGAAGCCGACATTTACTCGGCTCGCCTTGCGGTCTGCGAACTCAACAGCGCAGACTATCCGGTCCCAGATGCATGCAAATCTTTCGTTCCTTCGACCCAAGCTAACAAGAAGCGCGGCACCCGTGGATTCTGGGGGAAGCAGGAAGCCACTGAACAGAGCAACACCTTCCAGTACTACGATGAGATCACTCAAGCGAACCTAAAGCAGTGCCGCAAGGCTTTGGGCGCTTCTACCCAGGCCTGGACCAGCTACAGCAACAACCGCCAGAACGCGCACCTCTACTGCCGCGCAGTGCGTAGCGAGATTGAGAAGGACAACCAGATCCACATCGGCAAAGTCCTCGCGAACACAGCTGTGACCGCCAGTGAGTCGCTGCAGGATGCTTTCGAGCAATTCAACGACCTCAAGGCAGAGTTCAGCAAGCTCGCCACAGCCATGCCTCAATTTCAGATGGACTTAGCAGCCGGGAATGAGCAGCAGATCGAGCACATCAAGAACTTCTGGGCAGAGCTGGAGCGAGCGCACGAAGGTCTTCGGGACATCGCCACAGGAGTGCATGACATTCGCAACGGCGTTCAGTGGGCTAAAGACGACGTCGCTGGCTTGAGTGTGGTTATCGCCAACACGGCAGGTGAATCCGCCGCCAAGGTCAAGAACGGCTTTGAATCGCTAAGGTCTGGCCTCATTAATGCAGCTGGTGACATCGAGGCTCTGACGCAGCTTGTAGCGTTCCAGCGGGAGAAGCAGCAGCAGGAGTTCATTACAGGCCTGGGCGCTATCACTGGTGACATCTCAGTTGTCAATAAGCTCATGACCATTCATCAGCAAGCACTATGGGAGGAGCGCGAAGCTTCCGACCGCTGGATCCAACAGCGTATTGAGAAGGAGAAAGAATACCAGAATATGCAGAAGGAGACTACGGCGACGCTCATCGAGACCAGCGACCGAGTGAGGGAGGTCAATTTCACCCTCGCTGCGCTTCCAAGCATGGTGGGCTTCGGCTGGGAGCCGCTTCGTGCCAGCTTTGATACCGTGCTGGCGCTCATTGCCTGTGCATCGGTCTACACGCTTCTGAGCTTTGGGCTCTGGGAGCGATGCGTCGGCTTCTCCTTCATCGGGAATGCTTTCGCTGCGATCGGCAGTGGCATCGGTACGTACCCTCACGTCCTCTATCAAGACTCTGCTAACATCATCACAGCGCTAGCCTACATCTCCGTCTTCACCTACAGCCCTCTCGGCTTCTGCCGCTCAACTCTGGACCTTGCCACGACAGCCGACCGGGTCCTCTTGCTCGGCATCGCCATCGGGGCTGCGGCGTATGCGGTGCTGGCTATTGTGAAGGACATCATGGTGTGGCTGCTCTGGCGTAGGGTCAAAGCTAGAGCGAGTGCAAAGACGGTGGAGTACGATCCTTGCAGCCCTGACTATCCTGTTGCGGAAGTTAAAAAGTGGGATGTGTGAGTGGTGCTATAGGTACTGACGACGGTACGAAGATATGAATTACGATGAGGAAGGAGGTTTTGCTTTTCAATTTTTGCTTTTGCTTGAGGGAAGAAGGACGGGTTGCTTCGACAGCTCTGCGGGGGGCCAGCGCTCTGTTACGTTTGCCTGCGTATGAGGGTGACGGCAAAAGCGAGGGACGGATCAGTTTACGACAATGGCTTGCGAGTCGATGGACAGGAGGGCATTTCGACAAGGAATTATTGCTAAAGCTACTACCTTACATACCATGAACAATCGATCTAGCATCTTCTCCGCGTCGTGACCGCAACAGAATAACGCACTCATGTTACGGAGTGCCACGAAGGCTTCCACATGCCGGAGACGACTGTGGCCACTGTGATGTTGCAATGGTGTCCCAGCTGTCCCAACCCACACTGCATCCTTCAACCGCCCTTCCACCCCTTCTTCACTCCCTCAACACACCCAACCTAACCCTCCAATCCTCCCTCCCCGTGCACTCCTCCAAAATCACCGCATGACACCGGCTCACCCCCCTCAACCGCGCGATCAACCCCTCCAACCTCCTTAGCGCCGCCCCCTCACTATCCCTCCCCTCCTTCACATCCGGCATCGGCGTCTCCCCCATCCAGATCTTCCAGTCCTCGATCCCCCACATCATGCATGCGAACGTACGCAACGCGGCGTTGGTGTCGCGGTAGTGCGAGTGGTACTCCGAGTGGTTGAAGAGGCGGATGATGCAGGCGATTTCGGTGGCGTAGGGTTTGCTTAGGTAGGGGTCGACGGAGACGGGTTTGTGGCCGGCGGGTCGGTAAGTGGATGTGAGAAGGGCGTTGGCGGGGTGGGAGGGGTGGCTGGCGTGGGAGGGGTCGGATTCGGGGTAGCGGGGGAGCGGGGTGAGTCTGTCGGCTCTCTTCTTCTGGGGACGGCATTGTGGAGATGGACTGGATTGTGGGATGCTCTGTGGCAGAGCGATGGTGCCGTTGTGGACGGGTGTCGGTTGGGTTGGGAAGCTTTGCTGCGGTGGATGCTGCCAGGGGAGTGTCGAGGGGCTGAATGGGGCGATGGCGACAACATCCGAGTCAAGCGGAGCAAATTGTGAGTTGTGCAGCCCGGGCTGGAAGGTGGTGTTGGCAGGTTGATAGTGGGCATCGAGCCGCGGGGCATTTTGCCAGATGGCCACCCTGCTCTTCGCCTCATGACTTTGCTGAGGAGAATCGAGCCGACCAATGTAGGATCCTGCGTACATCACGCTGTTGACCGCAATGATCTCTTCAAGCGTACAATACTCCAGTGCGTTCGTACCGTCTTCCGTGCGAGCATGCTGAGCCGGTGGAAGCTGGATTCGTCTAGGAAGAGGGAGGTTGTTGTTGGCGCGCATCCGTTGAAGTGTATTGGATGCTGAGGTGGGCTCTAGCGGGACTAATGAACTCTCGGCCATAAAGGCGTTCGTGCCGATCGTAGCTGCGTCTGTAGCCCCATAGGAGGGATGGGTGATCAGCTGCATGCCATGTTCCTCGAAGTCGAAGCCGTTGCCAGTCGCCTTCTCGGCCTCCTTAGCTGCCATGTACTCTGCCATAGTCTCCACCATGTCGTCTTCTCTGTTGTCCTCCAGGTGGTGCTGCCGCCGATCTTCTGCCATGTCTCCTGAACTCGTACGGAGAGATGTGCTGTGCGCGGTGTGGTTGCGGCAAGGTGAAGTTCTCAGCTTGCTGGCCTAGGTGAACTGCCTAGAAGTGTGCTTGCAACGAAGCCCGTACGCTAGAAGGCTGTCCGAGCAGGGTTCCAGGAATTGCAAAGCTTCGCACCATCTGTAGAACATTCCAGGTGCGGCGGGTGAGCGGATTCACCTCCAAAACGTGCATGTGAATAGGGAAGGATGCTTGGGCCTTGGTTCAGAGCTAGCTCCAGCATTCGTCCAGCATTGGGAATGCTTACGGTCTCGACCATTGCTCTTCATCATGCAAACATTTGTCGAACGTTCAGATTGACTCTCTTACCCGCCATCCAGCCTCCCCAGCCAGCAAATCGTCCACTACCGTCCGAGCCAGAGTGCATGCCTGGCCAGTCTTTCATCCACTCTGGGCACGTCCCTTCGAGCACTTTCGGGACACCATGCCAAGCATATCGACTTTCGCCGCTCATCAACACGGCATCGCCTGACCTGAGTCTCATGACAGCTACTCTGGGTCCACCATTCCCGTCTTCGCCCTCAAGCCCAGCAATGAAGATTCCATCACACCCCAAAGAGATGCTGACGAGCGGCTGATCGCATTCCTCGCTGACATCGCGATGCAGGCTGAGCGTATCACCAGGGGAGTAGAGATTTACAATGGCAGCCTCCGCTTTCATTGGGAAGAGATGCTCCACAAGCGTTTTGATGTCCTGTGGAAATGGTGGTGGAGATCCAGAGGGGTAGACCTTGTTTGTCCAGTCGTACTGACCTCCTAGAGTCATCCATCGGAGCTTCTTGTTGAGGTACTGAGACGTGTTAAATGGCTTGTGTATGGTCGGGTCTTTTGGTTGGAAGTCAAGAGATGATGAACAAGCGTCAAAGTACGACGCGGTTGATCTGTCCGCCCGCTGATCAGGATAAGGGACATTGTGATGGATGTGGACGTTTGTCTTGTGGTCTGGGTTGCAGAGATCTCGTAGCAATAGCTTTTCGAGCATAGCAAGCTGTACGTCTGAAGGTACTAGAGAAGGATAGATGTATAGTCCTACCTTTCTCAGATGATGCTGGGGAGAGAAGTATGACTGCTACTTACCGGGCACCGCCGCCACTTCGTACACCGTTGGCATGGCATCTGATGGCTTTGTCCCATCCAGGGTGGCGTTGTCAATTTCAAGGAAATCAACGAAAGCTTGCCTCACTTCGCTAGACAGTTTGAGAAGTTGCGACTGTCGGACCTCGGGGTCGACGTTGTTGTCACGGCTGAAGTCCAGTGAGTCTCGCTCGCGATCTAGAGCCGCCCTGTCCAGCCTCTGGAATTTCTTGTATATCTTCTTGATACCTAACGGAGGCTTTTCATGGGCATTTGGTCCTGTCGTAGCTTCCATGCTGCTCGTTGAAGTGTTTTCAGTTTGTTGAAGTTGAAGTCGAAGCCGTCAGTTGGAAGAGATGGAGTCCAGAGAAGTGCCAAGGAACATGACTCGCTGCGCTCGGCCTACCAACTCCATCGCGTCATCCAAAAAACCCACGCGTCGTCGCTGTCCGCGCTCAACTCAACATTCACAGGACGACGCTATGCCCTCGAGGAACGCGCCGAAGACAACATATGAGCCTGTATCACGACCGAAACGACAGCAGAAGTTCCCAACCAGAAGAAGGTCTGCTAGAGAGCGACCAGTCGTACCTGCACTACCGAAGAAGCAATCGACTTTGACACAGCTCGACTTCGTCAGCACGCCCAGTGGAAGCAGCGACACTATCTCCATCTCGAGTGATGATGAGTTCGAGGAGCCAAGACCGAGGAAGAAGCAGCGCAAATCGAAGTTGAGCAGTAAGGACTGCGGGCAGTCTACCCTGACGCAAATGGTGGATTTTCCTTTAGGCAGACAGCACGGCGTCGACGACAGTGATATTCAGGTTTGGGAGGACGACGACGAAGAAGGACAGCGAGTAGAGGAAATGCCCGATCAACAGATGTACGGGCAGCAACGCGAGGCACAGAACGACAGATTCGACACAGAGAATATGCCCGAGATTCCAGAGACGTCAGAGCAAGACATTCCTTCTTCACCTCGAGTAGACAGTGGGATTGATTCGGCGCGGCCCAACAAGAAAGTCAGTCTTCAAACGCCAACGAAACCACTCAAGAAAGAAATTCCATCTTCGCAGACGCCCCCAAGCACGAGATTCTCGATTCGAGACTCGAAGCGTAAAGCGAATATGCAGAAGTCGCCTCTGAAGGAGCGTAGCACCAACGTACAGTCAGCTGCGCCTGACGACTCCGCACCGGAAAGCCAGAACTCGAGTCGGAAGGACGAAGTTCGAACACAGACCCAAAAGGTGCTCCTAAATGATACAACGCCGCGTGCTGCTACGCCAGATCTACATGCAGTTCTACCTACTGATGTGCCACATCACTCACCGAGCCAGAGGCCGCCACCGCGAAAGCTTCGTCGCACCGCCACAGTGCAGGATTCACAACCCGAAGACCTCGATCTGTCGAACACAGTAGTGGTGGAAAGTCCCGTGAAGTCGCCTGTCGCAAGACCAAAAGCGAAGTCACCTCCGACCTTGAAGAGGGTCTCGACCGTTCAGGACACACAGTGCGACTCCGCAGAGTTGCTTTCGGATGATGTCGGCAAGGATAGCCACCAGTATGACGCCTACAACGACGCTCAAGCCTACACTGGCTACACACAAGCCACGTTCGATCCTGTCAATGCAGCTCTCGATCGAGACGCTGCAAGATTTGGCTGGACTCAGACGCAGCGCCCAGCACCGCCGGCTATCCATGAGCCGCATGCGGACAGCAAGACGGACGACGACGAGGACCTAGACCGTGGCTGTCGGTTAGGCAACGCTCGAGTTAATTCGAATGCGCCTATGCAGTTACCTGTTGTGCAGGAGGAAAGCTCCGCCGAGTCAGGGCAACTTCAGGACGAGCTGCTTCAAGCTTGCTCAGGTGGTGTGGAAGTAGAATCGTGGGCTCAATTGAACAGCAACGACGGTAGTGATGAGCCTGGAGATGTCACTCTCGTTCTTGATGAACAGGTGCCTTCACCGCCTCCTGTGCCAGCACCACACGTGACGGCCGAACTACCAGATGATGCAGTTGAGAGGATACCCTCTTCGCCGCCTGCGATACATCAGTCACAAATTAGCACCGTCGTGCCCACGCAGGCCTCGCTGCTGCAGCTGCCTCTAATCGACGAGAACGATGACAATGAGGCCGAGTCTGCGGACCAGCTGCCACATACAATGCTCTCGGAAGCACCTACAATAGCACTTCGAGAATCGTCTCCGCAATTGCCAGATGCTGGGTTTGAGCAGATGACTTCGGAATCTTCTCTACCTCTCCCGCCGTGGAGCTCACCGCTGCGAGCCGAGAGGCCGCTTTCTGGAGCGTATCGCGAGTCGCAATTTATGGATTGGAGTCTGCCTCCGCCGCCACCGATGAGCTCGAGCAGAACCGAAACTCCGGCTTCGTCATCGAGGAGATGAGGTGTACTGTACTCAGCTCAGCTGTGCAGAAGCGTTACTTGCTGAACGGAGGGAGAGAGAGAGGCTGAGAAGATTACTAGGCTTTTGTACCGAAGTAGTCTTAGTCATGACCGCCTCATCCCTCCCCAAGCTGAGAACGTGCTTCAAAGCTCAGAACATCCGCATGTATTCTGATGTGCACGACAGCATCCTATAATCGCGGCCCCAATGGCAGTGTTCGTTGCAGAGCGCTACTGCCACTTTGCCTTGTTCGCAGGCATGTTCTCTTCATGCGTAGGCTGACTCTGCGTTGATCAAGCACTCTAACGCCGTCATCAAGACCTTTACTAGCATCGGGGCAATGATTTTGCCAGCGTATAAATCCAGCGAGGTTCCCAGCCGCAGTATTGTAAGGCTACCATTCTACTTCTTCAGATTCCGACTTTATCCTCGCCCCAGCTATGGCTGCTTGTCCTGGTATCGTCTTTCCTACTGTCACTCATCCTGGCGGCGAGTAGTTTCTCGGTCATGAAGACCTACGCAGTCCCCGTCTTCCCTCCACCCCTCCTTTCTCTTCCGGCAACCTTCGATTCCGGACCATCTCAACAACACCTCCCCGCCCACGCCGGCAAGCTCCGCACGATCTTTCATTCCCCCAACAACACCGCGGACCCCGTGGCCGGGTCGGCGTACCGTCTCGACGCAGCGACGGGAGCACACAGCGTCGCCCTCGAGGTCCGGCGATGCCGCCGAATGCGTCAGCATCGCTGGGATTGGGCATCAATGGCGTGCAATTCGCTTCCGGCGAGGAGAGGTACTTGTACTTCACAAACACAGGCAGGGACCCGCCTCTCGCTCGCGCGCCTGTTGGTCCGCTCACTGGGAGTCAAACGGGCAAGGTGGAGGCGGTGGACCGGATGTTTCGGTGCTAGATGCAGAGGGAAGGACATGGCTTGCGAGTGGGTCTACTAGTGCGGTGCTGGAGGTTGGTGTGAAGGAAGGGAGCGTGAAGGGTGTGGCTAGTGGGCAGAAGAGTAGGCTGGTTGGACCGACTGCTTGTCAATTTGGAAGGGCGAAGGGTGATGTTGAGACGGGGAGGTTGTATGTTGTGAATTACGGGGGACTGACTGGGTCGTCTGAGAGGGAGGTTGTTGGGGCAGGAGTTTTTCCTATTGCTACTGATGGGTTGTGAGTGTTCCCTTTTGGTACCTGGTATGTTCGAGTCGACTGTTTTGAAGATGACTGGAGATGACATAGCATTTTCTTATATCTTCTCTTCGTCCGGTCTGAGTGGATGCCTTCCTTGCAACACACCCGGGCTGGCGTTCGAAGCTTCCCCCCACCTCGAACATCTCCCGTCTCCAGACCTACCCTGCAAGGACAGACGGACAGCCTCCCGAATACAAGCTTCTTGACAATGGCACCGGACTTCAGTACCCGCGCTGACGTGCAATTTCCAGACACAGGACCTCGACAGGACCTTGAGGCGTCATGTTTGTAAGTCGGAGAACATCCGCCGCATCTCCAACTATGCCCCTCAACCTCGACCTTACTCCTCCCGAGGAGAACTCTACATGGATACGTAACTACATATGGCTCTACCTGCGCAGGGACATCAATGGAGAACCGGTAAGACCACAAGTTCAATTCTTCCATATTGACAACTTCATATCCAAACCGTCTCCTCCATCATCATCTTTCCATTGTCCACCATGTCTCCGTCAGCAACATCCCAAAGCAAGCCGCCAGTGCGCATCGCACAGATAGCTGCCTCCAATGTGGACCGCCATGAGATCTTCGCGATGCTGGCCAACGCGCAGCCAAAGGAAGCCGACGTCTTCTGCGGCGACTGGATGTCTGAGTGGAACATGTGTGCTCGTGGAGCAGGTAAAGCAATGGGCTTGGAGGAGTTCTCTTACGAGGAGACATTCGTTCATGCAATTACTCCTGCTTTGGAAGGTTTGAAGAAGAATGGTATCAAGGTAGCTGTCAATGCTGGAGCTACTGATACGGAGAAGCTTCATGAGAGGATTGTTGGGATTGTGAAGGAGAAGGGGTTGGATTTGAACGTTGCGTATGTTGATGGAGGTATGCCATGCTGTTGTGAGCTTGAGATGAGAGATTGCGAGAGCTGACGCTCATCTAGATGTTGTCACCGACACTGTCAAGAAGCTCATGCGGGAAGGGAGGGCGTTCAAGCACTACGTACGTCTGCTCCTGAACACCATTACTGGAAGTTCCACTGACCTGAATTGCGTTGACTAGGTTGATTCCATCGATTATGTCAAAGGTGGTGAGGAAGTTCTTTTTGCACAGTGTTACTTGGGGGCGTGGGGTGTTGCACGCGCTCTCCGCGAAGGCGCCGATATTGTACGTTTTAAATTTGGAACAAGACTTACTCGAGAGGCCCGGAGGAATTGGTACAGACTGATGCTGACATCAATGCTTACCACAGGTACTGTGCGGCCGTGTAGCAGACGCCAGTCCAGCTGTCGGCGCAGCCGCTTGGTGGCACGGCTGGCGAGAAGACCAGCATCAAGAGCTGGCATGTGCTCTGATGGCCGGGCATCTGATCGAGTGTACTGGGTACATGACCGGAGCCAACTTTACCGGCTTCAAACGCTTTCCTAAGAACGTGGAAACTGGCTTTCCCATCGCCGAAGTCGCAGCAGACGGGGATGTCGTCCTTACTAAGGCCAGCTTCTTCGACGCCGAGGTGTCAGTGGAGACCTGTACGAGCCAGCTCATGTATGAGATCCAAGGACCCTGGTACTTCAATAGCGATGTGACTGCAGAGATCACGAACGCCAAACTGGAGTCAGTCGGTAAGAACCGAGTGAGACTGAGCGGGATTCAGGGCATGCCACCTCCGCCGACGACCAAGGTCGGTTTCACCGTCCAGGGAGGCTACCAAGCCGAGATGCATTGGTTCCTTGTCGGGCTTGACGTGAAAGAAAAGGCCGAGATGCTCGAGGCCCAGGTCAGGGAGCGTCTCAAAGCCGTTACAGGTCTGGACAAGTTCCACTGCCTCGTCTTCGACACTTACGGATCAGTTGCAGAGGACGCCAGGACGCAGGCCTCTGCTACTGTCGATTTCAGAGTATTTGCTCAGGCGAGAGACCGAGAGGCCATCAGCCACAAGAAGTTCTTCCGGCCTTGCATCGATGTGCTCAACATCACCTATCCGGCAGCGACATTCCATCTTGACACCAGACAGAGCGAGCCGAAGGTGTATTACGAGTACTACGTCTCACTCATGGAGCAGTCCTTGGTGAAGCAGCAAGTCCATGTCGGCGGACAGGACATTGATATCCCTACTCCCACTTCCACGAAGACATATCCGGCAGAGCAACCTACACACGATGAGCCAGGACCTGCAGATCTGAAGTCCTTTGGCCCAACCACGCTGGCTCCGATCGGCTACGTCGTTCATGCGAGATCCGGAGACAAGTCCAGCAACGTCAATATCGGCCTCTTCGTCCGCCATGCGGATGAGTACGAGTGGCTCCGCAGCCTGCTTTCCACTGCGAAGATCAAAGAGCTGCTGCGAGACGAATACAAGGGCGGGCGCATCGACCGCTACGAGTTCAAGAACGTCCTGGCCGTCCACTTTGTCTTACACGATCACATGGATCGCGGTGTGAACAGCAATAGTACATACGATTTCTTGGGCAAGTGTGTGGCCGAGTTCGTAAGGTACCAGAAGATTGAGGTGCCGAACAAGTTCCTCGACCGGGGAAAGATATAGGTAGAATTTAGAACTGGAATGATCAGCTTGTTCGGGACGAAGCATTGTCGTCTCTACTTTCGTCTAGAAGGTCCAGAAGGTCCGTGAAGTCCGTCCGTCAAGGTGGGATGGAAGGAGGTGATGTCCGAAAACACGTCTTGCATGTGAAAGTCCCGATTCGGTCTAGCGTCTCGGCGATTGCGACCTCCTAAATCGGCGCCGCAACAACCTCTTCCACCAATCTCCCGCCCGCTCTCGTGCCTATCGGTCTTCGTTTTGCCGAAGCATGACGAACTTTTGCTGATTGTTTGGACCGCGTCTCGCCGACAACACCCATTGAGGCCATTGTGTTGGGACCACGGCTCCAGTAGTGTACCGATCAGAACGACGACCATTGACGCCGATTCAGCTAAGTACAGGACAGTTCCCAACGGCTCATTCACATTTCATACTCTCATTCCTCCGAAGTACCTTGTCTCTTCCTCCATCTGAACTAGAAGATATAGCAACAATGGTGACCATCACATCTTGTACGACGCGGGACGTCCGCTTCCCAGTATGCTTCCATCCACCCTTTAGCCCACCGTTCACTCAACTAACACAGCAAGACCTCCCTAGACAAGACCGGTAGCGATGCCATGAACGCTGCTGGCGACTACAGCGCCGCCTACTGCATCCTCCACACAGATAGCGATCACTCCGGCCATGGCATGACCTTCACCATCGGCCGCGGCAACGAGATCGTTTGTCAAGCAATATCCCTCCTCGCCGACCGTGTCAAAGGCAAGAAGCTGGAAGACCTTGTGGCAGACTGGGGCAAGACATGGCGGTACCTGGTCTCAGATTCGCACTTGAGATGGATTGGGCCGGAAAAGGGTGTCATTCATCTTGCTCTTGGGTCTTTGGTCAACGCCATCTGGGATTTGTGGGCGAAGGTGCTGGGTAAGCCTGTATGGCGGATCATTGCGGAGATGAGTCCGGAGGATTTTGTGAGGTGCATAGACTTCCGGTATATTACGGATGCTATTACGCCTGAGGAGGCTTTGGATATGCTGAAGGGGCTAGAAGCTGGGAAGGCTCAGCGCATGAAGGAGGCTGAGGACAATCGAGCAGTGCCGGTAGGGACACTCCCATCTCATCTTGAATTTTTCTCGATCTTGGAGAACATGCTGACCACCACATCCAGGCATACACAACTTCCGCCGGTTGGCTGGGCTATGGAGAAGACAAGATGAAGGCATTGTTGCAGGAAACCCTTAGCCATGGATACAGGCATTTCAAGCTCAAAGTCGGCACATCCATCGAGCAGGACCGAAAGCGATTGGCCATTGCACGCGATGTCATTGGCTACGACAAAGGAAACGTCCTCATGGTAGACGCCAACCAGGTCTGGTCCGTCCCAGAAGCAATCGAATATATGCAACATCTCGCCGAGTTCAAGCCCTGGTTCATAGAGGAGCCAACATCACCAGACGACGTCTACGGCCACAAAGCCATCCGCGAAGCTCTCAAACAACATGGCATCGGAGTTGCAACGGGCGAAATGTGCCAGAACAGAGTCATCTTCAAGCAACTACTGATGCAAGGAGCGATCGACGTATGCCAAATAGACGCCTGCCGAATGGGAGGCGTGAACGAAGTCCTCGCGGTGCTTCTCATGGCAAAGAAATTCAACATTCCGATTGTTCCGCACTCTGGCGGTGTTGGTCTACCCGAGTACACTCAGCACCTGAGCACAATCGACTATGTCGTCGTCTCCGGAAAGCTGTCCGTACTTGAATACGTGGACCATTTGCACGAGCATTTCTACCAGCCGGCAGTCATAAAGGATGGCTACTACACCACCCCGACAGAGCCTGGGTATTCCGTGGAGATGAAGCCGGAGAGTATGGACAAGTATGAGTATCCTGGAAAGGAGGGCGTGAGTTGGTGGAAGAGTCAGGAGGCCAGGTCAATATTAGAGGGCGATAGGATATGAGATGGAATGTCATATGGCCTTCGTCTGCCGGCAGTTCATGTTCAGTGGCAAGGTAGTAGTCCGAGGGTCGCATTGCTTGTGGGTTGGTCCATTGGTGCCGTTGGATCCAAGAGAGCGTTGTGGAGTATCCGAGTTAAGCTGCTGCACGTGGAGCCATGTAGTCTCCATCACCCAGTAAAGCTAGAATACAGCGTGTTTTGAACAACCATACAATGCCATTCCTGCGTTCGATCTGCCTCTTGCATAAGGTAGTGGATAGTGCCTTCCACCTGCAACCTGACAAAGCGAAAAATGGCGCTGAACAAGCGTGCTAAGCAGCCCCAGAAGGAGATCGGTCGCTCAAATCATGCTCCGACACGAAGAACACCTCCGAAGAGATCTCGATATCGTTTGGCACGCGAGTAACGTTGTGGTAAAGCTGGCGACCGCTGCTCTTCACCATCTCGACAACGGGTGAAGGAGGCCTCATCGCCTTCGAAGAAGTGCTCGCGTTCATCCTGGAGAGACGAGACTGCAGGGGAGGTCGAAAGCTTCTCATGCTTGGATCCTGCGATGACGTGCCACCAACTTACGGACGCTGCTCTTTCGTGCGGATTCTTCAGCCGTCGTTTCCGCCGCTTGCGCCGCTCTGCCATGTCGGTCTTGCCCCTGGCTCCTGATACGATGGGCCGATGGAGAAGCAACAGCAGTCCGAGTCAAATTCGGTGTAGACACACCACCGATATTCGCGTGTACCGACTGCCCTGAGAGCTCGAAAGGCCTGTTGATGACCAGGCACCACGGCGACCAGGTATAGCCCAGTGCTACCGAAGGTTGAACCGATGACCGCCGTTCGTAAGCCACTGGCTGCCGCGAGGCTGGCCTTAGCCGGACCGGCACAAGCGACCTAGTCCATTGGTAGGCGATACGTTGAACGCTGTACCGCGTCGTTGGAGCTCAGCTTGGTCGTAAACAGTGCTCGAATGCTCTATAGCACGGAGTGTGACTAAGTCGAGCCAGCGGCCCTGGCGGCGTATCTGTGTTGAAACCAACAACACAAATCATCCTGTTGAGGGACGACTAGCGATGTGGAGGGGAGTGTATAAAGACTTCGAAGATGTTGGTTCAGAATCCTACTCACACACTCGCGCTCAGCAAGCAGATACCAGGACGAACGGTCAATATCAAGAGCAATGCCTCCCCGAAGCGCAGAACGATCGGTCAACACATGTCGAAGTTGCAGGTATGCTTGAGATTGAGCTTGACCCTTGAACGTATACTTATCTGGGAACACAGACGAAGGAAAATCCGTTGCGATCGTGTTCGGCCTAGATGTAACCGCTGTAAAGAGGCCGGCACAACAGTAAGGCTACCATCACGGCCGGGGACAGGCATGCACCTCCAGGGCACGTCTGGCTTGCCAAAAGAAGCACTCTGATGACCCCCCGGAGCCACCCCCTCAAGAGCGTCGGAAGACTGACTGTTGATTGCAGTGTGTGTACGAGGACCAGCTCCCCCAGCCATCCCCAACATTTCGCTTCGTTGGTGAGTCGCTCTGCCACAACATAGTCCTACTGTTCACTGACGAATCCACAGAGGAAACTCCCGCTGAGCCCGCAGGACCATCACGTACGACAAGTCAAGACAACGAACCATCCCCACCGGTGACGATCTCGTCCAATCGACTACAAAGTATCAAGGACCGTGTCGAGACGCTCGGTCGAATGGTCCAAGCACTGCAGACTCAAAGCAACGTTGGCAGCATAGCCTCGACCTCACGCGCGCAGTCAATCACAGATGTTTCGACCCCAAGCATCCAGGAACCCGAGCCTCTACATCCATTAGACGGCCACCTCTCTGTCCACAATGGCGGTTTTGCACGCTATGCCGAGCCATCCTTCTGGGCGTCCATGGCCAAAGAGGTAGCTGAGCTCGACGAAGTTCTCGCGAGAGAAGCTCGATACTTATTGCGTTCAGGCTCCACTTCCCCTGAGACCGAAGAAAGCTCCGCCGGCGAATCTGAGGAAGAGCGTCCTGCTACGCAACGCAGAGCGGGTGGCGTTCGCCCTGCCGCACTCAGTGGTCGTTTTCGGCTAGGCGGATATGAGTGGGCTCATGGCGGCGACATACCGATGCGTACACTCGCTCAGAGTCCGGAGTTTGCAAGCCAGCTTCCACCAAGAGATGTTTGTGACCGCTTGGTAGCGAACTACCTACGCGGCTACCACCCGATCGTGCCAGTGATCCACGTACCTACCTTCCGCCAGACCTACGAAGAGTTGTGGGAAACTGCGAATACCGGCGCTCAAGCCTCGATGTCATTTGCCACGCTCCTGGTCGCAGTGTGTTATGCTGGTTCAGTTGCGAGCTCTGGTAACGGTTCCAGCACAACCGAAGGCTCCAGACCACACCAAGTGTCAGACCGTTTGCTCAAGCTGGGAGCGCAAGGATTGGAGTTGTCAGCTTTCCCGAAAGTTCCAACGATCGAAACCCTTACCGCTTACCTGCTACTGAACTCGACGTGTAAACGAGAGGAGGAGCCATTAGTGAGCCACACTGACCGTCACGAGTCGCCCATCGCTCACTGACTGACACCTCTGTAGGCCTGCGTTCCGATCGTTGGTCTCGCTCTCAGAGTGGCCTTCTTCCTGGGGCTGCACAAGGACCCAAGTCACTATGGAGACACTGTCCCCGCCATTGACGCTGAGATACGACGAAGGGTATGGTGGTAAGTGGCAGATCCAGAATGAACCACCAAACAAAGCTGACTCGGTCACTGCAAGGCACGTGGTCCACGTCGACACTCTCATAGCGACTGCCGCAGGTCTCCCACCACTTCTCGACCTTCAGGCGTGGGATGTCAGAGGGATCTCTGAGGTTAAAGAGCAGTTTGTTGGCACTCCCGTCGGTGCGAACTACACACTTGCCGTACGTAATCGCACACAAACTCACCATAGTGTCGTAGATCCGAGCCAACCGGGATATGACCGATCGATGGTATCTACCACTGGGATTCTCGCGGCTGGCAAACTCCGATACACCTGTAAGTGTCTGCTGTAAAGTCTGGTTTCCCTTTGCTGACCTAGGCAGTGGTGATGCGCCGGACATTGGCACGTCTGTTCTCCAACGTACCGTTGACAACGACCGCTCTGGTCGCGATGCGAAGCGAGTTCAAGCTACTCGGAGAAGACCTCAACTGGCGCATCTCTCGCATACCAGACTCCTCATCGACATCAGCTCGGCAGCTCACAACAAGTGACGACTTCGAGAACAACCCTATCCTCAACAGGTGGGCCAGATTGCTACTGTCGGTCTACATGGACCAAGCATTCTCTATCATCTGTCATCCCGTCCTGCGGTCGCAGCTGGGATACTTGTGGCCCGATTTATATTCTCAGTAAGCCTCCCACCTCGCCCTTAGAGCCACGGCTAATGTGACCGCAGAGCAATACAGTCATGCCACAGCCTCTGCTTGAAGATCGGACAAATCGCCTCAACAGAAGCCTTCCGCTGTTTCAACTGGAGCTGGCCAGGCAACCATCAACCTCTAAACGCCATCATGCTCCTCTTAACGGATCTTTTGGACAAGCCAAATTCAGCACACGCAGCTCGTTCGAGACAAGCGATCGACCTTGTCTTCGCGCTTCTTGGTCCTGATGGCGGTATCGTGGCGGGAGCTGGTGCAGAGCATACGATAACGAAGCGACCACTACTGGAAGGCGGTCACGAGAGCTGGCAGTATCTGCAGCAGTTCAGAGCAAGGGTATGGCGAAACTTCGGCCTGGACCAAAGCGACATCACGACCCGCGAGCAAGCGGTTTTGATCTGCAGTAACGCTTCGGTGACAGATGTGAACGTTGAGCAGGGGCCGATGTGGAGCCAAGAGGGCGCAGAGATGATGGACGAGATGACAGGGTTGGACATCGGGGAAGGAATGCAGGAGAAGTTTGGAGGAGAGTATGAGGTTGGCTCGCCGAATATCGACTGGGACTACTTGGATGCTGTGCTGGCGGGGAATGTCACGCGTACGGCTGGGGAGGATGATGATAGCTGAGCTTTTCAATCAGCCGGGTCAACTGTGTATATGGGTGACCGGACGTATGGGGTAGGAGTATCAAGGATATTTGGAAACTAATCGACCCGCCTTGACCTTTTAGCCGCCAAAAGCTTCGATACCTATAGTGGGACCCCTCTCAAGCAATGCATTCGGCAGATGTATAGACCGAGACACCATCCATATTGTCTGCAGGTATTAATCAATACCACCCCGTGGAGCCCCGCTTAAGCGGTACCACTCTCTCGCGGCTGAATAGCAGGTGAAATCTACGTCGACACAGGTATAAACATGGGCGAGTTGCACACAATGGACAGGCTTCAAGGCGGCTCATCCTCGCAAAGATGCGTTATACTTCGTTGCTTCTCGGCGCCTTTGCTACCCTCGCCGCAGGCTCAAATGTCGAACGAACTGCAGTTCCAAAGCACTGCACCAAGCTTCCTTCGGACCTCGAACTCAAGAACCAGACATACGTCCTTCCTGATCCCTTCCACTTCCTCAATGGACGGAAAGTGAAGTCCACAGCACAGTGGCAATGCAGGGCAGCACAGATCCGGGAGCTGTTTGAGGTGAGTGCGAAGTCTTCCACCCTTCCGTCTGCAATACTAAATCGTCCCAGAAATATGAGCTGGGTTACAAACCATCCAAGCCACCAGTCTTCTCCTCGATGTTCTCGAATGACACCCTCCACATTGTTACCGGGTTGTCGGACGATAACACGATCACGTTCTCTGTCCCCATCGACCCTGCTAGCAAGCAGACGAAGAAGAAGAAAGCGCCAGCAATCATCGTCTACGGCGGTACTACCGTACCAATCCCACCCCAAGTCGCCACCATCACGCTCAATGTCGACGCCATCGCTCAGCAAAACGACCAATCCAGCCGCGGCGTCGGCCTGTTCTACGATCTGTATGGAAGTTCGGGCGACACCACTGCCGGCGCGCTGATGGCTTGGGCTTGGGCCTCCTCCCGCATCATCGATGCCCTCGAAGCGCATCCGGAAGTCGGCATCGATCCCCAGCGTGTCGCAGTCACAGGCTGCTCCCGCAACGGCAAAGGTGCCATGGTCGCCGGTGCTTTCGATGAGCGTATTGCCCTGACCATCCCACAGGAGTCGGGCTCCGGCGGCGACGCATGCTGGCGCACCAGCCGGGACATGCTGGTGAACCAAGGCCTCCTCACGCAAACGGCACAGGAAATCGTTGGGGAGAACGTCTGGTTCTCCGAAGCCTTCGACTACTTTGGCCGGGACAACTACACTGTCGGCCTGCTACCGGTGGATCATCACGAGCTGGCCGGGCTAATTGCACCACGTGGTTTGTATTCCACCAGCAATGTCGGCTTCCTGTGGCTGGGTGGGTGGAGCTGCTGGGAGTGTATGAATGCTGCAAATGACATTTTCACGGCGCTCGGAGTGCCAGATCATCAGGGGTTCTCGCAGGATGGGCCACACGACCATTGCGCTTTCCCGGATGACCAGCGGAGCGAGGTCGCGGCGTTTTTTAGCCGTTTCTTGTTGGGGCGCGAAGCAGATACCAATGTGTTCAGGACGGTAGGGAACTGGACTTTCGACCCGAGCTGGACGCCTTGGGCTGTCCCGGATCTATCGTAGTGTCAGTATCTAGCAATGTCAATTGGTCCTGGCTTGCGAGTGAAATGCTCTCTTGGCCCGTTGTAAGATTGGAAATTCATTCAACACCTCTCCTACCATATAGCTATGCGCTACTACCTGCCTACAACAGCTTAGCCTTCAGTATCTCCAAATCACCACGGAGATCAACAAGCTGGTCTTTGCTGATGCCAATATCGCCTGGCTGGACCATAGCATCGCCCTTCAAGCGTTCCCAATCACCCCAGAGCTCTCCAGATTGATATTGCATGCTCATTTCGACACCAGCTGGACCATAGAGCTTGTTGAACGCCTCAGGTGCAATGGGCATATACACCGCTTCTTTACCAGTGACTTCCGACCAGACCTTGAGGATATCGGTGAAAGTCATGAGGTTCGTACGCACATCGACGTACATGCCACGGGTCTTGTCTGGATGGGCGAGAACGGCGACAGCGAAGCGGCCCAGATTGGTGGTCACGTTCCCGGAGACAGGCAAAAGGGCATCAGCGCGGGATGGCTGCGTCCAGAGATACTTGCCAGTTTGCGGGACCTCCATCGGACGGCAGAAGAACATGTTTGCCATGTTTGAGCTGTACCAGCCCATCCAGATGAAGGTCGTCTTGGATGCTAGGTTTGGGAGCTCCTTCTTGATGCGCTCGTCGACACCGCTTTTGTAATCCATGTGTGGCACCCGCCGTTCGCCTTTGGTGAGCTCGGTGGCGTTGGGGAGGGTGGACATGAGGTAGTGCTCCAGGGTAGGTGTCTTTGAGGCAGCAAGAGCGACATTGTAGGCCTGATTTGCTTCGGCCTTGTCGGCTTCGTCTGCGCTCTTGCCGCTGAAAAGCAGCTCCCAAAAGTTGGTAAGGCAGAAGACCGCTTGGACACCCTGAGGAAGGTCAGTCGAAGTCTATGCTCCTTGGTCATGGAGGAGTGACGAACTTCGAATGCTTTCACTAGCGAGTCAAGGTCGTCGATGTCCGCCGAGACCATTTCTGCACCCTCGCCAGCTAGAGTTTGAGCTCCTTTCCCACTCGTATTGCGGGTGAGGCCACGAACTTTCCAGCCATCTTTGAGACAAGCTCGGGCAACTGCTCCGCCTTGTTGTCCAGTAGACCCGAGAACTGCGATTGTGCGAGCCATGTTGCTGCTGGACAGTCTTCAATGATGTTCTGAAAGTCGCAGAGGTGCTTCTGTATGGTATTCATACCCTTGATGTTGTACCATTGTACTCTGCGTAAGAGCTGACCAACTTCGGCCCCTAGAACAAATGATTGCCTTCTTGGTTCTCTGTGGACCGATTGGTAACCTCTGACTACATCCGCGTTTCGGTACCTCAGCCTTGCATACTGGAGCTTTGGAGAGCTACAGCTGTCCCGTTCAGTCGAGCGAAGCTAGAAGGAGATGAAGGACGTATACGGAATCCGAAGGACTGTCATGCTCCACGCTGGACGTGTCGTTGACCTCCATCGTCTCTCGCTCGGGCCTAAAATTGGTTGTCAAATGGTATGAGACTGTCAGGCATTCGAATTCATGGTCACCCAGCGCGCTGAGACTTTGCGTAGTCGGCCGCCGAATATCCACACTACCACGCCGCATTTGCGGTCTGTTGATGGTCATTTCTCTGCCATACGACGCTTTGAGTCTTTGGTAGATTTGTCGGTGATGGTGCTAATGAATCAGGAGGGAGGGAGGGACGGCTGGTGCATGAGAGGGACGTGTCGTTGCCGCCCGAAACCTCGGCCAAGCAAAGCCTTCTTGCACCTCTTCTTGCTTAACATGTCCTAACACAATTGTCTCCCAGGAAAGAATGGCATCGCTCAGCTCTCACCTCCGAAGACTATTGAGGTCACCGGCAGTCCCTCAGCAAAAATTGAGCGAGCCTTAAGACGGCGGGTGAAGACATGCCACGGACATTAGCCCAACATGTGTTCAGGCGACTCCAACAACTTAATTGCCACACTATACACGGGGTGCCCGGAGACTTCTTCCTGCGTACACTGGATCATGTTACGACGTCGAGGTCAAAGTGGATAGGAAACGCCAACGAGCTATGCGCCGGCTACGCTGCAGACGGATACGCCAGAACTGTCAGCCAACTCGCCCGCCATCGATCCAAGGACATGGATCCAAGCCCCATGATAGGTGCTTTCATGACTACTTACGGCGTCGGAGAGCTCTCGGCAATCAACGCTGTTGCAGGCTCTCAAGCGGAAAGCGTCCCTGTCGTGCAACTCGTCGGGACACCCAGCTCAAAGCCCATGAGACAGCAAGACCCCTCCAGACTCGTACACCATACGATACCAGGAAGAGGCATGGATGTCTATAGCGAGATGGTCGACCATGTCGTCTGCAAGCAAGCTCATCTGAGGCTTGCCAAAAATGCCAACGACGCTGCTGAAATGTATGACGATGCCTTGCAAACGGCCATTCAGCGCTCGAAGCCGGTCTATGTAACGTTGGCTAGCGATATGGTGGACTTGCCTGTATCAACAGAGCTGCTCGACGATCCAATCCAGGTCTCTCGTAAAACTTTGGACGCTGGCCTGGTCCAAGACATCATCAAGAGATTGGCGCAAGCAGCGAGGCCGCTCATCATTGCTGATGCTTTATCGTACCCTTTCGGACTCCAGGCTGGGGTCAACGAGCTTGTCAGATTGACCAATATCCCGGCAATGAGCTACACGTCTGGAAAGGGTATCATCGATGAACTTCTGCCATCGTGGAGCCCGGACATGCCAAATACCACGGAATACAGCCGCAACTGTGACATGGTTCTTGTCTTTGGGCCTCTGCCCAGTGATACCAATACCTCAAGATGGTCAGCTATACCGCAAACTGAGAATGTGATATCGTTCAATCTGGACTCGGTTGAGCTGTCGACTATGGAAGGGAGAAGTATGGTCGAGTCGAGCGGCAGAGAAGCCCTCGCGCAGCTGGTGGCTACACTTAGGTCGGATATTGAGCTGCTCAAGCGGGTTCGGAATGAAGCGGTCGAGAACAACAAGACGATACCGCAGAAGCGACAGCCTCCTTCTCCCGCTCAATCAACCACCCAGGATGACTTCTGGCCAACAATGTCCACCTACCTCAAACCAGAAGACACGCTGCTCTTTGCTAACGGCACTCCACTGATCGGAGGTAGGGCCCTTCAGTTGCCGGAGAGCTGTCAGGTCGTGGCCAGCCCAATTTGGAATGCCATTGGAAGCATGCTGCCAACCGCCCAAGGCATCGCAGCTGCAAAACGTGATCACCAGCTGCCAGGCCGGACTATCTTGTTCGAAGGCGATGGGAGTTTTCAGGTCACATGTCAGTCTCTCTCGGATATTATCAGGTATCATCTGGATGTCACGATCTTCATCGTCAATAATGCTGGGTACACGTACGAGCGGTACTTGAATGGAATGCAAGCTGAATACAATGATGTGCCGGCCTGGAGATACGTCGACGCCGCAAGCTTCTTTGGTGCGAAGAGCAACGATCCTAGCTATCCTGTGTTTACGAAGCGACTAGAGACTTGGGGAGAGCTTCTTGAAGTATTTGCTGATGAGAAGGCGAACGACGGGAAAGGTCTAAAGATCTTCGACGTTGTGATGGACCCGCAAGATGTTCCTGAGGCTGCGAAGGCTGGGCTTCGGCGGGCGAGTGAGGCGTTGAAACAAATGCGTGGACGCTGAACGGGGGTGAAATTCGCGGCCGAACAGCTAATTGGCCGCCTGACCATTAAGCTGTTTGCAGCTGAAAGACATTCTTTGTTGTCGTACTCCGCAACGCCTGGAATGGAAGACTGTTGACCAGCAGCAGCGAGGGGCAGCCGATATCTGGCTGTTCAGATTGCAACAAAATCCAGATTCAGAGCCGATTCACACCAATCACCCCAGTCTAGTTGTCCCGACTCGACATCATTCAATATGGCAGGTTCGGGCTACATCAGCAACTTCATCTTTGGCCTTGTCCTCCTTGTTGCCGGCCTCGCAGCAGCAAAGCCCGTCAAGCACGTATGGGACTTCGACTTCCACGCCGGCAACAACAATCTCAAGTGTCCTGCAGCAGGTGGCTCGAAGTATGTAGGCCCGCGCGGTGGGCAGTGGGTACGTACTTCTCAAAGACCAACAATATCGAAAGATGCGTAGCTGACGCACAGACAGGGTATTCTTTGTGGTTGGGACACCAAAACGACACCTTAGCACTGGGGCCCCATCTCGGACATCAGCTTCGAGCAGTGCATCCAAGAGTGCGGCCAACTGGACGGCTGCTTCGTCGCGACGTACACGGGGACGTGCTACCTGAAGACAATCGGCAATGTGAAGGGCAAAGGCTATGTGAAGAAGAACAATAACGCCTACAGGGTTGCTATCAAGCTTAACTAAGAGCGGCGACCTTGGAGGAGGACCGAGCCCAGCGCCACGAGCATGCGACTAGGACCGTTGGAGAGTGTTCCTTGCTGTCGGTCATTGTTCAGGAGAGTGGGTATGCCACACACCCGCATGCGGAAGGAGTTCTTTGTTGCACATGCGAATGAAAGCTCAGTATTGAGCATCGTATCTGAATATCTAGATTCCATTCTCCAACTCTCTCAACTTCCTCCTTCCATCCTCCTGCTTCTCGAACTTCACTCTCCAGTAGTAGCAAGCAAGCAAGAGCCCCATCCACCCAGCAACAATGGCCCGCATCACCTTCCTCGCCACCCTGCTGGCCGCCTTCCTCCTCCTCCTCTCCGTCTCCGCCGGGCCCCTCAAGCACAAGGGCAAGCACTACGGCGGCCGCCTCGGCGGCAGCGGCAAAGACGTTGACGCCGACATCGACGACGACGACGACGACCTCGTCAAGCCCCACCGCGCCGGCGCCCAGCAGTCCCACAACAACCGCGGCAAAGACGCCGCCGACTTCCACTTCAAGCCCTCGCACAAGCAGCACATCACCTGTCCATCGTCCAGCGGAACCCTCTGGACCGGCGGCCGCGGAACCAAGTTCGGGATTCTCTGTGGTTGGGACACGCAGTCCCATACTTACCACTACCCGCCGCTGCACCATCTGAGCTTCGAGCAGTGCGTCAAGGCTTGCAGCCATGTGCACGATTGTACCGTGGCGACTTATGTGCCAAGGGCTGGGTGTTATTTGGAGAAGCATGCTAATGGGCGTGGGTATGTGAAGAGTGGGAAGAACACGCAGGTCATGACTGCGATTAAGATGAACAAGGGGGGTGATGTTGGGAAGGACAGGGACTAGAGCATGATGGATGGAATGCGTAGATGTCTGTAGATGGCGTAATTAATGGGGTTGTAATGGTGTTGGTCCTCTGAGCTCAGTCGTGCAAGTCTCGCTCCAATGTGACTTCGGGTCTGTCGATCCTGTAGATGATCTTTGCGGTGTTGAGGTAGGCTTCGTATTCCACTTGTTCGTCTTCGAGGTCGTAGTGGTAGTGGCCGCCTCGATTGCTTCCATCGGTAGTGAAGCAATGGGTATGTTCGATTCTCAAGCCCATCTTCTTGTCCGGGTCCGTAGAGTGAAAGACAGTGAGACAGACAATGGGGGAGTCGGGTGTCGACTCGAAATGATGATACGTGAGCCAGTCATTCAACTGCTTAGCATCTTTGAATGTGTATTGCTGTCCGGGAGGCTTCTCAGGAAAGTCCGGCATGACGTGGTAATTCGTCTTGCCAGACTTCACAACGAAGACGCCGCCCAGACTAATCGGTCTAGCATTGCCGTAGTGTTTGGAGATCCCACGCCGAATGCAGTCGGTGAAGCTCTTCTCGCCGCCTTTCCGACCTCGAGCAGTGACCTTGAGAACGGGACCAGGCTGGCCTGCTGAGCCGTAGAGGTTCATCATGAGTGCGCAGTCAACACTTTCACTCCGCTCGCAGACAGCCTTTCCAGACTTCTTCGCTATCTTGGTGTAGTAGGTCTGGTTCACCAAACCCTGCCCATAGTCACCCTTCCAGCTAAAGTTCGGAGCAAGCTCAGAGTTGATTCCCAGCCTATGCCAGGGTCCGGCTCCAGCACCAATGCATGAGCCATGATCAGTAGACATGCCGACAGCTTTGGCACAGCCAGCCATGTCGAACTTTCTATCAAGTCTCGGCTCCGGGAAGAGGTTGGGCTGGCCGCCGATGTCCATGATAAGCTCGTTACCAGACAAGCCTTCGGCAGCGAGATTGTATGGTGCTTCCCGAAGATCGGGACATTGCGTGACGCTGATGGACGAGGTGTTGTAGTTGGCTTCCAGTGCTGGTTGGATGACCGAGACGAGTTCGTCCAGCGTTGGTGGCGACAGAGGATACTGTTTGATGTCCATGTTGCTTGTAGCCTCTTTCGATGGGTGCAGATGATCGTTGATGGCTTTTGTCCGTTGCATGCTACTGACTCCGGAGTGTATCTGATGAGGTTGTGCCAAGTAGGTCGACCTGTTCAGAAGTCGGGTCCTAGTTTCATCGAATGCCAGATCCCGTCCCAGACAACAATGCTTTATACTGCTTCTCGAACGCCGGTAAGCTGGGTCATTCTCACTTAGAGGTGAAGTCGCCGACTCGACAAGGCTGTGAGATCAGCTCCGGCCGTAGCTTGCTGCTCGACCGAGGTCGCAAAGGACAATTTTGGGAGGGGCTTCTGAAGCTTCGAAGCAGAACCATCTCCGAGAACAATTGATGCGATTGATGCGGACGGATACTGTACGAGGTCCTTAGCGCCTGCCACGATGTAGACGATATCGGAGGCTTGGCCTGCGGTTGTTGTTGTGCAATCTGATAATACATATCAACATTCGTTCAAACTTCGTTCAAAAATAGAAGGATCTTGGACAACTCTTCCACTCCCTTGTTATTTGACGGTCGACTGGCTTTGCCGTGATAGTCTCAATCCCTCCAAGTCAGTCATTTCCTCAATCAGCAAAGTGTCAAGTCCACATCCGTACCATCCAAATATGGCTCTCCCCAAACCCGCTACCAACGAAACACCCAAGCACTTCCCGACTTTCCCGGACCTAGCTGGCAAAGTGGCCCTGATAACCGGTATTGGGCAAGTCGGAATTCCCAAATCTCCGACCTGGGGTAACGGTGCGGCTACTGCTCGCATACTTAGCTACAACGGCGTCAAGATCTTCGGCTGCGATATCAACCTCTCCGCTGCAGAAGCCACCAAGAAACGCCTATTAGACGCAAAGCCGGACGCAGAAGTCGAAGTAGTGACCTGCGATGTAACCAAGCAGTCCGATGTCGATGCATTCGTCAAGGCTGCAGTGGACAAGTTCGGCCGGATCGATATCCTCGTCAACAACGTCGGCGCCACGAGGCCAGGGGATCCAGCATCGATGACCGAGCAGGCGTGGATGCAGCAGGTCGATGTCAACCTCCATTCCGTGTACCGATGCTGTCATGCTGTCCTGCCGATCATAGAGTCCCAAGGGGACGGAGGCGTCGTGATCAACAACGCCTCCATCACCGCACTACGGTACATCGGCAAGCCGCAGATCGCGTACGCCACTGCCAAAGCAGCTGTTATCCGGTACACAAAATCCAGCGGGGTGATGTATGCGGCCAAGGGGATCAGATTCAACGCTGTGGTTCCTGGGTTAATGTACACGCCTTTGGTGGAGAATTTTGGGGCCAGCGAGAAGGAAGAGGATAAGGAGGTGTTCAAGAAGATCACCGAGCATAATGTTCCGATGGGGAAGATGGGGGACAGCTTTGATGTAGCGAATGCGGTGGTGTGGTTGGCGAGCGATGCTGCCAGATATGTGACGAGTCACGCGCTGGTGGTTGATGGGGGAATTACTGAGAGTACTGGTACCGGGGGATAGCATTGTGAGTGCCTTCATGACGCCGCTCCCACACTACACCGAGTATGTCTCTTCTCGACGGCGTGAAGGCGTGTAGTGAGAGATTCAACAGTCGCAGAGGACTGGCAGGATGGACCAATGTGGGAGATACTGCTCCTCACTTGGACGTGATGCAAGAGTGATTATCTTCGCAAATGGCGACTACATCGGCGCTTCGTTGTGCGTGCTCGTGTTTGTTGTATGAACCTGAAGACAAGGTGGAAGACGCGTTCATCCTGGTGTTGCTTCTCATAAGGCTGAGACCCCCTGTTCCGCCGCCACAACGCCTCGTACCTGCATCTTGGCGGTATCGTGATCGGAGACGTTGGCAACTGCGGTCTCATCTCACTTCCACATCCACACTCGCTCACTCGACGACAGCTCATTGACGACTCTTATACACTACAGCACCACAGCACAGCGACCACACCCCCTCTGCGACCGCCACGATGCGGCTCCACCTCCTCCCTCTCACGCTCCTCGCCGCTCTCACCCCCTCCATCCTCGCCGCGCCCAAGATCACATCGCCCGCACCCGGCGCATCAATATCCGCAGGCTCGATAACGGTGGAATGGACAGATGATGGCGATGACCCTAGTCTGTCGCAGTTCCAGAGCTACACCCTTACGCTGTGGGTTGGGGGCAACAGTCCGAGTAATTCGGTACGTTGGACACGACATCGAAGGGGGAGAAGAGAGCCGGCGGAGACTTGAGCGGAAGACGATGGGACGTACGGGCAGCAGAGTGCTAACGTATTGCACAGGCGGGACTGGTAGCAATCGGGCCTCAAGGGAATAAGCTTCCTTCGAGCGGTCAGGTCACAGGAACGATCGATCCCACAATCACTGCGAGTCTGGCAAATGGCTTGTACGTTTCGCGCTTTCTATACTTCTTGATTACGGAGTGCACAGCGGTATACTGACACAAGGCTCACAGCTACATTCAAATGATCGCCACGGCCAAAACCGGTACTGTAACAGCCAACTCTGGCCGCTTCTCGCTCACTGGCATGACTGGATCGCCCCAGAGCGCTGCCATTAGGAAGGCCGTCAGCGCTCTCGGGAGCAGCAATGCCAGCCCTCCAGACGTCAACGTACGCCTTGAACCATGACCACTTGATCTCTGCCGCTTGACTAACACACTCTCCAGGGCGTCGCCGGAGCCGCACCAGTGGCCTCCGTCCCCGCAGCAGTACCAGCACCTGCCGACGGAGCCTTTGACGTCGCGTACACCATGCAAACTGGTCTGACGAGATACGCGCCCATGCAGGGTGTCCCGCCCACGAAGATCACGGTCAAGGACTTCAAGCCGTTGTTCCCAACTAGCGCGTATACTGTGGCGACGACGTGGCTGGCGCGACCGACGATTGTGACGACAGTGACGGAGAGCCAGACGTTTACTAGGAAGCAAAGTGTGAATCAGGTGAGTTGTTTGTGCTTCAACACCAAGAGGAGCCATAGCTAATATATTCGACAGGCCAAGGCGCAAGAACAGCCGACTCCAAATAATGACATGCAGAAGTTCTTGAAGCGGTGGAAAGACTGAGTGGGTGCTATCGATGGATCTTTGTTGGCAGCAGGCGGCGTTTGAGGAGGTTTCATCAGCATTGCGAGGCGCATCGGTACGGCGCTCAGGGGCGCAATATATAGATGATGGTCGGGGGTTACAGATTTGTGCATTGGTACAGCTACCGTTTGTGACAGCGCTTTCGCTGAATGAGATATACGTCGACACATCATGATAGCCTTCGTCTCCGTCTTGAGATTCAAATGTACATAGATTTGGTGGCCTTGAAGAAGCAGTCACATCTGGCTGTATTGAATGGTCGGCGCTCGGGAGTCCGAATTTGCCCGCAAAGTGCATCTTGAAGTCGAGATGGCTCCAACATCACCACTTTCTCGCCATTGAGCGTCAACAACAAGGCCAATTGGCCATTACCCTACCGCCACCATGTCAAAGTCCGTCTCGTCACCAACGGCGCGACTCCTGCAGACCTCACGTCTCTTCTCGCTCCCCCGACCTCTACCGGCCCCCATCAACGACACCCTCACCTCCACCGGCACCTACCGCGCCTCTGACACCGCAACTCTCCCCTACCCAACCCATCAAGCCATCACCACACCCGCCGCCTCCCTACACCGAGGCGACTTCGGCCTCAAACGCTCGCTGCCAGCCCGAACAACCCGCAACACCAGCACCCCGGTCGTCCGCATCAAAGCACAAGACACCTATGAACATATCACGGACTTTGCGAGCTCAGCAGACGTAGTGGTGGGGCAGCGGAAGTTCGGAGAGATGGGTGTGCCGTTCGTGCAGAAGCTACCGAAGAAGGATAGTAAAGCTGGGCCGCCGACTGAGCCAAGGAGCGTGTTTGAGAATTGGATCGACAACACTGACCCGGAGGCGAAGATGCCTGTGGAGAGGAGAGGGAAGGCGGGAATGGGTAGTTTTGCGAGGGCAGGGATGGAGATGAGGGAGCCGAAGACGATGCAGAGGTGGAAGTTCGCTGGCCCTTGGGTGCCTGGGATGCAGGAGGGCGAGTTTGCGCGGTGGTTGGAGCGGAATATTGATCGGAGGAAGGGGGAGTGGAGGGAGTTTGTGCGGGGGAAGGAGGCGGATTCGCGGATGGCGGAGGCGCAGAGGCAGGCGAGAGAGCAGGGCGAGCCATTGTCCGGGGCGGACATTGCACGATTGCGGGTGGAGCTCAGACCTACGGACGAGCAACTGACGGAGATCGAGAAGGATCTCCGCGACACACACATCAGCGACCGACTCTCCTCCAACCTCACAGCGCTCATCCAGGAGTTCTTCGATCTGCCCAACCTCTACTACCCCGGCAGAAACAGCAGTCCCAACACCGCAACGGCGAGAATGGACTCCTACCTCAAGAAGTTTCAAGCAGCCACCGACGTCGACGAAGGCCCGCCCACCACCCACCCCGCCGCCGGCCTCTCCCACCTCCGTAGCTCAGCCATCATGCCCAACCACCCGCTCTACGGCCCACAAGCCTACGGCACCCCCGTCGAAGCCCGCGTCGTCCGCCCCCGCCGCACTACAGCCGGACTCAACGAGCACCAAGCCAGGATCGGCGTCGGCGGTTTCGTAGCCACGGACACGGAGTCCGACACCAAGCCGCCCGCGCAGCAGAAGGGACGCGAGAAGGCGGTCTCCGAAGCGAGCAGGATGACCGGGCAGTTGGACGAGGATTTGGAAGGTGGAAACAAAGTCTGGGTGCAGCCGGGCACGGCGCACGTGGATGAGAGGGGCAGGGTGAATTTGAAGGTGGGGAGGGCGGAGCCGGAGGCGTTGGCCGTGAAGAGGGGTGGGGAGGAGTTGGGGAGAATTATGCAGGCGAAGAGGGCGAGTCGGGCGGTGGAGCAGGGGACGGCTGGGTTGAGAGGACCCGGGGGTCGGCCGTTTGGGTTTGGAGGGGGCTTTAGGGGGGTGTGATGGTTGGTGGGTGTGTGTTAGATTACACTGTACATATAGCAAAGTTTGGTTGCCCGGTCAAGCAGTTATACTTTTATTTTGGTAGAGTTGTTGCTCGCATTGGAGGCAAAGACCCTGCAAGATCGGAGGATCTGTAAACCCGACGTCCCCCTCCAGCTCCACAACGCTGCGGCAGGACCGCAGGATTGGGTATGCACCGCCTCCTGTGTTTCTACATCCAACCACAGACATCTTCGGACTGGGCGTATCCGAGAGACGACGAGTAGCTGATGCGGGCATCGGCACGAGATCACGAGGAGGCGTTGAACAACATCTCTCAGACTTGAACAAGCGATTACCAAGCCTGCGACACGCGGGTTTCATGTGCAAGACACAGCATTAGACCAATCTTCACCCATTCGATTGACCTGAACACGCCATCATAAGGAGGCCAATCTTCCACCGCCACCCTCTTCAACACTCCACCAACACGACCCGAAGCAACACGCAACAACATCCGCCAAGATGTCGTGGAAACTGACCAAGAGTATGTCAACAAACCCCTCGATGCATAGCACACTATACCTGACTGTATTTGCTAGAACTCAAAGAAACCCACCTCGCCCCCCTTGCCAACACCTTCTCCCGCTCCTCATCCCAATCCACCATCACCCCCGAAGCCGACCACAAGTCCCCTCCGCCCTCCGGCGCGCAGACCCCTTCCTCCCAGACAACAACCACCAGCAATGGCTCAGACGCACAAGGCATTGCCGCCTCGGAATCCATGGTGTCGCCGCCCGTGGCACCAGCAAGATCCGGTATCCTGATCCTCACTCTACACGAAGGCCGTAGTTTCAGCCTCCCACCAGGCGCAGAAGCGGCGTTTCAACAAGGGCCGCGTCATGGAAGTAGTATGTCCGCCGGCAGCTTTGGGGGCAGCTACATGGGCGGCAACAGCGCGCGGCCGGGGTCCAGCCAGCATGGTGGCTATCGGCCGTCGTCTGCTGCGGCGGGGTCGAGCACGATCAACAGTGTGCCTTCGTCACATGGTCGCTACCAGTCGAAGTACCTCCCATATGCTTTGGTGGACTTTGACAAGCAGCAAGTCTTCGTCAACGCGGTGTCTGGATCGCCCGAGAACCCTGTCTGGCCGGGCGAGAGCACGCAGTATAAATTCGACGTTAGCAGAAGCACGGAGCTGAATCTGTCGCTGTACATCCGCAACCCGTCCGCGCCCCCGAATGCTGGGAGACAGCAGGACATCTTCATTGGCACGTGCCGGATCACGCCTACATTCAGAGAGGACGCGCAAGCGGGAGCAGACCAGCAGCCGCCCGGGTCTTCGGAAAGCAAGAGCAAGAAGGAGAAGCCGGCGATCACAGCTACGTCGAGCAATGGAAGCACTGTAGCAGGTGTGCAATGGCATGACGTGCAGTATGGCACTGGCGCGATACGGCTGGGCGTGAAGTTCGTCGAGAACCGACAGCGGTCGTTGAAGATCGAGGACTTTGATCTGCTGAAGGTGGTGGGCAAGGGCAGCTTCGGCAAGGTCATGCAGGTGATGAAGAAGGACACGTCGCGGATCTACGCCCTCAAGACGATCCGGAAACAGCACATCATCTCGCGGTCCGAGGTGGCACACACACTGGCCGAACGATCTGTCCTGGCTCAGATCAACAACCCTTTCATCGTACCGCTGAAGTTCTCCTTCCAGTCACCCGAGAAGCTCTACCTCGTCTTGGCCTTTGTGAACGGTGGCGAGCTCTTCCACCATCTGCAAAAAGAACAACGCTTCGACATCAACCGCTCCCGCTTCTACGCCGCCGAACTTCTATGCGCCCTGGAGTGTCTCCACGGCTTCGGCGTCATCTACCGCGATCTCAAGCCGGAAAACATCCTCGTCGACTACGTCGGCCACATTGCCCTCTGCGACTTCGGTCTCTGCAAGCTCGACATGAAGGACGAGGACAAGACGAACACCTTCTGCGGCACACCGGAGTATCTCGCGCCTGAACTGTTGCATGGACAAGGCTACACCAAGGCAGTGGATTGGTGGACGCTAGGCGTGTTGCTGTACGAGATGTTGACGGGTCTCCCGCCTTTCTACGACGAGAACACGAACGAGATGTACCGCAAGATCCTCGCCGAGCCGCTGCATTTCCCTGGACCGGAGATAGTGCCTCCGGCGGCGAGGGATCTGTTGACGAGGTTGTTGGATCGCGATGCTACGAAGCGGTTGGGCACGAATGGGGCGAGTGAGATTAAAGTACATTTCCTCCCTCCCACCTCAAAATATTCGATCTGTGCTAATGATGAAACCAGGCCCACCCCTTCTTCCACTCCATCGACTGGCGCAAGCTGCTCGACCGCAAGTACGAGCCTAGCTTCAAGCCTAACGTGCTCGACGAGCGCGACACGGCGAATTTCGACAAGGAGTTCACGAGCGAGGCGCCGACGGATTCGTATGTGGAGGGCCCGATGTTGAGCCAGACGATGCAGCAGCAATTTGCTGGTTGGAGTTATAACAGGCCCGTGGAGGGTTTGGGGGATGCGGGGGGGAGTATTGTGCAGGGAAATGGGTTTGGGGGGCGGTAGTGGGGATCTTAGATCTGGATGGGTGTAGATGGGTGGTAGGGTAGATATGATGAGATGAGATGTGGACATGTGAAAGCTTTGATGGCTGTTCTTCTGCGAATCATTGGGTTTCTGATATGCGTTGGCTCTTCTCCATTCGAGTATCACCACACAAGCCTGTCCAAAGTTCTATCTGACCATATTCAGCATGAGCAGTCAGCGAGATGTCAGTGGATAGGGTGTTGCTTACAAGTCGCTGAGCAAAAAGGTGCCCCTCCAGCCGTGGTGGGGCAGTTTCAACGTCACTGAGCGTTTGCAGCTGGCGACATTTTTTCGATCGACCTCAACAGCACCCACCGACTTTATCCGCCTGAGTCCGGATTGACACCTACTTCTCTTTATCCACCTGCAAACTACTTCACACAGAAGAGAGCCACTCGACCTTGGTAAGTGGCAGCCATTGACTCTCAGTCGGTCGCCAGACTCAACTAACAAACGCTTCTGAACAGCACAACCAGACTACGAAAACAACCGCCAACATGCCCGGCTTCGCCCAAGCAATGGAGCTCCCAGCGTGGAAGACGCTCCAAGAACACCACGAAAAGCTCGGCCGCGGCATGGTCCTCAAGACCGAGTTCGAGAAGGACCCGCAGCGCTACGAGAAATACAGCCGCACCTTCCACAACGAGGCCGACGGCAGCGACACCATTTTCGACTTCTCCAAGAACTTCCTCACCGAGGAGACACTCCCCAACCTGGTTCAACTGGCGAAGGAGGCGAAGCTGGAGGAGCTTCGCGATGAGATGTTCAAGGGGGAGAAGATCAACTTCACCGAGAAGAGGGCGGTGTATCATGTAGCGCTGCGCAATGTGAAGAATGAGAAGATGGAGGTGGATGGGAAGAGTGTGGTCGAGGGGGTCAACGAGGTGTTGGAGCACATGAAGGAGTTCTCCGAGCAGGTGAGGAGTGGAGAGTGGAAGGGGTATACCGGCAAGCCGATCGATACGATTGTGAACATTGGCATTGGTGGGAGCGATCTCGGCCCGGTGATGGTGAGCGAGGCGCTGAAGCCGTATGGCAAGGAGGGGATGAAGTTGCATTTCGTGAGCAACATCGACGGCACGCATATTGCGGAGGCATTGAAGGATAGCAACCCCGAGACGACGCTGTTTTTGATTGCGAGCAAGACGTTCACCACCGCCGAGACGACGACAAACGCGAACACGGCCAAGCAGTGGTTCTTGAAGAGCGCAAAGGAGCAGGATATCGCGAAGCACTTTGTTGCGTTGTCGACCAACACTTCTGAAGTGGAGAAGTTTGGCATCGACAGCAAGAACATGTTCGGCTTCAGCGACTGGGTTGGCGGACGCTACTCGGTCTGGTCTGCTATCGGGTTGTCCGTGTGCTTGTACATTGGCTACGACAACTTCCACGAATTCCTGGCTGGTGCCAATGCGATGGACCACCACTTCCGGACTGCACCGCTGGAGCAGAACATCCCGGTCATTGGTGGGCTGTTGAGCGTGTGGTACTCTGACTTCTTTGGCGCGCAGACTCATTTGGTTGCTCCGTGAGTATTCATCCCACCACACGAAACTGATGGTGGCTAATGATTTAATCGCAGCTTCGACCAGTACATGTCCCGCTTCCCGGCCTACCTCCAACAACTCTCCATGGAGTCCAACGGCAAAGCCATCACCCGCTCCGGCGACTATGTCAAGTACACGACCGGCCCGATCGTCTTCGGCGAGCCCTGCACCAACGCCCAGCACTCCTTCTTCCAGCTCCTGCACCAGGGCACCAAGCTCATCCCCACAGACTTCATCATGGCCGCGGAGTCGCACAACCCAGTCGAGAACAACAAGCACCAAAAGATGCTCGCCTCCAACTACTTCGCTCAGGCGGAAGCGCTCATGATCGGCAAGACCCCCGAGCAAGTCAAGGCAGAAGGCGCCGCGGACGACCTTGTCCCCCACAAGGTCTTCCTGGGCAACCGTCCCACCACCTCGATCCTGGCGCAAAAGATCACGCCCGGCACGCTGGGCGCGCTGATCGCGTACTACGAGCACTTGACGTTCACCGAGGGCGCAATCTGGAACATCAACAGCTACGACCAGTGGGGCGTGGAGCTGGGCAAGGCGCTGGCGAAGGGGATCCAGAAGGAGTTGGATGACGCGGGGACGACGAGCGCGCACGATAGCTCGACCAACTCGTTGATTAATGCTTTTAAGAAGATGGGGGGGTTTGCTTGAGTTTAATGAGCTGACCAGTGATGGAAAGAGAATGGCGTGGACAGAGTCTTGATGAGATGACGAAAAGGCAACGAATAGGAGATCACTGCAGGTAGATATGATGAATGTGATATGTGAATGAAACAGCCTCACCTCGTCTCAGCAACAGTCTAGACCTAGTACACGACCCTCATAATCCAGAGCTGCAGAGGCGCTAGCGCGTGTTTATTTTCCTCTCATAGAGAGGAAGAGATCTCAAGCCCACGTCGAGCTACTCAGTCCTAGATTTCTGCTTCTGAAACTCGAGAATATGAAGTCTTCGACTTTGGAATTTCATTGGCTGTGCTGATGGAGGCGCTAGTGGGTTCCATTTTCTTCTCAAAGAGGAAGACAGATTCCCAAACTCACTGGGGGTTTCTCAGTAGTAGATTTTTGGCTTCGATACAGGAGAGTAGGCGGATGTGAAGACTGATGGTGGTTGGCCGGACTGAGGGAGGCGCTAGTGGATGTTCAATTTTCCTCCCCTTTGACGCTGCTTTCCAGGACGACAGGAGCATGTCAATGCTCTGGGATTTGGAGAAGAGGGTTTTGATGGCCGGCTGGTCGATGTGGTGAAGAAAGATCTTGACCTGGACGGTCGTGGTTGTGGCGGCGTGTCGCTTCTCCGCGAGCGTGAGGGAGGTGATGTCGGCTTTGTCGAGACCACATTCTTTGCTTGCGGAGGGGGAGAAGAGGCAGGTGATGCCGATTGGCTGGTGAAGAGATGGCGCTAGTGTATGTTCGATTTCCCTCGACTTTGCAATAATTCCCTTGATTTCCTAGTGATTCCCTTTTTATCGACGGATTTCCTGCTTTTGAAGTTGGAGAAGAGGCTTGGGAGTCCGTCGAGCGGCGAGTCGGTATCTGGCTCATGTTGGCGGCATGTAGGCCAGTGGGCGCTTCTCGACGGAAGCGATGAGGGTGATGCCACTGCAGTCTGGGATGAGGTGAGGTTGTAGGATGCTGGTCTGGGAGAAGAAATCGTTCCAGTGGGACGTCCAGTGCGATTGGCTGTAACCGCAAGCGAGCTGTATAGCTTCATGCACGGTAGGACTGTGCAGCTGTTAGCTACTCCCACTAGTACTCCATGCGCATGTTGACAGGCGGCAGACCAGGAGAAGACACTGGGGGTCTTCAGCCCCGCGACGAGACCACCAGACTGTACGCAATACACTTCTACTCCGACCACCGGCCACTACCGTGCATGAATCTGCCATCTCGTCGACCACGCCTCTACTTCTTCCCCTCCGTGCGAGCATGGAGTCACAACAGCGCTTCAACGTCGAGCAAGACTTCTACAGCCCCATCCAACCCGGGGAGATACGTGTACTGAAGGCCGTATCGATCAAAGACCTGAGCTTCGAACTTCAGGTGGTACCGCTCGACAAGCCTCCCAAGTATGGCGCTCTTTCGTATGTCTGGGGAGACTCTACGCTTTGCAGGCAGATCCTACTTCAAGGCAAGCCTTTCTGGGTCACGGGGAACTTGTTCATCGCTTTGGATCGATTTCGGAGAGGTTTTGATGGTAACAGCGTTGCTCCACTGAAGAAACCTATCTGGATCGATGCTCTGGTAAGTTACGTTATGTGGGACGCGTCGACGCTGTGTCTAGTCTTGAATGAAATCATGTGCTCACTAAGGGTCAATTCGGCTTCCGAGGCGCTTGTGACGGTCTAGGACATACTGTTCGACGTCGAACTATCTTTCTTTCAAGCAGGAAGACATGCTGACGTCTTTCAACTCATTCCTGTAGTGCATAAACCAAAGCGATTCAGAGCCGGCTACGGCGGAACGAGGCGCTCAGGTGCAGCGGATGGCAGAGATCTACCATTCGGCCGAAATGGTATATGCATGGCTTGGTCAGCCCAGCGACGAGCGCTGTACCAGACTGGCAGCAGCCAAAATGGCAGAGTTTGAGCGACTGTTCACTCGATATGTAGCCCTACGGAAGAAGTCCAAGGACTGGGAAGCAGTGTCCCAGACATCCAACCTCTTCCAAGACTTAGCTAATGCTGATGCAAAGAAATGGACCGGACAAGACGAAAGCACTATCCAAGCATGGCAAGGGGTTGCCCAGCTTTGGAAGAGTCAATGGTTTCGGCGAGCGTGGACGCAGCAAGAAGGCACAGTGCCCGAGGTTGATAATCTGCTTACCCGCAGATACGAAACAATCCTTCGTATCCCGAAGAAAATGGTCGTCAAGACGCATCTCCTGTTTGGTAATGCGCACACAACTTGGACTGCGATCACGGCTGCCTGGCAGGTCGGCGGTCTCATTCTCAACGCTGACGTTCCCGGCTCTGAGCTGCTGAAAGACCCGGACTCAGACATAGCCTTCCAGAGATTGTTTGAGATCCGCTTCGGACGGGCGTTGCGGCTCAAGGCCGTAGACCGATTTGATCTACTCGAAACCATCAATCGATGGTACATGCTACGTAAGAAGTCCTTGTTCACTGAGGCGGCCCCCATGGATCCGCTGGAGACATTGAACAAATTTCGTCTGGCGGAATGTAGGGACGCGCGGGACAAGGTCTTTGCCGCCATGGGTCTGCTGCCGTCGCTGCGAGCCAGGATGCAGGTCGATTACAAACGTTCCACGCTCGACACCTACATTTGCGTGGTCTCAAGTCTGCTCGCCGCCCCCGGCGCATCGCTCGACTTCCTCGGCTACGTGAACAGGACGCCTAGCTTACTGGCAGCCTTGAAGCAAAGGCGACCAGACACTGAGTGGGAGAACTTTCCCTCCTGGCTGCCGAACTGGTGCTTGCCGTTGAAATTCCCTCCACTGCCAAAAGACCTGCACGTCGAGATTACCAAAACGTCAGACGGACATCCCCTGAAAGATAAGACTAACGCGACCAAGGGCGACACTCGGACTCGGACTCCAGTGTACAATGCCTGTGGTCGGCAACGCAGCCCAGACATCGTCATTCAGGGACGGCTGCTGCGAAGCTCGGGGCAGAATCTCGACACTGTCAGCGGAGTCATGTGGCTAGACACGCTGACCGAGGAAAGCAGTAAGGTCTTGGCTCGCTGGCAAATATCGACGGACAGATATCTTGACGACAAGGAGTTCTACCAAGTCAGATACCATGTCTCGTGCGCGGACGTCAAATATAAGACTGGCATGGAGGTGTCTCCGGTCGATCGTGGCTACGCAATCGGCCCTCTGATCTGGGCTGACAAGGCGACGCTTACCGAGGAGCAGCTGGTGGAGCAGTCGATCATGACGTACACGTACAACACCCTCCGAAGATACCGTGCCCTGTGCATTACGGCGCGCGGTCGTCTTGGGCTCGTGTTTGCCAGTACGGTGGTTGGGGATAGTATTGTGGCGCTTGCTGGGGGACAGGTACTGTACGTGCTTCGCCATACGGGGACGGCGGAAGAGCGGGATGAGTATATTGGGGAAGCTTATGTTCATGGTCTGATGGACGGAGAAGTCGACGGCTTGGTTGAGAGGGGCGAGGTATCAACGCAGACGTTTGTGATTCAGTGAAGATGAGTTGGCTCGACAACAACTTGGAACGCAGGCGGCTGTCGATTGATACCGAGCACCAAAAGCTTTGAGCGACGGCAAGGCATCACGGTTCAAAAGGATGCTCCTTGGGTTCAGGTGACGTTACTGTACCACCTATGCCCTGAGGACCTCGCAAGCTGCTCACCAGATTCCGGTCACCCGCCCCCACCCACCACCGACGCTGAGTGAGCAGGCGGCAGTGCCACGTCCGATCAACGACCCCAGCAACGACGTCCCAGTACGTCCCTAAAGAAACGCACCGCTGCTTCAAACTCGCGCTCACAGGTAGCGTTCGAAAGTAAGGCGGTGATATTATCTCTGCAGCTGGTCTCCCGGACGAAGCCTGGACAGTCTATCGACTCTCATTGGCTACTACTGACACCACGCTAGCGTATGTTCAATTTTCACGTTCTGTTGGACCATTCTCACGCCGCTCGGAGGCTCGAAAACCGTTCGCAAGTCGGAGAAGGGGCTCGAAATCACCTCAAGCTGAAGCATGACCGCCGACTGCCTGGACCGGAAGCCCTTGCATCTCGATAACCAAGTGTTCATCTCCAGAAACCGGACAAAGGTCTCGCAACCGCAGCGACTGCTGAAGTTCTCATGCCGGCTTGGTCGTCTTTCAGAAGAGGCAACGACTCACGATTGGCTGGAGCGAAGACGGCGCTAGTGTATGTTCATCGTCTCGACTTTTCGACGTGCTCCGGCGCAGTGCGAGGTGCTGAGAAGTGGTTTGGAAGTTGGAGAAGGGGCGCGAGAGGTCTAGGTGCTTGAGGCGGTGACGGTTTGTCGAGCTTCGAGGGCTTGAGGTGGTGCTGACGGTGCTCGCTTCTCCGTGAGAATGGGTGAGGTGAGGATGCTACAGCCGGCAGTGAAAGGCCCGGAGTGAGGTTGGCTTCCTCGAGAAATGGGCGCGTCCACTTCTGAAGGCCAGCTCGACACAGCGGGTGATCGGAGGACCACACTTGAAGCGCTGCGCGATCAAACGGGACGGAAAAGATCACGCTGGCCCATCTCATCAAGAGGTTTGATTTGTTGCATTCTGTCATGTTACTACAAGCAACTCAACTCGCTAACATAGGGGTATCATTCTTCTTCCGTCACCTCTCTCCCATCAGCCGTCACACTCGAAACGAAGTCCAGCACACAAAAACACCACTCTGACTTCACCACTCCTCATCAACAAACCCCTCGTCCACATCCTCCTCCCCCTCCCCCTCCACAGCAAACTTCGTCCCCAACGCCGCCTGCGCCTGCTGAATCAAATCTTTCAACTGGCGGTTCATACTGCTCATCGTGCGGTCGGCCGCTTTCTCCTGCTTCGCTTGCCGCTTGACGTACTTCTCTACTTCCGGGCTCATGCCGTCGAGACTCGCTCTCTCGCCGCTCGGGTGATTGCTAGAGCTAGATGGTCGCGATTGGCGCGGTGATCGCATCGGTGCCATTGAGGCGCGGCGGTTGGGTGATTCGGTCGTTGTTGTGAGTTGGAGGGCTGGACTGCCGGCGTGTGAGGAGGCGCGGCGGGAGACGGGGGCGAGGCTGCGTCGACTGTTGGCTCGGGAAGCTAGGGAGGGTCGGGGAGCGAGGTTGCTGCGTGGGACCGCGTTGCTGGAGGTTTTGCGGCGGGGTGTGGTGTCGATGGGCGTCTCGTCGGGCGTGCCGACCATGACCCAGCTGTCTTTGTCTGTTTGGCGGCGTTTGTTGGGTGGTCGTGTAATTGATGAAGGCGAGTATGAGGGATTGTCCTGCTCGAAGTCGCCCAGAAAATCGCCATCGTCTTGCCATTGACCTGGTACTGGCGTGCCACCTCCAGCATACCTCTGCGAGCGCATCCAGGACATTGGCGGGGACGATTGACGCTGTCGGTCCAGATCGTACCCCTTCCCACCTCCAGCATAGAACCCTTTAATCACGCTCGTGCCAAACGTAAACACCTTCCCAACCAACCCCAACGCCAACCCCGTCCATCCAGCCGATGCCTGCACAGACCCGTTCGGAGACGACTGCATCCTCGCCACCCCATTCCTCTCCCTCGCCAACGGTCCAGCCAAAAGCGCACCACCCGTACTCTTCCGCTCATCCGCATCTCTCACCCGCCGTCTGAAGTCCAAATCCCCTGCATATCTCGCCACCCCGTCCTCCTGCGCCGTAGCCATCAACCCCGGCGTATCCATTCCTCCCTTAAGCGCGTACCGCTCATTCACCAGCGCCGAGCTCTGCGCGCACGCGCTGCCGTACATGGCGTCGCTAGGTGTGGGACATTGGATCCAGCTTGGTGTTTCTGCCGAGCGTCCGTAGGAAGACCGATTCCAGGGCGTGGAGAGGTTTTGGCTGTCGTTCAGGCCATGCGCTGAGTCTGGCCGTTGGCGCTTTCGCGAGCGGTGGGAGGAGAAGTAGTCGGTGGATGTGATGGCGTTGTGCGATGGACTGGCGGAGTAGGAGGCGGGTGATTCTGGGGGGCGGAAGACGTGCGCGTGGAGACCTGAGGGACGGGGTGTGAAGGAGTTCATGGCGTTGTATGGCGTGCGGAGGGTGTGGCGTGGTCGGATTCCGTATCAAGGATAGCGCGCGAATGGAGTGAATGTCGGGAAGAGCATGTGACAGAGGTCTCACGCTGCTGTGGTCGCAGTCGGGTATGGATGGGGTGACGTTGGATGTTGCTCGAGGCAGACACATGAAAAAGGGAGCTTGGGCCAGCGCTTTGTTTACGCCGAGGCTGATCTCCAGGAGCTTAAACCCGCGCTACAACACCAGGGATGACGACGGACGGAGCAAAGATGAGAGATGGCCTTCAACACGTTGTGGTGATCGGGAGCAAAAAGCTCCAAATACTCAGCGTATCGCCAGCAACACGCCGACAGTGGGCGTACCATTCACTACATACAATTCCGCACCTTACAACCGACCTGTACCCCGAACACCGCCGCTAAACCAATACAATCCCCATTCCCCATTCCCCAAAGCCACCACCACCATGACCCCTACCGCGTACTCGCACTCCCCAACCACCCCACCTCAACCAAAAACTCAAACACCCTCCCACCCCTCGTCGTATCGATCCGCGAAATCTCCCGGACATTCTTCTTCTTAAGTTTACCGTCACTCTTCATCGCCTCGCGGAAAATGGCGTCTTTGATCGCGAGGTAGGCTTTAGGTTGGATGTTGAGTTTGGAGCAGAGCTCGCGCTCTTCGGGGAGCAGGAGCTGCAGGTCGGGTGAGGTGTCTGCTGAGAGAGAAATGGGCGCCATGCCTGGTACTGAGGGTACGGGTGCGCGTTTGACGGGTGCGTTGTCTTGGCCCGGTGGAGGGGTGGGGAGGGCGCCGTTGGTTGCTGGAGCGGTTGTGGCGCTGGTGTTGGGGTTTGTGAGTGAAAGGCGAACGGGTAGGTCTTTGGTCGTGTATTCGACTACAGCCTCTGCGGTCTCTGGCGGTGGCTGCGGACCTCCCTTTCCAACGCGAACGCCGTTCGTCATGCGGTCGAATTGGCCTAGATTTTGGTTCGCCGTGCGCGCGATGCGTTGCGCCTTCTCGGACTCGTATTTCTCGCCTGTGGCAAGGGTGGATATGCGCATGCGCCGCCACTCCTGTAGTTGTGCGATGGCTTGTCGCAGGTTGTGCTCCTTTTCCAGATCCTCGGAAAAGGAGACAAAGTCCGGATGGCTCATCATTCGCGCGAAGGGCTTGAGCTTATGGTGCAGATCCCGCTGCTCCTTGGTCCGCTTCTTGTCCTGCGCCAGGTTTTTCCGGTATTCTAATAGCTGATGGTTGAAGATGACTCTTTTCCGATCCGTTCTTGCCGTCAACCGGTCATTGTAGATCCCCATCACAACCATCTTCAGCTCCGTCTCCGGATCAAACATCCTCGTCGCGGGATTCACGCCCTCCTCCGGCGAGAACTGCATATGCTGCACCGCCTCCTCTGCCTCATTGAAATACTCATTCTCAAATTCCAGCCGGCCCGGCATGTACCCAGAAACCTCATGACAGCTCGGCCCAGAAGAAGTAGGCTTAGTCGGAACCGCAGGCGCGGCATTCTGCGCCTCCGCAATCGCCTCCTTCCTCGCATCTATCCTCCTCTTCTTCCTCGCCTGGAACTCCTCCCGCGGCACATCCTCGCTCAATCGCTTATCCGCGGGGCTCGCTCGTTCCGGCAGTGGGAAGAGCGCGCTGTCGACGTACGTCCTGATGTAATGATCCCTTACCTCATCTTTCTCCCTGAACCCACCAATATGATCCGCGATGTCCGCCCAGCTGCCTAGCCCGTACTGCTCCGCGCCTTCCAGCAACAGCAACTCCTCGTCCGCGCCCCATCCTTCGTCGAATATAGGTATCGAGTGCGGCTCTATAACCTGGTATGGGTGCGATCGCGGGTCGTGGTGCAGATTCGCCTCGCCTTTCGAGAAGCAGTCGACGCATAGGTCGTAGTCTGGGCACTGCTTGGAGGCGCAGCGGATGCGCACGGTGGCAGTGACGTCCTGGGAGCAGATGTTGCAGATGTATTTCACCCCGCCGCCGGAGGAGGATGAGTCCGATTTCGGGGCGCCTTTGGCTTTGGTGATGAGGCCCATGATGGTGGTGTAACATGGGAGAGGGAAACCGACCGGTGAAGGAAGGTAGATATGCTTGGGATGGCAGTGGTGCCGCGATTAGAGATGCGGTGTCGTTGAGTGGCTGTCGTGGAGAACACGAGAGTGAAGGCGGAGGTGCGGCCGCCTGGGAAATGTGGCGTTTTAGGATTCGGCCCGCGCCTGCAGATGAAGCTTAGCAACACGTGAGTTTGCTTCTAGAATGACTTCAGTGTCAGCACAGAAGTAAAGGGACTACAATGGTCTCGCAGCCCATGAGTCTTCAAACGAGGCCACAAATTCTCGATCAGTGTCCTGCATTTATTCTGTGGCTGCAATGGTATCTAGTGTATGCTCAATAGAAGCAGCCTTCCGCGACAGAGACGAGGGCCGACCTCTGCCTCCATTTTCTTCAATCATGACAAGAGCCTTTCTATGCTAGCCCCCGTATTATCCGTAATTGCTACCCTGGCGCGCAAACGTCTTGGCAAATGCCTTGCTTTCCAAGCCCACGCAATGCGTATCCAACGTTCTGTAGCACCACCCGCAATCCTGTCGATCATAGTCCTTCACATCGTGCTCTGCAGCTCCACAACCTTCTCGTAGAATTCTGGCGCATACTTCGCGTTGACCTAGTCGCCTTGGTTAGCATTTTGTGGTCAGAGTCGGAAATGACGAACTCACCTTCAGCAGTAACACCACCGGGTCCTTCACCCCGTCAACAACCCCAAGGAACTGCAACCCTCCACCCTGCGGCTTGCCCCCACCTGGTGCACCGAACTTCAACTCCTTCCCTACCGCCGTGTTGAGAATGACCCTGTGACTTCCGTCCGCGCGCATGAGTAATCGAGCGGTGAGCTTAGCATCCTCCTCGCCTTCGCCTGGCCTGGTGCAGTTGAGCTTGACCACCCCTGCTCCGCGCTCCTTCCACTCCTTCCCGCCATCCGGACCGTGGACGAACTGGTAGAGCTTCGCGCGGCACTGGTACTCGTTCTGCTCGTCCTCTTCGCCGGTTTCGAGGTCCTGCCTGTAGAAGCGTTCGTCTTGCTTGTCGGATTCTTGGGAGAGTGGGGATTTAAAGCCAGCATCGTCGTCGTCGTTATCGCCGTCTTCGCCCGCTTCGAGATCCTTCTCGTCGTCTTCCACTGCTTCCCCGAAGGCCTTCACCGGCTTGGAAGTGCTGGCGAATGATGATGGCTTGCCGCTAGCAAAGGATGTGAGACCGCCACCACCACCTAGACCGCTGAATCCAGTGCCGCCGAAACCGCCACCTCCACCACCAAGCTTGCCGAAGCCAGACGCTGAGATGCCGAAAGCAGTGCTTTCGGGTGCGGGCGGTCCGCTCGAGAAGGCTGACTTCTGACCAAGTGCTCCTCCGAACATGCTGCCGGACTCCTTCGATTCTTCCTTCTTCGTGCTTGATGCAAAGCTACCGCCCGTGCCGAACCCGCCAGAGGTCTTACCTACAGCGCCGAAGCCAGGAGTAGTAGATCCTGCAAGAGAGCCAAAGGTAGAAGCCGCGAATGCGCTCGAAGATGTTTGCGGAGCGTCTGGTGTTGGCGATTTCTGTCCGGCGAGAGATGCGAAGGGTGAGGATGCAGATGTGTTGGCGAAGCCGCTTGTCGATGGGATCTTTGTGGTCGATTGATCGTGTGTCGTAGGCTTGGTGGCAGACGACGTAGAATCTTCCGTGGCCGCCTTTGGCTCAGCTGCCTTTTCGGGATCTGGATGCAGCCGACTCCTCTTGATCTTCGGACTACTCATCTCCTCAACCACCGCTTCGCCTCTCTTGGCACCAGTGTGATCTGGCGTGCGTGAGCGGTCTGCTGTGGGTTCCGTAGGTGCACCGTTGGAGGTGACGTGCTGCTCCGGATCTTCGCGTCCGCGCTCCCCAGACTTCCGCTGCCCATTGTTGAGCTCATCTTCCTCCGCAGAGCTGTCCCGTGACCGCTTCCTCCTGTGGTTCTGTGCGTTGACGTTGATGGCTTCTCGTGATTGCTGGTCGATCTCCTCGTGGCTCCTCTTCCTCTGCAACCTCACAGGCTCTTGGGTCGTCTCTGGGTCCACTCCATTCTCGTCGACGGTGATGTTTTCAGTGGGCACTTCCCCACTGCTCGGCGGGGCGTTGGATTGGTCCTTGGATATGGTGGCTTTCTTCAGTTGCTCTCTCGTGCGCTTTTCAGGGCCCTCTGTGTCCGAAGTGACCACTTTCTCCTGCTCGCCCGCCATGACTTTAGTATTGGATCCGGCGAGCCAGCTTCTGGCAGTAAAGGGAGAGTGTCTTGTCTCTCCGATGTGTGCTCTTGTGCGCCGTTACCGAGCGCGCAGTAAGCGGAGGTGAAGTTCTTCGGAGGAGCAGGTATGCGCTGAGATTGACTGGCGCTTCCTTGCTGGTGAGAAGATCGATAGGACTGAGAGCCGGCGACGAAGGCTCGTTGTGCTTTGAACGACCAAGAACGTGGAAGGGTTTCGATATCACAGTGGTGCAGTGTGTTGGCGGACTGGATCAATCATGAAGCGAAGGCGTTGGTCTGTCGACAGCGAAGTGGTGCGGCGTGAGGCGTCAAGCCACCGCGGAACCTTAAATGTAGCCTCTGGTCTTGGCGGATATGAGTTGCTCGTGAACCGTCCACTGCAGACCTTACACGAGCCATTTACGCGGAGAATATGGCAAGACAAGTTTGCAGATTGCTATAATATAGTACAATGGACTCGCATCGAGTCTCAGACGGGTATCAGATCCAAACGCCAATGAAGCACAATCCAATGCTTCTGCTATAGCTCCCCGTAGACCGGTAGTCCAAATGCTTCCAGCTTTCGAGGCCAAGAACTGATCTCCAAACGACAAGAGGTCCAGATTACTGTGAATGCCACCCGGGACATATCATGGCCACGTGCAAGTACCAGCCCTTGGCTCCCACAATGCTGTGTCTCGTTAAGCCAGCGCACTCGCTCACTGCCACTAACGGGCGCCGAACGAAGTCAACACGCCCTCGGTCGGCCGCAACCCAAGATCTCCTCCAAAATGGAGCCGGAACCAGGAGCCAGTAATACACAGCCCACCTTCCTCCCATCACGGCCTCCTCTTCATAAGCTTCCTCATCCCCTTCCCAAACCCACCTCCCGAACTACTCGACTGCGCCGCCGCCGGCTGCTGCTGATACCCATAGCTCTCCCCAGTCTCGTAACTCCTCGCATCCACACTATCTGGCGCTGGCGGCGGATAAGTCTGCTCCCCATCATACCCGTGCCCAAGCGGCCTCTCCCAGCTTCTCTCAGGCAGCGCGGTCATGTTTGGACTTTGTCCCGGTGGTGGCATCCCGCCTTGTGGTGGAGGTGAGTTGGGATGGTATGTCCCTGTTGGATTCTGTGGCAGATAAGGTAGGTCTTTCTGCTGGTCCGGTGCGACGGTGGTTCCAAGGCCGCGCTGCTGCCTCAAGCCGGCCATTTCACGCTGACCGGCTGTGAGGGTGGCGGCGTTTTTGGCGTTCGCCGCAGCTGCCTTGTCGGGGTTGCGGCGGGAGTAGCGGGTGTCAAGCTCGTTGTTGATAGTGCCGCGGAGGGTTTCGCCGACGCCCTGGAAGGGGTGTTAGCTCGGCTGATGGGCTCTTTGTAGAAGATTTGCCCTTACATGCAAACCTATCGCAGCGGATTTCAAGCTGTCAATCGTGCCAGAATGTCGCGGCGCGCCTTCGTCTTCTCGCAAGTTGCCTCTACTCGGATAGCTGAAGTTATGCCTCGAGTTCTGAGCATCCACCGGCGATACAGGATTGTCAAAGTTCGGATTGAAATTGTTCGAGTTGAAAGTGTCCCGCGAAGGATTGTACCTCAGCTCTGCAGACTTGCGATTCGGGCTTCTGCGCGGGACATCGGGTGTATAGTTGGGTGCTTGGGGAGGGGTATGGGACGCATCTGATCGAGCGCCATTGTTTGAGGTGGACGGGTTCAGCAGATTACTCGACTGCACGGTCGGCTGGGTGTCTGCGGGCATCTCCTGGATCACGGGCTCTCCGGGTACGGTGTGCACCTTCGTCTCTTTCTTCCCATCCTTGCCCGCGACCGTCGTGGTTGTAGTTGTCGTCGTCGTCGTAGTCGTGACCGTCGTGAGGACCTCACCCGTATCCTCGTCCGTCACATCGCCCGTCTTCTGGTTCAGATTCAATCTCCTGTCTTCCGACACGCCCGGAATCGCGCCATCATTCCTGACCGGGACGTTCTCTGACGCCGTCGAGTTCTTCGGTTCGTTCTCGCTGCTCGCGTACGCCGAGTCGGCGACATTGCTGTTGTTCGACGGTTGCGCGCTGTGCTGCGAGTCTTTGTCGCGCTTGCCCAGCAGTTTCCCGAGACTCATTCGTCGCTTCTGCTTGTCCGTTGTCGCCATTGCGCTGTCTTTCCGCGACTGTACTGTTGTGTGTCCGATTGACCAGGAGCTGCAGTATTCGAGTCAAAGGCCCGCAATGAGGGACAAGAATAACTCTCTCACAGCAGGGTCATTGGAGGGGAAACTCTGTTCGCAAGGCCGGTCCAACTTCTCGGGCGACTCGACGTCACCCCCAAGGAGGCGTTCGAAGGATGCAAGCACGTCAAGCGCCAATCGAGCATGGATCGACCAGCAACCCGCACACAGCGCAGCCGTCACGCTCGATTTAGCAAATGTCCTTGAAAGGCGTTGGCAGATACGTCAGCTCTCGCGGAGACGGGTCCAACGAGCCATTATGTGGTTCCGATGGTGTGGCATCGTGTGGCATTGTTCGTATCACACTATGTATTGAACTGAACGACGCGACAGTGCTGAGGGTTTTTGAACGGAGGAGAGCTGAATCATGGAATGTTCAGATGTTGTCTCGGTGTGCTTCAGCTCTAATGTCATTCATGCAAAACTGACCACCTCCCTATTACCTCCCTACCTATCAAGTATACCAACTAACCTCCGGAATCTCCTCCAACAACTGCCACCTCCCCACCTCCCTCCGCCTATACGCCACAGGATCATGCAGCGAATGCGTCCTCAGATCCCGCCAGAACCTATCGAACAAATACTTCCGCCCCGTCGCCCTGGCCCCCAGCATCTCGAAGATACCGCTCGTGACCTGCAGCCCAGTGTCGGTGGCGACGACTTTGAAGTGCGCGACGTAGGCGGCTACTTCGCCTCGTGCTCGAGCGGTCACGGCGGAGCGGTTGAGTTTGATGGAGGAGTAGGTGCCGTTGGTATGACCGTTGGTGTGTCCGTTCGTAGCGCCTGCGCCAACGATGGTGGAGCCATGCAATCCGACGTCTGCATATAAGCGCGCAATCTTCTCACCAGCGCGATCGGCGAGCGCATCCGCGGCTTCGAGATGCGCAGCGAAACCGCCGTATCGCTCGAGGATGTACCATTCATCCGTCGCTTGGTCCTTGTTGTCACCACCAAAAGGCCAAGGACGAGTCTGCGTGGCCGTATACTTGCTCGCAGCTTGCAGCGCCCCCTGCGCTAGGCCGAGATAGAAGTTGCTGAAGACTAGCTGGATGGTGGGCAGAAGCATAGAAGCAAAAGGAACGCTGAGTATATCTTTCGTTGGACGCTTCGTGTCTGGGTCCCAGCCCAAAGCATCCGCCCAGGGGACTTTGATATTGTCAATCCTTACGCTGCCAGATTCAGTGAGGCGCATGCCAATGCTATCCCAGTTGTGTTGGAACTGCATGCCCGGTTGATCCGTCTTGACGAGCGTGAAGATATGGTCCTCCGTGCCTTCGAACACGCCTTCGAGTACGGTGAGATCTGAGATTACGCCGCCCGTATTAAAATTCTTGAAGCCATTGAAGACGATATTGTCCCCATCGCTCGTGATCTTCAAATCACTGTCTCGAGGATTCACGGCTCCACCGATGAACCAGTTGTTCTCGAGTATGACCTGCTGGATTGCCGTGGCCTGGTCTTCCGTACCAACCACATTTGCTGTCGTTGACCAAAGCAGATGGTAGCCCAACAGCATCCCAATCGACGCATCGCCCTTGGCGACCTCCCGTATGCATTTGTAGCCCGTCTCCCAGCTCTCGCCACCGCCGCCATACTCCTTCGGCCCCATGATCTTGAGCAGACCCGCAGCCTTGACGAGGTCGATCTCCGCGCGAGGGGTCTTGTTCTCGATGTCGCGCTTTGGAGCGTCGAGCGCCAGGATTTCGGCCACGTCTTTCGCCCGATTGCCCCATGCTTGCTGACTCGAAGGGAAGCGTTCACGGGCGAAGCGCTGGAAGGCGGACGAGTACACAGCCGGGTCGGTGGCCTCCGGTCTGTCTTTTGGCATCTCGAGATGTTTTCCTCCTCCAGTCGTGGCGCTGCGGATGTAGGAAGGAGAGGTCCAAGGACGAGTAGAGAAAGGAACAAGACGACACAACAAGGACTTCTACTCTCGAATGCCTACATTAAACCCACCGTACCTCTGCTTCACCATCTGAAGATCCTAGCACATCATGTCGAAGCCCACTCACGCACTGGCATGACAGAAAAGATGCGGTAGCTGTCGCGCACGCCATTGAGCTTGATGATGGCGAGTCCCTGTCGTAGATCGTTCTCTCCACGTTTGCCTGCAGGGAGCGCAGCATGGATCGTGTACATGTAGGCGTCGATGCGAGGACCGAGTGGACGGACCATTGGTGGGCATGAGGTCCTGTGGTGAGCAGGTGTTGGAGGAAAAGAAGATAAACGCGCTTTCGAGGAACTTAGTGGTCGGAAGGGTTCCGCTCCCCTCTATTCTTTTCAAGGACCGCCTGATTGACATGATATGATACCTAATTGGGTATTTAACAGTTTGCACGAGCGACTGTACTCTGTGGACAGTACTACAGTACCAGCGAGAAAGGCAGAGCGAGCTACTGCTTCTTTGCATCCCTCTCCGCCTTCCTTAACGCCCGCTTCCGGATATCCTCATGCATTTTCCGATTGACGCTCACAACAACCCCATTCATTGTCCCCACGAACGTCGCAATAGCCCAATGCATGATCCCATGCGCCCAGTACGGCGTGCTCGTCGCCATAATCCCCTGCGCACCACCACTCCTTCCAATCTTGCCCAATGCCGCTCTCACAAACTGCTTCGGAGTGGGCACCAGCAAGCTCGATCTTCTGATCTTGCTCATTGCGCTGGTGACGAGGTAGCTTTGCACGAGCTGAACTTTGATTCCGTGGGGCTGAAGCTCAGAGGCGAGAGCAGTGGACCATTGCTGGAGGAAGGCTTTGGAGCCGGAGTATGTGGCGAGTAAAGGTGTGGGCATGATGCCGCCGAACGATGCCATGGTCAGGATCAGGCCTTTCTTCCGCTGTATCATGCCGGGCACTAGGAGCTGAGTCACTCGTAGCGTGCCCGTGCAGTTGATCGTGATGATGTCCAGCATCTCCTGCTCTGATGTTTCTGCGAATGGCACCGGCATCGCGTGACTCAAACCCACGTTATTGACCAGTATGCTGATGTCGCCAACTTCGTCGATAACCTTCTTCAGCGCGGTATAGTCTTTATCTCTGTTCGCGGCAAAGTCCATTGCCATGTTTCGAGTCTCGACATTGTATTTCTCTTTGATCTCACGGGCTAGCTCGAGGAGCTTCGATTGTGTCCGTGATACCAGCAAGATGTTATAGCCTTTCGATGCCAGCTGTAGAGCGTATTCCTTTCCTATGCCGTCTGACGCCCCGGTAATGACGGCCCAGCTGCCTTTACTTGCGAATTTGCTGAGCTGGAGATGGTGGTGTCAGCTGCTGCACCTTCTGCAATACGGGTAGGCCTTGAAGAGCCCCCAACTCGCCTGCACGAGACATACCGATGCGCCTGGCAAGATGAACAGGCTAGCAATCATGCGCCAGAAGGAGAAGATCTTGAGCGACAGCCATAGCAGTCCAATGAAGGCGAAGGTCTGGGTCGTCGCTGAGGCGTAGTAGTCGTTCGAGTCGCTGCCCAACGCAGAAGCGATCTTGTCCGCCATGCTCGTATATACCAGTGCCAACACGAGGCAGAGTGATGTTGGTGGTCTTCGAACGATGAGGCTCGCGTCGCGGCTGGCTAAATTTAAGCTTCTTTTGCGTGGCTGGTGCAGTGAATGTTAAAAAGGGCGCTGGAGTCGGATCTTCAGACCTTTCCAACCATGACAACAACAATGGCTTCATTTCTTCCTCCGGCGGAAGGTCTCCTGCCGAAATGGCTCCTCTTCGTACGTCAAACAAAGATCACATCTGTACCATGAGCTCACCTCTATCAAGATCTCCGTCGTCTCGATCGCCAACAGCGTCCAAGCCTACGTCTCCCTCAAAGGCACACGTGAGGTCTACGCGGGCTCAGCACCGCAGTCTATGCCGAAGGATATTCCGAAACGCACAGTCGTGGCACAGGAATCTTCCAGCCCGGTCACGCCTCTCTCCGCTCGCACGTTTGGCACCTGGACTGCGCTCAGCAGCATCATCAGGCTGTACGGAGCCTACAACATCCACGACAAGCTGGTTTACGAGTTGTGCATCTGGACCTATCTGATCGCCTTTGCGCATTTCTCGAGCGAGCTGTTCTTCTTCAAGTCCGCGAGGGTTGGACGCGGGATTGCTGCGCCCATGGCAGTGGCGACAGGTACATTGACGTGGATGCTGCTGCAGTGGGGAGCGTATGTCAAATAAAGCTGATCAGGACTACGAATCTCAAGGAAGGACAATCGTGCGATCGCTTCCATTTCATTTGGCTAATCTACCCCAAGAAAGACGACGACTTCCGGTACCTCTCAAGCGCACCACCCACCACGCTCGCCTCCCTCTTCAACGCTCTGCCGAAGAAATTCACCTTCGGCATGACCACCCCACTCCCTTTCCGTCGCTTCTTCACGATTCTTGCCGCCAGCTCCTCCAGCTCATCCTTCCTGAAGCCGCCTTCCTTCTCATGCAAACCCACCGCCTGCACCTCCTGCAACAGAGTCGCCACTCTCTCCTCCCTTACCCGCTGACACTTCTCCCCCACTAAGCCGTACTTTAGATTCCGATCACATTCCATGTTATTCGTCCAACTCTCAGCTCCCGTGCGTGTCACGGTACCGGCCTTGCGGTCGAAAAACACCGACACACAGCCAAAGAAAGGCATGATGGTGTGCGCATGCGCGCAGGTAAAACTACAGACCACCTCTACATTCCGCAGCGCATTCGCCGCCACAGGATCCTGGCAGAGCACGTTCATCATCGAGAGCGTGTGAAGTTCGCCAAAATGGAGGCGTATCTCGAACAAGTTTGAACCAGCGAAGAGGGACAGTGCTTCCTGTCTGAGCTGGCGAGATGCGTGGAAGATACGGCATTGGGAAAAGATCCACTGCTGGTTGTAGCAGACGCTCCCGCGGAGATCTTGCCGGTAAGGTAAGACGTATTCGTAGATGCGGTTGCGGAGCTCTGGTGGAAGTTGGAGAAGGCGGGATGTGCTGTTGGCGACTTCGCGTGCGGCGCGGTCTTCTTCGGTCCTGGGTTTGATGGTGGTGGCGAGGGAGGGTTTCCTAACGTGATGGTGAGTAGCGGTATGCGGAAGGCGTTTGTGGACTTGCCTTGGCTTCCATCTGGGCCCGACCATGGTCGGCGAGTCACCCTTAGTATGACGGCAAGTGGGTTTTGGGGTTGTAAGAACAAGTAAAACTGAATCGTTGTCGCCGGATCCTCCATGCAAAGAGATCGAGGGAGCACGTGGCGTCTGCATGGCGGGGTATAATCCAGAGTGCTGGGACACACAGGCGACTCTTCGCGACGACACATTTGTTTTCTTACGGTATGGGAGCTATCCTGAGCCGAAGCTTTCAACGGCGGCCTTGGGGTAGAACGGGGTTGAGACCTCAGCGAGCAAACGACCAAAGCTGCCGAAGTGAACTTACGGAGAGGCCAAAACGATGACACCCCAAAGTATAAGCCAACACAATTTCCAGGAGAAGCCTCTGGATGCGAGATCTCAGTCATCCGATGCATGAGGCAGCAAAGCAAGCTCCCTTGCTGCTGAACGCTCCTTGGTCGGTTTACCAACGTACTGGCCCATCCACTGGGATACCAATACGAACCAGCTCCCTTCTTACTCGCTGGTCATGCTGGACATCAACATGAGGCCAGCGTAACACTCAAACAATCTAGACTTGGTTTGGAGTGAGGCCAACGGGCGGCTCGCTGGTTGTGTATGGCTTGAAATCTTCGATCCTTGATCCGCCGGGTCCAGAGCACCGGTACATGCCAGCGATAATGAATTGGAGCATCTCGCTCCGGTGCGCTGTTGCTTCATTCGCTTGGTTGACCGCCATTGATCTACATATTTGGCTTGCGAGATTGTGATGAAGAACCATATCGACACCGATTCCGTTCGTAGAGGCTGGCCATGCCGCTTCTCATCTGGTCTGCAGAACTCTAGGTCGAGCGTGAGTGTTCCTTCGACAAGCCGCGCGAGGTGTTTTCGGACTCTGTCATCCAGACCTCAACGGACGAAATGGCCATTGCAATTCTCCAGCTCCGGTTGGCCGCAGCGGTGTTGATGTATTGTGTTCTGCCACCCTTTGGAAGAATACTCGATGCTTTTGGACCAAAATCAATGATTCTTGTCCTCCATTTCAAGCTGCAGAGCCGTCCTCCCCGTTGAAAAGAAAAAGCAGACATCCAATGGCTTGGAGATTGGAACAGCTGAGTCAAACGTCTGCAGTAGGAGAGTAAATCATGCCACTAAACATCGGAGGCTGACATGCGAGCAAAACAACAGGTGTCTTTTCTCTTGTAACAAAAGTAGTACGCTATTCAGCATTCATGTGCTCTCAGAGATGGACTCGAACCACCATCATCCACGGTGTCGTCTCGTTCGAAAGACGAGCGGATCTGTAAGCATGTGTCAGCGGCTTGCTCATGTACTGACTGAGAGCTGGCGGATGAGGAGCCGTACATTCTAACCAATTGAACTATCCAGGATTTGCTTGATGAGAGAACCGGGAAAATAATGAATTATAGTGGTTCGCGGAACAACTTCGGGCAATGCTATCGCGTTGCCGTTGTTACGAGGTAGTGGTGTGAAGTATGAAGTGAAGCTGACGCTCGAGGCTTGGTGAACATAGCTGAAGTACGTACCTCGAACACGATTGCTCGACAATGGTTGCTTCTTTCTTCTGCAGCAATACTTGAGAACATGAGCAATAACAATGTGAAGTAATGTGAAGTTGGTGTTGCGGCTTGATGGACGTAGGTGTTCCCTAGACGTTGTCATCTGCTATCGTACAGTATAGCCTCCATCCAGCTTGAGATCAGCACCATTAATATTCAAAGCCTCGTCCCGACATAGGAAGTCAACTATCCTGGCAACCTCTTCAGGTTCAGCGAACTTGCCTGTTGGGACCTGCGACGTTCAGATTAGCACCTCGAACCAAAGCAGCAGACCTCTGCCACACTCACCGCAGCCTGATACGCTTCTCGAGCCGTCTGGTCAGCCCATGCTTTCTTGCCCAGTGCCGTCCACACGGGTCCAGGCGAGATCGTGTTAGCTGTGATACCGTGCGATCCCCACTCAGACGCCATGCACTTCGTCAAGCCGATGAGTCCGGCTTTGCTGGCACAGTAGGCGCCGTGATGATGCAGAGCGACGTGCCCGGCTTGACTGGCCAGGCTCACTATCCTGCCGCCTGGTGTCGGTGCACCTTGCAGTTTTGCCTGCTTCGAAGCGGCGATGTACATCCGGGCGAAAGCCTGGCTCGTCAGAGTCGGGCCGTAGAGGTTGATCATGTAATGCTTCAAGGAGTCCTCTGGCGGCGTCTCCTCGAGCGGGGATAGGTTCACATAGCCGGCAGTATTGACGAGGATGCTGGGAAAGGCAATCTCATCTTTGGCGATGGCGGCGAAGGCTTGGTCGACTGAGTCCGGGGAGGTGATGTCGCATTCGTACGCTTTGGCATCTGCGTCCGAGCCGTAGGTCTCTTCAATGGTTGGTTTGACTCGATCTGCCTCGAATGGCGCGTAGAGGAGGGCTATCTTAGCTCCTTGGGAGTGGAGGACTTTGCCTGTCGCTGAGCCGATACCGCCTTTGAGCAGTCAGTACGAGAAGGTTTGAACTCAAAGTGATGGACGTACCTACACCGCCAGCGATGATGGCCAGACGCGATGAGAAGGCCATCTTTACTGCAGCTGTCAGTATTGTATGTGAGAGGAAATGGCTGCGAGTGTGATCCTTCGGTCCAAGCAGTTCCCCGTCGGATGTTGGCAACGTTGGCGTAGACGACGGTATTATCCACGGCGACGGGTTCGGCGATAAGACGGATCTTAAGCGCCCCTATACTATCCTCCCTTATAATATCTACCCGCCGCTTACTACCTCTTCGGTCCCTAGTCGCGAATCTAGTATATACAAGGCGCCTTATACTTTTAAGGCGTCTAACGGCTACTTTACTATTTATATACTTCTACGTATTCTACTCTCTAAAGACAATAACATAGCTATCCCCTAGTTCTAAGCGAGAGAAAGCCTAAGGAGTAGCTACCTTAGAAGACATACTCCTAGTTTCTATATTAGACTTTAGTCTATTAGCTAGGGATAGAAAAATACTACTCTTTAAGGTAGAGGAACAAGTTACTTACAATATTAGTAATACTATAGCGCGTATAGTAGCGGTAGGTGTCTTAATATATAGTACTATATCGCAACTAAAGCTATAGGGAATATAGTCTAGATTCTAGAATACAAAGATCGAGGCTTCCTTGTTATGAGATATAATATTAATTTCGTACTTAAGATAGTTACGCGTACTAAAACACTATACCGCTAAGTATATAGAAATTAAAAAATGTTTCTTAGCATTAAGTTCTGCCCGCCCGTTGCTATATGTCGCTCTTGAATTATGCCGTACGGCTTAGATGGCGCCTATCCGTTGCCAAGTAGCGGCACGACGTTAGGTCGAACTTTCGCTATAGCAGCCTAGGCTCGCACTTCGCATCATCGTCATCGACGTCGATGTTGATTCTGTGGTAACATAAACCTTTCCCTTCTATAGCGTCCTAGGAACCGGGTGCGACCGCATCGATTAGCGTCGTGGATTAGGCCGATGGCAGGGGAGTCCGGCGTGTTTAGAAAGTGTCACTAGTCACCTCTCTGCCACCACATTCCATATAGCCGCGGAGGTATAGCAATCGGGCAGTATTGGAGTCTAGACGCTTCTAAAGTCTTACCTGAAAATGCCAATACTGAAGCCACGAAGTTTGGAACGGGAGTATTAATTATTAAGGTAGGAGAGTCCCCAAGTTCATCCGTTAGATTATCCTTCCACTCTACAACCTCAAGAACGCCACAGCAAACCCCATCCCACACACCACGGCCACCATGCGTCTCACCACCACCGTCCTCACCCTCGCAAGTACAGCCACCGCCCTCGCCCACCCCCGCAGCACCTCCCCCTCCTGCAACGATACCACCGCCCCCACCACCACCAGCCCCCCCGTCACCGCCGCCCAATACGACGGCCACTGCTTTTACCCCGTCCCAGACCCCAAGTTCAACCTCCACAACTACCTCGGAACCTGGTACCAAGTCGCCGGCACGCCCTTTGGCCCAACCGCAGGCGCAAGATGCGTGACGGCGAATTACCAGCTCTTCGTACGTCCATCTCCTCCTAGCAGAGACACATTCTTACCTAACCTAAAACTCTTTCCCGGAATGACAGGACAATAACACCGTCCGCGTCGAGAATATCGCAGCCGCAGGTCCAAGCACCTTCAGTATCGTCGGCACCGGCACGGCAGCCGACATGGCCTACGGCACCGCAGGCGTTTTTGAGGTGAACTTCCCCTCCGCGGGCCCACCGGGGCAGGGAGGATTGACGTCGGGTTCCGGAGGTGCGGAAGAGGATGATTGTCCTGGGCCGAATTATATTGTCCAGGGTGAGTGGTTACTTTGTCTTCCGGCCGTTTTGTTGGGGGCCGGCTAACGACGGGGATGCGGTAGATTATGCCATCGACTGGGCGATTGTGCAGACGCAGCGATGGAACACGTTGTACATCTTGAGCCGGGTGCGGGAGCCGAGTGCGGAGAGTATCCAGGCGTGGATTGATCGTGCTGTGGAGTTCGGGTCGAACAGGACGATGATTCAGCTATACAACCAGACGGGTTGTGAGGGTATAGGCCCGATGTAAGGTGGTGAGTAATGATGGAGGTACTGCATGGTACATGTGTAATCGTGGCACGCTCCCACCAGACATTCTGGCGTTGCAGCGTTGCTGAACTACAGCAGTCTCCTTCGACTATCGTTTCGAGCTATGCACGGGGATCATGGTTTGGATATGAGTCTTGTGGAGCAGAGATATGGTTTGGTTGAGCAAAACGGGAGATAGTGATGACGAGCATGATTCTAGTTGCGGATACACGATGCACGTTGATTCTCTCGAACCGCGTAGCGGAATTAGATCCTATCCTACGCGAAGCGCTAGTATCTTACGCGAAGCGTCCCGAGCGTAGCGATAGTAGTAGTAGATCTTTTGATAGTGTAGCTAAAGTATCTAAGAAACCTCTTACCTCTACTATATACTCTTATCTCCTCGACGCTTGCCTAAATAGCGATATTCTATTTATACGCTAATACGGGTATATTAACTATAGTTATTAGTCTATATTTACGTTATTAGCTAGCCTAATATGTTACTTTATCTTAGCATTATAGTATTAGTTTTTTAAGAGTACTAATATATAGAATTTAAGCCTTTTAGTATTAGACCTTCCGGTAGTAGAAGCAAAAAGAAGAAGCTAATTGGCTACGTAGACCCACTTTAAGTCTACATTCACTTTTAAATTTAGGCTCACACTAGTGTGACACTACTAGCGGCGCAGCCGCCCTTCCGCTACCGTTGGGTCTAACTTGGGAGATAGCTACGCCTGTTGCTTGCGGGCGGATCAATCCGCTTGAGGTGTGAGGATTTGCTTTGGGTGTATTGATTTGCCGAAGAAGGCTGAGAGCTAGAGGATCGTGTTAGGCTTATGGACACTTGAACATGGACAAAGTAAGATGGGCTGTTTCGCAACGCCCGTCCCAGCAAGCAAGCAGAAAGGGAGCTGGGCAACAGCACCTACTACTAGACCTTGAGATTGGAGTTGTCATCTACGGAATTCGCCATCGCCACACCCAAGATCACACACAATAATGTCCGCGTGGCTCTGCTCGTACTGTTCCTCATCTGATGCATCCGCGGGGGAATAACGCTGTATCGCAGACACAACGCCGATGTCGAGACTTACATATGAGTACCAAAACGTGGTTACTGTCGTGCTAAACTATCGACCAACACTACTATGGCTCTAAGCACGAGCTGACACAGTGACAAATATCCATGACCGCAAGCAGGAGACAGTGAAAGAGGCCACCCCGCCATATCTGGCAGTCTTCTCCAAGGGGAGGTCACGGCCAAAAAGGCCACATCACTCTCGTCAGAGGGCGCTAATTGTCTGTGAGAAGGTCCTCTACACGACTGACCTAGTCGGCCGCTTATGCTGTTGACAGCTTTGACCCCAAACCGACAATTGCTGTAACGCCTACTTCGCAACTCTAACCACGACCTTTCCTCTAGCCCTACCAGTGTTCAGTCGCTCGAATGCCTCATTAGCCTTGTCGAAATCAAACACGCTGTCGATATAGATGTCATCCTCAGTCAGCGTCGTCTTTGCTTCCTCCAGCCATTCCGCCTTCATCCCCAAGATTATAACATCATAGCTCTCTCCCAGTCCGAGAGCTCCTTTGCCCCATCGCAGCCATTGTGCTGCTGCTCGTTGAGGCGCAAAAATGTCGAAGTAAGTGAAGGGGCCTCCCATCGAAGATCGTCCAGTCTTATCGCCGACAATGGTGGTGAAGCGTTTACTACTAGGTAGACCAACCGCTTCGGTGCCACCGACACAGTCGATCACAGCATCCGGAGCGAACTCCAGCAAAGCTCCACGCACGTCTTCGGAGGTATAATCGATGTGTTTGTCGGCTTTCAGGTCGTTGATTACGAAATCCTTATTCCGACCAGAGGACGTCGAAGCAACAGTCCAACCCTTCCGCTTGGCCAAGATGATGTTGTAGATGCCCGTAGCGCTGCTGCCACCCAGTATGGCCACTCGCTTGTTCCGGCTGCTTTCGACATACTGCTCGACTGACTCGATACAAGCTTTACTCGTCAACCACACAAGGCTAATCGCGCTTGCCTTCTCGTGGCTCCATTCTCTCGGCTTCTTGACGGCAACACACTTGTCCATACCAAAGTCCGCGACCTCGCCCAACGCGCCTCCATTGGGCACTACAGGGTTTAATGTCAAGCCGAATATCTCATCTCCAGCCTTGAAGCCCGCGCTCTCCCCAGCAAGCACTCTACCGCTGAAGTCACAGACAATTCCCTTCTCTTGCTTGGGCTTCCACGGCAAGTTGGGTAGATTGGCGATCTGAACATCGACTGGGTTGAGGGCGCACGCCTGGATCTGCAATAGTATATGAAGAGTCCCGTCAACCGTGTCCCGGAAGGATGAAGCTGTCGCTGGATTGATGGTGCTCTGCTTTAGCGAAGCGAAACCCGCTGTGTACGTCCATGCTTTTACTTCTTGGGTTGTCATCTTCGAATAGAGAAGGAAGATATACGGGAGAGGATATGTTCACCTACTGAACGCAGAGAGTACCAGGCCTCGAATGCAGCACCTCCGCTTCGCAGTGTGCAGGTTCAAGGTTCAAAAGACCACCTCGGCAAGGGATCTTCTGCAACTCTTTGCCCTCTGAGCACCAAGACGAATCGATGGAACAGCCATTGTCGGAATGTTCGCTGAGCCGGAGGCAGGTGACCTCGCACGTGCGTAAGTGACACGTCTTTGACTGCGAGAGTGCATGAAGAAAGCATAGAACGTTCAGGTTGTCAGATGAAAGAGAAGTCAATCACGCTAGACAGCACAGACATTCCCTTCCACCCCTTTCCTTCCGACCATACCATACCTTACTGTCCACCTTGTTCGGTTTCGTCTCATTTTCAATTGTCGTAAACGGAAGACTCAAATGGATCCTGGCCCACAGTCCCCAGCTTTCATCCGCCAATACGACCCTGCAAAAGACTACCAAGCAGTAATTCATGTCTTCCGCGAGACATGTGATGAGACCCTGAAGGTCGAGCCCATCTGGACGGTAGGCTCGTACATCTGGTGTTGGCCTTATCTGCTTCTCAACCCCGAGTCTTGCTTCGTTGTTGACGGCGGGAACGGTACTCCTGCAGGTTATGTTATCGGCGTGCCGAACACAGGCGCATTCTGCCAGCGATGGCGAGACAACTACGTCCCTCGAGTCCAAGCTGAACTTGACAGTCTAGCCTCTGTTCAGCAGCACGGAAATGGAGAAAAGACAAAGTCAATCATTAACCGACGCGACGATATGCTCAACCTCATCCGCAATGATCCGCACAAGCTGGTTCTAGGCGACATCCCAAATGAATCGCAGGAACTCGGCCACCTTCACATCGACATTCTACCCTCTCATCAAAGGCGGGGGTTTGGGAAGCAGCTCATCACGACGTTCTGCTCTGCTGTCGGCAAACAAGGCTGCAAGGCTGTCTATCTGGGCATGAGTGCTACGAACCATGGGGCCGCGAAATTCTACGAGGCCTATGGTTTCAAGCGATTGCCGAATGTGCTCGATGATGGAAGCAGCGGTGAGTTGGGGAGGACGGGCAAGAAGGACGATGCCGGACAGGCGCTGTACTATGTTATCGATCTCTGATGATCAAGAGGAGTTCCACCATGACTTTGCCTGAAGTCTGGACAAGCGTCGAACGATCAAGCCTCCAACATCTGCCAGGTCGAATGCCAACAGGACAAGGCTGATTCTGCAGGAGGCAACATCGACGCACCGGCCTACGAATCCTACAGCAACGTTGGTGCCGCTTGTTCAAGAGCCCATTGTGGTACCCGGCACATGAATACGTATCACCGCCCCGGGCTGAGGGCATCGACGTGCGGCTCGGATGTTTGGTCGAAGCACTGCCTGGCCGGCTCTCCCGTGCGAAGAAGCCAGCAAGCCGGATAGCTTCACACACAGGATGCGGTGTCTCACGAGCATGCGATGTGATCGTGAAGAAGTGGGCATGCATATGGTCCTCGTACGCTGCTTACATTCGTCCGTGTACGACCTTGATTTTGGCAACGGCGGTCAATCCGGCGGTGTTTGTCAGCAGCTGGCCGGAATCTCGGGTTGGCATCAACATACGTATCAACCAGCCATTTAGATCAGTGAGGCTGAAGGCTGAAGCAGCATTGACTTGAAGCAGCTGCACGTGGGATTGAGTACGATCCCTGTTGTGAAGCTGCCAACTGGCGTCGCACACGGAATCCTTCAATTGGTATAGTCGAGTCGACAACCCAAAAGACCAGTCGATGGTACGGAATATCGGACAGATTATTCATGAAGGATGCAAGAGCTCGCTGTGACACGTGAAATCGGGCCATTGATGTGCCCGAAAAGTCGGACTTTAAGTTGCCACCGCAAGCCGTTGCCGCTGCAGGGACGGAACGCAACGGGCCTCTTCGATCAACGCTCTGCTATAAAGTCAAACAAGTCATCGTCATCGACAAGCAGATTCAAAATCACATCTCGAACCAAATCTCAAACCAACAACCACAACCAACAACGACATGGCCACTGCTATCGTATTCGGTCCCACGGGCAACATCGGATCCGTCGCGGCACGCGCTGCTCAGGAAAATGGAGCCAAAGTCTGGCTGGCGATGCGTGATACCACGAAATCGATACAAGGCCTGAGCGAGGAAGACGAAAAGAAAGGCGGCTTTCAAAGAGTCACAGCCGACATGACCAAGCCCGAGACTCTTGCAGAGGCAGTCAAGAAGTCTGGAGCGACTCGTGCCTACACTTACCTGACCTGGGGCACTTCAGACCATATGAAGGGATCCTTCCAAACGCTCAAGGATTCTGGCATTGAGTTCCTCGTCTTCTTGAGCAGCTCTTCGGTCCAAGGTGACCCAAAGGCCATCCCACCAAGCGAATTCATTCCATTTTTCCACGCGCAGGCAGAGCTAAGCCTGGACGATGTGTTCGGGTCGAACTACGTCGCCATTCGGCCCGGGCGCTTTGCAAGCAACTTGCTTTGGGACAAGGCCGACATCAATGCTGGAGAGGTGAAGCAGTTTGGTGGCGATTTCAAGATGGACTTCATCACTCCTACAGACATGGGTAGGGTGAGCGGTGCCATCCTGGCAGCCGGGGCCGCGAAAGATGGACAGAAGAAGGTTTACCTCTACGGCCCTCAGATCACGACGGGAGCCGGAGGCATCAAAACGGTCGCCAAAGTTCTGGGCAAGGACGTCAAGATCACTGAAATCAGTGCGGAAGAAGGCCGGCAGCAATCGATCAGCCGCGGAACACCGCCACCGGTTGCGGACTACCTGATCTCGAAGATGGAGGAGGGGCCAAGCAAGGAAAAGGAGCTCGTCGAGGGTGACGAGTTGTACACGACCGGTGTCAAGAACATCGAGCTGTACACTGGGAAGAAACCGATGAGCCTTGAGGAATGGGTGGGAGCAAACAAGCATCTGTTTGCAGCGTAGATTAGTTGTGTTGCTTGAAGCCATGACAATGCTGTCACCACACCCAATGACCTGTCTCTCGGCCACTAGCACGTACTCTCGTACCCTTTCCGAAGGTCTGGACAGCGGCAACTGCAAGATCAACGCTCATCAGATCCACACACCTGGAAACCACTTTCACTTCAACAGTGGTGGCCATTGAAAGGTAGTAAGCATGTGTTTACATAATAACAATACTGGTCAGCTGATATATCTCCTGACTGTCAAAAGGGACTTGGCAGTGGCAGCCATTGATCAAGGTTTCGCCCTCACGATATACTTTGGTTCTGCCAATGGCGCAAAGATGGAATGCTACAGCAGCGTACTGACACGGCGGCGCCGTCTCCTTGGTGGAGCGAGCCATGTACAGCCTGGCCGCCCGCCTCGAATGGAACCATCAGGCCATCGCATGATGCCCAGCCAGCGGACACCCTGTGTCACCGGACTGACGGATCCTGGGTCTCTCCTGATTTCCGCCAGTCCCACAATGAGCATAAAAGGGCCGTCTGTTCCTGATGGAGGGTGTTGGCAGATCTTCTTGCAGATGCAGACCATACCAACAGCCTCACTCTGTGAGATTCGTCATGGAACAACTATGGTTGACCTTGATGCTTGCGTTGTCCGTCATCTTGGGACTGTCCAGCGGCGACTCAAACGCTGACCGCCACCGAACCATTCACGTCAAGGCAGGCCAAAAGATTCAGAAAGCAATCGATACCGCTTCTGCTGGAAGCGAGATCGTTGTCCATGCCGGCACATACCGCGAGCAGCTATTGATCAAGAAAGATGGCATCAGTCTCTCTGGGAAGGAAGGAGCTGTTCTTGCTCCGCCTGACAGCTTCGTTCGAAATGTGTGCTCAGGCGTGGCCGGGCCCGGCACTCAAGCTGGGATCTGCGTCGCTGGATCTGGCATCAAGATGGATCCTTTCGTGACGGAGCATCGCAAGGTCGTCTTCGTGCAGCGTGCCGTCGAGGGAGTGTCGGTGTCCGGCTTCCAAGTCGAAGGATTTTCTGGAGCCAACATTCTGGTCCTTGGTGCGGATCACACTCGCATCGCTGGGAATACTCTCATCGACGGACCAATCTACGGATTGCTGAGCTCCGGTTCTCGCTTCACGACGATGGGTGAGAACACCATCAGCTCGTCAGATCCAGCGGCTCCCGGCATCATCGCCTCATGCATGGACAACTTCGAAGGAGCGTATGGTGCCGGCAACGACATCAGGTTCTACGTCATCGGTCTTTGCATCCAGACCAACGGCGCCGTGCTGCGCGATAACGATGTTAGTTACACATGCCGTGCAGCGTATGCTGATCCGTATGTGGAGGGTATCCGACTCACTTCGAACCATTTCGGTCCGTCGTACGATGCCTGCAAAGCCTTCGCATCGTATGGGGTCACGCTGGCTGGAACGATTAATGCTCTCGTCGAAGGCAACACCATTGAGCAGACGAGAAACAATGGTCCTGCTGCTGGAGTGTGGGTGACTGATGATCCATGTACTGAACCGTCGCTGGCTTGTCTCGCCAATCCAGGTGCGACGGCCGTGTCGAAGGGGAACAAAGTAGTTGGCAACAAGCTGTTCGATAACGATTTGGATCTTTGGAACAATAGCACCGGCTCCGGCAACGTCTTCAAGAAGAACAAGTGCTCGACTTCGATTCCGAAAGGCCTTTGTCGAAGGTAGAAACGAAAGACGTAATCACGTCTGGGGTCGATAGGACTGTGGACTATCTCGAGGGAAAAGCTTACAGTGTCAGCTTCGCGAAGTGAAGGACGGGTACACAAGATGCGTCTGATGTTGATGAGACCGAGTCTCACTTACTCTTCTGTTACCTTAAAAGCTATATCGCAATCAAGTCGTCTTTCATGCTGGCATGGCACCGTGCCACCGAAGTTCAGCTTCTCGTAAGAACACCTTTCGGATGTCGCGGTTGCTGCAAAGCTTTCTAGAACGTCCGATCCCTTACACACCCTTGTATGGTGCTGTCTTCTGATCATGTGTGATTGTTTCAGGCCGGCAATGATCGACCGGCTATTGGTTTCAGCCCACAGCCTAGCATGTTCACCTCCACATGTTTCATCTGTAGTTGCATCGTCGCATCGGCTCCTCATCCGTCGGATCCAGACCTCCTCAAAGTAACCACATCAAAAGGGCACTGAACACCGATTGGCAAGACGAATCAAGCGGTCTACGTGGAGCCGAATGATAACGATTGCAACAACATGGCCAGCCCCAGCACAAGCGGTCCTTACTTTCGAACGGACCACCTTGACATGTGCTGGATCTCACATACAAGGAGCTCCCCGGACAGAATCTGTAGCACTCCGTGCTCGTTCTGAAGTCAGTAAGCGAAGTGTAGCAGCTGGTGTGACGATCTGCAAAGTTCAATATACTTCGTACCGGTCGTTCCACAGACTTTGCTTTGAAGCGCTCAGCTAAGGTGTTGACCAGCTATTGATCCCTCAGTGGTGTTTTAAAGAAAGAGACATGCGACAGCAGTTCATAAAGATGAAGCAGATGAATTATACTTTTCATAGACCGCAACTCCATCTCTTTGGCAATAAGTACTGCCTTCGAAAAGCTTAAGGACGCTTGAGACCCAGACAAGAATGTTGACACACACAAGCATTTCTGCTCGACGCTTACCTTGAACAAAATGTACGCCTTAGCATTCATTGCAGCCTCAGCCTCCGTGGCCCTTGCCCAGAGCACGAGCCTCTGCGAGCAGTACGCGACCTACTCAAGCGGTTCCTATGTTATCAACAACAACCTCTGGGGAGAGGGCTCCGGGTCCGGTTCCCAGTGTACCTACGTGACGGATGCGTCGGACTCGGGCGTTGCATGGAAGACCACTTGGTAAGGCGTCGATGGACAGAAGGCTCCGATGTTTGTAACAGTGTTGACGCTCGACTTCTCGACAGGAACTGGTCCGGCGGTGACAGCTCAGTGAAAAGCTACGCCAACTCGCAATACCTTTTTGACAAGAGACTGGTCAGCGAAGTGAACAGCATTGACACATCCGTCGAGTGGAGCTACGACAACACCGACATCAACGCCGATGTTTCGTACGATCTGTTCACAGCAGCGGACATCAACCATGTCACGTACTCTGGTGATTACGAGCTGATGGTGTGGCTGGTAAGAGATTCTTTCCCACTCAACTCAGAACCAGACTGACTCCTTGATCCGTAGGCCAAGTACGGTCCCGCCCAGCCCATCGGCTCGCAGATTGACACGGCGACCATTGCCGGCACCTCGTGGCAGGTCTGGTATGGCGGAAGCACGCAGCAGACGTACAGCTTCGTGGCTTCGAGCCCGATAACTTCCTGGAGTGGAGACATCAACGACTTCTTCGAGTATCTGGTCAGCAGCCAGGGCTTTCCTGCGAGCAGCCAGTATCTGATCAGTAAGTCACCGCCATCAAGAGTGCCATGAGAGCTCTCGGACTGACCATGCTTGAAAGACATGCAATTTGGCACTGAACCTTTCACTGGGGGCGAAACGACTTTCAGTGTGGATCAGTGGTCTGCGAGTGTCAACTGAGGAGAAGCCGGTTGGGGTCCAGGTATCGTGCTAGATGTTTCGCCAATGCAATGCCTCACTTCATGTCTTTCTATTATATCTCCTTCCAAAGCCACTCCGAGCCAGGACAATGGGCCGATGGACCATGGACCTCACTGTAGCACTCTGATATCTTGTCTTTCTCCCAGAGTGAGACATGGAATAATTATGGGCGCTCAAGTAGCCGTAAGACAGGGCGTCTACTGAGCATCGATGGCAAAGCTGCTTCCGGGCAGAGGAGGTTAATCTGGAGTTTGAAGTGCTGGACTGTTTACAGCGTAGTCGACTAGAGCACCCCTTGATGGGGACAATCAGAAGTCTGTCTCCAGGAAGGCAGGCGCGTCACCCTTAAGAGAGTCTCCTCGTGGTTTGTCAATATCTGCAGGCCGCTTTTAACATCAGCCATGCTCACTGAGTCCTCGATGTCGAGAGCAAGAAGGTGCGTTGGTTGCTCAAGGAAGGAGTCAATCCGCGAGATGGAACGCCACCGACTCCGATCTTGCCGATGTCAGACTCGCCCTCGTCATCTGTCCATCCTGCCTTACAAGTTTTATCAACTTGTTCATAATGGAGAATCACCAGTGACATTCAATTCACGGTCTCGTGTGGTAACAAGTTCCAAAATCTGCACGTTAATGCGTAGCCTCAAACTCCTATCAACAATGTCTTGCGCCACCAAGCAAAACAATAGCCACTCCTACGACACTATCATCATTGGAGCTGGAGTATCAGGCCTTGCATGCGCGGCACGTCTCTTCCAACATCAGGCCCGCACAAAGTCAAACCGCTCAATACTTGTCCTCGAAGCTCGCGACCGTATTGGAGGCCGTGTCGGATCAGTACGTGTCAATGGCTGCCGTCTTGACACCGGAGCGAACTGGATCCATGGCATTGGGACCAAGGAGCGGCCGAATCCGCTGATGGATATACTGCCGAAGAAAAGAGTAAAGCAGCTGAGTGGGAGTGTTGCCTTCAAGCCTCCTCCGCCGCCGCAGGATGGGAAGAGGGATGAAGATGGGTGGGAGCTGGTGAACCCTCCTGCCGAGACTGGCACGCCCGAGCCTGCTTCAGCTAAAGACGATGACAGAGTGATCCCACCAGAGATCGCCGGTGATTTGATGGGAACAATGTGGATGCTCTTCGACAGCTTGCACGAGACCGCAAATAGCACTTCGGCGGACAAAGCGAAGTCGATCACTATGCTAAAGGCAATAGCCGACTTGGAAGTCTTCCAGAACGCTTTCAATGAGGTACCTGAATCGTATCACGAAGCTCTGCGGGCGATGCCGCAGTTCATTGAGAACATGGAAGCAGCACCGCTTGTAGCGCAATCAGCAGAAACAGACACTGATGCTCCGGGCATGGGTTTGCTGGAATATGCTATCGACGACTTCGATGGCGATCAGGTATTCGTGCAGGATGGCTATACTGCAGTTGTGGAGGATTTGGCAAAGGGTGTTGTCGATTCTGGACTGGTCGAGCTTGGAGCGGAAATCGAGTCAATCAGATGGGACAAGAGCCCACTCACGGTCAGTATCAAAGATAGAAGCACCTTCGAGGCCAAGAACGTTGTTTGCACGTTGCCCCTAGGTGTGTTGAAGGACCGACACGCCACGATATTCGACCCACCACTACCGAAGGAGAAACGAGAAAGTATTGAGTCGCTAGGATTCGGCACGCTTGACAAGGTCTTCTTGGTGTACGATCGTGCTTGGTGGACTGAGGGACCGTTCAATAAAATCATTGGAAAAGGCGTGGTACGACCGCCAACAGAGTCGGAGTCGACTGTCGACACTTCTGCCAAGGAGCCCGACATTCTCATGGGATATACCCACGACTTGGCTGGACTTGCAATACATCCGAATGGCAAATCAGAACCTGGGATGCGGAATCTATCTCTGATCAATCTACATTCTCTGACCGGCTTCCCTGTGCTGTCTTGCTTTGTGTCCTGCGGCAACGCAAGACACATCGAAAGCTTATCAGACTCTAAAGCCCAAGCACTTCTCCACGACAACCTGACGACCTGGTTCGGGCGGGAGATCCCAAAGCCGGCTGGCGTGCATGTCACCAGATGGGCGGACGATCCATTCTCGCAGGGCAGCTATAGCCATATGATCACGGGCCGGTCGGAAACGAAGCATAGGGTGGACTTCCAGAAGGCGATTGATGTTGACGAGATTTCGAGGCTCGGGTTTGCTGGCGAACACACGAGCAAGACACACTTCGCTACCGTGCATGGTGCGCTTATTAGTGGATGGAGGGAAGCGGATGCCATCATTGAAGGATGGGAAAAAGGTGAGTCGCAGGCCTGAGCATTGTTGATGGATTAGACGTGTAGATATATTAATCCTAACCTGCTCCATGATCGAGGATGACCAAAGAACTTCGGCATTGGCCCAGTCGGATTTCGACCCAAGCGATGTCTAGAAGCTATGTCTCCCTAGCGTCTCCGTGATAGTAAATTCTCGCTTGATACGATAGCTGGAAAATACGTTGTATATCAATGGAAATCGTGTTGAGGCAGAAGGAGAACTTGACTCGTGAGCAAAGCTTTGCGGCTCTGCGGCGCCACTCCCGATGCCAATGAAGCCGACGTCAATCTTCAGACGATGCGCGTCTGTTGATACTGTAGCACAGCTGTACCATGCTGAGGTAGCATGACTGCTCGAGGTGGAGGGTAGGACGCAAAGATGGGGACGAATTTCGACGACTGGCTGGAGTCCGAAGAGGGCAGAGAGTACGAACGCACACACGATCCCAGGAAAGGCGCAGTCTTGAGAGCCCACCTCACCTTCATCCGCCTTGCGCTGCCCCCGTACACGATCCATTTCAAGTCGCCCACCTACATCCAACCGGCGACGCTCGACCTGCTCGATAAGAAAGTGCTCAAGGAGACATTGAGGAACACGGCGCAGGATGCCACGGTCAGGATCTTGATCGGTGGGGATGTTCGGTTTTGGCACGAGCTGGTCCTGTTGCTGAAGGCTGCCATCCCAAGTCTGGAGAGACGAAGCTTCCAGCATTGGGATCCCAGTAGTGTGGACTACGACAGCACCAGTGGTGCGCTGATTGCCGGCAACTACCCAGGACTTTGGCGGGATCTGGAGCGGTTGAACGATATCGTCAGCATATGCAGGAATGTGTTGACGGTTGGCGAATTCGCGCAGCGCTATGCTTCCGGCTATTGCGCAGATATTGAGATTTTCCGACTCATCAACTGCTGTGTTAGAGTGACGGCGAGAGGCTTCGATGGCACTGCAAACACGGGCGAGGAGGAGAAGTGGCAGTGGATTGTCAATGCGTACAAGAAACTGCTCATCACGAGCCTGCAGTTTCTCAACAACCTTGTCGCGCAGAACGAGGAGAAGAAGTGCATGCTTTGGACTTCGCTCTTCGATCATGCTTCCGAGACGGGCTACCGAGAGGAGAAGATCACACCATTCCGGCTACCACCTCCGAAGAAGCCTACACCACCCATCAATAGCAGTGATATCCTTCTCGCATATGGTCAAAATGGCCCAAACCAACGCATTTCGCCTTTGGAGTACGAAGCTGCCCAGCTGATATTCAAAGATGAAGGATGGAAACCTCTTCCGGCCAACGCGACTGCTGCTAAGAAGCACAGTGAACCAAATGGCTACGTCTACTTTGTCTCACGCTTCAAGAACCAGTGCATCGAAGATTTCAAGACCGTACACAAGCGCGCCCCAACACTGGCTGAGATTCACCGCAACATGCCGCACTATTGGCACCAGCAGATCCCCGAAACCCCGCGCATGTGGTCTCATTGGCAGAGTGCGTTCGAGATGGACCTTCATGCTTACCGCGACGAGGAGGACGACTATCAAGACTATCTCGACGACCCGATAGGCTGGAGAGAACAGGTCATCGCTCCCGGTCCTCCTACGCCGATGATGCCGACGAGATCCGGGAAAGCATGGAAGCCGGAAGACGTGGAGAGGAGAATCAAGGCGTTGGAGGTCCAGATGGCAGAAGAGTGCAAGTCCGAGTGCGCAGGGCACGGCTACTGCGAGGATCCGGTGGAGTGTGAGAAGGCGAAAGCCAGTGGATTGCCAAATCCCCTCGACCCACGGACTGCCAACGAAAAGACCGACTCGCGGATGCTGTTCACCTCAGAAGCTGGGACAAAGATCCTGGAGAGCGGCAAGGCGGAGTTGATGAAGAGGCTGGAAGGCTATGCCGACGTAGGTGCCGGTGCTGGCATCGCAGCGAGGAGGGTGAGCACTGCACGTTCGGCCCCAATATCTGCCAGCGATGCTCACCCGGCTCATCCGATCAACGTCGGCGGTGCTCAGCGGCGGAGATCTAACAGTTATGCTGTCGAGCACGCTTTTGCGGAAGAATCGATGGACGAGGATGACGACGAAGAAGAAGACGAGAGCGACGAAGAGGGCGAGGATGACGAGGAAGAAGACTATCCAGGTTCAACTGAAGATGGCCGCGGCTTGCTCACAGACGTGCCACTCATCCTTGGTCCATCTGAGATCGAAGTGCTGCCCATGCTGATCATGTCTGGCCACGTCATCCCGCCAGCAGAAGAGCATCCGACACAGCGCAACAATTACAAAGATATCAATCCCTGGGCGATGCCGCATTCTGACGCTTTGCCTGACGACATTCTCGAGAAAGGCGCGAAGCTCCGAACCCACTTGTTGCTATCGCAGACACCGGGGCGGAATCTGCTCCGCGAGCTCCTCATATTCGTGGCCGCCTGGGACCTGCGGGAGGAAGAGCTGTACTTCAAGTTCATGGTCCGCATTCTTGAAGCTATTCTGAAACATGGACTCATGCCATACGCATACCACGCCTTCCGTGATCGATCGCGAAGCAAGGATATAATCTCTCCTGCCCAAGCTGTGATCATGAAGCTGCTTACCTGCATCTTTCGTCAGCGGAACGAGAACATTAGAAAACATCTTCGCGGGGAGGTGCTGGAAGGCGAGGTCTTGGGACAAGCGCATGTGGTCAGGGTTAACGGAGTCAACACAACACGTCCGACCGACTGTAGCGAGGAAGAAGAGATTGCCTGGATCAGAGAGCAGCACCGGATCGCTGTTGAAGAGAAGAAGCGCCTCGGCCTGCTTCCTACTGCGGTCGACTTGCGCTTGCTCAACTTTGTCTTCACCGAGTTTAGACAGCACATCATACCGCAGACATGCGCTCTGATCTTTTTGCAAGGCCAGATACACAGAGGCCGAGCCAGCCCGGACGACTTCCCGCTGAATTTGTGGGACATGGAGAGGATGTACGAGGGAGTCTATCAGTTTCTCGAGTTCTTTGCTGTCCTGTCCGAGGAGCAAGGCCGTGTACCCATCTGCGATGAAGGCCTGGAAAGAGAGATCCATGGTCAAATCGTTTGGGGAGCGAGGGAGGAGGAAGAGTCGATGGGCGGGTTGACCGGCACCTGGAAGAACATCCTTGCCAGCTGGGAAATGGCTAGCGAGCTGGTGACTCTGCTGAGAGAGCTTGAAGGCGGCATCCCGAAGGTCGCTGCAGCAATGCCACGACCGAACGCACAAGCAGCGCAGCCGGTGTCTGCGAGCTTCGACGGGAAAGCCGGAACAACACCTCCACCTCCTCCGCCTAAGCCGCAACGTAGTATGAGCGCTGACGCGGCGATGGGTGTGCCTCAAGCGAGACCGTCTTCTGCGCCGACGCCGGTGGCTGTCGAGCGGCCTTTCGATGTTAACGCTGGGGACGTGCCTCAGACGCATGCTATTCCACCGTCTCTTGCACCGGGTGGGTCTTCACAGCAGGTTTACGAAGCTGAGCATCCGCTTGCGTATCCAGAAGATCCTCTCAACGCTCTTGCGCCGACCTCGCTGGTAGCTGCGCATGCTGACCTGCAGAACGCGCACGACCAGGACGAGCCTTCTGATTTCGAGTGGCGGAATCTGAAGAAGCTCACTGTGCTTGTACTGTCCTCGCTGATATGGAAGAACAAATCAGTGCAAGAGCAAGTCCGCAAATACGGCGGCCTCGAAGCGCTCGTCGGCTGCTGCAGACACGACGAGAACAACCCGTACATCCGCGAGCACGCCGTAATGTGCCTCCGCTTCGCCGTCGAGAACTGCGAGGAGAACGCACGAGTGCTCGTCAAACTTGCCGAAGAGCGGGGTCAGCAGACCGGTCGAGGTGGCAAGATCGGAGAGAAGGGCATGAGGAAGATGGTCACGGACGGTATTCCGAAGGAAGTGCTCGATGCTAACGGCTACGAGACTTTCGTGGACATTGAAGGCCAGATGGGCTTGCGTCGCAAGGACGGAGCTGTCGATAGTAGAGACCCTGGAGTGCCGCCACCGCCACCGCCTCCTCCGCCATCGACGTCTGGGCCTTCGTTTACGCAGCCGTGGAAAACCGTCACCACGAAAAGCGTTCGAGAGTGGGCGGCTCGGAGCAACTCTCAGCTCGACGAGCTTCTGCCGGGTCTCTCGCTCGGCGGGGCTTCGGGGAGCATGCAGCCGCCACCGGTCGTGGCCTCGGATGCGACGGACAAAGGGATGGAGTTGTTGCGGAATGCTATGATGTCTTTGCCGCCTAAGAGTGGTGAGACGGCGGAGGAGAGGCAGCGGATGGAGGCGCTGGAGAGGTTGGATCGGGCGTTTGAGAGTACGGAGGCGGCGCTTGGATCTGGTTCTCAGGGGAAGAGACAGGAGGGATGAATGTGTGGTCAGAAGCCAGACGAAGAGGACAGGAAAGCATGGTTACCAGCTCGATCGACGGATGAAGCATCTTCGAAGCATTCAGCAGGAGGCCGGGCATGCTGGAATCGAAGCCAGTGTCGTGGATTCAGCGGAGACACAAGCACGCCGCCGGACCTTGAGTGTTGGAAGTGGGCAGCAACGAGCCGTCCCTTTCGTCGGTCGAAGCAGGCGGGCAGCATGATCGTTCGTTGTAAGTGTTACTATCGACCTAATCTTGTTGTGCCAAAGCTGACGTCCACGCAGGAAACGATGGAGGCACTTGGTTGGTGAAGAGTGCTATTGCGGTCGCTTGTACATATGTATAGCACGCCAATACAATGAACGCTGTTGATTTCAGTGCCTCCGTTGTCTGCTATCCAGTTGCGTATACGAGTGTATAGACATATAAATGGCATCGAGTGAGGTTAAGATAAGGCCTCCAATGCCACCGCTGGAAAACCCCACGGCGGGGCAGTCAGGGCACTTTCAGGGTCGAGATTTCTAGCTTCAGTCAGTCGGTGTAGAATTACATGTTCTTCAAAAGCAAACCATTGACTCTTACTCTACTCTTGTTTTCACTTCTCGTGCTGGCTACAAGTCTCATCCCCTCCATCCTCCCGCGTCTGCGCCTGTTGACCTCCCACCTCACCACCCGCCGTCAACAGCACATCATGGCCTCTGCCGACTACAACAAAGAACTGCACATTGCACTCCTCGCCGTGCAGCGCGCCTCGCTCCTCACCAAATCCGTCTTCCACTCCCACTCCAAGGGCACCCTCGACAAGGCCGACGCTTCCCCCGTCACCATCGGCGACTTTGGCGCCCAAGCCCTCATCATCTCGGCTCTGCAGCACAATTTCCCCGGCGATGAGATTGTGGCCGAGGAGGAGGCGAAGGATTTGAGGGAGAAGAATAGTGTGAAGCAGACGGTTTGGGATCTCGTGCAGCAAGCTAAGTTGGAGGATAAGAGCGGGGAGGAGGCGTTGGGTGGGGGGATCAAGGATGCGGATAGTATGCTTGATATTATCGACAAGGGGGATAGTAAGGGTGGGAGTAAGGGGCGGATATGGGCGATTGACCCCATTGACGGGACGAAGGGGTTCTTAAGGGGTGGGCAGTATGCTGTCTGCTTGGCGTTGATGGTGGACGGGGACGTGAAGGTCGGTGTGCTCGGCTGCCCGAACTTGCCGGTCGATGATTCCGAGGCTTTGACCGAGAACATCGGCGCTGATGCCTCGGATGCGGAGGGTAAGGGTGTGCTGTTCAGCGCTGTGCAGGGCAAGGGCGCCGACAGCCGTCCACTCGGCAAAGGCGCGCTGGCGAAGGAGAGCAAGATTAGCATGAAAGCCGTGTCCAACATCTCGGACGCCACGTTCTGCGAGTCCGTCGAAGCCGGTCACTCTTCGCAAGGCGACGCCGCGAACATCGCGAAGAAACTCGGCATCACGAAACCCTCCGTGCGCATGGACAGCCAGGCCAAGTACGGCAGCATTGCCCGCGGGGCCGGGGATCTGTACCTGCGGCTACCGGTGAAGAAGGACTACGTGGAGAAGATCTGGGACCACGCGGCGGGGGATCTGATTGTGCGGGAGGCAGGCGGGCAGGTGACGGATGTGGAGGGGAAGAGGTTGGATTTTAGTGTCGGGAGGACGTTGCAGAGGAATAAGGGGGTGATTGCTGCGCCGAAGGATGTGCATGATACTGTTATCAAGGCGGTGTCGGAGGTGTTGGGGGGGAAGTAGATGTATAGACCATGCGAGCGGAGAGGCAAAAGCGGGATTATGGCGGTTGAATGGCTGTCTATAGCTGTCTATGTTCATACCTCATTGCTGAACGACGAATCTCTCGTCGTTTTTGGGCTCTGTTGACTGCTTCATCGTCACCTTCCATGCGGGCAATTCCATGACCCCTTCTTCGTGCCAGAAGACGACCTCATTGACAGGCAGACCAGCGTACTTTGCTGTGTCGATGTCCGTAATGCAGAAGTCATCCCAGACATCTCTCCCCTTCCCTTCTTTCCGCTCGTACATTGCCAAGATCCGCCATATCTCACCTGCCTGCTCCTTCTCATCCTTGTACAGCAATGTAGGCACAAGCTGCAACCGCCACGACTTCCTCGGATCCGCCCAGAACTTCGGCACCACCTCCGCCAACACATCGGTCCCATTCGAGACGAAGCTATTCATCACAATCCCGGTACCTGAAGAGCTAACCAGCTCAATACTCGAGTTCAGCTCCCGATCAACCGCCTCGTACACCCCATCATACCCCACCCCCAAACCCTCCCAAACACTCTCCTCAGCCGCCCGTACGACTTCTACCGTCACGACCTCCTGCAACCTATCCAACACCTCTCCACAATGCTCATTACACGCCACGAGAATAGTGACACCAAGCCCATACTCCGGCATCAAACTCACCCGCGAAACGTAACCCGGTAGTCCACCGCTCTTCGTCACGAACGTCACCGGCCTTCGACTTTCTGGTAAAATCCGATCCGTGCGGAAGATCTCCCAGGGCATCCCGTAGAAGCTTCCCAAGCCTGTGGCGAAACTCGCGGGTTGGAACCAGTTGATTCCGGTGGCGAGGGCGTTGTAGTGGGTTAGGATGTAGCGGAGGTAGGTGCTCATGTCGGTGGTGGAGGAGTAGATGGCGCCGGTGGGGTTTTGGATTCCTTCATCCACATCCCAGTAGTTATCTCCCACTGGAAGAACGGCGTGGGTGTCGTTAGGGGTCGAGATGGTCGTGAGGCTCATTTTTAGCGGGGTGAAGATGGAAGTTTGCATGTACTCCTCGTACGTCATGTTCGTCACCCGCTCGAGCACGAGACCCAGCAGCTCGAAATTGAGATTCGAGTACGTACTCTCCGCGTTCGGGGCGAAGAGGGGTGCGTGGTGGTTCAGCCATTTTACCAAGTCCGTGGCGTTGCATGGCGGGTCGTAGTCGGCGTATTCGTCGCAGCGGATGAGGTTTTTCTTGTCTGCGGGCGGGAGGCCGATGAATGTTGGGTCCGGGATTTCGAGCAGGATGTCGCTTTGTGCGAAGTCGCGTGGGATACCGGAGAGTTGGCTCGCGAGGGCGCGGAGGGTGATGTCGTGGAATGGGATTTGCCCGGTGAGTTCGGGGATATAATCGCTGACTGGGTCGTCGAGGTTAAGTGTTCCGGCTTCGGCTTGGTAGAGCAGGCCGAGTGTTGTGAAGGTTTTGGTGATGGAGGCGATGCGGTAGAGGCTGTCTCCATCCACTTTGGGGGTGCCAGGGCGGGTGGCGTTGCGCTCTGGGGCGGTGTGGAAATGGGAGAAGAGGGATGAGGTTTGGGAGGTCAGTTCGATGGAGAAGGAGGCGGCGGAGTATTTCGGGTTGGAGATGAAGGTGTCGAGCTTGGTGCGGAGGGAATTGAAGGCTGATGCGAGGTGTTTATCTTTGGCGCCGTTGTGCCATTGGGGGACGGGGAAGGCTGGGGAGGGGTCGAAACAGGTGGAGAGGGTTGAGGAGATAAGTGAGGCAAGGAGAAAGGCTGTCTTCCGCATCTTTGGTCTTGTTCGCAGTCGCTGCGATCCAATCGAGGAAGAAGAGACAATAGGAAGAGGAGAAGTTGTAGAAGTAGTTGCCTCACCTTGCTATCGCCCCCACGCCGGAGTTCGCATGTGGTCTTGTGGCGTTCGATCGATCAATACTAGAAGAACCTGGCACTCATGAGTTGAGAGGGTGACAGCTTGTTGTTTCAATAGTCAGGTATCAAGACGAACATGATACACCCGTTGTACTAGGTACGTACAACGAGTTGAGTGATGTTGTCAAGAAAGGAGACTGGTGATGAGGCCCAGAAAAGAAGCTTTGGCCAACAACAAAATACCCCGACTTCATCTCTTGAACTGTCTTTTCTCCTTCCTCTCTACCTACCTACATATGCAGATACAAGTCTTCTCATCACACGCCCCAAGTCTGCATACAGATTGTGCAGTCCAATGGACGAGGACAACATCCAACCACGCCTGCAGCAGTGACATGGGCCCGACGCCTATCTCTCCAGTGAACACACGCTCTGCCACCTGGCGATCCTCCTCTTCCTCCGGCCACTCGCCACTCGGCTGGCGCTCTCCTATAGCTCGACCGACGGTGCATCCCAAGTGTCTCTTTCAACGTTCTCCAGAGCTTCTTCCTCAGCATCCAGCAGATCTGCGCCTGGCTCTTGCGTGGGAACGCTCTCAAGCCATCGAGTGACGGCCTCCCTGTTGAAACTGGGATGCACAGCATCACCGCCCTTCACCTTGTCAACATCGTCGATATCGTCGACAAATCGAGAGGTTATTGACCCAGGAATCTGGACTCCAGCCGCCATAGCCGCCGCCTTCGCAGCATCCATCTCAGCTTCAGCCTCTCTGACGGCTCCCGTCCAATGCGAAGTTATGAACAGCAATCTCAACCCAAACTCTGTGAGAGTCTCAGATTGCTCTTCACCAACGAGCTCTTTCTGCCGTCTTTCTTCAGCCATCATGTCGAAGATCGCGCCCCGATCCCACAGACAGTCTTCCGCGTCGTCTAGAGCCGCTTTTGCTGAACGGTAATTGTTGATGATATTCTTCTTCTCCTGTGGCCCTTTTCCGATTGGGCCGTGCAACGCTTCATAGGTCTTTGCAGAATGCCGGTTTTCCCACATGTGTTCCGTGCTCTGGCTGGAACAATCGTCCTCCTTCTCCACGTCTGGCTCGACAACTTTGCTTGCCACGAACACACTGTTCAAAGTAGAGAAGAGGCCGTCCACATTCAGGACATGCTCATGTACCCTCGTATCCCAGGCCTGGTCAGTCGTTTGTCGCTTGGACTCCAGAAGTGCCTGCTGTCGCCTCAAACTGGACAACTCCTGACGCAGAGCTGGAGTTTTCTCTCGATGCTGCCTGGCCCCAAAGTCGGTCCATGCATCTATCTTCTCACAGAGATGGGCTATGTCGAGCGCGATGTTGGTCAGTCGCCGGTCCAGGCTGCACAAACGGTCATATCCTTGATCATCAGCTTTCCTTTTGGCCAGATTCTCCGCCGTGAGTTGCAACAGTTGTTTCCCAAATGTCTCATCTGGAAGGATTGCGACACATGTCTTGGACCCGTCTTTGACCTCGATGAGCCGCGAAGGTCCTTCCGTGAACGCAATGCTGCCTGGCCCAGATGATGTCCACGCCGTGGCTTCTTGCATGCTATGTTGATGAGGTCCTACACGGTCTGGTGGGTTTGGTTGCAGGATCGAGGCGGAGGCTGGCAGTAAGCAAACCTTTGCGGACGGCTTGTTTGCGCGAACTTGTCTCTGTTTTGCTTGTCGATAGACTCACCTCCCGGTTCCTGATGTGAAGCCTGCCCAAGCTGCAAGAGAGGTATTTGTTCCATTTTCGTGGCCTCTTTTCCAGTTGAGATCTTTTTCACCCGTGCAAATCTTCTTCTGAACCGCGCTGCTGATGGTTTTTTTCCAGATCCTTGCTTGTGGGGGATTAAGAAGAATGGCCAGCTATAGTGAGAGGCGGATGTGCGCGGTATAGAATGACTACCCAACCAGACCTTCGGAATATACGTCACGAACGAAAGTTCCAGCGAACTGTATAGCCTTCGCCAGACACGCGTGTTGCCGCCAATTCACCTGCTCCATGTTTGGGCAAAAGCGTGAATGCGCTTTGTTATGCGTTTGGCGAGTATGGAAGATTTCTCAAATTCACAATGTCTTTGTTTACGACACCAAGAATCGCACCTCGACACGTCGGCCGCAAAAGATGCTTACGATGACAGAAGTCCACCTCCCCTTCTTGATCATACAACAGTGTCTCCCTGCGGAAGACGCTGTTAGGAACGTCAACACAACCGCAACATGCCAGCTTCTCAAATGGCTTTCAGTTCTCGACGGACAAGATGACGTCAGCGGACCCGGCAGCACGACTCAGTGGACTCAGACCGTACAGGACACAACAAGTACAGCGTGCTCGAAGATGACCAGAGCGATCACAGCACGCCGGCGCAAGCAAGCGGCAATGAGGCGACAACAACACTACCCGAAGACTACCAAGAACCGTCGATCAACGCCCCAACCACCGCTGCCCATGTCAACGGAATCGATTCGGGCGTGGCCGGGCCCACAAGGACCAGCAGCCAAAGCCCTGCCGTTCATCAAGCAACACCGGTTCATCAGGCGCAACAACAATGTCAAACAGAACCAGCACTCAAATACGACAGCAACCCAGGATGGCGTAGAAACGCGCGCCCACCTGCCGATTTCGTCTCGCATCACGACGACCACTCCTGGCGCGAGCACAATCCAGAGCTACTTGGGAAGAGGTACGAGCAATCCCGCACGGTAAGACAGCCATTACCTTTGCGCCCGAACGGCAGATACACCTCTCTGCAAGGTCCAAGGACTGAGAGTGGTGAGCTGTACAACGATCAAGACGTCGGCACGATCGTCAAGCGGTATCATGTCATGCCGTACAAGGGAGGAAGGCCAGTACCTGCGAGCTGGGAGTTGTTCAAAGACAAAGATGGTGTGCAGAAGCTCAGGAAATGGCGCTGCTTCGTGATTGTTGGGAAGCAGGACGACAAGATCATGGAGCGGGCCATCTACACCAACGGCGGTACCGGCTTGAGGCACGTCTCCGCTGATCACCACCTCAAGTATTACAGCCTTCGGCCGCTCGGTGTCAGTCGTACAGACTTCGAGAACCAGGTACCGGAGCATGACGTCCTGTTCATCGACTGGATGAGGGGTGACAGGGCTCGCCATATGCTTCGTCCAACTATGATTGTCAACTGGAAGGAGGGTCACGAGCGCCCGATCAACGAAGACGAGCTGCACGTGGTTAGAACATTTGCGGCGGAATCGGTGAGAGTGCTGCTCGACAGGATTGCGCGCAGATTCTAAGGGATGCTGAGGAGTGTGACATGCTGATTAATCGTGGGACGATAGGATTTTCAGGTGCAGTTGGGTCGCGGAGATACTTGCGGTCAAGAAGGAGACCAACGTCGAGAGCTCGGGTTTGTTGGGTACATACTCATCGCCGCAGTAGCTTAATGTCATCCTTTTGCGATATTCGGTCTGTATGTAAAGGCGCGCGTGCCGTTGACGGAAACAGCAAACCGTACGTGCTACTTAGTGCTTTGGGTGATCATGAGGAGACGCTGACAATAGTCCCTAGATCAGACAGCGGGAAGGACAACACCGGTCTCAAGCACGCCAGCACGACAAGGCATGGCGACTACTTCGGTCTTCGGCCGATGCGCGTCAAAGAAGAAGACTATCAGAGCCCTGTGCCGGAGTATGAAGTACTTTCCATCTGCCGGATGAAGGACGAGGGCAGCCTCGAGCTACGTCGCTTAACGATAATTGTCAACTGGGTCGAAGAACATGCGGGGTCGATTCACCATCCTGGCTTGCATGTGATCGCCAAGGTGAATGAGAAGGGTTTTGACACAATGCAGAAGGAGATTCGCCGATACGAAGAGACGTTGTGACTGATGGAGGAGATGGATTGAGGGATGTTGAGACGAATAACAGGAAACGTATGACTGAGTGACACTGGCAGTCTTTGATGTAGGTCTTATCACCAGCTGACTTCGTTTCTTCATTCTCCGCCACAACTTGCAAGAGCTGACATCCCAAGACTTCGCCCGGAATGATGGCGAGCCAAGTCTTGGTTCCATGCTTGACTTTGACAATCTGCGCCGGGTCTGACAGGAAGGCAGCTTTGTTGAGCCCTTGCAGGACAAACGCGCCTAATGCACCGGCCTGAGGTTGTTGTTGTCGTCGGTTGGTACGTATGCGGTCTTTGACGGCATAAATCAGAACGGCGTGGCCGTTGATAAGATGTCATTTCCTTACGCCTTGATCCATTAAACCCATTAAACTGCCCCTGTCCTCTTATCGCATGCTCGATTGATCCATGCAACTGGTCTTGTCTTCTGCTTTTCAGTTCCATTGTCTGTCTCCTTCTCCTCTCAAGGGTCCGCAAGATGCTGCTGTTATCTTCCAACTGACTTGCTCAAGACGAGTGCTATTTGGAAAACTGATGTCAGTTCAAAAGCGAGTTATATTACCGAACGCAAAGAAATACCCGTGTAAATGCGGCTGCCTCCAGGCTCTAACATACCAGTCAGTGACGTGCCGGCGACAGTCTCGATCTCACGACCAGCCAAACCATCAATCACCATCACGCGAATACCAAACTCTCAGGTCCAACAACGAGTTATTCGAACAACGTTCCGGTATGAAGGAGGCACGCACAATCGAACGTGCAACCACACACCAACTCGCAGAACTCACCCAGGATGAATCTGCGTTCCAGCGACACATCTTATCCGGAAGACGACTTTTGGTGAGAACGGAAACCAGAACTCCAACAGATGAGATTCGAGCAAGCGAGCACCGCGACCAACACAAGACCAAACGGCACATACATCATCTTGCCCGGCCCAAAGACCCCAATGGTGAGTTTTACTCTAACCTGAAGCCGGGTGTGGATTGTCGGATATTTCCACATCGTTGCTTTCAACCCAAACGAATCTGTCAAAGAGGGGTGGGAGCACTACAAAGATGCGATCAGTGTTGGATAACTGAAGAAGTGGCGGTACTGGGTCATCGTGAACTAGAAGAATGGAAGACTGACGGAGCGTGCCATCTTCACGAATTTCAATACCGTATACGTCGATCAACACGGAAAATGCTTCAGTCTGCGTCCGAAAGGCATCGACCCGCAAGCGTTGGTCAACCAAGTCCCGGAGCGTGAGGTGCTATGGATTGAGAAGATGGGAGAAGACGATTCCAACGAACTGTTGCGCCTGACCATGGTTGTGAACTGGAAGGAGGTGTTCGAGCGCGATGTTGATGAAGTCCGCGTACAAGTTACCGGGGAGGTTTGATGTGTTCTTGAAGACCATCGTGCGGGTTTACTAAAGGACTCTGGTAGACGTCACGATCGCTAGGGGTGTTGCATCAAGGTCGAGGTCTTCCAGGTTGGTGACATGCATATGCAAGAACGTGGTGATCGAGTGAAGTACTTGGAATTGGTGGACAAACTACTTGGGTCAACCAATTCCGGGTTGTTCGTTTTGATGTAAGCCTGGCCAGTATTCGTAGTCCTTCTTCCTCGTAAGCCCATACTGCGTGATTGCACTAGAGTTTAATAGGAAGGAGAGAGTGAGGTGGAGCAGCAGCACGCTTGGACCATCAGAGACTGCATATCTTCGCTCTTTCTCATGTTTACTTCGTTCGTAGACTCATCAATCAACGTTACTGTTCCACGTCACATTCTCCGCTCACATTGAACTCACAATGGATGCAAAAGCTGCACAGCGGCTCGTCGAGTCGATTCCGACTCTGTATCGCGGGCCAGGAGGCGCTTGTGCTCTCCTTAGAGACGGCGAAGTGTATGGCGAGCACGTCTGGGGGTATGCCAACAGCGAAAAGCGTATTCCTATGACGAAGGAAACCATCTTGCCGATATGCTCCATCTCGAAGCAATTCGTCTGTCTGGTGCTGGCGAAGCTCTTCGAAGAAGACGGGATGGCCGAGAAGGGCGACAAAGCAATGCGAGATATGCTTCCTTCAAATCTCTCCGACAACAAGGACCTCACAGTGGAGCGGCTCGCTCATATGCAGTCCGGCATCCGAGACTACTGGGCTTTGACCGTACTTTGGGGTGCTCAAGCGGACTCACGATTTACGCTCGCAGATGATGCACCGGCAGCTCTGAAGAGACTTGGAAACTTTCACTTTGAGCCTGGAATGAGCTACTCCTACTCCAATGTCAACTTCTACGTACTTGGCCGCATAGCTGAGAGCATATCTGGCAAGCCACTTGGGAAGCTGCTCGAGGAATACATCTTTACTCCTGCAGGCATGACCACCGCGCAGCTTGCGTCCGACACAAGTAACCGACCTGGACCCAGCGTTGGCTACGAAGGAACCGAGCAGGTCGGGTACTTCCCAGCATTGAACAGAATAGAATGGGCGGGCGATGCGGGTATTGTGGCAACGCTTAAAGACATGGTTGCGTACGAGCAGTATCTGGATCGCCAGCAGGTGGATGACAACAGCGCATATCGACGGAATGCGCAAGCTGTCACCTTCAAGGACGACAACCCAGCGTTCTATGGCTGGGGTCTGGGCCGCGGTAAAACGGCGGGTAACGAAACACGAGGGCACGGTGGTGCTTTGCGAGGGTTTAGACTCCACAGGCGGTACATGCCTGATGAGCGTCTCTCGGCTGTCGTTATGTTCAACCATGAAGCCGACGCCGAAGCAGCAAACACTCACCTTTTGGAGAATGCCTTGCTCAACCCCAAGGATGATTCAGAGTCAAGGCCAGCCGCCGATAAAGGTTGGGAAGGTGCATACTTCGACTCTGAATCTCAGCTTGCGATTACTGTAGCTCAAGGAAGCAGCAATGGCGAGTTGATGGTCAATGTCTCCTCCCACCCGGCCAAACTACGTTGCTCGAGCTCACACGAGGCACGCTCTGATACGATGACGGCCACACTCGACGGCGACGTCCTCACTATAACCCGGTTGATCGAAAATTGGACAATGACCGCAAAGCGCATAACACCGTCTACCGGAGCCGACTGCACCCATCTCAACGGCGACTACCATAGTGCCGAAGTGGACTCCACCTTTCACGTCACTGGCGGCCCCGGGATCATGTATGGCTCATTTCATGGCTACTTGGGCAAAGGCCCGGCGTACGTCATGAAGGAGCTGGGAGCGGGAGTCTGGTTCCTGTCATGCGAGAGGAGCCCGGATGCACCTGCGCCTGGGAGTTGGACTGTGATGTTTGAACCGGATGGCGCTGTAGCTATCGGCTGCTGGCTTGCGAGGAGGATACCGTATTCGAAGCTTTAAGGCAGCTGAACGTGCTACTGGAGGACCGTTGAGGATCAGTCCGCAGTCAATGGAGCGCGACTATGTACTGGAATGGACCTAGACGGTTATCCCAACGTGCTTCATTTAATGAGTACCGACAATTACTGGGTTCCAATGCAGCTTCCCAAACACTGGAGGTCGCACTCTCTATCTACCAAGCCCCTTCCACTCCTGTACACAAGTTTCCCGCCACGAGTCGATCTTCCTTCGCCAATGACCCTCCGCGACCATACTGCCACTCTCAGAGATGTCGATGGATGCTGCATCCCACTCATCGACATCAACGTCAACACCTGCCGCCGCTTGCTCGGGGTCCTCAGCAATCTCACCGTCCGGAATGGTCTCCAGCCATAATTCAACAAGCGCAGGCTTAGCAAGCAACTTCAGCAATTCGTCGTGGCTAGCACGATAGCCGTCGTCCACATCGTCGACAAAGCCGGACTCAATCTCAGCGTCTGGTAGTTGGACCTTGGCAGCCACTGCGGCGGCTTTCGCGGCCGCAAATTCCTCCTCAGCTTCTGCCAGTTCACGAGTGTTCCGCCGGCCGTCCTGCAGACAATTCAGATCAAGCTCTGTTGAGGATTCCACCTCTTCTCCGGCAGCTATTTGAGCATCTCGTCCATCCCGAAGCCGGTCGAAGTCGTATTCTTGCCTTTCGAAACGGGTGGCCATGGCGTGTAGCTTGATCATCTGGTCAATGTACCGGTCTTTGAGCCGCTTGACTTCTTGCTCTTCTGGTAATAATGGGGCGGGCGGAACCCGGAGAGGTCGCAGGGTGCCTGCCATGCTGTCGTCCAGCGACGTCGTCGACAACTTGCCGATATCGCGCGGGTCTTCCGATGCTGCAGCCATGATATCGTTGGTCACGAACACCTCGTCGAAGATGAGGAGCAGGTCGTCCACATCTTGGCTGTGGTCCCTCCATTGCAAGGCAAACTTCTTGTCGACCTGTTCACTTCGAGCAAGGGACTTGTCTCTTCTGGCCTCCGCCCTCACAAGGTTGCCTCTTAAGGCTTCAAGTTCACCTTCAGGCAGGGGGTTCTGCATTACTTGCGTTCTTTTTGATCTCCCTCTTGGTCTCCTGGACTTGCGCTTCCCAGCAATGGAACTTCTGGTCGAGCTTGTCCAGCCGCGGCCCGGCCGCCCTTTCGGCCTTCCTGATTTTGCGGTTCTGCAAAATTGCTTGTTGAAGTTGATCGGCGAGTTTCTTGTTCTCCAGGATGCTGGAGCAAAGAGCTTGATGGCTGTTCTCCTGCTCTGGTGATGTGGTGGCAGCGGCCGCGACAGGCGTCCGCTCTTCTGCGCAGGATGGGTCCGCCTCTACGGTGTCTTGCTGGTAGTTACCATCCGCTTGTTCTCCAGACCTCACGACTTCTGAAAGCCGAAACGCAGTTCCTGCTTGAGCCGCGCCTTGTGTTTGCTCCCCTGAGCTGCATGTAGGCTTGGGTTCCTCGGGATAATGGCGTACAGATCTCCTCTTCGACCGAAGACTCGCGCGACAACATCTTCTGAGGTCCCTCCACAACCTTCCCATCCTACGCTTCGCCTTTGTGGTAGAAGGTGCTGTCAACCCCCTTCCGTAGGGCTGATCTTGCGCTGTTCTGTACTTACTGTGACCTTGTGGAGAGGACAATTCGTGCAGCGCTTGTCAACGGCTGAACAGGTATTCTTCGAACGCTGCAAGTTGAGAAAGTACAGTATAAGCTATGTCCAATGTTCTTACAAACATATTGCAGGGCGAAACACCAGGACGTGAAAAGAATCGCTTTATTTGTGAGACAAGGGCGGATAAGGCAGCTTTCGTGTGAAGCGGCCTCTTTTGCAACATCAAAGAACGGGACGATTCACGGCGCACTTTCGAAGACTTGTAATTAACTTACGTCGCGCTTTGGAATCGGCTGCCTGATATAGCGTCCAGATTGTCAACATGCAACCCTCCCGCATGCACCAACAAGTGCTATTGCACCGCGTCGTTGTCGAGCAACAACAGCATCACCCGACTCATGTCACACCATGGATCGCTCCGGCAGATTATTTCGAGTTGATTCGGTGCGTGTCGAAGCGAGGAGCCTCGATCCCATTCAGCGGTACTCCAGGCCGACGACAGTTGCTGCTCAGGACCCACACGAGCTTGTTCAATGTGGTGGCCAAGTACCGAACCTGCTACGGCTACCCAGTCTATCGACGGCGGCTCAAGCAATGCAGCACCTTGCGTGGATTCCACCCAAGCCGTTCGACGGACCCAGTACGAAGTAGGAATCAACCAAGAGGACAACGATGGCTTCCAAACAGTCAGTCGTCGACGCGGAGCAAATCCAACAGCACATCCGGTCGTTCAACCTCCCACCGCCACGACTTCTCGGCCGTCTGGCTTCTCATCAGGAACAACAGCACATCGAGCTCAAGAAGCTGAAACGACAGTCCCTCGCGCTACGCGCCCCATCGTGCCAATCGCGCATTCACGTCAATCTCAGTTTTCCGGGAGGAGGAGAGAATACCGCCCTCGGTCCAACGACCTCGGAAGATCAGAACTGTGGCAGTCGGACGAAGACTGGCGGAAGCAAAATCCCGAGCTTCAGAAGCAAAGGGTAGAGGAGAGCTGTGAGCTCGGCAGGGACGAGATTACTCGTACTCAGTCGGCTGTCACACCCGGCCTCAAGACTCCCTTCGGCCTTCCATACTCGAGCCAAATTCCAGGCGCTATCCTCTGGCACGCGGACGTTCGTAAGATTCGCGCAAAGAGTGAGGCAACGGGCTCGTGAAATGTTGTGGAGGGAGAGAACGGAGAGCTGTTCAAGTCTAAAGGCCGGTTCTGAATCGTTGTTGATGCAACCGAGACGCACGTGTCAGAGGTCGCCATATATACGAATAACAACAAAGGCCTGGTCCACACACCAAAGTCCGAGCATCCTCAGTTCTGCTCCTTGCGTCCGTATGGCATTCCGGTGGATGAGTTCAAGAGTCTCGTCCCCGGCAATCGTGTCCTCACTATCGACTGGATGGCAGAGGGGAGCTCTGGCAATCAGATGATGCGACATACGATGGTAGTCAAATGCAGCGAGATCAAGGTCGGGCCAATGCACTACCCGCACGCAATACGCGCTGTGGGCAAGCTGGACGAGTCGTCGAGGGAGTATGTGGTGAAGAAATCGAAATCGCGTAGGCTTGAAACGTCCTTGTAGCTGTTCTGGTAAGTACGCAACCCTCGTGTCTCTTCATGGCTGATGACTTGCAGCATCAAGGAACAAAGACTCACAGATGGCAGTACGTTGGACATGGACAGCATAGAGGCGGAGGACGAATGATTCTACCTTAGCCGCTAACCCATGAGGTCGCCGCCGTGTGATGACAAACAGAGGTTTGGCATGGAGCTTCGCTAAATCTCGAGAGAATGCCACTACCGCGGACGTCGGTATGAGCTGGTATGATATCGAAGTATGCAGCAACGCAACCAGCAGGTACGATTCTCTTCTCTTCCATTTCCATCTTAATGTCTGACGTACCCTCCTTTGTCTCTACCCTATACGCTCACTCAAGAACCAAGTATAGAGACAAGAATTATTCTTCTTTGTTCTTTAAGGCAGGACAATGACTTGGTATCGTCGGTTGTCCTCGTCTGGCACCCCAACATGCGGCGTATCAAGAACAGTAGGGAGGCCGGAGAAAGATGGGGGACGGTCATGAAGGAAGATGGCAGTATGTGGAAGTCGAAGGGCCGTTACTGGATCGTCGTCGCTGTTCGCGTTGCCGACGTGCTTGAAGTCGGCATCTACACAACGACGATACTGGACTGTCAAAAGTCCCAGCATCAGAGCATCATCATTACTGCTCGTTGTGTCCATCCAGCGCCGATTTAGCGACCTCCAACAACCCTCCCACCGGGAACGCGGTTCTCACTTTCCGTGGTGCGAAAGGCAACAAACATGCGAACCAGATGATGAGGCATACCATGATTGTCGAGTCTAGCGATGTTCAGACTGGTTAGTGATTGCACGGCACGGCGATGCGATCAAGGAGGTTCCCATCATCACGAACGGCGGAACAGTCTTGTCCGGCATTGACCCCAGTCGTTACCACTTCTATCACTCCTTGATAACGTACGGTCACGATGCAGCCATGTTCATCAACCAAAGTCCTTTGAATGAAGTGCTTTAAGGTTGAACGAATGAGTCCTGGCATCATTTATACCTCCGTAAGAGGAGCAAGCTTCTCAGTCCCACGATGGTTGTCAACATCAGCGAGGTCTTCCAGCGCTCGATTTATGACGACGGTATTTCTCTGGTTGCGAGGGCAACAGCAGAGTCGCAGAAGGTTGTGGTGGAGAGAGCAAGATTGATGATTGATAGTGCGATAACGAAGCACCATGATGCAGAGGCAGACGCATGTTGGCGAGCAGAGCTTCAAGGGTGCAAGGCTCTTGGAGCCTGTGAAGGCTGATGGTGATGGTGATCAAGAGGCGAGCTGGCATTGGCTGGTCTGTTGGTTTGAGAGCATCATATCGCATTCATAGCATTGTACGTTTGGCATCGCGCGATAAAAGCTATGAAGATATACTCCTCCATCTTGCTTGCTCACTTCTTCTCAGTTTCATCCAGGATGAACTCCCCGCTGTGAACATAGTACACACCTTGCCCAACCGTAGTCACAAGCCTGCGGCCACGCCGTATATTGCCGTAATGGCTTTATGAAGCACATTGAGGAAAAGCATTATTTGTAAACATTGTGAAACAGCCAGTTCCATATCCTATAAAGATATTTCCAACCTCACCACGCATACTCGTACTCATTGAAAAACATCTCAACTTCGCCGTTCGAAGACTCAAATTCCATCCTGCAGTCGCTCTGACCTCTTTTGCCGCTAAGGTGAGCCGCGCGAGGTGTACTGTTGGTGACAGAAACCCACTCTTCGTCGTGGGAGAGGGTGTGGATAGAGCCGTTCTGGGCGTTGCCTTCGACTGACCCCTGCCACAGGTACGGATAGATGAGTCGCGTGTCTCCAGAGTCCGATGTGTGAGCTGCGTCGAGCAGAAAGAGATTTCTTAGCTGACCTCCAGCCCGAGCTAACTCAGTAGCTATAGAGCCATAGCCGTAATGATAGTGTCCAGTCGTGCGGTTGTTGACTGGCCAGCGAGTAGCTAGCTCGGACGAGTCAGCCTCGCGTGACCTTGCATAGCTGATGTAGGAATCGCCACTATGAGAAGTAGTCCGAAAGATGCTTGGAGTAATGTGCTTAAGTGCTCCGGCTTTGCTTCTGGTGATGCGATTGTTCGCGCCCCAGACGCCTTCAACACGTGGCTGATGTTTGACCGTTGCTTCAATTGCGCTCTCAGATTCGAGCTCCAGCTTGTCTCTGAGAAAGAACATGCCCATGAGCGATGCGCCGGCTTTGATTATGGTCTGAGCCGAGCCCGTATAGACGCGGCTGTCAAACGCTCCCTTGACTGCCTCAATGCATGTCTTCTTCCTCACAGAAAAGCCCCAGAAGTTCAATTCACTGACGTTGTCAATGCTTACGTCGAAGCTCTTGGTAGAGATGTTGAAGATGTCCATTTCGACCAGGACATAAATGCCGATCCAGATATCCACACGAGAGGGTGACTCCATATGCCTATCCATGTCCCTCTGTTGTCGTTCATCGAGCCACAACTGATCTTTGCTGAAATGTGGCATCTTCAGGTGCAGCCCTTTTTCGTCTTGATCAATCGCTGCTGAGCCTGCTTTCCACGGCCATGAGGTTGCAACATTGCACCAGACCTCTACTGGGACACGTTGGGCTGCTGGGGCTGGCCGGATGTCGATTCGGCCGGTCAAAGTGGCGTTAGCTAACTCAGGTATGCTACTGAGGTCAAGCGCCTCCTCGAAAGAGAAGTCCCCCGTATGGCCCAGGCGAGTGAAAGTGTATACACTGTAGTCAGGAAAAGCCATGTATGGGTGGAACTTGTAAGGCGATGTCTCATGCGCATGCTGCGAGTAATACTGCCGTGTGACCTCAACAGCATGGTATCTCGGCTCCTCGAGTGACGTGGTGAGCAAAAGCAGCGCGAAGGTGAAGGTTACATTCGCGAGCAGGATCGTATGCCAGTACTGCCGCACAAGCCTCCTCGTGTACTGATTATCGACCTGAAGAAGGAGCTCGATTCCATGGGCCCGAGCGGAGCGGAAGCGGTCAGAATCGAGGCGAGATGCCAGTTTCTCTACTCTTTGACGAGCAGCTCGAGTCTTATCGTTATCGAGATGAGCGACCATTTTGCTCGTTGCCTGAAGGGCAGCCTGAGTTCGTTCATGTTCAACGAGCGTTATGGCAAATTGACGAGCGGTTTGAATACGTTCATTCTCAACGAGCTTCTTCGCATGCCGGTGCACAGCCTGAGTAGCGATTTCGAAGAACGCAGCAAGGTTGGCAAGACGACCTGAAGACCGCTGGTAGGAATCCGGAGAATTGCTTTCCTGGCCCTGCTCCTGTAGCTCGATATCATGAGGACCAGTGTCCAGAGTTTGACGTCCTTCTGGGTCCGGAAGATCCGCCTGCGGACGGTTCTGCACGCTCTCTGTCGTGGTTTCCCCCGCGCGAGCCGATCTAGTCGCCGCCGCATAGTCTGGAGGTGCAGGTACCCATGGAGCAGGGCCGGCATCTAGGACGACTACATCTTCGCCACTGCTACCCGATGCCCTTCTCGAACGATTCGCTGAACCTTGCTCCGGTGGATGATCCTGTTCTGTCGCTGCTTCGATAGCCTTTGCTGCCTGCGCCGCTACTGAGCTCTCGGGGCCATCCCGTGATGGTTCATCGTTACTGGGCGAGTCGCCTGTTGTATCTTGTTCATCATAGAGAGATTCGTCGTACTCTGTCGCTGCAGCCAAGGTGAAGACTTCGCTGGCATTATCATCCGTGGTCGCGTCTGTCATGTCTCATGATGTACATAGTAGAGTATGATATCGATGAGCACACTTATGTGTATACTGCATGGCGTCAAGGAAGAGTAAGGTTAAGGTACCCTCTCCCAGGCAGCTAAATTGTGGTCCGGCACGTGACTTTTCGCCTCTAGCACACGTGCAGCAAATCTTCACATGAAATCCGACTTCAGCACATTCTCGTCTCTCTTCTCTACTGCAGCATGGCTCCAGCACCAGGTCGCAATCGCGCAAACGATTTCAGGGACCTAACACAATCAAATCCTCAAGGTCAGCCGACGCGCATTTGCAAATAACAGCCTACCCTAACCGCATACCAGATTTTGACCCGGAAGAGGACGACGGACAGGACGGTTTCGACGACAGCGATGCCAGTTCCGCCGATGAAGAGGACGTAGACGAGTCACGAGCGCACTACGAGGATATTGGGAAGAGCAAGCTTCGCAAACCAAAGACCGCTGCCTTAGGTCCACAGTATCGCGGATCCAGGATTAGCAGGGACGCCGCGCTTGATGGTGAAGAGGATGATGACCCGTTTGGCAGAGGGTTTGATGAGGAAGAGAGCGACGAAGAAGATGGCGACGGCCTCGATGACGCTACCGAGAGCTCGGAGGTTGAAGAAGACGAGAATGAGGATGGCACGTCTGATACGGACATGAGCGAGGACGAAATGTCAGCACTCAAAACAGGAGCCATAAGCTCCAAGGAAGATCGCGCGGAGCTGTTGAAGGCGGTTTCAAAAGACCAAAAGACTGTGGCCTCGGCGCTGGCGCAGTCTACGAAGGCGGATGCAGAGAAGGGCAGGGCTGTGAAGAGGCAAAAGGGCGCATTCGACTCGCTACTGAACTCTCGAATCAGGCTGCAAAAGGCGCTCGTTGGTGCAAACACCGTTGTTGGACTTCCGGATGAAGACCTTCAAGCTCAGCTCGGGCAAGCTAATCATGCCCTCGAGGCAGCAGAGACGGCTGCCTTCGCCTTCTGGTCCTCACTCAACGACTTTCGCGAGAAGCTGACCGGAGCGCGGACCGGCGAGAAACGCAAAAGAAACGACTTCGGCAACGATACTCCTACCGAAGACCTCTGGAAACACATGCAGGCACAGGAGGCCGCACAGCAACCGCACCGCAACGCCACTCTGAACAGATGGGCAGTGAAGGCTCGAGGCGCCACTGCACTACCAGAACGAGGTGTCATCAACCGATCAGCACAGCAATCAAGTCTCGTCGACGCGCTGCAGGAGCATCTCTCTAACCGTGACCGCCTTCTTCAGAAAGCACATACTCCTCGCTCTTGTGCACCGTTGCAACTCGCAAATGGAGTCACGCAGGACGACAAGATCTACGACGATGCTGACTTCTACGGCATCATGCTCAAGGAACTCCTGGAGAGGAAGAGCCAAGACTCCGTCGCGGCGTCAAACATTGACCTGAATTTCAACCTCAAGCGTGAAGCGAAGGCGAAGAAGAACGTTGACACCAAGGCGAGTAAAGGCAGAAAGCTGAGATATACCGTGCATGAGAAGCTACAGAACTTCATGGCACCGGAAGATCGAAGTACGTGGAGCGAGCGTCAGGCGGATGAGCTGTTCGGGAGTCTGTTTGGTCGGAGGTTAGGCCTGGGCGAGGAGAGGGAGGAAGAGGAAAAGGTTACAGATGGCGCTGAGGAGAAAGACGCTGGCTTGATGTTGTTTAGGAGATGAAATGCGTTGCCGTCTGAGGCCCTATCTAACTGCAATGCCAGTACCGGCTCTAGCGATTCGTCAGCATGTCGCCTTCCTACTCTGACAAGACTGCAAGACTGGTGGTCGACTACAGTTGATGGACAGACCGGACACCAGCGGCACCAGATGGGGTCACACCTGCTCAAAGTGAGGCGTCTGGCCAGGTCTGGTTCGAATCGACCCAGTGGAGGCTCCCAGACCATCGCACGATGAATGTGTGAGGCTTTGCTGTCTTGGAGAATGGTTAAGTCTGCTTCAGGTGTGAGTTCCAATTTCACATGAAAGGCTTGGCGATGTCTTCTCCTTTCCGAAACTTTCCACACATCACTTCATAATTCAACCTTGGCCTCGAAAAGCTGTCCCTCAACACAAACAAACCAACATGGTCACTCGCTCGATGCAAGATGTTCTGGACCAGGCGAATGATGCGACTGCGAATCTCATTCTCCAATTCCAAAGCATGGACGCACGCTTGGGACAACCCATCTCGACCACCTTCCATGATGCAGATCAAACTTCACATGACTTCGACTTAGCCTGCCGGCTGTACGCGGAAGACCTGGGGCAGTACAGCGCAGACAGAACTGCCCACAATCTTGAAGAGCCACCGTCTTCCCCCAGCCTAAGGACAACTGTGTGATCTGTCAGGACGAATTCGATGCCTGGGAAGGGGTGAAGGTGCCGTGAGGGCACTTCTTCTGCGACGGCAATCTGGACGAGCTCTTCCGCAAAGCCATGACGCAGGAGGACGCATACCCACCGCGCTGTTGCAGACAGATCGTTCCCTTTGAAGACTTCGAGCTGTATTTGAACTCGACGCTGGCCGAAGATTTCATCCACAAGAAGGAAGAGCTGGACGACCCTAAGCCGACCTACTGCCATGTACCAACCTGCTCGGCATACCTCGAACAAGCGAACAAACGTGAGACGACCGCCACCTGTCTGAAGTGCTGGGCTCGGACGTGTATCCTCTGCAGGCAAACGCAGCACTTTGGCGAGTGTTCGGCAGACGAAGCAACACAGGAGGTCAGGAACATGGCACGCAATGAAGGTTGGCAGACGTGCTACAACTGCAAACGAGAGGTCGAGCTAGCGTTAGGATGCAACCACATCACGTGAATTACTTTTCTCCTTTGCAAATAGAGGCAGAACTTTGCTGACCATACACCAGCTGCCGATGCCGTGCCGAGTTCTGCTATATCTGTGCTAGGCCATGGAAGAACTGCGACTGCGATTTGTGGGACGAAGCCCGCCTCCTGGCTCGCGGCCAACAGATCGCCGATCGTCAAGGTGGCAATGCGAACGGCGCCGCCGAACAGATTCGCGAGAATCACGAATGCTGGAATCACGATTGGCAATACCTTTACAGTGCGAGGATTTGCGAGATCTGCAGGGATCGTCTGCCCGCCTTCCTCCTTCGCTGTCGGAACTGTTTGCCAGAGGTCTGCAGGAGGTGCTTTAGAACTCGAGTATAGCGGGTCCACGGGAGGAGGTATCGCGGGGCGGTGCCTGGACTCTTGTGTTGACATGGTGGCTGGATGGAGCGTAGGAGTGTACACTAGCAGGGAGCTGTTGGGAACAGGAGGTGTGTACCGCAATCGTGTCTTGCGCAAAGCCCACACCGCTCGGAACGAGCTTGTCGCAGAGTTGTATCCTCGATTCTTGGTTTCGTGGTTTGTCGCGAACGTTTCAACCTTTTCTTCCTCCTTTCCTCGCGTTTTCCAAGTCGTTACTCGTTTCGCTGCGCTCATTACTCGTGATTTTGTCCCAACCAGCTGATTCATCACCAACACTCCATCGACTTTCTCTTTTGTCCGGCCTTCTCAGACACGCCAACGACCAGTCATCCCTTCACACTTCTCTCCGACCCCTCCGAATATGGCGGCACCTCCGTATCGCTCCCTATACTCGTGAATGCCGTCGTCGCAGCCCCACTCAGCCCACTCCAGCGGGCCATCGTTCCATTCCCAGAACCCGGCTGCGACGACTGCTGCGACGGCTGCGGCGACGGCTGACGCGTGTGCCCGCTCGGTCGCTCCTGCTCCGCTGACGGCTTTGGGTACCCTGATGAAAGCGCGTACTCCGTTAAGTACCAGCTCTCTTTAGGGGAGTCACGAGATGGCAGCAATCCACGCTTCTTGAGACGGTAGGTGCGGAGCAAGGGGACCATGCTGGTGGCGAAGAGGGCAAAGGCGAACGAGAGCAACGGAAAGGAGATGTAGCGGAATACGTTGTACCACGATGTAGGGATGAAGACGGTTGTGAGCTGGGACCGTCAGTGACATTCTCGCCTTCATCAAGGCGTAACTCGATGGAGACAGACCGAGAAATTGATCAAGCTGATGGCGAATATAAACCAATCGAGGCGTAAGGTCAAGTGCCAGTGGATGTCGTTTGGTCGCTTATGCGCGAATATCCCAATGGCACCAACGAGCACCATCATGCTGAAGAACACGGTGATCGGAAGCAGCAGCCAAGTGAGGATGTACCAGTTGAAACCGTAGGCCCATTGGTAGACGCTTAAGTGGGAATTCACAGCCAGCCAAACCATGAGGCCGCTGGAAAGGCCGATGCATATGGTGCCGAGGATCACCTTTGTACTGGGCTTAGTGATTGATGGGAAGCGTTTCTCGTTGTATCAAGCGCACGCACCTGAACCAGACGGGCGGCGAAGACGAACTTCGTCGATGGGAATGAGAAGGCGCGGTCCTCCATAGTGTGGACGGCCATGTTGTGCTGCTGTGTCGTCAGGATGGTAACGTAACAGACGTTGGCAGAAAGGATGAAGTCCTACAACTACCTTGCCATTGACCGGGCGCGACGGGATGCAGTCGCCGAAGAATAGGAGGGTGGAGAGCTTGGCCAAAGTTTGAGACGAAGGCACCCAGATTCTTCGTCTCATCATTGGCCGTGACCATCTCACAAATACGGGGTTGATCTCGAAACACGGATCTCGCGTCCGATGTGGTGCATGGATGGAGTCGATCGCTCGTAGAGATAGCCTATTTTGGTCGATGCATGTCTATTGATAGCATTCGAATTCGTTGCCCAGGTGCCGGTAGCATTCGTGACTCTACCTCGTGGAGCGAAGCTCATAGCTGCTCGATATTAAAGGAGCAGACCCATCAAACAAAAGCCGCAGCACCACCAACTCTCCCGCTAATTCATTCAAATCATCCGTGCCCCTCCTGAAATCCCATCAATCCATCGTGAGACTGCCTTTACTGCCCTTTGATCATCGCAGCCTTGAACCGACTGACCTTCTTCAGCTTCCCGTCCTCTGTCTCCTCCATCAGCTCTCCCATTTCCTCATCGTCGTCCGCGTTCGCCTTGAAGCCGCCTTGTTGCCGGATGAAGTCGTTGCGGCGGGAGTAGTAGGCTTCTGCCAGCTCGCGGCGCTGGGTGATTGCGTCTGGATTGTCGAGTGACGGCGGGGCCGCGGCGGAGCCTTTATGGATGGGTCGTTCGAGCAGGGTGGTGCGGAGCGGGCGAGCGTCCTCAGAGTCGTTTACGCTCCCGGCCGTGGCTGGCGGTGAGGCGGTACCATCATCTTCGGACGTGGTGGCAGGAGTTGCACGAGACTTCTTGAAGCGTGACGGCTTGCTCGCAGGTTGAGTTGGCGCTGTGGAAGGTGTGGTCGTGGTAGGTCGCTCCGAGATGGTTTCGGCCACCGGCGTGACGTTCTCGCCATCGTGATGCTTCTGGGCCTTGAGTGGTGGAGACCCAGGCTCAGCAACATCCAGCTCCTCTGCAAAGCTAACCCGCTTCTTGACACCTGCCTTCTTCTCGCTGCTCTCAGAGCTCACACTGGAAGTAGAGAGGCGCTTGTCCCGGATCACCAGCCTCCGAACGTCTTGCGGGTCTAGATCCGGATCTGCGTCCGCGACCTCCTCGTCCTTTGGCGCTGGCCCAAGATTGCCGATGAGGCGATCCTGTAGCTCCTCCATCTGCTTGCGGTACTCTGGCGTGATCTGAGCACGCTTTGACCTGCCAGTGTCATCTTCTGAGTCCTCCGACTCCGACATGCCGGTAGTGTAGGGTGTGTCATCGTCCTCTGGGTACTCGGAAGTCGTGTGGAACGAGCCGGCATCATCGTCGTCGTCATCGTAGTCCATGAAGTTTTCATCAAGTTCCATCTGCGCGACTACATTACCGACTTCGTTGAGATGATAGTCCAGCATTTCGCGCCTTAGACGTGCGTCTTCTGGTGATTCGTCCTGTGGTATGACAACACCCTGAGCAATGGATGCATCGCTCTCAGTGGCATCGGTCGCCTCATCCCCCGCAGCCATCAGAGACTTAGCTTTTTCGACATCGTCAGCAGTCATTGGAGGCACGTTCGGCGAAAGGGGACCTTCTGGAAATGCCGGGATCTCTTCTACCTGCGGTGAGAACGACACGGATCTGGTGTCTGCGGGCGGTGCAGCAGGCATGACAGCAATCTTGTCGTTGAATGAGACACTCTTTTTGCCGTCCTCACGTGACTGTGATCGTGGTCGCTCTTCTGCCACTTTCGTGTCTGCGGTGAATGAGACAGACTTCTTGCGGATTGAAGGCCTTTCTGCCTCTTCGCGAGAGCCATCTCCTATAGGACTCACGGGTACAGGCTGTGATTGTGGCCGCTTGTCGACGGTGATCGAAGAGGCTGCAGTTGGGCTCGCATTGGTGATGGCGGGTTTCAGGTCCTCTGAGCTTGGTCTCGATATCGGCTTTGGCGCCCCTTCCAGATCCTTCTCCGTGAGACCAGCCTTCTTCAGATCTTCGATCGCTTTGGCAGTAGCTTGCTCCGGCTGGCTAAGTCGACTTGCAACCACATTTCCATCCTCGTCAAGCTCCTCGTGAATCTCGGTAAGCGGCAACCCAACCTCCGCACCTCCACTTTGCGTCGCCGCTGCAAACGCGAGCTCCTCCTGCTTCGCTTCGGCATCGAAGAACTGGCGCTGCACGGTCTCGATGTTCTTCTGCACGTACTCCTGTCGCCGTTCGATGAGTCCGATGATCTGCTTGGCGGAGCGTGGCGAATCACTGTCCAGAGCGGCCAGTTCGCGGATCTCCTTTTCGTTCACCAGGTCGCCACCGTAGGTTTGTGAGATGGTTGTGAGCTCAGCCGCATCAAGGTCGTGTCCGGGCAGCAAGATTTCCTCCTTCAGACCCTCGTACTCCGCCTCCCACAACTGCCAGTGTTTGAGTGTTTGTCGCAGCTTCTGCAGGCTAGCCTCCAGAGCCTGGCGGGTTTGTTCAAGCTTGAGGACATCCATGATGGGTGTGTTGTAGAGGTCGAAAGAGGGAAGCCAGGAGGACCTTTCTATATCATGGTGTGAAGTGCTTGTTATTATGCAGAAGAAGAGGATGGTGCTTGCCCGAGGTTTTAACTCCGGGAGAGGCCCGGCGGACCGATTGAAATGCTTGGCGAACTCACAGTCACCGATGACCAGTCACAGCAATGGCAAATGGCAGGGTTTAGCAGTCGTGCAACGTGGGACGAGTGAAGTGAATGTTGAGTGTAATGCATGTGCGTTGGTGCAGAACGGCTCAGAAATCGTCGATGCCGCAGTACTCGTCAAATACAGGACCATATTGTCAGCTTTACCCAGCCAATCTACCCAGCCGCTTTGGAAGCGATCGGGTATCCATGCTTTACACCATTGATCCGCTCTCCATCGTTCAACATGTGACAGCCTTCCCTCAGGTCCTCTCTCCCATGTCCATCCCATCGCCCACTCTCACCAACCTCTCACTGTGGGTACCTCCGCAACACCCTCCGCTGCTCGTCCTCCACCATCCTCTTCAGCATTTCCACCTTCTCGTACAATCGCTCATACTCCCTCTTCCACTTCCACTTCCGGTAGTCTCGCAGGTCGCGTGCGCTGCTCATCAGAGCTTTGAACCCATCCCGATCCTTCTTCCCCTGCACCATGTCATCGGCGAGCTGTTCGTAGTAGCGATCTTTGCCGCGGCAGTAGTCGTCTTTGGTCTCCTTGGTGCTGCTGCCAGATTGACGGACTGGGATGAGGTAGTAGTCGACTGGTGATCTACGTTAGCTTGTGCCTTGGCCAATGATAGGGTGGTAGATGTAGGGTGAGCCATTGGCAGCTTACCTGTGGAGGAACGCATCAACCAGTTGAAGGGCGATAGATGTGGGCGGCTGACGGCTTCAACGTTGCGGGAGGAGCTGACGTAATGTCTTGAGGATGACATGATCCAGCTCGCTTGAGTTGTGCTATCGTGTTGTCGTTGATGGTGATAATGGGACAATTTGAAATGAGTCTGCGTTGATGAGGATTTGAATGAAAGCTTCTCCCCTACCTGAGACATGAAGAGAGACCTGTGTTACGCTTCAAAGGTCGGAGCAAACTCACGTGGTGACGAGAGAGCAATGTTGGAAAAGAAATGTCTTACTTTCCATGGTGCTGCAGACCTGCAGCCGCAACTGATCCCCGGCGCATGACCTGAGACTATACTGATAATATGCCACCGAGCGCCGAGGAGTTTGTCGTGTCTCAATTTCCGTACATGATCCCAGTGCCAGACAAGGGGGTATCTTCCATATGCGCCAGACAATGCGAGACCTAACGCCATGCTAAACGCTCAATGTAAAGTCGTGTGTCAGACAGTCACGGAAATGCTCCATCCTTGTCGAAAGGGTTCATCGCCGCCCTAGTGTTGCTCAGAAGCTGCCGCCGAAGCGCATCCGTTCTGTCGGCCTTGGTAAGCTTTTGAGACTTCGTTGATCTTGCAAGTGAGCTCGTCTTGCGCATGAACGGCTGAGATCGAGCTTCGTTTTCTCCGCCGCCAAAGTCAACCAGCCTTGCCCTCCTGGCGTCCTCCTCGCTCTCTGGAAGCAGATCCATATCAGAGCCAATGCGTTCTTTGAGCTGCTCCGTCCTCTCCTCTTCCCTCTTCCTGACCTTTCGCTCTCTTCGGAAAGCATCCCTCACCCGCTTGTTGGCACTCCAAGTGTCACCCCAATCCCTCTCCTTCTCCACACACAACTCCTCGATCCTCCTCTTGTTATCCTTAACGGCCTGCTCCCCCTCCACCTTCCCCTCCAGCAACGCAAACGCGTCCTTTCTCCTCCTCTCCCTCTCCGCCTCCGTCAGTATCTCCACCCCGCCTTCACCCTCTCTGACCTTGTCCTCTCCGTAGTCCCTCGCCTTCCCGCCCTCCGTGACCACGTACGCCGTATTCTTCGGGTCCGTCCGCACCTCCAGCGTCCCACCACATGCCGCATGCTTCATTCGGAACTGCCATATCGGCGTGCTGTAGTAGTAGCCGACCTTCTTCTTCTCGGCGTTGAAGCGCACACCTTGTCCGATGATGGCGTGCGGGGAGCACGTATGGCACCAGACAGCGTAGGGGAGTTCGAAGCGCACAGTCTGGGTGCCGTCTTTGCGAAGAGTACCCGGAGCGCGTTTCTGGTGGATTCTGTTCCCGGAAGTTGCGCCGGCGTCCGCTGCATCTGGTGGGATATACCGACCCATGTTGAAGCCTTGCATGGTTGCGGTATCTTCCGGTTATGTCGCTGTCGACGAGGGTTGCTTTGTTGTGTTTATCGGCGTCCGAGACCCAGTTGCATGTGCTCCGTTAATGCATCGTGTGTTGTCCTTCTGTCAGACAGGTGAGCTTTTTGCTACTTCTCTATCACATGCTGACGGCGCCGACGCTGAGTAAGCGTTGCCGACGACCTCTTGAGTCTACCTTATTATTCGCGATCAGGTGAACGAAGTAGACTAGTCCATTCGAGGGACTCGAATGTGTTCGCCAGGACAAACGATATACTATAGGCACATTGGAAAGGACCGTCGAGCGCACTATCGTGCACTTTTATTGCCAACTTTCAACGACTACATGTACTGCTCCTATTTCCTCGGCGGCACATTCATGTTAATGTGGATGGTCTTCGGCTGCAGATAGCCCTTGATACCCTCTGGTCCACTCTCGCGCCCGATTCCACTCTGCTTGTAGCCACCGAATGGTGTCTGTGGCGATGTGTTGAAGGCCGAGTTGATACCGACGGTGCCGGCTTCGATTTTGCCGGCGACACGAAGAGCGCGTGCGATGTCAGAAGTATAGACGGTGGCTGGATGCAGGGTTAGTACATGTAAATCGAAGTGAGGAGCAATCTGTACTCACATCCAAGTCCGTAAGTGGTATCGTTCGCAAGCTGGATCGCCTCCTCTTCATCCTTGAAAGTACGGACTGAGATGACTGGACCAAAGATCTCGTCGGTGTAGACCTTGCTCTTCAGGTCCGGATTCAAGAAGACAGTCGGCTGCACGTAGGTGCCTTTCTCGCCCTTCCTATCGCCACCGACCAACACCTGCACTCCCTCCTCTCGCGCGCCGTGCAAGAAGCTCATTACACGCTCAAACTGCTTCTTGTCCGCCAAGGGGCCGTATGCAGTGTCGTCAAGCGAAGGGTCGCCCATCTTCTTGTCAGCTTCCTCGAAGGACTTCTTCACAGCCTCGATGTACTTGTCAGCAAGGCCCTCCTGCACCAGAACTCGAGAGGAAGCAAAGCAGATCTGTCCGCTGTTCCGCAAGAAGTTTGTACTTGTGTGTGACACGGCATTGTCTAGCTCCGCATCGTCAAAGATGAGTGCTGGGGACTTGCCGCCGAGCTCCAACGACACGATCTTCATGTTGCTCTTTGCGCTTGCTTGCATGACTGCTCGGCCTGCCGGTGCTGAACCTGTGAACGCAATCTTCGCGATGTCCATGTGACTTGCCAGAAGGGAGCCAACGGGTCCAGCGCCAGTAACGATATTGATCACACCCGGAGGGAAGCCGGCCTCGTTCAGGAGGTCGCCATAGGCAGCTGCGGCGAGGGGAGACTTCTCGGAGGTTTTGAGGATGAAGGTATTGCCAGCAGCCATTGCAGGCGCCATCTTCCAGGCCGCGAGCACATGGGTGCCATTCCATGCACAGATGCCCGCACATACTCCCAGAGGCTCGTACTGCACGATCTTATATGTGCCATCTTCATCAGGCGGGAAAGTCTCGCCGCTTACTTTGCCTGCATAGCCAGCATAGTACCTCCATAGAGCAGCAGGGCCCTTGATCATAGCCTTAGCCACAGTGATCGGCTGTCCCATCGCCATGCTCTCCAGCTTTGCGAGCTTGTCAACATTCTTCTCGAGCAAGTCTGCGAACTTGAGCATAATCGCTGCTCGCTTGTGACCGGCTGTTTCGCGCCATTTTGGGAAGGCTGCCTTCGCTCCGGCGACGGCGTCGTCAATGTCCTTCTCGGAGGCCACCTGCACCTTGTCGGTAACGAGAGAGTCGTCGCTCGGGTTGTGGACGGATAGTGTCTCGCCAGAACTCGACGGTCGGTACTGCTATACGTCAACGAGAGCTCACGTCGAGATGGAAGCGTGTGCTTACCTCGCCGTTGATGAAGAGATTCGTTTGCATCGACATGTTGGGTAGTTGTTTTCTGGTATACGAAAGAAGCAGAGTCCAAAGCAAACCTACGTTACCATCCAAGGACGAGTACTTCAATGTCCCACTGACGTCGAACTGCCTGGAGCTCGTCGACCATGAGCGGGGCAAAACACCATAACCTAGGCATTGTTCTCCTCCAACCTCAAGGTCCATCGTACTCGTTCAACGACCATACAGCCGAGTCTTCGGACTTACCGGGGAGGTTACGTATTACTCGTGCCAGTGGTGCCAAACGGCTTGCATATATCGAGAGAATCAGCTCTCGATTGCAGGCATTCGTCTAAGGAAGCAGCTCACGACCATGCGGTTCAGCAGCAGCAGCAGCAGCAGCAGCAGCGGACGACGTATCTGCGGATACGTCAAGCTCGTGATGAATGGCTACGGGACGAGTAAGCCTGTTCGTGTTGTGAGACGGGATGGAAGGAGACTGGGAGAATTGACGTGTTGTTGATCAGCACAGGCCATCAGCCATGAGAGTGCCGCTTCCGGCTGTCCCCTTCTTTTAACTCTTCGCTGAAAACACCGGGTTTTGGAGACTTCAGGTTCCCGAGTCGCGCCAGAACGTCGTTACGATGCTTCAACGCGTTCGTTGTACTCCTCTCTCGGATGCTATGAACATCAGATGACCCGATGGCGCTGTAGCCTTGCCCTGACCATCTCTACAGGCTACAGCCATACTCTGGTCAGGTTAGACATCGAACCAGGCGCCCTTGGCTCGCGATCTACTGAAAGGTATTAAAGTACATGAGTCTTCCTTCTCCTCTCCTCGCACTCTACTTAGAGGTATAAAAGTACACGAGTCTCCCTTCTCCCTCCTTGTCCCCCAACAAGAACCAACAAGAACCTTGATCTTTCCCAAAGGCCGCATCAATCCATAAACCAGAACCCTCGAAATGGCACCGACAATACAATACCTCCGCTACGCAACCACTGTCATCGCCACAATCTTTATCGGCTTCGGCATCAACAGCTTCGTCAACCCATCGCTAGCCATATCCTTCTTTGGCCTGCCGTATCCAGATCCAGAGCCTCTGCGACAGATCACGAACGTTTTGCTGGCAGCCGAGGGTATCCGGGACGTGTTCATCGGTCTAGCAATGTATGCATCCTACTTTGGCGACAATCGGGTGCTGGGGTGGATCACGGTCGCGGCGGGTGCGACAGCGGGTGCAGATGGGGTCATCTGTAAGATGATGGTGGGGACGGGGGAGTGGAACCATTGGGGCTATGCGCCGATTCTGGTTGCAATTGGGGGTGCTCTGGCTTTGGGGTGAGCAAATGTGGTTGTCTTGGCTGTTGTTCAGGGAGCGTGGCTTGAAAACCAGACTTGCAGATCCCTGAGCTATACTGGAACTTGGCAATTCGAATGATGAAGGCTACGCGTCGAATGTGTATGGGAATGTACCAGTGCTTCTCATATTGACACATAAACTTTTGCCGTGCAATCCGTGAAGCTCCACATCCGCTCACATCGCATCCTCAAGATCAAATTTGACCAGCAACGTACAATGCGTCTCCTTGCCCTTGAGGTCCAGCATGCGGATGAACGTCCACCCCTCAACTACATACATCAGCCTGACAGAAGCCACGGCAAATATGGGATTTTTCGCAAAGCTGTCGTCACTCTTGATCAAGATTCGCAAAAACGTGAGCTCGTTGTCCTCAAAGTCCCACTCTAGCGTCTCATCATAGACCGGATTCTTGTTCGGCGGGTTCAGACCGCGGTGCATGACACCCAGCTTGTGCTGCTTGTAAGCTGCCGTCTTCTTCTTGGGAGGCTCGTTTTCGAGGTCACTTGGGTGGTGGAGGGTGCATGTGACATAGGGCTTGATGTCCTTGGCTTCCCGATCCTCTGGGATGGGTACGTCCGTGGCACCAGCAACCCTTAGACGCAGCTGCTTCTTCTTGCCTCCACCAAGCTTGCCTGAGCCGCCGGAACGGAGAGCCTCCGGCTTGAGGACATAGCCGTCTGTTCCCGCAAACAGCGCTGCGTTCAGCTGCATGGCCGCATCAAACGTCTGCCAGTTCAAAGCACATATTTGTGCTCCCACGCCCCAGAAAGGCACTGGATGGAGGTTCTGCGAGGAGATGCGGGTTCCTTTCGGGTAGACACGCATGAGGTGTTTTGCATTGTGCTTGCTGATGTTGCTCGCCATCTTTTCCATGAGCGAGCCGAGACCTGATTCGGAGACATTGATGAGGTGGTCGTGTGGACCACCTTGTAGCTCGCCCTGCAGCCAGGACTGGTCGCGAGGCTTGACCGACTGTGCATAGACGCCCAGTTCAGCAAGCTCTGGGATGATGCCCTCCTGAGGCGCGTCTTTCTTCTGCTTCTTGTACTTCTCGCGAGCACGCGCCTCGGCTTCTCCTTCTTGTTCGTCGTCTTCGCTGTCGGACTCAATCTCCTGGTCGGGGAAGAAGTACTCCACAATGACTGCGATCTTGGACCCCATGGCCGCAAGAGTGACTTGATCGCCACTGCCCTGCTCTTCGCCCGAGCCTTGATCGCGAACTCGTTGGCTTAGCAATCGATCACCCCAGACCTCCTTCATGATTTGCGCAAGCCTTTGTTGGCCGTGAGCAGAGCAGTGGTTTTCCAAAGAGAGCATGATTGGCGCAGCTCCATAGCCGGACTCTCCAACGCCCTCCGCAGCTTCCTTGTCCACGACATCTCGCATGACCTCGCAGACCCTTCGGAAAGCGACGTTCGACGCTAAAGTGAAGCCGTGCGTGACCTTTGGCTCTTCTTTATCGTCGTCGTTGTCCCAGGCATCGATCTCCACACATCGTGAGCCAGTGCTCAACGCAATCCGATAAGCCACAGGGTCAGCCTCACCGTACAACTGATGTGCAGTCAAGTACGTGTTGTGAGAGGAGCTGATGAAGTATTCAGCAAGCGGATGCTTCCTGTCAATTACACTCGTCGGTACACGGATGTGTGGCTGATCCAGCAGTTCTCGGATCGCATCGGTCGGCTTGTCTGAGTCGACACCAGCGTCCTGCTCTGAAAGGACACTTTCGTGTGCGAGAAACGAGCGTAATGCTTTGCTGACTTTCAGCTGGTCTTTCGTGACGTGCTTCTTTGATAAGGTCTGGAGGGAAGAGTCGAGGTCAAGAGCCTCGCCCTTTTCGTCGTCGTCTTGCTTGCCCTTCCCACCGAACGGGTTGAACTTCGAGAGGGAAGACGTCAGAGCGCTGGCCATGATGTGCAGGTTGAAGCTGCGATTGCAAAATCACGTCGTCCTGTACGGAATATGGGCTCCCAGACTTCTACTTGGATGGTCCTTTCGGTTCGACAAGTCTAGCTGCGAATATTACACACAACCCAGACCAAGTTGTCAGTCGTCAGCCAACCCGACGAGCTCAAAAGACGTTGAGCTTGGCAAGATGAGGTCAGATCTGTTGCATCACGTGATCGAGCTGTCGAATTCATCTGGCCAACTCCTTCGAATTCGAATTTGTTCTCTCCATGTTCCTTACGACTCAACCCATGTTCAGACACACTCAAGCTACACGTACCTTGTGACACATTGGCCGAAAGCATGTTTGCATATCGTATGATGGCCGCCGGCAGTTGCGATGTAGTTACTCGCAGTGGCCGGAGTCTTTGATGTGCAACGAATAGGACCAGATACTGCCAAAGCACGTGCACATTCCGGTCTCTCCACTGGAATGATCGTGCCAGAAGCGGCAAACCAGACTACTAACGTCAAGAATATCGGCCTTGCTACATGGCTATGTCGTTGAATACAACTCGGTACGGTAGGGACGCCATGAAGCGACCGGGCTACATCAGCCTCGTTCGAGTACCACATCGGACGACTGCTTGCAATCTTCAACCAGCAGAAATGAGCCATCAGCAGGAGTCCAGTCCATGAACAATGGACCTTGTAAGTACAGCCGGAAGCGGTATATTTTGTTCCCTTTGACTGTCAATGGTGGTATCCTTTGTTAAAGACGGTATTGCTACTTATCCTGCTTCGCAATGTTTGCCATGGCACCGAAACCTCACCTTGCAATTGGCAGTCAGTGTCTCAAGAAGCATCATGGCGCGCTTCACGGTGCCGTCGGCCAGCACTTCACCGGAGGATAATAAAAGAATCCAACAGCGAGTTACGGCAGGCTACCGAGTGCCGTCTGCGAGCAGTTCGCCAGAAGCAGACCAGCAGCCACCACGGCGAGCTACAAAAGGCTACAAAGTGCCGTCTGCAAGCAGTGCATCGGACGAAAATGGGCAAGAAGCTGCAAGTCCACACCGCAGTCCACCAGGAGCTAAAACCAGCATAAGCGTGGCGCTCAGGAAGCCTACGCCTGTTGTATCTCACCCACGTGAGAGTCCTCCGAGACCTAGTCGCGTTGGATCTGCATTTAACAGGCCGACTGCCCATACAGCAGGCAGAAGACCACAATTATTTGGTGCTTCTTCCCCTCTCAGCGAGGATGATCCAGAGGCCACTCAGGATGCCAGACCGCCAGGGGCATATCCGATCTCCAATCATGGCTCAACGTCTCCAGCGACACCGACTGGCAGTGGTGGATACGTAGTCAATAATACGGTGGAACCAACCGCTGGGGGCCGACAGAATGACGAGGTGGAGTCGACAGGAAGTGACCACCGGTCCGACAGCTATTACACTGCCGTCGAAAGTCTTGATGGTCGGCGTGTCGTGAGCCGCAGAATGCCGTTGACACCCGAAACGCAACAGATCAGGCGGCATACCGTCGACGAAATTGCGGAGCTACTGGGCGGCCACGACAACTTGGTCCAATTGGTCCAACATGTCGGCTTCGGCACTGCCAACAATCATGTGGTCACGACTTGGCAAAGGACCGAGGGGCCGTCTCTAGCAGATCTGATCAGCGCCAAAATGCGGCCCGGGAAGCAGTTCAATGGCTTATCGGAGTCGTTCGTCTGGCACACAGTGATCTCATTGTTGAGAGCCATTGTCTACCTGCAGACTGGAAGATCAGATCACGAGGACCCGCACATTAATCCTAACTGGCAACCACTCGTTCACAATTCGATCAGCCCAGCCAACATCTTCTACAGCCCTGCTGTGGCTGGTCAAGAGTACAAGCCTTGCAAACTCGGCAACTTCTCGAAGTGCGCGATACTACCCCGTAATCAAGATCCGGACACAGCCCCAGAGCGTCAAGAGAGACTGGACGCTTTTCCAGTCATCCCTGAAGAGCAAGAGACAGGCTACGAAGCTCCTGAGATCTTCCGCGAAGAAGACCACGTCCCTGGCCCGGCGAGCGATTTGTGGTCCATTGGTGCAGTCGCTGTCACGATGATGAGTGGATGTTATGTGTGGGATTTCGTCCGCCAGACTGCCTTTGAAGCCCGCATAGGGAGGGACAACGCGCAGCTGCACGAGTCGTGGCGTCACATGCCGGCTCGCCAGCGACATTTGTATCTTGAGAAGCAAGCCATGCATGCGGAGATTGTCCGCGCTTTACCCCAGCACTACTCGTACGAGCTGAAGGAGTTTGTGGAGGCGCTGCTGTTCTTCGACCCGGAAGACAGAGGCCTGGCCGTGATTGTCTTGGAAGATGCCGTTGCCAGATACGAGGCAGTAAAGGCCAGGGGCTCTCAAGTGGTTCAGAAGAAGACGTTAGTCGAACTGGGTGAAGAGTCCGTTAAGCAGACTCGGGCTCACGCACGGCTTCCGGCCAATGGACCACCGGCAGATACACCAATGATCCCGTGAGCTTCTTTCAAAAAGCTTTGCACCTTGGACAGCACCGTTGTTTAGAACCGTATATAGCATGGAATGTGGTGGGTTTGACAGCGTAGTTCGCAAGAATCGAGCGGAGCAATGATCCTCGTTTTGGCGTGGACGGACAGGCCTCCGAGCAGTTCATCTTATCTTCTCTTCCTCTTCCTCTCATTCTCTGCCGTCGAAAAGTGACAGCAAGTATCCAAGCTGCTTTCATCAGCCTTCGGGAGCAGTATAATGACCTCTAATAGTATGGTCTGTAAGTGGTCACATCCGTTCAGCCGCCAACCACCTGCTCATGCCTCATCCGTCGTCCCCTCTTCTCAATCAAGCGAAAGATTTAACTTCAGGATTTGTGGTTGGCCTTGGCTCTCACGGAACCTGGCCTTGTTTTCCAAGTCTTGTGATCAAAGGTCTGTTGCTGCCCTCTCAACATTTCTGCTTTTGCTCTCGTCTTCCGTTTCACGACTGTCATAAAGGGTACCTAGAGAGCGTCCGTCGGCAGTGAAGATGTCCAATGGAACCAAACCGAGCGAGCTCAAGGCAACACAAGATAGGAAGCAAGCAGAGCAGCTTACGCGGTCTGCCGTTACTATAACAGACCAAAAGGAACGCCATCAAAAACTTCGCGAAGCGCTGGACCTCGAGGTACGAGCTGAGCGGGTTCTTGCTGGGTCTGATATCCCTTTGGATGGCAGCGGCTTCATGCGCACGTACGACGGACTTGACCTGGAGAAGGTCCCGGGCTTGGGATACCATGACCGTGGCGCAATCTTTCCGGCGGCCGCAGAGTCATCAAGTATTAGCACCATAGAAGGGACAAGGACTGCTATGCCTCACTCTGGCAGTCCAGCTGGTCCCAAGAGATACTTGTCGTCCGGTGCATCTGCCGTCGTCGACAATACCGCTCTTCAGAATGGCAAAGGCAAGGCAACAACACCACCCGGAAGCCCTCCGATGATACCCACAACTCCGGTTCGACTACCCACAGAAAGCTCTGGAGACAGTATGCTTTCAGCAGAGAGCTCTATCTACAGTCCAGAAAGCAGCGTCTTGAGTCGCAGCTCTGCGTCTCTTGGATCTGAAAGTAGCCGTAAGAAGCCAAAGAAACTGGAGCTCCGGTCGCCGAAGAAAGATCAATCTCCGGAGACGAAGAAGAAGCCCAAGAAGATTGAGATCAGGCCGAAGACATGATCGACAAGCTTCAGAAGCAGGGCTCGCGACCTGGCTGCGATAGCTTGAGTGCCTTCCATATACTAAAGTTGAGCTGAGTGCTCCTCGAAGGTCACTGATCAATGGCCAAACCAGCCGCAGACATGCATGATCATAAGAAAGATCCAGACACCGTGGCACCGCATTCGAGACTGGTCATAAGAGCAATTACTTGGTTGTTGAGCATGAGAAGAAAAGAGAAAATATGAGACTGGCCGCCGTGAGTGTGCTCAAATTACCATCGTGATCTCGTTGCTGAAAATGCTACAGTATGCTATGCCGTCCCATGTACCATGCTCCGTATCATCACATGCAAGATTTTCAACGGTCGTTGACCTACGCCACGCCGATGGCCCTGACCTCCTTGACGGTGAACTCGGTTGGCTGAGGCTTGCCGCTTGTCTGGGCGTTGACTTTACGGTGGCCGAAGTACCTTTGAGACAGTTAGCATGCTTCTATATGTGTTTGGAAGGGATTCCGCACTCATAATAGGCACCTTGACGGGGCTTCGTAACGTGGTACTTCAGACGGAGCTGGTTGGCGGGCGTAATGTAGGCGGCGACGTAGCGGTTGCCGTTGCCGAACTCGCTGCACTCAACGAAATCCTTGTCCTCCAGGCTACCAGAGCAGGTGACTGCGTTCTTCACTGGAGGATGGTTAGGCAGCTGCGAGCCGACCACAGTGACATCGAAGGACCAGTCGCAGGTCGTCGTGCATCCGAAGACAAAGTCGGAAACGCTGAAAACATTGCCAGAGTCGTCCTGGCGGGCCTCAATAGGGGAGCTGGTTGCGAGGGCCGCGAGGGAGAGACCGATAATGGCGGAGGCACGCATGTTGATGTTCGGTTTGGGTGGTTGTTTGGGTGGTGGAGGGTTGTTGAAAAGATATTGGTCGTTGTTGGTTGTTGGTTGTGATGGTGGAATTGATGGTGATGAAAAATGAAGTTATAGGAAGGACGAACTCATATATGTACTTACACGATCTCGTATTGCTGAGACGCCCCAAGCATTCGATATTAGCAATACGACCGAACGTGACGCAGAAGGTCGGGTCTCGAGCGGTCCACACTGACGTGCAGCTCTCCAAAGGGCAAGTCGACGCTGCCGTGTGATCGACAGGTACCGACCCTCTGGTCTGGAGGCGAGATCGAGCCCCTGCTGCCTCTAAAAATACCTCAAAACTTTGAACACGATGGAGGCTGAGCTGCGCCGTTGTTCTTCTTCTCCAGACTTCAATCGTCGATGTATTTATGTAGAGTTCTCAACTACACAGATCGACTTCGTGACCTCACCTGTTGGCGAACACGAGACGGAAGAGTGTCAAGCTCACGGAGACGGCGACATTGTATCCCGGCTCTCAATCAGGCGCACAACGGACGCTCTGCTTTGTCGTTGAGCATTGACACATCATGACAGAACTGTCGTGCGACCATGACGAATCCTCACTTCAACAAGTCTGTACGGTTCACTGCTTCGAGGAAAGGGTAGGCTGAAATATACGTATAGTATCACCCTGTCCTCCACCGAAGCATCGTTATACTCATCTTCGGGAACGTGTACTCCTTCAACTTGCTGTGTGATTGATGCTCCAAGCTGACCTCTTCTTTGTCTGCCGTGTTGACCGCGTTCCAGCTGTTTGCAGTCACAGTGTAGGCATCAACGCTCCTGTCATCACCTTCCATCCCATCAAGCTTAAGCTGAAAGCTCTCGTCCGGGTTCACGTTGACGACAACCAGGTTCACCGAACCGTCATCATCGACTGTAGCGGACACGTCTAACCACGGAGTTTCCCCAGCGTTCTGCAACCACTTTGGCTCAGTCGTGCCCTCGTAGCAAGGACTGCTCGTATGCGTGGCAATGGTCCAGCCACGCATGTATTTGCTGAACAGCAGTAGTGGCCACCAAGTCGTCTGCTTTACCAGGCCTTCCTTCGTCGTCATGAGCGGAGAGATGACGTTGACAGACTGAGCAATATTCGCCATGCCGACATATCTGCTCTGCCGAACGAACACATTGAGCCAGATTGCAACAGCCAGAGCGTCAGAGAGGGTATACCGCTCTTCAGCTCCTTTCTCGCCAACCGCTCGTTGAGGGTCCCAGACGTTCCACTCGTCGAAGCAAATCATCTGTCGAGGTACCTTGGGAGAGACACCATTCTGGATGCGGGCCAGATCGATCAGGGAAGCGGTGACCTCGATGGCACGTTCGGCAGATCTGGGAGCAAAGGCGTTCTTGATGGGGTCGTTGGAGGTCGTGTATTGGTGTATGGAGTGCATGTCCATCAATGCTGCGGTGTCGCTGCCGCCGAGCGCATGCGTTTCGACTTTGAGGCACTCTTTGAGGACGTGGTGGTCCCAGTGCGATGTGCCGATCTCGCCGCATAGTATGAGGGTGAGTGATGGGTCCAGCAGCTTGAGAGCCTTGGCCCATTGGTAGGCTTTCTTTGCGTAGTCCTCTTTGGTGTTCTGCCCATGGTCAGTTGCGTCTTTAAGAGCAGAGCAGAAACACGAGTACCTGCTCGACCTGCCACGGGCCATACACTTCATTGCCCAAGGCCCAGTACTTGACTCCGTACGGCTTCTCCCGACCATTCCGACGTCGCATGTTGGCGTAATAAGTGTCGAGAGTAGAATTACAATATTCCACCCATGCGAGTGCTGCAACTGTTTAGCATGCTGTATAGACAGCCCCTTCCCAAAATCTTTTACCTTCGTCAAGCGTACCTAGCAGGAGTCAGTTGATGTGACGTCTCATCCACTTTGAGAAGAACACGAACCAGTTCCCATATTCAAGCACAAGTAAGGCTCCGTCCCAACAAGCTCACACCACTTCATGAACTCGTCCGTCCCGATCTGATTGCTCTCGACTCCAAGCCAAGCCAGCTCCGGACGCCTAGGCCTCTTCTCACGAGGTCCAACTCCATCGAGCCAGTGATAGGTAGCGCAGAAGTTGCCTCCGGGGTAACGCACGACTGGGACATTGAGCTCCTTCATCTCCTTGATGACATCTTTTCGAAAGCCATGCTCGTCAATCAGATCCTTGTTCGAGTTATCTGGATCGTAGATACCGCCGTAGATGCACCGGCCCATGTGCTCTGTGAAGCCGCCATAGATATTGTTGTTGATTTTGCTGAGCTTACGCTTAGGATAGATGGATAGCTCTGCTGGCTGGCCTTGGGCCACTTTGGTGAGGGTCGTCATGTTGTCGTTGGAAGGAGAAGACTTTGTGGGCGAAGATTGAACGTGATGAAGTACGGTTGGCATTGAGTGGAGCCAAAGTTATCTCGGTGCAGTTCTAGTCCGCGAGAATGAACTTCCTCCAATCATGTCACTCTATCCTGATAACACCAAACTGACACGATCGGAGAGGAAGAGTGCAGTGAACCATTTTCTAAGGCTATACCAACTCCTTTACTACTATATCCAGCTCCCGTTGGTCAACCATTTCCGTGATCTCGACCTCTCCATCTCCCGATGAGTCCTTGATCTCCTTCAAGCTGCCGTTGACGTAAATAGCCCACTGTGCGGCCCCGGCGTTCTTCATCACGAACGTCGCGGCCTTGTTGACCGCTTCCCATCTTCGCACAGTCAGAATCATGGCCTTCTGCTCTGCGTGCCAGACACCGCGAAGGAAGTCGATTCCACCATCAAAGCCGGCCCCATCAAGCCAGGGCCTGCTTTCGAGCACCTCACGAGTCCAAGGCCGCTCCCACATCGTCTTCTGTCCGTTCGATACGTTTAGCCTTGCGTACCCAATGCCTGAGTTGCCCGAATGTGGTTCCATGTGGACGAAGTTGCCATCTTCGTCATACAGTGCTCCGTTTCGTGGGTAGTAGAGACCGCCCTTCACCCAGGCTGGGCCGAGATGCGTGTCCGCGTAGTCCAACAGATCGTCAAGTTCTTTCCGCTTGCCAAGTTCAGACAGCATCATAGTGAAACCCAACCAATTCAGCGTCTCGTACGGAAAGTGGGTGTTGACCTTGGACGACTCGTCGCGCGCTTTGTCAAGAGTTGTCTTGTCTTCAGGGTCGAGATTCTCTTCGGCTACCAAGCGACGGAAGGCCATTGCCACTCGTGTGGGCTGTAGTTGCGTCTTGGAATCGAAATGTGTCAAGAAACCGAGTGTCTGCTTTTCATACGAGGCTCGGACGAAGTCCGAATTCCATCCATGCATGAAAGCATTCGCCCTGGGTATGGTCAGCAGTGGAGACGGTGTGGGGGGAATGAACATACCACGCGGTGTGGGCTCCGTGCCTGGCAGGAATGCTCTTCTTCTGCTTGAGAGCAAAAAATGTGGCGTAGAGGCCATTCTCACCAAGGAGGCCCTTCTTGGACAGCGCAGCTCTATATTTTGGCAGTATGTTACTTTCGACATAATTTGTGCCTTGACGCACGTCGTTGTATCTCATGGCGATCAGCTGTGATGTGAATCAGCCCGAGACCATGTCGTTCAGGCGCATGTCGACTCACCGGAAATTGATTGCACACGACAAAGACAGCGTTCGGCTCGCAACACACTCCCACCCATTCATTCTCCTCCATCTGCCGTAGAATCGCCTTCTCAAGCTTCGCATTGTCGTAAACAAAGTCCTCAGACCCCAGACCCCAGAACAGAGGATCCCACCGGAATGTGAGTGCACCATCCCGTTCATACTCATCGTCATCGAACAACATGGCGTACAGACTCGTCATCAACAGCAAGTGGCCGCTGTACATGATGTTCTCCTCCACAACAGGATCGGCCCAAGGCTTGCGAAGTTCCTTGAGGTCTGGATCGAGTTGCTTACCGCCATGGCTCGCAAGGAACCAGTAGCTCCAGACTTCCTTGCGCAGCATCTTCGAAATCATTAGGTGCATCAGGCGTTTAAACGCTCCTCGCAAGGCCGGAAGGCGGTGATAGTGCGCTGCTCCTGTAGCATACGCCATTGTGGCCAGCTGGTAACGTCGGGCATCGTCGAACTCTTCATGTCCATCAGCCGTCTCGAAGTAGCGCCAGTCGCCGTCTGGCTGAGCGACGAGATTGTAGTAGTGTCTCAAATGGCCGGCCTGCTGCGTGTTCAGCTTGGGAAAGACGGACACGTCCAAGGTGAGGGTCTCTGGAGCTTGTTTGGAGAGCTCCTTGCTGGCCATGGCTATGATTAAGAAGACGAGCTTCGGAACTTGGTGTCTTGACTAAGGATGTACGATGCATCGACTCCAAAGAACTGTTCAAAGGCGGTTTCGATTAAGGGTATTATACTCCGTTAGGGGTGTGAGAAGTCGTTATGCTTACCGCCGTGCTTACCTAGGAGACCTCATACTCAGCGCCTTCGTACGCATGCTCGCGGCTCTGGGGATACGTTCTCGCATTCGCTATGTCGGTAGTCACTTCGGCAGCATTAGGCTCTCGGCCATGGTGAGACCGAGCCGCAAAGGGAAAGTAGGCAGGGCGGAGCGGTCGCTGTCTTTGCATTGTACGTGGCACATTCGGGCATCTCACGACGACATCGTATGGCGAAATGCCGTATACGGAGCTTGTCTTCGTCCGTTCCCAAAGGTTTGAAGGACGTCCTTTCATGACGCCTCCCAGCTGCTCGTAAGATAGCTTCTTAATCTAAAATGGAGAAGACGCTCGTTGGATCCATCATAGTCGAATGGTGGAGACACCAAGCGGAACCGCGGTGAAATGTCCTTCGTTGATGTCGTGATGGATGTCGTGATAGAAGGGGAATGGAAGAGAGACGAAATGGAGGGCAAGAGAATGGAACGCACGTGGACGCGTGAAGTGGTCGCGATTGTTCGGGCCTTGGCTTGTGTCACATCTGGACCCTGAACGCGGAGAACTCCAGACCTCATTGTCGCTCCCCTCCTGCATCATCCAGAACTTCTCACGCCCAGCCAGATGGCGGTGACAGAAGGGGCTATGGCCGCGACCGCGAACGGCAGCAAGAGAAAACATGTACAGATCGACCTCACCGAAGACAGCGACAGCGAGGACCTGGATGCAGCACCACGAAAGGCACAGAAGGCGAGCACATCGCAGGCCTCTCAGCACAGACCCGCGCCCACTTACCAGCAAAGACCAGCGAGCGGTGGCGCCTTGTCTGGCTACGAATCGGTCTACAACAACGACCCTTCCGGCCAGTCTCTCGCGGATTCCCAGCACAGTCAAGCAGAACGCGATGCGTGGCTCGCAGAGGATGACGACGACGTGTTTGATACCGTCGCTTCCACGCAAGCTGCGGCAGCCAGCGACGACCAGCTCTTCTATTACGGAGAACTTGCTGCAAAGGTAGTTGGGGTCCAGTACTATCGTGGCCATGCCAACCAGGGCGAACAAATCCTGATGCGTCGCGAGCCTGGCAATCCATTTGACAGCAACGCCATCCGCATCGACAATGTTGCTGGCGTGCAGATCGGCCACATACCTCGCAGAATTGCTGCCAAGTTGACACCCCTGATCGATGGAGGTGATCTTCACGCCGAAGGCGCTCTCGCTGGAAAGATTGGAACCTTCGATTGCCCATTGGCCATACAGCTTTACGGTCCTGACCCCGAGTCACCAGAGGGCAAGGAGTTGATGGAGGAGATGAAAAGCGTGAAACTGCCACTTGCTGCCATAAAAGCGGCTGAGAGGCGGGAGAAGGAGCGTCAGAAAGAGCAAAAGCAGGCCGAGAAGCGCCGAGAGCAGGAAGAGAAGAGGCGCCTGGCGGAAGCTCGCAAGGCGGCGGCAACGGCCGCCAAAGGTGCAGGCGGTAGAGGCGCGGGTGGATCTGTGGCCCCTATGGGCAGCCAAAATGGGTTTGCCGGCTCGTCTCAAGCCGGTCCAGACGCTCAACCGGTCATGGCGGACATACTTGAGGCATCTCAACGCTTTTACCCGCGAGAAAACAGTGAGGTGACCGACCAGTACGGCGTGATGGAGGAGAACCTTCAGAACATGCCTATGGCCGCCAAGCCGAAGAGTATTAAGACTGAGATGCTGCCATATCAGCTTCAAGCACTTCAGTGGCTGCTTGACCAGGAGAATCCCCAACCGCCATCGAAAGGTAGCGACAATGCCGTACAGCTGTGGAAGAGGAACGACCGCCAGAGCGATCTCTTCACGAATCTTGCCACTGCCTATTCAATCAAAGATACACCGCAGTTCGCTCGTGGCGGCATCCTTGCTGACGACATGGGCTTGGGCAAGACCTTGGAGATGATTAGTCTGCTCGTGGCGGACAACGATGCTGCTCAACGCAAGACAGGCACTACTTTGATCGTCGCGCCACTCTCAGTCATGTCGAACTGGACTGGCCAGATAGCACAGCACATCCACGAGGGTCATGCGCTTAAGGTCTATACGTATCACGGCAATGGCCGTGTTCACATGACAGCCGAGGATTTCGCTCAGTACGACGTCGTGATCACTACGTATCAAACGCTTGCCTCGGACTTCATGCCCAAAGGCAAGGGCTCGAAGGCTCCAGAGCGGAAGTTGCGGTCATCCGGACTGTATTCCTTGGAGTGGCGTCGCGTGATTCTTGATGAGGGCCACACCATACGCAACCCGACTTCGAAGGGCGCTGCTGCGGTGACTGCTGTCATCGCCACCAATCGATGGTGCCTGACGGGAACGCCGATTGTCAACTCCCTGAAAGACTTATACTCGCTCTTGCGCTTCGTCGGCATCACAGGAGGGCTTGACCAGCTCGAGATCTTCAACAGAGTCCTCGTGCGTCCATTGAAGCAAGGCAATCCCAGCGCAACATTCCTACTTCAGGCTGTCATGGCTGCTTTCACCCTCCGCCGCCGAAAGGAGATGAAGTACATCGATCTGCGTCTGCCGAAGCTGGACGAGTACATCCATCGCATCGACTTCACCCCGAAGGAACGGGAGCGGTACGACGCACTCACAGCTGAAGCGCAGGGTCTTCTCAAGAACTACGAGAGCAAGCATGGTCGTAAGGGTAAGGGTGCTGGTCAGGCCTTCCAACATCTGCTGGAAATCCTCCTTCGCATGAGGCAGTGCTGCAACCACTGGCAGCTCTGTGGCGAGCGGATTACGAACCTGTTGGCCCAGCTCGAAGAGCAAAAGACCGTTGACCTGAAACCAGAGAACAAGAAAGCTCTCCAAGACATGCTTCAGATCCAGATTGAGAGTCAGGAGGACTGCGCCATCTGCTTGGAGACCCTTCACAACCCACTCATCACCACTTGTGGACACGCCTTCGGTCAAGAGTGCATAAGCAAGGTCATCGAGACGCAGAGAAAGTGCCCTATGTGCCGTGCCGAGCTTGACGACACGTGCCTTGTCCCTCCACAGAACGACGGCGATGAGAAGGCAGATGACCAGATGGACCTTACGCAGTCAAGCAGCAAGCTGGAAGCCATGATGGAGATCACGACCGCCACCAATACCGAAGGTGACAAGACCATCATCTTCTCGCAATGGACCCGTTTTCTGGACATCGTGCAATCGCGTCTGGACCGTGAGGGCTACAAGTATTGTCGCATCGACGGAACCATGAAGGCACAAGAGCGCGAGGCGGCTCTGCAGGCTCTGGAGAAGGACGCGGGCTGTACTATCATGCTAGCCTCGCTCAATGTCTGCTCTGTTGGTCTGAACCTCACGGCTGCTAACCAGATCATCTTGTCAGACACGTGGTGGGCGCCTGCAATTGAGGATCAGGCCTGCGACAGAGTGCATCGTCTCGGACAGCGCAAGGAAACGAGGGTGTTCCGTCTGGTGATGGATAAAACCATCGAGGAGGGCACGTTGAGGATCCAGGAGGACAAGCGAAAATTGATGAAGCTCGCTTTCTCTGAGAAGGAAAGCAAGCGCGATCAGGTGAAAGCTGGCCGTCTGGCTGATATTCAGAGGTTGCTGAGGGGTGGGAAGGCTTGAAGGGTTGACGAAGAACCGAAAAGAACGGGTCGGCCGACGCCTCATGGTCTGGGCCGGACTGAAGCTGTGACTACTGGTGTATGACTACCTGGCATCTTATCGTGAAGCATCTGCCACGAATGGGCGTCTTGCTGGTCTCAACGAGTGCGCTACGACATGAACGGAACTTCTGTATCCTATTTGATATCTTTCAAGGTAGAAAGCAGGCCTTGAGAGCCTTACTACGAAACGCAATGACCTGTCAAATCTTCTTCCAAACGTAGTTGCTGATGTGTTGAGTCTGAACAGGCCGCAAAAACTCAACAACACCGTTGACCTTATCCGCCAGGCGTCTTACCAGCTGACGGCTTCGATGGCGTGCTCCGGACCCCGCCACCAACAGATAGCTATTCAGCTACCATTTTCATGAGCGATATCCAAAGGCATTCGTGCTATCGGGGACTTCTGGTGAGAAGATAAAGACAAGCCATTGACCGCAACACTACGTTCGAGTCTATCTCGAGCACATCGCCAGCTCCATCTTGGCTTTGACACATCCGATAAGAGGATGGCGACGGAGAATCAGAGAAATCTCATTTCGAGAAACGAGCAATATGCCTCGCAATTCACCGCTGGTAGCCTGCCTCTACCACCTGCTAAGAACTACCTTCTCGGTACGATCCTGCGTCCGTCTTCTTCACTGCAAAGGCTGACCGGGCAAGTCACTTGCATGGACGCACGCATTGACGCAGCAGCGGCATTCGGAATCAACCTGGGTGACGCCCATATCATTAGGAATGCTGGGGGCAATGCCAAAGATGCGCTGCGGAGTATTCTCATCTCCCAGCATCTGCTCGACACGCGGGAGATTTTGCTGATCAAACACACTGGGTGCGGTCCGTGGCTCTTGGAAAGCTTCGGTCAAGTCGCTCGCTGACAACACTCAGGCATGCTCACCTTCTCCAATGCGGATGCTCTGGAACTCGTTGCGAAGAACTCAGGTGCTGGGGTCCTGAGCAGCACGTTTGACTTTCAGCCATTCTCTTCCTTAGAGCAAGCGGTCAAGGACGATGTCGAATGGCTGAAGGGACACGGCGCGGTCATGCATGACGGCGTGGAGATTAGTGGGTGGGTGTATGAAGTCGATACTGGTAAGACGAAGCATATCGTGTGAGAACGTTCGGTCCTGTCTCACGCTGGATCCTGATGGCTTACAATAATGATTCGGTCCAAGCGAACGCCTTACGCGGTTGAGCTTGTCTCCCCTCTCTTCTATTCAACCATCTTGCCTCTATGCAAGCTCTAGAACAATTATGGTCTTTCGGCTGATGAGTTATGACCGGGACCGGGACTATCTCTAGCCTGCTTGCGGGAGTCGGCTCTCGCTATCCCACTTTCCCACCAGCTGGGTATTAATGCAACACGGTCCCGCGATTTGTGCTCGTGGCAATGCCGAATGCGAGTTGCGAGCGAACGCGTGGCGCTCTTGGTTCTACATCTGGTCGCTAACCCCCTCACTTCACCATCGAGCTTCCCGACTGTCAACCGAAGCTCGCGTTCAACCTCACCTCGGCATGTATCCGAAATGTACATGTAAGCATGTCGGATTTGCTTTCTTTCGTATATATTGTCTTTTACCAGCTGCTCGGACGGAAACTCATTGCGCTCCCTTGTGTTTGATCGACTAAACAAGCTTGGCTCTATACAGAATGGCCAACACAACATCCGTACTCAATGACGAGGTCCTCGTGCAGAATGGAGACTCCATGCGCGAGTCGAACGCCGAAGTCCACGACATGACCAACGGCACACCTGCAAGTGACCCTCAACATTATGACTGCGACGTCCTGGTCGTCGGGGCGGGCTTCAGCGGTATCACAGCCATCCACAGGTTTCGAAAACTGGGCCTGAAGGTCAAGTGCTTTGAATCAGGTGGTGACTTCGGGGGCGTGTGGTACTGGAACCGTTATCCCGGAGCTCGCGTCGACTCAGAATGTCCGTTCTACCAACTGAACATCCCGGAGGTATACAAAGACTGGCACTTCAACAAGCGGTTCTCCGACCACAATGAGCTTCGAGAGTACATGGCCCACATCGACAAGGTGCTAGGCTTGAGAAAGGATGTCACTTTTAATGCTCGGGTTTGCGAAGGGACCTGGGATGCTCAGAAGAATGTCTGGAACATCAAGACCCAGCAGGGCCACACCGCGAGGGCCAGATATTTGATGCTGGCTTCCGGGCTCCTACATCGGACGTATACCCCCGACTTCCCCGGCTTGAAGGACTACAAAGGGGAGGTTTATCACTCTGGAGAGTGGCCCGAAGACTTCAATCCGAAGGGAAAGAAAATTGGCCTGATCGGAGCGGGTGCCACTGCCGTCCAAATCACCCAGGAACTTGGGAAGACAGCCGACGAGTTGACGGTGTTACTGCGCCGTCCTAGCTACTGCTTGGCGATGGGTCAGCGAGATTGGACTGCCGAAGAACAGAGGCAATGGAAGACATTCTATCCCGCGTTGTTCAAGGCCGGCAGGGACTCGGCGGCAGGTTTCCCCTGTGCCCGTCACGAACTTGGGGTTCACGACGTAACAGAAGAAGAGCGGGAGGCATACTGGGAGGATCTTTGGCAGCGCGGGGCCTTCAACTTCCAGCTGGCCAACTTCAACAACGTCATCCTCGACAAGAAGGCGAACAAGGTGAGTCCAACATACCTTCCAAATGACACTTCTGACGCCTTAACAGGCAGTGTACGACTTCTGGAGACGGAAAGTATGTGAACGACTCACAGATCCAGAGAAGAACAAGATCATGGCGCCTGAGGAACCGCCGTACGTCAAGATCATAGAGCTTTCCAATGCTTCTGCTCACCATTTATTGCAGCTACTACTTTGGGACCAAGAGGTCGCCCCTCGAGCAAGGTATGTGTGATGAGAGTCCTCCTATCTTAACGCGCTAAGGATGTTGCAGACTATTACGAAGTACTCAACCAACCCAACGTCCACCTGCACAACCTCAGTGAGGTACCACTCAAATCCTTCCACGAGAAGGGTCTGCTCATGGCCGACGACAGCCTACACGAATTCGACGTTGTAGTTCTAGCAACTGGATTTGACAGCTACACCGGCAGCCTCACGCAGATGGGGTTGAAGAGCAAAGACGGCGTTGAGCTGGCGGATCTATGGAAGGATGGACTCAACACGTACCTTGGCCTGACGATTTCTGGATTCCCCAATGCGTTCATGTCGTAAGCGAATCGAACATGGTTTTGGTCCAGCCATACTGACGTACCTCAGATACACGCCTCAAGCCCCGACGGCACTTTCCAACGGACCTACAATCATCGAAGCGCAGGTGGAGACCATCGTGGACATGATCGCCAAGTTGGAGGATGAGAAGATCAAGTCGATCGAGCCCCAGAAATCGGCCGAGGCAGACTGGAAGGCTCTCTGCAACACCATGATGCAGTACACGCTCATACCGTACACAAACAGGTTCGTTGAATGGTGTTTCGGTTGCAAAGGCCAAGCAGTTGCTGATATATTGTATAGCTGGTGGAACGGAGCCAATATTCCAGGCAAGAAATCTGAGAGCATGATCTACGTGAGTATAACCCGGCCTTCAAGAAGGCAGTCACTGACTGTGTACAGCCCGGCGGTATCAACATGTATGAAGCTCAGTGCCGGGAGAAGATGGATGGTTGGAAGGGTTTTGACGTGGTGACGGCAGCATAATAGTTGAAGTTGGCTCGACGAATCTATATAGCTTGCACATTCCGCGACCATGAGCGCAGCACCGTTTTGCCACTATCTTCGCTGAGATGACATTGCGTCCAAAACCCTCAACACTAAGAAAAGAGGACGTTCTATCGCGCCCAAGAGCTCCAAGATGCGTAGGGCGCAAGGCAGATTCATTAGCCGCCGCTTATATCCGAATGCAGCTTACTATCCTTGCCAATCTGTGGGTGTTTATCTTCTTCGGTTTTCCTTCAGAAATTCGAGATCGTGGAAAGCCACAACAACCTGGCCGTCATGGCCTCATCGAATCGACACAGGATCGTAGCCTTGGACAATTGGGTCAAGCCACCGCAGTTATCGTTCGACTACGACTCAACCCACCACCATGTCAGCACAAGTCCAGATCAATTGGCCGAAAGAATGAAAGATGCCACTATCGTGATCATTTCTGGGACCAAAATGACACGCACTGGGATCGAGAATGCACCTCACCTACAGCTGATTGCCTGCAATGGCACTGGAACCGATCATATCGACAAGGAGGCAGCGCGAGACCATGGAGTGGCCGTCTGTCGAGTGCCGGCTCAGAATACGGATAGTGTGAGCGAGCATGCGTTTGCTTTATACTACGCTATTCGGAGACGAATTGTCGATATGCACGGCATTACGATGGACGGGTCGACGTGGTCGGCCAATAATCAACTGGCTCTGAAACTCGGCAAGCCGCCTCGAACCAATTCAGAGGAGACTCTAGTAGTAATTGGTTATGGTGCTTTGGGGCTGAACGTTGAACGGATCGGCCGAGCTCTCGGGATGAGGGTGCTCGTTGCAGAGCGGAAAGGCGCTCCTGGAACACGAGAAGAACGGACCGCTTTCGGAGAAGCAATCAAGCAGGGGACTTTCTTCGTCTTCACGACGCCATTGGACGACAGCACGAGAGACATGATCAACACGCCGGAGCTAGAAGCCATGGACTCGACAGCACTGCTCATCAACGTCGGTCGAGGTGGCGTCATCAACGAAGCAGCTCTTGCGAAAGCGTTGAAGGAAGGCCAGGTCGGAGGTGCGGCAACGGATGTCTTCGAACATGAGCCGGCGACGAAGGAGAACTGTCCGCTACTGGACCCCTCAATACCGAATCTAATCCTCTCTCCGCATGTGGCGTGGTACTCCCAGAGGACGATAGACGGGACAGTCAAGATGGTCAAGGCTAATATCGAGGGATTTGTAGCTGGGCGGCCGCAGAATATCGTAGTTCCCGGCAAGAGGGTTTGGGGACTAGAATCATCAAGCTCATTGTAAAGGCGCGACCGATTTGATGATAGATAAACGCAGATGGAAATAGAATGTAGAGGCCGTCAAGGAGAGTGGCGAGGTAGGCGAATGCGGTCCCACTGCTCATCACAAGCTACCACTTCCACTGCATGTGCAAGTATCCGCCATTCCGTCGTGATAATGAGATGATCTTGTGTAGTTGCTTTCATGAGGTGTGTTCAGATATTCATGTGAAAGAAGGACACGTGAGATGAGCAGATAAGCTTTCGGGTAACCATGGCAACAATAACTCTAACTTACAGCAAGACCCAAATGTTTGGAACGCTGCCCGCGGAGACTTGCATACCACCAGAAAGTGTACGACCCGACCACGAGGCATGCCACCCTCTTCGCGCAACCCAGAGTCACCAGCTCGACGAGAACGGAGAAGGAGAGCGCACCAACGCATTGACAGCGAGAGCCACCACCGACCAAGGCGACGAGAGGAGGAATCCCCACAGGCAAGCCCTTCGAAAGACAGACCGAAGAGACATCGACATGAACGATCAAGCTCGCGAAGGCCGGAGTCGGAGTTCAGCAAGTCGGCCAGCACAGCGCTGTCGTCCGCGCAACTGGCGCAGCTGGACCATCTGAATCGCAAGCTAGGATGGAACGAGTACGATGGCATGCGACGGCAGCAGCAGGTGGATGATGACGAGGAGACGCGTGCTGAGTACGATGATGACAGAGAGCGAGAACAGCAGGAGCGGGAAAGAGATAGGGAGCGCAGGCGAGAGGAGCACCGTGAGCGTAAACGGAGAAGAAGAGAGAAAGAGAAGGCGGCGGCAGCGGCGGCGGCGGCAGGGGCCATGACACAAGCAAGTGACGATGAGTATGGGAATCCGAAGTACACACGTCAGCGACGACAGGAGAGGAGGGTGGCTAGTGGACAGGCGCTGGAGCGAGGGTCACATTACCACAGCGAAAAGTACACCTCAAGAGACGATGTCCGGCGACGAGATGGGAGCAGCGACCCGAGCTATGATGAAGAAGCACGCCGCAGAAAACGCAAACGTTGGATCTGGATCGGCGTAGGGGTGTTTGTGGTCATCCTAATCATCGCAATAGCAGTGGGCGTGACGGTCAGCAAGAATAGCAGTGGTGACTCCAGCTCTAGTAGCGCAAGTCCATCTGGCTCAGCAACACCCTCAAACAGCAATCTGAACGGCGTCTCACAATCGACTATACCAAAGTCTGCGAGAGGGACCTATCTGGACCCGTTCGATTGGTACGACACCACCGACTTCAATGTCACCTACACCAACGCCCAGGTTGGAGGTCTGTACGTCATGGGTCTGAACAGCACCTGGGACGACACCACACGAGCAAACAACAATGTTCCACGACTCAATGAGAAATGGCAGTACGGTACGATGCCAATCCGGGGGATCAATCTTGGGGGCTGGCTGAGCATCGAGCCGTTCATCACGCCATCATTGTTTTCGGACTACAGCACCAGCGACGGGGTCGTGGACGAGTGGACGCTGTCGGAGACCCTGGGCTCAAGCAATCTGAGAAGCACTCTCGAGCAGCACTACTCTTCGTGGGTGCGGGAGTCGACTTTCTCGGAGATACAGGCAGCAGGCTTCGACCATGTACGCATTCCGTTTTCGTACTGGGCAGTGACGACGTACGAAGGCGACCCTTACCTGCCGATGGTCTCTTGGCGGTATTTGCTGCGAGCTATTGAGTGGGCGAGAAAGCATGGTCTTCGAATCAATCTTGATCTGCACGGTGCTCCCGGATCGCAGAACGGCTGGAATCACTCTGGCCACCAAGGAGCTATCGGCTGGCTAAACGGCACAGATGGTACGACGAATGGTCAGCGGACAATCGATATTCACGACCAGCTGTCGACCTTCTTCACCCAGCCTCGCTACAAGAACATCATCACACTTTACGGGTTGGTTAACGAACCTCGCATGACGTCGCTTGACACCCAGACGGTGATGACCTGGACGCAAAATGCCATTACGAAGATCCAGGGCAATGGCTTTGACGGGCTGCTCATCCTCGGCGACGGCTTCATGGGATTGGAAAACTGGCAAGGTCTTCTCACTGGGGTCAACAATGTGGTGCTCGACGCGCATCAGTACGTCATCTTCAACAACGATCAGATCGTCCTCAACCACCACGACAAGATCAAGTTTGCCTGTGCGGGCTGGACATCGCAGTCCAAGCTGTCCATGAACACCAACACCGGCTTCGGTCCGACTATCTTCGGCGAATGGTCGCAGGCCGATACCGACTGCGCGGATTATCTCAATAATGTCGGCATCGGATCTCGTTGGGAGGGCACACTGAATATGATTAATACGCCCGGTGGCTCGACCAGCGGCAGCGTTCTGACGCCGATGTGTCCCACGGACAACAACCCGCAATGTTCGTGCGATGGGGCCAACGCTGATCCGTCGAGCTACTCGGATGGATACAAGCAGTGGTTGCTGTACTTTGCGCAGGCGCAGATGGATTCGTTTGAGTATGGATGGGGTTGGTTTTACTGGACGTGGCAGACTGAGAGCGCAACACAATGGAGTTATAAGGATGCGCTGGCGAATGGGATAATGCCTGAGAAGGTTTATGATCGGAGTTGGAGTTGCAACTCGACGATACCGCCGTTTGGGACCTCGGATTTGCCGGAGTACTACTGAGATTTGTACAGAATGTTTCCAGCAGCTTACGATAAGCCGCAATCTGAGCAATTATTGGATGGTGTATCCTCCGTCAATCACCATAGAATGGCCTGTCACCCAAGCGCTGGCGATCATTGTCAGCATTAACTTTTTGAGCAAATATGCAGGCTCTTACGCTTCATCACTGCAGAGGAAGACTGCTGCATCTGCCACGTCCTCCGGCCGGCCGAGCGCGTTCCAAGGATGGGAAGCTGCCAATGGTTCTCTCACAGCGGCATCTGCTGTCAAGCCAGAAATCATGGGGCTCTCCACGAAGCCAGGGCACAGAGCGTTCACGTCTGGACGATTGACGGATCAGTATGACCTGGTGACCTAGGAGAACGCTCCAATACTCACGGATTCGATCTCTTGCATAATCAAGAGCCATTTGCTTGGTCATACCCACGACAGCATGTTTCGACGGCACGTATGCTGTGGTGTTCGGGTAGGCAACCAGACCAAGCATACTCGCAGCATTCACAATCCAACCACGAGTCTGCTCACCGCGAGCATTGGCTGCCCGCGGCTCCTGCTTCATCATCTGGCCCAGAGCATGCTTGCAACACAGCCAAACCCCTCGAGTGTTGATGTTGTGGAGCTTGTCGAAATCGGCGACGTCTACTTCGTGGACGCGCTTGTTCATTCCCTGGCCGATCTCGACTGTGATGCCTGTCATTCTGTCAGCGCTAAGAACGACCAAGGCGATCGATTGTCCAAACCAGCATAGTTGCAGATAATATCGAGGCGTCCGCCCCATTCGGCTGCCTTCCTCACCATATTCGCGATGTCATCCTCCTTGCTGACATCACACTTCACGAAGATAGCCTTGTCGCTGCCATGCTTGTCGTTGATCTCCTTCTCCACGCCGTTCGACGTGAGGTCGCCAACCACGATGCGAGCACCAGAGTCAGCGAAGCGAAGAGCAGTCGCCTTGCCCAGGCCACTTCCTCCGCCTGTGATTATGGCCTGCCATTGATGTCAGTGAGAGGATTTCAAGCCTGGAACGTCGTCGTATACAATGCGATCCTTCAATCGGCTATCCATGACGTGCTACTTCCTCCCAACGTGGGGCACGTTTCAATTCTAGTCGAGGTATGATATCGGCTTAAAGACGATCGCACTGTTGTGCCTGATGCTCTCTTCTTGCCCACACGTTTCGATCCGCATCGATCAGCTAGCGGACGAACGGCGTATGGCACTTTTCACGACCCCGCAGGTGGGGTTCGTGGTCCAAAGGACATGTTGGTAAAAATCTATTCAACTCTCTATTTCCTCTCTAGATTCTTGTACAGCACTTGTTGCCTGATGAAGAAGCTCACGAATGCAGTCAGGATCGCGAAGCCGAGAACAACCACCCAGACGCCCCTGAAAGCATCAACATATGCTTCAATCGCTCCGTCCCGCCATCCTCGCGGTAAGTGTTTCAATTCATCTACATTATCCCTAATCCTCCGGATTTCGTCGGGATGATCTGGAAAGCGCTCGAATAGCCCTTGCTTGAGCAGGTTCTGGAAGACAGTGCTTGCTATCGTGATTCCAATGCTGGAACCGGTCGAGCGGAAGGCGTACGAAGCTGAGGTAATGACAGCTTGGTACTTGTGGTCGACGCTCGCAATAAGACTGATCAGAGTGATGGTGAGCATTGATCCGTAGGCCGTTCCGATCAGGAAGAGGTAGATGAAGGGCGGCACGTCCGCAACTGTGGCGTTAAATGTTGCGAGAACCAGCGAGCAGCCAGTGACCATCATGACTTGTATGACGATGTTCAGCCACCAGTACTTGCCAGTCGCTCGCATGATAAGGCCGGAGCCGAGGGAGCCTATGGCTGTGCCAGCGGATTGAGGGATGAACAGCGTGCCTGCTCTTGTTGCTGATATGCCACTAATGACCTGGAAGTAAATGGGGCCGTAGTATATCAATGCAAAGACAGACATCGTGGCGAACCAGTTGGTGAGACATGCGGCAGCGACCGTCTGGTTGAGCAGTAGACGCACTGGGATGACAGGCTCCGAAGCAACTCGGTCCTCGACGTATATAAAGACCAGCAGGAAGACGGCGCTGAGTGGGAGCGAGACGAGTACGAGAGGATGTGTCCAGGGGACGATGTTGCCTCCGGAGTTGAGACCGAGCAAGAGGAGCACCAGGGTCGCAACGAGAGCAAAGGCGCCTGAGAAGTCCACACGGCGGATCTTATCTGTCTCGGTGTCTTTGACCGGGACGTCAACAGTGAAGAAGCCGGTGATGCCGCCAACCAGTATAAAAGGCACCTGTATGAAGAAGGCGTATCGCCAGCCGATCGAATCATGAATCGCGCCGCCGAAGACTCCCCCCAGACCCATTCCAGTGCCAAAGACAATGTTGCCAAAGCCCTGCCAGACGCCGCGTTTACGCAAGGGTATGAGGTCCGAGGCTACGAACGTTGAGATGGTATTGAGACAGCCCCCTCCAGAGCCGGCCACGACGCGCCCAAGAATCATGACCCAGCCTTCTTTGGCGAAGCCGCATATCAGTGTTCCAACAGCGAAAAAGACGGTGGCGAAGACGATGCCCGCTCGTCGTCCGTAGATGTCGGTCAGCTTCCCGGAAAGAGGTTGGAACGCTGCGTTTGCGATGAGGTAGCCAGATGCGATCCAGGAGAAGAGCGTGCCGGAGTTGAATGAGGATGTTATTGGGCCGGAGAGCGTGGCGACGATGGTGGCATCTGGGTGCCGTTAGATGGGTCCATCAGGTGTGGATGGAAAGCATACCTAAGGCAGCGAAGAAGGTACACAGCCACAGGCTTGACATGGTGACCAGCAATTTCTTCGTGCTCGGCTCGTCAGGTAGTGGTACCGTGCCGGCGTCATATTCTCGTTGCTCCTGCTCAGCCTGGGCCTCCAAGTTGTCTTCGTTCTCTGAGCGGCCATTGTGATGGTCCAGGAGAGGTGATCGTTCGTCAGCACCCAACGGCTCAGGTGCCATCACCTTGAGACCGCCGTTCGTCTTCGACATGGTCTAGACGTGTTGGTGGTAGACGAGTGGAAGAGATGTTGAAGAAGGATTGGCAGATGCAGAAGGTGAAGTTTGACTCAAGTTGCTCGGGTCAAAAGTAACTCCGCAAACCTTATTCGAGCATAGACTTTCAATGCACTGGCCAGTTCAAAAGGATTGGGAAATGGGGCAATTCAACTATCGAGTGACATTCTGCTCAAGACTAACAGGACACAGAGCCATTTCACAGAAGCTATTCTCTCCCAACCTGCGACCAGAGAGCCCTCACCTCGAGGCCGCAGAAACGTCTACACGAACTACATTAGATTTTGGAAAGGATAGAGACACTTGAAGGTTTTCAAGGCAAATAACAAGACAATTAGCTCGCATTCTTTTCCTGAATGGCCGCGCGCATTTGGCGCCCTTTATCTTCAGCACTCGCGGCAGCATTCGCGTTGAGGTTCCCAGCTCCAGCACCTGTCACTCGTCAGCCTCGACCATATTCCAGACCATGTTGAAGCGGTATGCTCGCGATCAGAGATCATACCTGAGCCCGAAACCTGCTCCTGCCGTACTTCCTTGGAGCTGCCGTCCGCTTCGGTCTCCTTCGTCGACTTGCTCGAGAATGCGCCAGATAGCGCGCCGAAGACGTTCAAGTTGAGGCCTGCCTGCTGAGAGTAAGCACTGTGTTCAAAAGACTGAAAGGGTTGCGAGCAATGCAAGCTGCGTACGCTGGCGCTGGCACTCTGTTGATGTTCCTTGCTCTCGACCACTTCCTGATTGCCAGCTGACCCGACGTCCTGTTCAGGCTTCTTGGTTACTGCGGATGACGTCATGCTTCTAACTGTGGTCAAGAGAATGGCTAGATGTAAACCAAGGCGCAATCTTTCAGTCTATCTAGAAAAGAAGACCTGCGATTGTGGAGCTTTCTCACTCGGCAAGCCGGTCTTGAAATTAGTCCAGGCAGTCAGGCTTCTGCGTCACGCGCCGAGTCAGGTGGAGCCCGATCCGATGCTCAGAACTCGACTTTCGAACACATTCACGTCGGCGCCGCGCAAACACTAAGGATTCCGCCTGGGCGCAAATATTGAGAGAGCAGAGGACGACGACAGAAGAGCACATTTCGTTTTACGAATTGTACACACCTGGCGGGTCCACCAGTCGCCGGAATGATTAGCTTCTCCGAGACAGCTTCTCTTTTCCTGGCCACTCTGACAAGTCCGAGTCATCTGGTTGCGCTCTCGGTTCGTGAGAGCTCACAGGGGCAGGCCTGGCGCGGCCGCCTTTACACCCTTCGATCTGACGGCACTTGACATGCCTGCGACTCCGATCACATGGGTTCCGCAGAGAAGTTCCGCCAGCTCAAGCTCACCCAAACGCTCAACGAGCAATGGCTCAGCACAATAGCGAGGGGTTTTGCAGAGAGCAAAAGGCTTCTAGGAAACGACATACGGATAAGTAGAGAAGGGGTGGAAAGCGTATGATTCACGAAGCAATAGAGTGCGCAAGAAGCATCTTGAGATACAAACCATGATTGCGAGTACCTGAAGGCTTCCAAGCGGCGATAAATGCACGCAGCAGATATTTGATCAGTTGCAGCACATGAGTAGAACTAGACTAGAGGCTGCTGTTGACAGCAACAGCAGACGAGACGAGACGAAACGAAACGCGGCTCGACTATCAGCATTCACTTCCTCCAGATTTTCCCCGCTAGCCTCTTTCGGCCTGCCATCCGGACCTCGAGTCCGTTTCTCTTCCACCAAGACAACCACAAACAGTACTTTCGCTCTGGCCACCCGCTGTTGGCCTTCAGGTCGACTCGAGAATCAAGACAACCCAACCTAGACTTTTGCTCACATAATCTATGACGAGCGTGTTCTGTCGCCGCTCTCAACCGATCCTTCCCGGCCGGTAGCTAATGGCGCCATGTCTCCGTTTAGTTCTAGACCATCCGTTCTACTACTATCGCTATTGTATATACTACTGTGACAGACAGAGCTCACGAACTTCTCAAAACATCACTCAGCCCACGCGCTCCAACTTGCAACATCATGGACCGTCCGTGCAAACGCCAGCGCACATGTGATCCGGACAACCAGCTTCCCACACCCCCAGCAACAGACTGCGAGAGCGCATCGACGAAACTTCTGGACTCAGCAACAGCAGTGCTTGGAGAGCAAGCAGCAGCACTTTCACATGTCCACGGGCTCTATCAAACCGACGAGACAGCCAGGCGAAGTCTTGCCGCCGCCGTCGATGCCATCGTCCAAGCCCAAGCCAGGCGAGGGAAGCTGATCGTCTGCGGCGTGGGCAAAAGTGCCTACGTTGGTATGAAGCTGGTCGCGACCTGCAAGAGTCTCGGTATCGCTGCCAGCTTCATGCATGCCTGCGAGGCAGTCCATGGGGATCTGGGCGACATCCGAGAGGATGATGTGCTGCTGTTCATCTCCTACAGCGGCAAGACCCCGGAGCTACTGAACCTTCGGCCTCACATCCCCCAGTCAACAAGGGTGATGGTCGTCACTTCGCAGTCAAGACCAGAGGACTGCTTGTTGCTGGCCGATCGAGAGGACGGCATCCTCATCCAGGCGTCCATCCACAAGTCGGAAGAGGAATCGTTCGGCGTGAGCGCTCCGACCACATCAGCGACTGTTGCCCTCGCGATCTCGGATATGCTTGCGTTGACAGTTGCCGGCCAAATCCATGCCGACAAAAGGAAGGAGGTCTTCAAATGGAACCATCCCGGAGGAGCCATAGGCATGCGTCACGAAGAAGTTGAGGCTCTAAAAGAGAAATGCCTTGATGTCTCGATTGTGGAACTGCCAAGTCCAAGCTTGTCCGCGCAGGATGAAGAGAATGATTCGAAAGCTATATGACGAGCAGACCGGCGCATGTACGACGATGTGTCAGCAAATTCACGCTATAGATAGAAGAGATCTTTAAAGCCCAAGCGCAATGCGCTGCCAGCAATTCTCAATGTCCTGGCACAACTTTGTGAAGGATCCGTTCTCCAGGTTTGAAATCATGAACTCCTCCAGAGCAGCGGCACGATCTTCCCTACTCTGGGCTGCGTACTGTGACAGATCCGAGTCGCCAGTTCCGGAAGCAAGTACAAGACTTCGGCCTGCAGAGTGGCCTACTGTGGATGAATCATCGAGCGCTGAAGTACGCTTCTGTGGTGACGATGCGGCAGTCTGTGGCGGAGAGATGACCTCGTGTGGAGCATCCGCCAGACTGTCCAGGCGCGATATTCTGGTGTTGACGGATGTTTCAGCCAGAGGTTGGCCTTTGGCAGAGCGATGATCCAAGATCCCGAGCGCAGTGTTGTCTCCCGTGCAGTGCTGATGCTCCTTCCGTGCTACCTTTGGCGAAGGCCGTCTCCGTTGTGGCGCAGTGTGGCCTGTTGCATGCTGAGGGTGCTCGGTAACGGATGCCTCAAAAGGTCTCTTCAACGGGGAGCCTGTGCTGGCTCTGTTTATAACATCCGCTGGCTGCGAGCTAGCTCCTTTCAGTTGCGACGGCGGAGGCAACGTTGGCAGGGCGGAAGCTGGTCTGGAAGATGGGCCGTCACTTCCACTCCGATGACTTTGCGGCCGCTTGAATGGTAAGGCCCGCCGAGGAGGAATCTCATGCTCCAGTGTGGGCGGGAAGGGAGATATGGTAGACGAGGCTGGTCTGGCACTCTGTGGATGAAGCTCAGAGTTGCCGGAAGAAAACAGTGCTCGATTGGGCGGCCCTTCGGAGGGCCCAGACGACCCAAGGTCAATGTCGTACAACGAGCGTCGACTGGCAGTCGTAAATGGGCGTATGGTGTCAGACCCTCGAGCAGGAGAGATTCGCTTGCTGGAATCTGGAATCGGCGTGGAACCGTACGCATTCCTTTCAATTGATCGAGATGGTGCAGGCTGTGGAACGGCTGCACCTGATCGATAGAAGTGGGCGGTAGATGGCCTGTCCGGTTCAGCTGTTCGGGGTATTAAATGCTCATCGCGTGTGAAGTAAACCGACGGCGTGTGGTTACTCGACGGCTGGTACGATGAGTCGTTAGTCGTGGTGACTGGATGTTCGCTTCGCACAGGGCTTGTCGATCGATGTTGGGAGAGACTGCCAGCCTCCAGGGTGGTCAAGTTGAAGGGCTTCGAAAGCGCTTTTTGTGTGGAACTCGACGTGACAGCGTTAGTGTGCGCAGTCGAGGGCCGATGCTGGGATGAGCTTGTGTACAGTCGTGCGGTGTCAGGTCTGCCTGTACTCGGGCGCTTCTCCTGAAACTGCAGACCTCGCCTTCGAAAGATGGTGAGGATCCGCTGACAGTCGGCTACCGTATGCATCCGTAGCTGGAGTCGACGATTCTAGATATCTCAGGTCAGCGGCTTCAAATTAGCCATGTGCACAAGGACATACTGTCCCATCACGCTGACGGTATCTGACGGCCAGCAAGACATCCTTCGTCATCCCGAAAATGGGCAGTTGGTCGTAAGGGACAGGCGATTGCTGGTCCGCGTTATAATTGCACATTCTAATCGCCTCATCCACAAATGCTCCAATATCCACGCTGTCCTGCGCAAGGGTCAGCCAATGTCGAGCGCACAAATGTGAAGTGGCGCACCAGAATCGTGTTGCGCTGTATAATCTGCATCTTCAGCTCTGTGCCGTCTCCATCCCCGTCCACGGTAACAAAAAGGTCAACCGAAGCAACGTGCACCCATGGAATGTTGGACTCGTTGGGCGCACTGGTCGCATGAGAGAATTTGAGGACTGGAAGACAGATGCCCGCGGCCATGTTGGATGACCGGTTCAGTGGCGGTGTGATGTGGAATGCAGTCTTGGGGAAACCTGTGCAAGAGCTCCATGTGTTGATATTCAATGTCCTGTAGGCTGTCATGCAGAAGTGCGACGACGAAAGTGCTGTGATGCTGTTATGAACCTAGGTCGAAGGCGGAGGTGAAGTCGGGAGGAGCTTGCACAACGCCAAGGAAGCCCGCTGTATAAGCTTTACGGGCCGAATCTGTGCCGGCAGGGAAGCGACGATCGCGCCGACGTGGAGAGAGCCGCATGCGACTTGCGACAACCGACGGCCGCTGTCTGAAGTCCTTGAGATACTATACCGCGAAGGCAGACTGACACGTGTCTAGCAGCGGGACACGCGCCTTTGTTGGAGAGTGAGAGAGGCAGCGGTGGACGCGGGGACCTTGTGCAACGAATCGGCGGGTGGCAGCGCATTGCCAGCATGCCTCCGCGACGTGGAGAGAGCATCGAGCGCAACGAGGCACACGAAGATTTCATCAAGAAGGTGGCCGAGTACCACGAGAAGCGTGGGTATGTCTCGTCTTTGATCTTGCCGCCCTCCATCTCCGTGCTCGGGTCGCCTTGGCGCATTCACTCCGCTAACACGTTGCGCTTACCTCAGAACCAACTTCGATCCCGAGCCCAAAGTCGGCGTGCGCCATATCGACCTCCTCAAACTCTACGAGCGCGTCGTGGGAGAAGGCGGATATGACTTGGTGTCGGACACGAAAGCGAAGCCGCTGATGTGGCGGAGGTTCGCTGAAGAGTTCGTCGGCAAGAACCAGTACACTGCTGCCCAGGCATTCCAGATCAAGAACGTCTACTACAAAAACCTCTGCGCATATGAGATCGCAACGCACTGGGAGAAAGAGCCGCCGCCAAAAGAGATCCTGGAGGAAGTCACGGCCAAAGGAGGTGGTGTCATGACAAGAACGCTCGAAAACTTCGAACGACCGGCGCCGCGAGAGCAAGTCAACCTCGACAACGAGGACTCCAGCGACACAAGCCCCCAGCAACAGCAGACTCCCAAGGAGGAGAAAGTAGATGAGGACCCAAGCAGCGCTTCTGGTCGCACACGGGGTCTGAGACAGCAACCACCGCAGCGCATGCTCTTCCAGCCAGACTTGACTGCTGGGCGGCAGACGCGAGGCCAAATGCAGCAGACGACTCCCGGATCACCTGCCCCTCAAGGATCTTCGGCCAACGGCGCCATGAACACTCCCTCTTTCAGCAATGGTGCTTCCTCCACCCTTGCCGCCTACGAGCCGTCTCAGTCGTACCCACTATCTCTCAAGCCCGTGACTACGCCTGCCAACAACCCGGAGTTCTACCGACAGGAGAAGAAGAGAAAGCTGGACGCGAAAGCCGGGCCGCTGTCGAGGAAGTATAGACACATCATGCTGCCTGGCACTGGCTTCATTGGACCGAACATCTATGTGCGTGCACAGCTGGCGCTCCAAAGCGGCATTCCTGAAGAAGAGCAGTACGCCCTGCATCATCTGGTCAAGATCAGCCATGAACGTGGCGACAAGTACCGCTTCGATCAGTTCCCGGGTTTGGCGGAAGCACTGGTGAAGAAGGTGTTGCAGGTTAGCAGCTTGTTCTACGATGTGGACTGGGATGTCTCATATGACGAGGAGATGAGTGGCCCTGATGATGAAGTTCTCAACGGCCTGTATGGCACCTCAGACGCCATTCAAAAGCTCAGGTCTCGCATCAGGAAGACTACCAACGACCACATGCACGATGAAGCTTTCCTGTCCCAGCTAAACCGGATCTCAGAGGCTGGGTTAATCATCCGCAACATGTGCATGCTCAACGAGAATGCGCAATACCTTTCAGCACATCCGCTTATTCGAGACTACCTGGCGATCGTATTGGACCTACCACAGCACTCACACATCATAGAGCTGCGACACTATGCTTTGGAGACAGCTGAGCAGGTTTTGAAGTACTGTGATCTGGGGCCGGACGACGCTCTCTACCACAGCTTACTGGATCAGTTGTGGGGACAAGATCGCGGCGCCATCACGTTGGCATTGCGCACTATCAGCAGGATCGCCATGCACTTGGAACCGCCGAAGCGTCTCGAAGATGTACCTGACGATCTCCTCCAGAGAGTGCAGGACTGGCTGTTGGTGGAGGACGAAGAGCTCCGCAGTGCCTGCCTCGACTTCTTCATACAGTACACCTCTTTTGCGGACAACGTCGACAACCTGCTACAAGCCGTGGATTCCGAAGGTTTTGCTCGTCAATTGAGCCGGCTGCTATTCTTTGCGGCAAAAGAAAACAAGTCGGGACCAACCGCACCGAAGCCAAGACAAGATGACACTCCAGACCCTGTCCCCCGCCTATCACGACCAGTGGTGGAGACGCTGCTGAAGCTGGATGAACCGGAGCGCTCGTCGGAATGGTTGCGGATGTGTTTCGTCTCCGATCCAAACACCGAGATGACGCAGATCTCGCTGTGGCAGGCATATCAAGCCACCTTCGCGCCATACCAGGCCACCCACACGCATCTGGTCGCTGGTGATTTCATTAAGAACGTAAGCACCACCTTCACCGGTGCGACTGCCCAGGTGTCGACGGGCAGGAAGTATGTCATCACCGGCATCAAGGCTCGGAAGGTCCCTCTCGACTCTGGGGCCACGCCTGGGTCGAGACCCACAGACAAAGGAAAGGAGTTGTTGAAGTGTTGTTGGACGGTACAGATCAGGACCGAGGGGCAGAGAGATCCGCTCACTGGTATCCAGCCTGCGCCGACATTCCATGACGGGCCATGTGCTGAGTGGTTCCGTACGGAGCAGGACATCTTGAGACACATACTAGATGTCCATTTACGGCTACCGAGGAAGCGTCGCAGTCCTGATGCTGAAGATCGGAAAGTCGACAAGATGGAGCTTGACTCGCCGGCATCACGACCCCCGACCGCCAGTGGCAACCGCACGCCCAATGGAACCTCGCGCACCACCTTTGCCGGAGACCTCGACTTCCAAGAAGCAGATGCAACAATGCACAGGTGCAGATGGGCTGGCTGCACGCGCACGTCCACTGACTTCGCCGCCTCAAAGGCTCCGCGCACCGTCTTCTTCGTCCGCCACGTTCACACTCACCTCCCAAACAGCGAACACTCCGCGACATCGAAGCACAACGTGAGGTCCGAAACCAAACCCGTGCCACCACAGCCTGAGTTCACGAAAGTCACCACTCTACAAGACGACATCGGTCATGCTGCAGGCGTACCCTTGAGCGCTGCCTTGGTGCTACGGAACATTGCAAAGTTCTTCCCGAAGCCGGAAGCCATTGCAACGGACGCCATCACGGGTATTGTGGGTGGCAAGAAGGAAGCAGAGGTCGAGCCGAAGGAAGACGATCTGCTGCATCGGGTATTCGATGACGAGGTCGAGGACAGGTTATTTCTGGCGATGGCACAGAATGAGAAGATGAAGGAGCTGGTGGGTACGATACTGTGGGCTGTCAAGGCGAAGGAGTGATGAAGCCAAGTGTGTTCGAGTGGTCTTGTATTTGCTAGCGAAGAGCCCCCAAACTGGGCACTGAATCTTTTGACCTAGCAACCCAGCCGCCTCTTTCGCCCTTCCTCTCCTTCGTTCTCGTGGATCTTCCGGCGAGATCGCCAATGAACAAGGAACGCCCACACTTCCGGGGTATGGTAGGAAGTCGAAAGACACGACAAGTCGTGGGTAGAGACCAACCACGCTCACCAACTTGCGAAATTTAACGAAGGATGCGGCGAAACGCCAAAGTGGACCCGAAGGATTGCTGTGACGCTGCCTGAACGGCTCAAGTGCTGGTTGTAGTATGATGAGCAAGGCGCAACCGCGAATCCTCCTTCACGATACCTCACTAACGACATGTGGAAGCATCCTGCGCCGGGAGGTTGTGGAGATAAAGTTGGACCTGTGCACATCCCAGGTTGCCCGCATCTGCCAGGTGCAAGATACACATGATCCTCTTCTGCGAATGCGTCGTGGGGTTTCTTATCTCGAGAATCTGGGGGATGGCACTGCTGGTAAAGGCTTGGCTATGCTTAGTTGAACGTATGTCGAAATTCGCTCTCGTGCTCGTTAGAAGCTGTTTGACACATCTCTGGCTTTCATGTCAGTGGTACAGGTGGCATCATGAATGCTGCCCCGAAAATAGAGACAGGGTTCGCTAGGCCAGGAGACCTGCATGGATATGCCTGGGCCATCGCCAAGATCAACTTGGGGCCGACCGGCAAGCCGACCGAGGGCACGCGACCCGACGGGTGGGCAGCCAAGGCAGTCTTTGTACCTCCCCGGACACACTCCACCATGACCTACAGGTACGTGGGAACGAGGCTATTGTAGGTACGCTCGGAATGAGTGCCGGCGACAGAAGTGGCGTCTCGGGCAAGTTTCAGTACTCGTCGCCGGGTTCTCTGCAAGGTCCGACTGAGCATGATACCTTACGACAAGTCACCGGCTGGAGGTCCATTGCCCCGTCCTCTCCAATGGTTACTTGGCGCCCGAGGTGTCAAGCTCCTTCATGGCTGAGCTGTGGGATTAGTCGGTCTCAACTCAGTACGCCGTGGATACCGAGAACTGTGGTGAGAACTTGAGAAGTGGGAGCTCTACGTGTGACCCATCTCGAAGGATGGGATGCTGCTGTTTCTGGATGCCACGCTGCTGTGTGGAACCGGAGAGCTATTGGCCGCTCCGACAGTACCCCGTGGAGACCGGTCTGCCGACACGACCTCGACCACGCGATTCAACTCCTTCAATATGATCCTTCAGCTTGTGCGCCCAATGGCCTTTGGTAGATCAGGACAAAGTTGAAACTCACTTGGCTGCGCCCGCTTTGGAGATGATCAGGCCCAACCGCGCCCGTCGATCAACTGGCTTTCTAGCATTCACGGGCCATATGTCGACAGCAATACTGTGCGAAGGATGACACTGGTGGAAATGAACGGCATGTCGTGTGCCTCGCATGGTATGTTTCCCCCCTCTTCAAAACGTATAAATCCTCTGAGCACTGCTGCACAATCCTGGATCAATTCATCCTCGTTCGCTCGTTCGATCCCTTCATCATCCTCTTGCAGTTCCTCAGCTCCTGCAGACCAGACCTACGCAACCATGCACTCGAAGATGCCTTCTGCAGTCCTGTTCTCCACGCTCTTCGGCGTCCTGGTAGGGTTTGAGAGCCCATTCTTCTATTGACAGGTTCTGACAGATGACATTAGGTCGGCTGCTCCCCTGTCACTCTCGATGCTGTCAGGATGGATGCTCCTGTCAGTCTCAATGACAGGTCTTTGAGAAAGCGCACGTCTGTGACAGGTCTCACTTGCGGGAATTGGGCAACCGCAGACATCGCGTACACCAACAAGAACATCGAGAATCTTGGCCAAAAGGATGACCCCGTCTCCATTCCAGCCAATTCCTGCGGCCGTGTTGGGTGTTACAACTCCTCGGGGGTGTACATCTGCAACGACCAGGACGTCGACATTGAGATTCAAATGGGTGAGGTGGTTGAGGTCTTGACACAACTGTCTGAAACGTGCTACGTGGTGAGTCGCACAACCTTTGATGAGAGACATCCTGTTTGAGATACGTCGAACGTTTGCTAACAGTCATCGCTTTCCCAACTACAGGGCCACAGTCCATATGGGATCTCAGGGCAGATTTTCATGGACAGCCTGGGCGGCTACAACTTGAACATCGGTTACTGCGACAACAATGACCCTAATTTAACCGGTCCCGGCGCGTACACTCAAGCAATAGACAACAACGGAGATCCGGTGAGTCTCACACGCCCCATAATGTAGAGCTCCAAAGCAACTGAACTCAGCTGATTGCTCCAGAATGTACGTTGCGGAGACATAACCGGAGACCGATGCTCCTTTGGCTCGTGCGACCTCAACACAATCGTAGTTACCGACCAGCAAGAAGAGACCTGCGGCGAGTTCTTGGGTAAAAACACTTGAAACATGGTTTCGAGACCATGCGCTAACATCTCTCAAGGAGACAATCCCATTGGTGCTGGTGCAAGTAAGTCGTTGCCTCTCGTCGTGCGGCAAGCCAGTACTCCGGTCGCCGGGTCGGCCCAAAATGACACCTGCTGACCGCTCGACTCATAGCATATACCTACAGCGCCTCGAGGACAATCAGTTCGGCGTGGACAATTGGGGGCTTTCTAGGTATACTGCGTCTTGCCGGTCCGGCCAGCTGAAGCTGTCATGCTAACATTATCGCTAGGTATCAATCTTGGTAAGTATGAGGGCGTTCTTTTACGCCAGTACAGGCGCGAAAAAGCGCAAGAGCTTTCAACTCCTTTGACGATGCGAGAACTTAGCTAATATGTTGGTGATCGTCCAGGTGACCTCGCCAAGCCACTCGCCTTAGCAGGTTTCAGCGCTTCCTACACAGAGACCATCCTCACTGGTACCTCCACAGGTACATCGGAACAATGCGGTTCCTACATTGGACTCAACGGACAACCGGGAAACTGGACATGCCAACTGTAAGCTTTCCGTAAGGATCGAGCTTCTTCCCCATACCGCTGACATGCGTCTCTCGCTCCACAGGGATATTAGCCCAAAATGTTACGTGATATCAGGTACCTGCGACGCGGAGTAATCTTACCCTCCCTACACCTCGCCGTCTTGAGAGCTAATGCACGGGTCTAGCTTTGGTGAATTCGGCACTGGAACCGCCCCGTGGAGTGTTAGCGCTCCCAAGGTACGTACATCACGCCCGGTGTTGAATCGGGGAATGCTTCATGATCACCTGCTGACTCTATTCTTCGCAGACCAACCCTGGTACGTGGCAGGTTTCCAGCGATAGTCGAGACATTGCCAACTGACCTAACCCTATGTGTGCAGGCACTGGAAATAGTGTCTGGGTCCCCAACCTCTGCGTCTGCCATGATTGCGAGGGATGGGCCGAAGGAGGTGCACCGCAAGATGCATGTCCTCTTGATTGCCTGTAAGCCGTGCCCGCTATTGTCTACAGAACAGACTTTCGGTCAAGCGAAACGAAACTGACAAGTCTTGTTCAGATCTTGCGCCACGACATGACCTCCTCAATCCTAGTACCCCGAAGAGTCGAGAGAATTTGCATTGCTGGCCTTGGCCAGTACCTCTTCCAGGGCGAGGCTTTGGTACGGTCGATGGAGACCAATAATGAAGACGGACAGATACATTTTGCTATGGCTAATGGGCTTGCGTCGCTACAAATCGATATGAAGTTCTTTCTCCTTGCTCCATGCATTTCAAAAAGGCTCCGCTCCCCTCCAGTGTCATTGTCGTATTAATGTTGCAGTACCGAGATGTGCATCCAAGCTTACTCTCACACTCTTCTTAGATGTCTTTGTGGTGGTTGAGTAGAACGAACTGCAGTACAGAAGCCTTGGGAAATATGTCCGTAGTTGAAGGCGACTCTGTGAAGAGCTATTATTGTTCTCGACTCCATCAGGATTAAAAATTATTGTTCTGCCATTCACTTGGGCGATCGATGTGCGTTTGAAAACGCCAGCAATCGGCCAAAGTCGCGAGGTGTCATCTCATTCTCTACCAGCTCATCTCACCCGCGTCACTCCCATATCTACCGGTTTCTCCAATTCAACCTCGTCCTCGCCGACGAGTCCACTGGTCTAGGCCACATCGACTCGAATTCTCTGAACATGTATGACGCGACTCTATGGAATTGGACGTGTTAGCTCTGGCTCGCCATTCAGAGCTCTTGGTCACCAGTCCTGCTCCTTCAAGCGTCGCCAATTGCCAGTATCACATTGTAGGATGACGGCTCAGCAAACACACTCGTCTGGTGCTTCCCAGAAGTCGAGTGGCATCAGCAAGATGCCTCCACATCTACATAACGCACGGCGCGAGCTGCGCTTCTTGCAGGAAGCCTTGGGTCTACAGACTCACGCCGCGCCTTCTAGGGGCGCCACGTATCCGGTCTTTGTATGCATCGATTGCGAAGCCTATGAGCGCGACCAAAGTGCGATTACTGAGATTGGAGTCGCTGTCCTTGACACGAAAGACGTGCAAGATTACAACCCGTCCGAAGGTCTTCCAATGTGGCTTACTAAGATCAAAGCTGCTCACTATCGCCCTATCGAGCATGCGAACCTGCTCAATAGGCAATTTGTCGCCGGCCGAGAAGAATCCTTCGACTTTGGGAGCACAACCTGGATCAGCACGTTAGATATCACGGCAGTCTTGCGTCGGATCTTCTCAGCCCCTGCAGACATTCTCCATGCAGCCAACCTTGACAAGAAACTACCGACTGATTGCCAGGATGTTGTCTTTGTGGCTCATGGGCTGAGGAACGAGACGAAGTATCTACGAGGACTAGGCTTTCCTTTGAACGGACAAGGTGGCAGGCATCGAGTGGTCAGATGCGTTGACACGCAAATTGTGGCCGGCGGCACGAAAAAAGCCCACCCCAGCCTCCAAAGACTTCTACGCGCTTTGAAGATTGAGCCCGTGAATCTCCACAATGCCGGAAATGACGCTGTCTACACCTTGCACGCACTGATCTCGATGGCAGTCATGGACTACAACAAGCCGGGCAGTGTCTTCGCCGCTTTGCAGGAAGCGAACGCCCTGAAGTTGCCGGCTTTGAAATACAACACAAACCATGCCGAGCATGTGTATGCTGGAACAGCGACTGCATCCTCAGAAGGAGAACGATCTGAGTTCCACTCTACATCGCACCAACCCACGAGGCTGCCGGTGGTGCAGCAACCTGAGAAAGTCTCGCTGAGTCCGATCTCCAACCTCAAAAGGAGGCCAGAAGATGACCCAGAGTCCAGTATGCCAGCCAAAAGAGTGGCTATTTGAGTACTGCATGCTTACTCGCGATACCGTATCTCGGAAAAGGCTGCGGAAGCCCTGAAGTCCCACCGAGCAGGATATCAGCATACTGAGCGGTAAACCTGGGCTGACCCCTTCGAACTGTTGACGAGCACATCCGTAGGAGAGTGTACGTTCATCGAGATGCTCCACGGAAGCAACCGGAGATGGCTTGCTGTAGCTCTAGGACCGGTACGAAGTTTTCAGCATGGTCAATCTAGACTTCTCGACCCGAACTGTGACCTTCATAAGCAAAACAGGTTCAGGTACCACTTGAACAAGTCTGGAAGGACCGACGAGTCTCAGGAAGAGCAATTTCGAGGGATGCGATGTAAGACCTGATCAGCGTCTTTTCTTGAACGAATCCCGTAGCATAGCAACCACTCAGCGCAATGGCAGGCGCTACGGGAACCGAAGTCAAAACTTCACCTCTCGGAGGCAGAGGCCTCTTCGCCACGAAGAAGCTTGCACAAGGAGACGTCGTCATCGCCATGGACAGGCCGCTTGTCGCGGTATTGGATGAGCACAGAATCGAAGACACCTGTTCCTGGTGCTTCAGCTGGACGGAACTGCCCGTCCTCTCGGGTGCTGGCGTCAATCAGGCTTTGAAGGACAACTGGTGTACGGGCTGCAAGAAGGTCAAGTACTGCAGTAAAGCTTGTCAATCCAAAGCATGGAAGGCCATACACAAGCAGGAGTGCAAAAAGCTCAGCGCTCAGTCAGAGGAGATTCCAAATCTGGTCGTCGCGGCAATGCAAATCCTCGCAGGCCTCAACTTGGGAAACAGCTTGTATGGGGACGTCCAGAACATGGAGACTCATCGTGACGAGTTTGAGAAGCTTGGGGCGAAGAAGTGGGATGTCATGCAGCTGATGTCTCATACCGCTGTCAAGTTCTCTGGCCAGGAGGATAATAAGTCGAACCTGGAACGGGCGAAAATGGTTGTATGTGCCATGATGTGCAACAGCTCACGACTGGTCACTCCAACGTTTGATCCGTTGGGACTCGTACTGGACCCTAGCACGGCTGTCATGAATCACTCATGCTCGCCAAACGCCGTGGTTGTTTTTGATGGCCCAAAGCTTTCCGTCAGGGTACTCGAACGAGTCCAGCAAGGTGACGAGATCACCATCAGCTACATTGACAGCTCAGCGCCTTATGGAGTCCGGCAGGCAGAGCTTCGAGACCAATACTTTTTCACATGCAATTGTTCGAAGTGCAAGCTTGGTTCTGCTGCTCCTCAAGATGCTTTCCTTGAAACCAACCAAGACTTTGCCGAACGCATCAAAGTGATCGATGGCATGATCGACCAAATCACTCAAGACCCTGCCTGGCCTCGCCATATCCTTGGACAATCGACGGATATGAAGCGGATGTCTGCGTTGCAGTTCTATGGCTACTCCTATCTTGAATCTCCGGACTCAACGACAGCCGCGCAAGATCCTAGCAATCTCCGAAAGGCCATCACTATCCTGCGGAACACTGGGGTATGGCCGATCTCTCGAGCCCCTATGCCGGCGCTGTACCAACAATATGCAGTGGCTTGCCTAGGAGCGAAAAGGTACAATGAGGCACTGGTCGCTTTGATCCGACTGCACGCATTGATCGACCCAACCATCTACCCACAGGCCCACCACCCCGTCCGCATCGTCCATGCTTGGACGCTGGCTACAATTGCCAAAGCAGTCAGCAATGAGCCGGACACTCCGTTCTGCAAAGCTCTCCAATCGTGCGGAGTCGACCTGCCTGTGCTGTTCCTCGCTTTGCTTGCAGAGATCCATGAGCAGGTCCCTCGTAGCCATGGGAAGAGCTCATCTTTCGGTCAGATGGTTGACGGCGCCTGGCGGACAATCATGGGTCCCGGAGGCGAGCTTGATGAGCAGTATTCACAGCAAGGCGTCGAACGGCCACGGCAGCAGGAGATGTTGCAGCAGCAGATCAAAGAACTGTGGCCGAAAGTAAAGGCCTTCGCAGCGGATGACGCTCTGGCTGCACAGATCGACGAGGCTCTAGCCGGCTGAGCATGGGCTGCGAGGTGTGAGTGCGACCTTGTCTCTTCTAGGTATCAGTCGACGCCCAGCTCAGCCTTGAGCTGCCGGACGAGAGTCGTGAAAGCTTGAGCTTGAGGGCCTTCGCTGTTTGCAACCACTGTGGGTCGACCCGCATCGGCGTCGGTGCATATTTGCGGATGAAGTGGAATGTCGCCGAGCAGTTTGATGCCCAGCTCTGCACACTTACGTTTGGCTCCTGCGAACAGTCAGCGCTGCGTCTACTGCTCGGTCACTTGTGCGACATACCGTCAAGGCCGAAGATGTCGTGGGCGTGCCCGCAGTTGGTGCAAATGAAGGCGCTCATGTTCTGGACCATTCCGAAAACAGGGACATTCACTTTCTTGAAGAAGTCAACACCTCTGACTGCATCTCGCAGAGCGAGATCCTGCGGTGTCGAAACAATGATAGCACCTATACGTATCAGAATTAGTATTGCACCCTTCCACTTTCATTCAGAACACACCTGAGAGCTCCAAACTTTGGCTAATGGTTAATTGAACATCGCCCGTCCCAGGTGGCAAATCCAACACCAGCAAGTCCAGCTTAGGCCAAGTGACCTCAAATAGGAGCTGGTTCAAAGCTTTCTGTAGCATCAACCCTCGCCAGGCTACCGGACTGGCCTGAGGGACGAGAAAGCCCATTGACATTGCTTTGAGGCCATACGCTGTGAGTGGGACCAGACGGTTGCTGCTGTCGAGCTCGGGTTCTAGTCCTTCCAGCTGTGGACACATCAGTTGGAGTGGGCTCATACAGTTTTCATCGCACTTACACCAAGTAGCGTTGGAATGCTGGGTCCGTAGATGTCCGTATCAAGAATGCCAGTAGATATGCCTTCTCGAGCAGCGGCCAGGGCCAGATTGACAGCGATTGTGCTTTTGCCAACGCCGCCCTTTGCGCTACTAACGGCGATGATCTTGCTGACGTTTGGTATCGGCCTCTTCTCTGGTAGACCTAGTATCACTATTAGCAGACGCTCCTCTATCAGGGGGCAGTATCTCTGACCTCGTTTCATCCGTGCTGCCAGGTTGGGTGGCGTGCCTGAACGCGGCAGTCCCTGATGCAAACGTGAGCGGCGTCCATGCATTGAATGAAGGTGTTCATATCCACCATGAACAGTCGTATCAACGAGGAGACATACCAAAGGGTTCTCATGGCCACCGGCCTTGAGACTTGGGAGGGTGGTAAAGGCACGCCTCGAAGTGCTGAAGAGCGTGCCGTAGCAGAACACCGACCGTATCCCGGCACTGCACTGTAATTTCGACATTACTTCGATGAAGCTGTCAACAATCGATGGTTAATAAATTGGTGACCGTCGACGTAGATGTAGGAGAGGCAGATCGAGAAGCAATGCAGCCAATCAGAGATGGGCTTGGACCCACTTCAAAAACCACTTCACCCTTCACCCTTCGCCATCTCGACGCACACCCTGGCCCTTGTGTGCATTACTCATGCTTTTTCTACCTACAAGCTCATTCATACTACCTTGAAAACATCGTGAGCACTACCGCTAGCATAAAGGCTGATCCATGTACTGTCCAGCTCGCCCTACACATGCGTAGCCTGTCGCCACCTTCGATCCTCAGCAGCACATCAAGATGCCCAACTGTTGAACTCTCACATATCAATCATACCACCTCCTACGCTGCCTGCAACTGATATCAGTCATTTTGCAATGGTTGAAACACGAAGTGCAGAACTTACTCCCGCCACTGCCTCTCCCATTCGACTTCCCGCGCCGCCCCATCGAACCCCCTTGCAGGCACTGGCGAAGAAGGAGCGACTTTCTTGATATGCTCAGGAGACCTCGGCATTCTCTTCTTCGCCGGGGACCTGAAGAATATCAGCATTGGTGAGATTTCAAAAGAATCAGGCCATGGCTTACAATCGTTTCGACTTTTCCCTGGCCACCTCCGAGCGGTACGGAATCGGAGTTGGAACGCGAGGTTGAATGAGACTTCTGGTCCGGACCTCGTAGCGCCGCAAACCTGAGGATTCGTACGCACTCGAGTTGTTGTCAGTGGATTGCTCGTACTGCGACCTTCCATACTCTGTTGACGACTCCTCATCTGACGACCATGGCTTCCTGTGTTATTCGCTCCACTGTTCAGCGGATTGCCCGACTCTAATGTCGCTCCCTTTTTCGCTGCTTGCCCGTGAGCTGGGTGGGTATGGGCCGGGTGGGTATAAGCTCCTCGAAGTAGAAGTAGGCTTCCTGGAACTTGGTGCTGGGCTAGCCCTGACGCTGTTACCTTCGGAGCTGCTGTGTTCGGGAAACGGGTTGCGAGTTGGTCCTGGAGCTGGCCGTGTTCTCATGCTGTCGATGTCTTTATTGAACGCTGCGTACAGTCAGTACAGCTTACCACGGCTAAGTCTGCGGACATTGATCACCTTGTCTCTCCCTGCGGTTCTTCGGAAACTCGAAGAACTCGTTGGCACCTCCCTCACTGGGGTCAGTGGTTCCGTACTTCTTCGACATGGCTTGCGAAACCCGATCAAGCTGTCGCCACGTGGGCTTTCGACGAAGAGGTATTGTGCTGGCTGGCGCGTCGATATGTTGGTACCGGTTGTGAGTATGTTGATGCGATACTGTGGTTCTGGTCTCGACAGAGAGACGTTGAACGTACGTGACCCGGCTCATATACTTCCCCTCCGATCAACGTTGACTACAGGCGAACTCATTCCCTCTGGATCAACTCATATCTCGGTAGCACGGAAGGCAATAGGCAATGCAACCAAGAGATCCAACAGATAATACTATCGCAACACGGCAGGCACATTCACCAATATTCGGCTCGTGACCACAGGGGTGACAGCGTTCTTGTCATGGCCAACAGCTACTGAGAACGGATCACGAACTTGATACGCCTGCTACATACTCACATCTCTTATTGGTACCCCTGGCGCCTGTGGTCCTCATCAGCTCTCATGTCAGCATTCGGGGCGGATGGATGGATGTTCACAACTTACACTCGCCACGCCCTCGCCTCTTCGTCTTCGCGCAAAATCTGACCCAGCCCTTTCGCAACCACTACCGGCTTGTCAGGTGTTGGATTACTCGGACCGACATCCCTGACAACCTCTGCAGGCTTTGGCATTTTCTTCTTCGCGAGCGACCTGGGACATGATCAGCACTTGCGAAAGTTTACAGGACACTTCCAGCCCGACTCACAATGCCTTCGCCCTCTCCCTGAGCCTGATCTCTGCCGAATCCACATCATCCAAAGACTCGTCATATATGGAATCATCGTACGACGATTCCGACCCTTGGAACGGTTCATCATTCCACCGCTGTCTGTACGCCTCAGACCATTCCCTGGCACCTTGGCCAATTCGAATATCGCTGCCTTGATCGCTGCTTGACCTGGAGCTAATACTCGGATAGAGACTTTCCGATACTGTGGTCGAATGGTCTGTGGAGCGACTGTTTTCGGTCTTGGCCCGGATGTTGTTATTCGACACTGAATGCCCTGGGATGGTCTTGGGATCAGGCTTGTAGCTCTGGACTGGACTTTCTGATGCTGGCGCTGGAGAGGACTTGGAGCTTCCGATATCGAGGGTCCCTTGCATGGCGTCGATGGCCATTAAAGCTTCACGAGTCTTCTCTGCAATGAGCTCCTTGTTCTGGACTACATTGTATGAGCATTGGGCGTTGGAAGTCTCTGAGGTGCAACCAACTTTGTCTGGATACTCGAGATTTCTCGAATCCGAAGGGCTCCTTGTAATCGCCCTTGGTAGGCTTGGTATTCATGCTGTTCTTCGACATGACTTGAATCTTTCGATCGAGCTGTCGGGCTCAGAGCTTCCGGACTGTCTGATTCGATCGTGTTCGTGGCCTGAAGCTTGAAGGTAGGTATTGATAATGCTGAACGCAGGTGTGGTCGAAAACTTCTTTGAGAGGCCTCGAATACATGCGGCCGGCTCCCTTATACGCTTCTCAGTCGGCATTGGCTCTACTCGGAGTCATTATCTCGCAAACATCAGACATCTTTGTCAACAAACAGACCGTCAGGCAAGACAGAATCATGAGGCTTGAAGGGCATGATGCCGCGGGCACAGTCATTAACACCTGGTCAACAACAGCCCAAGTGTGACAAGGCTCTCGACGGAATCACCAAAGGTCACCGACAAAAGACCACGTCTCGATGCCCACGGCTGTCTTTGAGAGTATTGCAATAGCTAACCAACAAATGGAGGACTCTCTCGATCGAATAACTCCGCAGACGACTCTCATATCGAATGGATCACTCTCCATGGCATCTTTGGAGGACCTCACAAATCGCTATTGCTTCCCACGCTTTGATCCCCGCCGACCAGGTGCAGTGCCTTTCGACTGCTTAGGCTCTTCCAAGTCATCCGAAAGCTCCAATGAGAACACCTCTGGTTCCGAATTGTCGCCACCCCCCTGCTTGATCACCGACCCACGAGGCCGTGTTTTGTCCTTCCCCTTGCCTCGTTCACCGTCAGTGCCAGCTTCATAGCCAGAGGCATACTCGTCTCCTGCAGCCTTGCGCAGTGACTGGACTCTCGAGGCAGCGGATACTTGTGAGTCTCCTGGTAGCGGAGTCCCACCTTCATGAGCTGCACCCTCCTCCTGGAAGCTGCTACGACTTCGGAACTCATCGATTTGCTCAGGATCATATCGGAAAGTAGTGTGCTCCTCCAGGGTCGCCGCACTCGAAGGCTTTGCAAGCTCCGCAGCCGTCGGCCATTCCCTCCAATACCCTCGAGCCTGCGCAATCCGACCGTTCGCTCCGCCAGGATCACTGATATCAAGCTCCAGCGGCCGACCGATGTGTTCGGCGTACTTTTTGGTCATGCCGAAATCGTCTTTCCACAGCTCAAGAGTCGTGTACGGGTCGCCAGAATGGGTGAGGTGATATGAGATGCACTTCCAGCAGTCGCACATGATCTTACCGGTGTGTCTGCAATGGACAATGTTCTTTCCCTTGTCGGCCCATTTCCAGACCTCGCGCACCCAGCCGCCGACTTTGGTTGGACGGACGTAGACTGGGAAGTGATCTGTTACCTCGAATGTGAGAGGGTCTTCTGCACCTGCCATTGGAGAGAGCCACTGTGGCTGTCTGCTTGAGGATGGAGAATGTTGAATGTTGCACAGCTGTTGATAGCACTTTTGTCGAGCGAGCAACGGAAGACTGCAACTCAAGCGACATTGGGATCCTATCTTGTAGGCACTTGGAGTCCAATCGAAGGCAAACATCCCAGTCACACCAGTCGAGCTGATTGAAGCAAACAGAATGAGGAAATGCGCAACGCAAACAATAACACATGCTTGAAGCCCGCGCTGCCTTCTGACTACCCAAAGGACTGATTCGAATGATCCATTAGGCATATCTCGATATATCATGGCCCGAGCGTCCAGCGCTGGAGCGTCTTCATAATTTTCATCCAAATCCATCCCCATCTTCAGTACTTCCTCCCTCGCCTCTCGTCCTCATAATACTCGCCATTACCATTGCCCCCCGACTTCCGATTGTGGACTCGACTCGGCGTACTCGAAGGCCTCTTCTTGCTGTACTCATGCCCACCAACGCCGCCCAAGATAGCACCACCGATCGTTCCCAGGCCTGGGAATATGAGATCGCCGATGAGCGCACCGCCACCTGCACCGAGGAAAGCGCTCGTTCCACTGCTCTTCTTCCGATCCGCGCCTGGCCGGTTATGGTTATGCCGGTGCTTCCTGTCGCGGTCTCGACTGCGACTTCGTGAGCGCGAGCGGGAGTCGCGTCGATACGGAGATTGTGCTGTTGGGTAGCCTGAAGTGGATGATCGACGCGGCGGTCGAAGTTGCTGGGTCCTGCCTATCTGACTCAGCCCCGGGCCTGCCGGCGCAAAGTACCCACTAGCAGACGGCGCGTAGCCGTTGGTCTGCTGTTGAAGTGGTGGGGGCGGAGGAGGTTGGGCTTGATACTGTTGGGGTGGTGGATGCGAAGAGGTGTAGTCTGATGGTCGATACATGTTCTGCAGCGTTGAAGGTCGTTGCGCCACCTTCTCTGGAGGATAGTAGTGCGTGTCGCCATTCTGGTTGGGGTTGTAGGGTTGATATTGAGGGCCGCCGTTTTGATTGGGTATTCGTTGCATCGGTGGTTGCGACTGTGGCCGCTGCTGTTCTGAGTAGGCTTGGTATGGAGGCGGCGCATCACTCATGGGGTATGGAGGGTTCGAAGGCGCGGGCGGTCCTTGACTGCTCGGTCGCGGGCCTTGTTGCGGATGGGGCTGTAATGTTGACGGCGGCGGAGGCGGTCGGGTTTGGGACGTGCTGCCCGGATTGTAATACTCCTGCGCCGCCATGTTGGACGCTCTCGGTGTGCGATCAAGTGTGGACGGGCTATCACTGGGGAATGCTGTTGTTCATGTGTAGACGTTGCCAAGTCTGGAGAATGAGATGGAAGGCTTGAAGGCTTGAAGGCTTGATGACGTTGGACTCGAGGAGTAAGAGATATTCTTACCAGGGACACGGTTTTGAGTGAATGGAAGATGACAGAAGATCGAATGAGGCTTCTGACCACATGATGCAGCAATAACTCGTGCGAACGGTCAGCGGGCTAGCCATCTCCGGTATGGGACATTGTTCGCTCGTGTGACCCGAGAGCCGCTTGTCGCCGCCGAGCTAAATTTACTGCCAGTGACGTGCTTCTGCAGGGCATTTCTATTCGGCACCGGTATGTCCGTCCTCAGGCGATGATCAGTGGCGAACGAAAGGCTTCTGGGCCTCTATGGTTCTACAGCCTCATTCATCGAGCAAGCCGATCCATCCCACCATGAGAGGTAATTATGAGAGTGAAGTGAGATACAAGTAATCGAAATTGATCATGGCAACCAAATCGCAAAATTATGTTGTCCGTAGCAAATGACTGTCGCCGCTGCAGCAACCACATCTTCGTTAGCCTAGCCATGCTGTATTTTTCAGCCTATACAGAACGCCAGCCCAGTGTCAGCATCTAAAAGGTGGCATCACAAGCAGCACCACGCCCAAAGTGACTGAGATTCTTTTGTATGCATTTCACGTCCCACAGGCTCCAGGATTCGGGTCAATGCGAAACCAGAAACCATCATAGTTCTGCTCTCCGCCAAGAGTACATCCCATAGTATCCACGATGTTCTTGAATCCAGCCATACAGCTATCGTACGAAATCGTGTGCGTGTCGTCTCCGTCACCGTCGTGCTTGATCTCCCAGTCGATGTGGTTCCTGTACGGAAACTGATCCTCGAGAGGGCATTCGGCGTAGCAGTCCTGTTCGCAGGTGTACTGATCTACACCTTCTTCGTCGATGCAGCTGTGGTTGCAATCAAGCTCGCACCCGAGCGTGGCTTTCTGGTATGCCCTGTGCGCACGTAAAGAGAACTCGTCAGCAGATGTTCTAGAAAATGAATCATAAAGGCCGTAAAAGGGCGTTCTGCGCCTAATTGGGACGGTCGAGGGTTAGAGACGAATCCTCTAGCCGATAGACAAGCACAGAACCGCTCGGATGGTCGCAAACGCTCTGGCTCATCGGCCGTAAGACCTGTCTCTAACCCTCGGGTGTGGATGAGGCAAGGGGTTCTGGCCACATAACACTCACCACTCGCTGCAATCCTCCCACCCGCTCCCCGGCTTGACAATAGAGCCGCTGACCAGCTGACAGTGCGTGTCGATGTCGTTGATGACTTCCTGGTGAAGGTCGCGATTTTTATCGCCAGAATATCGTCCAGGATTGTTGTGAAGATCCTGTGCAGTGGAGGTGAAACACGTCAGCATTCTGGCCTCTCTGCAAAGCGGAGGAGGCGGTTCTGGCGACTATAACCTAGAAGAAGAGGGAGACGAATGCTTGCAACTTGGAATGACCGTCAAGAGGCCGTTTCCGCACCCAGAGTCACTTACCGAGAATTCGAAGTCCGACGTTCCCGCAAAGAAGGCGGGGGTGGTGTAGCAGCCCAAGCCGGTGACGACTGCTACGAGACCAACAAGTGGCAAGATAATGCTGTTCAAGCCCATGGCGGGGTTGAGTCGGCCTGGGTGAGATCGGTGCTCGAGTGTGTGTATTGCAGGTGTGCAAGTCCGGGCAAGGGAATGTGTGCGTCTTGCTTGATACGATGGTGCTTGAGGTTAGGGATTAAAGCGATGATGAGTCCAGATGTTTTATACACTCTGGTCCTGAACTTTTACGCCAACTCATCCTTCGAGTTTTGCTGTGTAGGGTATCCAGATATAGGAGGGACCAAGCGTCCGCATTGCTGTGTGACAAGGACGAGAATAACTTACTGCGCCCGTCGGCGTGGCCTGAAGATCACTATCTTTGGCTATACAGCCACATGTCAACAGCAATAGCTGAGGTCCGGAGATTGCAATGAAAGTGCCAAGTGATCCTCTGTATACAACGTGTCAGGGCAAGGGCCCTATTCGAGCGACAGTAGGGAAGAAGAAGACCATACTTGCTTACGTTCACGGGCTTGCTCAGCCTTGCTTACCAAAGCCTCGACTTTCGGGCGTCTTATTGCCCCCCCGATAGCGGCAATACCGTGCCATGCTAGAACCACCCACCGTTCGACATCTGCTTAGGTTGACTGTGAAGTTGCTTCCAAGCCGCGGTCGCTGACGATTCTCGTGCGCATCGGGCCGGTAGATCTAGACTATTTCCCGTGATGCGCTTTTACCCAGTACCAGTCTAGAGCTTCTCCCATCCCTCCTCGCATCTCCTACGACATTGCTTTCTTTTGTCCGACTTCGTGTGTCCGTCATCAACATCTCGCTCAGTCGACAAGCCGAAGCGTGAGTCTGCATGTCAGGACACGATGCTTGAGATAGGATGGGCTTCTCAACTCCCGGCAGCCCTTCGGCACTCAACCTGAAGCAAACGTGATGAAACGCTCCTTATACTTCTCACACGCAATCTTAGAACGACTGTATAAGTCAACGGTAACAGATCGCTTCTTCCTCTCAACAAATCCATTTCGCGTTTCTTGCTTTCCTTCATTTCATCCTTTCAGTCACTCGCTCTTTTCGTTTCCAACATGCAGTTGCAGACGCTCTTTGGATTGGCGCTTACGCTGGCGTGCGCCCATGCCACACTTGACCCGGCCTTGTCCAACTCCAAAGGCAGATGTCCAAAGGTTTACAACTGGTAAGAAGAGTTGAATGAGAGACACCGGCACAAGTGGCTACGTGCATTGCTAACCCAACTCCAGTGAGCCTGCGAAGGTCTCCACCGCCATCCAAGCTGCCGAGTGCTCCCACAACACGAGAACATCTACCACCCAGACCTTTGCTGTCTTTGAAGTCGACCACCAGTATGACAGCTCACACGGCGCACCCTACGGCACCTGTTCGGCCTACACGTGCAAGGCACCAAACACGCCACGCCAGATGAAGGACTGCAAAGACCACTGGACCTTCTTCTGTAAGTAAAGGTAGTGTGCAGAAGACGTCTCCGAGACACCTGCTGACGGCCATCACCTTAGGGGTCAAGGACCATGGCAAGGAGAGGGGTGTCGGAACCGGGTGCATTCGTTCTCCGGACGACGGCAAATGTGGATGCGAGAGCAGCGATGGGGTCTTTCACGCAGGAAGCAACAGCTGTACCTAAGGCTAGCACGAAGATGCCGTTGCAAGGATGGTTGACAAATGGCAAAGGATGTTGGTTCTCCGCGAAGGACTTCGGGGTTGCTAGGCACGCCGCCAGAACATGAAGTTGGGTCCGTCCAAACATTCGAACACCACATTGAATTGCTCTTGTCTCTCATCGAACTAAGGCCAGTCGAGCCTCCCATTGAGACCAGAGCACATGGAGCCATGTCAGGAGCCACCAAGGCAAAGGTGTCGCTACTGCTGGAGTGTTTTCATATATGTCTGCGTTCTGGGGATACTGCTGGCAGAGCTTGGCTTGAGTAGGCTACGGTAAGGAGTTGCTTGCTGGTAGCCGCGTATGCCTGCTGTGACTCGTACTGCGTTCTTGACTGTCGAAGGTCGATGGTCTTGCGAGAATGAAGAACACTCGTGGCCTCACTGCGCCCGCAAATGTATCTATTCCTTTGTATGAATATCTCTCAGCAGTGAAGAGAGTAACACTCCGGTTGCCGCCAAGCTAAATGCCTTCACCCATCTGCAGGTCTACAGGACATTCTTCTCTTGACACCGGTATGTCCGTCCTTTAGCAGAGGTACAGCGCTCGAGTACCGATGATCAGTGGCAAACGTCAATGGACCCTCTCGGCGCATCTAACGCTCTCGGAGACAACATCATCCTCCGCAGAGTAGCGTGAGTAGATACTAATGCATGTGCTGCGCTCACATACCTGCGTCAAATACATAAATTTGAGCATAAGTATTGTGGTCTGAGTGAGCACTTTGTCTCCCTTCTTCTCTAGCGGTACCACTTCTACAAGGTGTACCGAGACTCAGCAAGCTCCACTAAGCTACATAGAAGTCGACATGTCTTCCGACTCGCCCAAGATTCTCCTCACGGGAGCAACAGGCTACGTATAAGTTCGCCTTCAACTCAGCTTCATCCACAACGCTGACTTTCAACACAGGTGGAACTATCCTGACACATCTGCTGAAGTCGGACAACCCAGCCCTGAAGAACGCAATCATCACATGCCTCGTCCGCGGCGAGCAACGCATCTCGCAGCTCGAGAAGGCATACGGCTCCCGCGTCAAAGCGGAGCTCTACCAGGACCTCGACGATGTCGAAAGGACGATTGAAGTCACGAGCCAGCATGACTACGTGATCAATACGACTTTGGGTTTCCACCCCGAGAGCGCTGCTGCTCTGGTCAAAGGGTTAGCGAAACGGAAGCAGTCCACTGGCAAGGATACGTTCATGATCCATACGTCCGGCACATCGAATCTGGCGGACCAGCCAATCACTGGCAAACTTCTCGAAGACCGTGTCTTCGACGACGCCAAAGACGACATCTATGGCTACGAAAAGGAGCGGGAGAAGGGCCAGCTCTATCTTCAGCGCAACAGCGAGCTTGGTGTTGTTGATGCAGGCATTGAAACTGGTGTGAAAGTGCTGGTCATTATGAGTCCCACTATCTACGGCAGAGGCTCTGGCATCGGGAATACGAGTTCGATTCAGGTCCCAGCATATGTCAAGACAACGTTAGCCAGTGGTCAGGGTGTCGTTGTGGGTGAAGGCAAAGGGATCTGGGACAACGTTCATGTCGAGGATTTAGTATGCTCCCATGCTCTGTGACAGGTTTCGAATGTTGTGCTAATCATACTTCAAGGCTGGACTGTACGAGCTGGTCCTCCTCAACCAGATCCAAGCCAACGGCTCCGACCTACCCACCGGAAAGAAAGCAATCATCTTCTCCGGCAACGGCAGGCATACCTGGGGCGAGCTGGCTGCAGGCGTAGCCCAAGCTGCATACCAGGCTGGCCAGATCAAGACCGCTGAAGTCAAATCGGTGACCATTGAGGAAGCAGCCAACTTGTGGCCTGCGCCCTGGAACGAACCTTTGAGAGTCGAATTGGGTCTGTCGAGCAACTCGCGGACGGAAAGTACCGTTGGCAGACAGCTGGGCTGGAAGCCTTCGAGAAGCGCGGAGGCGTGGAAGGATGGGTTCACGGAGGAGGTGAAGGCTGCTTTGGAGCAGAAATGATGGATTTGCATGTAGAGACGCCGGCGGCATTGGCAGCTTCCGTATGTGAAGTGCGCAAAGCATGCCACGCAATGAATTTGGACCTGGATGTTGAGCTGCTGTTACGCCGCGAAGCCGACAGTCCGAGTGAGGCTCAAAGTGCATGTGAGGTTGACTGAGCCCTAAACCTGCAGCGAGGCGATGGTTCTGAGGCCACACTGCTTCCATCAATAGGATATGGACGCAGTTCGCTTGATGCTTGTGTCAGGCACGGTCTAGACCGTCTTTCGGTCCTCATGCGACAGTCGGAAGAGGCGTTGCGCCACGAAGCCATCATCGGGTATTGTAGCATCCGAGTAATGTGGCTGCCGAAGGCATAAACTCTCGTAGCGTTGTTGTCCTTGTGCATTGAAACGAAGCATAATATAGACGAGTGCCCACCGTGAACGCTTCGTCGTCGAACAACACCACAGTGTGAGGCGCCCAAGGCTTTCCCTCCGAGTAAGTTGCGGCGCCGCACCGGTCAAACTTTCCAATTGCGTGAGCAGTCGAAGCGAACATTCGAAAGCTATGGTCAACACGATCCAAGTCCTCAGGAGGGAGATGATCGGCATCGCAGACATCAGCTCGTCTCAACTGATATGAAAAGGTAGAGTCCTCTTAGCTCCCACGTGTCGAAGCGAGTTTGGCTCGTTTTCTGAGAGCCAGGCCCCATATGTGGACGAGCCTTTTGCGCAGCACTTGTTAGACATGGAATACCTGCAACAGCGCCCCAAAGATGTGCGCATGTCTCTGCAAGTATGGAGGAGAGCTGAAGCCGACACGACGAGCTGGAGGACTCATGTGTGCGCTGGTCGTCCGTGTATTAAATGGTAGACTGGTTCCGACTGCTGTGCCATAAGCATTCGCCTGAGGCAATTTTAAACAATCGGACCTGCTGAATCGCCTCGCCTCGCCCCATTACTCGACGACCATCTCCAACAATAGCGATGTGCTGCAGGAAAGCTCCTCGACATCCGGCCTGCCGTCACGCAGCCCACGGTACAGCACAGCAGCCAGCGCGCCTTGATCGATGCCAGGAATCGGAGAAAGCCGGAGCACTCTGTCCAACAGTACCGTGGGAATATTTCGATATCGAGAGAGAGCACTGTGATCGTTGCATTATCCAGAGCGAACTCTTGGGGCAGCAGCAGGGCCTTGACCCAGGTGTCGTATCCCAACGCATGGGTGTCGGATATGCCGAGCTGCGTGATGCGAATCCTGGCAAGCTGCCTTGACTTGAAAGAGCATAACGATCTTGGAAGCCACCGGTCGGGCATGGGCGACCTCCAACTATTCCTCAGTCGGATAGGACGCTCTTCGAACCACAGGACTTCCGGGTGACGACATCTCATCGTCCGAGCCCACCTCGAAATCACGCATCATCGCCTCGTGGTCCTCGGCAACACTGAGTCCACCGTAGCGAGCGTCTTGAGCTCCATCGGTTCCAGTCGCGACCGAGTGATCTGCTCCATGGACTAGCCATTTCGGATTGGCGGCAAACCATCGGTCGGTCGATTCCAGACTACGCCCCCGAGTCTCAACAACAACTGCGTGGTGTCAGCATGGGCCAGGTTCACAGGCTTGGTCATTGAGATGTACATACGATAGTAGACCAGTGGCACGAATGTAGCATTCAGTATGGCATAGATGAGATACAGACCCCACTTCAAGTGATGTATTCCTGGTGGAGTGGTTTGTACCACGACCTACGGAGAGGGCTATGAGCAGCAAATTACTGTGTGCCGTACACAACTACTCACATAATTGAATAACCTGCAAACAGAAGCGCAAAGGGTTAGCGGATATCTTAGACATGGTAGGGTTTTGCCCATGGGTTCGGTACCAGTCCATTGATGTTGAAAGCGCAGCGCCCTTCGTCCTGAACTTCAGCGAGTTCACCTGTGTAACATTAGCATTGGCTGCCAGCTGACATCTGCTTCGTGATAGGCTTACTTCTGCGGGATAGAGCCAAGGGATTGATATCCAGCCTGATGCGAAGGTGGTAAAGTAAAGCCAGATGAAGACAGTTGCCACGATGCCAGGTGCATGACTGTCCGGTGATACTTGGCCTACGCCAACACCAATTGACACACCTAGGAAGGCAATCGCCATAATGCCTGCAGTGAGCATCAACAGAGGCCGCCGACCAACCTTTTCCACGAACAGTATTGATGCTGAGGTAGCCAGCCAGAAGCTGACTGCGTTGGCAGCGGCCACGAGACGTGCTGTGAGCTGCGGAAGACCAACAGATCGATGAAGCACGACGGGCAAGTAATAGGCCAGTACGTCTGTTGAGCGTCAGTGGACTGAACATTTCTAAGTAAAGATCATTACGACTCACTTATGCCGGAAAGCTGCTGGGCCTGTTGTGATCGTCAGTTGGAGCACAGCACAAGGGTCTGGTCGATTACAAGCTTACCACTTGCAGCATCATGCCCAACAGTACCCGCCTTGTCGCTATGCCACCGCGCAGGAGTTGGCTCCAGGAGCCCTTTGTAGCCTGCTCGGCTTTCACCGAGCTTCGGATCTCCTCAAACTCGACTTCAGCGTCGCCATCATTGAGTTGGTGGAGCACAAGCCGTGCAGCTTCTTCCTTCCCCCGCGCAATGCTCCACCGAGGGCTTTCTGGTAGGATTGGTATCATTGACAGGATGATCAAACAGAAGATGAGCTGAATTCCAAGCGGGAATCTCCATTGAGCCTCGGTGACAACGCCGCTGAAGGCCAGAGTGATGAAGTTGGAGAGCACGAAGCCGAGCACGTTCACAGCCATCTCCTTCACAACTGCGGAACCCTTCGCACTCTGATGGGATGTTTCCACGTGCTACATGGAAATACTGTCAGTCGAGGTCCGTCGATAGAATACAGTTATGTGCCTACCCAAACTGGAGCAGTGGCGGTATTGCCACCGTTTCCGATACCAGCCACGAACCGGCCAAGGACCATGTCGTTCATGCTGTGCGCAGCAGTCTGCAGGATGATGCCAATAGTCATGACGATGGTAGAGATGATGAGCATCTTCTTCCTGCCGAGCTTTTCACCGACACCTGAGAGTCATAAGCAGGCGCTATCAGGGTCAAGCGAACGCACCTACCGAGTGTGATACTAGGTTGAATACATCAGCAAATGATGAACGCGGAAATGACAGTAGGTGCCGTGCAGAGCGTTGAAGTGCATAGTGGAAGTACGTCAGGACTTACATCGCTCCGAAAAAACAGCCTAGGTCTGGGTACCAAACAGGTCATTAGCAACCTCTAGCATCGCCATAGCTTTTACTTTATTCTCTCACCATAGACCGAAGTCACGAAGCCCTGCATCGCCGGCGATGGCTGGTTGAAGTATTCAAGAAAGTCTTCACCGACGATGATGCCCCCAAACACACCTGAATGCCGTGATTGAGCTTCAAGTCTCGTTCAACGTCCTAAGGTGTCATACCTTGCTCGTACCTGGACAAACGTTAGCATGTGGCTTAATACTAGGCCAGACTGACGGCATACCCAAACAACATCATAACGGTCCCAGCAGCCACCGAGATGGCCGTGTGCAACGAGTGAGCGGTCTTGAAGAACCGCCTCTCAGACCGCGCAACCTTGAAAGGCGATTGCTGGCTCTGGTCGACAGCATGGTCAAGGTGTTCGCCAGCATCCACTCCGTTGGCGGCGTCGTGGAGTTGCTTGTAAGACATCTCGAACAGAACAAGGATGAGGCTAATTTGCTTGCCGCGTTTACGGTGCTGCTATCATGGCCGCGCGAGTAATTCAGTTGTGTTGATGGGAGCTAGAAGCGAAGAGTGAATGAATGGGTTGCGTTGAAGTTGCGAACGCGACTTGATGGTAGTCGTCTTGGAGAGACACGCGTGAAGTTTGGAGATGAATCGCGCCAAGGCCAATGGAGCATGAACAGGCTAAGTCGGATGTCGCAGAGGTCTTCAGAGCCTCTACCTTAAAGCAAGCTATATACAACCAGCCGATATCTTAAGCGTACATGCCATGTTGATGGGCTCCAAAGTCCCTCCTATACCGCCTCGACCTCCCGCGCAGGCTTATCCAGCTTAGGCTTATCCCGACTCTTCGTATGCTCAGTCCCTCTGCTAGCATGATACGTACTCTCGCCCTGGAAGTTCGCGGTCCTCCTGAGCTTCGCTCGCTGTGCGATCCAATCATCCGCAGTCATTGCCTCTTCGCCGTCATCGGGATCAAGCAGGCTTTTCAACTTCACCTCCCCATTCGGCCGGCTGAAGTAGACAACAGAATGTCGAGGCGACTGCGCTTGTTCGCCGGGAGGACCTTGTAAGGGTGAGTGAATGTGTGGCTTTTGTTAAGATGGATGACTTACCAACAACACGGTGTACACCGCTATATAAGCGACCCCCGACAAGCTTCACAAGCGCATCTCCGAGATTGATGATGGCGCACCCAGGTTGCGGCTTCACGTACTTGTAGTCTTGTGACTCTGGGTTGATGACCTGTAGACCACCCAGTTGATTGAACAAAACTGTTACGCTTCCGAAGTCTAAGCACAGTCAGTCCTGCTCACCTGTGGAATGCCGGCAGAAATCACCTGTATGTTCACCCAAAGTAATGGTGTCTGCGCTCACAGGCGGGGCATGCGTAACCCTCGCCTGATCACCACCAACTCGATCCAGTCTGTGCAGATCGGGCAGTGTGTCTGGTGCCAGCCCCAGCTGCTCGCCTAGCGTTCTGAGGACCATCAGGACAACACGATGACACGATGCCATGAACTCTTCCAACTCTGCTCGTCTGCGCTTGATCGTCTCCGGATGCTCGAGCGGATGATCTTTGTACTGTCCGTTCCTCATCACATCGTCCTTGGAGATGTTGTAGAACTCGCTCTTGTCCGGCGTGCCCTTCGAGTCGACGTAATTACTTCCACTCATCTTGTACCCGAAGTAGCTCCCGGTGTTTCCCATCTCGTACTTCATCTTCTCGTCGGGATCTAGGTTGAAGGTTTGATTCGCAAGGTCGAACATGAAATCATAGTCCACGTGTGTGTTGCTAAGGTAGAAGAAGCCATAGCCTTTTGATGCCTCGTACACCTTCCGTGCCTCTTCTGGGTCGCCTTCCCGCAAACGGTCGAAGTCGACGGTGAATATATCTGCGGTAGGAACGTTTTCAGGGAAGGGCGGAATGCTCTCCCCGATTCTTGAAGGCATGATGGGAAGGGTAGAGCGACGCAAACGAAAGAATACACCTACTGATTGTGGAGTATGCGAGAGAACGAGGGCAGGTAGTAGTATAGAAAAGGCATTGAGGGGCAATGAGGAAGTACTTGAGCTTCTCCACCCCAGATTTCCTTCAGCATCAATGTGGGGTGTCGATCCGGAAATAAGATCGAACCTTGGATAGCTCTGGAATCAGAAGCAAAAGAGACTGGAAGAGGTCGAACTGTGGCCATCACATCTCCGGCTCAGGCCCAAGGTAGCCTTTCTTGAAAGCACCAGGAATCAACGCTGCAGCACGCATCACCTCACTGATGGCCCTCAAGTCGCCAGGCGTGCTTGAGCGATGCTCTTCCCAAGTCGTGATGATATGGTTCCGATACGTCTGCGAGATCTCGTCTGACTGCTCCATACAACCAATGCCAAGGCAGGTCCCGTACTCGCGGAAGGCAAGCCTGCGAGAAGTGGGCCTTTCGAGATAGCCCTGGTCAAATAGCTTATGTACTTGGCTATCGGCCTGCTTGGTGAGGTCGGCGAAGTAAGCTTCACGATCGGCTAACCAGTGGGAGGTCCACAGAGTCATGCCTAAGTCGAGGGTATCTGAGGAGACGAAGTGTTTGCCCTTGAGCTCGATGATCCTTTGGTAGTCTGAGATTTCTTCCTTTAGCACGGTAGGGTCATCAGACGCCGCTTGAAGCTTGCGGAACACGACTAGGCCATCGATCGGGTCGAGGTTGCCTTGCGAGTGCACCAGTGGTCTTGAACGATCCATGGCTATCTTCCAGACCATTCGTGGCCGTGCTCCTGCTCGATCGACGAAGAAGTGAAGATGGATTGCCTTCGCCAGAGCTACGGCTCGGTCGTTGTGTACCTTGTCGTTCGTGGCCTTTGAGAGTCTGTTGAGAGCGAACATCCAGAGCGTGAGATAATGATGGTACTGTCCGTCACCATCGCTCCCGCCTTCATCTTCTTTGCCAATCCGCAAGCCTCCTCCGACTGGATTGTCATTGCTGGCACCCGGCAGCCAGGCTTTGCCATCACGAGTGCGTCCGAGTACATTGTGTACAGTGTCTGCCAGAGACACCGCCCGCGTAATGTGGCCTGGATCCTGGCTCTCCTTCGCCAAGGTTATGAAGTTGAGTACGCCAAACGCATCAGTCCATAAGTATCGACCGCGATGCCCACCAGAGCACTCAGGAGGCGTCCATTGTTCGGCCTCTCCGGCAAGAGGGCCATAGACGGTTTCAGTTGCCTCCTTGAATTTGGCGAGCGTTGGCATGGCTGTCTTTGTGGTAGTTGTAAAAGGTCTGGGGGGAAGTCTGGTTCTCAAGAGTCTCATGAGCACTATTGGGGTAGCAGGTCAAAGATGTCGACAGAACAGGAGTCATCTCCCATCAGTCGCACACATGAGGTCTTCATTGCGTGTGATCGACATCAGAGAGCAGCTGTTGTTGGCAAGAGCCTGGACCCAGAAAAGAAATCTCACGTGATTGCACGAGCTCGAGTAGCATGATCATCGGCGGTCCGCTCTTTGAAGCAATCGCACCAAGGAATCCTGATGTTAGAGTGGATGGAGATGCAGTCTACCTTATTCAGGAGGAACGACTCTCCCACAGCCAAGCCTTTTGCCTGAGGCCTGAGCGATTTCTGGACCCTTATAATCTCACCTTCTCGACTGCACCATCATAAGCCAACCCTTCCAGCAGCGCCAGGCACCGAGTTCAGGGCTCTTGGGCGACCGTGAAAGCAGCGGAGACTCTGCTCCAGAACAAACCAAGACGACAACCACAACGAATATCCTTGCAACGACCACTGCTTCCACGATAACCACCACCCACAATGTCCCGCCGTCCACCCCCCGCGGGCGCCGACCGCAGTGAGCAGAACCGCGCCACGCTCAAACAGCTCGTCAAACTCGAGTCCAACAAGTCCTGCGCCGACTGTAAACGCAACAAGCACCCACGATGGGCCAGCTGGAACATTGGTGTCTTCATCTGCATTCGCTGCTCTGGCATCCACCGCGGCATGGGCACGCACATATCCCGTGTCAAATCCGTTGACCTCGACTCCTGGACCGACGAGCAAATGCAGTCGATGCTGCGGTGGGGCAACGCACGGGCGAACAGATATTGGGAGAGTAAGCTGGCGGAGGGGCATGTGCCGAACGAGAGCAAGATTGAGAATTTCATTAGGACAAAGTACGATTCGAAGAGGTGGGCGATGGATGGTCCGGTACCGGACCCGAGTACGCTGGATGTGCCTGGAGAGGGCGGGGATGATGACGTGCCACTGAATGTGGTGAGGGAGAAGGTCGTAGGGGATCGGGAGAGGAGTACGAGTGGGAATGCAAGGAATGGAAGTGGGGTGTTGCCGCCGCCTGGTGGAGGACAGAGGGTAAGGCCGCAGGATGTGGATCTGTTTGGGGATGTTGGAGAGACAAGCGCTCCTGTGAGACCGAGTACGACGGAACCAGCAGTGAGGCAGGGGGTGCAAAAAGCGCCAGTCGCACCACCAAAGCAGACGAGGCCAGGCGAGAGTTTACTAGGGCTGGATTTCTTCGGTGGGGCACAGTCAGCTCCTCCGGCGCGGCCGTCCAGTACTGGAGCCAGCACGCCAGGAGTGCCAGGACGAGCGGACCTGAAGTCATCAATTCTCTCGCTGTACGCATCCAAACCGGCAGCCGCACCTCAACCACAGCCCCAGCAGCAACAGTCCCAGCAGCAACAATCACAGCAGTCGAATGCCAGTTTCTTCGGCGGCATGCAATCTCCACCTTTGACCTCGCCAACTCAACAACCATCTTCCTCTTTCGGAGGCATGAATGATGCCTTTGGCTCCCTCTCTTTCTCCTCGCCACAGCAATCCCAAGCAAAGCCAACGCCTTTCTCGAACTTCTCGCCACCTCAGGGACACGCCAGACAGCCATCCGCCAGCAAGTCCGCACTCAGTGGTGGCTCCTTCTTCGACACCAAACCCGCTGCACCAGCAAAACCCACACAGCCTACACATCAACCTCGCGAAGAAAGCTTTGGTGGTGACTTTGGCGACTTCTCTTCCGCTGTCTCACCACCGCCGACCACAACAGTCCGGAGTCCGCCAGCAGCGACCAGCAACATGAACAACCTCTTCGACCTACAGTCATCTCCTCCCCCGCCACCAAAGCCTGCCGTACAGTCCCCTCCGCCAATCCAGCCACAACAGCAACAGCCGAAACAACCCAACTTCTCTGCCTTCAACCTCTCTCAGCCTTCGGCTCCAGCCAAGCAGCCTTCACCTCCCCAGACCCAGACATCCACCTTCGGAAGTCTCAGCAACATGGACGCCTGGGGCTCAAACGACGCTTGGGCGACTCCTGAACCCGCGCAGCAACCTCAGCCTGCACCCTTCCAGTCGAGCTCGAGCAGCTTCAACAAGCCGGCGGCACCGGCGGCTCCGATGCAGACAGAGTTCGACAGCGGATGGGGCGACATGACATCGCCGGCACCGCCTGCTGCGAATACGACAACCAGTGCTGGAGGCTTCAGCGTGCAGCAGGACGAGGAGTTTGGCGGGTGGAGCCATGCCAGTCCCGTAGCGCAGACGCCAGGAGCGAAGCAGGGAGGTGGGTTCGGAGGTGGATCGGATGATCTGTTTGGGAATGTTTGGGAGTAGATGAGAGGTAGGATAAGGCGGTGGGAATCACCAGTTGAAAGAACTAGATAGGCTTAGCATACGTTGCAAATGCCCTCACGACCTTGCAGTATCCTCGTGTTATCACATGTACATGAATCATGACGCCCCCAGCGCCCTGCTTATAAGTAAAATCAACTCCATCCACCCTTTCACCTCAGAATATCCAGCTCAGCATCCACCACAGCGCTACCACCACCGCGACAATGATCGCCGCCAACTTCAACACCGCCACACGATCGCCTTGCCTCGCCATCACGCCTAATCTTCTCGCGCTGCCTTTCAAGCCGGTGGTCATGGAGGAGAAGGTTTCTGAGGTGTTGTCGATGACTTCGTGGGAGCGGGCATTGTCGTAGATGTCGACGGTGACGGAGCGGAGCGCGGAGACTTTTGAGGAGAGGGCGGCGAGGGAGTCGTTGTTTTGTCTGTATCTCGGTCAGACTTGCGCAGGCCATGACATGATACGGGGAAGGCGCATACCGTTCGCGTTCGTAGGCTTCTGACATGTTGGCGGTGGTGGAGGGGATGGGGGTGTTTAGGTGGTGGATGAGGTATTGTGCGGCCTTTTCGATGTTCTCTGTGTTCGCCAGCTATAGCAAACTATTCTCGCCGTCAATAACCTCTAGTACCTCTGGTACATGTGATTGAAGCGCGAGGTGGTCGTACCGTAGGTCTTTGTCTGGGCACGCGAGGCACGTCACCTCACTCGGCTGAGCTTTTAGACCTCTTCATCAGTGCTACCTTGCGCTGTTCACCTACGACCTCCTACACCTTCTTCTCACACCCTCCTCTACCTCCTCGTCCGCCGTGTCGACATCCACCGTCAAGATGCCGCCCTTCCTCAACAACCCGCTGCCGTCGTCGATGAGGAGTGAGTCCCCCACTACACCCCCACCATGAAACACTTCTACGAAGGCAAGGCGAGTAATACACGATCACACGATACTGATGACGTGGACCTACAGGCGAGTGCAAGAAGACCGGCCGCATCCTCGCCTCCTTCGTCGACCCGCGACAAGCCTTTGGACCTGACAAAATCATCCCTCCACAAATCCTCGCCAATGCCAAAGGCCTTGCCATCATGACGGTCCTCAAGGCCGGCTTCCTCGGGTCAGGAAGATTTGGAGGCGGTGTGGTGGTCGCGCGGTTGGCGGACGGGTCATGGTAGGCACAGCGATCATAGAACAGTAAAATGTCACCAGGCAGCAGGTTCAGCTGACATCTGTTTGATACAGGTCCGCGCCCTCAGCGATTGGCACAGTCGGCGGCGGCTTCGGCGGGCAGATCGGCTTCGAACTCACTGACTTCGTCTTCATTCTCAACGACGCCATGGCCGTCAAGACCTTCGCCCAAGTCGGCTCTTTGACTCTTGGCGGCAACGTCTCCATTGCTGCAGGTCCCGTGGGTCGCAGTGCTGAAGCAGCAGGAGCCGCGTCCCTCAAATCTGTCTCCGGTATTTTCGCCTATTCCAAGACAAAGGGTCTCTTCGCCGGTGTGTCGCTGGAAGGCAGTGCCCTGATCGAGCGAAGAGATGCGAACGAAAAGATGTACAATCGCAAAGTCACGGCGCGAGAGCTTCTGTCTGGCGGCGTTCCCGTTCCGCCTCAAGCAGAGCCTCTCATGCGCGTGCTCAATTCCCGTGTCTTCGCCGGCGTGGGCGGCAGCTACCAAGACAACTCCATGTATAACGACGTCCCCATCTACGACGAGAGCCACGAGGACGTCGTATGGCAAGGGCGTACTGGATCCGCTTATGGAGAAGGTGTGCGGTCCAACCGAACGGGAAGTATGGGTTCCGCACAAGCTACAGGCGGCGCGTTTGGCAGTAACGACTACGAGTACCGCGATCAACCCTCACGGTCCTCGACGTGGCAAGACGACCCTTATGACCGGCAAGCGAGTACGTTCGATCGGCTAAACGCTAGCCGCGGGCGGTCGAGTACGTTCGGAGATCAGAGCGACTACGTCTATTCAGACGCGAGAGCGAAGGCACCTCCACCTGGAAGACCTGCGGCACCTAAGCCGGCCTTTTCGACTGGTGGTGGAAAGGCAGGTGCGCAGCCTGGACAGGCGGTAGCCAAGTTCACCTTTGATGCAGACCAGCCGGGTGATCTGGGCTTTAAGAAGGGCGATGTGATCACCATTGTGAAGAGGACGGAGAGTGAGGCAGACTGGTGGACCGGGAGGGTAGGAGATAGGGAAGGAATTTTTCCTAGCAATTATGTGGAGCTGGTGTGATTGACAGAGCCTCTGCGCTTTATGAAGAAGGTGGATAGAACCAGCCGCTGGAGTCGGCGACGGCTGCTACTTACTGCGTTCGGTATGATACCTTTTAGCGGGCTTGTCATTACTGTGGATAGCATTACCACGTGCTCACGACGACAGATGAGGCTACGAAATGAAAATCATGCATGGCGTCTGGCGCTATTGCACTCTTACATTACCCACCACCAGCCGCAGCCTCGAGTACCTGATCAACCTTCCCTTCCAGATCCGCTCCAATCGCCCTCTCAAGCACCACCACGAACGCCCTCCGCTGCCTTGCCTCCTCTCCTTTCCCTGCAACATTTCCAGCATCAAGCTTGCTCCAGTTCCCTTTGAGCAATCCCTCCAACTTCGCCGCTTCCTCCGGCAACCCGAGCCTCTTCAAAGACCCCTGCGTCCGATCATCCACGTACGGAAACCCACCCATCCACAACCACTGCACCCTCCTCAAGAAGATCTTCATCCCCGTCTCTCCAATCCCCTTGATTCCGGACTTGATCGCATCGAGCGCAGCGTCAACATCTCCATCGCTGTCCGACAGCGCTTTACCGAGCTCCGTGCCCTCGGTGTCCCCTTTCGAGGTAAAACGCTCGAGGACCGTATCGGCAATCTGCCCTATCTCAGCGGCAGTCTTATCCTTATGCTGCGTCCGCGCATCATAGACGGCTTGCAGGTGCTTCTCGTGCCCCGCTTTCTGCACTGCGTGAGCGGAGTTGAAGTTATAGGGGTCATTAAAGACTGTCCTGATCGTTCGAAGACCTAGACGGTGCGAGATTGGGCGGGAGAGAATAGCGGCCGAGAGTAGTTCTTCGAAGGGGTTCATCACGCTGCCGGAGTAGGTTTTGATCGATCCGCGGGTTGCGATGTCTTTGGCTTCCTCGTCGGGGCGGCAGAGGTCCTCGCAGGCGTTTGAGAGGAGGTAGTTGAGGAGCTGTCGGTGAGATGGGGAGGACTTCAGGGCGCCTCGTCCGGAGCGGCGGGGAGCTTTTTGGGGTTCGTCTGAGGATGCATCTTTTTTGCGTTTGGTGGATGTTGTTTCGTCGTTGGTGGCGGGTTCGTTCTTGGGCTTTGGCTCGTCGTTGTGTTGCTCCGGTTTTCCTGCCGGGGAATCCTTTGGGGCGGTCTTGCTTTTCTTGGGCGGCATTTTTAGTAATATGTACAAGATACTATACACTGAATCAACTGTATATTCACATCGTCGTCAATGGTTGACGTTGACGATCACATGAAGTCAAAAAGTCGACACCTTAGTGCCTGAAATGTCCCACTGACGTCGATGGATCAACAGTACATGTACTGCGGTCAATTACTTTCGCTCAAGTACTTTGCGCAGCACACTTCAGTGCAGCGAGCGAAGTGTCCAGGAAACAGGAAACAGGAAACGACAGCGCGAGTGAACCGCAATGCAACGCGTCAAGAACGTCGACTACGACGAAGACGACATCTACTCAGAGGAAGACGACTACCAGGAAGAAGAACAGACTTACACGGAAGAGGACCGCGAGAACTTCAACACCCTCACCCCAGTCGTCAGAGCAGAGCTGCAGGAAGCTGGACTACAGGCTTCCGACAGAGAGGTCGAGGATGCACTCTGGCACTACTACTGGGATGTGAGCAAGAGTGTGGCATATCTGAAGAACACGAGGACGCCACGGCCACAGCAGCAGCAAGGGAAGAAGGAAAAGGAGAAGCCGAAGAACAAGTTTGATCAAGCGGCGGAGAGGAGTGCGGAGAAAGCTGGTGAGTCGTGCTCTTTCTCTTTCTTCTATGGCGTGTGAGGAATTGCAGTCGAGGTTTGATCAGTAGAGGACGCTGGATGAAGAGGTGGGTTACCATGATCAGCCCTAGTACAGACCCTTACTGACTCTTCTGCATGCAGACAAGATGCCACTTCCACCGACATCAGCCGCAGGCTGGTTCAGCGGCATCTCCTGGTCTGTCATTCCAGATGAAGTGCAAGGCGAGCTTCTCCCAGCTGTTTCCCGACCACGACCGCATCTGCTAGGCGGCTCCTCCAAACTCGCGAGGCTGGCAGAAGAACGACGGAAGAAGGCCGCAGCCTCCTCAGCAGCCCCGGCTGAGTCCAACGGTACGCTGAGCTCGCTCGACCGTCTGAGCAAACCGAAAGACGCCAAAGAGAACCTCGCGCCTCCTGCCAAGTCGGAACCTCGCAAGTACCCAATCCGCCAAAAGCGTGACCCGACACCACCTCCAAAGGAGCCATCGCCTGAACCGGAGGAACCAGAAGAGATGCTGCCGGACCTGAGAGCTTCGCCAACTGAGTTCGCGAAGACGATGGCTACTTCTCGCACTTTCTCAAAAGCGGACAACGGGAGCGACAAGGCAATCAGCGATCTCTTTCGTTCATCATCAAACGAAGACCCTTTTAAAGGACCTTCGCCGGATGATACAGTTTTAGGAGCGCAGGGACACAGCAAGGGAATCAACAAGTAAGGAGCTAACATGAGCTCCACCGGGAGTACAGATTCCGCAAAGTCCACGAGAAAGACTGGAGATGGATTAGCGAAGAAGACAGAGAAGCTCAAGTTGGACGAAGCACAATCTGCAACACCGTCGCCGCCTAAGGTTAAGAGCAAAGGCCTGGATGTGCCGAAGTTGTGGTCCGAGAGCAAGGACACTCGCAAGTCAGCAGCTGCGTTTGTAGTGATAGGTCATGTGGATCATGGCAAGAGCACATTGATGGGAAGACTGTTGCTCGACGCCGGTGCAGTTGCGCAAAGAGACATAGATAAGTATGAAAGCCACGATTCCCACTGCGGTCATCCAGCTGCTGACCTGGAGTCTTAGGTACAAGAAACAAGCCACCGAACTCAACAAATCATCCTTCGCCCTTGCCTGGGTCATGGACACAGGCTCCGAAGAGCGCGAACGCGGCGTCACTGTGGACATTGCACAGCACCCTTTCCAAACCGCCAACACCGACTTCACGATCCTTGATGCGCCTGGGCACAGAGATTTCGTGCCGAACATGCTTGCTGGTGCCACGATGGCAGATCTTGCGGTACTGGTTGTAGATGCGAATCAGCTCGAATCCGGGATGAAAGGGCAGACCAAAGAGCACATTCTGCTTGCGAAGGCATGCGGACTGAGCAAGGTCGTGGTGGCAGTGAACAAGCTGGATGCTACAGCACCGAAGGCTTGGGATGAGCAGACGTTTCACCATGTGAAAGCGGAGGTAGGAAAGCTGCTACAGTCGGTCGGGTTTGAAAAAGAAGACGTCTTGTATGTGCCATGCTCTGGACTCGGCGGCACCAATGTCGTCAATCCAGCACCCAGTTCTGGCGACACCGCTTGGGTCACCGGCGCGTCAGGCACGCTCCTTCATCATCTCGAATCCTCTCCAGCTGCCAGCCCTGCGGATGATCAGGTCAAGGCTCCCTTGCGCATGCAGATCGCCGACGTCTTCCGCGGCAGCATCACGAATCCCCTATCGGTCTCTGGACGCATCGCAGCCGGCAACGTCCAGGTTGGTGACATTGTGGTCATCCAGCCGAGCGGAGAAAAGGCTACCATCAGAGGGATCGAGGTCAGCTCTGAGCCCGGCGACTGGGCTGTGGCGACTGAGCTCTGTACCCTTCATCTCGCGGACATCGATCCCGTCCACCTACGAGCGGGAGATGTGCTCTGCAGCACCGCCCAGCCTGTTGGAGTGATCAGGAGTTTCGTCACTCAGGTGGAAGTCCTTGAACCGCTACTACCGCAAGGGGTCGACGTGCATGTAGGAAGGCTGCATGTGCCGGGGAGCGTGGCGGCGCTGATCTCAACCGTTGACGCCAAGGGCGAGGTTGTCAGGAAGAAGCCTAGGGTTGCCAAGGCGGGAGAGACGGCGAATGTGAAGGTGGTGCTGGAGACGGGGGCGCCGTTGCCGGTGGGTGAGAGGGTGGTTCTGAGGAGTGGAGGGAGTACGGTTGCGTCTGGTAGGGTGGGGAGCGTGAGCGTGGGAAGGTGAGATGGGGACGATCACATGATTATCACATGAAAGACCATGATTTGCCACAAGTGCAGCTGGAGGGTAACCCACAGTGTTGTTGTGCTGGTCAGTTGTGTCGAACCTGATACCACAGCACTGATGCAACCCATATGCTAGTCATATAGTGCACAAATAAACAATGCTGCAAGGCCACTCAACGTCCATCTTTCTGCCCAACGCCTGAGTCGCTCTGGACTCCGAAACGAGCCGCTTTTATGACGTTGTGGCACAAGTGGGGCTGAGCACGAGGATCTGGACTTCATCAAGGCTGCATGAACTTGAACCTTGAGTTAGCAAACAACCTGAACCTCCCACCCTCGACACCCTTTCACTCCTGATCATTCACCATCGACTTGACAGCGGCCTTACGAACAGCAAGGACACTATGTCCGACTACGACGAGCCCGACGACTACCAGCAGCGCTGGCGGCGGAACCGCGACGAGGAACGCCCACCAGCGTACCCATCCAACAGCAGCTACCAGTACCCATCGAATGACGGCTACCCACCAGGAGGACCACACGGCGACTTCCCACCACCACCACTTGGCGATAACGACTTAGGCCGCCGACCGAGCGCATTGAAGCGATCAGGAAGCCAGAGTCGAGTGCCCCACCTTCGCCCTGAATTCCCCGACGAGGGTTCATATCTCGGCTCCCAAGCGCCCGATCTCGAGAAGAAAGGCGGGCGTCGTCACCGCCAGTTCCGCGATAAGAGGGACGGCTATGAGAGTGAAGAGGGCGAGATGTTGAAGAAGGCCGCACCGCCATCACACGGCACGAGAGGTGGAGGTGGTGACTATGCTGATGAGCCTCCGCCGCGGAGACGAGGGGATCGTTACGATGATCGCGGACCGCCACGGGATGACTACGATGATCGCAGTGCACCGCCGTCGAGGCGCAAGACTTACGATGAAGACCCGCCCAGGCGCAGGAGAGATAAGGATCGGGACCGCGATAGAGAGCGGGACCGCGACTACGATGACGAGCCATCTTCTCGGCGCAAGCGAAGGGAGCTGCCAGAGGTCGAGTACGGATCTGATCCGGTCCCGGCGCTTAGGCGCAGGAATAGCGATCGTGAGCCCAGACGCCCTAAAGACCCGCGGGACGACCGAGATCGGGACCGCGACCGGGATGATGATAGAGACAGGCGAGGTGATCGAGACAGACGCCGCCGACGAGACTACGACGACGATGATAGAGATGACTACCGCGACTCGGACCGCCGCAAGCGCGGAGACGACCGCAGCGACCGGCGTCGAGGCGAGAAGGACAGAGATCGGTCGCGACGCAGATACGACGACGACGAAGACAGCGACTACGACGACAGGCGGAGCAGGAGGTCTGACCGCGACCGCGACCGCGATCGGGGTAAGAGTAAGCGCAGAAATCGCAGCGAGCCGCCGACGGAGATGAAGGTGGGCGATTATGATATTGGGCCGTGGATTGATAAGGGGAAGAAGCACTACGGGACGTTGGCGCCGATTGTTGGGCCGTTGGTGATGAATGCGGCGAAGAAGTATATGTCGAAGCGATGAGGGGTGGTTGGGACTTCTGGGAGGGCCCGCGGGTAGCTGCTGAGCTGCTGAGAGGGAGGTGGTAATGGGCGGAATGGCCGGAAGTTTCAGTTCGTTGTTTGGAAGGGTGGGTAGAATCTCAAGGTTTTGTTGGAAGCGTACAAGCGGTCAGCCCACCCTTGCGAAGACGCCAGAAGGCTTCACAAAGGAATGGTGCTGAGCATGCGGCTAAGGTGCACAAGCACGGCTTGGGGGGGGCGAGGTAATGGATTCACGATTGACGACAAGCGTTTGATACACACGGCGATAGCGAGTCTAGCGGAATCATCACAATTCACTTGCACGTTTCTGTAAATTCATATTGCTCACAACTTCGTAACATCATCGACCATCTAACAACAACTTCATGGGTATCTATCTCAACTTCCACCACTTCCTCTTCCCCTGGGCTTCTGCCTCACTATTCTCCTCCACCACCCGATGCCTCCCCACCACATTCATGAACACCTGATCCAGCGTCGTCGGTCCGACACTATAATCCCTCACCCCGACCTCCCCCTTCGCCCCCTCAATCACCCTAAACAACCTCCCCACCTCCCTCCCATCCCCACTCTCCCTCGCCGGAACCGCAAACCTCACTTGCCCGCCAAACGTCCTCTGCTCCGCCTCCGCAACGGTAAAAGTCGCCCGCACCCACTCCCAGAGCTTCGCGGTGTCAGCGTCGGAAGTGAAAGGCGCGTCTTTGTGCACGAGGTGGATGTAGATTTTATCTCCAAACCGCGCGCGGAGCCTGGGGATGCTGTCCAGGGCGAGCATTTTGCCCGCCATGATGCCCGCGCGGTCGCAGAGGGCGTCGGCTTCTTCCATGCTGTGGGTGGTGATGAGGAGGCAGCGGTCGGCGGCTACTGTGCGGAGAGTCGCCCAGAGGGCTCGCTTGGCCGCGGCGTCCATGCCTGAGCTTGGCTCGTCGAGGAGTAAGACGGACGGGTTGGAGATTAGGGCGATGGCGAGGGAGAGTTTGCGCTTCGTGCCGCCGGAGAGCTTCTTGACGAGTTTGTGCGTGTGGTCTGTGAGGCCGAGGCAGCGGACTAGTTGGTCGATGTTGTGTTGGCGGTCTGGGACGCCGCGGGCGCGGGCGTAGAAGTGTAGGTGTTCGGAGAGGGTCATGATGTCCACCGCATCGAACTGGGGACAGACGCCGAGGTGGTGTTTGGCGGCGACAGGGGAGTGGGCGAGACTGTCGTTGGAGATGATGATCTCGGCTGGAGGGTTGCTGCTGTCCGGGTGGAGTTCTCCGCGGACAAGAGAGATGGTTGTACTTTTGCCGGCACCTTTAGAGAAGTATCAGCACTCTTCGAGTTGGAAAGGGATGTTGCTCAGTAGTAACTTACCATTAGGACCCAGCAGTGCGAACCTCTCGGACGGCAGGATGCCAAAGTTGATCTTGTTTACAGCCGTATTTTGGCCGAAGGTTTTCGACACATCGTGAACACGCAAACCATTGTTGCTTTGCGCCATGTGTTCTGCGTCCTCCATTGCCTCGCCAACAAGAGCCTTGTCGCTTGCAAAGTCTTCCATCTCTGCCTCCTTAGGGGCAGCTCGCTTGCGTCGGATACCGAATACCTCCAGACTTCGCCCAGACTCCCAGAACATCAAGAAGGCGATCAGAAGGATGAACTGGATGATGAGGTACAGTATTGGGGCGCCGAAAAGGCTGATGTCGCCAGGGTAGGATCCTCGTGTAGGCCCTTTGCAGGCGAGCGCATAGACGTTCATGGCGACGAGGAGTGCGCGGAAGAGACTGATGGCAGGACAGACCTATGCCGACTGTTAGTGCACGATACCATATTGTCGCGTCCAGATCACTCACCAATGCCGTTGTGTAGTATATCACATCGAACTGTCCTGTCGCGCCGGCGGCCGATGCGTTGTTGTTCGTGACCACCATGCTGCTGACTGTCAGTGTGGTCGATCAGAGTGAATTGCTTTTCTACTTACCCGACGAAGAACAGACAGGCAATGACTGTCTGCACAAGCGAAGTTGCCGCAATCGCGCTAAGCTGCGATGGCACGAACAGCGATATCACGTAAGAGTACGCCGTCGCCGCCATGCCGTAGAACAGGAAGACACTGCTGTAGGTCAGCACACAGTCAGGCAATCACTCTGTGCTCCTCTGACGTACAGGAAGACGTATCCTAGGCCATAGATCTGCGGGCCCATGCAGGCGTACCAAATGACGGTCGCTGACACACTGACCAAGAGCACAAAAACAGAGTCGAACAGAGCATGAGCGGCCCAAAGGCTAGAGCTCATGATACCGTTGCTGTAGTGCATGGCTCTGACGTTCCGGAGACGCTCAATGGTCGGGTACAGAGCGAAGAAGCCAGGGTACACCGCGAATCCGAGCACGGTGAAGACGACGATGATGCCCTGCTTGAAATCGTACGGCCGAAATGCGGGAGCGAACGTCTCGGTCGAGATGGCGATAGGAGTGTCCATAAGAACCTGGTCGAGGACGGATTGTGTGAAGACAGCGGTTGACATGTCCGAGCCATAGGACGAGTAGGTGAAGGAATTCTCCGAGTCGCCGACGAAGATTCCACCAACAGAGTATGCCCTGACGCTGCCGACCAGGCTCTCGGCTTCGGAGTAGAGCTCCTGCGCACTGTTGACGGGAAATGTTCTGTTCCAGTTGATTGGCGCAACGGTGTTTGCAACGAAGCTGCCCTCTGGGATGAGAGATTCCAAGCCAGCTTGAGAAACGTCTCCTGGTGGTCCATAGGCGAACCCTTGGAGATATAAGCTCTCTGTCCAAGAGTAGAAGCCATTGGAGATTCCGCCTTGGCCAGGTTTGACACAGGGGAGACCGTTGGGGTACTCGGGAGACAGCAGAAATCGAGTCACCATGCCAATCAGCACGAGCGGGACGAACAGCGACGCGATGTAGGGCATGTAGTTGTGTTTGAGCACGGTGAGTCGCTTCATGAAGAGGATACCTGTTTGACGGACCGGCCCACAGCCTTTGCCTGAGTTCAAGCTGACGGCTTTTGTTGTTCTTGTTGTCGGGTACACACTGGAAGGGTCAGATTGAAGCTGCTGGTCGGCAGGGCTCAGGTCGTTGTTCGTGATCTCCATCTCATCCGAGAGACCGATGAAGACGTCCTCAATGGTAGGGCCATGCACAGAGTAGTTTGCGTGATGTGTATCCAGCAGAATGGTCAGGCTCACCAACGCTTTTGAATCCGCCGCTTCGTAGACAGCATCGTTGTAATCATCGCGTCTCCCAACTGAAGCCGGAACCTCGCTCGCTCGTAGAGGATCGTCCTGCTTGGGTAACGTCACACGATATCCGCCGCCATAGTTGGACTTCAGGGAAGCCACCGATCCCTCTGCCCTCAGTGTGCCCTTTGAAAGGATGGCGACGTGGTCCGACAGTACTTCGCTCTCGTCCAGAAAGTGGGTGGTCAACAGCATGGTGCGTCGACCTCTCTCTTTCAATAAGATTTCCCACACCTTGCGCCTTGCTAATGGATCGATCCCGGAAGAAGCCTGTGCGCACGTAAGGAGAACCCGTCAGCAGATGTCTTAGACAATAAATCAGATAGGCCGTATAGGTGCGATCTGCGCCTAATTAGGGCGGTCGAGGGTTAGAGCCAACCTCACAGCCGGTCGGGAAGCACGATTCGCCCGGCTAGACGCAAAGGCTCTGACCCATTGGCCATAAGATCTTTCTCTAAACCTCGAGTGTAGATGAGGGAGGGGGGTTCTGTTCACGTGAGACTCACCTCGTCGATACAGCACACCTGACTCCCGCCAGCAAGCATCATTGCCAACTGGAGCTTGCGCTTCTGTCCTCCAGAAAGAGTCTTCGATCTCGCGTTTGTCTTGATCTCGAGGTCGCAGCCAGAGATGAGTCGTGCAACTTCAGCCTTGCTTTGGTCGACGGAGAGCGCAGGGTTCTTCAAGCGTTGGAAGAAGAAGACGTGCTCTTGTACAGTCATCTCGTCCCAAAGCACGTTGTGCTGCGGGCAGAGACCGATACCGCCGGTGCCATCGAGCTCGATGCTGCCACCAGAAATGCTCTCTAAGCCAGCGATCGATTTGAGGGTCGTGGATTTGCCACTGCCGTTGGCGCCTAGCAGGACGGTGATGGAGCCGGCGTGAACTTTGAGTGACAGATTGTCAACAGCCTGGATGCGGCCCCTCTTCTTCGCAGCAACATTGTACCGTTTTGAGAAGCCATCAAGGCGGATCGCATCTCCTCCTAGCTCTTCTGCAGATCGAAGATACCGATTCTTCGAAGAGCTGCCGTGGAGCCACCGCTCGATGACAGCCCCAAGAACGGGATACAGAACAATCGAGAGAACCAGAGATCCGAGAAAGGTGGCGGCTGGGACGTTCCAGTAATAATTGCCATCAGGATTGACTCCGAGTTCGAGTGGCTCTATGTTCTGTTCGAAGTACGCGGCCTGGATGAAGAAGTACACAAACGCGCTCGGTGGGAACAGGACAGCCGTTGCGATGACACCCGTGTCGCTGGCAGTCTGTGAGATGCTCTCTGCGAACTGAGCTACCAGTGCCATGACCATGGCCACGATGACAGCCGATATCGCGGAGATCTGGACGTGGCGGAAGATGCTGCTGACAAGTATGGAGTAGCCGACGAGTCCTAGACCAGTAAGTACGTACAGCAGGACGAACCAGCCTGCGTTGCTCTCCGGGAACATGATGGAGGGGGCAATGCCAGCCATGATGAGCCAACCAGGTGCGTAGATGATGTCGAACGCGAGATGAACGGAGAGGAGCCGTGCGGCCAGACATTGCCATCTGTTCGCGTTCGGCATCATGGCGTCGATAAGCTGAAGCATGCCCTGCTCTCTCTGCCTCGTGATGTGGCCAGTGAGATGGTATGTGACGCCGACCATGCCGATGAACAAGGCAAAGGCGAGTGCGAGGATGACCAATGCTTCGAAATCGTACTGATCGTATCTGTCCTGTTGGCGTTGTGACATCGGCGTAAACGTGTACTGGAGGATGTTGTCCGGCAGCTGTGGGCCGCCGCCAGCTCTAGCGATGGCGGAGTCGACGGCATGCTGTAATGGTAGATTGTATATTTGAACTGGATTCCTGTCGCTCTTCACATCCAGGCCCGACCCCATGGATCCATCAGTGTGCATTGTGTAATTCCAGATCGCACCGTTCCCTTTGTCAGGAGACGACCAGAACTCCAGCGCTCCCCAGCAGGCCGTGACTCCTTTACTTGAGGCTGGGCAATGCTGGACCAAAGATCCTGCTGTGCTTGATCGGAAGACTGTCTTTCCTGCATCTCGAAAGGTAGTCGAGATGTCTTCGATGACGGAGTGGATATCGTTGCCGGAGAGATCATGGTCGATGACTAGAGGTAGATTAGTTTATTACAGTCATCATGCTGGACGGACGCGACTACGCACTGCGATATATTTAGTAAAAGCTGCCATGTGCCAAGTCATGGTATTTCTCACCTGACGAACTTGTTGCGTCCATTGCCGGCAGCCTTGAAAGCCTCTGGCAAAGACAGCAGAGGCGCAGGGGTACCGACTCCAAGAGCTCCATTGGTATCATTGATGGTCTTGACACTGCTGAGGACTGCGGTAACAACGATGGGCAGAACCAGCGCTCTCAGTAAGGTAGTGAACCAACTGCGGCGAGCAACAAGCAGAAGATCCTTCTTCGTCAGCGTCCATGTCTGCGAGAGGAACGCCATGGCTGCTGCGAATGGTATAGAGAAATGTGAGTAATGCTGTCCTTGAACATGGCGAACACAGCCATTGGTTTTGTAAAGTCGACATCCAGGCACCAGAATTGCAGTATGAAGTCTTTACTGACTGTCTAGCCGCACGATCAGTTACACGAACCCGACGAGAGGGCATAGTGGATCCAACAGCTTCACCATCATACCCAATGGACACTTAGCCACATAGCAACTACTAACTTCAGCGCAGCACGTGCTGGTCGCCAACAGTGATTGATCGAAATGATCCATCGACCGGAGCTTCGGTTCGCTGACAGGTCCAAATGCAGCTGGTCGTGCTCTCTAGAATAGAGGTGCCTAGCAGGAAAGGAGGAGCCTGTCAAGATAGCGGAGCTAAGGCCACTCTCGGTGAGGCAGCAGAATTCGACATTGCTTGGATCAGGGCTGAGCGAAGGCCGACTCAGGTAGCTAGCACGGCCGTCAATTTGCTGACTGTTATTGTACGGGAGGCAAGATGAACTTTCATGGCCGATGCATTGCGGTCGCGCGGTCAATCGTTCGCATCTGGCGGACGCGAGGAGACCGAGCAACTGGCGCGACCCGGACCGCCACTTCTCGTTCGAGGTGACCGTACACAAGCAATACTCTGTTCCGAGTTGGAGTCGCCAGCGCAGCTCGTACGGTGTACTTCCAGGAGGCATGTAGTAGACTGCGAAGCAGGAGAGTTGATGATGAGATGAACTCGAGACGAAAATCTAATACACGCCAAGCACATGATTTAGGTACGATACCGCATCAGATCAGGCGTTGGGTGACTACACGAAGATGATAGAGAAGAGTGATGTAGTAGAGGAGACGTCTTGCATCTTTGAGTCTATCGCAAATTCGTTCAAGACGGCAGGAAGCCTGCTGAGACACACCCGCTGCACCCATAACCCTCATCCAAGAATGCCGAAACAGCGAGCTAAAGGACAGCCAGCGAACAGCAGGACCGCCCAGGCAAGGTTGCAATCATCGTGATCGTCGTCAAAGCTAGCAAAAAGCAATCGCAAAACATCAGCACAGTCGTCGCACTCGATCAAGAGTAGCAGGCGGCGGCAGTCCAAGCCGCCAGCTCGTGTTATTGCCCCCAAGCAAACTCGGGACCTGGAAATTCCCTTTCAAGATCACACCCACCAGCCAGCACGTCGTTGGGAATGCTGAGCGAGCCATCGGACCAAGGTTGCGTGGTAAAAGCCGTGCTAGCCTCGTCCACTGGGCCGAAATCTTGCGGCAGCGATGATGGCAGGTTGGTCATCTGCGAGTTGCTGAAGTAGTTGCCAGATTCATCAATGTCAGGGAAGAGCTGCTTGAGGATGTCGTCGTCAGGAGCGCTGGTTGGGCCAAGAGAGCGTGATTGTGGTCGGGACGTGGCGGGAACGCCGTGGGCCAGTGGGCGGTGGGAAGCGTCTGGCATCGAGCCCAGGTTTGGGAACGGCCATCCTTGATTGAGTGAGGTGGTCTGGCGGTTCAAAGGCATCGGAGCTTTGCTAGTGTCTTGCATCGGACCTTGCCATTCGTTGCCCATGCTGGCCAAGGCGAAGTCATTGTTGCCAAAGAAGCCTGGAGGCAAGCTTCTACGGTTGAGCTCTGGCGTGTTGCCAGCGCCCATGTTGGCGAAGTCGAAAGCTGTCAGGTCCTCTTGAATGCTCGGCATGTACTCATCCATATGCGGCAACTCGTCGATCTCAGAGGTCGTTCCAGATGAGGCAGCCGTAAGTGCTGGCTGAGCCAGATTTGGATTGTCTGTAGGAGTAGGCCAGACATCGAACGGGTTGTTGTTTGGCAAAGCCGTCATGCTGGCAGGGATGTAGGACGGAAAGGGTTCGAACGAGTCATTGGACATGGCGGACATTCCATCGTAGGATGGGTAGCCAAACGCATCGCTTCCCGCCGACTGCACGCTTTGGTTTGACTGACCCTGTGGAGAGGCACCGAAGTCGACGTTGACGAATCTGGAGTCCTGGAGACCGCCATTGCAAGATCTGGCTAGCGGAGGTACCATTGGCGACGGCTGCTCAGACTTTGACATGCGGCGGTTCTGGAGTGGCGTGGCGGTTGGCGGTAAGAATGTCGAAGGAAGGCCAGACTGGTTGGTGTCCAATGCGAGGCTGTCGACAGATCGTCGGGCTGCAGTCGAAGCGTTCTGATCGGTGGGGGTTCTTGGCATCGGAATCCTGTACGGCATACCGCACTCGTGTGCCGCGTGGTTCTTGCGATGAACGGGCTTATGGTGCCCATTCTTGAACTGGGTAATGGATCCTTCAGATGTAGCCTTCTCCAACTTCGGCTTGACTGCGGGTCCACGGGGAGCAGATAGTTCGTCCTCAGGCTCCCTCATGAGCAGAGCACATGTGCATTTCCCCCCATGGCCGCAACAGCAGCCTTGCTCTTCAGCGATGCGCGCCAGATGTGCCGGATCCGCCTCGCCGTTGTCGTCGCCGTGGTAGCTGGCTGACTTTGCCTTCTCTTCGGCCTCCCGCAGGTGAATGCATTTGTCTTTGCCGTGGAACTGCTTATCCGGCTGCGCGCAGTCGCAGCTCACATGGGCGGAGCGCTTCTTTCTTTCCTGTCTGCAGTGCTGGCACTGCGTCACTGGACGGCCCTTCTTGGGTACAAGAGTGAGTTCTCGGTCTGGGAAGAGTCAGCCGAGTGCGTATGCTGGACTAGACGGTTCGCCGTACCAGTGTGGTTGCAACCGCTCACGCGGTGGCCTTTGAGGCATGATTGGCATGCCCACTTGCTGCCGTCCTGATACGCTTTGTCAGAAAATGCTCGCGAATATCGAACAGGGTGAAATCACTCACATCCTTCACTACCATGTCTTGCTATGCGATTGCGCGATTTTCGCCGCTCACCGACTCTGACCGGCGCTTTGGTTAAGTCCGTTTGCCGTCCGGAAAGGGATAAAGATGGATGAGAAAGAAAGGTATAAGTATAAGAAACCGCCTCCGTGGGTCGTAAGGTCGTCAAATGTCCAGGGTATCTCGTCCGCGACCCGTAACGCCTTCTTCGCGGGCACTGCTCGGCTCCGCCAAGGTCAAGGAAGATTGCAAGGAAAGCAGATATATTTGCACAAAGAGGAGTGGAGAAGGAAGCCTGACACACCACCTAGAGGCGGTGGCCGTTGATGGCCCGGAGATGTCGATATGGACAGCAAAATCGCGCAGTGTATCCCTCGACTGAAAGATGGATGGAGGAGAAGGAAATGCAATTCACTGAAATCTGCCAGGTCATCCCGCCGGGCGACGGCTGCGCTTGCGTAGCTTCCGACCCGGCGGGGGATGGCTTGAACGTGTTTCTTTCATCTGGTCTCTCCAACATCCACAATTCCACGACGGCGCTTATCGCGTCGGATAGAACCTTGGAAGGTTTCGCCTTTCGTCCAGCACCGCAGAGTGCCCTTGATTGCTCGTCCTCTGTCGCCGTACAGCTGGACAGACGGCCCTGATGTGGTAGCAGCTCGGGCGTGCTGCACTTCGCCTCCTTTGGCGTTATCCTTCCACTCGGCTCATGGACCTCTTTGGGAAAGGGAGTCGTTTCACCTGATTAGCTCACGCTCATCGCCTGACGTCGCGAGTGTCGACGAGATGGAGCAGTGGCAGCGTCAAGCATAGGCTTGACTTCGAAGACGTGATATTAACTTTCAGGAACTATGCCAAGCTTACGTGGCCAGTGTCCGGATGGAAGTGAATTCAAGACACATACTCCTGCCGGCAACAGCACTTCCGGGGCACACGAACAGGTACACAGCCGCAGACGACGTTTGTGGAGTGCAGGGGAGTACTCCGAGCCATACTTCGAGCTGTCAAGCAACGGTTGGCCGTGAGACTACCATGGAAACAGAAAGGCAATCAGGCACTTGGGACTGTCAACGATGATCTGGTCGACCATTTCGTCCATTTCATGCGTCAAACTTCGATAGTGCACTTCTCCTCGAATGCCAAATGCTGGATAAGCTTCTCCACGACGATCAAGCATCCAGAGCATGTTTGCTCCTGTTTGAAGATCCCCATCGTTGACGAGATGTGGATTGACCTCGATCGCCTTCTGCTTGAATAGATGACCTTCGAGCAATGAGGTGTCCCGGTGACCCGTAGATCGTCTGACGCGGTAAGCACTTGGGCATTCAGTCAACGTTGATATCTGAGAAAGGCACCCAAGAAATCATCCTCTTCTGGACCACCGTTTTCTAGTTCTACAACGACGGAGGATTCTGATATGGAATACAAAGATCCGCTGATCTGTGAGAGTGAGCACAGCCACCAAGCCTGCTGATACGTGCACAATCCTTCAGCTGGGGGTGGCGCTCTCAAGATTCCAAACCTCATTTACAGATCTGGATACTGGCGGGAGCAGTTTCTGATCAAGGTGACGGTCGGGTTCGATGGTTCGTGTACAAAAGGTGAGTGTCAGTCGTATTCCTCCATTTCCTTCTCCACCCCAAAATGTCTCAAACCATCCAAGAAAAGTTGCCATCTTTCGCATTCGATCAAGCTATACAAATTCAGACGCAGCCAAACACGGGTCATCAACCTCACCATACTCACGATGTCCAAGGAGAGCAAAGGGTACGACAAGCCATTAAAGCTGCTGCTCAGCGCAATACCGCCCTACTCAGCCAGCTCATGGCGACAGCGGACGCGATGACCGCGTTCGCCAATAGCGAGGTCAATGTCGATAAGACGAGAGAAGAACTCGCAGTGCAGGACTCCCTCGTCGAGAAGATCGAGCTCGAAGCCGGTGTATACAGAATCCGTGTTTCAGAGAGGCGCAAATTCCTGACAAGATGGTTCTACATCCTGACACGCATGCGACGGCAGCTCGACGAGAAGATCTCGGGAGCCGAGAAGACTTATCGGAACGCCGTCGTGGCTCAGTCGCAGGCCGAGAAGAGACAGCAGGCCCTTCGTCGCGATCTTGCTCAGACTGAGAAAGAGCACTCCGTCCTGGGGGATCGTGCCAAGCAGCACGCTACGGTGCACGAAGAGCTCGACAAGTTGTACAAATCCATCTTCTCCGGTCCAACGCCAGGTTTTCCAGACGAAGACGAGCTAGAAGCTCGCTACAATGCGAAACACGAGAAGCACACCCGTGACGCCCGGTCGCTCAAGCTTGCTACCAAGTCCTCGAAGGAGGCGTCGGCGATAGGCAGAGCTATCGACATGGCCATGGACGAGCTGGAGAAAGCGCAGGATGAGGCGACGTCTCCCTTCTTCGGCTCAAATTATGCTACACAGTACATCCGAAGAGCTGCACTGTTTGTCCAGAAGGCGGAGGAGCTGAACAACGACCTGACTCAGAGCCTCGTGAAGCCGATCGATCGAAGTCTAATTGCTATGCATAAGAGGTTGTCAGAGTACTTCGCATTGGCACGGAAGACTGCGACAGAGGGCTGCGACGGTGCTCTTCACGCTGGCAGTGACACGATAGAATGCATCGAACAGGTCAGAAGCGAGCTATCGCATGCATCGGAAGCACAAGACAGGATCAAGGCCACCATTAGAGGCTACCACAAAAACGCTACCCGAGCAGTCGCAACAGGCTCAAGAGAACTTGAGGACGCAAGACAGGCACTGCACGGCATCCGCCAAAACGCCTTCGAGAAGACTGTCGGATTCGGTGCGGCCGCGCCCGCATATCACGAGTGCTGCGATCGTGCGAAGGGATTTGTGGACGAGGCTGTTGCTGAATGTGAGTTGGTCATAGCGGCACCGGTCACCGATGAGGGGATGCCGCCTCCACCGACCTATGAGAAGGTAGTTGAGGAAGAATAGCTGCGTACAAAGTTCGTATCAGATCATCATACTGCCGTCTTAAAGCTTCGCTTCAGCTTCCTGGAAGGCATCAAATGCCACCAATTGTCCATGTCTCTTCTTCTTCCCCAACCGCTCCTCTGTCAACCGATACAATCTCGGCAAATCAACCTCCTCAATCCCTTTCCCATTCACAACCATCTCCGCCACCGCCTTCGCTGTCAGAAACACCTGCACCATTCCATGCCCATTGAAGCCCGCGCACACAAACTGTCCCATCCTTCCCGGCACTTCACCAATATAAGGGTAGCCGTCCGCTGTATACCCCATAATTCCCGTCCACACCCTCTCAGTAAACGCTCCGCTATCTTCCCAGCCATCGAAGTGTCGTTGCATATATCCGTCAAAATAGTGCTCAGCGCCCTCGGTCAATTTACTGTCATCGCTAACGTTGAACCAACTGTCCAGTTGACGGTAGTAGTCTCTTCGTGCGCCGCCGACGATGATACTGCCGTCGGTGCGGGGGATGAGGTAGTCGTATTCGACGGGGTTGAAGCGGAGGATGTAGCTGTTGGTTAGGAGAGGTGGCCTGGATGTTGGGGGGCAGACGATGCGGCTGCAGATGCCTCGAACGGGGACGAGTTTGTCTTTTAGGTCAGGGAGGATGGCGGTGGTGTAGCCGTTGCTTGCGAAGAGGACCTTGTTGGCTGTAATGGAGCCGCGATCTGTGGTTATGGTGTACTTGCCGTTGGCATCTGGCGTGGTTGAGACGTCCCTAACGGGTGTACTGGTCTGCAGATTGACTCCTCGGACGACAGCATTAGCGAGCAGATGCGTAACGAGTTTATATGGCCAGATATGCCCTGCTGTGTTGGAGAAGCAGCCCTTCGCTCCCTTAAAGCCGGACAACTGCTGAACGTCAGCATATAGCAGTTCATTAAGAGACTGTTGGACTTCAGTCTTACGCTCTCAGCAGTAGCCTCTGAACTGTAGAAGACATCGTCAACATCAACGCCAGCTTCTCGCAACCTATCGAGCTTCTCTTTCATCTCCTCATTGCCCTGATCGTAAAGACAGATGTCCAACGCCCGGGTCAAGACGAAATCACAATCCACGCCTTCTTCCCTCACGAGATCAGCAATGGCCTTCAAATGCCTCGTCTCGAACGCCGCAACTTCTTCTGCGGCTTCTTTCCCGTGGCTATCAAGAGCATTTGCCGCTTTGATGAACGCGTCTGGTTTGAGATGACCGCCATTGCGGCCGGTGGCTCCAGATACGGCTTCTCGGGCTTCTAGGATGGCTATGGATGGTCTTTGAGAGCCCTGGTTTGTTTTTGCAAGTATGTGGTGTGCTAGAGATGCCCCGGTATAACCAGCGCCGATGATAACGATATCGGCGTCGGAAGGAAACTCAGGACTGCGATAGCTGTCAATGTGGTGTAGGTTGTTTGAGCGCCAGAACGAGGCTGTGGAGTTTTCGACAGGAAAGGGACGTTCAGTCATTTTGAAGCGTTGCCGTGAGCTTTATGATCGTAAAGTCAGCCCAGTGTCAGTTGAATGTCGACAAGCTCGAGAAGGCAAACTGCGACCGGGCCGGTGTCAACAAGGCAGGGCAGAATTCAAGCTCCAGGGATTCGGATTCGCGCTGTTTGGGCGACCGGGTAGTTGATAGTTGTCCGGCCCGGTCATTTCACGAGAGTCACACAAGATATAAATATGGGCAAGGTATGGCTCTTCTCCAATACCCCCTCCACTAATCAAGCAGATTCACACCACCACAACGCGGATCCCTCAACTTGGAAGAATCGACATCAGAATGTCAGTCAACAAGAACATCGTCTTCGATGTAGTTGGGACGCTGGCTAGCTACGATAAGCTGTACGAAGCAGTCGAGACAACACTTGGCCAGCGCCTGCGCGAACAAGGGATCAAAGTGCCCATGTTCGGCTACCTTTGGATCGAAGTCGCAGAGCGAGAATACGTACGTCCACTGCATCCAACCAACGATGTTGTATCAGCCTGCTGAAATTAAGTACAAGACATACCTAAGTATGAGTGGCCGCTACCTGCCCTACACTTCCGTCTTCCAGGCGATCGTATACCGTGTGCTCTGGAAATGCGGCATCGAAGAACCTCGAAAGTTCATCAACGAGAAAGAAATTGAAGCCATCGTACAGGGCTACGCTGATATGGAGATGAGGCCTGGCGCCGCCGAATGCATATCGAAGCTTCGCAATGCTGGCTTCACAGTCTGGGGCCTCACCATGGACGACTATAAACGTGTGCGAGGGTACTTCGAGCGTTCCGGAATCGACATGCCGACAGAGAACTTGGCCAGCTGTGACTCGACACAAATCGGTAAACCTGATCCACAAGCATACAAGCCGTTGCTCGATCAATTGAGTAGCGAGGGAAACAAGCCTTGGTTTGCTGCAGCCCATCAGTAAGCGTTGATTTGAAGTGCTTTGAATCTGCAGTTTCGCGCTGACGGTCTCTTTCTTAGATGGGACGTGGCAGCAGCAAGACGAACAGGGTTTCGAGGAGCGTATTGCACTGTCTGGGAGGGCGAAGCTCTGATGGACGTCTTTGGCGACATGGATGTGGTTGCTGAGACATTGCCTGAAATGGCGGACCGTGTGATAAAAATGGCAAGATGAGCCCGCATTCGAAGGAATGCCGACGCTTGTTGATGCGAAGCCATGGCATTATGTCCGCTTCTCAGACCAATTCTCTACACCTATCGCCATATTGCTTCCAAGTTCGATTCTTCAACCTATATCTGTCCCAGTCAGGAATTGTTGATGCATGTGTTCTTGGCCTCCAGTCACCAGATCAAACGAGGCATCTCCGAAAAGGTTCCAGTCAAAGTCAGCAAGATCTGGAGGTGCGCCTGCGCTGTCAAACATCGGATCCTGGAGAGCCGCGGAATGGCGGCTGCTGGTGCCCTTCAGGAAGCTGGCCCAGTTCTTGAAATTCTCATATTGATCCTCTATCGCTGCAGAACCATCAGGTCTACCTGTATTGCTGTTGCGTTGGCACGAGCCATCTGAGTGCATTTGTCGTATTGCAACGTTTAGACGTTCCGTTGATAGCTGTGCGTACCCATTCGACCGTGGCGGGCTCATCTGTCTCAATAAAGCCAACCCCGTTTCGAGCTTCTCATGGAAAAGCGAGCATCTGTCTGCTGTCAGACTCTGTGCTAGCATAATGTCGACCGCTACCCGGCAAGAGACGTGCTCGACGTAGCTGGCACTTGACAATCCATAGCATCGATCCAGCATGGAACAGATGTCAATAATTCCGTACGCGGCGTACTCGGCGTCCTCGACGAAAGGCAATGACAATACTCCATTAGTAGCGTTTGAGGACTTGGCAAAATTGTCGGTTGCAGCGAATATGAATGGCCGTCCTAGAAACACTAGGTTGAGATAGTAGTGTATGTGCAAATGTAACAATGGTCGACTCAGCTGGAGTATTGGCGTGATACTTGATGGGAATTCAAGCCACCATTGCTTGTACTCCTTTCGAGCCTGAAGCAACAGCTCAATGTGCCTGCTTCTTAGTGACCGGTGGGAAGATCCGAGGGTGCAGAGACGACTTGAAATCCTGTCGAGCCATCCGGTCAAGTCCGTCAAACTGTAATGCTCTTGCTCCAACGGATTTTTATTCCCCGACAACGGATTGTGCTCCAATTTAGAGCCATTGGCATTGATAGGAGGGAGACTCGTAGGCCAGCCGTGTAGGATGCTCAATCGCCTTTCCCAACTGCGCGCGAAATCCCCAAGAGAAGGTTCAGCTGTAATCTTTCCGTTCTCGCTGCCGACATCATCTCGCTCTGACACGACTGAACAGAGCACGAAATACGTGCGAGCAGCTTCCAGGTCCTGCACGGTCAACGCAAAGTGGGCCAACATGAGTATAGCTCGAGCAGAGTCACGGTTCGCCAGATGGATAACGTCTGGTAGAAGCTTCGTTGCAGTCCTGTAAAGCTCAATGCCGACTCCAGCCTCGCTTCCGCCGTTCACGTCGTCCAGAGGAGAGTGAACAGTACTGGACCCAGCTTTCAGATGAGAGAAATGGGTGCCGATTGCAAGTATCGTAAGCACAGTACATATCCATCCGGAGTCGTCCACGTTCAGCAAACAATCCGCGTCGTAAAGTTCATCGATCCTGGCTGCTGTCCATGTAGGCTGAGCAAATCCAGACACAGTCTGTGCAAAGTCGAAGTAGACTTTGCTGAGGAAGGCCGCAATGGGTTTTGGGGGTAAGTCAGTGCGGTCGAAAGTGAGAAAGGGTGCTTTCAGGCGCCGGTGGCCGAGATCTTCGTTTTCAAGGTCATGAGGACCGACGAGCTCACAGCTGGGCAGACGTTCCTTTACCTGCTGGTGCAGCCGATTCGAGAAGCCCGCATGCGATAGCTCACCGACTGCACGATGGGCATCTGAGGGTCGTCCGTGAGTCAAAGGTCCATTGCTCCTTGGAGGTACATCTGTGGCGTTGGGTGGGGTTTGATTGGTGATAGAGGAGTCGTGTTCCATCTGATCGACCGCATTGCGTATGCTCTTAGTGTCCAATGTCTCATGGCCAAGATAGTGTTTTGCAATTTTCTCGAGAAGGGCTATCCGCTCACTCTCGGATTGCTCAAGCACTGGCTGATCGGTAGGCTGTCGTTCACAAACCTTGCGGCGCTCGAGGCATCTCCCGCACGACGGCAGTACTCCGTCGCACTTCTCCTTCAAACGTCTACAATTGTTGCATGCCACGCTCGTACGTTTGCGATCCTCAGGGGCGACCTTGCGCCGCTTTCGCCGATAGACCTGATCCGGTGCAGCCTCTGTAACAGCCCGTTCGGTGTGGTTTTCCATTGGATGACGTGGTTGTTTTACATGATGCGACAGGCGATAGACAGTATGGAAAGAGTGAGCGTGAGGTCCATGACTAATCGTTCGTGGCACGTGACCATCCCGACTCCAAGCGCAGATCAATGTGCTCCTATGAACGTAATATCTGGGACGCTTGCCCACTGCAGAACCTGCTATGCCTGACCATTCGCAACCTTTCCGCTATCCTTGTAGTACGCTCGGGGCACGTTGTCATAATAAGGTACAACAATCACATTCTTATCATCACTCATCCCCACCATCCCCCTCGTCGCTGGCGTGATCGGATCCGAGCTGACGATCAGGTTGATCAAGCCAGGTTTCCCACTCTTGGACATCTTCTCGACTGTTGGTTTAATCTTGTCAAAGTCCCTAACGATTTCGCCGGCACAATCGAATCCTTGTGCGACCACGTCGTACCTGCACTGCTTTGACAGCTGTACCGCTGGTCGGGATTTGATCTTGTCACCGAACAAGAGGTGTTGACCATTCCCAGACATTCCCCATACGTAGTTGTTGGCTACAATGGTGAGGATGTTGAGACCAAAGCGAGCAAAGGTGTCAAGCTCTTGGATGTGGAAGCCAGCAGATCCGTCACCGTGCATGTTAACAACTAGTCTGCTTGGGTCGGCGACTGCTGCTCCCAGACTATACCCCCATCCATTCCCGAGATGGCCAAGGTATCCTGTCGCTACCATCGCAATCTTAGGCTCGGCGGATTCGAGCGTCATGCAAGACCACTGGCCTGCCTCTCCACCATCGATGATTATGATGCTGTCTTTTGGTAGAGCCCGCATGACCGCATCGTGGGCCAAGTATGGATGAAGTTGGCCATCGGGCATGACTTGGCCTTGGTCGACGTAGTTCGACATTGTAGATTTGTGATCCTTGCAGTCCCTGATCCATTCTTCATTTCGGGAGACAGACAGCTTTGATTTCTTCTCAAAGAGTGCTTCACAAAACAAGCCCGCGTCTGCCACGATACCGATCTCAATGGGATGGCTCTTACCGATCTCGGACCCGTCGAGATCTACTTGAGCAAGTGTGCAGTTCTGATTGGGAATGATCGCACCGCTTCGGCCGCCCAGCAAGAAGCCCGTGCGGGCAGCAAGAAGTAGCACAAAGTCGGGTTGGGGTCCGCCAGCAAAGGCGGCCAACCTTGTCGCCATTCCATCTCTCAACTCATGGTCCGGTGGAATGGAAAAGCTGTATTTGTTAGAGTAGAAGCATGGGGTATGGGTTGTCTCGGCAAGCTTCGTGAGCTCTTTGCCCGTCCCTCCCGCGCCCGTGCCGGTGATAATAACCGGACGTTTGGCCTTGTTCCACGCCTCGATTAATGTGTCAATCGCCGCTGGATCAGGCGCCGGGTTGAACGCAGGAGCAACTGACACAGCACCATAAGCAATCCTCGACATCTGTGGTGGGGTGAAAAGGACGTCGATGGGAAGGTCGATCAGAACAGGTCCCTTGATGCCAGTGTTTGCTGCTCGGAAGCCGTACGAGACCAGACGTGGGATCTCTTCAACATTGGTGACCCGGTGGCAGAACTTCGTGATCGGCTTAGCAATGACGACCTGGTCGTGGAACCCTTGTAGGGCGTTGGTTTCGGCATCTTGGAGCGGAGGAGATGATGTGATGACAAAAATGGGTGATCTGTCAGCGAACGCTGTTGCAAGTCCAGCCAGGCTGTTTGCGAAGCTGTATAGAGAGTCAGTACCGATGCATGCTAATCACGTCGGTCTGCACTGCTCACCCGCTATTGGCAGTGACGAAGCTGCAGCCAACCTTCCCTGACACTTTGCTATATCCTTCTGCTGCCTGAATAGCTACAGTCTCATGCCTGGTGTCGACCAGCTTGATCCCAATCTCGTCGGCACCGAGAAGGAAAGCATCAAGATGTCCACCGTGTAGTCCAAACGCTACCTCCACGCCGAGATGTTTGAGAGTCTGAGCAAGGAGGTCCCCACCATTGAACTCGCGATGGCTGGGAATCTGAGCTTTGAACTCCGGCATTTTGAGCGATTATTACTATTGAATGAGATGCGCGAGAGGGCAGAAACGTTCACCAACCTTTGTATTCAGTTGTTCTCCGCATTGCCGAGGCGACACCGGGCTACTGCTGTAGCTTGCTTGATGAGTATCGTCTAAGAGGAGAGGTGAGGTGTGGTCGGTTGCGGATTTCCGAGGGTCGTCTCGACCACGAGCTTTGCGTTCCCCTCTTTCGGGTAGACTGCTGCGCAACAGAACAGTGCTTCCATTGGTATTGATTCAAAGGGTTACATAGCCCCCCAAGCCATGCAGTTGCGTTGTCACGGTTCTTAGTATGCGTGGTGCAAGACTCTCAGGTCCAAGATTCAAACACTACATTAAGTGTTCTATCAGTATAATCTCCTCTGATCGAAAACATAGGCCTCCAAACACTGAATTTTGTTCAACCCTTCCTTCCCAATACCGCCGTCTAGTGACCTCCACTGACGTAAAAGCTGAGGAGAGAGCGACCTGGGACCATGGCCTTCGCCTTCTTGCCTCCCTTGCCGAGGTTTGCAGTGCCTTCCGTCAAGTCGTTGTCCTCGTTGGTGAGGTAGGTCGCTACAGAGCATCCTTTGAGGTCTGGAAGGTCGAGGGCCACGTGCTGAGCGTCGTCACTGTTGTTAATGACCTGAACGGCCGTGGTACCGTCAGTGTTGGCAAAGGCTGTCACGTTGAGAGAGGCAGAGCCGCTCGATGCGTCGATACGGACAGCGCCCTCGCGAATGAACTTCTTCCCGAAGTGAGCATGAGCCCACATTCTCTTGGTCGGGTTCACTTCGTTGGTGGTAGTGTTGATATAGATAAGGCTGAGGGCGTCAGTATGCTGTCCGATCTGCGAAATTACGAATGTCAGGAGGATGTGAACTTACCCTTCATTGGTGTTGTTCTTCTCTGCCGCTCCCCACCAGTACAAATGTCCAGTGACGTTGCTGACAGCGAAGAGGTTATGGATGTTGTTGGCCCAGGTCAGACCGTCGCTCTGGAATCCCTCTGAGGTGAACCATTTGTAGTTGAGGTCGTCGAACGTACTCCATTCAGTCTGCCATGTCCTGAGTTTGGTCTGGAATGGTGCGCCTGGGTACGAGCTGTAGCCGTGGCTGGTGACCAGCCCAAGGTTCTTGGCTTGGTGGAAGCGCTGGATGCCCGTCAGCCGCTCCCTCTGCTGCTCCCAGCCACTGCCATCGCAGCAAGCAATCTCAGTGTCAAGTCCAGCCTCCTCGAGAGTGGGAGCCAGAACCTTGATGAAGTCGGCGGCTTGGCGCCCGCTGCTCTGCATCGAGGCGTAGGCGGTGGAAAGATCGGGCTCGTTCAAGAAGCCAACGAAGTCGATCTTGATGCCCTTGTCGGCATAGTCCTGAATGTAATGTACGATCTTGTCTGCGTACGCCTGTCTCCAGTCGCCGCTCTCGCACGTGGCGTTGTAGACACCGCAGAGGTAGCCACCGTAGGTATCAGTGTCTGTATAGCTGATTAGCATTGCTGGCAATGTGCATAACCTTGGTGTACTCACCATTGGTCTTCATATAACCTTTCAGCAAGGAAGAGTCAGCGAATGGCTAAAACATGATACGACATCGCTCATGGATTCTCACCATCAGCACTCCATGCATCAGCATAGCTACTAACCGTCAGCAATTGTCTCACGCAACTCCTTGGAGGGGTTCTGCTCACATGTAGTTGACGCCACGGGCCTTTGCCTGCTTGGAAAGCCAGACCTGGTATTGATCGTTCCTTGGGAGCGGGATGTAGTTGAGCTGTTTTCCGTATTAGACACTCAGTCCATTACCCCCAGCCTGCTGCACGGTCCTACCTCACTATCGTTCGAAGCTGGAGCTTTAGGCGCAATGCTCTTCATCAAATCGAACGGTTGGTTGGGCGAAGAACCGAGACCATTGCGAAGGATGGTGAAACCAGCTCCCTTCTCGGTGAAGAGGTAGTCGAGCACCTCATTTCGCGAGTCTTCGGCGAGCTCGTGCACCAGAAGAGATCGCTGGAAAGCCTCCGAGCAGCCAGTACCGTCGTAGGTCTGGTATTCGGTGTGAGGGTCAACAGAAACCGTAGCGGCCCGTGAGAAGGCAGCCAGCGCAAGGCCGGCGGCCGCGATCTTGGTCAACATGGTGAAAAGGGCGGACGGAACGACTGCGTACGAAGGGCGTCGAAAGGTGGTGGTTGTGCCAGTCTGGCTAGGCTATTCTCTTATAGTTCCTGGTCCCCGGCGAGCCGAACATCTCCAAGTTTATCCCCGTGTTTATCCATATGCATGGAGTCGATGGGGTTCAATATTGTGGCTTGCATGACGTTAATAGCCGGCCGAGGTGGTTGAAGCTCGCAATCATACTTGAGACGATACCTGGTCAGCCTTTGCTTGCTAGATCCTCGATTATAGGGTGACCGTCAAGGGGCTGCAGTCCTCGTCTGCCGTTTTCCAGTGCTCGGTGAGACCGTCGAGAATCGTCCCACGATGTTCTGGGCACCCTCCAATGTGGGACTGTGCGACTCCACGTGGAGCTATCCAAGCTATTGTCTCCGTCTTGCCGTGTACCTGCATATCTGTCCTAAACCATCATCAGGGTTAGTCGATTTGAGGCTGAATGGGAGACAACCACTCCCCGTCTCCAGAAGTCTCCCCGCATCGACGCTGCCACATGGGGGAAAGTAAGACACTTCGCTTGCGCCGCAACGCTTGGTCTCTCAAATCTCGGGTGAAGTGAGTGCCAAGGGCTTCGGCAGAGCTTTCAGTGGTCGACCATACTTGTTGTGGAAGGAGGCGCAAGTGGAAGCATCGGCGGAATAGCCGTTCCGGCGGTTGTCGTGGACGAAGGAAGACTCCAGCGGCACGCAAAGTGCTTCGTATCAATGGCAGGTTGCTTGATCGTGAGTTCGCACAGAGATATCGTCGTGATGGCTCGGATGGGAAGACGCAAGAGGAAATGACGATGATCTTGCAACAGACTCGGACTCGCTTTCAACCCGGTAACCGATCCAAGGAAAGCTCACTGTTCGAATCATGGCAGACATGTATTTCCCCGATGCGCAGATTGAGTCTTCTGAGAACATCATAAACATGCCATTGGCCTTCGCAAAAATTGGCTGGGCTGATTGCCGTTTCTACTCAATGTCGACTGAGCAGGCGGCACCGCTGGTGCCCGAGGTGCCCTGGGTTAGCATCCCCTGTTGCCGCAATGGTTGATCTTGCAGAAAAGCTTTGTTGTGCTGTCAGGCTGCTGCACAGCGCTAGCCTCAGAGTCGTCGAGGTGGTGGTGGTGGTGGCGTGATATATGAGATGTGCGACTGACAGGTACCGATGTGTGAGTGGCCTCAGCAAGAGCTCTTCAGAAGCTGCGCCTCTCTACAGAGAGGCTGTGAGCATGCAATTGATTCTTCGTTTCTACAACTCCAGCTGCTTTGACAACATCAGCACAAAGCCTTTATCTCATTGCACGCCATGGCATCTTTCTTTTCAGATGTCACTGTCGACGCCGAGGAAGACTATTACTAGGACCCCAGTGAGGCTGACTCTCTCGAATCGGGCAGCGATGATGGGGAGGGTATGCTTTATGCATTCACTGGCGGTATGGACGAGAAAACTTACGCCCCGGCTCGGGAATACGAATATACATCTCTGAAGTCATGGGCCAACATCCGCGTACTGGATATCCTCCCAACAACGGACCCAGAAGACCCTATCATATGTCAGCTTCGGCTGACTGCCGTGAACGATCCGCATCCGTACCTGGCCGTGTCGTATGCCTGGGGACATATCGCGGACGATGGCTCGCACCTTGACCATGTGATATTTTGCGATGGGACTCCACTCAATATCACGAGCAGTCTACATGCTGGGTTGAAGCGCATTCGGGAGGCATGGATGACCCAAGCATCCCTTACGCTGTGGGTGGACGGCATCTGTATTGACCAATCCAACCAGGCCGAGAGGGCTATCCAAGTCATGCTGATGGATGAAATTTACTCCAATTGCCTGGGACTCATGGTATAGCTTGGCGAAGTGCTTTCGAGCCTAGATGAAGATGCAGCCGTTGAGATATTCCATGGTGGAGTTCCACCCATTGAAGACAGGCCCAGATTGACTGAGGAAGCGCTACACAAGCTTCGACTGCCGCTGAGATTCTGTTACGGAAACAAGGGTTCCATCGCCTCTGGGCCGTTCAAGAGATCTACCATGCCAGCCGTAAAGTCGCCGGCAAGCAGAGGTCGTGCGACATGCTCCTTGGTAACCTCATATTGCCATACTTGGGCCTCCGGCAGGCACTGCGCAACTGTAACTTCCAATTGTACCCGTCGTTGTCTCCGCCGACGTTGTTACCCACTCTCACCAGAGACGCTCTCCCTCCTGACGCAAGTAGGCTACTGGAATACTTGCAAGTGTGCAACGAGGCAAAATGTTACGATGATCGTGACCGCATTTACGCGTTGCTCAGCATGGAGGACTCTGATGCTAAGCAGTTCCAGGTCAATTACAATAGATCTGTCACCGGAACTTACATCGACTTTGTCGTACATATGGTGGAGAAGGGCGCCATCGTGCAACTCTTGGCCTGCGCTGCTTCCAGGAGACCATATTCATCTGGAACTCTCTCCTGGGCACCTAACTGGCGGTTGCCTGTTCAATACGCATTTCAACATCATCGGGATGCTGCTCTGCGATGCGAGGGTGGACGCTTACAGGCGCAAGTCTACCGCAATATACGAATTGCCTCTAGCCTCAAGCAAGTCGTGGTCATCCGGGCACTTGTAGTCGACTTTGGTGTCCGGCTCTACTTTGGATTCGCACAGCACGAAATATACGCAGACACTCCGAGCCACAGTATCAGCGCTACGCCAAAAGCTGTCTGGGAAAACATTTGGCTCGCCGGAGTGCCTACCAACACCGCAATGCTGTTGCCAGTGCTTAGGCGACGATTTTCAAGGGCGTTTTCGCCTTCGCCGCTTGAATGATTCCAGATGCACGTTGGAGATCTCGGAGCTTCTCCGCCCGCTCCATGCGCAACTCAAGCACCTGGCTCTCCGCACAACATTGTTCTCCAGTATTGCAATTCTCGAGAAGTATGATTCAGCAGGCACTCGCGTACCCAGTCTGCATGCTGTTGTCCTGCGCCAGCGCGACACAGGAGCACCTCGCAGCTTGAACACGCCACAGTGCCTTGACCTCTTCGAGCTCATAGCCTATGTCAAGCTGACAAACGATCAAGCTCAATTTTTGACCGCACTCGTCGGTGGACCTCAGTGGCAGAGTGTTGCCATTGCGTAAGCCATTGCGACGCCCTGCGGGAAGGTTGAAGCATTGGGACGCCAAATGTTGAAAGGATGGTTGGTTCCGGGGTACGGTTCTTTAGACCTGTCAGACATCTCGCTCGCTCAGCTGCAACACGTAACAACAGAGTGAGTTCTGTGTTCAGAGGCGAGTGTGGCCGAAGTACAGGTCAGACGATATTCCAACAAGCTGATTCCAGGACAAACTGGAAAGTGTGGTTCGCAAAGACTTTTAGCATTGTAGAGGCGGGAGCGGCACGTAGATCCCGTGCTCTATTTCGGGCCTGCTGCGTCACTCGACCACGAATCACACAGCCTCATCATGCGATATATGCGAGACATAGCCTTGTAGCCTTGAACATGCACATATATGTCAAGCCTTGTGCGGTTCGAGACCAACGCGTTCCCGTGATGCTCCATCGACCCTATCAACTTCTGCCCTAGCGCTTTCTCTACATCAACGACCTACAACCCGCAACGATGCTCGACGAAAACCTGCCCGCCTTCATCCTCAAGCCATCCTCGACCGGTGTCAAGCACCACCGTGACTTCTACTTGGCTCAGCATGGCAACGACCCTGTGCCCTCATACTCCCTCCAGCACGCCGACCCGGCATCTCCATCGCCAGCACACAAGAATTGCTATGGAGCAGCGTTGTTCGACGCCTACAACCCCGAAGTCCTCTTTGGTGAGGTCCTAGCCCGGCCGGGATGGACGCAACCTACCCTCTCCGCCGAAGAAGCGCGGCGACAGGGTGGTGTAGCTCCGCCTCCTCAGCCCATCATACCGACGGAGTTTGCGGTGCAATTGTACGAACCAGACCAGCAGATCCGCGTGAGCATCAAGAGCTCTACTTTTGGCAGCGACAGCTACGAGTTCAGCTTACCCGAGACTGCATTTCGGACGCCGAGTAGCAGTACTTTGGACCATGGACAGTCAGATCCAGCGAGCTTGAACATCACACCAAGAATCAACTTTGTCTGGAGGAAGGAGAGCAAGCTGAACAAGGATTTGACGTGCTACATGACGGGCAAGAGTACGGATGTCAAAAGCAAGAAGTCGAAGAGGGATCCAGATATTGCGATAGCATTGTGGCGGAGCATGCGCGAGTTGACGATCTACGAGCCCAACCTTGCGAGGATAGGGCTGGAAGATCCGAAGGGTTTGGAGGTGACGTTGCTTTTGAGCGCGGTTGTCATCCGGGACCTGTACTTCTCTTCCAAGGACCAGCTTCCGGAGCTCTTCAATATCTCCGACATGGGTGCGAGGAAGTTGAGCTCAGGCGGCAGAAAATTGTCGAACCCAAGGACTGCTCAGGCAGCCGCTGTCCCTCCAAATGCTCTTCATTCTCAGCCGCCCAAAAACAGCGTACCGCAACAAACACCTAACGAAGCCAAACGGACCTCACTGCCACGGCTGCAAACAACTCCGCCTCACTCCCGCCAGCCCTCTAATCAACCACCACCAATGGCAGATCTTCGCGCACAATGGGAGCTCGACGCTGAGACCGCTCGCCTCAAGGCGGAACAGAGAGCCGAGCAAGAAGCTGAAGCTCGCGCCGCTGCCGCTCGTCGCAAGCAACGAGAACGCGAAGACGAAGCCGAACGCCGTCGCCTTCAACGCATGGTCGACGAAGAAGCAAAAGCAGCCCAGAAGAAGCAAGTTGAGATTGATCGCGAGACCGACCGGCTGCGGAAACTGTATGGCGTGAAACCACTCCCTAATTCGCAGCAGCAACCGCAGCGACCTCCGGCTAATTCCTCGAGTTCGCGGACGAGCGCGCGGCCACCTCAGATGCCTGCTCGGCCGACAATGGGGAGCAACGGACTGTACACACAGCCAAGCGCGAGCTCGAGTTCGGTGATGATGAGTGGAGCGAACAACAGCAGCTCGCTGGGTGTGCCGAGCCAGAGGCCGGCGAAGAAGAAGAGTTTCTTTGGCTTGAGGAGTGCGAGTGACGATGGGGCGCAAGCGGAGCGGTTGAGGAAGAAGGGAAGTGCGATGTGGTGATGAGAAGCTGGATTTGTGCTCTACATGCTTAGCGAGGTGTTCGGCGTTCTGGGGGAGAGCATTGCACATAATGAGCATGAGAAACGCGATACGCATTAAAAAAAAGATACTAGTAGACTACCATTGAGTGTCAATCAATGCTACCATGATCGTCCTGAACGTCTTCATGTCGCGTACTCAATGCAGATCAAACCACTGCGACTCGGCTTCCAGTGTACCAGCGGCCCGCAGCCTTTCGACGTGACTGCTTCTCAGCCGCTTCCCGTGGGCTTTCATGTTTCGACTGATACCATCACCTGTAAGGCTCTTCGCATGAAGCTGCGCGTTTTGGAAGGAAACCTGAGTCTCGGACTTGACGATTGACGATGGCAAGGAACCTGGAAGGTTCACTCGGCACCTTGTTTTGGGAGAAGGCGCCTTGACGCTGATCCACTTTTCCATGTCGGCCGCACCAGCTTCCAAGTATTGTACAGACGTTCCATTTCTGCTACATATCCGCACTTATCGACGTGATCCATCAGTGCCACGAGTGCTTGAAAGGCGAGTGCAACGAGACGAGCAAGAACGGATACCACTCGTACAACAAAGCAAACACCCACGGCCTATCACCACGCCCAATCAGTTATCAACGACATGGCACCAAAGCCTAAAAGAGGGCTCTGTTGGCCCACAAACAATCACAAGCAAGACCAAGTCTTCCCCTTCACCAAGCCCGGCTCCAAGGTATCGTGGCTCTACAACTGGTCTCCCAATCCAACCCCAGACTCAAAGACTCTCGAGTTCGTGCCCATGCAATGGAACAACGCCGGCATGGACCAGCTGCAGTCGAAAGTGAAGCAAGTGGATGCCACACGTGTTCTCGGGTTCAATGAACCAGAACTACCCGACCAGTAAGTCGAACTTTTGTGTGGAAGGGTTCTCCGAGACGCCTCCAATGTCCCAGGACCAAGCAGTGCTCCGAGGCACCTCCATTTTGGCCTCAACTGTCGAGACGTTCGCTGACCCTTCTGCCCATCACACTAGGTCCAACATGCCCGTTGAGCTTGCCGTGTCAAACTGGCTTCAACACATGGAGCCGCTGCGGAAGGCTGGGATACGCTGCGGTAGTCCTGGCATCTCGTCCGCTCCCCAAGGTGTGGCCTGGCTTCAGGACTTTCTGCGGAGGATCCGCGATGGCGGCAGTGATATCGATTTTTACTGCTTCCATTGGTACGGCGAGACGCTTGGGCAGTTCTATGACTACATCTGGTCAACGTGAGATTAAAGCTGCTATTTGGTGGTCGTGGAGATGTGCTTACGCTGTACCAGATACCACCAACTGGGCCCGAACAAGCCTGCATGGATCACTGAGTTCGCTTGTACGAACTGGCAGATCGACAACCCGTTGCCTCGAGATCATGTAGAGAGCTTCGCCAGAGACAGCGTCAAGTATCTCGATACTTTGGACTGGGTCGAGCGGTATGCGTGGTTTGGCCCGATGAGGGATACGGGGACTGTTGGGAAGTGGGCGAGAATGCTGGATGATGAAGGAAAGTTGACGCAGCTTGGAAAGATGTACAGAGATGCGTAGGTTCTGGAGCCATTTTCCAGACTTGATCTAAGCGCTTGAGCCACAGCCTCGTTTTCATCTTCTGCGTCCGCATCGACTTTTGCGCGGATATCGCTAGCAACAAATGTTCCTTCTTGAAGTCGTTCGAGTTCGACTGGATGGTCTCGCTGGAAATGCGTCTTCGGGGACTGCCATTACACAACAAGCTCACTCCAGCAAAGACGCGGTGATCGTTCGGTCGTCCTCGCTGCCTCCCACCCGTCTGGGGCCGCTACTGCGATCTGGACGACGCCGTGGCTTCTCGTTGGCAAGGCTCTCGTGTCTACGAACAGATGCCATAGTCCGTCGATACCCATCGTTGAGCGCCTCGCTCACGCTCGGACACTTGAAGCTTCGGCTCGCCTAGTAGGGCTGAGCTAAGTCCCATTGCCGGAGCCTTGCCCACGTCCGACAGCATGCGGCGACTGACCACTCGACATTACCGGTAGTGGCAACTTTGTGTGCGCCAAGATGCACTTGCTGGTCATCCCAGCCGATCTCGACGCATCCCAGTGGCTGGAGAGTGCAGGCTTTGACGGATGTAGATTCTCGCACTGCAGCTAACAAAAACTCACTAGCAAACAACCCATTGTGGGGGCACTGGGGCGACAGTAGGTTGGGAAGATCATCTCGATGATTCGATGAGACGAAAAGGGCCGAATACTTCCTGGACACGCTTACCAGCTTGGGCAGTCTTCGAGAACAAGTCTAGAACGACTCCACCGCTTGGCGCGTCGAAAATTGTCCTCACCTGATACCACCACTGTGGTGACTGCGTTTCCAGCGCCGTGACAGCTCACCGATGCCGGGGTACGCATGAGCGCTGGTCGGCAAGCCGCCAAACTATGCCTTCTATTACCGCCGATCTCTATGCCCGCTCCATCACCGCATCGGTCAGGTGGCACAAGCAGACACCTTGAGGAGCCGGGTCCGGGTCCGGGCATACGGAGTCGTGCAGCAGAACTCGGCACTGCGTCGATCTGGAAGACCCATCACATCATCTGGTGTGAGAAGTGGTCCTGCTAGCGAGTGTTGATCCGCACATGGAGCACGACAGCGACAGACTTTCGCTGTGCGCAAGTACCAGGCTCTCCAGCAATCCCCAGATCTGGTCCACCGGGGTGGAAGAATGTTCTCCACGGCCAGGCCCAGATGAGAGCCGCATGGTCCAGCGTGGAGCCCCATCTTGCCCCATCAAACGCCGACGACATATCAACTCATCAACGCCAGCACCCCGGCCCCTGCCCCGTGGCGCTCATCGTGAGGCAAATCGCTAGATGGCGCGGACCGACTAACGAGATGTGCATGTGATCGAAGCCTATTGGCAGTAGGGCCGAACCCTCCTGCTTGATGGCGTCAACTCTCACCACCTGAGCTCGTCCAGACCTCATCTCGACACACATCGGTGAGAAGCCCTTCGCGCCAACACTCAGATGCACGGTGTAAGTTTTATCTTCGCTTGTGGAAGCAATGTATAAGTACAAGATCTGCACCCTACTGCCAGAAGGACCATCAACAGCAATCACCATCTCGGCAATCATTCCATATCGAGCAGCGCTTCCTCCGCTACAGCATCGTTCGTCTGTGGCTCCCCTCATTTCTACGAACTCTCGCGATCAATCAGACAACGGAGCCGAGTTATCTGCCAGCAGTCATCTGGTATAAGATCATCGCATCCGCAGTACTCCGCTTCACCAGGACCTCGCAACAATCCTAGCAACCACCGCTCTCCAACTCATCAGCACCAGCGCAGGCAACCAACATGGGCGGCGGCGTACCAATCAACACAGCCCCCGTTGAGGGAGGCTTCCTCACGGGGAAGAAGCTCATCTTCCCACTCTCCCTCGTCATCTCGCTGTTCTTCCTATGGGGTTTCTCGTACGGTCTTCTGGATGTGCTCAATAAGCATTTCCAGACTGTGTAAGTTCTAATGGCCCCGACTACACGACAATGCTAACGATGCTACAACAGTCTCGACATCACTCGGCTCGAGTCTACCGGTCTCCAAGTCATGTACTTTGGCGGTGGTTACCTCTGCTTCTCGCCAGTCGCAGCTGAAGTCATGAAGCGCAAGGGATACAAGTTCACAATCCTCATGGGCCTCAGTCTATACTCGCTTGGCGCCGTCTTCTTCTGGCCGGTTGCGCATTTCACCACCGAGTCAAACAAGACGGCCGCGTTCGGTGGTTTCCTGGTCTGCACTTTCGTCATCGCCTGCGGCCTTGCGACCCTCGAGACTTCCGCCAACTCCTACGCTGTGGTCATTGGTGATCCAGCAACGGCTTCGGCACGTCTGCAGTTCTGTCAATCCTGGAACGGTGTTGCCTCGTTCGTCGGCCCGCTCATAGCATCCAAGGCCTTCTTCTCCGGGTCCGGCGAAGGCTCCCTGGTCAACGTCCAATATGTCTACCTCGCAGTCGCATGCGCCGGTGCAGCGGTCGGTGTTATGTTCTTCTTTGCGAAGCTACCGGAGATCCAGGAAGCAGCTGTTCGTCGCGGATCTGTCGTCACCGAGAACACGCTGGAGCTTGGCGTCGATCAGTACGGCAATGTCATCGGCGACGCACCCCTATACAAGCAGTACAATATGATCGGGGGTTTCATCGCCCAGTTCTGCTACGTGGGCGCTCAAGTCACGACAGCCTCATTCTTCATCAACTACGCTACGGAGAACGCCAGCTTCACAGATGCTCAGGCCTCACAGGTAAGTTATCTCCAGCCATCCCGAGAGCTGTTCTAGCGTTCCGCATGCTGACTGAGTCGCTTAGATGCTCTCCTACGGCTTGATCACCTTCACAGTTGCTCGCTTCATCGCCACCGGTCTTGCCTGCTTCTTCGAGAGCAACTTCATCCTCGTCGTCTATGCTTGCGGCGCCATCGCCTTCACCGCCTACGTCTCCGCCGGGTCTGGGACTTCCGCCGTGGCGTGTTTGATCATCATTTTCTTCTTCATGGCGCCTATGTACCCGGCTCTCTTCACCTTGGGCACGGCAAACCTCGGCCGCCACACTCGCCGTGGTGCCGGTATCTTGGTCATGGGCGTCAGCGGCGGTGCTGTCTTCCCCCCGATCCAAGGCGCCATCGCCGACTCAGTGAACACCCGCATCTCCTACGTCGTCCCGCTCGTCGGGTTCGTCGTCGTGCTCTGCTACGTCTCCTACTCCTGGGCCAGCCACGGCTTCCACATCCTGCGCGTCAAGGGCGAGAACATCGTCGCTACCTCTCTCGAAGGCGGTGCTGTTGGCGGCGCTCTCACGACTACGCACTACGATGAGAAGAGGCTGTCTGTTGTCGCGCAGGACGAGATTCGACGGGGAAGTGTTGGTGCTGTTACGGTGAAAGGTGTTACTGGCGGCATCAACTACGACCAGTCGGAGATGACCAGGCGGGCGAGTTTGGTGGAGGCGCCGCCTTCGGGGAAGTACTAGGCGATGGTTGTGCTATTGGAATCGTCCAGATGCGAAGCAGGGTTTGAGACGAATTTAACGAGATCATGTTTGACAAGGAGAGAATGGATGATACCAACTGGTTCTGCTTGACATATGTATATACGCAACCAGTTTTCTGCTACGCATCTTCGGTATTCTCTGTCGATGTGCGACATCGTCAATCTTGACGTCGTTCCATCTTGTCATCCAGTGCTGCAGGCCAGTCGACGTCTGCTTGCCTCGTAAACAGCAGATGCTATCTGCCTCGTCTTGGCATTGCTTGCCTCAACTTGACAGCATGTAGCAGTGGATTATTTGGAGACCATTTGGAGAGGAGTTAAGCTGGAGATGCAGGAATAGGACCACTTCTGCCAGAAATCAGGTGACACCTAGCCTTGCCACTTACAAGGTCTTTCACCCTGACAGAATCATCCGTACATCCTTATACTCGTGCCCGTACGGACATCGCGGCTGACCAGGGATCGATATACAAACACCGCTGCGGCCGGAGCCAGGGAATTCATGTGGGCAGTTCGGCCTCCCATGCCACACAGTCCGACGAGAGATGGGGTATAGGTGTTGAACCCTTTCTTCGCCGAAGGGACAGCCAGTCAGCAAGCCCGTACTCGCTCCTCGCCAGAACGGCTTGCAAAAATGGGGGCGATCGCAGTGGGAAGCGTCACAGGAAGACTCGTCAGACCAGTCGGTTTGGCCGCTTACGCCGAGGAAGCAGGTGTCGGAGAGCGCCGTGCAAGCGTTGGTGACCACTCGTGTTGAACAGGCTGGTGTGGACTGAGTATGATAGAATGCAGATGCTGATTCGGGTTGAGGCAGTATCGGGTCATAGCTGTCGAGTAGATCAGCATCGTACCAGTCGAACGAAAGGTACTCCACGAACACGAAACATCCTCACCTTGAACTCAATTCCTCCGGCCCAGGAGAGGACCTCTCAGGACCAGCGCGCAAGCGATTGATCTCCAGTTCCTCCATATCTTCTTCAGTGAGCTTCACGCCCTTCTGCTTCGCGCGGAACATCTGCTCCAAGACAATGGCTTCTTGATCGTCGACGCAAATTGACCACTTGCAAATCTCAAGGCCGAGGACGGTCACCGGTCGATAAAGGCCTAAATCAGCAGGGCTTCGGCGGTGGTAAAGGCCTTCCTGGTTCGCCTTGAAGGTCGCAACCATCTTCCTACTAGCGTGGTGCACGACAAACCCCTGGAGATCAGTGTGCACCATGAACCCGTTTGCTTGGTGGCGGATGGTATTGGCCTTCTCCACCAATGCTGTAAATTGGCTGGCGTTCCTGTCAACAGCGTCTGCTTGATTTTTCAAGAACTCTCGCACGGCTTCCACGGCATAGTACCCACCTGTCTTGACCATGTCGCCCTCATAGTCGACTTTGTACTTGGGACACGCCGCATAGACGACCTCAGCGAAGCCCTCGAGTGTCGGGTCCCAGTCGTTTTCTTTGGCTTCCTGCTGAAGCTTCTTCATAATCTCACGTTTGAGCTCCTCGCCAGCCTCGGGCTCTGCATAGTTGGTAGGTTCGGAGTAGCGAGTCCACGCATTGCAGTGCATCATAAAGCAGCGTCGCTGGTCGATGGGGAAGTATATGGCCACGCAGGTGTTGCCTGTGTGTGTAGCGTAGAACGGATCAGCGCATCGCCCAAAAAATGTACGGCAGACTCTGCCGACGTACAGTGGTATGTTCCAATGAGATCGACATGGGTGTGATTGTTCTCATCGATCTCATTAGGAGTAGAGGATGCGGGCTTTCGGAACGTGAAAGTGCCTCCTCTGGCCTCCGCGACCATGCGGAAAGGCTTGATGTCGGAAGAGCTTGACATTAGAGTGAAGAATTCTAAGGGATTCATGTGAGTATAGGTTGATCACAAGCAAGTAAGAACCCGAGATGAGTCGTTGAAAAGACTGAGTCGGGCAGCCTCGCGTATAACTCACGATAAAACGTTTGCTCAACGTTCCAGCAGACTCGAAAGTATGCCATATGTCGACATTGTTTGCTGCCTTGTGCGACGTGCTGATCGTCACACAACAGCAACTGAGCCGTCTGGAACGGCATTCTTGAGTGTAAGAAGGTATTCAATCACTGCATCCGTGGTCGTCTCGAAGATGCAGCGTCAGACCCTCCTCATTCACGATTGATTTAGGACCGGTTGTAAGGCGATACACAGCACGGAGGATATGCTGTATCACTTGTAGTCAGTCCTTTCGTGCGTCTCTGTCATCAGAGAATGTAGGGTTTCTTCCACTGTCTTGCTGTAATCATGATATTGCTCTGCTATTTGCGCGCTCGATCGGTCAGCTTCCAAAGACCGAAGCAAGCAGATATCGAACGCTCGCAGCAATACAAACCTTCCCCATTTTCGCAGCAGCGCTTCTACTGCAGCAATGGGTCCCGGAAGTGCTTCTGGAAGTTGTGCCTCCGCTCATTGCCTGCGCGATACCTGTTCTCCGCACGCTGGGCACGCTTCTGATCCCTCTTCTCCACCGCGCGCACCTCTCGCTTCTTCGCGTCGCTGACGCCGATCATGCCCAGGCCGCCGTTAGCGCGAGTGACAACTTGCCGTCCGCGACCAGTCTCGGTCGTTTCGCTTGCAGCGTCGTTCTCATCATCAGAGACGTGTCGCTCGTCTGACTCGGTGAGAAGGCGCTGCTGCTCTCGCTCTTCGGGCGTGGGGTAGTTGCGAAGGTTTTGGCGGTAGTAGGTGCGTAGAGCTCTGTGGCCAGCGGTACGTCCGGATGGCAAATGCAGCTCGTAGTCGTCATGGTAGACTGCAGTGGGCGTGTGGTGGGCGTGCGAGTGGAAGCCGTCGGTGTTCTTATGCGGCCGCGGATCGCTGTGCGAGTGATGGCGGTGGAGGTCAAGTTTGGCGTACTTGTGGTCCTTGTTCTCAATGGGCACAGAAGTGATTTCATCGGTCGGCACAGATGATAAGGTGCTGTCGCTTTCCCAACCTTCCTCATCTCCGTCCATGTCCACATCTTGGCCATCACCGTTCTGCACCGTAGTCTTGGTTGCTCGCTTGACTCCGAGCTTCACGCCGCCATCAACCTCTTCATCTTCCTCCTCGATCTCTTCGTCACTGTAAGTTGACCGGAAGTCGTAGAACTCGCCCACATCCATCTGCTCGTCTTCTGTCGCATATGCGATCATGCAGTGTCCTCTATCTCGCATATGGGTCTGGATGCCGTGCGCGGAATGCAGTGTCTTGTGACAGAACAAACATGTGTTTAGCACCTGGATAGTCTCCGAAAGATAATTGACTAATCCCTCCAAGTCCACCAAGAACTCTCGCTCTGGTATGAAGAAGCCATGCTGTTTTCCCATGTGATTGATGTTGAGGTCAAGGGTCGGCGAGTCGTAGTTGCAGAACAGACACTGTTTAACATCCGCCTTATGGTCGTACTCTTCTCCATCCATGGTCTTCTCCGGCGACATTGGATGATCGCGCTCAACCTGTGCAGTGGTAGGCGTCGGGCGTCCAGGTCGTGCCGAAAGCGGATCTTGTGGTGATGCGTCCTCTAAACCAGTGGTCCGAATCTTGTCCACCACATTCTCAAACTCCTCCTCAGCATCCTCATCCACGACGCCGTTTGCCTCACCATTTACAGTACTCTCCGTCGTCGTGCTCTGCGCCTCCATAGGCTCGCCAAGCGAGAATGTTGAGTCGACCAGACTTTCAGTCTCTGTGCCGGTCCCTCCCGCGTTCCATCTCGCCGCCAATATCCGGTGCTTCTGACTCCCGAGATGGTTCGAGTGGGCTCCTTCAGAGTAGAACGTCTTCTCACAAGCCTCGCATCTTTTCTCGAATCTTGCTCTTGCCGCCGTCGCAGCAGCCGTCGCCTTATTCGCGATAACTCTTTCTGAGAACGCTTCTGCCGTGAGAGGGGGTAGCTGTGCAACACGGCGCTTGAGATTGTACCGGTGCCAGTCCGATTGCATGTGTGTTCTCTGCAATTCGCCAGTCCGGAAGGCCACTCCGCATGTGTTGCAGGTATAGAGGGGTTGTTGGGAGCCATTTGCGGCGGCTGGTTGTGTCATGGTCGCCATGATGCTGTTGTGTGCGATTCTGTGGGGGTGCGCGAAGAGTAGAGAATTTTGTGCAGCTACCTCAATATTAGAAGAGGCAGGAGTGAAGGTCGTGGAATCGCAGAGTCATGAGCGGCTGGAAGAACGTGAAGTTTGTCAGTGGAAATGACGAAGGCGCCGGCGAAATGGTTTCACCGAGAAGAATTGCCACATTGCCGCTTTGGGAAGGAACGGAATGTGAGAATGTACGTGCAAGATCCAAACAGGCCGATGACACAGGTCGGTAGCTGGAAGAAGTAGAGTGGTATCGTACATATCTACACTGAGCTATACTACGGGTGACCAATGCTTCTGCATCGTCCCCGAACCCTTCACCTTGGCCTGCCGCTCCAGCGCCTTTTGCACAAGCATGAGACTCCTCTTCGAAACCCTCACTCTACTCGCAAGCAGCGTGACGCCTGTTAGTAGCGCCAATGCCCCTGCTTGGTGGGCGGCAGCCACAGGTGTTGGGACCAGATACCAAAGTGTGCTTATCCCTAGCACAACCTGCAAGCTGACCAGATGCACCACTCCTAGCATGCCCTTGCTCGCCGATTTCGGCATCGTCGCTCGTACACGAGGATTGAAGCGAGAGTATGCCCAAAGTGCAACGATCGCTGTAAAGGTGGTAGTGGCCAGAATCCGGTGGTCTAGTTGGACAAGGACAGGGTTCTCGAGCATGTTTCGCCACACCAGATCCTTTTGATCCGGAGTGTGAGAGTAAAACGGATCAAACATCTCTCGCTTTGGTGGTAAGAGACCTTGGCCCATCCAGGGGAAGTCGTTGTATATCAAGCCCGCGTCCAGTCCGGCCACCAGAGCACCAGACATGGCGGTCACGAAGGTTAGCACGCTCAGCGCGGCAACCGCACGCTTGAACGACCTCAACTCGGGACGCTGAAGCTGCTGGAGCAACTTGCTGCCTTCTGCAGGGTTTCTGACAAGTCGATGCTCCTTCAAAATCGCCAGCCCGTTCCATACCATAGCCAGGTAGGCCAGGAATGCCGTCCCCAAGTGTGCGGCCAACCTGTATTGGCTGACTCTTGGCTGCTGCCCCTTGTCGAAGAGATCATCCTTTAGCCCACTCTTTACCATCCACCAGCCCAGAGCTCCCTGAAACCCAATCAAACCGCATATTGCCAATAACCTCCCCGCCATCCCTCTACTCACCCGTCTCCGCAGCACGAAATACAGAGTCGGCACCAGAAATGTCACTCCTACCACTCTCCCCCAAAGCCGATGTGTCCACTCCATCCAATATATCTGCTTGAAATCCTCCAACCCCATGCGAGAGTTCAGCATCCTGAACTCCGGACTGAGCTTATAACGTGCGAATTCCTCCTCCCATGCTGTCTCATCCCGGGGTGGTAGAGAGCCAGTAACCGGACGCCATTCGGTGATGCTGAGTCCGGATTCGGTGAGGCGAGTCAATCCACCAAAGACGACGATGCCGAAGACGCTGGTGGCTGATGCCAGAAGGAAGTAGGCGACGCTCTTGCTTGATACGTCCGGGAAGGAGGAGCCTGAGGCGGAATGTCCCCTTGAGCTTGAAGAGGACTGAGTGATGCGCTGGGACAGCGCGCCAAGGGGAGAGGTGGCGCTTTGCGATGATGGAGATGCGGCGGAAGACTGATGCCGTAGCTGCGGTTGCCGTGCTTGTTTGAAGGCGTCTAGGAAAGGCGATCGTTTCGTCGATGTCGAGCGGGTGTTCGCCTTCGCCTGCTGGTGGAGGCATCGACGGCAGACGAAGGCATCTTGGGAGATGAGGCTGCTTGCCTTTAGTACGAGTCGGGATCGCAATGGCGAGATGGTGAAGGGCGATGCCATTGCTTGCTGGTCGAGCGAAGAGTAGCACTTAGAACATATAATCACATGTGAAAGTCATCGACTCTCAGAACGGCTGCTAATCAAATTTGGTTAGCTGGTTAGTCAGCGAGCCGACGTCACATCTTCAACCCATGTTGCGACTACATGTACACTGCAACTTGCACATACGAAGAGATCTAGGCCCATCGTGTTCTAATCACAAGACGTTCTCGTACGGAGATGGCACCGTGAGCAGTGAAACATGCTGGCAGGTTCGGGCGGATGACGCTGCAGCCACACCTCGACCTTCCCCCGCTATCTGAACCTGCTGATACACATCTACGTGCTCTTGCAATGTAGAAGGCCCTGGACAGAACTCTCCTCTTCAATTTGTCTGCAATCATGGAGAATCACGATGACACCAATCCTGAGACGCCCTCGTCCTCTTCAACTTGGGGATTCTACAACGCAAGGACCGGAGCTTCACCGCAATCATCTGTGCCACGTCCCCGGCCCAGGCCAAGTAGGACGACCAGCCTACCACGAGCACTCTACTCGGGCGGTGCAGCGTCCATATTTGGGGGCTCAGGGCGGCAAAGTTCGCCAGAACCACGACAGGATGAACAGGTAGCAAGGCCTCCGACACTTGCGTTCAGTCCGCCGAGCCAAGAAAGCGTACCAATGTCCCAACCAGCCTTATCAACCCTCGCAACTTCTTCGCAGCAAGCAGGTCAGAGGTACAACGAAAGCGATGTGCACGACCTCAGCACCAGCAGTCGACATCTTCCCCAAGTAGAGAAGGACGCCGACGATCCAAACTCACCCCCGACTTCATCCCACGCTCGCCACAATCGTGAAGGGTCCACTACCCTTACGACCCTCAGTCGCCTCTTTGCCGTCCAAGCCGCTACCTCACCCAGCGCTTCCCGCACCCCATCTTACCAGGAAACCAGGCCAATCTCAACCTACAACCGTAGCCTCCAATCCGCTGATTCGGCCAACCTGCCATCGCATCTCTACAGTCGAGGTCTACTCGAAGGCCGACATTCCGATATCACCGTCCACGCATTTGGCCAGGAGTACAAACTCCATCGCCTTATCCTTGATCGAGCGCCCTTCTTCCGAAGTGCCCTAAGCGAGCCCTGGCTGGAGTCTTCTGCTCGCGACACGACGGTTCACCCTGAAGACATCGATCCGTCCATCACGCAAGCCTCCTTTGAGCTTGCGTTGAAGCGATTGTATGGCTGCAATGAGCCTGCTGAAGAGAGTCGCGATGCCGTTGGTCTCTTCGCGACCGGGTGTTGGCTCGAGATGCAAGATCTCATCGAGTCTTCTGTCGAGAGCATGCTCCGCCAGATGACTGCTGGCACGCTTGCACCGCTAATTCGACTGGTGACTAGCAACTACTATGGCCGTGCTGGGGACAAGATCCTGGCTTCTGCGAAAGCAATGCTGTGTAGAGACGGCTGGTGCATGCCTCTCCGCTACTGGGATGGTATACCGGGCGACATTATCCGCGAGATTGTAGGCGGCGACGGCTTCTTCATCGATGGCGAGTGGGATCGCTGGGCCCTCGCTAAGCGAATTCTTGACCGACGCTTGAAATCTAAAGCACTGGATGCTGGCTTAGTGGAGCCAGGCACGACAAGGAAGGTGCTCAAAGCACCGGACCCGGCAAGCCTGATGGCGGTACGCTTTGATGGAGTATATCGCAAGAATGGTATGGGAAGTGGCAGAGGGGTACCGGATCATCTACATCGCTGGGTCACTCTTTACACGCTGCCTGAGATCGAGCCGTTGTTGGTCCTGCTGGATGAAGGCATCCATTACGTGCATCTCGACTTCGAGCAATTGCAGTTCATCAAAGACACCCGAGATATCCTTGGTTTGCCGGTCTTACCCCAAAAAGTCGTTGGCGATGCACTATGGCAGCAAATGGAGCTGCGGCAGAAGGTCCTCAATGCTCGAGATGGCGAGATGGACCTCGGGATATCGGTCACATGTACGGACGACACAGACTCCGAGGCCACTCGTGACACCACCATGAACATTACGACACCACTTCCGCCTTCGCCGCCCTCCGAGACTTCTAACCCGTTCTCGAAAGGCAAGCAACCAGCTGCCTCAACCTCTACTTCCACTGTCCGTGCTGAGCCCACCACGAAGTCTTGTGGTGAAGAAGATATTGCAAGCGATTCATGGGACGCTAATGGCAAGCCTCGTAAGTTCTGGATCCCGACATCTGATTGCAATATCGTCATGGGCGGCAACGCGGATCCAGTCATCGCTACGAGCAACAACACAACGCTGCAACGACATGCAAGCCGCTTGTCTGCAACGCTCGGTCCGGAAGACGTGCAATGGATGTCGGATTTCGGCGCTGTGACTGCACAGCCTCGGAATGCCCGAACTACTGCTGGCGCGAACGGAGGATCTGGAGGAGCACAGGGAGAGAACGGCGCCGCAGCAGGCGCTGGCAACCCGAATGACGTGAGATATACGCACTTTCCGCCTTTCCGGTTCGCGGCCTCGTTCCCAAATCCGAGACTACTGAAGGAGAGGAAGAGGGTGTACTCGCGAACTGTCTTCTACGCAGGTAGCTTGTGGAACATCTACATCCAAAAGGTCGCATCGACGCGATCAAAACAGCTGGGCGTATATCTACACAGAGCGAAAGAAAGGGATGCTGAAGAAGTCATTGCCAACACTGCTGGCTTGGCGCAGGGCAGCGTAGATGAGCGCATAGGTGTGCTCGAGCGAGAGATGATCTTGAGGTCTGAGAGGCGGGACAGACGCGATGCAAGACGCAGGACTACGGTTGGTAGCGATGGCGCAGATACGGACGGAGCGGACAGTCTTGGCAGCGCGGGCGATGAGCCAGCTCTGGTGGAGGATGGACGACCAAGCCTCATGCACGATCTTCTCGTCGGGTCACGTCCGGTTCAACGGGGACGCCAGGCCGATGCACAGGTGTTGTCAAACCGCACATCAGCGTCCACTACCACCAACGACACAATGTTCACTCCGGCCACCGACCCATCCGTGTCATCCTCGGACACTGACGATGCCGACCTCGAGAGCCCTACTGTCCCCTCCGCCTCTGCCTCACACTACTCCTACCCAACACAGAAGCAGAAACGGCCTCACGTGCCCACGCTACCACCCTACGTGGACGCCAGACCAACGATCAAGACATATTTCAAGATCTACTCACCCAGCAGAGGAGGGCGCATGCTTAGCGTATACGAAAGTGCACCAGATAGCTTCAATTTCAGCCAGAGCTGGGGTTGGAAGAGCAGCACGCTTATGCTTGACGATGGGTTGGACGGGGATGACACTGATGGTGCTGAAGCGCTAGTGGAGGGTGAAGATAAGGCGAGGAAGGAGAAAGATGGGAGATTGAGGTTTATGGTTGTCATTGGGAATATCTGATATGGTCGGTTCTCTTGCGTTCTGAGCGACTGTTTCGTGGCGTCAGGACTTGATAACCGTCGGCATCTCGTCGGCATCTCTAACAGCAAAGAGCGGCGTTGCTTCGCAATCAACGATTTAGTGCACTTCATCCTTCGGAGCATATTCAGCCGCACTGTTGTACTTGGATGCATGCTACGGCGGGGTAAGGTGCTCATATGCAGAGTACATGTGTACAAAGCCTCATCAGCTTCCATGTATGGCATACAAATCCGTACAGCGTGATGGCACAGAGCTCGTCATTTCGTCATGCGAGCATAGTTGTAGGTGAGGGAGGTAGAGCATGTACGTACTGCGGCGTATCTTCACTTAACATCAAATATTGGAGACAGCCACATGGATTCAGATTATCTGCCTCTTCGACCAGACGGTTGCAAGCCTAAGGAAAGAACGCAGGAATATGGCTTCCTTCCCGATCCCCGACAAGCAGACGGTCGCTCTAGTCCGTGAGCTCGGCGGTCCAGTCGAGTTCGTTGACGACTACCCCGTACAAAAGCCAGGAGCAGACGAGGTACTTGCCAAAGTTCTCTACTGTGGCGTGTGTCAAAGTGGTACGTCCATCAACAGCCTTGCAATCTGGAGTCTTTGGCCATTGGCTAAAAGTGACTCGCCACAGACCTTCACACACGAGCCGGTACTGCAGCAGGCCCAGACGGCAAGCCCATCACGAATATCAAGCTACCACATATCGGTGGCCACGAAGGTGTCGGGAGGATCGTAGCCCTAGGCACTGGCCTTCCAGAGCGAGACCCATCGATCTATATCGGCGCTCTCGTTGGCATCCGGTTCTCCAGCCGGATCTGCAGACGCTGCTCATACTGTCTCTCCGGCCAGGAGCAATACTGTCAAGGCGTTGGAAGCTTCAAGCCCACGAACCATTTGCACCACGAAGACGGGGCATTCCAGGAGTACTGTTGTCTGGACGCTGGGTATTTGACGCTTTTGCCCGACGATGTCGATCCCGTGGCAACGAGCTGCACCTTATGTGCTGGTCTGACGGCATACAAGGCTGTGAAGAATGCTGAGTTGAAGGCTGGGCAGTGGTTGGTCGTCTCCGGTGCCGGGGGAGGGCTTGGACAATATGCTGTGCAGTATGGCCTTGCCCAAGGTGCGAGAGTATTCGGCATAGACTCTGGGAAGCAGAAGCGAGAGTTGGTGGAGTCCTGGGGCGCGCAATTCCTTGACTTTCGAGAGACCAAGGACGTTACAGGAGAGGTTCAGAAACTTACTGGAGGAGCGGACGTCGTGATCGTCGCAGCGGGTCACTCATCAGCCTTCACACAAGCAGCATCCATGTTGAGGATAGAAGGAACGATGTGTTGCATTGGCATTCCGCCTGGGGGAGGGAAAATCGAGACGCCAGTGTCAGAAATTGTGATCAAGGGCCTCAAGATCAAAGGCAACCTCGTGGGCAATCTGAAGGAGTGTTTGGAAGCGGTGGAGCTGGTGAGGACTGGCATAGTGAAGCCAAAGACGTATGTGAGGCCGTTTAGAGACTTGCCGGCGGTCTATCATGAGCTCGAGAAAGGGGACATAGCTGGTCGGGTCGTGTTGAAGATTGGTGACGATCCAGGATAAGATGTGCTTTAGAAGCGACAGAATAGTTTCTCAACATTGCCACCGTGTCAGTCCTGTGGCAGCTGTGAAGTTGTTCCATTGGGGGAACATGGAAAGACGTCGCATGCCTCGATGTTCCTCGCGTCTCGGTCCTGATCCCCCGAAAACGGAAGGTGGTCTTCCTCCAACAGCACTTCTCCTGTTGATCGTTGTTCCTCTTTCCCATCGCTGGCCACCGCATAGCATAGTGTACATCGGTTTGTCGAAGCATAGCATATGGCAGGGCTGAACAGTATATCTGACAAATACTGTCGACTGCGCGGAACAGCAGTCCTTCGTCAGCAGAACTGCATTCTGTAAGGCGTTTTGACTTCCATCTCTTGGTTCCATCTTCTCAGCTGAACTCAGCACTCTCCTCTACACCATCTCATTTCTCAAAGCAAACTATACGTCACACACTCTTGGTCGTAATCTCGGTCACCAATACGAGAGATCGACGATGGCCGGCATCTTCCTTCAAGACCTACCATGGCACGACGGCGAGGAACAGATGAGGAAAGCATTGCATGTACCGGACCACGACAACCCAACTGTTCCAGCTCTCTCGCCCCAGCTAGCCAACCATCTACAGATAGCACCGCTCATAGCAATAGGGACACTGGACAAGGAAGGCCGACCATGGACCACCCTCTGGGGCAACGGCGACAAAGGTTTCGCGCAGCCAGTCGGGCAAGGCGTCATCGGTATCAGAACGCCTGTCACAGGCAAGCACGATCCGGTCGTCGAAGAACTGGTCGGCAAAGAGGCCAAAGGTGATGTTGTTCGGGAGGAGGGCACAGGGCGGATGGTGAGCGGTTTGACGATTGATCTTGAAACAAGGAAAAGGGTTAAGATGTACGGTCGGATGGTCGCTGGTGCTCTCAGTATTCGAGAAGACGAAGCCACAGACCACGAGGAGCATGTCGCCGAAGTCCAACTCGTCATCAAGATCGAGCAGAGTCTCGGTAACTGCCCGAAGTACCTTAACAAGAAGCATATCGTGCCTGCTATCTCCAAGCCAGAGCTGGTATCAGACTCACTCAAGCTACCTCAACAAGCTCTAGACCTTTTGGAGAAGGCTGACCTATTCTTCATCTCGAGCTCCCAGCATGACCAGGACATGGATACCAACCATCGCGGCGGACCTCCCGGTTTCATGCGAGTGGTATCCAACGACGATCCCGGAGCAGCACTGGTGTATCCAGAATACTCTGGTAACCGCCTCTATCAAACCTTAGGAAACCTCCAAGTCAATCCACTAGCAGGCGTATGCGTACCCGACTTCGAAACGGGCGATATGCTCTACTTCACAGCAACCACCAACATCCTCGTCGGCAAAGACGCAGCCGCCCTCCTCCCTCGCTCCAATCTCGCAATCAAACTCACCATAACAGCCTCCCGCTTCGTCACCAACGCCCTCCCCTTCCGAGGCGTCGAAGGCGAACGCTCACCCTACAACCCCAACGTCCGCTACCTCCCGAGCGAGAAAGCACCCACCTCATCCCAAGACACCGCTCTCCTACAAGCAACACTACTAAACCAGACCAAACTCACCCCAACAGTCTCCCGCTTCCGCTTCGCACTAGAGAACGCAGCATCCTACGGACCCGGCCAATACGTCACCCTCGACCTCTCCAAACAGCTCGATCACGGCTACAGCCACATGCGCGACGACGACCCGCGGAGCATCAACGACGACTTCGTTCGGACTTTTACCGTGAGCAGCTTACCAGGAACGCCGCCGGATCCTGTGCGGAGGCTGAAGGACGACGAGTTTGAAATCACTATCCGCAAGGTGGGAGCTGTTACTGATCACCTGTTCCGGCATCTTGGGAAGGAGAGTCGGGAGCGCGGGATGCATGAGCTGGAGGTTGGGGTGAAGGGGTTTGGGGGTGAGTTTGAGATTCAGCAGAATGGGGAGGAGAGGATTTGTTTCGTCGCTGCTGGGGTGGGGATCACGCCTATCTTGCCTTCGTTGTGGTCGATCGATTATAGTAAGCTGAAGGTACTGTGGTCGGTACGGACGTTAGATGCTGGACTGGTGAAAGATACGCTTGAGCAGCATCCTGAGCTGTCGCAGAGCCTCTCGCTCTTCGTGACGGATGCCGAAGAAGGGTGGGCAGAGGTCCAAGAGCTGAAGCGGATGAGCCTCACGGTGCAGTCGCGGAGAATGCAGAGATCGGATCTGGACCTTGATGTTAGCAAATACTACCTCTGCACACCGCTGGCTCTGAGGAAGCAGCTTTTGGAGTGGCTCCCGGGGAAGGAGCTGGTTTTTGAGGACTTCAATTTCTGATGCTACTTGTTTCCATACTATGCAGCCTGACAAGTAGTCATAATCTGACGCCCACAGCGGTGTGTTACAGAAGCGATGCTCTGCTTTCTTCCTTTGATGTTGACCTACCGTTCCTGTTCACATCCTGCTCTTTCGTTCCAGACACTGCAATGTTCGCCAATACAGTCCATCCTTCAATCGGTTCTCACTCCTGTACAAGTCTACGTGTTGCACCAATCAGACCTCAGCAGTGGTGCGACAGTTGTCGAGCTCCTCCAGAGCCTGCACCAACTTCCCCTTCTCCACCAACAGATCCCGACGCCTCTGTTCACGGCGCGGATCCTCAGCAAGCAGATCAGCACAATACGCTGCATCCGTGACACGAAGTCCTTCGAGCAGCTTCGCGCGGAGATCCTGCTGCAGCGGACGCATCAGCCCATACTCAAGCTTCATCCGAAGATTGTCCGTGATGCGTGCGCAGGCGATGTCGTAGTAAGCCATCGGAGTGACCATCGCCTTGATCATCTCGTGATGCGGGTCCTTAGGTAAGTTCGCTTCGACCCACTTCTTATCTTCCGCCTTCCTCTCACGCTCTTCGGGAGACGTTTGCTTCACGCGCTTCGAGTCCTCAACATCGAAGAACTCGCGCACACGGCGTAAAGTCCTGGCTTGCTGAAGCTCGGCGAGTTTGGCCTCCTTCTTCACTTCGAAGCCTTCCTTATCCGTTACCGTGGGAGCGTAGAGTTCGCGAGCGACGTCGTTGTGGATTGATGCAGTCTCGGCTTCAAACACCTCTACCAGCAGCTCCTCGACTATGCCTTCAGCTTCGCCGAAGAGCTTGGTGCCCTCGTGCGAGGACAAGGTGGTGTGGACGAATGAGGCCAAGCTGTCGACCATGTGCTTCTGGATCCGACGAAGGCTGCCGTCCACGATGCTGGCGGTCCCTTCTAAGCACTTCAGACAGAGGACCTCCGTAACTTCCGTGGAGATGCCACCTGGAATGCCAGCGTTGTTTCCGGATGCGTACGCCTGGCGGACTTGCGCGAGATCGAACACCGCTGGTGCATTCGTATCTGCGTTGGCCGCTGCGTTTGCCGCTGTGTTCGCAGTTCTGCTCGCAATACCGTTGGTTTCAGGTCTGGCAGCCTTGCGAGCTGACGGCGTCTGACTAGGGCGCATGGGCATCGGAGTCCCGCGGCCGTCATTGCGCTTCCGCGACTTCGCATGCCTTGGTGTAGGTGTGCCCGACATCTCCTCATCAGAGTCGTCAGAACCGATGCAGATCGGAGGCGCCTTGAAGCCTGGTGTTGCCATCGTCAGTTGCGGGCGTGCCTCGTTGAACTTCTTCTCGAGCTCCTCGATGATAGATTTGTATTCATCGCGGAAGTCGTTGCACATAGCACTTCCTTTGAGATTGGTCTCGATGCACTTCGCGACCTTGTCAGCCTCGTGGTGAACTTCCATGGATGGTGCCACCGCCTGCTCTGGGAAACCAGCAAGCTCGGCTTCAACCTCGTTAAGCTTTCCCTGCACGCGAGCATTGATCTCTGGCAGATCAGCCAAAATGTGGGCGGTCAGCTTCTGCGACAAGGCGTTCTGCAAATTTTGGATGCCCAAGCGGCTCGGGCAGGCGTTCACAATGTCTGACCACATAGGCAGATGGAATAGAGCCTCCTCGGACTCCTTCGTCTTTTCGCGGGTGACGTCGCCATCATCAAGCTCTTCCTGCGTAGGCTGCTTCGTAATGTACCACCCATGCTCGAGCGTCCAGTCTGTCTTCCCTTCCAGCATATTGCGCACGCGTGTCATCGTATCTTTGCCGCGATCGATCAAGTCAGGCTTGGTGATCACACCCATGCATCGGTTGACCGCTTCCTGGTCTCTGATGATGCCGAAAGTCTTCGAAGTGTTGACGTCGACATTGGCGGCGGCCGCAAGCAGTACAATCGACTTGGATGCGCTTACGTAGATTGAAAGCAACCTGTCGACGAAACGAACGAGGTACTGGTCCTCAGGCTTCTCCGTGACGGAGATGGCGCCTGGCAGATCGTACCTACGCTAAGGTTAGCATGATGAGGGACCGAAGCGCCTGGTGCCACGACTTACAAAGCCAGCTCTGGCAGCTTTGACGAAGCGATCTCCAGGCGAACCACGTTGCATGAGAACTTGAGAGTGGTAGCTTGGGCGGGATTGTTGGCTTGCAGAATGGCAGCAGCGTCTCTGTCCGGGCTGAGGATGGCTACCTGTGCGAGACGCAGCACTTGCTCCAGAGAGACTTTACTCTGCACGGAAGTGAACGGTACGATGTTTGGGGTGTCGAGCTTCTTCCAAGACACATCATTAGTCGAGCGTGAGTGGGTGTATTTGTACACAAGAGACACTTTGCATGACCATTCGGTGTTTGAGGTAGAGGTCCTGAGCTCGAAAGGAACGCGAGTGCAGGTCCCGGAATTGCGTGGGAGAGAAATGTCGCAGATCGCTTCGATAACCGAACTCTTGCCGTGGCTCTGATCGCCAACAACGACGACCTTCGGCAAGGATGGCAGTGTCTTATCGATTCCGAGAGATTCCAGTTTGCCGATGGTTCTGATGAGCGTGCGTGGCTGTACGAAGCTCGTGGAGATGGTCTCGGAGGTGGTTGCTTTCGGGACGTCAGTAAGTGCATCACTGCTTGAGTCACGGCAGTGCTCACCGCCGGTCGAACTGTCATCCTGGTGAGCCGCAGCGTCTTCCACCCGGTTGTTGAGCATGTCGACGTCTTCATCATTCCTCACTGTGCTGCCCGAGATGGGCTGGTTCTCCCGGTGTCCTGAAGGAGACATGGTTGCAGAGCGATTGCTGGTGTTCTCACTCATGTCGAAGCTGTCAGCGACAGGCTCCTTCTTAATGGAAGACCTTGTGTGCACCATCGACACGTTAGCAAGACAAGTGAAGTACAAGGTAAGTGTGATGTGTCTTGAACAAGAAGGAAACGTGTCGTGTGTGAAGTTGTCATGGGTGAGCTTCAATGAAGTGACGTCGTCAAAGCAGTATAGTCTGTAGTGCATGTGACCTGAATCGAAACTCACCGAGAATAACAATGCATGTGATATTTCCGAACAAAGTCCCGCATAAGTGAGTGGCTCTGGTCTCCGAGATGGTACGCGAGGCTCATAGATCCAACAAGACAGTGGACATGATGGCGAGAGGAAGAACAAACAACAGGAAAAGGCTACTTATAGCCAGGACATGGTGTGGATTTCGAGTGAAGCGAGTTCGTACATACGGGTTTCGTGACTTCACCTCACCTCACCACCACCATTCAACGCCAAGGATCTCAAGACACCAGCATCGAGAGCAGTGAGGCAAAAGGGAGGCATGTCGCAGATTGTGAAATCCCACGACGTTGTGACGAGAGCGGACAACGGCCGCAGGGACAAGGGAGACGCAACAGAGCAGGGCTCCGGGCGGCAAAGGTGCATAACGAGCAGTGTCAGCGTTGAGCATAGCATGAGAGGACTTGATGTTGGAGGACTCATATATTCACACAGCTTGTAATGCATCGGCCAGCACTCATACGTGATCTATCCGTCGAGTGATCATGTCTGGGCGTTATGCAATATCGCACAGCATAGAGTAGCTCAGGGGACGGAGTTGATCACAGTGGAGTCGACAAGGACGGTCTGCCGTTCGTCCCACAGGGAGACAGATTCCCACGATACTGTCCTCTCCAAAGCAACATCTTCCAGAACTTCAGACTCGGTACTTCGACGGCCGATGATGGTACGGAGACATGAAAAGCAGCATAGTAATCGCCTCCCTTAAACGTCCATCCAGACATCGACTTCCGCTCGAGATGACATTGAAATGGAGAAGATACCCCCAATAACAGAAGAGATGAAGTTGGACAGACGAGAAGGAAGACGTGATGAAGTGTGGTGGAAGGGTCCCCCGCTAATGCAAGGTCCCTCGTGATCGACGTTGTGTGCCCGCTAGCTTCACCGAAAAGTGGGAGAGAACGTTGCACATGGCGGGAGAAATTGTTGACAGCTCTCTTCTTCCGCGAGGCTGCACTGTGCTATTGGTCTTTGTATCTGTTTGACATTGACGCCAAAGGACGGAAGTACACGTCGAAAGAGTCAGCGCTGAGACGTCGATATGGCATCGCTTCAGGTGCCAATGCGTGGGAAGTCGGGCAAGTCGCCGACGACGAAGGCGGTGATATTGGTATGGACATGAGTTGGACTCGAGGGTACAAGAAGTTGACCAATTGAAAAGGTTGGCGGACCATCGAGAGGAACAAGATTCCGACCACTGTCTCTTGACCTCCCAAAGGTGAGTCGAGCACACTTCACATGCTTCAACATTCACTAACGCCAAGTAGCCTCTCTTCGAGGTCGCCGGTGAGCCACCTACACACCCTACGCGACCACCCCGTGCTAACACGGACAAAACCCAGGCCACCCCATCATCTCCCACTGCTTCGCCGCCATCACCAAGCTCCCCGAGATCCGCGAAGTCTTCATCGTCGGCTACTACGACGAGTCCGTCTTCCGCGACTTCATCAAAGACTGCTCGCGCTCGCACCCGTCCATCTCGGTCCGCTACCTGCGCGAGTACCAAGCCCTCGGCACCGCCGGCGGCCTCTACCACTTCCGCGACCCCATCCTCAAGGGCCGCCCCGACCGCTTCTTCGTCCTCAATGCCGATGTCTGCTGCTCCTTCCCGCTGGAGCAGATGCTGCGGCTGTTCGAAGAGAGGGACGCCGAGGCGGTGATATTGGGGACGCGGGTGCCGAATGAGGCGGCGACGAACTTTGGGTGCATTGTGAGTGATGCGCATAGTAAGAGGGTGTTGCATTATGTAGAGAAGCCGGAGAGCCATATCTCGAACTTGATCAACTGTGGGGTGTACTTGTTCTCGACCGAGGCGATCTTTCCTAGCATCAAGAGCGCCATCAAGCGTCGCTCGGACAGGCCACGGCTAGTCAGCTACCCTTCCTCGGACGCGCTGGACAACCAGTACCTCCCACCGCAAGACGACGACGACGAAGACGGCGAGAAGAACGAAGTCATCCGCCTCGAGCAGGACATCCTCTCCGACCTCGCCGACAGCCGCCAGTTCTTCGTGCTCGAGACCAAAGACTTCTGGCGGCAGATCAAGACCGCCGGCTCCGCCGTCCCGGCCAACGCCCTCTACCTCACCAAAGCCTTCCAGCAGCAGTCCGAGGAGCTCGCGAAGCCCTCCGCCACCATCCTGCCGCCCGTCTTCATCCACCCGACAGCTCGTGTGGATCCGACAGCCAAGCTGGGCCCGAACGTCAGTATCGGCCCTCGCGCGGTCGTCGGTGCTGGCGTCCGGATCAAGGAGTCGATCGTGCTCGAGGATGCTGAAGTGCGGCACGATGCTTGCGTGCTCTACTCCATCATCGGCTGGAGCAGTCGTGTCGGTGCATGGGCGCGAGTCGAGGGTACGCCAACACCAGTACGCGAGCACAATACCAGTATTGTGAAGAACGGCGTGAAAGTGCAGAGTATCACGATCTTGGGCAAGGAGTGTGCGGTGGCGGACGAGGTGCGCGTGCAGAATTGCGTGTGCTTGCCGTTTAAGGAGTTGAAGAGGGTGAGTACTAATATCTCACTCTCTAGTGATGAATGCGATGCTAATATTGCCCGTAGGACGTCCAGAACGAGGTGATCATGTAAATTCACGACATCGCAAAGCACGAGAGGAGAGGAAAATGGTGGGCTATAGTATAGATATGGCGTAGAAGCATTGAAGGACGCTCCACAGAAGCGTGGTAATGATATGAATGATAAACGATCCCTCCTCCAGCCAGGTTCTCGGTCTTTGCTACTTATGTACTCGCGTTAGCCAGCGGTGGGCCAGGCACACGTCCAGTAAGGTCAATTTAAGGCAGGCTGTCTGGAGGAAGCCGAGGAGAAGAGTTCAAAGACTGGAATCAGTGGTAGGACGGTTAAACTGCTTCCAGATGTATTCGCTAGTACGCTACAAACGCTCATGACTTGCGTAAGACACTGGAGAAGGCTATGAGATCGCGGCCTTCGGCACGCTCTTCGTCCTGCGCCTAATACTGAACAGATTCTTGATCTTCCGCAGCCGCGACTCCCTCTCCTTATCCTGTCGCGCGACCTCTTCCTTCGACAGCACAGGCGGCTCGTCATCGTCCTGCTCGCCACCAGGCGTAGCGTCCGCCTCCTCAGCCTGAAGCTGCGGCGTCCCACCCTGCTGACCCGACCGCCGCCTATAGTCCTTGACGAACGTCGAAACCACCCGATGCAAGATCTGGCACGCGTTCTGTCCCTTGAACGTGCCTGAAGCTCGTTGAGAGGCTGGATTGCGCCAGGGGCAGTGGTCGCGGTGCATTTCGACTAGATCGATCAAGGCTGTGTCCTCACTGTCCTCGGCATCGGAGCTGTGGCGGCGGGGTCGGTAGCCGGGCTGGTACATCCAGAGGCCGATGCGCTGGAAGCAGGCGTCGCAGTGGAGGAGGGCGTTGGAGGCTTCGTATGCGCCGCGCCAGCCGTGGAGGGCGATAGTTAGTGCTGGTTCTGAAGACACGGAGTTGGCAGACGGTACGATGTCCGGCGGTAGATCCTTGAGTAGGCGGTGCGTCGGAAGCACTTTGGTCTCGTCTTTCTCGATGGTTCGGAGCTTGATGCCCTGGATCTGAGCGCTGATCTTTAGGGTGGACTGGAACCGCTTCTTGAGCTCTGGCTGCCAGATGGAAGGGCGGATGACTTGGAGGTGGTAGATGTCGTCTTTGCAGCCTGCTTGTCCCCATAGACAATTTGCCGCGTGTCCTTCGACGATGATCGTCTTATAGCGCTCCGTGAGAGCCTGCTCGAAAGCTTCCTCATCCTCACTATCGTCTTCTGCCTCTTCATCCTCGTCCTGTGTAGCCCTCTTAGCATGATCCAAGCTCACCACCACCCTCTTCTCGCACCCTCCCTTGCACGCGACGGTGTTAACGTCCACGCACCGCCATCCTCGCTTCGCCCATTGCACCTCGTTGATCGCTTCCGGCTTGGGATGCCACAGGCTCACGCTGCTGAACGTCTTCAACCGCGCCAGGAAGGTCTCATGGGACCATGGCGAGTAATTTGGCGCTTCTCTGGGGTTGCTCGTCGAGTCAATCCTCTTGCTTGCCGGTGTTGGTATGGCATCGAGCTTCTGTGGCAGTGAAGAGCTGGAGACGCTGTGTCGGAGGCGCTTTGTTGCTCGCGCGCGGGCTTCGTCGAATGCTTCTGTTGGGGTCAATGTCCGCTTGCTTGAAGTGGTCGTATCTGCTGTAGAGGGCGTCAAGGAGACTTGAGAGTCGGTGGTGAAGGTGTCGAGAGCCTTGTAGAACTTGCGCTTGGTCGTTGCGAGGGCGACTTCTTCTGGCATGGCGGCGGATGGGTGGGTGAGGTATTCACAGACGTAGACTCATTTTAGAAAGGACGTTTTCCCACCTCTATCGATTATGGTCAATAGCACAATGGAGAAGCCAAAGTGTACGTGTATTGACGACGATCAACAATAGGTCGGAGGCTCGGACGTGAAGTGAGCGCGCCGGCCGAGCGATGGAAGGATTGGAAGTGACTTCTACGCCGACCCTTCTGGCCATGATGCGAGTCACAGCTGGCATCAAACGAACATATCAATCTTCTTCGACAATCCCGACTTCATCACAAGATATCAAAGGACAAGATCGGAGGACTGTAAAACTCAAAGGCCAGGGAGAGCAACACCGAAAGACCGGCTTGGTCGATTCAGCGTTCAGTCGATGACGCGATGGGCGACGATATGAATTGGTTTGCGACCGACCTGGACCGCAAGAAGAAGACTACCACCACCCCCTCACAGCCGTCAACATGCACACCGGAGCAGCAGCATATCCGTCTCGCATGCCAGGCTTGCCAGCGAAAGAAAATCAAATGCGATCGCCTCTTCCCCTGCGGCCAGTGCACACGATCCGGCTTGCAGTGCACCGCGAGCACGCGAAAACCGAGGGCGCGACATGCTGGCAAGCGCGCTGTCGATTCAGAACTACGGAGTCGCATCTCCAAGCTTGAGAGTCTGGTCGAGAGCCTCAGCGGTGAGGTTGGGGAGCAGGAGACGCCACCTAGCGATGCCCCAGCTCCTCCTGAAGAAGGGACTTCGGCTCAGCCCGCGCGTCCATCGGGCGCTGTGGACAAGTACATGAGCAGTAACTTCTGGTCGTCACTCACCACTGAAGTCCAGGCGCTGAGAGAAGCGCTGGAGGACGAACCGCTTGATGACCTCGACACGTCAGATTCGCCTTCTGGGTCAAGCGGTCAACAACCTTCTGGAGACTTTGATCTGATCGTGTGTCCGCCTGGATCGGTCTATGTGATGCCAGGCGCTCTGGTAGAACCCAGTCCTCAGCTCTCGGCTACCCTCTGCAATGTCTTTTGCGAGTATGTGGACCGGCTGGCCAAGGTCTTCCACAGACCCACTCTGAAAGCTTTCATGCTCGATGGCAAGTCGTATCTTGGCTACGACCACACAGCCCCTGGCAACAAGCTGCTGAAGGCTACCATCTGGTGAGTATCACGTGAACAGAACCACCTCTCATTGACACTCGTCGAACAGAGACAGATCTCATAGCCGATGCAAGAGAGCATCTACGATCGTGTGGGCTAGTTGGTGCTTACAGACCGGCTATATGATCTGTGTCTAACCCTCGACTGTCCTAATTGGGCGCAGAACGCCCCTTTACGGCCTTCACGATTCATTTTCCAGAACATCTGCTGACTTGTTCTCACTACGTTCGCACAGGTTCGCCGCCACGAGTACCATGTCCGAGAACCAATGTCAGATGCTCTTTGGCCAGTCGAGGCCCGATCAGCTACAGCTGTATAAGCGGCTTGTCGACGTGGCAATGTCGCAAGCAGATCTGATGGTCACAAACGATTTTGCGACTCTTCAAGCTCTTACCGTCTACATTGTAAGTCTCGATATATCCCCACCAGCAATCGAAGGGTTTTTCTTAATGAACATAGGCTGCAATCCGAATGTACGAAGGCAGCCGGAGAGCCTGGACACTCACAGCTTTAGCAGTGCGAATCGCACAGTCAATCGGCATCGACCGCGAAAACGTACCTCGATCGCCATACGTCACGGAAATTAGGAGACGGCTGTGGGCCTTTGTCCGATTCCTCGACATCTACGCTGCGCTGGATCGAGGAACAGAACCGCTGATTGCAGGCAGCTCGGTTCCCAAAGCGAAGAACACCAACGACGCGGACTTTGACGAGAATTCCACGAGCATTCCCGAGTACGAAGCTATCACGGACATGAGCTATGCCCAGCTCATCTACGACGCGCTGGAATCCACCGTCCGTCTCACCATTCCCACAGACAAAGTCGCGGACGAGACCTGGCAGAAACGAATGGAGGTTGCGGAAAAGTTCGAAGCAACCGTCCGGGACAAGTACTGGGGATACGTCGATGAGAAAGACCCTGTGCAACGCCTCCTGCTGCAAGTCTCCAGATCCATGGCCAGCTCCATGAAGCTGCGCGCCGTCCGACCTTTGAACAACAACAACGTATCCTCCGGCACCCCACGCATCGACAGCCCCTACGTGCTCCAAATCGCCGTCGACTGCCTGCGCAACAGCGAAATCATCCAATCCGACCCGGAAACGACCCAATACCGCTGGCTCGTCTGGGTCCAATGGCACGCCATCGCCGTCGCCCTCGCCGGCCTCTGCAGCATCCGCGACACCGACCTCGCCGCCGAAGCCTGGCTGCACGTCGAGCAGTCCTACGCGCGCAACATCCGCGTCGTCGCCGACGCCCGCACCGGCATGCTCTGGAAACCCATCGAGAAGCTGTACCGCAAAGCCTCCGCTTTTCGAGACCACGGGCGCGCGCTGTCCATCTCCAGCACTACGCCGGCGTACGACAGTAATATGCGTTTTCCCCCGCTCTCGAACCTCAGCCTCAGCTCCACCACCTCCCCCCAAAACCAAAACCAAAACCAAAACCAAAACATCGACCCAACCCTAACAACCCACCAACAACAACCACTCCCACAAATTCCGCCGCCCCTCCAGCCAAGACCAGGCAACATGCCCACCTCCGGCGTCCCCAACAACCCCATGGACCTGTCCCTGTCCTTCTCCGACCCTCCTTTCTCCGACCCTCCCCTCCTCAACAGCAACCCCAACTCCAACCTCTCTTGGCCAGACGTCGGCAATGGCGACATGAGCTGGATGGACTTCGAGCGCATGCTGGAAGACATGTCGAATCCTGCTGTCCCTGGCGCGACGGGGTTCGGGACGTTTCAGCCTACGGTGTGGCCGCAGGGGGAGGGGGAGGAGTGGATGTGAGCGTCTCCGTCTCGTCTGTAGCAGGAGCGGCTGCCATGCCACGGTTCAGGGAGTGCGGTTGTGACGGACGCTCACCGTGTCCTAGAGAAGAGGGGGGGATTCTCACGTGTCGGAATTAGCATGCCTTAGATACCCAGCTCAATCTCACGATTTTACGACCAGATCACATGACATAAGGACAAGATGAATGCAATCAAGAATACAACAACGATACCGAACCAACACCAAAACAATAAACCAACCCGCCCAGAAAAACCACCCCCAGCCCATCTCTCGTGACCATCATCCCAAAAACAACCCCCCAAATCTCTCCCAATCAATTCACCTCCCCAACCTCAATCCCCAAACTCTCCAACGTCTCCTCCACCCCCCTCTCCCCCTCCCCCTCCCCCGCTGTACCACCACCACCACCATTCTGCCTCTGCCCCTCAAGAACATCATACAAACTATAGACCTGATCGCTCCTCCGCTCAATCTGCCCCAGCACCTCCCGTATCCCCTGCTGCAACTGCATGCGCTTGCGCTTCCCGATCGAGGGGTCATGTTTTGCATACAGCTTTTCTTTGGAGGAGAGGGAGTTTTTCAGGTGGACGATTTCGTCTTCGAATTGTTTGATTACGCTCGCGAGAGCGAGGGGTGGGGGCTCGGAGGGGCGGATGGTGGCGAGGGTGGTGTCGTCGATTTGCTCCGTGCGGTCGTTCACAGGCACGGGGGTGGGGATAGTTGGGGGGTTGTTGGAGTTGCTGCTGCGCTGGGGGCAGGCGGTGCAGGTGGTGGGGTCGTGGTTGAGGCCCGAGTGGTCGTCGAGGGTGGTGTTGAGGGTACTGTTGAGGGTGATGTCCGGCACGATGAAGGCGGAGGTCATGCCGTCTTCTGCGCTCTGTGCGCGGCGGTGGCGGCGACGGCTGGTGTTGCTGCCGGCGCTCATGAGGGAGAGGTCGGCGGTGTTGTCTGGAGACTGCTGTGCAGGCTGCTCGGTGGCCTGACTGCTGTGTGGCGACTGTACGCGGACGTTCTTGGACGTCTTGCGCATGTCGATGAGATCGAAGATGTCCTTGCCAGCTTCGGAGTCCAGAGTGACATCTCTGATGCTCGACTTGCGTGGCAGTGCGTCGGACACTTGACGCGAGCCTTCGGCAGGCACCGATGCGGATCGAGTGGTATGGCGCTTAGCCTTGCGCTCGTCCTCAAGGGTCTGCCTCACACTGTTAACAAGACGCTCATCTTGGAAGTCGACGCTGAGAAATGTAAGATCTCTTACATCCTCATGTCCAGATGGCGCTGCTTGCTTAGCAGGCACTGGCAGAGAGGCTCGCTTCGATGGCTTCACGAGAGAAAAGTCAATGTCGCATGTCGACTGGGTGCGATCGCCATCGATGCTCATGGTTGGGTCGGAGATGGTGCGCTTGGTGCCGGAAGCAGAGCGTTGGATGCTGGCATCGCGCTGCTGAGGCTGCGAGGCAGACTGGTGGTTGTTGTTGTCGTTCTGCTGCAATGGTGTGCGCCGACGAGTGCTCGTAATTCTGGACGCACGTGGCCCTGCTGCGTCACGGAGCTTTTGAACCTCCTGGTCGATGAGCGACTGGAGGTCGTCCTTATTGGACTCGTTCGGAACAGGGTCGACACGTGGAGCTTGGTAGGCTCTTTGAGCCTCTGCGCCTCGCAGGAGGGTGGTCTTAACATCCTCGGCTTGCGAGACCTGACGAGAAGCGTTCTTAACCTTCTTGGCCGGCGGTGGCATCGAGTCTGCCTTGGTCTTCATTCGCGCATCTCTCTTCGTGCGCTGAGCGACGTCAGCATCAAAGCTGCGCTGCATCTGCTCCATCAGAAGACGAAGTTCTTGGCTCTCCTTCTGGAAGGCATCAACCTCTTCCTGGAGGTCATTGTTGTTGGCCGTGAGTGCGTTGTTTTGTTGTTGGAGAGTTTTGTTCTGTCGCTGGAGCGCTGCCTTGTCGGCGGCAAGAGTGTTGTTTTGTTGTTGAAGGGTATGGTTGTCGGCAGTGAGGGTGTCATACTGCTGCTGGAGTTTCTGATTTTCAACGCTGAGCGCCTCATTGTCAGCCTGCAGTGCCTCGTTGTCGGCTTTGAGCTGTCCATCGCCAGCATTCCGCAACTCCTCATTCTCCGCCCTCAGCTCCTCGATGTCAGCCTTCAGCTCCTCATTCTTAAAAATGGCGCCGCTGGTCTTTTTGGCGGTCAGCTCGCGCTCTTTGTTAAAGCGCTGGATGTCATGCTCCAGCAATTCACGCTCTGTGACACCGCGTTGGACGGTGAGCTCCGCCACGGCGACTTTGTGATTCGCCTTGTTAAGTTGATTCTGAAGAGAACGATAGGCAGCGCGAAGCCGGTTGTTCTCTACCTTCCCCTTCGCAGCATCATCCTCGTCTGAAGATCCGAGACCGCTGTCCGGGCGGTAGTACGAGGCGGCCAATTCGTTGCGGAGCTGGTCGTTCTGTTGCTCCAACTTCTCTTGACGCAAAGCGGACTCCGACTTCTCCGTCTCCAACTGTGCAACGCGCTCCTTAAGCAGTTGCAGTGAGGCATAGATGGCCTTCTCCTCCTCTGGCACTTGGATGCCCTCCACTGGCTCATACTGTGGTTGCGTCTTTGGCAACTGTGCTGGTGCCGATGCGAAGCGGGAGCGCGGCTTGGTAGATTTCGGTGTGCCGTTCTTGCCTGTGCCGGACACTAGCTCGGTGATGTCCGCCAGCTGAGGCAGGACGAAGGAGTTCGACTGAGCGGTATGTTGTGAGTCATGACGCGAGAATTGGGCTGGCGCAGTGGCGGCGCTGTCATTAACAGCAACGTTCGCAGCAGCATACGCGCCTGAGGGTGGATGACGCGCGCTTGTGAAACGCGTATTGCGAGTGGTGCGCGCGGTGAGGGTGGCGGTGAGCTCGCGGGTGCTCTCGGAGACGATGGATGCTTCATCTTCGCAGGTCGCCTGGTGGAACGCCGCGGACAGGGAGCGCTGGTTGATGTTCTTGGGAGCTGCATTGGAGGCTGCACGGCGGATGGATGCTTGGCGCCTCAGGCTTCCATTGTTTTGGTGGGTGTTGTTGTTGTCGCGCGACAATTGACGTGCGATCGGGGAGACGTGGCGGGTGATGGGAGGAGTCTCGACGAAGGAGTACAGCTCGCCGTTGTTCTCGAAGCGGAAGTTGCTCATAATGCTGGAGTCTTCCTGTAGGGACGCGCCTCTCTTCTTTGCGCGTCCAAGCTCAATGCTCGTTGTTGACTCTCCGCTGGCGTCGCTGGCCGACTCCGATGCCTGATCTGGGAAGTGGTCGTAGTTGTTGTGGATGTGAGGGTGTTGCGGCAGCTGTTGCTGGGCCGAGGTAGCGGTGTTGTCGTTGGGGGTGGAATGGAGGACGTCGCCGAAAGAGGAGCCAGTGGCGGTGGCGTACTCGTCGGTGCGCGGAGAGCTGGAGCGCGGGCGGGTGTTGGAGAGGGTGTGGATGAGGTGGGCGCGAGATGCATTGGTGGCCGCCATCTCGTGCGGCTTGGAGAGGAGGGTGTGGTCGAGGGGGTTGGATGATGCTGCGGTGAGGCTGCTAATGGGTAATTGATTGGTAAGACTTGCTTATTGGGGGATGGTATGCTCGATGAACAGATGAGTGCTTCAATGCTTGCTGTACTGCTCTTGCTTGATGTTGCAATGTCGAAGCAGAAGTCGAGAGGCTCGAGGGCAGCTTCGGAGAATTGGAAGTAAACAACGGCCCCGCGCTGCTACAATCAACCTTCGTCACAATCAACACCCTTAACTCTGCATCCCTTTGCGACGCAATCACTCTCACAATCAATTATACACACATGGTCGACATCAGCCAAGGTTGATTGCAACAACATGAACATTGAAGAGTATTGCGAGCACGTGATACAGCCATTGCGGTAAAACATCGGATGAACACATGATGCGACTCAGACGCGAAAACACGTGAGCAGAAGAAACCACGATTGGAAGAAGACGAGTTGCGCAGAACAATCTTGCACCTTGAGTGACACCGCAGCTTCGCCTTCCATCTGGTCGCATGGGAATTGACAATGCCACGTCGAGGACAATAAGCCGAGCAAGGTGAACGGATTGCTGGAAAGAATCTCGGGCTCCAACATCTTCAGCCGATTCGCCTGCAGTGAGCATGAGCATGTACTACTGGCTGCACACATGGCCGATACGCCGCCACCCCGGCAGATGTCGCTGATCCCTTATCCTTACCAGAATGGTGAGGTTGTTCTGTGAGCATAACCTATACCTCTTTCTCGCGCTTCGCTGACAACACCTTTCCAGCCGCCGAGGCAACGACGTCGTGGTCTACGATGCGCAGTCCCGCTCGCTCTCCGTCCGCAACACATCTGAGGATGCCGTCGAACTCAACGAATGCCCCTACTGCCATCGCCCATTCCGAGACGATGTCGACCGCGAGACTGCTGACCGCCGTGGCCGGCCTGGTTCAGGCTATGGCGAGCGGCCCATCATCAACCCGGACTACTTCGACATGCTGGCCGCCAGTCGCCGTCCTTCCCCTGTCGGCTCGGCTGGGACGACGACCCCCGTGAACCGCTTCTACCAGCCCGCTCTCCGTTCTGGCCGCTCCAGAGATGTCAGCGGCGCTCACGATCCACCTACAGGGGCTGAGTTTGTGGGCAGCGAACCATCTGCTTCAGCTAGAGAGGGCATCAGTAGCTCCGCATTCAGCCCGGGCTACTTCAGACAGTTCTTCCGCGAGATCCAAGAGCTCGGCCGCGGCGGGAACGGCGTGGTACTTCTGGTGGAGCACGTCATGGATCGCGTCTCGCTGGGCCAGTTCGCCTGCAAACGTGTGCCTGTCGGCAACGACCACGACTGGCTGGAGAAAGTGCTCGTTGAAGTGAAGCTCCTGCAAAAGATACCGCACAAGAATCTGGTGGCCTACCACTGGGTTTGGCTGGAGGATCACCAACCTTCGACATTCGGGCCCAGTATTCCTTGTCTGTGGATGCTGCAGGACTTTTGCAATGGTGGCGACCTGCACTCGTACGTACTGGGGCCGAAGAGTTCGGATGATTACAACGACAAGGAGAAGCTCAAGGAACGAGTCAGACGCCACTCCAAAGGCGATCTGGAGCCTCCAGTCTCACAACTGCGCGGCCCTAGCAAGCTCACCTTCGACGATATATTCTCCTTCTTCCGGGACATCACATCCGGCCTTCACCACCTGCATAGTAGAGGCTACATCCACCGCGATCTCAAGCCCTCGAACTGTCTGATTCAGCGCGATGGCGCTCGCCTCTTCGTTCTCATCTCAGACTTCGGTGAAGTCCAAGCCGCAGGGGCCAAACGAGGCTCCACTGGCGCCACTGGCACAATCTCATACTGTGCACCTGAAGTTCTGCAACAAAACCCTGCAGACGGCAGCTTCGGCGACTTCACCACGAAATCCGACATCTTCTCACTAGGAATGATAGTCTACTTCATGTGCTTCGGCCGCCTCCCCTACACCAACGCCGACGACATCAACGAAGAAAACGAAGACATGGACGAGCTACGAGCCGAAATCACCAAATGGCCCGGCTTCGACGACGAGCTGCGCTCCCGTCCAGATCTACCAGAGAAGCTCTATCGCTACCTCAAACGCCTCCTCAGCGTCGACCCCAACGAACGCCCAAGCACCGAGGACATCCTCGTCAGCATCAAAGGCGGCGTTGGCCTAGGCGAGACGGGTCCGACTATGTTCGAAGACACAAGCTCCCGCGTCTCATCGATCGATTCACCGCGTCACAGGCCCTCGCCTCAAGGTCGCAAGGGGTATGTCAGCCGACCAGGCCTCTCATCGTTGTCTCGACATCTGTCTGAAAACGACATCCGGCCTACTTCGCCCATCCGGCCTGGGAGCGGAGGTTTGCGACGGGGTAGCCCTACCGCTACAACTCCGGGGTCGATGGAGAGTAGTACCGTCATTAGACGGCCACCACGGCACGTCGACCTCCCACCGCCCACGCCCAAAGACGCCCGGTCTCCGCAGCAGAGTCCGCGGCTCATGCTGCCTCCTCCACCGTCAACCGCAGACTCCTTGGCCGCGAGGCTGTTCCATCTCACCCATCACCCGCTCACGCATGTCGCTTTCCGCACCGCCCTCTTCGTCGCTAAAGTCTTGTCGTTGACGTTGCCTTGCTCGCCATTCGTCACGAATGCGTGGTTGTTGTATCCGCTCCTCGCAGTTGCGGCGCTGGATCTTGGTTTGCTGCGGTTCGAGATACGGCGGTCGGTCTTGTTACTAGCCGCGCATGTTACGACGGTCATACTGGCGGCGCAGCAGGGCCGATTATGCGAGTTTAGGAAAGGAGATGGGTGGATGTGGGAGGACGTCATCCACGGCGACGGATAGTCTCTACCTTAATCGAGCACGAATTACGATGAGATGATCTTACGAGAAACACGAACCCTCTTCAGCGACGGTGTTTGAATGTGATGGTCACGCCACAAAAAAAGGTGCCGTCTTGAGATAGCTTGAAGTTTTTACAACCTCAAAAGTCTTTACAACCTCAATTCAATTCCCCTCCCCCCTCCCACCAACACCATACCCCCTCGCCACTCCCCGCCTCCCCTCCTCCATCACCGCCCCCCGTATCCTCCCCTCCTCGTCCCGCTCATACTGTACCTCGTAATCACTGCCCAGACCCTGCCACGTCCTTTTCTCGCGCAGGAATTCCGCGGCGGGGGATACCGCGCCGTTGATGGATGCGAGTGCGGCTTTCGGGCGTTGGACTAATTGGGAGGAGGGGGGTGCGTTGCCGGAGGTGGTGGTGGGAGGCGTTGAGGCGGAGGGGGGTGAAGGGAGGGTGGGGTCCGGCCTGGCGGCAAGGCGAGGCATGGGACGGGTGTGGGAGACGTAGCGGCCGGTGCGGAGGTCGAAGTCGGGGGGTTCGTCTTCGTCGGAGGGTGCGTCGGCCCAGTTTTCCGACGTTCCTGCTTCTGTCGGCGGCTCGGCGTCGTGGGTGTTCGTTGTGTCGTCGATACCATTCCCTTGATCACCAGCCCTATCCACACCCGCCGCCTCAACCCCACCATCAGCCTGTGCACGCCCAAGCAACGCCCCAAAATCCGCCACCCACTCCCCACCCCACCGCCTCTCCCCATCACCCCGCAACGCTACCTCCAACTCAAACGGCGTCACCACCGGCGCGAAGAAGTCCCTACTCTCCACTAAACTGCTCTCCCAACAGCCAATAACCACCCACACGCCCACCTCGGCGAAATTCGCCAGTTTCGCTGCGTTCAGCTTCCCGACCACAAACGTGTACGTTTTCTTCCCCGCGGCGGAAGCGAGGTCCTTGCAGTGCGTGAGGGCGGAGAGGTAGTTGCGGACGGAGAGGGTGTTGATCAATATGCCGAGGATCGGGGTGCTGGGGACGCGCGTGAGGAGGGCGTAGCGGCGGCGGAGGAGGGGGAGGGTTGTGGCGGGTTCGAGGGCGGTGCGTTCGGGTGGGGTGAGGGAGGTGGGGTAGATGTGGATGGCTTTGACGCGCGTGGTGAGGACGAGGAGGAGGGAGGTTGGGGGGTGGGAGATGTGGAAGATGGAGTGGTGTTGTAGTTCCTCTGGGCCGTTGGTTTGAACGTCCGATGGGATTGTGCGATTTGGGAGGAGTGATGCTGGGTCGTGGATGATTTCGGTGGCGAAGATGTTGCTGTAGCCTTCGGTTCGTAGTGCTTCGGCCAGGGGAGGTACGTGGTGCGAGTACGGGACGTCCGCCATGAGGCATACTTTTTCCGTCTTGCTGGGATAGGTTGCCTTGAAACTCTCGACAGCCGCATCTAAGTCCAGCGACGGAGTGGTGAAGACGTAAATGACCGGTAGCCGTGCCGTGGGCGAAAGACATGTCCGGCCGTAATGTACAACGACTTCCGCATCGACATGCTCGGCTGCGATCTCGTCCACGCAGCAGGCGCCGTAGGAGGTGTCCGCTAGGATGGTGATCTTCTCCTCGCCCTTCTCTCCGTCCCCTTCCTTGTCATCTGAACCGGCATTCACAGCTAAGTCCACCTTGGTCACTCCGTCTACAACCGCATCCACCTCTGATCCTTCCTCCAGCTTCTGGCCTGTGTCTTGCTTCCCACTGTCCCGATTTCTGCGTCTTGACCTCCTCAAATCTCCACTCAACCTCTCGCTCACCCTCGGCGCATCACACAACATCTCGTCCGGAAACTGCAAAGCGATCCTCTTCCACCCATGTCCGCGAATCTCTCGCACAGTCCGCTGGATCTCATATTGAATGTACAGCTGCTCGTCTGATATGCGAGAAGTCGTCTTCTGGGGCGTCGTGTACTCGAATAGGTTCTCGGCCGGCGTTGAGAGCACGGGAGCGGTAGACATCGTTTTGCGGTGCTGTGGTTGTGGTGTGGGATGGAGGTGAGGTTGTCGAGGGTTAGGGTTGGGGTTGCCGGGAAGATTTTCATGTGACAGTGGTGGCAACTTCCTAATTCGTCTTCGTAGATGTTTTGCTCAATCTATCCTTGACTAGGCTTGATGTTGGTAGAATGTGAAGGCAGACCGTACGTACAGCATTTGAATATTCTTATCCCCTGAGGGTTTGAAGCATTTTTAAAATTCAATGTGGCTACCTCCGTATCACAACCAATGTCTTCGCAAGGCCAAGAAGTTCGGATTGCGAGGCAGTGAGACATTGCAGGCCAACCTATTGTACGGAATCTATCTCGAACAGGTTGACTGAAAGGACGTTTTCTTGGCAACACAGATTCAACTTGAGTCGTATGTCCGCTTCTATACATCCCCACCTATCAATACAGCCTCCTTGGTTATGACCTATACGACATTGTCGAAAGTAGAGTGTAGAACCCATATTTCATCCCGCATTGCGCCTCGCTATGCCATCCATGCAAACCCACGCGCAAAATGCACAGCCAAAGCACTCTCTCCTCTCTCATGCCGGCGCCAGCCTCCCTTCACTCCCCGTACTGCTCTGCTGCGGCGGAGGCGGCGGCATCTCCAGCCGTGTATTTTCCGCCATCATCCTCTGGAAACCAATCCCCACACCCTCAATCACCGCAAGCAATATCGCGCATCCGATCGCACCGTTCCTGATCGCTCGAGGTCCTCCTCGTACTGCCAGCGCTCCGCCCGTGAAGAAGCCGGCGATGATGGCGTTCCAGGGGTCTTCCTTCTTCCGTACGCCTTTCACCGCGCAGTCGAATGTGCTGAACATGCCGCCCCAGACGCCGAAGTTGCCGCCGAGGACGGGGGCGCGGGCTTTGACTGCTGTCATTGCTGCAGACCCAATCGTATATTAGCTTGTACTCTTGAACTGTGTTGTTGCTTCAGGCTGCGGTCCAACATACATCCTATCATCCGTTCGCTGTAGGGAGAGTTCCGGAAACCTTTAATACCGTGCCATAACGATCCTCCTATTGCCTGTCACGTCCCTTCATTAGCAGCTGTCTCTGACCACCTCACGGATGAGCCAACATACCCCCATACAGAACGCGCCTCCGAAATCTGATAATGCGACCCACGGACAAGGGTCTCGGGAGTGGTCGAGGCCATGCGAGCCGCCCTCGTGGGACATGATGGTGGGAGGATGGTTGTGAGATGCGAGAGCTACGATGGCTCTATACGGAGACTGTGCGCAGGTCGAGGCGTGGTGGAATGATGTAGATACGAATAGCTAGATGGAGTCGCATGCGCTCATACCGTCCAGCAAAAGTGAATCCCCGAAGCTCGCCGCACTTCTCTTGCCTAATTGGGTCTGTCACGTGTCAAAGGCTTTATGGATGACTAACCGCACATCTTGAACAACGCTTGCGAACACATGTGCGGTCTTGTACTGCCTCGTGAGCAGTCTCGCCCTTTCCGACAGCAGGTCTTGTCTTCCTTCTCCTCCAGCAGTCTTGCGCTGCTTCGCCAGCAGTCTAGTCCTCCCTCGAAGTAGTCTGGCACTCCTCTATGAACACTCTTATACTCCAACCTCCCGACGAACATGTCTCGACAAGCCCAGTCGCGACCCCAGCCCACCACCCGACGACCAGCAGACAGTGAAGGGCAAGATGGTAAGTCATGATCACCCACCAATACCACCCCACGACTAACCACCTTCCCAGAGATCTGCCCAGTCTGCAAGTCCTCCCGCTACCTAACACCCACCCTCCGCTTCCTCATCAACCCGGAATGCTACCACAAATTCTGCGAATCCTGCGTCGACCGCATCTTCTCCCACGGCCCCGCCCCATGCCCCATCCCCGGCTGCCACAAAACCCTCCGCAAGCACAAGTTCCGCACCCCGACCTTCAGCGACCTGCAAGTCGAGCGCGAAGTCGACATCCGGAAGAAAGTGGGCGCGGTCTTCAACCGGCGGGAGGAGGAGTTTGAGGATCTCCGGGCGTACAACGATTACTTGAATGAGGTGGAGGATATTACGTTCAACCTGATTAATAAGCTTGAGGTTGAGGAGACGGAGAAGAGGTTCAAGGCGTATCAGCGCGCGCATGAGCGGGAGATTACGGAGAATGCTTCGTTGGCGGAGCAGGAGCGGGCGAGCTTCGCTGCGCTGCAGAAGGAAGAGCGGGAGCAGGCGAGGTCGAGACGGGAGGCTGCTCGGCGAGAGGATGCGGAGGAGAAGAGGCAGTTAGAGGAGAATCGACGTGATGTGCTGAACCGTTTGGCGTCCGGGCAGGATGCGGAGAGTGTTGCGAAGGCCGGGCAGCAGGTGCATTTGAAGAAGCGGATGGATCGGGCGGCGGCTGCAGAGAGGCAGAGGCAGTTGCAGGCGGCGTCTGCGTCGAATGGGAGTGGGAATGTGGTGATCAAGGGCCTAAGAGCGAAGCAGAAGCAAGAGCCCGAGGCGTCTGTGGATCCGTTTGGAGGGTTGAGCTTCGAGGGGAGGAAGTACTATGCTCTGCAAGACGATTACGTTTGGGCCGGTGTGCAAGAAACCAAGGCAGATGTCTTGATCGGAGCTGGAGGGTATGATGTTGGAGCGTTCACGGGCCGGGCGCTTTGCGAAGCTTTCGCGGGCTTGGGCGTGTTCGTCGGTGACGAGATGGATGAGCGCGACAGAGAGAAGATGGGCAAGGAGAACGACGAGATGGCTACCAAAGGGGCTGAAGTTGCTGCCACGAAAGGCGGGAATGCCGCGAAAGGCAAGGTGAAAGACGTGAAGATGGAAGATCCGTTTTGAGCGACCCACGACGAGCCATGTTTTGAACTGACAGATACCCCCGGAATTTAGCGTAGGCGTTGGGAGGTGTTGAAATAAATGGCAAGAACGAAAAGTACATTGATTCAGCTCAGTGCCAACCGCCTTTCTCGTTCGCTATCAAGCTGGACGCTAGGTACCTCAGGTAATGTATCAAACTTGTTTTTAAGCTACTGATCATAACAAGTGGCAGACGATTCTGCGGAGAAGCAACGGCCCCTATGCCACGTGTTTTGATCAGTAGCCTGATATAAAGTATGTAACTGGTCCTTTGCTATCTAATAATGTAGCACTGAGAATCTCAAACTTATCAACTCCACCCAGCTTTGACATCAACATGTCAGAGTCTAGCACAAATTGGAATCTCGATGGGCACCGACAGCTCCAGCTACCGCATCCAGACCACCCTCAAGATGGCCACACGGATATGGTTTATGCAGTGTCTGTTCAAGGCGACTACCTGGTGTCTGTTTCTGCCGACCGGACTGCTCGGGTTTGGGATCTTAGAACTCAGCGTCTTCTGTACCCGGCCCTTAGTGGACATACTGGAAGTGTCACAGCCGTACAATTTGATGCCGCCGCGCACAAGGATGTGATTATCGTTGGAGACGCTGACGGCAATGTCATGGTCTGGCGCTTCTCCACGAGGGAAACGGTCAAAACCATCGTCGAGGCTCATGTCGGTGATGTTCTCTGCCTACACTTCGACCACAGATATCTTGTGACTGGTGGCAAAGATGGCAAAATCAAGCTCTGGAACCGCCACTCGCTGGACGTCAACACTGACCTTCCTGGATTCGCTGCCCGGCCCGCGGAAGGTGACAGGCACCAGGAGTACAGTCTTCTCGCCACCTTCGATGGTCACGACAAGGCCGTGCTCGCTCTAAAGCTGAAAGACAACGTCCTAGTCTCTGGATCTGGTGATTCCAGTATGTGCATTTGGAGCCTACAGACTGGCGAGATACTCCAGAGAGTCAACATCCATCAGTCTGGTGTCGCGTGTCTCCAGTATAATGGCCGCTTCATAATATCTGGCTCGACGGACAATTCAGCTAAGATTTACGATGTCGATCAACACGCGGAAATTGCCTACCTCGAGGGCCACACCAACCTCATACGATCGGTCCAAGCAGTTTTCGGTGACAACGCCGAGGTCAAAACTATAGTCACTGGTAGCTACGACGGATCCATCAGATTTTGGGAACAAGTGCCGGGTTCACATGAATGGCGAACACAACAGCAATTTCACATTAGCGGCTTCGAAATGCACGAAGGCGTGCACTCAGATAACGGGGCAAACGTCTTCAGCAACAGGATCTCCTCGGTCGATCTCGATGCTGAGAGACTTGTTTGCGCCGGCCATGGACCTATCGTCCGTGTCTGGGACTTCCGTTTACCTCGCAAATGATAACCCTATCCGAAAATTGCCTCTACACTGGAGTTTCAACGGCCGTAACGTGCAGACTTCTGACTGCGTGTAGAAGCAGCAGGGGCACTTCGGCACTACCATCTATCAGCAACATTTAGGCAGTCTCTTCAGCTGCGGTCTTTGTAGATGCAAATGCGCCGAAAGGAAAGGAGAAAGACGTGAAGATGGAAGATCCTTTTTGAGCGACCCACGACGAGCCATGTTTTGAACGGACAAATGTCCCTAGAATCTAGCATAGGCAGGCGTTGGGTGGCGTTCAAAGAGTACGTGAAGCAATTCATGTTGACTGTACTCAATCAAGCAGACATACATACCCCCTCCCTGCATCCGGTGTCGAGCTGGACGCTGCTCTACGAGTCCAAAAACCAAAGTCCACATTGGCTTCGGTAGTGGCATCGCACGTGAGGTGACTGATGGCTGCTGATTTGAGAGGGTGGCCCGCATGTTACTCTACTAGACGTGCGATAATTCTATGGCCTTCTCTTCGGAAAGCGGATAGTTCGAGGAGAAAGATCGTCCAAGGTGTTGCACTGAGTTGGTGGCTGAGGTTTTGATAGAGTTTGGGGAGGTAGAGCCTGAGTTGGGTCACGTCCGCTATATCAAAAACAAAAGCCAAAGTGCCAAGACAGCTGCAAACAGTCCACAACACTCCCCCACCAGCCAAAATCGACGCTGTCACGGCCAAAAAGACATCCCACGACCACCTCTCACTGGATTATAGCCATGCAAAATTGCAAAACATTCAGCAGACGGTATTCCCACGTGGTCACCCACCGTAGTACTAATCATCCGATTCGCAGCTTGAGTACGGCAGAGCGGACGGGATGCCCTATTATTCTGCGATCTATGGCCGAATGTACTCTGTTCAAATGCTTGTATAATATATCTCTAGAATTGCGTTCCGAAGTCGAGCAAGACCCCTGCACACCGTGACGTACCTCGCTGTCTTCATGTAGGTTCCGTCCAACGGTGACGACTACTTACAGAGACATATGCACACTAAACGCAGGAAGACGTGTCCGCAGGGAGCAGGCGTACTGTGAACTCCCGCCCACAGTAATACCTCCGATCGTATAATACTCTTAGCAAACACAATCAACACATCCCCCCCCCCTACCCTCCTAAGCCATGCTTTTCCATACCATACGCTTCACAATCAACTATCCTTACTACTCCCACCCCCCTTCTTCCCCTTCTTCCCCTTCTTGCTCTTCTTTTTCTTCCCACTCCCCTTCGCCGCCTCCTCCTGCTGCACCTCTTCCTCCTCTTCCTCCCCTTTCTTCCCCTCTCCCTCCCCACCACCGTTCCCTTTCTCCTCATCACTACTACTACTAGTAGTCTCCAGCACCACCTTCTTCATCCCACCAATATCCACCGTCGTCTCCGTGATGCTCCCACTCCGCGCCTGCCGTCTCGAACTCTTCTCCCGGCTCGGGGGGCCAAAATCTCCGAGCAAATCCTGCGCTTCGTCCGCAGAGGTGGAGTCGCCAACGACTTCCTTTTGCGGGACTTTGAGGTGCTGGTTCGTGCGTTCTTCTGGCTGGGGCTTGGGTTTTGGTTGGGGGGACTGCGCTTTCTGCTCGGCGACTTGGCTGGCTTCGTGGGCGGACATGCGGTCGGTGCTGAGGGCGCGTTTTCGCGCGGGCGATTCGGGGCCGTCGGACATGGTGCCGTAGGTTTTGGGCAGGGCGGCTGTGCCGTCCGATGCGTCTTTGCCGGCGGAGCGGAGTACGCCGTTCTCGTCGCCTGCGCCAGCATTGGCAGCACCGTCCACGCTCATGCTGCGCTGGAGCGGGTGGCCAGTCCCGTTGCTCTGCTCGGTACCGTCGGCTGTCCCTGAGCCATCAAGACCCTTAGTCGTTTGCTGGTTCTCCGGGATCGTGCCAACAGCTGGCTTGATCTTGACGCTGCTAAACTTCGTAGTTCTGGGCTTGTTGGCGGCGTTGGAAGGTCCGAGGTGGCGGAGGTGCTCGCGCATGTCGCTTGTGGTGGATCGCACAGGCACGGCTCTTGCGGGCGGGGCGTCCTTGGTGTGGTCGGAAGCGTTGCTGCTCTTCCTCCGCATGAGGAATGTAGTAGATCCGGTAGTCGTCAGACTTGGCTTTCGTGATGTAGGAGTCTCCTTGCGAAGAAGTGGCTCGTTCTCGTCGCCGCTGTCGTGGTCTTTGCTCTCGTCACGAATGCTGCGAACCACTGCTTGATCCGTGGGCACATTTTTGAGGAAGCGCTGCCGTGGTGCCGGAGCCATGCGACGGATAGCCTTGTGCACATCGATGAACACGTCACTTTCGTCAATGATCTCTTCACCAATGAGCTCCTCGATTACGTCCTCCAATGTCACAACACCCAGTGCTCCCTTGTCATCACCCGGGAAGTCCGAGACCAGCACCATATGGCTCTTGCCTTCCTGGAAGAAGTTGATGATGTCTAGGCAGCTCGTGTAAGGCGCAGTTTCCGGTAGCGTAGCAAGGCTGAAGTCACGAACTCTCTTTGCATCCTCAGGATCATACGTGATCAGGATCTTGACCAAGAGCATGCCAATGAAATTGCGACTGTTGTCGGGAGCATAGACTGGAATGCGTGAATAGCCTTGTGAGAGGATAGTGTCCATCATGCTCTCGTCCAGTACAGTGTCGGCACTCATGGTGAAAACGTCGCCCATGGGCGTCATGATGTCGCCAACTGGCTTGTCTTTGAGGTCCAGCACGGAAGTGATGATGGTCACTTCATCTTGAAGCAGACGCTCGCCGGGTGTAGTGCCGAGTGACTTGTGAAGGGAGACCAGAGTCTTCAGCCCAGCCTTCTTGTACATGGTTCCGTGGTCTTCACCAAGCAGCCAGTCCAGCAGCTTCGCAGTAGGCCAAGCGACCGGGCACATGATCCACATGAGAGCCAGCACAAAAGGCGCCATGAACGCTCCGATCGAGAGCCCGTAGCGCACACAGACTGACTGTGGAGCAATCTCGCCGAATATGACTGTCCTCGCATTAGCACATACTCTCATCCAACCAAGCACAAGTCAACCACATACCAATCAACACTGTACTGCTCAACACAGCCGGCCACCCCCCACCCAAACTCCGATCCAACACAATCGGCAACGTCTCATTCGTAATGACATTACTCAACAGCAGCGTCACCAACACCCAATGCTTCCCCCTCTTCAGCAACTTCAGCACCTTCTCCGCATATCTCCTCTCGCTGCCCTCCCCGCTCGTGGCAATGACTTGCAGGTACGTTTCATCCTGGCCCATCAACGCGATGGTGAGGCCCGCGAAGACGCCACCAAGGAGCACAAGGATGAGGGCGATGGCGAGGTAGAGGTAGAGGTTGGGGTCGGAGGCATCTTTGGGGCTGTCGACGTCGTCTTCGAAGGCGTGGATGGGGGAGCGTTTGGGGAGAAGAGAAGTGAGAGGGGCGGCGCTGGCGATGGGGAGGAGGCGGGCGAGGAGGAGGATTGCTGGTCTCATGGTGGTGAAGCCATTGGGAGTTCGTCTCGTCCCCGCGCGTGCTACCGCCGTTGTGGGAGCATTTGAAGCCTGGTTGCGTCTCCGCAAAGACATGCGAGCGAGTGGTGAGGCCGTGATGGCTTCTTCTGGTGGTGCTGTACACTTTTTTGAGGCGAATATGTACAGGAGACAAGAAGGTTCAAAGACGGCAACGAATGGTGGAGGTTGGCGAAGCTGCACCTAGACCGTTCGCTTCCCCGGGCCGCGCTCAAGCTTGGAGCTTCTGATCCATGTCGAAGGATTCGTCGCGCATTGACATGAACGCCTGGAGATGGAAGGCAAGACAAGACGTCGGAAGAATACTTCAGTAGCCAACAGAATCATCGCTAACAGGTATCAACCAGGAGTAATACACAAAGCCCATTCAAACCACCCCAAGCACGCCATGCGCCATGCCCACGAACAACCAGTTTACTCCCAGTCATCATCATCGCTCTCGTCTGCACCCTTCACAGCCTCCTTCTTCTCCTCCTTCGGGCTGCCCATTGCTCTGCTCGTCGCGCCTGAGACAATATCGTAGCTCGCATCTGAATCAGCAACACTCTTAGCATCCTCATGACTTCGGCGTGGCGACGCAGGCCTCAGGCTGTCGTTGGCAGGCTGTGTCAGGGTTGAGGTGGACGCTGAAGCTGCGTGGTTACTCTTCACTGCTGATGGCGTAGTGGAGGCGTCTGCTGGTTCATCCTCGTCTTCGTCGTCCCATGCGACTTCTTCTTCTTGAGCGGCGCCTATAATAGACAAATTAGTAAGATACACATGATCGAAAATAAGATGACCAGACATACCCTTCAACACCTCCCTCCTCCGCCTCTCCTCCTCTTCTACAGCCGACCGTAGGAAGTAGTACCTCATCCAGAAAGTCTTATAGTCCACCATCTCCGGCACCAACTTCTCCATCGCCCGTCTCAACTCCTCATACCTCTCCAGATCCCTCGCCACCTCCTCCGTCTTCATCTCAATATCAAACCCCTCCTTCCGCTGCTCCCATTGCTCACCCTCCGCCGGATCCTGCGTAAACGACGCCGGCGTAGTGTGAATCGCATGCAACTGCGCATCCAACCTCGTCGAATGGAAAATCTTCTTCCCCGTCCCGGGCTCCGATGTCTCGAACAACACCTCCTTCTTCACTCCATCGTCCCCTTTCTCCCCCTCCTCCGGCGCGGAGATGGTCACAGCATCTCGCAAGAAATTCCTCACGTTCGTGCCGAACTTCAACAACGCCTCGTCCGCCGCATCCTCCGCCTTCTGCAGATCCTTCAACCGACTCGCAGCCGTCGAGCGCAGACTCGCGACCAACGTCCCCGCCTCCTTGACAATATCAGCCGGCAGGCTCTCCCCCTCCTTCTCCAGCGCCTGCGCCTCCGCAGCCGCGCTCTCCTCCGCTCCACTCGCGACCTTCACCAACGGCACCCCTTCCTCCCCCGGCACCGCTCCTTCAGGCGCCGGCTGCGCGTTCAAACTTAGCCCCCGCGTCCGCTGCGCGACCTGGTCTTTCAGGCTCGAGAAGCCTTTCGTCGCTTGCTCCTGCGCTTCAGTAGCTTCTTTCTGTAAATCGGCGTAGAAGCTCGTGCCTTGCTGGCGGGCGGTGCTGAACCAGGAGTTGAGCGTGCTGCCCCATTGGCTGGACTGGACGGTGCGGATGGCAGATTCGAGATCGTTGCGGAGAAGGTTTGGCGGTTGGGAGGAGGGATCGGTGGAGTTGGTGGAGGGTTTGTCGTCGGAGGGGGAGAGGGCGGATTCTTCGATGTGGTCGTAGATGTCCATATTGGGTGGGTGAGGGTTATCGAGGCATTGAGATATGAGGAATGGTATACTGGGGGACAGATTGTGGTTGGAATGGAGGAGATATGGGAGCTCGAGCACGACAGGGATCAGTGGGTGGAGTCTGGGGAACGCCGGGAGTTGCCGATGAGGGATGTCGCTCTCACAAGAGGGCATACCTCCTACAGGAAGCACAAACATATGGACATCTTGAGAAATCAAGTAGGTGAAAAAGGAGGCTCTCCTCTTATACAAATATATACGTGTGTGCTCGCACAGGGTATCATCTCCTCCGCACCTCAACAATGTCCGACGCCTTTCCCCGCCCAAACCAAACAGCATATCTCAAGCATGAGCGTGCCTACCACCCACCGAAACCGTCATCAACGCCGGACTATAACTAAACACCGCTCCTTCCTGCGGCACGCCACCGGTGGGCGTCACGTCGTCGTAGGGGAAGGCGTAGCCGTGCCCGTCTAGGTTCGCGGCGTGCACGATGCGGGCGTAGTGCTTGGACTCAGTCAGCCAAACCGTTCAATGTCAGCATGAGAGGAGGGCATGTTTCTTACGTTCGTAGTAGCTTCCCGATAGTACCTCTTAGGCCCCACCCCATCCGGCTGCTCGGAACTCACCAACAACGTACTCCTGTTGAACGCTGCCGCCAACCTGGGGATGATCGCATTAGCCTCTGCGTTACTCCCTGTCGCGAAAGGTCCGGAGGAACAGGAGAAGATATCCGCCGCCGTTGGGCGTGGAAAGGTGCCTCCAGCGCCGAAGTTCAGGTTTCCGTTCACGACTTGCCCGCTGACTCTACCGTACGAGGCTTGCGTGTCGATTGTCAAACGCTGCGAAGCATACCGATCATAAACGGCATTGACGTAGTCGGTCCAGTATGTCTGGAAAAATGACGGATTTAGTAGGATAGCGGAATTCGGACTCAAGACCCGCAAAGTCTGGCCGTTATTCCTAGGCACGATCAAGGAACTCCAGCGCCGGCCGTCTTTGGCTGTTTGGGCCCTGAGGCCCTGCGCGATGGTCTCGAGCCCGTTAGCCCCGATGCCGGAAACGTGCTGCGTGCTGCCGTTGGTGTCTTCGAGGGAAAGCGCGACGGGCAGGCCGACGAAGTCGACGTAGCTGATGTTGGCGAAGATTTGGAATGAGTTCTAGAATTGGAGCGTTCGATTAGTATGTGTTTGAGAAGGATAGGAACTGGTGTCTCGTGGACGGAATGTGTATTTTGGACATGACTCACGAAGGTGAACTCTGCGAAGCCGAAGTTGGTGCTGTGGTTCGGATCGGCGTTGTTGAAAATGGAGGGCTCCACGAGACCAGGCCCCGGGTTGAGGGCGAAGACGAGAGGGCGGTCGATGGAGAACCAGATGCGTCCGCCTGCGAGGCGCGGGATGGTGGCGTAGACGGTGTTGCCGGGTCTACCGAGTTGGATGGAGATGTCTTGGGCGAGTTTGGTGCCGGTCGCGGAGGGGCTGGACGGGTAGTAGGGTGTTTCAGCGTCGGAGGAGAGGAGGAAGAGGGCGTTGTTGCGGTCGATGGCTTGGCCGGCTGGTGGGGGGTGTTAGTGCTGGTGGTGGTGGTGGATGAGGGGCACGCACTGATGGAAGCATAGACGGTACTTGAGTTGGTATTATTGTGCAGTGCAATCTCAAGCTGGCCAGATCTAGTGGCCGGGACTTGAGGGAGCGGCTGCTGTCCGTCTCCAGTCTGTGGGCGTGGAGGGTGGTGGTTTGCCGGCTGGTGAGGATGGCCATGATGCTGTCCGGGCTTGTTGGGGTGATGCTGCGGCTGGGCGTGATGCGGTTGGCCATGATGTTGTTGCGGACGGGTTGTCTCGACACCATTTGGTCCAACAACCGGCGAGATGGGTCCTCGATCATCCCGGTCAAAGCGCTCATCGTCGTCGAAGCGGTCGTCTCGCTGGTCGTCGAACTGGCTCTCATCGTCGTCTTCCTCATTCTTGGGTCGCCGCTTGAACACACTTCGGGCTCTTTCCAACAAGCCCGACATGACAGTGATACGATGAAAGAGTACAAGATCGCAATAAAAATGCTAGTAGACCAGCCGAGAAGCAAGAGTATTTACAATTAGGATGCTGGACAGCGGTGTAGGATGCGCCAAAAGGCTATTCTTTATACTGCGATATCAAGACCAGAAGACCAAATGAAAGAGGCTGTTACGATGGTACTTTCCTTGTCACATCGCGCATGCCATGAGGATGGACTTCCGCGCCGTCGCTGCAGCAGTATGGCGTACCTGCATGTCTGCGTCACCGCCAGCGCGCGATGAACGCATCCTTTGAGTTAGATATTGGGCCTGCATGATATCGAGCCGTGTCGAGGAGGCAACTGAGCGGCATCGCGCGTCTGCGAGGAAAGTCCAGAACACTTTTTACTCTCATCTCATCCGGCCACAGCGAGGCTGAGGTTTGGTGCAACGCGAGAAGGACTCGTTGACATGGCCCGTGCGAGAAGTTTTTGACCTCACCTCGTCAGCCGGAGTACACGCCTGATCTCTTTTGCTTTGTTGACAGACTCGTGGCTTGAGTCTAGTTGACACGCGCTCCGTGAAGGACATGATCCAACAAAGCTGCTATACTGGCACACTGGTGGACTGGATGGCCGTGTGGCCTTGCATCATGACACCAGCGCTGTTGTGCCGCGAGCGACAATACATGGTTCATGTCTCTCCAGCGGCTATTTCAAGTGCGATAAGAATACGGCTACCATGTAGCTCGGACGGTCAAGGGAGTGTTGATACGGTAATGTAGAAGTAAATCCCAGAGGACTAATGTTTCATCCAGCTCCCGCTACTGACACACTGGCCACCCTCACCATGCCAACCGCACTATTGGGATAACTGCTCCCACCAGCGCTGGAGCAGCATCTGAACTCGCTGAAACATGGGGAGATGGTATTCAAGGTGAGCTGTGCAAAGGAACTTACGGAACTGGCCGGGCTAACAAAGCGTCGGGAGAGTGAGAGCTGTGTGTTGATGAAGTATAAGATTGTGCAATGGCATTCTGGGCGGGCTGCTGATCCGAGACGTCTATTGGGGTATGGGTGAGAAGGAAGGGAGGTGGCGGTTCAAGAATCAAGATGGCAGCAATTGTGATAGCGACGCTTCTCCGCCTGAGCAATAGGGCCACGATGAGAAGCTGGAAGTCGTATGATCCGATTACGATGGCTCGAGACTGCGTACTCTTGACGAACAGGCCTTGTCAAAACCAAACACAGCAATCTCTACCCTCTAGCATCGCCCTGCCGCCGAACTGTCCAGTCCAGAATCGAGCCGTATCAGCGGCGAGAACCCATCATCGCCCGTCAGCCTCTCCACCTTCTGATCCCGAACAAGTCATCTAGCCCTTGCAGACCCCGGGCACACCGCCGTTGGCAGCGATGAAGCCCACGCAAGCGCAGCCGGACGGACAGGATCCGGTGCAAGCACCGCCGTAAGTCTGTTTGGGCTCTAAGGGAGAACGCTGAACACAGTATTGTAATCGAGAAAATCAGGCTTTGGATTGTTAATGGACTAAAGTACCTCCGGTTCCGACACTGGAGCAGCAAAGGTGGTGCTGGCGAAGGCAAGCAAGCTGAGGAGGGCAAGGAGCTTCATGTTGGACTTGTGGTTGTGGATTGGTTGGAGGCGGTTACGTAAGCCTGCTGGAGACGTCGACTTCGGTGATCTGAGCAAGGAGTTCCCAACCCACCCGCTTGTTCGCCTCGAGCGGCAGGTCGACAAGTCGCAAGACCCCGTCTTCCGCGATGGCAAGGGTACTACGAGGATGTACCACCCGCTCCCGCAGAAGTTCAGGATGTTCGTAGATCGGTCGCTATACTACAATCTCTGGGTGGATTTTGGAGACGTCAAGGGCTGCCGGCCGGGAGACAAAGATGCCGTGAAGGACATCTGCGAGTTTGCGCGCTTGGAAGGCCAGCACTGGGCGGGCAGCAGCTCTGGGATGAAAGGCGATGGTCAGATCGTCTTCGACTAGGTATACGACGAGGACGAAGAGTGTACTTTTGCCGAGCGCGAGGCGAGGAGGGTTGCGAAGATGTACATGCCGGTGCGGTTCAACACGTAGGAGGCTACGTTCTTGAGGGAGTGTGAGCTTGCCAATGGGGAGGATTGATGTGTTGTTCGCAGGGTGAAATGATGTTATGGTCAAATACAACAGACCATGTGCAACACCAGAAGTGTGACATGGGAGTTGTCTCGCCTTGAGGAAGGGAAGTCTCTAACCCCCAGGAAAACGTTCCACCCGCCCAACTTGATGCTTTCTTCAAGCACCTTTTCACCTTCAACAAACACCTGTGGCCTCGGAGAGCATACAACCACCAGCTTCGCAAAGTTGTCATCTCCGCAATCCCAATTCCTAGTCTTGTACTCATAGTGCAGACGTCCTTGGACCTCCTTTCGAATCACCTCGCCATCTGCGGCATCGACAAAGTTGAAAATGTGCTCGCAAAGCGACCAGGCATTGATATGGGCCGTGAAGCACCCGCGGCTGTCGATCTGGATATACAACCTCACACAAGTGATGCAGAAGAATGTGCCTATCTTGGTTGATCCTTCGATGTGATGAGTGGCATCATCGGCGCCGTCAAATTTCGTGCCGAAAGAGAATGTACTGCCGTTCCCCTCTGGCACGGTGAAGAATGCGTCGCCTTCAAAGTCCTCATACAGCTCCGCCATTGCCTCGTGCAACGATTTCTTCTGGGCCTCTGAAGCTTCCATGGGATCTAGGGTAGGTGACTTTGGACCCAGCTTGATAAGTGTGTGAAGGAAATGATACAAAATTCTACTTACTCGCAGCGGCACTTACTTCAAGACAACTTGGATACTTTGTGTTTGCCAAAATTGGTGCCTGCCCCATCGGTGTGCTACAGCAAGCTATGCACAGCAGGTCCGTGGCCGCACGATACCGGCTTTGCACGACGATGCATGTTCGACTGGCCTTATCCATGGACCGGAGGAGGCATGCCCTCCTATCTTGAAGAAGCTTGGGCTGATGATCAGTCGCTGTGCCATGCTGTGGTCGGTCAGTCTTCCACGAGAGCAGGATCAATGGCCGTGCTCTATTGCTGACCTCGCGGCTCCCATTTCAGGTCTTCATCGTCGCTCAGGCCGATAATCATGGAATCCTCTGAAGCATCACTCGTTCGCCCAGTCAATTGCCAGACAGGTATGTTTTTTCTGCTGAGTTCCTGCCTCTTGGACTCATAAAAATCTTGGTCGTCTTTATCGCTGAACTGCCACTTCTGGGAGATGAAACCCTCGACCCACCCCAACTCCCTCCGCCAGTAAACGCCATGGTCCTCGGCGTGCCTGAGACCTCCCGGACCTGTGATGGGATAGCCCGCGATGTCTTTCACGACCGCTACTTCTCCGTCCTTGTGCTCAATGATGAAGCCATGTTGCTGTCTTTGGACCGCAAAACGTGCGTTCTGGGTGAGGCTGGTGGCCCTGCTACTTAGGTGGTTCGATCGCTGCAACTCACAGTCAGCTTTGGCCACATCTTTGCGCAAGTCTTCGTTCTCCACTTTTGCTCCGGCCTCTTGGACGAGCTGCTGGCGCATCATGTCCACTAGCCATCGGTAGTACTTACTTCAACGGCCTCCTCATACCACTCATCGGCCGCTGTGCGCAGTGTTTCCGCCTGCGCGTGGAGGAAGTCTCGGAGTCCTTTTATGACATACGATCCTGCAACATCCATCTTCTTCCCATCCTCGGACGCCAATCTTGGGTGAGGGCAGCACACGACAACAGTTTCGGCGAAGTACTCATCCGCGATGTCCCACTCCATTTGCTTTGCCTCTATCTGGAGTGTGCCAAATATTTCCTCGCGCATTCGGTCAGCTGCTGCTCCCTCGATGAAGTTGTGTGGGAGTGGTGGTGCAGCTAAGCTCCAGCCATTGATGTGAGCGACGAACGAGCGGTCTTTGTCCAGTCGCAGAAATAGACCGACGCAGGTGTGGCAGAACTGGAGGCCTATCAGCCCTCCTTCAGGTATGTGGATGTCTACAAGACCATTCTCCAACGAAGGACCGAAGGCAAATGTGCCCCCTCTCCCCTCTCTCACGCATAAGAACTCGTTCTCGGCGAGCCACAGCTTCATGTATTCTCCAGGCATTGTTTGGAACGTTCGATAAGATTGGATGTTGTCGTACCTTTGAGGAAATATGGCAATTGACAAGTTACACTGATCGTGGACAGAACTTATAAGTACAGCAGAGGAATGGCGTTGGTAGCGCGCATACTCAGTATTGACACAATCTATCTCGCAGGGCTCACTCACTCATGGAATCACGATCAGCAAACGCTTTTGCAGACTCATGTTGGGGTTGCACGCCTGTGCTGCTCGCCACCCCTCCTCCATGCTGGCCCAGGACTCTCCGTGTTCGTTGCTGCAGTCGTAGATCTGCCTTGTGGTTGCTGAAGGGCCGTCGTCTTGCCATGGCCTGTGAGACGGGTAGGCTTATACCACTGGCCACAACCTACTGGATGGGGATCGAATGTGCAAGAATCACACCGCTCGGCCACGAGGTTCCTTCTTGGGCTGCACTCATGACGTTCGCATCGGCCCTCCCTTCCAAACCCGAATTCTGCTCTTCTGCCCGACCTCATCATACGAACTTGGAGGATTTAGTGAGCGTACCGGCTGTGGGCGTGGTGAATGTTGCCCACCCGGAGATTGCGGTCCAGACCTCCAGGCCCACGCCACGACCGGAGCTCCTATGGCAATGAGTGGTTCCTGATCGAACCCATTGGACACCGCCTCATTGTTGAGGCGCTTACGCTCTGCTTCACTCTTCGAAAACCAAGACCTCCGGTCTTCCTCCACGACGAAACCCCAGCAAGAGGTATCTGCTTCGTCACGCGACACTTCCCAAGCGATCCAGTCGTCGTCTGCAAGATCCATGGATACTTGGTCAGCTGGTAAGTCGGGTTCTTTGTACGCACATTTATCGCCGCGTCGAGCGCACACACCACACGGATGCTTCCCATTACATTTCGCCCCCCACTTCAGACAGCGAATGCACTTCTCGTCTTTAGGGACACCATCTTCTTCAGAGACATCAGTTCGGAGGACAGTTCCGCAGTCGATGCCGTATTTGCAGAGGCGACGCTTGCCATATTGCCTGCTCATACACTCGTTACATGGCGTCTTCCCATCGCATTTCGCATCTCTCCCATGATAACGACACCTTGCGCAGGCCTTTGGGTATGCGGGGAGGAACTGGCGACGAGCTTGCCGCCGTTCCACCTGGAAGCATTTCAAAAGGGCGCGCGTGTACCCGTCTTTTGTGTACCGGTTCCTCGTCTTGTCGCCCTGCTTGATCTCCTTGTCGCATAGCGAGCAGTAGGCGGTTGAGCTGAAGTGACGTCGAACACCTTACATTAGAGAACAGAGAACATTGCCTTTTGTAAACAGATCTGGGTTGACATTAGGTGCGCCGAAGTCGCGGACGAGACGGCGAAGCCCATCAGAAACGAAACGTCGCTTAAGGATTGGATTTTTAGGCTCCAGAGTACACTGAAGAAGGCCTTCGACGACAAGGGCGAGGACCGGTAAGCAGTTGGCACCTGTTGAGCTCCACACGATACTGAACTTCGGCGTGGTATCTGGCTGCTGCAAAGTCTGTTCATGAATGTTTTGCGTCTTGTGTCTTCCTTGAGCAATACTCGTATATTGATCGAGCCGGGCCCAGCCACCAGCCGCGGCTGTCCCCATTGCGAGGGACGCTGACGATGTGGGAGATTCGGGCTGAACTGAGGGTTCTGACATTATGACCGCCGGCAGTCGTTCAGGCCAATCGCAGAAGGCAGACAACAGAAGCCGCAGCTGAGATGGGACGGTCTCGTAACGTGTGGGATCTTTTGACGCAAGTGAGATTTGCACCTACCTCTTCAGCGTGACAATCTCGCCGTGTATGCATCGTTTGCTGTGATAGCTGCTTGCTGCGTGGCTGTAACGAACTCGTCGCGAGACAAAGGCTGTGAACTGCTCGCAGTGGTAAAGCCAGTGAGGTGTGTTTGTCTCAACCCACCAGTGAATCTCCCGCGGTTATGTCGCCTCACACATCTATCTCATCCCTGAACAGTTGATACCTTGACCGCCCATCGTCGTCGATCCAAGCATGGAACATTCCTCCGCAGTTGTAATCATACACCACCCTACCCTTCCCATCCGCAAAGTCAATACCGATTATGCCTCCCTCGCCCTCTCCAGTCTTATGCCATCGGTCTTCCGCACTTTGCTGCAACATCCCGTCCGCACCTGCGACCGAGGTCACAGCGTATTGTAGTGGGAAGTGCTCGCTGCCATGAGTTTGCGTATTAGAACCTTGGAAGCGTGCCATTGCTGCGGCGGTATGGACAGCAGATAGCCGGAGGAAGGAGTCTCCATTGCCTGTACCTGACATGGCGACTGCTCGCGGCTGGTGAATGGTCTGCTTTCGTTCGTTTGTTGGGGAGTGAGGTAAAGGTAGGTAGCCAGAAAGTCCGGGCAGACAGTCGATGATGAGGGAAACCAGTGAAGAAGGTAATTGTGACCTCAACGTATCAAGTGGTGGCGGTAGAAAGGCAGTGTGCACTGACGTCCATTCTTCCGCCCAGAAGCCAGCTCCAAAGGTAGGCGTATCGCCGATGCGGCCAGGTAGCTTGTTCGTTAAGCCTCCAGTCGAAGTAGCACAGCACACCGTTCCAGAGCTGTCCAGCACAACAGCCCCGACAGTACCTTGAGGTAGATACTCTTTACCGTCCCAGGTGGGATCGTCAAACGCATCCTCATTATAATTACTCTCAGCAATACACTCATCAACCTGCCGCTTGTGCCGCTGATACGTCTCCCCATCATGGCTCTTCCCCAGCCCACGACGGTGCTCGTCCCATCGTCTTCGAGTCCAATAGTAGCTAGGGCGCACTATTTGGAGTCCCCAGTCCATAGCAAGCTGGTCGACGGTCGGACCTGCCAACTGGACGTGCCCTTGAGCACCACCGCCGTCTTCCTTTTCGCCTCTGATAAGCATTTCTCGAGCTACCAGAATAGGATTCTTCGCTCTGGTGACCTTCATGATGCCGACGCCGCGTTTGCGGTAGCCTTTCGACACCATGATGGAGGCTTCCAACTCATGAGTGCCGGCCGTGGTGTAGACAGCGCCATGGCCGGAGTTGAACAGCCCGTTGTTCTCAAGCAATGAGACAGCGAAGGAAGCTACGTCCAATGCTGTGGCACCGGGAAGGCGAAGCCTCGCGTTTGCTTCGTGGAGGACCTCGAGCAGGGCAGAGCGATAGGCATGGTATGCTTTTGGCGGGAGATTCTCTCTGGTGATATTGCCCGCGCCGCCGTGGACGATGATCCGTGGTTGGACACTGCCGCACTTTCCTGGATTCATATCGACACCGTGCAGTCCTTACACGGAGCCGGCAAAGGATAGCGCCGTCCTCAGTGCCCTTCACCACACAGTCGTGGGCCACGATAGTGTCGCAATGCTTGCTATCTTGACGAAATCACGGAACTCAGCCGCTGGAGTTCCGGCGTTCGAAGCGTTCTGCTGCCTTTGATTCCGCACGTCAGTCTACGCGACTCACCGCGTCTTCTCCGACTGATTGGAGCCGTGCTAGCCGTGCTGCCTGCTGAAAATGTGGTTCGATGTGATCGGATGAAGTGGAGAGGCGTGTTCGCGCGCTTATATAAAATGTAATCGGATCATCTGATAAGACCATCGTCCTTCACCATACATCCAGACCGGCAAACGCGATGGAGCAAAACTCCCATAATGTTGTTGACATTCAGCTACCAAACGACCCCGTTGATCAAATTACTCGGTCAACTTCACAAGACGTTGAACTGGCAGCTCTTCCTGCAACTAAGGAACCAACCAAAGCAGACGACCTATTCCTGGTGACCTTCGACGAGCCATTTGATCCAGAGAACCCGAGGTCAGAACCGCTCACACCTCGTTCATTGCTATTCTAACATTCCCCAGATGCTGGTCCAGGAGCAAGAAATGGACAGTTACCGACGTCCTCGCCGCAACATCCTTCAACCGCATCATGGTACGTTGCCCCTCCAATCGACCATCCACCATCCCCGTCTGATGCCCATCCCAGGTCAGCACAATCATGGCCCCTGCCCTCTCAACCATCTCCCACGAACTCCACATGTCGGACATGGAAGCCGTTATGGCTCTGTCCGCCTACATGCTAGCAACAGCCTTCGGTCCACTCGTCCTTGGTCCGCTGTCGGAGCTCTATGGTCGCAAGCCGCTGCTTCATGTATCGAATGTCTGGTTCCTGGTCTTCAACATCGTCTGCGGCTTCGCAAATTCTAAGGAACTGCTGATCGCGTCTCGTTTCATTGCTGGATTCGGGGCCAGTGCGATCTACTCCCTCTCTGGAGGGGTGTTGGGCGATGTCTGGACGGCGGAGCAGCGCGGAAAGTCGTTGGCGATATACCTGCTGATTCCGTTGCTTGGAGCGGCGGTCGGACCCATCATTGGCGGCTTCATGGCGGAACGCACAACCTGGCGCTGGATGTTCTGGTCGACGTCTGCTTTCCAGGCTGTGATGATCATGCTCTCGTTCTACGCCTTCCACGAAACGTACGGACCGCTGATCCTCCGTCGTCGGGCAGCGAAGCTGAGAAAAGACACTGGAGACCAGCGCTACTACACCGCGGCCGAGCGTCTCGACGGCTCCAAGTCAGTTCGCGAAGTCCTACTCCGCGCTCTCACCCGACCACTGCGCCTGCTCGCCACGCACCCAGCCGTCCAGTGCATGGCGCTGCTCAGTGGATTCAGCTACGGCGTCCTGTACATCGTCCTCTCCACCTTCGCCGACATGTGGATCAAGCGCTTCCACACCTCCATCGAGATCAGCGGTCTGCACTACATCGCCGTCGCCTTGGGTGAAATCGCTGGCTCGCAGGTCGGTGGAGCACTGATGGATCGCGTATACAAACGTCTCACCAGACGAGCGAACGGAGAGACGGCGCCGGAATTCCATCTCCCGCTCATGCTACCTGGGTCCATCATCGGTGCGGCTGGACTGTTAATCTACGGCTGGGCGGCGCACTTCCCTGTCTTCTGGTTCGTCGTCGATTTGGGAGTCTTTGTCTTTTGCCTTGGGGCGCAGATCGCTGGAATGCCGTTGAACGCCTACATTATTGATGCGTATCCAGAATATGCGAGCTCTGCGACGGCGGCTATGCAGTTTCTGAGGAGCTTGACTGCCTTTGCGTTCCCGCTGTTTGCGCCCAAGATGTACGCCGTGATGGGGTATGGGTGGGGCAACAGCACGATCGCGTTCTCTATTCTGGGTCTTGGTATGCCGGCGGCGGTGGCTCTGTGGGTGTTCGGAGCGAGGTTGAGGGCCAAGCAAGAGTCGGGGTACTGAAGGCGAGTCTAGTCTCGCAGTCGTGCTGTTAGTTGGCCTACAATCGTGGTTTGGCCAGGGCGCAGACACCGGAGTACAGCAATTGGAGCGCTGCCTTCGAGCAAGATAGACGGGGCGCTACGCCTTGGATGGAAATTCGGTAGGCTCAATACGCTCATGACGCTTCTCAATCATCAATCATACCTCGCTAAAACACGCCGCCCCCATAATTCGCCCCCTCAACGCAAAACGGTCGCGCCAGCGCCTTGATATCCAGTATCATACCGTCCAAAAACCGCATCGTCCGAAATGTCTCTCGCATTCTCATTGATGAGCGTGTCCGCTTGCTCGCTATACGGTCCAGTAGACCTTCGTGGCTCTTCCCAAACCTCGCTCTCCCGCGGCGCAGATAGACCGCCATAACCGTAATTGTTCGGTGTCTCTGTATAAGGCCCATGAGTGGCCCCCGGTCGCTTCGCATCAAGGTCTGGGAGTTTGTACATGCCGCGGCTTGTTTGCTTGCGGTGGACGTAGATGTCGAGGAAGAGGGCTGCGAGGGTTGCTCCACTGGAAGCCGAATGATGGTCAGCGAAGAAACGCACCAGCAAGGTCCTTGAGATGTTCAAAACGTACAGTCCAACCAAAGTGAATGTCCACAAAGCCTTGTATATCCTGCAAACCATAATCCCAACATCCTCGTGCCAATGCTCAGTGTCGCATGCATCGCCTAACGTATCGGTCATGTACCACGTCAGGAGCCCGAAGCTGAGCGCCCATATCGCCGCAAGGAAAGCATTGATGCCAATATTGAGTCTTGGATTGAGACCGAGCAGGCAATGGAGGCATATCGTGACGGTCAATGCAGCGATTGATGCGAGGGACGCGGAGAACAGCCAGATGAAAGTCCAAGGCTCCTTGTAATTATCGTGTCGAAGGTGGTAAGTGAAGTATGCCATGATGCCTCCGACGATTATGCTGGATATGAGTTGGAAACATCGAAAGAGGTGGAAGGGGACTCGAGGGTAGCTGCTGGGCGCTGTTTTGGCGCCGCGGTCGAAGGGTTTGAACATTGTTTCTGCTTGATGTGATGCTGAAGAAGATGTTGATGGTACGGAAGAAGGAGACTACAAATGAGATGAAAGAGAAGAGAATACTTGCAAGGCTATGCCAAAACGTCGTGGAGCAAGGAGGATGTCCCACCTTTGGCCTGTCACAAGCTGAAGGCCCCTTGGCCAATCGCTCGCGTAAACTACTGTGCAGTGCGCCATCCGCTTGGCGGATAAGACCGTCTTCGACTGATCGATGGAGAAGCGAAGGAGATCGTTCAGAATGTGCATTTTTAAGTCCTAAGTCGACAGAGACCTGAACTCATATCTGGGGTCGCTGTTGCTGACATAGATGCTGACAGTGAGCAGGAGCGATCAGCGAGCACTCGAGCACTTGTTGTGCAACGTTAACGTCCGTTAGCTGCTGCCACTTGGGGTACAATCAATGCGACCGTAGACAGGCGTTGGGCATCTTGGGAGCCTTGAACATGAATCTTCTTATCTCGACCAAACTCCGGTGCAACAATCACACTTCTCGTGACACCCAACGTCAGCTTTGCACTGACGACGCGATGAGGATAACGACAACGGCTCACGATGCCGGAGGAGCTACCGCAGCACCGCCAGAGGACATCAGCTAGCGGCACACCATCATTGCCCAATCATGTTGCATGATCGCGAGCCGCAGCTGACGGAGGAAGCCCATGCCTCGATGGTGCGAAGATGCGAATCTTTCTTCTTTCATGGTTGATGTAGCCATCTGGTGGCATCGCAGAACCAGGGATAGACAACAGACTTCACCAGACCCGTCGGCCGACAACAACATGAACCAACCCGACAGCAAAGGATGACCGCACGTACCAAATGTATCTCACCCGCTGGACCTCCGCCTCCGACACCACGAGCGAGGTTGGGGACTTCAAGTACAGCCTCTTGAAGAGCTTCAAAACCGGTATCCGCCTCGCTCAAATCCTCCCCGGCACCGGCAATAAAGGTATATCCATCAATTTGCTGGACTCCTTCGTAAGCGGACCTCAGAAGATACCGTACGATGCGCTCTCGTATGTATGGGGTGACCATGCCCGTACAAAGTCTATCTTGTGTAATGGAAGGCGTCTGGCGGTGACCCCGACACTGCTGGAAGCGCTGCACCGGTTTCGCGATGCTTATGAGCCGGTGGTTCTTTGGATTGATCAGCTGTGTATTTGGTATTTGGCTAAGATCCTACGACGTGCGAGACATTCGCTAACCCTTCTACCCTTCGCTTTGTAGTCAAGAGCGTATCAAGGAGCGAAATCAGCAAGTCCAGCTCATGGGCCAGATCTTCAAGGGTGCGAGAAAAGTCGTTGTGTGGCTAGGTGAAGACTACGATGATAGCAGGGCGGGCATGCAGTTGGCGAAGCAACTGCTTTCTATCGCTCGCTATCAGCCGGTCAGTGGGCTGGGTACAGCGGACCTCGAGACCCATGGACTGCCGAAGCAAGGACACAGGCGGTGGACTGCTTTGTCGCTGATATTGCGACGACCGTGGTTCTGGCGTACTTGGGTGGTGCAAGAGGTTGTGCTGAACCCCAATGTTGAACTGGTGCTCGGCCCTTCGATGCTCACTTGGGATGATTTGGAGAGCGTGGTTGCTCTGCTGGAAGGACCGATGCCGCGGGTATGGCAGCTGGATCAAGCGATTTCTGCTTCCGAGCTCCCGTTCTCGAGGATAAATCGGATAAGGCTACGGTAAGCACTACTCTTGCTCGAATATCTTCAGGACATTCGAGAGGTACTGATCGCTGTGCCGTATCGTGCTAGCCACCAAAGACTCATCGCAACCCCGATATCACCAGTACAGATAGAGGCTCAGTTCGACAATCATGTATACTCAGAGCCGGAGTCGATGATCGACGAAGACGATGACCCTCAACTTCTTGACCTTCTATTGATGTCGCGCGGGCTCGGAGCAACCGATCCTCGCGACAAAGTCTACGCTCTACTTGGACTGGGAAAACACGACATTAATCCCGACTACTCCATGTCTCCGGAATCAGTCTTCACTGACTTTGCCCTCCAAACCGTTGGAGTGGTCACGGAAATGCAAGCCAGGCGAAGAGCAGCCAGCTTGGAGATGTTATCACACTTACGCGAAGTACGCAGGGCTATGATCCTCTTCTCCTGTGCTGGCAGACATAACCAGAAACTCAAGCTACCCTCGTGGGTGCCGGATTGGACTACCAACCTCAGCTGCCGCCCGCTCGTCTTCGGGTTGAGCCACCGTTTCGCGGCAGGCGGCGATAAGCTAGCTACGTTCGACTGGCAACCAGACTTCGGTCTCCTCTTGTGTGGCAAACTACTCGACTCGGTTCAAGACGTCGGCTCTGTACATCTGTCCGACACATCAAGCACAAACTCACACGACCTGATCAAAAAATGGTTGGAAGAAGCGAAGCAAATCGCCTTCACCCGCATTGCCCGCTCGCCCGGCAGCACAATGAACGTGGATGCCTTCGAAGCGATGCGTCGGGACATTTCCATCTGCAAGCATGGGTACTACATCACCGCCGCGCAGAAAGGGCGTCGAAACAGCCTGCTGCATGAAGTGGATACATCAGACGATGCGTCTCATAGTGCCTCTCAGACGTTGACGCTCGGTCCTACGCGGGGGAGAGTGGTCTTCGCTTCAGGGACGGGGTATGTTGGTCTGGTGCCGCATGGGACAAGGGAGGGAGATTTGATCTTCGTGGTGCTGGGAGCGGATGTGCCCTATGTACTTCGGCCGTTGGAGGAGGGCGAAGGGTATGAGCTTATCGGCGAGGCCTTTGTTCAGGGTGTGATGGCGGGCGAGGCAATGTTACTAGATCGTATCCCTGTTGAGGATGTAATGATACGGTGATGCACCCGTTCGATTTGTCGACCTAGTCTCCTTCGTGCAGAGTTTGCCTACACCATGTCATCGCCTCCGAGAGACTCCCGATCTCCCGAGAGCTGAGAGCTTTGTCATTGGAGTGATCGGGCAACAAAACATGAGGCAATGTTGTTGTAATGCCTTTGAAGGAGACTTAGTAAGATTTCGAGTGCGATGTCGGTATCGCCCGGCAGCTGCGGGAGCTCTTGCTGTTGAGCCATTGGGCGGATGACGTTGGTTCTGGACTTCAAACTTTGAAACTTCGGGACTACGATGTTTGAAGGCGACTTACTAATGCGTAGTGGTTTGAGGAGACCATCGTAAGGAAGATTGGTGAGTACAAATACTGCGTCTGACCCGCCACCTTCCTGGAATCCATTGACTTGACTTCCCGACTACCTATCAACCAGAACTCCACTTCACGATAACCCAGAACTACAACATGCCTCCTTTAACAACCACCACATCTTCTTCCCACCACAACATCCACCACGATACCAAGGACAAAACCGAGCCACAGTAAGCTCGCCTATCATTTCGTGGTGCTCATCAACGGCTGCATACTGACCTGAACCAGATTCGCGAACAAACCCGCCCCCGGCATCTCCTACTTCACTCCAGCCCAGAACCCACCAGCAGGCACAGCACAGGTCATCGAAGGCCAGAATGTCCCCAAGCTCTTCCGCCCCCTTAAGATCCGGGGCCTTACCATGCCTAACCGGATCATGCTTAGTCCTCTGTGTCAGTATTCCGCTGAGGATGGCCACTACACCATGTGGCACCTGACGCATATGGGTGGCATCATCCAGCGAGGTCCTGGCATATCGTGCGTAGAAGCGACAGCAGTGACGGCGAATGGACGGATCACGCCCGAAGACAATGGTCTTTGGAAGGACAGTCAGATTGAGAACCTGAAGAAACTCTGCGAATTTGCGCATTCCCAGAGTCAGAAGGTTATGATCCAGCTGGGACATGCTGGCAGGAAAGCTTCGACTGTGAGTATTTCCCAAATTGCGAAATCGAGAAAGAAACCATCACTGACGCTTCTCTTTCCAGGTCGCCCCCTGGCTATCCAGCGGCGCAGTAGCAGGCAAAGACCTCAACGGCTGGCCAGACGACGTCGTCGGTCCCTCCGCCATCGCCTGGAACGAACACCACGCCAACCCACGCGCCATGTCCCTCCAAGAAATCGACGACTTCAAAGCCGCTTTCGGCGCCTCTGTCAAACGAGCCCTCACAGCCGGCTTCAACGCCATCGAAATCCACGCCGCTCACGGCTACTTGCTCCATGAGTTCATCTCCCCGGTCTCAAACCAGCGCACAGACAAGTACGGCGGTAGCTTCGACAACCGCATCCGTCTGGTGATGGAAACCGTTGAGATGTGCCGCGGAATCATGCCCAAGGACATGCCACTCTGGCTCCGCATCTCTGTCACCGACTGGCTTGAAGAAGCGCCCAAAGACCAGATTCCCGAATCCTGGACCCAAGCCGACACACTGAAACTCGCGCCTCTGCTTGCCAAAGCCGGCGTGGACGTCTTAGATGTCAGCACAGGTGGCAATCACCCCCTGCAGCATCCGCACACTAAGCCGGCGTACCAAGCCGACTTTGCTATTGAGATCAAGAAAGCTGTCGGTGATAGTATGAAGGTCGGCAGTGTAGGAATGATCGACAACGCGAAGCTGGCGCAGAAGTTGGTGGAGGAGGATGGGCTGGATATGGTGACCGTCGGCAGGGGGTTCCAGAAGAATCCCGGGTTAGTGTTTGCGTGGGCGGACGAGCTGGGGCATAAGGTGAGGATGCCGAATCAGATTGCCTGGGGTATGGCGGGGAGGGGGTCAAAGGAGAAGCCAGTTTTCTTGGATTTGGAGAAGGATGCGGAGTAACGTGACGAGGTAATGAAGTACGATGATTCAGATGAATGGTCGATTGCTTGAGCTTCTACATTAATAGAGTAGATATGCACGAAATGCAACGTTACTAAGACAGCTCCACGGCGATTCTGTTCGTTTGGAAGCGTGCGGTGTTGCCGATGAGGATCGAGAAGATCATGGCGCAAGTGCCGAAGGCAATGCTCGTGTACCTACAGCCTCACTGTCAGCTTCTTGTCATGTGTCAGGTAGGAGAGCGATGCGGCTTACCAGACATAATGCAACGACTCAGCATAAGCCCACTGCGATCCAGTCAGCGCACCCTCCAGCACCCGTGCTGTGACACCAGGAATCTCCGCCGCCGCTTCAGCGCCCAGCGTGGCGTACACCGTGACAAAGTCGACAGCTGACTCTGGGTTCAGACCGGCCGCTACAGCATAAGTGCCCACCAGCGCAGGGAGTTTGGCGGTGAGCTTCTTCTTGAAGACGTTGTAGTAGATCGAGTATCCGATGGAGCCACCCACCGCGCGAACCGACAGCGAGAGCGCAGCAGCCGTCGTGATGAGGGCATCAGGAGCAGCGATCATAGCTACCGTAGCCGCCGGAACGATGACACCACCTAGACCGAAAGACGCGGCGGTGCCGATAGCCACAGTGGAAACGACGTTGTTAGGAGTCATCGACGCCAGTGCTCCGCCAAAGGCAGTGAGGATGCCTGCTGAAATGAAGAGGATCCATTTGCAGTGGGCCGGGAAAGTCGAGAGGAGAGCGTTCCAGAAGATCGCACCGACAGCCGTACCGAAGCCGACGGAGATGCCTCGAAGACCGATCTGAACGGGGACGGGGTCGTAGACGTGACTGATCGTAAGAGGCCAGAAGTTGAGGAGGGAGAAGAAGTTCATGCCGGCAACAAAGGCGACGCCGTAGGCTAGCCCAACGACCTTTTGGCCTTTGAATAGCTGTCTGGGTATCATGGGGTGTTTGGCAAACTTGGCCTCCCAAAGGACCCAGAACGCAATCAGCGCGAGGCCGATGAGGAAGGTAGCGAGGACATATGCTGAACTCCATGGGTGCGTGTTGCCGCCTGCTTGGAGGGCGATGAGGAAGAGCACCAAACCGGCGATGGAAGCAAGGCCGCCGACGAAGTCGATACGCTTGATGGTGGCCGAGGTGCTCATGCCCTCGGATCGAGTATGGGCGTGCGGGAAGTAAGTGAGCAGGAGGCCGAGACCGGTGAGACCGTTGTAGGCGAGGGAGATCCAGGCCCCAACGCGCCAGGTGTAGCGCGTGGAGAAGAGTTCGGAGTAGAGGACGTAAGGGCAGAAGGGGAGGACGAAGGCGGTGAGCACAGCTAGGGAGTAGCCTCTATGCTTGACTGGCACCGTCTCCGCGAGGCCGGCGAGACCGGTGAGTTCACCGATGCCAGCTCCTGCACCAGCGAATGCCTGTCCAACTAGAGCTGCTCCGAGGCTGTTGGCCGTGCCCATGACTGCACAGCCGATGCAGAGACAGAGAGCGCCGAAGAGGGCGATGTAGCGCTTTCCGAAGAGATCCTGGAGGTATCCGACGAAAGGACACACGGCAGCGATTGAGAGAGTGTTGGCGACTGGGATCCATCCGACTGCTGCGCCGCCGCCGACATCTACGGCGATGTAGGACAAGGAGCCTCCAGTGAAGTAGAGGAGGATCTGGGAGCCTGTGGTAATGGCAAGTCAGCCATCTGTCTTGATCCATTAACCTTAATCGAAATGCATACCTGTGTACAGCATGGCTAGGAAGGCAGCAGCGAACCAATTTCGGACAGTCCATCCGAGCCGTCCATCAGAGTCATCACCCTTAAACGCCTGCTTGTTGTGCACATCAACGGCGGCCAAGGTCTCGTGCGTCTGGATCTTGTCCAGCGAGCCATTGCGGGAGTCTTCTTGCTTGGTGGACACTCGCTCTAGCTCCTCGAGGTGTTGTGCTTGATGCTTCTCAACGTCCCCCATGACTGCGGTGAAGGGGGATGAATCCTGCTGTATAGATTAAAAGAGCAGCAGGCTGGAGAAGGGAGAGGACTTGCTATTGAGGGAAACAGAAGCTGGGATGAGAGCAATTGTGGCAGAGGAGACACCCAGTACTTATCTTCATCTCCCCTCGGCTGCTAAGAGAGGGGATCAGCACCTTTGGACAGCAAGACAGCCTTCGTTAGCCGCGACAGTCCAACTTCAAAGGCTGCGTTTGGCAATCCAGAAGCCTACTGCTGCAGACAAACTCGCGTACGAGAGGGTGGCGGAAGCTTGTCGCCAAGTCACAAAGTAGATCCGGCGTGTTTGGCATACGGCAGCGAGCGGTTCCAGGACTGCACGCCGAGTGACCTGATACCTGAGGAGTTGAACAGCCAATGATAGCTGCGATAGTTGGAGAAGTTAGAGGAGGACATCTCCGCAATGGCAAGAAGGTTTGCGGGGTAGAATCTGGGGAGGCGTGGCGTTGGGAGCGACGGTCCAGGCTCTGGTGCTCAACATTGGATAGCAGTGGTCAACACGAGGGAGGTATCTCGTGCTCAGGACGAGATGCGTCTCGGTTGCGGGAATAGCAGGCCCTCCCAAAGCTTGAGCCGATAGACTCCTGGATCCATGGAGATCGGTACGGTACCATCGTCTGCTGTGATCCATCTCGACGATAACGCCGCGAATGTCCAAGGCTTCCAACGCACATATGATGGGCGCAAGTCCGTTGAGTATGAGAGCTAGGCCGCCATGGAACTATTGATGCAAACGGTCAGCGAATCCAGAACATCCACATGAACGATCCAGAAGGTACGTACCTGGAACTCTCCCTTGAATAGGTACATGGACCTCGCCGCGGCAGGCTACCTCGGTGTGCTCGTCGGGAACTCCAGGAAACCAGGTCAACAACACCTCCCATCCTGCGTAGAAATGAGCGGTCCATCGTATTTTCCAGTTCTTTTTTCATGATAAAGAGTTGTGATAACCACCAGTATCGACAGATGTCTTGTCACTAGGGCCTATGCCATCGCCTTGGACCAAGAAGAACGCTGCAATGACCCAAAGAAAGCATATCTTTCGTCGATCGAGACGCCCCAATACCTTGGAGGCTTCCCATTACGCCAACGGCAGCGATAGGAGACCAGTGGTGGACAACGGCAGGCTGATGTCAGGATATATGCACCGCAGACGCTCAACCAAATCTACCGACCGCTCACATAAGCCAGCAGGCACGGCCGTCCACCCAAGCTCCGCTCCCGACCACAGTATTGTCAACAGTAAATTCAATCTAGGCAGAAGATTAGGAGACCACTGCAGCTCTGCGAGCAGCGTAGCAGCAGCATGCGGCGATCAGTCCTGTGTTAGTTGGTACTGACTGCTTAGCGAGAAACATTCCGAGACAGACGCCTCTCCAACACTGAGCCGTCGTCTCTTCCTCCACCCGTCAGCATCCCGTCCACTGCATGTCCATGGCCGCATCGCACGTATTGTTCGAGGAGATAATAAGAGACGATTGAATGTTCCCGGTTCGGCCACCGACGTCGCGGACCTGTATGCCCATGTCGGAGGCCAATGCAACGCAACCAGTATCGCTCAGTAGAGATGCGAGTACTTATTGCGCAGGGTGTGTGTCCAGCCCGTTAGCCTGGCAGAATTCACAGGGCGCACATTGAGCAGCACCTCAGGGGCCGCGACACTGGGGTATTGGATGTCAGTTATGAAAAGAGCACAAGAGAGAGGAAAGAAGGCAATACTCACGCATCCTACCCTTGGCCGGGAGGTGAGAAGGTGTCAGCAATGTTCATACGTCGCTTCCGTTGTAGTAAGACACATTTGAATACCAGCCATCATGACGATCGCTCTCTTGGACTCCCCGACGCCTTCCCAGCTACACAAAAGGCGGAGGCAGTCACCTCGAGCGCGCTCAGAGCAAAATACCTCACCAATGCCCGCTCAAGCGATGACAAGTTTCACAGATCCTCCCCCTTCACAACAGCAGCATCAGCATCCTCATCATCCGTTGCTGTCGTCGGTCGAAAGACACTATCAACGTGCATTAGTGCGGGGTCCTTCGCCTTCAGTCTTCTCAGAAGGTCCTAGAGCGAGAATGAGATCTGCACAAACCACAAACGTAGGCTGTCGAAGCAGGGAGGGAGACAGGTGAAGACTTACAGATGCTGCTCGTAATAGTCCAGCATCTTCTGCGGACACTTCCTACGTAGGACCGCGAGAGGATGCTGGGTCTTGGTGCCGTCGTTCCATTCGATCAGGCCGAGGAGCGTGCGGATGTCTTTGGTGCCCTTGGCGGGCTTTGTCGAAGGCTTCGATTCCTCCAGGACGGTGTGGACGCGGAGGACATGGCTTTCCCACGAGCCTTCGGGCAGCTTCGCGGTTGTGACGCCGTTGGTCTCTGACTGTCGACCCTTCTTCTTGGCTGAGGGCTTGACGGCGGGGGAGTCGAGATTAGCGGCAGAGGCTGACCTCTTGCCGCCTTTCTTTTGCGAGCTTGAGGCGGGCGGACCGCCGATCGTGTCGTGGTACTCCGCAACAATGCCCATAGCATTGTCGCTATGAGGCGTCAGCAACTCGACTCTCTACAGGATGAAGTAATCGATCGCGTGAACTCACAGGTGCTCGATCGGCTCCCATGTCTGATCTGCTTCATCGTCGTACCCAAGCCACTTGATCCGATAATGCAACACGCCTTTCATGTGCTTGTGCCCGAGGATCCTCTCCACCTTGTACTCCTCGCCGTCTGCGTCTTCCTCATCGTCATCTTCCTCTTCCTCTTCGGCAGCTGCTACATCGGCCTTGGTAGGAATCTTGCCCTTGGCTGGGATCGCGTCGGGACCGTCGCTTTCGTCGTCAGAGATCGGGGCTGTCGTGGATGTTAGCTTGCGCCTTGCGACTCACCATTTCATGGTGCGCTTCTGTGACAGTGGAGGTACTTAAGAGGCATCTCCTCGGCCGACGGACTCGGTGACTGACTTGTAGAGGTCGCACGCGGTGCGCCACTGCAGCAATGGGGTCAGCGGTGTGTCGTAAAAGGTGAGAGGCTGGTCAATGGAATGGTTGGTCGAGGTCGACGTCGGCGTTTGAGGTGTGAGCTCGAAAGCGCGTCGGAGCTGGTGGTCCGTGCGCTCAAACGCGATTTGATACCTCGAATTTTTGAAGAGAGGAAGAGACAGGTCGCAAACGAAGAAAACATACCTCGATCTTCCCACACCGCCGCTTGCTTGGACTCCGCCGGCACCGGTCACGAGACGACGAAGCATCTTGTGAAGCCCGCCGAACTTGGAAGGTGCGAGGGAAGAAAGAAGAACAGTGAGCTGCCTGGTGAGGGAGCAGTGAGGTTGGAGGAAGAAGACGAAGAAGCAGAAACAAAGCAAAGATGGCCGGACAGATGAGTAAGTGAAGGTGCATGTGAACACGTCACTGCAAACGGAGTGAAGGCTGATGTGATTTGAATGAAACAGATCTCGACCTCAGCAACGGTATGTATCACAAGTCACCACACCTTCCCAGGATCCTAGCTAATGTGATGTATAACAGCCCAGATAGCCAAGGACGAACAAGGCCGCCCCTTCATCATCGTCCGCGATCAGGGCAAGAAGAAGCGCACTCATGGCATCGAAGCCATCAAGAACCACATCCTCGCTGCCCGGACCGTCTCGTCCATCGTCAAGACCTCACTCGGACCCAGAGGTCTGGACAAGATTTTGATATCACCTGATGGCGACATCACCGTCACCAACGATGGCGCGACCATCATGAGCCAGATGGAGATCACCAACCACATTGCGAAGTTGTTGGTGAGCTTAAGCCAGAGTCAAGATGCAGAGATTGGAGATGGCACGACGGGTGTGGTGGTGCTGGCGGGCGCGTTGCTGGAAAGGGCGAGCGAGCTCATTGACAAGGGCATCCATCCGATCAGGATAGCGGACGGCTATGATGCGGCCTGTGAGGTGGCAGTCAACGAGCTGGATCGCATCTCAGATGTCATGCCCTTCTCGCGAGACAACACGGATAACCTCGTCAAGGTCGCCAAGACCGCGCTGGGCTCGAAAATTGTCTCGAAAGCACATGATCAATTCGCGAACATTGCTGTGGACGCTGTGCTATCCGTCGCCGACTTGGAGAGGAAAGACGTCGACTTCGAGCTCATCAAGGTGGACGGCAAGGTCGGCGGCTCGTTACAAGACACAGTCCTGGTTAAGGGTGTGATCGTGGACAAGGACTTCTCACATCCACAAATGCCGTCCGAAGTCAAGGACGCCAAACTCGCCATCCTCACCTGCGCTTTCGAACCACCAAAACCCAAGACCAAGCACAAGCTTGACATCACCACCGTCGCGGAGTTCAAGGAGTTGCAGAAGTACGAGCAGGCCAAGTTCACCGAGATGATCCAGCAAATCAAAGACACCGGCGCCAACGTGGTCATCTGCCAATGGGGTTTCGACGACGAAGCGAACCACCTTCTCCTCACAAACGAACTTCCGGCCGTGCGATGGGTTGGTGGCCCGGAAATCGAGCTCATCGCCATCGCAACCAACGGCCGCATCGTCCCTCGCTTCGAAGACCTCAAGGCGGAGAAGCTAGGCAAGGCGGGTGTGGTGCGTGAGATGTCTTTCGGTACGACGCGCGAGAAGATGCTCGTCATTGAAGACATCCCCAACTCCCGTGCCGTGACGGCATTCATCCGCGGCGGCAACAAGATGCTCATCGACGAGGCGAAGCGGTCGCTCCACGATGCTCTTTGCGTCGTCCGCAATCTGGTCAAGGACAACCGCATTGTGTATGGTGGAGGAGCGGCGGAGATTGCGTGTTCGATGGCAGTCGAGCAGGCGTCGTTCGAGGAGCCAGGGCTGGAGCAGTACTCGATGCGCGCGTTCTCGGAGGCCTTGGACGCCGTACCGATGGCGCTGGCGGAGAACAGTGGGTTGAGTCCCATCGAGAGTCTGGCGGAGTTGAAGATGAGGCAGAGTAAGGGCGAGAAGAGGGGGAGGTTGGGGATCGATTGCATGCAGACGGGTTCGAATGGTGAGCTAATCTCCTTACTTGGCTTGATATGTGATGGTGATGGCTGCTAACGATTTCACAGACATGAAAGAGCACTTCGTCATCGACCCGCTCATCTCAAAGCGACAGCAACTACTCCTCGCTACACAGCTATGTCGCATGGTGCTGAAGGTCAACAATGTCATCGTCGCGGGAAGTGATGAGAACGAGTATTAGATGGATGCATGACTTGATGCTGGCTTGTTGCTGCATAGCGGCGGTGCAGGGTGACGTACTGTATGGTATGTAGAGCTCTTGTATGATCCACGATACTGAACAGCACCTGCACAACGCCATGTATTGCTGTCAAGCATCTCAGTCTGTTTCTCGCATAAGGTAGTTGGCGTTCTTAGACGACATCGGCTATGTCGGCCTCCGCACGCCGTTGAGGTTGCATGCAGATGTGGGCCTGCAGCATCTGCTGCGGTTAACGCAGATACTTTCTACGAAGTCAGAATCTCTCCCAGCCCGTCAACTGAACATTCACTTCTCTTCCTTCCGCATTAACATTACTAGCTTCATTCCTTCAATCCACGTTTTCCAACCACACGAGCTGTGCATGTGGGAAAAGCTCGACTTGCACCAACAATCTCGTTGCTGGAACGCTCGCCGACATCGCTACCAAAAATCCAACGGCTTACGCCCGAGCAGTCGGTAAGGGGACTGGATGAACACCGACGAGCAAAGTACTCACAGACACACGTTCTCGCAGAGTACGGCGTTTTCGGAAGATGTAGATAGTACAGCGACTACCCTCTTCGGAGGCTCGGGTGGCGGGAGTTTTGACGAAGGACGGAAGTATGCTGATGTTGAGCTTGAACGGTGGGAACGGCGCAAGCATGGCGTCAGCAAGTATTCCAAGGAAGACTACGAATATCACGAGGACCACGAAGACGCAGGCTACGACACCGACTCCACCCTCTCTAACCTCCCGTCTCATCGTGAAGAACACCACACCCTCCTCACCCTTCCCCCCTTAACCCGCCCCACAAGCCACACCAGCTTCGGCGACGACAGCGAACCTCCACCGCCGCCCCGCTCCCCAACAGCAAAACAAGTCTCCTGGTCCGACCTCCCCCGCAAAAGCCAACTCACCATCCTCACCCTTGCCCGCCTCTCGGAACCCCTAACCCAAACGTCCTTACAAAGCTACATGTTCTACCAGCTCAAATCCTTCCCCCTCGCCGACGGCTCTACCCCCTCTGACGGCACAGTAGCGAAGCAAGCCGGGATTCTCGCTGCCGCGTTCACAGGTGCGCAGTTCTTGACGGCCATGCTGTGGGGACGGGCGGCGGATTCGGAGTGGTTTGGACGGAAACGTGTTATCCTTATCGGGCTCCTGGGGACTGCTATAGGGAGCTTGGGGTTCGGTTTTAGCGGCAGTTTCGCGCAAGCGGTGGTCTGGCGCGCGGTGGGCGGGGCATTGAATGGGAACATTGGGGTGATGAGGACGATGATTAGTGAGATTATTCGGGAGAAGAGGTTTCAAAGCCGGGCGTTTTTGTTGATGCCAATGACGTTTAATGTTGGGGTGATTATTGGGCCGTTGCTGGGGGGGCTGTTGGCGGATCCGGTGGGGAGCTGGCCCGGGGTTTTTGAGGGGGTGGGGTGGTTGCGGAGGTGGCCTTATGCGCTGCCGAATGTGGTTAATGCGCTTTTTCTGGGGTTGAGTGCGTTGGCGTTGGTTTTTGGGTTGGAGGAGACGCTCGAGGGGAGGAGGGGGAGAGTGGATTGGGGGTTGACGTATAGTCGGTGGGTTGGGAGGGTGGTTTTTAGGAGGAAGGCGAGGCAGGAGTATCGTCCGGTGGTTGATCGAGAGGATGGCGGAGAGGAGGATCTCGAGATGAGCGCGGCTACGCCAACAGCGAAGGAGCCTGCAGTCCGACGGAAGCTGCCTTTCCGAAGGATCTGGACGTCGAATGTGCTGTTCACCCTCGTCTCTCATGGTCTCATGGCATGCCACGTTGGCACCTTCAACAACCTCTGGTTCGTCTTCCTCTCCACACCGCGGTACGACCCAGCCAGCAGCCAGCATCGACCACGATCCGCCCATCCCGCTACAGGACCGAGCGAGGCCCTCAAAACTGTCCCCAAGAACTACCACCCCCACCTCCCCTTCGTCTTCACCGGCGGCCTCGCCCTCCCGCCACCTTCAATCGGAACCGCTCTTGCCATCCTGGGCGTGATTGGCATCAGCCTCCAACTCCTGCTCTACCCTCGCCTCTCCTTCCGCCTCGGCACAACTCGCTCCTTCCGCCTTTCCATCCTGCTATTCCCAATCTCCTACTTCCTAGCGCCCTACCTCTCCGCCCTGCCCTCCTCGACACCACCGCCAGGCCAGGCGACTGGATTCCTAGTCTGGCTCGGCATCACCCTCGTGCTCTGCGTGCAAGTCATGGCGCGCACGTTCGCACTCCCTGCTGCTGCTATTCTGGTGAATAACAGCTGTCCCCACCCCTCGGTGCTGGGGACGTTGCACGGGATTGCGCAGTCCGTGAGCTCGGCGACGAGGACGGTGGGGCCGGTGTTGTTTGGTTGGTTGTACGGTGTTGGATTGGAGAAGGGGGTGGTGGGGACGGCTTGGTGGGGTATGGCTGGTGTGGCGGTGTTGGGCGCGGTTGCGGGGAGGTTTGTGAGGGAGGGTGATGGGCATGAGATTTGGTTGGAGGGGGAGAGGGAGGAGGAGGCGGAGGGGAAGGGGTAGGTAGAGGGATAGATGCTAACTATCTTGTGCTTCTTACCTGCTTGCTTCTCACTTGGGCCGAACTCTCCAGGACGTCTAAAGATATGTAGTTCTGTGGTGATGATTGGTGAGGCTTTGGGATGCTTGCCGCACTGGAGAACTTGGTTTCCAAGGGTCTCCATGCCGTTGGCCAAGCGGCTTCTTTCTATCAGTCTCGTAGCTTCATGGGATATTTCTTCGCACAATAGCCAATGGCAAGAATCGCGAGGATCTCAATCGCCCAGAACATCGTCGCCAGCTCGAAACCGTAGTCAAAGTGCGGCGCTTGTCCTGACGGGTAGGCGAACAGGATCACCCAGGCACTCATTGCGTATGAGAACGCCTCCGTCCAACCAATAGTTATCACCCGATGCTCGGACGAGAAACTGCAGACCTGGTCCAAGGGTTAGCAGTGTCTTCCGTAAAGCAGAGAAGCACATCGCTCACCTCATTGACCTGCGTCATGATCAAAGCGCCAGCACCCGTCTCCCCATACGTCAGGATCCAACCAGCCATCATAGCCGCGAGGTTGTGTTCCGGGTAGACAGAAAGGATGATTGTTCCAATCATCGCCACACCACAAGCCGCGCAAATGACGGGAACGCGGGTCTTGTAGTAGTCGCTGACCCAAGCATACACCAAGCCGATGACGATCTGGAAAGCGAAGCCTCCCGATGGAATACTGTTGACGGCTTCCACCGACCACCGGCCGGTGTCTTCGAGGTAGACGAGGAAGTAGCTGTAGATCCGGATAGCGAGGACATGGCACGCGAAGGCGATTGGGAAGAGGTAGATGGGCCAGTGGGACAGGACGTCTTTGAAAGTTTGGAGGCTGAGCTTCGCCGGCGGTCGGCGACCGACTCTGTCCATGCGCTCGATTGCCATCTGGCGTTGGTGCGGTTTGAGCCATTTCGCTCGGCTGTTGTGAGGAGCGTCTGGGACGGCGAAGAAACCGTATATGGCGACTGGGATTCCGATGATACCATCGAATATGAACAGCCATCGCCACGCTGCGAGGCCTTGGACCCCGTCCATCCCTGAGTAGAGCCCGGCTTGAAGGTAGCCAGAGAACATGCTGCCAGCTGAGGAGGTCGAGATGAAGATGACAGAGCGCTTTCCAAGCTCAGCAGGTGTGTACCAGTTCCCGAGCAGTGTAAGGATACCAGGGAACGCAGACGCCTCTAGCAGGCCGATGAAAAATCGCAGGACAAGGATCGTGTTGGTATTTTGAGCGCCCGCCATGCCCATGACGAGGATACTCCAGATCAACTCCAGCGATGGCAGCCAGATAGAAGGTCGGACCTTTAGGAGCACGAGCTGAGAGGCGAGGTTGCCTACCACATACCCGCTCGTAAACAACGTCTGCATGAGGTTGTAGTCCTGCCCTCCCATAGCCAGGTCTTCTTGCATACCGGACACATATGCGTTTTGTACGTTCACTTGGTCCCTGTATCTAGTGTTAGCTTCGTCCTTGGACACTGAGGGTTGGTTTAGACTGTACAGATATTTGACAAAGTAGGCAATGCAGACGTACGTCATTATAAACCTGCAAGCAGAATGGCAAAAGTGTTAGCAGAGTTCTTGAGGGCCGGAAGGGCTTTGCTCACCAGTCAATCTTGTTAACCGTCTTCCGCTCCTCTGGAGACTTGTCCCATGTATCCCAGATGATGGCTTTGAGCTTGCTGGTCTTTGGTTTTTCATCCTGCTTCAGGTCTTCGTCGACCTCGTTGATGGCCATGTCATCGATAGGGCTGGGCTGCATCTCCATGCCGCCATCGTCTCTCGTCTGGTCTTTGGTGGACGAATGCATGATTGTTTCAGTGCACTGCGAGAAGGCAGGAATCCAGGACGGGAAGTACAGGCACTCTTTATCTGCTACGCGGACCTGAGGTCGCTGCTGTGTCTATCTCCCAAGCCTGTTGAGGCTCCAGAGATTGCGTGCTCCGCGGTAGAGACGATGAGATGCTGAGATAACATGGCGGCGACTGAAGGTGATATGAGTCGTGACATTGTGGCCAAGAAGTGGTTCGAAGGGTAGTCGGCCACCGGTCGACAGTAGGGCGGATACAGTGAAGTTTAGATATCACATGAATCATGTGGTTCGGATGGAACCGGTCAATGGGATCACTTACACTGCCAGCGTGACGGATTCTTCTCACAGTCCCAGGATACAACAACTTCGCCGTTCACGCTCAAAGTCGGCGAGTTTAGATAGGGGATACTGTCGGGTCGTGTCCGACGAATGGTCTTCTGGTCCGGAATTATCAACGTCTATCTATCAAGATATCGCAGGATGGTGTGGATCAACCACGTGGGTCTTGGACAGACTCGTTGGGAGCCGGGAGCGTGTCGGCGAGATGGTTCCAGAGGTCGGTCACTCTCTGCAACGGAGGTAAAGAAAGAGCTCGTCCCCGGTATGTTGCACGAGGGTCAGCATCATGAGTCCCTACATGGAAGACCAATCGAGCTCGGTCTCAACGAACGATGGGCAATCAAGTTTGGCAATCCGCGTTTCCATAGACCGCGGAGGCACGTTCTGCGACGTTATTGCCCAGATTGAAGGGCAAGACGACATCGTTTTCAAGCTGCTATCAGAGGACCCTCAAAATTACCCAGACGCGCCAACGGAAGCCATACGACGCATACTCGAACGAGTCGAGAAGCGAAAGATAGCATTGTCCGAGAAGCTTGATGGATCACGCATAAGTATGCGGCCTCCTTGAGATGTCCACATTTTCAGTGCTGACGGTAGCATTCAGCTTCTTGTCGAGTGGGCACGACCATAGCAACAAATGCCCTGCTCGAGCTGAAAGGCGAAAAGTTCGCTTTTGCCACGACGAAAGGTGAGAGAAGATGGGCTGGAGACCATGCACGATGCTGACAGAGAAGCAGGCTTCAGAGATGTCTGCATGGTTGGCGACCAGACGAGGCCAAAGCTGTTTTCCCTGCGGGTAGAGAAGCCGAAAGCATTGCACGACTGCGTCGTGGAAATCGACGAGCGGGTAACTCCGGAGGGTTACGATCTCGACCCTTTCCCCGTCGATCATGAGGAGCTGCTGCAGCGTCCAGACGTAGTCGAAACTGCAAGCGGTGAAGTCATGCGCATCCTCAAACGACCTGATGCGAAAGCCGTACGAGTACAGCTTGAGGAGCTCCGTCAACATGGCTATACCACACTCGCTGTTTGTTTGATGCACGCCTGGGCATTTCCAGACCACGAGCGACAGGTGGCTAGCATAGCCCGCGAGGTAGGATTCAGTAAGGTGATCTTGTCGAGTGAGCTTAGTCCGCAGATCAAGCTGCTTTCAAGAGGCCAAGCAGTATGCTCTGAAGCCTACCTTCTGCCGGTCATCAGAGAGTATGTCCACAACTTCGAGTCCAGATTTGAGAAGCTCCCAGCAAGAGTGGAGTTCATGTGCTCAGATGGAGGCCTGCGACAGGCGAAGAATTTTGGCGGTAACGAGGCTCTTCTCAGTGGACCCGCAGGAGGCGTGGTTGGTGTTGCGCAGTCTTGCTTTGATGGAGAGACCAAGAAACCTCTGATTGGGTTTGACATGGTTCGTCCGTCCGCTCTGCTATTAGAAAATCGAACATGCTGATCGTTTTTTAGGGTGGAACGTCTACAGACGTTTGCCGATACGATGGCGCATATGACTACCTGACCGAGACCAAGATTGCGGACCGCAACATCACTGCTCCAATCCTCAACATCAGTACAGTTGCTGCAGGCGGCGGATCCATCCTTTGCATCAGGAACGGCCTTCTCGTAGTGGGGCCAGAGAGCGCAGGTGCATATCCTGGACCTGCGTGTTATCGTAACGGAGGGCCTCTGACGGTGACAGATGCCAACCTATTCCTAGGACGACTGGTAGTGTCCTCTTTCCCGGCAATCTTTGGCGAAAACGCAGATGAGCCACTGGATGTTGACGTGGTCCAAAAGAAGTTTCAAGACTGCGCAGATGACTACAAAGTCCAGACTGGACAGACTCTCTCTCCGGAGGATCTTGCACTGGGTTTTCTTGATGTCGCCAACGAGTCTATGAGTCGACCTATCAGGAACACAACAGAGGCTAGAGGCTACGCACCCGAAAGGCATGATTTGGTCAGTTTCGGTGGTGCTGGCGGTCAACACGCTTGTGCTATAGCCGGCAAGCTAGGTATGGAAAGGATTACAATCCACAAATACTCGTCCCTCCTATCGGCGTACGGCATCTCGCTGGCGAAGCTGCAACACGAGACCTCAGAAACCTGCACTAGTGTATGGTCCACGGAACAGCTTCCGCAGCTGCAGACACGTTTGGCCCGTTTACGAAAAGGTGTCTGCGATGAACTCGTCGCGCAGGGCTCAGATTCCGACTCCATCGCTTACAAAGAGACCTTGAGCCTGCGCTACTTCGGCACCGATACTACTCTGGACATTCTCAAGCCGGCAGACGGCAACTATGGCGCTGCTTTCACTTCGGAGCATCTCCGCGAGTTCGCGTTCAAGATGGACAGGCCTATCGTTGTGGATGCGGTGAAGGTTCGTGGTGAGGGCACATCTGGTGCTCTCGCACAGCCACACTACTTGACACAGGAGTTGCAGGCTCTGAAGAAAAGAGAGCCAGCTTTCGTCTCCGGGAATGATCACCAACAGCTGTATGTTGACGGCAAATGGACTTCTGTCGACGTCCTCGACTTGCAGGCCATAGCAGCAGGCTCGTCCGTCAAGGGCCCAGCAATCCTCATCGACCAAACGCAGACCTTGCTGGTGGAAGCCTCTTGGGTGGCCTGCAAGCTCCAAAGTCATGTCGTTCTCGAGAGATCTAAGGCTATCGACCTCAGGAAGACTTTCGACAAGTCGATGGATCCCGTTCAATTATCTATCATGGTATGTACCCGCTGCTACAAACCCCCCTCCACACGCCGCCGCTATGTCTCGGGCTCAAGGGCCGCGCGAGCTTCCCGGCCGAATTTACCTCGAAGGCATCTTCGGTCTTCTAGGCATTCGTCTTTGACCTCGTCCTTGGCATAGTGGCCGCCGCGAGACTCGAGAGACATGAGCTGGGTGATTCTAACGATAAATAGGCGCATCGATTCATGAGTATCGCTGAGCAGATGGGGAATACCCTGCAACGTACCTCCATAAGCTCCAGCATTCGAGAGAGGCTCGACTTTTCATGCGCCATCTTCTCGCCCGACGGGAAGCTGGTCGCCAATGCACCACACATTCCCATCCACTTAGGCTCAATGCAGTTCGCAATCCAGGCCCAGCATCGCCATTGGGAGGGACAATTGGAGCCTGGAGACGTGCTTTTGACGAACCATCCCGAGTGGGGAGGAACGCATCTCCCCGACCTGACTGTGGTCACCCCGTGCTTCGTCGACGATCGCATCGCATTCTATGTTGCATCTCGTGGTCACCATACAGACATCGGCGGCAAAGGCATCACATCCATGATGCCAGAGTCGAAGGAGCTGTGGGAAGAGGGTATCATCGTGCCCACGATGAAGATCGCTTCTGACAGTTCCTTCCTTGAGGACGATGTCCGCGCTGCTTTCGATGCCGCTGGCAAGTTTCCAGGCTGTGCGTCGACCCGAAGAATTGCTGATAATTTGTCTGACCTCAAAGCGCAAATGAGTGCCAACCAAAGAGGCATCACATTGCTTACGAAGCTTTGTGCGGAGGCCACTCTGCCGCTTGTCCACGAAGCGATGTATGGGATCCAGTCGACTGCTGAGGTTGCTGTTCGCTCTTTCCTCAAGTCGTTCGCAGCAAAAAATCCAGCGCCGCTGATAGCCACTGACTACTACGACGACGGCACGCCGGTGACGGTCAAGATCACCATCTCACCCATCACCGGCGACGCACACTTCGACTTTGCCGGCACCGGACCGCAAGTCTGGGGCAACTTCAACTCGCCCATCTCAATCACACACAGCGCCGTGATCTACACCTTGCGCTGCCTCATCGATCTTGACATTCCGCTCAACGAGGGATGCTTGATGCCGGTCAGTATCGATGTGCCGAAGAACAGCATCCTGAACCCAGGCCCCGGCGTGGCCATCTGTGGCTCAACCATCGCCAGTCAACGTGTCACTGATGTCATCTTGAAAGCTTTCGGCGTCTGTGCCGCTTTCCAGGGCTGTGCCAACTCCTTTGGCTGGGGCATGGGTGGTCGCGATCCCGTCACGGGCGAGACTACGAAAGGTTGGAACTCAGGCGAGGCTATCGGCGGTGGTTGTGGTGCTGGGCCAGGCTGGAACGGCGAGCATGCCGCACAAGTCCACAGCACCAACACACGCATGACCGATCCTGAGATCATTGAGAAGCGGACGCAGGTACTGGTGCGGAAGTCTGTGATACGAGAAGGAAGCGGAGGGGAGGGCAAATGGAGGGGCGGTGATGGTGTGAGTAGAGAAGTGGAAGCGAGAATGCCGCTGAAGTTCTCCATCTTGAGTGATCGGAGGGTGTACGCTCCGTACGGCATGGAAGGTGGAGGAGAAGGGGCGAAAGGATTGAATTTGCTTTACCGTCATGATGGGAACGGTGGACACACACCGATCAATCTTGGTGGGAAGGCGGTGGCTAGTCTGGAAGCTGGGGAGTATATACAGATCAATACCCCTGGAGGCGGCGGATGGGGGAGGAAGGACTGATATTGACAACATGCAATAGTTGCGAAGCGACGAGTCTACAGTGTATCTGCCCTTGATGTCTTAAGTTTTCGCTCGTATAGAGACCTTTTTTTACTTTCATGCGTGCCAGGAGAAGGTGAAGTCAAGACGTGCAAGCACGCCAGCGGCAGCGAAGCCCGTGCCCGATCAGTCCATCCACAAGCGACTTCATTGGTACACAACCACTTGCACCACACCGCCCGTTGCCACTTCTACGCCTCCAAACCTTCCAAAGGGCTCCGACAAACATGCCCATACCTCAACATTCACCAGACCGCGCCAATGTCCCTCCGTGGCCTCCGCAATTTGGTCGGGCTCGCACCTCCGACCCCCTATGCTGGCAGCGAGAATGAAGAGACCGATGTGTCTAGTACGCCCGGTCTTTTGACCCGCCAGCCGAGCCAGGATGTCGGAGATAAGCAGGGTGAAGAGCTGCCGACGCTGCTGCATCGTCTGAGACACAATAGCTCGATATTGGCGTTGGCATTGAGCGATGAGAGCATATATGCTGGGACGCATGGCGGGGAAATATTGGTCTACAGCCTGAAGACGTATGAGAGGAAAGCAGTGATTGAGGGGCACAGGGGCAGTGTGCTGGGGTTATGTCTAAGCGGTGACCAAGAATTACTTTTCTCGAGCGGAGGGGACAGGATCGTCAATGTGTGGAAGACTGAGGATTTGACAAGACAAGCCTGCCTCTACTCTTCATATGACGTGGGCGATGTCTTCTGCGTGGCCTACTCAGAAGCTTTTGGGGTGGTCTATCTTGGAGCGCAGAACACTACGATCCAATGGTGCTCCCAAGACCACGAAGGGAGCAAGGACTGCGCAAAGCAACCCAGCCAAACACCGGGACCACGAGCCAAGGATTTCTTTGACTCCCGCGGCCCGGGCGGTGCAAAGACGCCTCGCCCTGCGGATGCCGATGTTGTACCCAAGCATGCTAAAGGCGGTCAGATCATCGAGATCGGCACACAGAACGTCAAGCACTTCGCTCACTACGGCTATGTCTACTGCATGGTCCTCTCCAAGACCATACCAGAGGCGCAAGGTCAGGAGGTTCTGGTCACTGGAGGCGGGGATGGCATAGTAAAGCTGTGGAAGCTGGACGCTAAGAATGGTGGCGCGCCGGAAGAGTTATACCAGCTGGATGATGGGCGAGAAGAAGGCCACTCTATCCACTCGGTCTCCGTCGAAGGCACATTCCTGTACTCCGGTCGGTCTGGTGGCGAGATTGATGTCTGGGATCTGGAGACACGCCAGCTCATTCGCAACCTGAAAGCACACCGAGACGATGTCCTGACCATCTGCATCGGCGGTGGGTTCATGTTCAGCGCTGCAGTCACTGGCTACGTACGCAAGTTCGATCGACAGTACCAGCTGCAGTTCCGCATGGCCGCTCACAAAGGTCGCATCTTGGCCAGTGCTTTCAAACAGCACAGTCGAAGAGCGATATACGTCACGGGAGGCAGTGACAGCACTTTGGCCGTCTGGGATGTTAGCGACTGCGTTGCCACTCCAATCTCGACGATGAAGACGACCAACGAACAGCTTGTTGACTCACTGGCCAAGCTCGTCAGCTACCGAACGGTCTCCTCGGACCCGAAAACAGCACTCGAATGCCGCCGTGGAGCTTCATATTTGCGCTCCGTCTTTAAGAACTTCGGAGCCACCACTGAAATGCTCTCCACTCAGCACGGGTGCAACCCTATCATCTTCGCACGATTCAAAGGCAATCCTGCCACTCGTGAGAAGCGCAAGAAGATTCTGTTCTACGGCCATTACGATGTCGTTGCTGCCGCGAACAAGTCTAAACAGTGGATCGTGGATCCATTCACCATGGAAGGCATAGACGGCTATCTTTATGGCAGAGGCACGAGTGACAACAAGGGGCCTATCATGGCAGCCATTTTCGCTTGCGCTGAGCTGATGAGCGAGCAAGCGCTTGGCTCGGACATCCTCTTCCTGATAGAGGGTGAAGAAGAGAGTGGCAGCAGAGGGTTTGAGGACGCGGTGAGGGACAACAAGGACAAGATCGGCGACGTCAACTGGATCTTGCTGGCCAATAGCTACTGGCTCGACGACCGGATACCGTGCCTGACATACGGCTTGCGAGGAGTCATCCATGCGAAAGTGCAGATTGAGAGTAGTCATCCTGACATGCACTCTGGTGTTGATGGAAGTGCTGAGCTTGACGAAAGTCTCAAAGATCTGGTGATGCTGCTCGGCACCTTGACAGGGAAGAATGGCGAGGTTAAGATTCCCGGTTTCTATGACTCGGTCCTACCACTTGGAACCGAAGAGAAGGATCTCTACGAGGACATCGCCAACGCTTTGGTACATCGCAACCCCGACCTCGGCAGTCCTGCGGCACTCAAGCTGTCATTGATGAGACGCTGGAGAGAAGCAACCTTGACAATACACCGCTTCAATACTTCAGGACCAGAGAACGCCAGCATCATTCCGTACCTCGCCAAAGCAGCAATCTCCATGCGACTTGTTCCCAACCAGGAGGCAGCTGTCATCGGCGAGATGTTCACCTCTTTCTTGCATGCACAATTCGCCAAACTTGAATCCAACAACAAGCTGACCGTGACCATCGACCACCAAGCTGAGCCGTGGCTTGGAGACTGGCAGAACGAGATCTATCAGACGCTTGAGGAAGCAATTATGGACGTCTGGGGTCCAATCGAGCACACCAGGCGACGGAGCTCTGCGCTGCCGCCCAAGGTCAGCATCCCTGACACCCATGCCAATGGAAGTGGCAGCTACTTCTCCGCCAAGAGTCCGACCACCTCCAACGTCCTTGCCAACAGCGGCAGCGGTGGTGCTTCGAACCTCAACATCACGCCCTTGACAGAGGTCACGGCCAAACTGGAAGACCTGGCCGCAATCACCAACAAGAGGTCGCCACCCAAGCGCCACAGCAAGTCTAGCTCCTTGTCCAGCGTGCCCACATCGGCATCCTCGCACCGCAAGAAGCCTCTTTACATCCGTGAAGGCGGCAGTATCCCTGCTATCAGGTTTCTGGAGAAAGAGTTCGATGCGCCGGCAGCGCATTTTCCGTGCGGGCAAGCAAGTGATGCCGCGCATTTGGACAATGAGAGATTGAGGTTGGTCAATCTTTACAAGAGTCGCGAGGTGTTCAAGAGGGTGTTCAGGGATCTGCCGAAGAAGTGATGAAGACTTGGGCATTGGGCGGAAGTTATGGAGCTCGGCGACATGGGTTGGACATGGGCTATGACGTTACTGTAACAACATTCCGGTTCTCAGTGCCAGAGTCGGCGGAATGGTATTGGATATTGGAACAGGCATGTAGGAATACCAATCGCTGGTGTCTGGCGTGGTGGCTGCTGCTGACGACGTGACAGTAGCAGCGATCATGAGGTAACGAATGTTAGATTAGTCAATGCTACTACGACTTCCCTGTCAGAAGTCTCCGCTCACACCGCGCAGCTTCACCTACGAGCGACCTGATAAATCGCGAGTCCAACCGTGCCCGAACAGCCATCACTCGATCAACGTTGTCAACCACATACAAAGGCCGACGCCACGCGACCGATCAGCCTGCCTGGTGCTGTACCCTGAATATACACGACTGACGGCACACCTGATTGTGGTAATGCTGCGTACAGCTATGCACGATCATCACCGCCTGCTCACTGTCTATTCCTGATGGCCGCATGCACCCGCACATGCTGGCCAACTGGACTACATGCGGCGTCTGAGACACCGTTGTCTTTGCTAGGTCTCACTCTTCCGGAAGGCAGTCATACCAGCGACTTCTACATCCAGGACAGCAGAGACACAACAAAGCCATGTCTCCAGAAGCTGGATCAGCAACAACCTGAAGACCTATATCATGCTGTTCACGCTCACAGTGAGAAGATCCTTGTGACATGCACCCTTTCTCTCGATCTTTAACCGCCTTACGATCAATCTCCACGGAGCACAGAACATGGCGGAGACCTACGAAAAAGAAAGAGCGAAATACCTGCAGCATCTGGAGCACGACAGCGGCACTGGCGCTACCAACGGAGCCGGGCACGCTTTTGAAACGACACCGCTGTTCTCGCTGGCGGTCCGACACGCTGGAGGCAAGGTGGATGTCGAACAAGTTTCAGAGCTTGTCGAAAAGCGACTCCATATCAGCAACACTCCCAGTGATTCGCGCCCAGCAGAACCTAGTGTGAGCAGTAGCAGCGGCGGTGAAAGCGATTTGGAAAGCACTGAAGACAACAACCATGGCAACCAGCCTGCCCATCCGCACTCCAACAAGGACATACTCTCACAGTACGGCCTCCTTGGCTTCCATGTCGGCGAGCATCCTGGAATTACCCAGCAGGAACCCATCCTACTCAACACCCGTGCACCCAATTCGACCTTCCTGTGCGGCTCTCAAGGTAGCGGCAGAAGCTTCACTCTGGCTTGCATCCTTGAGAACTACCTGTTCCCAGATGAGAAGTTCGGCTCTGTCGCCAATCCAGTCGCTGGTGTGGCCTTCCACTTTGACGATGACGATGCGCTCAGCGGGGCGGAAGTAGCGAGTTTGTGTGGTCGCGGTGTCGAAGTCAACGTCCTCGTGCCGTCGAGCAACTTCCACAAACTCAACGCAGCCTACCAAAAGATCGCCAAACAGGTTGGAGGTCGCATCAACGTCGACAGACTGTTGCTCAGGGATGAGCACCTGAGCATCAGCCGCATGCACAAGCTGATGGCCTTCAATGAATCCTCAGATACAGGCGTCCCTCTTTACATCGCTGTGATCAATAACACTCTCCATCGCATGGCTATTGAAGGCAAGCCGTTCAAGTTTGCCGATCTGGAGAGGAGGCTGGATGCGGAGGACTTCATGCCTGCACAGCGCAACCTGCTGAACCTGAGATTCAATCTGCTGAAGAGCTTCCTCTCAAGCAGCGCCCTACCAAAGCACAAGCCAAAGAGAGACATCTTTCAGGTCTCTCCGGGCGCCCTGACGATCGTGGATCTGAGCGACCCATTCATCGACGCTTCCATAGTGTGCACACTGTTCGACATGTCTCTCAGCCTCTTCAAGCAGAACCGCCCAGAGGATGGCTTGGTCATCACGCTCGATGAGGCACACAAGTACCTGAACAACTCCGCAGGAGCAGAGAAGTTCACGGAGCATCTGATCACGACCATCCGCATGCAACGCCACCACGCCACGCGAGTCGTCATCGCCACCCAAGAGCCCACGATCTCCGGCAGCTTGCTGGACCTCTGCTCCGTCTCCATGGTCCATCGCTTCACCTCTCCTGCTTGGTTTCAAGCCATCAAAGACCATCTCAGCGCGGCTTCAAGTCTTGCTGCTTCTGCGGCGGAGCAGCAGGCGATGTTTGATGGGATTGTCAATCTTGCTACTGGTGAGTCGTTCGTGTTCTCACCGACGTCGTTTGTCTGTGTGAAGGATGGAAAGGAAGAGAAGCTGGGGACGGGAGTGATGAAGGTTAAGACGAGGAAGAGGGAGGGCAGGGACCTAGGAAGGAGCAAGATGGCTGGAGGGCAGCAGACGGCAACGCTGACAGGAATATGACGGAAGGTGATCTGCAAAGATCTTGCAGGATGATTTTGAGTATGCACGTAGTCAAAACGATGCCTGTGGAAGTTCGGAACTTGCATGCGTTGGGTCTATTGTAAGGCATGGTCGTGCCCATCAAATAGCATCTTCAAGAAAGTTCCCGATGCATGCTCGCCCTGACAGCATCGCAGCCCAAACAAACCTGATGCAAGCACAGCCTTTTCCATGCACTCGCTGGCTGTGACCTCTGACGAACAAGCGTTAAGCACCATGCAGCATCGTCGTCAATTGACATGCACCACGCCTCGCGCCGCAAACAATCACAGCAGCACTGCGCCTCGTCCTTGCTGTGACCTTCGAAAGTGTGATAGCTCCATCAAATAATCCCTTACAAGGCACGGGCGAACCTCGCAGTTCAACGCCGATATCCATCAGGCATCTCTTCCCGGTCGAGATCATCCACCGTCCGCTGCTGAATTCTTGAAGTGCGCATGGCCTGAGTGTTCGCCTGTGTCCGCGGCTCAGGTTCGGTGGAAGGCTGAGGGTAGCGCGGTGGACTGTATGCCGATCGATCATATCTTGATGGTCGATAGTTGGGAGATCGAGCGTTGGGTGGTGAGTCATACGACCATCCGCCGTACGATGACCGATCACGTTGGGCACCAGCTCCGACGCTTGAGTCGACTCTGTAACTGCTCAAAGCCTCTGTCAACGATGAAGGCAGAGGTCCCGGTACAACTCCAGCCCACGCGCCAACTCTCTTCAGTGTCTCATGTGCAGTGAACGGGTCGATTGGCCTATCGGCCATGCGACGAATGAGAGCAGTGTGAGGAAAATGATCGTGCTTCCGCACGTCAACGATCGTAAACTTCGGGCCCTTGTCGGAACTACGCCGATGAATTAGTCAGAAGAGCACCACCGGTAGCATAGGATGGAGATGTGGAAGTGATCGAGCGTACTTTTTCAACCAGATGGCGTCAAGATGCTTCAAACCGTCTGGCACCTCGCGACCACACTTGGCCAGCAGGATATGGTAGCGACTTTCTACGGACGACGATCTGACCTTACTCGGGATGTCGTCCTTGTCGGGATTGTAGCCGTTACCTGTAATGGACAAGCATCAGCGCCGAGATTCCCTACACGGGGCTGCACAAGCTATTAACCAAGTAAGACCGTCACAATACAATCATTGAACCTCGAGATGATTGCCCAGTGGTTCTTGCTGTAGGTGCGTAGACGAGGGTACCAAGTGATGTTGGACCGATCGAATTCCTTCGGAGAATCTGGGCCGCCGTCTGCTTTCACCTCCTCTACTTGCACAACGTCGAGTATCTCAAGACTTGGAGTCCGCCCGCCGTCGGTGCTTCTGAAGTTCCTGTCGCGTCCACTTCTCCAGTCCGACGGAGGGTGAAAGAGATTTTTCGAGTTGTTGTAGATCACTTCGAGCACTTTCGCCGATTGCGCGTGAACCTCACTGACCTCCTGTGCTGTGACGAACTTCTCATTGCTGTCACTGTCGAAGAAGAAGTCTTTCACGGCTCTGACGTGAAGCTTGTTTGCGTATCGGAGACGCACGGTAGGTTTCAACTTCTCAATGACGATCTCTAGGAAGGTTTCTGCCTCTGACGGGCTCGCCATCGAAGCATCGGCCAGTTCGTGAAGTCGCTTCTTCAACACACTCCGAGCTCGATCATCTTCGTAGTTGTGTTGCACGGCTGGCTTGCTGCTTCGTGGTGAGCCACCACCGGTTCCGCTTTGGGTGGGTTCAGTCCGGGGGATGTGGGCGACATCGATCGGGGACGGCGATGGTTTGGGAGCTTGAGGAGGCGCATGTGATCGTGGTGGGGTGCGGTCGGGGTCAGATGGCTTCCGCTTCTTGGAGGAGCCGGTGATATAGTTGACGTCGTCGTCGCCGTAGTCAAGACGTGGCGTCGGATCTGGAAGACCACCCATCTTTGCCGGTGTAGATGCGCAAACAGGAAGAAGGCAGACATGGCAGAATTCGAGGTTGGGTGATTAATTAAAATGCACTAGCGCCTCGGCGCATATATGGAGTAAGTGAATTGATAGAATGAGTGATTGTATTCACTTGGGCGCCGCCAAGATCACGTGAGATCTCATGTGAAAGCCGCTCAGTTCTTGGAGGCCCCCGCTCCGCTGTTCTCCGTCATCTCAAAAAGAATTTCTAGGAAAATGGTCAGGGTTTAAAGTCTTTGTTATTGTCGGATGGACGATGGACGTCAGACAATGGCTAGATGCCCAAGAAACAAGCACAAAGGAAACGAAACCTCACATGCCGAATCCAGCTTGAACAAACGATAAACAACTTACCGGCGTCCTCTATAACCAACAAACATTATACGACTCATCACATACCGAGCCCTGGAAACATTGCTCAATTTGTATTCGATCCCAACAAAAGCTTCCTGGAGAACAGTGTCCCAACGGAGGATAGCCGAGATGTGTTGTCCGATATTCCGCTTCTTCTTTCCTTTGCAAAGGCGGAAAATGACCAGCTATAGTCCACGTCTGCGTCGTGCCTCTGGTCGGAAGTTGCCTTCTGATGGCCGGCGACTGTACCGCGGGAAGATGCTCGAGGCTCGACGCCGGCATTATTTGAGTCACAGGGCCCGCAGATTCACAGTAGACAGACGGGGCCGGATTAAGGATTACCAGGCGGGCGAGAATGATGTTGACCAGGAGCATTGCGACAACACCGAAAATCCCAAAGACGAGTCTGTCCCGGATGGTTGGGATCCTGATGACTATCGCACGATGCTCAATGCTATGAAGCAACGAGATCGATATCTTGAGCTTGCTGAAAAGGCTCGCAAGGACATGGAAAGCCATCGCGCAGGCTATCGCGGGAACCGTGGGCGGCATTTCGAGGGCCAGGATCCAGGACTCTCAGGATGGAATCCGCAATGGACGAGGGAGGAGTTCGACATCCACCATTTGGAAGAAGCTATGCGTCTCTCGGGGATATTGCGTCAGCTAGAGGAACGCCTGATAGTGCGCATGAGACTTTGTGCCTGGGTAGGAGCCGAGCCACTAGCTTCGCAAGCAAACCACTTTACCCACAAGGACACAGGTTATGCCGAGAGTTTGGAGCAAGAGATGAGAGACAGCGCCCCTAGGGAAGCTATTAAGACATGGAAGGATGGTCTAGGAAAGGCCGCCAAAAAGTCGACAGAGGCTTCGGAAGGACGGCTGAACCTCTATTCCCCGGACCATGTCGTTGAGTACCCAGATACCATTGCTTCTAAGACTGGTCCTGATATAGATCCTGGGGACAGCTTAAGTGTGAACGGTGCAGACCTTCAAGGAAGAGTCATGGCTCCTGGGCAGACGGATAACCTCCAGGTCGAACGTCCTCATTATGAGCCTCACAAGGAGCTCGCAAAAGCTGTGAGATGGCAGCCGACTAATGATGTCCGGAGGAGACTCAATGGCAGATACCCGGCCAAGGACGACGATCCGATTGAAGGCGAGGACCCGATGGAAATCGAAGATCCGGCCGAAGGCGAAGATCCGAAAGTTTTAAGAAGCCATATGTATTGAGAGAGCGTCTAGTCTTGTCTTCGAAAGGCGGTAGCATGGGCGTCCGCCGCCGGGTTTCTCGATCCAATGCATAAATCTGAGGATATCATGAGAATGCATACGGCGTGTTGTCCTTGCGTGGTAGACACAGTAGAAGCAGAGGCGAGCAAAGACGAAGTGAAGTGAAGTGGAGGAGTGCCAAGTCGAGCTAATGTCCGAAAGCGAGATCGGAACCGAGGTCATCTACATTGACGATTTCACACCTACATGTATCTGGGGAGGGGGAAGATGGCGGGTGATGACAGCACAGACGGCAATATGATAGAAGGCGATGTCGAAAGGTCTTGTGCGATGACGTTGACCATGAACGTAGAAGAATTCATGCAGCTATACAAGGCATGCTCCTGATACCACATCCCAACAAGAAGTTCCTCAGTACAAGCTCGCCGTGACAGTATTGCAGCCCAACAGACACAACACAAGCACAGTGTCTCCGATGCGCCCACGTTTGTGACATAGACCTCCAACAAACAGGCTTCCAGCCAATGCATGGCCGCCCATCTTGTCATAATGCGTGATGGAATAAACCTGGCGAGACATACAATCACATCAGCAACTGCACTCCTCCATCCTCGTCATCATCATCCTCTTCTTGTTCTTCGAAAGCGCTGTCAGCGTTATGGATAGGCTCGGCTTCTGGTGGTCTTGAGTCTTCGGCGCCGGCGGTCATCTCAGGCTCGGCGTGTGCAAAACCAGCGTCACCATCATCTGCAGTTGAACTGATACCCAGACCGCCAAGCAACGGGGTCGCTTTCGTATGACGGCTATTGCCAGCCGGTGATGACGCCGCTTGGGTGGTGTTTGTTGCCTGTGCAGTGCCGGAGGCTGGGACACTGTTCGTGGGAATAGCTGGTGCTGGGTGGGAGGAGGCGAATGTGTCGGAAGGCATCCGTGGTGTAGTTGGACTGGTTTGTGCAGTTCTGTCCGCTGGTATGGGAGTTGTAGCCGATACAGCAGACGCTACGTGCTGTGGCGAAGCAAGCGGTTTGCTGAAGGCCACCATGTTGTACACCATGTCGATGTTCGCATTAGTCTTCGCAATTTTTCCCGGAACCACACGGAGAGGATCGCCGTGCTGCACCGTCTTCCGCTTCTTCACATGGAAAAAGGTGTATTTTTTGCCGCCGTCATATCTACTCAGGAGAACATTAGCATAAGCGCCAGACTCAGGGCATTAGTTAATGCGCAGCTCGTGCATACCCTTTGACCCTGAGGATCTTGAGGTTGAGGTCTTTGACAGCCTCGGGGACGTCTACGCCATCTTCGAGGAGCAAGATGATGTTCTTACGATACTTCTTCAGCTTGGTCGGAAGGACTGAGCTCCTCGGATTGAATCCATTGCCTGATCGAATGGCGTCAGCATAAAGGCCATTTATGCAACAAGACGCGGCATGGAGATACAGATCATACGTACCACAAATCATTGTTGCTTCTCCGTCTTCTATTTCAATGACGAGGCCACGGTGGCGCTTGCAGTGTACACAGACCGAGAGATGGTAGCAAATATCGGAGGGAACGGTGGGCGGCAACTGACCACGGACAGTTTCAGCATCCCAGTACACAACGATAGTAAGAGCTGTTATGGTATCCCGCTTGTTTGGCGACTCGAAATCTTCGTTGCGGTCACAGACCCAGCGACCTGATGGAAGGAGTTTTGGCGAAGTGGCGGCGTGGTTGTGCAATGATCGTAGAGGCTCATTGAACGTCACGGACAGGTCCGCGGCGCGCTTGAGATCCAGTCCACGTCTGGCCTCATAATCGATCAACGCACAGCCCAGACCGCTGATGACACGGGCATCTTCTGACTTGAGTCGTAGCTGCGTGCCGGTGAGTTCACTCTGCAAAGCGTGACTGAGAAACTCGGTGGCATCAAAGTTTCGATCGGCAGCGTCTCTGGCCTTACTGATGTGCCGCCAGACTTCTTCATTGCTGTTGATGCTGGGGTCCGATGGCGTGTAAGACGATGTGTAGCTGAAGCCTGAATACGGAGGGGGCGGTGACTGCTGCGGTGTGGAATTGGTATAGCCTGACTCTGAGTACGAGCGGCGTGATCGAGCTGTCGATGGATTGCTGTCGTCTTGCCTCTGTCTCTTGCGCTCATGATCTTGGCCGTTCGCAGTACTAGGGAGGGGTCATTTCTGTGTCGCACCGTGTCGAGCGGCCCGACTCCACGCCATGCTGCTGGACTGCAATGATGAACGCCGGCAATACCGCGTGAATCCACTGGCGCGTCAGTGTACCCACAAGGTCCTGCGGTGCTGCGGCTATTCGTGTCATCGCCGCCGTCACCGCCGCGGCCTTCCGTCAACCACAGACGGTCTGGGTGTGTGGTATTGTCCGTACTTTGTGGTGCGGTCGCGCATGGAAAACTTCACCTGCTCATATCTGGCTTCTGAATATGGCAGCGGCGCTAGTGCCTTGGCAAGCCGCGGTGAATGTCGAAACTGAAATATAGTTGAGGACAATGAAAGTCACGTGACGTCGATCTTTCGGTAGAATGATAGCAGTTGGGCCGGTGAGCAGAAAGACAAAGAGGAAGACCGGATTCGAAGAACGCCCATATCTCCAGACAAAGAGGCAACCTACCGCCCAATCGCGTATCCAGCAAACAGCCTACCTCACAGTGTGCACTCTTTCCTTCCTTACAAGCACCTCGCTAGTATTTTGCAAGAACATCCTCCTTTCTCACGAGAATCCGAGGACACGATCTATTTCACGACGGAACAATGTGCAATGCCATATTTCGATTGCAGTTTCCGAAGCGGAAGCGCAGAATTAATGGCAACCAGCGACGTCCGCACTTCGTAAGCCGGGGCAACTCACCTTACGAGCGACGGCGACTGTATTGCGCCAGCAACCTCGAGGCTGAGCGCCGGCGATACTTGACCTCGAGGGGCCAAATCCGGAAGTGGCTCGTTGATGGAAAGGGCCAGATCAAACGCTATGGCATTGAACAAACCCCGGCCGCCCGAGCAATACCCCCGAATGGGATGCGAACTCGCACGGGGCATAGTAACGCAGGTAGACGGTCTGACGGCAAGGTTGTGCTCCCTCCTCAACCGGGCAATAGATCCCAAGAATTGCCTCCTGCTGAACCGCAGATCGATGTCCAGCATGGACGAAAGGGCAAATCCAATCGTGACAACAAGGGTGAGCATATCCAGGATATCCGGGAAGAGGACATCCCAAAAGGCTGGACTGTTAAAGAGTATCGCACCTTTCTTCGAGCAACTACTCGACGAAGCGAGCTTGTGGCGAAGGCCGAAGAGCATCGAAAAATCCTGGAACGGCACCTTCAAGGATACAACGACCAGCTCCAAAAGCACGTTCAGGGTCAGAACCCTGGGTTTCGGGACTGGCGCCCAGACTGGACCAAAGAGCGGTTCGATCAGCAGCACCTGTTCATAGCCATGAGACTGTCCAGAGGACAGCGAATCAAAGATGAATGCTTGGTGAAATTCCTCAGGATATGCAGCTCGCCTGGAGCCGTACCATTGGCTTCGCAGTCGAACCATTTTCCGCATCCGGACGCAGGATACGCCGAGAGGGAGGAGGATCGAATGAAGGCCAGCGCGCCTGCGGAAATGATCAACAGCTGGGATGATGGCTTGGTAGATGCTGCCGGAGATTTCGCAGGACGACGGCCTTCAGAAGTACTAGAAGGTAATCTCAATCTATATGCGCGGGACCATGTCGTTGGGTATCCGAATACCATGGCTTCTGCCGTTAGATCCGAAACGGGCCCAGGAGACAGCATTAGCCTCAGGGGACGCAATACCCGGGACATAGTAATGGCGCCAGGACAGACTGACATAGTTACGCCTAATCGTCCTGCACACTCGGATTACAGTCAGCTGGCCAACCCGGTGAAATGGGAGGCGCCCAGTGATGTTCGAAAGCAATTCAGGGATATTCGACAGCGACTTGAGGATGAAGACCCGAAGCATTTTCCACCGCAACTCGACGATAAAATCCCGAAGGGCCATTTTCCAGATCCGAAAGCTTTAAGAAGCCACATGGGCTGAAGAATGCCGATGGTAGCATATTCTCTTATCCTTTAATCGCTACGGCGCGATGGCGGAGAGGCGGTAGCGTGGAGGTGTTCTTGATGGCATCTATGTCGAATCATGTTGATCTGCTCAATGAGAAGGGGTAGGGCGGTTTCGACCTCAGTAGACATGATATAGACGACATATGGAAGCAGACGGTGGAGCAAAAACGAAGTGAAGTCGACGAGTGCCAAGTCAAGCTAAGATCCGAGAGCGAGACCGGATCCTGCGTCATCGAAGCCCTCGAAACGACAACGAGATTCCATACCATATTCCTTGCCACATCTTCCAAATCAACCATAGTTTATCATCTGCGCCCAGCTGAGAGTGTACATAAATGCGCTTCCCTTCTCTTCCCACCTTTATTCGCACACTCTACGCCTTCGGTAACACCACTTCCAGAGCGACTCCATCACCGCTCACCCAAGCAGTCCGGCCATACGCTCTGAAATCGTCGATGCCAACGATCCCATTTTTGGGAGCTCTGTTTCATACCGCCGAGTCCAGGAAGATGTCTCACCCTGTGCAGAAGAGCGACAGCGAGTGGCAAGCCGTTTTGAACCCAGGTAGGCAAATTGATGGGTGCCACGATTAATGCATGAGCTTACAACCTCACAGAGCAGTTCCGCGTCCTCCGACAAAAGGGCACCGAAGCACCGTTTAGCGGCGAATTTGACAAGCACCACCCTTCCTCCGGCACCTACAACTGCGCCGCCTGCGATGCGCCGCTCTACCGCGCAGACCAGAAGTTCAAGTCTGGTTGCGGCTGGCCTGCCTTCTTCGACACCGTTCCTGGAGCGGTCACGAGGCACTCTGATAAGACTTTCGGCATGGAGAGGATAGAGATTGTTTGCACAAATTGTGGAGGGCATCTGGGGCATGTGTTCAAGGGTGAGGGCTATCCCACACCGACGGACGAGAGGCACTGTGTCAATTCGGTGTCGATGAAGTTTAGCGATCAGGATCCTGTTGAGAAGGCGAAGGCATGAGGGAGCTGCTTTATGAGTGACATGATATGAATCGAGCTGGTGTTCCGAAGAGGCTGCATACAGCAGTGCAATGCTCTTGAGCATGGGAAGCAGTGGCCATTCTTACTTCCACCCCCCTCGACAGGGTGGGTACTTGCTGGTAGGTAACACACCAAGCTTTTCAATCTTCCTCACCCCTCTTCATCATCGAAGTCCTGCGTTATCTCAACGGCAAGTCGATTGGCCAGACTCGATGTGTGAATCTTTTGACGCAGGGGATGTAACGAATTCACTTGCCAGGCCGCAGCCCGCTAGCTGTTTTTGCAACACACAAGGCACTGTAATTTCCTGACTTGGACTTTTACCAAAACATCTTCACACCACTGTCCCCGACCATGGCAGACACGGGCGGACATCAACCGCAGCCTTCTGCCTCCACAACCATGCAAGACGCATACACCGCGTTCTACGAGCCACGGCGCCTCCGTTCTTTCGCTGGACTGCCGCTGCGAAGAATGCCTTTCTTTCCGACAATACCGCCGCGCGATCCCAGAAGCCACCCCTCCCAAAAGATTACGGCTCACCAAAATGGTACACCGAAGTCCTCCCTCTACTGAATGCGGTGCTGATCGTAAAGGCACACTACGGTTTTGGAGATATGGAGGAACTGTTGGTCTGCAGAACGACGGTGATCGAACACGCAGCCGCCGTGAAATCATACTCCGACAGTGCGCATGTTCGTCAGGCCTCGAATGCACTGGGTCTCGACTTTCACCTGCGCGACTTGCTGCCAGTCTCACACTTCCAGAACGGAAAGTCACCATCCACAGCAACTACTTTGACCACACTCATACCGCAAGCAATCAGCTCGATCCTCGTTCACTGCCAAGGTGATAAGAGCGGAAATGGGACTTCTGATCAAGACGGCATCATCGCGCAGATGTTTCCTCCTCATTGCGGAATGGGATCCTGGCTGTGGCACATGCGAATGGTGGAAGTACTGTTTTACTTGACGCAGGCGATTCACGATCGGATGGACGAAGATGAAGAGTGGGAGGGGATCTGCGAGCCCACGGTGCACGTCAAGATGTTACTGCTACTCGATGCAAAAGATGCAGTCATGTCGGCTGCAGCTTTGGAGGCAGATCAGGGCATTGGCCGCACTTACCAAGTCTTGGCTGCTTTGCGACTTGTGGGTGATGAGGAAGCTTCGTTCAAGGCATTGCAGTACGCTAAGGATGCGTTGGCGGGATACACGGGAAACCCTGCTGTCATAGCACAGGGAGCCAGCGAACCCTCCATTCTCCATCTGCCTTACAGTATGGTGATTGCGTCTCATGGATACGCCGCCGCCCAGGATCAGTTACGTCGCCTCACGCCCGGCACAGAAGAGTGGTGCACCACACCTGTCGCAGCCATGGACGCCCTCAAAGGCCGCATCCCAGAGTACGTGTCCGATTCTTCAGTAATCTTCCTCTCGACGTTGGTCTCGAAAATCCGTGCGTCGAACGAAGAGGCAGCAGCAATACTGGCGGCCGGCGGATGTCTCGTGAGAGAGCCGCTGGACGCCGTGACACTCGACGGCGAGCTGGCTTCATTCAGGCTAAGGAGGGAGGCGAGTGGTGCAATCAACAGAGCGCGACAGAAGAATTATGCGGCGATCAGTGCGTGAGACGGCTATGGGGAGGTGAACCAAGGCTAGTACACTCAACGAGATGGCGGAAGGCCGAGTATGGTTGATGGGGATGCTTCATTTTCTTCACGGCTGTGGTCAGGAGGACAAGTATGGATGATTGAAGACCGCTCACTTTGGTTGCCTGGAGGATATGCATGAGGTGTCTTCATGGGTTTTCAGGTAAATGGAAAGATGTTCTTGTTGGCTTCGGCGATTGATGGTTGTGATGGATGGCTACCACGAGAGATGGCATTGTTGTGTTCTGATACCCTTCATATGTAGCCCACTACGTTTTATTCAAACTCACCGCACCGCTTATCCCTAAGGTATTGTACCTCCTACCTGTAAGGTAGAGGTGTGGTCAAGCCTTCGAGGTGATCTGAACTTCAGCCCTATGTCACCCTGGGAACCGGCTGTTTTGAGCCGACTTCACGGCACGATTCGACCAAAGACTCATTCACGATACGCTGTCGGTTTCATGGAGTACACAATACCCATCACCCATCAGATCGAATCATAGGGCGGTCGACTTGGAGCCCTCACGCCGCCGCAAAGGCTTCAGGCCTGTCAACACGCTCGATTCGCGCACAAAGCCCACCTTCGAACGAACCACTTTCGCCAACACGAACCGCGAGATACCTTCGCCTGCGCTCGCATTCGACGACAACACACATACTTTGGTGGGATCTGGTAAAGCGCAGCGACTCCCAAACATGGTCAGAGAACGGAGCCCATCCAGAACATCGTCAGGACAGTATCTATCACCGCAGAAGTCGGAGAGGCCGCCACTGGCCAACATCAGCGCGAAGATGCAGTCTCCGTCGCCGAAACAAGGCACGAAAACCGATAGTGATGCTCAAGCGAAGCCACCTACTCAGCCAGAATTTGGCAAAGCGAGCCCTCTCCGAAACCCGCTGCGCAAGCAAAACCCAAGCGTCTTCATACCCAAGCCGAAGCCTGTTCAAAAGCGCTCGCCACCCTCTCAGTCACACAGCGAGGCATCGTTCCAGACGCAACCCGCAGCGAGGCCTACACCTCCGCAGGACGCGCCCACGTTCTACCTGCCAGGACAGCGCTGCCCAGCGCCAGCGCCGCAGTACAACTCAGCTCTTGCAGCTGCTCAAGCCTATACAAGCCAGCCATATCAGCGGAGCTTCCAGCCAGATCCAGTGCAGATCGCGAAACCCACCAATGCGCCTGCGCAGAATGTCCAGCCTCGCAAGCCGCCGACCTTCTCCTCTATCGGCCCAAACACTTTCTACCAGCCTTTCGTCCCGCCCAAGCAGGTTGTGGATCTGACGAAAGATGCGAACAATGACGATGAAGACAGTTTCGACCCGGATGCTGAGATTCGGGCGGAGAGCCGCAAGTTCGGCGAGCCAGACCCGTTCATGTACGTCGACTCGTCACAAGCGAACGACAACATCAAGAATCTACTCGAGGGCGCATTTGACGACGAAGATGACAAGCCAAAGACACGGCTTCGAAAGCGCGCTAAGAAGGCGCTTGATGAGGGCAATGTCAAAGAGGCGAAAGGTCTGTCTGCCAAGCTGGCGGCGCTGGACGTCAAAGATGAGGAGAAGCCGGCGGATACTGAGGCAGCTGAAGAGGAAGAGGACGAGGACGACGGTACAGTGGAGGGCCTGAATGTCAAACTTCTACCACATCAGGTCGACGGAGTGGCATGGATGATTGAAAAAGAGATTGGCGAGCGAAAGAGACGCGGTGTTCTGCCGTATGGCGGCATATTAGCAGATGACATGGGCTTGGGAAAGACCGTGCAGTCGATCTCCCTGATCTTGACCAACGCACGTCCAGGTCCAGACGCGAAGCCAGAACACTCAAAGCAAAAGCTTCCAGGCAAAGAAGTCAGCAAATGCACGCTCGTCGTCGCACCTCTGGCGCTGATCAAGCAGTGGGAGGACGAGATCAAGACAAAAGTGTCTAAGAGTCACTCTCTTCGTGTTCTCGTCCACCACGGCCCTTCACGCACCAAGTCTGCTTTGCAGTTGAAGAAGTACGATGTGGTCATCACCACCTATCAAACTCTCACCTCCGAGCATGCTGGTTCAAACATGGATCGACCTGATGGGACCAAGGTTGGATGTTTTGGCGTTCACTGGTATCGCATGATCCTCGATGAAGCACACAGCATCAAGAACCGCAATGCCAAAGCTACGCAGGCTGCATGCGCCCTCAACTCGTGGTTCAGATGGTGCTTGACTGGAACACCGATGCAGAATAACCTCGACGAGCTGCAGAGTCTGATCAAGTTCCTGAGGATCAAGCCATTCTGTGAGCTGCCGGAATGGAAGGAGAGGATCACAACGCCGATGAAGAACGGTCGCGGTGGCTTGGCGATGAAGAGGTTGCAGTACTTCTTGAAAGCCGTCATGAAACGACGAACCAAAGACATTCTGAAGAAGGAAGGGGCTCTCAACTTCGGCGGGAAGTCAAAGAACGACGAAGGGGAAGGAGGCGGCAATAAGGGAGGCATGCAGATCGTGAAGCGAGAGGTGGTCACCGTTGAGTGCGACTTCGACAAGGCTGAGAAGCACTTCTACGAGCGTTTACAGAGCCGCGCAGACGACCGACTGCAGGAGATGTCGAAGAAGGGCAAGAACGACTACATCGGCGCGCTTGTCATTTTGCTTCGACTGCGGCAGGCGTGCAATCATCCGCGTCTGGTGGAGATGGCCATGAACAAGGACAAGGATGCCATGACGACTGGGGCTGGTATGAGTGGGAGCCAGACACCTAGGAAGAACAGCAGGGCGGATGATGGAGACATGGATGCATTGACGGCGCTGATGGGTGGGGTTAGCGTCCAGGCCAAGCAGTGCGATGTCTGCCAGGTCGATCTTTCTGCGGCCGAGAAGAGCAACGGATTGGTACGATGCTCAGAGTGCGAGGAGGACCTGAGGGCTATGAGGCAGGGCGCGAAGAAGAGGAAATCGAAGAAACAGAAGTCAAAGGAGGTGAAGGCTGAGAAGGCGCCCAGGCCAGCTCGCAATCGCAGAATCATTCAAGATGATAGCGATGAAGAGGGCGAAGGCGAGTGGATTGGGAACGGCTCTGAGCAACATATCGATCTTGGCAAAGCTGGCGGCACCGACGACGAGGATGCTGAGGGTGGAGGGGAGACGCTTGACTCCATTGACTCCGTGAGAAGCGCCGACGACAGCGAAGACGATGACGACTCGCCACCACGAGCTGCCAAAAGATGGCCCGCCGTGAAGCACGAATTCGACGAAGATGAAGACAGTAGTGAAGCTGAAGAAGACGAAGAGGATTCAGACTCCGACTCCGACGTCCCCATCATCTCCGGCCTCCAGCACAGCGGCAAGTCCGACGCAGCCCCATCCTCCAAAGTCCGCAGCCTGCTACGCATCCTCCACGCCGAACTCCCCTCCCATAAGACCATCGTCTTTTCTCAATTCACCTCAATGCTCGACCTCATCGAGCCCCATCTCAAAAAGAGCAACTTCCGCTACGTCCGCTACGACGGCAGCATGCGCCCCGACGAGCGCGAAGCCTCTCTCAGCGCCCTGCGCAAAGATCCCAACTGCCGCATCCTGCTCTGCTCCCTGAAATGCGGCAGCTTGGGTCTCAACCTCACCGCCGCCTCGCGCGTCGTCATCTTTGAGCCGTTCTGGAACCCGTTCGTGGAAGAACAAGCTATCGACCGCGTCCACCGTCTCAACCAGACTGTGGACGTGAAAGTCTACCGTCTCACTGTCCGCGACACCGTCGAAGCGCGGATTTTAGATCTGCAGGAGCGGAAGCGCGAGTTGGCGAAAGCGGCTATCGAGGGTGGCAAGGCGGTCGGCAAGCTCAGTATGCAAGACATTCTGTCGCTGTTCAAGCATGATGGGGGCGGGCATGATGAGGATGATGCGGAGATGTTTAGGAAGTTTGGACAGGAGAGGAAGATTTTGGATGGGAAGGACACGGGGCCTGAGAGGATGGGGGAGTCGGAAAGGAGGGTGCATAAGCCCGGGAAGGTTGGGTTGTATAAGGAGCATGATGTTTATGGGAGGCGGTGGTGAGGTGTATGTTTGGCATGAGGCATGAACTGGGTAGACTGGCGTTGGTGGTCTTGGGTATGGACTGTGGATTTGTAGGATGCCTGATGTTACGATCATGATAATCTACTTCGTCCTCTGCGTTTCATCTTCCGGGTACTGCGCAGCAGCTCTCTCAATAACTCTCAGTCGACCGTACCAGCTGCATCTTTGATGCCATCATCGTTGGAGATCCGGTCCTATCGCTGCAGTTCAACAAATCTGAGGATATTTGAATGTTGTCCGCAAAGCTTGAGACACCTTTCACTCGGCACCGACAAGGTGCTGTCATTCTATTTTCCGCCTATATCTCGAATAAGTGTAGTCTCTCTTCTTCAAATGTTGACCTTGCGGTCTAGACATCTTTATCCACCACTGATTAGGCTAACCCGGCTAAAGCAGCGCCCCGGTTTCCAAGAACCGTCGCACCGGGAGCAACGTAGATTTCTGTGGCTGAGGAAAAACTGCTTCCGGCGAGGCGGGATTTCTCTGGAATCATTCCGCGAAGGACGGAACACATGACCCATTGCCACGCGAGCCACGCTCCCAATGACACTCCTTCAGCTGCTGTCTCAAAGCAAGCATCGATCGCAAACGGCCACACGCTTCGTCACAGAATGCAACGCTGGAGAAATCGGTCCAAGGTGACACCTCCCTTCTCCAAATACCTTACCCCGTGTCCCGACACCACGGTAAGCGCACATCCTCTCCGGAATGTCGATGTGAGGTGTGGAGCCACTTGGTATCGCACCGTGCGACCACCACTCCACATCCACAGCGATGCATTCGAGAAGACAGCGGTCGCCGGCACCAACGCGGCACTCAAGACGCCACGGATTTTAGAGTGCGACGCTCCTTTCCCGGGGGAGGCGGAAGAGGCGCAAGGCACGACGCCGGCTTGTGTTCCTTTGGGCTGACCTACTTTCGCTTGGGGGGAGAGGATCCGGGGGGCTCGTGACCCGTTGCAAAAGCGGAGGGGGAGATCACATGCAAGGGATACTCTACGCGATCTGGGATTGCCTCGATCGTTGGCTCTCCGCAAACAGACTCCAGCTTTTTCTCCTGGATTTAACCGGGGCAACGCGATTCATGAGGAAGTGTTTTGAATCGCGTCGGCACTGAGGCCCAGATGAACTTACCAGGCATCAAGTCTGAGGAGAGGATGTGTAGAGATTGGACAGGACGTTACGAGCGGTGAGAGGCGGATGACCTCGCCCCGATGCGCTGGCAGTAGTGCGAGAGTCATCTGCCTACTGTTTGCGGCTCTGAAATGCGACAGCTCGTAGCCAGCCCTATCCTGCTCCTCGTCGCACGTTGCGATGCGAGCTGAAGAGTCGCACCAACAAACAACTAACAACATTCATCACCCGTTTGCACAGTGGCGCAGGATGTCACACACCGAACACCACCACCGAATCGCGACGTTTGACCTTGACGCTGGCGATCCTGTGGGAGGCACGGTGGCGCGAAGGTCTCGTTATCATCACCACGTTATGAGACATTATTGATGTGTTGTCGTTTGCTGTGTGAGTGGCATTGCCGGCCAATGGCGGGATGTGTCAGTCACGCGTGGTCGCTATAGGCGCCGGTGACCACCTATCAAGCAAAAGAACAAAACGACATCTGTGACCGAAAGAAGCAGGTGGCTAGACCGGTACTCTCCTATCGCTGTCGCTGCGCGGGATGCTTCTACTTCGTCCGCGTCGAGTCGAGAATTGAGACGGTGAGTCTCGCGGAGGTCGGGACGGTGACCATGAATCTGCTGCCCTGTCATGCTTGCTCCCTAGCCTCCTGGTCCGGCATTGCCTCGACGTCTCGCCGGTTTCAATCTGCCGGATAGAAACCTAGAATCCAGAAAGCTAAAATCTCCGCTTGGACGACCACGTGCCCTCGACGCGTATGACGCCCAGAACAGGACAATCGGAAATGTGGGCAGGGAAGCCGATGGGCTCGCTGAGAGCGCAAACGGAAGCCGTGGGGATGAGGCGTGCGAACTCTGAGCTTACCGTGCAGAGTTCCTTTTGGCTGGCGGCGGGAGAGGCGTGGCCTGGTGACAGTCACAGGCAGAGATGACAGTTCTCGTGTGTGTTTTATTTGTGTGGTGCTGCTGACGAGGACGCGGGAGGGCGAATATAGCATGTCAGCGAGCACCACTTACCCGACTGTGATCCCCCACGACCGAGGGTGTGGCGCAGAGATGGACAGGGGATGGGATCGAGAATGCGGCAAGTCAAGGGGTGGGTGCCGGCCGGAGCGATGTGTTGCTTAGTGGTTAGGCCCATGCGCGCTGGTGCAAGCCTGTGCAGTCGGTCTGGCTGCGTGCGTTTGCTCTTATGTAGAACAGGTCTTGCGACTCCTTCTTTCGCGCTGCAACATCCACCCACTACCCACGACACTCGCAGACGGCGTGCTGCTCTGAGACCCCCTCCCCATTGCGACAAGGAGAACTCCGACGATCAGCCTCGGTCAGTCTCGTTAGCCTTCGAATTCCGCTAGTGCGGGCGACCGCAAACGGCTATTACATCGTCGCCTTTCACCCATCGCCATCGACAGGCCTTCTCTGCAGACACACACTTCGTCACGCTCCGCGCTCTGGCGCAACGACACTGACTGCTGCCCACCATGCCTTTCCGCCCCCGGTATTCGTTCCTCAAACTGGACTCGTCGACATTGAGCGATGCCATCCAGACCGACCATGTGGAAGACCTTTATGGAATGGTACGCTCCACTTCTTCGCGCGCAACCGGACCAACATTTCACATGCTGACCCTTCATAGTGGAGCTTACTCGCAAAAGCGTCAAATACCATTGAGAACGGCAAGCGTCTGGAGAATTTGAGTTGGAGATTGTTCAGTCGCGAAACATTCTGCTGCAAGAAGGTGCGCACGGCTGCATCAGAGACCATGTCGTCGTCGGAAAGCTCGAACGAAGTGGCGGACGACGACGCCTCATCACTGCCGGCCCTCAGCTCCAGTTGTGGATCTTTCTCGTCGCAGGAATCGGGACCTCCAAAGAGCTCTCCGCCCGAGCTGAAATGTGCCAGCACATGCGGCCAGCGACACGAAAAGCACATCACTCCTCGTGAGATGCAGAAAATTATACAGACCATTGAGGACACGCAGGAGATCGAGCCGATCGAACTGCCGACGCCCTCGCCGAGCCAGAAGACGGGACAGACATCTTCAATGTCGGCGTCACAAGACTTCCCAACACTTCACCTGAGCACCCCAACTACCACCGAACCATCGCACGACACCACACCTCAGCCTTCCTCCGTCAGCGCATCACGAGCCAACCTCCTCGAATCGTCTTCGTCGACAGTCGACACGCAAGATGACCACACCTCGCAAACCGTCGGTTCAGAAGGTAGTTCCAACACCGAGATGAGTACGCACAGCATCGTCCGTGGATTTGTTCCGGGTGGTGCGCCATCCTCCTACCGCTCACAAACGAGCCTCGCCCCTCAACCAACGCCTATCCTCAGAACATCACCCACCTATCAACCATCGAAACCGAAGAAGAAGAAGGATCCTGTCTTTACCATTGGAACTTCCTCCGGTGAAGATGAAAGCTCGTTCGAGAGTCACATGTACAAGAGCTCGTTGTCGGAGAGCTTCAAGCGCGGCAGCAACGTTAGCAGCGCCAGCAGCAAGAAGCAGACCTCGTTCAAAGATGAGGTCTCGGTGGGCAGGGCAGCCGAACACAGCCCAGTCTTTGAAGAGTCGGATGATGAGGATGAGGAGGTCTCGGAGAGCGCGATTGAAGATGACGACGATTCATCGGACTGGGAGGACTCTGACGACCATAGTGGGCCGTCTTCCGTGAACGAGAGCCAATTCTTCCAGCGCGTCGATTCGAGACCGAACCTCGTCTCGCGCCGCTCTCTTCTCACCACCCAGCTCCACGAACCGGATCGCGCCAGAGCGCTTGCCAACGCCGCGTCGCGCTCAACACCCGCAATTCGCCAAACTTCGCGACGAAGCACACCGAACGGTCCTTCGGTCGCCACCTCACCTGAGCCAACTGCGCAACTACATATGCCACCGCAAGATGCTGCGACACAGGCCAGGCCTATCATCATGACCACCTCCAACATGCACCAATCCGCACTCTCGCTCTCACCACGTACTACCCGGCGCAACATGCTCTCCACCGAATTGACCGAGTCTTTGCGGAAGAATCTTCTCTGGGAGCGGCAGCATAGGAGCACAGGCAACCTGGCGGCGATGAAGAGACGGCAACCTGCGAACGAGGGTCGGCTTAAGCAGCGCCCTGAGCCAGGTCCTGTTCTCTCCCAACAGGAGAATCCTAAGAAGTTCAGCAACGACTTCTTCAACGCCGGTCTCCAGGAGTATCACGCCAAAGGGTGGTGATCCAATTACCACACCAACATTTTGACCACTCACCATCTTTCCGACCGACAGCACGCATTGTTTCACTTGCAGCGTTCCAGCGACTTGACTTTATACACACGGCAGTTTTTCCACGGCCCAGCAACACATCAGCACTGGCGTTCTTTCCACGCGGAAGGGGAAGGGCACGGCATTTTCTGCACATCATCATCATTCTGAGACAGGGACAAAGTGGCAACCTCTTCGCATGATACCCAGAGCCACGGGATCGTAACCCATTTCACGGCCGATGTTTTCTCCGCGCAGCAGCAGCGGCAACGCAACTATTTTTACTTGCTTTTCACATCACGGCCGGCTTCTCCTAGCGATACGAGTCTGCGAGCTGCGTTTCACTTACCTGGACATTGCTTATCATCAAGCGATGGTTTAGCGCTGGACGCGGCCGCGATGAGTAGAGTTTGGGGGGGATTGTAACAACATCGACACATATATACGCAGCGTGTACGTTTTACTGGTGATTGCTACGGGAGGGAGGAGGTGGCATTCACGGCAGGGAGGCATGCACAGTTCGAGGAGGAGAGCAAGGAGACGATGAGGCGACGGTGGGCAGTACGCTGCTTCACTGTTGGCCGATTGTAAATGTAACCAAAACCAAAGCTGTTGATAAAAAGTTGAAACGGTTCAAAACACCTCACTGCCCTCACCCTCACTTTCATAGTCTGATGTCGTGATCAATTCCGCTGTATCCGCCATAACCACCGCCTTCAAGCAAGCAGTACACAGGCAGTCAGTCATCAGATCTTACAAAGTAGCCTCTACACAACATCACATGCACAAGACAACGCAGACCGCTATTTCAAGGTCACATTTGTCTCGACCACCAGGATCGTCGGGCTTGCAGCTTGCAGCTTTGCTTTGCAGCCGGCGTGCAGGATGCACCAACGCCCGCAGAACGCCGCGCAGGGAGCAAGCATGGTCTGCATGCGCGGGTGATGGTTTAAGCGAGGAGAGCCTATTTGCTCGGGGGGATCCTTGTGGGTGGGAGAGTCAGATTGGGAGTGTGGAGGGACGATGGGACGGAGGTCATTCCTGTGGGCGGTGGTACTTCGGAGTCGTGGGAGGGTTCCTTGTGTTCGAGAATCGGGGTGAGCGAGATTTCCAGGTTGTTGTGCTTGCAAGGAGTGCTTCGGGTTCCCTGTTTCGGTGGATGAAGTGGTTTAGTGAGGTGAGATTTTGTTGAGCGTTTCGTCAGCTTGTGGACAGTGTGGCCAGAACTACGGGGGTATTGCGTGCTTTGGAGCAGTCGTGAAAGCCATGTGGAGGGGTTCCACGTTCGTGTTTGCTGTTGTGGGTGTGAGAGCCGGCGGGTGGTGGAGTTGGGTGCGTGGTGTCGGGTGAAACCGCGAGTTTGCGAGTGCGAGGGTCAGGAGGGTGAGGTACCTGTACTTGTCGGCGATGATGGGTACCTGTTCTTGAGCATCCGCCTGAGCGGAGGAGCGGACGTCGTACGGCGAAGGCATCGTAGACTCTTGTGAGCCTGATTAAAATGCTGGCTTGGAAGTAGCCGAAATCCTGGATAGCACGTGAAAGTGAATGTTTAATGTGGCGGTGCAAAATGTGGCAGGCGCGACCTCAGGCGTTTGGCGTCCCTATCGCTGCAATTGATGACACCTCTTATTTCCCCCAGTCCACATCTTCTTGCTGCATCATGGCAGACCCTCCCGACAGCCAGGTCACTGAGCCCGCAGCAGCGAAGAAGGCGAGCAAGAAGAAACCAGTGTGTAGGTTCTACAACACAAAAGCAGGTAGGTTGATGGGAGGGCAAATCCATCCTTACACCGGCCTTGAACATCAAATTCCAGAGTCCTTGTAACAGCCTACGGTCTTTCAGCCGCCCCATTGCTTCTCCCGCTCTCCTTCTATTGACTGCGGGCAGCATGATGTTGACCTCTACGTAGGATGCAGAGCAGGAGACAAATGCAGGTTCCTCCATCCGGCTCAGGAGACCACAGCCACGCAGGAGGCATCGAAAGCCATGGAGGAGCCTGAAGCGCCGACTCCCAGCTCATCATCCTCTGCTCAAGCACCACAGGCTACCCCTCAGCCAGCGCCTTCCAGAGTTGTGGCAAGGCCGACTCCGAAGGCCCAAGCTGAGGACCCAAGGAGCTTTCAGGTCTCGCAAATCCAGCGTCGGTTCAAGGCTACTTCATCAGAAATCGATAAAGCTTCCACCCTGACATTTGGCTTAAGACCTACTGATCCCGACTTCCCATACGACATAGATCTTCTCGAGTGTGAACTGACTGTGCCCCAATCTTACCCTGCGTCTGGACGACCGGCTCTCAGAGTACGCAACAAGGATATACCGCGAGGCTTTCAGATCAACATCGAGCGCGGCTTTGACTCTCTCGTTTCGGAAAGTCCCAATGCTACCTTGCTTGCCCTCGTCAACCGTCTCGACCAGCGTCTCGAAGCGATTCTTGGTGGCAAGGTGGCTGAGACTGTCACGCTGGTTTCCAACCGCACTGCCAAGCCTACTACAACAGAGTCGAAGCCTACTCCCGAAGCTGTGTCGGCGCCACCGAAGCCAATACATGCTGTTCCAGCTGCTCCCACCGTTCCACAGCTCGAAGATGCGCGGCGCAAGCGTGCATCAAGCGTCAGGCAGCTCGAGGCTCGATTCAGCAAAGTACCAGCCTTTTCCAAGACCGCGGATGGCTTGACATACACTCTGCCTCTCGACTCGCCGAAGCGATCCGCCTGGCCTTTTGCGCTACAATTTGTGAAGACTATGAGAATCATAGTGCCTGAAAGATACCCGCTGGAACCTCTGTCTCTACTCCTGGACAACCAGAGCGCAGAAGCCAGGGCCGTCGAACGAGCCTTCCGCGAACGGTCGCAGCAGCAGACAGACGCAAGCGTAACGCCGCAGGTCAACTACCTCACCCTGCATATCAAGGACATGGCCGCAGCTGCATCAGTCAAACCGGTGTCAGAGCCCGTTCAGCCTGCTCGCGCGGTACTCGAGGAGACAAAGGCAGCAGCTGAGACACAAGCGTCCCAGCAAACCCTTGAAAGCTCTGAAAAGCCGCACGTTCACCGCATTCCCAGGCCGCCGGAGTGGGACCTGCAAAACGATTCAGACGATGACGACTTCGACAGTGAAGAAAGCTCTGACTACGACATTGGCACCGAGGATGGTACAGCCGATGAAGCCAAGCCAGGAGAAGAGCAAGCGCCCGCTGCTGCACCGGCGGAGCGAGGCATCCTACTGTCTTTTCCGAAACTCGATCTGCATGGCATCGAATTACTTGAGCTCACATCCTTGAATCTCACCGTGAAGTGCGAGCGGTGCAAGGACACGACGGACGTTGAGAAGCTTCGAAGTGTTACTGAGAGCGATAAGATGCGCGAAGTGACTTGCAAGAAATGCGCTACCGTGCTGGCGGTGAGGTTTCGAGCTGACCTCATACATGCCAATTCGGTGCGAGCTGGCTACCTGGACCTTGATGGGTGTACTGTGGTGGACATGCTACCAAGGTGAGATGAGACCAACCATTCATTGATGTAAGGGTGGCTAACATTCACAGCAACTTCATCCCAACATGTTCCGAGTGCTCTACCGCCTACCCTGCACCTGGCGTGGCCGCAGTACGAGGTGATGCCGCCTTTGCCGTCTGCCGCGAGTGTCATCGCAAGATGAGTATGTGAACGACCTCGTACAAGGTGGTCTATGCTGATGCTTGCAGCCTTCCGTATCATCGAGGTGAAGTTCTTGCTAGTCAGCGCATCCGCAAGTAAGTTTCCCGTCCTACGAAACAAGGCCGCTGAGCACGTGCAGCCTGCTGACCTCCTGCGTCGTAGTCCGCGCATCGCGAGCACCAGGAAAGAAAAAGGTACGTCTCCTGACCGCACTCTGTCTCGTCCCCTGACATCCGACTGACGTTTTCGGGCTCTCAAGGCGAGAGAGAACCTGGGCATCACCGTTGGCACAGAGCTACCTCGTCAAGGAAGATGCTCGCACTACCGGAAGAGTTACAGGTAAGCCAACCCTCGACGTCACACGTGGTCTGATGTCTTTTGACTAACAAGTTGCCTCTTGCAGATGGTTCCGGTATGCTTTACACCTAGCCCAAACCTTCTCCCCGGCGCGTGACGCCACGCACGGGCTGACCGAAAGTACGCCGAAACCTTGCGCCGCTGAGCTGACACGCTTCTCCAGATTCTCGTGTTGCCAGAAAGTCTATCCGTGCGATCGGTAAGTTGTTCTGGACCGTCTTTTGCCGACGGATCTTCGCCTTGGCCGATTTCGATTCATGGTCGATTGGCTTTCCGAGTCTGCTCCGGCTCGTATTGTGTTCTCGTGATGCTGACGTCTGCTAGGTGCCACGACGAGCAGTCAGATCATCCGAACGAACATGCGAACAGGATGCTTTGGTACGTAGCCGTCCTTCCCGTCTTGCATCCAGGAATGACCAGGATCTCCGCTAACGTTTCTGCAGTGGCTTCTGTAAGTTCATCCGCTCCCGGTGATGCTTGACCGGCGAACCAAACCCCCGTGACAGCTTCCAATGTATCTGCGGCGGTGCTTCGGTTGGCTGCACTCCTCATTTGCGGCCTCACATTCGAGCAGACGATAGACAGCTGACTCATGAAATCTGTGTCATAGGTTCCCGGGAGCAGAACTACAGGCCTGAAGACTGCTCGACCTGCCATGCAGCCCTCACTGGTAAGAAAGGTCGCGGATTCTGGGAAGGAGGCAAGGGCACGAGGGATCCGATGCGGATGAGCAGAAAGGGTGAGCACATACATTGGAGTCTAATGTTCATCGGAGGAGCTGCTGACAAAACGAAGACCCCAGGAAGTACAAACGCCCCCCTGGCACGAAGTCGAAGAAGTAGCGCTGTCGTGGAGGCTGTACGAGTTTTCGCAGAATAACGGACTGAGCATCACGACCAATAAAGTCCACCATACCGGCCTCACGAAAGCAACTAGCAGGTGTGTGTCCGAAGGCTATACTTCCAACAGCCTGATGGTGTGATTCTGGACGAGTACCATCCTTCCTTCGGTTAGGCTTCGGAGGGCAACGAATGCTGCGCACTTACACCATGTTCATATGCAGACATGTCAAGGCAGTACTACGAGGACGATATGGGTGCACGGAAATTTATACGCCAAGAGCCACCCCTCTTCGTACCTTCCATATTCAGCCCCACCACAGCTTCCTATTCGGGCAGGTGGGCAATCTGAAGTTCGCTCATCGCTGAACCATCCGCCTATCTCATCCCAAGCCGGTAACTCATAGCGGGCCATAGTAACCTTGATGATGAAGTAGAGGCAAGTCTCGAGATTAATTTTCATTTCGCACATCGCTCTCAGCTTTCCTTGCCTTCCTCATTCCCGTGTCAACCTGACAAAATGTCCTCCGATTGGAAGAAGACGGCCAAAGACAAGGCCGAATCGGTCCTGAACCTCATTCCGAAAGAATGGCGTCTCGAGAAGATCCCGTCTATTGAGGAGCAACGCGATGTCACAGGTTCCTACGTCCAGCAGTTCCTCTCCAGGCAAGAGATCGAGATCACCGAGACCGACGCTGTGGGCATTGTCGCGCATACGAGCAGCGGCACGTGGAAGAGCGTGGATGTCGCGAAAGCTTTTTGCCATCGTGCAGCCCTGGCGCACCAGTTGCTGAACTGCTTGCACGAGATCTTCTTCGACCAGGCGATCAAGGATGCGGAAGAGCTGGATCAGTACTATGCGAAGCACAAGAAGCCCATAGGGCCACTGCATGGCTTGCCAGTCAGTCTGAAGGATCAGTTCCATGTCAAGGTAGGTTTGATGGGTGGGAGTCTTCGTGAACAACAACGGCGGCTGACCGTCCTATCAGGGCGTCGAGACTCATATGGGCTACGTGGGCTGGATAGGCACTTTCCAAGGTAAGAAAGGGACAGGCAAAGAGAAGAAGTTTGAGAGTGAGATGGTCAAAGAGCTGAGGCAGCTTGGGGCCATCCTATACGTCAAGACGAGTGTACCTCATACCCTGATGGCTGGCGAGACCGTCAACAATATCATTGGATATACCAGAGGACCCAAAAACCGCAACTTGTCCTGTGGTGGAAGTTCTGGTGGAGAGGGTGCGTTGATTGGGATAAGAGGGAGTCCGGTTGGCTTTGGAACTGAGTAAGTGGATCTGTTCTTGTGCCTTGGTGCTCAGCCGAGAGACTGACATTTTACAGCATCGGAGGGTCAATTCGTATCCCTGCTGCTTTCAACGGCCTCTTCGGAATCAGACCTAGCTCCGGACGAATGCCTTACGAAGGCATGGCGAACAGTATGGATGGCCAGAATAGTGTGCTCTCCGTGGTTGGACCTTTGGCGACATCTCCCGACGGCTTGAAACTGGTTATGCAGGCTCTATTAATGACCAAGCCATGGCTGCACGACCCACTTGTGCATGAGATTCCCTGGCGGACAGATGCGGAACTCGCTGTCTCTGACCCAGTCAGACGCTTCTCCAAGCCTTTGACCTTTGGTGTCCTCCGAAATGATGGATCGTGTACACCTCATCCACCCGTAGCTCGAGCAGTCGAGAAGGTGGTGCAAGTTCTGACTGAAAAGGGCCACACCATGATCGACTGGAAGCCAACACCATCTCACGCAAAAGTGTGCGAGGTATGCTACAAATGCTGGGACTTCGACGGCGGCGCAGATCTGAGAGACAGCTTCGCATTATCGGGGGAGGATCAAGCGCCGCAAGCAATGGTCACCGATAATGCTCAAGCGAATGCTTCGGATATCATGGCTGCCAATATCGAGAAGCGCGAGGTGCAGAAGGATTATATGGAGTACTGGAACTCGACCTCCGACTTGACGGGTACTGGCGAGCCTGTCGACGCTGTTATTGCTCCTTTGGCTCCCTTCGCGGCGGCGAGGGAGAACGGCTATACGTATTACGGTTACAGCGTCTGGGTGAACTTGTTGGATTATACTTCTGTTGTGCTGCCGGTCACCAATGTCGATAAGAATGTCGATAAAAAGTACAGCGACTTCAACGCGATTAATGAGACGGATCAGAAGACTCAAGACACTTGTACGTTTCCCAGGTTTATGATGTGTAGTCACGCTGACAACAATCAGATGATCCAGATGTCTACGATGGCGCGCATGTCAGCATCCAACTGGTTGGCCGACGGCTACAGGAAGAGAAGATGATTGCTTTGGCGAAATACGTTGAAGAGGCTCTGAAAGCTTGAAGCGTTCGATGTCACAATCAGGACGACACTTCTTATACATATCGTACATCCCATAGAGGATCACCAATACGCATTCCAGCACTCAGACCTTCACAAAGACGTCCTTTCCAATGTAGTCGAATGCTCTGATCGGCGCGCCCTACGCAGGTCAGCATTATTTCAAGCAAGGCAACCGCCCATCATCAAACTTACCAGATGCCTCAAAATACAGTACGCCGAAGACATATGAAAATGCACATTCGGCAGCGCAAAATCCGACCAATAACTCTGCGCACTCTCGAACCTGAATGTTCCCATTCCCGTCTCCATCAACACCGGCTCTGTCTCCTTTCCAGCCATGGCCTCTTCAGGCACTGTCCTTATGAGCTCGATGGTCTTGGTGATTCGCTCCTGCAGCTGTTCGAATGTCGTTTCATTGTCTTCGAAGACGACGTTGTCGATGGCTCCGATGCGGGTGAAGAAGAATTTTGCGGTGTTGGAGCAGGATTGTACTTGGTACGGGAGCCTGCAGTTGTTAGTTCTCGTTTGTGGTAGGTGATGGCGGAGGGGTGAGTGACCCTCGCATGTCTGGTGCTAGTCTGAAACTCAGCATTTCTTCGTGGGACATGCCTTTCTCGTCTGCGAATTTGGCCCCAGCCTTTAAGAGGCCAGAGAGGTTGGTGAGGCCGCGCTCGAGAGGTCGAACGCTCTGTTTGTAGAGAGAAGTCATGATGTGGTAGGTCGAAGTGGGAGGCGAAGAAGATTGAACAGCGCAACGACAAGGACGAAACACCTACTGCTGAATTACAAATCTACAGCTTATGTACGAAAAGTCCGATGGAGCGGACTTTGATCGAACGGAAGGAATGTGTTTGACCGTCCTTAGGGCTCGCGGTGAGGCTGAAGCACCAGGTCCGCGCACAAATTGCTTAACGTAGTTGCGCAGATACCGCAGTACGCTTTCACTACTGTTCACTAACCAAGCTGGCCCGGCAGACGAAATGTGCGTGATTTCGGGGCCGCGACATTGTCCATTGGATAGAGTTACTATTCTGCTGAGATGTAATCAAGCAAGCCAGCGCTCCCTCGAAGTCCGCTGTGGCCTGTAGAATCCGATGTCCGAGATGCTTGCTGCAGACTGTCAGGCTGTCTGTCCAAGCAAACGGCTCAATGAATTATCCCGATAAATGCGCTCGCCGAGTGAATTCAGTTTTGCTCCTTGAAAAAGACGGCCGCACCATTGGACCGCCCCGGGTGCGTATGCAACCTCGCATCTCGATCAATGCCCATTGATCCCATTAGTCAACCCCTGCGGCTTCATGGACCCATCAAAGAACCTCTCCATCATGCCGCCCGCCTCCTCCGCCAAAGGCAAAACAGCACTGACATATTGGTCCGGCCTCACAACGACAATGCACCCCTTCTCCCTGTTGATGCCCCGTTTATTGTAGATATCCCCAAAGCCGAAATTATAGCTCGGCTCGTCCGTGAAGACCTTTTCGTAATCCTGGATCTGGAATTTGCCCTTGTGCGGGAACAGCACTTCTGGCATGTCTGTGATGTCGATTGATGTCCGCGATTGCTGTAGTATGGCTCGGACGTCGATGACGCTGTCGATGTCTGCTTTTGCCGGTGTGTATCTGGGCAGTAATTGATCTAGGAGGAACGAGCAGACCTTGCGGAGCGGTGAAGATGGGTCCGTTGGATCGGAAGTGTTATCTCCAAAGAGCACAATCCGCCATGAACCATCGGCATCCATAACGTGGCCAAGGTGGACCGGCTTAGCATCGGCCAGTCGCAATACCTGACACGACTGGAAGCGTGTGCCTATCTCGTATCCGGTGGCCAAGTTTTGATACGACAAGTCGCTAGAAGTCAGTACGCCCGCCTGATACCGAGTATCCAGACCTGCCATGAACTTCCCTTTCCCGGTGAAGAAGTCTTGAAACTTGGCGGGATCTACCGCATCTGCGTCGCTCGCATCTGCCATAGTCTTAGGCTTTGCCGCGAACATCTTTGAGATGTGGCGATCGAAGTCGATCAGTCGTGCCGCGATAACTTGTCTTTCCTCGGAGTAGGTATGCAGAAGTTGTGGCTGGGCGAGACCGTGCAGAACAGCGGCAAGCTTCCATCCCAAGTTGTAGCTATCGTTCATTGATACGTTCATGCCTTGGCCAGCTTTGGCTGAGTGCGTATGGCACGCATCTCCTGTGATGAAGACTCGAGGGTTGCGTTGCTCTCGCTCCGTCTTGGGGACATCATCGAAGTGGTCGGTAAGCCGCTGGCCGACCTCGTACACAGACCAGTATGCGATGTGTCGAACTTCAAACTTGTAAGGCTGGAAGATTCGTTGCGCGCGCTCGATAAGGATCTCGGCGGTGACGTTCTTGGTGGATATTCGTTCGTCCTGCTTGAGCTTGTCGAGCTCAATGTAGAATCGAGCCAGGTAGCCGCCCTCTCTAGGAATTATCAGGACGCTGCCTTCGTTGGCGGAATGGATGGCAGTCTTCAGCCGCAGATCCGGGAAATCGGTTTCTACCAGAGCATCAAGAACACCCCATGCTTGATTCGCGTAGTCGCCCTTCATCTCCAGACCCAAGGACCTTCTCACCATACTTCTTGCTCCGTCACAACCAACCACATATCTCGCCTTGACCTTCTCTGTCTTGCTCTCTCCATCCGGACCAACCTTTTCAACAGCAACCTCCACTCGCGCAGTCTCATCGTCCGGCACGACCAGCTCTTGCAGTCGTCTGTTGTAGCTAGGCTCTAGCCTTGTCGGACTCCACTTCATCGCATCAAGCCAAAGGTCGTGCAGCCTGGCTTGATTCAATATCACATGAGGCATCTCCGACAAGCCCTCCTCTGTATCTCGTATCCTTCCGCTCCTCCTCAGCCCTTTGCCATCCTCCGTCGGCGACCAGAACGTCGTCTCATTCACCCAGTAAGCCTCCTTCAGCACCCTTTCCGAGAAGCCGAAAGCTTCGAATATCTCAATCGTCCGACATTGTAGACCGTCTGCTTGTCCTTGCTGTAGCCGTCCGGGCTTGGACTCTATTATGCGTGTGGTAATGTTCGGGAATTGGGCAAGCTGGGCCCCAAGTAGTTGACCTGCTGGGCCGGCTCCAACGATTAGAACATCGACTTCGTCCGGTAATGAGGTTTGGAAGTCGGGCTCGACCTCTCCTTCGAATTGGAGTTTGAGAGGGTCTTCCGACCCCAAGAACCCGTTCTTATGAAATTGCATTGTAGCACAGACAAGGAGAAGAGGTCATGCGGGAGCTGCGGGAAGAATAATAGCGTACAACTTGCCGGTATCTCAAAGCTCACGACCGACCGTGGTGTCACGAACAGGACATATATAAGGTCACTCTTCGTTCCGTCAGATGGCTAACGATCCGAATTGAAGATAAAATTAGTCCGGATGCTTGACAATGGCAGGTTCCATCTCGTCGTCGACAATGGTGGACGGCATACGGTTCCCCAAGAACTGTCTCTTGTGTAGATTTCGGGTCCTCTGCCGAACCGGTTTGCCGGGGCGAGGTCGGGAGGGCAAAGTTCGGAGACGTCCAGCGGCAATAACGACTTCATCGAACGACCCCCGTGTTCTTCTTCAATTTACACTCCACCTCTCGGGTGCTGCCATCGATGAGGACGAGTAGTATAACAGAGCTGGCTTTGGACGAGCTCTGGTCTACCGCTGGAGGTCTTCAAGTCTGGACACAGTCACCAGATATCTCAGCACTCGAGCAAATGGTGCTCGGTTGGTCCCTTCATGATCTCCTCCCTGCTTCCTTCATCGTCTCATCTTCTGTTTCGCGTTCGTGCTCATTCTTGCGGCGCACGAAAACTGTGTCATTTCAACTTTTTAGTAATAGCCTGTTATCTTCAATAGACCGCAACAGCCGACCATGACAGCAGGTACCAGGAGACGCTCCAGAAGCCACTTCACTCACACAAGCAGACGAAGTGTCTGCTGGTGCACTGAGATACCATCGGACAAAGCGCCACTCGGACCTTGTAACTCAGAAAGTGCGATATCAGTGATGTATAGTTCTGATCTCGCAAAGCACCACTGTTGAGATGTGAGCGTTCTAGACCGGTACCGTTGCACTGTCACATGCTACACGGGACAACATTTTGAAACGATTACACTGTCATCCGCTACTCGGGACGACGGTTTGAAACGACGCTATACTCCGGCAGAAGACAGCATCGTGTTCAATTCCTTAGCCAGATGTTATCAAACAAAGACTTCTGCGTGACTGGAGCACATGGTGAGGACTACTCCGGTAGTCCTCAAGGTTTGATCAAGCTGGGTTGTGCAAGAATGGGAAGAGGGACATAAAGACACGCTCATCCCAGGTGATGCTCGATCGTTCAAATTCAAGATACAGTTGGCAAATTTCTCTCAACGCATTCAATCCGCTTCTCCAACCGAGGACGATGTCGTTTCTACGTGTATCTTGGCTTCTACTTACTGTGGCAGTGTGCCAGATGTGTGGTGGCAACCCGATCAGTACACAGTCCATGAACGACACCGCTTCGGCATTGATCGAACGCCAGTCCCCGCTCGATCTCATCGGCATTGCAGTCGATGGTAAGATCCACAACACAAATAATACTTCACGATATACCTACCGCTGCTAATAACATCCAACAGTCTATACTGCGCTCATGGGGTTGGCCAATAGCGATTGGGAAAGAGAAGCGGCATTCACACAGGGTACGGTGGCGAACAGCATGAGTCAGGCCCCGACGAAGAATGTTCTGGTATATCATGACCAAGGAAGCACCTTCACTCCTAGTGGGGATGTGCAGCATGAGCACTACCAGTTGGATCTGGACCTCGGAGGAACCAAGGGCTACGAAATCCTAGTATTCGACTCTGGCACGTTCAAACTTGCTGGAGACGGCGGTTTCATCAACTGGTGCTACGGCGGCAGCTTTGCGAACAACCCAGACGGTTCAGTAACCTTCAATACTACCAACTGTAAGTCACCTCTCCATTAGCGTCGTGTGTATCTGCTGATACTATCCAACTCCTCCTCCACCACCTCCACCACCTGATCAAATTGCGCCGCCCCCAGAGCCAACTCGATATGATCCAAAAGATATCGATAGCATTGTCTTTGTGAATTGCCAAGCTTCCGATGGCACGGTATCCAGCGGTGTTGCCTACTATAGTGACTCGAATCGACCTATAGGCACACCGCCAGCTGACTATGTTGACGTTACTCACGGAGGGTTGTTCAACCGGGAGCAAGTATCTTCAAGTGAGTAAGACCCACATCCATGCATACACTGCGCTTCAACCCTAACATCGAGTAGTTACCTTCCCGAGCGCTGGCACTACAGTGAACTGGAACATCTTCGGAGACTCGGGCGCTGCTCCTGAAGGTTCATCGTGTGGCGTGGTATCTAATGGGTACCACAGCTACTGGGTATAGCGCGACGGTGGGCAATGGCTCTACTCCGTGAACGAGTGGAACTGTAACGCCATATATTTCAGCATTTGAGGATTTTGCTTCAGCGCAGCGCCACGGTCAGCGCTCTTCATGGCGAAGAAGAAGTGGTGCAGAACGTAACAAAGGGATTGCTTGAGAAGGGTCACTTGTTGGCGTGTTGAGGAGTGATACTTGGTTAAGCTGTCCGAAGAAGTGGTGTATACCGTCTCGTATAGTCTGTGTCTGTGAAAACGAAGATGTGTTGCTTCTGATAGCTGATGACTCGATCACCTTGACAAGCAAAATATTGAATTGCCTTCGCAGTGCACTAAAAGTCTAGCACGTGCACGGTATGTAAAATCGTCTGGGGCCGCTCCAACTCGTCCATGCTCGCTGACGACCTGAACTTCAACCCTCCTTACTTTATCAATCCAACATACGTATCAAGACTCGTGCTTACGTTCGCTTTCTCCTTGATGAAGTTTTTCATCGAGCACAACGATAGCAACAGTCCATGGAATCTGCCGCTGGAGACACTTCACCTCTTGTACAAGTTTCGGTCCAGCGGTGCTCGCCGGGCCTCTCCAACAGCGGCGATACGGATCCGTTATGCCTACCGCGGCGTCGAAGTTCAGTCGGAGAGAAACGCAGGCGGAGAAGCGCTCTAGCTGGCCTTGCCCCATCATCCATCGATAGGTGGAGCTATCAGTCCTCGAAAGATAACCGCGCATTATCATGGCCTTGGCCCGCCTGTCTGCATACGAACTGCCTATTATGGATGGCAGAAAGCAACCTCACTCCATACGCCAGCAGCGGTTACATTCAAACGTAGGTGCGGACTAGGCAGACGGTGAGTATAGTACTATGTAGGCTTGCCTGTGTCGAAGGGTGCTCTCCTAGCTCTCCCATCTCTCAGTGAAGACATCAATGATGCGATCAATCATTCCTCTCTCTCATTTCTTGCTTGCTGTGCTTTCTTTTGGCCGCATACATGGCGATCCTCTTCGTCAAGCTACTACTGTAAGCTTCCAGCAGGATATTACCGCCGAGGCGGGAGGCTTGCACAATATCCAAGTATCGTACAACGCCCCCTTGAACGGCGAGCTGTCCATACACTATGGCTCCTGCGATGTCGTTAGTAGCGCGGATTGCCATCATGAGCTAGGCAGGACTCACGTTGGAAACCATCCACTGGCCAAGCGCCGCGCTGCGCACGCAGAATCTCGACCGAGAAGATTCGTCTGGTTGCCTCCAAGTGACATTACCACGGGAGGATGTCTGCATGCCTTTTCTGGAGAAACTCTGGTTGGGCGCTCTGCTCCAGTGACCGTCAAATCTCGCAAGCAACGGAGATGGACAGCTGCGGCAGATATCATGGAAGCTGAAGGGCCCTGGTTCGACGGCGTTGAGTATTTAAAGGAAAAGGAGCCCAGCGATGTCTTCGTCGCACAGACCAAGGCTCAAACCATCGGCATCATTGGTGGTGGTATGTCTGGATTGATGACTTCGCATCTGCTGGACTCAGTTGGCTTCCATGATTGGAAAATCGTTGAGGCTTCCGGCCGCATTGGAGGGCGTGTGCATACCGCTTATCTCAACGGGACCCGACCTGACCAGTACCAGTATCAGGAGATGGGACCGATGCGCTTTCCTGTCAGCATCACCTACCCAGAGACTAACGAGGCACTGGAGATTAAAGACCACAGGATGGTCTTCCAGCTTGCCGAAGTGTTGAACGAGCAGAACAAGCACGATCCTGATTATGCCGTCAACTTCATCAAATGGATCCAGAGCTCCGCAAATGCACCTGCATCCACGTCCAAGAGGCGACCGGATGGGACCGTCCCAGGAGTGACAGAGTATGCCGAAAAACCTCGCTATCAGGACAACGCCAACCTCACCTACTCCAATGCCACTGCCGTATACGAGGCAGAGGACGCTTACAGCGAATGGAGCAGCAAAGTCTCCACCGCCGAGATGGCACACAACATCTACCGTGCTCATAAGAAAGCCGTGGATGAAGGATTGTTCGACTTCTCCGAAGCAGGATATCTCAACTATGTCTTGAAGCTGAACAAGAACATCACCGATCAAGTGGACTCCTTCCTGGACAACTCGCCGTCATGGGGATATGAGAATACTTACTTCTCTGCAACTGAATGGAAGACGATCGACATGGGTCTTACACGGCTACCTGCTGCGTTCGGTCCGCAGGTGATCAATCGTACCATCTTTGACACGACTGTACAAGGTAAGCCGAAGGCAAGGTCTGTGTGTGAAAGCGTTTGCTGACGGCTGACCCACCCGCACAGGTATGAGCTGGAACGAGAACACCGAGAAAATGACAATCGAATACCGTAATCAAGACGACCTCTTCGCCACCTCTCCTCAAACCATGGACTTCGACTACACCGTCGTAGCCGCCCCCTTCAGCCGCGTCCGCCTCTGGCGTCTGCCCGACTACAGCTCCCTCCTCACCCGCGCCATCACGAACCTCAACTACGACCAATCCTGCAAAGTAGCGCTCATGTACAAATCCCGCTTCTGGGAGCATCTCGAGCACCCCATTTACGGCGGCTGCGGATCGACTGATATCCCTGGGATCGGGAGTATTTGCTACCCTTCGTACGAGATCAACTCGACAGGGCCAGGGGTACTGTTGGCTTCATACGTGTCTACAACGCCAGCAAGGTCTGTGGGTGCATTGACGGAGGAGCAGCATGTAGCGATGGTGCAGAGGGCGATGGTGGAGGTGCATGGCGATATAGCGCAAGATGAGTTTACAGGGCAGTATGATCGTATCTGTTGGGAGTTCAATGAGTATCAGGCTGGGGCGTGGTGTGCGCCTGTGGTTGGGCAGCAGGGTGAGCTAGCTTCTCGCAGCCTTCTCGCAGATGAAGAGAATGGAGGTGCTAATGACATCCACAGATCTGTATTTGCCCAGCTACTTCCATACCGAGAAGCACACCGTCTTTGTCGGCGAGCATACGAGCTACACACACGCTTGGATCTGGAGTGCCCTAGAAAGCGCTGTCAGAGGCACGACGCAGTTACTGCTGGACATGGGTCTGGTGGATGAGGCGAAGCAGATTACAGAGTTTTGGATGGCAAGGTGGATCAACGTATAAGCGTCTTCAACCATGAACGTACAGAGCGTAGCTCATCCCATATATATCATCTATCTAGACCGCACTTGGTACACTTCGTAACCCTGCTGAGCAGACCGCCTTGAATCCTGTGACCTCCTATACGTCTCCGAGCTGTGCCTGACACCCTCTTCCTTGATGCTACCATTCCTTCTCCCTGTGATGGTAGCAATCATAGTCGAGGCCGGGTTCTCAAACGCAGTCGTGACAGATTCGCCGAAGAAAGCCGCTCCAGCCCCCTTAGGGAAGAGACGGCTTTCCTCAACCTCGACCGCATGCTGTGCTCGCGCACTGCTGGCTTCTTGATCAGAGATGGCGACGCTGTAGGCCGGATTGGAAGGATCGCCGAGAGCCGGAGCGCTGCCGCCTGGTGGTTCAATGGGGATCTCGCGCATGGTTGCCAGGAGTTTGCACATGAATTTGTTTCTTCTGGTGCTTCGCAACAGCTCGTCGGAGAAGTTGGACTTGTGCCTGATCTCCACCTGAAGGTCCAGTTTCTGCATGTTGCCGACGCTGATGAGCTCGATATCAAGCTCCTCTCTAAAGTCACGTCGATTCTCATCCAATTTGACGAACTTCTGCAGTTCGGACCGTAGGGCTAGAATATCTTCGTTGCTCGTGGTCGCAGCGACAGAGAGGACGAGACGCTCCTTCATCGATCGGCTGCGGCTGATGTTCTCCACCCAGAGCGTGTTCGCAATGTTATGCGGGATCTGAACGGTCTTGTCTGAGTCCACGCGTCGGAATACCGAGTACATCAGAGAGATGTGCTCAACGATCAGCTCGACGTTGTTGATGTCCACACGGTCGCCAACGTCGTAGGGATGCTTAATGAACAAGAATATGCAACATGAAAGAAACTCAGTGACAGTGCCCCCAATGGCGAATGCCAAGCCCGTGAAGGTAGTCCAGAGTGAAGTGATCTTCGAGGAGAAGTCGGGGCTGAAGAACGCGGCGAAGATAAATGCAATGGCGACGAGGACGACCACCGAGAGCAGGCGGTCGAGCACAGCAATGGCCTGGCCGATCTCATGCATGCTCGTGGCGCGGTTCTTGCGGTCTTTGCCCACGCTGACAACGAGCATGGTCATCTCGTCGAGAGAGACATCACCATTACCGTCGCGGTCCAGAGCGGAGAAGATCTCGTCAACCTCGTCGGTGCGATGCTCGCCTAGCACCTCCACAAGGTCGTGCTTGTACAGCTGCTCGCGGCCTTCTCCCACAAACGAGAGCCACAGACGTCGAGCCAGAGCCTTGGATGCCCGTTCCGTCTCGAGCGCTTCGATGACGACGGAGTGGGCGGACGTTGTGTTGAATACTTGCTTGCCGGAGATGTCTGTGACCATGGCGCCGAAAGCCGCTGTGGCCTTGTCTCGAGCGCGACCCATATTGTTGAGGACTTTCGTGCCCATGCCTGTCTTGTTGAATCGACTTCGCACTTCGGCAAGGTTGTTGCTCTGTATCGCCTCGTCTTCCTCCTCGAATTCCCTGCAGTACTCCGGAAACAAGGTACGAGAGGCATCGTAGAGCAGATCCAGCAGCCAAATGACCTTCTTGCTTTCTTTGATCTTCGCATCGTATTGCTTGCGGTGATAGTCGATGGAGATCAACTGTACAATCGTCTTTTCCGCCAGGAAGATCGCGCTCACCACGATCCCGGCCAGAAAGACTCTGCGCAAGATCAACGGCCAAGGCCGGACACCATCTTGTTCCCTGCAGTAATGAGCGTAGTAGTTGTCCTCCCAGCTAGGATGGTTTTGGATGTACGTGTGGTTCGTCGGGTTGCCAGGATGGGTGTTGAATGTGCAGATGACGGTCGAGCTGCCGAAGGCTGAGATGGACCATAGAAACAGAGACAGCGGGATCTCAAGGGCGATTAGCACAGTAGTGTACTTCCTGATACCTGTGCTGATGGCTCCGGAGATGGCCTGGAAGACAACGGGCGCTACCTGCGAGACCAGCTTGCAGACCCAGAGCAGAACCCAGATCATCTCGATCCAGATGAAGAGCCCGAGAAGTCGAATGCCGTCCGCTTTTGCATTGTGGTAGACTGTGGCGCTGAGAATGAGTGGTATGGACAGCAAGGCGGCTACTGGCAGCACGTAGAGCGCATATCGTGTGATGATGGAGGCTTTGTGTATACGCCAGAAGAAGTTGCCCAGCTTTGTGAGCCCGTCTTCTTGTCCTTTGTAGCCGGGCTCAGGTGTCTCCAGACCTTCCTGCACTTTCTCACTCGTGGTCTTCCGCCTCCCGAGGATGGGTCTCGAATCGACGGACTCCACGGTCAGGCTGGGACCTTTGCGGCCACTCTCCAGGTCCGACATGGCGATGGCAGTCCTATCGCTGGAGGCTGTTTGTGGGATGGACATGCTGCTGAATGGGATACGAAAATGACAGTAGGCAACGAACGACGCTGAAGTGCGACCAGCACACGTAACGAGAGGCAAGACAGATGGAAGAGAAAGAGACACTCACGGAGGAGGTGAGATGGACAACATGAGGGATCGCCAGTCGACGCTCGGACACTCAGAGGTCTAGAAAAAGAGCAACGCAGGCGAGCCATTGGTTTGGGTGAGATGGTGAGACTCAGGCGCGTGCCTGGACAAGCCACCCGTGAGATGAAACGCGCATGGCTCAGGGATGGGATGGCGAGAACGCCGGTCGATGGTCGGTGGGTAGATCAGTGTTGTCGTCCGTATGGCAAAATATGGATGGTTACCAGAGAATTGTATACGAAGTTGTCCCATATTGCGAAGTGCGATGGGAAGGGAAGTGATGGGTTCTGGTGCGAACACCGACAGAAAGGCCCAATCGCGCGATCACGTGGTCGCTTGGCGGAGGACTTCACCTCTTCTCGTGACTGGCTTGCACAGCAGCAACGTCTTCCTGTGAGAATGATTGCTATACTTCCTAGCGATGAGTCTACTGCGCGATGGATTGCCGCTATTGGGCAACGTTGTCACAAAAGCCTGAGATCGATGGCCATGATCTCGCTCGGCCTAAGTCTCTGTGGGAGAAGACGAGGCGACGGCTGACACCGATTGAAGAAGAATGAGGTTCGGAGAAGACATGAACATCACAACTCTGACATTACAAGCCTCAAAATCACACGTCCTGTCTTCATAAGTTCCGCTGCCAAGCGAAGACTTTTGACCACACCACTTCAGCTCAAACTTCAGGTGTTGTTTCTTCACCTTACCACAGCCACACCTAACCAGAACCTCACCCAGTCTGGCAGGAAGGTCATGGAGCCTGAATCAAAGCAACCGGACGCCGCAAGCAGTCCTGCGAAGCGCAAAAGGTAAAAGCCTTGCTGTCTGGCTTAATCCTTTGTACTGACACCAACACTTCCTAACGATAGGGCCGAGTTCGAGGACGACGACATCGAAGTGCTGGTCGGCACTGAGCAAGCAAGATTTGTCGTCCACAAGCACATCATATGCGAACGCTCGACTTTCTTCCACTCGGCTTGCTCGCAACGCTGGATGGAAGAGAAGAGGGCCATCGAGCTCGTGGATGACGATCCGAATACCTTCAACACCTACTTGAAGCTAGTGTATGGAGGTGGTCTGAGAGCGATCGATCCTCAAAAACCCTTTCTAGAGTACATCCGTCTCTACTCAATGGCGGACCGATTCGGTGACCTAGATGCAGCGAACGCGGCCATCGACGGAATCATACAGTTCAGCGATCAGGAGCATCAGGTACCCAATAGAGGGCTTGTGAGACTGGCGATGCTCTCTAGTTCAGCCCACTCGCCTCTACAGCGGCTTATGATTGATTTCTACGTGCGGGAAATTTCTGAGGTCTCAATCGACAACCTCGAGGAAGACAATGTGCTTCCCAAGGAGTTCTTGGCCGCGGTTGTGAAGGAGTTTGTAAGAATTGCCCGCGCGGGCAATGTTGCGAACGGACTGTGGAAAGAGCTCTCAACCTGCGCCAGCGAGAAACCTAAGTGCTACTACCACCAGCACAATGACAGGTTTCCTGCTTGCGAAGACGCTACTCGACCGAAGTGAAGCATTCCGCTTGCGCACGCAGGTCTGTCAAGAGAAGCTACACGCCAAGCTACCCGCTCGCGCTGACAGCTTGACCTAAGTTTGGGAGGTGTGAAGGCGGTCTTGATGCTGTCGAGCGGCTACGTAGCACCAAAAAAAATACGACAAAGAGATTGCACCCTTGAGGGGCAAGACAATGCCTGAGTGTTACCCTCTCTTGTTCGCGAGCCTAATTAAGTAACATGCTTCTGAAATGCCTCACGCTTGGACCAGATGCCAGCTGGAGGCTTAGCTGATGCGAGCATGTTCTGCTGCCCTACCACAAACGCGCATTGTTGTCACCATTGCTGATCAGTGTGTCTCCCTAGATCTCCTCGACAAGAACAATACTTTGTCCATGCGGATAAAGGACAACCTTATAAAGGGAGTCGGGAGATCAATGCCATTGTCGACGTCGGCAAGAAAGGTCACTGTTTTGTTGCTGCCTTGCTCAATACGCCGGACCTCAACGTTTATATCTCTGCTCACACCTTCTGGCCCTTCTCCCGATCAGAAACTTGAAAACATCAACAGCTTATCAGAGCACCTCACTCGGATCTTCTCACCCAGCTCAACAACCTCTCCAAGCGCAGATCACCAAGAAACTCACCACTCCACAACCACGCCCAAGATGCAGCCTCGACCACAACCCGCGGCGGCTGCCGGTAAAAAGCGCAAGCGTAAGTGAAGTTTTTCAACCGAAACCCTCATTCTCCCACAAACACTGAATCATCGTATCTTCGTCTTTCGTCAAGTGAAAACACACCCATGCTTGCTCTTTACAGGCAAAGTGGTGAAGTACTTGCTTTCACATGGATGTCTCCAGTCTCGTCACTCTCGTGCACCAATACCAAGAACTTCGTAGCTCACATCACACCCTTCGTCACCTGTTCTATCTTCACATCAGCTTCCACACCGGGATCGATTCGAGTCGTAAGCTCACTTTCAATTGAACGGATTTTCACTTGACATGCTTGCGTCATCAGCCCATGTGATCGAAATTCCCTACCGAATACTTCTTATCCATTACAAACTCCACTGATCCATTTCTCCCGTTCACAAGCCTTCTCTTGCTGTCCTTCTCACGTCCTGCAGCAAGCCAGGGCAACATGGAGCACCGCCAGGATCCCACCGTCAAAGCCGTTGGCACTGGTGAGCCTCCGCTCGAACCCAAGCCGATTGAAAAGAGCAGTTTGAAGTAAGTTTGCACAAGCACACGAATGGTCCCTATACTTATGCTGACAACATCGGCACAGCTACAACTTCCAGGAGTTCGCCGAAGTTCTGGTCGGACTACATGCAGAGAAGTTCTACGTTCACGCAGCCGTGGTACGCGGACGCTCGTCCTTCTTCAAAGCCGCACTATCAAAGGCTTGAAATGGAGACAAGAAGTCGATCGACCTCATCGATGTCGAACCAAAACACTTCGACAACTACCTGGCCTTCTTATACCAACGCATTGACCTCACGAAGATCTATGATGACAACTTCCACAAGCTCTGTGGTCGTACCTGGGTGCTCGCAGATAGACTAGGGGACTGTCAGCTTGCCAACAAAATGATGGACGAGATCATTGATGAGGTGGAAGCAAAACATAGCTTCCGGGGGTGGGAGTGTGTCAAACCCATGATGGAAGGATTGTCCGAGGTATCGCCACTTTTTCGTCTCATCATGGACGTATACGTGCATGATTCAGCGACCGATGTGTGCGGAGAGATATGGGAGGAAGAGAACAAAACCGAAGTGACCACGAGGTTTGTTCAAGCCCTTGCCAGAGCCTACGAGCAGAGGGTGGACAACGCAGAGCCAAAAGCTAGTGTGAGCCAGACATTCCACCACCGCTTGTCAAAAGCACGATACCATCAGCATGACGACCTCTGCCTGGCGGGTGAGTGCGGAATATGTGCGAAGGACAAGAAATCTCGTGCGTGAGCCATCCTCTCGCTCATACAGGCGTTCGCCAACGACTTGCCCACGCACACGAGACAGACCAGGAAAGGCAAACATGCGTTGACTACCATCGAGAGGAATGACATGGGCGGGGTTTCGCATACTTGAGACAACAGCATCCTCATTTAGGAACGAGGTAGATGAGATGATACCCGACAGAGACAGCGCAGTACAGAACCACGAGGGAGATCCGCATGCTCAAGAAGTGCTCAAGAAGTACTGCGTCTGAGGAGGCGCACTTCCGGTACGTAGCATTGTGAGTCAGAGTCTTTCGATCAACTCAAGTGAAGTTACTACTAGAGTCTGCCATATTTCAGCTTCACACAACGGGGAGTTGCTTCCAAGTGAATCCCGTGTGAAATTGATTTTACTTCACTTGATGAGGTTTGTGATCTGAGTCTCGACATCTCAGCTGAAGGATCACAACTTCCGTGTCACCTCGCTGCTCCTCCCCTCAGACACAAGAGGCTTAACAACACCTAGAAACACTACCTTATCATCATGCCATCCGAACATCTGACCGTCGATACAGAGACAACCGGGCGTGGAACCGTTGGAGGAAGTATCCTGGCTAAGCAACACTAGCAAATATGGAAGAGGATGGGTGAGTCGACTGCAATGATGTGTTATGCATTGGCTGACTTGATATGCTGTAGGACTGAATATCAGCAAGTGAGTGAGGTCGTCGTTGGGAAGGAGCGTACCAAATTTATCATCCACACCAAAGTCTTCCGAGCACGTTCGACGTTCTTCAAGTCTGCGCTTTCAACATCATGGAACCTGGATCAGAACCCGGTGGAGTTCGTGGACGTTGATCCCGGACATTTCAGCAAATACCTGACCGTGGCGTATGGGGGTACACCCAACCCAAACTTTGAGGAGGACCAACGTTTCCTTGAACTATCTGACATCTACATACTGGCCGACCGACTTGGAGAATGCACATGTGCGAATCTGGTCATGGATGCGATCATTGAACATGTCCAGTCGCCTGCACACGATGTTCCAGATTGGTCAACGACCAAGTCCATCCTTACCGATTTACCAACAGACTCCTGCATGCATCGACTCATGGTTGACGCCTACTGTGCTACCACTTCCACCTGTCAAGAGGTCCGGGACGACGCCCAAGACGAAACAGCAAGCAAGTTCTTGGTCGCCGTAGCCCAGGTCTACCGGACCAGGGAGGCTGAAGTGAGTAACGACGACACCATCAAACACGCCTTCACTCGTGACATCCGTCATCTCGATCGAGTTCGCTACCACGAACACAACGAAAGTGGTCCAAAAGACGACTGCGTGGGCTGCAAACCACCAAAGGAGGACGGGTAGAGCTGGAAGGATAAACTAAGGGAGAGCATCAACCATGGTTAGCGGCCATCGAAGAAATCTCGGCATGTGTGCTTACCGTCAAAGCAGGGCAAGGGAAGTAAGTGGTCTATGGCCGAGGAACTTGTCGTTGGGGGGAAAGGGGGTGAGGAAGCGAACTCATGCAGGACAAGACCGGCAAGACATTGAGTTCACGACAGGAGGGCGCGAGACTGGAGCACAACACTAGAAGTGATGGCCTACTGTAATCATATCACTCACTACGACCCATCACTCCTCTGCCAATTCTAAAGCATGCGGAGCGGTGATCAGAGTTACAGTAACATCAATGCTCGGGAGACTATCACAAGCCTTATCCTATTCTGCTCACAGCGCCGTATGCCGGAAGAGACGAAGTTGGTTTAGAAAGATTTCTACGTACTGGTACTGTCCTTCCTCAGATGCTGACCAGTAATGCCCTCTCACTAGCCTCATTTGATGGGAGGTTACAGGTGCTACCAACCTGTGCCCCATCAACCATAGCGCTCATCTCCGAAGGTCGAAGCATTGGTGGCATGGTGAAGCTGTACTGATACCCTCGTGCCGCCATGGCCTTAAGAGTACGTCCCGCACCAATGTTTCTGCCAGCAGATGTATGATTAGAAGTATCTCGAATGAATGACATTGACCAAACATCGCTGGATAAATCGTCCTTTGCTGAAGTGTTCGGTGCCTGCCAAAAGGAGAGTGCTGGGTCCATCGATCATACGTCGTCGCATTCGTTAAACTGTGCCGTCGGGATCTGGAGTGCTGATTTGGTCGTCGGCGTCGTGAACGCAGTCGTGCGCCAACGGGCCGCTCTCTAAAGTTGTGCTGGGTCGTGAACGGAGCCTCAAGCCTTCGCCCTGACGTCCCCAATAATCGGCTTCAACAACTCCGGCACCAGTACCGCCGCATCTCCAGCAAACAACCAGTCGCCCTCTTTCCATCCACCCGGCGGAGCATCGTTCGCATCCATGTTCACGACGCAGACTCTAGCACCCTTAGCTCTAGCCTGAGGGATGTAGCCAGCAGCCGGATACACCTTCGCACTTGTACCAATCACCATGATCAGATCGATCTTCTCCGGCTGGTTCAGGTAGTCGTGCACTTTTCCAAGAACGTCTCCCGGAAGCGATTCACCGAACCAGACCACCCCGGGCCGCAGGAGGTTCTTCTTGCACTTCGGGCAGTGTGGGAGGTCGTAGGTTGTGAGAAATGGAAGCGGGACTTTCTCGTCGGAGATGTCGAGGTCTTTGCCTTGTGCTTGTGCTTCGAGTTGGCTGTTGGCTGACTTGCGAGCTTCGGTCGATGTTGGGTCGACCCCGTCGGTCGGGATGGCTAGAGCTGGGACCACAGGGTCCGTGAAGTTGGTCTCGCGGTATTCGCAGGACCTGCTGGCGCACTTCAATTCGAACAGAGTGCCGTGGAGGAGTTGAAGCTGTTCCGGAGGGTGATTGGCGCGTTGACTTAGGCCGTCCACGTTCTGGGACAGCGTGATGAAGTCTGGCATCTTTTTCGACAGCCTGGCCAGAGCGTGATGAGCTGGATTGGGCTCAACCGAGAGAGACATGTGTCGGCGGTAGTTGTAGAACTGCCACACCAGGCCTGGGTGCTCTGCGAATGCTTCGGGTGTGGCGAGGTCGGTCGAGACGTGGGTTCGCCATAGTCCACCTGCGCCGCGGAAGGTGGGTAGACCTGACGAGGCAGATAGACCGGCTCCTAGAAGTGCGACTACTCTCTTTGATCCTTTGAGGTGAGCGTGGAAGGACTCGAAGTCGTTCTGGTTGGCCGTGGATGTTGAGGCGGCCATCTTGGTTGTCTTTGAAAGCTTTGTAGCTCGTGACAGCTGCGAAGGGTAGGCGAAGAGGGAGCAGGAACCCTTCAGAGGCGGGCAGCACTTCATCAGTGGTGGTCAAGGAGTCACACAGCAGGCAGACTCTCGTTGCGTTCTCTTGTGCAACATGGAAGGCCGCTAGAGCTGCGGTAGCGGGCCGAGCTCCGGCTCGACTAGCGCGGTGAATGAGATGCATGTGAAAGACGAACTCTACTCGACTTTCAGCATACAGTAAGAATGAGACGAAGCGCATTGCTGCCATTACGGGCAGTGTCGCGACCTATACCAACCTTCAGAAGCAGACCATGTCGTATTTCTAAGCGCGCGTACGCCTCAGTGCCCGCCGCAGACCTGCAGTTCGGACAGCCGCTGCATGAAACCCATCCACACATCATCAAGCCCGGAGAGCGTGAGCTGAACAACAAGAATCCACGAATACTCAATGCTGATGCCCAACAGTCACCCCCGGCATCTCCGCCCTCGAATACCACCACCGACGCGCAGCGCTCGCGCAGAGGCTTTCACGAAACAGCATTGCTGTACTGGCCGCCAACGAGTTAAAATATCGATCTGGGCCTGTGTTCTACGAGTACCACCAGGAGCCCAACTTCTTCTATCTAACCGGTATACACGCACAATCGCTATCGTTGATGAGGCACAAGCTGACAACAACCAGGATTCAACGAGCCAGAAGCAGTAGCAGTGATCGGTAGGTGCGTCGCCTACTCCTCACCACGAAGAAGTCCCAATAGCTAATACAGCAATAGAGAAAGGTGATACAGACGTCGAATACACCTTCCACCTCTTCGTCCGACCGAAAGACGCCCAAGCGGAGCTATGGGACGGCGCACGATCAGGAGTACAGGCGGCGGAGGACGTGTTCAATGCGGATGAAGCAGGAGATATCAACAACATCAGTCAGAGTCTGCCCAAGATTGTACATGAAGCGAAGGAAGTATACACCGACATAGGCTCGTTGGTCAAGAAGAATGCCTTGTCGCGCTTCTTCGCCGGGTCATCTACGAATATCGATGGATTCGCGAAGCTCCTGAAGAACGCTACTGTCAAATCGCTCCGTCCGCTGATGAACGAGGTGCGGGTGACGAAGTCGGAGGCGGAGTTGGACTGCATGCGGAGGGCGGGAAGCATCTCTGGAGCTGTGTTCACAGAGGCCATGAAGAAGGGCTATAAGACCGAGAAACAGCTATGGACTGATCTTGCATATGGCTTTAAATCGCAGGGACTGGACGGCGAAGCCTACGTCCCGGTTGTTGCAGGAGGAACGAACGCCTTGAGCATCCACTACGTTCGCAACGACGCCGAGTTGCGAGACGGCGACATGGTTCTAGTGGATGCGGGAGGCGAGTACGGAGACTACATCAGCGACATCACAAGGACCTGGCCGGTCAACGGCAAGTTTACGGCCGCACAGAGGGATATGTACAGCATGATCTTAGCCGTGCAGAAGTCGTGTGTCAGTCTCTGCAGAGAAGATGCAGACATGACACTCGATAGGCTCCACAAAGTCGCTGAGGACGGGCTGAGAAGCGGATTGAAAGATCTGGGCTTCGACACTTCCAAGGCTGGATGTCTGGACACGCTGTTCCCGCATCATGTTGGCCACTACATTGGATTGGACGTGCACGATGCTCCCGGCTACCCAAGGACAGACAAGCTGAAGGAGAACCACTGCATTACGATCGAGCCAGGCATCTATGTTCCAGTAGACGACGAGCGGTGGCCAGCGCACTTCCGTGGCCTGGGCATACGGATCGAGGACTCCGTACGAATAGGAAAGGAGAAGGTGGAAGTGCTGACAAGCACTGCGGTTAAGAATGTAGATGAGATAGAAGCCATGAGGTCGTAAATGCAGCATGAAGCATAACCGCGCTTCTATATACCCACTCTCACTTCAGCCCATCGTCCAACCGCGTCCATCATATATGAATCTCATAATTCAAATCCTGCTCATACCCAACACTCAACTGCGGCACCTGCGTATACTTGCCCTGCAACACCGCCCGCGTGTTCGCCAAGACATCAATATAACTCTGCTTCGGCCCATGCTTCTTCATCGTCTCCAAGAAAGCATAGCTCATCGCGCCCACATGACTGCCCTTGATCGTCGCATCCGCGCTCGTCTGGTCGTCCTCACAACCGCTGTACATCCACACATTCTTCTTCTTCTCATGCTCATACTGCTCCGCGAAGTCCTGCGCTGCGAGGCCATCCTCGTCTTCGCCGCCTTGATGCGACATCCCCTTGAAGAAACTCTGCGCGCCGGCGAGCAAGTTGCGGGCTTCAGGGACGGCAGCAGCGGAGAAGCCGCCTTGGATGAGGTTGTTGGCGGCGCCGACGAGACGCATGCCGGCTTTCAGGTTGTCCATCATGCTGATGTTGCCGTCTTCGTCGGCGCGGTAGATGTAGGGCAGCTCGGCGGCGGAGCCGGAGTGGCAGCAGTCGAAGATCATGAAGAGGGTGGACTTCGGGGGAAGATGGCTGACGAGCGTCTTGTGCAGGATGCCGGAGGGGATCTGGCCTTTGCTCTCGTAGTCGTAGGGGACTATAGTGCTGTCGAAGCCGCTGACGCGGTTGCCGTCGGTGTCGGCGATTTGGCCACCGTGGCCGGAGTAGTGGAGGAAGTTGCAGGTGCCGGGTTCGGAGACGAGCCATTGCATGGCGGCGAGAATGTTGGCGCCGGTGGGCCAGAAGCGGCCGTTGCGGTCGGTGTGCTCGTCGTCGCGCATGATGACTTGGCTCTTTTGGTCGGTGGGATAGCCTTGGGAGGTGAGGAATTCGTGGATGTTCTTGTGAAGAAGTCAGCTCTGTTCTTAGAGGAAGGGAAGATTCGACAAGACACACCTCCACGTCCTGCTGACAACCAGCAAGAGCATGCTTAGAGCCGACGTAGTTGATGCCGATGAGCAAAGACTTCTTCTTCTGCTTCCCGACTGGCGGAGGCGGGTTCGCAAGTCCAGCATCGCCCTTGACAGCACGGCGAGCGCCACTCACGTCGCGATCATTGTCGTCTTTGGAGCCCATCATGCCGCCCATGCCACTCATTGCACTGGCGACACCGCTTCCTCCGGCCATGGCACCCATGCCCCCCATTGACCCCATGCCGGACTGAGCCATGCGGCCCAAGCTTCCCATGTCGAAACCACTTCCTCCTCCTCCTCCTCCTCCTCCTCCTCCGCCATGATGGCCTCCACCACGTCCTCCGCCCCCGCCACCTCGATGACCGCCTCCCGGTCCATCTCTACTCCTTTGACGTTGCGGGCCTGGACGAGTTAGCTTCAGTATGTGAATGGCAGCAGTCTGACTCACTCGGGCTACGCCTGCCCGGGCCATCACCTCGGTGTCCACCTCCTCCTCCTCCTCCGCCTCCGCCTCCCCCGTGACGTCCTCCGCCTCCACCTCCACCACCGCCGTGTCCACCCCCACCACCGCCATGTCCGCCCCCACCACCGCCATGTCCGCCGCCACGTCCACCTCTATGAGCCATTGTGAATTAGAGAGCTTTGGTAACAGAGATGAAGTTGGTCCCCTCGATGGATGCGAAGTAGAAGAAAGGACGAAGAAGAGAAGCTTGGCCAGCTATGAAGGAACCCGCAGTCCAGGTTCGTTCGAGACCATCCGAGATCTACTGCTTGCCGCCCAAGGTGGGGCAATCGAGCAGTACCTGCATCGAACGACGAGCTGAGCAAGAAGACCCCGCAGCACGTGCTGTCGTGACAGAGCGCGTTTCGTGGAGGAGGAAGATGGAAAGCGTACTCGATGCTATAGATCTGTGGTAGAGAGTCACGAGCGGTGGTTGAAGAGCATAGCGCTGAGACGGGATCACGGAGATGTACTTAGCCTCTGTCGAACGAGTCTTCACGGTCGCGTCGAATGCTAGCAACGACGGAAGGCTTGGTGAAGGGGCATAGAACGCCCGCCATTGTAGACACACCCAAGGAAAGGTTGGTGTTCTTCCGACCATTAGCTTGCGATAGCGTATGTGGTAGTATAGATCATGAAAATGTTAAGAGGTGAAGAAGAGAGGTTGGAGCGACTTCGCGAACCGCCATCGTCTCGTCTTAACATGAGGTTGGATGCACCTTGAATGTCGCAACGATCGAAACAATGGTTCAGACTTCTGTTCAGCCATCCGGAAGTAGGATGATTTCGTTGATATGACCTGCCATTCTTTCGAGGTCGGAGGGTAAATTGAAGGCGGTCGTCGTGGGAAGAGGCAGGTGGCATGGGGACTGAACTAAAGCAGACTAGCCAGTACACAAACACGCTTGGACTCCAACCACCACCTCCAGCACCCGCCATACAACAACAACTCCGCTCCTCCTCCCTCTCACTGCTGCTGCTACTCCCCCATATCTTGCTGCTGCGTCGTCTTCTGTCCCAATGGCACCCCGTTGTCCGTCTTGAGCGCGTCACCTCTGCTGCACGCGCGCCTGCCCCGCCAACCTCACCTCGAGGCATTCGCTTGTCTCGCTGCCATTCACGAGTATTGATATATGGCAACACCATCCATACTCCGACCTCACCTCGACTCTCTCGCCATGGCAGGCAGACGGGAGCCTCTGGCCAACGTGCCCAACGCGGTCAACTCGCCTTTCCGGACCATCACCGCCAGCGGGAAACGCACGCGAGCTCAAGCTGGCGACCACCGCGATGCGATATCTGGACAGCCTCCGTCCAAGAAGCAGATAATTGAAGTTCCACACGATGACGTGGAGAATGTGGACCCGAAGAAGCGACAGTTCGTGGCTGTGGGTGCTCAAAACAAGTTGGAAGAGCCTTTCATGAAGCGGACATCCAATGCACCGCCTACAGCCTTTGAGAGGAAGCTCGCCTCCGCACGCGGGAAGAAGACTGCTCCTCAGCAGCGTCTAGAGCCTCAGCGTGGGCCCAGTGCGGAGAATGTCGAGACCGTCCGTCAATGGAAGCGACACTACAAGAAGCAGTTTCCCAGCTTCGTCTTCTACTTCGACACTCCCTCTGATGAGGTTCGACAACGGACTCTACGCCCTCTTCAGCATCTTGGAGCACGGGACGAGAAGTTCTTCTCGAGGGCCGTCACACATGTCATCACGACGCGTCCAATACCACCGGAGCTTACCAGCACGAGCCCGAATGAAGAAGAAAACTTCCCGGACAACGCGATGAGGCCTGCACAACACCCCGTACCAGGCCACGACCAACGAAGAGCGACAAACCTACTGGACGCTAACCTGCAGCGACGCGCTCAGAGTCAGGGTTTGCATCGGGCACATGATGTCGACCCACGAAGAGCACAAGCTTCCAGTACTGACATACTGTCTCGTGCGCGCGAGCTTGGTATCAAGATATGGGCAGTGGAAAAGTTTACACGCATCATGAAGACCATTCTGGAGCCCGACAATGTCGACAATGGCACCACCCAAGACATACGCAATCATGCTACCGTCCACAAGACTGCCAGCAAGCCTTCGAAGGAGGTCGACCTGGAGCAGCTGCTGCGTAACGAGAAGATCAACGGCCCTGCTGATCGCGACATGACTGTTGCCGCACAGGATATGGTGTCCTTCAAAGGCTGCTACATCTACATTCACGATATGGACGAGAAGACGAAGCCGGTCATGGTTCGGGACTATCCTAAACCCACCAGCAAGGAAGATGGCAAGTGGCCGCAATTCCGTCTCACGCCTGCTGGTCGCTGCCCGTTCATCGAGGACCCTGCACATACAAAGAAGCTGCAGCAGATGGAGCGCGAAGCCGCGGCGAATGCCAAAGCTGAGCAGGAGCTCGCTGCACAAAGAAGGACTCGCGGTGCATCGCATCTTGCTCCTCCCCCGCGCCCTCTTGCAGAACGTGAGGGCAACCTCAGACGTTCGCCTCGAAAGCTTGCCCAGCCACCCGTGGGCAACATGGCCAAGCCGCTGGAGCCCCCTAAGAGACTGCCTACACAGCGCCAGTCTTCAGCAGAGGGCATGCCAGTGCTGTTCGGCAGTGCTCAGCAAAGCCTTCGTGGTCTGCCGCGCATGATCGGTGGCGAGCCCATGGCTTCGGGCATGCAGCAGTCGAACGTGACTTCAGCCATCCGGTCACAGGCCATCTCGTCTGCCGCCATATCGTCGACTGCGCCAGGCATGCACAGGCGTGTCGGAGACAGCAAGGAAGTGTCAGCTCTGAGGCGTCAGATGCTGGAGCGCAACACCAACGTGCCTTCGAACCACAGCATGCCATCCTCGTACATGAACGACGTCCGAGCCGCCATCAACGACGACAACAATCCGCCACCACGCGCAGCCAAGCGCAAGGCCCAAGAGACTCTTGGTGTTCTGCACGAGGATGAAGAGGATACCTACGATATCCCTCGCCCACCCCACCGCAAGCCACCGGCGCCAAAGAAGCGCAAGCCTGTGCTGAAGGAGGCGAAACCTGGGTACTGCGAGAACTGCCGTGACAAGTTTGACGACTTTGACGATGTAAGTTACGCAATCAACATTCAGACGGCAAGCCTTATACTGATCGTACTACAGCACGTCCTCTCCCGCAAACACCGCAAATTCGCCATGACCCAGGACAACTGGAAAGAACTCGACGACCTGCTCGTCCAGCTCAAGCGTCCGCACAAGGTGCCGCAGTCAGCGTAGTCTGGCCTCACATCATACGACCGACTAGCGCAGCATACGATATGGACTTTTGCACTTTGCTTTGTTTTCGCTCATCTGCATCACGATACTCCCGGCACGCGAAGCGGCATCTCGTTGGGGCGGCAAATGGTTTGGCACGCTTTTAGAGGCATTGATCATACGAGCGGCATGAAGGTTTAGGGAGGGGAGGGAGCGTTGGCGCTGTTAATGCGTTTGTTTGTTGTTGTTTTGGGTTGGCTGGCTGGTGTTGTTTTGAAAGCGATGGAGCATTTGTACGCAGGCAGGGATTTTTGATAAGTGTATATACTTTGAGCAAGGCGAAATGAGAATCGATGACTGTGCCTGTGCTGTGTCTGCCTTCAATATGGTCGGCGAAGTGATGGTGGTGGAGTTGAATGAGAAGGGTGTGCATACATGTAGCTTGTGAGCTGCATTCACTTCACCTCGTATGTACATGTAGCTGCCTTGTTCGAACTCCACTCCAACACAATACTCCTCGATTTGCCTTACACTCCAACAACGCACCCACAAAAACGTTTCGACCTATCGAGAAAGCCCAAGTCCCCGACTCCCCATTCACAATCCTCTCCCCCGACTCAACAAACAGTACCAAACATGGCCTCCTCACCACCCAACCCCTCGCCACCAGACGCCGGCACATCAGGCGACGATGAAGAAACAGCAGACTTGCCGATGACCATGGCCGCCTCGGTGATTCTGGAACATCTACCTAAGGACGCACATGCGGCGTTGGAAACGGCGGGTGAGGTCCGCGGGGCGGATGGGCAGGTGAAGGGGAAAGGTACGCTACGTTATTCCATCACCACACCCAACTCAGCCACCAGCGCTCGACCGGCCCAACTCCGCTTCCCCTTCTCCACCAGCTCTGTCCTTACTCTCCTTCGTCCACACAAGCTAAGTGAAGAGAACAGTCAAAGTCCGCCTCTCCCCCCTCCCCTCGACCCGCGCCCTCAAACCCCCGGTCTTCAACTGCGGTACCGGACAGCGGTTTGAGTATATCGTGCGATTCCTCCGACGACGGCTGGGACTGAAGGACCATGAGGGGGTTTTCTGTTATGTGAATTCGGTGTTTGCTCCTGGGTTGGATGAGGGGGTTGGGAATTTGTGGCGGGCGAGTTGAGTTCTTCGGTTTTTGTGAGGGGATGTGCTGACGTGGAATTAGTGTTTCAAGACGGGCGATGAGTTGGTGGTTAGTTATAGCGTTACGCAGGCTTTTGGATGAGAGGTGGTGGCGTCGGTCGAGGGACGGTTGGTTGGTCTGGTGGGCGAGGGACTAGCGGTCGACGTATGGAGTAAGAGAGCAGATGGCACCGGGTGCGTTCTGAGGCTTCTTGCGGTATGGCACTGCTCGTGCGACTTCAGGGCTTGTTGAGCCGCCGTCGAGGTACGGAGGGCTGCAGGACGTGCTCTCTCGGCCATGGCTGAAGTATACAGCAAGGGTAGCGGTGGCAGCCTGTTGACAGGACAGCAGCACTGACTGATATATCTGGCCAGCCCGCCTGGTGTTAAACAAGAGGGTAGATGTACCTTTTGCGAATACTTTGCACACGCTAACAATTGCTTTAGGATCTATCAAATGTTATGTCTGCTCGCCAGCTTTCGGCAAGCTCTCCTCAACCAACCGCTCAAACTCCTCGTACTCCTCCTTCGGCATAGGATAAGTATGCTCCACCGCCGGGTACGTCCCCGCCTTCACCTCATCCCTATACGCCTCGGCGGCCCTCTGCGCCTCTCCCCACACATCCCCAAACTTCTTCACAAACTTCGGCAAAAACCTCCCCGGCGGGAAATTCCCACTCATATCCATCTGCACCAACACCTGCCCAGAACACCCACTCCCGGCTCCAATCCCAATCGTCGGGATCCGCAACTTCCTCGTCACCAACGCCGCAACCTCCGCCGGCACCGCCTCCAGCACCACCCCAAACGCTCCCGCGTCTTGCACAGCAACAGCATCTCGCAGCACCTTCAATGCGCCCGTGGTGTTCTTCCCCTGCACTCGAAACCCACCGAGCGCGTTTTGTCTCTGCGGCGTCAGTCCGATGTGTGCCAGCACCGAAATCCCCGCCGTCGTGATCTTCCGGATTGCAGGCGCCATCTCCGCACCACCTTCCAATTTCACCGCCTGCATCCGCCCTTCCTTCACAACTTTTATCGCGCTCTCCAGCGCCTGCTCAGGCGAGACCTCATAACTCCCCATCGGCAGATCCCCAACCAAGAAACTCGCTTTGGCTCCGCGCGCGACGCTGCGACAGTGCAGGATCATCTCCTCCAGCCGTATCTCGGACGTGTCGTCCATGCCCAGCGCGACCATGGCGAGGCTGTCGCCGACGAGGATCATGTCGATGCCCGAGGTGTCGGCGACGTGGGCGGAGGGGAAGTCGTGGGCGGTGAGCATGGTGATGGGGATGCGGCGGCGGTGGAGGGATTGGAGGGTTGGGAGGGTGATTTTTTTGCGGATAGTGGTTGTGGGGGCGAGGGGGGAGTGGGAGGAGTGTCGGGTTGAGACGAGAGGGGGAACGGCATGTTGGAGGTGGTGTTGTCGTGGTATACTGGTTTTAGGGAGGAGGATGCGCGTTAGGGTGCGAGACGACATGGTGCGCGCGGCGTTGTTGTGGATCGGATGTAGATGGAGAGAATGAGACCACTTAACTGATTGAGAGGAGGGACTTCCATTCTTGCGAAGCTGGGGATAGCGATTACCGTGAAGAACAGGTGTGAACAGAGATACGTCGTGGAGTTGATACTGGAAGACGCGGCTGTCTCCGCCGAGGTCCAGTCCAGGCATTGCGATGCCGGAATGGGATGAATGAAAGGACGAAGGATGGCAACCTCACCGCTTCGGTGTTATAGAGTATACTTGCATGGAGCCGGCTCTTCTGGCCATCAAAACAGTCTGTGCATGTATACCACAATCATAGCAAGGAAAGAAGAACTCTTATACCACGTCGTGACTTTCCTCCCCGCTCCAGCTCGTGCCTGCCGCTCTCGGAGCTCACCCCATGCGGACGATAGGTCATCATACGCAACCGCGTGCCACCACTGGACCTCAAGCCGGCTTCCAGGTTTGACAGCTCACAACCTAAGCAGCTTATCAGCTCCCCCGATAACCTCCACACCATCTGAGTCAACTTGCCATACCACCTGATCGATCACCCGCCCTCTGAGCTGCCGACTTCCTCTGCTACCCGCTTCCTGACCTGATCAACTGCTCGCCTGTTGAGACCTACCATCAAGGCTTTGGTGTAACCGCTATCTGTGCCACTACCTTACCTACTTCAGAAGGACAAAGCAAACATCGTGTCCGGAGCCGCAGCAGCAACAGAACAGATCACCTGCTCTCCGAAGCCGCCGAAAGAGTGGAGGGAGAGTGAAAGCAAAAGTGAAGTCGAGCAAGCCAATCGCATCCCCCGAACATCTCGCATCAACCCACGACCACAGAGCGCAACCGTCCGAGCACACCCTCCGATCAGCCAGCAGAGCAAGCCTTCCAGGCGGTGGTGAACATCCCAAGCAGCGAGAAGAGCGGCGGCGGACGCGGGCGGCACGATGAGTAGTCCCAAGCGACGGATTGAGACGGATGTGCGTATATCCCCAGATGCTCTAGGAGCATGTGGAAAGGATGCTGACATGTCGGTGGGCTGTAGGTGATGAAGATGTATGCTGCAGACATGGGATGTGGATTGAGAGTGGTGTTGGCTGACGACTGGGCAGGTTGATGAGTGATTATGAGGTTACTCTGGTCAATGACAATAGTAGGTCTTTGGAAGTCCCTTGGTATGGCGATGAATGGTGCTGACGTTGTATGCAGTGTATGTGAAATACTATACGTATACTTACCGGGGAGAGAGGTGCTGACTGGTGATCAGGCAAGAGTTCTACGTGCGCTTCAAGGGACCAACAGAGAGTACGTCTACCACCACTGGGAGCCCTCCGTGAAAGATGGTGCTGACCACAGTCGCAGCACCCTTCGAAGGCGGCCTCTGGAAGATCCACGTCGAGCTGCCCGATCAATATCCATACAAGAGCCCGAGCATAGGTTTCGTGAACCGCATCTTCCACCCCAACATCGATGAGCTGTAAGTGTCCAGCCCTGCCACTTCCCACCGCAGCGACTTATGCGTGTGTTGCAGCTCCGGCAGCGTCTGCCTCGACGTCATCAACCAGACCTGGTCGCCCATGTACGACATGATCAACATCTTCGAAGTCTTCCTGCCCCAACTCCTGCGCTACCCCAACCCTACCGACCCGCTCAACGGCGAGGCAGCCGCGTTGATGATGCGAGAACCCAAGGGATATGAGGCGAAGGTCAAGGGTGAGCACACTACTATACCCCGACCACCCTTGTCGCAGAGCCTGGTTTAATGAGATGGGGGGCAGAATACGTAACCAAATACGCGACGCGCGAACAAATCGACGACGCGGGCAACGACACGGACGACAGCGACGAGATGAGCAGCGTCGGCAGCTTCGACGATGACGAGGACGACGACGAGCCGGCGGGTACCATGGACGAGGTGTAGTGCGCCTTGCAGGACCGCGTGTGATTGATCCCTCTGATGAGCCACTCCTACTTCATCTGTGCTATCCTGGGCAATAGCGCGGGAACAAATCTCTCCTCTCTTGTTTGCGTCCTTGTACGTTGTGTTCTATTCGCTTTCTGGAAGGTTTCCTCGTCTGATGCTCACAGCCTCGAGACGAGGGTAAGGCAGGGCAATTAGTGTAGGGGAGAGAAGAGGGTGCGGTGGCTTGCGCTGCCACGTGCGAGATTGGGTTTTAGGATGCGCTGATGCTGCTTCGTGGGGGTTCTTTTTGCGTAAAGTTATGGTTTTTGGTTTTTGGTTCTAGGGCTTGTTTGTAGGCTCGGCGATCGGATGGCGGGAGGATCATGGCACAGCGGGGCTTGGATTGGATGGACGAATGGGCTGGGATGGCTTTTGTTTTGCTCGGGAGCTTGAAGCTCAGCAGATGCATGGTCTACGGAGATGTGGTATATGATGAAGTCCTTCTCATGCTTCTCACCGCCCCACATGTGCTGACGCTGTATTCGTCGACATCTGCTCGTGTTCTCCGCTCATCAAATCCGTATAGCGGTCCTCGGTATACCCTCACCTCACCAGTGCTAGCTAGCCGTGGTTTCGACACGTGCCATGGTTTCATCTCATCTCACCTTTCCCAGCGGAACGGAGCGCTAGCATGACTCTGACCATACTCCTCCGAACAGAACAGCGAGTGGCGCCCTTCCAGAACAACTTTCGCAGCGCCAGAGCAGCTAATTTCGGTAAAGTTTTGGCTTTTGTTTTCGAGGCCGAGATTCAGAAGTGATGGAATTTCGAAGTTGGAGTCGTAGTTCTATGGAAGGATGTGATTGGCTTGTGGCTTGCAGAAAGGCCACGTGCGAGAAGCGTGGGAGGGGCGTAGGGCGGGCTCCACTTTGTGAACTCTGTTTTCGCACGATTTGTGTGTTTGCGAGTCGTGGCACTGTGGTCTTGATGTGGATGGAAAGGCAAGAAGGCTCAGCAATGGGATTCTCCGAATGACGAGCGAAAGTGTTTGATCGCCCGTGAAGATCTCTGCGGGGACAGTAGCCAAAACATGACTGGCGAGCCTTGGCTGAGGAATTGGTGATACGGCGCCAGGCTGGAAGAGGCAGGAGGACCTTTGGGAGAGACGGCAGTGACCCGAGCAGACGGGGCGTCAAACGCGGCTCTGTCGCTCTTCGGGGCCCTTGGACCTTGGTGGAAGGGAAGGTTCAGGGAGGACAGGAAGGGTGAGAGGGAAGAAACGTGCGCATCGGAGATTGAGCCTTCTAGCGTGGACGGTTGCACGACTCAGGCGACTTGCCTTGCTGCGTGTGTCACCGACAGCTCCACCGCCTCGAGCGTGGGAGGACGAGTCTTTTCCTCGGGTCTTTGTCGGGAGGGAGAGAGAGAGTGAATGTTCTGCTACATACTTTGAGGCTCTCAAGTCTTTCTGTACCTCCGCAATCCAGACCATCCAGCTCCTTGAGCCACAACATCATCACCTCCTCCGATCGCTCGCTGTTCCTTGCCAGATCGTCGGTAGGAATTGGATCGCTAGCTAGACAGCGGAGCCTCTGACATCCATCTCTTGGCCGCCAGATCGTGCACCTGCCCGCCTTCAAACTGCCTCCGCCCGACTGCTCGGGACCAGGGCTGCTGCTGTGCGACCTCCTGTGCTACACCACGTCTGCGCCAACCCACCTTCTCTGTACCGCCGGCAGCACCTTACCAAATCCTACCCGACCCATCCGCCAACGCAAACGCCGGAGTAGTGGCGACGATAACGCCCTCTAACCCCTCCGCTCGATACCGCCCGCCAGCTATGATTCTGCAGAGATAGCTTCCCACCCATCAAACGTCCGCACCCAGTCTCCCCCAAGAGGACTATCCAGTCATTACCGCCCCTCCCCCCCGGCACACCCCAACATCCATAACCACCAATGGGCAACTCCAATGGCAAGCCCATCGTCCTCACCGACGAGGTCAACCTCAACCACTTCCGCCTCCTGCGCGTCGTCGGCAAGGGCGCCTTTGGCAAGGTCCGCATCGTCGAGCGGAAAGACACCGGCTTGACATTTGCGCTGAAGTACATACGAAAGGAAGAGATTGTGCGCAGCGAGAGTGTGAGGAATATCATCCGGGAGAGGAAGATGCTGGAGCATTTGAACCATCCGTTTTTGTGCAATTTGCGGTATAGTTTTCAGGATATGGAGTATCTGTGAGTCCACTCTCTGAGTTGAATGAGGGGATGGAGGGTGGTTGGGCTAACGATGAGTACAGTTATCTGGTAGTCGATCTCATGAACGGCGGCGATCTGCGCTTTCACATCTCACGCAAGACCTTTACGGAAGAGGCGGTGCGGTTCTGGATGGCCGAGCTGGCGTGCGCGCTGCGCTATATCCACAAGCAGAGGGTGGTGCACCGAGACGTGAAGCCGGATAATGTGCTGTTGGACGCGGAAGGACATGTCCACTTGGCGGACTTCAACGTGGCGTCAGATTTCTCCCTGACCAGACCCTTGACGAGCAAATCCGGGACATTGGCATATCTGGCCCCGGAAGTGTATACGGGGAGAGGGTATCAGTCGGAGGTGGATTGGTGGTCGATGGGTGTCACGTTCTACGAGTGCATCTACAACAAGCGGCCGTTTGAGTCGAATACGCAGGATGGCCTGGCGCAGGCGATTGTGAAGGCGGATCCGGCGTTTCCGGTCACTTCACCGCCGGTGTCGATGCCTTGTCTGCATGCGATCAGTTCGCTGTTGGAGAAGAACAAGACGCTGCGGATAGGAGCGGCGAGCTGGGAGAGTTTTACGGATAATCCGTTCTTTCGGGAGATTGATTTCGAGGCGCTGGAGCGGAAAGAGGTGGAGCCTGTGTTTTGCCCGTCGAGCGAGAAGACGAACTTTGATGCCACGTATGATCTGGAGGAGCTGCTACTGGAAGAGGCGCCATTGGAGGCGAGAGCGAGAAAGCAGAAGCCAAGAGCGGAGCTGCGCGAGGACGCGACGCAGCAGGAGATCCGGACGGAGGAGCTGCACAAGATGATCGAGCAGTACTTTGAGCCGTTCAACTACACCATATTACCGGAACAACGAAGTCCGGTCGTCCAAGGAGACTCGCCATCCGCCGCCACAGTTCCATCACCGACACGGCAAAAAGGCGAAAAGGGGCCGGAACCCGTCCTACCACACCGACCACGACCAGAACAAGCACGCTCAATACCCACACCACGCTCCCAAACCCCCGCCAACGTCTCACGAACCCGCTCCTCCACCCACTCACCCGACGGCTCACCACCTTTGCCCATCAACGCCCTTACCGAGAACATGCCCACTTCTCAGCCCCAGCAGCAACAACAACCACAAGAATACTTTCCCCCACCCACCTCGCAACCCGCCCCCGCCATCCCCGAGAAATCCTCCTCCCGCCGCTCCACCTCCCGCCCGCGCCAACCCTCGCAATCCGCCCGCAACCGCAAAATCCGCTACGACGAAACCGCGTCCCTCCCCTCCACGAACTCCCAAACCCGCGCGCACCGGCCTCGCGGCGCAGCCCGCAGCACGTCGATGGGCGGCGGGGTGCAAGTCGTGCTCAACGAGCAAGGCAGCTGGAGCGAGATGGCGAATCAGAGCCAAGGGATGGTTACGCCGACGAAAGAGGAGGCTGGCGCCAGGAGGGAGGAGAAGGGGACGGGGATGTTGGGTTTCCTGTCGCGGAAGAGGGGTAGGGAGCGCAGTCCGAAGGGGAAGGAGAAGGAGAGGGGGGTGCTGGGGAAGGAGGGCGCGAGGGTGGTGATTAGTTCGGGCTAGTGGGCTGGGTTGAGACATCGTCATGGGAAGAAGAGGGGTGGGTGGGGGGTTGGGGTTGGGGTGAGCGTGGGTTCGAGGAGGGGGTCGAGGGCTGAGCAGTATCGTGCGCCCGAGTTTCCGGACCGGCTTTGATGGCCAAAGATGTCGCCGCATCACGCTCTCCGACTTCGATCGAGTGCCACACACTGGAGCCACACCGCTCTTTCAGGAAGGAGATGGGTTTGGAAACGCAGCGCGGCTCCACCACCACCACCGCGCACACTACACCGCCGAACGAACGACGCACACAACACGACCAGCATAAAAGCATTTACACCGCGCACGCGCGCCATCTAGAAACCCGACAGGACTGCCTTCCGCATCGGCGCCGGAGCATGGTTGGCAGCATCTTGGGCTGGGTCAGGGGTCGGGTTGGATACTCGTCCGCTCTTGGAGAAACTCCTTTGTTTGAATTGGGTTGGCGTTGTGGGACTCGGGGCTTTTGGGGGGTTTGGAAGCAAGGGCATTGGGCGGTTTTGATGACGAACTGTTGGAGGTCGGCGGAAATCTGCATATGATGTTTGTTGCATATAGAGCGCTGAGGGAAGTGGGAGGGGTGTGTATCATACGAAGATCTCGAGTATGTGAGCTGAGTCTGCAGTCCTCTCTTTGTCAAGTTACGGTAGGTCGCTCTTTCGTAGGTATCTGCTGGGACCACGGGAGCAAGAAGATGGCGTAGACGCATAATTTGGTATCGGGGTGGTAAGTACATCGATCGTATATGTTCGCCTTCGACACTGGTTTCCACCCCACCCAGCCTCAATGTACCACGATGACGAGAGGCAGATACCGCACTCTGCCGGAGCATTTCTATCCGGCCATGCGAACAAACTCCGGCTCCTCAGGCATGCCTCTCAGCGACATGCGAGCAGAGCAGACTCCACGCCCGTCTCAGAGAGCCACCGCCACGACCCCGACCAAAGCCCCGAGGACCACCATCGAGCCCACGCCTAGAGGAGGAAGAGGCGACGCGCCGTTCAGATCAGCCGGGCTTGGAACGCCGCTTGTGGAGGCGTCGTTGCTGTTGGCTTGTTGTTGCTGCTGCTGTGCCGGCCTCGGATTCTGCCCGCCATCGTCGCCACCGCCACCTGATCCCCCGCTCGGCCGCGGCGTTGGCGCTGGCCCAGCACTCGCCGATCCAGTCACCCCAGCAGCCATTGACGACAACCCAGGCATCGAGGACGAGTACACCTGTCCGCCTACTGCTGATGAGGCTCCAACGACCTCGGACAACGCCGCCGACGGCACGACGGAAGGATCGTACGATCCCCCAACCACGGACGAAGCGGAAGGGACGTAGCTGCTCACATCACCGCCGATGTAGATGGAGTTGACATCGGCGGAGTAGGAGTAGACGGGCCAGGAGCGGGGGTAGAGGGCGCTTTTGGAAGGGGTTAGTGAGATGGTAGCGTGTATGGTGGATGGGAGGGGGGATTACTGTTTTGCTTCGGCTGGTTCGGGGTTTGCGAGGGCGGAGTGGAGGGTGGCGAGGAAGAGCATGCTATTAAGGAGAGTGACCGGCATTGTGAGGAAAGGCTTTGAGGCTGGGTGGTCTGTTGGCGAGGAGTCTGGAGGTGTGCGTCGATGGTGCAATCACCCAGCAGCAACGGCGCTGCGTCCGTTGTATATTACCCCCTTACCTCGTGTACGGACACGCCATGGCATGATGGACGCGAGACATCGTTCCACGGCGGACCTATCGTCACGCCAGACGGGGCATGAAGTGGACAATCGGACCACTCGACACAGCCAACAGATAGAAGCCAGACGGTGATGTCTCTAGCCTGTTCCACTATGACACTTAAGGCGCTGTTCAATCATGCGCCCAAACCAGTGAACGTCCTGCCACCTGTGCGAACGTGGGCAGATGTGTTTAAGAAAATGCAAGGCCTGGATTCCAGCTCAAAGAACTTAGACTTGCGAGATTGCCAGGAATATCAGGAGACATCACCTGCATGCCATGGATCAGGAGATCTATCTATTTCCGGCCCTCAGCCCCGTATCTCCCAATGCAAGACACATTTTCACCTTCTCAACGCCAGCTCCGGCAACTCATGCCCAAACATCTCTGCAAAACCGAGACCGCAATCCATCAACCCTGCTCAATGACAAGCCCCCCCAGCACCACAAGGCGCATCCGCCCCTTCATCATAACACCCACTACTACAGAACCCCGCGGCACTGAACCCCCCAACCAGCCCCAAGTGGAAGACAGTGTTCCACTCTCGGCCGCCGCAAGTGTCGCTGCGGCCGCAGGTGCGTTGGGCGATTTCGCTTTGTGTCCAGCCTGGGATGGAGTCAGTGAGAGGTGGTGGGAAAGACGTGGCTAGTGGGATACTTGCCCTGGTTGTTGACGAGTTGCCAGCCGCAGTAACTGGGGTAGCAGGCTTGGGCGGAGACTTGGAGGAAGGTTGCTGCTGTCAGGGCGAGGTTGGTGAGGAGGAGTTGCATGGTGGTGGTTTTGTTGGGGGATGTGGGTTGTGTGGTGTCGATTCTCGGAGAAGTTGATGTGTTCTGTTGATGTGCAATGAATTGCGGTCCAAGAAATCTTTTAAATTCCAATACGAGTATGCTGACTTGGATCAAGTTTTCGTCGAGCGCTCGTATAGACGGACAGTGAATCCACGAACCTACCAATGTAACCACGAAGCTGACGATCACCTGAGCTTCAGCTTGAGGCTGTACTTTTTTTTTGCGCATGGCCTGATGCACACCGCTACCGTCTCATACAGTTGAGAAGCCTCAACAGAATATTCTCCACGGCTTGTCCGAAGCTGGGACTGCTCTCATCGAGTTCGTCGTCCGAGGGTACTGTCGAAGTGAAGTTGATACGAGCAAATACTTGAGCAGACCGCAGTTGAGACTATGTCCCTGCTACATCGAGGAGTAAAGCCCGGCAACGATGGAATTCACTCTGAGTGAACCTTGCCTTCTCGGCCATTTTTGCGGCCTCTGGGAAAGTCCACGGATTCCAAGCCTCGGAAAAGCTGGCCATATCAGTTGCACGTGATCCACGCATCCTGGGTCCTGTTGATGCATAGTACCTTCCAGCAATTGGTGAGCAAGAAGCCCTTGGGGCAACAGAGGTCTTGCTCCGACTGGTAGGCGACGAGCCTGCCCTGCCAGACATTCAACATTATTCCGGGAGTGTTTTCCGGTCGACCATGGATAATGTCCAGAAGCTAGAGTCCTATCCTCGTCAACGTACCATGAGTTCGATGCTCTCACTACAAGGGTCTAGGCCCGCGAAGATCAATGTTGCGTTGATCGCTAGACATCCCAGGAGCTGAGGCAGTCGCCATGCCGTTGACACACACGAAGTTAGTAATTCTCTTCATCTGTACTGCCGCTCGTTGAGCTCATGACAAACCGCTTGTAGAAGTGCCGGAGTGATCCCTTGTTCTGTTCTTCTGACATGAAGCAGACAGTATTGAACCAAAGACAAGATGAATGATCGAGGATATCTTGTGGCTCTGAATGGCGAGGCTGGCTGCCGTTCGAAGGAGACCGGGTAGATGAAGCTGGCCTTGGACGTAGCTTTCCCTACCTCTTGCAAGCAGCAGCCTTACCTCGCGTGCTCGCTTGCGTTTCGCCGTTCTCATCCGGTGATAATGCACAACATGTGAGAGCAGCTCCGGCACTTGGTTCGGCTCCTGGGGAACCCCATAGATGGCTGCGACTTGCTTTGCTCCCTGCCCACCGAGTCCCAAGGTGACCATCTCGTCCCGCGGCATCTCGTCCTAGAAGCATGCAGCTGCTGTCGCTCGGTACGTCAAGACGAGTGGCGTGGAAGGACAAGGGGCACAGGCACAGAATCGGAAGGTGTCCGAAGGCTCGCTCTGCCTCCCCACACCCCGCAATGTGAGATTGAGTCGTGATGACGAACACGTGAATTTGACATTACGTCTTACGACCAGATGGCAGCGCCCTCCTCCTTTCCGCCGAAGCGTGTAGTATAAAAGGAGCCTCCCACGTTCATCGTTGTGAAATCTTCCTGCGTCCAACAGTTCCCGCAACTCGACAGAGCCTCCAGCAAAACCGTGATACCGTGCTGGAATCACAGCCGGAGCTCACGCCCGTCTCGTTTTCGTGCCTCTAGCTTGACAGCTCCCTCCTACCAATCAACCCGTCTTTCCCCGATACACAAGACGATCTACCTGCCTGTGGAGCAACGATTGCCGCGGCCGTCGGATACAGATGTCAGAGCAAAGCAGAGCAGATACAAAGGCCGCTCGCCCCAGCAACTTGACACGGACCCTCACTCCCGGCGTTCCTTACGAAGATACTGATTTCCTGAAGAACCAGCTTCAGAAGCAGGACCACAACAACTTCCACTCGGATTCACTTCGGCAGTTCAAAGTAGGGAAGATGGTGTCCCAGCCTGTAAACAAGGTATGTATGTCGAGCTGCTCTTCGCTAGGCCGTATACTAAGACTATGACAGACCGCTCTTCACCCTTCGGGTGTCCAGTAAGGCAGCCTCTGCCGCACAACCATACGTTCATGTCCACTGACAGACATTCAGGCCTCAGCCAGAGCACACCGAGCTCGAGGAAGAACTCCACGAGCGAGCACACATCGACTACGACCGCGTCTCGATCATTGCCAACCCTTCCGTCCCTGCCCTCTACGAAGATGCTCTCGTCTACGAGACTGGGTCTGCCATGACCTCGAGCGGTGCGCTTTCAGCCTACTCCGGAGCAAAAACAGGACGATCACCGTCAGACAAGCGTATTGTGCAAGAGGAAAGCTCTGAAAAGGAGGTTTGGTGGGGACCGGTCAATAAGCCCATGAGTACCGATGTGAGTACGAGACATCCTTCTGCCCATACCATTGCACCACAAGTGCATCATCACGAAGCTCGAAAAGCGCGCGCGCATTGGAGAGCTCCCAACGTCATGCCAGCGCTCTGCCGGAGGAGCAACGGCTCACGACGTCGGCTCAGTGGTGCCCCGCACTCGTTGGACGTGAAGTCGGCAATACGATTATCCCTCGCCAAGCTTATAGCCGACTTGCTTCTCGGCAAGAATTGGCTGACATGTGATTGCAGGTTTGGCGTATCAACCGCGAGCGTGCCATTGACTACCTGAACACGAGGAACCGCATCTATGTCGTAGACGGCTACGCTGGATGGGACGAGCGCTACCGGATCAACGTGCGTGTGGTCTGCGCTCGAGCTTACCATGCTCTCTTCATGCGCAACATGCTCATCCGGCCTTCTCGGAAAGAGCTCGAAAGCTTCCATCCTGACTACGTGATCTACAATGCCGGTGCGTTCCCGGCCAACAGATATACCATGGGTATGACCTCATCTACATCGGTCGCCATCAACTTCGCGGAGAAGGAGATGGTCATTCTCGGTACTGAATACGCCGGCGAGATGAAGAAGGGAATCTTCACTGTCCTCTTCTACGAGATGCCAGTCAAGCACGACGTCCTCACTCTGCACTCTTCTGCCAACGAGGGTAAAGACGGAGACGTGACAGTCTTCTTCGGCCTTTCGGGAACCGGCAAGACCACCCTCTCCGCTGACCCGAAGCGTGCCCTCATTGGTGACGATGAGCACTGCTGGAGTGACAAGGGTGTATTTAACATCGAAGGCGGCTGCTACGCCAAGTGCATTGGTCTCTCGGCTGAGAAGGAGCCCGATATCTTCAATGCCATCAAGTTCGGTTCTATCCTTGAGAACACTGTCTTCGACCCAGTTACCCGTGTTGTCGACTACGACGACGCGACACTGACCGAGAACACTCGCTGCGCCTACCCAATCGAGTACATCGAGAACACCAAGATTCCATGCCTGTCGCAGAACCACCCATCGAATATCATCCTGCTGACCTGCGATGCTCGTGGTGTGCTCCCACCTATCTCGAAGCTCACCAAGGAGCAGACCATGTTCCACTTCATTTCCGGCTACACTTCAAAGATGGCTGGTACCGAGGACGGTGTGACCGAGCCTCAAGCGACCTTCTCCTCTTGCTTCGCTCAGCCCTTCCTAGCCCTGCACCCAATGCGCTACGCCAAGATGCTCGCGGACAAGATCGACCAGCACAAGGCCAACGCCTGGCTGCTCAACACCGGCTGGGTCGGCGCTGGCGCCACCACTGGCGGCAAGCGCTGCCCCCTGAAGTACACTCGTGCCATCCTCGACTCCATCCACAGCGGCGAGCTCGCAAAGGTCGAGTATGAGACTTACGATGTATTCAACCTCAACGTGCCCAAGACGTGCACGAACGTGCCGGATGAGCTGCTCAATCCGAAGAAGAGCTGGACCGGAACCGCAGACTTCAGCGGGGAAGTGACAAAGCTCGGCGAGCTGTTTAACGAGAATTTCAAGAAGTATTCTGACGAGGCGACGGATGAGGTGATTAAGGCCGGGCCGCAGACTTGAGTGTATATATGGCTTTATGGTGTAGCTGGCTCTTTATGTAGAACACAAAGGCGAGTCAAGGAATGAAGTGATGGCAGACGAACCTGTATCGACATGTGAATGAGTCGTTTGATTCTACTACAAACGTACGCTGTCATTACCACTACTTCAGCGCCCACCCCACCCTTCGACACCTCGTTCCCCCTCACCTCAACGGACTCCCAAAGTCAGATCTAGCAGGAGTGTTAATCCTCGCCACCCCGACTGGCTTCCTCTCCGGCGTCCCAGGCGCACTCGCATGCGGCGTCTCGGGCATCCTCTTCCCATCCCTCCCAACAGGCACTTTGAAATCATACGCCTTGCCACGGTAGTAGATATCATCCTTGATCCTCTCCACCAACCCCGCGTCCTCATACTCCAGATACTTCCGCCACAACTTCAGCGCCGTGCGCGCGTCTTCAATGCTGTCGTGCCCGGCGACCAGGTTCTGCTGGATATCCTCGCCGAGCAGCAACCACGCCAGGAAGCGGAGGGAGAGTTTCCGCCGCGTGCGCTCGCCGAGCGAGAAGAGGTCTTGCGTATCTATGACTTGGGCTTCGGGGACGTGGATATTGATGGTGCGGAAATCGCTGCTGAGACCGTGGCCGATGAATTTGCAGCCCAGGTTCAGCAGGACCCAGAGTTTCTTGTAGACTTCCTTCAAGCTGACGAGGGTGAAGTGGGAGATGCCGATGGTGAGGTCGCCCGGGTTGAGGCCGGAGTATTGGGTCAGGTAGTCGTCGACGGGCTCGTTGATGGCGATGTAGTCGTCGATGAAGGCGAGTTCTTGCTCGTGGCCGTCGCCTCGGAGGACGGAGACACGTGCGAGGCCGGAGCGGGCTGGGCGGGTGATGGCGCGTTTGCCGTCGGCGTTCATTTCGATTTCTTCGCGCAGGAGGCGGACAAATTCGGCGTCGATAGCGCAGTGTGTGTTTTGGTTGGGCAGGCTTTCGAGCGGTGAGATGGCCCTGAATTGGTATGATGGTGTGAGGGCTGGCTGCGTGCTGCTGCGATAAAGTACGCTCGTGTCGATCCTATCTTTCCACGACTCGTCGAGATGGTGTGAGACGCCTTTGGCTTGGTAGCTGATGACCGATGGAAGCTTCCATCGAGCGTCAAAGTACAGCGCTTCCTGCGCAGATACGGGCCTCACCATGAAATCGTTGAACAAGTGCCAGTTGTCTCGCTTCGTCGGCTCGGGATCGGCCACACTGACATTGACCACTGATACCAGATGAGACTGCTGCGACTCTGTCATCGATACATCCGCGATGATTCCTGTCAACTCGTACACCGTGATGTCGTAAATCCGGCGTTGCAGGTGCAATTGCAAGTCCTGCCCTTCGTAGCAGAAGAATTGGTCGTCGTGCACGATGATACCGATCTCTCGTGGCAGAAAGCCTGGGGTGGACCACAATGACTTCGCTTCCGGCGTGTGGATAGCAGCATTGATCAACAGCACCGAAGGCGTCCGTAATAGTGCACGTCGGGATCGTATGGCTTTGTAGCTCTGACACCGCATGCACCACCCTCGGTGCTGCTCGTACCGCTCCACCGACTCTTTCAAGAGCCGAGAAAAGTAGTGCCGTACGTTTCTCTGATTGTGCTTCGCCGGTTTGCTGTATGTCAGGTCATGGCTGAACCAGACCTGGTCCTTGTAGTCCTCGTACGAGCAGGACGAACATACACTATACGCTCGTCCAATTGTGCCAAGAGCAAGCTGCAGTTGTGAGGCATTGACGCCAATGCGACGAAAGTTGTCATCCATTGTCGGGAGCAGATACCGTGTCAGGTTTTGCATCATGATGGTGAGCTGCGTGTTGAATGTGTTCTCCTCCAGGATCGCAAGGCCTGCTGCATTGTTTTGCTTGCTGAGCGCTTTGAAGAAGTTGGTTGCCTGGCAGATCAGACCCTGTGCTTTCTCCAGCATGTCCACCACGAATCCAGTCTCGCACAGCATGCAGTTCTCCAGCCTGCAGTCCAGCGCTGTATGCTGCAGTGCCAGATTTCTGATGACATTGGTAAAGCGGAAGAGTTGCAGCAACGGGTTGGCGTATGAGTTGACGATGTGAATCTCTAGACCTGAGAACCTCGTCTGGTTGAAGTAGCGAAAGTCGAAGTCATCGACGCCGAATTTGCTGTACGCCATTTTCTGCGGCTGGTAGTAAACTGGCGGACCGCTGGTCAGTGTAAGCATACCCAACGTCTTGTTGACGTCTTCACTGAGCCTCCTGTCGACTTCGTATTGACCTTCTTCATCCTTCCGCTGCTCGCTCAAGAATTTCGGCGCAATGATCGAGTGTTGCATGCCATTGATCGACCGTGTGTTTTGGACCTCGTAGCGCCGAGAAGTGCGAGGGTTGGGTCCAACCATGCCATGTTCGAACTTTCGAAGACTGCTCAGAAAAGCAGGGTCCCACTTAGCCGGCGGTGCGCCAACTTCATGAACCAGGCTGTTGGGCAGTCCCGAGAAAAGGGCTTCTCTGTAGTATGGCATACCGACCATGTTCAGCGGAATATCGGCGGTGGACCAGTCCAGGTGCTTGGTGGATGCCGGCGTGTCCTCGAACTCCGTAGGACGACTGAACTCGGTGAATTGCATTTTCGTTGACGAGCCCCACAGGGTGATCTGGCAGTGGTTGTCCGTCATCGCGAAGCCTTTGCCGGACGGCACGAGCTCGAGGCCGGTCACTTGTGCTTCGAAGGTCTGCGCGAATCGCATCATTGGGACATCCGGATTCTGCACGTCTATGGACTGAATGGCTCCACTCTGCGAGATAACAATGCATGTTGATGACAGCTTGGGATGCATGCGAACGAATGCAGCTCCTTGTCCAAACGTGACTGGAGCAACTGATCGCTGGTTCTTGAGGTCGTAGACGCGGACAAGTCGCTCGAGCCCGAGTCCATGATGCTGCTGCTGAGCCCAGCCGCATGTTAAGAGATAGTCGCCTCTCGCGTCCATGTCGTTCACCGAGCCCGCGTAGGCTTTCCAGCTGTTAACAACAGAAAGCGTCTTCGAGTCCAGCAGATGGATGGAGCCATCGTGAGAAGAAGCGCAGATCAAATCTCTGGCCCGCCTCATCATGGTGAAGGCGACGGGTGCACTTTGCTCGATCGCGTCGGTGATCGCGCCCTTGTCCACATCGATACGGTACATGGGCTTTTGGCAGCCTGCGACGATGATCTCTGCATTGCTCGAACTCAAGAAGCTCATGCATCGCAATTCGACCATGTCCGGAGACGAGAGGTGCCATAACGTCAGGCCTGTGCGGCTCGAGAGGTGTATGCTTTTCGACGAGATCGAAAGCACTCCTTTCTCGCAGAACAGGAACTGCTTCACGTGAGCATTACCCGGTGCTCCTCGGGGTGCACTGTTGCTGTGACCTCGATAAGATGTGTAGCGCTGGAGGTCCTGGCCGTAGAATGAAGTGACGCGGCCCTTGAACAGTCAGCCAGAGAATTATTTGCACCTCCTACAATGCCCAAGAGTGTTCCATAGATTTGTTATGCTCCTCGTGAGCTCTGCAACAGAAGGTGTTCACTTACATATTCATTCCCGGTCCACAGCAGTTCTTGAGCAGTATCGAACGCGAACGCTGTCACAACGCCGGGAGGAGCATTGGGAGATGGTCCAGGATGCGCTATCCGGACCGTCTGTGTTCGATGATCAGTCTTCATAGGAATCGTTCGAACGCATGTGCTCGAGCGCGCAGCAGATGCGAAGCTGAACCGTAAGAGGGGAACTGAGGGGATATCGCACCTCGTTCCAGTCTGCTTCCATCTTTTGCGTATTCTCCTTCTGATCCGCATACTCGAGATCAACTGAGATACATCGGTTTCAATGTCGTTAGAAATCAGGTTGAGGTGTGGACTTGGGCGAGCAGCGAACGCGGCTGTTACTGAGGCTCGAAATGGCTTGGTGCCGGGAGTATGCGCAGCTAGTTTCGCGTCTTCCTCCTTCGCGTTGGGCTCGCCTTCTTCTTCTGCCTCCACTAAATATCCTACAAGCGATTCGATCATGTGAGTGAGAAGAGCATCATGTGTGTCATGATCAAGCCGTGAGGCGATCTGCTCATTTACTGGCTACTCTAACCATATACCGGGAGGCAAGAACAACCGCCATCAGCCGGAAGAAGACAACTCATACCCTTCATAGGCCTTGGACATTCCATCAAGTCGATCACAGTAACTCATCCTCCATGAGCGACTCAACCTCGTATATCAGTAATAGTACCCGCTCCTCTGCCGCTCATCCTTCCTCCTCTCTTCCCGCTCCCTTTCCCGCTCTCGTCCTCTGGAAGACGGCTCTCGAATCTCAACGACATACCCTTTATCTCTCTTCTGTCGCTGGATCTCTGCATCGTACAGAGAACCCTTCCTGGACTCTGACTTCGGTTGCGGCTTCGGCTCTGGTTGGCGGGAAGATGTGACCTCGACGTCATCATCTACCACAACTGTGCTGTACCGCTTGGATTTATGCGAAGACTTGCGGCGGGAGACTGAACTGGCGGGCTCGACGGTGACCTTTTCGTACTTGTCGTTTTCATACTTCCGTTCTCGCTCTCGCCTGTCTTCTCTCTTCTCCTCTCGCCTATCTTCTCGCCTCTCCTCTCGTCGGTCTGGAGAAGAACGTCGTCTGGGTGAGACGGGATAGCTCCGGTCATAGCTGACGATCGGCACCTTTCGACTCCTGGACCTCAGTGCCCGGTCTATGGCCTGTAGCAGACTCCGGGCATGTTTGTACCCAGGGTGGATCTCGACCCGGACGGGCTTGTGGTCATCCTCGCCTTTGCTGTAGATCTCTCCGGACTGGTGGTAGACGTGCTCTGCGACGTCCCGCGCAAGAGCGTGTCCGGCGTCGCATAGCCGTTGACCTTTTGCAAGAGCGCGAGCTGGGTCGTGGCAGTCGGCGCATTTCTGTGCGTGAGTCTCAAAGTGGTATAGCGACCAGGCTTCGGTGGGCGTCAGCGGCCTGGATGTACCGTTGACGACAGTGGATGCGAAGCGTGCTTTCTTGGTGTTGGGCGACTCGGGCGGGGTCGCTGGTGCAACGTTCGAGCTGCCCACGTTGGAGGGCCTAACCTCGACGATGACGGGCGTCGCGGTCTGTCTGCCTTGCGAAGAAGGCATGGTGGCTGGCTGTTGGGCGTATTTGCTGAAGTATCCGGGCGACGGCAGTGCGTCGATTGGTGAGAACGTGCAGATGTACTCGACGTAGCGCTCCAACGCGGCTACTCGAGTCTGATGGTATTGGTGAGCGGAGTTGGCTTTGGGTAGCAACACCTGCAAGCTTGTGCAAGGCGGCGAATAACAGACAGAGTGGTATGTGATTGGGAGGAAGAAAGAATGGGAAGGCGAAGCCAACTTATACCTTATATCTACGCCCCGTGGCAGTTCACACCAGAAGGCAGAACTGTTGGAGCCCTTAGGCAGCGCTACGCCCGACCTAGACACCTCGCAGGCGGAGAGAACCCACCAAGGCCAAGGCAGCGACCACCACCAGAGCTTGTGTCGCCAGCCCAGGCAGGCATTGTTGGAGAGCTTTGCGCGCTAACAGAGGAGTCAATGTGAGCTCTGCTCTCGAACACTGCCTGGAAAGCCGTTTGAGCTGTGCAGGGTGCGTTGGGCAAGCGTCTTTTTGATTGGCTCTACTCGACCGTTGCCTGCATCGCCTACACTAAATTTTGAGCGTGCACGAGCCGGAGGCTTACTGCGCCGCCGTTCGGTCAATTTTTCGCGTCGTCGAGAGACGGACACGCGCAGAGCAGTACACCGGCGGTTGTTCTGGCAAAGCGAGCGCCAATCCGCATTGGACGGATCGCTTGCGCAAGCATTGCGAATATCTGAGTTGCCGCGATGACGAGGAACAACTTACAGTCACCGGCGTGCAGCGCCAAGTCTGGCAATCATCTCATTTGGCCCCACCATCGCCGGTGTGCGTGATCTGGTGGGTTGGTTCTGGTTTACCGGTTCGCGAAGGAAGCTGGAGCCGTCGAGTACTCGATCGCCCTGTGAGCAAGGTGTTCCGGTAACAATATTAGCAAGCTTTCTGGCATACGTGTTAAACGCACGTCATGAAAGTTGCTCCAAGCATCCCGCCTGAGCACAGAGCAGGTGTTCTTTCGCTCAGCCGACAAGGCGTAGGGCTGCCCACTGCGGCTGCTGCACGAAGGAAGACGGGCGTGAAGGCGCGGCAACTGATGAGCTGATCATACAGTAACAACATACTCGGACTATCATCGAGACCATCCGCGCCGAATCTACCCCTCCTTCCTCAATGCTCGTTCTCGCCGTTTTCGAGTCATCCGAGCTCTCGTATCTTCGTCGGCCTTTCTGACATGCATTTCATCCGGAGAACGGCCACAGAAAGTACAAGCGTACATGCATCCATCCTCCCTCCGGTGACTCAGCTCTGCTCTCCGCCTCGTAAAGCTCACAATGACTCCCGCCAAGGACAACGACCACCCTCACGACGACGCTGATCTTGCCAACCGGTCGGAGACTCATTCTTCCCGAGCCTCGCCGGTGTGGTCGTCTCTTGCGTCTTGGGTCCGGCTGACAACCCGTCTTCGTGCAGACTGTTTGCAGCTTGGCGGAGTGTCGCACATGACCATGGTGACCGGTATCGAGCTGTTGCACCCAGGCTCCAAGGAATCAATCGACACCGTGAAGCCTTGGAGCCAACAGTCGTAGGGACATTCTCGAACCCACTGCTGACGCAAGCAGCGCTTACCCACTGGGCAAAGATGCCGCCATACCCTCGTCTCATGTCCTGCCGCTCACACGCGCCCCTCCAGATGACGACGGCGAAGTAAGCGAGCAACGCGAACCAACGCTGGTCCTGCCGTTGCCTTCTATGAGATCATGAAACGAGACGTACCTATTCCTGCGAACCCATAGACAATATCAATCGTCTCATGACCAAGAATGTACACGCTGCATATGTACACCCCCATACGCTGAAATGAATAGTAACCGAAGCGCTGCCGTGCCTCTTTCCAATCCCCAACCGCCTCGCGGCTCCCAAACGCCAGACGAACCCTTGCTATGCCAAAGACACCACGCCCACCCTCACTCACCGGCTGAATCCGCTCTGCACATCTGTCCTCGAGAACCCCGCCTCCACAGGCTTCTCCCCTTCCGTCACCGGATACAGTTCTCGAATCATCTCCTCGATCCTGTCCAGCGTGCGATCGTAAGCTCTCTCGCACTCTTTGCAGACTAGAATCGCTAGCTCCTTCGACTTCTGCTGCTCGTCATTGTCCTGGACAAAATGTTTTTGGACACGTCCCCGCAAGTGGGCGATCCCGCGAGCCACTTCCTTGCTGTCGTATTGGGATAGGACGTTGCGGGCTGCTTTGCGTGAGTAGGTTGGTCGGCTCGTGACGGAGCTTGGGTTCTGCGGGTGTGAGGCTTTCATTGAGTCGAGGGAGTCCAGGTAGTCCTATCAAGTAGAAATATCAATTGATGCTCATCGAGCGTTGACGCAGAAGAAGTAGTACTCACCAGAAGCTTCCCAAGCGGCCGCCTAACGACCTGCCCAACATAAGCCTCCATCGCCTCCGCCCTCTCCATCTCCGCCCGTCCCTTCCACTCTGGCAAATTACTCTCCCGTCCCGGATCCTCAACCTCGGAAATGTAAAAGTTCATGTTTTGAATAATCAGCACATGATAGTTCAACATCTCTTTATCCTCGGGATCATCGCTCGTAGCCTTGCCCGCCTGCCCATGCGCTGCGGCTGCACCGCCCGGACTTTCCTTCGCGATGACTTTGAGACTATCAAACATCGCGCGGTTGATCCGGTCGTACGCTTCGTCCAGCTTCACCCGGGTGTCGTACATGCAGGTGGCGTTGTGGTCGTAGTCGTCTTTGCCGATGGCGGCGAAGGTGTTCTCGACGGCCATGGCGAAGTGTGGGAATGTCTTCATGAAGCCGATGACGCCTTTGCGCTTCTTGATCTTCACTTTGGTGTCTTCGATGGCGCGGACCTGCTCGTCGACGAACTTGCCGAAGAGGCTCATTAGTCGGCCTTTGAGGGTGTCGAGAAGCTGGATCAGGAACTCCTGGCTTGTATCTTGCAGGAAGAACGAATGTCGTGTGAGACAGGCCATAACGCCTACACCTTGGATAGGGTCCGCACTAACGCACCACTCGACTAGACTGGACAGCTCGTTGGTGAAGAAGCCGAACACTTCGCTCATGGTTCCAGTGACCAGCCGAGCCATCTCACGGTCCGGATCAAGTGGTTTCTGCTGCGCCAGATTTGTGCCATACCGCTGCTGGACAGGCGTTCGAGAAACAACATCCATGAAGTCTGCCGTCTCCAAGCTCGTAGCATGGAAAAAGTCGACCACGAAGTTCTGCTCGAACGAAAGCAGCACAGCCATCTCATCGACGGCGCCTGAGAAGACTTCGGAATGCGACATACTTCCGGTGTTACGAGAGTCCGCATTGCCGCTCTTCTCTCCACTTGCGCTGCGAAGCGTTTTCGCGAGGGTTTGGCTACGCTTCACGGTCATCTTGCGAGCAGAGCTCAGCGCACCACTGCCGGCGGCTGCGTCTTCCCTCTCGACGGCGGTGAAAAGCAGCTCGGCCTCCTCACCCGTCGGCTTGCGGAGGCAGCGTTTCCAGTACGCTACGTTCTGGCCAAAAGCATCAGCGTACAGCGTCTTCGCGCTGCCGTAGTACATGCGCATCATCGTCTGCCACGCTGGTCTGTTGAGCTCCTTCGTGAAAAGCACCAACGGCGAGTACATCCATAGCTCTTTCCTGGCCTCAGTGAAAGCGTCCGGATTCAGCTTCATCATGCCAGGATTACTCTGGACGGGCAGCAAAGCCTTGCTCTTGACGCCGGTAAACGAAGCGTTGAAGGTCGAGTCAAGATGCTGCATCACCCTCTGGCAGAAGCGGTCGCTCTCGCGGCCATACTCTTCTCGTTTCTGCCTCACGGCCTTCATGCCTGCCACCTCGCTGCCCTCATTCATGTCGCCGCGGCTCTTTGGCCGCGCGCCGTTCGCAGCCTGCCGTATGCTCGGATCGATCTTCACCAGGGCTTCGTATAGCCTAACCAGCCCTCGCTCTGCTTCATCGACACCCCGGTCGCTTCCAAGCTCGGCATGTCGAAGTGGCTCAAAGACGTCCCTTCCCAGGCTCAGTGTTCCAACAAGCTGACTTAGCTCCGTGTGGAGCGTCCTCTGGTTAGCAGCTTGCACCTGCAAACCCTGGCTCTGCGCTTCAATGTACGAGATATCATCATTGAGCGTACTAAGCTCAACGCCATAGATAGTCAATAGACCATCCATTTCGTCGCATTCTTGAATGGCTTTGTCCAGCAGCGCTGCCACTTGCTTCTCCCTCTCCTCTCGCAGCTGTGTTTCCTGTGAAGGAGAAGAAAGCCAGGCACCGGCTTCTAACCGTGCCTGCTCTCGGCGAAGGTTGTGCTCCATGTCACCTAATGCTTTGGATGAGAGGGCTGCATCATTCCAGCCAAAGTCGGTGAGCAGTGTCTCGAACTCCAGTCCTCGGTCCGCAAGCAATGATCGGTCAATACCGAGCTCTGCCAGATATTGCTCCTGCATCGCACTCCGCCGCTTGACCTTGACCTGCGGTTGGCGGACTTCTCTTTGCTCGATCCTCTCGCGCTCTTCTTGCTCCGACTGCGTTTGCTGGTCTGGAGTAGAAAGATGCTGAACAGGCTCATCCGCGAGCTGCACGCCTTGTCCATCCATGCCACCGAACCCAGCCTGCTCAGCAGAATAGCCTCGGGCAGGAGACATTGGACTTGAGACCTCCACCTTCGGTGGCGGACCAGAAGTCTGCCTCTCGTTTTCTTTCCCCGCATCCGGTGGCTTGACAGCAAGATCATCCCCAGCGGGCTGCTCAGCCGGTGGCGCCTCCTTCGCTGCAGGTGCGGGCGCTGGCCTAGGTACGACTCCTGTGATGCCATCCGGCTCTGCCACGCCAGGCGAACCAGCCTCACGTTCAGCCTTCGCCTTCAGAATCTTCTCGGCCGCACCACCAGGCCGGGGCTTGAATGCATTTGCTGCGTTTGCCGCGCGCAAGAAGCGACCTGCGACAGCCTTCTTTTTGATCATCGGTCCCAGACCAGGTCGATACTCCTCTTCCGGCTCGGCATCTTCTTCTGATCTAGGCTCCTCGGCTGCCGTAGGAGTCTCTGCCGCAGGAGTGGGCTGAGGTGATGGGCCTGCTGGAGACTGAGACTGTTGGGAGGAAGCAGGTATGGCGAGATTGGAATCCGGTGACTTTGTAGTAGCTGGAGGTGATGACGATCGTACCTGTGCAGCAGGAAGCGGTCCGTTCTGTGCAGCAGGGACTGCGGACTCTTTTGGCGTGGCATAAGCACTCCCTCCATCCACAGCTTGACCAAACGGCCGTGGGGTTGGTCCTGAGAAGTTCCGCGATGACAACGGTGCAGGCTTCATATCTTCGTCATGTGGGGTTTCTACGGGCTGTCTTTTCTGTGACCTCTCAGGTGTTGGCGGGGACGTTGTCTCATCTACAGCAGCTACCGGCTGAGCTGGCGGTGCGGCAGCGACCGAGTGCTCTGGACCCATAAAGCCTCCTATGGCCGCAAAGGCCGCAGCATCTTCCGTACCCATAGCTGGCGATGACATGTCGCTCTCGGTCGTCTTCGGGGCACGGTCTGTTGATGCCGACTGTTGTTGTTGGCTCTTTTGGCTTGTGTTGGAACGGGTGGTCTCCAGTGGTGGGAGTTGGGGCGTTTGCTGAGGCGCTTGTTGAGGCGGCTGTTGTTCCCGCTGGTAATGGTCGGGCGGTGGCTGTTGACCCTGCCATCGTTGTCTTGTGGACTGGAACAGGCCAGGACCCGACGTACCACCATTGACATTTGCGGGCGGAGGCGGTGATTTGGCGCGATTTTGGCGATCCGAGGTCACACTCTCCATGGACTGATAGCTGGGCTTTCGCGGACTTACTGGTCCCGGCTGCAGGCTTCTGGGCATATCCCCTCGAGAAGAGGCAACGGACAAATTGGCTGGACTGTCTGATCTCATATATGAGTTCGACGACTGTGCGCTCGGTGCTCGTGGCATTTGAGCCACATTGGGTGGAGGCGTGCGCTGATACCCACCAGGTCCAGGCGATGTTCCGGGCCTCAGATCTCTTTGAGGATCCCGATACGGCTCTCGACTGTTGGAGCGCAGATTTTCGCTACTCGCGAATGGTTTTGGAATGGGCGGAGGTGAAGCTAGAGCCTGACCGTATGGTGCTGGTGATTCCTGCCTGCTGTTCGGACCACTCCCGCCCCGATCGCTCATACTAGGAGGTGGACCAGGACTGCCGCGGTACCGGCTGTCTTCTCGACTTTGCGGTCTATGTGCGAAAGGTGGCTGCGGCGGCACTGGTGGTTCGAGATCCTCTGGAGGCGGCTGCGGCTGTGTGCCCATCGGAGGCGGACCCTGTGGCGGTTGCTGCTGTCCTGGCATTGAACCCAGCATTTGCGCCTTTTGGTTCTCGTCGAACCCTCTCAATTCCGGAATCTGACCCTTGGTGTACTTGCGGTAGATCTTAACTGTGCTCGCAATGAAGAACTCCTTCTCCTTTGCCGTCCCTGCCTGCCAGTAGTATGGCTTTGTGATGGTGACCACGAAGCCTACCGCACCCGCCCATGCTCTGTGTTGCGCTTCCTTCTCGCTCTGAGGTGGATTCGGGTTACTCGAGTAAGACTCGATGGCGGACAGCTCCTCCAAGTTCCACGTCTTGCCAATGCTGAAGCTGCCATTATTGTTCTCTCGCGCCTTGTGCATGCGCACCCTTCCCGTCGAGCGTACCGCGATGATTATCAGGCGTGGTTTCTTGGAATCAGGCGCACTGTCCGGTGGAGGTGGACTCGAAGGGTGCTGGCCATCCTCCTGCACGCGGATGTGGGTAATGTAGGACTCGGCCAGCTGCCCACTCTGATCAAGCTTTGAGAAGCAGGATTCGACGATGCGCCGCTTCTCATCCTCGAACTTCTCCGCTCGCGACACTACTCGGTTCTGAGAAGTCGGGGGTGGGCCTGCGAGCTGGGAGTTGCTGCCGCTATGCGCGAGGGAGGGGGTTGAGTTGTTGCTCGGATGGCGGTACCCGTTCGGCGGGCCATGCGGTAGCTGGCGCGACATGCTGAAGTGGTGATTGCTCTATCAGAGCAGCACCTTTCGTTGTACCGCTCTGTAGCTGTCGGAGTACCCTCGTCGTGCGGTCGGTGGCCGGGGATGTCCTCCTGGTTCGCGCATCGAGGGGGTGTTGTGCCGGCGTGCACCGTTGAATTCGCCGGTTTCTATCCGTCCACAAACCCCTTCCTGTCCATCCAGCAAGTGTGTCTCTGACGGTACCACGATTCGAGCAGCTTACACCTTCGCGTTCGTCTTCACGCTTGGCCTACATCGTCGTCTAGATGCGCTAGTCGTCGGCCGTCGGCATCGGCATGGGCGGGAGCAGCCGTCCCGGAGACTACGATACCTTATCTTCGACCGACGACAACGACATCTCATCGAACAGAACCGCCTTGAACCGCGATTGGCACCAGGGACGTGGTTGCCCATGTTCCTCTCGTTGGCTCATATCATCTCTAGGAAGATTATGGAATGACCGCAGTTGCAGTCTCAAAGCAGAGGCTACGGTGTGTAATCTCCCAGTACCGATATCAGTCTGGCTTTGAAAGGGAGCTGGCCGCCTTGACTTGCTGAATCGACCGTTCATCTGGCAGCTATCCATTGTATTCCCTAGCCAGATCAACTATCTATTGTTTCAATCAGACGGGAAGGGGGTTCTTCGAGTGCATGGCCCGCGCTCTTTTGCCTCTTCACTGGCTCATCAACACTCCTTGGACCACGAGAGGCCGACAGAAAGATTCTCGTGACTCTGAAGTACCATGCCGAAGAAGCAAACGCTCCTCATCTCGGACTTGCTGGATCAATTGTAAAACAATTGGGTGGCGCACGAGTTTCTGCAACTGAGCACTTTGGTTTGAAAGTGTGCCAGACAACTCGAAAGCAGTACTATGACACTTGGAAAAGACTGCATCTTGGCTGGTTGAAGAACGTCTGGGCCCGAGCACCTGGCAGCCACGTCGCCGCCGCCATCAGCACACACTCTCGAAGCGAAGCCATAGAGATCAGTCATGAGACCAAGGCAGCCTCGCAAAAGTCACAAGTGGAGCCACGAAAACACGTTCGTCCTACCAATGGTTCCAGCTTTGGCTGTTGGGCCGATCGGAAATCGGAGGTCGAGTACCTGGTCTTCGCAAATGTGCACAATATCTTGGAACGATCGCGGAGAGCATGGCCAGACGTGCAGCTCAAAGGCTCGCCTCAAGCATGGGGCATCTGCATGGCGTCCCAGCTCATCCTGTCTCCCGCCCGCCTCGACCGTTTGAAGCTGGGACAGCCGCGTCCGGAACCTTTGCTTAGGGCTCTGACCTCGCATACAGCAGGAGCTCTCGCGTAGGCTGACGGAATTCACCGTTTTCACGATGCACTTCAGGAGCAGCGTCCCCGTGTGGCTACCCGTCTTCTATTGGCAATCATCAGCATGTGCACAAGTCCAAGGACCATTTGAAGTGCGCTGGAGCTTCTCCAGTAATGAGTCCAACATTGAGTTGCTGCATGTCTTGACTTACGTGGCTGGCTGCCCCCCCAGACGATTCGAATGATCTCGGCATGGCGTCCGTCGTCACACCACTCAGTGGGCCTCCTCGGACATGTGGGACTGCTACCAGGTCCTGAAACGGTAAGTTGGCATGGTCCTTTTTGGGCTGTTGTGGACAGCCTTGTCTTCCCATCCTAATATTCAGTACGTAAGGCGGGGCGAGAGCGTACGCGTGCATCGAGAACAGCATGGGGATTTCCGACATGACAGAGGCTCTTCTGACCGGACAGGATAGGACGTCACTTGGGCCCAGGTTTCCTCTGGCGATCGAAATGCACTTGACCAGGATGAATAACAAATGATGGGGAAACGGGATTTCTGACGGTTGGTGACCGGCTTGCTGGTCCTCTCCCCTGTCGCCGATCGCTCTTCGTCCATTTGCTCTTGACAGGCAACCTATTCTTGGGTTCCCATTCGCACTGGTACTTTGGGCCTTATGCCCTGCTCTCAAATCGCCCACGTGTTCCAAAGACTGGACAAGCCCACGAAGACACTTTGCCGTTCGTCAAATTGCGGAGAAGGCTTCTGACGATGGTTCTGCATATATACGTCGGCACATCAATCGCTTTCAGGACGGAAGATGCCACAGGCAAAACGACAAGCAAATAGGGTTGTTTCTGACAGCTCGCCAAGGCGCCGATCATAAGCTGGAGAACCCTGTCGCATCAAGCTTGAGAGAGACTGCCAGCCGTTGATCGCCAGTCCAAGCTATTTTGAACACCACGGCACAACCCCATCTGCACTCCGCACCATTTCTCCGTCCCAGGACGGCTACTAAGCGGCGTTAGCGACAGTTCTTACAGGCTGCTTTTCTCCCCGTACCTCCCCATGGGGATGATCGACGCTACCCGCCCTGCCGTGTCCTTCCCCAACGCATGGGTGGCGCTAGCAGCACATCACCCGAGCGAGACTTGCTGCAGTGCTGGATGCGAGAATATGCCCAGCCGGTGAACACGAAGTTGATATCAATTGGGTACCATAACAATTGCTGCATGGAAGGCTCGACGGCTCGACCCACCATTCGCTGAGGTCGCAAGCCACTCGTGAGGAGACGAGTATTGCAATATTCGAGTCTGCCGTTCGACGGCCGGAAGGAGAGATCATGAGAGCGAGACGAGGCGAGGGATGAAGCAGGACGAGGTATAAAAGAGCAGACGATTGCCCTTCCATCCTGAAGTCTTTCAACCCATCAGCCAGAGACATCACTTCAATCGTTGAAGACCTTCACTCAAGTCAAACCTTCTCATCAGATCAAACCACCCATCAAGATGCATTACGCCAAGTACCTCACCGTTATCGCGGTCCTCGCGACCAGCGTCATCGCTGCACCAGCTGCGGAGCCAGAGGCCAACAAGGGCAATGGCAATGGCGGCGACAAAGGTGGCAAGGGTGGCAAGAAGGGCAACGGAGGAAACAAGCAGACCAACGGCTGCGGCCAGAACAACAGGGGCTTCTGCTGCGACACCGACTCCTTTGGAAAATATGTCACCTGCAAGCTCACAGGTTCGTCTTCCTCGTGGTGTGTCTCAGCATGAATCAACCATACTCACGACGTGGTGTCTAGATTCCGACTGCAGCAACACTCAGACTCAGGTCTGCTGCAATGCCAACAACGTAAGTCTCAATGCACCTCATCGCTGATAGAGATACTAACACGTGCTCAGAGCATCCAAGTCTGCCTTGGCAACGTTCCGATCATCTTGTAAGATGGTCAAGCACAATTCAAAGGGCTGATCTTCGGCCGTGTGTTGGGTGTAATGGAAGGAAGGACTTAGTAGGAGCAGCTGTGACAAGGCAATGCTTTCGAAAGCGTCGGTAGTTTAGGACACTCCTTGACTGTGATGTGCTTTGCAACCAAAAACCTCTTGCGCAGACCTCCGCTATTCATTATCATGATCATCGTCCTTCACTGCATCGGCTTCATTGACCTTCGTGGGAGTCAACAACTACGTATTGATCTCGGGAAACACCGAGCTCATCAAGGCTCACGTCTTCAATATATTGCCAGCAACACGAATGGCCCTCGAGGTTCTCCCAACCCAGTCTTCTGCAAGAGTAAAGTTACCAGCCTCGACTGACTCAGTGATACCTGGGAATGTCACTGGCGCATATCCTACAGACTGTCAGTTCCGTCATGTACCACAACAAAGCACGCAAAACTTACCGGTATCCAACCCCGGCGCAAACACGACATGCTGGTAGAACTCCCTATTGGGCAGCCCACCCTGGCTCGTAAAACCTCTCTGGAAGTCACGATACTTGTCGTTCACAACCTTTGTCAAGTCAGCATCACCACTGCTCATCGCCTGCTGCACCAGCGCTTGAGCCTGCTCCGCTTGCGAGCGGAAGGTATCGATCGCATCACGCAACTCGCTCGTATCGACATCTTGCGAAGCATTGCCAATGACATCGCGGAGGTCCTGGTAATAGAGGTCCATTTGCGTGGCGTAGTTGAGCGGATGGAGCGGGACGAACTCTTCGCTTATAAGGTGGTAGGCCACAAGTCCGAGGTACTGGCCCATGTTCTTGTGTGTGAGGAAGCCTGGGTCGCCGAAGTTGGCCATCCAGTGGTAGCTATCATAGTTTGAATGGTAGTGGTAGATCGGGTCACCAGCATCGACGTCGCCGTCGGAGCCCATGTCCATCTGTAATCACAATCAGGTCAGCGGAGAGCCTGGACTAAGAGGAGAGCAGGTGACTTACGGATGCCATTCCTTTGTGCAGAAAGGCGGTGCTAAAGCACAGATGGGTAAAAGGGTCAGCAAGTGTCTCTAAACTGCGAATAGCGGGCATAGGGTCTCAGAGCGCGGCAGGGTGGTTCGATCGTGTCTCGGAGAACCCTTCTACCGATCAGTACTTACTAGTCGCTACCACTGCCTAGCACTCCGACTTCGCCTTCAGTATCTTCGAGCCAGACATCGTACCTACTGGACATTAGCCATAGATCAATAGACCATGACCGCGAGGAGAACGTACATCGTCCTGTTCCCTCGCAGGCTCTCCCACATGACCTTATGCATTTGCTCCACAGCCACCTGATGGAGCTCTGGTGTGGCAGAGATACTCGGATGCGGCCCGCTGGCGCCGACATCGATGTTCAGGTATGTCATTGCCGTCCCGGTCAACCAGGGGATGTATTGCTCCACCCACTCGGTGCTGCCAACGAGACCATACTCCTCTCCATCCCATGAGCAGAGGACGATGTTTCGCTTTGGTTGCCAGCCATTCTGCATCAGTCTTCCCATTACTTTGCCCAGCTCCACGATGATAGCAGTGCCGCTGTTAGGATCGGCAGCTCCTCCGACAATCCAGGCGTCGCGGTGGTTACCAATCACAATCGTTTCGTCAGCATTCGTTCCGTTGATTACGCCAATGGCATTCCAGAGATCAGTGTAAGTATCTCGCATGTAGTTGCTCATGTCAATGGTGGCGTCGCTTGGGCCAGTGGAGTAAGAAGCGTTCAACGCTCCAACCCAATTCTCCCTGCCGACCTGTTTGCCAGGTGTGCCGAAGCCGTCCATAGCTTGCAAGATTGGCTGGGCATCTTGGTACGAGAGGGGAATAGAAGGAATTTGCGGCACTACAGAAGATCGATCCGCACGGACTGGGTTGTCGATTGAGGGATAGCCTGGTGTCGTTGGGTCGCCAGGGTAGGTTGACAAGAACTGCACGCTGCCTCGCTGAACGCTGGTAGGGTTCCTGGCAGGGCCGTCGGGATAAGCAGCGTAGCCATTTGCCACAGTTATGTTGCCGTCGTCATCAGGGTCGGTGAAGATGATACAACCGAGCATGCCGTGGGCTTGCGAGTTCTTGACCTTGAGCCCTCGGAAGGGACCTCCGTAGCGAGCAATGGCGATATTGCCTTCGAGTGGAACTCCTAGGTCGACTGGAGAAGAAGTTAGCAGCAAGCCCCTAACAAAGAAAGGGAACTCGTACTCAATCTCTGGAAATCATCCTGTTGTCCCAAACCGACATACACGAGCTTTCCACTTGCAGCACCGCTGGCGGAGTAGCCATGGAAAGTAGGTGTACGATTCGGATATCCGGTTGTAGGATCCTCTGGCAGTACGTCTTCCTCCAACGAAGGTCTGTAGACGCTGCCGTTGCCGTAAGTCATGACCATCGACTTGTTGATCGGGTAGTCGAGAAACACGTTGTAGGTGTCAAGTCTGGTATTGAAGCCTGCCTCGCTCCAGCGATCAGCTGTCCACTGGGCCTGGCTTCTGTTTGTGCCCGCCAAGTGAAGGCCATGAGTGTAGTAGTAGGACCAGTCATCAATGCTATTAGCGTCGAATGAGCTGATGATCAACGATTCATCCGCCGACAATGGTGCTCGCGGCGTGAGAGTACGTTTAGCTTTTCCATCATGGTGGTTGAAAGTCCGTTTCCGCTGGCAAGCTTCCAGGCCTGTAGCCAACAGTCCCGCGATCAACAAAGACTTCACCATTGTATCGTTGTTGCGGACTCTGCGAGAAAACTGTTTTCAAGCACGAGATGTTGTCAAGCCCTTCAACTTGTGTACCTGCAGGAAAAGAGGTAGCACAACGTTGAGAAATGTACGACAACTTGGAAGGGCGGAACGTTGCAGTGCAGCCTTCCACTACGTCGGCCTTGTCAATCGTTGTGTCCCGCATTGGAATTTATCTCTCGATGTCATAACTTGCATGTGTATGCGGAGAAGAGCTTGTCCACCTGCTGTTCCTGGCGAGGTCTGGCTGGGCGCCGAGACATTTCGGCCCTCGATGGTCAACAATCGCCGTGGGATCGAAGTAGAATGGCCGAATATTGGAAGATCCGAGGAATGAAATGTAGGTCGGGCATAGCGCAAGGAAATGGAAAAAGGCCATGTTCGAAAAGCAGCTTACCAAAGCGTTGCAATGTCAGTATTTCTGTGCAACAATGCCGTCAAACTTTGCGACACGCCTCCATTGAAGCCGCATTTGTGTGTTCATAAAAGACCGTGATCTCTGCAATCTCAACTGTCGTGGACTTCGTATGTCGTCCTGTCGTCCTATCGTCCGCTTTTGGGCGTTGATGAGAGACTTGGTCGTGCTGCTCCATTCCCGTCCGCCTGAGTATCACAATCTCTAGGCTTCTTCGAGTCGAAACGAAGTGTCTTCCAGTATGCGTCAACAATAATCGAGACACCGCGGGAGCCGGTGCAAGGCCGCTGGGGACGCGAACCGCTCACTCTTCAATGGGCATTATACGCAAAAGTGATCGTGGTCCATCGTCTTCAACGCTTCTGGTCTGACTTAACCGCGGCGCGGACCGTGGGCCCTTACTTCCTCTTCACAGCGGTGGCCGCTTTTCACACTGCTGTTAACTATCAGCAGCATGTATTGACAAATCCTGCCTTGTCCGGGACACACTCCTCGCATGTCTGAGGACTATGGGGGATCCCGTTGCAACGGCCATTGTTAGACCAGAGACAGCAAAAGGCCTAGCGTCTGCAGACCGTCGAAAGTGCTCTGAGCTGAAAGTCCATCCAGCCTGGTCACTGGTCCTAAAGAGATGATGAAGGGAGAAAAATTGGCCCCTGAGCTGTATTCACTTCGACCGAATTGGGAAGGTCCGAGCGCTTCTTGTTTTTGCCAGCGACATTCGCACGGCTTCAATCCGCATTGCATTTCGCTGGACAAATATAATGACGTCCACAGACTGGTCAAAGTCATTGGAAGAGTTGGTGAGAAGATGCGACTGTTGGGATTGCTGCACGAACGCGCCAGCGTGCGAGCGCAGCCAGCTGACCTGACGAGCCTGATCACACGCGCGCCCTGCGCCTCCCGTGTCTTCATATTGGCGGCCTGCCGGCTACATCTCTTCTCCCCGTGGGGATGAATTTACATAGTAAGCCGCATCTCGTGTTTTCTGATCCACCACAGTAAGTTTTCCTCTTACGTTCCCGAGCCATTGTCCCGTCGTACTTTGTCCCACAAAAACTTGAAAATGGCGGCTCCAATCCCGACTCAGCCCATGCCGGACGAGACCACGACCATTCAAGTAGGAGACCTTGGGATCTTCTCGATGCGAGCGGTGTATGATGCACTGGCCAGTAGTCTCCAGGTGCCGCAAAGACACACGACTCTTGGACATGTCGAGCGTCAGGAAAACAATACATGGGCTCTGGCACCGCCGGCACGATGCGACAAGCCAGGCTTCACAATGCAGCAAGAAAGCAAAGCAGACGACAGCGATTGCTCCTGGACGGGCGAAGAAGACTCCGGCGACTTCTACGTCCGTATGCGGCGCCAGCTGGACGACTTCATCCTCTCCCCGGACCAGACCACCCTCACCACCGATTCCCTCTCCCGCCACGAGCGCCGCTTCGTTCACGCTTCTGCCCAGGTAATGCACCTCGGACACGCCAGCCTTGGACCACCTCGAAGCCGCAATCGCAGCATGGTGATCTACAAGACCACACAGCCCACCATACCATTTGTTCTGCAGGCGACTGAGAGAGAGCATCCTCGCACCATCTCTTGGGCACCGGACATCGATGTCGACACCCAATCCTTAGCTTCTGCGAGCACCAACCGCAAGCGCCCTCGTCTAGAGAAAGTGACCGGCGGCTACCCTTGCCAGTACTGTCCAAAACTCTTCGACCGTGCCAGCGAACGCAACAAGCACGCCCAAGCCCACCAGCCGAGCTACACCAACCGCCACATCTGCCCTCTGTGTCAGAAAGGCTTCCGCTATCCCAAGGATCTCCGACGACACACCACTCGCGTGCACGAGAACAGCGCGACAAGCCGGCCGATCTTCGATCCCACCTACGCTTCGTTTGGGAGCATGACGCTGAGTTCGACCTTGACGTACGAGAGTCGCATACCGAGCGAGACGAGCTTGACGTTCAATTCGCAGCCGACGAGTAAGAACTGCAGTCCGAGTCTGTTGGGCCAGAAGGGGGATGTAGATGCGGTGGAGCCGTTGTGTTTGGACATGGGAGATGGGATGGGTTTGGGAGGGGAGTTTGGGCTGCCGTTCCAGGAGCTGGCGGATTTCGATTTTGATGGGCATGATTTTGGGGAGGAGGACGGGTTGGAGATGATGAAGGTGAGGAAGTAGGTCCCTGTGGTTGGAAGAGCTTGCTGGGCGGGGGAGGGTGAAGGTAGACGATCGGTTCAATGGTGCATGGGATGGGATGCTGTTGAATTATAGCGAAAATGCAATGCAGTGGCTGCATCTTCCGCGAAGGCAGATCGGTGCTGTGGATAAGAGATGCAACGTCAAACATACATACACCACTTTTCAATCCATCTGAGCCTCGCTCCCAACTCCACCCTCAAACTCGGATCGCACGTATGCTTGCTCGCTTAACAGTGCACCATCAATGATGTTGCACATCAGAAAAAAAGTACCATATGCTCTGTATCGCTCCGCATGCTCGAACCCATTCCCGATCTCCTTTCCACCCAATGCGACTTCCGGAATCGCCACGACAGCTGAAATGAATGCTGGAGAAGCCACCACTCCAGCCGCTCCCACTCCAAGCAATAGTCGCTATTCCGGATGGTAGATCAAAGCGCCGCCACGTCCATAGCAGTGAAACCACATATCCGGACCCGTGTCATCGTCGTTTGCAATTGTCCTTGCCCGATTGATAATCTCTTCCAACGTCCGCGCATTACTGACGCGGACGGTCCGTGTCCCGCTCTTCCACTGAGTCACGTTTCGAGACAGCTTCTGCCTTGTCGTGTTCTGGAGCTCTTCGATGATGGTCAAAATGTTTTCCCACTGTAGTTGCGCCCGATTCTGCACCTCGCGAAAGCGCTTGATCCTTTGCCGAGCCTTGGCTTTGTAGGCGCTACTGGTGTAAAGTTCTGGCGCCTGTATCACACCCTCGAGATCGTAGTAGATAGTCCTCCTCAGCCAGGGCATCTTCCCGGGTCGGTCGTGGAAACGAGGTATTTTGTCCATGAGGATGGTCGACAGGCGGCCGACGCACAACTTGATGGACAAAGTCTGGAAAGGGAGGATGGCCAAGCTGATTCTGTAGATGACGGGCCACACGGCATACCAATGGTCAACCATGTGCTGATCGCTCGGCCGAGGGACCCTAAGGACAATCTGAGACGTATTTAGCAAGCATTCGCATGAAGGCCGTGAAGGGTGCTATACCTTCTCGAAGCGGTGCAAATACTCCTGGGGCGTTGCGCATATCTGATCGTAAGAAGCACCGTTCAAGAGGAAATGGTCGTATGGGACCAGGCCTTGACGGTTGTTGGATCTGGAGATGTTCAGGCCCAATGTTGCGCCTGCGAACATGTATTTTGTTGCTTCGTTGCGGATGTGATGGCAAGTCTGGAGCAATCCAGCGGAGTGTTTGACGGGTTGCCACGAACTTTTCGCCCAGACTACGTGGTCCAAAAAGCAGTACTGGTAGATGAGCAGCTGAATCTCCAGAGGAAGATCCAGGAGCCCCAGCCGGACATGAACATAAACATGAATATAAGGTGGCATTGATGGTAGAATCCATTCGGTGCCGACAAATTGAATCCCTGGTTGGTGAGCATAAGGTGGCATCGATGGCAGGATCCAGTCGGTCGAAGACGACTGATCCACAGAGCTGGCCATTCCGGACGCTGAATTGTAGCTTGAGTGGGCTTGGAGTTTGTGAGGGTGTGCGGTGCTTGTACACCAGAGAGGTATCCGGTCAAAGTGGTTCTGGCATTGCGAGCGGTTTGTGAATGAGGAGCGGAGAAGGGTCGAAGTGATGGAAACAACTGAAAGAAATGACACTGATGTACACGAAGCAGTCGCCAGGGATGTCCACGTTTAATGAGGAAAGCTCAACGATGTGAAAGACCTGGGCGTCGAGCACTCACTGCCTGACATGTTGCCTCTCGTCCGAGGCACTTGCCTTTGATCTGAAGGAGCGGCATTCCACGAATTTTGTGTGTCTGCTGTGTCGCGGATCTGGGGACAACGGAGCATGCATGTGGGTGTCCTACCAACAGAAGGATGTAGTCGAAACGGCTTCTTATGTTTGCGCTTTCTCCGAAGGGACTTGCACAGACGATGAGTGTGCTGAGGGGCTTTGCTCGTATTCGTGTGCGGGAGAGCCATGCACAAGTACTTCGACTGTTACCTGTCTTCCGTGAGCTGATGGTCTGCTATCCGACATCACTACTGTGTATTCTCGTCGCTTGGGTCTTGGAGAAATGTTCGTGGGAATGGGAAGGAGTCCACGTTCTCCAAGAAACGATCGCCTGCCGGGAGGGTTGACGATATGTTTTGCTCACGTCTCGATATCGGAGAAGCCTTACATGACTCGTGGCGGGTATTTCCGCAGAGCCGCATTGCCCCTCGCCATAAGACAACAAACAGCTCGCGTGAGCTTCCATCTGATCGACACGTACTTGCATACAGTTGAACGCGACAGTCAGAAGCAAAAAAAGCCATCAATCAACTGTGAGATACTTTAATGAATCCTGACTTCCATCGTCCATCGTTATGGAGCGCCGCAAAACGCAAGACGCGAGCAAGCTAACATCCACGTCCATCAGATCAAGTACAAATAAACCAACAGCACCACCACCACCGCCAGCCCCCTCCCGCCCTCTCCAAAAGAGAGAAGAGATGGATCGCACCACGACCATCGGCAAGCCGCCAGTTCGCCGCGTGGAGAACAAGCGCCCGGCCAGCACCACCACCACCTCCACCTCCTCCTCGCGCAAGACTCCAATGAGTACAGCCAAAGCGCGCCCATCGCCCACCTCCACAACCAAGACCACCACTAAGCGCACCACCACTGCAGCAAGCGCCGGTCGACCAGCATCGCGCGACACCATCACAGAAGAGCCAGAGCTTCAGCCAGCAGCAGACATCGCCTCGCTCACGAAGACTCATTCAGACACCGACGAGCAACAGCGCAAGTCGCCATCAGCGCTCGACATCGTGGAGACGAGAATCCAAGCCGTTGAGAAGGCGTTGGCAGAGAGCAAGTCACGTGCATCCATGAACGAAGAAGAACTACAGAAAACCATCGAAGAGAAGGACCAAGACCGCGAACAACTCGCCAGAGTCGTCGAAGATCTCAAGCAAGAGATTGATCGCTGCCAAACCAAACTCGACGCAGACGTTGCGAAACGAGCACAGGAGAAGAGGGAGGCCATTGAAGCTACGGAACAGTTAAGAAAGGAGCTCGAAGAAGAGCGAGAGACACACAAGAAGGTCATCGACGAGCTGAGAGCCGAAAACGACCGCTACAAAGCCGAGCGCGAAGCAGACACCGAAGAGCGCGCGCAAGAGAAGCAACAAGCAATTGAAGTTGCCGAGCGACTTGAAATGCAGCTTGAGGACCAGCGGGAGGCACACAAGAAGATGATGGACCAGCTGAGGGCGGAGAATAGATACTTGAAAGAGGAGCGCGAAGCAGATACCGCAAAGCACGTACAGGAGATGAAGGAGGCAACCCAGGACACCGAGCGCCTTAAGCAGGAACTCGACAATGAGCGGGAGGCGCACATCAAGGCTATTGAGAACCTTAAGGTAAGTCGCGCCGACACGTCTTCTCCGCGGCAGTATCAGGTGCTATGGAGTGCTTTGACATGTTTTCACTTCGATCGCTTTTTCGAGACGTTTACTAATATTTCGATCCTTTAGGAGGATTTCGCGGTCATAGAGAAGGCGCATGATGAAGGCGCGGGGGCCGTTGAGAGCCTGAAGGTGAGTTGAAGCGTTCTCCGAGACAGCATCAAGTGCTATGAAGTGCTTCGTTGTGTTATTTGCCTGTAGCGATTTCGGGGACGTTGGCTAACATTTTCATGTAGACAAAAATCTCCGAGCTCGAGACCGAGCGAAATGAGCAGATCAGTCGCATTGGTGGCCTGGAGAAGGCCATCGAGCAGGAGAAGAGCGACTACACCGACTCGCGCCTGCAGTTCAAGGAAGAGCGCAAGCTGAAGGCTGAAGAACTGGAACACATGCAAAACCAGATCCAAATCTGGCAAGAGAAGTCCATGTACAACTTCAGGTGCAAGGCGGTGATTGTAAGTTCTCCGAGACACGATCGCCCTCTATCCGACGCTCTGGGATGTTCTGCACATCGTTTGTAACGCGGAGACACTTGCTGACCTATCTGCTCTCTAGGAAGCAAACCTGCAGCTCAAGATCCAGGAGCTTGAAGAGGTCGTCGAAGAGGCACGCAACGAAGTCATGGATGCCCGCACCGAGGCCGAAGAAGCTCGCACACAGACTGGGATCGCCCGCACCGAAGCTGCAGAGGCTTCCGTGGAATCCGACCGTATCATTAAGAATGGTCAAGACGAGATTCAAGAGGCTCGACGGGACGCTCGATGGCAGATATACCTCGCCGAGAACAGCCAGCAAGAGGCTGAGAACTATGCGGAGCAGCTGAGGGGAGAGATGATGGATATGGCAATGGACTACGATGAGCTTAAGGAGGCTCGTGGTGCGTTGGAAGAGGAGCTTAGCGGGTGCAAGAAGACGATGGAACAGGATAAGGTCTACATCAACGATCTTCGTGACGAAAAGTGGGCTGCTGAGAGAGCAAAGGAAGAGGCTGAGAAGAAGACGGCTGAATTGACGACGGAGTTTGAGACGACCAAGGAGAAGATGGAGGATCTGACGATGGATTACGATGAGCTTAAGGAGGCTCATGGAGCGTTGGAAGAGGAGCTCAACGGTTGCAAGAAGACAATGACACAGGATAAGGTCTACATCAACGATCTTCGAGAGGAAAAGTGGGCTGCTGAACGAGCGAAGGAGGAGGCAGAGAAGAGATTGGCTGGGCTGATAACGGACTATGCGACGGCGAAGGTGAAGTTGGAGGATCTGACAATGGATTGCGATGAGCTTAAGGAGTCTCGTGTTGCATTGGAAGAGGAGCTCAGTGGTTGCAAGACAGCGATGGAGCATGACAAGGACGAACGATGGGCTGCGGAGAGAGCGAAGGACGAGGCTGAGAAGAGGTTGGCTGAGCTGGAGCGCCGCTTCTCCGAGACGCCATCAGCCCACGAGAGCGACCACATGAGCATATCACCCACGCCCGCTTATCCGAGAGGCGGCAAACGCGCCGGCGCCGAGCGCTCCTCACCACAGAGCATCGTCAAGCTCTCCACCGCAGCAACAGACCACTACGCGGCTCCCAGGGTCAGGCCGCCCACTACGCCGCTCGGAGAAGCGCGCCAGGACAGCGGCCTCACGCTCGAAGGTACTATCGCGAGCCTCCAGGTCCAAGCCGCGCAGCTTCTCGAAGCGCAAGATGACATCCAGGCGGAGAACGAGCGGTTCAAGAGACGAATGGCTTCGGCGAGAAAGCCTCGCAGCAGACATTAGTATGGTTATGGCAGCGGCGGCGTTGGAACGATTTTTGGGTTGAGATGGATGAAGGAGGGCGTTTGATTTTGCGGACTACGATGTCCTATGATACCCCCTTTTGCTTTGGAATGCGGGAGCTTTGTTTTTTGGGGGTTGGGAATGAGCATGGGATGATGGGATGATGGGACGATGGGATGATGGCGTTTTGTTTTCTCTGTACCTACAACGACATACCTACCAGGCACCCCTTACTCAAACCGCTGGCTTGAGCTTCCTGGCCGCCCTCACGGGCTAGCCGGTTGCAACATTAGCCGCGGGGAGGATTCGGGGTGGCCTTCTTGTACGAAATGGAAGCTGTTCAAACCACTCTGACCTTCCCTTTCATGACCTCCACACTCCTTAGGTTCCATCGGCTTTTTTGGGCGAAACGCTCTGCGATTGATGACGGTGTCTTGGTCGTCCCGCTGTCGAAGGTATGCTGGAGGTAGTTGCGTACGAGGCGGGACAGCGTGGCGAGGCCGACAAAATGCCCTTCGACCCAGAGGACTACAAGTCTTCGGACATGGAGCTCGACGAGCCACCACCACCTCCATGACTGAGCAATCCGCCGGTCCAGCTCCTATTCACCGCATGGTCGCCGACGCTGAGAACCTCCGTGACAGCCCCAGGCAGACAATCCGCAACCTTCAGTTCGGCGGCACCAGTACCTCATGCAGTACGGAGAAGCGTTGTAGTACAACCGCTTCACCAAGTACCGCCCCGACATCCTTGGCCAGACGGCCGACCAACCCTTCACTCAGGTTGCATGTGATACCCCTGCTCCACAATTGGAAGTTTGTTGAGGCCAGTATACCGACTGTTCTATGCTTTTAATCTTATCCCGACCTTCGAGGAGCGCCGTCGAGGAGCGCCGAACAATTGCAGGTGCGCTGGCTTAGCACCCTCAATCCCGTTACGCCCGATGGCCACGAACTCCTCGTCTTCAGACTCTTCACTTTCCCTGTCGGCGAGACCGCGCTCCATCGTGAAGGCATGTGCCCATTCCACCAGGCTGAAGAGTGTCAGACTAGACCGGTCTATGCCGAGCTGGACTTCGATGTTCTGAAGGTTACTGAAGTACGGGAAGTTGCGAATGCTATACAACAGCTTCGGTGATGGGTGGCGTCCCGTGCTAGCCATGTCGAGGACGATCTGGAGCGGTATGACGCCTTCGAGTATCTCGGAGAACTCTTTGCTCATCTGCTTGTCGACGAGGCGGGCGCCTAAAATCGTAGTCGACCTTGGAGTCTTATCCGTCTTCTGCTCTACGCTGTTATATAATCCGTAGAAGCGATAGACCACTCTGGCTTCGGCATATTCGGCCACTATGCCGTATACTTCATTCCGAAGCTTACTAGCGATCGCGAAGAACGAAAACACGGGCTGGAGGCCGTCGTCTGATGCTCAGCAGTAGACTCTTTCGTGGTGGCCAGTGTGACCTCGTGCCATCAAACTTGCCGTTCTCTCGAATCGAACTGGTTCCTGCAGACACTAGATTAGTACCAGAACCTTTTCGCACCTCTGCTAGTCATCGAGAAGAGCACAAAAGTGTACAAGGATCGAATCAACCATGTGCTCACACATCAGACTCCTGAAAGCTTTTCTTTCTCCTGCTAGCCTTTGAGGAACTCGACATGGGCCCAGGGACCTGACGTTCTCTGCTCGCACATACGGATGCTTCTTCCTAGGGAGCCGTGGCGAAGACAAGCCGCAACAGCAGGTACGGCGAAGGTATTTTTGTACAAGAAGAGCAGACACAGCATTTCCGCGTATGTACATGCCATCAATCCATCTTCCACCGCTCTCCAACATCCAATACCCAACTCCAAAGCTAGTCCAACGCCCCCAATATCAAACATCGTGCAGTCGTGACTGATCCAACTTCTCCCCTCCCTCACGTCGTCGCTGTCGTCGCTCTGTGGTATATCATCTTCCTCCCTCCAATCGTCCGTGGCGTCGCATCGTCGTTCAGCGGTCGTCGTACCCTCACATTATCGTGCAAGGAATGATGCAGCATTGGCAGTCGTCGCCACACCAGCAGGGCAGCTTGACAGGTGGTTTCGCGACTGGGCCTTTCGTTATCGATGGTGCTGAAGAGCCCGAGGATGTCGCGGAGGTGGTTGAGGGAGGCATTGTGAGTGTTGTGTCGGTGGCCGATTCGAGCGTGCGCAGTGTTGGTTTTTCGACAGTCGTGCGTCGTAGAATGTTTGTTCGTGAGGTCGTAGATGCTTCGTAATTGTGCTGTCTGCAGGATGGAAGCCGGATTCAAGAGATGTCGTCCAGGTTTCTATTCTAGTCAAAGCTTGAAGGCGCTTGCTGCGCTGCCCGGCTGCGTCACCTCGCCACTTTCCGCGGCGTTCTTGTATCGCCAAGGCAGATGTATTCATTCTTTTTCTTGTACCTACTCTTCCACCGTCTGATGGTACTGGACTACTCCAATGCGTGACCAGATGAAAAGATGAATCGTAGCGCCCTTCGACATGCGACCGAAGACGCGAAAGCTGCTGCGTCATCCTGCCTTCCCGAGTTTCACATGCCAAGGCAGGTGCATTCAATGGCGGTTCCTGTTCATTGCAGTATATAGCAAGCATAGCCTTCTCGAATCGATCGAAACCATTCACTCTTCCACTCCCATCTACTATCAATCTTTCCAAAATCAAACAGCCGATAGTAAGAAGTTTCAACATATATTCACATGCTCACAAGCTAACCTCAAAGCAGAAGGCGCTTTCTTGCCTCTACTCTAAAGACCACAACCTCATTCAAGACAACCTAGTGAGCGTCCGAGCACAGCTTCCTCACAAGCTCCACAGCCATACTAACCCCCTCCTCAGGCCAATATGAGTCAGCACAACCACCAGCAACCAGCAACTGCCCCAGCAGTTGAGCCCGTCATCAAGAAGCCAGGCCCGCGACCATGCATCGACATCCCCTGTGGACCTAACTGGTAAGCACGCCCATGACTTGGGGTACTAAGAGAAGAAACGCTGATGTGGAGGTAGCGACTGCGAGATCTGCTGTATCCCGTGCACGATCATGTGAAAGTTCATTGGGGATGGGTGGAATGAGAGAGCTACCTTGGCTGGGAGTGGAGTCATGACCTGAGCCTGGAATCGAAAGGAGTTTCATGAGGGCTCCGAGGCGCCATCGTGGCACTTCATTCGTCATATCCTTAGCAGTAGTGCCGGTGCCACTGCTGTCCGGCCAAGATAAGGTTTCCGTGACCTCTGCATGTCCGTGTACGGCCTCTTGCTCCAAAGCGCCATCGCTTAGTGTACAAATCCAAAACCAGACCACTCAATCAATGGTCATATTCATCAACCCGTCATTCGTGTCATTCATCCCCTGCAGTCCCAACTTCTTGCCCGTTCCCGCCACGCCACCAGGCAACGAGACACTACTCCCGCCACTCCCATGCCTACTGCTCTGCTGCGAAGGCATCATAGTATTCGAAGGCTCCTTCTCCTTCCGCTCCGGCGGCATGCCCCACGCCATCCCACCATCCTTCTGCGACGGCGAATGCGTCTGCAGCACAGGCGAGTTCTGTGCGCTCATTCCTGGTGATACGGCGCGGCGTTTGATGGTGGCGATGTCGAAGTCATCTTCACGACGGCGCTTGAACTTCTTGATGTGCATGTCGTCGTTGACGCCGGCTGCTTGCATGCCAGAGCTGTTTGGTACCAAAGCTTCTGAGGCATCGGAGGCTGACGAGCGGGCGCGTGGGCGGCGCCAGAGGGGCGTATTGGTGTTGTTGGGTTCGCTGTCCATGTTGATGTCGGACATGGTGCTGCTGCCGGCGCGGGTGAAGGAGACTGGTGGAGGTGGAGTACGTTGCAGGGAGGGGTCGAAGCGGTTCCAGTATTTGAGGCCACCAGAGTTGCGATTGGCGTGGGTGGCGAAGTTCATACCCAGGCCTTTCGCGTTGCCGGAGCTGGCGCTGTTGTCGCCATCCAGATTGTTCTCGAAGTCTTCTTGAATGGCTTCAGGTACGGCTGGAAGCAACGAAGGCGAAGACTGAGCGGTAGCGGTTTGGCGGCCGTCGTAATTGAGGTCGAGATCATCGATGCTGCCGTCTCGTTCGCGCACTTGACGAATAGTCTCAGCTTCGCGGCGGACCTCTGTATCCACTGGCGCAGCCTCCTCCAGTAAAGCAGCACGGATGCGGGCGAAGCCTTTCGTCTTCGGCAGGAGGTTCCCACGCCTGGTGACCGCTCTCCTGACGACTGCTGGCGTCGATGGTGCAGTCCCAGACGCCTCGTCGCCGCTATCGTTCCCACTCGAGATATTGAGCCCGTCGGTACCCAAAGCCAAGCTCTCCCGTCTACTCCTAGCAGCTGTCGCATAATTGAAGTAGCCTCCGTTCGCAGCTGACTCAATACTTCGCATAGGCGGTGGAGATGTCGTCCGTGGTGATGCCAGAGAAGAGTATCCGCTCCCACTCGCGCTCGCGCTGGAGCTCTTCCTCCCCCTCTTGCCATTCTTCGGCAGCCTCGACTTCCGTATCGTCCTCATCAGCGACGCCTGCGCAGGCGAGAATGGATGACTGCCACCACCCCACATCTGTCCCGCGCCCGGTGTCGCCGACCCAGCGAAAGGCGTCGGCGCGTTGGGGTTCTGCAGCTTGTGCACCTGCGGTGTGGTGAATATGGGGTCGTCTTGGTCATCCCCACCCATGCTCGCATCGTCATCACTCCCACTACTCTCACTGTCGCTAGCCAGCATGTTCACGCTTCCCACCGAACTGCTCACAGCACTTCGTTCAGGGACCTGTGAGCCCCACGGCATGCTCCCCATCCCGTTAACATTCGGCGAATCCAGCATCATGCTGCTCATGCTGCCTTTCCTCCCGTTCACACCTTGATTGCTGCCTGGTATCATCATCCCCCTCTGCAAAATCACTGGACTCGAATCAGGTGAGCTCTGCTCCGCGAGTGTCGAGTGATGCAGATTGGTGCAAGCTCGAGAGAAATCCAATCCACGTGAATGTCGGGGCAGAGATGTCGCCGGTGAAGCGGAGAGACTGGCATTTGCGCTAGGTGACTCCGACTGCTGCTGTTGCATGTACACGCTATCTCGATTCAATTGCGGCGAGAGTGGTACATCCGCAGGTCTGGGGAAGTGCGAGGGGGAGGGCATTGAGCCCGAGGAGAAGGTACTGCCGCCTGGGGGCATCTGCAGCGACAGTCCGCGCGACAGGAAGTCCGGGCGCCGCGAAGGGCGGGAGGCTTTCGGGGTTGTGGGAGGGAGGGCATGGTCGTCTTTGCTATGCTGCTGGGACGGGCCTCGCTTCTCCAGGAAGGTCGGGGAGGGTGCTAAAGTTGAAGGTGCGCCGGATGGGGTGGCTGCGGTGGGTGGATCGGAGAAGGAGCGCGTCTTAGAGGGCGTCTTGTTGGGATCAGAGGAGGGCAGAGGGAAGGATGCTGTTGTCGCGGACATCGTGAGGTCGTACAGTGGTGGTGGTCGATCGCGTTGGGAGGGGCGTATCTGTGCGTGGACGTATTGTCAAGGGACGCGGCAGTCTCGATGCACTGTCCAGCAGTGTACGCCGCTTATCATCGTGTACAATTGCTATTGTGGTGTTACATATGGAATGCTTGTAAGTCGTCCGTGATACGGACGATGCTCGAGCTTCCTGCTGCCCCTCCACGTGAAGGTCACAGCCAATGGGGAACATGTTGAACAGAGCTTCTTTAGCTATCGTCTTCATATAGATATACAGATATGTACTTGAACGCCAGCTGATATTCAGCATTCAGCAGTCTTTCATGCAGGTATATGGCGAGCAACCAGAGCAACATCAAAGACAGCTAAATGGTCAGCAGCAGATTGAGACAGCTTCACAGTGCCAAGCAAGCCTCGTCTCCCTTCCAAGCACCTCGTCTCATATCTCATCCCTTCAGTCCCTCGGGAACTCGTAGACCTTCGCAAAGATCTCTCCAGCAAGCTCAACATCGTCCCAGCCGGCCTCCCAAAAGCTGAGTATCTCAAGCCTCCACTTCGTCTCGACCCTCTTCATTCTCGCCACGACTCTGCACATCACACCACCCTTCTTCTTCGCAGCCTGAAGGAAAGATTGGCCATCTATATCCCATAGCTGACTCTGGCCCCAAAGCTCGTACGTCCCCTCGAGATGGGGTGGCCTGTCGTGATACAAGTCTTTGAACATGAAGTGTTGCTTCCTCGACGGGACCGGCTCACGCCAGGATGCCGTGACACGAGCGTAGAGCTCGAGTATGACGCTTCTGTTCGATCGCACAGCCTGACAGCCCTCCTTCAGCGCTTCACCAATGCGAAAGCAGGTGCGGAGTGTTGTTGTGTTCGTCGCGCCCCAGATAGGTGAGCGGTCGAGGACTGGATTTGGGAAAGGAAGGCGAACCATTGGCTTTGGTCCTTGTTGCAGTGCTGAGGATCTGAGCTTTGCTGTTCACAATTAGCGAATGCTTTGTCAAAAACAATAGCTGCTGAGTCTTGTGTGGTCTTACTGAGGACTTCTCGTTCGCCATCAGACAGCAACCCGCCGTCGTAATCTTCGTTGTGATCGACTTCGCGCATGTTGAACCTTCTCTCGCGAGTAGGGGGAGTGGGAGAGCGTGGAGGTGCTGGCTCTTCGTCTGCGTGGTCAGAGGCGATCGTGCCTTCAGATTGCATCACAAGTTGATCATCCAGTGGTACAAACTCCTCATCGGCGGTCAAGATTGGAGTGCTCTCGCGGGTCTTGGCTTGCTGCTCCGCAGTCGTAGGTGCTGCTGGCGCGTCAGAAGCAAACTGAGTCGGTGTCTGCGTCTCATTGCCGTCCTTGGTGATCCTAAAAAGTGGTGTTGCCGCTTTTTCGGCTCGATCAGCCACGATCAATGCATCAGACATATCGTCGTCGTCCTCAAAGAAGGTCTCGGAGCTACAAGACGGTTGTCGTTGAGCAGCTGCTTTTGTTTGGGTTGCAGCTGTATGGAATGACGTAGCATCGCTATCGCTGTTGTTCAACTGGTCCTTGCGTTTCGGTGCAATTGGCTCTTCTTCATTCCAGACGACCTCTTCTTCCGCCGGCTTCTCCTTTCGTGGCCGTAAGACCCGCGTCGAAGCTTTGTTTACTTCTCCAGAGTGCGCAGCATCTTGCTGCTTCATCCACGGCTCCGCATAGGTGAGGCTGGCCTGAGCTTCAGCTAGGGTCTGCGTGCGTCGATAGATCGTCTTTGTACGGCCTTGTATTGATTTCAAAGCGTTGATGGAGGTCTGCTGGGTGGAATGCTGATGGCTGCTCATGGAGGTCGGAGGAGCAAAGACTGAGATTGGCAGGCCGGAGTCATGCCCTATACTCTCGTCAGGTGTTCCCGGGGGTAAATGCGTCGTCACTTCAACTTCAGATTGGACACTCGAAGAGGCAGTATCGGCTTTCATGCTCGCCTTTGTCTTTGCCTGCTTCTCCACCGGCTTCGTTACCGCCATCCTCTCTGATACATCGCTGACCTTGCGCCGCTTCCTCGTGGATGAGGTGTTGGCGGTGCCAGCTCGCTTCCTGCCTCGGCCGCTGGCCTTCTTTGCGCCTGCTCCACGAAGGGCTTGAGTGACTGGGGGATCCGAAGTATCTCCTCGACCAAGGTATTCCGCGATTGATGGCATGGTCTTGCGTTCCGAAGATCCCGCATCATCTGTGATTGCTTGCGTCTGACTGGTGCTCTGGGGACCAATGTTGCCGGCTCGTGACGCATTGATTGCTGTAAAACCCATCGTAGGTACTGGACTGGCATGTGTCAGCGGCTGTGTCTATATGGCGCAAAGGGCAGGACGAACACTGCTGCAGAGGTCAAAGAGTCGGTATTGGCTGGCTTCTGTCGCACCGCCTGCTCGTTCCACCCTGTCCAGGTGGGCATCACGGCAGTGCCACGTCGCAGAGGAGGCCTGCAAGGTTCTTCAGCTGTAGCCTTACCACGGTCGTGCCGTTGCGCAGCGTTGAACGCGTTGTAAGGTCATGGTACACGTGAGAGCTAAGACTGAAGTCGTAATAGAGTTGGGTGGTAGCCTTGCCTTCGCCTATAAGATGTCGTCTCGCCTTCTTCCAAGCAGCATACTTGACTCTCAACACCACACGCGCTCATTGCGCACGAAGCCTATCAAGAGCATATCACACCTTCTCCGGGCTAGCATCTTGCAAAGAAGCTCCGCCCGGTTGCCGTTGGCGCTTCTTACTGCAAGCTCCTGCCAGAGAGATTGACACTACTCGTGTCTTTGACCGCAACACGTTCTATCTCGGAGTCGCGACATTTCCTCGTGAAGAAGGGTATCGCCGGCCTGCAGAAGAGAAGAGGAGAGAAGCATTCACCGGCGGTCCGTCCGGCACACCTGCCTCGGCCCTGCCTCGCTGTGCGCTCTGCGATCCTTGCGCAGCTCCACCTCCACCACCACCACCACCACCACCTATATCTAAGCTATTCAAGGCAGTCTATCATACTTTATTCAGAACGATTAACCTTTGCATAAACGATCTCACGATATCAGACTTGAAGGACATCACCGCCAACATGTTCAGCAACAACCACGTAAGCGCAGCGTCGTCAAGAGACCGTCAGCCGGACGACTGGCCGGGGCTCGCCCATGAGACGTCCAACAATGTCTAGACTAACATTATCTTGACATACAGAAAAAGCCTTTCACGGCCGTTACGGTCCAGATTGAACGGATGGCGAGCGAGGCGGTCGAGGAAGACGACTCGAGCGGCATCCCGGATCTGGTAGAAGTGATACGCATTCAGTCCTCAGGCCCGACGGAAGCGGCACGAGCACTACGCAAGAAGCTGTAGGAAACTACCTTGAACTGCGGACTGATGCATCGCTAATGCTATTCCAGCAAGTATGGGAACACGCACAGACAGATCAGAGCTCTCGTGATCCTCGATGGCCTGATACAGAATGCTGGATCGCGCTTCCAACGAACTTTCGCCGACGAGCCATTGCTCGAGCGACTACGCTTGCTCCCTCGAGATGATGCGGTCGACCCACAAGTTCGAGAGAAGTGTGGAGTGCTTTTCGTGCAGTGGGCCAACGCCTACAAGAACGTCGCTGGCCTTGAACGCATCGCCAGCCTTTACAAGGACCTACCCAAAACCTCACGTCCGCAGGCTGCCCGGCAGAAAGTGCTTCAGGAGACGGAGCGCTTCGATTCGGACAGCGAGACGCCTAGACAGCAGACTCCACTAGGTCACCGCTCTCGAGCTTCGTCCAGCGCCAACAACCCTGTATCGCTCAGCTCCACTTCATCTTCTGGATTCACGTCGAAGCTATCCAAGACTAAAAAGACTGGAGCCGGCAAACCGTTCAGTCTCGCCAAGGAGAAAGACAGCATGACGACTGCGATAGCTCAAGCATCGATCGCCTCCACTAACCTGCTCAACGGTCTACAACTGATCAACCGTGAGAACGAACGAGTGTCGCAGAACGCCGAATGCGTCCGACGGTTCGAAGCCTGTAAGAACCTGCGAGGCAGGATTTTGTACTACATTCAAAACGTTGAGTCGGATGACTGGATCGGCAGTCTCGTCAATGCCAACGACGAGCTTGTTAAGGCTTTGACGGCGTACGAGATTACCGACCGTAGCATTGACGATGATAGCGATAGCGATGCGTGGGAGGAAGCAGAGCATTCAGCACCGAAGGCTCCTGGGTCTTCAGCTTCAAACACACAGCAACAGCTTGCTGGATTGAAGCTTGATGACACGCCACCTGCTAAGCCTCCACGACCTGGTAACATTGCTATGCCACCACCGCCACCACCAAGCATGCCCACGGCTTCGTCATCAAGAGACGACAATGACGGGGACGACGATCCGTTTGGAGACTCAAATGCGGCGCCCACCCCGTACCACGAGCGAGAAGGGATGACTTGGAGGGAGATCTGAGCAGCAGAATTCTCATTGCGGGCACTGCTTTTGAGCTGCACAGCATCAGTGTTCGGTGCAACATTCTTTACGACCTTCTAGAGATACCCGGTTTACATATTGCCATTACCGCTCGTGGCGTCTTTCATGTCCAGCAGCATCTCATTCCTCTGGCGATCCCACTTTGCCATTTCTTCGGCTACTCCGAACGGCCTGCGATCCTTCTCGATATCTCCTGCTTGAGCAGGTACCCGAACGCAACCCACCACCAACCCGCCCACGGCGCGATCCAGGATGCGAGGACCAACAGACCGATGATGGATTTCACAGCGGCGAACTTGGAGACCGATGCCACCTTCTCTTTCAATTCTGGTGAGCTTGCAGGGGTATGGGTTCTGTCAAATGCACTTCTCAACCAGATCATGAAGGCATTGAGCTGCTCTTGACGCCTACACGAGATGGCTCTAGTCAGCTTAGTGTCGCTTTGGATATTGGGAAAACAGTCTATTACCGACCTCATCACTATCTCCGGCATCCTCTCATCGATCCTCCGAAGCCGTTGGCGACACTTCTCGATGTCCTCCAACACAAACGCAGCCACCTGCTCCAGGACCTTATCATCGGAAATGGATCGATCGTTCTTGAAGGCGATGTGATTGAGCGTTATGATCGTCGAGAAAGTCGTCCAGGCTAGCATGAGGGGCAGAATTGACAGGACTATTGCTTTTGCGAGACATTGGGAAAGCGGCGTTTCGTTTCTGCTGTTTGGTACGTTCTCGAAGAGGCTCTTGATTGATGCGGTCGGTGATGCAGGGCGATGGGTGGATGTCTCTGTTGGCAGCTCCGAGATCCAGACTTCTTCTGGGTCAGGCGCTGTGATGAGCTCGAAGTCATGAGGATGGATGAACGAGGCCATGACGGTTGATGGGTGATGTGAAAGACTTTATGAAATTACGATACAGAGAAGGATTGGATTGTCGAAGGACCTGCATCGTTTTCAAGCCTGATAAGTACACATCCATCACGAACTGCCACCTGGCCTTAGGGACTTATTGATCAGGCAACACGATTCCGCCCCAGTATGTTTGCATAAAGCTGTCTTCATGTCGTTCAAGGCAGATGTATTGAAATGTTGACACCTGTCCCGTTATTTTGGTCGGGAGTCGTTGTTTCGTAGATGTGATTCAACCGCTTGATTCGGCTCATGGCTGATTTCTATGAACTCCAGGCGCCCACATAACGGTATCCCATGAACAATCACCATCCCAGCATGCCAGCATGAACAACTCCCACTCCAGCATACCAGCATGAACAAGTCCCATCCCAGCACCCATATGTCCCCATCAAGAAAGCCTCCACAAACGCCTTTCCTGTCCGACTGCTGCCGTGCCATGCCATGCCACGCCTAACGCCGAACAAGCCTTTCCCAACAACTCCATGACGAAGAAACGCACTCGCTTACCTTTGTACTGTCGTCCTGTTCTGTCGTATTCGTCCTCGCTGCAGCACCCCTACTCCCTCGCATCTCCTCCCAACTCGCCTTCGAAAACGCCACCCTTCTTGATCCAGTGGACGTACCAGCTCTCGTCGAGGAAGCCCCTGCGATATCAAAGTTAGTCAAAGTCATTAAACCTTAACCACCACACCGCGCTGCCATGCCGTCCGCCCGCCCACCAACCTCCCTGCCTAAAGTGCAAAAGAAATGAAAGAAAATGGTACTCACATCTCCTTCCACCCAATTATCAGCAACTTTGCCCTCGTCGCCTTCCACTTGTAATGATCCCCCATCCACACCTGATGCGCATGATCCGTACGCACATTCTTCTTCCACCCGCGCTTCACTCCGCCACGGCCATCTGCGCGTCCACTCAAGGCCTGCGTGCGAGTGCCTGGGGTGTTGTCGATCGGCGAGCCGGGGGTAGGTGTGGGACGGTTGCTGGTGGAAGCGACGGACGGGCTGTGAGCGCGCTCGCTGCCTTCGCCGATGCGCTGGGGCGTGTCTTCGCGATTGCGGAGGGGAGCTGCTGGGCGGGCGGTGCGGCGGAGTTGGAAGGTGCCTGGGGTTGTTGCGGCTGGGGTGGCGGAAGCGTTGGCGAAGGGCTTGGGCTTGGGGTTTGGCTTCGCCTTCGGCGTGGCAGGAGGAAGGGGTTGGAACGGGTTTGTTGCGGTCGAGGTGGCTGGGCGGTCGACCACTGCGTCGTCTTCCGTGTTGTCGGGGGCGCGTGCGCGAGCAGGAGCTTCGGTGTGCGGGCCGTTGGCGTTGTCGTTCGTCACGCCACGAGAGATGGGCCTGTCGCTGCGGTAGATCTCTTGGTAGAAGGCACTGAAGAACTCGCGCTTGACGAGTAAGTACTCTGCGCACTTTAGGCCGACCTATTGCACGTGTCAGCATAACGAACCAGCTCCCTCCTCTTTGCACTTGTCACTATATCCGCGACTCACCTTCTCAGCAATCTCTCGCTCCGCCGGCTGAAGCTCCACTAGATACCGGTCATCACTCGGGCACACCTCCTCGTCCTTGCCCTTCACACCTCCATCCCGGTGGTACCCTCTTGCACCAGTCCAAGCCTCACGCTTCTCAAGCCTCTTCAGCGCATTGTCCGGGTCGACGATCGGCGCACAGTAATCGGTAATCTTCTTCGCATTGACGAAAACATCTGCGTCGGGAAACTCCATCGCCGGTTTGAAACACTCCTTCACCCACACATACAGCGACCTCTGCGACCTGCTGCCCGGCGGCAACTCGCGCGCGATCTGCAGACCGGGTGTCGGCCTGCTGATGAGGTACCTGAGGACGTCGGAGACGCGGTAGGGAGTGTAGAACCATCTCACGTTCGGATCGCCAGGGACAAGCACAGCGATGATCGAGTAAGAGACCCCTGGAAGGTTGGTCGCCTCCGCGACGTACGGCGCCACGACCACCCAGCCTTTGCCACCGGCCGGAAGGTATTCCGCTCCGCCGGGTCTACCACGCGGGCCCTCCACGGAGTCGTTCTTGCGCACGTAGTCCCACATCTTGTCCAACGCCTGCCCTTCCATCCGCACGAGACCGGGCTCACGGCGTTCGGTGACGAGGTGGGTCTCGTGCATGAATAGCTTGATGTACAGGCATGTCTCGGCCGGGCTGGTGGTACTGAACAAAGTCATGGGCTCCTTGCAGGTTGTTTCGAAGTTGAACTTGAGAGTCTTGGTGGCGGACTTGGAGTGCAGGTCGACGTCTTTTGGGTTCAGCGACGGCGGCAGGAGGGTGATGCTGAGGGTCATCTTGTCTCCCTCTGTCAGGCGCCACAGAGTGTCAGTATCGCCTTCCCATATCGTCTGGGCTGGAACGACTGGCGGTGGCATGAGCTGCTGGGGTGGGTTGACCTGTGGTGGGTGGGCGGTCGGGAGCTTCGCGTGAGGGCGCTGTTGCTGTCGTGGATGACCATGCCCGTGCCCCTGAGCGCGTGGCGGAGGTTGGAGGCTGTCGAGGGCTCCTAGAGAGCGGCGAGTGGCCTGGCGCTTGTTCTGCTCGAGCTGGTCCTTGACTTCTTCCAGACGCTTACGCTTCCGCTGGAGGAGCTCACCAGGCGTCGGCGTGCACGGCGACGGTGGCAGCGGTTGTTGCTGCTTGTCCGGGCGCTTGTTGTGGGCGTGGCCGGACATCTTGACCGTGGTGCTGCTGTTGTTATGTGTGAGGGGATAGAAGGCGAAGGCTCCAGAAGATGGCTTGAAGGTTGACAACCGTCTTATGAAGTAGGTGTCGTGAAGGGAAAATTTGCAGACCCAAGCTGGCTGTTGATGTGACGGTTGAGGTGAAGTCGTGCGAAAAGGGGAGTACGTGAACGGTAATATTTTGAATTGACCAACTGTTTGGGCATTCGGTCACATGAGATCGACGTCATCGCAATCTCCGGATCTTCACGTGCGTCTTCAGAAGCAAGTAGAGGCAAGAAGATGAAGGACTCACGAAAGGTTTTGTAGCCCTCTCAACCCGGCGATTGTATTTCATGCTGATCGGTACCAGCACGGTGCGGCCGACCCATCTCATACGCCGCGCTGATGCAGTCAAATGCTCTATGGTACACTCTTGACACCTCGTCACTCAAAGACATCTTAAACCGACTCGCCCGGCTTCCAGCTCTCCTCTACACCCTCACTATCCTTCTTTGCTAAACCGTGCTCCTTGAGCAGCGCATCGATCTCTTCCGCCGCCCATAGATGATGATACACCGTGCCACTCTTCGTCCGTCCCACCGTAGCAAACTCGATCTTCTCACTCGACAGCTTGGTTGAGTCCATCGTCTTGCTCAGCACCTTAACCGCCAACTCACATGCCTCCTTCAACGAACACTCCTCGTTGTAATCTTGCTTCAGCAAACTCTGTGCGCTCGCATTGTTCGCTCCCACACTCGTTGCCTTCCAACCGCCGTAGTTTCCGGAAGGATTTGACTGGTAGAGCTGGAATTGGCGCTGGTTGTCGAAGCCGGCGTAGATGAATGAGACACCGAAGGGCCGCAGACCACCGTGCTGGGTGTAGCCTTGCTTGAGATCGCAGAGTCGGCGGACGAGCTGCTCGCAGGGGATGTCGTTGTTGTAGGTGAGGAGGTAGCGTTGGGCTTGGGTCCGGGCGTAGTTGATGAGGATGTTGGCGTCGGCGGTCATGCCGGCTACTGCGCAGATCATGTTGCTTTGCCATCGTGTCAGTACGTATACCCTTCAAATGATAAGATCATACGATGTCGTACTCGTTCAGGATGTAGAGCTTCTCGGCGCTGGTGTCTTGCTCGAGCAGTTTGCTGGTGACTTTGCGCTCGGCGGCGAGGACGATGCCATCGGTGGCTAGGATTCCCAGAGCAGTGCCGGCGTGTGAGATGGCTTCGAGGGCATATTCGACTTGGTAGAGGCGGCCTTCGGGGGAGAAGATGGTCGTGCGACTGTATCTTCCTGTTAGCCTTCCATTGCTTGGTGATGTCGCATATCAGCCTGTTCGCACCTATCGTATCTTCGTGACATTGTGGCGGTATTTGTGGAAGGTGTTGGAGGTTGGAGAGGATATATTGAGGTTGATCGGAGAAGATGTGAGAAGTCAAGGTAAGAAGTCACTGTCGATGAAGCTCTCAGGCAGCTCAAGACGCGACGTTGGACGGCGCATGCGCATCACCAGGACCAGGGTTACTTAACCCTAAGTGAACTCCGATACTTTCATGTGACAGCGAAGAGAGCATCGCGATCCTCACTATACCACAAGTCGAACACGATGGAGTCACCAAACAAGCGCCTCAAGCCTTCGCCACCCGAAAATATGGCCAAAGAGGACGACTTCGTCCCACTCAACTTCGACGACGAGGACAATACGACAGAGCAATATGGCTACGGTGCTACATCTCCCTCACCTGGAAGCGCAACAGGGCAGGGCATGTCAAACTCGCCTTTCAACGCTCCCCGTGGGCCGCAAGCAACACAGCCACGGCGAGATCACCGCAACGACCCACGACATGCTAAAGACCGGCCCAAGTCTGCGCATCCTCTGCCCGGCCATGAGCCTTGGGTGCTGGTGAAGACGAAGTATGGACGCTACTTTGTCCACAACAAGGACACGAGGGAGAGCTTGTGGCGCACTCCTGCGCATTTGAAAGATGCCGTGCGAGAGCATGAGCAGGGACAGACGTTGGAGGCAGAGAAATTGGAGAATGCGAAATGGGCGGAGGAGCAGTTGAAAGCTATGCGGCAGCCAGAGAAAGCCGTAGCTGGTAGGGAGGACGAGGGAAGGAATGCGCAGGATTCGCATAATAGGGCGCGAAGAAGACGAAGCGAGAGCTTGCAGAGGGAGGACGAGGAGGCGCTGATGGCGGAGATGGCAGCAGAAGCTGAGCATGCAGAGGAAAAGGATGCTAAGGACGCTGTGAAAGGTGTCGAGGGGCTGCAGCCGAAGACGGTGGAAGGAGGAGCAGAGGCAGGGTATGGCAGTGACAGTTCGTACGGGGAGGTTGAGGTCACGGACTCGGAGTTCGAAGACGACGATGAAGGAGGAAAGGAGACTGCTGCGACAGCCCATATGGATGGTGCCGATCAGAAGCATGAAGGTGGACCTGTTGAATTTGGAGAAGATGACATTGCGTGGCAGCTCGCGGCCATGGAAGAGGACCAAGACCTGGGTCCAAACCAGGATGGAGGTGATGATGACGACGCAGCGGACTATGAGGAAGAGTACGACGAGGCCGACGAAGACGGCGCTTCGGACGAAGAGGCTGTGCTTCTCTTCCGTGAGATGCTTGACGAGCACAAGATCTCTCCCTTTGCCCCTTGGGACAAACTCTTGAACAACGAAGACATACTCTACGACGACCGCTACACCCTTCTTCCCAACACACGCACACGAAAAGCTGTTTGGGAAGAGTGGGTCAAAGAGACTGCCGCACGCTTAAAGGAAGAACGCGCCAAAGCTGAGCAGCTGGACCCCCGGATACCGTACCTCGCTTTCCTGGCCGAGAAAGCCACACCGAAGCTATACTGGCCCGAGTTCAAGCGGAAATATCGAAAAGAAGCCGTCATGAACGAGAGGAAGCTCGGCGACAAGGAGAGAGAGAAGCTCTATCGCGACCATATTGCCCGCCTCAAACTTCCCGAAAGCGCTCGCAAGGCTGACTTGGTCAATCTGCTGTCTTCTCTGCCGCCTCGCACGCTCAACCGCGATACTGGCTTGGACGTTCTTCCGAATCAACTCCTCAGTCACCTGCACTTTATCTCCCTCCCCGCCGCCGCCCGTGTTCCGATAATCAGCAAGCACATCTCCAGCCTCCCTCCTGCCCCAACCAATGCAGAGGCCGGCGAAATCGACGCCGAAGCCGAGAAGAAGCGCGACGATGAGCGTAAGCGGCGAGAAAAGGCACTTGCGGAGCGGGAGAAGAAGGTTGAAGAGGATAGGAGGAAAGCTGAGAAGGAAGGGAGATGGGCGAAGCGTGAGGCCAGGGAGGCGGAGAGGGAGGTCAGGGAGGCTACGCTTGGTGTTGGGAATAGGGGGTTGAGGGAGCAGTTGAGGAGTGGATGAACGGCTGGCATCCTTAATGTGTTGCGGATCGAAGGCTATTGTGCCAAATATTGTGTGCCCGGCGCTGTTCGAATCGCCTGTCGTCGCGATGTTTCCAGTGTGAAAGCGCCGAAATTTTACCGGGTCGCCCGACAGCACGTGAATACGGACGGCTCTCGGCCCGCTCTCACGTGTGCTTCTTCTTTCGACCGCATCGCCAGCTGTTCTCGCTGCTCACTACAAAATGGCAGACCGAGGTTGCAGCTTTGTTAAGCGCACGCACAAGGTCGCTTAAACTATCCTGGACCGACATAAGGCGCTAATTGAACAACATCACGCCACGCCTGCAGTCGGAGGATTTTGACATCAGGAGATGCTAATATCTGGCACCACTGGCTGTTCCGTGCCTGTGTTGCATGGACATGCTGCTGTACTGTACAGGGTAAGCAGGTCGTAGCCTTGCTGCATGCCGAGTATCGGCTCTCGCCTTGGGTTGTGACTTGACATGAGAGCTTGTGTGTCTTCATGGTCACGACTGCTGTAGCGACCACTCTATCTATACCTCGTCTCTCTGTCGGAGAATTGTTTTACTTGGCGGTAGGTCATGCCGAAGTCCTTCAAAGAGGGATCGCGAAAGGATATAGGGCGTTGGACCGCGTCTCTGGTAGGTTCGCACGCTCCGCCTCGCTCTCTGTCCAGCGCTCCTTCATCCTTTCGATCCAGAGTGTCTTCGCAATCATGTACACCCTTCTGGTCGCCTTCTCCATCGCCGCGCTGCGTTTCACAGTCGCCAAAAATCTGCCGCAAGCCATCTACACCCACAGCAGCAAGAACACCACCATTGGGATGTCGTCCTTCAATCACATCTTCGAAAGAGAGATCCTCATCTCACGACAGACTTGCACTCCAGGTCCCATGTGTTCGGACGGTAACTACTGCTGCGCTGATTCGCAGTGCTGTGGCATCGGACTCTGCGCCGCTGCCGTCGACACTTGCTGCGACACCCACTCCTGCGTACCTGGATACGATTGCTGCGGTGTTGGCTGCTATGCTGATTCTGAAGGCGAGACATGCTGCGAGACGCATGCTTGCGAGGCTGGGTATTATTGCTGCGGCTTCAGCTGTGCGCCTGAGGATGGGGATTGTTGCGGGTATGGAGCGATTACTTCCAGAGCCAGATATGGTCGTTTGCAGCATTGAGTACTGACCCTGCGATTCTAGCGACGGCGGCCACTGTGACTCCGGAAATACTTGTACGCAGCAGAACTGCGACTACGAGTGGTGTTGCGACGGACCGAACCAGTCGTACGAGGATTATTCGTACTCTTACACGATTCCATCGATGTCGCTTCCGCCGGCGCCTTCTTCTTCTGCCGGTGGTAGTCCGGCTTCATCGTCGGAAGCCCAGGAATCGTCGTCGTACATTGGCTATCAGTATCACTACTACTACACCACATTTGTGAGTGCATCTGTTGGGCGGACTCTGTTGGAAAGTGAACTGCTGACATGCTTCGCAGACGTACTACTACCTCGTCTGGATATCCATCACGACGCAGGAAGCTCCTACATTTGTAAGTGACCAAGTTTCACAAGACACATTCAAGCCGCCCGCCTGATACACCGCAGACCAGCACCACTACCACAACCACCACCGTCATCAGCGTCTATGCCTCAGACCGAGAGGACGCACAAGCGCAGTTTACGTCTTCGGAGAGCCGCGTCCAGCGCGAGGCTAGCAGGATGGCGAGCTATTCGATGCCGGATCTGCCCTCGCAGACGGCCATGAGCGCTTCAGCCTCTTCTACCGGAGGTGCGCCGAGGAACCTACCGCAAGGCTTGAGCAGTGCAGGTGGTTGGATTGATGCGGGAGGGCTGTGGTTGGTCGTGGGAGCTGCGTTGACTGGCCTGCTTGCGGTAGCCTTGTGATCTGCGTCGTCGCAGTACCTCCTAATGCCCTATGATATGTTGGGTACCTTGGGGAGATCGCGGATGATGTTCCCTGGCATGTTTGTCGACGGCATCGTTATGCTCCGAAATCGCACGGAGTCATCTTCCCGCAAACTGAGCCATCGAGGTCGCACAGAACCGACTCTTGAATGCTGGCCCCCAAAGATAGCCGCTGCGGCTGAGCTGCCAGTAAAGTCCAGACGCATGAATCGCAACTTCGTGGAGGCTCAATCCAAAGAACTAATTTCAGCTGGCTGTCGATCTAGCATATTAGCTCGCGGCAGTCTCTAACGCTTTTCCTTCCCGCAACAAGTCTTCCTTCCAATTGGGTTGGAGCCGCAGACGGCTTGCATGCCAAGGCGATTGTCTCGCGAGGCTTGCTCCTTTACCAATCTTCACTCGTTCCGAAACTGGACCGGGCTTCTTCATGGCCTGGCGCTGTTCGACAAGGCTGGCGAGGCATTGCTGCATCGCGACCGCGAAGAGGTTTCTTCTCCTGTAGATAACCTGACGGCGGCGTCGACGCTCGCTTCCCTCCGCAGTAAGTCCATCTCGTCTCTGTACCGCGATCAATATGGCACGCTCTACCATGCTCGTTTTCTTCCTGCTTCTGGCGGCGCTCGAAGCCGTGAGAGGTAGCCTCCTGGTGTACCCGGCGAAACACATGGCTGCGAACGAGTCGATTCAGGCCCCCTCGTTACTTGGACGGCACATCTTTGGACGCGATAGTTGTGATGGAACGGCTCCTTGTGGTAGGTTGGGCTCTAGGACATTTACATACAGTGATGCTAACACCACCAGGGAACGGGTGCTGTGACGAAGGCAATCAGGTACTGCATACATGTACCGAGCCATCAGGTCGACTCCCAAGCGAAGAGTACTGACAGCTCTGCTTTCCAGTGCTGTGGATATGGCAGCTGTGCTCCCGAAGATGTTAGTATTGACGAGCTGACGGTTCATCGTGTTGCTAACCACCTCACAGAGCACGTGCTGCACGGGGAACTACAAGTGGGTGTCTCAGAAACCTGACGCGGGAGACTCACGTCTGACAACCATACAGCTGCCCTGAAGGCACCGGCTGCTGCCAACCAGGCGGTACGCAAAACACTATCATGTCTGAGACACTCGCTAACCCCTTTGCCAGGCTGCTACCCCGTCGTGAGTATTCCTGGGTAAAAGCCTTCTCCAAAGCACGACCGCACTGCAAGTGGCGCTCTGAGACCCTTTGAACCCTTCCTCGCCTTCGAGACACTTGCTGACCCTTTTACCCTTCGGTGCTTCAGGACGGATCGCAATGCTGCTCGTAAGTCCTTTACTACCTCCACACAAGACGCTCGCCAATTAACACGTCGTCAGTGATGGCCATTATTGCGACGCCGACCATTATTGCGGTATGAAACCCATGGGCAAACCCCTACCGTGTCTGGGACATTCGCTAACCCTTTTGCCCAGGCAAATGTCCAAACGGAGAGGGGACTTGCTGCTTCGGCGACCGCGGAGGGGAGGTAGAGCCAGCTTTGGGTTCTGTCTTTATTACCGAAACGCAGGTATGTGGTACCTCTTCAGCTCTTGATCCCATAGCCTAGCTGACACAAGGTTCCAATAAGACCGGCGTTTTCTAGTAAGTGCTGGTGGGTAGAAGGGTTCTCCGAGACAGGATCGAAACACCTTGCCGCGCTCTGAGACCCTCTACCCGCTGTTCGCAGTTCAGAGACACTTGCTGACCCTTTCACCCATCTGTGCTTTAGCACGGGCACTGTGAACGTCTCCTCCGCAGCCCCGGCTTCTGGGTCCAGCTACGCTTCAAGCTCTGGTGCCGTCGGTTCCAGTGCCTATCCCCATATCTGGGTATGCGCAATACTGATCTCGCCTGGTTAACAGGACAGGACTTCCGCTGACCATACTCCAGTACACCACCTTCACCTACTACCAGGTCGTCTACTTCCAATCTCAAGGCGAATCGACCACCAGCGTAGACTCGTCCACGATCACAAAACAGACTCTGCTCTCCGTCTACGCCAGCCAGTCTGACGAAGCGGACTCGATGTTCACATCCATGGAGAAATCGGTGCAAGCTCATGCCAGCGCAACGACGCTTGCCGGCGCAACATCGGGGACGGCTGCTGCTGGTGCTTCATCATCGTCGTCGATGGCTGCGTCTTCCTCGGGAGCGGCAGGTCCTTCGGGTCTTGCAAGACATATGTTCAGTCGGTCCGATGTACCGAGCGCCTGCTTCTTGGTTCTTGGTGGGATGGTTGGGTTGCTGGCGATCGCGTTGTGAGCGTGAGAGATGAGTGGGCTACGGAGATAATGATAATGCATATCGTTCGCCTTTTAGCTTTCTGTGATGCAGCCCGCTTTGCAGCCAATACGAAGATTTGGTCCACTTGAAGCAATTTCTGAATCAACCAATACAAAAAATGCCGTGATCTGAGCAATATGTTTAGTTTTTTCGAGGTTTCTTGCTCTTGAGCCGACACAGCGCCAGGCGACGTAGCAGAACAAGTGGCAGTCAGGTTCTGGCTTCTCCGTGACACTATCGCCTGCTATGAAGACTCCTGCTAGGCGATGCTGTTCCTACTATCTTGGAGAATTATGCTATCCGCCTGTTCCTCGCCTCTTCTCCGATGAGCAAACTCCTACCTAAACGCTTCTGAGTACACTCTCGTTATAGTCTAGACTGCGGAGACTGCCACTGGGCTTCCTCTACTACGTCGCCTGGCGCTCGTGACCAACCTTCGTGCGAACCTCGGCCGCTTAACGTCTTCTACTCCGATTGCGACACCCCCTTTTTCGTCCCCAAAACCTCGAGTTGCCAACAATCTGGTATATCACAGGGTAAGGTATGCTCTACGCAGGGCTACGGCTCGCAAGTTCACGATGTAGATTTTCCTTCGTGTTGCCGCTGCGAAGCCTGCAATACTCGACACGTTCACCTTCCGAACAGATCACTGTGCCTTGTCATAGCAATGGAAGCATCACACTTGAGTTAGTGCCTCCTACACTTGAGCTTGATTATCGAGATCTAACGTACGATAGTGTATGGCATCCGTTAAGGGTTACCGAGCATCGACATGGAGCGTCTACTGTTCTGTTGCATTTGCCTTCTGGACTACCCACGCTGAACGAGGAGCGGGATGAGTCTATCTGCAATCACCTACGCGCAGGCTTAGATCTTCCGACAGTAAGGATCAATTACCGTTCCGGCCGAAGTCACCAGTTCCCAACGCCTCTCCATGACGTGCTGGCCGGTTACGACTGGGTTCTGGAAAATCTGCTTCCTAAGCGATCCATCTCGCGACATGGCCGCTCTGAGAGCATAGGAAGGGTCGCTGTGCACGGCGAGCTATTTGGAGGTGGGCTTGCGATAGCGCTTGCTCTTACGGAGTGTCATCTCGGTCAGCCAGGCGTGGTTGCTGCTGCAGTAAGCCACCCTATCGTCGACTGGCTGGCCTTCGACGAAAAGCAACAAACGCCGAAGAGGGCCTCTACCAATACGTATGATTCACTAGCGGTCGCAGAAGCCTCTACTTCGTCATTCAAAGACTTGCGACTTCTCCGAGCCAAAATCTTCGCGAAGCCCAGCCATTACTTTGACCCATTCGCCTCGCCAATGCTCTTCTTTCGTTCTGCTGGGACAGATGCACCAGCTGGTCATTCAGGCATGGCCCAAGATGACCTTGACTACCTCAGTATGTCGGAGCTGGATGAGGCTATCTTTGACGAGACTGCCACAGATGCGAACGGCGAAGAGTTCTTCGGTACTTCCGATGAGTCGATTCCACCACCAGCAAGACGCAGAGCATCGCGCAGGTTCCCAGGCAAGAAGATGGGCCTACGCCTGCCCTCGTTCTACATCGCCGCCACCGAAGATACGCCACTCGCCAGCCAAGCTAAGGAACTGGCGCATCACTTACGAGCCAGTTTTGTGCGACAAAGGAAGAACGCAGCCTCCAGATCTTTTGGCTTCGGTCGAAAGGTGTTGGTGGAGGGCGAGTACGACCAGCTGACAGACGACGAGAGAACGGTTATCGAGGCCGGCATGGCGGACGCACGAGAGAATGTCCGACTTGATCTACACGAAGAACATTGGCCCTCGGACAAAAGAATGGACGAGAGCAAGACAATTGAGATGATGAGATGGCTGAATGTTGTCCGTCGCTGAATGACAATCTAGATCTTGCCGGGAGCCGCATTCCAGAGAGCGGCACGTCTCATTCCACTTTGCTGCGCTGAGGCATGCAGCAATACCTGCGCGTCAACAAGCTCATCTGGAAGAACATCGAAGCTCACGCCGATACTATCAACGAGTGCGATTCAACTGTTACCATCAAAGAACCATAACAGCATGTCCTTCAGCGTCCAGTCAGTCGTTACCGCACACCAATGTTGAGCATTCAGGATACTTTCAGGTCGCTTGTCAAAGCAGTGCGACATCTTGTTCATTCGGAGCCACTGCTTCCGATTACTGTTCCTCCGTCTGCCAGAGCTATCGCGGCCAAGGCTGACAACTTCGAACGACGACAATGGCGGTAGCGACGATTTTGTTCCTCCTCGGAGCAACGACAGCGCTGAAATACGATCCGGTACTTCCTTTCCATGGCAATGGCTTCACCGTCAGCAGGATACCGCTTCCAAAGAACCCGCAACCAATGTCGGATTTGAAGGTTGCGGAGCACGTTGTACCCTTGAAAAGAGGCAATGCGAAGTCACTGAGTTCGACATATGTTCAAGCCATGAGAGGCCGGAAACTTGCAGATGCGGGTGGTGGTAGGCTAGGGGTGAGAAGTATAAGTGTCGCGCACGTCGAGACCCTGACTAACGTTTCCGCAGACTGGTCAGGCGCAGCTGACGTCTGTCGAAGCCGGGCAGGTGTTCCTTGCGCCTGTGACGGTCGGTGGACAGGAGTTCGAAGTGGTGGTCGACACTGGCAGCAGTGACCCTTGGCTCGTGGTTCCAACCTTTGAGTGCTACGATCCCTACACTGGCGACCCACGAGATCAAGGGGAATGCTACTTCGGGCCAGCATACAATCCGTCTTTGTCGAGCAACTATCAACGCGTACCGAACGAGAACTTCAACATTACGTACGCCGATGGAGAAGTACCTGAATGGTGACATGGGTTACGACACTTTCAGCCTGGGTGGGATCACTGTACCACGGCAGAAGTTTGGTACAGTCGACTATGCTGCGTGGTTCGGTGATGGCTACTCGTCTGGACTCATTGGCTTCGCATATGGCACTCTCACGTCTGCCTACCAAGGCGAAGACCCGACTCAAGACCGTCGAGGGGGCACACTCCTCTACAATCCTCTGTTCGTCAACATGTACAACCAGTCACTCATTGCACCCATCTTTGCTCTTGCAATCGACCGAGACCCAAACAACGGCGGCCTGCTTGCTTTGGGTGGTATTCCGGATATCCCGCATTCGCCATACTGGGTCAGCACACCCATCGAAAGCGTCGGCTTCTTCATCGGCACCAGAACGCCAGCGTACGAGTTCTATACTATTGAGTCTGACGGCTTCGCTTTCTCTGCCTTCGACAGTGCGCAATTCGACGTCCAAGGAACCAACAACCCCAGAAAGACACCAATCATCGAAGCAGGCAGCGTCATAATCGATTCAGGAACTTCGCTCGTCTACGCACCGCCTGCCGTTGCTGAAGGCGTCAACCTAGCTTTCGATCCGCCAGGCCGGTTCGATGAGGATTATGGCGCATGGTACGTCGACTGCAACGCCCAGCCGCCCGTCTTTGGCGTGAGCGTGGAGAAGAAGATCTTCTACGTCAATGGAGCAGACATGATCATACCGAGCGCGCAGGATGTGTGTATCAGCGGCGTGCAGTCCAACAACGGGGGCTTGACGATCTTGGGAGATGTTTGGATGAAGAACGTCATCTCGGTTTTTGATATAGGGGCGGAAATGATGCGATTTGCGGCGAGGGAGTATTATACCATGGACGAGGCGCCGGTGCCGGTGACGACGTAATACACAATCTGGTATCATCAGCGCCTCGAGTGTGGTTTTGAGATCTGTCCGAAAATGATCTGTCACCTGACACCGCGACGCGGGCGTGTGCAGGTAGCGTATGGAAGGTGGGCCTTTCATCGGGAAGGTGCATGCAAACACGACTTCACATCATCTAATCTCCTTTCACATTTCCTTCACTTCACTTCACTCTTCCTGCTCATCATCCGCAGTCCAACACCACACCACAACTCACTCAGACTCATCTGAACATCGCCAGCTCAACCGGCTGTCACAATGGGTGCCTGGGGATATGGACTGTAGGACATCCTCCCTCGTCCTTGCTGAGTGGCTGCTGACTTTACTCTCAGCTTCATGTCTGATCAAGACGCAGACATCGCGAGTGACCTAGCCAGCGAGGTGGGCCTCACTGCACTCGAGAAGCGTGATGCAGACGCCGCGGTTGCCGAAGGCAAGAAGGTTGTTTTATTTCCAGACATGAAGTCCAAGGGAAACCAGGACGAGATCGAATTCAACTATGCTCTCGGGGCAGGCAGATGCTCCCATCCCGACAAGGTGCGCGAATATCTCGACAATGGACCGCTCGAGGAGTACTTCACCAAGCACAAGCAGGCCATGCTCAGCGGCAAAGACGGCTACTACGGCCAAGGATACAAGTGTCTCATCCTCGCCGCCTGCGCCATGACTCTGGGCTGCAAGTTTCGCCCGGACATCCGTGAGTTGATCAAGAAGACCTACACCCGCAACCAGCTCCCACCCGGGTCAGATGAACAGATGGAGGCAGCCCTCGTCGGACCACCGAGCACGCTGTACAAGTCAGGCGAGCCGCACACCTTCATCGACGGCGATACGAAGCACCAGCAGCCCAAGGAGCCAACCGCTGGCGGCTTCATCATGATGAACGTCCCTATCGGTGGCTTTTTCGGCGTCCCGAAGCGTAAGGACGCCCGTCGCTGGGATGTCAAGGCTGTCGTGGCAATGGACAAGGCGTTGGCGGCGAAAGGAGCATTCGGCATGGATCGCTGCGCTGGATGTGGGTGCAAGCACGGTGAAGCCGGAACTGAGTCTGCGCTGTCGGCGTGTGGGAGGTGCAAGTTCTCGCGGTACTGTGGCAAGGAGTGTCAGAAGCAGCACTACAAGCTTCACAAGGAGTTCTGCAAGTCTTCCACAGCCGAGGAGAAGGATGTGGCCATGGGCGACGCCGAGAACATCGAGAAGGAGGTCGACGAGGATGGTGAGCAGGAGGCCGAGAAGGCGTGAGCTGGGTGAACGCACTGTTTTGCTTCATGGAGGTATGACTGGCTGATGATTGCTGATGATGGAGGACGAGATGAGATGACACCTTGCTGGCTTAACATGTCCGAAGCACAATGCTTGCGATGTATACTTAGCTTGAACGATATCGCCACGGCTGGAGGATCATTGAGAATGTGTTGAAGTCGAGTCTGGTTCAATGTACCTCCAGAAGTAGACCACTCCAGGGCTGGGTCCAAGTGATGTCGACGTGCTCGGCGGCGCCGACCGGATCTTCACCAGCATCCACATTCAGATCCACGCCGTGGAGATGGACTTGACACCTGTGATTGACTTCCATCGCTTCAGCTTCGGTTTCCCGGACAAGCAATGGCTGCTAATCCAGAGGCTTCGCCCACGTAGTAGGAAGGTTAGTATAAGGTAGCTTCAACTTCCACATTACAAACCATCATTCTCTACATCCTCCCGCTCCAGACCACTACCAACCACACAAACCACACCAAGAACCATGTCATCCTCAATCTCCCCCTCCCTCCCACCTCTCACCCTGTCCTTCGAACCCACCAACACCTCCAATTCCGAATCCCCCACCTCCCAATCCCTCATCACCCACCTCTCCCTCCAACCGCACCCCGAAGGCGGCTACTTCGCCGAAACCGACCGCGACACCCTCCGCATCCCGAACCCCTTCGCCTCCGACCCCCGATCGAAACTCGTCGAGTCCCGCAGCGCCAGCACGACGATCTTCTACTACCTCACGCCGAAGAGTCCGTTGGGGCATTTCCATCGGAATAAGGCGAGGACGGTGCATACGCTGCATCGGGGCAGGGGGAGGTATGTTTTAATTCATGCGGATGAGGTTGCTGCGGGGGCGGATGATGGGGATGAGGTGGAGGAGGGGTTGAAGTGGACGGGGAAGGCGAGGGTGGAGACTTTTGTGGTTGGGCAGGACGTGGAGAGCGGGGAGAGGTTGCAGTGGGTTGTTGAGGGGGGGAAGTATAAGGTGGGTTTGAAGAGAATGGTATTGGTAGACGATCTGAGCTGATATGAAGGGTAGGCGAGCTTCCTACTGCCGGATGAGGATGGCGGAGGGAGCAGCGATGGGTTGTTGATATCAGAGACGGTCGTGCCTGGATTCGAGTTCTCAGATCATGATTTCATGAAGCGAGACAGATTCGAAGCGCTAGTTACTCCTGAGCAGGCGAAAGAGATGGAGTGGATGGTGAGAAAAGGCGAGTCAGAAGTAATGGTTTGACACCTCGTGCGAAGCTGGTTCTTCGCGGGCCTGCTTGATGCTATGTATGTACATGTACATTCGTTCCATTCGTATGCCAGCGGCTCATGCTCGCTGCGTGGTATCGATCAATCCCATGCGCCCTCGCTATGCTGCGCTCCCAATGCTTCCTTCGCTATGCCGCTGAACAATGCTCATGAGCTTTCCAATCTTCCTATGGCCATGACCATCACCATGCGCCGTGACCACGCACACAATAATTATGGATGGTCTCCATGGTCGCTGCCGGCCTCAACAATACGTGTCCCTCTCATCCTCCGCTGTCTTGTTGTAGCTTTCTACGCTTCGTCGCCGCTTGTCGATGAAGCGCCCCCTCGCCCTCTGTTGAAGCCGTTCTGTAGCCACCAGATTCCAACGCCGATTAATGCTAGGACGATGAAGAGGATGATGATGATTAGGAAGATGACAATGTTGCGCTGCATCTTGTCGTTGTGTGGGGATGGTTGGAGCTCGTAAGCTGTTTGTTGTGTTGGTGGGTGAAGCTCGAGAGCTAATCGATCGTCAGTGTACGTGGGATGTCCCGATTCCTGTCGTGCGAGTTGTTCGTCGGTTGTTGTCGTCGTAGAATGGTCCGAGCAAGCAGTCGTCCTGTCTCTGAGACCTCGACGATGTAGGTGGGTGGTGATGATCGACGTGCCTTTTTGGAGGGCTCGAGGTGGAGATGAGCCAGGAATGGGTCTTGAGTGCGACAATGAGATAGACACAATGCTGTTGTTGAAAGCTAAAACTCAGAAGCCATCGTAGCAGCTCATGTTCTTTTGTTCTGTTGGAATATGCATGGCCGGGCGACGCCTGCCACCCACTCGTTGAACGAGGCTGGAGTGGCTGGGAGGTGCTCGTGCGCGTTTTTCTGCGTCACACGAAGCACACCTACTTGCTTCAATAGCTTTGATCATCTAAACGAAACATGAAACCACGAGTTAGAAATACGTTATTGGCAATCTGTGAAGTGCGTGTGGCAGTGAGATGTGAAGAGTGAAAGATAATGCATGTGAAAGCATGGGCGCATTAAGGTTTGCGCTAAATAAGCGAAAAGCTCACACTTGAGGACAACGCTTGACAACTTCAAGATCGTTCTTCTGTTTGTACCGAACGAACAAGAACATTGATACGTGAACTGCGGCATTCGAACAGCAATATTCGAACCGGAACAGTCTTTCGATTCAGTCAGAAATTGCGCGCAAGGTCAACTATCCATTCTTTCAACCGCAGGCGCCATGGCGACAGGGCCGGCGGGTGAAATTCCTCCTTCAAGGGAAGCAGCCAATGGCAACGACACCAATACTACGAGCCTCATGCCGATGTGGTCTCGCTTGGGCACGGCCTTCACATACAGAACCACGGCACAAGCAGCTGTGGCGCGCGACCGCGCGAGACGATTCTCAGACACAGATAGGCCTCCAGCAGCAGCTTCAAGCACAACATCAGAACGGCCAACTGCGGTACTCAGTAGAGATGGATCGCGCTGGCTTCCTGCTCCCGACGAACGACTACAGCGATACCGCACGAACAGTTCAGTCACTGATCAAAACACAATCGACCCTGCTCCGATCCCGATGGAACAGCATTCCTGCACCTCTCCAGAGTGCGCAGTGACGAAAGTGTTCGAGACGACTGAACTTCTGGAATTGATAATGCAGCATTTGCAGACCTCTGATGTCCTGGTCCTCCGCCGCACCAGCCGCAAGTGGGATGCTACGATCCATCAGTCACCACAGCTGCGCCTGCACTTCTTTACGTATGGTCAATGGAGTAGGCCAGGTTCCAAGTACCAACTTCTGCCATTGAAGCTACCTGGTCTTGAGATCGGCGACGGTAACGGAATCCATCTTGGTCGTTGGATCACAGTGAGCCTTACGCCGGAAGCAGCACGCCGCATCGCTCCCGATGCTCGACACAACAGACGAGTGCGTGCCAGATCGATCAACGAAGGCTTGAGAGGTGGGCTGGGATCTCTCGCGCAGAAGTCTGGCGATTCATGGCCGAACGGCAGTACTACGGCGAGCGACAAGACCACGTCGGCTGATGCCGGCACTCTTCAATACGAGGACCTTTTCGTGACGCAGCCGCCGCTGATGGGGATGCAAGCGTTTCTGGCGAAGCCTCCAAAGGCTCAATCAGACGAAGACAAGTCGACTATAGAGGCCTCAATGTCTGGGTGTCGACTTGACGACCTTGACGAACTCGAGAAACTCGAAGAACCAGAACGACCGTCCGCAAAGCTTTCTTGCGAATCAGGCATGACCCTGGGCTTTCTGGCAGAGACAGCCCAGTCCATATTGTCGCCTTCGGATCCAGCTTCTTCCAAGGTCGAGGAGGCAACGATCGTTTTCAAAGCCATCATGTCGTTCACGGAGCCACAGACGATTTCGAAGAAGCGATCGACCACCCGCAGCGTGGTCAGGCTTGGTCCGACATGATTCGACTCCATTACATTCGTCGGCAGCTACTCGACCTTCCACTTTCGCTTCTCCTCATCTGTGATCGGCCGGCCGTAGTACTTCACCGTCAGTCTCTCCTCCTCACCAGTCACTCTGGCAATGAACCCAACGACTCCAGCAACCATGCCCATCACCCAACCTCCAAAACCCTGATAGCCAATTTCCGCCATAGACGTCAGCATCAGGAGATGCCACAAGTCCGGGAAGCCCTCAGGTGTCCCATGGCCATCATTCACCAAGCCATAAAAGATGTGCAGATTTATCTCGAACCTCTGATGCGCCGGCTCGACCTTGCCATCAAACACAATACTCTCAGTCTTCGATGGATTGAAGAAGCGATGCCACTCGCCCGGCTGCACTCTGTACGTCTCTTTATTCTCTGGATTGAGCAGCATGGGCTTCGTGCCGTTGTGCCCGACAGCGCCGAGGATGCCTTGTTGGGTCATGAAGGTCTCGCCGTAGCCATAGTGGCGGTGTATTGGCACGCCTGTTCATGGTCAACTTCGATGTGCGGTAGCAAAGGTGTGTGGGTGCTGTGGTCACGGACCTCCATCGGGTTTGACGAGGGCTCTGGCGGTGAAGTGCGATCCGCCTGTTTCGATGCCGTATTCGAGGAACTCGACTTCGTCTTTGATGCCGGGGTTGACGATCGTTCGTTTCGAAGGGTCTGTCAAACCATAGGGTATGTGGGTGGCTTTGTACGATGGCATGGTGTTGGAGACGACCTGGGCAGGAGGAAGGTTGCACTGTAGCTTTACTGTAGTCTGTGCGAAGGGACGACCATTCGATCATGAGAGCAATACCGATATATGAAGGCCACTTCAGCCCTTTCAGCCCAGCTCCTGCCCTACCTTCACTACCCTAGCTGAAGGCGCTGAGATAGATACATTTTCCACCGTCGTCCCATGTAGTGCAATCATCGCTCGTGTTACCACTGTGCCCTATCTCCACTACAGAAATCCCATAAGAGAATGCGAGGTCAGGTCAGACTGGCGTTACTCGAGGCACTTCTACGATGAGACTGCGCTTTCCAGACTGATCAATATCAATTGACAGGTGAATTGCTCGACTGCGGACTCTTCATAGGCACTCGGTCTTGTTGGTCATTGGCATTGCACTTTGCAGACGCAGTACCTCCGTGCAAGTCCAAACAACGACCGTCGAATGCAACTCCACTTACCGTCGAGTGACACACTTCAAGAGCAGCATATTTCGCAAACGATGAACAAGAAGTGAATTAAGTTTGCGACATTGATTTTCCGATAATAACAACAACTGCCCTATACATGCTTCATGAGCAAGCAATTCATTAAGGCTGATTGCTGCCTAGATTAGAGATCCAGCAAAAGGCCCTCGAGACTGTACATTTGAGCCAAAGAGATTTGAACAGAGAAGCTGGGGTTGGCATGAAGCTTTCCGATCGTTCGTGAGTGACCTGCTTAGACGCCGGAGTCCTCGGTGACGATGTTGTACGCGGCGGCGTACTCGGACCAGGCGGAGCAGGTGTCTTCGATCTGGCCGCCGTACTTGATGGTGTCGGCGATGCCCTCGAGGTTCTCGATGATCTGGAGCGCGAAGCCCATGGCGTTGTGCTGTAGAACTATTAGCTTGTGTACGTTCGGTAGATGTGTGAAGGGATGTACATACCCAGCCAATGTGGCAATGCAGGAGCCAAACACCCGGGTTGGACGTCTGGAAAGCCAGGACAAGGTAACCTGGCTGGCCCTGGGTAGGGTCAGCAGGCATGACGGCAGTGTCACGACGCGGCGGGCTCTTGAGGTTAAGAGCGACGGAGTCGGAGTACTGGCCGAGACCTTGCGCGAGGATCAGGAAGTCGTGGCCGTGAAGATGGATGGGGTGGGGCAACGGGATGGGCGTCTGGATGATGATGTAGACCCATTCGTGGAGCTCTGGTACCTCGATGGCGAGGTTGCCGGAGGTGTCGGGGACGGTGCCGTCTTCGTAGATCTGCTTGAGGGTTGGGTGCTCCCACTCGGAGAAGAAGGTCGTGCCGGAGAGAGTCCACTTGAAGAGGTTGGTGCCTGGGTACGGGCCGATGACAGCGGCCTCGCTGATGGTCTGGTCGACCGCACCGGCGTCCCATGGGACGATGGGCACGAGCTTGTCGAGTGGCTCGTCAAGGCAGGTGGGCGCGTATCCGTAGCCCTCCGAGGTGGGCTCGGCCATCGGGCCATCGGCGTAGTGGACGATACCCTTGATGTCGAGGTTCTTGAGCTGACCGCATGGCTGCTGGTTGTCGGAGCGCATCCAGTAGTCGGCAGATGGCTGGTTGGCTTTGAGGATCAAGTCGTAACGCTGACCGATGTTGATGACGACCATGTTGGTGCTGTATGGAGTGATCGGGACCAAATCCATAGCAATGACCTCAAGCTCGTGCTGGTCAACGTAGAAGACGAAGGTCGACTGGATGGCGCTGTTGAGAAGGCGCAGGCGGTAGCTCTTACCGGACTGAACGGTCATTTCGAAGCGCTTGCCAGCACCTTCCCAGACGTTCATACCGTTGATGAGACCAGTGTCCAAAGTCTGCGGGCCGCTGGACGGGCTGGTGATGATCTCAGATGGCTTGAAGAGGGTGTCAACAGGGATGTGGTTCCAGTCCTGAAGGGCAACAAACTGCTCGTCATCGTACTCAGCAGAGGCCGGGCCGTGGATGATCATGGGACCCCAGATACCCTCGTAGAGCTGAAGGGCGTAGTGCGAGTGCCACCACGAGGTACCGTAGCTGGTTGCAGTCCACTTGTAGGTCATGCTGTGGCCGGGGGCGATCGGGCACTGAGTGATGGAAGACACACCGTCCATCTCGTTGGTGTGGTTCTGGCGGATACCGTGGAAATGGAGCGAAGTGCCGTTCAAGCCCTCAATGTCGAGGCCGTTGGTAAGGTGGACAATGACCTCGTCACCCCAGTTGGCTTCGATGAGTGGGCCGGGCATGCCGCCTTCGATTACGAGACCCATACGTGGGACACCGTCAGGAGAGATGGTCTCGTTCTTGATGGTCCAGAAGTACTCGACAGTCCTGCAGGTCTTGGGGGTCACAGCGTACCAGTTGTCGTTGATGTCGTAGCCGCACCACTTCTCTGGGTCGTTGCCGGGCTGGCCCTCGCAAGGAACGCAAGCACCCGTACCGGTTGGCGCAGCTGAGCTGGAGCTGCCAGTGGGGATCAGAGAGTAGGACGAAGAAGAATAACTTGTGCCAGTTGGGTAAGCGACGCCAGACGACGACGACGAGCCATAGGGGTAAGGTGGAAGCGAGGCAGATGCAGACTCAGAGACACTGCCGTAGTCTCCTGGAGCAGAGGCAGACGACGAACCGCTTGCACTTGGGTATCCAGCAGGTCCAGACGCCGAAGACGAAGCTCCAGGGTAGCCCCAGCCCTCCGAAGACGCAGGTGCTCCAGAAGAGCCGCTTGCGCTTGGGTAAGCCGCAGGGCCGGAAGCGGAGGGCACCTCTGGGGATCCAGAAGAACCGCTCGGGTAGACAGCGGGGCCCGACGAAGCCGGGTACTCTGGCTCGGTGACAGTCGACGTGATCGTGTCGGTGTACGTGGTCATGCTGTACTTGGTGTAGATCGAAGTCCAGTCGCCGTAGGTGAAAGTGGCAGTCTCGCCATCGCCTCCAGGGCAAGTGGTCTCGTACTCCGTGGTGAACGAGGTAACGTAGACCTCACCTGGAGTGCGGGTTGGCTCTGGGGTGGTCTCGCACGGGCAGACGTATTTCGTGTTCGTGACCGTGTTCGTAACCACGACCATGCTTGGGTGGCCACCGCTCGGGTAGCCAGCTGGCGAAGAAGATTCAGGCGAAACTGGGACGACCATCGACGAGTATTCGCTAGGCACCAAGGAGCTCTCAGGCGAAGCTGGAGCGGAGCCTGACGGGTAGACAGCAGTCGCCGAAGAGGACGCAGGGTAGACTGGAACCGACTCGGACGAAGAGATCGCACCCGCCGAGGAAGACCCGTACACGGGCATCGAAGACGGGCACTCTCCCTCCATCGTTGTGGTCAAAGTGTGGGTGACCTTGTATGGCTCATATTCCGTCGAGCTGCGGTAGATCAACGTCGACGTCTCTTCGCAGGTGCTGGTGTATGTTGTGGTGCAAGCCGGGCCCGAGAAGGAGGCGGAGGCGGAAGACGACACGGCATATCCGGACGAGCTGGATGGGTAGACTGATGGGACCGCCGAAGAAGAGTAGGCTCCGGCACTGCTCGAGGCGTAAATGGACGAGTACGCAGCCGGCGCGCTCGACGACTCCGGTGCGGCTTCAGAGCTCCATCCGTAGGCTGGGGGAGCGGAGTTGTCGTCGCCGTAGGTAGGAGGTGCGGTTGCCGCAGCGCCCGCCGCAAAAGCGAGCGACCAGGATGTGGTCTTCATGGCGTCGCAATTAACCAATATCAGAAAGAATAAATACTATTAATCGATAAGGAAGGACTGTAGTTCTCTTGTACGGATGGCAATCAGGCTCGTAACGAGTGAAGCCTGACGCTGTGCAAGATAATGCTGAAAGCAGAGATAAGAACGGAGAGAGCGTGAGCAGGTCTGCTGCGAGAGAGAACAGGAAAATGTATATGAAAGAGCGCCCCTTCACGGCGCCATGCCTGTTGGTCTGTCGCTTGCTGGCCCGTGAGAGACGTTCGACCCCTGGAGGCACACTAGATGAAGCCTAGTCGCCAGAAGGGCTAACGGCCCCATATTGTTGTCAGAAGAGTCTTACACTGCTGATGCGCCATCAAGCCGCTTCCCAGGCTTGATGGATGACCTGCAAGGAGCGACGGTGCTCGTTGCTATTCGTTGTGCGCGCAATCGATGGAGTCGAGAGGACGATGGCACGGCGGCAAGCGACAGCTGTTCCTGCGTCGACCTGCGTCTGTAGTCGGACCCCACGTTCCCAAGGTTGCTGCCGACGGACGCGATGCCTCTTGCAGGCTGTGGCGTTCTGGGCAGCGCTCACATTTAGACTTCCAAGGAGATTAGCAAGGGGACAAACTGCAAGGATAAGCACGAATTGATCCGCCAACTGTAACGTCAAGAAACGCCCTGACGAGCCGGCGACAAGCTCCTCAGGCACACTCAATCAAAGGCTGACATCAAGTGTCGACATTGCAACTCGGCCATCATCATCGTCAGGAACACACATCAGTTGTGGTCCGCAATCGATGGACGAACACATCGACGAAGTTAGCAGCCAGGCGTGTTCTCCAAGCTTCTCATCACATACAAGCCCACAATGACGGACTCGTCACCCACTTGGCGACGCTTCCTACTCGTGTCTTCTCCACAAGCTGTGATACTGATGTTCTGTTGTGGAACGGCCATGGCTTCCATCCCGGAAGCGCGGCAGCGCGGTGTACTGAACGGACTCGTCTCCAGCAGTGTTCGTTTCTATCTGTCCAAGAATTTGTTCCGAGGAGATCTGATGGGTTCCAAACGAGCATCTCGTTGACCCGGAACCGGTATTTGAGGTCCACTTTGCCTGCTTCCAATGTGCCTACTTTCGCCGCATGGGCGATCCCCATATCACAACACGTGGTCGAGGAGTCCATCGGTGGTGATGTGTCCGCAACGCAGCACACAGCCTCGCCCCGGTTCCAGCGCACGCAGAAGCCCGCGGAAGATTGTTGCAGGTCAGATTATTGCTTCGTGTTCGCCTACCTCCTCCAATCTCTGAGCGGCCCGAATGTCCGCTGGCCATTGTACAGGGCTGAACAATCCAACAGCTTGCGCCGTCGTGCTGGAGACCTGGATGTAGAGGCTTGCTCCTTGCTGGAGAAGAAACAGGTCCTGGGCTGCAAAGCTGAGATCCAAACAATGTCTTGCACATGTGGCACGAAGCAAGGCGTCCTCGAACCTGCAGTGTGGTCTCATGGTTGCAACGGTGTCAGCCACAGCCAGAGGAAGTCGAACAGCCTTGGGCTTGGCCGTTAGGTGATCTTCATTTCGCTTGTCTCTTGAGTTCGCCTCCAGAACGCCACCTCAATCTCTCCTTCAACCCAATCCGAATTCCAAGCCAGACTTCTCCAGGTCTGCGTTTTGGTCAGCCTCGTGTTGCTAATCTTGTGTATCCGGCGAGTCGGTTGTCGGCTTCAACGGAAGCGATCCTGTTAAGTCACGTTGTAGGGCTCCAGGTTGGTCGAAACTCCTTACCTTCAGAGTTCTGAACTTCATATTCAAGTCGCGCTGTCCAGTCGATGAGCGGACAGTCACATCGAGCCTGAGCTGGTTGATAGTGTTGATGGAGCGTCCGTCGTCAATAGAAGGGACCAAGACGGGCGCGTGAATGCCTCAATATCTGGCCAACGACTTGTCATTGTCGACAAAAAGATCAGAGTATGAAATCAACAGGACTGTCGAGCAGTAAAGGCTTCGAGTACATATACTCGCAACGTGAGCGCTCATGAGCAGGTTTGAGCATGGGCGGAGATTGCAGATTCGGGGACAGAGAGGCAGAGGATCCGAGTGATCATTAAACATTACAGCTCCTACATTTTCACCTCCAAAGTTCCAAAACCACATCGCTCATATTATTCAAACAGACACCATGATGTTGCCCCATACTTATGTAAACAAGGCCAAAAGGTCTGCTTCATATCTCGATCCTTAACTATCATTAGTCCAACGCCAACTGCTCCGCACCCACGGTAACGGTCTGGACTACCACCACACTCGTGTATGCGTAGCTGACGCAGAGGTTGCCACTGCAAGAGATTGACGCGGTGGTGCCTTCGGTGGTCGACAGAGGGGTAGTTGGAATCGTCAAAGGGCTGGAGGCTGTCGTGGCTTCGGCGGTTGGCGTTGGAGGACTGGCTATGGGCTCCGGGGCCGCAGGGGTCGCCGTGGTGCTGAAGCCGGTGGTCGGTGTGGCAATCGTCGGACTGGCAATGCTTTGACTAGCCGTGGTCGGAGGAGTAGTTGCCAAGGTTGGCACAAGGCTCTCTGGACTTGCATTCGGTGAATTGCGGCGTGACGACAGAGACGACCGCACGCTGGGAGCCAGGCTAAGAGTCGTCGAAGAAGCGGGTGCAATGCTCGGAACAACCGGCGCCAAAGACATGGTCGCAGTGCTGCTCCGACCTTGGGCATTCGACAACGCAGTGGTACCAGATCCAGTACTGATTGCTGGCGTGCCCGAAGAGAGGGACGTAGTCGGCCGAGGGGTGGCGAATGTCGTGGTTTGGAACACCTTGAGGTAGTTCACCTCCCAGTAGGAATTGACGAAGGATTGCGGGCTGCTTGCTACGAACATGTTGCAGCTCGCCCAGCCCTGGATCGCCTGTTAGCATGGTCGGCTTTGATGCTTTGCAACGGGCAATGGTACGTACATCATCAGGATCCAGCATCGGACACCCATTCGCCTGCCACACATTCCCAGCATACTGGCCGCAAAAGTCAATGTTGAAGACTAGCGACATGTTGTAAAAGTGCTGGTCGAGCGCGCAGCTGCCCTGGAAGTTCGCGGCGGGCAAGCCAAAATCCTCAACCACAGGCGTGCCGGCGACAATCGAAGCAGGAATGGCCTCACGCGGGAAGAACCATACACGGATGGCTCTGGATGTCCATTCCATCGCGTAGACACCTCCTCCGTTGGCATTGAAGCTGTCTCCGGAGTTGTTGGCTGAGGTCTGGACGACTGTACAGCCAGTGATGCCACCTTCGATCTTTTTGGAACTGTCAGTAGGTGAAGTTCGGATGAAGGGTGGTCACCTACACCGCAATCGGCGGATATCAAAGTGCCTGTCTGTCCTGCGCCGGCGATGGAGCATCCTGGGGTAGTGTGCAATGCCATGAGGTTGTTCGGTACATTGTTGGTATACTCAATGATGTCGATCTCGCCTTCGGCTTCAGTCAGCCCTCTGAAACCCCACATCCAAGGCAATACTCACCACTCTCCGGCCACATCCCAGAGCCCAACGCCCAGAACGCTGGCCAAGTTCCACATTGGTTGGCAGGCACATGCGCCAAATCAGCAATGAACAGGCCATGCGTCCAGCTCTCGAGCGTAGTGATGCGAATCGAAGGCCTTCCGAGCGGTGATGTCGGGTCGAAGATCTGAGTGGTGTCGACACCCCAAGTCGCTGAAGTGTTGGTGACGTTGATCATACCAAAGCCTTGTGCGGCTTCCTGGGAGACATACTGGACGAAGCCGTAGGTCGGGTCCCAGGAGTTCCAGAAGTTGAAGTTCTCGAAGAAGGTCTCGCCGGCGAACGTGCTTTGGAGCTGGTATTGAGCGCTTGCTACCCCTGCAAAGGTCGTGATGGCGTGGAAGGACCGCATGGTGAGCTGTTGGACGGAGAGACGGTAAAGACCGGAAGTGACTGCAATTGCGGTTGAGAGGAACCAAGAAGAGAGCGACTTTGCCAAATGAAGGACAGCCCAAGAGACAACGAACACAAATGAAGGAATGACCAAAGAGCGAACGGTAGAGGAAGAGAGAGAAGGCGTAAGCAAGACAGAAAGACGGAGCAGAATGTTGAGTCGAGGCATGGAAGTCGCAGCAGGCCTCCACGTCAACGCTGGACGAATATGGGCAAAAACGAGCTCAGTCAACCGCACCTCCTCCATCTGTTAAACGCCGCATCATTCTGACATTCCTCTGCAACGTACTTCACTTGTCTTTTCAGCACTGAATGGAATGGCGGGCAGCTCACTCGACTGCCACGCAGAATTGGCTGCCTGCAATTCCAATGAGTGGGAACGATGCATCGTGGTCTTCGTTACGGACATCAAATTGATCAAGCCTTTGCTCAGAGTCTCTCTTGTCATACTCGATGCAAGCAGGGTCGACGGGGATGCTGCTGTCCTAGGCTTCGGTAGACTCTTGTTTGTCACGCCTGGAAGACAATGACTCGCCTGGCGCTGCTGTGAATTTCCATCACTTTCCAGTGGTACAGGGTGCCCATTAGCACAAATTAGGCCGCCTCCGCAATCGATCAAGCTCACTGATGGCCGCCAGTTCAACCCAGTGGGTTTCACAGGTAACCCTCACGATGAAATGCCCTTCATGTCGGCGCATTCCCATCCCCTGCGGCACTCATCTGCCAATCGAAAGATTCTGGCATCCCCATCATGTCCAGGGGCATCGTAGACCAGTCCTCCAGCCCAGTCAAACCACCCTGCGACAGCGCGTTCATATCACCCCACATCTGTAAGAAGTCGTTGTCCAGCTGCATTTGGTTGTTCGGGTAGGGGTATGGCACTGGCTGATACGAGTCGAAGTTCGACATCTGGGCACCTTCGTCTGGCGTCAATCCGTTCTCTTCGCCGTGGTCTAGTGCTGCCGTCGTCTTCGCTACGTATGCGCTGATATTGTCGTAGACCTCAGGATCGTCTTCTGGCGAGGTTTCCTCGCTGCTCACGTGTTCAGTGACCCTGAAGGCAGCGGTACTGCTCTGCGCTCGCGACTTGTCTGTGTTCATTGGAGCCGACTGTGTCCCATGGGCGATATCAATAGCAGGCCGCCCCGTACCGTCTTGCTGGCCCTCAAGCATCTGCGGATTCAAGCACCACTGCCTCAGCTTCAAAAGTAGAGCAAGAAAGATCGCAGGTACTCTCCGCTGAGCCGATCCTACGATAGATTTGACCTGTACAATAGCCTTGTTCATAACCGCGTCGACCTTCAAGCTGCTCTTGTCAATAACCCTGCCGATCTGAGAGCCAGGATGAGCGGTAGAAAGACACAACTTCGCAAGGATGAATGCGGCGAACGAGATGCGGACGTAGATGAACACCGGCAATGCTCGGCCTTGCTCCGGAGGCATGCTGGTAAATGTGTTCATCAGACTGTGAGCGCTTGACACGCAGTCAGCTACTGCTGTTGCGAGGACCTTTGTCGGGATTGAGGATGCGTCGTCTCTCCGATCCCATTGATGGACTGGTCCCATTTGGTACGGCGCTTTGAAATCTTCAGGTGAATGATCCACGTGTAAGGCCACTTCATGGAGGTAGATGCGGATGCTGTAGAACATCATGGTTACAGGGGGAGATAGGCACGAATCAGGCGTGGTGGAATACCAGTCGGTGAGCCGTTTCTCGAAGTCTTTCAACATCATCTGCGTGCGCAGCTCAGTGATCGAGGCAATGTCTCCCGGATCGTCGTACGAGAACGAAGTACAGATCTCTTCGGCGATAATGTTCAACCTCACCCAAGCAGCCAGCGTTCGATCCGAAGGCACAGAGTCTGAGGATCGTTCAAGGTAATCGAGGCAGTCTCGGATATAGCTAGAGACCCGGAGCATGTTCGGCCTCCTCAAGCTCATCGAGACGCTGCCGCAGACGAGGTAGCAGGCGAGGTATGTCCTCCGGCTCTCCAGACTCGCAGTATCTGGACTCGTACCTCTCGAACGCGGTGTCATCGACAGGTCAGGGTTAGAAGCGTCCTCAAGATGATGAACGCGACCCTGCCTTGAGGGCTTGTTTCCGAAAAGATTGCGATGCGGAACAGGTCGTGTCCCGATGCCGATGTCCAAGGCCATCGTCGCAGCCATATGAATGTATTCGTAGTACTTCAACTGGCCGAACCTCGTCGGCGGATGGTACCACACCGCGCTGATCAGAAGTGCCTGAACGAGCTCCAGGCTCTTCTCGCACTGAACAACGTGCCTCTCAGCATACATGTGCAATACTTCCTTGTCCAGCACTGCAGAGAGCTCAGAGTTCTCTTTGCCAGCAGCAGCCGCGATGATTGCCAAAAACAGTGCAGGCTTCGTCTTCCGTAATTCATCAGCTGTAGTTGACTCCGGTATGACGACAATGGGATAGATAGGACACAGATCGGTGCGATACGATTCAAAGAGCTGTCTCGCGGTGGCCATCGATATCAGACCGGTTTGAACTACATCCTTCGTCTCTGACGGCTGGTTCGCAAATCGAGAAGGCCACAACGTCGGCCCTCCATGTTGCCTCGAGAGATTGCCCTGTGGTTGTACACCCGAACTCGCCTGAGCCACACTACTCTGACCGTACTCGCCTGCCCTGACAGGTGCCTGCAGCGAATTCTCTTCAAACCACAGGCCAAATGGCCGAGGCGACAGTCCAACATTCCTCGTAGCATTGTTTTGACCCGCAGACTTGGCTTCCTTCTCTTTTGCCTGCAGCGCCGCTCTCATCGCCCTCATATCCCGCTCTAATTCTGAGACGCGCGTGTCTGTACGTTTCCTCTGCCTTCTCTTCTGCAACGGTGTGAAGACACACGTCCGTCCCGCCCTGGCGCATCGCTGGCAGGCCTCCGAGTCGGCGGTGTCTAAAACGCATCGAACTTTTTGCCCGCGACAATTTGCGCATGCTCGATGCGACGGCACTTCCGTACCGGTGAGGTCCTGGACTGCGGCCATTTTGAGTCGTCGGTCGACGAACTATAGCCCAGCTGTGCGGGTGGTAGACGAGATGACTTGGGTGGAAGGCCCTACGTGACTTAGCCCTTTGTTCATCATGCACCTCGCATGTTATGGAGATCTCCAAACTCGAGTCAAGGAACGGTTACGTGTAGAAGTAGAAAGGCGTTAAAAGTGCTGTGTTGGAGGCAGAGTCAGCTTGCTTGAAAAAGCGGCCCCTACCTTAGTGGGACGATCACATGCACGAGATTCTGCTGGCAGCCAACAGGTATGTTGCAATCAAAGGAAGATATTCAGAGCCTATGGAATCATTTCACAATACTCCATCGCTTCCCTTAGAACGCAAATCCCTTCGACATGATGCCATTCCAGACACCATCGCAGTACACCCTCTATCACACAGCCTTCGCCTTTCCCTTTCCCTTGCTATGCACCTGTGCTTCGGGCACTTCGTACGCCGGAAGACCGAACCCGTCCATCTCTTCACCACCGCCGAACATCTTCGAAGCAAGTACACGAGCAGCCCCAGGTGCGAGCAACGTCCCGTGCCGTCCAAATCCATAGCACAACCACACCCCGTTCGAGTACCCATCCGCACCATTCGAGGTCGAGATGCCTAGAGCAGAAGCCGGTACTCGATCGATGATAGGCGCGTCTCCGTCCGCAGTGCTAAGCTCAGAACGACCTGCAGCCTGAACCTGCTTCTTGTCCTTGAGATTGAGGCCTTCGCGGTTGAGGTATGGTGCCGTCAGAGCTCTCAGCTCGTTGGTCTTTGCTGCGCGAGCTTGGAGGGCTTGTTCCGGTGGGAGTCTGACTTTGCTCACGGCAGCGCCGAAGCCTGTGACTTTGACGGTATTGGCTGTGGGACGAGCGACCATGGTGATCTGATCTTGGAGTTTCCTTTCGGTCGCGGCTGCTTTGGGAAGGCGTAGCGCGACGTCGTCGATGGCAGACTCGATGGTTGCAGATATCGTGAACCAGTGAGCGGCGCGTATGTTGTTGTCGATCGAGACTACCTGGTTGGCGAAAAGTTGGTCGAAGATGTAAGTCGTGAAGGGACCGGCTGCCAGGATCAGGTTTGAACACGAGAGTGCCTCGAAGCTGCCTTCCTTGCTATAGTCCTGGAGATGTATGCCGGTCAGCTTCGAATAATCGTCGAAACTGGTATTTGCGATCGTATGGTTGAAGCGGAACGAGACGTCGAGGTTCTGGCACTCGGCAAGGAGCCACGAAGCGAGTTTGGTCGAATCACTGCCCTTCTGTTAGCTGACACCCAACATGAGATAAGGCGTTCACTACTTACAGACGCCCAAGCGAGCCTTGACTCGCCTGCAGGTATACATCCTCGCCACCGGTGAACCAGGACGGAAGGTCCTCTCGATCGTACAGACCATCTTCGTAGACGATGAATGATGTTTTGGCACTGAAGTCTAGCTTTTGGTGTGCATTTGGCAAGGCGAGTATACCCAGCCAGGCCTCTTTAGCTTTTTGAGCAAGCGAGTGCCACGCTTCAGGCACGTCTTCAGTACTCAGAATCCCGTCGCAATGGGCCGATGCCGCCTGACAGACAGCTGACTGGACGTCAACTACGGTAATGTTGTAGGCTGCCCCTGCCTTCTTGGCCTCGAGGGCGAGTTGTCGAGCGACAAAGAGGCCGACAAACCCGGCACCAAGGATAGTGATGTGAAAGTCGTCTGCTGTCGGGTGAGTTCCGTTGACAGTTGTGATATCATACCCTGGGGCTGCATGCGAGACTGTGCTGATCGCTGAAGTCGTGTCCTGCTGCTGATGATCCACCTTTGGTTTCTTACGTGGCGTTGCTTCTTCTCCGGGAGTCTCGTCGGTGCCGCCCCGTACTGGCTGACGCGTTGCCAGCTTGCGCTTGCGGGGCGCGCGTTGACCTGGTCCATCGTTTTCGGCTTTCGTTGACGGTACGAAGTCATCTTCCGGCTTGCCAGCCGTCTCTGAGGGAGAGGGGACGGCGGCGGACTCGGGTAATTCCTTTGCAGCTTTCTTTTTTGGCTTCGGCTTTGTGATCCCCTTTGTTCTAGCTTCCCTCGTAGCAGCAGCAAGCTTCTGCGCTTCACGTGCGCGAGCCTCCTCTTCGAATCTCTTGGGTGGCGGCGGCTGGGAGGCCTGCATATTGGAAAACGCAGGGTTCGTCTGCGAGAGGCCGAACCTGGGGTCGCACCAGCAGAGCACTTCGACATGGTCTCGCGAGGCAGCCTTCTGGTAGTCGCTTCTCGTTGAGTTGCTGTCGAGGCATTCCGAACAGATGTGGCGCAAGCACTTTTTGCACCGCCAGCTCCACTTCCGAATTCGTTCTTCACATAGTTTGCACTTTTGCGTCTTGATCTTCATCTGCTCCCAGCCATCTACTACGTTCAGCTGTGTGCCGTCGTCGTTAGTCAGCACCTGCTGCGATTCCTGCTTCGCCGTCCCTTCCCGGGGTTTCTTAGGGGGACCACCCTGATCCGGCGGCCCTGTCGACATGGTGAGGATGCAGTTGTCAGGTAGCGGCGCCGAGTCTCGAGGAGGATCTTGAGACCAGATGGAGGTGGCAATCGGGGTGTTTGGCGGTCCACAGTTGGTGCTTGAAGTTCGAATGGTTTTTGTCCGCCCGCCAGGCGCAAGATCTTTGTTGAAATGGTGTGGGACAAACAAATCGCGTGCCAAAAGCCGGTTGCCTTAGATATTAAGCCGCGTCAAATGCTTGCTTGCACAAGCGGTCATATCGTCTCGTGAATGGATGAAAGCCACACTTACTGCGCCAGGCAAACAAACGTGCCTCGCCAAAGCTGCGTCATGCTGAAGGCATATGCATTGGACATTGGGGACATACCTAACGCGACCCACCTTAAACACACTGATCTGACGGCCACTGATGTCGAGTCGGTCCAGGAAATGCCACCGACATAGCCCGGCTAGAGGCCGCTCTGCTAGTTATACCAATATATCATCCACCGCACGGCGCGTCGATGTACTCGAAGACGACGCGTATCTTGAACACATGTTCTCATCCGCTTTCAACATGACCTTGTATTCGTAGCGGCCACGCTCCATGCACGCGACTCGAAGACATTGAAGCGTCAGCGGTTCGACCTCCCGCTGTCCGGGAAAAGACTGCAATCATGTGAAAGCGCACGGCAGCGTCAGTGACAAATGAGGCTTGCAAGCCGCTTTGCTGCCCATGAACAGCCTGATAAACGACGATAGTACTCCCCATCCTCCTGCAGTAAGAGCAGGAGCAAGAGGTGGAGTGGTGGCCGTCGCAAAGAAATGCTACGACTCGACGAATCAGATGTCAGAGTTCTCGAGACACGCGGACCGGCGTATCCTGTAACCACCCCGATCCGCTCCAGCGGCGGCGTCATTGAAGGCTCCAGGTCGCAGTGGTTTCCTCCAGAGGACAAGTTTCCATACACGACACGCTGTAGGGCCTTCTGTATATATCCCACCGCTCGCTCGACTCAAGGCTCTCGACTGCTTCCCACAGTACTCGATGGCACCCTACCTCCAGCTACTCGGCGGCTCTGCCGTGCTCGCTTACATCCTGCAGAGATTCTCGCCATATCCTATTGGAACCATTCTCACGACGGTGATCTTATTCTCAGCATCGTTCACGGCCTATGCGTTCTGGTATGTCGTGGTGTATCCAAAATTCCTCAGCCCGCTTCGCCACCTACCAACGCCACCGGACAATGCATTCTTTACAGGCCAGACAAAGCAGATCATGCGAGAAGCGTCCGGCATACCCATGAGAAAATGGAACGATACCGTGCCCAACGAGGGCTTGTTGCGCTACAGCAATTGGTTCCAGGATCGAGTGCTAGTAACCGGACCCAAACAACTTGGAGAAGTGCTGGTGACGAAGAACTACGACTTTGTGAAGCCAAGGCAGTTCCGCCACAACCTAGGCCGCATACTAGGCGTAGGCATCTTGCTGGCGGAGGGAGATGAACACAAGATGCAGCGGAAGAACCTCATGCCTGCATTCGCGTTCCGCCACATCAAGAATCTGTACCCTTCGTTCTGGAGCAAGTCGCGGGAGATGACGGAGTGCGTAGCTGAAGCCTCCAAGTCGACAGTGCCGCATTCCGAAAAGTCGAAGTCTGAGGATAGCGAGAAGGCGGCAGCAGATGCACCTCAACACGCACCAGGCGTTCTTGAGGTTGGCAATTTCTCTTCCCGAGCCACCCTGGATATCATCGGACTCTCAGGTATGGGACAGGACTTCGACTCGCTCCACGACGAGAACAATGAACTCAACAACACCTACCGCAATATCTTGAGTCCCAGTAGGGCGAGCATCGTCCTCTAGATCCTTGGTGCGTTCGTTCCGCCGCAAATTCTTACGCGGCTGCCGATAAAGCGGAACAATACCATCGATGGAGCATCACAGTACATTAAGCAAGTTTGCCGGGATCTGATCGCCAGCAAGCGCGCCAAGCTGGCAGAGAAAGAAGAGACAGGTCTTGATATTATCAGCGTGGCCCTTGAGTCCGGCGGCTTCACCGACGAAGAGCTAGTCAACCAGATGATGACGTTCCTCATCGCCGGTCACGAAACCACCGCAACAGCAATGCAGTGGGCGCTGTACCTTCTATGCAAGAACCCAGAAGCGCAGGAGAAGCTGCGACAGGAAGTTCGGTCTAAGCTCCCCAGCCCTGACGAAGACCTCACGGCTGCAGAGTTGGACAACTGCAACTACCTCCGCGCTGTCTGCACAGAGACGCTCCGTCTTTGCGCGCCGGTCAGCCTGACATTGCGAGTTGCAGACCGCGACACGAGCATAGGCGGCCAGTTCATACCCAAGGACACGACTATCATCCTCGCCCCCTGTGCGACCAACACCTCCAAACAACTCTGGGGCGAAGACGCTCTCGACTTCAAGCCTGAAAGATGGCTCGATGCCGATGGGAAGGCGAACAACAAGGGCGGCGCAGAGTCGAATTTCGCTATGATGACGTTCCTTCATGGGCCGCGCTCGTGTATTGGGCAGAAGTTCGCACAAGCGGAGTTTGAGTGTCTTCTTGCTGCTTGGGTGGGCAGGTTCGAGACTACTTTTGAAGAGGGGAGTCCGTTTATTGACAATGAGCCGGAGATTAAGGGTGGGATAACGTCGAAGCCGAAGGGCGGGCTCTGGGTGCGGTGTAAGGAGGTGGGAGGGTGGTAGGCGGAAGTTTTGCGTCAAGATATCCTCACTCGGCTTTACCCAGGTTCGAACTCTATGGCATGTATAGAAGCAGAGTTATCTTCTACGAGCTTTCTTCGGAGATGCAAATGTATCCAAAAGGGTCCAGATCCGCACGCCCGCGAGGCCGTCTACTTCCACTTAGATTTGCATCCTTTCATCAAGCTCTCATACTGCCCATGTTGAGACCATGAGATATCTGAGTAGCCTTCACCCGTCAATCCCGATGGTGAAGCGTCGCACTCCGGTCCTGCCCGACCATGACTCGCCGGACGAGTTTCTCAAAATGGCAATGACTTCCTAATCGGGCAAAAGCTCTGCACAGGCAAGAGCAATAACGCTCCGAGTTGTGAGGCATAACGTTATGGATCTCCGTGTAGATATATAACTGAGAAAGCCGCGATCTATCTGCTCGTTCATCATCCAGTGTCTCGAGAAATACACAGCAATCCCCTGTATCCACTGCTGAAATACCCAACACAAACATCAAACATGGCATCTCCCACCCAACAACCATACAACTACTCCCTCCAATCCATTCCAGCCGCCTTCATGCTCGGCATCGTCCCGCATAGCTGTACGTAACTCTTCCAACGCCCTCCAAAACCCAAGTGTAACTCTGACCTCCAGCAACAACAGACTGCCTCGTCCGCTTAATGGCAGCAACCCGCGGCCAGATCTCCACCGCCATGCCACGCACCAACCTCGAAACCTGGAAGACCAAGCTGCCCACGGACCTGTGGAACCACCTGGCGAGAGCACGAGGAGCGCATTTGAATTCGATGGAAGTGTTCCCGCTTTTTGCCGCTGCGATGGTACGTCTCATCTTGAAGTGGTGTATCGCTCAAATGCTGATACGATGTAGGTGGCGGGTAATGTCGCGCAACTGCCGGCGAGAGATATGAACTCCATGGCTTTGTCGTTCTTCGCCGCACGCACGCTGTACATGGGGTTGTATTTGGCGGTAAAGAGCGATACGCTGGCGTATGCGAGGACGGGCGTGTATGCTTGGTCGATTTCGATTCCGATTATGGGGTTGTGGAAGGCTGGACAGGTGCTTGCGAGGGACTGAAGTCGTGTGAGGTGACGTAATGGATCGGAGAGCTCGAGAAGTTTGCAGTGCATCCAACCAGGCGTGCTTCTCCTCAGCCGGTCATCCTGAGAGTGTTTGACCACGCGTTATAGCGAATCCTGACGGCCATTCTTCTTTCCTCGTCCGAAGAGTACGCATTCTGTTCCTCCCACTGAGCCTTGGTAAGCATGACCGTGTACGCCACGCCGACTTCATGACCCGAGAACAACCACGAGTGCTTCGGCGAAGGCTGCTTCTGCAGGTCCAAGATCAGATGCGCGAGAGCCTGGGTTTCCTTCTCGAGCGACATTCGTTGCTGATCGCACACCGCCGCCAATAACCGCTTGACGATGGCAAGACATTCCAGCGCGCTGCCGAACAGCTCCCTGCGCAAAGCGAGCTCCTTCGGAGGCGGCAAGGCCAGCGACAGTCGAACGCAGTGAGCCTTGTAGTCTTCCATCCAGTCAATGAAGCCCCGATGTGCCGTGCGACATCTCTGTTCGAGAAGAGACAGCGCGTGGTCGTTGAACAACTCGGGCCCGGTGATGGCTTCACCGACATCATGCCAAAGGCCGGGCAGAGGAAACATCATCAGCCGCGCGTTGATGGTCAACGCACTGCGGTCATGGAGGAAGTCGGACTCCTGGGTCAACGAACGGTACAGAGCGCTCCACTCCTCGCCCTCTAGATAACATGGCGTGTTATTGACAAGACACTCCGACACAATGGGCCCTATATGAGCTGCAAACAGGGCTTTCTCAAACTCCGACACGAAGCGATGTGGCGTGCGATGTCTAATTAAGCGAGCAGACCCGCTAATGTGATGGGACCATGCAGTGTCTCGGGATGGGTCTAGAAGCTGTACATTGATTAGATTGATCAGGACTTGGAAGGGCGCGGACTTACCTCATGCAGACTCATCAGCTGCGTGGCACAGAGTACATCTGCCTCTCCACAAGTCTCCTCATTGGAGATGGCGGATTGCAGGCTGCGGAGCGCTTTGGCGTACAGCTTCAGATTGAGCTCCTTGCATGAATAGTTGGGTATGAGGGTGGTCTTTGCCTTCGCTAGTAGACAGTTCGTAGCTGCGGTTATCACTTCACTGGTGCCATATATGCTTGGCACGTATTGCAAGTAAGACCTGGGGGCTGGGGTTAGCTCGTCGCAAGAAACGCCATGGCATGGAACACTGCATACCACTGCTGCTGTCCCAAGAGACCGGCCAGCCGTGTCGGGTCCGCCGACAAGATCGGGATAGTGCTCTTGCCGACATTAAAGTTTGTCAAGATTGACAAATCCGCGAGGTCGACCTTGAATTTGGCACGAGCAGTCTCGTAGTTTGAGAACAGATTGATTGCAGCGAGAGACACGCCACTGCTACCCTCATGCAGCAGCGCCACGTTTACGGCCTTGCATCCTGTTCGGAGGGCCTCGTCGTCGTAGACCGTGGGGTCGGTGTCGCTGGTCGAATCAGATGAGTTGGCCTTAGTAAGGTCGAGAGTCGCGGAGCTTTCGCGACTGCTGTGCGGTCTGACTACAGGCCGGATTTGGACATTAGTGTCCTCGAACAGAGGCATCTGCCTCATGTTGACGCGGCCATAATTCCCCCGTTTCTTCCTGGCCTCGCCGACATCCTTCATGGCTTGCTTCCGGATGATGCGCCTCGCTCGTGGGTCATCAACTTTCGGCCCCGAGACGAGGATGAACGGGAAGCTCTTGGTGCTCATGGTGGTGGTGGTGGTGGTGGTGCTCATCCTGGAGGAATAATTTGTGATCAAGGGCTTGAATGGGAAGGTAGTCGACTAATGTCTACGATGCGAGCTTCTCCAGGGCGGCAGGCGATGCGTTTTGACTCAGCACATACTGACTGCGTCCTATGTTTGGCGTTGCGTACGTAGAACACCCGTGGTTCTGGATTGCGCTGGACTGCAGCAAGAATGCTTCCGGCAAGGACGGTGTACAGATAGATTGGAAGGAACTGCCAGAGTACCGCTGCCTCTTTGTGGACTAGCACCGGTGGGGCTTGCTGACTGATGACCGCCAGTTGTTGGTCTTCTCAACGTCTTTAATCGTGGACCTCCATTTTATGGACTTTCCATTCAAGCTGATCGAGCATGCTTTCCGGATCCACGGGGTGACGGGGCGATGGTTATGGAGCGGTCGGATCTGACTGTGTGGATGGCGGCGACGCAAAGTCCAGCAGATGTCGCGTCCATCACGAACTGGCGTCTCCCCACCGCTCGTCCGATGCGCGGTAAATCACGGCGAGGGCGCGTGCAGGGCAAGGGACGGGGAAGCTGCTGTATTCTCTTCCAAAGGCCATTCTCCAGGATCCTCATAGTGCCGGTAAGGGATCGAGGTACTATCCGGTGAATGCGAAGTCATGATGGTATGAAGAGCGTGAGACCACGTCGAGGCATCACTTCACTTCACCAACACCAAGTCAAAGACCGACGCCTTGGCGAAGATCTCTGTGCCGGCTCCAATGCACTCCTCAGTGAGGTCACCACGAGGGGGACGTTACATGGTGTGATGAGAACGAGGGCGCTGACCTCCAGTAATAATAAGATGGTAAGTGCTGAACCACTGAATGTTCCAACAATGTACACGCATGACCATGCTCCAAATACGTCTCTTCGTCTTGACGATCGGTCTTCACCTTGCGGCAGGCAGCGTCGACACCCGACTGTCGCCAATCTACGATGAGAACGTCCATGCAAGAATCTGGAGGACCGCGCTGACAGGTCCGCCGACACTCTTCGACGATGATGGTTGGCCTCAGTACACCCAGGGGGCTCACAACAACACTCCGCCCAGCGATACCGAACCGGGAGTGTACGTCAGCACCGCAGCCGATGGTTGGACGGCAGGCTTCTTTCCGGACTCGCTGTGGCAATTGTACCATCGCCGGCGAGATCTGCAGTCTGAATTAGCATTCAAGTCTGAGCCAACGTTGGAGGACTGGCTAGCTACTGCTCAGGACTGGACAGATCCTCTCATCGCGAACAGAAATCTGACAAACACGCATGACATTGGATTCCTCGCCAAACCGTTCCAGAGCGCTCTTCGCTTCAACCGTGAGACCAGATGGCTGCCCGTGTTGGGCCAAATGTCATACAATCTGGCCTCTCGCTTTGTCCCGACTGCCGGGGTCATTAGATCCTGGGACACGGACAACAGCTCTTACTCATCTCGTGGCTCCCATGAAGATTCGGTCCTTGTCATTATCGACAACATGATGAATCTTGCCTTACTGATGCAATCCGCCGTCGAGTACACTCACAATGACAGGCTGCGCGAGATTGCAGCATCCCATGCCAATCGCACTCGAGACAACCACTTCCGTCCTGACGGCTCTTCCTACCACGTGTGCGATTACAGTGGCTCTACGGGAGACGTGTACCTCTGCCGCACCGCGCAGGGCCTCTCTGACAATAGCACTTGGGCACGAGGGCAGGCGTGGGCAATTTACGGCTTCGCAGAGATTTACTCATTGACGAAAGATCCATCGTATCTCGAGACAGCCATGCGAGCAGCAAACTACTTCATCGAGCATCTGCCGCAAGATGGTCTGCCGTTCTGGGATTTCGATGCTCCTTACATTCCGAATGTGGCGCCTCGAGACAGCTCTGCTGCTACGATAGCGGCTAGTGGACTCATGCTCTTGCAACAGCAGATCGACAGCTGTGGTCGAGCGGCAGGGGCGCAAAACTACACCGATGCTGCTACCAGACTGCTCCGTAGTGCTACAGAACTGGCTCTCGCAGGCGAGATCGGTTTTGAGGACATTGACCAGGCCAAGCCTGGCGCTTCGCTTGGTGCGGTCACTGAGATCGATACACCGGCGAACACAACAGTGTCGAGTGGGTTTGAAAGCATCCTCATGCATGGTACAGCAAACAACAATCCCAATGCTGGCGATGGCAGGAGCTATGATACTGGACTTGTCTACGGCGACTATTATCTGATCGAGGCTAGCAACAGATTGCTTGAGATCGCACGAGATCGCAAGTACGAGAAATAGGTCCATAGGTATGATGGTACAAAACATCTTCCATTTCGTTAGAGAGCAACAAGCATACATACAGCTCAGTCGTGCTGAGATCAGTTCTTCTGGTCAATATGCGTACTTCCCAACGCCATAGCCTGCTGGAAGATCCACTCCTTCGCCTCAACCCCCTCTTCATCCATATCATCAGCCGGCGGTACGCCCTTCCCCTTCAGAGTCTTCAACCTCGAGTGGTCGACTGGCCGCACGAAGTAGACGATGCTGTATCTCGGCCACTTGCCTTGCTCGCCGGGAGAGGGGATGACACGATGCCTGCCGCTGCACAGTACACCGTTTGTGAACTTCACCGCCGCATCGCCGAGGTTCACAATAGCGCAACCCTTCTTCGGCTTCACCCAGAGCCATTCGCCAGGGACATCGGGCTCGAGCGGACCGGCTTTGCGGGAGCTCTCGGACCAGACTTGGAGGCCTCCAAGCCAGTTCATGAGGATGGTGATGCTAGATGCTGTGTCAGTAGGTGTCTTCAAGAAGTCGATGACAGTAACTTACGTCCCAAAGTCCGTATGACTAGGCGTCTGAATCTCCGGCATCTCCACCGTCTTCCTCGGCGGCCCCCTCGTAAGCCTCACATGATCACCTGCCCGCTCCTCAATCTTATGCCGGCTCTTGATCTCCTCGGGATCGATGCCGAGCTGTCGAGCGAGAACGTCCATCACGAGCATGCCGATGCCGTGCGCGGAGCGAGAGTAGTCTGCGAACAGCGACTTCTTCTCCATGATCTCCTTGGGCCATGGGCGCACCATTTCGTTGTCCGGGACGATCATGTCGTTCTTGCTGACGTTGAAGAACTCGGCGCTGTCGCGGGTGCCGGTGGAGTCGACTTTGGTTGCGCCGAGCATTTTGTAGCTGGGGTTGTGTTAGCTGTCGCAGTTCAGTCCCGCGAGAATGATTGGGAGCGTACCCAAACAGCTCCTTCTTGTTCGGCGTGAACTTCATCTTCTCCTCGTTTGGTAGAGCCATAAACCGTTCGCCAACGCGTGCAATCTCCTCCGAGCCCTTTAGGATGGTTTCGCCGGACTCCGGCCCACCAAGCTCAAGGTAGAAGAAGCCACGGCCTTTGCATGCTTCGAATACTCGGTCTTCTTCAGTGGAATCATGGTCGAGGAGCTTTTGCAGGGAAATGGTCTTCAGCTCGACTCCCGGGAATTCTTGACTGTCTGGGAACGGAGGGTATTGTTCGGGCGTGAACTCGGTGTAGTCCTCTCGGTGCGGCATTTTGAATCAATGGTACAGAAGTGTTAAGAGCAAGAAAGCGGAAGTGCGAGGGTGAACGGGATATGGAAGAGGTGTGGAGAAGACGAGTTGTGATATAGTTACGGAGATGATGCAAAGCTCGATGGAAACTGTCCGTGATGTAGCCAGACGGTGGATTCAGTGTGATCGGTGTGGTGTTCCGCCTTCGTGCAACGAGAGCAGGTAAGAGAAAGTGGCGTTGTTGTTCGGCAGACAGACGATGCGAACCCTATGTAGATAGGTACATCCCCCACCATCCCCGCAGTTGCCCGCAACACTGGAACGGAATAAGGGCGGTTCTGTTCCGTGGCGCGTCTGCGATCATTTCTCTGGCACGAACTTCACTCTGGACGCGAGGGAAGATGCTTTACGTTGTTTGAAGATGTCGCCAGTATGTAATCGAGAGATGCATCTGTTGGGTGCGAAGTAGTTGCCACTGACAATCGCCGTGACCTCATCCGTACAACACATCCTCAACATACTCCGCGGTGATCGTTCCGTTATACAACGTAATGCCCTCAGTATCTCTGTTGACCGTCCCGTCGTAGTCGTTGCCATTGAACGGATCGTCCAGGGTATAGTTCGCAAAGCAAGCAAAATGATAGTTCGCCAACTCTTCCGCTTTCGCTTGCGAAGCCAGAAAGTCCTCCATCGCACACATCCCATCCGTCCGTCCAGCACATTGTCCACCTCGGATGGTGTCAAGAGGCAGGATGCCATTGTTCAAACGCATGCGGATGAACTTGTGTGGTGCGTTGGCAGGGTCGTAGCCATATTGTGTTGGATAATACTGTGTCCGAGCATTGTGCTGTTCGAGAGGGTTGGGATCCGCACAGCCGATGACCTCTGTAATAAGACGTCCTCCGAAAGGTGTGATCTTTGACAGGAAGAAGTGCCGGTCCGGGTCGGGAGGATAAGTATTCAGATCCGGGTGCTCGCGGAAGTAGTCCAAGCTCATGGCGGTGAGTGCAGAGATGATGATATCGTCGTGCGTGAAGTCTGCGTAGAATGGTCGGCCAAGTGGGAAGTCCTCTCCGTTTTTGGTGATACTGGCGTTGACAGAGCTGTTGCTGCTGTAGATGTACTCGTTTTGGAGGCGAGCGAGGAGTTCTTGGAGGTATCCTATGCCCTGCGCGCGGCCAGTTGGATTGCCCCAGGAGTAGTCGTAGTAGTACTCGGCGTCCAAAGCAAGCTCGAAGCCAGCCCATTCATCCTCAGTGAAGAGCGTACAGAAATCGCTCCTGCCAATGTATCCGGTCTCGTACGCACATATCGATTGCATTGCGAAGGTGTCGTTGACATTGAATTGGAAGCCTGCAGGGGCATACTGATTCATCCTCTCCGTGGCATCGGCCAGGTACATTGGAACATAGAACAAGAACGCATCATCGTCGCCGATGAGGCCCAGTGGAGTGAAGAGGTCTTCGAAACAGGAGTCGTACGCCGCGAGGGTGTTGTTTTCAGTACCACCTTCGGGAATGATCACCACATCAAAGAGTGAGCCGTTGACAAAGTTGTCCAGACCGGGCATGGGCGTTTCGTAGAAGGATGGTCCGAAGAAGCCAAGAGCCCACGATATTTGGGAGTTCCACATTCGAGACTGGCTAGTCGTTCGTAAGACTGGCTTTGGGCGGGCAGTTGCGTTCTCGTAAGAAGCGTTGTATTGCAGCTGGCCAACAGTAGCATTGAGAACTGTTCGGCCGTAGCGGTTCCAGAAAGCCACGCCGGACTCAAACTCGGTGCTGGCGCCAATGCCTGTGAGGTAGGACTCGCCCACCTGGTACTGGTAGGAGTTTAGAAAAGCTAGTGGTCCTGTGAAAGACGAGTTCGAGCTTGATCTCGTCTGTCTTTGAATCTTGGCTGCAAACTTCTCGTCGTTAATGCCATCGTCGAAGTAGCTGCTTGGGAATCGTTGCGCGTGGCGTTGAAGGCTGTGTGCCTGTTCTATCTGACAGCCATTCGGAAGGCCAACATTGTTGACGCCAAAGGCGCTGTCGGCATTGTCTCTATAGGGTGCTATTTGACCTGCAAAGACACTTAGAGCCTGCCTTTATGCAGAATGCTGAAGCGTTCTTACCCCAGTATTGCGAGATCTGATTGATGTCGGTGAGTAGCTCAGCGATCCCATCCTGTCTGGTGTGCAATTGCTGTGACCCAATTGCGGCCTGTGCAACAACCAGAGCTCCAATGATCATCCCAATGACAGAATGCATTGTGGCGAGGAAGAACTTCACCGCGTTCCACGAACGAACAATACCGAGTCCTCCCTGCAGTGGAAAGCGTATGCTCTCAAGGAAAGGACTTACGGGAGCAAAAATGGAGGATAGAAAGGGACTTACTTTCGATCTACTCAGAGCCCGCAGGTTACCGACAAGAAGATATGGCAGCGGCCGAATGCTCAAAGTGAGGTGACGTTGGGTCGCAAAAGCAGCAGATCCAAAAATTCTGCTTGGTCCAAGCTCACAGGGAAATCTAAATCTGCGACAGCTTTTCCAACCCGCGTAGAAATCTTACAGACACCCTCATTTTCCACTTCAACAATATGGACGAGCAATTTCTGTCCTTGCTGAGGGCGTTGCTGGAGCCGAGTACTGAGGTTGTCAAAAATGCAACCAGCCAACTGAACCAGACGTACTTCAAATCGCCCTCCGCAATCCCAGCGCTCATACAGATCATCTGCAATCATGACCAGCCTGAGCTACGCCAGCTGGCCGCGGTAGAGGCGCGCAAACTGGTCTCGAAGCATTGGAACTCACTACTGGAAGATCAGAAACCTCAGCTCCGGCAAGCGATCCTGCAATCCACAATAGACGAGGACAAGCCACTCCCCAGACACAGCAAGGCGCGCGTGGTCGCGGCCATCGCGAAGATTGATCTTGAAGATGGCCAATGGACAGAGCTGCCGGGTGTGTTACAGCAGGCCGCCACGAGCAGCACGGCGAAGCACCGTGAGGTTGGGATATACATGATGTACACCCTCCTCGAAGCCATGCCAGACATGTTCCAGGAGAACATGGGCCAAATGCTGACCCTCTTCAACCGCACCATCCAAGACCCCGAGTCCGCTGAGGTGCGGGTGAACACCATGTTGGCTCTGTCTGAGCTAGCCCTGGTGCTCGACACAGAGGAGGACGAACAGAGTCTCAGAGCCTACCAGAGCACCATTCCTCATATGGTCAAGGTCCTGCAATCTACCATCGAAGCGGAGGACGAAGTACGCGCTATGCAGTGCTTCGACGTGTTCAACAAGCTGCTCTCCTACGAATCCGCCTTCCTCAACCAGCACTTCGGCGACTTGATCCAGTTCTTTATCCAAGTCGCGTCAAGATCCGAGATCGACGAGGACATCCGAAGTCAGGGATTCTCGTTCCTCATGCAGAGTGTGCGTTACCGCAAGATGAAGGTGCAGAGTCTCAAGGTGGGCGAGCAGATGATGTCAATGTGTCTGCAAGTCTCTACAGAGCTCGATGCTCTCCCAGAAGACGAGGACGATGTTTCGCCAGCTCGATCTGCTCTTGGACTGCTGGACATCTTGGCAGAAAGTCTTCCACCAAAACAGGTGGTGGTACCGCTTCTCAAGGCGATCGGACCCTACGTTCAGGCTCAGGACCCCGCCTACCGAAGAGGTGGCATTCTCGCCCTCGGAATGTGCGTTGAGGGTGCTCCTGACTTCATTGCTACACAGCTTCCAGAGATCCTTCCTCTGATCCTACACCTTCTTGAAGACTCGTCAGCCAGCGTGCGGAGTGCGACGCTCAACACAGTCGCACGACTGGCTGATGATCTTGCGGAGGACATGGGCAAGGAGCACGCTCGCCTGATACCAGCACTCGTCAAGAACTTTGACATGGCAGTCCAAGGGATGCGGACTGCTCCAGCCTCATCGAAAGAGCATGATTTGGACGTTTACATTGTCAAGGGCTCTTGCATGGCCGTGGACTCGCTCATTGAAGGGCTCGATCAGGAGGATGCCGCCAAATATGTCACTGAGCTGGTACCTCGCTTCGCGATGCTCTTCGAGCACGAGGATCACAAGATCCAGATGGCGGCAGTCAGTGCGGTAGGGTCCATCGCATCTGCTTCTGAAAAGGCCTACCAGCCGTATTTTGAGCAGACGATGCAGAGTCTGGGCAAATACATAAATGCCAAGGACAGCAACGACGAGCTCGAACTGCGTGGCATTGTGGTCGACACACTCGGGAAGATCGCAACTGCTGTTGGTCCAGAGCAGTTCCAGCCATACGTGCAGCCACTCATGGCCTCATCTGACGAGGGCCTGCACTTGGATCACCAGAGATTGAAAGAGACAAGCTACATATTGTGGTCAACATTGGCTCGTGTGTATGAGGAGGAATTCGAAACATTCCTCCCTGGTGTTGTCAAGAGCTTGTTTGCGTGTCTGGAGCAACAAGAGATCGATTCCGAAGTACAGCTCGGCGCTGAGGCATCTGACCTCGTTGGCCAGGAAGTCACCATTGCCGGCAAGAAGATCAAGGTTGCTGGAGCAAACGGCGTGAATGAGGATGACGCTGATGCCTCCGATGTTGCGCAGGCTCTTATGGATGCTGGAGAAGACGACGACGACGACGACAGCGATGATTGGGACGATCTTGGGGCTGTGACGGCTGTCGCCATGGAGAAAGAGATCGCAATTGAGGTGGTTGGTGATGTCCTCACGTAAGTCGGGTTTATGAGCGGAAAGGTTCTCCAAGAGGCGGCCAAGGTTCGATGACTTTGCGGCGCTCTTAGCCTTTTCATAGTTGTTTACGTTTCGAGACGTCTGCTGACACCACTCCAGGCACACCAAGTCGAAGTACATACCACATATGAAGCAGACGATTGCGATAGCCGCCCCACTACTGGAGCACACCTTCGAAGGCGTGCGACGCAGTGCTATCAGTACCTTGTGGAGGGCATATGCCTGCGTCTGGGGCCTGGCGGAAGACGGCGGCATGGAGAAATGGCAGCCCGGCTTACCTGTTCAAGTCACGCCCGGGACCGATCTAACACAGCTGGGTGAAGTGGTGATGAACGGTACGCTTGCCTTGTGGGAAGAGGAGATGGACCGGTATGTGCTCCAATTTCTTGCGTTCCTTGCCTCCTTGTCAGTGATGAATATGCTACGCTACCCAGCTCACTCAGATGCCCAAGGGCAGGTGCTGTCAATCGTAGAGGCTGTTTCTGAGACTTACACATTTACAACCATTTGGACGTTCGATTTGTCTGAACACAACTGACACATTCTCAGGGCATGCGTCACCGAGATCAATCGCAATCTCGCAGCTACTCTCAAGCTCTGCGGACCCGCCATTCTGACGCCCAAGCAAGGCACCACCACGTCGACACCGCTTGAACAAATTACGGCACTTCTGCTGCTATTGCTTCAGAAGCAGCACCCCTGTCAAAAGGACGAGGATGATCTTGATGGGGAGATGCCACTGGACGAGGAGTCAGCGGAGTACGACTGGCTTGTCATCGAGACTGCCCTAGAAGTCGTGGGTGCTCTTTCGACTGTACTCGGAGAGATGTCTGGCGAGCTATGGCCTATCTTCGAGACACCGCTCATGAAGTACGCTTCTTCGCAGGAGCGATTCGAGCGGTCTTCTGCTGTCGGCACAATGGCCGATTGTGTCCAGTCGATGGGCGCGGCTTGCACGCCGTACACTCAGAAGATCATGCGTGTGTTCGTCAAGAGACTTTCCGACGAGGATGCTGAAGTGAAGAGCAACGCTGCCTTTGGCACCGGATTGCTGTGCGCCAAGAGCACCAACGACAAGGAGGTGCTGTCCAACTACAACACCATCCTCGGCAAGCTGGAGCCTTTACTCGATGCCTCTTCGACCGGCTCTGATGATGCGCACGCCCGGCTACTGGACAATGCCGCTGGTTGCGTCAGCCGGATGATCAAGAGGAGTCCACAACACGTTCCACTTGAGGATGTCCTGCCGCGCCTAGCGGAGATCTTGCCGCTGAAGGAGGATTACGATGAGAACGAGCCGGTGTACGACATGATTGTTACTCTCTACCAGCAACAGAATCAGGTAGTGCAGCGTTTGACGCAGTCCTTGATGCCGGTGTTTGAGAAGGTGCTGGGGCCGCCGGAGGAGCAGCTGAGTGAGGAGATGCGTGGGAAGGTTCAGCAGCTTGTGGAGTATGTTAGGAGGTAGAGCGGGTTGCTCATAGAGAGGAAGGTTAAGGTTGATGACATCTTTGACATGGGTTTCTAAGGACGCTGATGAATGATGATCACGAAGACTACGATGCTGCATAACGGGAGGGAGGGAAAGAGAAGGATGGAGTGATACCCAGGAAGCATAGACGTTGCTAGAGTTTGAACCAGATTGTTTACAAGTATAACTCGTGCCACCACTACGGTTGAATCGAATGATTATGATGTTGTCAATCATACAACAGTAGCAGACCTTTGATTTACGAATAGCGCATTGTTCGTCTTTTATCCGGTCTTCTATAGTTCGTCTTCTATAGTTGTACGGTGTTAAATGCTCTGGTAGCTAGCTGATATCACGTGATAAAGCCAAGCCGGTCCGTGCGGGTTTCGGACTTCACTTCTTTCGCGTCCCGACCGTTCTTATTTTACACACGCCACCACTAACGATCAACCTGGCGCGCCTCATTCATCAGCTTACAGACAACGATTATCCCTCTACCTAGGGACTGTGGACTGGACCAACTTCGAAGAAACGCCCCAGCTGTAGCAGATACGCCTTTCCACTGAACTTGAACTCTCCAGAGTCTGGCCGGAAGACTGCGAGGGATACGGGTTCAAAGGTTCCCCGTTCCCCGAGTGCGCCACTGGGGACAAGGGCACAAGCACTGCCTCGGCGTTCCACGGGCAGAACAATTGCCTCCGCGACAGCTGGCCTGAGGCGACCACAGCGACAGATAACGTGCTGGCCCTACTAAGCCTGTTTTAGAGCGCCCGCGATCCGAGCTACCTATTCTCGAGTTCGGCGAGCTCATCCATCTCCACGCAACCTCTCTTGACACGCCCCAAATGACATCTGAATACGCACAAAGGAGTCCGTGGCTCGGGCATTTCGTGGAGACAGACTTCTCGAAGATGCAAGCCCCTCCGACGGACAGCAACACACGCCCTTCCGCTGCGGCGTGCGGACCCTGTCGTCAAAGGCATCTCAAATGCGATGGGGGCAAGCCAGTCTGCCGCCGCTGCGCCGTTGAGGGGTCCTCCTGCCACTACATGCCCTCCCGCCGTGGCCAACGCAGACGAACGCAAAGACGACCGAGCAGTTCAAACATCAGTGTGGCCGTTCCGAGCACTATTGCTGAAAGCCCGCCGCCGCCTGCTGTTCAGCCTTACACCGCGCAGTCTTGGCTGGGCCCCCAGGCCTTAACCCAGCCTATACCAGCACCTGATCCGCTTCTCGACCAGTCCGTACAAATCGGCGACCACGAATCTACACTGATCGAGCTGTATTTCGCCAAGTTTCACCATGCTCACCCCATCCTGGTACCGAAACTTACGTACTGCTCGCTACCCCTCCCGGACAGCTTACGTGCGGTTGTTCGCTTCATTGGCAGCATTCTGGCCGCAAATATGGGCTCCGAGCAGTACAAACATGATGCTATCTATGCTCTGAAGCAGGATCTCACGTGGACGCCTTATCGGGTGCAAGGACTGCTGCTGTTCGCCATCGCGTTGCATAGTATCAACGAACAGGCGGAGGCGCAGTCTTACCTTTCGAACGCAGTGGATTTGGCGAATGTATTGGGAATGAATCGCTATGGCTTTGCTACGCAGCACGGCGAGGGAAATGCAATGCTAGAAGAGAGCTTTCGAAGAACTTGGTGGGAATTGTTCTTCATCGACGGAATGTTTGCTGCGCTTCAGCAGCGATCCTGGTTTCGCTGTAACACAGTGGAACTGAAGGCTGGACTGCCGTGTGAGGACCCTGTCTTTCTTGCTGGTACTGGATTCCCAACGGCGCCCACACTCTCTCAATTCGACAACAGGGTGTTCGAAGACGAGGACATCAACTTCTCATCATACTGCTACCGCACAGAAGCCGTACGGATACTCGCTCGGGTACTTGCCATAGCCGAAGATCCCGACGTGGAGAAGGATGAATTCACAGCAGTCGACAACGCTCTGGCGGGCTGGAAATACCATTTGCCTCCCTGCAAAGCTGACATAGCTCGTACAGTGAATGCGGGTGAGCCGGATGAGCTGATGTTTCAAGCTCATCTCATCATCAACAACGCCACAATCATGCTCCACCTTCCTCGAAGTAACCTGCGCTCTATCCATCCGCTGACGGCAGAAGCAACATGCTGTCCATGGTCGAGACCTCTTGCGCCGACATTCAGCCAACATAACCATCTCATGAAAGTCACCGCCGCCTCACAAGGCCTGTCCGATCTCGCCGCTTTACGATCTAATCACGACCACACGCCATTCCTCGCTTGTGGCTTGATAATGGGCTCTCTCGTGCAACTCAGCATCTGCTCCCTCCACGCATCGCACTGCATCTCGCAGCACCGAGAGCGCGTGATGCTCATGATTGGCGTTCTGAAAGCACTCGGCCGGGTGTGGCCACTTGCTCAGCTGGGTCTCAGCCAGGTTCGAACGTACGCGAAGGAAGTGCTCCAGCGTCCTGTGGACACCATGGCTGCTCCGCTACCGAGCGAGCCCATACTGGAGACGCCAATGAACGGAGGTGCGGATGGAGAGACACACGAAGACTTCACACAGATTGACATATCTTGGATGGACGATCTTTTGCAGCAGCCGATGGGAGGCCTTCAGCCGAACGGTACGCCGCTATCGTACGACACCTTTCTGAACCTGTGAGAGCTTTGAGACGACAAGACTGATATGGAAGACGTGCCAATGGGCTACTTGAACATGCAACGGCCCGCATGTGGGAGTAGAATGTGGGCAGGAAGGTGTAGCGGAGGGTATGACAAGAAACACAGCAGCACTGCAACGCCACAACTCCAACGCTAATCGCGAACATTTCATGGATCATGGAAGAGGAGTATTTTCTCCAATCTCAATGTCTCAGCATTGCAGTCGAGGCGATGCCCATCCCGAACATTGACGCTGTGGTTACCAAGCTCGGCAAGGAGAATTTTGACAGCCCGCTTATGCCGTGTCCAGAAGTGCAGCCTCGAGCTACACGGCTGCCCAGCACCATGGCCCAGCCGCCAGCCACCATTTGGAGTGCCACCAAGTTGCTCGGGAACTGGATCCCGTTGTTGGCGAAGGGTTTCACACCGTTGAAGATGTAGTTCTGCATCGCCGCAGAACACACGATACCGATGGAGAATATCACGGAGCCAGTCAAGAGGGGTTGGCCACCCTCGCCGTTCGACGGCTTCGAAGTCACTTTGCTTTGCAACCATCGCGCAACATGCTCGTATCCGCTTGAAGCTCCGAGCGCATGGCCTGCGAAGGAGACGGTGGCAAATTGCGCAAGGCCAATGAAGAGTCCGCCGTACCTAATGGGCAGAGGGGTCAGCAGGTGTCTCGAGAGTTGGAAAAAGATGAAAAAGTCCCGCAACACGGCGTGGGCTTGCGACCTTGGGGTTCTCTCGGACAACTCTTTCACACGTCAGTTTGACTTACGCTGGAGGTAGTATGCCAGGGTTTGACAGAGCTTGCGATCGATCTCTTGCGAAAGCGATTCGCATGACCGCAAGGCACATGGGCACCCAGATGAGGAGCAGGACCATCGGTGGAATGCCTAAGGCGGTGGCAATGTCAAGCGGCGTTTTTGACTGGCTTTTCGAGAGCGTTGGATTTGGCGGATCTTGAGGAGCGGTCTGCGTCTCTTTCTGCGCTCGTGCTCGCGTGAGACTGTCCTGCAGCCTGACAAAAGTGATTGCGCCTAGCAAGCCACCAATGACGACGAGAACACCGTTTATGTTGCCCGCTCCCACCTGGGCGAAAGATGTGCCAGGACAACTGCCTGTCGTCGCCATCCCAAGACCGATCAGAAGTCCACCGATTAAGTTGCTATCGAACGAGAAGAAGCCGAGACTGGAGGGCTGCGAATGCTTCTTTTTCATAATGCCAAAGCGATCGGCGAGATCTATAACGATACTATACCCGCTAGATTAGCACTGCAACACAGAATGCATGATTTTCCCGAACACCGATGTACTTACGCCGAGGCAGCAGACGCCGCCATCATCGTCGTGATCATAACATTCGACGAGAAGCTGAACTGCGCCTTGATAACTTCCGGTCGATACACGCCGGAACTGAACAGCCCTACGGCGAACAGAGCGCCGGAGGCGAATTCGGATAGCTGCATGCTGCGGTAAAAATACTGTGCGAACCCATCGTGTTGGTACGGGAGCTGGAGCTCGTTATATACGGTCCGAGATGCCTCGCGCTCGCGACCTGGGGCTAGATTGCGAATCGAATTTAGCGCCCGGGGGGTGGCCTGGGCTGTGCTGTTGGCGGTCCTTATAGCCGGCGGATTCTCTGTTCGGCGATCTCTCATCAGCAATCGATCTTTTGACGGCGAGGACGGCTGAGTACCGAATTACGAACCTGTCGTCGTGTCGTCTGCCATGTCGAAAGTACGCTCGCGCGATGCAAGATCCATGAGGAGCTCGATGCTGAGGTGCAGCAATGTCGCTTCGTTGTGTGATGGAAGGGATATCGAGAGAAGTTTGCCGTGTGAGCTGTAAGTTACAGACATTGTCACCTCACTCGAATGGCCAACGAATCGTTGGCTAGAGCTAAGAAAAGCCATGGTGACAATGTGAGAAGAAGACTGCTGGAAGAGTGAAGTGAAGTCGCCCTACTTATGAAGTGAAGTCAAGCACGGACATAGCCATGGTACTGGACGGGGAACCACTATTCACTAGAGCCTCCGGAGCCAGCAGAACAGTCGACGGGGACCGGGAGAAGCTCGCAATCATGGCGCCGCCTGGAAAGAAGGTCGAATGGTCATTGGACTATTTTTCCACTGCGACGAAAACACGCGAGGTCTCGGACGAGCTGGAGTGACCACGTGGATGTCTTGCATGTTGTGCTCTTGTACACAATGCGCATGCGGCCGGTGTGCGACCCGGAGAACCAAAGGAGGCGACTATCGAACCCGAAGCGGATGCACACTCGTTCTGATCACATGCGATCTTGGGAGTTGAAGAAAAGATAAGATCGTTGACAATCTGTTGGAGGGCTGAGCGAAATATGTCGATTGGCATCGATAGTCATCGACGACTTCAACTTGACCTTCAACTCCTCCCGCCCACTGGTCCGTCTAGCGTTCTGCCAGCACATCGAAGACAAACAAGAGATGTTTGCGAGTGCGCACAAGCTGTGATGGCGAGTGGTCGTACGGACACCTGAACGGTGCTGATGGGGTATACTAATTTCCTGGATGACGATATAGCAGTGAGTAGCCGCATTGCAAAACCAAGAAACCATCTCCCTATCTGCAAACGTCTCATTGACCTACAAAGCTCCTTGACGGCCTTTCTCGGTATCAACAACTAGCACTCTGGCAGAGCTCATCGCGATCATCCAGCAGCCCTTCCCTCTTCCCTAGAGGGCATTTCCAGCGACAATGTTTCTCTTTGTCCGCATGCAATTCCTTCGATGGTCCTCTTCCCTTCATCATGAGCATGTCTACCATTTTGACGGGGTCGCCCAGGGTTTCAAGATATATTTGAGCCCTGCCTTTTCCCGTCTATCACCTCTCGTGCTCGATGGACCCGGTACAGCCCCAAATAGACCTGCGTTCACACCGGGTTCAGCCCCGCGTTCTAGGCTGTTTCCGAGCATGTCTGATGTGACACTGAGATCAATATGGGGTGGTATGGCTTGGTCTGTCGCCCTGATCGACTGGCTCGGCCCATGTTGCGCGAGCGATGGTGGCTTGACAGCCACTTGAGAACCGGGATAGGTAGCAACCGACGCCAGTAGGAGGCTCAAATGCGGGTTGTACACAAGCATTTGATCGTCTTGTTCTCGCTCTTCGGAGTAACAGGCTGTCGTGTGGTATCGTCGATAGGATAGCGGACACTGATCGTGCTGTCGAGCGTTAACACGATTCGACTCGCACTGTGTCTTAAGAATCGATGTTTCCAGCTCTTGTATCGATCCTGCATCTTTTCGTGCGTGTTGAGGAATGCGCGAAAGTGGGAAAATCCGTTCATAGGACTGTCAAGCTTTATGTTGCTCGTGGACTTGCAAGTCTTACAGTCTGACGACGGCGAGGCTACGTCGACGCATCTCAGTGCGGATTCAAAACCGTTCTTGCAACGACATCAAACTTTCTTTTAGTCCAAGAAGCATACTCTCGTGCGCTTAGAAGACGGATTTGATCAATCTCAGCGGGTGCTGAAGTGCACTTTGCCGTGGCGTCTCGCCTGAGGCTGGGATTGGCCGGATCGATCAACGTCAAACGGATGTCAACAGATGCATTGCAGTAGTGAAAGCTTCAGTCAGCGTCAAGGAGAAAACAAATGTCGTAAATTCATCATCAAGCTAATCGGACAAACCGAGCAAACCGAAAAACAATGGCCGTGATTGCATTCTTGAGTCCTCCTGTGCAGGAACAAATTTTCCCATCAACCTCTTACGTTTCAACGTCAACCTCCTTCGACAGTCAGGCCTGCGCGGCAGCCCTCGACTGAGGAGCAGCGCGGCGAACATTGCCGACGTTCTGCATCCTCGATTGCCTCTCGGCCTGAATCGTCTTGATCTCGCCGGCAAGCGCGTGCATGTCCTCGAGTGCCTTAGCCGCCGAGGCCTGACGGCTTGGGTCCTGATACCAGCGGCCGTAATCTGCTCGGGTCTTCTCGTAGCGGCGGGTCTTCTTGTCAATCTTCTCGCACCACTGGCACTTGTTTGGAACCGGCAGAGTGTGGAGAATGAGTTTCATGCCGCAAGTTTCGCCCATGCGGTACTCGGACTGGCAGTGGCGCTTGAAGTTGCCCCATTTCCAGTCGCCGCATTCGAAACGGTATTGCTCGTAGTAGCACATGTTGTCTGAAAGCGGAACAGGTTAGCGAAGTCGTGCGAAGCGTGTGTTTCATGAATAACCTACCTGGTTGTGGAGTTTAATTGGCTTCTAAGAGTCGGTTCAAGTGGTCGATACCTGAGCATTGCTGTCAGCCTTCTTGATTGTTTCTCGTCAACATCGATAGGTGAGCAACGTCTGCGTCAACGGGCATGTGCCAAGGTGAGCCTTGGGCAGGCAGGTGAGACAAACTGAGGAGGTATGAGAAGACAGGGAGGATACTGACAGGAAGAGATGTCCTGAGAGCCTGTCGCTTGTGGTCGGAGGAGTCAAAGGACGATGTTGACGGCTCAGGAGTGCTTCCACCGGTGTGACAGGGCGGTATTTATGCTTTTCGCGCTGGCGACGAAGCTCTTGCTCCTCCTGAACTCCCTCCCACCATCATTAGATTGCTCCTGGTCCAGACGGTCCCCAACGCATCCGACGTGGCCATACCTCGCTTCGATCGAACCAACGGCATCGCGCGGAGCTTGCGAGGGACCGCCATGACGAGCTAGTCGACCACAGACGGCAGCTGTGATGCCTCCCTAGCGTCGCTGTCGGGGGTGGGCCTACGCATCAGTCTCATCCTCCGACGTGATCAACGTCGTCGTGGCTTCGTCTCGGCCTCTCGTTTCTCGTTTCTCGTATGTTGCTCATGTTACTCTCTTCCCGTGTCTCCACTCCGACCAGGATAGTAGCTCAAAGGCTGTCCTTAGGCCCTCAATGGTAGGAGTGTTGTGAGGGTGCGTGAATGTTTTGAAGATCACGTGCTTCTCGGCTAGCTGCGCACGGTCTGCAGTGCTCTCTTGCACGGCATGACAGGCTCGCAGCGTCCGTCCATTGAGACAGTGCGCTCCCCTGACCGAATAGTTCACGCAATGCAGTGCGCCGGCTGCACCCGCCTACTGGAGACGGACGAGCCCACAGCAGAACACTCCTGCCTCAGGTATAGTGTGCCCTTCCCAAATGCTGTAACTTTCTCCTTGGCAGCGATCAGTGATCGCACACGTCCCAACCGGTGCAGCTTTTTGTCATCTGCCCGCTCTGCCGATGGAGGGTTGCCATAGGTCCGATTGCTGCATCCCAGCAACTGCCTCCGAGCACGAGCACTCTGCGAACAGCACCCGTGCACCCCGGGGTCTGCCTTGGCTGCACAGAATGCCTGCCATGCCAGAGCGTTCCAGCCTTCATCAGCCAGTCATCTTATCGCAGATCTCTGCAATGCGAGGAGCAACCCAGTCGAGCCCGTCCAAACTGCCGTCAACGGCGTGGCGGATGGGTGAAGGTGGCCTCACCCTGCATGTTCGCTCCTCCGAATGCTCGCTCACCACGGCTCAGCTGATCTAGTACCGCTGTCGTCCTGCAGAGGGACGAACCGGCGACGAATAGACAGTCTAGTCAATACGTCTAGCAAGCATGATGCGTCCGAGTTGCCATCCGGTTGGAGTTAATCAGAGAGCTGGATCCGGGCGTGCCTCGAGGAGCCCTGGGCCGAGCATTATTCTTCCCACTAGGTTCAATCAGACTTTCTCCGCTCTGTGACGTGGCAGACTCGCTTTGGTGGGTCACGAAAGACTCCTCTGTAAGCTCCGGGAACTCGTTATTAGCATGCGTATCTGGCCGGACTGTGGATGTCCGCCACAGCTTACATTGGCTGGCAAACAATACTCCAGTAGTCGTACCTTCACCGGTCTGCCACTGCTGGTTCCTCATTCGCTTTTGTCGGGTCTGGAAGGGCATGGTTTGCTGCCTCGGTGTACATATGGCATGCATAGAATTGCTCTTCCCGCGCATGTGCCGGCCTTCCCTCTCCATGCACTCAAACGGGCGAATCAATCTCGCGCACTCGCAAATCAAGCGTCCAGGTCCGCCTCCCTGCTAAGGCAACGCGTGATGACACTGCTTGGCCGCCAGTCACCGCTTGCTGATAGATTGAGCGTGCTTCGAGCCCGCAGGAGGTGGTTGGGAACGAGCCCTGACGTCGATTTTCGCAGCCACCTCTCCTGCTGCACCACCAACATCCGCAGCCGCTCATTACGCATGCAAAACCAAGCTGTATTCCCCGGTTCAGCCTCTCAGAAAGCTCAGATATTGTAATTTTGTCATTGGGTGGTCAATAACCATTTCATTGTGGAGATGAGGGGAGTGAAATCTCTGCCCGGTTTGCGACGACGTTGGATTAACGCTCACGGCACGTCATGTGACTGCGAAGCGCCAAACGTGTAGCAGCACAAACCTCTAGTCATGTGAACGAGTAGTCACGTTGTCCGGTGGGACGTGAAGACGCTGTGAAGGCAGCTGCTGAGGTCTCCACGCACCCCAGACACCCAGGTGATCTTATCGTGATGAGTGAGTCCATTGGCTACTCCGCCAGTGCATCCTGCTACGATTGGATGTGCTGGCAAGTCGTGCATGCCACCAATAAGAGCACTCGAGGCTCGTCGGAGGTGCTGCATGAGCTCCTAGCCTTAACCATTGGGTAGCTCTGCAGAGGACAGGCTTGTCCGCTGTTTCTATCCATGAGTGCCGAACAATCGTCCTCTGCCAGACAAAGGAGGAGGAGATACCGCTTGTCGTACAATGTTCGATATTCAGACCAAGGGGGCCTGGGAAAGCGAGCTCCTTCCCAGACTTGTTCGACTCTGATCTTCCGTCCATGGCGAACAGCTCCCCCGCAGATATGCTGTGCAACTCGACCTTGAAGGTGGCAGGGTGATCACGGTCGTGTCACTGCGGATGTCTGCAAGCGATCGAGCAAACTCATGGTCGCCGTGGTCCATCGCTGCGGAAACTGCACCTAACAGAGGTCCCCCGACAGACAGCCCATGCCGAAAATCGTCCTTAGTCACTCACACCGGGCCAAGAGATGTCTTTCCCTGATTGAGCTATTTGCTCGGGCGTATGCGTGTGCTGAGGGCACCACTCTCCACTGTGGCATCCTTCGTCGCCTTCCAGAGCCCACGTGCCGGGTATCCAGATCCTGCCCGGTCTCGAATGGTCAGGTGAATCTAATGTTGGGAGTTTCCTGGCTCACTTTGCTCCTGAAGTCAAACATCTGAAGCATATCTGCAACAGGAGGCGTTCGAAGTCCATTTAATCCGAAGTCGATCTCACGAACTTGGCCCGAGCGTCAATTGGACGACTCTACTTGGACGTTCCATCCTGTCCATTCCATGAACAACACTCACGACCAGCTGCAATGGACCAACAAACCGTTGACGCTCAAGTCCGGCGACCCTTCAATTATCTCCCAGACGAGCTGTTACTACACGTCCTACAATACCTAGACTGGCCCGACCTCCTCTCAACATCCCGTGTAGGCATCCGCATCTCATACAGCCCTGATCTAGCCCACGACAGCGGCACTGATAGCTCGTAGACATCTCATCACCTCCGTCAACTATCCTTCGACCCTTTGCTCCACCGTCTCCATCTCAAATGCGCCCAGGATCGTGTGCAGTACTTCCTCCCGCGCCGTCCTCCGCTTCATAGATTACAGCCGCCTGTCGCCGCTATATATCTGAGCAGGACGCATGTCACGGCTCGCCAGCTGCATTACTCGATGCTCTGCATCAAACTGTCACGGTACCTAACCAGAAGGCCGCCGCTGAAAAGCCTTGTCGGCGCAGGCATCTTTCCGCGCGAATGCTGCGGATACGATCGTCAGTCTGGCGAGATTGTCTGGGGCAGTGGGGTGGCAGGGGCGCTGGTAGAGCGGAAGAGGAAGGTCGAAAGAGAGCAGATGAAAGAGGGTCTGAGGGTCTGGCTGGAGCGCAAAGCACGCGAGATACGGGCGAGGTCTGCGCGGCGAAGGGAGGGAGGGGTGGGTGTGCTCGTATGGCGCTTCTCACGCAAGCTGAAGTTGGGCCATGGTCAACGGAATGAAAGGAGCTGGCATGATGAGCCAGGGAAGGAGAAAGTCGGTGGGCTTAAACGATTCTTTGAGCAGCTGGCGGATTAGGATGATTACGAGTGTTGCTTCGAAGCTCCATCAGGAAGCGATATTCAGCTCTGTATTCCTATGGTACAACGCAACGCTTTTACTCTGTCTTCGAATCGCTGTCGTCCGCGGCAGGTCGCCTTAAGTGCGCATCCCATTCTCCAACGGCACCATTGTACACATATCAGTGCCGCACAGCGCTCACACCATCCCATGTCTCGTCGTAACGTTCCAGATCAACCAAACGCCCTATACCCATCCCAACATTCGAACACGTAACATCATCAAAACCTTCCAAGTAGCCGCTCACAAAATTCAACGCTTCGCAAGAATTCCAATGATAGTGATGCGGTCACGGTGCTCCGAAGAAGCCAGCTTGCTTCAACATGAGTTAGCTGAGTTGAGTGTCGCGAGTTCACAAGCCGGGTACTTACAGAACAATTATCACAAGCATCGCCATGCGAGCCACCGAGTACATAGCCTTTGCAATTCCGGGCGTGGAAGTAGTAGCTACACCGCAATCAGCCATAAGATACAAGGAGCGAGAGAGAGACAGCAACTCACCACTGCTTACACGACAACTCCTCAGCCTGCGGTTTCGGAGGCGCAGGAAGCGGTTTTGACTGCCGTCGATGCGCCTTCTTCTCCGTTCCCGAAAACGCCGTCTGCAGTTTTGGCAATGATGGCCTCCTGGTCGCCGCACGATTCTGTGCCGCGTCTGTCTGGTACTCCACCGTAGTCTCTTTGACTTGCGGATATGTTCGTCGGTTGAGAAGGCTGCGTAGCTTGCCGCGCGGACTCAGCGTCAGGCGCAGTGATCTGACGGAGCCGGCATCATCTTGGTCTTCTTCGAGGGCGGGAGAAAGCGGGCGAGGACTGGGTTGGACGGCTCGATGTTCGAGTGGGGATGTAGCGGAGCGTAGTGAGCTGGTGCTGGCGGAGGAGCTGAGGCTGGGGTTCTTGTGGTGTGGTGGGCGAGAGGCGTAGAGGTTGTCTAGGTAGCCGGGTCTTGAGCCAGACATTGCCAGTGCCATTGCGCGGAGAGTCTGTATATGTCGAAGGATTCGTCTCTCTCGTTGTCGCTCGAACCAGCAATGACTCGTTGTATTTTCACACGCAACGAAAGAAGGATGTATTCGGAAGGATGCCGCGTTGCAGGAATACTGAAACGAACGATTTGCACGGTATGGGACGTAGAAAAGGGAAGAGATGCAACACCAGGGCGAAGAAAAGACCAGTATCAACGAGATCGACACTGTTGACCTACCTTACCTCCTGCTACTCATGCGTTTGACACCCTTGCCCTGATGGAGATGGCTCCACGACAAAGTCTCACTCCTAACCCACCTCGCTCTCCACCTACCGGCGAGCGATGGCAGTGTTTGACTTTGCAACGCAGCACGACGCCACTTTTAGCAAGCCATTTGGGAGGTGTCGTCGTGCGGCGTGTGTACGAGAGCGGAAGTAACCTCCTTCCCAGTGCCGCGACTCTAACCGCGAAGGTGATGGTCTCACGTCGATCATCCGCCTTGGATAGAAGCCGGCGGCGCTGCGCTCGAGCCCGGCGAGCCTACTTTGCCGTGGCGTCCAGTGAGGTGGAGTCTTCATTCAGAGAACTGAAACCTGACACGTACCGTTGTGGGGAGGAGATCAAGGGGGAAGGCAAAATAGGTTGTTGTTATGGTCATGGTATCTGAGACATGACTATGATGCCTGTCGGTGCACGAAGTTCGTGAATGCCTTCCTTCCTCCCATCGAGCTGGGCCGTACCTGCCGCTACTGCATTGCTACCACGTCCAAGGAATCCTACAATATCGACAGATTGGACGAAGAAGAAGATCAACAAGATCCAGGCTAGTGAAGTTCTGCGACAGCGAGTCGTGCTCGGAAAGTTTACCGCGAACTTTGACCACTCGTTTTCTGCTGAAGGGTCGGAGAAGATGACGATCCTGGACAATGTCTCACTGAGCAAGGCCAACCAAGTTCAACAAAACAGAGACACGTTCGTTTGCAACAGAGATGGGTGTTGGACCTGAGCTTTGAAAGGCGGTTTAGCGAGCCTTCAGTTCCATGTTTTGGATGGAAAAGCCTAAGGCGAGCTGCGAAAGATTGATACCTTATCTATCTGATGACTCGGTTGAAGACAGGCCGACGTCGACATCGTTAGGGAGCAGATCTCCGTCGGCGTGTTCAGAACGACTGGGGTTATGGAGATTCAACCTGTCCACACAAGCCACGCACCAGACACTTGTTGCACACCCTTTCCCCCCCTCAGATTGAAGCTCAGGGCACCCAACTTCGACGGGGCTATCCACCGCGTCACTGCGAGACTGGTAGCTGTTTAAGACGACTCCAAATCCGATTAACAAACCACAAGATGCCATCTGACAACCATCGCCCAGACCCCCAATCTCTATGATCAACAACCCCATCTCATCTCATCGCACGGGCAGACGGGACGTTGATGAACGCCGAACGTTGTCGACACCGGCACGGCTCATACCGCTCGCCTAAACGACAATACCAGGGGACCGAATCCTTCCCGACAACCACGACCGTTACATGTTGGTAAGCGAGCCGCAGTCACCAGGCTGGATGTTCTTGGAAGTTCAAAGTGACCGTCTCATCAATCGTGAAAATGTAATGAGACGTTGACCGACAGCATCGACTTCATCTCAGACAGCAACGACAGATGGACACTTTTTCTCGACCGGCCTGACCTACACTGCTTGTAGGATGGAGACCGAAATTAAGACAGCAGACAGTCATTCGTCCAAACGGAGAGAGAAAAGGTGCGGCTGTTTCCAACGCAGACCTGACAAGAACATGGACATAGAGCAACAGCAGACAACAAGAATCGTCGAGGTACAGGTCTTTTCTGTCTCAATAGTACATCGCTCATCCCGTCCGTCCTTTTTTTTTTGTGTTTCCTGTCCTCCATACATACAAAACACAGTGGGTATCAAAAGTCCGCCCAAATGCAACAACACCACACCACTTTTTACATTCATCCACAGAGCCAGCGCCTTCCCTCTCAACATACCCGACCTTATTACAAGCTCAGGCACCACCACTGCCTTTGACAGCGGGCACCAATAGCTCGATGGTACTTGCGAGGGTTTCGCTCGCCTCGTGCAATAACTCCCACCGCGGCTCTTGGAACTTCTCTCGCAACAACAACAGCATTCCGAGACATGAATTGCGATCCTTGACCTCCGCCAGGTCATCAGGGCTCGCAACCCCGCCCATGCGGATGAGGTAGCGCTGCATGTCGAAGATCCGCAATTCATGCGTCGTAAGCGTGTAGTTAGACGGTCGAATCGGCCCATCGAGCGCATAGCCATACGACCACACGATCAGCGCAGCGAAGAACAGGATCCACGGCCGATTGAGGAGATAGTCGTCCCTCGCGCTGTAGCTGAACGTAGGCGGCTGATGCGGATGCGGACGCTTGCTCGCGAGTTCCTCCTCGGGGATCAGAACTTCGCACAAGAAGCGCAGCGCATAGAACGTCGCGTCTCGCGCCCGCGCGCTCGGAGCCCATTGCTCGCGCATCCGGCGTTGCACGGCTGCGCGATCGCCGTCCGTGACCATGCGGCCGAGAGCGCGGTCCGCGCCGGCGAAGACCTGGCAGTCGACGATGTCGACGTGCATGGCCATGTGCGCGAGGCTGTGGAGGCAGGTGCGGGACTCGAAGACGTTGTCGCGGGCGACGGCGCCCGCGCGGTCGGAGGTCTTGGGGTTGCAGACGGAGAGCCAGTGGTCGTTTTTCGCAAGACTTTCGTCAAAGTCGCGGCGCCAGAAGTCGAAGGCGCGGGTGAGCGGGGAGCGCCATTTGATCTGGCTGCCGAGGGTGGAGGCGGCGCCGAGGGAGGAGACTTGCAGGTCGCGTTGGTTCATGTGCCAGCTGACGTTTAGGAGACCGGCCATGAGGATGACGCGGCCGAAGGTGTTGGTGCGGACTTTTTGGCCGTTGAGTGTGCGTCGCAGGCCGTCGAGGAATGAGGTGGGCTTGAAACCGTTGGCTGCCAAACTCGCTTCGACTCTTTGCACTTCTGCGCTACTGGTAGCTGACCACAGCGCCTCGTCGCAAGGCAGTGGCAGGCGCAGTTCGTGTGGTGACATGACGGCCGAATGTCCGAACAGCGTAGCGTGGGTCGAATCAAGGATGAAGGCAGCAAAAGCTGATCTCCGCGTAGCTTCAGCTGTGATCCATCTGTTCCAGTACGCATCATGCGTGTTCTGTCCTGCCGTGTTGATTGTTCCTTCTGGTCCTGGTGGTGTTCGTGTCGGGTCATCTTCGTCTTTCGGTGAGTCGTTAGCGCTGCGCCCGATCAAGGACGAGCCTCGTCGCATGACCGTCAAAGTCGTAGCATGGTGTATGTGTGCTCTTTCATGCAAGTTCCTTGTGCTGTACATCTTCTCAAATAACTCGAGCAGAAGCATGGTCTGAAACGTCCACAGCTTCGCAGTCGGCCTGAACTCAGAGTCTCGGAAGATCTCCCAGCGGATGTGGTAAGCTGAGAAGAAGGCCATTTCCGCCGAAGTCTTCGACAGCTCGAGGGGGTGGACGCGTTCCAGACATGTTGCGCCCAAGCAGATCATGGTGAGAAGAAGCAGATCCGGGCATGTCTCTGAATTGAAGGTTGGGCGATGTAATATGGGCATCTGCTGGTGGATGTGGACCCAGTAGCTGGTAATGTAGCTTATGAGCATCTGCAAGCTCATGACGTGGGTTGGGTCTTTGGGATTGCCTGCCAATGTCTCCGCTTTGGTGCTTCTTCCAGTGTTGTGCTCGATTTCGGTGAAGTTCGACACCAGCCGGAATAGCCGGTCTCGCTTCTTCTCACTGATCTGACTTTCGCGCATACTGGTATCCATCCCAGATACAGATGGCACAGTCGGGTCGCTCGGCGTGCCGTCCGGTTCAAGCTTCGGCAGTGGGACTTTGTTGGGAGGAGGCGATGCACTCGGCAGTGGTTCCTGATTTGGCGGCGACGGATCGTTCATTTCCATCCCGTTGGAGCTTAGCAGCATGTTCAGAAAATTCTCGTCCATGTTGGGTGGAGGTGAGCGGCTGAACAGTGGTTCGTCGCCGAACACAGGCATTGAGTACCCCCCTGCCATCGGATCAAAAGTGCTGAAGTCGATGATGCTATTGTCTCTGCTACTTGGCAGTGGAGGCTGTTCAAACGAGCTCACAGAAGGCGGTGATATGATGCTGTTTGATCTCAAGCTTTGAGGGGGTCCGTAACCCGGAGGCAATCCAAAGGGTGGTAATGAGGGTAGGGTGGAGAAACTGCTTGGTGGTCGGAAGCTGTTCCCCGCTGCCACAGGAGACGGGAAGGTTTGTTGGCTGTACATTGGGCCGGCGGACGGCGGTGAAGATAGTGATGGCGTATGCATCACATTTGAACCGTTGCCGTTGTAGGACTGATAGCCGTCACCATGCTGAGACGGCTGTGCAGAAAACGGCGGATCGTAGCTGAACCGCTGTCCGTTGACCGGAGCAGAGTACGACATCGACGATTGATGGCCGGAGTTCATTGTACCAGAGTATGCACTGTATGATCCCAGCGCGGGATCAAGGTTGGACGTCGACAGCGGCCTGAGCTCCGTCATTGTGCTGTTCTGAGATGAGTACTGTTGAGGTTCAGACACGTAGGAGTAGCCGTCGGTAGTCGGAGGAGGCTTGTATGTGTTTGATGCGTCTGTGTGCGGAACATGCATGGCCACTGCGCTGGGAGGCGACGTCGTGGTAGGCCCCTCGCCTGATCTCGCGCTGTTCATAAAGGCATCCTTTCGTTGGAGATGAGAACCCTTGGCCGTATGTCGTTCCCTGTGACGAGCGCACAGATCCGCTCGGACAAAGTTGCGATCGCAGCCTGGGAAGTCGCATCGGTATATCTGCTTTGGAGTGTCTGGCTACATGTTAGTGGTTGCAATGACATGACCGCATGCCATTGAGATGGACGTACGATTCAGCTGGTGTCGATACAGATGCTCCGCGCGCGAATATGACTTTCCACAGTCCGGGTTGGGACAGTTGAACTTCTTGTCCGGTGTCTTGATGATGCGCCTCTTCTTCTTCGGCTTTGAGTCGGACGGGTCATCGACCTCATGTTCTGCGTCGGCATCGGCATCGATGTCTGCGCTCGCGTCGTCCACTGCATGCTGCTCTTCCTGCGGTTCGATCGTAGCTGTAGCGTCAGGAGCTTTGACTTCAAGGCTCATGACGCTCAACTACTGCTGGTCGTGTCTCCAGGCCCGGACGTGGGCTTGCGGGATGGCTTTGTCGCGCAACCGCAGTGGTCGGCCAGCATTGCTCGGGGGCCGTTTCGCGTAGTGGTGTCCGTGAATGCGCAGGCCGGTGTGTATTGTCGCCGGCTAGGTGAGCTCTGGGTGGATTGGTGGTGTTGGTGCAACGTACCAGCAAAAGAGGGGACGAGGACGAGGTGTGCAGCATACAGATCGGCACACGACCCTGCTGCAGCGGGAAGGTCGTGTGGAGAGGAGGAGGTTTGGTGTGGGGCTGGATGGTGTCGGGACGAGGCGAAGGCGCCACTAGCCAGGAAGCCAACCGCACCACTGGAATTGTATTAGAAAGACGTGGGGGTTCCCAGATCGGAGGACGACGATCCGATGGCCGCGTGGGTTGGTACGATGAGAGCAAGGCTTGGGAGACTTCTTCACATCTCGGAGCAAATGCTGCGAATGGCACGTTCTTAAGGAAGCAGCATGGATTCCACCCAAGGGCGAGCCTCACGCGAGCCTCGCCACGTCTACGTCTCACTGGCAACAAAACCCTGCGGCGCAGATGATGCCCTGGAAGTAGGAAGCATGCAGCTCATGCATACCGGGGGCGGGGAACCACGAGCATCGCTGCCGATAGAGGGAAGTGTTGACGCGCCCACTGCACCTCGGAGGCGGAGGCGGCGCGCGATGGATGGACCATCGTTGTTGCCTCGATCCCGGCCGCAGAGACTGGTCCCGAATGCAGACGCCATTTGACAGTCACTTGGTCAGCGCTTAGCGCGGGCGAAGAGCGCAATCCCGTCCAGAGGCACCTGAGGCGAGGTCCGATGCGCTCGACGACGTCTGTCAGTGGACGACTGGGCAGCCTTGTCACTGCGATCCTCCTGCAGAATCCCTTCTAGAAGGTATTTCGAAACAATGGCCCTGGATGCTGGATGCTGCGGCGTCAAGGGTGAGCGATGATCTCCAATCCAGCGGAAATGTCATTCTCGTTTGTTGCCAAAAAGGCCTCATCAGGACGACGCCCAGATTTCGTAACTGCAACGCCGATAATGCGGCCGAGGTCGGGGATAGCATTGTGACTGGCCGCCTTGGAAACGGAGAACCTCGACATCTCCTCATTGATCAGCGTCGGAGGACTTCTTGATCATCATCGGGGGAAGAGTTTTCAACACGGCCACGTGCTGAGTTACCCTTTCCCACTGCCAGGAGCATCACTCTTCCAATCAGCGGGTCGACCTGGCCCAAAAGCCCGGACGACAGCGCCAGGAAATGCACGGCCGTTCGCGACGGCCTCCTGCGTATCTGATGCAAGCCTTCTCATTGGGATAGGCGACAGAGCACTCGAATATCCCTCTCTCCTGCGTAAGGATCTTCAGCCCTACCGGTGCACGTGGGACGACTGTCCACCATCAGAGGTCGAGCGTCGGAGAAACGACAATGCCAATCGTCCTATGGCGTAGAGATTCAAGCAGGTACCATCAATGACCAGTCCGACCGCGGTTGGCGTGCTGTCAACCACGATGGAATCAGCCCTGCTGCACGAATGCTGGACTAGCTTGTACGCCATGCGGCTCGCACGGCACGCGGAGCGCGGATGGTGCAAAGCGGTGCAAAGCACGGTATATTCTGACACCGCCCGTGCGAATATGGGCGCGCATTCTGGCATTGGCATCTAGATGCCAACATCCACATCCCGAAGTGCTAGAACAGACGGGGCGGCGCCGACTCCAGGAGAACAGCGTCCCGTGCAAGCCCGGGATACCGACCCAAGCATGCTCCTGAAGGGTGCATGTGGGCTTGATGGTGCGGTCTCGGCGTGTGGGTGTGCAAGTACGTCTACGCTGCGGCACGGAAGGTTACAGTGCTTCACTGTCAAACGTAGAGAGTTCTAGATGATTGCGATCAGCACAACATACGATCGAGCGCGCTGCAGTGGGTAGTCGACGAGTTGATGCCTTTGTTCGTGGCGAAGACACGCCCTACCAGCAATTGCCATCGGAACAGCCGTTCCTTCCACCTCCGCAATGCGGTATGAGCTGAGGATAGAGCAACGACTGTTCCTCCAGGCCGTTGCTACCGTACGTTGAGGTAGGGAAACAGCGTCCGCGACGAAGAGGTCGCTATTCCTACACCATCTGCTCAAACTGTTCAGCCCGCATCTCAATTGATCTTTGGCGGGCTCGTCTCAGTCTTCGTCAGTCACTGCCATCATTATCATCCCACACGCATCCGTAGTAGAACGGGCACCCACCAACAAAACAGATATACACCTTCACTCTTCGACAAGTTCTCTCCTACTAAGCTGCGACAATGGGAGCTTCATCCTCGACAACGAGATCCAAACGTGCTGAACGACGCGCGATATCCGGATGTAAACACTCAAGTACCATGCTCGGACTGATCCGTCGACCGCCGCATCTGTTAACGACATAGGCGACTCGGCCATGCGTGCACCAATGCAGCTCCTTCCCTCACTCCGCGACTTCCCCCTCCACGCCTATCGCGTCATCCTCCCGGACTCATCGACCACTTACTCCGAGTCCGAAGGCTTCACCTCCGCACGCCCGTGGGACGACCTCATCACTGCCGAAGTCTTTGGAAGATCTATCAAGGCCCACCTCGACTGGCACTGCCACGAACCAAGCCCTTGGATCTCCCTCTTCGACAGCGAGTACGGTGAAAAGAGATAGGCGATCGAGCACTGTATGCGCAACGGCATTTGTGAGTATGCTATCGCGACCATTGACCTCCGTGAGGTTTGCGCGCCACGACCGCAGGCGCCGCCGGTCTATAAAATACGCGCGCTGAGAGATGATTTTGGTCTGAACACGGTTTCCGGCCGCTGTCATCGCACGCCAAGGTGGTTGTTGAGCTGGTCGGGGGTACCTCTGTTGCCGCTTGGAGCGGGAGCCGATTTGCATGAGGGTCTGCAGCACTCGGGGGAGATTGTTGTTGGGGGAATGGTTGAGCGGAAGGCTATATTGAAAGTTTCGAGGTGGTACGTGAGGTTTGACGTAAGTTCTGGCGAACAGGCGCTGTCGAGCTGCCTTCGGCATGGATTTTGAAGCATGGTTGAAGCTGAAAGTCATCGAGCAAGAGCTTGAGCAGTGGGAAGGAATACGGCGAGATCAGTCAGACGCTAGCATTCGAGACGGCATACAGTACAGTCACTTCGAAATGTATCGCACGGTGTCGTCCCAAGGTGCTGCCCTTTCCTTCGTGACATGTGAAAGTACCCGACAATGGGAACCTTTCTTAGCGAAGCCTAGCGCCCGCTAGCTCCCGCTTTATGCATATCGAGAAACAAAACACCTGCCTAACAACGACCTCCATCACCGCATCATGCCACCCTTATGATCCGGCGCACAGCCATGAACGGCTTCCTGACGCGCTGATACGCTCTTTTGAACCTCCAGTGAGGACTATTTCGAACCAGCCTTCGCGACGATGCCACGACTCGTCCGCCGACGCCCGCTCCTCGAACGCTTGCGTGACCACCTCGATCCATGGGACGTCCTTTTGCAGCTCGCCGAATGGGCCAACGACGACACGATAAATGAGTGGCTCCAGACGTGGGCGCTGCAGATAGGAGTTGGGCTGAATGTGCTGTTCATCATCGCAAAGCTGGCTGCGAAACCGAGCTTGAGGAGTGCAAGAGATGATGTTTTTGGGGATAGTGAAAGTAGAGGTGGACCTGGGTGGTTTGGGTGGTTGGTATGTTATCGATTCAAGAAGAAGGTCAAGGTGGATGTTGGCTAACGGATAGTGTAAAGGCTGCATTCTTGGTGCCACTTCTTACGGGCCTCTGCATCGCGAATACGGTCTTCACCTTCTACCGCAAACGACATTACCGCCTCTTTGAACAGCCGGTCGAAGAGTCTCCGGCAACCCCATCAGCCCGTCTAGTCCGCGTCGACAGCTCGCCCATGTCCTCTTCACCCTTACGATACCTTCAACAGGCGCTCTCTGAGGCCACCTCCGGCGCGAAAGCACACGTTGACCCTGAGCGCGAAGTCTGGGAGGTCAGCATGTGGGACCCTCAGCCCTTCAACCTCACTCTCTTCACGCTGTTCTCACCAGGCCATCTGGCTTTCTACTATGCCATGCTTCCACCAGCGGCCCTAGATCCAAACCCCTCGGTCAAGGTTGCAATGGCATTCATCTTTGGTGTGATGCTGTCCGTCCAGCTAGGCGCTCTTCGGACATTCTTCAGCCAGCAGTCAAAGGATGCGGTTCTGGTCCATGGAGAAGTCATGAACGAGTACGACACGAAGTTCGTCCGGCCGAACCTCAACCGGCCAGTGCGAGATGTAGGGGTACAGACGCGTGAGAGCGCTCTGACGCCACGTGGTACCAAGACTCGAGAGGTGGACGTCTATACACCAACCACCATCATCAAACGCGGCTTCAGGACCAATCCAAACCCCAACTACGCACGTCAGTACGACCCCGACAACCTATCGGCAGAAATGTCGAGCTCGAGACGGACTTCAGACGTCGGCGTGGGTAACCAGCTCAGCAACGTCTCCACTCCTCCTCTTCCCACACCAAGCAACGCCTACGCGCGCACCAATGGCTACACCAACTCAGCGTACTCCCGCCCAAGTACATCGGGCCAAGACTTCTCATCGCCTCTAAAACCCCACCACGAGCGTCTTCGCGAGCGGACACCCATCCGAGGTGACGGAGGAAGCCTAGGCGTCTACAGCCATGCAGCAAGCCCTCTGCGTAAAGCGGCGAGTAGCAACCATCTGGCGTCGCGGGAGAGCAGCACGCAGACGGGCCGACCGACCAGTCCTCTGAAACGCACAAGTACTCCGGGGATCAACGGTAGTTTAGCTGGTGCAAGCGCACGCAGGCGGGAGACGGGGCGATTCTAGTCGTTCGTCCCGATGTCGCCCATGGTCAAGCCTGGAGCGAGAAAGGTGGTTTGAAGAGGGCATGTACCGTATGTATACCATAAACGAATCAAATAAAACAACGATCTGCTGCTTTTCATCACTAACAGCAACCTCCGAATTGCAAGCGCTCGATCAGGAAAGCACCGTTATTTCCGGTCTTAGTGCCTCGGCCTCCGGGTATAAGTGATGATCAGGAACGTGGATGTGGGGAAAGTTCCACCCAGAAAGTTCACCAGATCTCTCCAACGACATGAGTCGAGACCGGGTATAATCTGGTTGGAAGCATGGCGTGGGGAGTGCCAATGGTGGTGGTGTAGGTGTGCGCTTCCAATACTTCGTCTTTCTTCCTTCGCAGTACCACCCTTTGTCGATTTCTGCGGTGGGTTGAACATTATGGATTTCTCGAAGCGATAACGGTATCTTAACCGCCCGTTCAACGCAACCGTCGAGCATTACGAGCAAGAGCACTACTGTGCGGCCTTCCCTGGATTCGAAGTGCCATGGCACGGCCGCTGGGCAGGGCATGGATCGACCTCGCGTTGTCTGCCCGGTCACCGGCAAGTCTTCCTCGATTCCCCGCTACCGCTCCGACAGCTACGATATGGCGACGAAGAAGAGACGTTGGTCCGGTGGACAAGCAACAACGGAGGACATACCTTGGCCAGACGCAGAGGAGAAGAGCAACGGCGTCGGCGGGGACGAGTTTTGGACATCCGGTTGTGGACCATCATTACGAGTACGTGCTGTGTGTATGCTGTGGGTGGTGGATGAGATACTGAAAGCTTGACAGTGCGATCGTCGTTGGAGCAGGTGGAGCAGGTCTCCGCGCAGCAGTCGGCCTCGCAGAGTCCGGCTTGGAAACAGCGTGCATAACGAAACTCGTACATCTCCCCTCAAAGCCCACCACATCACCTTCGACACTGACGATGTACCGCCCAGTTCCCCACCCGCTCCCACACAGTCGCAGCCCAAGGCGGCATCAACGCCGCCCTCGGCAACATGACCAAAGACGACTGGCGCTGGCACATGTACGACACGGTCAAGGGATCCGACTGGCTCGGCGACCAGGACGCCATCCACTACATGACGCGCGAAGCGCCGAAAACAGTTTACGAATTGGAAAACTATGGGATGCCATTCTCCCGCACAGAGGATGGGCGGATTTATCAGCGGGCGCTGGGAGGTCAGAGTCTGGAGTATGGGAAGGGCGGGCAGGCGTATCGGTGTTGTGCGGCGGCTGATCGGACTGGGCATGCGATGTTGCATACGCTTTATGGGCAGAGTGTTAAGGTGGGCTAAATCTTTGGACAACCTATCGTGGGAAGTGGTAAGGTCGAGACCGCTGACATTTGGATTGATCCAGCACAACTGCAACTTCTTCATCGAGTACTTCTGCCTCGACCTCATGATGGTCGACGGCAAATGCGTCGGCGTCACCTGCATGTCCATGGAAGACGGCACGCTCCACCGCGTCTTTGCGCGAAATACTGTGCTCGCAACAGGCGGGTACGGGAGGGCTTACTTCTCGTGCACTTCCGCTCATACATCTACCGGTGATGGCAATGTACGTGCCCCTCCTCTCCCTCCCCGTCTCATCTACTCACTAATGATGATCCAGGCCATGATCGCCCGCGCCGGCCTCCCAAACCAAGACTTCGAATTCGTCCAATTCCACCCGTCCGGCATCTACGGCGCCGGAGTCTTGATCACCGAAGGCGCGCGCGGCGAGGGCGGGTACCTACTCAACTCCGAAGGCGAGCGCTTCATGGAGCGCTACGCCCCGACGGCTAAGGACCTCGCCTCTCGAGACGTCGTGGCTAGGAGTATGAACCTCGAGATCCGCGAAGGTCGGGGCGTTGGCGCGGATCGGGATCATATTTTCTTGCAGCTGAGCCATCTGCCGCCGGAGCTGATTCATGAGCGATTACCCGGGATTGCGGAGACAGCGTCCGTGTTTGCCGGGATCGATATCACGAAGGAGCCCATCCCCGTGCTCCCAACGGTGCATTACTGTATGGGCGGCGTACCGACCAACTACCGCGGCCAAGTGCTCACCATCAACGAGAAGTCTGGCGAAGAAGCTACAGTCGACGGCCTCTACGCCGCAGGCGAAGTCGCGAGCGTAAGCGTGCACGGCAGTAACCGCTTGGGCGCGAATAGTCTCCTGGACATCGTCGTCTTCGGTCGGGCGTGCGCGATGCATATTTCCGAAAACAACGAACGGGGGATGCCTCACACCACCGCCCCAGAGGACATCGGGCTCGAGAGTTTGAGAGAAATGGACGCGATCCGGCGCTCAGACGGCCAAACACTCGGCGCGCAAGTCCGGGCAGACATGCAGAAGACGATGCAATCCGACATCGCCGTCTTCCGCACCGCCTCCGCGCTCGAAGAGGGTAACGCCAAACTCGCTTCCATCCAGGACACTTTCAAGAACGACCTAGCGGTCAAAGACAAAAGCATGATCTGGAACTCCGACCTGATCGAAACGCTCGAAGTCCGGAACCTGCTCACCTGCGCGGCGCAGACTGCCGCGAGCGCGGTGGCGAGGAAGGAGAGTAGGGGCAGTCATGCGAGAGAGGATTTTCCCGAACGGGATGATGAGGCGTGGATGAAGCATACGCTGTCCTGGCAGAGGAGGGAGGGGGAGGCGGTGAGGTTGGGGTATAGGGGTGTCGTGGGGGAGACGTTGGATGAGGGGGAGTGTGCGGCTGTGCCGCCGGTGAAGAGAAGTTATTAGATGGGGCGTGGTGGGAGGGGTATGGGCATGAATATATAGATCTCTAGTCCAACGAGCATTGTCGACATCGCGAGGCCGACAGGGTATCAAGCGCTTTCTACCAAAATCACTCCTCCCCCCAGCTCCCGCACTAACAGCCGCCACCCTCCGCACCAACCTCATCCCCAAACTCAAACCCACCCTCCCGACACGGACTCAACACCGGACTCGTCGCAATCTTCGGCCGACTCTTGAAAACGCTCTCATACTCCGCCTGCGGGCTCATCAGCGTCTCCATGGGCGTGACATCCCGCTTCCCCCTATTCTTCCCCTCACGATCGCCAATAGTAGATCTCCGGACTTTCTTGGGGGTTTCGAATTGGTTGATGGGGTAGATTGAGGTGCGGGAGCGGTGGTGGGAGGGTTTTCCCGATTGTGAGGGGTGCGTTGGGGGAGGGGCGAGAGAGAGGGAGTGAAGGGTTCGGTTGAGGAGGGAGGTGCGGCGGTCGAGGGAGTCTTGGTTGAGGGTTTCCGAGGTAGTGGTGTCGAGGGCGGGGGAGGAGGTATCGGAGGGTTCGGGTAGTGTTGAGGATGGTTCTGAAGGGGAGTCGTCGATCTTTTCGATGTTCATCGGAGCCATGGATTTGCGCGTCCGCTCCGCGAGCGACATCCGTCCATTCGACTGCTGGAGTGGTTGAGCAGGTACCCTCGACTCATCGTTTGAGCTCGAAGTACTGCCTACACTTTCGCTGCTGCTAGTTCGAAAGGCCACATTCCGCACAGCCATATCCGCTTTCAAGTCCAGACCAGAATCTCTCGGGGAAGCAGGGCTCTCAACACCACCATCCACATTGTCAATCTCATGCTGTGAGCCGTCCTTGTCGCCAGCTCCGGCAGACTGCTCATCCTCGTCCTCTTCTTCATCTTCCGCAGGTGGCGCTAACATGGAATTCGCTGACAGCGGACTCAGACTACTCCTCCTGTTCGACTCCTTCAACGGCGAAAACAGCTCCGCCTTCAACGGTATAGGCTGTCGCTGCCCGTCCACCTTCGGCTTATCGTACGATCGTGACCGAGAAGACACACGCCTGCCCATCGGTGAGCGAAGCGGTACGGTAGTTCCAGAAGGCGATCGTGCGTGTGAACTCTGTATTCCTGCGGAGGTGTCGATGGCGACGCTGAGTTTGCGCATAGGCGCTACGGGCTGGGTTTGTGCGCGTTTGGGAGGGTGGAAGGACTGTTGTTGCTGGATGGGAGACGCGGAGGGGCGGATGCGGTGGGAGGTGGTGTTCTTGCGCAGTTCTTCACGCATGGCTGTGAGGATGTCGTCGTAGCGCTGGACGCTGTCGTGTCGAGGTCGTGGTTTCTGCTGCGTTTGTGGGCCGTCATCGTCGTCTGAGCTGTCGTTGAGATTGATGTCGCGATGTTTATTGAAAGTGATGCCAGTCTTCTGCACCTGCGATGCTGGCCTGCTAGATCTAGCTGACTGCGGTTTGGAAGCTGCAAGCCGATCGTGGAAGTGCTGCCATCTCCTCAATCGCGCAGTCTGCTCCGTTGCCTTGCCGTTGAGACTCTGCAGCAATCCAACCTCAGCGCCTCCAGAATCGCGTTGCAAAATCCTTCCATCGCTGTTCCAAAGATGGTCGAAAGACTTGACAAGAAGTCCGTCGCCTTTTGGACAAGTATCGCCTTCAATCAGCGCATCTCTCAAATCGGCACTGCCAATCCAATGTCTCTGCACCGTATCTTCCACAGCCTTCAGCCTTTCTGGCTTGACCGCCTTTGAACTCCGTATCAAATCTTCCGACCTGACCTTCCTCTGCGCTAGTTCATCCTCCTTGCTAGCCAACAAATTATACAACCTCCCGTAGACCAACTTCTTCTCTTTCTTCGTCTCCAACACCCTCCCCAACGCCGCCTTATGCGCAACAGCAAGCGGCAGCATACTCTCCCTCTGCCCCTTACTCACACCCTGCGCCGTCCCGAGCTTCTCCGCCACCGCGTGACCGCCGATCCTTCGACTTCTCGAGCTCTTCCTCTTCTCCCCCGTTCGTCTCCGTAGAACCACCGCCGAAAACCCAAGACAGACCTCCCAGAACTTGTCCCCTGAACACTCATCCAACATCGTCTTGCGCAAAACAGTGTCTTTCGCCAATACACCGCTCTTCTTCAGCTCGCTGAGACATCGAAACAACGCCGCGCGGAGATTGACGCTCTGCAGCGGTTCCAGGGGCGGGAAGAACGGCTGTAATTTGTCCGCTGTCGTTGCTGGGTCGTACAGTCGGAAGAGCTGATACAGCGCATATTCGGTGCACTTTATCCTTGTTCGAGCGTCCTGGTTGGAGAAGGAGGAGACGGTGATGTTGGGCCATTCTGGATTGAGGTCGAGATCCAGGAGGCGCAGGTTGGTGAGGAAGAGCGAGACGGTGCTGTTTCCTGTTGACCGTACGCCATTCTTGGCCGACGAGGGGTGTCGTCTATGCTGGTGGGTGGTGGTGGTGTGGGATGTTGATTGTGTTGTTCCTGAACTCGCTGCCGACAAGGGTCTTTCCATGACGAAGTCAATTCTTGTCCAAGACACATCAACTCTGACCAAGATAAGAGGATGATGTTGATCTCCAAGCCAGTTTGTGTTGCTGGTGTTCAGTCGGCATCTTTCACCAGTTTCGTTGCCAGCCCAAATTGCTGAGCGACAGAGGGATATGCAGGAGATGTCAACACACCGGATGAACTACTTTTGGAGGTGCAAGGGTGGCGCTTTAGCCGTTGGATCGACGACAGGGATTGCGCCGAGGCTCCGGGAGTCTGTCACTCTATCAGTGTTTGTTGAAGATTGCGTTGTTGTTTGCTCTTCGTTTGTCTACAGCATTGAACTGGCGTGCAGACGAGCAGTACAATTTCAGGCTTCGAATACGGACTGTCATCAGCATACGAGCACAACGTCGGAGTACTCTTCAGCATAGCACGAGCATAGACACCACAATGGCGCCCAACGCGGTGGAGGAAGCGGTGCAATCGAACAGGCCTCCTAGTATGCGACCCTCAACACACGCAACAAGAAGCAACATCTAACACTCTCCAGGCAGCTCCAGCGGCGTCTTCACCCCCTCCCAAGCCGACGAGCAATGGACACCCAACACCGGTACGTCAACGTGTCCAGGCTAGAGTGAGCCATCGACCAACCGTCCACCTACCCAAACCTTTCCTAACTGCGATTAGTACTCTCAACTCTCCCAGTCCAGCCCGAACAAAACTCCCCCTCCCCCCTCCCCTTCTTCCACCTCCTCGAGCGCCTCAAAACCACCAAACGCGAAGGCTGGCGCCGCTTCGGCATCGACCACGGCGAATCGATCGCCGACCACATGTACCGCATGTCCATCATCACGCTCCTGTGTCCGGCGTCTCTCTCCTCCACATTGGACATCCCGCGGTGCACGAAGATGGCGCTGATACATGATATGGCTGAGAGCTTGGTGGGGGATATCACGCCGGTGGACGGGGTGACGAAGGGAGAGAAGAGTCGAAGGGAGAGCGAGACGATGGAGTATATATGTCAAGGGTTGCTGGGGGGTGTGGGGGGAGGGGAGGCGGGACGGGGGATGAGGGAGGTGTGGAGGGAGTACGAGGATGGGGAGACGAGGGAGAGCATGTTCGTGCATGGTGCGTATCACCTTCACTCTCCAGGGCATATGGAAGAGATTGGATGTTGCTGATACGTGAGAGCAGACGTCGACAAAATCGAGCTCCTCCTCCAAATGCTCGAGTACGAACGCTCGCACCACGGCCGCATCGAGCTCGGCGAGTTCAGCCACGTCGCGAAGCGCATCGCGATGCCGGAGGTGCAGGCCTGGGCGGCGGAGCTGCTGGCGGAGCGGGAAGGGTTCTGGGCGACGTTAGGCGGGAAGCCGAAGGGCGTCGGGGAGGTTAGTGAGGAGCGGAGACGGCTGCAGGAGGCGTATTATGCTGGGCATGGTCATGGGGAGGTGAATGGTGCGAATGGGACGGCGAGCTGAGGGGGTTGTTGCTGGTGACGGGAAGTACTGGGTTTTGCATTCGAGATGGTTCGTGGGAGGAATACCTTTGTAGAGCATGGGCAGCGGAAGCGATTCGGGGCACGCATAGATTAAAGACTCCAAATACCACCAACGGCCTTATCTATACAGCACAACCACCTTATCATCCCACCGCACCGTTTTAACTGTTTCAAGACCAAAGCTTTGCCGAGCAGCGTTCCAATGCTTGAGCCAAGCCACCATTGCTTCGCACAACCAACGGCATGCAACCACTAACGACAGTAGGAGAGAGTATTTGATCTACTCGCGACGCAACCTTTCAGCCCGGAGGATGATAAAGTCCAACGGTCGAAAGGATCGCTTGGAGAAGAACGTTGAAGGGCCCACGAGGACGTCACGCGACGGGGAACGTGGGCAGGGTTCTTGGTTCGCTTGAATCGATTCGATCCACTGTTACTGCCGCGGTACAGGAAAGGAATCGCCGCTGCCATCTGCTGGAAGTCGGTCTATGGAGGACTGTGTCTTGGAGAGAGTACATGTGATAAAAACATTCCTTAACGTCTAGAGGAGGATCGGGGCCGTTGACGAGGCTTTCGAGGATGCAGAGGTAGGAAGAAATACAGTACACACTTCGTGGGGAGTAGTCAAACCCTTGATCTTCACTGCTGCAGCAGGCATTGGAGCCGCGCTAACAAGAGTGTGAGGGTAACTTCGCCAATCCAGAACCTCCTCTTTTTCGTCTTTTCGCTCTTCGACCTCACTGCCAGATTGTCTTCTCTCTGGCACATCGTCAGGCGACCGCAGTAGACAGAAGTCCGGGTTTCTTCCGCAACCTACATGGAGTTCAAACCGCAATACTTCTGCCTTTTACTTAAGGGCATATGCTAAGGGACCGGAGCGTAACGGACTACACCAACTACTGTACTAGATAGAAAACCATTGGCCTTGAGGAGCATCATCCGAGAGCAAGCACGATCCGACAGCCGCAGCCATGGCAGACACCTACCGCGACGATGCGAGCGAAAGCGATAGCGCCGTCTTAGCACTCCTGGGCAAGAAACAAGTGCTCAAGCGCCGCTTTTCGTTCGTGTCGATGTTTGGGTTTGCGGTCTGCGAGGTACGCTCTACCCTCACCCCTATCTCCAACTCGGCACTGACTGTTGCTGCAGCTCATCACGTGGGAGACTGTGCTTGCCCTGTTCAGCCAGTCGTTCGATAATGGAGGGCCGGCGGGTGCGGTGTATGGGTTTATTATTGCGTGGAGCTCGACGCTGTCGGTGTATACTGTTATTTCGGAGTTGGCGAGTATGGCGCCGATTGCTGGTGGTGAGTCTACAATCCCTTCCTCTGCCGATGCGTGATATGCATTCAATAGATGTGCTGATAGTCTGCAGGTCAATACTACTGGGTGTACGTCTTTGCATAGCTGTAGTCGAGAGATTCTCGCTTACCATTCTCTACAGGTACATGCTCGCACCAGACCGCTACAAGACCGTTTTCAGCTACGTAATCGGCTGGCTCACATCCCTCGCCTGGATCGCCACGGTAGCCACCGAGACGCTGTTCGCCGGCACCATCATCCAAGGCATCATTATCCTGGACCACCCGGACTACGTGGGCACACCATGGCAGGGTACTCTCCTCACTTGGGCCGTCATCCTCGGCTGTATCCTCATCAACGTCGTTCTCCCCAGCCTCCTGCCCAAGTTCGAAGTCTTCATCCTTGTCTTTCATCTCGCCGGTTTCGTGGCGATCATCGCGACTCTCTGGGCCATGACGCCGGAATACTCGCCTCCGGCCGAAGTGTGGGCGACCTCGCGGAACGAAGGCGGATGGCCTACGCAGGGCCTGTCCTACTGCGTCGGCTTCCTAGGCAACGTCGCGACTTTCGTCGGCGCAGACGCGAGCGTGCATTTAGCGGAGGAGGTTTCGAACGCAGCGAAGAACATCCCGAGGGCGATTTTGGGATCTATGTTGATCAACGGCGCTGTGGGCTTCGTCACTATGGTCACGATCCTCTACTGCCTTGGGGATATTGAGAGGGTGGCCAATTCAGCGACTGGATGTCAGTAGCAGAACCCCTTCCCTTCTTCAGCTCCATCATACATGGTCAGAAACACCTGCTGACACAGCCGACGCACTAGACCCCTTCATCCAAATCTTCTACGACAGCACGCGCAGCATCCCGGGCGCCACCGTCATGGCCGCCGTTGTCCTCAGTCTCACCTGGGCCTGCGCTATGGGCATCACCACCACCGCCTCGCGCATGACGTGGTCGTTCGCCCGCGACAACGGCCTCCCCGCTTCCAAATGGCTAGCCAAAGTCGACAAGCGCACCAAAGTCCCCGTCATCGCATGTCTGACTGTTACCGGGATAGCGGCGTTGCTGACGCTGATTTATATCGGGTCGGAGACGGCGTTTAATGATGTGATCAGTTTGACGATCACGGGGTTCTACGGGTCGTACTTCTTGCCTGCTTCGCTGCTGCTGTATCATCGGGTGAAAGGCAACATCCTGCCTCGTGGGACCGAGATCGCCCCCGAAACCTCCACCCCAGACCACAACTCCAACAACGAAACCTCAACCCGCGCACCACCAACCGAAAAGTCCTCCCACGAAAAGGACTCCCCCACCGCCGACACCTCCCCAGACGTGGCAAACGGCCTCCTCCTCCCCACCGCCCCTCTAATCTGGGGCCCCTGGCACCTGCCCTCCCTCCTCGGCACGCTGAACAACGCCTACGCCTGCGTCTACATGCTCTTCGTCATCTTCTGGTCCGTCTGGCCACCTGACGCTGAAGTCACGGCGGCGAGCATGAATTACTCGGTCGTGGTGACGGGGGGCGTGATGATTTTGAGCACGGTGTGGTATTTTGTCCGGGCGCGGAAGGTGTACAGGGGGCCGTTGGTTGATGCGGAGGTTGCGATGCAGGTGGAGAGGAGGGCGAGTGCGGTGAGTGTGGGATAGAGGACGGGTGTTGTGGGGAGGTGGGATGGAGAGGGTGGGGAGGGGAAGTCGAGTGAGATGCGGTTGGTGCGGATGAGCGGTGCTGATCCTGTGTATGAGCTAGGGCTATACGGCTACACGGAATTTCTGCAGAGCAATCATCACGCACATCAAGTCCCTACATGTACATGGCCCAGCCAGTCTTCCATCAACCATACCACATCATCCACCCAGCAGAATCACATCCCAGCCAGTCTCGTTCCACCTACACCCCTCACCGCTTCCCCCTCGTCCTCGTAGTCGTCCCCCTAGTCCGAACAACCTCCTCCTCACTCTCCCCTTCCCCTTCCTCTCCCTCGACCCCCTCATCCTCCCCATCCGCCTCCCCGCTGCGTCGGAAATACGGACTCCTAGTCCCCGTAGCTTTCTTCGCAGCGCGGGTGCTCTTCCTCCTCCCCCCTTTCGCTGGAGTGGAATGCTGCTCGGGTTTCTGGGGCGTCTGGGGTGAGATAACGACTTGGGGGGAGCTCCGACGGCGGCGGGTGCTGGTCTGCGGCTTTGGCGATTCGGGGGATTCGTCGTCGTCGGAGGCTGAGGCGGCGCTGGAGAGGGAGGAGAGAGAGGACTCTCCCTCGTCCTCGTCTTCGCTTGCGATGGGTTTGCGGGCGCGCTTGGGCTTGGGCGCGGGTTTGGTGGCGGGCTTGGAAGCGGGCTGTTTGGCGGGCTGCTTGCGACCTTTTGTTGCTTTGACAGGTTGCTTTTTAGGCGGCTGCTCGTCTCCATCGGATGCGAGATCGGAGTCTTCCATTCCAGTCTTGTGCATCGCCTGCAACGACACTGGCGTGATGAGGGCGTGGTGCTTCCCGGCTGCGTCCGGCTCATCATCGACCATGAAGCCCCCACCACCAGCATCCCCATCGTCTTCAACCAGGAACCCGCCTCCAGCCTCTCCGTCGGCATCGTTCTCTTGCTTCGACGGTCCAGCATCCTCCTCATCATCCGACCTCATGAACCCACCACCCATCTCTTCACCAGCGTCAGCAAAAGCGCCACCTCCATCCCTCCCCTCCCTCCTCGCCTTCAGCACAAACGGATTACTCTCCTCCCCACCCGCACCCGCATCCGCATACTCCACCCTCATCCTCTCCAACACCCGCAACCCCAGCACCATCTTCCGCCACCACTGCAGCGCCAGCGCCGTCCTCTTCCCATCCTCCTTCCTCTTCACCTCCTCCCGCTCAACCCTCCACGCATCCCGCACCAACCCCTCATTAGCCTTCGCGACAACAACGCCAGTCAGAACGGGGACAGCGCGCTGCTTGCCAAATTCAAACCCGGTGCAGGCTTCGGCGTAGTCGATGCCCAATTTACGGCAGAGCTTCGCGGAACCCTTTAACGGGAGGTGGATGGCGCCGGCGGGGACCATAGTGGGGACGTAGACGTCCATGTTGCCGAAGGCGTTTTTCGGGATGACGCCGTTCTCGATTGGGGGCGGAATGATCCAGTCGGTTTGCTCTTGGGAGTATAGGCCCTGTTTCAGCTTCTCCCCGGTCTCGCGTTGGGCGTCTTCCATCTCGCGCTTGCGGACTAAGGTAACAGCACGCATAGGCACGTATTTGAGCGGCTGTTCGCCGACTTTGATCGCGCGGCCTTCTTTATGCCAGGACTCGACGGTTTTGCAGACGAGGACGTCGGAGCGGAGGTAGACGAGGTGGGAGGCGGCTTTGTCGCCCTTGCCAGTGGTGAAGGTCTTGATGGGTTGGGCGCCGGGACTGATCGCTTCTTCGCGGCGGAGGTGTTGTTCGAGGACGTAGTTGGCCGATTGCTTGTAGCCTTGCAGACTCTCTTTCTCAACAACTTTCTCTTCCTTGGAGGGTTTGAAGGGTTTGAGGTCGGTCTGTTCTTCGATGTCGTCTGCTGTCGTGCGCTTTGCTTCGGGGCGGTCGTATAATGAGCTCAGCGTTCGAAACCAGTCGTAGTCTTCGTATCTCCTGACTTTGCCTTTGCGATTGTAAATTGGCACTTTCTCCACTGGCATGCGTACACCTTTCGTCTTCCCAGGCAGCTGGTGGCGCTTCAGATAGCGTACAGTGACATCCTTCGCCGTGCCGTCCGACGAGTAGGCCATGATATAGCACATGACTTGCTTAGAGACTTCTGCCTTCTTGCCTCGTGGCTCAAATGTCTGCAGCAGCTCGTCGTTGGAGGCGATAGTTGAGAGGACAACCGGATCGACAGGGAAATGCTTGTGGGATACAGGATCGCAAACTTCAGCCCAGTAGATTGGGAAGGCCAGGTCGCGGTCATACTTCTTGTGCGGCTTCTTCTTCGGGATGGAAGGAGTGACATCAATCACTGAGAGGTCGTCATCATCTTCTGGCTCAACATTGCCGTCTGCTTCCCCGAACTCGGACGGCGCATCGCTCAGAGGACTGTCGGACTCATCCAGGTCAATCGGATCGCCTTTGTTGCCGCGCGAAGATTTGCGAGTCGGCTTCTCCTTATTCGGCGCAGGTTTCGTCTTTTGGCCAGTACCAGGAGCCTTCACCTTGTGCGCACTGGTAACCTTGACTTCGACGTCAGACTCCGACTCTGACAGCTCAGGTTGTTTGGTCTCCTTTTTCTTCCTCGCTTTCGGCGGGTCAGCTTCCTCAGCTTTACTCCACCCAAAGCCAGCCGGCTGCAGGTTCGCCACCATTCTCACTTCCAAACCCAGTCCCCGTAGCAGCGCAACAAACAGCTGCCCGCCGACATCACGAGATCCCTCACAACTCTTCGCCTGCTTGCGAAACTCTTCTACATTCTCAATCCGCTCGCCATGATCCTCCGCATTGCTCTTGTCCTTCTCCCAGTCCTTGATGTCGTTCCTCAGCCGACGCAAGTCCTTGTAGCCTTGCTTGCGCAAGCCGGGTGCTGTCACCGTGAATCGCTTGCGCCAGTAGCTTGCGAGAACCTTCAAGAGGCGCAGGAGAGCGCTAGTCACCTGAACATTGTCCGGCGCCGTAGACTCTGCTGCCTTGTTCCAGTCGCGACCACTACTTTTGCCCTTCTTCCCACCTTTACCCTTCCCCTTCGCCGGCTTTGGATCCTCTTTCGTAGGCGCCTTACCACCGTCCTTGCCGATCGCGTTCAGATTCTGGCGCCATCGCTTGACCTCGCGCTCCACGCCTTCGGGCAGACTGGCCACCAAAATCTTTTGCGCCTCCTTGTCGTTGACCCACGAGTTGCGGACGGTGTTATGCCACATCAAGGACATGACGTGCAGGCAATGGGTGTGCACTCTGATCTGGCGCTCGCGCTTGGAAGGACCTTTCTTGCCTGTGGCAGCTGACACAAGCGGCTCGATGTAGCTCCCATCCTCATTCATCGAGATCGAGACGTCGCCAATGTCATCGTCACCTTTTGCAGTGGCCGGCGTGGCTTGTGTCGACGATCCAGGCTGAATGGCGTCCTCCCAGTCCATCTCATCCTCATCTTCGTCTTCCTCCTCTCCACCTACATCCTTCCTCCCACCACCCCCAGTCTTCCGTCGCTTGGCCGGCGGGACATCCTCAAACTCATCGCTGTCGGCCTCGCTGAGAGACGAGTCTTGGTCATCATCATCGAGACCAGCGAGGAACTTCTTAGATTCCTCGAGACTGCCCTCCTTCTTGCTCAGCGCATCGGCCGTATCGAACAGTGTCGGCTTGGCTTTCTTCGCCGGCGGCGTTGCCTTGGCCGTCTTCGCTGATGTCGGCGCCTCTGGGGACTCGGAGCGGTGGCGCTTCCGGTAGCCGACGGGAGGCATCGTGTCGTCTGGCCCGAGTGGGAGTGTGGTACATGTTTCTCCAGAAGAATTGATAAGCCGGAGTAAGAGACGCGACTTTCACGTTTGTCTACGTCATGATCGATCTAATCCGATCTAATCCGATCTAGTCAGGTACGATCTCGCTTAGGAAAGCTTGTTTCTCAGCCTCGCTTGCACTTTCTTCTACTCTCTCTCCTCGGATTCGCGAAACCATTTTTCGCTTGTCTATTCATGATATGACCAACAACACCTCCATACGACCTTGTATCCCCGCAGCTGAAAAGGTGACTAAACGTGTCTGGCCACACGTGTGCCAGCGTTACTCATACGAGTCAGTACCACCACTCCGGAGCTGTGACTAAGGCGTTGCCCTAAATCCGCTGCCACGATGGAAGGTTGAGATCACGAGCACTTTGTCCCGTGGTATTTGAATACAGGAGGCACCAACACGAGGCTGAAGAGAGCGAGTACCATACTGAATGGTGCTTTTCAAACCTCCTGCCTCGGCTTTGGTGTCCGACGGGAGTGTCTGATCAATCGAGCCCCCCGAGGATCCCGGTGTCGTGGAAGACAGAGCAACTCAGGCCAACAGACCTTGTTATCAGAATGACGAAGATTCGAGCCAGCTGTATGGGAGCTGGGCAGATCAGGACACTCGCTATATTAACACCTTCGTCCCGACCAAACCCACACAACACCCAGCAATCCGCAATCCGCGAAAGTCATTGAACTCAACCCTCCACCCAACCCAGCCCGTTGAAAATGAAACATTCCAACTCCACCAACCCCTCCAGGCAGCCCACACCACAGCCCTTCCAGACCGCGGCGGACCTCAACAACGAGATCGTCCGTCTGAGCCGCCACACCATCGACCTGCTCAACGCCCGTGCCTACGACGACCCTTTCTTCCAGAACCACGTCTCCCCGTCCGTCTACACCAACTACAACGACCAGCAGGTCGGCTGGAGTCGCGAAGGCTTCATTGCCGCCTACCGCCGCGACGCGGACGTCAACCCGGACTTCTTCTGCGACGTTGAAAGGTCGACGGCTGTTGCTGATGAAGCGCATGGGACTGCGACGACGATATCGAATCATGTGGCGAAGGGCTTCGAAGACGAACGCATGCGAGGGAAGCGGAGGGTGGGGAGCACGTTGTGGCATTGGAGTAAGGTCGACGGGAGGTGGTTGCTGCAGAGCTGTAGCATTATGATGGGGGCGGCTGAGTTTGTGGACTGAGTGCTGTAGTTTTATGGACCTTACACATGTCGAAATATATCAAGCCACAAGGTCGAAAACATCCAGGGATGTGCGTGGTGAGAACACTCGCTCGACAAGTCAAAACCCACCATTGAACGAAGGTATCCAACGTGAGGACTTCTAGAAACGACCCGTTAACGTTCAGCCAGAAACATTGTCATTAGCTTCTGTCAGCAGAGGACTATCAACTGATAAACTTTCCACAACATCGAGTCCTTTAAAGCAAGAGCTATATCAAGACGGCTTTCAGCTCACAACGGTCCCCGAACCCCGAGGGCTGAATCAAACGAGCTCTGAACGAGCTCCATCTCCGCTCCAGTACTCCAACGACTTATAAGGGCTGAGGGTCTCGCACGTAAGTCAAATGTGCTTTTGAACCACGGCTGAGAACACAGAAACATATCGTCAACACAAAACAAACACTTATTGACCCTTTCGACCATCGTCCTGCCAGCCACACCCTTGAGACCCTACGGTGCCGTCGAATACTGCCCGACACAAACATCACAATTCCAGCAGCAGGCATGGCGCCCAAATCAGCACCTCCCCTCAACGCCCCGGCATCAAAAGTCACAGTCAAAATCTCCGCCATCGACACCACCCTCACCATGTCCTCCAACCTCGCCGGGCAGATGTGGTCGCCCAAGATCCCGGGTTTCGAGAAAGCAGACTTTGGCATCTGGTCCTTCCTAATTGAACATCCCTCGGGAAGGAAATTGGTCTATGATCTGGGGACGCGGAAGGATTGGAGGAATCTGGCGCCGGCGCATGGGTTGGTGGGATTGGTTGAGGGGGGTGTGATTGAGAAATTGGAGATTGAGGATGATGTGGCGGGGATTTTGAAGAGGAACGGAGTCAAGCTGGAGGACGTGGAGGGAGTGGTTTGGAGTCATTGGTACGTTATGTCATTGACGATCTTGATGGCAGAGTGGTACTGACAGAGCATGACCAGGCATTTCGACCATACTGGTGATCCGTCTACGTTTCCGGCCTCAACGAAGTTGATTGTCGGGCCTGGGTTCAAGGAAGTCTTCGTAAGTGCAACCGGCAAAATCATCTCTCGTCTCAGACATGGTCTGCAGACGGCTCAGACCCTTCGAGCACCTCCTCCGTTTTCTCGAGCGTCCTGAGACTTGCTAACCCTTCTATACTTCCGTTCGAACAGACTCCCGGCTACCCAGCAGACCCAGAGGGCCGATGTCTCGAAACTGATTTCGCTGGCCGCGAACTCCAAGAGATCGACTTCGGCGGATCCGACATTACCATCGGCCGCTTTAATGCCTTCGACTACTTCGGCGACGGCAGCTTCTACATCCTTGATGCCCCTGGGCACACCATCGGGCACATCAACGCCTTAGCCCGCACACACCCCTCTCCTGAGCCGGGTTTCGTCCATCTGGGCGGCGACTCCGCGCATCATGCGGCTGAGATACGACCGTCCGAGTACTTGCCGCTACCGGACAGTATCTCGCCATCCCCTCTCCCGCATCTCCACGCAAACACATGTCCAGGCCACATCTTCACTCCCCTGCTCAAGGATGGTTCCAAGACGGAGCATATCCTCGAATGGCAAGACCCCTGGGCCGAATTCACGGAGCCGAAGTTCGGGCTCATCTACGACGAGAAGGATTTGAGGGACACCGTAAGGAAAGACGAGGAATTGGATGCAAACAGGGATATTCTTACGTTTCTTGCGCATGATTGGAGTTTGAAGGGGATGGTGAGCGAGTTTCCGGAGAGTTTGAATGGGTGGAGGGAGGAGGGGTGGAAGGGGGAGAGTACGTGGAGATTCTTGGGAGTGTTTGAGAAAGCGGTTGCGCAGTGATGGTTTTGCTGGCTACGAAAACATTCTTGATAGACCGACGACAGCTCAAAAGGTGAGTGAAGGTACGAAACAGCTCTCAAACGGAAAAGCTGTTCCGCACGACAGCTTGTTCGCCCCGCAAAGGCAACTCACGGCAAACAGGTGGGGTGCAGGTACATGTAGGACGAGGTTGGTCTGGGTTGTCGGTTACAATGTACCGGCGATGGTAAGTAGGTCCAGAACGTTGCGAGACTGCCGTACAGTACTGCACTTATACGACCATTTGTGTGCCGCAACTTACTGCTTGCTCAATCGAAAGCTCATTTCCTTACGCCTTCTACATATTCAATCATCGACCTCACTTTTACTTCTGTTTCTCCCACTCCTTGACCAAGAGACAATTGAATCGAGCAGTCATGGCGACGGACGGCACCCTACCATCGAAACAGAAAGCGGCACAGTTCCACCCGAAAGATCAGACCGTCCATATCAATGAAGTCCCAGTAAGATCCGAACAGCGTACAGTGTCAGTCACTTGTTAACGGTGTCTAGATCCCATCGATCAAACCAGATGAACTACTCGTCAAAGTCCGGGCAGCGTCGCTATGTCACAGTGACTTGATGCTTTTCGAGCCGAATGAGCAAGGGCTCAATCTTGGATCTGGCGAACCCTTCACGATGGTATACACCCCCACGGCTTCACCCCGACTGTCGCTAATCAACCCACAGGGCCACGAAGGCTGCGGCACAGTCCTCGAAGTCGGCTCTCAAGCCCAAGGCTTCACCAAAGGCGACCGCGTCGGCTGGCTCCCCATCGTCGACTGTTGCTTCGAATGCGAAGCCTGTCAGGTCCACAACCTCTACTGCGAAACCGGCCAGTCCAAAGTCCAAGGCATGACTGTCGACGGCTACTTCCAAACCTACTGCGCAGTGAAATGGCAGAACGCTGCGAAGATCCCGGACGGCATGGACCTGGATTCCTCTGCCCCGATCTTCTGCGCCGGCGCTACCGCGTATAACTCCGTGGAAGCTACTCACTCCGAATTGAAGGGTACCCCGAGCGACATGTTCGTTGCTGTCATTGGGTGTGGTGGACTAGGCCACCTCGGAATCCAGTACCTCAAAGCCCACGGGTACAACGTCATCGGCATCGACCTCTCCCCCGATGCTCTGGAGGAGGCGAAAGCGCAGGGGGCCGATCACGTCTTCAACCCATCAAAGGACAAAGACTACGTGCAGCAAATCCGCTCCATCACGGGTAAAGGCTGCCACGCCGCGATCAACTTCACCAATTCCGCTCCAGCTTACGCCAGCACCCCGGACGTGATACGGTATAATGGCGTGTTGATGGTGACGGGGATTCCGCAGAAGCCGATTCAGTTTTCTGGGATGGATGTGAGTATGTTGCGGATCAGGGTCAGGGGAGCGAATAATGGGCGGACGGACCAGTTGAGGAGGTGTTTGGAGTTCAGTCACAAACATGGGATTAAACCGCATGTGACGCAGTTTAAGCTGGAGGAGTTTCAGAGTATGTTGGATACGATGCATGAGGGGAAACATAAGGGGAGAATGGGTGTGCTGTTTGATTGAGAAAGGGTTGTAGGAGCTTGTAGGTCCTTGAACCATTTGGGCCTGCCCAGTTGCAATGCTTCGGTACCAAACTCACCGCCCTGACTGCTCTTCCTCGGATGTGTAAGGTATTGTCAGACAATGTCAAGCCAGCGACTCTCCTCCCTCTTACCTACTACTCATGTTTCAGCTTCGGATTCCCCAACGACATAAAACCGTCCTTGCGACCGCAGTGCTGGCACACTGTAGCAGATTCTGCCCCATCCCCTTGCACAGGTAGGTCCCAAGCCATCAAGTACCGGATAAGCAGAGCGTCTTTCTCAGAGCCAACCAGTCCCAGCTTAACATCCCTCGCACATCTTGAGAACTTGCATACGCACTTTGTGTCAGTGTCACCAACCACCTCGCACGCCAGGCTTCCCGTTGGCGACAGCGTAAGATGGACATTGACTGAGTGCCTATGCGTGAAGTCGGGAGCTGCAAAAAGCTGAAAGTTCAGGCTGCGGATGTAGACAAGGGAAGGTCGCATAATGCTGGTCCACGCTCGCAATTGAGGGGGATTGGATGAGAGACCAACACTGATCCAGAAGCGGTGTCTGCCGTAGAAGGGGCCAAAGACTTCGTGACGGACTTGCTTGCATACCCGAGCGATAGGTGGTTGTGTCGGTCTTGGACGTCGAAATATTGACGACTGTCCGGCAGATCCGACGCGGAGGGCCAGATGTATTGTCCGATCGAAAGGCTGGGCGATCACTTCTTCGTAGAACGGATTACTGAGCTCAGCTGGGAGGTGGAGGAAGCCAGTGGGCAGCAATTCGGTCGTTGGCGGCGTTGGCATTCCTGGTTGCGGTGGCGTGGGTTGTGCTGACACAACTAACCTCGTCGTGGTTGTGGCTACGACTTCAGGTGCAGTCGTGCTGGGGAGTGGTCTTGCTCCGCAATATGTGTGGTGCGGGCATTATATATGTGGAGAGCAAACGTCAGTCAGTAGGAGCTGCGGCGGGCTAGAACATACCAGGGAACTCCATGCCCGCCACTGTACTGAGTCTGCCTGCTCGGCATCTTTATAAGTTTTGTTCAGGCTTGAGAACAAAGATTATGACTAAAGGAATGCAAGGCCGCAAAGACAGGCACTTCCAGTATCTGTAGCAGCATGAAGTCAACCCCTGTTATGAATTCAGGCCGCGCAGGTGTTCACACATGTGTAGTAATGGACAAGACCCGAGTGGTCGAAGTAGCAGCACAATCGAACTTGATCCATGTTTGTTGTAGCTTTGTAGGTCCGTGACCGTCTGCTGGAACTCGCTGCGTTTCTCGGGGGGAGACGTGCCACAATGTCGCCAAAATAAGGCCGGATAGGTACCTCGTGTGAGTGACAGGCCAACTCCACTAACAGCTAAGCCCGTGTTTCACTGCAACCACGGCTACATCCGTGGTTCGCACCTTCGCAGTAGTGGTTCTCGATGGTAAAGTGAGTGCAGGTCGCACACGTGCACCGCGTAGCACCCGACGTGTGGGGTACAGTGCGACGGGTTGCGGATCGCGAGGATTAGATTGCCCGCGGACGCCGGGCCAGCGTGGCGAGTTGCGATGAGGGACAGTAGTATGCTCTTGGCATACGCTTGAAGAAGAAAGGTATGACGGTAGGGTTGAGGGTGTACGTGGCCCGAGAGTACTGCAGATTACTGATGTCGTGAGGAGTCCTTCCTGCATGGCCTGGGGCCTGGAGTCTGACTCTGATATTCGTGCGAGGCAGTTGTGGTACAGTGGCATCCAACGTCCTGCAATTGACCGGGAGGCACCTATGCTGGCGGTCTTGCGTCTAGATTGACACATTTTACAGCTGCGGACAGCTGCTGGCGCGGTGATTCCCGGAACTTGACATTTGTGCAGCAAGAGGGACATCGCTACACATGCAATGCATAGGCTAGGAGCTGACGGACCCGGGACTCCCGCATTGTAGCACTGTCGGAGCAGTCTCCTACATACCACCCGTCTCAACGAGGTCTCTGTCGCTGACGTTGTTGCCCCGTTCTACAGCCGTGAGCAAGACCGCCTTCCGGTTTCCATCGGTTGCATTTGCTGTCTTCCCACGCTATCGAGCTGTCAATCAAGAGTGCGACTCCCACTAAGCAAAACAAGCCATATGCAGATGCCATACATCACCTGACTTATGCAGTACGAAGAGGTCGAGTTCCCAAACATCAAGTTTCCGTACAATGCAGGACGTCTCAACGCGGCTTAAATAGACGTTGGTCCACTCGTTGTAGCACTCGCAGTACATTGATTCTTGATCCTTGTACGAGCGCACTCGCTGTGGTTTAAAGAGGCTTCCTCCTAAGTGCACTCGAAAACCGCAGGCTCGGGAAGGGGATGCGGGTTGACGCCGCAAACTGGGCCCGGGAGATGCAAGCTTATGCTCTGGGCCGCCGAAGAGCTGTGAGATTCCGGACACTGAAATCATCAGAAGCTGAACGGCATTGAGACTGTCGTATCGAGCGTCAGCCATATCACGACGGTTGCCGCCAAGAGTAGCACGATGTGAGTCTTGAATCGGACCGATTCCAGTGAGCAAAGACCTAGTGGATTGGTATGCTGCCGGGTTCGAGGTTGCTTGACGCGTTAGCTGCGAATGGAACACAACGTACGTCTGGGCCTACAGCCCAGCTGCAATGAACGCATCCGCATCCCGACGATGAGGGTCTGTCCTACTCCAATGATTTTGAAGCAGCATGACCACCCCCAAGTAGAGTGATAGTCATGCTTCAAGCCCTTGTAATCCAATGATCGAGGGCAACCGCTCGTTCGCCTTCTCTGACAAACGTTGGCACAGGCGGGCATGCAGACGTCGTGATGTCTCAACAAGGCCTCGGAGCGCGTTTGAAGGCCCCAGCAGAGCTCTTGTTGTAGCACTGTGCCTCTATCTTGGGCTTCGATTGGTCCTATCAGTGCCATCTCGCCCGAATGCAATGCGAGCTGCCTCATAGGTCTTTGCCTCGACTCAGCACAAGGTTTTCTTCCAGGTACGACCATTACTCCAAGTCTGAACATATAAGTTGAGATGTTCTCCCCAAGAAGACTCCTGCAACAAGACCAGATCCGCCTCACCGACAGAGCAAGCATTCCATAGACACCAGACATCCGCAAAAACCGAACCAAAGAGTATCGGGCTCCCGACCGTGGGTACTCTAAACAACAAACATGAATGGTACGCGCCTCTCTTCACAGGTGAAATAGCCATCAAAATGTTTTCCTGCAGCAGCTGCGTGGTCACCGCCCCCGAGGGTGTTTCGTGTCCCGAGTCAGGAGGGGTCAACTCCACGTGACGCTGAGACGGATCCCAATGCGAGACCCGAGACCAAAAAGAAGGCCGATGAGAGGGCGAAGAAACCGTCCTTGGACTCGAAGGGCGGACAGAAGATCAAAGTTTCGAAGTCATCCAAACCCAAGCCTTCCGGCAGAAAATGAAGCTCAGCGAGCAGCTCAGAGACGACGACGGATCCGGATCTGGTGTTTCATGGAGCCAGCTGGCGGATTGGGGCGAGGAGACAAGGGAGTGATGTGAGAGCATGCGGGAGTTCGGGCGTTTGCGGCGTTTAGAATCGAGCAGGTAGCATCACGAAGGCACGAAGTCCGTCACCCGGCGCTTCAAAATTGCATCATTATGTTATCCAGTTAGGCTTGAGGCCCGCCCGAGGTTGAAGATGACGTTGCAACGACCTTCCTTGCATCACTTCAAGATGGCGAGGGAGAGACACCTTGGCATATTGTGGTATTGGTCCTCCGGAGCTTAGGGTGAGCACATTTAGTCAACGTTATTTTAGGACGAAGCGAACGACCTTCGAGCTCCAAGAAAGATGGCCAACTACGGCAGGAAACCAGCGGCCGATGAGACTCATTCCGTAGCCTTTGCAAGGATACCGTGGAGCTTGTTGTGCAGAAGGCCACACCTCTGCGTGATCGAGCGGGCGGTTCGACTTCCAAGCAGCTGATCGAAGATCGACCTGGGAAGGAATCCAACTCCACCCACTGCGTCAAGCTCAACCGCTTCTGTGTGTGTGTCTGCTCACCCGGACCGCTCCTTGAAAGTGTACTCTAGTCTTTGTTCGGGCCGAGTCGCATGATTCGCATTACATGATCCGCCTGGTTGACGTCGAGCATTTGCGATGTGCTCAGACATGGTGGCACATTGCAATTCAGCGTTCCCAACGCAAGTAGACCGCCAATGCTGTGCTCGATGGAAGCTGAGCATCCCGGTCAATTCCTTCGTATTCAACGTTGGGTTGGAACCATCTTCTAGGTTGCTGACGGCAAAACACTTGCAGTATGCCCGACTCACAGCCTCCGCACCTATTCGTGTCTTATCGTCCGCAAATATGGAGCTGTGCAGCCGGCGGAATCGCCAGCGTGCATGAACAGCTCTGCAGGGTATCATTTTAGCAGCCATTGATCGTGCAAACAAGTGGTGTAGCCGCCGTCTTGACACAGTATGTGCGCTGTTGGGCCAGTACTAAGCTCCTTGGTGGTCTCTGACACCTGCAGAAGCCAGTCAGGGGATGGTAATCCAGGCGGAAACGACGCGTGGGAAGTTCTCGTCGCTACGCGGTATTGTTGTACGACAACAATCTCAACAGCATTAGTCTTGGTGCTGTGCAAATTGTATTAGATGCGAACCGCATACAAGTGTTGGTATGCCTTCGTGGCATGCGGTGTTTTTGCCGACCCACTGCTGCTGGCCGTATAAGAAGGGCAGTGTCCTCAAGCATAGATTCTTGCACCGGCACGAGTATCCAGCATAATTTCCACCATTGCAACAATACAGTGCACATCCGTATCACACCGCTGCCCGAGCAAAGAAAAGTCTACGAGTCCCTCTCCCGTGCCGCAGAGTGGAATGCTGACATGGCTGCGACAGACATCATGTCGGCCAAAAGAACCCTCCGCAGGTTCAATCAAGGCTATCGTTCCGACGAAAACGGTGCTGCCAGAGGCGTTAGCACATCCACTAGAGGAAAGGCGAAGAATTCGCGCGGAGCCAATCGTGGGAGAAGCGAGCAGGTGGTCGTCGACCGTGCTGCAATCAATGGGGGCGGAGGATCAACTCAGAGAGCCGAGAGTCCTGACCCATGGCCTCGTGTGGCCCCGGGCGGTAGGTTTCCGTCGAACAAGCTCATGGTGCGCAGTTGCTGACATAGTAATGATTAGATGGCAGTCGATTCGAGGGCCATGACATGCACATGGATCAAGAAGATGGCCCGATCCCGCGAGTCCCGCCGGGCGGTATGTTATCGCCAGTAAAGGTCATGTTCCGTGATGCTAACAAAGATAATACCAGATTGCGCATTGTGATGGGAAGTAGCGAAAGATCATAGGTCTGTGGACGACTCGTACAAAGCGCCAGTCGAGCTGCGGGAGAGGGAAGTTGGAATCGTTTGGTAGAGCGGCGCTTCAGACAAGTTGAGAGCATCAAAAATTCTTCCGTTGCCTGTGGTTTGATGCTATGGGAGGCGAATCGGTTCGGTGAAGTGGAATATGTGTCGGATGACCCTCCAGACAGAGGGCAAAGGAGGTGAAGAAGGACCGGGCATGTCTCCGTTCATGAGAACCATCGGTAGAGCACAAAATCTAACCTCGGCCTTGACAATAGGATAACAACAGCCCAGACGAGAGTGCTACTAGAGGGAGTTCCAGCAAGACGGAGAATGACCTGTCGGGTGGAACAGAAGGTTCGGCGGAAGCGGGAACCCAAGATGGCAATGGTCTTGCAGGCACAGGCTCGACTATGGCCAGTCCGGAAGCTACCTCAGGGTCGTATTGTAGCAGTGTACCGTCGTTCAGCAGTATGTAGGACCCACCCAGGAGGTACAATGAAGGATTTCGTTCGAAGAACTGTATGAGCATCGCACTGGTTCGCATACTGTGCGACTGCGGAATCGTCACTGGAAAGGAATGAGTACTTATAATGCACTGCATTTGCTTCCCAAGTTTGTTCGTCTTTCCCAGTACCGTCGCTTCGATCGCTGATCGTACCATCAATTGTCGTTCCGACTCATAGAAAGGAGGATATGTTTTGTTCGTCCCTCATCACACTGTAAGCACTGCCCGTCCCGAGACGATCCGGAGGTGTTCTAACCATGAGCTTTCAGACACCATGGCATCCTCGAAACTTTCGTCAACTCCCTTGACTAGAGGAGGTCTGCAGTATCTAGGGCAATCTGGCATCCAGACTACGTCCAAGCAAGCCGGCAACTCCACGATGGCGACGATTCCTGGGGTTGGTCAGAAGTGGAATCGTCGTGACCCCGAGACGGGAGGCTATACGGAAGAGACAAGAGAGGAAGCTTATCGTCGCAACAAGGCCAGGAAGGAAAGTGACGAGGCGGAGGCCGAAAGACGCCGGAAGGAGGCAAAGCGTGCCGCAGAGAAAGAAGCGGAAGCACAGCGTCGGAAACAAGACGCACTGGACCAAGCGACCTCTTGCAGTCCATTGAAGCGGACCAAGTGACTACCAGTCAAACCTCTCAAACGGAATGCTGGAGCCGAGGACCCGAGCTCGGGATGGGGAGGAGCCAGTGTATTCGATCTGAAGGCCGAATGGCATGGTCAAGGGGTTGGCAATTGTTGAGAGATCATGTTCCTTGAGCGCCCCTGTTGTGGTTGCGAGAGACTTCCTGCGAGGCAGTCTCGGTGTCGGAGGATGGTGGTTGACTGTAGCTGTGGAAGGGCCGTGATAGCTGGCGTATCTGTCATACGCTTAACTTGAATCGTCATGTCAATGACGGCTTACGATCCTGCTCAGCTGTCAGAGAACGCAGTATGGTGCAAGCACTAAGGTAAAGTTGTGGCAGTCTGCACTGACACGGTCTTAGCCGCTTGTGCGGTGCTCATAGACCGAGACTCGTACGCCCGCATTGGCGGTGTCGTTTTGAGATCCACTGACTCCGACTGGTGAAAGTTGCCGAAGCACACTCTAATTGTGTGACGTGGTCTGATCGACAGATCTATCTTGCAGCGCTCGTTTTGCGACAAGCTTTCTCCATGAGGACATTGTATGATGTGCATCTAACCGTCGATGTGCGTAGCTGGCGCTTCTGATGATGCACACCTCTCAGGCGTCCGTCGGATAGGTTCCAATGCTAAGTGCGGCTGGGCGAACGCACAGAATGGATTCGGTGGCCTGCCGGAACCGCTGGTCCATTGAGAGGGAACGAATGTTCACCGCCATGGCGGAGCTGTGTTGTGCTGTGGTGCACCGCCCAGACTTGGATGCGAGTACCTGCTTCGGCGCCGTCTCACTTCATCGCCTCTCCTCAGTCTCTCTGAACCGCAAATACCTTGGTGTCGTGGGCCATGCTCGCGTTCCAATAGCTCTTCAGACTTCGTCCGACTTTCGCTGGTCGTTTGTGGGCCTCGTGCAGGACGATGGGGCGCACGACGAATACGGTTGGTCTCGAGGCTGTTCACGTCCTCGGCACCTCACCAGGCAGCTCAAGGCAAATGCAGATAACGTGCAATCGTCCGCATTTTCGATCCGGTGGATTCCCTGAGATCGCACTGTGCTCCGTTTTCGTGGCACATTGTAGCACCCTGAGTGGAACGACCTCTCGACCCAACGACATTTGCTGAGCGGGCGCCGCCAAGTGGCAAGTCCCTAACGCAGATGCTGCTATGTTTTGCTATGCCGTTACTTCCAGTACTGCGAGGCTGAATGACCCACTGCGTATTGTGACACAGATGCCGTAAGGATCAAGTGCTCGTGCATCTGTGACCAAGCGGTCCGCTTTGCCCCTGCTGCCAGGTTGATGACTGCAGCTGGATCATAGGCGGTATCGTTCTCCGGCAACCTTTTCTTGCTATCGGCATGGCCAGGGGCTGCCAACCGTTAGCCGGATGGGAGCCACAACCGCGCAACACTCGTTCCTGCGATATGTCGGAAGGAGACCCGGGCACACCTGCAGGATGCAGTGAACCCGTGCGGCGCACTGTATTCTTACCTCGCATCTCAGCACATTGAACATATTGCCTTGGTCCACTTCTCCTTTGTTGTATGCCAACGATTCATGAAGCCCCGCTCGAGCCTCCTCGTAGCCTGAGTAGTCTGTGTGATGTATGGAGACCGCGTCAAGTCCCATCGCGACCTTGAATGTAGAGGCTGATCGTATTGACGCGGTATCACAGGATGGCGCCGTAGAACAAGCCGGAGAAGAAATCGTCCCGAGCGAACTTATTGGGTTGAGCGTGGTAGCCTTGGTGTTCCGTTGCCGGTCGATGAGGATATATATTTTTCACTGAAGCACCCTGAGAGTCAGGTCGACAGCCAGAGCAGTAGCATCACTTCCGACAGAGCACATCACATCTGGGACCAGGGCAGGCTTTTTGCATCTTCACTTCACCGAGACAACCCATCGACCATGCCTTCGGCCAATGTGAACGGTAAGCCCGAAAAGGTTGCTTCTTACTGAGACCCAAAGCAGCAGCTGACGGCTTGGCCCAGAAGGAGCGCGACACCCTGGAGAGTGTATACACCAAAAGAAAATGCCGAGACCGACTGAATGCAAATGCGGTCCACACCCGCGCGATCCTTCGCCCAACTCGTACCCAGGGAACTACGAACGACACCGCCAAGGGCGGAACCGTCCAGCAAGCAATGGAGGGCGGGCTAACGGGAGGACCTGACCTGCCGACGCAGGTTCGCATTCGAAAGCTGTAATGGGATGCCATTCCTTCGATGATGAGACGAACGGCGGTGGACATCTTCCAAAGAGCGACGAGCTTGCTTGTGTCGGTGGAGGCAGTAGAATGCACATAGACGTTCAAACCGTCGACTGCATTGGGAGGGGCATGTGCCGTGGTGGAGGACGGAACGACCTGACTTTAATGCCAGTCAGCATCAGACGATAATACGATGACATGGAACTTTCGGAATGCTCTGGACTTACCAACGATGACAATACTCCTTGAATGCTTTCGACAAGGCGACGACTCTCCTTGGATGCTTTCCTTGGATGCTTTCGATAAGGCGACGACACTCCTTGAATGCTTTCAATAAAACAGATAGAAGCAATGCATGCGAAGTTTGACATTTTCATGGCACATCTCTCAGATCTTGGTCCCGTTCGTCGTTCTTGTGATCCGCGCTCAATCATTGTCGGCCAACACCCAGAAGCACCACCGTTGCCAGCGAGATCCTACGATGGTTGTGCCATGGTAGTTTTTGTCGGCCACAGCGTCAACGCGGGCAGTGTTCGACTGCTGTAGTACGCGAAGTCCGGTCGAGAAGTAGGACGGTGAGGCACCCTGTCTGTCGTCGCGTCCTATGGTCCGCATCTCAGCGTTGCGCGAGGCAGCCTGTGCCTGACCGACAAGACTGTTTCTTCTGGTCCTGACCGTGTGCTTCTTCCACAACGCTATCCGCAACCTCTCGTCTTCGCTCCGAATACACCATCAACACACCACAGCCACCAAGCCATTGCAGCACCGAGCCGCCATCCGCAGTTCGATTGTCGACGGAACTGTAAGCGGCTTCCAACACTTCGAGTGTAGCTTGATCACAGCATGCTAACATGCCTTAGTCAAACAACATGGGCGATTCGTCCAAACAGACGAGCAGCACCGGAGAGGGTGTCAGTCACATGGCGACGCCTGTCCGAACCCAAGGACTTGCGGTGGTCGTGGCCATCCTGATGGGCCTACTGTGAATGGCCGACCACAGCATCCTATCGAAGGGGACAAGGTCTCCAGTGACGAATTCCTCGATGGCGCGAGGCAGAAAATTGAGAAAGACCACAAAAGTCGGGAGAAAGCGGAAGCTCGCCAGCAAAACGAAGGATATGGCCAGCAGGAGCAGAAGAATGGTCAAAGCAGCTCCGGATGGTGGAAGGATTCAATCGGCGGCCTAAACCAAGGAAGTAAGGCCTGCGACACTCCACGCAGCAATTCGTCCACCATTCGAGACCCGCAAGCTTGAGTTCTGGACAACCGGTTTCCATTGGGTGGTCTGGGCCAGTGCAAGTTACGCCTCTGCCGACAGAAGATCATTTGGCAGCAGTATTCTGATAGGTTGTGGGCTGGGGAGGAGCAAAATAGACTTACGGTCGCATCTTAGACGAATAGATACACAAAAAGCAGGGCGCAACGTCTTTTCGGTTTTGTCTTCGCCGAGTTTTGTCCATACAGTATCCACGTTGGCCGGTGCAACGGCCAGTCTTTGCGAGATGCGAGCGTTGCTGGTAGTGGTGCAGGAGTAGCCGACAAATAAGATCATCGATCGATATGTGTCCAGCCGCACGCGAGTGAAACAGTGCATTGTGATCCCAGGGCACTCCGGACTGGTTGTGTAGACGTAGTGTCGCCGTATGGCATATGGCGTGCTCAGTGTACCTGAACACAAGGCTGATCGTTCGCTTTCGTGCTTCCAGAATACGCAGATATGGCCTGTTGTTCCATGGCCTGTTGTGGTTCGTATGTTCTGCCGATTCCGTTCTGGCGGCTAGTCTCCAGGACTCCTTTTTACGACGATATTGCAGCAGTGTCAGCGACCAAACGTTCAATCGTGGGAATCGAGTGCAACGTACTCGCAGACTTCAAGACTTAAGCCCACAGAAGACGTAAGTAGCTCCTCTGTCAAAGCCCATTTCGCAAGTCTGACATGAAAAGCGCCAGAAACCATGAGCCAAACAGCGCAGCAGACAGGTGGTTCAGGACCGGAGCAGTGGCACTCTCCGGAAGATCAGACTCCGACACCGCGAGACAACAATGCAACAAATGCTTCATCGAGCAACCAGCCGTGTGACGGCGAGACGGGAGGAGGGACGAAGGAGGTCCGGGAGGAAGCTGTCCGTCGGGCTGGAGAGACAACGAATCAAGCTTCTGCGAATGAGGGTGGTTCGGGTGGTTGAGCGTGTGCGTTCATTCGATACCGTGGAGCTGCTCGTCAATGGTAGCTCGCCTAATACTGATGCTGTAAAAGGAGTGTGTCATGAGGAGTAAGATGTCAGCAAGGATGGATATGCCGATGGTGGTTGTTTGTTGTATCTGGAGGCTGTCAGCTGCGACTTCGAATAATCACGCTCAATTAAAAATCGACTCGAAGGTCCCGTGGATTCATCGCTAACATTTGAAGCCTGAAGTCCAAATTCCACGGCGCACGTTGCCAAAGCTTGCCCAGGTGCGATGCCGCATTCTCAAGTGTTCATACAGTATGTACAATACCAGCTGCCTTAGGTCGAAGCCGGCTCAAAGTCTATCGTTGACCCACTCATGCAGTCTGCCGCTCGTTGTAGAGCCATTGGCCTTCTTGAGGCTTCTCCTCAAGGTCTTCCCAACTGTAGCACAGAACGTTAGCATCCAAGATATCCCCATCCCGAGATAAAGAACCATCTCAACTTACACCTTAGACTCCGCCATCCTCTCCGCCAGCGCCCTCTCACCCTCCGCCACAGCGATAATCTCCTCGATCAACCCCGATCCAATCTTCTGCTCCACCTCGCTGATCTGCTCCATCGTCAAGGCCGGCTCCGCCTCCACCCGCAGCTCCCTCACAGTCTCTCCATGCGGATCCTTCTCCAGCTGCTCTCCTCGATCCGCGACAGCAGCTTGCTCCTGTGGTCCTTCCGGCTGCGGCTTCGCCTTGTAACCAGCATTGATGGCGTCGTCCTCGGTCTTGAAACTCGACGATGGAGGTGGAGCGTGGTAGATGATATTGTACTCCTCTCCCTTCCCGCCGTCACTGGTCTTGACCTTCTTGAAAGCTTCAGGATGCTGGTCTACCAAAGGCGCGACTCTTTGTTGCCATTCGCTGAGGCCGGAAGGTCTGACATTCTCGACGATGCTCATGCGGTGGCGGGTCAAGGCTTCTGTGGACTGTCGGTAGACACTGTGTTCCGGGAAGGCCTGGAGCTTGTCGAGAGTGGTGCTGTAGAGGTATAAGAGCGTGCTGCGCGGCGAGTAGTGTGTGAGGAGTCCGGTGAGGCCGGTAGGGAGGCCGGCTTCGGAGTAGAGGGTGTTGGCGCGGGCGACGGAGGCAAGGAGACGGACGGCGGGGCGCATGGTGGCGGTGGTGTCGTTCTAAGGAGCGGTGTCCAGGGTGGAAGAGTAGGATATGGTGGTGGTGGCACAGGAAGAGGTGAGGTCAGATGGCGACTGATTGCGGTTCCCAATGTACGCAGGGATGAGATTTACGCCGACCACGCGCGAGGGTCCAGATCCGCAAGAGAGGGATGAAGGCATCGACAACGACATCCTCAACTACACCTGCTGTATTCTACGACTTACTTCCGACAGTCGCTCGCTTACCTCCTCTGTTCTTTCCATAAAGCGATTTCATAACACACTGAGCCATCGCGGCAGGACCAACCACGACCCAGTACTTCGACGAAGCCAGGCGCATCCTCCCACTGATTGACCACACCATCATCCGGGCCTTGTGCCCATAGGACCCCCGGCACCATGCGCGCATCATTCCTCACCCTCGCGGCCTTTCCCCTCTCCATCCTCGCCAACATCCTCCCCTTCACCCCGCCGCATCTCCTCCCCCGAGTGGCCGCCGCCGCCTCGAAAGCTGACGATGAACCCACCACCTTCAACGGCAAGACAGTCCCGCCCATACCCAAACTCGGCGGCGACGACATCGGCAGCACCATCGCGCGAGGCTATTGGCTGGTGGAGTACTTCAGCCCTTACTGCAGCCACTGTCAAGCCTTCGCTCCTACATACCACACGGCGTACGAGTATTATTACACCCAGGAGCCCATACCGCAGGCACCAGGAGCGGATAGCGATGCGCAGGATCTGAATAGCTTCTCGAGATACTATGACTTCCACTTCGCCGTGGTGGACTGCGTTACGAATGGAGATGCTTGCGCGAGCAGGAAGATTGGGAGCTTTCCGACCATGGTGCTGTACCATGATGGAGAGGTTGTGAAGAGCGTCACAGGGGCAAAAGATCTGAAGTACGTTTCGAAGTGGGTGGAGGAGACACTGGAGACCATCCGGCCAGGCTCGAGACCACAGGGCGGACCTACGCTTCCTGAGGTTGGCGCGGACCATGCAGACCCCGTGGTGGTGAATGTTCCCACGAACACGAATGCACCCGCAGCCGCAACAGGAGTGAGCGATGACACACGATCCGTCCTTCCAGCTACACGTCTTTCGACCGGCTCGTCGGGTCCTCCGAACGTTAACGGTAAGAGTGTAGCGTTGACTGCGGAGAACTTCCAGCGCATGGTCACGATGACCCACGATCCCTGGTTCATTAAGTTCTACGCTCCGTGGTGTGGGCACTGCAAAGCCATGGCGCCTAACTGGCAAGGCATGGCGAGGCAGATGAAAGACAAGCTGAACATTGGCGAAGTGAACTGCGACGTCGAGAAGCGTTTGTGCAAGGACGTCAAAGTGCGCTCATACCCAACAATGCTCTTCTTCCGCGGAGGCGAAAGAATAGAGTATGATGGTCTTCGCGGTTTGGGCGATCTGATCGACTACGCGAACAAGGCTGTTGCGGTCGGCGAGGGCGTGTTGGACGTGAACGCAGCCCAATTCGAAGAACTGGAGGAGAAGGAGGAAGTCATCTTTCTCTATTTCTACGACCACGCCACCACCGCTGAAGACTTCGCCGCTCTTGAACGCCTAGTGATGAGCTTGATCGGGCACGCCAAGCTCGTCAAAACCAACGACCCTCTCCTCTGCGAGCGCTTCAAGATCTCCACCTGGCCCCGCCTCCTCGTCTCCCGCGACGGCAAGCCGACCTACTACACCGGCCTCTCACCCCGCGACATGCGCGACTACCGCCGCGTGCTCAACTGGATGCAATCCGTCTGGCTCCCCATTGTCCCCGAGCTCACCGCTGCTAACGCCCGCGAAATCATGCACGGCCGTCTCGTCGTCCTCGGCATCCTTTCCCGCGACCGCCCGGAAGAATTCGTCGTCGCCAAGCGCGAGATCAAAAACGCCGCGCTCGAATGGATCGACAAGCAAACGCAAGCTTTCCAACTCGAGCGCCAGGAGCTGCGAGACGCGAAACAACTCCGCATCGAAGAAGCTGAAGACCGCAACGACCAGAAAGCGCTCCGGCAAGCGAAAGGCATCAGGATAAACATGGACGACATCCAGCGCAAAGAAGTCGGCTTCGCGTGGGTGGATGGCGTGTTCTGGGAACGTTGGATCCGCACCACCTTTGGAATCTCGATCAAGGACGGGGAGAAAGTCGTCGTCAATGATGAAGACAATAAGCGCTATTGGGACAACACGATGACCGGCAACGCTATGGTTCCGTCTCGAACGTCGATTCTAGAGACCTTGCCGCGTATTGTTGCGAACCCGCCGAAGATTGCGCCGAAGAGTACGACGACTGCGCTCGGGCATGTGTGGTGGATTCTAAGGGGACAGTTGATGGACCACCCGCTTATCAGTGGGATTGTCGGGTTGGTGATGTTCATTGCGCTGGCGCTTTGGGGACGGAAGGCTGTCGGGAGAGCTGGTGAGAGGGGGCAGGGCTACTTTAGGGTCGGGGAGAAGGGGCCGATGGATGGGCTGTTGGGGGGAAATGTCGGCGGGCAGGGGAAGAAGGATTGAGAGGCGTGGCGAGTTTTGGGTTTTCGCATCGCGTGGTGTTGACGGCGTTTGTTGGGTAGGTATCATTGCGTCTTTGCAGGCCGGCGCTAGCTGGTGTCGTCTATCTCCGTCCTTGAACACTTTCCCGTCCATCTACTGCACTCGTGCCTTGCCTCGGGAGCAGAGCATGCATTTCAAGCAACACACCCGGGTTTTAAGCCTGCTAACCAATCCCTCCCCTTACAACCACATCCCGACACTTCTCGCTCACACAGTGACACAATCGACACACACAGCGCCAGGTCTTTCGTTAGGTCCCCAAGGGGCATACGAGCTGGGCTTAGTATCCACCGGGTCGTTGCAGCCGCCGTACGCTTCAGCTCGGTCAGCGAACGATGAATAGGGTACTGGCACCGAGAGATCAGCGAAGCAAGACTCACCGACGACGACATTCCAGCTATCGGTGTTGAGGACCTGTCCACTCATAGCACCGGTGAGAGGCGAGGAACAATGTGCCCATATGAGGTAGGCGTAGAAGCCGGCGTCTTTGCAGTAGAGGCTGATTTCGCGGTCGTTCCGCGGGTAGAATGTCAGCCAGCTTCGTGGAATACTGTATCCTAAAGTTAGGTAATGGCCTGTGTTCCTATACATCGTTGCAAATCTGCAGTGCTCGTCAGCTTCCAATGGTAGAACTATCCACAGCACCCCCCACCCAGAGCGTGTGTACACCAACATACATAAACCGCCGACGTGTTCTCGCAACCCATCCTGGCGCAACTGTGCGCTGCTGCGTCGCAAGTGCCACCGAGCGTTCGGATCCTGTCCACCTGTACCTGTGCGTCGCTGCTGTCGGCTGTAGAGAACATCCCGCAACCCCCGAAGTCCAAACTCCGTTTGCGTAGGCTGGGCTCGCGGCGCTCGGCATTGGTGTTGTTGAGCTGGTAATAAGCCGGGTTGATGGCGAGGATTTGTTCGTAGATTTACTACAGACGGTCGTGACTGAACTGTATTAATGAGGAATCGTTGGACAGGGCATACATCCACATCGCCGTACAACACTCCGGTTTTGCCCGGGAGACTTAAGCATAGGGTCTTTTGGGTAAAACCGAAGAGGCCATAGAGGACGAATATGAACTGCATTGCAGTCCAAGGTTGAGGCCTTGCGAGGTGCTTGCAAGAGTACAATGTCCAGATCGTTTTGATGTCTTAGCCGGTGTAGCCGTTGTTGGAGAGAGCGAGCTGCGACATTTCACCATGATGCGAGGATACCAGAGCCTTTAGCCAGCCTACCTGACGTTTTACGTGAAGTTACGAGTACTCGGGTAAGGTGCTTGTATGCAGTTGCCTGTACGAAGATGTACGCCTGAAAGGGCCCTTTTGAAGGCGGTGCATATTGGTGCTTGTGTGACGGCGCTGGTGCACCAGCGGCTGTGCAAAGATGCTTGCGCGTTGCGAAAGATGGGGTTTGGATGCTGTCATAATGGGTGCGTAAGATATTTGTTGCAAGGAGGGTTTGTGTGACATTGAACGCACGGGTCCGCTTTCGTCTGAACTGCAGTTCAGAGCTGCAGCTTCCCAGCTCCCACGAAATCCGTCTTGCTTCCCTTTGTCGTCTCGACAAGTGATCGAGTCATTTATTCTTCGCTCGAGGGGACAAAGCTTCGACTACCGCATCCTTACTGTCCATAGGTCGATTGAGTGCATAGCATTGAGGAATTAGGTCCGTCTCCTATCCTTGAGGAAGTGACACGAGTAGGACTCGAGATGGCCAGAGGCAGCTTTAGTATAGGTCGGTTTGCTTCTGGTCCAGACCAGTACTGCTCGATATTCACACCACTATCCAGCATCTCTCATCGAGCCCGACCCAACGCCCGATAAAGACACCGTCGAGTCCGACCAAACACCCACAAAGGATACCATCGAACCCAACCTGCTCCTCCGCCTCCCAGGCGAGCTACGCAACCGTATTTACCGCGACTTGATCGAGCACGACCGCACCCACGAGTCCCTCTGCCTATCCGAACGATGGTTTGGGGGAATAGGCGGCCGCTGGCAGTACAAAGTCGAGCCCGACACGCCCGCGCTCGCGTTCACCTGCAAGCAAATCCGGCATGAAGTCCTCGACATCTTCTTCGGCGAGCGCACGTTCGACCTTACCTTTAAAGCTTTCCAGTACGACAAGGAATGGCTGGAAAGGTGGTCAAGGATTGCTGGGCCTTCGTTGCGGTATCTTCGGAAGGTTCGGGGGGTGTATGTTTCATCTCCAAGTCGTTCGCGTAATCGGCGCTATTGCTGACGCCACCACGTCCCTACGCAGACTCTACTTCGACGGTCTGCCCGGAACTAGCAAAAAAAGCTCCAGTCCCCATCCTTACGGCGTCGTCGATGTGACGGTATCGAAAACCGGATCGCTAGCCTTGAGGAACGCGCACGGTACCCTCTTCACTTCATACAACCGCGAAACCCTCGACTCCCTCTTCGAGCAGCGGCTACAGGAGGCGATGGCCGGTCTCGTTGGGTCACCGGATGATCCGCCGGTGGTGAGGTTCTTCAAGTCTTTTGCGAAGGAGGTCGAGAGGAAGGAGAGCGGGGGCAAAGGGCGGAAGCGCAAGGTTACGATGGACAGGTTGTGGTTGTATTAGGTTGAGGTCGTACGCGAGAGGCTCTGTCATGTGGTAGGTGGAACGGTCATTGAACGTGCGGCAGAGCCCGCAGCAGCTGCCTAATTCGGCGCTGTGAAATGGGATTGTCACATGCAGATGTCTCCTTGCATGCGTCATGACTCTTGGCACCGCGCACGATCGTCTCGGCGGCAAGCTTTTGTTTGCGACATACATACATTGACGCTTGGTGAAGACTTCACAGCAACATGGAAGGGATGGCCTTACACAGGCCGGACAACGGTACGTCAAGCCCAGAGATGGTAGCTCGCTTGCCGAAGCTGATCTATGGTAAAGGCGAGAAGGATCACGACACGGTCGTGAAAGAGGCCATTACGAGGATTACCACCTTCGACGACACCACATTCGACAACACCACCGTCCACGACGAGACAATCAACAAGGTAGCCCTCGACACCGTCGTGGCCATGTCGGAGACCGGTATGCGAAGCCCAGCATAGATAATCTGCATCGTGAGACTGACCTGATGCTGTAGGCGCAGCTGACGCACCTCAAAAGTCGACGGATACAACATGCCACCTCCTTCGCCTTCGCGGCGAACTACGCAACCGCATCTTCGAACTGAGCATTGCTTCCGAGGGCTGTTATTCTGGGCACGTGGGTATTGAGAGCAGAATTTCGAAAGGGCGTCTACTCCGTCGCGCCTGTCCTCAGCCGCCCGCCCTAGCTTCCACCTGCAAGCAAGTCAGACACGAACTCCTGTCAGCGCTCTACGGAGGAAGAAAGATCATGCTCTCTAGTTACACCATGCAATCGGAACAGATTCTCAAGCTCTTCGCTGGAACAAGCAGATCCTGGTTTCCATACCTTCGCCACATCACAATTACAATCTACGCTCGGAAGATCGAAATTGCATACTTGAGCATGCATGTGGCAGAAACAGAAAAGCTTGTGGTGAACGTTCAAAACCATTCCGGGGAGCCCGTAGCCTTTTGCACATGCGGCGTCTCGCGGCATGCAGCATAGGTGAACGAAGGCGACACCGAGCCGCAGGAAGACGCACCCTTGATGAGATTCTGCAAGTTTTTGGAGGAAGATCCACATCTTTCTCGCAATGAGCAGTGTATGCCCCTGCCCTGCGAAGACTGCGGCAGCCTCATTCGCAAAACACGGCGCTGTTGAGATTCATTCCTCTTTACTGAATTGCACAGCATTTTAGACAGTCTCCCTGACCTATGGAGAGTGCCACATGCTGTGGTGGCGGCACATGCATTCTCCTACAGATTCCCTGACGCCTGACCGTAAGGCCCATCGGTCTACCAAACGACGCAACTCCGACGACATTGTGCAGGATTCAGGCAGAGGTCCAAGACCAATCACACCGTACGACTGGCACAAGGGAAGGCTGCAGCAAGCGTATGAACGAAGTGAAGATGAATGAGGAGAAGCGGGCATTGCTTGTCGAGCTATACTTCGTTAGTCGTGGCTCAGACAATGCTCGGTGGATGGTGGATGGAGCAGCTTTGCGTAAAGCTTGAAGAATACAAGGCAGGATGGACACTTCGTCCCTAGTCAAGCTGGGTTATGTGGCTGTTAAATGTCACGAAAATGGCCGGTCCTTCGGTATGGCTTGGGGCACCTGGTGGTCTTGGACCCACACAGCTACTATCATTCACATTTCATGTCCCACTTCGCATCTCACTAGAACGACCATGGCTGTGCGGAAGCGACCATGTTTTGTTCGATTTGCTCTAACATCTCTGCTTTGGGACTACAGACCAACGCTTGATTTACGGTTTCACAAGGGAGTGATTGAATGGTCGGAGTATTACTCAGCGTGTGCTCATAGCATCACATGGGCTAGCGGCAGCTTCCTACTTGAGCTGTCACATGCTGAGCAGATTTCCAGTTGCAGATCTCCGCTATTCACCTCACGACTCTTGGCAGCTTGCATAAACTTCTTGCCGCTCCGCCTACCTTCTTCACCTTCAACATCAAGATCAGCCTTTCACATTTCAGGACCATGGCGGGCACAGAAGCGTCCAAGATCGGTACGTAGCCGGAGAATCGCATCTGCTCAAAGATACTGACATTGCTGTGAAGATCGACCGCCTGATGTTGCTGCCCATCCGACCGAGAGAATCGAGAGCTCAACAAAGAACACACCCGACACATGCCCTTTCCTCCGCCTGCCCGGCGAGCTGCACAATAAGATCTACGCCATGGTCGACGACTCCAAGCCCCCGGGCACCAGCTTCAGATACCGGTTGTAGCTCTCCGGACTGATGCGCACACATCAAAGCCAGGCCGTCGAGCCAAAGCAGCCGCCTATTGCTTCCACTTGCAAGGAGATCAGACCCGAAGTGCTTTCCCTCTTCTACAGAACCAAGCAATTCGATATGCCCACTTGGTATGGAAACAAAGCCCGCGCGTTGCAATGGTCGACAGAACCTCGACCTTCCCTCTGGTACCTCCGCAATGTGTGCCAAATTCTCAAGGTCGACTCGTCACAGGGCTACAACAAGAGGGTCGAAGTTAGCATCAAGGTAAGATCGGACGGCAAGTTGGTCTCCACCGTCACAGCAATCGAACTGGATTTCCCAATTTGCAAGTGCATCTTCGCCCAACGCGCCGCAGAGGTGGAGGACGGACTCGTAGGCTCAATGGTAGATGGCCCAGTGGTCAGGTATTTCAAGTCATGGATGAAGTCCGAGCAAGTGTATCAGACTGGAGGAGTCGCAACGACCTGCACAGCCTGCGGTGAGGAGGTGGCCCGAGTACGGTCTTACTAGACGAAAGCCTCGACTATGCAGTCGGATTCCATCGAAGGGCTTGTTGTGAGAAAAAGGCTCGAGCCGCGAGAGTGGTGGAAGCGCCGAGTTGGTTTGCTTGAGCTTGAGGGAAGATTCATTCGCGGGAGATCGGATGCATTTGTGTAGGATTGTAGCATTCCACAGCGATACAAATGTTTACTGATTCCCACCACGATGGGCTTGAGACCGCGAATCCGTGTGGTCTTTCGACCGAGAAGTGCGCCCTTGCTGACCCGCATCACATGGATATGGTCGCCAGTTCGTGTAGCCCGTCACTCGAAGTATCGTCTGTTCGCTGGGTTCAATCAATGATCGTGCTGCTCGAGCGACCCGCCGCCGCTCAGTCTCCTTCCATCATCTTGCTCAAGAACCAGACCCCTTATATCCCTTCAACCCCCAGCAGCCCCAGCCATCTCAACCTCCTTCCCCATATCCTTCTTCTCCTTCATCTCCTCCGTGCTCATCAACCCACCGGGCAGCAAGTACATCACATCCGTCCTCCTGCCCTTCTGCTCCGGCTCGAACTGGCTCTTGTCCAACCAATACCCGATCTGAAGATCGCACCTCTTACATCGCGCAGCGTACCGCTTCTCAAACCCATCTTCGAGGTTCAGAACAATGGGCTCTGCATCATCGAAGGATGATCCGGAGAGAACTACGCCGCCTGGGATGGGCAGATCTGAACCGGCGAGTTTGCAGATTGCTGCGTGGTCTGCTTTGCGCTTGGGCAGAGATTGGAGTGGTGCGTATGTTGCCAGCACGAGTTCTGTGCAGAGGCAGTGGTACGTGTGCACTTGTGTCTTGGACATGTGGGATGACCTGTAGCAGTGTAGAATTTAAAAGTGAGGTTTGAAGTCTGAACGCAGCTGCAAGTTTCACATGACTCAGGAAAACACGTGATACAAGAGTAGTTTGTCATCTACACGGTCCTTTTGCTCCTCTTCACGGATGCCTTTGGCGTTTCATGGAGTGAGCACTCAGAGACTCAAGTCCTGGTTCTTCACATAACCATTCGTTGAGTCGTATATCTCTCAAAGCACGTGATTCTGGCCGTAGCTCATGCCACCAAGCATCCCCTCTATCCCCCTGAGTATTCATCCTTCTGCTACCATCTCCACAATCTTGCCCCCTTCTACCCGGTGAAGCCATGCTTCTTCTTCAAGTCATTGACCAGCGCAACATACTTCTTCTGTGCGTCCGCCGGCTTCACGCCCTCATCGACAACCTTCTGCCAGGCGTTGCGCTTCGCTTTCTCCTGGATCCCACAACAACCGTTAGCCTCGTCGCTCTGTTGTAGTGCCTTGAGACGTATATGAGAAACCTACCTTCAATTCGAACATGCCTGGAGCCTTCGACTGCTCGATCGGCGGGTCTTGCGTGCCTTGCTTGAAGAGGGCGTAGAGCTGCAGAGACGATCGGACGTCAGCGCGTATTGTCCTGTGCAGAAACTGCTACGCACTCTCATACCTGCAGCAACTCATCATCGCCGGGCTTCGCCTTCAGCTTCCGGCTGTCCTCGACGGCTTTCTTAAACTCGGCGGATTGAGCGGTCGGCATGTTGGCTGTTGGCTGTAGTGATTGGAAGTTGTTTCGTTTTAGATGTGGTCGAGAGGTCGAATAAGTGTCGTTGCTGATTGTTGTGTCTGTTGAAACCTTGATTGCAGACCTGCGAGCTCATGAGAGGGAAGCACACGTGGTGGGGCTCAGCTGCAGCTGCTTCCACTGACGTAGTGTTTTGCAGGTTCCTTAATGGGAAATGGCCTTTCTTCAAATTCACTTCAAGTTCACTTGATGCACTTCAGACATGTGATAACGAACTAGGAATGATGTGGGATCAGACATTGTGTTGTCTGGGGCTTATGAACAGTCTGTCGAATTTAACCTCCAAATCTCATAGGATCGACGAACGATAAAACTTATAGGCCACGGTACATGTATTCAATCTGTATTAGAAACGAACACTCCACTGACCCGTGAGCGGTTCTAGCACAACACCCAATGCCCGTCCAACCCCGAACCTCTAGCCCAAACTATGCCCCGTCCTCTCCACCGCCTTCTTATACGACTCCGTCGCCTCGCAATCCTGAATGAACTTCTTACACCTCGGATAGTCCTCTCCTTTGACCCCCAAGTCCCTTGCCAGAATAAAAACCGCCGAAAAATGCATCAGCGTGTCCGCAACAGTCACCTTGTCCCCCAACAAGAACTTCCCAGAGCTCTTCTCTAGGGTCGACTCTAGGAGGTTCATATCATTGATGACGTTCTTGCTCAGCCCTTCTTCTGTCTTCTTGACATCGCCGTCTTTCTGGTGCCAGCGGACGTAGAGGATGGCGATGCCGTGAAGCGCCCAGGTTGCTTCGGCGGCGTGGACCCATTGGAGGACTTCGTAGCGTTTGGGGTCGCCGAGGGGTGGGAGGAGACGGTGTTGTTTGTCGTAGGTGTCGCAGAGGTATCTGTTGACGTTCTTCAGCAAAAGAGAAAGAACCACTGCTATTCTTGGGAATCTCGTACTCCGCGATATTTCCGCTCTCATACAGCGTCACGTCTCCATCCTGCAGCGTAGGAAACTTGCCCAGCCCACCTGCCTCCTTCTTGAACGCAGCAGGTGCTATTCCATTCTCGCGAGGAGAAAACTTCACCTCGTAGTCAAGGCCTAGCTCCTCAAGAAGCCAGGCAGTGCGAATGCAGCGAGAAGCTTGAAGGAACCAGAGGGTGATGGGAGGCATGTTGTTTGTGTTCTGTGGAGGAATGTTTTGCTGAGAGGAAGGAGATAATATGGGAAAGAATACTACCTTGACCAAGGAACTGATACTAGTCTGTCGAGCACTTTATTGGCATGGTCAAACTCTGGGACTGACGTCGGTCCTTTGGAGAGCCATGGGGAGAGCGGGGCAGAGAAGAACAGCTTCCAGTTGTCCGTTCATGGAGTCCATCCTCGTAAAGCAACATTGCAAATGATCAGTGGCCAATGATAGATCGCAACATGCACAAGAAAGAAGATGACGGGAGATGGAGGATGAAGGACGTTGCATGTGGTGATGACAGACGGATTTGCCGGAGCACAGGCCATCTGGTAACGATCATTAACCGGCGTATATGATACAAGTGAAGTACAAATACACATTATCATCCTCTTCTCGATCATTCGACTGCTTCAAAACTTCGGTCCGTAAAACTCTACCGGCGTCTTGACAATCGATTCCTTCCTCTCCCGCTCCTCTGAAGCCGCTGACGACTGCTCGCCAGCAAGCCAGTCACTGTAGCTTCCACATCCCCCTTCACCTGACACATTGGTGTCGATCACCAGCGAAGGGAACCACTTCGCGCTATCAGGACGTTCAATCGAGTCCGTGTCGTCCTCTTTGGCTTTCCGCTGACACAATTCGCCTGAGCTCGGTATCGCGTTCTGCAGGAGGTCGATCAGGCCTTCGATATTGTCTGCCTGATCCCTCGATGTTGGTCTGATGGCTTCCAGTTGATCGATGAGGCTGTCGACGTAGCTGGAAAATAAGTCTTCGACATCCACAGGACGAAACCAGTCGAACTCCAGAAGTGCCGCGGTGTTCGCCTTCTCAGCCATCTGAAGCAAGTTGATGTGTTCGCTTAACCGTACGCAGGTTCCTTTGTGCAGGCGTTGCTTGCATAGCAGCACGATCTGCTTCTTGCCCTCGCACATCAGCCTCAAGTAGTCCAGTGCTTCTCGAAGAACCGTGTCAGCGTCCGTGAATGCGGCCAGCGCATGGGATGCTAGAACACGCTTCAAAGCTGTCTCGGGCAATTTGCGGTCGGATGTTAAGTTGCGCTGCCAGGCAGCTTCGGTGAGCTCCTCCAGTAGTGCATTTCGTAGTTCGAAGTCTGAGTGTGAAGAGCGGTCGCCGAACAGCACCTCATGCCGCATCTTGGTGTAGATGCTCGTAAGCCGGGTGGGTCCAAAGAGCCGAGTGTCGAGGATGTCTCTGCCGCTCTCCAGAAGTGCTTGCAGGAGAAGATCTCTTCGAAAGCTGCCAAGTGCCGCAGGGGCGTCGCACGCGACGTCGAATGCGGTGGTACCAAAGCAGTTGAGCTGGCTCGGGTCTGCGCCAGCGCGAACGAGTGCCGTCGCTGAGTGTACGACCCAGGTTTGGCTAGGATGTGCGGCGGCTACTAGCAGGTGAAGACAGGTATTGCCACTGCTGTCGCGCTCGTCCAGGTTTGCTCTGGCTTTGAGTAAGGCTCTTAATTCTGCAGGTTGCTCTCGGTTCCATGTTGCGGCGGCGGCTTCCAGTAAAGGGCTGTGGTACGTCTCACGGCAGACGAGGTACGAGTCATAGCCTGCGAATTGCGTGCCAGATGGTTTGCTGTGGTATTCTGTTGAGCTCGACCATCTTGACACTGCGGCTGCCATTGTCCAGAATGCTTCTTTGGGCTTCAGATGGCCAGGTGTCTATCCCTTTGCTTTGGCGAGGAAATAGGAAATGCAGAGCGACAGCGTGTGCCCTACGACAGCTCGAGGGATATATCTCCTCTACACCAGTGGGTCAATGTATAGTAATATGGCCACTGCAGCACAGTCCCCGTCGACCTCGCCGTCTTCGCACCTATACCGCAATTTCATCCTAGACATTTGATAGGCGCACCGGGCCTGGGCTGGCTGACATCAGCTTCTCGCTGGCCATCCGGCCGTGACACCATGACTGGCCGACAGCTCGAGACATCGTCGCGGCCGTAGATGTTTCACCGTTCTATCAGTCCTAGTGTCTGTTGTGTCAGACTGTTGTTCTCTTCAGCTTGTTGTAGCTGAGGCCAAAACACGAGGGACTTTAACTCTCTCGACGAGACGTGTTTCTTGCAGGCTCCTGACCTGCTGCAAGTCATTTGAAAGGCTGCATCCAGGCCGGGCCGCCCTGTCAGCGTCAGCAAATAGGTGGCACCATTTGCAAGCAGATCTAGACGCAGGCGATGGCCATGAATCGCTGACTGGCTCGAGCGAGTACAAGAGCTGCAGCTTCCCGCGTCGTGCTGAAGACACTCGCGGGCCTCCACTCCGATGAATGGGCACTGTCAATACATGTAATCGCCGCAAGCGATGTCGTCGAGAGGGATGAAGTCTACGGGCGTATATTGCAAGTGGGTCTCCGAGAGTGCTGCTTCCTTTTCCTCTCTCCAAGCTCTCTACCGGCAACGGCGATCTCTAATCTAGGCCAACTGCACGAGATTGAACCCTGCAGTGCACATCCACATCCAGTCCACTCGGGACGTAGGCAAGCTCATGACCCACTCCAATGATCTGCTCATGTGCCTCATTGCCTTCTGCGAGACAGCTGTACCTCTCGAGCTTCGCCGCTGACCACACCACACGCTGCCATTCAGTGTGCGTAGCTTCACACTGATGGCTCACTGACGGCAGAGCTCCGCATTCATTCGCATATCATACCGAGGCATGGAAGATGGAGTCTCCAACGGCGATGCTGATACCACCGCACCTCGAACCCCGCCGCCTCCACCGAGTCCCAAGGCCGCTGAGAAAGCGTCAGTCGATCACACCCACCAGTCGAAGTCAGACGAGCCCTTGAAGCTCGAGAATGAGCAGTGGGACATATGGTCCATCTCAGCAGTAGCCGCACTACGTATGTTGCGAGATGCACTGGACACACTGGCTGAAGCAACGGGCGATATCCCACCTACACCACCAGTCACACAACCAACGACGCCCAACACCGAGGAAGACCGTCTACTGGCGCTTCGAAGACTGTCGTCTCCCGAAGTTGCGTTGTCGATAGGATCACCGGAAGCACATCCCCACGAGCCACTCGCTGTCACTCAGGACATACCAGACATCACCGTCCAGCACGCGGTAGTAGCTAGGCGCTTCTTCTCGAAGACCGCGCCTGCATTCTCTTTGGACGAATACCTGCAACGCATACACCAGTACTGCCCACATTCGCCAGGCGTCTACCTCGCTGCGGCAAGCTTATGCCACCGTCTGTGTGTCGCGGACCTCAAGGTGCCTGCCACGAACAGGACGGTCCATCGGCTGGCACTGGCAGCAATCAGAGTCTCGGCAAAAGCGGTGGAAGACAATAAATGGCACCAGAAGAGAATGGCGGGCGTGGGTGGAGTGAGCATAAGTGCGCTCACGCATTTAGAGATCGCGCTGTGTTACCTGCTGGACTTCGAGCTGTGGATGGACGACAAGGTGCTAGCGAGAGGGATCTTCTTGCTGCAGCAGGCTGCTCGGCAAGGAGCAGGCGCGAGAGGGAAGCTGAGTGATCAGTTCAAGCTGAAGCTGCCGCTACGGAAGAAGATGGCGCTGGCGCAGGGCTGAGATACTCGAAGCATACCTCGGCGCATCATTGCGCGCATTCATTTGGGGTTTCTTGGTCGTGGGGAGCGAAAAGCGTTTGTAAGATACCCTTGCTTGAGCCTGGAGTTTGGGTGTACTGTGAACGAGCTTGCGGGACTGGAGCCTTGCTTTGTACAGACCGTTATGTACTCATTCACAAAGAGAGAAGTTCCTGCTCAGTAGGTAGTCGCAAGCTTCACCTCAACTCAGCTGTGCTGGCTCGCCGGAGAACACTGTCGACGATATGTCGTCACAGCATTCATACATAGGCGAGCGGAACTTGTTCCAAAACCTCGGTGTCGTTGAAGAGCGAAGTCCTCGCTACTTTTCCGAAGCCGAAGTCGCTTAAGACTTCCTGCACTTCCATACCAACACCGCCACAGCGGCTGAAGGATTTTGATCTGCTGAGGGATCTGCGGCCGGGAAGACGGCCTTCTGGCCAAAAGAAGCGATGCGATACGCGCCTCATGACTGTCCTCTATATTTGCACCAGGCAGAACAGAGTTCAGCACCACAAGGTTCTTCAACACCGGGCCGGTGCGCGTGGAAGGAACCGCGTGAACACATCACAACCTGAGCGCGGGCCTGATGGTTTCTGATTCACCCGCGCGTATCTTGACGGTTTCGGCGCCGGCCAAACAGCATCGAGTGGCGAGCGAAACCAACAGGCCGTGCGCGCTGCTTCTGTAACGAGCAGTCTAGGGTCAAAAGTCTGGATGGAGTGGGCGGCTTGTTCAGCAACTGGAGGACGGATGGAAGTGTCTGGCCTGTTGTGCGGAAGTGTTCCTGCAGACACTTGACAGCTCAACTTACCGCTCTGGCAGGACGGGAGCGTTGAATAAGGCGACAGTCATCAAGCTTTGCGGCTCTCACTGTCAGACCAAATTCTCCGAATGTCTTGCAGCGGAGGTATTGCGCCTGTGGTTGAAGTTGAAGAGAAGATCTCCCGGGCGGCTCCGGGCACAGCCGCACCTTTCCAAACGACACAGCCCCGCGACTTCCTGAACCATCTCTTCTTCCACACTTCACCATCAATACAGCCTTGTGGCCCCATCACGCTAGACACTGAACCATGCCTTCACGGCCGAAGCCATCGTCATACGCGATGGCAGCTGAACAGACCCTCCATACTGGAGTCACTTGGCGGCGACGGGGTGCACGTGGACAGAAGTCACATTTGCCGCCCAGCTGAGAACCTGAGGACGGGAGGCCGCCCATGGCACCGTCAACTCGACATCATCACAGCAGTTGAACGCGAAATACGTAGGTGAATCAGCAAGTTCTGCCATGCTCTACCATCATTACCTCAGCCCTTCACACTCTTCACACCTACCACACTTGTGCACAGACTATCAAAGCGGCGCAGCACCGCCAGAATGTCCCGTGCGGGCCTCTAAGGCTTCGCATTCACTTGCCTTCTAGCTTCAGGTTGTTGGTGGCCTAAGTGGCTACGGGAGCAGTGGCATCTCAAATTCGAGTGCAGTTCCGGACGACTTCTCGTGGTATGAATAGACCTGCAACGCAATCACTTGCACCGTACCTGCATACGCACTCGTTGCGTGCTTAACAATCCGAATTAAGGCCTTTGTTCTCGATATCCACTGAGCCTTCGTTGCTGCGAGGAGGCAAACTTGTGTCTGCCTTAAAGCGCGCCCCCACTGGTCCCTCCTACGTTGCCCGAACAAACCAAGACATCCTCAATCGATCAATCTCGTCGACCAGTCCTTCGCTGAACGATAACAAACAACGACAGACAGCGTGCTGATATCGTCGCCAATAACTTCGATCCGTCCGTTACAATCACCGCCAAGGCCAGCCGTCGTTGATCACCAGCCCAGGCAACAGTTCGCATCCCTTGCGGAGGGCGACCCTCAGTACCACCTCACCAGCATTCCAAGCCATCGGAGCCTTCGCCATGTGTGTGATTGAAAAGCGGCTGTACTCCTACCAGGACGGGCGCCAGCGAACGATCGAATCGACCAAATACTGTCGTCGTGCTGTCGGCACCCGCGTGTGCAACCGCGTTGAACGACGCAGCGTACAGCCAGCGCAGATCGTCGAACGACGGCCGTCCACAGCAGACGGACCATCGACGGGTAGCTACATCGTGACGGAGGGGGCGGGTGGCCGCACAAGAGTCTACCGCGATTTAAGCAACCGATCCAGCAATAGCAGTTCCGTCCGTCGAAGCAACACGAGCGAACGTTCGCCTATCAGCATCCCTTCTACGAACTCATCCCCTTCTGTTGCTACGACCAGAACGTCGGCGTTTTCACCACCTGATACAGCACCAAGTCCTCCATTCATGCAGGAGCGAACCAGAGCTCCCTACCCACCACCAGATCCGGCTCAAATCATCAGACCCGACGGCACGGCCATCTATGACCGCCCGCCATCCTTGGAGATGCCGCGAGCTACGGACAATGAGCGTCCTCGCCGCAGACGGGAATCGGATTCTAGTATGACGGCTGAAGTCGACGACAGTCAGCCGCCATCGCCTCCACAGCCGCGCCGGAGGCCCAGCGTCAGGATTGACACCACTCATCGCCCGTCTTCTTCCTCTTCGAGACCCAATGTCGCATCTCCAGGCCTCAGCGAACTTCCCGACCCACGGGGTGGTCTCCGACGAGAGGCTTCCCATCGAACATACCAAACGACAGGAGAGACTTCAAGCCGTCGTCGCGAAGAGCGTGAGGAAGACTCCCGGCAAGCCCAGATCGAACGCGATCGTATCGCGGCTTCCGAACGACGTCAATCCGAACGCCGTCAATCAGCCCGCGAGGATGCCGCTGCTCGCTCAGCAGACCGAGAAGCGTCTCGTGAGCGCGAGCATGAGCGCCGCCGTCAAGAACGCCACCGCCGCGCTGCCGCCGAAGCTCTTGAAGGCTCTTCCTACCCCCCTCAATCGCCAGCCTACGACGCCGAAGCTGCCCGCCGATTCGAGGAAGCCCAGATGGGCCGCGAGCGCGAGCGCAACGCCGCCCTGCGCAATTCCATCGACGCAGCCGGGTTCTACACAGAAGACCAGCTCTCCCGCGACGCCGAAGCGCGAAGACTTTACTACTCGGCCCGCCGCAGCCCAGTTATCAGCCGCACTTCCTCGCGAAGACTCTCCGGCGCCTCATACAACGCCGGTCCAGGTCCTTCGTCTCCAATGTCCGCACGGTCGTCGATGTACCATGACCGCGCACCGCCGGTCGTGCATCACCATCCACCGCGATCACGTGACAGCATCTCTGCCAGAGGCGAGGAAGTGATTGCGCAGGAGCAGGATGCGAGAGAGCGGGCGGCGAGGGAGCAAGCTGCCCGGGCTGCGGCGGCGACGGATCGGTTGAACGAGGCGATGGGTGGGATGAGGGTGGATGATGGTGGGGCGGTGGAGTATGTGGAGGAGTATGAGTTTGGGGAAGGCGCGCAGGGGTATGTGAGGACGAGGCAGGGCGCTTATTATGATGATGGCGGGAGGAGGCGGAGGAGAAGTGGGCGGTATACTTAGGTTGAGGTGTGATTATGTATTTGAAGAGAGGGTGTTGAGGATGCATTCGGAGTTGTTGGTGTGTCTGGCTTTGATTATGTACGAGAGGACGGCTTCCAGCGCTGCTTATTCTATGAAGATCTTGCATCCAGTACCAAATTAGAAGGTCAGCAGACCACTGAAATAGTTTCAAGCAACCATGCCACGGGCACAGATCTCAGGCTCCATTCGATTCCAGCTACCTAGTACACTTCCACCATCCCAAGCCATCCAAGCCAATAGTAGTGTACACACCACCCTTCTCCACTCAATCAAACTCCCTTTCATGCACCAGGTACCAAACTACTCCCTTGCCCCACACCCCCCATCTCCACCCCCTGCACCCTGCCTTGTCCTTGCCCCTGCACACCCTGTGCCCCCACACCTCCCAACCCCGGCGGCATAGTCGCCACCCTCGCCGGATCCAAATGCTCGTAATCCAGCTCCAGCACCCGTCTCTCCCGCCTCCAATTCATCGCGTCAAAGAACACGTACACGCCCTTCTCCCCCCTCTCGCTCGTCCGAATAGGCTGGGTGCCCACCGGCGCGCCGTTCGTGAGATCGACGAGTTGGAGCGAAGAGGAGGACGAAGCCTCGCGGGTATCCTTTTGCAGCCATTGGCGGAGGAGTTTGTGCCAGCGCCATTCCCGGGAGATGAGCTCGGTGGCGGCGAGTTCTTGGAGGGCGTCGCGGGGATTTTGGTAGAATACGGAGAAGAGGGTTTCTATTTTGACGGGGTTAGTAAGGACTTTCTGGTAGAGGGGACAGAGGGTGTGGCAGGACGTACCGTCGCTGAAGGCGGATATTCGGTCTTGGAGAGCCGGGACGTTATTGACGGTGTAGGCGCTGGGTAGGGTGAAGTCGGGGACCATGTGGCGTTCGTGGAAATCGAAGGAAGAGCCGGAGCTGCCGACGGCTTGGAAGGGGGTGAAGGTGGGGTAGAGGGGGTCGTTGGAGTCGAGGTCTAAGCCGAGGGAGTTGAGGTCGTTGCCCATGATGATGTGATGTCGGAGAGCCGGAGGTAAAGTGTCGTCCACGTTGCCACCAGCCTCTGCCTGGCTCCGCGATTGGAAGGCAGCCAGGAGGCCCGTCAGGCCCCACCTCTCGTTCTCTGTCATATCAGCGTACTTTTTGATGTTGAGTGATGGAGCAGGTGGCTGCCCGTTCTGCAGAGCTTGTGATGGCGGAGGTTGTGTAGCAGGCGTTTGTTGGTTTTGGTGGAAGTTGATGCTGCCCTGCCGTATCGGTAGTTGTGCTTGCTGGCCGTTCGTTCTGGGTTGCTCAGCATCAGAAGAGCCGATGATGCTGCTAACACCATTCGTTTGGCCAAATCCGTCACCATTTAGCTGTCCGCCTAAAGGTGGGAAATCGTCGCCACCCCCTGACCGCTCTATAGGAGGCTGCTGTGTTCTTTGCCCATCAAATTGGTCCAGAGATTGCTGTGAGGGTGCTGCTGACGGGGCTCTGGCCTGACCTGGCTGTTGCTGCTGTTGCGGTTGTGCTGAAGGCTGCCTGATTGCACTGCTATTCCAGCCAGGTGCAGCCGCATTATTTTGCTGAGGTCGAGGCCCACCAGATAGGCTCGGGAAGTCACTAAGAGAGCCAACGTCAGCTTTAAATCGACGGCCCTTCACCATAGTGGCGAAGTGGTATCAGAAACGGCTGGGTTTGGCAAAGGATAAGGGTGGAGTGGAAGCTCGCGAGCGTGGCATATAAACTGCAGCAAGCCGAGACAATTGGGCTTGTATGCGCAAAGCATGCAGGCTTCCCTCTCCATCGGCATGGCTGCGCAAGCCTCATGCACGGCCGCCGCAACCGTGCATGCGAGCAAACATCTTCCCATCATTGCATTCAAGACCATATTCAACTCACCTCATATCAATCGGCCCCTGCCCACTCCCGCCGCCCATCACCTGCGCAAACCCCGACAGCTGTTGTGCCCGTGGCTGGCCCAGCCCCGGTGCGCCTCCTAACCCCCCAAACCCTCCTGCTGCCGAGGGCATACCGAACCCGCCCCATCCACTCGAAGTCCCTCCTAACCCAGTCTTATTGGTGTTCTGAAGCCTCGGTGTCTGCCGCGCCGGCTGTCCGCCGTATGAGTTCATGCCGATCGATCGCATGGGCTGTTGTTGCTGCGCTGTCGCCGAACCTGCTTCATCGGCGCCTGAGTCAGCTCTTGTAGTCTCGCTTTCTGCGTCGCCGTCGTAGGGTGATGGTGATGGCGGCGGCGCTTGTATTGGGCTGGCGGTCTCCCACAGGACTCGCTTTGGCTTTCTGACACGCCGCTTTCGAGGCAGAGGGTCTCGGAGGAGGGGGCCGTGGTTGTAGGCCCATTTGGTGTGCATCGTGTCGTCGCGGTGTGTGCAGAGGGAGTAGAGTCGCAGTGAATGAACACTGGGTGGTACAGCGACGTGTCCGGTGTCACTCGGAAGAAGGAGAGTGGTTGCGCCTACCTGATCGTGCATTCATCCTTCTTTCCTCTACCTCCCCTTCACTTGCGCGTCGCTTATCCGCTTTACCATATGATGCTGTTCGTTTCTTGGCTCGATCTCCTGGTACGCTCGTTTCAATTGATCTTTCGTAGTCGTGGTAGCAATTTGCTGGTATAGAGACAACCAATGCAGTCAGTATACGTGGGGATTGCTTGAGGTCGTCCTCGAATGCGGCGATGCTTGGCAAAACGTTAGCTGCCGATCCGCGCATGTAGGGCTGAGGCAGGAAGCCGAGACTGCACGTGATAAGACTTTCACATGGAAGCCCATGGATTTGCAAATTGTTGGATAGACAGTATGCATACAGGTGGATATGGAATGAGGGATGGACAGCTTGAGCAGGGCGCATGTGACATCTCATATCATGAATTCCAGAGAGGCGCGAAAGCCATTCACCCATACCCATTCACATGTACATCAGACGCTCGCTAAAAGAACACAAACCATGCGCTACTCATCCGAACGAAAGCGGCACTCTCCTGGTAACCAACATCATGCCTGCCCCTCCTGCGCCTCCATCTTCCGCCTCGCAGCCAAAATCATCTCCTCCCTCCTCCTCTTCAGATTCTCCGCCCGCGCCGCCTTATCCGCACTCCACGCACTCTTCTTGGCCTCCTGCTCCTGCTCCACGCTCGGCACCGCTTCTTTGCCCTTCCCACCTATCCTGCCTTGCAAGTTATATCTCGTAATCAGATCAGGCTGGCTGGGCGAACTCCTCTTCGCTGCGCCCGTACTACTGCCTGCCTCCGTCGCTGCGCTCGGGATATTCGGTTGGAACGAGGGCGGCGGGGTCTCCAGTGCTCTTCCACTGAGTACTCGTTCAGTAGTTGCAGGTACGCTACCGCCGTTCCGTTGGAGGTCCCAGGCTATTGTGCGCCGGTCCAATTGCGGGAACATTGCAGTGACTTGGTTGATCTTATTGATGTCTACTGCTCTGCCGCCTCTTCGGGAGGATGAGGTGGGTGCGGTGGGCGAGTCGGAGACGGGTTTGTTGAGGAACCAGCGGATGGCGAAGAAGCCGACGATGGCGACGGCGAGGATTTGGGGGATGTTGATGGAGGTTTGTGTGTCGGCCATGATGGCTGAGTGTTGGGTCTTCTTCCAATCAACGGGGAAAACTGGCAGTCCTGCGGTTGCGATTTAAGTATGAATCTAGGTGTTCTGTGGCAGTGTTGGTTGTGTAAGCCTGAGGTCGCGTGCCGTCGGGTGGTTGCCGCGCTGGAGCTGCGATATGCGCTGGCCGGGTATCTGATGCGCGATGGGAAGTGTCCGGTTCTCGTAAGGTCTAGTACGGAGATGGAGAGTGATCGTGCTTAGGAAGTGAATGACACATGGCAGCCTCTCGAGACACCGGTATGATCATCCCGCCTCGGCTTCTGATGATCGGCGAAGCGCCTGGGCTGTGCCGACTTCACTTCTACCAACCTCACTTTATCGTCTTGCGAACATGAAAGTCAGGTACTTGTGTACACAGCTACGTATGCACATTTTAAAGGGCTACTTGAGAAGATTGGGCATCACCATTACAGAAGCTCAAATGCTTAGCAGGCCCGAAGAGTCTTCAAACCTTCAAGGGTTGGATGAGCATGGCTAGACTGCCAACCACACCATCGGTGTACTCTGACCTCTTGCCTGGTGGACGACGCATGAGCACGACAGAGAGCCTCATTCTGCTCGCCGTGGTCCAAGTTGCGGGCCTCGCAGCCTACGCTCACGTCTCTCGACTACGCACTGGACGCGTGCTTAGCTGGAACGTTGGATTCTACGCTCTGGTGCCCCTTGGTCCGGTCATATGGCATATTCTCGTCGCCTTAGCCGTTGCTGGCGCTCGCCTCTATGGACTTGTCCGAGGAGGAACGAAGGATATCCGTTCGACGTTATGCTGGTCACTCGGGATGAGCTTCGGCGCTCCTTTGACGGTTTCTAGGCCGGAAACAGTGCCATCGGAGAAGCAGGATAGACCGAACAACACGAGCCAGTCGAGCCAGCCATCACTGTGGTCAATCATGCCTTTCATCACCTTACACACCGTATTCGTGGTGCTCTGCGGAACAGCCATTCTACTGTACGTGAACCAATGGTACCACGACGCCATCACTATCGCCGACCAGCGTTCCTTCGAGCTAGGCTGCAGCAGCCTGCTAACAGCAGTCTACTGGATTGGTCAATAGCTCGATCTACCACTGTTCACCCCCGAAGCCGTCGGTCCGCCAACCGGCCTTGTGTCAGAATTGTCAGAAGCGAAAGCCTACTTCGAGCACCTCGTCCAAGCAATCGCGCCCTTCTCCGCCAGCTACAACGAAGCACTGATCCTTTGGTTTCCGACTCTGCTGCTCAAATACCACCACCCGATGCTGCTAATGCTCGCCTCCGCAATCCCTGGATTCTGCATCGGCCTGATCTTGTTCGCCCTCAAAGAGGCAATTACGAGATTTCGGAAGCCTAGTCCGCCGAATCGCGACACCATGGGACATGAAAAGGTGGAGACCCCGCGTGAGGCACGCGACAGATCTGCTCCATGGCCAGCACGCTTGCTATCTTCTATGCTTTGACTGGCTTCTTGCCGCTGTATATTGTGGGCATGGGGGCGTTTGATATGGTTGGTGAGATGGCAAGTGGATGATAGAACATATCGATGCAAAGAGGGTGATGATTCTGTGGGGTGAATGCATTGGTTGAATGTTCTGTCTTCGCCACGATCTATGAGAGCCGCGGCCGCCATTCGGCATAGGTGAAATGCTCGACGGCTCGAAACTCTCCGCAGATTCGACGGACTGGACTTTCCCGGTGAAGCGACTGCCGCCCGCGCTCAAATGCCACCCAGCCCTCCTGCCCGTCCGGGTCTTCTGGCAAGACCTGTCCCTCCCAAGCAAAAATTCGCACACAAGTTCCACGGTTCAATCCGTGGCCTACTTACCAAGCCGTGGCAATCACTCTCGACATGGATTGACCTTGGTGATGGTACCATGACAGGGACCAGCTGGCCTCGAGCAAGCACACAACTCTTCTTCAGTGTCTCACGGTGAACAGACTTTGCAAATCTTCCTCCTCCATGACGCCGCTCTCGCCACAGGCAAGTTCAAATGCTGCTCAACCTCCTCGATGTACTTGATCAGACGATTGTGCCCCTGCGCGTCCGCAGCTGTGCTTGCTTTATTGCATCGATCGAGCATCTTTCGCAGCGAGCATTTGCAGTGGCAGAACCCGTAGAATTGTATGCTGACCTTTCCGTCGTTTCCCAGTTTTACGTCGAGCCTTGGCTCTTCGCCGTATTGGGTGGTTGGGCATTTGAGCTGCACTTGCTTGAGGTTGGCCAGTACGATTTCGCGGTGCCCAGGCATGCGACTGCCGAGCCAGTCGCCGAACGTCGTCGGGGGGGCTGAGTAATCGGTGTACTCCTGGTACCCGAACCTGAAGCAGAAGTACTCCTCGCGGTAGTAAACTGCTGCGACTTCGGCGTACGCTTGTGAGCAGGTCAAGGCAAGCGCTGGAAGTGTCGGTCCTCTCCCAGGGCCGACCTTATGGTCGGTTCTTGCGCCTTGACAGCGGCGGACGTCGTCGCCGGCATCCCACATGTATGACAAGGCCAGCACGAAGATCCACTCGCGAAGTTCGGCGGGCAAAGCAAAGAGTCGATCCGGCGCCGGGCTTTGTGTTGACGCTACTGAGGTGAGTTGGAGGTTGCGCTCACTTGGAGCCTCTGCTGACGTAGCCGTGATGCGCTCTAGCTCCGTTACTTTGTCGCTGGTATCGTAGAGGCCGAGAAGCGATTCTTTCTGGGCAGACACTACGAAGACGATGTGATCTGTGTTATGAGCTGGATCGCCGCCTTCATCAAGGCCTGGATCGGTGGCCATGGTGGTGTTTGTCGAAGTTGATGTGCCGGAAACAGTCTGGATGTGAAGCGAAGAAGGAGAAATTTATGGAAGGAGCGTTGTTCAATAGCTTACATTAGGCTACAAGAGTCATGCGACGAACGGACAGATCTTCACATGCTGGAAATTTGACAGCATAATAACACAGTACACGTGACAGTATGCAGGACACCTTCCAGCGCCCATCGCCCACTCTCACTAAGACAGTCATCCAACAACTGGCCCTAGATGCTCATGGTACACCCAAGCACTTCCACCGTCCATAATTCGGTCATCCCCATTTAAAAGGCGCCCACTCCGACGTCTCGACGCACTTCTCACAGTCCCGCACATCCTTGAAGAACCTCTCGTAGGAATGCCTTGTTTCCAGACGCCCGTTGTCATCGTGATAGTGTTCCGCCGAAGGCGCCCAAATGTAGTTGAACACAAGTTCCTCCACCTGTTCGCAGTATTGAATGAGGCCATTGGACTCCCGGTCCTCACCGGACTCTGCAATTTTTTCCACAGCATCATTGCACGAATTCAGGATCTGATTCAAGCGGCACGTGCACCGCGAAAGCAGTTTCCGGTTATACTTGACCGCGACTGTACGATCCTTCTGGAGCTCTGCGTCGATAGTCGGGAGTTCGCGGTCGTCCAGAGAAGGGTCCTGGAAGTCGATACTTCTTTTCATCCTGAAGCGAAGCACGAGTTGGACACGGGTGAGATTTGCGATGATAACGTTGCGCTAGACGGGTGTGCGGGAGAACTCATACAGCCATACGTAGAACTTCGAGCTGTCGCTACGACCGCCATCAACTTTGAAGCGGAAGCGGAAGATGTTCTCGCGGTAGAACGTTGCGGCGATTTCAGTGTAGGCTTGCTTGCAGGTCAGAGCAAGCGGTGGCAGAGAAGGGAGGATGGCGCAAGATAGGCTGTAGTCGTCTCTAAAAGAGACGACTTCCACTCTTTCGGCGTCGAGTGGGTCGCCCTTGGGCTCGTGAACCGTGAACTGAAAGATGCGCTCGCGGAGCTCAGGAGCAAGCTTGAAGATGCGGTTCGGTTTGAAGGTCGCCGGGGTGCCCCAGCTGGTCGCCCCGGTAATCTTGTTCAGGTAGTACAAACGTCCATCGTCCGTTTCTGCTTCGGACCATGCTTCATCGATTGAGCGGTCCCCAGTTGGTATCGCGGCGAAGCCTTCAACTCGAGTGACTTTGTTGCAAGAGTGGACCACGCCTCGAGCTAAGTTGTCGTGGACCCATGCTGTACTAGCGACCGGTGGTACGCTTGGAGCACTGGGGGCTGTGAGGTCGGTCGTGGTGTTGGCCATCGTGACGTCGTTCTGCTGGCTCTCCTCAGCACGCGCGGTTTCTATTGAGGTGTCCATAGTCTGCGCCATTCGTTCGATGCTTGCTGGTGTATCAAGCACTGGTGCCTCGTCGTTTGCGGGTGAGCTGCCGTCGATCGTCTTGATTGCGCGGAATCCCGTGATTTGGAGGGATTGCTGGTGAGCAGTTCTCGCGGTGGTCCTGGGAGACTGAACACAAGGCCGGCCAAGGATGGTGGTCAAGCTGTCAGGGAAGAAGAAGGGGGTGTCCCAGATAAAGAAGCCGGAAGTGTCGTCACTCCGTCCTAGGCTGCAGGCGAATCTTGCAAGTTGGTACAATTCACTTGCATCTTTGGAGGTCCGAAGTTTTGACAGTGAATTTTCCTCGAAAAGCACCCTACGGTTAAAGTGTCGGGCTTAGAGCTGCGTACTTCACTTTCCCATTGCGAAGCACATCCAATGATCCACTGCGGGTGTAGGATAGAATGCCAGATCCATCTCGGTGGCCGGCGCAGTGAAACTGGTATTCTGAGGCCAGAGGGTGTCGTGCAAAGGTATGAAAGACGGATGAAAGGTAGCGGTTGCCCAGAAAATGTGCTTGTGAGACTCCTCAAGTCCAGTCCGCTCCGATCTTACCGGATGAGAGAACAGCTCCAGGCGCCACTGCTCACTGCTGGTGCGGTGTCCACCATCAGGCCATCTAGCAGATACATGCTCGTCCGACTCTTGCCCGCCCGAAGCAGGCAAGCATTGCCCCAAGAACATTGCCCACCCATTCTCCCATTATACCTCGGAACCCACACTCCGACAAACAGGACACCTCTTCGCATCCTTCAAATAAACCCCATTAAACTTCCTCGTCAACACCAACGACTCCAACTCCAACACAAAAGCCACAACGCAAATCGTCCCATCCTCCACACCCATGAGATAGTTAGTCGCATCGATTTCGTACTCTCAACAGAGGGCAAATGCATCTTCCAGCCAGCTCCGGGTGAAGATGCAAGTGCACCAAACCACTCTTGTCCCGGCTGAGTCGGCTCGCGTCGGTGGTCGGATCGAACATGTCGTATACTTGGACTCCTCCTTTCTCATCCATGTGGGAAAGGCGGAAGACGATGTTGACCTGGCGGATGTTGTTCACGATGAGCTTGCGATGTTCCGGCCGGCGAGTCGGGCGGTCGAGCCATTCGCGGAAGGTCTTATGGGCCGTGAAAGTTTGATAGTTGGTGTGATTTGTGTGAAGGCGGAACCTGAAGGTATTGACACGATAGTACACAGCACCGACCTCCGCATAAGCTTGCCGACACGTCAAGGCTGGCGGAGGTAGAGTCGGGCAGATGGCGTATTCGATGTTCGCGTTGCTGTTGGTCTCCGATAGCTTCCCATTGAGAGCAGCGTCATGGGGGAGCACGTCGGCGATGATGGGTTCGGAATCTTTGACGGCGAGCGTGAAGATGCAATCGCGGAGCTCAGCGGGAAGGCCGAAGAGACGGTCTAGCGAGTGGACTGATGGTGAGAAGGTGGTCATTGAGGGTGATGAGCTCTGCCAGCTGGAGTTCAGGCGCGGGAGGGTTCTCCCTAGGGACGGCGTCCGCTTTTGCTGACTGAGTCGCATGGCGTGTGTTCGAGCGGTTGATCCAGGACAGAGAAGCAGTCGTGTGCTGTTCGTTGGTGATAGGTCAGAAAACGAGAAGGAAAGACAGGAAAGTGGAGATAGATGATATGCCGCTAGTAGCATGAGGAAGGCGCACTGCATGCGTCGCGAATAGATCGAAGCTGGTGATTTGTCGCTTTCGAAATACATTTGGTACTCACAGTGTTCTTTCACTTTGTCTTCCTCTCCCTCTCCACAGGATACTTATCCAGCGCCTCATACCACAACAACAGACTCCCAATTAAGTAAGCAACACTCGCCCAGAGTAGGCTCAAATCGCTCTGATACCCACACCAACTCGCACTGCAGTATCCGAAGGATGCACTCAGCACCCATCCCACAGAGCCAATGGTGTTCCACACCCCGATATGCCAACCCAGAAGATGCGGCGCCGGCGTGTACCAATTCTTTTGGCTCTCCAAGACGTAACCTAGTGACGCGATTACGAATAGAATTCCGCCGACGAGGTAGGCGAGCCAGTAGACGTACCACAGCACCGGCTGGGAGAGGTTGTTGTAGATCCCTGGCAGCGCCATGAGGCCGCTGATATAGAAAATAGTAGCGCCAATGGCTTCGATAATCGAGGCGAGCCAGCCAATCTCATGGAAGTAGTGGGATGTGCATTCATGCCAGGTAGGCCACCATTCCCACGTACGTCGGGCGGACGGGTGCTGCTTCTCTACGGTAGAGCGATGGTGGATGCCGTGGATGTGGTGATGGTCGCAGTAGCCTGCGGTGGGTTTGGGAGCACTATCTGCGGCAGCCTCTTTGGCGGCAGGGGAGGCGGTGGAGTCGTTGTCGCCATCATGAGAGAAAGCACGCTGGAGCGCCCAGCCGAAGCAGCCGGTCTGATTTTCATTACAAGCTTCGAAAATGAGAAGGACTGCGCCGATCTGGAAGAGGGTGGCGCCGACTGCTGAAGCGACGCCGCCGGCTGCGAGTTCTTCTCCGGGGAATTTGGTTGAGGGCGCTTCGAGGGGCAGCCAGTACCAGAATGCTGAGATGACGAAGATGGCCGAGCCGACGGAAAAGAGGACGGCGATCCACCAGGATACATCCCACCAGGCGAAGACGGTGCACATGCGCCAGATGCCTTTGCCTACGGCAGACCACTCGGAGGTGACCTGCGGCCCTTCTGTTGTCGTTGAGTCGCCTGGAATGACGAGAGCATGGCGTCCTGTGGACTTTGTTAGTGGTTGGTAGATTGAAGATGTAATGGCCATCCTACCTTTACGGTTGTCGCGCGCTCGCCATTCGATTTGCGCACCATCTGGACTCGGTACAGTCTTTTGTTCGCCATGCCTGGTGACTGGTGCCGCCTCAGCTCCATCCACTTGCGCGCCCACCTCCTCGGCATTGTGCGGCGAGAGATTGACACGCGCGCGCGTTGGGTTCAACCATGGCAGCGGCCCATCGATCTTTGCGTCCTCTATGTGGGATGTGAGTCTTTCCAGGAGCATCCGCCGCGCTGGCGAAACGAATGTGTGGCTCCTTCGCGCCATGTTGATGCGGTGGTGTAGAGAGAGAGGAAGAAGTGAAGTGCAAACCTGCTACAGATCGAAGATTGACCAAACCTTATTTATAGGAGGCGCATTAGTCCCTTGCTGGCTGACTGACCTCCGCGGGGAGACTTACTTATACCTGGAGGCCTCGCTGTGACATAGCTGACGATGAGAAGAGAAGTTCTGCCAACACTTTTACTCATCCATTAGAAGTTCAAGGTGAGAAAGCGTATCGTCTTTAAGCTTTCCACGTTTGTTGCCCAGACATCGCCAAGTCCGCCTCGGTCGGAATCCTTCCGCCGACTTTCTCTTCCATCCTCCAACTCATATCCCACCACAAACCCCGGCCACCCCCGCAGCAAACGTCAAAATGCCCTCAACATACAAAAAAGACAAACCCTGGGATACCGACGACATTGACCACTGGGCCGAAGAAACCTTCACCCCGGACCAAAACACTTCAGGCACCTTCACCGATGAATCCAGCTTCGCGACCCTCTTCCCCAAATACCGCGAAGCCTACCTGCGCGCCTCCTGGCCGACGATCACCCGCGCGCTCGAGAAAAATGGCATTGCTTGTACACTAGACCTGGTGGAAGGCAGCATGAGCGTCAAGACTACACGAAAGACCTTCGACCCGGCGGCGATACTGAATGCGCGGGATTTGATAAAACTCCTCGCGCGGAGCGTACCAGCCCCTCAAGCGCTGAAGATCCTAGAGGACGGCGTAGCCTGCGATGTGATCAAGATCCGGGGCCTAGTGCGCAACAAAGATCGCTTCGTCAAGCGACGACAGCGCATCCTCGGCCCCAACGGCAGCACGCTCAAAGCCCTCGAGCTCCTCACGCAGACCTACATCCTCGTCCAAGGCAACACGGTCAGCGTCATGGGCGGCTACAAATCCCTCAAAGAAGTCCGGCGAGTAGTGGAGGACTGCATGGCCAACGTGCACCCCATCTACCACGTCAAAGAACTGATGATCAAACGCGAACTCGCCAAAGATCCGGAGTTGAAGGACGAGAATTGGGATCGCTTCCTGCCGCACTTCAAGAAGCGGAATTTGAGTAAACGGAGGGTTCCGTTCAAGGTGCAGGATAAGAGCAAGAAGACGTACACGCCGTTCCCGCCGGCGCAGGAGAAGAGTAAAGTGGATCTGCAGATGGAGACGGGGGAGTATTTCTTGAGTAAAGCGGCGCAGGAGCGGGGGAACAAGGAGAGGAGGGAGGAGGTTGTGCGGGGGAAGATGGAGGAGAGGAGGCGGAAGAGGGAGGAAGGGTTTGAGGCGCCGAAGGAGGATGGGGAGGACAAGAAGAAGAAGAAGCGGAAGAGGGAGAAGGATGGGGAGGACGGGGAGGGGAAGAAGATGAGGAAGGAGAAGAAGGCTGTAATGGTTGATGGTGGGGAGGAGTAGGCTCAGTGGCCGCACTGTATGAGCGGGTTCTTGATAGTATTAGCACGGTGTCTGGCGCCCAATTTCAAATCGAAGTCTGAAACCATCATAGCTGCACATCATGACATTATTCCTCATCATGCTACGGTATTCATCGCAACTACTACTGTGCATTACATCGTGTGCTGTTTTGCATGTATGCCACCCATCCCATTCATCCCATCGAACTCCTCATCACTGCATTTTGCCGCCCCAAGGTCGTTTCCGCTGGCCTCGAAAAAGCAAATTGGTATCATATCCACTGTTACTACCCACCCGTCCATTCCCATAGTAGTCGCTGAATCGCTAATTCCCTTTCGTAATGTTTTCATGCATGTTGCCTCTTCCTTGATTCCTGTGACCTGAGAACGTCGTCACCTCATATGCTTCGCCCTCTGGACACATGGCCTTGCTCGTGCTCGTAGATGCTAATGTGGCACTTGTCGTCCTGGAAGTTTTGCGTCCTGCATCATGGCGGGACGGTCTTGCCCTCCGAGCCATTTTTCCAATTCTTTCGCCGGCGGAGCAAATATTCGCTCAATCTCCTCCAATCTTACGACTTTTCAGTCCAATCTTATTCCTGCCATCGCCAAGCCGCATCATCGCGGCCCACTCCCCGGTGTCCCGCCCCCGCTGCCTCCATAGCTCGAACTACCCCCAGCACTTCCATTCCCATTCCCGCCCCCACCCTTGCGATCCAGACCCGGATCCCCAAACAATCCCACCCCAACCTTTCCGTCCTGTGGACTGCGACTCGCCGACCCAAGCATCTCCCGTCCGTTATGCCATCCGTTACTCCTCGCATCACCATCAGCGACTTGTCTTCGATCGCTCGCCCACACTGGCAGCCCATCAGCCGGCAGCGACTCGCCCATCGGCTTGCCTTGCGCAAATTCGGCGATGGTGCCGTTGATCCCTGTCAAGGCCCAGGCGAAGACTGCTTGGTCCCGGATCGCGTTCATGAAGTCGGTCTTGTCGCTCGCAGTAGTGGCGCGAGGCGGTGCTGTGGCGTTGTGGTATGCGCCATGTGGGCCAAGCGAGGGCGCGAAGGTAGGTGTGAAGCCGGCCGCGGAGCGCTGGTCAGGGCGCGGAACAATAGGTTCGTCGGCCCAGGGTGCGGCAAAGAGACCGTTCTCGTAGAAGGGCCGGGACGGACGGTGGGTAGGTGCTGGGATGACAGGGCGGGCTTTGCGGAGGCAGACGACGAGGCCATCTGATGCGCAAGATATTACTGCTTCGAGCTCGACAGGTTCAGGCCGTGGCGCATCGGGTGATTCGCCCAGTGATGATGCGGAGGAATGCGCTTGTCTGGGTTCGCCGAAGATGGCTTCGTGAGTATCGGGTGTTCGTGTGCTGTCGTTGGATGAATTCCGTGAGTCTCGCGTCTCGTCGGCTGATCCTGCACCCGTGTCTACATCCATGCTGTCGCCGGACTCTACCGCCGACTCGTTGGACGTGCCGCTTCGACTCCGCAGATGCACACCGCCCTCTTCGTTGTCTACGCTTGCGTTAGTCGTCATCTCCTCATCGCTATCATCATCCGGAGGTGGAGGATTGTCGTCTAATCGTGGATCCCGGAACCAGAAGCGTAGATATGCGATGGAGTCGTTGCTTTTCGCTTGCTCCAAACATTTGACGGCGTCTTGCAGGCAATTCTCGGCTATACAGTAATAGAAGCTGCGACCGCGCATTTCGTCCGCCGATATGCCGAGTATGTCTTGTATGCCAGCCGTTGCGTACATGATCGATAACGTCCGTGTGAATCGGTTGAGAAAAAGTGCCGCTCGAGGTTCATGTTGTTGCTGCTTCGATGGCTGAGCGAATTTGTGTGAGATGTGTGACAGCATGTGGTATCGCGGGTCCTTCGGTGACGATGTGAACATCCGCCGTACGACTGGCGCCTCCAATGCACGTTCTGATCCATCCGTCAGCGATGATCGTATTGATGTCGCTCGATTATACTCACTCTGACTGCTCAGGCCTCTTTTGTAGATACTAGTGCACACGATCATAACGTCGTACACGATCGAAAAGCAGCATTCGCAACCGATCCACTCCCCATCTTTCGTCCTGACCCGACAGTATGCTAGCACTGCGGCCTTATCCATTGTCACTTTCTTTTGGTGGAACTTCTGCGCATACGGCAGCTCGTCCTTGGGAAAGAACTCCCATGCTGATCGGCCGACGACCTCATCTGGAGTGTAGCCGAGAATGTCGATGATGGAGTCGGAGGTGTAGAGGATCGCGGCATCATCTTCGAGGTCTGTGTTGTAAAGTTAGATATGGGCGGGCAGCCATTGGTCGCTCTTCGGGGACGTACTGTGGATTGAGATGAACGTCGTCTCCATGTTGCCGTCCTATTCCTTCGGCGTTTGGTCAATTCGAAGGGTGGATTGGCTCCTCGCGTCTAATAACGCAGACCAGATGGTCGAGCCGGAGTGGTAGAAGTCTGCGCAAGCCTGGATTCCTCGGTTGCCACTCCGGATGCGCTGCCGAGATGTTGCTACGCTGGCCGGTATCGAGCCACTGGGGTGTCGTTGGGTCTCGTCCGCGAAGTCGACATTAACACAGATGGACGGTCGAAGGGTTTCAGGTCGTTGTGGTATGTATTTGGTGATGCGCCCACAGGTAGAGTGAAGTCCAAAGAGGGAACAGATGAGGTTTAGCGGCAAAGCGGATTGGAAAATGACGGTGGCGGCAGTTGCTCGGCTCGCTCTGTTACCGACTTCTCTTCTGGCCTTTGTCTTCGCTGATCACCAGTCAAGTTGCGTCAAATTGACTGAACGGTGGGTATGGCGTATGTCCACTTTGTGCTGTTGGTTGCTGGTGGCGTTTGACGTAGTAGGAGGCTCTGCTCTGTTCAACCACGCCTCCCTCGCGGTTTCAACCAATCAACTGCTCGAAACTAAAGCTGCGAACAAGACCGAACTCAATGCACAACTCAATGCGAGTCGACAGGAACTGCAAGCAAAGGACTTTCCACCGCTATAAGCTCGATACTGCGCAGACCCGCCTCGCCAATTCTACCTTTACGGTGTGAAGCTCAAGGCCTTGGACTGCCAGGATCACGGCATACACCACGGCCTGTCCACTGCCGCCGTACCCTCGTCTGACACTCGATGGGCGGCCAGCAGAAGGATCACGAGACGAGCCTTCACCCAACAAGCGCAGCTGGGAACCGGGAATAAACGTGCTGCTGGGTAGGGACACCTGCAAACTAATGTGACGCTTCTGCACCTGCCCGACACTCCGCTGGCCCTTCATTCGCCACTTACCTTGACCCACGAAAGCGTTTGCGTTGAGCAGAGGAAGTATTGCCGCAAGCAGTAGTTGCACCTTCTCCAATCACTTGACACTTTTCACCTGGTGAAGTGCGCGGACGAGGCAGACTTCTTCGAACGCTCCGTCGAGAGCACCTTCAGACTCGCGCAAGACTGAACTGCCGTTACAGCAACCTCGAAACGACCTCGCATATGCAGTGATCAGCCACCAAAGACCATTCCGCTGGTACCGCTGCACGACAGCAAGCAGGCAAAGATAGAAGTCAAGGATTTTGTTCTCATCACTCCACCCAACTGCCGCATTCGCACCTCATCATCGTCGATTGCAGCCGAGGTTGCGTAACGCATGTTCAACGCTGCAAAGCTGGACCCTACACGCGCATCTTCGCCTTTCGGGAGAAGGCATATCCGAACACAACACTGAACCTGTGCTCGGGGTCTACCGAACAGATCCGAGACCGCGAAACGATTGGATTCCGACAAGGCAGAACCGCAACGGTCGGGTATAGCTTGCCATTGCCTGTGACAGTTCGAAAGGAACACAACGTCGAGCGCAGGCTATTGAAGAGGCACCGAGGACTTAAGTTCCTGTTCTGGACTGTCATATGCGCACAGTAGGAAGTCATTCACAAACATACGTCGTCGGCGCACGAACCGGAGTCTAGTGCGTCTTTCGGCAAGCCGAACCGCCTGGGTTAAAGATGCCGACTGAGGACGTCTTCCCAACGCTCACGGACTGTGCTCGGTTATTCCAAGGTATCACGTCAACATCACGTTGCCTTCTCGACGATCTTGTTGCTGGTAGCTAACCGTTCTCAGGTGATCAGACTCTCTTCGACGTGAAGTTCTTCCCGTACGCAACAGAAGGCGATGAGAACATCTTTGCCGTGACGGGTGAGAAGGATGTAAGTGCGGTAGTAGGTTGGGTATCATGTCAGACGCTCATCCGTAGTAGGTCTTCATTTTTCGGACCAAAGAGCATGCGGATCCGCCGTATGAGCTTCTAGGATGGTACAAAGACGGTGATGTGAACATACCCACGGAAGTCCTTCGTCCCGGCGCTGACAAGTGGAAAGCCCAATGCAGCGTACAACAGCCTGGTGTGGACCATCGACCCAACTACACAGCGGCCATTGATATGCCTTGCTGGCAGCTCACCTAAACAGATCAAGATCCTCGATGCTCTGACTGGCAAACCGCTACGGACGCTGCCCGGACACGGCAAAGGTATCAATGATCTCGCCATATCTCCGCTCTCGACCAACATATTGGCATCGGCATCCGAAGATTACACCATCCGCCTATGGGATCTTCGACCGCAATTTGAGTCACAACCATGTGTAGCAATGTTCAGCGGCGAAGGCCACAAACAGCCCACCCTGTCCATCCATTTCCATCCCAATGGCCGATGGCTGCTATCAGGTGGTCTGGACACAGCAGTCTGTCTCTGGGCTGTCCCGGACCTAGATCAGCTCGACAAGCCTGAGGACGAGATCAACCAACATACCAATCCCACAGTAATCTACTACCCTCACTTCATGTCCACAGAAGTCCACCACAACTACGTCGACTGCCTCCACTTCTACGGCGATCTGATCTTCTCGCGTGCGTGCCGTGATCAGAATGCCAAACCTGAGAACGAGATTCTGCTCTGGAAGATCGATGGCTTCGACCACGACGAACCGCCTCCCGCTGACCCGCCCATACCTGGCCCAACCACATACACCCGATCTTCCTTCCCTCACTCCCCTCGCTCGCGAGGCTTCCAGCGATTACTGAGCTTCAGCATCCCGTACACCGACCGCTTCTACCACCGCTTCGGCCTGCTGCATCAACCGGGTATGCGACCTATCTTGTCGATGGGGAATCAGAACTCGACGTTCTTGTTCTGGGACCTACAAAAGCTGGAAGAAGGTTGGGACCCCGCGGAAGAGAAGAAGAAAGGGAGAGGCAGGGCCGGAAAGAAGGCGAAGCAGAATGTCAGTTCGGAGAACCTCAATCGCCTTGGAAGCGTGAGGTCAGAAAGCGTAGCGAGCGACAGCAAGAGCACCGGTGGCGGCGCTACCCGTAAGTATCCCCCTCTCACCCAATCTCACCTCCCAGCTAATGATTTGATAGCAAAACTCTCCTCCACATCCATCTCCACCCCCCTGACAGCCCCCGAGCGCAAATTCGCCCTCTCCGACCCTTTTACGCCCATCAAAGCACACTTCTCCGTCACGCCGAAGACGAAACTGTGTCGCAATGCGAGGGGTCTGGATGAGCATTTCGCGACGAGTCAGATGGCGTGGAGTCCGGATGGGAAGTGGTTGGTTGCTTGTGGGGATAAGGGGGTGGTTTGTCTTTTTCATCGGGACAGGGCTGCATGAAGTTATCCAAGATGGAGGAGAGGAGAATGTGAGTCTCCACCTCTTTTAGTCCAACCAGATATCCACAATCCCACATCCGCAACTCTCACAGACAATTGCTTGCTTCAGATAGAACGTCCCTCGCATCCAAAACGATTTAAAGGACCTCATAGTCGGAGCTTCGTCCACCTGCCCAACAACACCAGCTCCCACCTCCCGCGCCCGTCGATAGAGAACGCATCTGCAGTAACCCTCAAACCGCCCCGTCTTCCCACTCACCACCATCCTCCCATCCTCCCCCGCGCAAACAGTAACCCACAACCTCTCCCCAAGCGCCCGATCTCGAATATCGCTGAACTTCATCTCCGCCCTCATGCACCGGAGATCCCAGAGGACTTTCCGATCAATCCAGCATTACCATTCCCATGTGTGCGGGATGTGCGGTTTGTGAAGCTGGAGGTTGTATTGGCGGGTGCTGAAGTGGAGGGATAGGCCTTTACGCCGGATGAGGGTGCGGGTGGCGGCGAGGAAGGGGGCGTTTGGGAAGAGGTGGTGGAGGCGGCGGGTTTCGTAGGGGGTTGGTTGGCTGGTTAGGAGGGGGAGGGGGAGGAAGGTGGTTGTGGTTGCGGTTGGGGTGAGGGGGAGGTGGGTGTAGATTGTGTTGCGGGGTTCGCTGGGGAGGCGGAGGAGGGGCGGTGGTTTTTCAGTTGAGGGCGGTTGGGAGCTGGTGTCTGTGCTGTCGTGTTGGTCTTTCTGCATGGTTTTTGGGGTTGATGGTGCGTGAGCACCGGTCTCTGAGGGCTTGGGTGCTGTGGTGTCCATTATCGGCGTCATAAGCAAAGAATGTGTGAGTGGCCGTGAGCTGAAGTTGATGAAGACTTGAAGTACACAGGCAGTGCAAGTTGCATTCGAATTGAAAGGCTGTGGAGAAGCACCGCATGTTCCTGATCCTTCTATGTGAAGAGTGCCACAAGGCTACAATGAATGTGGCAGTGCCCACGACTCTCGAAGGCGCTTGAGAGAGCTTCTGAGCACAACAATGCCAATGCCAGTGTACCACTTGCTCAATGAGCGCAGAACGCAGATAGCGTCCGCACAGGTCTGAGCTAGCACCACAATACGGGGGTGGGAATCACCATGCCGCAGGTCTCGCATTTCTCAGAGTCCAGAACGTCCATGCCTTATCTCGTCGAGTGCAATGCTTTGAAGAATCTCACTAGGGCAGTGTCTTCTGGCGAGCCGACCGATCCGGCGTTCACTGCGCGGGCTGCTCGTGCGAAGATGCATGTGCAGTGGGTAGGCTCGGGGGAAGAAGTGGGTAGTTGATAAGTCGCCAGGATGTCCCCGGTGTCCGTCAAATGCCCTTTAACGAACAAGTAACCCCAGAACGTGCCAACAACTCTGATGATGATCCTTGCTTCAATGCTGTGGACATACGGAAGCCATGATTTGGCCCGACCAGCGAGACGATCTAGAGCATGTCCAGAGTGCGGTCCCCAAAGTGTGAAGGTGTGTCGTCCGTAGCGTTCTGAGAGAAGCTCACTCCTAATCTGCTTGCAGGTCGAGGCCAACGCTGGCGGACACGGAGTGGTGCGGCGAAGCGGTCTAGGCTTTAGGGTTTTGTACTGAAACCGCAACAGATTGCTGTTGGCGTCTTCTGGTGGAATGACCATATGATAAATGCGATTCCGCAACTCACTAGGTAGGCGCAGGAGGTGGCAAGTAGTATCCGTGGTCGTCTCAGTCCGATCCGCTGTGCCTAAGTGATTTGGTCAGTCTTACGATCTAAGCTAATAATGCTGGAGAAAACTCACTAGTCTCAGGCATGTCGGAGGCCACTGCTTCCACGACGCTGTCGCAAGGTATCGGAACCCCTGAGTCACCATGTTAGTCTCACGGTAGTGATAGTAATGGCAGGCGTGAACTTGCCACTCTCCGGTCTGTCGGAGGCCATCGATTCCATTATGGTTCGGGATGGTGTGGTTGGTAAATGGTGAAGGCTTCGAGGTCGGAAATGAGTTTATAGCGGTTCGTGGGTTAGTGCGTAACGCCAAGTGTCATGACGCAAGAGCATTTTTCATGTGACAGCCAAGGGGGATTCCAGTTGTATTCGACAATGGCTTCATAAAGTGGGACATCAAAGTGTTTCATATGGCGATTGGAAAGAGTGTGATACCTGACAGGCTGTCATAAGGGTTTCTCAGAGCCATAGTGTGTTCCAAACCTCCTGTGGTGCGGTCAAAGAAGTGACAGCCCTCTTGGCCCAGCGTGCCTCGCACCCTCCATCGAGGGATCCATCTCCCAACAACAACGTCGTCGGCCCTTGTAAAGCATTGCACGTCCTCGACCTCAAGCTGCGTTCCATGCACAGCCATCTGGCTACAGCAAGTGCATATAGCAGACGTGCTGGCTACCGGTCTCGCAGTCCTTCCGTGGCCCCCCTTCCCAGTGGATGTATGTTCGGTCGTTCTCTGCGCGAAAGTTTCGGTGACATTCGAAGCCCTCGTTTTCGTCCCACGACTTGAAGAATCGTACTACCGGTGCATCGTCTCGTGAACCAACCTTGCCGTCTTCCACTTTTCTGATTCGGTCCGCGAGTACGCATTTGCAGTAGCGGGAAGCGTTGTCTTCAAGTCCCACCAATTCCAGCTTTCCTCCCTCCGATACCCTGACTCCTACGCTGACCACATACTTATGCACGAAGACACCAGGGACCCAGAATAATCCCTGGACCCAACGAAGGTACCAGAGACAAGCGCGCGGGAGGTGAGGATTCCGCCGCATCCGTTCAATCGGGCTTGCGCCAACCATGAACATCTTTGACCCCAGAAATATCGCGAGGACTTCGTGTCTGATTTGCTTGCAGGTAGAGGCTAGCGGGGGTTGCTTCGGCTCCACTTTCCAGCGATGACAGGCCTTGTAATCTGAGATCTCCACGAAAAAGCTGGAACCCAGTTGTGGCTGGGGTTCGTCGACTAGCTCGTAGATGCGGTTTCGAAGTTCGCCGGGTAGACGGAGGAGGTGGCAGGTTTTGCTGGTGGTTTGTGTCGGACTGCTCGCGATTCCACCCGGGGTGGCATCACTGGACTGGCCTAGGTTGCAAAGTCAGTATTGGACAGCACAAGTACCATGAAGCACACGTACCAGTGTCTGAGTCCGTCGAATCCGCCATCTTGAGGTTTCGAGGAAGACTTGAAGAACTTGACGAGAAGTTGGCGTCAGAGCTGAGGTTTGAGGCTTCAAGACAGGGAGAAGGTTATGGCTGGCGCCAAGAGCCGTGACGACACAGAAATTGCGTCTTCATGTGATCGCACAAGCAAATCTCTCAATCGCTGAGAAAGGCATTAAGACTCCGCTGGAACGTCGCTGGCAGACCATCTTCGCTGATATTGCGACCAATGATCACGATCCTTCCAGCTTCCTCAACCTCATCAGAAGGTGCAGAGCTGGTATCAGCGGCATCGATCATCTCAAAGATCTCCCGCACGCCCTGTAGCATCTTGACACGACCGCCTTTGAGAGCCACTCGCCCTTTCAGTCGATGGATCTCCCACTCACTCTCCTCTCCGGATCCAAGTAGCTGGCCCTCCCAGAGCACCTTTCTTAACCAAGCGTCCAGCTTCTTTAGCCCAGTCTCGCTGAGCACCGGGAATTCCAGCGTGACAGTCACGATCGCCGGGTCGAGATGGCTGTGGCCTTTGCTGGCGAAGGCTAGATTCTCCTTGCTCACATTGTCGTAAGCATGTAGATCCAGGACTAGACCCTCCAGCTCCGAGATTTGGCTGTGATGGGTGACCTTGATTCGAGCAAGAGCGTTGATCGATCGCACTCTTGCCTCCACTGCCGCCAGCCCTTCCGGCGTCACAAGATCTGCTTTGTTAAGCACAACCACATCCGCATGCGATATTTGGAGGTGTGCCACCGTGAGCAGCGGACTTCCATGCCCATCCCCGTCAGCATGTCCATCTACTCTCTCATCTCCAATCGGCTCAGCCAACGACCGTTCCAAGTTGGCCGCATCAACAACGGTAACCACACCGTCCAGGTACACGCTACTCCCCAGCCCCTCATCCACCCAGAACAACGGCGCCAAGTTCCCCGGATCCGCCAGTCCAGTGGTTTCCAGTAAAATGTAATCGAAGTTCTCGCCACGCGAAGCCATCAAACTTTCCAGAGCATTGACGCCGGCGTCCTTGACAGTGCAGCAGATGCAGCCGTTGGCGAGATTTAGCCACTCGGTTGCTGTGGTTCCGGATGAGCCAGAGACGGTGATTGGGGCCGGTGCTGGGCGAGCCTCAAGGGAGGAGGTGTTGCCGAATTCGTTGAGTATGACGGCGATCTTCTTGCCGTGGCGGGCGGTGAGGATATAGTTGAGGAGAGTTGTTTTACCAGCACCTAGGTAGCCTGGAAATTGGCAATGAAACAGTATTAGCTTGATGGGATAAGACGAAATATGATTGAATTCAGATGGCAAGGGAAGTCTCAGTGTCGCTTGCAGAGCGGTTCTAAGAATTTGAATGACAGCCCAGTACAAGAGAGAAAGAAGTTGAGGGTGAGACTTGTGGTATACAATATGGCTTGGAAGAAGAGTAAAGCGTACCTGTAATAATGGTGATGGGTACTTTGGCAATCTTTACATCTTCCATCTCAGCCATCAGATCGCTCTCGGCTGGATCTGTGCTACCGCCGGCAGCGACCAGCATCGGTGGTCCATCATCGTCGTTTTCCATGCTACTGGTGATATTAGGCTGGCAGAGACGTGGTGTCAAGACCGGAGAAGTGGTTGAAGAAGTCGATTTTCACATGTAAATCGGCTATTCCCGCCGCAGGGACCACTAGCTAATCCGCAGCTCCTTCTGCCTTTGGCTTCACGCCGCGTGCAAGCTAACAAACATTGCCATTGCCAATGTTGATCAACCTTACTGCCAGCATCCTGGGGCCGCCTGTCACCAATCCTCCACATGCCAACATGGCCGCTCCCTCGCCAGGCTCCTCCCCGCGACTACCCTCCCCACCCCCCATCGCCGAAGACCAGATAGGTCCTACATCGCCAGGTGTAACGCCCTACGAAGACCACAACAAGCTGCCTAGCGACAGTCTGAACAATGCCGCTTCAAGACGAATTCGACCGGGTACGAAAGCGGAGGACATGGCAGAGGGTCCTCCGCTCGTCGAGCTTCAAGATGTACGCCCCCTAGGTCCCACCTTAAGTCGAACAGCGCTAATGAGACACACAGATCGACTCCGCCTTCCAGTTGACCGAACACCTCAAGTCTCTCTACTACACCCACACCCACCCGCCCTCTACCAACACTATAACCCCACTCACCGCGACCCTCGCCCGCCAACTCTCCCATCCACCCCCATACACCTCCCGCGAAATCTGGCTCTACGAACTCGGCCGCTTTCTGGTCCAAAAAACCAACGCCATCATTGTCTCCCTCTTCCAAGACGATCCGCCATGTAGCGCCACCACCTGCTCCGAAATGCGCGCCTCCGAGTGGCAGTACCTCTGCGCCGTGCACGAGCCGCCGAAGAGCTGCGCCGCGATCGATTACTGCTGCCATACGCTGGACTGGGCCGCAAACACGCTTACGTCGTCGAAGATGTTTCCGTCGCGGCTGGGCTTGGGTTCTGGGAACGGAGCGGGGATAGGGAGTGACAAGGTACTTGCGGCGCAGATGAAGGAGATCAAGAACATTTTCCGGAGAGTGTACCGCATATACGCGCACGCGTGGTTTCAGCATCGGGAGATGTTCTGGCGGGTTGAGGGGAGGACGGGCTTGTATGTTTTCTTCAAGACGGTTTGTGATGAGTATGGTATTATCGAGGCGGAGAATTACACAATTCCTGCGGAGGCGGAAGGGTTGGAGCCGGCAGCTGGGGATGGCAAAGAAGATGTGCAGGCACCTAGTGTGCTAAGGAGGGACCAGGATGGGTCTATTGCGGCGAGTGGTAGTCCAAGGAAAAGCACTTCGGAAGAGTCCTTCGGAAGTGGTGAGACGACTAAGAGACATCGGCACACCAAAAGCGACTTTTCGCGCGATCCGGGCGCGGTCATCAAAGAGGAGGCTGAGGAGGACGAGACGGAAGGCGCCGGACCTCGAGGTGAAGCACCGGGTGAAGATGGTGCCGCTGTGCGCGCGCCAACCCCGGAGAAGCCGAGTCTGGACCGCCAGATGACGGCGCTGAAGGACATGGTGGATGAAGTAGAAGGAGATGGGGAAGCGGAGATGGACACGCCAATTGACCCGCATCGGCAGGTTGAGCCAGCGATGCAGGAGCCTCAGGTCAGCATACTCAGGCAGGAGACCATCAAGCCCGAGCAGCAGGAGGAGAAGGCAGCAGAGGACGTGGAGATGAAGCAGCAAACAGAGACCGAAGCTGAGCCAGAGGGCGAGCAGACCATCATCGAGGCAGCGCAAGGAGATGGACCGAGTGAAGACACTGGGGAGGTGAAGGTCACGTCCACGGAGGTGACGGAGACAGCCAATGCCGAAACGAAGCCGCAAGAGCAGACAGCGGCGGAAGCTGAGGATGCGGATAAGACTGTCGGTGATTGAAGCAGCTCGCGGAAGCCGTACTTCAATGAACAGCTTACACCAGAGCTTCGCAGAGAGCGTATGCTCCGTATCTGGGACGACACGATCTCGCCGACCGCTACCATGGACGCCGAAAAGCTTCCCCAAGACCTCATAGGTCGCCATGACACAGACTGGCCGTTGTACCATTTCATGCGGCCAATGTCTGGCGAGAGACTGGCGCCAGTGACGGCTGTTGGGGGACGCAGAAGGGAGTAATTGAGTTGAAGGACGCCAGCTGGTACTTATGTAAGAAATTGTAACGTTGAGAAGAATGTCCTTGCATAACGCTCCAGAAGAGATGCCAGCTTTCTACAACTGTGTACGTGCGCTACATACATCATTGACTGCGTACAAATCCTAGACTCATCCTTGTCCGTCCTCCCGCAATGCCAAAGCAAAACCAAAACGACCTCACTTCCACCCCCCCAGCCCCGCCCACGGATCCTGTTGCTGCTGCTGTCCCTGCTGCCCCTGCCCACCCCTCCTCGGATCACTAGCATACCCCCCGGGCCCACTCGGATACACCCCCGCTTGCAACGCGCTGTAATCCTGTCCCCCCGGCGGCGGCCCAGGCGGTGGCGGAGGCGGTTGCCAGCCAGGCGGCATCGACTGTCCGTAGCCTCCGCTTTGCTGGGAGTGGCCGTAGGTCGTGGTGGAAGGCGTCTGCTGGGATTGGTACATTGATGAAGGGGGAGGGGAGAAGTATTGTTGGTGTGCGGGCGGGGAGGCGGGGTTGTAGGATTGTTGTTGTTGTTGTTGGGGGTGGTAGGGTTGGTGGTAGGATTCGCGGCGGTTGTAACCATTTTGTGACTGCTGTTGTTGTTGGGGTTGAGGTTGGAAGGAGGGGTAAGAAGGTTGTTGGCTTTGCGAGCCGTTGGGTTGATAGCCGGGTGTGATGGGCGGGCTGCGAGCGGGATTGTAGCCGCCGCTCATCCCAGGTTGTTGGTTGTTCATGTATTGCAGAGGTGGCGGACGTCGAGGATCGGAGGGTGTTGGTGTAGGGACGGGAGATTGCGAGTGATGTGTGCCCGGGCTGACGCTCATGCGCTCCATGAGCTCTTTTAACCTTGCTTGCTCGCGGTCTGCTCCGCTGCCTTTCGAGGCTTCGATGGTGTTGAGGAGCTGGCCGCCTTCGCTTCTGCGATTCTCGACAAAGGAGTCGACGTTGCGTTTCAAGCTGTCCACAGTGTCCTTCATCTCGTCGTAGAACTGCTGGGCGCGTTGCAGGCCGGTCTGCAGGTCTGTGTAGGCGTTGTAGATTTTGCGATACTTGGTCAAGACAATGTTGCGTTGCCGCGAGAAAGCCTCGTACTTGTTCTGCTCTCTGCTCACTCGCTTGTCCTGGAGTAAGTCGGAGTAAGTCCTGGTCAGTTCCTTCATAAGGGCTGACTGCTTGTGGTTGGCTTGGAGAATGCGATTCTGGTGTGGTCGGAACTTTTCGAGCTCTGACTTGAAAAGCTGGGCTTCTTGGTTGGTGATGGCCTTCTTGTTGAGGATGAGGACGTTGCTGATGTCGTCGTTGTGTATCTGTTGCTGTCAGTAGGTGGCAATAAACGTGAGGACAAACGAATGTTAGCCTACCTTCTCCTTCAGATCCTTCAGCACCTGCGTCCTCTCCCTCTTCACCAGCTGCAACTTCCGTATCAGCTCTTCAACCTGCTGTATCTGTTCAGCGACGCTAAGCTGATTTTGATCCGCAAAGTCGTCGTCCAGCAGGTTGCCTTCCTCATGACCACCTGCGCCAGGACTCTGCACAGCAGAACTCTTCTTTCCGGCACCGGCTTTGATAAGAGCCCGCTGATATAACACATCCGCCTCGTCTGTCTCACCCGCAGACCGCATTTCGTCAAAGTCGCCTTCGTACTGCCGGAAGGAGGAGTATAGCTGTGCGTCGCTCGTGCTCGCCTCCTCGACCGCAGACTTGTAGCTCTTCGCATCGGTGCGTAGTGTGTTCGTTAATCGAGACGAGGGCTGTTGTGTCCAGTCGCTGCCGTACTTGCTTCGCATCTTCTCGCAAACACTCGCCTCCATGTCGAGCTGTTTGAGACTGTCGTCCAGTGTCTTTGTGATACCAGTCTTGTCGTCCCGAAGTTGGTCGAATGTAGGGTTGAACGGGCTGTGACCTGCCAGCTCTGCACACCAGTTTCTGAACTCGTCATCTACACCCATGGTTTCTTGATCGAGGCCACCTTTGAGTATGTTCAGGCTACCGGGTAGTTTTAGGTAGTCTAGCGACGTCGCTAGTTCGTCGTCCGCAGTTTCGCAGCGCTCTGCTTCTGCTCGGATGAGCTTCGCTTTCTCTTCATCGTATAGACTGGCACTCTCGGTCACACTCATGGGCACGATCCGCTGAAAGATATCAGGACCGATAATCCTCTGAATGTCCTGGCCCTGATAGAGCTCACTAACGGGTATCGCTTTGGCAGCTGGCAGCTTCGGTATGCTTGGCAGGTTCGTCTCCGCGGGCACAGTCTGATGGTAGATCATGTCGTTGTCCCGCACGAACTCCGCCAGCTTGTCCGCGATCGCCGACTTCTGCTTGCTCACCATCTCCGAGAGAATGATGCCAGTCTCCGAGCCCAGATTGCTATTCGAAGGCATGGTCCCCGGCATGGCATTCGCGATCTTGTTTGCCTCTTTGTTGGCGCTCTGCCCAGCCTGCAACCGTGCGATAGCCTGACCATAGCTGTTGGCTTCGTAGTCCGCAATGGCCTGGTAGTACTGCGCCAAACTCGCGAGGTGGTGCTGCTTGATCTGTGTTACCAGCAGCCATACCCGCTCAAAGACCGCCTTTCCAACGTTCTCCTGGACGCCTTCCACGGCCTGAGCGTACAAGTAAGCCGCCTGCGCAGACAGCTTGGCCAGCAGACCAGGCTTTTTCGCATCCACGATCTGCTTCTCGATGAACACCTCCTGCCCTTGCGCCAGCATCACGCTGATGAGCGTCTTCACCGTCTCCCGACTCAGGTCCGTCGATGGCGCATGCAGAAAGTTCTCATTGATATACGTGAACATGCCCGCGCTCGCCTGGAAAGAATGGTATGCCGTCTTCAACCCCACATCCTCGTGCCTGTTCTGGTTCGCCGCATGACACGACAATACCGCCGAGATGTTGAAGATGATGCTCGCCTTCTCATACGCCAAGCTGTACTGGCTCGTGGGCTTGTGCGTGAACGCATCGAACCATGTGAATGAAATCTTGATGTGGTTCTCGTCCACAGGGAACCGCAGGTCCAGCAGCTCTAGTTGCCCATAGTATCTGTACAGCAGGTCCCTCCCCGCTGCGCTGTCCTTGCCTGCCCCTCGCATGTCCTGCCGTAACCGGTTGAGCGCGTTGCACTCGTCATTGTAGCGTTCGGGGTCGTCGGCGTAGGCGGTGCGGATGTGCTGTTTCAGCGGGATTGTCCAGTCGATCTCGTTGGTCTGCTTGAGCGGGCTCGATATCATAGGGATCTGCATCTCGGTGGCGGAGAGCTGCCTCGACAGCGCTGGTCGGATTGCTGGAAGCATGTACTTTCGCTGCCTGCGCTCAGAAGAGGGTGGCAATGTACGTCCGTACTGCTCCTGCTTTCGACCAGCACGGCCGTGTGTTCTACTTCGTTGTCCACTGCAGATCTTGACTCCAATCAAGCAAACCTACGCATGTCTGATGCGGTGGGTATATCTCGTAGACCAGTGATCGAGGGTCCTGCGCAGTCCGTCACAAACCCCTCCAATCCCGCTGCTGATTCCACGCTCTTGTATATGACAAGCCTGTCTTATTGTCCAGTCCAGTACAATCAACTCGCTGCCTACTCCTCGTAGCTTTGTCTGACGTCCAAATGGCCGTGCCTAAAAGTGGTTGGTTATGGTGGGGAACCTGGAAAGCGGTCTCGAGAACGGCCGCATGACAAGAACGCAGGGCTACACGACATAAAGTACTCGTACCTCTCCAGCTGCAGCCACTCATGCAGGCACACCTTACTACATTCAATACGTTACACTCAAGCCTTTGGGCTGTAGAGCCGCCGACATCAGCACAGCCTGCGATCGGGACACCAGTTGATGTTCGCAGACAGGCATCCTTGATCTTCGCTAAGCGCCCACGTTGAGCCCTCCTTATCCGCGGTGGCGGCTATATACTGAACTGCTGACCTTGTCGGTATTTAAGATTGACGAAGCGTTGGGGATTTCCGCTTACTGGAAGGCGATGGTGAATGAGAACAACTATCAGGGCAGCAAAGCCTGAGTCGAGATGATCATACAATGCCACAAGCTCTGCGGGTCTATCTACTGTACAATGTGGTTGTCTCTAACCCGCGAACACCAGTATATGCAAATGCAAACGCTGCAAATATACAACATCTTCAATGGTACACACCTCCTCAACCAGAACCAGAACCGGAAGCTTTCTTCGGTTCCTCTTCGCTCTGGTTTTGGCCGTTCTCCTTCTTCGGCTTCTGCGGCTGCTGCTGTTGTTCCTGGTCGTTCAGATGATCATGCTGGCCGGTGACGGTATGCCACATGTTCTTAAGAAAACCTTCGTTCTTGTGGTCCTCGGCAGAAGCAGACCCAGGTGCAGAGCCAGACTCCGCTTTGGATGAATCGGACGGTGGAGCCTCCTTGAACTTTCCAAGGTTCATCACCCTCGTGGCGTTCTGGTCGCCCATCTCGTCCGCCAGCATCTCGACGATCGTCCGCTGGTTCACCGACAGATACTTCGGCATGTTGACCCGGAACTCGACACGGAGGTCGCCGTTGTTGCCTCTCCTAGACTGTAGCTTCTTCATACCCATGCCGCTCAGAGTAATCTTGTCACCTGTTCCAGTACCTTTGGCAACCTTGACCTTGACCTCCCCATCAAGCGTTGGTACCTTGATCTCGCCACCAAGGACGGCGGTCGTGAGAGGGATGGAAGCCGTGAATAGGACGTCCGATCCTGATCGCGAGAATTTCGAGTCTGGCGCTACGCGGATAAACACATAGAGATCGCCCTTCGAGGTGCTTGCTTTCGGATTCGCGGCCTGACCGGTAGGTGGATGGTCACCCTCGCCCACCACTCGTAGTCTCATCCCATCCTCCACACCTCCTGGGATGTCGATCGTGACCGTCTTCCGTTCTCTCGTGGCACCACTGCCCTTGCAACTTCCACACTCGCCACCTCTGGGTACTGATACACCAGCGCCGCCACATGTACTGCACGTGCTCGCCATCTGGAAGCCGCCCTGCATGAAGTGCACCCTTGTACCTGTGCCGTCACAAGTCTGGCACTGACTCCTGCTCACGCCTTTCTTCAACCCTGATCCAGTACAAGTCTTGCACTGTACGAGGGGTGTGATGTTGATGTCCTTCTGCACACCCTTTGCAGCATCCATAAAAGATATCTGCGTCTGCACTTCAATGTTCTCACCAACCATGACCTCCTCTTGGAATGGGCTTGCGCCTCTTCTCCCTCTTCTCGCACCTCCTGCGCCACCGAAAGCAGAGAACAGATCCTCAAAGTTGAATTCGGCTCCAAACCCACCACCGCCGCTCGCACCACCAAATCCGCCAAACGGGCTACCACCGCCGAACGGACTGCCTCCTGGCCCTCCACCAGCGCCTCCGCTGGGATCAAAGCCCCCGCCTTGATCGAACGCCGCAGCACCATATTGATCCCATGCTTCCTTCTTCTTGGGATCCGTCAAGATCTCATATGCGCTCTGCGCCTCATTGAACCTCTCCTTCGCCTTGGGATCCTTGTTGGTGTCGGGATGGTACTTCTTGGCCAGCCCATAGTACGCCTTCTTGATCTCCCCGGATGATGCGCCGGAGGAGATCCCGAGAGACTTATAAGGATCCTTCGTCGCCTGCGCAACCGGCGAGGCATGAAATTGCCGGCATGGAGCTATTCGCTCGTGGTTCGTGCTCTGTCGGCTGTGCGATGGTAGGCGTGGTCGAGCGTGCCATGATTGTGATGCGCTAGAATGTAGGGAGCGTCGGGGGTGTTGCTGGTCTCTATATTGGTTCGGGCATGATGGTCTGCTGGCGGCGAGGATACGTAGGGGCGTAGTAGCCTTTGGTATCAGTCCAGGTGATGCCAGACTCATGGCGCGAGGTGCTGTAGAAGGGGATATTGATGTACAGATGGAGATGCTGTACAAAAGTTTGTCGAGAGTCGGAGATGATCCCGCGAAATTTAGACTTTCGGCCGATGCCGCTCGGCTCGATCTCGAGAAGGTCCGATGCGCCTCCTCTTGACGACGTCTCGTCTTAAAACCCACGCTCTGTGTCCAGGAACAGGCCTCACGTGGCAGAATTCCACCGAAAAGCAGATTCAACACTGTATCGAAAAGCATCCCGTCCCATGGCAATGATAGGTATGTCGACAAGCTGTTGGTGGCGTGATACCGACCAATGGCACTGTGACGCATGCTATCAGGCTCTCAGCCTTGACCTCAGCCTTGCTACCGAAGCCCTTTCAACAAGGAACATGAATCTCTTCAGCTCCTGGTGAGGTATTGGAAGGTCTTCCATCTATCCCGCCGGCACCATGAGACTTCTCGACGCGGAGGCACTCATCTACGACAATGAAGCGAGACTGGAGGAGTTCATCGACGAGCGATCACTGCCCCAATTTGCTATCCTCTCACATACCTGGGAGAAACATGAAGTCTTGTTTCATGATATTGCTCTCGGCCCGCAGCATGAGATTGAAATCAGCCTAGCTGCGGCGCGAAGAAACGACGATCGTCGCTATGACCAGAGAGATTGGGATGGAGAGACCTGGTCTATGGGCTCTGTGTCATCGTACAGCGACACGTGCTCAGTTGATGGATCTGGCCTTGAGGGCTCATCCGACGAGGTAGACGAAAGGAGTGATACATCCTCAGGACAGGCTGAACCAGCGGATGTTTTTGAAGACTTGCTGGATGCCTTCAAGACAAGGTAATTGCTGCGTCCATCGATCAGTCAGCTACTCCAAGAAATGGCGAATATGTCTGCAGGGCGATTGTCTAGGCTCCTGCCGGTAACACTATGATTACTGATGCTTCACCAGACCCCGCGAATCAACCACGACGCATGTCAAAGCCGGATGGAACAAGGTCCCGAATACCTGCCTGCAAGCCAGTCGAGACGGCCATCGCTACGTTTGGATCGATACCTGCTGCATCGACAAATCAAGCAGTGCCGAGCTCTCCGAAGCCATCAATTCCATGTACAGGTGGTACAGCCTTGCAGCAGTTTGCTATGTCTACCTCAGCGACTGCACAAAATGCCCTCAGCTAGATATTAGCATGTCTGCGAAGAACCGAAAAGGTTCGTTTCACTGGTCCCGGTACCATTACCATGAGATGAGCTATATATCTCCTCATGACGCTCGCACTTGTCTCTACCATGAGATGATCACTCGACTAAACCCTTCGGCAATGCGGGAGGCGAAGACACGAAAATCGGATATAGAATCTCTATCATCGTTGGAAGAGTTGCGAACATACTGTGAAACCCACAAGAGATGGATATCGGTGCATTGCCCACAAGCAGCATATTACGCAGCATGTAGCGCTGCACTAACTACCACAGTGATTCGGAAGTTACTTGGGGCCGTGGGCAAGCAGTTGTATCACGCTGTGACTGACGATGGAAGGGTACGGGTGCTCAACGACTGTACGAAACGAAGTCTGGAACGGAGTCGATGGTTCACGCGAGGTTGGACTTTGCAGGAACTTTTGGCTCCAAGGAAGTTGCGTTTCTTTGATAGACGCTAGCGACATATTGTAGAGAAGCCGCAACTATACAACACTCTTGAATCTATCACAGGTATTCACGTCGACGCTCTACGAGGCAACTTCCCAGGACGCTCGCCCAGTGGATTTAGCATCGCCCAGCGCATGTCGTGGGCAGCCAAGAGGGAGACAACTCGCATTGAAGATGCTGCGTATAGTCTTCTGGGATTGTTCAACATCAACATTCCCTTTCTCTATGGTGAAGGCCGTAGAGCCTTTCCAAGACTGCAAGAAGAGATCGTCCGAACGTCCGCCGATCAATCCATCTTCGCTTGGGATGTCGGGGAGGATTCGTCCAGCGACCCACGGCCGTACACTTCTTTGTTCGCCAACTCAATAGTTCGTTTTGGCAGGGATGCACGAAACATAGACTACCTTGACCACAAATACGAACATCCACAGGAGGTTTGGGGTACATTCATGCAGCTTACAGGCGAAGGTGTGCGCCTGGATCTTCCACGGGATCAATGGAGACAGGATAATGAGTTCACAATCAGCTTTGCATATCTGAACTGCACGTACAAAGGAAGTCGTGTTGGACTGCGTCTGAGGAACACAAGCCTTCCCCGACCCTGTCGCTCACCCCAGACCAGCAGTCCGTTGCAGACCAACGTCGAGGTAGAGTTCGTCTTCTCTATACACTCGAGCCAGACGGCGTGCTTCAGCAGACTGGTCTTGGTTCACGACATAGCCACAGATCTGACGAGGGAATACGGGCAGCTCCAAGAACTGCTGATCACGTACAGCGGCCGAGGCGAGCAGTCTTTCGTATGCCAGAGAAGCATCGGAGTCGTTGTGCAATCGGCAATACTGCCTCAGCCATCGTGGAAACCGTGGAAAGTGGTTGCTGCATATCCTGTGTCACAATGGAAGCCTGGCCTCGACAAAATGCTGTTGACTGACAAGAGCGGCGTGTACGGTGCGGTTGCCATCGACGCCCCAAATCACGAGACTTTTCTGATGGTGATTGGCCGACAAAAAGTTATAGCCGCTTGCCCCTTGTCCGAACTATGTCCTACTGGCTATTCCCCTCTCCAGGAATATACCCCAAAACCACCTTATGGGAGACAGAGAGAAGGCTTGTTCTTGAAGCACAGCTTGGCAGAGCCTGCCAACGAGTTGAGCTCCTTGCCTCAAAGGACTACTTTGAGCGTACAAACCGTCGACTAGATGGCTACAAATCCATTGTGCTCTCTGGAGGTAAGATCGTGCGGGCAAGTGTGAATGGGGATGATCGAAGACAGTGGAAGCCTTTCATCCTGTCGATTGAAACAGGCGACCGTCCGGGTACCGAGAAAACGGTGCTTGAGTCGACCGCGAGAGAGCAACTTCGTCTCAATACTAATGCCGGATTCACCTTCGAAAGCACCTCATGGCACACAACCAACGTCAACGATGATACACGCAATGAAACTGAAGGTGGCCAATGATACACTTCATTGTTTCTTCGTCACGCCAGGAGCTGACCGCATCCGAAACGCCTTCTCCTTGTTGTGCACCTTGTAGAACAATCCAGCAGCCACATCTATCTCGTTCACAGCAGCCGAGTTGAAATGCTTCCGCACCGACAGTGCGAGCTGATCTTTCGACACCCGCCGCTTCTCCTTCTTCCGCGCCATACTTGGACTCTGTCGTCCAATCCCGGGGTTCGTCAGTAACGCTTGGCTAAGAGGCGAAGTGAATGCGGCGGGCGATGGCAGGTTGTGTGCAACCCGATATGTGTTCAGTAATTGTAAAGGGGCGTCGTTCCAAGCCATCTATCAATGCACCGTCAGCGCCACGCCGTCGTGCTGAATGCTATATCACCTACTCCCGTGCCTTGGCCAGGCGCAACCACGTTTCCCGACTCGGTGCTCACGAGCGCCAGCTCCTTCAACGAGCTCCCATTCTGTGGTGCCGACGTGCCATTCTTGCTCTTCCTCGCGTGCGCCGCTGCTGCGACCTGTCTGTCCCGCGCTGTCGAAGCCTCTGAACGCGACTCGTCTCGGGCTTTGGCTGGCGGCATGTTGGATTGTCTGCTTGCTCTATCGCCGTCCGGTTGCAGGCGCTCCTCGTCGATCGAGAGCAGTCAGCATTGTCTCAGGAGACGTGTGCTAATGCGTTTTGATCGATTGCTGTGTTGGATACGACGAATCTCGAAATGTACATGTACCTCAAGAGGTCTTGAGCTCGGGACGCGAGCTGTTAGATCATGCATGAAGCGGGCCGAGGCGGCGCCGGTCCGACAAGACTCCGACGAGCCGGAACTCTATGGTCAACTCTATTTACCAATGGTACCATTTTCAGTAGAAATCCGCCATCGATGCGACACCATGGTCATTCTTAAGCTCGGAAAAGACGGACATGTAAGAAATTGGAGTTTGTACCGTAACTATCGAAAACTAAAGCGTAACAACTGGTGCCGCCACTCAGGGGCATCGCCAGCTATTCTCACGCAATCTCACTTTTGCGGTCTAGAAGAAGTCTCGGGCTCATGTGCCTTCCTATGAGCTCCGCGGCTAGCACCACCCGCCGAAGACACGTCTCACTCAAGATGTCCAGCTTGGTCGGCAAGCGGCGTAGCAGTCTGCGATCGCCACGACTCACCCGGAGAACAAGCCTCCAGCATGACCCGTTGTCATCAATCACGAAACTCCTTCGCAGCTCCCCTCATGCCCATATCGGTGCCAGATATACACTTCTGACGTCGTGTTGGTGCGCTACGGCTCTTCATCTTCCGCTGAATTCTCGGCCTGTCCTGTCGAGGTCAGCAGCACTAGGCATTATCGATCAGCGCGGAGGGACAGCCAGTGCTTCGCGATTGCTCGCCGTCCATTACCGATGAAGTCTCACGACGGGAGCACATTATCCTGCGATCGATCGACTCACCAGAGTCTCTTCCTGACTGGCGACTCCAAACCCTGGCTTCCTCAGCTGCCCGACAGTGCGATGAGCAGCACACGGGTCCTTTCGGCCACATGTTGCGATCCCGTTATCGTCATGCCACCATCTTTAGCCGATTGGAAGTCCTCTTGGGTAGCAATGCAGCCATGACTGCAGGCGCAGCAACGGCTGGAAGAACAAGTATGCTTTTGCACCTTCCATTGCTGCGCACGTTTTTGCAGAGGCCGCCAATAGTAGAGCAATGCCAGTGCTATTCGCTCGATCCGTTGCATGGAAGGTTGACTCCAGGAGGGCGAAGCGGACCTCGCTTGCCTTGGGAATCTGGCTTTACGCCTTTTTCATCTCCTCGGACACGACAAAATCTGGACAGATGTGCTGAGATGGCGCCAACAACTCTTCTGAAATCCAGCCTGAAGCTTTGAAATTGTGGTCTGGCGTCCAGAGGTTGAAGTGAGTACTGCTCGGAAGGCAGTGCCGACTCAGACATGAAGCTGGCACCTCTCGTGACCGATGATAGGCGATCTCCTCACATTGCATTACCGCGGGAAGCGCAATGCAACATTGAAGCCGCAGACGATGGCTGGGTCTGTCTTTGATTGATTCTCATCACCGAACACATGAACACTCACATTCAATGTCCACCCATCAGGAGCTGATGTTAGTGCTGATCTTTCAGCAGATACAGGGTTCGGTCCGTCCGTACAGTAGAATTTTCTGATGAACTGTGATCGTCCACTGCCTGCACGACAACACATGTGTGGGGGAGGTGGAGCCACGACAGAGCTCCGGGTTCGCCAGGAACCACCTAGCTGCCTATCCCGATCTACGTCGTTGCCGCTGCACGTTGTGTGATGCGCAGCTGGAGCGCATGTGAAGATAGGCAGCCTTGCGAGCTGTTGGGCGCGTAGGAGTCACTCGATGCCTTGTGGATGGTTCATCCCGCCTCGCAGTTGTTGGCGTGTTGCAGGCAACTGTCTCAGTCGCTTGGACCAGAAGGAATATTGGTAAAGAGAAATTGAACGGCGGATCATCGGATACAAATCGCGACGCAAAGTCATCGAGGGATGGAGGAGGGTAGAGGAGGGTAGTGGTTGGATGAGATGAACTCCGGGGGTTTCTCGTCTCGCCGATGCTGAAGGTTCTGTCGATCCGTCCGGAAACGCTTACCACGAAGGGACCAGTCTTCAACCCAAAGCGCACTGGGCATGATCCTACCCCTGCTTGGACCGTGTACCTCACCACCCTCCAACACTCGCCAGTCCTCGCTGCGGTTCGCTCTTATTGTTCGGACATTACTATCAACATCTCCCGTCGCTGCTGTTGTACACGGTGCTTGAGTCGCCAAAATGTCGTTCTTACCAGCGCCTCAATAACAACCCACGGCCGGTCAGGTAGACGCCTAGAACCTCGCAGCACACATGGTCGCGTGTGTTGGATAACTCTGGCCCGCCGGTATAGGCCTACTACACTGAAGCTACTTGCTGCGGTGCGACCAAGCTTGCTTTCTACAGCATAAGGCCAGACTGCGAAGACCCACAGCATTCGCATACAAAGTATCACCAGACTCCAGCATGCCTCTTCATCATCGACCTGAGATGTTCGACATCCGATCTGCCTACAAGCAACCTGCAACGAGCGAAAGACGATACCCTTCCGACTCCGACAGCGACCGCTCATACAAATCAAATAGCGACAGATCCTATCAAACGCAACCTACCTCATGCTCGAGCAACTCCACAAGACAGTCACACCACGTCCGATGCCACACACATGAAGGTCGATCAAGAGATGGTCCGCCGCGGTATTTCGACGATAGACAGGTGTTCGAAAGTCCACCTGCGAGTCCGTCCAATTCGGTTGAGACGTACGCCTCAACAGTCGATGGCGACTTGGACCAGCCGGAGAGAGAAGACATCCCCGACTTCGACGTTCCAGACTACACAAGACAACCAACAAAGTCGTCTGCGATCGCTGCGACGCCCTCAGAGTTTTCAGATCTCTTTCCATCTGGTCGTCAATTACACATCCGACATGACGACTCAACGATCGATGGGAACATGAATCTTAGAGTCGATGCTGATGTTTTTGATGATCGCAAGCGTTACGACATGACACTTTTCCACCTGCGTCTGCACGACCTCAAGCACCGAGAGTTCTCATTACGCCGGTACTGCAGGGACTCGGGACGTGAAGTCTGTCACTCAGTTCAGAAGTCTCAGACCGCCGCTCAGGAAAAGCGGCCCGCCATTCAGCGGTCCCTCAGCAACGCCCTACAGAGCATGCGACCCAAGTCGGAGCGACGCAGCTCGGCAGTACCGACGCTTGCCAGCTTGAAGCGCAACGATTCTGGATACGCTTCAATAACCTCAGACGACTTAAATGACTTTGATCGCCAGATGACCTCCAGCCACGGGACAAAGGAGGACGAGTTTGTGCCCTCAAAGTCAATCAAGCTCGAGTTCTCGAACTACGCTCAAGTCGACGTCAAGCGAATTGGTGCAAAGGGAAACAAACGCTACGAGTTTCAGTATTGGGGTGTGAGCTACGCATGGAGACGCGTGGTGACTTGGGATGGCGATCGAAGAGAAGCGGCCTTCTACTTGATGAGAGCTGGAAGCGACCGACCCTGCGCACATATCACGCCTGATCGACTGGACCGTACAAAGGCGCAAGAAGAGCGAAACAGCGGTGGTTGGATCCCACGTTGCACCATGGCAATTACTGATAAAGCGATCATCCGCTCCGGAAAAGACGTCGCTGACACTGTGGTGGCTACCGGCCTCATTGCGTTGGTTGACGACACTATCCGGAATCACTTCCACTCTGAGACTGCGAAACAACTACTTATTCCGGTGCCAAAATTCGGCGTCGAGTACGTGGGACCCAAACGCTTGATCAATGAGATGTTCGGCAGAAGAGACACATTCTCCGGACAGGCAAGCCGTCCATCCTCGAGCGGTGGGCCGCCATCTGCTGCCGTGAGTGTTGTTGGTCCTCGAAGGCCGAACGCTTCGAGTCGACAGAGCAGTCGGGACTACCGGTAACATAATGGACGTTGTCGGTTCCAGCCACGAATCGTACTGAATGTACCGTACTCACAGGGGGCGTTGGTCATTTTCGGAGGTCCGCAAACAGCAGCGGCATGAGCCAGAATTTTTCTGTGTTACTTGGAGGCAATGCAGCTTCCCGTCATGAAACGGTTGAGGCTCTTATGATCACACGAGTGTAATTATATCAGTTTGTTCCTTCGACAAACAGCTTCGGCATGCACCGAATGGTTTCAAGTCCAGCGTTTCTGTGCTCTTTTTGCCTCGGTGGGTGGGGGCTGGCGGTGATTCCACCCGGGTCCACATCTGTACAATCTCGGTCCCTCCATACGCTTGTTGTTCTTACACGCTTCAATAAGTTATGCAACTAATCTGACCAGCGTTCGTGTCTTGCGCAATCAGCCGTCGCTGGGACGCATGCCCACCGGATGCATGCTGCTGCGGCAGGGACCCGACACTGCCCACATCCCCCCAACTCTTGTGTGACCACTGAAAACCGCATGACCTTTTCCACGAGCACAACGCTTGTGCAAACAACCCAACGCCTTGTTGACGTCCGACACACCCGCACGTCATCTGTCCACAGTGAAGGATTGGAGCAACGTGTCAGTGGCATTAGCGTGCAGACGTAATGCATACCAGCCCACTTTCTTCATGCAAGCCGGCCTACCTCGTGAGTGGTTGCTGGATTTTCTTTGACACGCTGGTCACACGGAGTCTTGCCACTGGGGTGGAGTAAGACAGCGCCGTTGTGCCGCAAACATGCGAACGGTTCGACTTTGCTGCCCAACAAGCAGGACAGCCATCCATATGTCGCTGCATTAGACCCATCAGTTCATGCGCTGGCGGTCCGTTTGCGAGCCGAACCCACACTATTCGCCTGGGACGTGGCCGCAAGGAGAAACGTTTGCCTACGAGTCCAACGGAGCCTCTCACTACATAGAGGTGGGATCTGAGGGTCTGCCAACAAGCCTGTGACCCCGTTCCTTTGGGCCACAGAGACCACCACACCCATTTGTCGAGGGAGGATGCAGCACTGTGAACGGCCGCCTGCTTCACCGGCACCACTAACAGTCGTTCGGTATACAGCGCAAACAACTGCCCAGGCTATAAGTCTCGCGACGTCGGACGGCTCAGATGTATCGTCCTTGTCAGTACATCAAGCAAGTTGATTCTTTGAGACCCAATTCGTCCGATCATCCATCATCGTGCGCTGTCATCTGGTCTTTACCATCCTTCAACTTCAGTCGACCTCCTTCGCCTCTCAGTACCCACCGGTCTGCACTCCGCTACTCACAACCATGTCTGGAAAATCAACCCCCAGCGCAACAGCCACTTCAGACAGAGGGAGCGGGCCCTATCAGGACCAGCTCGTCAGTAAGCCGATGTACCCTCACCTCCAGACCGACTACCAACTGATGCGCAACGCAGACCTTTGCCAACAGCACAACGTTCGGCTTCCAGATTACCAAATCGTCTCAGACAAACGAGGTATGTCCAACCTTCATCACTCCATGACCAAAGTCGAGCTGATGATGATGTAGGCGGGCGCACTGCTTGGAGCTGCAAAGTCTTCGTCTGCGGCCTACAGGTCGACGCCCGCTTCTGGTATGACGGGGAACGCGCCAACCAGTCCCGCGAGGATGCTTCTGAAGAGGCACTTGTGAGGCTCGGTGCGATCTCTCGATCGGGTGTGAGTCCTTCTCAGGCTTTACAGGCGGCTCAGCAGGCCGGCCAGTCTGGCAATCAGCAGCAGCAACGGTCATACGCACCAACCAGGGGTCGATGAAGGCTCGTCGATGACCTGTGTGACGGAGGCTTCCAGAGGGCTTTGGCTTTGTAGTTTAGTGGGAGGAGGGATTTGGTTCTGGGATTGGGAATGAGTATGGCATTGGAAGGAGGATTTGGAGGGACATGGTAGATTGGTCTGCCTGGAGGCTACCTATACCTGAGAATTCAGCGTTCGGCATCAGGGACAGCTGTGATGGGTAATTTGTGGTGATTTCCTTGTCAAATAGACATTCTTTTCAAAGCACTTTCATCCTCACCTGGATTCCGTAGGACGTTGATGCTTCTGCTCCGCCACGAGTCCACGAGTGGTGATGCTCACGGTCAACGATCCTCCTAAACTAGGTCCCAAGAGACCGGACCAACACGAGGCTTGAGCGTCAGAGATCACATTCGCGATGTCGTCCTTCCTTTCTCTTCTCTCTGCCTTCGTTCTATCTACATCGTCCGTCGCATGCCACGGCAGCAGGACGTTTCCCTTCAAAGAACAGTATCGATGGGGCTTTCGACGAGAACACGTCGAGTCGCAGAACACCGCGCAGGACCGGCAGACACCGATGTGGAGACTCGCTAATCTTGTCCAACCTGGTCGACCTCTTGCAGGCTCAGTGGGCTCGAACGACGGGGTCGATACCAGCTACTGATAAGGACTCGCCGGTCGCCGGTGGTACACAATTTTTTCGTACGTTCGGCGCCTTCCATCAGTATGCCAGAAGGTCGAGATGGGACCATTCTGCCGCTGAATTTCCGACAGATCTGGTAAGGAAGAGAGTATCTCTCATCTATAAAAGATTCTCAAGACTCTCCACATCCATTCCTCAATGCACAAACGCCACATCTGCTTCTCTGGAGCATCATCCGACACACGTTATCTCGACTGCCGATCAAGCAGAAGCAAAGCTTTTTGGTGATTGTGGTACTTAACAGCGTCGACCTCTCTATTCCGCATGCGCTACACACTCAACTGGCCTCAAGATTGGAGACGCTGCAACACCATCTGTGCTTGAGCGAGTACAGAACGACAACATGTCTTCATCAACAGACGTCAAAGACGACGCCCCAGATCGAATTGGCCCCGAAACCACACGCCGCGGTACCTGGTCCGACAAAGGCAAAAGCTTTGTGAAGGCCTTCACAACGAAGGATGGTCTTGTCGGCACCTACGACTATGCCTTCCTCTTCACCCCAAACATCCCCTTTATGAAGCGTCAACGCCGCGCGGCACCTTTTTTTGGGCTCAACGAAAAAATGCCCGTGCTATTGGCGTTGCTACTTGGCTTCCAGCATGCTCTGTCCATGTTGGCTGGGATCATCACACCGCCGATTATTCTGGCAGGCTCTGCGAACTTGACGCCGGATCTCCAGTCGTACCTTGTCAGCACCTCGTTGATTGTGTGTGGCCTACTGTCTTCCATTCAGATTACGAGGTTCCATATCTACAGGACTCCTTATTACATTGGAACCGGGTTAATCAGTGTGGTGGGGACGTCCTTCGCTACGATACCTGTCGCAACTGGTGCGCTTGCTCAGATGTAAGTTCTTCCATATCGAAACTAGACAGAGGCGGCAAATGCTCGATGTCGGCGTACGCAGATCGATCGAATGGTTCAGCATGATCAAGAGCCCAGAGGCGCTGTCAGCAGCAACTTAAGTGTCTCAGCTGTTTATTGGACTACTCTCAGGGCATCTAGAGCACTTGCTGATAAGCTGTTTTGTTGTCTTTCAGGTACGAGACTGGCTTCTGCCCCTCGGACTCAGATGGTAACCCCTTGCCTTGCCCCGATGGCTATGGTGCAATTATTGGCACCGCTTGTATCTGCGCTCTCATCGAAATCGCAATGTCCTTCACGCCACCGCGATATCTACAAAAGGTACCATAGCACCGTTCCTCGAAGAGATGAAGCCTATGTTAACACTTTGTCAGATCTTCCCACCCCTCGTGACGGGCCCGACAGTCCTGCTTATCGGTGTCAATCTCATCACGTCTGGCTTCCAGAGTTCGTTCTAGCTGCTTCTATCCCGAAGACGTCCAGCTGACATGACCGACAGATTGGGCCGGAGGCTCGGGAAGCTGCTCTGAACGACCAGAGACTGGAGACTTTAGACTGTGTCCGAATGTTGGCGCGCCGCACGCACTGCCCTGGGGGAGTGCAGAGTACATCGGACTTGGCTTCCTTGTCTTCGTTACGATCATCTTCTGTGAGCGATTCGGCTCACCGATCATGAAGAGCTGCGCCGTCGTTATTGGACTCCTCGTCGGCTGTATTGTGGCTGCCGCTTGCGGATACTTTGTACGTCCCCGGTAGAGAGCCTTGAGTCATATCATATGCATCGCTGACCACTCATTCTCCAATAGGACAGATCGGGCATCGACGGCGCTCCTGTCGGGAGCTTCATCTGGGTCCACACTTTCAAGCTGAGCGTCTACGGGCCCATAGTCCTTCCGCTGCTGGCCGTGTACATTGTGCTGGCCATGGAAGCCATCGGCGACATCACCGCAACCTGCGATGTCTCAAGACTCCAAGTCGATGGGCCACTCTTTGACAGCCGAATCCAAGGAGGGGTGCTTGCGGACGGCTTGAACGGCATTATCGCTGGTCTTTGCACCATCACGCCCATGTCGACGTTCGCTCAGAACAACGGTGTCATTGCACTGACTCGATGTGCCAACCGTAAGGCCGGGTATGCGTGCTGTTTCTGGCTGTTGGTGATGGGCATCTTCGCGAAGTTTGCAGCTGCTCTTGTTGCCATTCCGTCCTCAGTCCTGGGTGGCATGACCACATTCCTATTCTCCGCCGTCGCCACCTCGGGTATCCGCATCATTTCGACGGTGCCATTCACGAGAAGGAATCGATTCATTCTGACAGCTGCCTTGGCGCTCGGCTTTGGAGCCACGCTGGTACCTGACTGGTTCGCCTACGTCTTTACTTACGAGGGCGACAATCGTGCGCTTTCTGGATTCTACAATGCTATTGAGCTCGGTACGTCGTGCAATGCTCTCCAGCATTGGGCTTCGAGGAGAGTTTTGCTAACAGACGCACAGTATGTGAGACTGGCTTTGCAGTTGCTGCTTTCCTCGCTTTGCTCTTGAACCTGATCCTGCCTGAAGAGATCGAGGATGAGGAGACGCCCGAGTTGACGGCCAATACAGCTGATGAGCAAGACGATAGAGAGGAGTGGACCAGGATTGACAAGTCAAATGATGCGCAGAATGGGAAGGAGAAGGAAGCTCAGGCTTAAGGCTTAGTCGGACGGCAGTTTCGCATGCATGAACGTGACGACAAAGGATGAATTGATGAAAATTAGACACTCACGCAAAGCTCAAAACTGATCGGACCATGTCCACAAATCGAGCGTCTGGAGTTCTTCTCGTTCCCCGTGTCGAGCTGTCATCCTGCTTACCCGCCCTGAGCAGGTTATGCCGGAGTCAAGGATGACTTGGTCGTTCAGTCCCTAGCACAGACAGAGGGCCACGAAGTTATTAGAGCTTCAGTCGCGATAAGAATCCACCAACCCCGTCACTCAAGCCTAAACACCTCCTCCAGCCCCCTCCACCATCCTTTCGGATCCATACTCCCCGTACTTCCCTCCACCAACGTCTCCTGCATCGCATCCGTCATCTCCCACCACCGCCTCACCTCGGGGTTGGCTTTCATCTTCTCCATGTCGCCCTCGAAGTCGGATCCAGTGTACTTCATCGTAGCGAAGAGCGTCATTGATGTCTTGTCCAGGTAGATGGAGTAGTCGCTGATGTTGCAGTCTTTGATCTGCTTGAGCACTGCTGGCCAGGCGGAAGCGTGGATGTCTTTGTATTGTTGGAGTGAGGAGCGTTTCAGGCGGATGATTTGGGCTATGCGGTGAGATCCATTATCGGCCATTCTGATGGATGCCTTCCGGGTGTTGTTGATGGAATGGCGTTGGTGATCCGGTGTCTAACGTGTTCCTCAAGTTCTCCGGGTGGTTGATAGACTACAAGTATCTGTCGAAGTCCTTGATCTACCGAAAGAATGAGCGTCGTCTGTGAAGAATCAAAATTATTAGGTTATCAAGATGGATGGTGGTTGTGTTGATCCGAAGTGCGTGCTTCTTCGGCCGTAGCACGACCTCTCTCTCCACCTCCACCAACCTCACCAATCACTTCGAAGCCTCTTTATGGTCACGCACGCAACAGTCATGCCTTGCGGACATCCGCAGGTGCAATTGCATTGAGACTTGGTACGTTACGTAGTCGAAATAATATATAGATAAGTGACTGCCTGCATCAATCTATTCTCCTTGCTCGATCATTAGACGGTACATAGCCGACAACGTGCACGACAACTACACCACAAGCCTCTCACTGGTACTATCACGAGCAACAGATCCCCTAAAAACGCATCGTCATTAAGCCTGCGGAGTACAAAGCGCCAACTCTGCCCTCAACCAACAATGTCCCGCCTCATGCCTCACCCCCCGTATGCAGAAGACCAACCCTACGCCCGCACATACTTAACATTCCACGTCCTCAACCGCTCGTTCCAAACCAGCGCCCTCGTCGGCCTGACCATCAGCACCATCCGGAAAGCCCTCGGTTGCAACCCGGCTTTCCTCCTATCAACCGGCCGCGGCGCACTCTTTGCTACTCTATTCATGATTCCGGGCCTCCCATTCTATATGGTCGGAAAGACGGACATCGAATGGCAGGATCGGAGCTGGAGATTGTTGGAGAACCGAGGCCAGATGGAGGTGGATGATTGGAGTGGGGTTGGGACGCTTGCAGGGGTGGCGGTGGCGCTGAGGAGTGAGGCGGAGCGGGTGGTGAGGAAAGGGAGGTGGGTGAGGGTTGCGGGTGGTGCTGGAGTGGGAAGTTTGGCAGGGGTGGTTGGGTATATTGTTTGGAGGTACGGGGTAAATGGTGGGAAATGGCCGGAGAGGGAGGTAGTTTGAGGAAAATGGGAGGGATGGGGGTGGTGGTTGGTCTTGTTTTTTAGCGCGGTGTTACACTCACCTGCTGGGTGGGGTATGTAAGATATTGTATACAAGTCTGTAGGTGATATTCACAGGGCTCAAGGATTCTTCTCAGCTCTGGCAGGACTCTTCATCGCATCTCTCATCTCCTGCTTCATCCTCGTAATCGTGCCGACCCCACCATACATCATGGCCGTGTAGACCTGACACACACTAGCGCCTGCATTGAGGATCTGCAGACACTGCTCGCCATTCGTGATGCCGCCGGTAGCGAAGATGACTTTCTGCTCGGGACTCGAAGATGATGCCGCTGGCTTTGATGATTTTGAGCTAGGGATGGGAGTGGTCGTGCCGGTAGTAGCTTCGACTGATGAGTTGGGCGAGTGTCGCTCAGGTATCTTAAGCAGAGGTTGCTGGCTTTCCGCTTCGGCCTCGAGTGTCATTGGCTTCAATCGTTGGACATCTCGTTGTGCGCTGGCATCGGCAGAGAGATCGCTGGAGGCTGTTGCGGGTGGTAGCTGAGGTGGTGGCTGCGGGGTCGAGTCGCTTTTGATGGGCTCCGACGACGATTCTTCAGGCGGGCCCTGATCTAATCCGTACCGGTACTTCTGCACCAGATTCAGCGTCCGGTTGAACATTTGCGGACCAGAGTAGCCCCCAGTTTCAGTCAGGATCTTCTCCTCCTTCGCAGGCATAACGTAGCCCGCTGGAACTGGGTCCGGACGTTTCTTGGTCGTGTTACCAACAATGACACCATCCACACCACTGGCCCACACAGCGGAGCAGATGCCTTCGATTTGTGCATCGCTGTCTTCGTCTGGAGACACCTTGACCATGACTGCTGGCTTTGTCCGTCCAGGGCAGTTTTTCGCAGCACCAACGACAGCAGATAGGATGGTCGTAAGAGGTGCGGTAGCCTGCAGATCTCGGAGTCCAGGTGTATTGGGTGATGAGACATTGACGACCAAGATATCAGCGTATTTCGCCAGGTGGTCTACGCAAAAGACGTAGTCGTTGGCGATAGCAGCAATGTCGTTGTCTGGTGTCGACTTGTTCTTGGCAACTTGAACTGCAAGAAGGCGTCCTGGCGCAAGACTACCAGGCGGAACACCCGCCTCACCACCTAGAACCTGTCGCTCACTCTCCGGCTCCAGGCCTAGACCATTGTCGTACGCATACTGCCGTACTCGCTCCCGCAGTTGCATGGCCATGTACTCGGCCCCCTCTGAGTTCAGCCCATACCGGTTGATGAGCGCGTTCTGAGATGGTATCCGAAACACTCTGGGCTTGGGGTTGCCAACTTGTGGATGAGGTGTCGCGCCACCCACTTCAACAATCGCCGGGCCGAGCGCAAACAATGGCGACGGTATTTGTGCATCCTTGTCTATGCCTGCAGACGTGCCCAGAGGATTGTCGAGGACATGGCCGAACACTTCCACTTTGAGATCGCCAAGTTCTGTGTCCTGCTTGCCTCTTTCCCGCGGATGTAGGTTGAAGTCGTAGAGTGCCTTGATGTACCGTATACCCGCATGATGTGCCTCTTCTGGATCGGTATGCAGCAGTCGCAACGTAGGAACCACGAACCATTGATGGATGCTGGCGCGTGTGTCGGTGATGTAGAGGTAGCCGAAGGCTGTCAGGAGGACCAGTCCAGTCCCATAGATGGCATTTCGGAGCTTGTTACTCGGTGCTGCGGCGGCGGTGGACGCATACCGAGGGGAGGGTGTGCGCTTAGGGGGGGTAGGTCTTCGCGGCGTTGGTTGTTGTGAGAGCTGGCGCTGCCATTGGCGCTCGATGGTGCGCCATTGACCTCTGCTGAAGGCTCCCTCTGGCCTCAGAAGTCCTCTGGACGAGACCAGAAGAGACTTGGTCCCTTGCATGGCTGCGAGTCTAAGTCCACGAAGCTGGAAGAGCGGTCACATTTCAGGTTGTTCAGGTACGGCAAGGTTGGCGGCGTTGATCGTCAAGCCACAACCCACCCCCCCCCACCCCACCCCATCCCGCCCTTCCACCTTCTCCCTCAATACAGCAATCTTCACCTCCAAGAGAGTCCGCTGCGCAGACATCAACAACGGCGACATGTTCATACTGGCGACCCAGATTCCACGTGATATCCCACAGCGACTTCCACCCCAAGGTAATGGATTCTTCAAGGCGACCGGCAGGCGTCCACCCCCCTGTCGCCTTGTCGTGTAACATATGCAGAACATCTGCAGGAGGAACACATACATTTCATCTTGTCTACTTCCTTTCTCCTTCCTCTCTCATCTTCTCATGCTACTTCCATTTCCATCTGACAGCATCTCTTCCCCCAAACATGGGTCAGCGCCACCAAATTTTCGTATGTGCTCGCATCAATGGCAGATACCGCACTCTTGCAGCAGTTCATCACCAAAGTCTGATGGGGTTCGAAGTCATCAAGCGGTGCCTGCGCCTTCTTTCCATCTTTCGGGCGCCTGCAAATCAATCCGACCTGCGCAGAGAGCTCGCTCGAGCAAGCAAGATGGACTGGGAGCAGATGTTGTCTGGACCGAAACTCGACTACACGACCAAGCCTTTCCAAGATGCACATATGGCTTTCAGCATCGACGTAGGTAGTCGTGGCGGGCAAATAGCCCCTGAATCGCGCAACGTGGCTGACTGGAGCGTACGCAGACCTTGGAAGCTGTCTTCCCCTTCATTACAACCTGCCTCGCAGTCGGCACTGCACTCTCCGATGAAAAAGTCCACCGATTTCTCGATTCGATGATTCACCTGCTGAGCATTAAAACTACATACAAGCAGACCGACAACAACGAGGGTTTCACGATTCTGGACACTACCACTCCCGGCAACACGCGCCATGCATTTTTCTTCTATGCTGCACGCGAAGTTGAGCCTGATTATGACGCCCTTGATGATGACCCTGATAACTGGCCCGAGGAGCTAATATTCCCGGAGCACACCCTGCTCGGACCGAAGACGTACGCTCGAGCTACCGCTTACCAACTGCGCGGTCGTGGACCAGAAGCCAACGACGACTAGTATCCGAAAGCAGTCATCAGGCTCAATAGGATGCCGAAAGTACAGCTCGCCGCTGTCTCGAGCCTCTGGCCGAACGCCGAGTGGAGGAGCGAGTACGACGAGCCTAGCAGCGATATCGTGAGCTCCGAAATATGGCCATCTTTGCGAGAGTTGTCTCTATCTCGCGTAACTGATGAGGTGTTGCGAAGCGACCCTGCGGAAGCGTCATGGGTGCAGCATGCCGAGCAGCTCCCGGACTTCCTCCCAGCGCTTCGAACCAAGATCTACGAAAACCCTTCGATGGTGCCTGTGGTCCACCGGAAGAGCATTTTGACTGAAGCCTTCGCTCTCTGCGACAAAGTCGACCTCTCACCATTCAAGGACCTTCGATGGATACCAGTCCTGGGCGAAGCCTTCATATGTCTAAGATGCCCGCTAACTCTTTCACCCTTCTGCATGTAGGCTTGACGGTCACTCAGGCCTTGTCAGTATGTATGAACGCTAGGACATCGGCACCGCCCCTTGACAAATGCTAACATCGTGTAGACCACGGATAACCGCATCGTGCCGATCCCAGCCGACAGCTACATTGGGTGGAAAAACTACTTCAGCTCCAGCATGAACACCGCTCCGTACATCCGTACCACGGCTTCCGGTGCTTGGATATTGTACGTCTTTCACGAGACTGTCGGGAATGCCGGAACCAGCGCGACACCCGAGGACGTCCGCTCTGCCTTCGTTACCACCGCTGACGACGGGACCGTTCTTGCTGCCAGCGCTGATGACTTCTTCGGTGCCGTCGGCTCGTCACCGTCTCCTGAGCAAGGAAGGATCTTGGCGGCCGAATACAAGCAGAATCTGACTAAATTCCGTGCCTGGCAAGGCATTGACCGCAGTGTCGGCTATCGAGGGATCTGGGCCAAGGTCGACGTTTCGAGTGCGAGTCAAGAAGAGGCGGAAGAAGCAGTCATGCTCGCGAAAAAGTACAACTCGGAGATCAGGAGGGATATCAAAAGGTTCAGTGACGAGGCTATCGCAGAGTGGCTGACGCCAGATGCACTGTAGCCGGCTTGCGATTGAGGCGGCGGTGCGGAATGCGGAGAATGTTTTCTGATTGAAGACACATCGATAGGTTATGTTTCTAGTATACGACCATCGCTCCTATCTTACAATTTCTCCCCATGACTCCCCACCTCCACAATCTGATCGCTGCCCTTGTACGGCGGCACATCAAACTCATACTTGTTCGCAATCTCCTTTCCAACGAACCTCCCGCCCACAAAATGCCGTCCCTTGAACCACTTCACCAACGGCTTCGGTGCAGTCAACGAGATCAACGCATCGGGGTTATACCCCTTCCCGGGCCCATCATCCGGAGGTCCGCTGTCGATGTTCCAACTTGAAGGCGCATCCACCGCGAGAACAGGTACCTTGCTCTCCGCCAACGCCTTAATGACCGCGGGAAACGGCTCCCTCACCTCGCCGGAAAACGAGAACCCAAAGATCGCATCGATGATCCAATCAGTCCGCTTCGCCTCACCAACAAAATCGTCCGTGAAGGGCACCTTCAACTGCTCCAGCTGCGTCCTTAACCGGCCGTAGAGCTCATTCTTCGTCTGCTTCGGGAAATAAATGGTCGGTTTGTAGCCGAAGTGGAATAGGTGGCGGGCTGCGACTAGTCCGTCGCCACCGTTGTTGCCGGGACCGCAGGCGACGAGGATGTTGGGTGTTTTGCTGGGTGGCGAGAGGGCGTACATTGCTTGGGAGACTGCGAGGCCGGCGAGTTCCATTAGTTGGTCGATTGAGAAGGCACCGGAGGACATTAATTCTTCGTCGAGGGCGGCAGCGGCTTTGGGGCCGAGGGTACGGAGGGCCATTGTGGATTTTGTTTGGTATTGTGGCCTTGGGTGTTGTTGTTCCTGTGATATAGTATTGTAGATGGAGTTGTAATTTGGTTGTTGATCCTGTCGTCGTTGACTTGATCGACGTGACGTGAGAGTGAATGCGTATGCACGTGATTGGAGTGTCGTCAAGCGGACTTTGGCATCTCCTTTCGGACAATTAAGCGAGACTCCAATGAACAACCCTGGCGGGCAGTTTTCTGGGGAACGCGCATTCTCCAGGAACAGCCCCTCGACCTCCTGTTGCTGCGACTCGAATGCAGAGGCAAGTACAAGGCATTCGAGATGGCGCGAATCGGTCGCCTGGCCTTTCTGGCCATTGCGGTTGTGTTCCACATCATCTACAGCTTCTCCATCTTTGATGTCTACTTCGTCAGTCCGATCGTTAGCGGGATGGAGGCATTCAGGGTGGACGTTGAGAAGGCGCCGGCGAAGAGATTGGTGCTGTATGTCGGTACGATATGAGCACAGAGTGGCAACGTGGGTAGAGCATATGCCATCTAACAACGTATATAGGCGACGGTCTCCGCGCGGACAAAGCGTTCCAATACTTCCCCGATCCCTCTGCATCTCCCGAAGATACAGACGCAAAAGAGCCAGCCCCATTGGCGCCATTCCTTCGATCGAGAGTCCTTGAGCACGGCACATTCGGCGTCTCTCATACCCGCGTACCTACCGAGTCAAGACCTGGCCATGTAGCATTGATCGCAGGCCTGTACGAGGATGTATCGGCGGTCATGACAGGTTGGAAAACGAACCCAGTCAACTTCGACAGTGTCTTCAACAGAAGCAGCCACACGTGGTCTTGGGGGAGCCCTGATATCCTGCCCATGTTCTCTACTGGAGCTATACCAGGCAGAGTGGACGATGCCACCTACGGGCATGAATTTGAGGACTTCAGCAAGGACGCTACGGAGCTGGATATATGGGTGTTTGATCGGGTCAAGCAGCTGTTCAAAGACGCCGAGACGGATCCAGAGTTAAACGCCAGATTGAAGCAGGAAAAGATTGTGTTCTTTCTCCACCTCCTTGGTCTCGACACCACAGGCCATGCGTATCGACCATACTCGAAAGAGTATTTGCAAAACATCCAGCTTGTCGACAAGGGAGTGCAAGAAATTACGGAGGTCATCGAGGACTTCTACAACGACGGTGAGACGGCCTTCGTCTTCACGGCCGACCATGGCATGAGTGATTGGGGTAGTCACGGAGATGGCCACCCGGACAACACACGAACGCCACTGATCGCCTGGGGCTCTGGTGTGGCGAAACCAGTCACTGTTCGGAACGGCATTGCGCCAGGCCACGACGACAAGTTCTCCAGCGACTGGCATCTCGACCATGTCCAGAGGCACGATGTAGCGCAGGCGGATGTAGCAGCTTTGATGGCATATCTGGCAGGACTTGGGTTCCCTGTCAACTCTGTGGGAGAGCTGCCTCTGCCGTATCTCGAGACCAGCGACAAGGAGAAAGCGAAAGCATTGCTTGTCAACGCAAGGCAGATACTGGAAATGTACCGGGTGAAGGAAGAACAGAAGATGGCCACAGTCGTACAATATAAGCCATACTCTGGCTTCGCCGATGCCGAGCACTCGACCGACCACCGCATGGAACTCATCGAAGGTTTGATCGAGGAGGGCCAATACATTGAAGCCATCGTGATGGCGCACAACTTGATCAAGCTTGGCTTGCAAGGACTCCGATATCTGCAGACCTACGACTGGCTCTTCTTGAGAGCCCTTGTCACACTTGGCTATGTCGGCTGGATCACATTTGCATTCACGACAGCCGTCGACGCACACATGCTTGACGGCAAGATCGAGGCATCACGATCAGCCGCCTCTATCGTTGCATTCGCATCTGTGCTTGTCGCCTTGTACAGCTTCCTGTTCATCCAGTCGTCACCACCGACCTACTACGCATACGCCATCTTCCCGGTCATGTTCTGGGAGGAGGTCTTTGCACGAAGGCATGCGCTTGCCGAAGGGAAGCGGAAAATGTTCAATAAAATCGGCGCCCAGAATTCCTTCAAGCTTCTGCTCAACGTCTTGGCGTATATCGCAATCCTCGAGATCATGGTGCAAAGCTACTACCACCGGGAGATCTACACCATCACATACCTGCTCGCCGTACCCTGGCCTGCACTTTACGGGACAGCCTTCGTCCGGGAGAACTGGACACTCTGTCTTACATGGGCTTTGAGCTGTACGGCCATGAGCGTCTTCACGCTGCTTCCTGCAAACAAAGTTGAGGATGAGACTTTGATCATGCTTGGGGGTGCTCTGATCTTACTCGTCGGTGTTCTGTACATCATGTTCGAAAAGAGCTTGCTGGTTCAGGCGGCCCCAGCAAAAGAGGGACTTGGCGCCGACAAGGCTGACGGCCTGTCTCGGGTTTTAGTGGGAGTCCAGGTAAGCGTTCCTGTAGTAGCATATGTTGCATAGGCGCTGATTGCGGCACTAGGTCGGACTTGTCGCTCTCTCGATAGCTGTGACGAAGTCAAGTGTGACGTCGTTACAAGCAAAGCAAGGCCTACCTCTTGGAAGCCAGGTTGTTGGCTGGATCACACTCGGTACGTTTCTCCGATGTCTATCTGTCTGGCCAGCTATACTAATCATCAGCAGTCACCTCACTGATCATCCCCTTCCTCCACGCCCTCAATCCTCGCGGCCACTACATCCATCGCCTAGTCATCATTTTCCTGGCCTTCGGACCACTCTTCATCATCCTCACCATCTCCTACGAAGGACTGTTCTACTTTGCCATTGCGATGACGCTCGTATCGTGGGTACGGCTGGAGAACCGCATCTTCCAAGCTTCGACTACAGGGGCACCTACTGCGAATGGCAAGCCTCCTGCATCCGAGCTCAGCAACCCTATGGAAGCTGCAGCATCTGCTGCCGAGACTCGCGAACGCGCCTTGGATAAGGGCGATTATCGATCCTTGACCCTGTCAGATGCTCGGATCTGCCTCTTCTTCCTGTTCCTGCTGCAATCGGCCTTTTTCAGCACTGGCAACATCGCATCCATTTCTTCGTTCTCACTCGACGCTGTCTATCGCCTTATCCCGGTCTTTGACCCTTTTAGCCAGGGTGCTCTTCTCATTCTGAAGATTTTTGCGCCGTTTGTGCTTGTATCGGCGAACCTGGGTATCCTTACGCATCGGTTAAAATTGCGTGGTGGAAGTTTATTCGCTGTTGTTATGGGTACGTTGGCCCTTCACCATGACTTTGAGACCTCGACTAATATCGATTCGCAGGGATTGGAGACTACCTCACCCTCCGCTTCTTCTGGGAAGTCCGGGACGAGGGCTCATGGCTTGATATTGGCGAAAGCATTAGCATGTTCATCATTGCGAGCATGCTTTGCATTTTTGTGGCGGCGCTGGAAGCATTGAGTGGGACCTTTGTTCGCGGTGTCAAGTTTGAGGATGTGTCGGCGTTCAATGTACAGAGCAACGGCAGTCTGAATGGAGCTGCTAAAGGTGGTGGGAAGAAAGGCGCAAAGGACGGGAAAAGTCGGTAGATGTTTGTAAGATACCATGTACTTCTATGGACCGCATTGCAACAGACTTAGCTTCTGGCAGATGGGCTGGATGAAGTGGATGCTTGAGACGTGCGGCTCGTCTGATCGTCTGACGTTCAGGTCACTCAGCTCACGCCTCCGAAGAGTTCGACGCAGCCACACGGACTTGCTTGCCCGATGTGTAAGTGCTCTCGGTCGCACGGACGACGTTACTACATCGGTGCTGCTGAATAACCTGGAAACTGTTTACTCATGATCATTGTCGGGCCTTATTGATCCTTCGAGTGCTGCATCACTCAGCGATTTCCCGGCTGTAAAGCGGCATCTGACGATCGACACGGATATCGGACCTCGTTGACGGTAGCATCGTCAAGCTTAGTAAATTGCGAGGAGGGCGAGGTTGACAATGCAGTTGCTACCATCTGATCAGAGGTATAAATGTCTGCTGACTTGCTACCCGGAGTCGTTCTTTTTATCTTTCACCCATCTCATGCTGCACAACACATACAGTCAACCAATCCCACAACCACCTCAATTAACCAACAACACAACCACCTCCAGTCATCACAATGGCCAACACTGCTCTTCCCAAGGAAAGCCTCATTCTGGTCACAGGAGCCACCGGCTTCATCGGCGCCAACACCGTCTTCGAAGCTCTCGAAGCCGGATTTCGTGTCCGCGGCACTTCCAGATCGAAGGAGAGTGCCGCCAAACTCGAAGCAAGCCTCAACAATCACCCCAAGTTCGCCAGCGCCATCGTACCAGATGTCTCGCAAGAAGGCGCCTGGGACGAAGCAGTCAAGGGGGTCGATGCGATCATCCACATGGCGACAGACACCTCGTTCTCCCCAGATCCGAACGTCGTCGTCACCGCCACGGAGGAGGGCGTGCGAAACATCCTCCGTTCATCTAAGAAGGCCGGCGTGAAGCGCTTCGTTCTCACGTCGTCTTCTGCCGCTGTTCTCTTCCCAGTCTCGAACAAGGACATCACTGTCGAAGTGAACGACTGGAACCAAGAGGCCTTAGATGCCGCCTGGGCTCCACCACCATACACCGAAGAGCGTGCGTTCGCAGTGTACGCTGCATCCAAGGCTGCCATGGAGAAGGCGATGTGGAAGTTTGCCGAGGACGAGAAGCCGCACTTCACCGTCAACTCGATCCTTCCGGACTTTAACGTCGGCCGAATCTTGACGAGCGGTGGTCCCACGGGAAGCAGCGTTGAGATGTTGCTAAATGGGTCCGTTCCGCCGTTTCCTAACCAATACCACATTGATGTGATCGACGACGCAAGGATTCACGTGATTGCTGCTGCGATGGATCCAGGAGTGGAGAACGAACGCATCTTCGCCTTTGCACGTCCATTTCAATTCACCGAGATGATCAAAGATCTGCATGAGCTTCGACCGGGTGTTCAGACCATTGCTCAGCCACCAGAGAACGAGGGCCACGATCTCAGCAAGGTGCCTAATGCGCGTGGGGCCGAGCTGTTGAAGAAATGGTATGGCCAGGACGAGTACAAGACGATGAGGCAGAGCATTGAAGAAGCTCTTGCGACTTTGAAGGTGTAGTTGGGCGATGCTAGCTCAGCACCATAGCGATCGTTTAAACCCTGGGCTCTTCTCAATGCTTGCTTCACCCACGTTCTTGCAGTGTAGGCACTGGCTCTTGTGGCAAGTTTGGAATGTTGTCCAACGAATCGACGTCTTGTAGAGGCGTCATCTCCGGCGAAGTCGTCTGGTCCATCGTCGTCACCCTGATAATGGGTGGATCCTGGTTCGCTGTGCTGTTTTGGCTTCCGCCAGAGTACGTCCGGCTTCGCGCGGTATCGCGATCCTGCGACGACGAAGGTACCTCCAACGTCAATCTCCTTGCGTGTCCCACTGGTGTGCTTGGTTCTCCATCGGCCGCAGTGCCGGGCACTGCGCTTCTAGAACTCCCAGCTCTAGATCTTGACCGAGATCGCATTGCGGAGTGAATGCTGCTTGATTCTGGACGTTGGTCGTAACCTGACTGTACACGATCGATAGCGTTTTGCCCTACCCTATGTTCTTCGCCCGGTACAGTCGGATAGAACTGCATCGAAACGATGAACTGTTAGCGGCGTGTAACGCGACTGATTAACGCCCGACCTTCAACAACATACCCTTTGCCTGACTTCGCGAAAATCAGATCCAGTGTCGAAGCGATCCTGCTTCGGTATTCCAATCCAGTTGCTGAACCTCATCATTCTCCTTGCGATGCGCCGAATAATTTCTCCTTTAGGAGGTGGATCTGACTCCAGCTGCTCCCTCACCATGGCCTGCGCAAGCAGCACGTAGAGGGAGCCGATGACAGCAAGTCCAGTGCCGACGATGGGTCCCCATTGGCCGATATTCTTCACGGGCTCAGTCTGGTACCTCACTTGCTTGCTGAATAGATTCCATTCTCCGATGACCAGGATTGCAAGGATAGCCGCTGTAAAGAAAGGCACCTCAACATACTTGCGTATGAAAGAGACAGCTTTGTTAGCCTTCTTCATCTCACCGAGACGAACGGCATCACCGCCGTGGAATTTCTTTGCATTGTTCTCCAGGATCTTGATCCACATGTTCACCAGCAGTAGAACGGTTGGTATGCAGCACGCTGCCGATAGCAGCATTGCTGTGTTGAAGCTCAATCGATCAGGCGCTGGGATAACATATATGTCGTTGGCAGAGCCCCCACGTAACGAGGAGAATGGACCTTCAGCAACTGAGCACGTCAGGCCACATTTGGTCTGGCCGTAGGGAAAGTCGCTCGGTGATGGAGATATTAGGTCGCCTAGATGATTGCGGCCACAATGCGATGGTATACTTCGGTAAAATTGGACGGTCAAACTGACCAAGCCAGAAAACACCAAAGACGACCACACGAATATGGTGTTGCGGCCAGGGTCGTTGAAGTAGGTTTGAGATTGGCTGACAGTGACAGGAGCGGCCAGTACACCGATAGCACAAACTTGGAATGCTCCGTAGATGTCCTGCAGCAGATGACCATATTAGCTCATGACCATTGACTGAGATTACACCTTGAGCCGGTATTCACCCAAGAGGTGTCGACTTTAAATCAAGGCTGACGGGCCTACCATGTCAACAGCGTCTACGAACAAGATGTTAGTCCAATCTTCTGACTGCCAAGGGCTGTTTGATGACCGACCTGGCACATTTGATGCCGCCAAAACAATAGCATGCAAAGCAGCAACAGCTGGCAGCAGTAGAGCGGCCGCCAGACACGGATTTCGAAGCCATTCTGCTTTTCGGGCGAAGATGCAAGCTGCTACTAGAGCGTAATAACTGTACGACGTCTTTCATCAGAATCGTTCGGCTAGGTCGGTAGGTAAGGTAGATGTACAGTACTCTCGATCCAGGACCATATTGGCCCGATACCTGAGAACAAGACAGTCAGCAGAATATCAGGCGCTCAGACACCATTGTACTCACTGGCCAAGCGCAGACCACTTGTATCCCTTCTCCAGTCTGATTGGTACCTGTAGCCCCGTCGCGAGTACCTAGGAGGTTGAACAATGTTCGTGGAAGAAGTGCTGGCATGCCAACCATCAATGAGAGACTCCTAACCACGTTCCTGCTCGAGATCAGGCTATTGGTAGAAGTATCGTAAGCTGTAGCGATCAAGAAGAGGGGGTTGCAGTAGGAAGTATCAATCAGCCATCTAAGCCATTTGGGAGACTCGACCAAGGCGGACCACGCTGCCTTCCTGCCTCTAGAAGCCGGCCTTTGCACATCATGTGAGGGCCAACGACCTCATTCATCCTGCTGCCCATCGCCGGTGAGAGGAAGGACACGCCACTCGGGTCGCCGTCCCTTTCCCCCGCGGATTGCGCCCCCAAACTGCACGCTCAGCCCCATTCCATCCCATCTCATGACCTTCCGCATCACTTGATGTGCTTGGCGTGACTGTCGAGAGGACTGAACTCGCGTCGTTGAGCAAGTCACACAATGCCGCCGTAGGATTGCCCTTCTTATCCCCGCTGAAATCGGCAACCACCAGGCTAACATCGCCTCCTCCGGACCGTGGCAGGGCTGTCTACTTCGAGCACTGACACCCAATCCTCGACTGCCCATGCTACCACCGTGCTACCACCGTGCTACCGCATAAGCCAGTTTTGTATCTCTGTGATCCCGAAACTGTTCGAAGTTTAACCCGAATGGATCACACGACAGGACAATGGCCAGTGGAACCTCCAGCGACCTGGACACGAGTCGCATCAAAGACTGGCGCTCGATACTGACGCTGATTGTCTTCGTTCTCACCAACGTGCTGGTGCTCTTCCCGATTGCCATACCGTTCTGGATACCTCGAAGTCTCCGTAATATTACCTTGAGCACTCTTGCTAGGCTTCGGATCATACCTCCCCCTTCAAGGCCGGACTCGATCGAATGGCAGGAAGACGGCACAGTCAAATCGCCCGACTTTTTCATCCGCTATTCGTTTCCCATCAACTTCGTGACTGCGCCGTTGATCGCGGATCTCTTTCTCCTGGCTACCCTCTCTATTGGCCGGGAAGAGGTTCATGATGGCACCGTGGGCTCTGACGGTATATCTCCCATCGATATCATGGCGTTCTTCATAACACTTGCGTACATTGCGATATCTATAGATGCGAGCGGGCTCATTCGATACCTGGCCTTCAAGGTTCTTCAAAAAGGTGGTGAGAAGGGCCAGCTCCTGTTCTGCTATCTTTACGTCTTCTTCTTTGGACTCGCGGGCTTCATCGGCAATGTATGTTCACTGTGCTTGATCGACCATTGCTCCACACGCTGACATGCTGCAGGACCCTATCATTCTGTCCGGGACAGCGTTCCTTGCCTACATGACGAGAGTCTCGGAGAACATTGAACACCCGCGAGCATGGATCCACACTCAGTTCGCTGTTGCTAACATAGGATCAGCCATCCTTGTACGTGAGTCCCTGTCAAAGGACTTGCTATCTATCTGGAAGACTGACGACCAGTGATGCCTGTGTAGGTGTCTTCCAATCCCACCAACCTTGTCATAGCCGGAGCTTTCGGCATCAAATTCATCGTCTACACGGCGAACATGATCGTTCCAGTCATCACTACAGCCTTGCTTATGCTACCATTCCTGCTCTACGTGGTATTTCCATACGAGAGCCTGATCCCACAATCCATCAAACTCCATGAGCTTCCAGCAGAAGCGAGGGACAAGCAACCCGTCAATCCCAATATTCCATTCGCCAGAGGCAAAGATGAAGAAGAGGAGCAAGAAGGTCAAGGGCAGGGCGTGTCGCTAGAAGAGGTCATGAATCCTTTTCTTGACAAGAAAGGTGCTGGTGTAGGCGCAGCTATCAGTAAGTCATTCGTAATCTCTGTTGCCCATCAGTCCCAAAATCACAGGTCTAATTCTACCATGTGCAGTGGCTGTGACTTTAATCACCATCCTTGTGCTGAACGCCGTCGACAATAGCCATGGCCATACTAATCCAGTTTTCTGGGTCACCGCACCAGCGGCTTTCATCCTGCTCTGCTGGGATATCGCAACCGGCTGGCGTGGCCGGCACGAAACCCGCGAGATCGCTCGCGAAGGTCGACAGGCTTTCGAAGAAGCACGAGCGCAAAGACGAGCAAGTCTGGCTGTTGGTCTGGGGACTGATCCGGACTCCATGGAGCTGAACCGACTGCCAACTGTCACGCTCAGTCAGTCTCCAGGTGACGGGTCTGAACAGCATAGAGCGAGTGCCGATGCAAGCGGAAGCGACTATGCAGTTGCAATATCACCAAACAGCAGCATAGACACCAGCCCACGGCAAAGCGAGCAAATCCAACGTCTCCCCGAGACTGAAAGCGAAAAGGGCCCTTTCTCTGCCGTCCACATCTCAGAGTGCCGACAAGAAGATCACAAACGCATGACTTTGGTGTCTCTCCTACAAAACCGACTGCGATGGTCGCAAGAAACGTTCCCGTCCTTCATGGCGGTCTGCAGTCACTTGCCATTTGCGCTGATACCGTTCGGCTTCTGCATGTTTGTTCTGGTGCAGGGGCTTGCTTCTCGCGGCTGGGTTAGCGTTTTTGCGTATGGGTGGGATCATTGGGTCAGGAAGACGGGGACGGTAGGCGCGTAAGTTATGATTTCTCTTGCAATGGTGGGTATGCTAACGATATGTAAGCATCGGAGGAATGGCATTCTTGAGCGTCATCATGTGTAACTTTGCAGGGACTAACATCGGCACCTCGATCCTGCTGTGTCGGGTCGTGCAGGCATGGCTTGATATCAACAAGCATGCTGTACAGAACGGCAACGCCAACCCCATAACAAATCGAGAGTTCTGGGGTACGGTGTACAGTATGGCAGTTGGTGTCAATTACGGTTCGTTCGTACCCAGTCACGACCTCCAGTGCCAAAGCTGACTGTTCTTGTAGGTGCTTTCTCGACTGCATTCAGTATGTCCGGTCTCATTTTCGATCCTTCTCCGTTGTGTGACTGACCATCGCAGGCGCATCTCTTGCAGGTATGCTCTGGCGCGATATCCTCCAGCGGAAGTACATTCACGTTCAGGGTCTGGAGTTTTGCAGAGTCAACCTTAGAATCATCGCCGCTGCAATGGTGATTGGCACCACAGTCCTTATCGGCGAGATCTATGTGATCAGAAGTACGGAACCATTTCGCGGGCTAGAGGATAGCTGAAAATCGGAAGCATGAACTCTGACTTATTGTCTCGGTATTGCTCAAAGACACCGTCATAAATTCTGGCACACAAGCAAGGTGCTTTGATACCCAGCCCCAACCGCAACGACCTTCCTGCCCATCCCTCCGCTCTCACCAAGAGAACCCGGCACAGCGACCTCTTGCCAGTTTTCCGAATACTGAACGCTCTGATGCGTCCACTCATAAGACCTCGGCTCTTCATTATCAAGCTGGAATTGCTTCTCTCCGATTCCTAGTGCGCCCTGGAAGCCACTGCCGGCGGTGAAAACCTCGCCTCTCTCCGACTTTCTACACCTTCTTTAACGTCCTTTGCTCGTGTCGTCGCGCATTTGTGGGATCACGTACTTCGTTGGAATCACTGGCGACTGGAATGGAAGCTTCGTGCGGTCGGTAATCGTGCCGAGTGATGGTGTCTGTGCCTGTTCCAGAGTTAGCGCACCTTCCCCACATCTCGACTCGGACGCACATACGCTTGATACGCTCGTCTCCTGCTTGACCTCGCTCGACTTCACATCACCACCCTCGTTGCTAGTCTCCTCCAACATACTGATGCCCTCCGCCCCAGCCCCCGACAGCTTCTCCTCCTTCTTCACCTCATTCATGTCCACATCTCCGCCTTCGTCGCTGCGTCCCTGGGTTATAGTCTCCTCAACATCCTCCTCCATCGGCTCTTCAATCTCTTGCTCCTCCCCGTACTCGCCTTCCTCTTCGTCTTCCTTCGGTCGGTCGGCGGCGTGCTGCGCGATCAGAGAGTCGAGCGACTGGCGAAGGTCGGTGAGTAGCGTATCAGCCTCCTCGTTTTCGCCTTCACGATGGAACATCCTCGTCATGGTCCACAACCGATGGGCGTCGTCGAGCATGGAGGCCACTTCCTCCCAGTCATCTACGGCTGCGGACATCAGGAGCAGGAGCTTGATGCGATGGTAGCGAGGCAGAGAGCTATCATCCAGCATGTTTTGTGCGAGAGCGACGGCGCTGTCTAAGTCATCTGCGTCGAAGCGCGCTCGCGCTTCGTTGTAGCCGCGATCGTACGACTCAAAGACTAGATCGCGTTCTGACATGATGGGCAGAGCTTGCTGGTGGTCGAAGGTAGGTGGTATTGTAATTGGCAAGCGTGTGAAGTAAGTGCATAGGATAAGTTTGTTCCGATCATTTAGCTCCGCTGCGGGTGTCACGACGCTTGGCAAGGCAGCTCTCCGTTTGCCTTCTCGACGCTTCTGCAACGTGACACACGACGCGGGCGAACGTGAAACTTCCCAAGAAAAATCTTTTGGCACCTGCCAACATCGGAGATCCCGCCTGTCTCGTGGCAGCTTCTTCCGGACGACGACCAGCGAGAGTGCAACAGCAAGAGCCTTCTTCGCTACCTGCCCGCCTGGCGAACAAGATGGCAAAACGGCGTGCGGTGCAGGCAAAGGCACCAACTCAGAAGAGGAAGCTTAACGACGCCTCTACGCTCACCACCAAGGGTGGCGCGAGCGCCGTTTCCGTCGACAACACCACTCAGTATCCACTCCCTGTGCCCTTCGAAGTCGTCGACGCCTGCGAGAATATTAAGCGCTACCAGTCGGCCGTGGAGGAGGGAGGCATGCGAGCGAGGTAAGCATTGATTGCCGAAATGAGTATCTAAGACGCCAGTGGTTTGAATCAACAAACAGCGTCTTGAGTCTTTCGCACAGCCTTACGCGTAGCTGAGATCACTGCTGACCATTTTGCCCATCTGTTTTATAGGAAAGGTGTAGACTATGTCTACCTCCCGCAAGGCGAGGCCAAGCATGTGCTCTCGCTTCCCCTCACCGACCGCCGCTTCAAGCTTCGCAAGGACGACGTCGAGCTCTACACCATCACCTATCCCAGCGGCGATATGATCCGAGCGTGGAGACTGGACGTCGAAGATGAGAACAACCCAGAAGGAGGTGTTGTCGAACTGTACCGCCTTATTCCGCACGGCAAGAGGCCACAAACTGCTGTAGGCCGCGAAACAAAACGGGGAAAGAGAACGGTGATTTACGAGTTAGGTGAGTATCCCATTCCGGAGATGAACGCCATCACGGAGAAGATATGCGACAACAAGAGCGATGCAGTCAAGCTCGGCGAGATTACCTGCGACGTCATGAACCGCTTCCCGTACTCCTTGAAGCTTGAGAACTGGAAGGCAAAGGACCCCAACCACCACAATTTCCGGGCCCTCCTTACTGACGTCCGGCGCTTTGTGGACTGCACTTCCCTTGTTGCATGGAAGGCAGATCTCAACCGGGACAACCTGCCCAAGGAGTTCTACGTGTCAGACAAGAACTACAGCGGGAACAAGCCTTACGGCGCTCCGATGAGGCCCATGGTTGATACCACCGCTGACTGGAAGGTATTCAAATGCAATGCCTTGTTTACGTACGTTCATGAAGATGAGCGCACACGTTTCCTTCCAAGCGCAAAAGTTTCCGCGATCGACATGGCAACAGTAAGCGACGACACCCCGCCTCCCCCTGGCTTCACCCCCAAAGGCACGACAGACGACGAGAAATCCCAAGATCCGAGAGTGCGCGCTGCCATTCATGTGGTTCAAGCTGCCGTACATCGTACGAGCGGCTATGTCGGGACGGTAGCCCAGATCAAGAGACGACTGGCGGGCTTCATTGAAGAACACTACAAGTCGTTGACCGACGACGGCACGAGGAAAGCCAAGCTACGCGAACCGCTGCTAGTTGACGGCAAGCTGAACAGCAGCGCAGCTCTTCGCAATCCCAGATTGGATAAAAACCGGCATGTCCTCATCCCCTGGGGTACGACTGCCATGGAACTCCTCTTGAATGTGCCCAACCCACTTGTGGAGCGGGGAGCTGTCATCCGCTCAGTCAACAGAATCGATGTCACCTACGTTTTGCAGGGCTTTCTAGACGCTCTCGCAGCCGGTCAAACCTATGAGCAAGCCCTTTTTGCCATGGCGATTCGCGCAGATGAGATCAACATTGGAGCTATTACCATCGACCAGATCAAGCTTGCGCTTGACAACCCAGCCGAGACCGACGAGGAACGGGCCACCAATGAGGCTTGCTGTGGACATTGCGACAAGTTTGGTTTGCGCTCAGAGATGTTGCGCGGGTTGGACGGGCGCGAGTTCCATCCTGCATGCGCTAACAGACGTGGAGAGCACACCGACACTCGTACCCGCGGGGTTGAGCACGATGTCATGAGAGGTCTGAGAGTGATATGCAAGGCAGAGAAGAGCCTCGATGCGACAGTACTGTTGGCGAAGCTCGCACCGGCTTTGAAGGGCGTGAGATCTTTCGAAGATGCTTACGATGGACTGGTGGAAGACGCACTGATCGTAGGTCAAGTCGACAAGTCAGCGAACAGCAGCGGTGTCCGGCGTCAAAGATTCCACCCCGATCGCGTGTCCGTCGAGAAGCCCTATACATTGTGGGTGACAACTGGAGACGAGACATGGCTCCATCACAGAGACAATCTCGTCCTTACGAGATGGCTCTTCAACGCCGCTCATTCGACATCGCTCCCCGCTTGGATTCCCTGGATACCACAGCTGCTCAACATGCAGGACAAAGTGGAAGGCAAACCAGCTACGGTTGGCTACGACGTAGCCATCCGGGAGAAGATGCTTGACTTCGAGACGTTCTCTGAGAATGCATACATGATCGATATCAAGCTTCCCTTTCATGGTTCAGCTCGACTGAGCATGGGCATCAAGATGGCGCAATTCATGCGTCTAAAGAAGGAACTGTCATCGGGCGTGTGGGATGGTGTTGTTGCTCCGTCGTCCAAGGGCCCCTCTCTGGAAGACACGTGGTACGAAGAATCGTGGGTCTGTTGGAGCATCCAGCTGGGACGCCCGCACGATCAACATCCTCAGGAAGAACCTCAACTTCATGGAGAAGTCTGGAAAGTTCAATCCCGCCGGCCTGAAGTTACCTCGCAATTCCGAAGACGACTCGCCCTGGTTCTGGCGTACCGATCTTCGCGTGCTGGATGCAGACTGGGCATGGATCGAGCGCGAATTCAAAGCATACTATGCTATGCTTCGCGATGACTGCAATCGTCATCACGACTCCTCTAAGGAGAGTCCGACCACGTTGTTCATCCTCTACGCAGTGTGGTGGTTCAAGACCGGTGGAAAATGCCACATGCTCGGTTTTCGCCTGGTGCCTTTCCTTCGATGGCTTACCAAGGACTCTGTCGGCCGTGGTGTACGTACTATGACTATCATTCAATTTTGTTGATGACGCTGACGCAATTACAGATGTACTACATGGATAAGAACGGCAAATACCTTTTCGACAAGCCCATCATTGCCGGGGCGCCAATGGTTACTGGCTGCCTGAAGCTGCTCCCAGAGAACATGGAGCTGGATTTCGACTTCACCATCTGTACTATCATTGTAGAGTCCTGGAAGGCCAACACCATCCGCTGGAGCTACACTGTTGAAGATTCAGCCGTCGACTGAGTGGTATGAGGCCATCAAGACGAGACCCGGCTACAACACCCGCGACCTCAAGAAGCCAACTCTGTGGAAGACAGAAGGCGCCGTTGATGTCGAGCAGGTTGAAGATGACGAGGAGGCGTTCTACCAGCAGGACATCGACGCCCGACAGCACGTCACCGGCTTCGACAAGTTCTCGGAGGAGCAGCAGGAGGAGGAGCAGCAGCAGGAGCAGGGGCAGGGGCAGCAAATCAAACGTGTGACGCCAGCAGAGACAGGTAAAAAGAACATTCATTCTGTGTCTTACGAGCAAAAGGCTAACGGTTATTAGAGCACTACAGCTTCGAGGTTGTCAAGACCGACTACGTCGGCCTGCCAAACGACCCAAAGCACATTGCGCTGGAGGTGGACGAAGGCCATCCGCTGTACGGCTACGTGGTCCAGAGGACAGATGCCAAAGGTCGGTGTCTTGTCGCCACCCCACGTCGCGGCGGCGAGTTCAAGCCTCGTGGGCTATCGGCTCTCAACATGATACCGTGGGTGGCAAGCTTTGCAGAAGACGGCATCATCAGAGACAGGAACGGCGAGCAGATCTTCGACCTCTCGGAACGCTCAGAAGGCGGGAGTGATAATGTCGATCTGACTAAGTTGATGAGCGAGCGGATGGCGAACCTTGTTGACGAGCACAGGAATGCGCTTGTGTACAATGGGCGTGTCGCAACATTGGTGGGTCGGCTGCAGGGGTGTGTTGACAACGGCGACCAAGCCGGTTGGGCGATGGCGGACAGCGAGCTTACGGAGGAGCTGCAGCAGCAGGAGTAGCCGAGATGTGAAGGGATGCATTGTGTAGATGTGAAGGGATGCATTATGCGGATGTGTAGGGATGGGATGGACGTTGCTTGCTTCGACGGTGATGGTCTGCAGTGGCAGTGAAGGACTTTCGACCTCGCCTTGTGCTGATAGGCAAGTCTGATAGCGCACGTGGACCAAACAACCACTACAAATGTATCATAGGCTGGTAGATGTATCTATTCAGTGTAATCCAAGCCCTCCACCGCCATCCCAAACTCTACGGTGAATTCTTTGATCATGGTCACCATAAACACCAGCAGTGCAAGCAGCAGCCTTCTAAGTTAGAAATCTATTACCTTACCCTCCTCGCTGACTGAGAACTTGCAGACAACGAGGATTGAAACCAAAATACACGCGTGGTCTTGAACTACACACAATAGATTTTCGTCGACGAATCAGTGAAACTTTTATGGGAAGCTATACTAGAATGCATAAGTGCTTACACCTCACCTCCCACCACGCCCCTGATTCTCAATAGTCTTCCCCGCCAACGCAGCGAACCCATACTGCACCAGCGCCGCACTCGCCATCGGACACGGAAACTGAATCACCCGACACTTCTCCACGGCCTCAGACAGCTTCTTCCCAACCTCCGCCGCCTCCGTACAGTCCTCTAAACTCCAGCTATCCTTCTCCAGCATAGCCGGCATACACTTCGTAAACATGGCATTCCAGCCCGCCGCTTTCGAGATGATCTCGTACATGATCTTCCTGTCCTGACCGAGGGCTTTGCAGAAAGCCATTCCTTCGATCGAGGCGGCGAGGTGGATGCCGGAGAGGAGGTCGACGATGGTGTCGCGGGACACCTTGTGGGAGGCGGACATATTGACGTCCGCCTTGGACATTTGGGATACTAGGTCGCCTTGGGATTTGGGGATGTAGAGCTGGACTAGCTTGGCGTCGTCTTCCTTGAGCAAGCCGGCGTGGACGCCTTGGAGGTAGGTGTAGTGAGCTGTATTTGCTAGGGCAGCCGGGAACTGTGCTTCTCGTGCGGCGTCTGTAACGATGGTTGTGTCCTTAAGAATGATGCCAAGTGCGGATAAAGCAGACCAGTCGTCTTTGATCATGTGTGGTGCTCTGTTTTCGAACATGAAGCTCGCGGCGTCTGACTGGTTAACGTGCTCCATAACAGATTGCGTGTTGAGTCCAACAGTGGCGGCGAGGCCCATGGCTTCGGATGCGGAAATAATATTAGTTGCTGCCAGAAGCTGATGGATAGTCTTCGTCTTCGTTCCGTCGCTGATGCCTCCCATGCGGTAGAGATTACCAGACATGCACTCGAGCACGTCTTTGGCAGCATCCAGATCCGCGTCAGGACCGGATGAGAAGATCGATAACGTCCCATTCGCAGCTCGAATCGTGCCGCCAGAAACCGGACAATCCAAGAATTTGACGTCCGATCGACCAGCCTCATCCAGCCTCTGTCTGATCTCATGCGGGAACGTCGTCGGTGTGGTCGAGCAGAGGATGAACGTCTTGCCTTTCCCCAGTCCATGTATGACCGCGTCGTCGCCTTCGAATAGAAGGCCTGCGTTCTGTGCACCGTTGGCCACCATCGAGACGAAGAAGTCGACTTGGGAAGCTGCTTCCTTGGGAGTTTTTGCTGGCTTGCCACCGGCTTCGACAAACTTGTCGACTAAGGGCTGGTAGACGTCGAATCCGTAGACGGTGAATCCGTTTTTTACTAGATTAATGGCCATTCCACCTCCCATGGCTCCCAGGCCAGCGAAGCCGATTGTCGGTTTAGACGCCATGCTGAATAGTTGTGGCCTCGTGTTGATGGTGTGGTATGGTCTTGGACAACTTTGAGATACGATCCAACACTCTTCTTGAATCCGTAGTCCGAGTTGTTCTGTTACGTTGAAGACTGTTCACTGATGCAAAGACTTCGTACGGTTGGCAGTTGCCGAAGAAGTCCTCCAGTTGCCGGCAGACGGCCGTTGAGATGCAGGTCCGGCTAAATGAACCGTTGGATGGTCTCTTCATACCGTCCTCTCCTTCCCTTCGTCTTGAACCCCTCCAACCTATCTATAATGCACTCTCATCCTGTTGCAAAACAGCTTTCGTGTGGTCGAACAATCCAAATTCCTGTGGTCCAGCACTGAGTCGCCCTGTCTCACGAAGCGCCGATCCAAGGTCCCGTCATCGCTCTTTACGATATGCGTCTGAGATTCGTGGGTCTGGCCCACTGAAGGTTAACTTCGAGATTCGTACGAGCAGATCTATTAACCACTGGTACGAAGAAGGAGAACAATGGCAGGGTTGGGACTTGTGGACTGCAGGAGCGCTACCATCGGCAGACTTTGGACCGTCCACCGATGCAGGCGGTGTACTTAATCTATTGTGCTACTGTTCAGTTAAGTTGCTCTCAAATGTTACCCAGAATCACAGTTCTTGCGAGCATGGACGAAACAACAAAGCAACTCCAAGCTTATCTCCCCTCCCACCTCCTCCGTGCAGCCTATCTGGCAGGCAAGATCCCTTTCCGAGCCTGTCAAGCAGATCCACGAGTCTCGTACACGCTCTACGTCCCCGAGGACGCATACAGCGCGGCGCATGAAGCTATACAAGAGGACCGCTTGCGTGAGCACGATCGTCTTTCCCTCGTCGTCAACATCCACGGGACACGGCGCGAAGCACAGCTCTGCAGAGACTCCCTTATCAAGTACGCTGACCAACATGACTGCGCTATCCTGGCACCGCTGTTTCCTGCAGCGCTGGATGGGCCTTTGGATCTGGACTCCTACAAGAAGCTTCGCAGTAGAAGTCTGAAATCGGATGAGGTTCTACTCAGCATTATCGAGGAGGTGCAACAACTCTGGCCCGCGATTTACGCCGAGAAATTCACGTTGCTCGGTTGTTCTGGAGGCGGACAGTTTGTTCACCGGTTTATGTACCTCCATCCAGAGCGGTTACAGAGAGTCTGTGTCGCGGCTCCGGGAGGCACGACGAGGGTTGTCGATATGCCTTGGCCACATGGTACGCAAGATTTGGAGGCGATCTTCGACGGGAAACGTATGGACTTGGAGGAAGTAAGGAAGATCGAGGACATCCTCATCATCGTCGGGCTGAACGACCGTGACATGGATGAACAAGCTGAGTTGAAACAGTGGCTACACGCGATGGCGAGGAAAGGTGCAACAAAAGTCGCCACTGGAGATATTCCCACTCAGAGCCGCCTCCAGACTTGTAAAGACTTGCAACAGAATTGGCTTGACAATGGCATACAAGCTTCCCTGGAGATCGTTCCGGGTGTTGCTCACGGCTACCAGGGTTTGCTGCCTGCCATAATCACTTGGTTGAGGAGAGGGGGCTAGCATGTACGTATTGTCGCATTGACCTGTCGAAGACCAGGAAGGCAACATCGATATAAAGGGGTCGCTGTCAGAGTCCGCCTCCTGATCGCCCTTGGACAGTCGATACGAAGAAATATGATGGCGCCGTGGCGGGTATCACAATACTAGCACATTACAATATGACAATGCCAATCACATGCTACTGATGCGTATGCACGACATTCAATGTAGTCATCGAAGAACGGGAGTTGTAGGAACATATGCCAAGCCTGCCCCGATCGGAATCGGGGTTAGACTTTTGCGGGCAGCGCGGGACATTCGGACTAGCAGCTCTCGACCACTACACCATCGACAGAGTGTGCTTTGAGACATTCGTTTCGCATACCACCACTTCCTCGGCCAAAACTCTGCAAACTCTCCCACGACGTCCCGGACCGCTTCCGACGCAAATGCAAGCGGTCTGACGCCACCAGAGGTGATATCTGGTCGGCGACGACAGGCCTCGGTCCAGCGACATCAGCGCGGCGAGAGCTCCACCAACCGCGGCGGCCATGAGCACTGATATGCAAGACAATCAAGACACGTCGCCGGGCAGCGCGAGCGTCAACAACGGCAACGGGGGCAACAATGCGCCGAACAACCAGATACCTGGGCATCCCAGCTTTCGACGGTGAGTGGGCGGCGAAGAGGGCGAAGCAGACCACTTTTGCTGACACCCATGATCGCAGACAACGCGCTTCTCGAGCATGCGAGGTAAGGAATATATACGGGAGGATATAAACACGCGCTAACAGTCCATACAGACATGCCATGCGCGCAAGGTATGCAGTAATCCTCCCGCCTGCAGCATCCCCATGCTCATCCTCCCTAGGTTCGATGCGACGCCGCCAGTCTCGGCGTGCCATGTACAAACTGTGTGGCATTCAGCATAGAGTGCAAGATCCCGGCACCGAAGCGAAAGAAGACGGGCAGCAAGAAGGAGACGGATAGGTATGGTCAAGACATAATTACACGCGATGGAAGGTTGCTGATGTTGGCGAGCAGCGAACGAGACTCTTATGCCGAAACTAATGCCTCCCCCGTCGCCAGGAGCGACACTTTCCCACCACGGGAGGCACCGTATCCGAACCAGTTCGCGCCGGACAAGATCGGCATCAACACCTCCTCGGGCATGCCACAGACCGAAATGTCTGAAGCGTATGCGGCTCAACAGCAAGTTAACAACGGCACCTACACCCAGTACATGAAGCCTAAGTTCGCTCGTGCACCGATCAAGGAGGCTGGAAGGGTGGCGTATCTAGGCGAATCATCAAACCTGTCGTTGCTCGTGCAAGACCGGCATGGAACCACGGATGTCGTTCACTACCCGCTTCCCGAAAATGTCCGAGGTGCCAGAGCGCGCATCAACGAGCTCGATAACGTGGAGATCGACATTCTGCATCAGAGAGGTGCCTTCCTCCTACCACCTCGAGCACTGTGCGATGAGCTGGTCGACGCCTACTTCCAATGGATTGCGCCTGTCGTCCCCGTCATCAACCGCACCAAATTCATGCGCCGCTATCGCGATCCGAAGAACCCGCCATCACTTCTGCTGCTTCAAGCAATACTCCTCGCCGGCTCTCGCGTCTGCAATAACCCACAGCTGATGGACGCAAATGGCTCCACGACACCGGCAGCCATGACCTTCTACAAGCGCGCCAAGGCCCTATATGATGCCAACTACGAAGACGATCGAGTGACCATTGTGCAGAGCCTGATTCTTATGGGCTGGTATTGGGAGGTCAGAATTTGAATCTCCTCCCCAATTTGACGGTACTTACGCTAACTTTGCCGCAGGGTCCTGAAGGTAAGAGCGCGCAGGAACTTGGGCTCGTTACATTTGTCCAGGCTGACGTGGCGGCAGACGTGACCAAGAATGTTTTCTACTGGAGCAGAGTCGCCGTCATCGTCGCGCAGGGGAGTGGGATGCACCGAAGGTTGGTCATGATAGGTGGCAATTCTACTTTTTCGCCGTCACTGACTCTATGCAACAGCGTCGAAGGCTCTCAGCTCAGCCGCGCCGACAAACGTCTCTGGAAGCGCATATGGTGGACGCTATTCACCCGCGACCGATCTGTTGCCGTTGCTCTGGGCCGCCCTTGCTGCATCAACATCGAGGACTCCGATGTCGAGATGATCTCAGCCGAAGACTTTCTGGATGATGAGCCAGACCGGCCTGCAGAGTACCAGCCTGACCCCATCCACGTGCATTTCTTCCTCAACTACGTCAAGCTCTGCGAGATCATGGGCCTGGTGCTTGCCCAGCAGTACTCCGTGGCGAGTAAGCGAAAGCCGAATGCAATCGATCTCACACATTCAGATATGGCCCTGGCAGACTGGCTGCAGAACTGCCCACCTGAGGTCAAATGGGAGCCGCAACGGCATCACTTCTGGTCTGCACTGCTGCATGCAAACTACTAGTACGTTCTTCTCGAAGTTCATGTTGTTGAGAAAGAACTAGCGAGCTAACGATCGCAGCACCACGCTTTGTCTTCTCCATCGAGCACATATGCCACCAGCGGGCTCACCAGACTCAAAGTTCCGAGGTCATCCTGAAGAGACGTCATATCCATCGAGATCCATCGCGTATCAGGCTGCTGGCATGATCACAAGCATAATCGAAGCCTTGCAGAATCATGACCAGCTTCGCTACACGCCTGCATTCATGTAAGTGTCCTCTCAGCGATGCTGTTCGACCTCCAGACTAATCTTGCGTATTAGCGTGTACTCTCTCTTCTCCGCGCTTATCATGCACGTGTATCAGATGCGCTCATCGAATCAATCCGTGGTGGCGCAAACACAGCAACGAACCTCAATCTGCATGAATGCACTGCGAGATGTTAGCAGGGTCTGGCTGGTGGCGAAGATGGTCCACACTCTGTTCGAATCCATCCTCGGCAACAAAGCGCTGGAAGAGCGGTTGCAGAAAGCTGCTGGCCGCCGTCACGCGAAAAGCAAAGGACCCAATGGATTCGTTCAAAAGCCTCCTACGGCGCAAGTCTCACCCGTCCCAGAGCAGAACACAACTTCGAATTCAGAGAGCAACAAGCGCAAGTTTGACGACATGGACAACTTTGGCTACGTGAATGGGCCACCAGCACCGCAGATGAGCTACGAAAGATCACGTCCGCAGAGTCCGGTCTTGACACCACAGCCCAATCCTCCCGTCTCACAACCACAACAAATGCCTCAGCTGTCGGCTGGCAGTCCCAACCCAACCTTCCGCCCGACACATGACGCCTTCTTGGGCGGTCCATCACGTGGAAACACCCGACCGACGACACCGTTCAACCCGTGGGGAGGTACAAGACCAAGCACACCAGACTTCTTCCTGCACACCAGAGCCTCGCCAAAGATCTCCGACGACCTATGGCAGAACTACGCGCCCGAGCAGCTGTTCCCGAGCGAGATCAACGGAGCTTTCTCGCTACAGAGCCCAGGCCAAACGATGGTGGATCCTGCTCTACGCGGCCCACCACAGCACCAACAGTTCACTTCCAACGGCATGCAGCAACCGGATCCCACAAGCATGCCAGGCCACCAGCAGATGACTATGCCGCAGCAGGATGGCAACAACATCAACCACCAAGACGGCAACATGCAGCACATGATGTACAATCACCAGGATTGGAGCCAGATGGACATGGGTCAGCGGCCGGATGATACGTGGAGCTCTAGCAGTCACTCTGGACCGATCGTGCCTACGACGCTGAATGTGGGTGATTGGTTCGAGTTCTTTGGGATTCCTAACGGCGACCTGTCTGCGCTTGCGGCTGCTGGTGGGCTCGGGAATCCTACTGGCAACGGCAATGGAGGGTACGGCTGACGGCATACTTTTGAGAACGTTGCTCGAAACGCGTGTTGCGGTTTTGCGACGTTGATGTCTGAATGTTTGGAGCCTTGTCTGACGCCACAATGGCAATTGCTGATGCCGGAGAAGATGAAATGCCCTTCGACGCCACGATGTTAGAAGACAGAATTGGGCAGGTACGCTATAAAACACCAAAAGTGCTGAACGCCTCGCTAGCACTCATACCGCCTTTAATGGCTTCAGCAACCTTACTCTCCGTGCTCGCCTTCACCCGTGCCTTCTCAATCGCCTCCGCCTCCACCTCCCTCGGAATGATCAACACACCCTCCCGATCCGCAAACACCAGATCCCCCGGCTTCACCCTCACCCCCTCAATCTCAATCATACACCTATAATCAATCACCTTCCCCCTCGCGCCCTGATCCTGCGCATACAGTCCCCGCGAGAACACCGTAAACCCCAACCGCTCAATCTCCTCCGCGTCCCTGACCATTCCGTTGAGAACGGCGCCTGCGGCTTTCAAATGCGTCGCCCGCGTGCTCATCAGACCGCCCCAGAGTGCGTAGCGGAACGACCCGCCGGTGGCGACGTAGACTTCGTTTTCCTTTAAGTCGTCGAGGGCTTCCATCATGAGGCCGAATGGTTTGGTGGCGAGGGGGCCTTTGGAGGAGGGGTTGCCGGGGGAGAAGATGTCGGCTTCGAGGACGGGCATGGCGCGGCCGATGAGTTTGGCGGTGGATTGCAGGGGCGCGAGGCCGGGGGGCAGGAATTGGTGGGTGTAGTGCAGAGTGTCGAGGATGTCGCCGACTACGGCTGTGGAGAGCTCGGTGCGGATGGTTTGGAAGAGTTCGGTATCGGAAGAGGAGGACATGGTTGATCGACCTTGTCTGGGAGGGATATTTGACTCACTTTCTTGTTTAGAACTGTTGTAGGACAACGAGCACACTACTTGTCGACACGAGAAAGGTGTGTATCCTATTTTGCCGGCTCGGGTATGAGTATGATGTACCCCACTACGAGGGTGATCATCATCCAGGTCTTGTTGGCAGTGTGTAGCCGACAAGCCTTCTTGATCGATGCACCCCACCAAGCAAGAGGCTCAAAAGCCTAGAAATGGAATGGCCATTGTGCGCTTGAACGAATGCTGAATAGCGAAGGTCCAAGGCAGGAATATGTTCTTTGAAAAGCCTAGACAGCCAAGTGCGGTCTTGAAGATTTGAAAACGGTGACAAAGGTGCTGTGGTGTAGTGTTCATAGAAATGTCTTGTGCATAACGTAGCGCTCGCTGAAAACTTCAATCGAATACCAATCCAACATCTGCCTGCTACACCTTCTCCCCTATCCTCGCCTCCTCAGTGCTGCTCGTCTCGCTCTCCGACAGCGCAACACCCTTCTGCGTCTCCCTCGGGAAGCAGAAGCCAGGATGCCAGATATTCAACACGAGCGCTGCAAGGGCACACGGAACACTATAGCAAATACAGTCAGCAGAGCTCAAGAATCCATCGTACATACGGTGCGCGCGATGTCTCACCTGTCCAGCGCAATGAACAACCCCTCATCCCTCAGAATCGGATTCTCCCTCCAACCCCCCACCAGCTCCGCCACCCGATAACAGCACCGGATCAAAATCCCGAAATACGCTACCCACAGCGCCAACACAAACAACTGAAACTGTCTCGTCTTCCGGAAAGATGCAGTCGCAGGATTCAAGTTGTCCCGGTTCCGGTACGCAGCAAGCCCGTAGTCGGCGGCGAGGACCCCAAAGCAGAACATCGTAACCACCTGCGTCGACAGCCCAGCAATCATGACATCCGTCCCGATATCCACCATCGCCACGTCCGCGCCTGCTGACGCGATCCCGCCACCGACGGCTTGCAGCATAATGGAGAAGCAGTCGCAGGAGATGAAGATCCAAGTGTAGAATCTCGGCTGCAGACGACTGAAGCTCGAGCCGAACGTGAGGCAAATATGCTTCAGGCAGTAATAGATCCCCGCCGCGTAGAAGGCTGGCGCAAAGGTGAGCATGACGACGCTCATTTTGAAGCCGGTGTCGGAGAAGGGGTCGAGGTAGAGGAGGATTTTGGCGATGTAGCCGATTGTTTCGCTGAGGGAGCCGAGGAGCATGGCGGCGGTAAAGAACCAGGTGTGGCGGAGGCGAGCGCCTTGGTAGAGGGAGGCGAGGGTGGAGAGGGCGAAGAGGATGAGGAAGACGAGGGTGGCACTGAGGTGCGGGCGGTAGCCGTAGACGGAGGCTTCGACGGGGCAGGTGGAGAGGGTGCAGTTGGCGTTTGGGTCGAGGCGGGGGAGTAGATGGGCATATCCTGAGACGTCCATTGTGTTTGCAGAGGAGGGAGTGGTGGTCGAGATGGAAGAGAGCTTTTCGTCTTGCTGAAGAGTTCCAGGTCGTCGTAGTCGTAGTGATTTGATAGGAATGCAGTTAGATGAGTAAAGAAAAGACCTACCTCAAGGACATCCACCCAACCTATATACTCATATCCCGCCCACGGCTCAACGAGTATTAGATTCACAGCCCGAGCATCCTGCAGTCCCAAACGGGCAGAGCTTGCGATACGCGAAACCAACCACATGCATCTCCCCATCTCGCACACAAAGGCACCTGCAGACTGTGGAGAACAACGTAGCCGCAGATCTCGGAAGAGCTTGGAACAACGAGCAGGGCAGAATTGCGAGCATTGGCGGCAGCGGCGCAGCGGTCGTCACACCCCAGCACGATGTGTGGAAGAGGAGAGGCCAAGAAGGTGGAGAGATCAGACACGGGATGGGATGAGGTTCGCAGAAGATGGAGCTCGCAGACAGAGGCTGAAGTTGGTTTAGCTTGAATGCGAGGCGTTGTGATTGGGTGACAACCACGTGCTGCATTTCGGTATGCGAGCACTGCGGAAATGTAGGAATCGATGACGGTCAAGCACTCAAGGTTGCTATTTGTTCGTTCGGTGACTCGCATGTGCATTTGTGTGAAGGAGAAACTGCACAGCATGTCATTGATACACCTCCGGATCCACTGTGCGACCTCACAGGGCGCGAGACAGTAAGCTGCTGTTTGCGTGTGTGCATGTGACAGTCGAGCAAGACGGAAATGCGAGTGTCTCAGCACAGTGAATGTTTTCACACTGTACAATAATGTCTGTATTAACTACACCTCCAGCCCCTCCCAGAAACGAAGCCAAGGAGATTCGTCCCATCCGTCGTGATTAACTATGCCACAGTCATCAAGTCATTCATCCCTTTTGTGTACCCTCACCCTTCTCCGCCGCCATCGCAGCCTCCGCCTTCTCCAGCGCCTCACTGAACCTTCCACTTTCATTACCACTCTGCCCAACCTTATGCGCGACTGCACCCCGACCATCCATCTCCTCCTAAGAGTAAGTATTCGGCGGCGTCTGTCCCGCACCCTGTCCACCATGCCCACCACCACCGGCACCGCTCTCTTCGCGCATCACATCCAGCGTCTGTGGGAAGTAGGGCTCCACGCCCCAGTTGCGGAGGTAAGCGCCCGTCTTTTCTATCCGCTTGATCTCGCGCTGCACGCCCCAGCTGTCGCCCTCTTCCTTGAACCGTCCGTGGACTACATCCACCATCGCGTCGTCCAGCCGCGCGTAGAAGGACCGGCGCTCGGCGAGATCTGCCTCGTCGCCGTTTTCCAGCCCGCCGTGGGAGTTCAGGTTCCCGCCGAGCTTGAGCAGGAGGTCGAAGGCGTAGTGAGGTCCGGATGGGAGGGAGCTGAGGCGTTGGATGTCGGGGAGGAATTTGAGCATGCACGCCGAGAAGGAGGGGGTTGGGAGGGAGTCGTTGAGGTCGTCTTGCAGGCGGTGCAGGTCGAAATTGACTATGGTGATTTTGCGGTCGAGTTGGGCGTTGAGGGTTTGAGCGGCGTGGGTGGGCGAGGAGCTGTGCGAAGCCGAGTCCATTTGGTGGGCAATTGAGGGTGGGACGTCTGTCAGATCATGTTAGCTGCATGTCTAAGATGTGTGGAGATGTTTGTGAGTACATACCAGGTCGCAGCCCTCTCTTATCGATCCACGCATGCACGTCACCCCTCTGCTGCTCCAGCTGGTCGATGTACGCCCGCAGATCCTGAATCTCATTTTCCAGCGAGTCCACCTTATCCATGTGCGGCCGCAGCGCCTGGTTGAACGCCTGCATCAGCAGGTCCGGCGGCGCGGCGCTGCTGGACGACATCTTCTGCGACGGCATGTCATCGTAGCCTCCACCGCCGCGACTCCCATACCCATTCGTCATCGGACCACCACCACCACCGGCACTGAGAGGCGGCGAAGCGTAGACCTCTTGCGGCTGGCTTTGGCGCGGGTACATGTCTTTCGCGGGCGGGGCGCTGTTGAATTGGTTGTCGCTCTGTCGCGACGAGGGCAGGTCTCGACGGTCGTCAGGGCCGTCAGGAGCTTGAGCGTACCGAGCGTCGTCGGGGTAGGACTGCTTGCTGTCGTGGGGGCTGTTGTAGGAGTCGACGTAGGACTGGGAGTTGCTGCGCGATCTGCTGAGACGCTTGAAGAACATGGTAGAGGAAGGAGGAGGAGGAGGGAGTGTGTGAGGCGCGAGCGAGGTATTATTCGGTCTGGTCTGGCGCCGTGTGCGGGATGGATTATGTGGGTGTCTGGTGAGCTAAAGAAAGCTAGCGAGAAACAATGGCGCGGCGTTTGAAGAAGTAATGGCGATATTTGGGATTGGACGCCCGGTGGCTGGTCGAAGTTGTGTTGATCGGCGGTGGTTGGAACGACTGATGAGAAAGTGCTCGAGCTTTGTTTGGGTGACCGTCAGACAATGTATGCAACTTGCTGTATGCACCGGATATCGATGTCCTTCTTCCTGGTCACATGCAAGTCAATCAGGTTTGTGTGCGATGTCCCAACCGTTCGACGAGCTGCTTCAATAAGGCTGAGAATCGTCGCTGCCGTTTTGCGGAGAGCCGCTCTGCCGCCCGGTCCGTTGCTAGCGAGAATCCGAATCACGTGTGGCGGGGAGATTGAGACTTCATCTCGTCCAGAAACTTGTTTCGCCTGGCACACACGCGGCATGATCAGACTTGTTGGCAAGGGCCAATATCCGTATGCGTGTGATGATGAGAAAAACAAGGCTATGAAGGGATAGACCGTACACGTACGAACTACCAGCATGCTCGAAACATCGCGAACCACGGGTAGGCCGTAGGCTGACGATTCATACCTCACAATCATCGCCAACAAAAAACCGAACTTCGCTCCTTATTACTACCAAGTAACTCTCCGAGCATACGCCCACTTCTGAGGCTTCTCAAGAGCCAGTCCGGCTTTCGCAGCATGAGCACTCCGCCTTTGCGGACGCTGTTGGGGGCGGAGGCTGACACAGGACTTCGCTCGTGGATCAATCCTTCGATGCTTTCACAGTTCTTTTTGACACTAAAAGTCCCATGCCATTCGTCGAGGCGTTCGTAACGTAACCCTTCTTCTGCTGTCGACCTTGAACTCTGCAATATGAACCAAACGATGAACCACCCCCAAACATCAAGGCTCGAGCAGCTACCCGCAGAACTCCAAGCCCACATCTCCCACCACCTCCTCCTCCAACCCGAGCCGCTCAGAATTCGCACCGAAAGCAAAGCAGAGGGACCCCCGAACAAAGACGAATGCGCGCCCCACGACGATGGCGACCCCTCCACCGTCACCACCATCCCGCCCGCCATCCCAAGCATCGCCCAAACCTCCCGCTCACTGCGAAACCAAGCCCTCCCCATCTACTTCTCTTCAAACACCTTCGTCCTCGAGTCCGAAACCTACCTGTCAGACATGCCCCACCGCATTCCCCCCTCCCTCACCCCGTGGCTCGAGCTGTTCGACCGCCACGCCAACGACACCGCCAGGATCGGTTGCAGCGGATGGGTGCCGTATCTCTGCTGCCAGGCCACGCTTTTCGGGTCTATCCAGAAGACGGACGGGATCTCTTACTACTGGGACAGCGAGCTGGAGACCTCCGACTGGGGAGCCAGGAGGCTTGAAGCGATGTCGAGGCTCTCGCTGGCCACGCGAAGCCGCTTCAGCCGGTGGGTGCAGATGTTGTTCGAGGCGTGCTATGTAGACTGGAAGGACAAGTTGGACTGGTACAGGGAGAAGTACGAGAGCGGGCTGGACAATGGGTTCGTTATAGTGAGGAACGCTGAAAAGTGCCCGCCCCAGTGAGACGGATGGAGGTGCTTGTTGTATTCGAAGGAGAATTGACTTACTTTCAACCGGTACGTGCTGAGTAGAAGATTGCTTGCTTGGTTGTTTACTTTCATTTTCATTTTCATACCCATCTCCACGTCCCCAACGTCTGTTGAAAGCCGCAGCCACCAGCTACATTACCACATCTGTTGAAGTCGTCTAATCATCTCCACCTCTCTCATCATGACAAGCATTACAACCTGAAACCCCTTTTGGTCCCGGCTCCCGGTTGAATGGGGTATCTTCGCTTTTTTGATCCCGCTCGAAACGCCTTTATTCATCCCTTGTTGAAGAAGAGAAGCCTTCAGGCGGCGTTTGAAAGAGCATGTCCGCACACCATGAACGCCCGCTGTAAACATTCCCCTGTATCCGTCTAGTTCTTCAGATCGCCGTTCGTGAGCACTTTGTCAGCGCCGTTGACCGCGTTGTTGCCATCTGGCACTCCGTTGACTTCTGGCTTTGCGCCGCCCTGAGTCTCTGCTTCAGTGACGCCGTTCGTGTGGCTGTGCCCATTGGTTTGGGCGTCGCCGTTGACCTGCACATCCACTCCTGACACCTTCAGTCCATCGAAAAGATGGTAGATGCCGCGCTTCTGGCGGAAGTCGTTGTGCACAATGTTGACGAGGTACCAGCTCTCCGTGACCTCTCTGATGACTTTACGAGCTTCGCTGTCCTCGTCGTAGCACTTGCTCCATTCCGAGCCGAGATGGTAGAACTCGTCTCGCCATGCCAGGAAAGAAATGGTCTCGACAATAGTCGGCTGCACGATCTCCTTGCCTGGGAAGACACCCCACGTCACTGCGTTGGGCCCGCCCTCGGAATCGGCGTTGGTCTTCAACTCGCCCGAGTTATTGACAGCGTAAAACGTGAGGTCTGGATTCGCTTCGATGCGTTGCATGACTGTGTCGATGAGCTCTGGCGATACGAGGAGCTCCAAGTATGCCTTCTGGTAGACATAGCCGTTGCGTGGGCCCCAGCCGTACACAGGGTCAGATGACTTGGCACCATCCACAGCTGGCTGCGAGTTGATCGTCAGCAGACCTCTGCTGTTGAGGTCGATGAGGTCTTCTCGCAAGACGTCGGCTTCTGAGTTGATGGGTGCTTCGGACCACGGCAAGGTCTCAACTTTGCCTTTCATATATCCCACGAAGAGGTCCGAGATGTCCTTCACGCTCTTCGGTTCACCCCACAACTTGCGGTTGTGTTCGTTCGTGCCCTTTAGGCCAATACCGTACACATCCAGCTCACCGAAGGCTGGAGATCTACTGTCACCCCAGCGACCGTTCGGAAACTCGTCCCAGTCTTGCGTGCGTGCAACGTATGAGCGGTTGCGGTTCCGCCAGAAGATGGGGCGGACATTCTCATCTCGCCTATTCTTGCCGAGCGACTGCCGCCACGGTAGAGGCTTGATGTCGGGATCGTGGGTCTCGTTTGTGGGTGTCACCGAGAGCTCGTCAAGTACCATGCTGGTAGAAGCAGCCAAGTTCATGGTGTAGAAGTGCAAGTGCATCGTGGTGCCACTATCAAGCAGCTTGCGGCAGAAGTCGGCTATCAAGTTCTTGCCAACCTCTCGCACTTTTCCGTCGTCGTTCTTGATCGGCTCGAGCGCTGCGTGCCACTCTGGCGGGACGAAACAGTTGGTCCAGTTCGCTCGTCTGATGAAGGAAGCATGAGTCTGGATCGGCATGATTCCTGGTATGATTGGCACAGAGTCCGGTACACCAGCAGCCCGCACCTGCTTCGCCCATTCGATGAATCGGTCTGCATCGTAGCACATCTGTGTCACGATGAACGTGCCGCCAGCCTTGACCTTCTCAACCAGATATGGGATATGCTGATCCGCAGTCGTCTCATCATCACAGCCCTCAGGGTAGCCAGCGATGCCAATGTCGAAGTGATCGCCATACTTGCTCTTGATGTAGTCAATCAGATCTCGTGCATATCTGAATCCGCCTTCTGTCTGCTCCCACTTTTCCTTTTCTCTTGGCGGGTCACCGCGCAGTGCCAGGATGTTCGTGCATCCAGCATTATAGCACTCTTTCAACGCGTCATCGATCTTGCTCCGTTCCATATCAGTGCATGTCAGATGCATACACGTCTCCAGCCCGTATGCTGACTGGGCCACCTTGACCATCTCGCACGTGAGGCTGGACAGTCGTCCTCCGGCGCCCCAGGTTATATCCACGAAAGCCGGGCCCATGGCATGCATGCGGTCCATGCGGTCGTAAAGGTTCTGCACACCTTGTGCCGTCTTCGGTGGAAAGTATTCGAAGGAGTAGGTGGGCCTGCCCTCCGCGTGGGCGGCCGCCAATTTCTTCGTGATATGCATGTCGGTGGCGGTGAGGTGGGAGTTGGATCAGCAGTATTCGCTCGCAGTGTTATATCGTGGTTTTCGGATGGTGTTTGCTGTCAGAAACAGGCGTTTTTGTCTGGTAGCACAGCCGCCTCAGACAGCAATGGTGAGATGGTGTGGTGATTCAGATGTGCTGGTAGCGAGTGTAGTCCGTCAACTCTTGTCCGTTGTACAGTGCCATTACGCTCTGGGTCAGCAGCTGGTGTTGGCGAGACTCATAATGGATGCTGCAAGGCGGTCAGATGGAAGATCAAGAATGCATTCCATCGAACCAAAAAAAAAGGCTTCCGTGGCTTCCACCACCGAGGCCACTCCACGGAGCACCCCCACCCAACCCCGATCCACGACGTCGGTCATTCTCCACCCTTGTCCACCCTCACCAATGACCGGACGGACACCATCACGGCCCCATACGCTCTGCTCAACGGCGACACTTGTACAGAAGAGGCATACCGTGGCTTCGTGGAAAGGATACGTTTCTCGGCCACTATAAGGCGGCAGGGAGGGAAACATATAAAATCATTCTGGCGGCCACTTTGAATTTCATCAAGGAAGACTTTTCACGATCATAGACCGATCCCAGGCCCATCATCCACCATGGCACCCATCCCCGGCAAGCGTGAGAAGCGCATATTGGGCACCTCGCTCAAGATGTACTTCGACCTACCCGACACCAACCGCTACATAGACTCTCTCGCCGCCCTCGCCCCGGCAGCAGAGAAGGCCGATCTGGATCTATTCGTCATCCCGGACTTTATAACTGTTCTGCCGGCAAAGGCGAAGCTTGCCGATACCAAGGTTATGCTCGGCGCTCAGGACTGCTACAGCGAAGACAAGGGAGCGTTTACCGGCGAGGTCAGTCCGGTCACACTGTCTCAAGCTGGCGTGAAGGTCGTGGAGATCGGGCACGCTGAGAGACGGAGGCTATTTGGGGAGACAGACGCGGACGTTGCAAAGAAAGCTGCCGCTATCGTGAAGAATGGGATGGTACCGCTCGTTTGCATCGGAGAGAAGAGCAAAAGCAACATCGCCTCTCAAGCCGTTGGAATCGCTGTCGGCGAATGCAAGCCGCAGATTGATGCTGCGCTATCCCAGATTCCGAACGATGCAGATGTGATCTTGGCTTATGAGCCTATCTGGGCTATTGGGGCGAGCGAGCCGGCTGGAGCTGATCACGTCGTGGCCGTTGTCGAGGCTCTGCGGACACTGTTGGCAGACCGGTCAGGCAGAGTCAGGATCCTGTACGGCGGGAGCGCGAAGCCGGGTATCTGGAAAGCTCTCGCTCCCGCTCTAGACGGCATGTTCTTGGGACGCTTCGCGCACGACCCGAAGAATGTCGAGCAGATCATCCAGGAGATGAGGGAGCCCTGAGAGGGTTCAATTGACGGAGAGTCCGCAGCTGCATGAGTGGGAGAGCGGGAACAGAAGGCAACATGATGGCTACGATCGTGCATTAAGCAAGCAGCACATCCTGTGGCCTCTATGAGTCTCGACAGCTGAGACTAAGGCCGCGCTTCTAGCAGTTCGCAAAAGTTGCGCAGCGCTCGGCAAAGAAGTGCACGTAGCTACATACGATTCGGAGAGCCAGAAATGGTGTGAACCGGTATGAAGACCGTTCGAACGAAGAGAAGCAACCAAGTGCTGGTATCGAAACTATGAAAGCAACAAACTAAATGGGTTCTGCAGAATATTACCCATCTGAATCCCAAGACCAGCATCTCCTGCTGATCCCGTCGCTATCCCCCACCCTCTCCTACAAATTCCCCCTCGCATCCTGCTCCCTTTCAATAGCCTCAAACAAACTCCTAAAATTCCCCGCCCCAAACCCTTCAAACCCTTCTCGCTGAATAATCTCAACGAACACCGTCGGCCGATCCATCAGCGGCTTCGTGAACAGCTGCAGCAAGTACCCTCCCTCGTCGAAATCGATCAGGATGTTTAGGCGCTGGATCTCTTCGAAGGGTTCTTTGAGCTGGAGTCCGGAGGCGGCGAGACGGGACCGCATGGTGCTGTAGTAAGTGTCGGGTACGGAGATAAAGTCGACGCCGCGGGCGCGGAGGGCGGAGACTGTTGTTATGATTGAGGGGGTGCGGAGGGCGATCTGCTACATCGTCAGCAACCCTTTTCGACATGTGCACACCAGCCGCTTGGTTAGTCGAAGTGTGAGAGACGTACATGCTGCACCCCCGCCCCACCATACCAATCCACATACTCCTCAATCTGGCTCTTCTTCTTCCCCTCCGCGGGCTCATTGATCGGCATCTTGACGACTTCGTTGGGCGACGCCATGACGACGCTGCGCAGCGCCGAGAAGTGGGTGCAGATGTCTTTGTCGTCTACGCTCCAGAAGCGGTGGAAGCCGAGGCAGTCTTCGTACTGTTCGTGCGAGAGCGGGCTGTCAGCGAGTGTACAAAGGAATGAATGAGAGGGAGGTGGCGCTTGGGAGTGGACTTACGAAGGCGCAGGCGGAGTCCATGGCGCCCCAGTCTTGATTGCCGACGCAGTGGTCGATGGCTTCGAGTGGGATTTTGGGGAGGATGGCGTTGATTGGGTCGTCCGCGGAGTCTGTAGAAAGCGTAATGTCAGTCAGAGCATAGGTCGAGACAAAATATGACGGCACTCACAGATCTTATACCCCGGCAAGAAAACCCCCCTATACCCCGACCTCTGCACAAAAGTATGCTCCGTATCCCCATACGTCCTCACCCCCGCCCTCACCACCTCCCCCTCCTCACCCCCCTCCACCGTCGGCTTCAACACTGCCTCCGCGCCGTTCATGACAGCCTGCTCAAAACACCCCCTCACATCATCAACCTCAAACGCCACATCCTTCACCCCATCCCCATGCCGATCGAGATGCTCATACATCTCATCCAGCACCTTCTGCTCCTTCATCCCGACATCCCTTCTACCTTCAGTCTGGCGGCTAGAAGGACGGATCGGGCTGGTGAAGACGAAGCGCACGCGGCCGTTCTCGACGACATGGCTGGTGAGGGTGCGGGAGCCGGTTTCGAGACCGCGGTAGGCGAGCGGGCGGAAGCCGAAGCGTGTGATGTAGTATTGGGCGACTTGTTTGGCATTGCCGACCCACCAGGTGATGTGGTCGTAGCCGCGGTAGTCGATGGTTTTGGGGGAGATGGTGGGCTTGCTGTAGCTGTTGGATTCGTAGAGAGGGATGGAGGTGCCGGTTTCTGTCAGCACTGATGGGAGGAGAGCTCCGGGTGCCATGTTGTAGAGTATTTACAGGTGGTTGCAACACAAGAGAAAGGAATGGTTCGGCCGATTAAAGACGAACGGGAGATAGTTGGGGGAATGAATATAAAAGAGGCGAGTCCCACCTACCTGCTTTCGCGAGAGTGCTCGTAATTGCAACATCCCCATGTCACCTGCTCGACCTTCGCTACTGCGTTCTGGTGAGATTGTGGGTATGAAAGGCGGCTCAAGATGGAATCAGTGTCGCATGAAGTCGGCTTTGAGGCTGACTCAGCGGGTTACCGCTCGGCTTAACAACAAAACCGCCTGCTGCCGCTGCTCGCTTTCGAAGGCCGAGATATCAGGTAGATGGCTATCGCGCTGACAGTCTGGGTTGTCGCAGAATAGGTACTTGATTCTTCTTGATACTGCAACCTCATCCTGCTGGACCTGCTGTCACCATGTCCCGAATCAATACGCTCTCCGCCTCCGACTCAAAAGTCCTCGCCTCAGTCTTCGATCCCGAGTCCAGCAGCTCCCGCGCAGAAGTAATAGTAGACCCTTCGTTACCGGCAGATCGGCGCATCCGAGATGCGACACTCCTTGCGGAGCTCCAGGTCCAGGAGAAGAAAGCCGTTCAGCTCCTCGAACGATTCGAGACATCGCCTCCCAGCGAAAGAGGCAGGAGAGACGAAGTATATCGGAGCGCACTCGCCATCCTCGAAGGAGTGGCGGATAATAACCCACTTTATGCTTCGGTACTGAACAATCGCGCACAGCTGAGGAGGTGGTATTGGGGTGACCGGAACTTGCTCGTGCAGCGAAAGAAAGCTCCGCAGCCTCAACGAAGAACCGCCGGGGAAGCGACAGTGAAGGACCTTCGAAGTTCGATCTCGCTAGCATCTCCAGACAGGCCAACGGATGCTGTATCGCCTAAGCAAGGAAGACTGCTCGCGCAGGCATATACTCAATTGGGCGCTGTGTATCATGCTGCCGCGAAAGATGTGGGCGCTGTCAGCTCCGATGGTGAAAAGGTCGAACTGAGTTCATGTGCAGACGACCCGGTCAGCTGGACCCAAGAGCGCTTTGAGGAGGAAGCGTCGCGCTGCTTCTACCTCGGCGGTCTGTATGGCAATGAAGTGGCCAAGGCGTTGGCGGTGCACACCAACCCACAGGCGAAGCTGTGCGGTAACATCGTCAAGGAGGCCATGCGTAAGGAGCTGGCACTGGCATCATAGTCTAACGGCGTGTGATCAGTTCCACCTCACCCCGAACATCCTTCCCTGTCCTCTTTGATCCATCTTCTTTTTGTTCGGGTCTTCAAGGTAGTGCCTCTGTTTGCCCGGCACGTCCAACGCCAGCATGTAGTACTCAAACTCCTTCTGCCCCGGCTGCTTCTGCATATGTAGATTCACCGTCCCGTTGGCAACTGGTCCTTCCACGTAGAAGTGCATGTGTAGATGCTCCACCCCAGCCCTGTCCTTCTCCAACCTCGAAGCAATCGTTCGGTTCCTCGCCCAGCGACTCCAGCTTGGCTCGCCGTGTGCGCTGATCTCGCGCTTGCTGTGTAGACCCTCGCCAGCCAGGAGCTCGAGAGATGTAGGGTCTTTGCGTATGCGGTCGGCGGCGCGGTTGAAGACGGCGGTCTTGCTGTCCGTAGAGAAGACTTCAAGCCATAGCACCGTCGCGACACCGCCAGTTGCTACCACGCCCAGGAGGATGAGGCCGAAGTTGAAAGACTGCTGTGTCGTACGAGCCGCTTTCTCGCCAAAGCTGAGTTGCTGCCATGGTACGCGGCCAGTGTCGTTGGCGACGGTCACTGCTCGTCTCCGTGCGGCGGCGGAGTCGGTGGTCGCTGAGCGGGCGGTGATAGCGGCGGGGAGGACCGGGACACGAGGACTGATCCGGAAGATATTTGTAGGCCCGGCAAGTCTCAATGGCGTCTTTACAGGTGCCATCATCAGAACATATATGTTGGTGTTGGTGGGAGGTCAGGGAGGAGCTCGAAGCTTTCGAAGGCAACACAAGCCCCACCTCGGCCACCTCACTCCTTCTGGCTTCACTTTCTTCTAACAACTCTTTGTCTTCTTTGAACCGTTTCAACAAGGTGTTGATGACGAGTATGACTTCACGGACCAGTGCTATTGGCAGTACTTATGCATAACAAACCACATGGACTTCGTGCCGGCACTCCCACGGCCACGGCTCTGGAAAAACAAGGCAGACTTCTTCAGCCCCTTCCGAACCGCTGCGGCCAACGCTAAGGCTGGAGAGAACATCACGCCTCTCTTCGACCCTGACATTCACCGGGCGGAACCAGAGGAAGCTGACTTGAAAGATCTCAATACCGCTCTTGCTGTACTGGTCGATGTCTTCCCGGATGTAGAACCGGAGGTCTTCCGGGAGATGCTGGCCAGTATCAGTGGAGAAAGCCGCCTCGAAGTTGTTACGGCTCAGCTGTTGTCAAAGGAGATGAAGCTCGTGCGTGGAAGGTACCGTAAGCCGCAGCAGTCCAACAGCCAAAGCGGCAGACAGAAGAACAGGGAAGCCAAACCATCACGCAAAGACCAGTCAAAACTCCCGGACGAAGAGACCTTTCGAAGCGACAGCTACAAGACGGCAGTCAAACGGGTGTTCTACCAGGAGTACAGCACCCTGAGTCACTCTGCTATCAAGGCTGTCCTGGCCGAGCAGAACTTCTCTTACACTTTAGCACGCCCTAGCTTGCAGCAACTCTCCACCAGGTCATGGCGCTTCTCTTTCTCATCTATATGGCCGAAGAGATCACCATCAGCGACGGTCAGCGAGCATCCGAACATCATCTGGCAGCCAGGCGCCAATCCGGAGGGTGACTTGGTACCTGCGGTGAAACGAACAGGAAGCTCACGGCTAGATCGAGAGTTGTACGATCTCTTCGTTGCTCCCATCTTGGAAAACCAGAGACAAAAGCAGCTCTCAGAGGACCACGCTCTTGCTTCGCAGCTCAACGAGACGGAAGCTGAAGAAGCGGAAGCCCTTCTCGACTGCGAGTGTTGCTACAGCTCGGTTCCTTTTGAGAGACTGACGACATGCGACGATGGTTGTCATCAGCTCTGCTTCGATTGCGTCCGCCGAACCGTCAACGAAGCATTGTTTGGTCAAGGATGGTCGCGAAACATTGATCTCGAACGTAGTACCGTCCGTTGTTTTGCACCTACGTCCGACGACTGCGCTGGGATCATCCCAAGCAGCATTCTACGTCGAGCACTCGCCGGCGACAACGATAAAGACGACATCTGGAACGAAGTCCAAGAGCGCGTCGCCGGCGAGATCTTGACTAAGAGTCGACTCCCGCTCCAGCGCTGCCCCTTCTGCAACTACGTCGAAGTCGACGAGACTCCTCCACCACAAAGACGAAAAGCAATGGGCATTTGGCTGCACCTAGTCAACCGTTCATCAACAGCCTTCCAGGCCATGGTCTTAGCCTTCATATCTGCCCTCCTCATCTTCACCATCCCCCTCGCCCTCCTAGCAGGCTTCGTCTACCTCACCATCCACATCTTCCCCCCCGCCTCCGCCATCCTCAAACGCTCCTGGACCCGCGTCCACAAGTCGCGCCGCGGCCTCAAGTTCCACTGCTTCAACCCCTCCTGCCGCAGCACCACCTGCACCCGTTGCCTCGTCCGCTGGCGCGACCCGCACACCTGCTTCGAACACGAGAAAACCTCCCTGCGCACCGCCATCGAAACCTCCGCCACGCAAGCCATCAAACGCACCTGTCCCAAATGCCTGCTTTCCTTCGTCAAATCCTCGGGCTGCAACAAATTGGTCTGCAACTGCGGATACACGATGTGCTACATCTGCCGGCAGGAAATCACGAGTAAAGAAGGGTACGGGCATTTTTGTCAGCATTTTAGACCTACTGGGGGCAGGTGTGGGGAGTGTGAGCGGTGTGATTTGTATGGGGATGAGGATGAGGAGGCGGTGGTGCGGAGGGCGGCGGAGCAGGCGGAGAGGGCTTGGAGGGAGGGAGAGATGGGGAAAGGGGATGAGAGGGCGACGAGGGCGATGGTGGAGAGTCTAATTGGGGTGAGGGAGGGGAGGAGGGGGTGGAAGGGGTGCTTGGATGGGGTGGTTGATCTGGTTGTTGCTTGAGATTGCTGCAGTGCGAGGAAGACATTGGGATTAAGTGGGACAGGTGATGATGAACGACCTAGAGTTGAACGTTGCCTTTGCGGAACCAGACTATGACAGCACATTGATGTAGTTCCCTCCGGCCATGCTCCTGTATCAAAGATACCATATGCGAGGTCAGAAGCCGCACGATAAACTCCCTCCCTCCAGATGTCTGCCATTCCACTGAGTGGTGCGGCAACTCGTGCAGCTAGTTCATGTTGCATATGACTGTGCATATGACATTGCATTACCGTCCCGTTCATACGCCGAAGGGCACATAGACTCCATTGATTGGCGGTGAAAGTCGTGCAGCTAGATTCTGTTGCATATGACACTGCATGTGACAGTGCATGAACCACTCAGCGTGGAACAGAGCGTTGGACTCGACTGCAAGACCTACCTCCATGATCTATTCACTGTCCCCGAAAGCGAGATTAAGTTGGAAAGGCTCTCGAAGCATTGGAAAGGTTTTGATTATGTCCTGGAGAAGCTTCTCGATTACAGGAATTCGATGCCCGTGAGCCAGAAGGATGAATTCGCGAACGGGCTCCCTTAATGATGAAGACGAGAACGAATTGAGTTCAAGGCTGCGAGAAACACTCACTCTCCCACCACCTCTCAAATCTTCCTCCCCAACTTCAAATTCCGCTTCTTCCACACAGCATGTCCAGCAAGTCGACTACTCCTCCGCAGAGCATGATGCGCTGGCGGCCCAGTCCCAAGCAGACCCATCCTATGCACGGTCTCGTAATCCACCATCGCACCATCGCAAGCTGTACAGTACGCAGCGAGAGTAGGATACCCATCCGGACCGCGAAGCGCAAACCCCGTCGTGGGAATCTCCCTGCCGCATCGACAAGGCGTCGCCGAGTTGCCGAGTGCCGCTCGATTTGCCCTGATCGCGTTAAGCTCCGCTCCAGGAACAGCGAGAGCGGGTTCAGAGCCGCCCGTGGGTGTCGGGGCGAGGAAGAGACGTTCGAGCCAGGCGACGTTCCTGCGGCTGCGGGTCTGCATCTCATCGAGGATCTTCATCCGATGGCCGTAGCACGCGAACTTGATGAGCTTCGCCTCGCATTTGCAGGTGCTGGCGGCTGTCTCTTTGATGAAGTCCAGGACTTCCGCGTTGGTGGTGCCGCCGTACCAACTATGCTCGCACAGTCGTTGGTGGTACGCGCGGAACTCGGCGTTTTTGCAGTCAGGGCACAGCAGGCCCAGGTAATGGGCTCCTCCGTGGAAGCATCCCTGTGGGCTACCGAGGAGCACGCGTCCTTGGCTTTGGGCTCGGAGATTAGAGTCGTAATAGAGCATTTGCGCGGCTTGGTCGGCGCAAGAGAAGCAGGATCGATACGCGGCGTTGGGTCTCGCTGCCTTGCTTCCGGCGGGCGCACGTGTACGTCTGCTGCCTGGGAGGTTCTCGCATCGACTCTTGTTGGTGTAGAAGGGACATTTTACTCGATGGTTCTGGCATGCGGGAAGAGGTGCAGGCGCTCGGACAGGGGCATAAGCCGGTGGTGGGAGAGGGAGATTGTAGCCTGGGTCTGGGGTCATGTAGAAGGTGACCTTCGATCTGGTGTCGCATGGTGCCGCCATTGTTGCCGTAGCCGCCTTTCTGGAAGAATATCCAAGTGGAGTAGATATCTGATCAGGAAATCTTGAGTCGTCCTCTCCTTCGGTCAAAGCAGAATATGGATGGAAGAACAAAGGAACCATATTCGCCGGATCTGTCGACCAAGTCCTGCTGTCGAGGACAATAGCCATCTGCGACAAGGGTCGCTTGTGAGAGCTGCTCTTTGTCCCAATAGCGTGGCAGTGGCCCCCGGTAATAGTGACAATTCGCGTCGTCTGGGGGAGGAGTTGCTTTCCGAACTCATCCCACGATGTCAAAATGCTGCAGCCCAGGAACCTTTTTCTATTAGACCAGTCTGCTGACTTTGGGGCGATTTCGATCGCTGCTTGATAGTCGTTCAGAACTACTCCGTCGCTTAGGAAGATGGAACATCCGATACATCACCTTCAGGACGAGCCAATCCAGCCCCACCTCAAACATCACATAGCCCTGTCATCCCACAAACCCCTCAATCCTCCTCCTCAAAAAGCACAGCCTGCTTCTCCGCCAACCCCCTCACCCCCTCCACATCCCCATCCTCCTCCGGAATAAACCTCCTCACCACCCCCCTCACATAACTCTCGGGAACACCTTCCTTCAGCGCATCTTTAAGCCCCATATTCATCCGATAAACATACTCCTTCTTCGGCTTATGCGGCGTAGTGTTGTTGCGGTCAACGTAGACGAGCATTGCCTTAGCTTCTCCTTTCTCAGTAATGTTAGCGCCGACGCCGGGGTGCGAGGGCCATAAGGTGGCGTTGTGTGTTTCTTTGGTGTAGGCGATGGGGACGCCTTCATTAACATCCAACCGCCGCTCGTCCTCGGTTTCCAGCGTGTAGACGAGGCCCCAGACCTCGCCGCTAGGCGAATCTTTCGTATCCTTCTCCTGCCCTTCCCCTTCGTGGATGGTGGTGCTGGTGGAGTTGATTTCGACGACGTTGGCGTATCCCCTCGAGTTGATAATCCACCTCCACCCCTCCAACCTCGCAATCCCCAGATACTTCGACGTCGGACAGCGCTGCCGCATCTGGTGCTGCCATAAGTTGGAGCCGTAGCCGAAGTAGAGGGTGCTGTTTGCTGTGTCGTTGTCGTTCTCGTTCGACATGATGAGATTGGTTAGGGTGGCTAGGGTGGTGGGGGAAAAGAAGAGGATGAGAAGGAGGGAGAGGGCATGGTTGAGCATTTGCTCTGGTCGTACTTGTGGGAGGAGGGAGGGTAGGGCAAACAAGGGGACACAGATGCGGCGGTGGGACAGGAACGTGAAGTGGAGTGGATCGGTTATTTGCTCGAGTGTCACCTTGGTTGTATAGCCGGACATACTCTACCACACATGCACGGTTCAAGAGTCACAGCAACATTCGCCCGCCGAACGACTGGGCAGCCGCGAGTACTTATGCACACGATAATCACACCATCTCAATACCACGTGCCTGTGCTGTGTCTGTTCCCGTTCCAGTGCATCAACGCTACGATACCACCCTATCAATCCTCCTCCCCAAATGCACCTACCCCCTCTTCCCTCCCCTTCACCCCCAACCTCAGTCAGCGAAAGCCCATCCCAGAAGCAACACGAACCGCCAAGAGTAAAAAATGTCATGATATCGTAAAGCGGAATCATCACGTCTCCCCTTCCCATCCCATCCCCATCCCCATCCCGGCCCAGCCCATCCAAGTTCGAGCAAAAGATGAAACCCGTCCCGTGCCCGCCGAAGACTGTTGCTCCTGGATATCGCCTCGATTCGCCTTGCTCCTCGCTCCGCCGCGCGCCGAAAGAGAAGAAAAGCAATGGTGCGCCCGCTCCGCTTGTGATGTGATGATAAGGAGAAGTGTTGGTGGAGTGATAGCACGAAGGATGCACGGTAACGCCGTTAGAAGAACCCATCTTCTCGCTCAAGCTATGGGTTCGCTGCCACCTCGACTCGCTCGCCCGCAGCTTCAGCACCAGCAGTCGCGTCAGGTGTCGCAGCCTCGGACTCCTCTTCAGCAGGCTTAGGCTTCTCGTCGACGCCTTGGCCACGGCAGAGGGGGCAGGAGTTGCGGCCTTGAGTCAGCCACTGTAGTAGTAGAGTTAGCAACAGCTCTGATCAGCGAGGCGGGGTTGGTTTTGAACATACCTGATCAATGCACTCCCGATGAAACAGATGCCCGCACTTGACCAGCTTCCTCGCGACCTCCGCGGCCTCGAAGTCGCACAGGCAGACGAGACACCTCTGTCCTGCATCCAGCGAGACGCGCTCCTCGCCCCCCACGGCGGCAGCGACGAGGGTAGCGGTCTTCGCGGCATCTGAAGGGGCCTCGGGCTCGACGAGCGTGATATTGTATATCCCACCCGCGCCCTCGACATCCTCTTCAGTAGCTACCGGAGCCTTCGCCGGTCCGAGCAGGGCGGAAAGCAGCATCATGTCTTCGTACGTCGGGTTCTCGGTGAACAAGCTAGGAGTGGTAAGGATGGGATGGTTCTCGGGATACGATCCGCCGAGGACGTAGATGATCCAGCTGCGGCTGTCGTTGGTGCTATCACGACGGTCGTTGCTGGAGTTGTCCGTGCCGGCGGAGGTGCTGGCACGCGAGAGTGAGGGTAGGTTGTCGGGTTCGACGACACCGTTGCGTCTGGGGTGGCCGGAAGCGAAGCGAGGGTAGTGAACGTTAGGGAGGGTGTCCGAGCGGCGATTCGTGTTGGAGCGAATGGTTTCGGCGTCGTTGGACTGCGTCTGTGAAAGTAGGTTCGTGCTTGAGTGAGTGGAGTGGAGAGATACTGTCTCCTCGGTGTGGCTTGACAGCGGACTGCCAGCCGATGCTCTGTGCAGTGCACTGTTTCTTCTCGAGTCGCCCGGCAGGAGAAGCGAAGTCGGTCGAGAGTGAGCAGGCGTGCTGTTCCTACTGGATATCCTGCTGAGCTCAGGGCTCGGACTGGCGGGTGTCGCTGGCGGCGGTCTTGGCTCAAACGTGCCACTGGAGCTCGCAACACTCCACGGCCGCTCTCGCCTCCGCTCCGGCGATCGGTGATCTCTCTGGTCGTCCATGCGGTCATTCAGACGGTTCCTCCCCATACCGAAGCCGCCCATGCTAGCGCGTCTCCGGTGTCGGAAGCTGGTGCCGTTTTGAGGAGGCCGTAACATGGAGTCGATGCTATCGTGAGCATGGTTTCCTAGTGCGTGTGCCGGCATTGGCGACGGAAAGCTGCCCAGCGCATCGATGAAAGGCGGCAGGTCTTCGTTAGAGCCAGCTGATCCAGAGCCAGGTGTGATGGATCGTATGCCTACGATAATGATGGGCACCATCCGAGCCTCCGAGTTGCCCTCGCCACCACCCTCTGAGCTCTGTTGAGCACCTTCTGAGTTCTGTCCACTGTCCGGGTTCTGTTCCTGGTTGTTTGTGGCCGCAGCTGACGCACCAAATCTGAACATGCGAAAGAAATTCAGCGGTCCAGGCTGTTGCCCACTCGTCGAGCTCGACTCCACATCACCACCACCTCGCAGCGCCGATGCTATCCGTCCACTCTGCAGTGCTCTCAGAAACCCATCAAAGCTACCGTCTTCACCCGCTCCACCGATATCTCCCACGCCAGTACCGCCTGTGAGTGATCTCGCCTCGCTCAGCGCCTGGTGGTCGTCTCCCATGAGTGTAGCGGCTGTGGCAGCTGCAGCAACCGACAGCAGTCTACTAAGCATAGCAGCCTGGTCCTCAGCAGCTCCCAGTCTTCTTATCGCGGGTTGCGGTGACCGCCGCCGTCGTAGTGAAGGGAAGTGTCGAAACGGTCGATCTGATCGAAGTGAAGGCAGAGGTATGCGTGGTGCGGTTCGCCGTGCAGAGCTGTTTGTTCGGGTAAGTGAAGGACCTGGCTCAGGTGGAGGGAAAGAGTCGTTGTCGAAGGAGGAGTCGACGTCGATTGAGGGTAGCCTTGGCGGGTAGTAGTCGTCGTCTTGACTGTCCATGCCGCTGCGGACATACGACGTCCGATGTTGTAGGAAGCGAGGCGTAGGTCTGGAAGGATTGGAAGGTCCCGGCCTTGATCGGTCACTCCGACCCAGCACGTCTCGTATCGTCGACCTGGTTCGTGAGAGCATCGCCGAGCCTCGCGACCGCTCTGCCGTCTCGTCGTCCTCCATCGTATGGCTGCCTGACTCGACGTGGAGCAGTTGTGATAAGCGATGCACACTGCCCGGTCGTGTGCGTAATCGAGGTGTCCGCTGCTGCGGCTGGCTGTGCTCTCCGCTCAACAGCCCATCCTGCTGCCCTTCATCGCTCGTTTGCAGGTGCACCGATCTCCGGAACACTGAAGCTCTCCGGTTCGCTCTTCCGCTTCCCTCTGTCCGCCGCTCTGGCTGCGAAGGTCCTTGGCCCATGGTTGCGGCCTGTCGCCAGCGAGTGTTCTAGATCCGGTGATGTGCCGCTCCCTCCATCCGCCTCTCGCCGCAGCCGGGTGCAGTGTGCAAGTTCACACACACAGGGTAGTGATGAGGTTGGTGGCAGAGGTGGTGAAGAGGCCACGTGGGTAGGGCGGCGGTGGTACGAATACGGGGGACGGTGGGTGGTGAGGTGTGTGTGTCTGTGTCTGTGTCCACGTCGGCTCTTAGGTCTGCTCTGGATTTGGATGCGGCGGAGCTGCAAGTCGAGGTCAGAAGATCGTTTCAAACTTGACCAATCGCAGTGCGCGGTTAGCAGAGTGGTTGCTTCTCTTCATCCTTCACATCAATACGTGAAACATTGGTATATGCTAAATGCGAAGGCAAAGGAAGGAAGTCTGGTATGCGAACGTACAACGAGCCACATGTACTTGCTGCCGCTCCACGACACACAATGCGTGTTGGCTCGTCACTGGCTCGGCTGGCAGTGAATAAGGTCCAGCAATGCCCATCTTCGCCCCAGTCTACCGCCCGACGGCACACCAACAAACATTCCTAACCCACCAGCAAAAGCTCGAGAGCAAGAAGCGCAAACGTGGTGAAGCATCCTCCGACGATGAAGGCCACCCCTCCTCTTCAGCCTCAATCTCACCCTCACCACGCCCTCACCACGGAGTGAACAAAACAGACCCCTACCACATCGCCGGCCTCTCACGACAAGACCCCCTCCCACCACCACCCTTCCCTCATGCCCCGCTCAAAGGACTATCCCAGCCAAAGGTACCCATCGAAGAATCCCTCGCCACCCTCAACCCACCCCTCTACCTCCCCCCCTCCCAACCAGAAGACAAATCCACCTCCACCAAACGCCGCCACCTCGACAACCTCACCACCCTCCTCCACCGCTCCCTTTTGAAGCAAGACTACCCCCGCGCCTCCCGCGCCTGGAGCATCTTACTCCGCACCTCCATCTCGGGCCAAGGCCTCGACATCCGTCGCGCGGGGCGGTGGGGGATTGGAGCTGAGCTTTTGATGCGGAAGGGTACGGAGGAGGAAGGGGACGTGTTCTCGGATGAAGGGTTCAAGTTAGCGAGGCAGTATTACGAGCGGTTGGTGCTGCAGTATCCGCACACGGCGCAGACGCAGCATGGGTTCAATTCTTCCGTTGTTTTCCCGGCGCTTTTCAACGTCAGGGTGTTTGAAGTTCAGGACCGCTCTAAGAGGGCGAGGCGGGAGTTGTCCGCGAATGAGGACAATGCGACGTCCGTTGCAGATAGTTCCACTGAGCGACCGGTCGATGAGATCCAGCTGCGAGCCATCCGGGCCCAGGAGTTGGAAGAGGCGCTGCCGATCGCGCGACGCATGGACGAAATCCTTTCAGGTCCTCCTTATGACACCAACGCGACTCTTCTGGAGCTCAGAAGTATGGTGGCGCTCTGGATCTCAGACCTGCATGGCATGTTGGCCAAGCTGCCGGACGAAGAGATGGACACCAGCTTTGGCTCCGAAGCGACGTCTCCAACCGTCAATGCCACGGAGTCGCATTATGCGAATGCTGAGGCCGAGCGGCAGAAGGCGAGAGACGTGTTTGCGAAACTCGAAGCTTTAGGTGCGGAGCTGAGGCCTGAAGTCGCTAGAATTGTGAGAGATCTTGAGAACGACTGAACGTTTGCAATAGGGTATCGTTTCTATGCTCTCGCGTGCATGTACACAACCACAACTTCCGGATGGGACCAAGGATTTCCAACGAGTTAGTCATCGAACAGGGCTCTTCCGCAGCCAGCCAGCTAGATGTAGGTCGAGCGTGAGTCCACACGTAGACAGACTTCGGATCAACGCCGCCTCACGTGTGACCGACCACCTCGAACCATCCTTAATCCAATCAAACTTCACGCTCCAACAACACCTCAGCTATGCGACCTCAATAACTATCCTGATGATAATGACTCCTCACCATCTCCCAATCCCTCTTCTCCTTCAACCCGCCCTCCTTCTCCAACCCCATTCCCCTCTCCACCCACTCCCGACTCCCCATCTCACTCAACCGACTCAACGCCCTTGCAAACGCAAAAGCCTCCTCGTCCCCGGTAAACATACTACTACTCTTCATCATCGTCATGTTCATGCCCAGATCGTCCATCAGACTCCTCATCGCGTCCCCGACATCCGCTCCCTCGTGCGCCGCTTGCTTCGCTTCTTTAATCCCCTGTTTGGAGGAGGAGCGCAGCATTTCCCCGATCTCGTCGCGGGCCATGAAGAGTTGGGTTAAAGGCACGGCGGTGGTGAGAACGAGCTTGCCGCGCCCTTCGTACACGGCGTCGACAAAGGTGATGAAGCGGCGCGCGAGGTCGCGGGAGCGGAGGTTCATGCCGGGGACTTCGGTGATGATGAAGGCCTCGTAGCTGCGCACGAGCTCGAGGTAGTCTGCGGCGCCGGTCGCTTTGCCCATGAGCTCGTTGAACGTGAACCAGCAGGCTTTGCCCGAGGCGCGGGGGACGTGGATCTCGCGGCCCCAGACGTGGAGGGTGTCGGAGTGGGAGGGGTCGTTTTCGGGGTCGCCAAGGAAGCGGAACCAGTGCTCTGCGTGGCTCTTTGCCGCGGGGTCGAGGGGGTGGTGGTAGACGCCTGACGGCGGGCGGGGGATTTTGCGGTAGTCGGTTGTGGAGTCGAGGTTCAGGACGCGGAGTTGTTCGAGCAGGAGGTTGATGCAGGGGATGAAGGAGTCGCGTTGGATGCCGTTTTTGTAGAGGTCCGAGGGGTGGCGGTTGGAGGTGGTTACGAGAACGGTGCCGTGGGCCATGAGAGATTCGATGAGGCGGCGGAGGATCATAGCGTCGGCGACGTCTGTGCATTGGAACTCGTCGAAGCAGAGGACGGTGGATTTCTCCGCGATGTTGGCGGCGACGAAGGGGATGGCGTCGATGTCGTTGCCGTGTTGGATCTTCATCTTATGCAGCTCTTTGTGGACATCCTGCATGAAGTTGTGGAAGTGGATGCGGGTCTTGGAGTGGATGTTGGAGGGAAGGGTATCGTAGAAGAGGTCCATGAGCATGGTCTTGCCGCTGCCGACGTCGCCAAACATATACAAGCCTTTGGGCAGGCCCTCGTAAGCACGCATCTGGACAGGACCTGTGTCCCTGCTTCCAAGGAGTGAGCTCAAGAAGCCCTTCTTTTTCGGCTGGAGGGACTCGATGGTCGGATGGACGACTTTGGGCGGGTTGTACGACATGAGGTTGTCATGCAGGTCTTGCAGCGCTTGTATGAGTGTCCGCTGGTGTTCATCGTCTCGTAGTCGGCCGGAGTGTACTCGATTGTCGTACTCTGCTATAGGTCCCGTCTTCTTGTACTCCTCCTGCCTGTATTGCGCCATTGTCGCCAGACCACAGCGCTGGACATGTCTCCCAGCCCTCTGAGGCTTCTTGATAAGCTCATGGCTCCTCCGTAATCCATGGTTGTGTGTGAAGTTACGCCTTGCTATGCACTCGGTACACAGCCGCTGCCGTTGCAATTGGGCATACTGTGGGCGTGAAGCTGCTCGCGTGAAGCTTCGCAAAGCTCGTACTGCATCAACTGAGGCCATAGCGATGGTGTCTGAACCGTCTAGGCGCACGCGACAAACAGTGGACTGTCAAGGTGTCTTGAAGCATGCTAGAGCGGAGATGTCGATCATGGCGGCGTGGAGGTCAGGTTCCAGATCGCCCTTTTGCAGGCGTCGAGTGTCTATAGGAGGGCTGTCAATGCTCTTAGGTATACTTCCAGTACTCCTACCCAAAGATTATGTACAAGATGTTGTTTATCTGGACGAAGGTGGGAGCAAAGCGAGCTCATATGTCGGCTCACCGACCTCGGGCTTCGGCATTTGAAGGCGAGCTGTCACATGCAAGCGCTTCTGTCTATCACGAGCAACAGCAACACCACCACCGACTCGGAACCGAGGCGCCTCACAATTTACTATAGACAACTGGCAGCACAGCAATAGTATGACAGCAAGGGAGTGCCGGACAAAGAGTCAGCGGATCTTGCCTCACCAGCCCTCGGACGCTACCAGAACATTCTTTGGCAGCTAGGTAATCATTCAGGCCTCACAAAGCCACGCAACACACTTCCTTTGCCCATATAAGATCCAAATCCGAGTCGCCCATCATGGCGTCATCTTCCAGTACACCTACCCCGTCCGATCAAGAAGCAACCTACAGCAAAATGTCCGTCGGCGACGTCGAGGCCATCGGCAGCCACTGTCAGATGCCCTTCTGCCACCAGCTGGACTTCCTGCCATTCAAATGTGAAAGCTGCAAAGGGTGTGAGATTGATCCCTGCTGCTCCCACTGATACATCTTGTACTGACATATCATCCCAGGAAATTCTGCCTGGACCACCGTACCGAATCCGCCCACTCCTGCCCCCAAGCCGGCGCCTGGGCCCGCCAACGCAACCAACGATCCGCCACACCCACATCCGCCTACGCCGGGCCAAAGAAACCCACCATCCTCACCCACGAACAACAATGCTCGTCCCCAACCTGCAAAACCCTTGTCAACACCCCTCTCACCTCCGGCGTGCAGTGCGAGAAGTGCAACCGCACGTACTGTCTCAAGCATCGTCTAACCTATGACCACGATTGCGCGAAGCTCACGCCGCTCGGCGCGAGGCCTGGTAATACTGCGCAGCAGACGCAGCGGGAGAAAGGGCTAGCGGCGCTTGGGAAGCTGAGAGCATGGGGACAGGCGAAGAAGGCCGCCGCGGCGCAGACGAATGTGCTGCCCGTGTCTAAGGCGAAGCAGGCGGAGGCTACGAGGGTGCAGGAGACTGCGGCGTTGAAGAAGACGGCGAAGGGCGATGATAAGGTTCCAGTGGAGAAGAGGGTATATCTGCATGTCGAGGCGAGCTCGGATACGGTTACGTCGAAGATACCGAAGGGCGCGTTCTTCTACAACACTGAGTTTAGTGTAGGACGGGTGCTGGATCTGGCGGCCAAGAGTCTGCAGGTTGCGAACTTGAACAACCGGTCAGAGAGCGAGGAGGATAAGCTGAGGGTGTTCCATGTCGAAGGAGGGAGGTTGCTGGAGTTTGGGGAGAAGTTGGGAAAGAGTGTGCAGACGGGCAATACAATTGTGTTGCTCAGAGGGGTGGGAGCTGGCATGGCGAAGACGCCGGAGAAGACGGTATAGATTAAGATGGAGGCTGTCCTTCGAGAGCATGTCTTTAGCGATGGCGTCTGGTGTTGCTTGGGGTGGAAGCCGAGCGCTACATGTGGTGCAGTTGCTTCTTCCAGAGTTGTATCATCACATTCTGTGCTCCGTATATGAGAGTCATCCATAAATCATCGCTAAACATGTGATAATATGCATGAGTCGTGCAGTGCAGTCAGTGGCAAGATTCTCTCGGCTTCCATTCGGCGGCGGCGAGCTCGGAGGAGCGCCCGGGCCATGCCGTAGACTAGCGATGGACTTTGAAGTCTCCTTGACGCCATCTCGAGGAACATTTTTTGTCTTCATCTCGCCATCCACCACAACTCCATCTCTCATCCTCACTACACCATCTCCCACCCCGTGCGCGTCACTCTATACCCTTGTAATACTATCGAGCGATCACTATGTTGTCTTCACGGCTGATGCGGAGCGTAAGTCGCGAAAGAGCTCTCATCCACCATCACACGAGCACATACTGATCATTACAACAGGCGGTACCGCGTGCGACTTCTTCCTTCCGTTCATCAGCATTCCGCACACCCATAGCGTCTCAGTTCCGGAGAGGTTATGCCGAGAACATCAATGAAGGCGACAAGGTCAAGGGCCAGGTCATCGGCATTGACCTTGGTACCACAAACTCTGCTGTGGCGGTGATGGAGGGCAGCTCGCCCAGGATAATAGAGAACTCGGAAGGTATGCATGTTGTGATGAAGGCACGAGGCGATGGCAGAAGCTGACACGTTATTGCAGGCACACGAACAACACCCTCAGTCGTCGGCTTCACAAAGGAAGGCGAGCGGTTAGTGGGTATCGCTGCAAAGCGCCAGGCCGTCGTCAACCCCGAGAACACCCTCTTCGCCACCAAGCGTCTCATCGGACGAAAGTTCAAGGACGCCGAAGTGCAGCGCGACATCCAGCAAGTGCCTTACAAGATTGTGCAGCACACCAACGGTGACGCGTGGCTGCAAGCGCAGGGCCAGAACTACTCGCCCTCGCAAATCGGTGGTTTCGTGCTCGGGAAGATGAAGGAGACTGCTGAGTCCTTCCTCGGCAAGAAGATTCAGAACGCTGTCGTGACTGTGCCTGCGTACTTCAACGACTCGCAGAGGCAAGCCACCAAGGATGCCGGCCAGATCTCTGGTCTCAACGTGCTGCGTGTGGTCAACGAGCCGACTGCTGCCGCACTTGCGTACGGTCTTGAGAAGGACAACCGCGTGGTTGCGGTCTACGACTTGGGTGGTGGTACCTTCGATATCTCCATCCTCGAGATCTCCAACGGTGTGTTCGAGGTGAAGTCCACCAACGGTGACACCCACCTTGGTGGTGAGGACTTCGACATCACGCTTGTGCGCCACCTCGTTGAGCAGTTCAAGAAAGAGCAAGGAATCGATCTTTCGAACGACCGCATGGCTATTCAGCGTATCCGTGAGGCAGCTGAGAAGGCGAAGATTGAGCTTTCGTCCTCGCTCCAGACCGACATCAACCTGCCTTTCATCACTGCCGACGCCTCCGGACCCAAGCACATCAACTCGAAGATGAGCCGATCGCAGCTCGAAGGTCTCGTTGACAAGCTCATTGGTCGTACCACCGACCCTGTCCGCAAGGCGCTGAAAGATGCGAACCTGCAGGCCAAGGACATCCAGGACGTCATCCTCGTCGGTGGCATGACCCGTATGCCAAAGGTAGTCGACTCCGTCAAGAGCATTTTCGGCCGCGAGCCTTCAAAGTCGGTCAACCCTGACGAGGCTGTTGCCATCGGCGCTGCGATCCAGGGTGGTGTGCTCTCTGGTGAGGTTACGGATATCCTGCTTCTCGACGTCACTCCTCTTTCTCTTGGTATCGAGACTCTCGGCGGTGTCTTCACCCGTCTGATCAACCGCAACACCACCATTCCGACGAAGAAGAGCCAGGTCTTCTCCACTGCCGCCGACTTCCAGTCCGCCGTGGAGATCAAGGTGTACCAGGGTGAGCGTGAGCTTGTCCGCGACAACAAGATGCTCGGCAACTTCCAGCTCGTCGGCATCCCACCAGCGCACCGTGGTGTGCCTCAGATCGAGGTCACCTTCGACATTGACGCGGACTCCATTGTCCACGTCCATGCCAAGGACAAGTCCACCAACAAGGACCAGTCCATCACCATCGCCAGCGGATCTGGTTTGAGCGACTCCGAGATCCAGGGCATGGTTGACGACGCCGAGAAGTACGCCGACGCTGACAAGGAGCGCAAGCTCTCGATCGAGGCCGCCAACCGCGCCGACAGCGTCGTCAACGACACCGAGAAGGCTCTCAAGGAGTTTGAGGAGAAGCTCGACAAGGCCGAGGCGGAGCAAATCCGCGAGAAGATCAACTCGCTCCGGGAATACATTGCCAAGAACCAGACCGGCGAGGGCGATGCGACCGCGGAGGACATGAAGCAGAAGACCGACGAGCTGCAGACCGCTTCGCTCACGCTCTTCGACAAGATGCACCGTGCCCGCAGCGAGCAGGGCCAGGAGGGTGGCGAGCAGCAGCAGGGTGAGCAGCAATCCGGTGGCGACCAGCAGCAGCAGGGTGGTGAGGGCGACAAGAAGCCATGAAGAATGACTTGATGGCTTGTCTTGTTTTCCTTCCTCGCGCCGTGCCCGCTATCGTCTGAACGATCCCCGATCGGACGACATCATCCACATCGGCTGAGCTGGGCGGCGCTCCTCTTGTACGCATACTACTACACTATACCCACAACCCTCACGCCCTCTCCACTCTACCACGATAGACGAGACGAGTGGATGCGGGACAGGGTGTCTTCGAAACTCTTGTCTTACTACATACAGCGGAAAAAGGAAACCGCCGGTGCTGTGCTTGATAACGGGCACGATGGCTGAAGCATTGGAGGCATGGGCAGCCGGCGTTTTGTGATGTGCAGTATGTAATTTAGCCGTTTGCGCGTTTGCTGACGGGACTTGGTCTCTCTGTGTGTGTGTAAAAGAAATTTAAGAACTCTTCTCTCAAGTCATCTCCAACATCTCTTTGCTCCTTACTATTTGGACAGTTTGATCTGCAGTCGGTTTGCCTCAGTCAACGGGCTTTAGAGCTCTGAGCTGCGCACACTGAGCTTCTGACTCCATCTCCATCACACCCCGCTCGTCGATGGTTCCGAGGATGAGTTGTCATGCAGCATCTATTTCGCTTCAACACAAGGTCGCAGCGAGGTAATAAACAAAGCTAAGTTATCATTCGTACATCACTTCCATCTCGCCTCTTCCCATTCTGCTACGTTTCCAATCCAACCCAAATCCCGTTACTACACCACAAACATGTCTTCATCAACCGAGCAGGACCAACTCAAACAATCCCTCACCGCCACCGGCGAGCCCTGGACCCCAACCCTCTCCTCCCTCTCCAAGCTAGATCCCACCTACCTCCGTGCCTACACCAACCTCCGCTCCGTGCCCCGCAACAAAAAGGCCCTCCCCCTCAAAACCCAAGAACTGCTCCTCCTAGCCATAGACGCCGCGGTAACGCATCTCGATCCCGCCGGCGTGCGTGCGCACACTGCTGCCGCGCTCGCCGCTGGCGCCACTAGGGAGGAGATCTTGGAGACGTTGGAGTTGAGTAGCGTTCTAGGGGTTCATGCTGTTACGGTTGGAGTTCCGACGTTGATGGAAGTTTTGGCCGAGAACGGCGAGCCGCCTTTACCAGACGAATTGACCCCAGAGCAGCAGCAATTGAAGGAGGCCTTCACGGCCAAACGCGGGTACTGGGGCACCTCCTGGGATCCGGTTCTGCGACTGAGTCCCGGGTTCTTTGAGGCGTACACGGAGTTTTCGAGCGTGCCGTTTGATGCAGAGCATGGGAAACTGGACGCGAAGACGAAGGAGTTGGTGTATACGGCGATTGATTGCTCGACGACGCATCTGTATCAGCCGGGTTTGAAGGTGCATGTGAGGAATGCGGTCAAGTATGGGGCGACGAAGGAGGAGATTATGGAGGTGTTTGAGCTGGCGAGTTTGATGGGTGTGAAGACTGTTTTGATGGGGGTGGATGCTTTGAACGAGGAAGGGAAGGGGACGTGAGGTTGTAGAGTAAGAATCTTCTCGTAGAGAGGAACGCCCACCCACATGACTTGCGTGGCCTTTTGGGATGCATTTGTGTCTAGGAGAAGACTGCAAGATGTGCCCGGCGGGCCAGGATTTTATTGACAACTGCTTGCGCATGGGAAATGGCGAAGTGCCTGTCGGCGTTGCTGCTTCCGTAAACTCGCAGACGTGGGCATCAAGAAACAGCCCGTCAAGCGGCCAACCGAGCATATCTAGCTAGTAGCAGTCTTCTCCGCGACCCGATTGCACCTAACGAGCCCGCGTCAGTCTTTTCAGCGGGCTGTCCTTGTCTGTGAGAAGACACCTTACGCTCTCGTTCTGGCCTGTAATGTCACTCTCACTGTCCACAGCTGTGGTATCAATTCAAAGCATCAACCAGGTATCTTCCTCCACCCCCTACAAAACCCCAACGTCGACCGACAAAGCTTCCCCACCTGCACCTTCAAATCCATCTTCCGCCAGCTACCCGCCGCCGCATGCCAGAGCCGAGCGTTCGGGTGCTCAATACTTTTACTTCCCATGTTCTGAAACCAGCCTCTGCCTGGGTTGAAGCCCGTGATGGGAAGCACGAGAGCGTCTCCAGCGACGATTTTGCCCCGGCCACCGATGGGGTCGCCGTTAGCGGAGAGGGAGTCCCAGGATAGAGAGGGATTTTCGCGGTGAGCGACGGCTTGGATGGCTCTGGTTAGGGCTGGTGGGCCTGTGATGTCGAGGGGGTCGATGGCGAGCAGGTTACCGCTATTCTGACGGATGTCTTCGATAAGTGTGTTGAGGAATTGGTCAGCGACGGCATGATGAGGAGCCATAGCAAGGGCCCAATTCGTGACTTGAACAGGGTGGGAGTAGCCCATGCGCCAGTAAGTCGGGTCGGGTTCGGGTGGGTTGTCTGCTTCGATGCCGAAGATGGCGTGGACGGAGGGCTTCGATCGACTTGGTAGATCTGCACTCGCAAGCAAGGCCTCGTAGGTGGATGTGGCGTTTCCAGGTAGCGCTGTCTCGTGTGAAGACGGCATGTGCAAAGTCATCTCAGTGCTGGACGATGCGTCCGTCCACGGTGTAATGTCTGAATCCAGCACCCAGCCGAAAGGGTGCTTGAGAGGGGTCGCGTCAACATCAGCGTACTAAACATCGCTTTCGTCAGCGAAGACAGGTGTTAATTGGTCACTGCACTCACTATACCACCAAACCACTTCACCACCAGCACTCGGAACACGTCCGCTTTCTCAACCGGATACGGTAGCCGCTGAACATCCTCGTAAATATCCGCGGCAAAGCTCTTGGTGAGCATGTCGATGCCATCATCGTCCCACAGGAACCAAGCCATCTCCGGTCCGTCGATGTCGGCCTCACCCTTAGCGAACTCGAGCCACCGCTCAACACCTGCTCGGATGGCGTCACTCCACGATTCGGTATTCAGGCTTCGCCATGTTTGATGTGTGATCAACGGGATGCGTGCATGCTGGAGATAGGCCTGTTCTAGTATGGTGAAGGCGAGCGCACACTCGACGGCCTCGAGGATGGTCGAATCCGACGTCAGTCGACATGGCGTGCCGTTGGCGGTCAATCTATCCAACCAATAGGGAGGAATTTGCCATCCTGTTGAACGCACGATCAGTGCGTCGTTTCCTGGCCATTAAAGGTATTGCTTGACCTACTCCCACCTGTTCCGTAATTCGTCTCTACAATCTGTTTAGTCAGTCGTCCGACGGGTACACTCTTCCTGTTTCCAAATCCCTGCGGCAACAGCCCAATAGACAAGACGAGGAATGCAAGCAAACAGAACGACCAGAAGATGGATGAACATCTCACGCGGGCCGGTCTTCGCCAGCGAGGCAACATTGCATTCCGTTACCTGTATAGTTATGGATGTGCTCGCGACACGAAGTCGCCAGCGATCCTGAACACCAGCACATTGCTGCTGTTATATGGCTGCCTATAGGACAGCGAAGACACCGCTACCGAAAGCGCCAAATGAGCGATTCATTTGCGCGGTTCGCAGCACCACACCTCTGCCACTCCACGTGCTTGCAAGATGGTTGATAGTTGGGCTAGATCATGCAGGGATCAATAAATTGCTTGGCGGTACAGATGAGGTTAGCATGTCTTGCCGCGTAGCTTATCACCACCTCCCCTGCCCCAGAACCCTGCAGCTCTTCCGCACACCTCTGCAAGGCCGGGAGCTGGAATCAGGAATGAGGGACGAAGAGGCGTAAGAGGCGCCGATGGGGCCTCGACACGAGTGGGAGCGACGTTGCCGGCAGATCTTCAGTGGCGATGGAGGGTGGCCCTTCACGACGGGTGAATGGCAAGGCTGGCCGGTAAGAAGGTAGTTGGCGTCGTGAGAGACGAGGCCTAGTGCATGCGTCTCAATAGCACGTTGATCTGATCATGCTTGCCAGCATTGCTGCGAAGGCTGCTGTCAGGCTGCGATCGCTGCGGATTGCGGTGATCTTGCCCGAGCTCCGGAGCACTCATGGGAGCACATCAGTACCGGTCCATCATGCTCGACCCCTGGTATGCGTGTGATATAGTCGAGTCTGACCCCTGCTAAGAAAAATGATACCGGCATATAGGGTGAAGATCGAAGAGATAGAGAAAGCGAAATCGGACGGGATGGACAGTGACGCTTCAGTCGACTTTTTGGCCCTTGAAGTGTGTTCACAACACTGCTTACATGGCTGTACCGGGTAAAATGCTCATGTTGCTCGTGTATGTTGGTGTGCATGTAGAGAGTAGAGAAGAGTAACGGGTGATGGAGAAAGAGCCCAATTACCCCAGGTCGTGGCTGCCTCGGACGTGTCGACGCGCCGTTATCTAATCGGGAACGCGGGGTTCAATCCACCCGAAGCGGCAGGCACGACCTCGCCCTTGCAACGAGCTATGCAGCGAGAGCTGACTCCTTCTCCTCTTCTACACCACTCTCGTCTGCATTGTCTTGGTATTCATCTTGGAGCTGTAGGCAGCCTTGGTGCTTCAGCTGCACTCGCTGTTGATGCCGCCGCCATCAACCACCCCCCACCCCACTTGATGACTCGTTGATAAGCGCCCACCGCACCTCCTCTCCTCGGCCACCATGCTTCCACCATCTCAACTCCGCCGCGGGGTGGTCCTCGCCCATCACCGCGCCCTCGCTACGAACACTCTCAAAGCCTCTAGCGCTTCTCTTCTGCATTGCCCACTCAGCATTGGCCAATCCCGCCGTACCTTCTGGGGTGGCAGACGCCCTCCGAAAGACTGGACCTCCCATCTAGACCCCCAGTTTCAACGCTTCCACCGCTTCCGTACTCTTAAGACTCGCGCCAAACTCCTTAGTAAGATCCGTCGGCACCGTTCGTTCGATTGGGACAGTAATGCGGCCAACTTCTTCACCCCCAGGCAGGTTCGATGGGCGTCGAGGTGGAATGACAATGGGTGGAAGCAGAAGCATCCCTGGTATCTGAATGATGATGGCGAGCTTGTGAAGAAGAAATCTGGTCGTCGTGAATTGGACGGAGAGACGGACGGCTACGAGTTGAATGCACGGGAGAAGGAGTGGCAGCGGAAGTTGGAGCTGATGCGGGAGAGGATTGATAATGATCCATATGAGGCGTTGTTTGGAAAGAGATTCGAACAGTTCTGGCAGCCTTTGATGCCGAATTGGATGAAGTCGAACTTCGATGTGACCAACTGGGGAACGAACGAGGCCGAAGCAAGAAAGGCGGCTGACGTGAATCAGAAGGCTGAGTCTGCAACGCCCAAAGATACAGCACCGACCAAGAAGAGTCAGCCATCAACGAGACCAGATGGCAGCCAAGCGACCAAGGGTACGAACGCGGGAGTTGAGCCATCTGAGCCAAAGAAGCCGAAGCCGAACTCCTATGCCTACGCCTCTTCAACTACCTGGGACTCTCAATCAAACAAGACCAAGCGGACAGAGTGGGACTCGGTGTCTGGACAAACCAAGAAGTTCGAGTATGACCCCATTTCCAACCGGATGATTCTGGTCGAGTCCCCTAAGCCTGCCGAAACGAAGGCGCTCGAATCGCCGAGCAAGCCAACCAGCACATCTAGCAACGTAGTCAAGTCGTCTCCCACACCAGAAACTACCGTTGTACAGAACACGACAGGAGCGCCGGGAAAGCAGACGCAGAACACGCAATCCAGCTCCAAGGTGGATGGCGTCCCGGTCAAGCAGCCGAACGATGAACGCAAGTCCATTCCCATCCCGCCTCCGCTGTCCATGCCATCGTACAATGTCCCAATCGGCTTTTCTCCAAAGCCAACGTCTCTCGGGCCTTGGAAGAGCACGGCGGTGGCTTCCGATGTCCCCAAGCCGTCAAGTCTCGCCACTATACCAACCAAAGAGCCAAGCAAGCAGGCGATGACAGAGACTTCGGGCCAGACAAAACAAGAAGAAGCAAATTTGGACGGCTTAACTGCCGAGTCCATCCGTGCCGGTTTCCCAAAGCTTACATCCACCAAGCAACCGCCATCTGCTTCACGTCCACCCGCAACAAACCCGCAGCAGCAGGGCGAACAAGAAGCCTCGTTCACCAACCTCGAAACTCAAGGGCTCACTGATATCATTCTTGCAGATCAGTCTGTCGTCGACTATTCTAAGCTACGCAGCTACAGCAACGCCACGGGATCTCAGTGGGATCAAGCGGAGCAGGAAGACATTCTCCAGAAGGAGTTCGAGGGTCTCAACAAGAAGAAGGAGAAGCTGCTTCGTGATGAGCATGGCCTCTTTCACATTGAACACCAGAAGGGAGAATTGATGAAGCTCAACCAGCGCATCGAAGAGGTCGGGAAGAGGATCGACCGCATCAGTGACGTTATGGGACCTCCCGAGAAGTCGTCCAAGGTCGCTCCAGACAACACAGCAACTAAGCAGAATGAGAAGAAGCCGGTGTTGCAGTCGAGTCTGGATCGTATGTACTCCAAGCAGGAGGATAAGTCGCAAGTGCTGCAGTCGAGTCTCGATCGTATGCAATCCAAGCAGCAGATTTCTAAGAAATTGTCGGAAGAGGCACTGGAAGATGCCGACGATGCCGCTGCCCACGAGTCGACCGAGCCACTGGAGACCTCTGCGAGCAAGCCGGCGGTGCCACAGGGCTGGGACAAGCAGGCAGAGATACTGCAGGCGGATCGCGTCAAGCGTACGGAGGCGAAGGTGCCGTATCCGGATATGCAGTCTCTTATCACGTCTGCACCGGTTCGAAAGAATGGACAGGATGAAATCAATCGGGAAAACCGCACAATGAACCACTCACTAGACAATTATATCAAGAAGCTCAGGGCCACGCATCGGGTGCCGGCCCTACCATCAGAGGCTACTGAAGCCGCCTTTCAGGAGCGCTGCGCGGAAGTCAAGAAAGCCAGCGAGCCGATTCTGGACCAAAGTCGGGAGCACAAAATGGGGATGGACCAGAGACGCAAGAAAGTCAAAGCCACGCGGTCTGATGCTGAGCATTCTCAGAAGCAGCCAACATCGCCCCCAACCTTACCGCCAGCTCCCAGGATCGGAGATCATCTTAAGCAGGAAGATCACACCGCTGAACGCACTGCCAAGCTCGAGAAGGCCAATCGAATGCTGCAAGATGAGGTGCAGGAGCAGAAAGCCCGAATGGAGGCACACGAGGGCAAGTACACAAGGAAGATCAGTTCGCTTCGTGGTGAATTGGATGTGGCGTATAAGCAGTCTGCTGTGCACGGAGACAAGCACGTCGAACGCATTCGGGCACTGGAGAAGGAAGTCGAAGAGGCGACGAAGGCGGCGCCTGAGAGCAAATATGTCGACAAGATTCGAGCGCTTCGCGATGAGCTTGATGTTGCCTACAAGCAGTCGGCTGTGCATGGTGAGAAGCATGTTGAGCGGATCAGGACGCTTGAGAAGGAACTCGCGGAGGCCAGGAAGAGTGGTGCCATCAGCGCCGCCGCCGCCGCTCAGGTTGCTGACGCTGAGACAAAGCCTGCAGCCGCCGATATCCCACAAGCAGAAGGAGACCTGGCACCCAACGCTCTCAAATTCGCCGGCAGCGAGAAATGGTACAAGCAACCCGCCGTGACTCCATCGACCATCAAGCGCGAGATGGAGAAGGCCGACCAGAAACGCCGCGACCGCGAACTCGTCCGCGAAGTCCAGAAGATCTACGAGCGCTTCTATGGGACTATTGATACACAGCATCGGCAGCCAGAACCGAGGAAGGAGCGGAATGTTGAGGTGGAGTCGGATGTTGATCTAGGCGAGGCTCTGGCGAAGTATGAGACGGATCAGAAGCAGAGTTATAGATTTAGGAAGGGGGAGATGGAGAAGGAGGTCGCGGCAAAGGAGAGAGAGGCGAATGAGGGGGTGAGGTTGGTTGATGATGGGGCGCCGAGGTTGATTCCTGATGCCCTTGCTAAGGCCTCAAGTCCAGCCGTTGACGCAGCATCGGGCGCCGTGGAAAGTGAAAAGCTGTGGGCGGAACCAGCTCTATACAAAGTCCTGACCCCAGAGGAATTTGACCGCGACGAACGGAAATGGAGCATGTCAACCATTTCCATGACGTCGAACTTCACCGGCACCGAGGAACCAGTATCAATAGTCGGCGCACTGAAGACCTCGAAGCTGCGCCTCAAATACCTAAAGAACATCGCCGAACAACACGCCGACGGGCTCCAGCTAGTCCATGCAGCGAAGAAACTGCTGGTGTTCCGCAAAGTGAAGGACGAGAAGCGGCAATTGGGACAGCAAGATCGCGGCCTCCTTGACTATCAGGTCGTTTTGTCAAAAGGCGGGAGTATCGAGGTCTATTCACTGGTCTCGCGCTTTGCTGGCGATGAGGCTCCTATTTCTATCACAAAGGCTCTGGGTCCGCTCAACGAGCCCAGCGAGTTCATGCCGTATGTCGAGGAGTACCAGGGGAAAGGGTATAAGGTCGTTCATGCGGTTCACAATATGCTGGTGTTCCGGAAGGAGCTACCGGTGGAGAAGGAAGAGGCGGGATTCGGATTGCAAGATCACGGTCTCCTGCCCGCGACAGAAGGTGGACAGAGTACCGGTCATTCCATCAACCCCATCGATGGAACTTCATCGCTATCTCCGGGAAGCACTTCCACATCGGAGCATTCAACAAAGTTGCAGCAGGCCGAGCAGTTTGAGAGACAGGACTACGATATCCGCCATTACCCACGCGTCAAGCGGGACGAGTATCCTGTCTTCACCGGCACTAAGCGGGTGAACCAAGGCAAGACGAGCAAAGGGGAGAAGAGCGAGGGGCCAAAGGAGTCAAAGGAAGAAGGGCCTTCCGTAGCATGGGGGGCAGCGAGCGGCATGTTTGGCGCGGCCATGGCCGGGATGGGCGGTGCGTACCTCGTTGGTGCAGCGGGGGAGAAGAATCGCAAACACCGGGAGAAAGTCGACGCTATGGTTCAGGGGAGGCGGGAGCGGCAGGTGGCGACGGAGAGTGCGAAGAGGAGGGAGGGTTGGTTCTGGAGGGAATGATTTAGGATGGTCTCTTGTTCTCTGGTGTTGGTGATGCTGGGGCATTTGGTTTCGCATTTATGGGGGATACATGAGGGATGGATGGGACGCCGCTCAGTTTTATGGCTTGATGGTTGATGATTTGCATATGATACTCTGATCTCCTTTCAATCCAACTCGAACAGTCTGACTCTCCTGGTCTTCCCAATGTACTAATCTGCGACTTCAACCTGTGCTATAAGACTCGTGTCTCTTCGTCGTGTCTCTGATGCCGCGGTGCTGAAGCTCGCCCAAAGCTCTGCTCTCACTTCGACACTAGCGTCCCGGCTCCTTCCCTTTTCGGCCTCCGCGCGCCGTTTACTCCCACCTCGTCATCACGCATTGAATCTCAGCAACTCCGCTTCTTACGTCTCTCCGCGGAGACTGAGGTACTGTGAGAGCTCTACGACACCACTACACAGAAGCGCTCAGCTTCCCAACTGAGCAATAAATAGCAACCAATGCTCCAGACCAGGCCCTTGGGTTCGAACGAATATGGGTGCCGCAGTCGGAGATCAGGCTGCGCTATCGAGCGGCAGTAGTCCGAAAGACTCGGGAATGGAAGACACAAAAGCACAACATAAGGTCCAGAGAGCGCCAACTGCAGCGCCGGCAATGGTGGAGACGAAGGAGGCGGGAACCATTGGGAGGGTCGGCTTGAAGAAGAAGGATGGGGAGGGCAAGCAGGAGTGGAATACGAAGAACTTGGGCAGTAGACTGACGACGGACGGGATGTGTGCGTTGGCGGCTGGAGGGTTGGTTGCGCCGTTAATCACGGTCATCGATAAGTACGGCATACGGCACCAACGCAACAGAAGACGATATGCTAATACTCCACCAGAGCAATCATCGAAAATGCCTCTGGAAAACGCCCCATGGCCGAGTCCTTCCGCGCCTCCCTCTCCACCCTCCTCCTCCGCCCACACAAATTCCTCGTTTCGCGCCCCTTCCGCCTAATCCTCATGCTGTATGGCGGAACCTACCTCACAGCCAACACCCTCGACACCTTCAAATCCTCCATCCACAACCGCCCCGCCTCCTCAACCACAACAGGCACATCCAAGTTCGCCGCCACCTCCGCTGCGAACATCTCCCTTTGCGTCTACAAAGACTCCCAATTCGCCCAAATGTTCGGCACCGTCTCTCCCCGTCCGATTCCACCTGTTAGCTACGCCCTCTTCGCCGCGCGCGACAGCCTGACGGTCTTCGCGTCCTTCAACTTACCCTCTGTTATCGCCCCACAATTGCCGATGGGCGAGGCTGCTGAGAAGTACGTGAGCCGAGCCTCAGCAGCGCAGTTTCTAGCCCCGGCCGCGATCCAGTTGATCAGCACGCCGATGCATTTGCTGGGGCTGGACCTGTATAACCGAAATGGCGGGACGACTTTTGCAGAGCGAATGGCGAAGGTGCGGGTGGATTGGTTGAAGAGTAGTGTGGCGCGGATGTGTAGGATTGTGCCGGCTTTTGGCGTGGGTGGGGTGGTGAATAATGGGTTGAGGAGGCGGTTTATGGAGAAGTTGGAATAGTGAGGGAAGGCAAATGGAGGAGGTTATGGATACGGCCGAGTGCATGGGAGCTGCGGAATGGGACTAATAGATGGAGGTTGTTTCGTGGCGTGGCGCTCTGGGAAGCATCATCAGCATTTGTGGTGTTGTACTATAGATGGATGGGTCACTTGTTGCCAGGAGCGCTGCTGGCTGGACGGTATACTGCTGTACATGTGTAGTTATAGCTGAGCGTCTTGAGAGCCTATTTCGAGAGTTAATCGTACAGCCCCTTCCAGCTGATCAAATCTCCCTGCTTAGGGCAACACATGGTCGCCTTCGCTCACAGCAAAGAAGAACCATCCAAGCTACCGACAGTGCAACCGACGCAATAGGTCACACTGAAGCGTGTAAGCCATCTTCTCACAGACAGCGACAGCCTATCGACGGGAGTGATGTGGCCTTTTCGATCCGGACGGGTCTGGGAGAAGACTGCTTGAGATGCCCGGTCGGCCCCTTCCACTGTGAACGGCTTGCCATCCCCCCTGCCCCATCGCGAGACAACGGATGGCATTCCTACTGCCCTCTGTTGCAGCAAAAGGAACTACCCAAGCCGGAAGGAGCAGCGCCCCTTGGCCGATCACATGCCCACCCAAAGCGAATGACAGTGAAAGCGGCCTGGCAGGTCAGAGCGAGCCGCGCGATAGATCCTCTTATAGACGCCGAGAGTTCTCTCGGGATAGCTAGATGGCGTTTTCGAGCGCCTTTGCGTCCAGGAGAAGAATGTCCCCCCTTCTCGTCGGATCGTTCTCACGTTCGTTCGCTTGCCATCCTCGAGACCACCAAAAACTCATTCGGACGCTGAGCTTCTCCAGCCCAAACAAAAGAAACACTCCTTGCGGAGGTGAGAAACCGAAGTTTACTACTTGTTCAACTTTTTCTTGTATGTATTGGTAGACTGATATAGGAGAGAACGAAACAACCAAATCTCAATTGAAATTTGATAAGCAGAGCAGTGGATGGGGGGACCCTAAGGGAAGATCATTGACCTGAGTTGCCATTTCAACCGCTTGATCTTCAGCCGGAGACTACGAGGCTGTTCGGACCCTTGGACTTACTGGTTCGTGGAAAGCAGAACCTGAAGAATCGCAATATAATAGTAAAAAGCCGGCGGCCGGATATGGCCGACATGACGGGACGGAGGGTGAGTCGAGTGTCGTGACTTCATTTTGCTTTGCGATTTGGTTGTCTCGAGGTGGTGGTGGAAGTTGTTCCTCTCAGTCCTTGTGCGCACCACTGCACATAAACTCCTCGTACTCCATGTCTGGCTGCGCTTCCCAGTACAGCGCTTCCGGATCACTGGCGTGCTCGAACGTATATCGCGCGCTCTCCTCTGGCACGTACACCTTCGGGACTCCGTTGGCAGCCGCTGCTTCAGCGAGGAGCTGAACCTCGCAGCTCCGCTCCATTAGCGTGTACAAGTAGCACGCCTCATCCACGGTTCCGCCTACGGTCAGGAGTCCATGGTTCCGGAGTATCATGCCTTTCCCCTCGGGACCTAGAGCAGAAGCCAGGCGTTCGCCTTCCTCCTCAGTGAAAACCACGCCGCCGAAGTCAGGATAGACAGACTGCGCTGAGCCGTAGAAGTACGTCACATCCTGATTCAGCATCTCGAGCGGCCGGCAGAAGGTCGACCAGGCTTTGCCATACGGGCTGTGGGTATGGCAGGCGGCTGTCACGTCTGGCCGGGCCTTGTGGACGGCGCTGTGGATGAGGAAGCCGGCGGCATTGGCGGGGCGGGACATGTTGCCGCCGATGGCGTTGCCGTCGTAGTCGACCAGGATCATGTCAGAGGCTTTGAGGAGGCCGAAGTGGCGGCCTAGAGGGTCTGCTGGGATGTTAGAAGAGGGGCTCGTCATAGGATTCGTTGCTGACGCAGATGTAGAGATGACACTTACTGGTCCAGAATGTGTGAGGATTCTCTGGATCTCTGACCGAGATGTGACCGGACATCCCTTCAGTGTAGCCTTTGCGGGCAAAGACGCGGAAGGCGAGGGCCATGTGCTCGAGCATCCATTGTCGATGAGCGGCGAAGGATGGGTGTCTTGTTGGTCGTGTCAGCTCATGTTGGACATTACTAACGATTGCAGGAGTGTTTAAAGGCGGCTTACTGCAAGGATTGTCAGTTCAATACCTAACGGTAATGAGCGTTACTGCGAATGTCTGCCATACCTTTGGTATTCCTGGCAGACTGACCCCTTGGGAGATCATCTCAAGTGGGCTCTTCTTCTTTGGCTGGTCCTCATGTCCATTCTGGGCAGAGGGTTTCATAATCGCTTGAGGCTGAGCCTCCACGTTCGTTGTTGATACTGCTGATGGTGCCATCTGGTCTTAGAAGTCTCTGTAACTCACGATCTTCTTCCACACCTGCAGGCAAAATAAGATATTGCAGCCGCTTTGACACAGACGAAAAAGGATAACCAGATGGTTATAAGATTTTGATCGATACAAGATGCGAAATGTGTGGTGTCGCGCCCTACGCCTTATCCTTACCGTAGTCGGCGTGGAGTGAAGTGGCAAGAGATGGAAGATCTTCTTCGGCCAACCAAGAGCTCAAACTCCATAGCTCTCGGCCAAAACCTCTGTCGAACGGCAAGACTTCGGCCTGCGCCGAACAAAAGACGATGCTCCCAACTTACCCTCATGGTAGGATGTAGCCCAGGAAGGACGTGTGGTAGAAAGGAGGTCTGACAGAACGCACGCGTTGGGCATTGATCACCAAGTGCCACCGACCGCGTCGAGATGGCAGAGGTCGCTTTACCTCCAGAATACCATTGGACATTGTTGACACCTACCCAGAGCATCTTCGAGGCAGGCATAGAAGACCTTCAGCATGCGTTGTCACGAGGTGCCATCACGAGTGTGGAGCTGGTCGCAAAGCACCTTCTCAGAGTCTTCACGTACGACAGCAGAGGACCGTGTTTGAACAGCATCCCAATCATCAACCCAGATGTCTTCGAGGAAGCGGCAGCCAGCGATGCACGTCGGCGAGATGGGAAAGCGCTTGGTATGCTTGATGGCATCCCGTATACGATCAAAGACAGCATGATGTACAAAGTAAGTGCCATGGAAGTCCTCCTTCTAGCCATGGAATCCATCTCAAGATTCTAGGGCATGACCTGCGCCACTGGCTCCCCGGCCTTCAAGAATCTCGTAGCCAATAAGGACTCATTCGTCGCTGAAAGACTACGAGCCGCTGGCGCAGTATGTATCGGCCGAACCAATACACCGCCAATGATGGCCAGCGGCATGCATCGGGGCGAATACGGTCGTGCCGAGTCGCCTTATAATCTCGAGTACTTGACTGCAGCATTTAGCAGCGGATCGTCGAATGGCTCTGGGACTTCTACAGCTGCGAGCTTCGCTGCATTCGGGCTTGGGTCGGAGACTGTCAGCTCAGGGCGGTCGCCGGCCTCGAATAATGGACTGGTTGCTTATACGCCGTCGAGAACCGTGATCTCACCTCGCGGGGTATGGTCCGTATTCACTCGCATGAGGCGGAAGAAGGTTGAGTATTTTCGAAAGTATAGCTAATGGTACTGCAGGCCGCTCTATCCTACTTGCGATGTCCATGTTCCCCAGACTCGCACCGTCAAGGACATGATGGCAATTTTGGACACTCTTGCAGTCGAGGAAAGTACCACAGAAGGCGACTTTTGGCGACAACAAGACTACGTCGAGGTGCCGAAAGTGCCGCGACCTGCCTCATTCTTGGAGCTCATCCCCAAGGCAAAGGACTGCTTCAAAGGCAAGCGTATTGCAGTGCCTGAAATGTATATCGGAGGCAACGATCCGAAGGCAAAGCCAACTGCCGTCTCTCAAAATGTCATCGATCTATTCCGACAAGCACGAAAGGATGTGGAAGCCCTGGGTGCGACAGTGATCGAGACTGACTTCCCGTTGGTCACAAACTACGAAGACGACTCTGTGACGGGACAGGCCAACAACGTCGTCGGGTTCAAGCCCGACTGGAACGGCAAAGAACGTGGTGAGCTGGTGGCTTTCTTGTGGGATGACTTCCTCAAGAGCAGCGGCGATCCCAAATTTGCCGGCGGCCTCGCAGCTGTCGACGGCACGCAAATGTTCCCACGACCTGAAGGCTACATACCCGATCGATACATGGAGGTCAAGAACTTCATCAACTACCCCGGCATCGTTGAGCTCTGCAAACACCGGAACGGCAAGTCGATATGGGAGATCGACGGTATCGCAGAAGCTCTCCCTGCACTTGAAGCACAGCGGAAGCGAGACTTTGAGGGCTGGATGGACAGGAACGGGATCGACGGTGTCGTGTTCCCAGCTAACGGCGATGTCGGCAAAGCTGATCTTGAGTACAACGACCAGAGCGCTAAACAGGCTCTGCAGAACGGCGTCAAATACTCAAATGGCAATCGTGCGATCCGACACATGGGTGTGCCGACGGTCTCGGTTTCGATGGGCGTCATGGCAGAATCGAGAATGCCGGTCAATCTCACGTTCGCTGGGAAGCATGCACAAGATTCGGAGCTGCTCAAGTACGCCTGGGCTTTTGAGAACCTCACGAGAAGGAGGATCACGTCCCCAGTCACCCCGGAGCTCCAGTCTGACCGCCTCACTGGCAAAAGAGGAGATGCTATCGCAAGTTCCAAAGGGGATAGCGAGCTGCACTTCGGCGAAACGTCTGTTCGGTCAAACGGCAACGCCTCGATTGAGCTTACAGTCCGTTTAAGTGGATCAGTCAGCTCAGACGTCGGGCTGGAGGCTTTCGTTGACGGCAAAGCTGTGCCAACGGACAACATCAACGCATCGATCGGTGTATGGACGATCAGCACCGATGTCTCTCCATTTGATCCGGCAAAGCCGTTGTATGGCGGTGTTGGACTGGTGGTGGGAAACTTCAATGTCATCCTGCTTGCTCGCTCCGGCGGACGAGTGTCTGGGAAGCTGGTGATGGTGCCGCAGTCGATACTCACGGCGAGTGAGCGGCATTTGATTGTCACATAGAGCGGGTAGGTCGATTGAAAAATGTTTCCTATCTACGGACTAAGGCAATATACAGGCTACATACTCATACGTCAAAATGATGGGCGGCTTCTCCAAGACACAATCAAGCACTCTGCGCCGAGCTGTAGCGTTCCGGTTTCGATCGCGCGCTCGATACACCAGCTCCTCCGCTGGTAGACAGGACCTTCTCCAAAACATCGTCGAATCTCAACTTGCGCTCCACGGGTTTCCCCCATCTATGCCGAGTCCGAGAAGCTTGCTGACTCCATGTCTCGCAATACATGCAAAGGTCATTGATCGACTATCTCAAGCTTCAACCAAGAGTACTCAACAATCACGAGGAAGCTGATAACCAGGCTGACGAAGCACCCACGTCGAATCCTCCTTCGGGATCCACTCAACCTTGACAGAACCATGTCTCGCCCAGGAGAGATACTCAGCTCCCATTTTCTCGTCAATTGCAGCTTCGGACTCTCTGCCTACTACGCCCTTCTGGCGCTGCTTGTACGCCTCGAGTGTCTCCCACAGAAGCGGCGCTTTGAGCATCTGGTTATCCCTGTAGCAAAGCCCAGCAAGATACCGCGGCTGGCTTCTTTGGTCCTCCCATTCAAGCGTCCAGTCCTCGGGCACATACTGACCGCTGTGTAGCCGGACAAGCTGCTCTCTGGGAGCCGCTGGACCTTCAGACAGCGCCCGTTGCTCAGGCCAACCGCTAGAGTCAGCTTCCGAATTCGCAGGCGATGCTTTAGCAGTCTCTGGTGGCCGTGGAGCATTGGCAGCCAACGGGGGGTATCGCTGGCCTACTGGAGACCTCAGATCGAGAAGCTGCTGGAGCTGGTGCGATGTTGTTGACAATCTCGGCAGCGGAGCAATAATTGCCGCTCCTGGCGTTGGTGGTGGAGCCACCGGTGCGGTTTCTTTGCCGGGATCTTCGACTTGGCTCACCTGCCTCTGAGCTATCGAGATTCCGGTATTGGTCAACCTTACAGCAGTTGCTACGCTCTCCTTTGTGATATCCAATGCCTGCTTGGCGGTCCATACGCTCATCGTCCATTGCTCGCTGCACGCATTGCAGAGTTCGACTATTTCAGGAGCCTCCATGGCCACAGTCTCCGAACAGTCCAGGGCCGAGTAGCACGGGTTTGTGTGCCCGGGAGACAACCCATACCCCTCCAACGAGACATACTTCTTTGGGTGTGAGCAGCTTTTGAAGCCGCTGGCGCAGATTATCATTGGCTGGATGCACATCTTGGTGGTGTGCTGGAGTGGATCGCGCTTGGTATGTAGATGTGAAGTAGATCGGAGTTACGCTCAAGGTTTCCTACTTGAACACTTCTCGGGAAGGCATCGCTTGCTGAGGCTCGCGTACAGGGTCATCTGCCAGCGGCAAGCACCATTCACTGATGGAGAAGCCGTCGGCCACCCAAAGGGCACAGCGAAGCCATTCAATTGTGTCGACAGATTCCGTGACCCAACGCTCTGCCCTGACCCCGCTGAGCAACAGGCTGCATATCGCGAGATGGCATTCTCCGCATCTCGGACAGCAACATGGTGCTACTCAGGAGTCTGAGGGTAGCAGATTGGCCTTTGGAGGAGGGAGGCTCCGGAGGCAGACACAAAAAGAGAGCATGCTTCTCCGAGCCAAGCAGAAGAGCAAGGCCCATTCGGGGTTCAATGACCGGCTATTGTGATACGGGGAAGGCGGCCGGACCTAATCGCCTTTGGCCAACGTGTATTCACGGTGCAACGATTGACAGAAACTGAATTGATCAACAACATTCCTTCAAGATTACTGATCAGCAATCGTAAGTATTGCCGTTTCTCACCGACTGACGGACCAGCCGACCTGGCCCAAGACCGAGCTACCTAAAACCCCTCAGCACGTCTTCCATGTTTGGTCTCCCCTGAAAGACAGCGAACTGCTCCCCTGGCTCCGCGAAGTCGAATTCCATCAAATTCCACGTCCAATACTCATCTTTAAAGACATCGTGCTTCAACCCGTTGCGTTTTGCCACATCTTTCTGACGTCGTATGTATTGAGCCTCCGATTCGTATGGCAATTGCCATTGTCTTGCCTCCTGCCCGCTCGCCAAAGCACTTTCATATTGACGAACTTTAGTGTCACGCATGACGTTGCCACCGAAAGCGCCACCGAAACCACCATAGAGGGAACTCTGGCGGCTCTCTTCGCGCCATTGGGCCCACTCGGCTGGCTCGGGGGCAAGACTGTCGATGTGTTTCCGTTGTTGTTCGATTATCCCCCGACTTGTTGGGTATTGTTACCTCAAGTCAGCTGGCAGCGGACTGCCTACGGCTGGTGGCGCGCCTTCGGTAGAAGAGCCTTGCTCGCGTCTGCCCGTCTCATCACCCGTTGACTCCGCATGTACGGACTGCTTTGGCGTGTTGGCTTGAGCGAGCGGCTTATTCTCTTTTTGGGATGACACGTTCTCGGCATTGCTCGAAGCTGCGAGGTCAGCGGTTTCAACGGAGACGCATCTCATGCCATGCCCAGCGTTGACTTACCCTTCGATAAATCCTCTAAGCTGGACCCATCCTTTCGGTCCGCCATCAGATCGTTGGTATAGCTCTTTGCAATCAAGGCGTCAGAGTGAGCTGTTACCTGGTGACCACGACTTACCTTGTATGATTGTCTTCGCCCAACCCGTAGGATGCTGGAGAGGTTGCAATCTGAAGACTCTGCTTGAAAGGTCAGGCTGCTAATACGGGCTCGTTGGACGGGAAGGTAGATGAAAAGGTCTAGCACCAGTGCGTTCGCTGCGAGATTAAGAGTCTCCTTGGGCAGGCCTTATGATGTTCAAAATCTTGCTGCATGGTGGCACCCGATGTTCGTGCGCGGTTGCACCGCCTTGGATCAGGCGACTACTGTACCCAGCTATAGCTTGTGACGTTACGGGTCTTGACAGACAGCTCGCAAATCGTAGGTGCAAAGACTGTTGAAGAAAGCCTTGAGGAATCGTAGATCGAGTGTGAGAGGAGATAGACGAGGTCTCCACCAAAAGATTGGTCGATAAACCGGCACTGGATGGTCCTCGAACGTAACATTCGATGACGTTGTCTGCTGAACACTAATGGCGATACACTCGGACGTCGTGCTCGTTTCCATAAGGTAGTGTAGCCCTGTAAGACCGTGGCCACTGCTCACTCGCTGACGGTCGGCCGTTTCATCGCTCTTAAACCGTCTCTATTAGCATCTGTACAACGGACCGTCGTAGAGACAAGGAGCTCCGTTCGATCTATTCGCCCTCCATCACACCGTGTTCACCAAGCTCGCCCATGAACAAGACTTCACGCCGCTCAATGAGCCATTTGCCACTAGCACCTGGCACATCTGCTGCGATGCCTTCAACACATCGTAGCTGATCAATGTATTTCCCGTAGGCGGTCCTTTGTGAGCCACTCCATTTGCCTTGTCCGAAATGGATGCCAGTGAAGTACGTGGTTACGTTCGCCGACCTGCCGTTCTCTGCAATAGCGATGTGCTGTGTGGTCAAAGCATGCTGTGTAGTCACTGGTGTGAGTCTGTCGGTGTTGATTATCAGGACACATAAGCTCTTCGTATGACATAGAAAAGAGTATACCGTTTCTTGATGGCATCAGCGACTGTAGCAACTCCTTTGATCGTCCCACGAAACGGATAGATCGTATCGACGTCCTCCGTGAAGACATCTTTCAACCCATCAAAGTTCTTCTCGTCCAAAGCAAAACAGTACTTGGCGATGGTGTTCTGTATGGCAATATAGTCGATGGGATTGACGGTCATATTGAAGACGTGATGGTGTCAGAAGTATAGATTCCAGAGAACGAAGGTGCTTTCAGTTGGGCACTTCAACTCTTGGCACTTTTAGACTTCACTCCAGGGCTTCACGTATTGGGCTACGTAGTAAAAGGGGCCAGTCAGGTTCTGGCTCTCCGCGATACCATCGTCTGCTAGCAAGCCTGCTCTTGAGTAATGCTATTTTTGCTGTCTCGGAGAACTGTGTAATTCCGATATACCCGGAGCGGTTCTCTCAAGCGAGACGTCGGCAATCTCCAATAACCTGGCCTCCTGGAGGTTTGCTACGCCCAGACTGCTGACATGCAGACACTGTATGCGTGTGAGAAGGGATCGAGCCGTAGCAAACACGATGCCAGTGTCCATATCAAGGCTAGGCAACACAACATCTCGGCCCCCATATCCCACACCCAGCAGACCTTGTCAACCACTTGCGAACGACATCAGCCATGTTTCATCTACCATGGGTACACTGCCTCAATACCGCCTGTACTTACCCGTACCCCAAAGCTTCGTCCTCGTACTTGCGGTCACCCCTGGTCCCAGGCATGCTAATGAAGTGCGAGATACCCTGCCTTCCAGACGCCTGTGCGCAAGGCCCGCTCGTCCTCAACGGCGTTGTAGCATGGCAGTACTGCGCCTGGTGTACAGCCAGACGTCAGAGTCCTAAGCCTGCGGCGTCTATCCCGGCTCTTGGTAGCAGATATTTCAGTTCTCCACGAACCACGCAACAGCCATCTGCCATCCAACAGGCAGGTCACGCCCAGTCTGCGCCCTCGCTGGAGGAGATGTTTCACCACCGACCGCAGGTAGAAGATTGGCAGTTTCCATCAGGTCCACTTGGTAACTGCATAGTCACGAAGGAGAGGATCAATGCCCTGTTCTCCGAAGTGGAGCTTGCTGCATTTGAGGCTGCTTTGCTCAATCCCACCCCTTCTCCAGTACCGAGCCGGGAGATGATGTTGCCAGACAACGCCCGGTTGGTTTCCGATGAGGAGGTGCTGGCGATGGCAAACGACTTGTTCCACGCTGCGCCTGAGTGGATGCGTGTGGTAGTGGACAGCCCGGACGCTGACACCCCAGCAGCGCCCGCTGCTACTTTTGATACTACCATGGACGATGCCGATTCAGTAGGTCTGCAGCACTCACAGCCAACTATCGTGGAGCAAGACCCAGTGGTCGATCTCGTCCAGTACTTCAATCAACAGCCTCTACCACAGCAATCAGGCAGCGCCTCGTCCTCTCCGGATCCAGTCGGGGACGTATTCAACGGGATCAATGCGTCTCAACATCAGCACTCTCAAGACTACAGCGGAAACCAAGCCAGCGAGGTCAATGCCTTCCAACTTCAGCGTCCTCAGCAATCTCTCGAAAAAGTGACCAACGAGATCAATCCGTCTCAGCCCCCTTATGACCCTTTCACAAAATTCGCCGACGAGATCAGCGCTTTCGAACGCCAGCGCGCTCAGCTCCGGGAGTATGTCGGCTTATCGCCGCAGGACGAAGGCAAAGGCAGAGCAGTGTTTGACCCGGGCCTGTCTTCGCTTGCTTATCTCCTGCCGGCTCGTCAACCCCTTCCGCAAAGCCATGGTCGAACACTGCACTCTGGACCTCCAAAGCCAACTAAGCCTAAGCCGCGTCCTGAGCTTCAAGACCCTGCTGGGCGTCAAAGGCAGAGTAAGAAGAAGTTATAGCCCTGTGCCTTCTCAGGGTGGCGGATTGTATTCGAGGTCGCTCGGTCTCCGAAAAGACTAGACCACCCGAGTTGGCGGCTCTGAGAAGGTAACTTAGCCCAGGCTTTTTTTGTCTTGATGGAGTAGCTATTCTGTGTTCGGTACTTTTCCATTCCCAATGCACTTCTACCACCCGACGCTTTGACCGAGCTGACACCGCCAATCTTGAGGGCCTAAGTGCGATGCAAATGTAGATGTGGCGTGGTGACATCCAAGGTTTTGGAGGCACGGCGATCTGATTTTGCAGCATTCCCGAAAACTGAAAGTGGCTCTCAAAAGCATTTCAATGCCCTCTGAGGGTGTTTTGAGAGCGGAGAAGGTGGGCATAATGGGCAGGGAGTTCGAATATGATTCTCACTTACTCTGTATCGTGGATGTCTTCGTTACTCGTGCTACATCACTGTCTGCTTGATACTACTTCGACCGCCACCATGTGGCTAACGATGTGTCCTCCCACTGGGCCGTGACCCTTGCCTTTGGTATGGTATCTACCACGTCGCTCCTGAAATGCTCGTTCACTCCTCCGCAACCAACTGCTCACCGTCCTTCAACCCCTGCACCTTCAACTCCTCACACTCCGCCCGCCTGTAAACATCCCGCACATCATCCGTCATGGTCTCAAAATGCGAGCTAGCATCGTAGCTCTTGCTCAAGAACACACCATCCTTCTCGCCACCCTCAAGCGGCTCGTAGATCGGGATGGCGGGGCCCATGAACTGCTCCTCGATCTTGCCGAGGCGTTCGAGACCGGGCTGGAGTTCGAGGTGGTGGTTGGAGCTGGATTCGGAGATGGTGCTGACGATGGCGATGTAGTAGCCGCGGGGGCAGACGTTGTGCGTGCTGGAGACCATTGCTACGTAGATGTCTGTTTGAGAATATGTCAGTCACGGAGTCTATGTTAGAGAATGAAGAAAAACGTACCATGTTTCCGGCCAACCTGGCTTTGAGGGATGATGAGCTGCAAGCTGTCCGCGTTGTCGGTCTTGTCGATGGGGTGGTTGAGGATGCAAATCGCCTTCACAAGATGGCCAACAACCTTCGCCTTGTCTGGGAAGTATGAAGGATCTGCCAGGATCTTCTTGCACTTCGTCTCGAACTTCATGCCCTCGCCCTCCTCTCCTCGCTCCTTCATGGTGGCCTTAATGCCTTCCACCTTGCCCGAAGCATCGTACTTGATCTCATCCACAGTCGTGTTGAGCATGTACGTACCGCCGTAGATCGCACTCAATCTCGCGAAACCCTGTGGCAGCTCTCCTAGACCGTACAGTGGGTAGATGTACGGCGACTTGCCGTACCTTGCCATTGAGTTCACGTACAGCCGTATCCGCTCAACGCAGTCTTTCGCCTGGCCTTTCTTGTCGATGTACTCATCCGTCTCGTACAACGCCATGCTGTGCCCGATAAAGTCCCTCGTGGTTGCTTCCAGCCCGTACTTGTCGTATACCTGTTTCATTGTGACTTGCGACAGGTTCATGCCATTGTGCGTGCTTGGATTCGCCTCATCGAAGCTTCCAACCCACTGCAAGAAGTTCTTCGCCCGCCTCTTCTCGAAGATACCCATAAGCGGACTGCGCAGGGCTTCTGAAGCATCACTCGGCACCTTCGCAACAGTCGCCCTTGATCCCTGACCCTGCTGGACGTAGCTGCCGGCAATCTGCTTGAACTCGATGTACCTCGTGACATCTGTGCTGACGAGGATGTTCGTGAGCTCGCCATTGCTCATCAACAGCTTGGGCACGAGGTCGATGTTCCAATCGTTCGGTCGGCCGTACTTCTTCCAGGGCTCGGTCCCGGCCTGAAAGTTGCCGTACTTCTTGAATAAAGTCTCCAGGTTCACGGATGCTGCCTCGCCGCCGTAGTGGTCGTTGCGGTCCATGTGCAGCACCTTCTGCCCTTTGACGGACATGACACCGCTGAGGATGCATTCTGTGAGGCCCGTCCCGAGGACGACCACGTCGTAGGATGGCGCAATCTCTTCCATGGCTTCTGTGTAGCTTGTATGGGTATGATGCTGCTTGGAGTCGACTGCCAGGTGTCAATCAACAGTGTGTCTCTGCTGGCGGTCAAGGTGATGTCGCAGGCACGTGGGGGTCGTTGGACCCTTGAAAGCTTGGTCGTTCTCGAGTCGTTGGAGCCAACCTCACCCCTTCCAACCTCCCTTTTTGTTACACCTCGACACTACGGACACTACAGACACATTGTGTTGCATTGGATAGTTTCACTAGGATTAACAGGCCGTAAAGAGCGATCAACGGACTCCGGCCAGGTCTTATGAGGCAGAGACGACAACGCCTCAGCTTCTGTCACTCTTGCAGGTCTGATATACTTGATCGTATCTCAATTGTTACCGTGGAGAGGCTATGAGTGAGACCGTCATCAGTTGAGCTATTAACTCACGGCGCGCCATGCAAGAACTATCTAGGTACAAGAACTAAGAGAAAATCAATTGGCTGTAGCCGTCCACCTTCCCTCCCGCGCAGCGCATCAGCTCACACGACCAGACGACTTCTTTCTACCTTTCGTCTAGTCAACCCCTTCGTCGTCAGTGTACGCCTCCTCAGGCACTACCCAGTGCGGCAGGGTATCTGGATGCTCCGTCCAATCAACGAACTCCTTGTCAAGCGTGGATGTCTTGATTAGCTTACCATCAGGACGGATCTTCCTTTGCCGCGCAACGAATTCTGCCCAGGACTCGAGCATCAGTGGTGCCATCAACTCCTTGTTGTCCGCAAGTTCGAGGCCCCGAGCATAACTGGGCTCTGGCGGCCTGGAGTAGATGCTGGCCGTGTCAGGTGAACACCACGCGAATGGCACGATCTGTCCTGTCGCTACCTTGACGAGCATGATATCGGGCGCCAGCCAGCTTGGGCGTGGGTGTATCGATATTGGTGGCGGTATGGTGAGTACGACATGTTGCGTCATTGGGGTGGGCGGTTGATTCGCAGATACATCCATGTATTTCAAGGCCTGCTCGGCAGTTCGCACCAAATAGTCCTTTGGCTGCTGAGACTCTCTCGGATCAAGCAACCTCCAGGCCGTGTCGACGCGGACGGGGGCTGCATACGTTGCGGGTACAGCAGAAGGAACACCCGCTGCTGATGGCCCGCTGCGTTGCAGCTCCGAATGAGCTGGACCAGAGACGTCGTTGTTGGCAGCTATGCTAAGAAGGGTTTGTGCGGCTTCTGCCGTTGGCTCTGTCCCAGCAAGACTATGCGCCCGGTGATATGATGGTGGCCCACTTGCAGCGGTGGGTGGCTCGACCGGTCGCGGACTGGTTGGTAACATGGCAAATTTAGACCACTCTCTGTCTGCTTGGCCTTGTTGGAGAGATCTGTTCTGAGAGCCGGGGCGAGGTGGTATACTGGAGACCTATTCTGGGGTTCGTGCAGACTTTAAGGAAGTCATGATGGATTGATGACTGACTTTGTCTTGGAACTCAGCATGGTCGCTGGCCATTGAGGTCACCAGGCTTCGATCAAACTGCTTGACAAACTTCGAGGACTTGTCGAGTCGGACCATAGCAAACGATCGTGTTACGCAGAGGCACCAGGGAATCGTTGGACTCGGGCTTCTTTATGCAGCAATCATTTGACGCGACAGTTTTCCCCCCGGCTACAGTCATGACCATCGACCAGCAGGCATGTGCTCCTGACTATCCGCTGCCTGAAGAGCATACTGCTCGCTAGGTGGGACTCGCTGGGTCACGGCTGCACGCTCGATGAAAATTGGTCCTGGACAGAACACTCGGATCTCCAAACTTAGACTACTTTACAGATGGGAAACGCTAGAAGGTGCGTGCCGACTTATGACCCGATTTCAGCTGTCTGAGCACAACCGAACATCGCTGAAATCGAACGTAGGCACTTAGTCTCAGCTATCGGGCAGGTCAAGCTCTCAAGAAGTCCACTTCCGGTGACCCAGTCCAATGTTTAAGGCGTTCCATGTCGTGATCTCTAACCACTCCACCATCGTCTCACTGTCTTCTGTCCAGCGGTTGAATTCCTGACGGAGAGCTTCCGAGTCCATCGGCTCAGGCGGGCGACGGATGTGGAGCTGTCGATCCATGAATACTAGAAACCTCTCAAGGACTAGTGGAGATCGTAGTTGTTCGTTCTCCTCGAGACGAAGGCCTTGTAGGTAATCAGGAAGCAATTCTCTGCGCGAATCATACCATCCCCGTGGACCGTTCATGGAGAGAGTGTCGTATGGTATTGTCCAGGAAAGAGGAATGATCTGCCCTGTTGCTGCCTTCACGAGCGGCTCTTGCGATGGCAGCCACTTTGGACGCGGTTTTTTCGGGTCGACCGACGGCAGGGGCATCGTGATCTGCCGCCGTGAGATCGTGGGCAATGCACTTGGAGAGGATGAAACCGGGTGCGGTGCAAAACCTTGAGTTGCCGCGGATTCTTCAGCAGGACCTTGGTTGAGACCGTCGCTCGATCTAGTTCGGGCCGCCTCACCTGGATCGAGCTGTGACATGCCTGTCGTGGTTGGTTGTGGGCGTTCCATCGTGCGTTGTATGGGAATTGGAGCCGTTGCTGGCAGCCCAGGATGGGTGGTTGCTGTAAAGCCGTATCCGGGTGATGTGGCGGAAGGAACCTCAACGGATCCCGCCATTGGCCTTCGCTCTTGATCCCCAACATGACGAGAGGGTCGACGGTCCACCCCAAAGACCTCGTTTGCAGTAGTCGGTCGCTCGAGCGGTCTTGGTCCAAAGGACGACATGGGAGAGAAAGCGTTTGCCTTGCCAAAATCTCCCAGACCAGCTGCCTCGGTCTGGCGTAAGGAGGTCTCGTCATGTCCGCCTTGAAAAGCATTTTCTCGCATGATCAACGGGATCGGAGGAAGCGTCACAGAGGCTGATTGGGCTCGATGTAACGAAGCCGACATATCGATGTAAGAAGCAGCTGTACTAGGGCCATTAGCACTGCCGAAGTTCGATGCGGACTGGCCGAAACCGCTTGATCGCTGAGGTCTTGAGCATCGGAAGCAGAAGTTGGGTTGTGGGAAGCCCAAGAGGCGAGCGGGAGGTCTTTGTATGCCATGGCAAGGTTTCCCGCACGGCTCAAGGACTCCGGGTGACAGTGCGATGCCGTTGTCGATCACCTTCTCTGTTTGAGGTGTCTGGCAGATCGGGCTCTTGCAGTGAACGTATGGTTGGATGCACATCGCTATGTAAGTATTCTGGAGGCTTCGCGCTGCTTCGGAAGGGATTGGTGTTGTGTTCTGTTGCGAGACTCCCCAGGGATGCACACATGAATTTTTATAGCGTCCACGATGTTCCTCGGTGGCTTTGATGACTGTCCATTCACTCACCTTCAGCAAACTTGACCAGCCGGGGATGAGTAATTTCTGGTGGTCATGGGTTCCTGTCCAGCGTGCTGAGGTCGGTTGGTTGATTCGTCAAGTATGAGTGCAGTAAGCGAATCCGTTATACACAGGCATACATCAGTTCTAGCTTGCCCAGATGAAGCATCCAGCAATAGGGCCACGATGTGCATTCAACCTTGGATAAACTGCACCACACCTGGATGCGTTGATCGTACCGCGCACCTCGACAATGCCTTCCGCTACCTGGTTCCGGGCGTTCCTGAGAAGATGGGCAGTCTATTGCCGCCTTGTCCGCCAGGTACCAGGACGAACGTTGCGAGGCGTCATGCCCGTTGTATCTGTAGGCATTGCCTCCAGATTCAGACGGATGCCGAAGGACTCGAGACCAATAGACGACTGTATGGTGATGATGTGGACCTCGATGTATCCATTGCGGCGCTTCAGGACCAGCTCAAGGGTATTCCTGGACCTTCTGTCCATGGAGATGCAACAACACCTGAAGAGGACAGTCCAGAGGGATCGTATGATGAAAGTACGTCGGTAGTGCTGCTTACTGGAAGCTCATCTTTAGCCTCCTCTGTCCCTTGGCCGACTCTGGCTTCGCCGAGTCGGGCTCAGGGAGCGACAAGAAGCCTGAGGTCGGTGGTGGGTATCTCTCCAACTGCTGGCGAAACGTCAGAAGACTTTGGTCCGCCGCTTTCCCCGCTGAGAGGAAAACAGCTTGCAAGTTCCGATAGCAGTGCCGCATCGACTGAGGCATTGCGAAACCCAGAGGTCGATGATAAGTCAGGTCATGGTCGCATGGGCCCACCGCCAGTGCCATTATTCCGGAACGCTGACGGGTCGCGCGGTGCGGCAGCGTCGTCAAACGCTCCGCAAGATGACTTTGGTGATTGGGAAACCAACAGATATGTGTTCCCAGACTGGTCCTCGCAGCCTGACGATGAGCAGCCAAGAACTCCACGGACGCGAGCTCAAGTCGCACTGCTGCAGCCTCATTTGCATTTGCGCCATGGTGCTTTCCTTGCAAAGGATCTGAGCAATCGTCCGGATTCTCTTCGTCCTGACGAGGTTGTTACAAAAGCTCACAACGGCCAAGTGATACCTGTGGCCTGGACCAGCATCCATCCTCCCGGAGAAGGCGAAGTCTTGATGGCCGACCTCTATCGCAATGGAGCCCTAGTGGCTAACAACACCTTGCTCCAAAGCCCGTTGATTGGTGAAAGCCTAAAAGCATATATCAGTAGACAAGTAATGGTGGTGGGGAGGAACGAGGACGAACGTACGTACAGGGAAGAGTACCAGCAGTGGGCTGATCATCCTGAAACGAGGCAAGACTGGGTGCCAAAGCAGGATTCCGTGCGTTCTCAACCAAAATAGGCAGTTACGGTGTGACAGCCATCTTCACGGATGTCTGAGCCGAATGCAGCAACCCTAGACAGTTTGTGACCCATGGCCGCACGAGGAACCCGAGTCGTAATTTATTCATTGAGGCATCGAGATTGCCTACAGCATTCACTATAGCCTCTATCAGCAAACGGGTCATCGCGGCAAATATATAGAGAGGTAGATTCCCAGGCGACTCACCAGGAAAGCATTCCTTCCACAACTTCGACATCGCCTTCAGAATCCGAAGCAATGTGTCTCCAGCCCTTCGTGATCTGTTCGGTGACAGAGTGTCCTCAACGAACTGCACGCCTCGAGGGCGAGTTTCGCTACCTGGTGGCTGGCCGCATCGAGAAATGCGAGCAACTTCGACCTCCGTGCCCACCGCATCACCGAACGTATGTTGCTCGACGTGGGAATGTGAGCGTTTGTCGGCATTGCGTGCAGGTACAGGCCGAAGCACATGGTCATGAAGTAGTTACGTCAGTCTGGGGTGAGGACAACGAGGTTGCGGTCATTGCCGCTTTGCAACAACGTCTTCAAGCAGGTGCTGGCCGTGCTCTCGAATCTCCTCCCTTGCCAGGACAACCACAACAGAACTCACGCGACCGACCAATACCCCCAATCGCCCCATCACAGACAACGAGGAACCCAACCTTGGCTGCAGCCACTTCATGCACGACTCCTGCGCTAGAGGAACCGCTGAGGCTAGCGGCTGCCTTGGAGGGTGACAACTTGCAAGACGGTCCTTTGTCTTTGCAATTATCGCGGACAGCTCATTGGCTCCAGACACAAGTACAAGGTATAACAGGAGAAAGTCTGGACGTGTACGGAGACTGGCAAGCGAACATGTCGGTGATTCCTGAATGGACCGATGAAGGGCCCGATGCGATAAGCGAGGAGCATCGGGTTCTCTTACAACCCTTTGTTCATTTGGCTCACCGGTCGTTTCTAGCAGCCTGGATTAAGGACCGGCCAAGATGGCTTAAAGAGGGTGAAGTATTGACAAGTATCCTTAATGGCCAGATTATTCCAGCCATCTGGCTCGTCAATCACCAACTCGTCCCGAACCTGTACGCCAAAAGCCTTTCGATTGGCAACAATGCTATGCTCCGAGCACCACTCGTCGGCGAAACGTTGACAGTATACCAGGATCGACAAAGAGAGTCGTTGGGAAGATGTCTGGGGGATCCTACAGCACGGGGTGAATATCGGACTTGGGCAAATCACCCAGAGACTCCCATCCGATGGATTGGTCGACATTATGCGACCATAAATCGGGAAGAGTTGATGGCTTTGAAAGGAAGCCAGGCTTGACAGTGCCAAAAGGCAGACCGGCCTTTTTTGAGGTGCTAGCCCTTGTAAGGCAGTTCTGACCGTGCGATGGGGTGCCTTGCTCCGAGGAAACGTGCAAGCTCGATCACAGGGATTTCTATCATGTCGCCAAGTAGCAGCAGATAGGCTGACAAAATCCGTTTGCCGTCATGTAGCGTGCGGCCGAGTCTCGTGTATTTGTGGAGTTCTGTACTGGTCATGAGCATGCTCTTGCAGTCGTGAATATAGCTGGCGTCGTTTGCAGCAAACAAGCTTGCTGTGATGACGCTCAACGCATATAAGACTCCTGCCATTCCCCAGACAAGCCTTCTTTGTGTAACAATTCTTGAACGAGCTCCTCCACAATGTGCATACAGCCCTGGATAACGTGCTACACGGCGACCTGCGCCGAACGTACTGCACATGGTCTCAACGAGACTAGTGGACTTGTTCCTGCGCTCCCGGAGCATTGTGACCTCAGCCGACCGCCATGTGCGTTCAAAGCGAGAGTGCATGTAGCCAGACCAGAGAGCATCTACAAAGCTCTGTGCTTGAGATGCCTTCGATCCGCCGTAGCGGCAACGGGGTAAGAGCCTAGTGATGAAGTCTTTGGAGATCCGGAAGACAACGAGGAGTCCGGCCTAGCTCGAGAGACCGACGGTGACGATGAGGTACCTGACGAGTCGTATTCAGCTCAAGCGCCAACAGCATCCTCGAATACGACGGTCTTCTCGCAACCTCAGCTGGTGCCGGACGAGTTGGACGCCAACCGGTATGTACTCGAGGACGAATCCGCATGGCCTTATGAAGAAAAGCCGCCAAAGCCTACAAAGGCCCAACAGCATACTCTTGATTCGTACTCTCATCTGCCGGGCGGCGCACATCTGGCCAACAAGCTATTCAACCGGCCCGACTGGCTGAAGCAAGACGAAGTCGTCACGAAACTGAATACGGGTCAGGTGGTTCTAGTGGCTTGGCTTGCGGAAAGGCGTTTGACGCGGGAGGCCCGGGAACAGTGGAGTCGCTCGATGAACGATCGCTACAGGCTCGGTCTCACCATTGCGAACAACGGCCTTCTCCAGGCGCCGTTGATTGACGAAGGTCTCCCAGAGTATCGCACGAGACAGTGGAAGTTGGTAGGGCGACTGTCTGAGAAGCGGTCGGTGCTCGGACGGGAATATTGGTCCTGGTTTGAACATCCAGACACTTCTCTCGATTGGATACCGCCGATACATCGACAACAAAAATACAGCAATCCAAAGAATAAGCAGCGCCAACCAGACAAAGGCAGTGCAGTGGATGTATAATATCGCCCCTGGTGCGATCTCTCAAAGCTCAGGCTCCATCAAAACGTTTGCTGTGTAAAAGCTAACTTCCTTGACAGATACTTTTGGCGCGTGATCCTGTCCGTAGCCTAGGTTGGAGAACTGCAGTCGCGCGACGAGTGTACACAGTGGTGCAATGGATCGACCAGACACGGGAGCTGTAGCGATCCGGGATGGCCTGCTTTGAACTTTCCTGTACAATTGTATTATCTTTTCACTATCATACAGCATCTCTTCTCACGTGCACTGTTACACCCTCACTGGCTCGCGCCTCTCCGCTTCAGGGGTCGGAGGTGGCATCTCCTCTGATGAAGCCGCGTCCTCGGCCTGCTCCTCAGTCCTTCTTGCGCGCATCTGCATCTCCGGCTGCTCGCTCCCTGCAGGAAGATATGCTCGCTCGCCTTCGTCCGGGTTGGCGTATAAGTTGACCTCATCATCCTGCATAGCTACATTGCGCGCGTTCTCCCACGCATACCAGCGCTCCGTCAGCACGAACTTGATGCTGCGCATCGTAACTCGGATCTACACATCATCACATGTCAGTCAAGAACATGCCCATCCCGAGAATGCTCCGTCTTACCTCCTTCATCCGCTCATCCGCCTCATAATCCCCATACATCGTCCCCACCCTCTCCCTCTCCTTCTTAAACGTATCCACCCGATTCTTCTCCTTCACGCAAACCCACCACAGCCGATGCAGATCCTCCCAATCCTTCCTTCTCAACTCCTGCACACTCCACCCGCGTCCATGCGCCGCCAGCTGAGTCGGCGTAAAAAGCGAATCCCTGTCGACATTGAAGAAGTCCCATAGACCGTGGTTCTCGTCGACCTCGATGGCGCTGCGCTGCTCAGGGTCGAGGACGGGTTTGGGGAGGACTACGGGGCCGTCTTTGGGTACGAGAGGGTAGGTCGCTCGCTGGCGCTTGTTGAGACCAGTTCGGCGCAGAGCAGACACGCCGCGGTTGGGGTTGCCGTCCTTGCGCGCCTGGAAAGAGGTGGTGGTGGAGAAGGCTGATTGGTATGTCGCGGAAAAGGAGGGGAGCAGGAAGGCGGGAGGCACGGTGCTCGAGCGGCGCAGTGCAGGACCGAAAGCGCCCGTCAAGAGCGCCTTTGATGTGCAATGCATTGCCGCAGCGGATATTGTTGTTGAGATGGTCTCAATGGTGGTTGAAAGCAAATGGTTAACGCAGCAGACGGAATCTTGGAGTCGGTCTTCTAGCGCCGGCTGGTCCCTGCATACACCTGGATGCTTGGCATAACGATTTGGGGTCATTCATTTCTATATACCATCCTCGACATGCAGCAGTGCTATTAACCAGCAACCTCGCAACATCTTGCGCCATTCCCTCGGCAAGTCGCCGCAGCCTCCTCATGCCTGCCCGTTCAGAAACACAGTAACCGACGCCAAACAACAGAATTCCTCCACTGCAGTTCCCACTGTGGATCTGACGGTGGGCTTTGGGCCAATGTTATGTTGTTAGTGAAGTATTTGATTCTGGCGCGGTGAAGGGGGGCGGTGCACCGTCCGCATATTGGGCCGACGGGAGGTATCGGGGGTGGACGATTTTGTAGTACGTTGATGTTAATCATCCGGGGGAAGACTGAATTGATGGCCGAGGTTCTTTGGAGCTCTGTTGGGCCATGTGTCGATTTGTGAGAAGGCATGTCTAGAAGCGAAGGACTTCGTAGGCCGATTCGAGCGCCGTGTGCTCCATCCTCAGCCAGCCACGGAAGATCCAGCACTGGCGTCCATGGGAGTCGCGCTTGTGCTGTCGCCCTCAATGTACGGCTTCCCCGTACAAGCCGAAAGAATCTTCTCCACATAAGCCATCCTCCACGCGGAGTTCGCACCATCACTCGCCGGCAGCTTCGCCATCAGCCCCCTTGCCCTCTCAACAATCTCCGGATCCGCGCAGCGCGAGACCGTCTGATACAACGGCTCGGCCAACCCCATTGAGGAACTCACATAAGGCTCTTGCGGCGCTTGCAACCCGACGCTGCGCCTCGGGGTGCCCTGCAGAATCTCGTCGGCAAGGTCCACGACCGCTTTGAGCCGCGAGGTGAACTTGGCCCAGCTCGCCTCGCCTTCTGAGTGGTCGACTTCGATGAAGATACCAAAGGCTATGTGGTGAAGCTTGAGGAGGCGGTACCCGTTCAAAGTCTGTATGTCGCTGTTGCCGGCTTCACGGGCGAGGAAAGCGGCGAATGACGTCTCCCATCGTTCCAGCCAGAAAAACGCTACGGCTTTCGTACGGGCCATCGCCGCAAGGTCCTCCGGAGTTGCTGCTGGACCACCCAGTGATGTTATGGTGGTGCCGACTTGTGCAACGAACTTTTCAAATTTTGCTCTTCCTTCAGCAATGTTGTCAAAATTAGGCGTGCTCATTGACGCTATGTCGCTTTGTGCACCGCTCCACGGCATGTAATCATCCAGAGAAGTTTCGTAATGAGCAACCAGGGCCTCTAAATGGATAGTGTCCATTAGGTAATGAGTAACCAGAGGCTCTAGCTGTACAGAGTCCAGTGGGTAAAACACCGCTGCATGAGATTTTGATTTTGATTTTGAAGAGGTTTTACCGATCTCCTCCAGCAGTCGTCGTGAATGCTTGACATGCGAGATGGCTTGCTCGCGATTGTGATTGACGTTCTCAAAGCAGGTAAACAGCACAGACGCCGTCAAGGCTCTCATCGAGCTAAGCTGGCCCTTTTCTGCCGGTCGCACCAGATCTCCAATTGCTTTGTTGCACTGCCGCATTGCGAATGCGTAGAGCTCGTCGGTCTGTAAGTTGTCTCGAAAAGCCTGCTTCCGTAGACGGTGCTCATGTGAGGCACCAAGGGCGGCGACGAGATGTTTGATAGCTGGGTCGTAGTGAGCTGTTATGGGAATGAGACGTTGTCAGAACTCGGTATCAAGGAATCCAGCGAGCTCGGGTGCCGTAATGGCACAGAAGAAATGGAGAGACTGCTTTTCGCGGCGTGTACCTTGCCATGTGACCGCAAGGTTGTTGGCCGGGGATGCAGCGCTGCTCCGGCGGTTGTAGGCCGGTGGCCGGTTGGCGTTCCATTTTGTGGACGTGTACTGCTTGCAGTTTGGGTTGTCGGGGTGGCAGCGAAGACCACGAGCACTGTTCGCTCGGATCAGCCGAATTTGATGTCCGGAACAAAGCCAATTCAACTTACTGGCAGGATAGGCAGCCTGTCTTGATCGCGGGACGTTTTGCTACGGGCATCAGTGGTAAAGATGCCATATTTGGCAGTCTCGTCAGCCCAACCCTATCTCAATGTCCTAAGGGCTTGAAAGATGACAAAGGAGATGACAAACTATAAGAAGAACGCAGCCCAGGTCCCAGATCCAAGACCTCCATCGATCCTTCTCGTGCCCGGGGCTAATGATCTTGGTGCATCGCCCAGTCTCCGATAGCTTGCCAAGATTAACTTGCGGTGTAGGTGGAAGTAGGAAAGTATAGGAGAATGCGAATGCTAAGTCAGCTTACGCAGCGCGGCATACCAAAGCGGCGCATCCTACGAGTGGAGACCTCGTTGATCAATGGGGCGAAAGCTTGGGGCTAGGCTTTGGCCAAAGACACAGTGCTTGTTGGGGAGACAGCGCACCATGCCCTCACGCCGAGAAGAGTAGTCGACATAGCGCCAGAGCCGCGAACATTGACGAGAACCGCAGCGTCCCATGTGTGGGTGGTGGTGGTGTTGTTGCAAGAGTCCACAGATGTCTTCTGCAACATGTATCCAAGTACTGTAGTTCGCCCTAGGGTCGGGCCTCGTCCCGAGCCAGCCAATCTTCACTTCTCCACTGCACAGCACGTCGACATGTCTTCTGTTGTGAGCAGCATGAAGTACTGCCCGCATGTCCGCGGTAGATACAGTCGCTAGCTCGATCACTCAACCGCTCGCCGGTGATTGTGAGATCAGAAAGCGTGCTGGGCATGCTGTCGTGCTTTGTGTGTCTCATCATCCTGGCCCTCGCTTGCCCATAGTTGATACGAGCGGCCTATAGCGTGACGACATAAGGCCCGAGAAGGGTGGGATCGACTCCAAATGGTACGATGTCCTAGCAGAAGCTGCTCCTAAGGTGGTTGTGATCCATGCAGTATCTCCGGGATGCTTGACGGAATGATCGTGCAAGATGCAGGTAGCCGGGTGTTTGCCACACCACCAAGGCTGCTCGTGGTTCCACAATGTCGGCTGATGGCTGGAGAACGGCTGGGCTAAGGAGACTCAGGAGTTTCACCGATACGAAAGCTCGTGACCGTGGTAGTAAGTAGGTATCCTCCAGAGAGGTCAAGTACCTGGACAGATTCAATGGCACGTAGCGTCGTTACACTGCAGTGCTCACTTCGCAAGGAAAGAAGGCAATTAGCTCCTCAAAAGCTTAAGCTCACAAACATCGACCTCACCGAGCGTCATGCGTCCAACCTGAAACCTGCCAGCACCGCCACGTCCAATCTTCAATTCACCTCGACCTCCTCGATCTCCAAACCCAACCTCGAAGACCACCCGGACATGCTCAATAGACAATGGCTCCTTCCTTCTCTATACAAGTTCTCGCCGCCGCGCTGTTGATACTTCACCTCACCACTTCTGGAGTGTTTGGTCAAAACTGCTATTACCCGGACGGTTCACTTTCGACTGAAGGCGATGCGGCATGCTCATCTCAAGGCGGGCAGTGTTGTCCTTTGAACTGGGAGTGCATGTCCAACGGACTATGCTATCTGGAAAATGCTGGATACTACGGCCGATACACATGCACCGATCAGACGTGGCAGTCTCCAGACTGTCCTCAAATCTGCACTCATGACAATACAGCACCGTGAGTACATGTGAGCGTGCGCAAGTGCATCAGTCGCTGATTTGTTTCAGGGGAAATGAAGCGGTTGGTCGAGCTCTCATCCATATTCAAGACACTGCCTGGCGCTGCTGCCGTGGGGAACACAAGAGTGAATCGGGACTGACGCCACCATAGATACTGCAGTGCTCAGACGGAGACTGGTGCTGTGATGGCAATCGAGGTAGGCAGCTCAGTGAAGAGTCAAATAATGGCATGACTGACCTGCTATACAGTGGCTTTCAACTGCTGCAATGTGGCCGACACCGACTTCTTCAGCTTGCCCAGCCCGAGTCCAATCGCCTTCATCTCGAACGTGCCATCTCCCACTTCAGCCAAGACGGTGCACAACTCGCCAGCCTCGCAGACAGGTACGCGCAGCGCTTTTGGGGGGTATGTTAATTGCTAACACATAGCAGATGGCACCTTCGTCAGCTCGGATTCTGCGGAAAGCAGCCCGACTTCCAAATCATCTCCGTCCTCCTCGTCTACAACTCAAGGTCCCACCACCTCCTCAGCAGTCACCCATACGAGCACCACCACCGGCAAGGATGGCTCGGCCTCTACAGTGACACAGGTGGTCACCGTCGCACCAGCCGCGGCTGGAGGCGACAGCAGCGATAAGTCCTCAAACCACGACGACGACGACGACGAAGACGACGACTCAAGCCTCGGCCTCATCGTCGGTCTGGCCGTCGGCATCCCCGTCGTTCTCGCCCTCCTTGGCATCGCCCTCTTCTTCTACGTCCGCCGCATGCGCCAGTCCAATAAACACCATTCCCTCTTCCTAAAAGAGCAAACCTCACCCATCGCCGCCAATTACGCCAACATCTCACCCGGAACCCATGCGCCAGAACTCGACAGCTTTCCGGTGGCGCCTGGACGAAGCAAGAGCGGCAGGAGAAGCGAGCTTTATGGTTCTGGTGTACCAATCAACAGCCCGAATCCTTCTATCAGGTCGAATGGTTCTGCACCGCCGCAGTACAGTCCTGGTGGGAGGGTAGAGCCAGCGATGAGCACGATACAGGAGCAGCCGGCGGAGTTGTGGGGAGGTTATACGCCATACACAGAAGAGAGGGCCAGGAAGTTTGGGACCGGCGGTGTGAAGATGGATCCGTGAGCATCGCGATCTTACGATGAGTGGCGATGTGGTAATGTGGATTCTTGTGGCATGATGAATGAGCTAAGAGTTGTGGTTCTGTGTAGCTATTGACGGGTGGGTCATTTACTGAGGGTGGTCTTCCTCGTATATCCCGCCGACTGACAGGCCAAGACAGAGCGACGACACGTACAATAATACGAAAATAACTTTCAATCTCGCTTTTCCTTATTGTGTTCGAACGTGAGCGTCCCTTCAACGCACTGGAAGATCACTAGCATCATCAGCAAGCTCCACCGCGGGCAACCTTGGCCGAAACCACACCTCTCACTTCACGTCGAGCAACCGAGCAGGACTCACAGCAACTACTGTCCTAGCGAACGAAGAGTTTTTAAAGACAACATGACCCTCTACCCAGGCGTGGCTCTCATCACCGGTGCAGCATCGGGTAGGAACAATGTTCTCTCGGCTCTCATACCTCAGCATCGACTGATTGTCTCCCAGGAATCGGCCGCGCAACAGCAATCTCCTTTGCCCGCGAAGGCTGCCGCAAAATCGCCATTGCTGACCAGAACGAAACCGGCCTTGAAGAAACATCAAAGCTACTACAAGAAGCTGCTTCGAACGAAACCATCGACGTCTTCAGCAAAAAGGTCAACGTAGCCGTCGAAGACGAGGTCAATGGTTTCATCGATGGTGTTGCGGACAAGTTCGGACGCATCGATTATTGTGCCAACTGTGCTGGTACGTTGCTTTCCCTTGCCTCCATCTTCAAGGTGGTCAGAGGCAAGGCAGAGACAGTTGCTGATCAGGAGCGTATCTATTGGCAGGTATTCTGAGCGAGAACCAACGCTCCCACGAGAACTCTGTGGACGCATTCGATCGAATCAACGGGGTGAATCATCGAGGGTGTTGGTTGACGACCCGGGCGGAGATTCGGGTGATGTTGGGACAGGAGCCTCTTCCCACGTACGTCGTCTCCGTACGAATGTGAGCTGGCTGAACTGACGAATGTGCTTCGTAGGCACGACGGACGGCCTGGGAATCGAGGGAGTATAGGTACGTCCTCCTCCCGCAGTCAGTCCAAGGCAGCGAAGTGTTGAAACCAAAGCAGTCAGCATAGCATCCCAACTCGGCCTCGTAGGCCGTCCTGCAGCAGGTACTCTGCCCCTCCACTCCCTGCCATACTCCTGTCAGATGCTAAGTGTCGACAACAGCATCATACTGCGGCGCCAAAGCCGCCGTAATCAGCATGACCCGCTGCGACGCCATCGACTACTCCCAAGACAACATCCGCATCAACTGCGTTTGCCCTGGCATCATCGGTACTTGGTCCCCCTTTCGCCGTTCCTCTCGCCGTTCCTCTTCCACCCCACCCTCACAATTTCTCCTTTCGACCAATGTATTGACCGGAATCCAGACACACCAATGACCCAACCTCGCAACCCATCCAGCGGAGATGACCCCATCGCCTCCTCCGTCCCCATCGCACCGATGAATCGCAAAGGCACGCCGCAGGAGGTCGCGGACTGCGTGTTGTTTCTTTGCAGTAGTAAGGCTTCGTTTGTGCAGGGCTCCGCGATGGTGGTGGATGGGGGTTATATCATCAACTAGAGATTGCTTCCTTAGTCAACGGGCTGGATGAGCGGAAGTGGGTAGTAGGGTAGACTGTCAGGCAGTCGAGCAGCATCCAGCACAGTGCTGTCATCCTGGAACCAGAAGACTCACAGGTTGGAAAAGACATGCGCAGTCTCAAGCAGCGCATGCCTTCCGCCTCACCCTTGACATGAACATAGAAAAGAAAAGAGCAGCCATCAGTATTACGAGAACCCCGTTAAACTTCTACCGAAGATTATGTACAGTGAAACTCTCCAAAAGAGACTACGAGAGAGTTTGCACCACCTTTTGTCCCCTTAACGGCAGTAGTATAACACACACACCAGCACCTGTTCACCAAGAGTTCTCCTCCTCTTCTTTGCAGCAATGGATTTGATGACACTCAAAGGAAAATAATTTGTGGTATCTTGACACGAAGCCATCCCTCTAGTCCTCCTCCTCCTCTTCCGACGACTTGCCCACCAGAGTCCATCGGCTCTCGCCGTGCTCGTCCTTCTCGTGTCGGAGGGCGAGCTTGCTGAGGTGGCCGATGATGTTCTCCATCTGGGTGTCGTGGACGTTGCGGTTCTTGCGGCCGAGGTCGCTGAGGTAGGGGATCTGGTTGAGGAGCCAGTAGGTGATGGCCATGATGATGATAACACCGATCGAGTAGGCCCAGATGACAACAGCGGTGACGACGTCGGTGTGGCCGTACGTGGACTGCTTGAACCAGAACTGCGAGTTCGGGTCCGGGAGAGGGAGTTGGTGAACGCCGCCGGAGAGCCAGCCGAAGATACAGAACAGGGTAGCGACGGCGTCGACGGCACCAATGGCGCCAACGAGCTGCCACGATGGGAAGGTCTGGCCACCACGGGTGACGAAGATGAGCCAGTTCTCGGTCAGAGCAACTTCCAAGAACAGGATTTCTTGGATGTTGCCAAAGTTTTGCACGATACCGCCGTTAGGCACATAGAGCGTGCCGCGGATGATCCAGGTAGCAGCAGCGAGTTCAATGCCGAGAATAACGGAAATGATCCAGATCTTGGGCAATTGCCATTCGACGGGACGCTGTTCGGAGTGGGCGTTGTCGTACGCAACGGCGACGGTGGCCAAATCGGCGAATAGGGCGATGAAGACGATCAAGTCGGATCGGATGGTCTCGTTGATGATGATCATGGAGGTGACCAGGTAGATTTCCAGATGGAGACACAGAGCAATACGGTACTGGATGTACGACTTCATGCGCTGGAAAATCTGGCGGGCAATCTTGATGGCGAGAACAATAGTCGAGAGACCGGGCGCGAGGAAGACGATGTCGGCGGCGGCCTGGGCGGCTTCGGAAGCACCCTCGACAGCGATACCGCAGTCAGCCTTCTTTAGAGACGGAGCATCGTTGACACCTAGGATACGTTAGTAAGGCAAACATCAGAGTCGTGACTGTTCGAACCTACCATCACCAGTCATGGCAGTCAAATGACCACGCTGCTGCAGCATCTCCACGACCTGGTATTTGTGCTCTGGGAACACCTCGGCAAAACCGTCGGCGCGCTCGACAAGATCGTGCTGAGTGGTGCCAGAAAGACCACCGTGAATAAGCTTCTGAGAGTTGTAGACCTTCGTACCGAGAGCCAACATCTTGCAAGTCTCCTTGGCGATGGCAATGGCGTCACCCGTAAGCATCTTGACTGGGACACCGAGCTGCTGGGCTTCGACGATGGTCTGGGCAGTGTCCTCACGTGGAGGGTCGAACATAGAAAGCATACCCAACAGAACCCACGGGTCGTCGTTCTTCTTGTAGGCGACACCCAGGGAGCGAAAACCACGGCGGGCAAACTCAGTCGCCTTCTCCTTGAAGTGATCGGCAACCTCCTTGGTACATTCGGTCAGGTTGAGGACAGCCTTTGGTGCACCCTTGGCGCAGGTGAAGGTATCGCCGCGGAGAGTGACAACACAGGTAATGCGCTTGGAGACGGGGTCGAATGGGGTGAACTTGTCGGTCTTCCAGTCGTCCTTGAGAATGTCACGGGCCTTGGGGTAGCGCTTGAGCGTAAGAATGGTGACCTTGTCGATGGGGTCGAGGGACTTGATGTTGTGGGACGAGGCGAGAGCTGCGCACGCCATCATCCAGTTGACATCCTCGCCCTCGGCGACGTATGGCTCACGGATGGACAGCTGGTTGGCGGTGAGAGTACCGGTCTTGTCAGAGCAGAGCACGTCGACACCAGCAAGCGACTCGATGGCGGTAAGCTTCTGCACAATAGCCTGCTCCTTGGCGAGGTAGGCGGCACCGACGGCTAGAGTCGTGGTGGTGACGACAGGCAGACCGACGGGCACACCAATGATGAACAGGATCAGGACGTAGCGGAGCAAAGTGTTGTCAGAGTCCGTTGGCGTGGCGATGCCGAGATTGCGGTAGAAGCCGCCAATCCAGGCGAGGAGAATCCAGAACATGACCAGGACGAGAAGCGCAGTACCGATGTTGTTCATGATAGCCTTGAAGTGACCCTGGTCCTTGGCGCCTTGCACGAGAGTAGCGGTACGACCGACGAAGGAGAACCTGGCAGAGGTCTCGCAGACAGCATAGGCCTTGCCGCGCTTGCAACCAGTCGTGTAGTAGACCATGTCGCCCATGTACTTGTCCACAGCGAGCGACTCTCCGGTAATGGCAGACTGATCGGTGGCAATGATTGCGTGTCCTTGGTGGGCAACACCCTCCTCGCCCTCCTCGCCCTCCTTGTCTTCAGAGCCGGCCGGGTCCTCCTCTGGGTTGAGAGCATGCTGTTCGCGGAGTTCCTTGTACTTTTCGAAATCTTCCGGAGTCTCGTAGTCGCAAATCAAGCGAGCGTCGGCCGGGACAGTTTGACCTTCCTCAACGACCACAATGTCGCCAGGGACGAGTTCGCGAGCCTTGATATCTTGTTCTTGACCTTGACGGATGACGACCGCCTTCATGGCAATGTCACCCTTCAAACTTGCGACCACGTCTGCGGCCTGCTTCTCTTGATACCAACCGACGGCGGCGTTGAGCATGAGGATAGCGATAATGACACCGAAATCGATCCAGTCCTGAAGACCGGCAGCGAGGACGACAGCGACTTCCATGACTGCCAAGAGTTAGCTCGTCGCCTTGCAGTGGTGGTGTTCGCAGCGCAGATGCAAGCCAAGCCTTTTGCGCCCGAAGGTCGGGGGCTGTCCGAGCTTCCCGGCCAAAGCTCGAGAAAAGCAACAAAAGGCTGCAACGAGCCATTGCGGGCGCATAAAACGCGATGGATGCAGCGGATGAGTGATAGAAGCTGGGGGACTCACCATAGAGGATAGGACCGGTGAAAAACATCAAGAACTTGATGAACAAGTTCTCCTTCTCGGAGGAGAGCTCGTTCCAGCCGAAGCGCTTCCGGCGGTGCTCGACATCGCTGTTGCTGATGCCCTGCTTGATGTCGGCGTTGAGCCACTCGTCGGGCACGGAGCCGTCGTCTTCGGTCTTCTCTTCCTTGGCCCAGAACTAGATGGGATGTCAGCGGGATGCGAAGCGCGAGATGGAACCGCTGATGAAGCGGCTGAAGTAGACTCACCTTCCACGCCGGCTTCTTCTTCGTCTCGCCGCCGTCATCCTCGCCTTCCTCGGCGGCGGCAGCCTTGGGATCTCTGTATGTAGAGATGTACTTCTGAAGAGCAGTGTACTCGTCTAGAATGTCCATGTTAGCATGTGACGCGTTTGCGGCGATGGCAGTGATACACACCAAGATCCTCGATGTTGCCAGGTGCCTGCGACCACTTCCTCGACCTCGACCTGTGCTGCAGTCAGTACTGTGGCTGCCCGCACCGCACACACGATGCCAAGGTGAAAGCGCGACCGTACCTCTCAGCGTCGCCTCCGCCGTTCTCCATGTCCTTCTCGCCGAAGCTCACGCGCGGAGCCGCCATGGCGCAGTAGCGATAGCCAAATCAATGGTCGTCGCGGATGAGATGGGGGGTTGGTGATGGAGGGGAGATTGTGCCGTGTGAGCAGAGCAGGTGTGGGAGAAGAGAAGAAAGCTCCAAGCTGTGGTGGAAAGAAGCGGAGCTAAAAAGGAATCCAGAGCACGCTGGGTAAAAATGCCGAGATGCGTCAGCGGGAAGCTCACTGGCTCAGCGGGCTGTCGACGGGGGCCGGCGGTGGTCAGAAGAGCTGGGAGCAGAGGTAAAAGCAATCCAGCACACGATAGCCGAGTGCGCCTTCCTGTGAGCGATTTACCACCGAGTGCAGGCGCGAGGAAGCCAATGCCTGTACGACGAAAGGTGTGCAGGTGGAGAAAGGGCCGAAAAGGATGAGCGATCGAGACGTCAGTTTTGGGACAGTAGCGCAGCCGGCAGCCGTGCGGGCCCGCCAGCACCGAACAAGCAAGACGAACAGCTTATCATCGCCTGCCCACCAATTGACTCCTCGCAATCTGCTGCAACCTCACGCGCCATGCCAACGTTAAAGAGGGCGGCGAGGTCGGTGCGGGCTGATGTGCAGTGCGGGACACTGCTCGCATGACATCAGGAACTACCGGGTGCAGCTACAGCTCCGGCGAGTGCTTTGCAACGGCGAGCACACCAAGGACGACACAGTAACTACCGCCAAACCGTGGCACGCTCCCACAGACCAGAGCGTGTGCGAGCGAGCGCTGCACATCTCAACTTGCTCTCATTTCCTCGTAATCACGGAGCGCGCCCCAGCGCGGTCAGTGCCGGGGGCCCTAGCAGTCGCCGTTAACGACTGTGGCGCCTCGAGACGATCTTAGCGGAAATGAAGCAAACCCCACCACTTCCACTCGACAGCAGCATGATTTCCATGCGGCGGCCATTGATACGGCAGCTCTAAGTTACTTCCACCAGCTGATCTATTGTCTGCGATATTGCTGATGATACTTCTGATGAGCGAACGCATGCTGTGTAGAGGTAACGCTCACCCTCCCAGGGCTGCATGGATGGAATCGCCGTAATGTTGGGCAAGCGTGGGATCCATCCGCCGGCGCATCCCACTGCCTGAGGCGGTAAGCAGCGGATGAGCATCGTGGTGGTTGGCATGCACAGTAGGGTTCAGCGCAGCATTTAAAGGTGCACCAACAACTGCTTGGCTCTGGGCTTGTCTTGCGAAGGTGTGGTGGTGCGTCCAGTCCACAGTACATAGATCTACAGCGTCTGTTAAGAGCTACATGGACACATCGATTCCTTGTTGTCTGTCCCCAAAGCCGCGATTGCAACCCGGCCGCAAGAATTGATTGCGAAAGCGTGTTTCGGGTTCAATGGACGGCTTCGCCGGATGCCACCTCATCATCTTGGTTATCCGCCTCTCGCCGATATTTCGTGCGGTTCCTTCGTCTGACCGCAAATGCTTGAGATGAAAACTCTTAAAACGCGCAGTCCCAGCGTTTGGACCGTATTACCTTCAAACAAGCGGCGGTGGGAAGAGCTGCCGCTAGAGCCGTGCAAAGACTCCCAACAAGATCGGTCCGGTGCCGGCGCTCAAGAATTCGCCGAGCAATGATTTCGATCACCAAAATGCTTGTCGTTGGGCATTGCGCCATCTCCTGCGATGACCCTGAACCACACTTCTACGAGACCGAGTAGGTGACAGTGGAAAGCGGCCCACCGACCACATCAAGCGGGTCTTCTACCAGATCAAATGGCACCTGAAAAGGCCACGTTACTCTCTCCAAGGCTCTTGCAGTCTGCGAGGAGACCGATCGCACGGCTCGCTCCGACCTACATAGTCACCAGCTTTCACTGTTGCTTGGAAGAAGTGACAGTCCTGGTAACCACGGTCAGTACACTCGGGCGAGCTTGGCTTGTGATAACTTGGCCTTGTGTGGAATCTTGGAGGCCGGTGGCAGAATCGATCCTCCGTCTGACAGCGCTCCCTTGTGCCCTACACGTATTCTTCATTGAGCAGATACTTTCTGCCGAGCTGGACTCCGTCACGATTTTCTTCCTGTGGCTACGCGTCGATGGAAGTTGCGGTCTCTCGGAGGTTGATGCTTGCCCACGACTCCATTTGACTGCGTGGTGTGCTGGCGGTCATCCGCGTGAGGCTGTCGATTTGCGGGCTGTGTCCTCCCGCATGCACTTGTACATAATTCAACGGCCGATACGCACAAGGCACGCCTGAGTGCGAAAGTGTTACTTCGAGAAGATTTGCAGACCGCAAAAGGGTCTGCTATGGAGAAGGGATGAGGTCAAATCAAGCTTGGTATCATCGTCGACATGAGTAAGGCACGACAGGCGCAGTGAAGACACACGCGACTTCTCAGATGCTGTTGCTGCTTGATCATGTGGAAGATGAGGTACGGCAAGTTCATTCCAGTTGCTAGTCCACTATTCTCTCTCCCATCGGTCTCCGTGGCAGCTCGCCGCATTCCAGTGCAATACATCACCATCATGGCGGAAGTAGAAGAATCATCGAAAAGACAGACTCTTATTTCTCAACATCTCCGTCCTATCTTGCGGCCAAACCTAACAACAGAGCCATTGACAACACAAGCACCATATTCATACTCGACTTCAGATTCTCGAACCGCAGAACTCTGCCCTCCTCACTGGCGGCGTGCAAAGCAGAGAGGAGTACGGCACAAGCTCAAAGGTATCCTCTTGAAGGACTTGCAAAGCTACAAATTCAAATCGCCACCGAGCAGCTCTCCTGACAAGAGACCGGCCATGATGCGGATGAAAGACTCGGACGACTACATTACCGCCCGTGCAGCAAACCCGCGGACCGGACTGATATCGCCGAGTGTGGGCACGCTATCTTCCAGACCTCCACCAACGCCAGAATCACCCGCTGAGGCCCTGAAATGGAAAGACGACCACCCGCCCTCCCCCACGCCAGACGTCAAAGCCAGACCAGCCCTCAGACGAGCCTTCGAAGGCCGAAAAGGCCGCACAAAGGGCGTAGCAAAATGGTCCATGAACGACGACGGCTGGTCTACAAACGCCTCCGTCGCTTCACCGAGAATCACAGCGGCCGACGCAGACACTGACCTCTGCATCTCGAAGTCGCACCCTCACCTGGCTGACGATGCGTTTATGGTGCACATGCCTTCAGCTCGGGAGCCGCAGCCGTATGCGTATCCGGGATACTCGGCGAAGGAGATCGATGCGTTTGAGTATTACAGGCAGAAGGCGAGGAGGGTGTCGTCTGAGGGTTATGATAGGAGGATACTCATCCGAGATCAGAATGTTTCTGCGTATCCTGGAGGCATTCAGCAGGATCTTCAGCATGCAAAGACAAGAGGGGCCAAAGAGAACGAATCTCAAGCTCAAATGTTCACGCGGACTCCATTCGATGCCATCAGGACAGTCAAGACGCGGCCAGCTCAGCAGACACTGCGCACCTCGAACGACGACATGCACTGTTTCGGCGGCGCCGAACTCCAAACAGCCTCCTTCGCTCCCTTCTCCTCCCCACGAACGCCAGCACCGCACTTCGGACCCGAGCTCACCACCGCGCTCAAAACCATCCACAAACCAGCACCCGGGAGTCCCGTCCTCCGCAAACCACTCCCGCACGACGACCACCACACCCCACCCACAGCCGACTCCTCCCCCGACCTCCGCCACCTCCCCCTAATCCGCCTAATCCACCCCCTCCACGCTTCCTCCCCCCGCAACCCAGCGCAAGGGCACCGCCAATGCTCCCTCGGCTGCGACAAGGACGCTTCCACCTCCTTGTGCGTCCCTTTTCGCTTGGCGGCGGGACACGATGCGACCACCTCTGCTTCACCGTCCCTCTTCGCCGGTGTCGCGCAGCCGAGCGTTGGCAAGGGCGAACAAGGAGACGGCCAAGCTTCTCAGAGGGGTGTACAGGGGGTGGAGGCCGGGAGGACGTCGGTCTTGGCTGATATACTGATCGCGGGGATGATTAGTATGCTGGAGTTGTGCAAGCGCTTTCGGCTACCGGCGGTGCGGGTTGGGGTATTTGAAGTTTTGACAGCAGAAAATGCTACGCCAGTCCAGAAAGCGGATGCGATGAGGAATATTTTATCTGGAGCGGGACAGGCGTTGGTGCTTGTGACAGTCGTGGCAGTGGTATGGCAGGTTGGGAGCGCGGTGGTGAGGTGTTTGCAGATTCTGTTTTGGCCAGTTTTGGTGCCGTTGAGGATCATGAAATGGGTGTGTGTGGGTGGGTAGATTAGGAACAGAATCGTTTAGCGTGTATCATCTATTGTCTACGGTGAACAGAAGCAGTGCTAGGCTATGCCTGACCCAAAGTCCCAGCAGACCTATGGTAGATTGCATGATCAGGACCTCGATGGCGAGTCTGTCTTCTCGCAGCGGGCCACGCCAGACCAGCCATAAGTTGAGAAGCGTAAAGTTGGTCGACTCCGTGACCCTTCCATTGTCGTCAACTTTGATCCGCATCAATTTCAAACCGTGCAGCAGCTTCATGACCTCTCCAACCAGCGGCCGCAATGGCTTCTCCTCCTCGAACGTCACGATCGACGGCTCCAGTAACCCAGTTCTGGCATTGAATTTCGGCAATCGATGTCGCGGACACGGCACGATGTGAAACAGCTGCGGCACCGAGTAGACAAAGTTGAAGATCTGCGGGATGAATAGCAGTAACAACGTCTTACTAAAGTGCCCCAGTATCCCTACAACAGCGAACACCATGCCAGCGAAGTAGCAATACGTGTCTCCCACAAACACCCTAGCCGGGAACCAGTTGTGCATGAGCAGAGCTGCTGAGACGCCGATGAGTGGTAGCAGCAGGTAGATGCTGAAGAGATGCGATTCAGCTGCCGGATGGCCCTCAGGCGAAAGGTACAGTATATCGTTGACGACAATCAAAAGCGCGATCACAATCGATTGTGCGACTTCGATCCCGTTGATGCCGGCGAGCATGTTGATGCTGTTGGGGCAGAAGATGCAGATGGCTGCCATGTAGATGTAGTAGAAACCGCCGAGATCAAGCAGCTCGCCTAGATAAGGTCGAAAGGGTAGTGGTACGACTACGTGCGTGACGCCGAAGTCGACGAAGTAGAGGCCAAGCATGGGGAGGGCGGCGAAGGCTGGGATGAAGAATTTGTGGCGCCAGCGCATGTCGAAGGAGTCGTCGAGGATGCCGAGGATGGTTTCGGAAGCGATGGTGGCGTAGGCGAAGCCGTATGATGCGAGCTGGAAGATGTTAGATTAACGGGACTTCACCAGTTGGCTGGACAGCTGGCTCACCTTCTCAAGTGGGAAGCGGTGCAAGAAGCGACCGTTCTCGATGTCCTGCGCTTCAAGCACTCGATCCTTGTTGCCGGCTCCGGAGGTGACCTCGACCATGTGTGACTTGAAGGCGAACGGGAGGAAGTTGATGATCGCCAGGAGGTATACCAGGGCACATACCAGGCCCATTGACTCTGGTCTGGCATGGATATTAGCGATTGTGCTGTGCTGGATAATATTGCAGACCTACATCTCTACCGGACTCTTCTTGGACATATCCCGCCCCTTGTATCCTCGCTTGATGAAGACATCGCCGGTCCAGAGCACAAGTGCATAGGAGAAGACGAAAGCAAGGCCGCTGATGGCGAGCGAGGAGAAAAGCGGTTCGCCATTACTTTTCCAGGCGTTGACCAGAATCGAGAGACATGCTGCCGATAGTACGGCGAGCGAGTATGTCTCTGTTGCCGTAAGATCGCGCATGCTAGACCACGAACTCCATCTTGATGTTTGTGAGTTGTAGACAGTTGTCGAGAAAAGATATTCGAGATGCAGCTAAGGGTCAAGGGGGCGAGGCGAGCCAATCAACGTGATGGTCCTTGTCGACGCCTTCCTTCTTTGTCGACGACAGCAATGCTCCCCAAATTTCTAACAAGAACTGCCCGCTGGAGATCAATGGGAGGTTGGAAGGTCCATTTGACTATGGCCACTGTCAGTGGTCGGTGAGTTTCAAGAAGCTCCAAACTATTCAAAACATGGCCTCCAATGGCTTCCACCGCTTCTCCCACGGCCACGATGACCTAGTGCTCGCCATCAGCTACAACTTCTACGGCACGCGTCTGGCTACTGCATCTTCGGACCACCGAGTCAAAGTCTGGGACCGCGATGAGAAGTCTGGTCAATGGAGCGTTACGGATACCTGGACTGCCCACGATGCCGAAGTCACGGATGTCAATTGGAATGGCCCGTACGTAGGAGACCACCTAGCAACCATCGGCGAAGATGGTCTGCTGAAAGTCTGGCAGGAGGATGTCAACGAAGCACCCAACTCCGGCCGTAGGTTCAGAAAGATCTTCGAGCAGCTCACAGCAACAGGAGCGCCCTTCATGAGTCTTGAATTCAAGAACATTGGTACGGAGAGCTATCTGGCTGCTATAACCAGAGACGGATACCTGTCTATCTTGGAGCCCGAGGAGACAGCAGATTTAAGTAGCTGGCGGGTCATGTGGGCTGACTACCTCTGCAAGACGCCTTCCCGGATGGAGGAGACTGGATTCCGCGTCAGCTGGCACAAGGAGAAGTTGCCCGCCTGGCCAGCCATCTTAGCAGGACTCGACAGGAAGTGCTTGAGCTTGGCAGTATCTGTCGGTGAGGTCGTGAAGGTCTACCGCACCGACAGCGAGAGGAAGTTCTATACCGCAGCTGTGCTCGAAGGCGCCAAGGGGCTGGTGAGGGACGTCAGCTGGGCGGGCGGAAGCATGCGTGGATTCGATGTTGTTGCTACTGCGAGCAAAGATGGCTGTGTCAGGATCTACGAACTTCACACGCCTGGCGCGGTTTCTTTATCGACCACCAACATGGCACAAGCTCCTGAATCCACCACATTGTCTCCTCAAAGCGCCCCGATTAGGCAAAGTCGCTCTGGCATAGGAGCCGGGTTGGCTGGCAGCACTAAAGGGCGTAGAGAGGAGAACACCGCGGCGCCTGGAGCCATTAAGCAGGAACCGAAGCTGGTTGCAGAGATTGAAACTCATGCAGGCGCTCCGTGGCGAGTGGACTGGTCACAGATGGGCGATATCTTGGTCTCCACCGGCGACGATGGCAAGGTGAGGTTGTGGAAGAAGGCGGTTGATGGCAAATGGCTGGAGGCTACCGAGATTGACGCCACTACTAAAGATACATGAAGCTGCCTTTGTCCTACTCAAACGGCTTATCATCCAAGCTTATGACTGGACCATCCCGAATCCGCATCGTCTCTGATCCTCCACCTTCTGGTCTCACCAAGGACTTGGACATTTCCCTTCTCCTTCTTTGGCTCGAGTATCCAAGATCAGGGCCACGATCAATCCGTACAAGCCTAGCGTGGACGTCAGCGAGGCAACTTCGTCGAAAGTTACCATCTCGCTCACCAAGCACTTCCCCAAAGATTAAGATCAGCACCATGCTGACGAACATCCGCGGCTGCTGCGCCAGACTTCGCACACCCGCATCACCAGCGATGCCCAACGTGAAGCCGGCAGCAAGCCCGCACAGCCCGACTGCCAGGCCCGTGCCAAGGTTGACCAGCGCCGTGTACAGGGAGAGCTGCACTCGAATGTGGTTAGAGATGATCACGCTGGCGATCAGACCGTAGATTGCCAGAATGCCTGAGAAGACTGTGGGCAAGAGCACTGTGTTGGGCGTCAGCAGAAGTCTTGACGGCCGCTGCGATTTCGTAGGAAGAAGAGGGGAAATGCTGACTGTAGACGCCCAAGTCAGGACGCAAGACGCCGGCAGAGAAAGCTCCGATGCTGGACTTTGCGGTGCCGTAGCTGGCGCCGAACGAGGTGAAGACGATGGCGGCGACGCAGCCGATGGAGCTGAAGAAGGGCTGTGAGGGTGAGCTTTAGCAAATGGGTCATTGCTGCTCGAGACAAGAAGGACGCATACTGCATAGACTGGGCTGGACACAGTATGGCTTCGTTTAGCGAACCTCGATGCCATGGTGAGGTGCTCTATGTGCTTACCACATATCAGACGCCATGACTGGTAGAAGAACGTCCGGGGCTTTGGATGGAGGAAGTACTGAGAATGAAGGATGGTGGGAGGAGAGTCAAGAGGGAGTTCTCAGCATGCTATCACATCGACATGATCTACACATGAGCTGGTCAGGCCATCACCCGACGCGCCCGCAGCGTCCGCTCAAGGACAGGCGGTAGAATTGCTTCAAGGCACCGACATTAGAAGCGGTCTTAGGGTTGTACGACTTGGCGGCTCCTCTTACGAATGGCGCAGCTTTCCCTTCCATTGGCCCTCCGAGGACCAAGCTGCAAATCTGTGGGCGCCGAGAAATAATAGATAATGGGGAGGAGAGCAGCTGGAGAAGATCAAAGAAGGGTTGAGGTTGTGGCGTGTTGTCGTGTCAATACCGTCATGTAGTATTCAGTACACCATCCCAACGTTTGACAGATGCCTTTCGATACATTGGAGTTGAACAGGATGCTTGCTTGGGGCTTAATGAAATTGGCATCCAACATGTAGGAGAGAATGCAAGTCGCTATAGTGTTGTGTGACGTCGTCTGGAGTAGGACCGCGGAAGCTTCAATGTCTCGACTTCGTCCTTCTGTTTGCGGGCATATCCTACAACGATGATAGGAATTCTTAATAGCCCATGAGCTCGACTACTGAGGCGGCAGACATGCCTCCCTTCCCAGGCCGCACGATCAACTTCGGCAAATTCAATGTAACGTCGCAGGTAGTCAAGTCCACTCTCCCCCATCCATTTGCCCATCTGACGATTGACTGTGTACGCAGGTCTTCCACCTTACCCCCCACTCCTTCGCCCTTGTCAATCTCAAACCTCTCCTCCCGGGCCACATCCTCGTCTGTCCCCTCCGTCCCCTTCCACGCCTATCCGACCTCTCCCAGCCCGAAATCAGCGACCTCTTCACCACCGTGACCCGCATCCAACGCACCCTCACCCGCCTCTACAAAGCCGACGCCTTCAACGTCGCTGTCCAAGACGGCGAGGCAGCGGGCCAGAGCGTACCGCATGTGCATTGTCATGTGATACCGCGGACGGTCGGGGATCCTGGGGGCGGGGATAAGGTGCATGAGTGGTTGGAGGGCGAAGAGGGGGACGTAGGACGGCATCAGAGGGAGTGGGCGAAGGATGAGGAGAGGAAGCCGAGGGGGATGGAGGAGATGGAGAAGGAGGCTAGGTGGCTGAGGGAGGAGATGGGGAGGGATGAGGAGGGGGCGGGGAGGCTTTGAGATGCCGTCTACGTCAGAAGACCACATGAAATGGAGGCGAATGGTTCTCGTGTCGAGGGTTGCGACCTCTGTGGCAGAACACAGTGCTGCATGCTGGATACCATCTCGTCGCTTTGCACGGCCGACACACGAGAGACGCCACAGTACAAATTACAACAGCTCAGCAGGGCGCAACACGCTTTCTGCCAAGAAAGAACACGCTCGGCCCCGTGTGAGCAAAAACTGAGATACAGCTACCTCGATCGTGGATATCCTTTGCTCGTCACGGCGGAGGGTGCGTATTGTCGACTCTCAGATTCGCCCTCCGGTCTCGAGTCCGCGATGGCCAGTGAAAGCTCCCACAGAATTGCTTATACACGAAATCCGATGGGCTGGGTTGCTTACCACGGTTCCGCGGCTCCACCGTTACCAAGTCCGCAAGCGATACGATCAAGATTGCACCTCCGCCTGCGACGCTTGATCCTCGAACGCATATTCGGCTTCAGAATTGAAGTGGAATCTGTCTGGTCCGATTTAAGCGCATCGAGTACGTGGGTACCATGAAAGTTCCATCTTCATTCGAGAGCCTTTCCCTGATTACCACATGGTAAGCATCAACCAACGAATTTCGAAAGAGCGCCCAATCGCATTACCCACTGCACACGATTACCTACTTCTCCAGCAGCAAGACAGTTCGCTCCCAAGTGGGTTCGACCGCAAGTGGGTTTCCCACACTGTCCACGAACTGAGAAGAAAGGATGGGTGAGCATCTGTGTATAAGTATCGGTGTCCTCCTCCACCAGATTTTCCCATCTCATCCTCAACCCATATCCTCTCCTATATACATTCCCTCAAAACACCCTCTTCTACCCCTAGACAAATTCCCAACATCATCACGTTCGCGGAGATGCGTACCACCGTCCTCGCCACCGCCCTCGGTGCGGCCACCGTCGGTGCTCGTCCGGCCACTATCTCCTCTGAGGCATCGAGTATCCTCAAGAACAGCCCCAACCACGCCCCTCTCGCCGGCCGCGGCATCATCGACGATGCCTTCAACTTCGAGTAAGCCTCTTCCCAAGCCTCCTACAAGACGAGACGCTATGCTAACCTCTCCTCCAGCGGCCCAAACTACGTCGGCCCTTATGAGGACGACATGATGTCGCCCTACAACCCCTCCACCGACCAGGACCTTCCCAGCCCAGCCGAGCTCCTGGATGAAGAGGAGTCCCTGCGCGAATGCACCCTCCGCATGGGCAGCGGCGAACACTGCAGACAGCCGCCGCATTTCTTCGACAATAACTATGGTCCCGAATGGGATAAGCAGTTCCGTCATATCGACTTTGGCATCGGGCATGGGACGGGGCATAAGAGGGATGTCTCCAGCGAGGACGGGGAGAAGCCTGCTGCTGATGTTGTTTCGCCTATCCCGACTTCGTTGTTGGTGACAAATTTGCCCGCGTGGATGTGGTCATCGATGATACATCAGAGTAAGACTACGCTCGCGACGCAGACGAAGACTGGTCAGGCTACGGCTACCACGCATCCGAAGTTTGCGGAGGGCACTGTGACTCAAGATGGCGAGGAGCCTACCGCTGCCAAACATCCCAAGGAGGTCGAGAAGCCTACCGCGACTGAGGGTGGAGATAAACCTACCGGCCCCACACCCCCCATGCCAACCACTTCCCTGGGATGTCTGCCATTCCTCGGCATGTGTCTCAACGATTTGCCTCCCGGGGTCGTTCCCGTGAAGCGCGACCTCGCCGGCCCTGGCCCTGTAAAGCCAGGTTCCCCAGGCCACATGGGTGGCAACATGCTCGCGAAGCTCTCGCAGGTCTTTGCGCCGCTGGCCAAGGCCATCGCGTGGCTCGACTCGATGAGGACTGGTGTAGTGGATGATGCCGAGATCGTCAAGGCGACAGCTGCGCAGGACTGGGCCACTATCGAACAGCTCGTCGAGACTCGCTGGAACGCCACCAAGGAGGAGATCGATAAGCGCTGGGCAGCGGTCAAGGAGGACATGAATGCCGTCGTTGCCCGGGACCTCGCGAACGCCATCACCGCACAGCCTGACAATGGCCGCCACAGGAAGAGAGCCGATGGCTGGCTCAAGCGCCTCATGGAGGGCGACGTGGGCTTCTACTTCTCCACTCTCCATCCCGTCGACATGGACAAGCCGTGGCGTCGCGGTGTGGAAGGGGAGCAGCCTGAGGAAGGCCACCTCGAAGGCGAAGGCTACCACCACCCGGTCAACATGGACAAGCGCGGCGAGAAAGACGACAAGAAGAATGCACCGGCTTCGGATGACGAAAAACCCACCGTCCCCTCCACTTTCGAGGACATCCCACCCTTCCCTCTATTGATCGCCTACTGGATTCACCAGAACCCCGAGCGCGCTCAGGCAATCCTCGAGCACGCTCTCCGCAGCGACCCGCAGACTAACACCACCCTCTTGACCGCCATGCTCAAGGATATGAGCGCAGTCTTCCAGCACAGCACCCACCTGGCTGCCAGAGGCTTGGTGCCGGACGGCAAGACCGGCTTCACCGTCATCAACAGCACGGAGCACTACCGCCGTGCCGACGTCACGCCGCCCACCGAGCAAGACGTCCTGCGCGCGCTTAAATCCGTCACCCCATCCACCCTCACGGACCCAACCGAGCTGCAGCAAATCATCACCGCCGCGCTCAACTTCGCCAAGCTCGCCCTAGCCGGAGCCGGAGAGCAAGCAGGACCCAAGACCCCTACGACGACCTACGAGGTAACCATGCCAGGGGCGGGCACGGCGACGATCATCCCGATGCCGGCGCCGGAGCCGGGTACGCCCTTCGAGCCCGAAATAATAAACATTGGCAAGCGCGGCGCCCCCGACGATGACGGGGACGACTACCCCACCATCGAGCAGGCAACCCCCATCACGACCGAGGACAGCACGACGTACAATCTCTACCCGACCGAGGAGGGCCAGGCGGAGGACGGGCGGAATCATCACCACCTCGATGTGCCGGGGCAGGGGGGGATGGAGTTTAAGGTGAATTACATCCCTCCCCGCAGCAAGCGGGGTGAAGACGGCGGGGAGGAGGAGAGCACGGAGCGCGTAGACGGCGTGCCGGAGAAGGCGGTGGTGGAGCCGGGGACCCCCATCGAGCTCGGGAACGGTTGTACGTATGAGTGGGGAGTTGTGGTTTGTGAATTTGCTTTTTGAGAGCCCCGGCTTTTCATGTCTCTTGTCGCGTGGTATGATGTTCTAGTGGCGCGTAACTACGGCTCGCAGTGAGACAAATATCTCGTCCATCGCATCACCATCCAAGCGCCCCGCTCCCACCCTCCCCAGTCCCTCCACAACACCAATAACGCCACGCCACACCACCCGTCCTCCCATGCCCCCCTCCCTCAGTTCGCCAAAATCGTCTTCACAACATCCACATAGTTCAACTCCCCACTACTCGTATCCACGGCCTTCAACAGCTCATCCACCTCCTCATCGCTCATCTTCTCCCCCAAATTCGTCAGGATGTAGCGGAACTGCCCTACGCCGATGAAGCCCGTGAGGTCCTTGTCGAAGACCTGGAAGCCGCGGCAGTACTCTTCGGGTTCGCCCGGGTCGCGGAAACCGCCGGGGCGGTTGAGGATGCGGGTGAAGGAGTCGAAGTCGACTGTAACATGTTAGCAGAGTTACGAGGGGCAGGGTGGGGTGGGGAGGGCAACGCACAATCACCGCCCGCCTGTCCTTCCAGATCGTGAATCTCGGAGAGAGTTGGGTTCTGGCCGCATGCGCGTAGCAAGTCGCCGAGGGAGTCGAGGGAGACGCGCCCGTTGCCGCGCTTGTCGAAGAGGGAGAAGGCTTCTTTGAAGTTGGTGCTTTGCGCCTGTTGTTCCGCCATCGTTTGTCAGTCTTCTTCGCGCTTCTTGAGGATATTGTCGCGGTGAGGAGTGTGTAGGTAGCGCGTAGGACAGTGGTAGGATGGTAGAGAAGATGTTGTTGTGGTCTACCACGTGAAAGCGTCTTGCGTGCTCACGACGGGCTTTGTTGACGCGGCTGTGGGCTCCTCCTGAAGAGCGGGCAAAAAGTGGTGGGACGCAGGTACGTACCATTGTATTGAACGTCCGATCTCGCTGTCGTCTTTGACAATTCGATTGTTGCACAGCTGTTCCTGTTGGTGAAGACTGAAGCAAGGGAGTCTTCTCCAAAGAACGAAAGATTGACTGCAGATGCGCTTGGACTGTGCTACAAAACGTGCAATCCCTGTGGCGCTCTTTCCCGCGCTCGGTCGTCGTTGCTGCGACAACATCGCCAAGAGAATCACATGTCAAGATTCGTCCATACCACAAATCGATATGGACAATTGGAAAGATGAGTCCCCATACAAGCGACACAGCACGTCGGTCCACAAGGACGGCAAGAAATAATGAAGCTTCAGCAAACCAGCCCCTTTCCACCACTCTCCTCTAACAACACCACCTCATCATCACCAACCTCATCAAAACGAGAAAAAGAATCAATCCACCAAACTCCCAAGCCAAGATTCGAACTTGGGTCTCCCGCGTATCGTGTTCTAAGAACTAGACGGGCGGACTGCACCATCTCACCGTTAGCAAAGCGTACAAATCACATGATATCAGCGCCCGGAATGGGCCGGATATGGAGGTGTGCTTACAATGCTGGCCGCTGCACCACTCGGGATGATCGAGCAAGAGGAAGTGAGGCTGATGTAAGACTGCTCACTTGCTTGTGGGAATATGGGAATTATTGAATTATGTATGTTGGTGAGACGGACGGGCGTAACTCGGGAGAGGAAGCAGAGTAAGGGAGAGAGACGCCAGATGCTGGCATAAACACTATGAGGCCAGGTCAGGGCAAGTTCTACTTGACCTCCCCACCCCCCTCAAACTCCCTAAACATCTTCTCCACCATCCCGCGACAAATCGGATGGTAAAACTCCCTCTTCCCCTCAAACGTCCTCCTCGCCAACGCCAAATCCACCTTCATCAGCTCCCGGAACAACCAGCGCACATACTTCATTCTTCCGACTTTCCCTACCAGCTCCGCCGCTGGCTCGTACAGGCTTTCTGTCTTCGCTTGGAGCCCGACGAGGTAGTAGCGCGAGACTAGCTCCACGTTCTTGGAGGCGGCGAGACCGTAGACGGAGCCCATTTTCTCGACGAGCGAGGGGGTGAGGGGAGGGGAGGGGGCGAGGAGGGCTTCGAGGAAGACTACAATTTGGTTCGCGGTGAAGTTGGAGATGTCGGAGGGGGATGGGGTGAAGTCTGAGGAGGAGGAGGAGTTGAGGGATTTCCACTTCTCGGCCAGGGCGTAGCATTGGTCTGCTAGTGTGGTGTCGAAGTCGGGTTTGGGTGGGTAGCCGGGCTTGTAGAACCATGTGTCCCAGTCGAGATCGTTGAGCTTTTTGGAGGCGTCGGCGTCCGAGGCGAAGAAGTCAAGGAGGGTGGCTTTGAACTCGTAGCTATCGACGCTTCGTTCCTTGTAGGTGGTGAAGTAGTGCGGGATGAACTTGTCCCACTTCTGCTTCCCAACAAGCTTCTCGAGATAGTATAGGAACGTCGAGCCCTTCTCGTATGGAATAGTCGAAAACGCATCATCGGGATCCTTGCCCTTGAGATCGACAATCAGTTTCGTAAATTCGTGTTCCTCACCGAACCTCTCAATCCCCTCGCGGAGCGCCGTCCACCCGATGATGGCGCTGAAGTCGCGGTACTGATCTCCCCCGTGCACTGCGGCCTGTAGACGGCGCTCGAGATAGACGGTCCAGCCTTCGTTGAGCCAGAAGTGCTCCCACGAGGCGTTGGAGACCAGGTTGCCGGACCAGGAGTGCGCGAGCTCGTGGGCGATGACGTCGACGTTCTGGCGGTCGCCGGAGATGAGGGTTGGGGTTGCGAAGGTGTACATGGGATTTTCCATGCCTCCGTAGGGGAAGGAGGGGGGAAGGACGAGGACGTTGTAGGTCGTCCAGGCGTAGGGGTAGACGATCTTCTCTGCGGCTTGGATGTAGGGCTCGGTGTCATGTTCAAACTCCCACTGGCATTCTTGTAGCTCCTCTGGCCCGGTCCAGACCGTCGATCGAGGGCCTATGGAGGCGCAAGCGATATCACCAGACGCCAAGGCAAAGAGATATGATGGCATGGGGATAACTTGGTGGTAGGTATAGAGCAGTGTACCTGATTTGCCATCCTTGCCGGGTTGGAAGTCCCTCGCACCGGTGGAGAGGCCAGAGGCAAGGACAGGAAGCGGAGAGCGGATGTTGAAGGTGTACTGCGACTTCACATCTGGAGTATCCTGGCAGGGGAAGAGGGAGCGGCCGTGGATAGCTTGACATTGGGAGAACATATAAGGATGCTTCTTGTTGCTCGTTTGAGCTGGGTCGAACCATTGCAGGCCCGTGCAGTCTTTGGTGGTTTGCATGCCGATACGGACGTCCAACTCGTCCTCGTTGGCGTGCTTGTCGTCGACTTGGATGGTCAGAGGGCTGCCGTATGGCTCCATCCGGGACGGTGCTAGCTCATAGTCGGCCTTGCTGCCGGCGACTTCGACGCTGGTGATGTCGAGATAGCTGGTGTCGAGGACAATCTTGGGTTCTTTGGCCAGTCGAGCGAGAGAAAGGGTAACATGGCCGACGACTTTCTTGGCGTCGAAGTCGATGTTGAAGTCGGCGGTGGTACGCTTCGTCCTCCAAGCGTTGTAGTTGGATAGCGTGTTGGGGTCTCTGGGTTGGTGTATCGAGGCGGCTGCCTTTTCGGCGGCGGCATCAGAGATGGGACGGATGGCCATGCTGGCGGTGGTAGTCCTGGTCTTGAAGAACGGGCTGATGTTTTGCTTGTTGTATAAGCAAGCTGTTCTGGTCCATAGGAGGAGTGACGAACTTTTAAGCAGTTTGTGCATCCAGCTGAGTCCCTCAGCTCTATTAGCGCTATCAGCTCCTACCTCCTAGTATGATGTTGCATTGCAGTCGACGGCTCAAGTTGTGCCGAGAGCCATTGAAGATCATCAAAAGTCACGTGGCTTTGGTATCACTAGCGCGACTTCCATCCCACATTCGACGCCACAACATCGACGCGTGCTCGAACATCATCGACATTTCCCGACAACACCACGTCAATCGCACACCGCAGAACATGCGGTGACGCGTGCAACACAAAAACATGGCCCGTCTGCGCAGTGCGCCCACCTCACAACAGCCCGCGACAACAGCATCACAGCCGAAGCGACCAGCGCTGAAAGAGAAGACCAACACCACGCGCGCCAAAGCGACCGTATACGACGATGATGGTGAAACGGATGGGCTCGTGAAAGATGCGCGACCGCGACGAGGGCGGCCGAAGAAGGTGGTGCAGCAGGAGGATGAGTTCATCATGGCGGGAGGACTTGGCCAGGCTGGCTCTGAGGATAAGACCATGGAGCGCAGCGCGCCGGCACCGACCACGAATGAACTTGTGAAGAGCGATGCGCCGATCGCCGTCAGAGGCACTAGGAGACCTGCGGCGCGCGCGACGAAGAAGACAGCGGAGGGTGAGGCAGATGGCGGTGTCATGAATGGAGTGAAGGGGAAGATGCAGGCCACGTCGCGGACTCAAGTTGCTCGTACACGGAAGCAGGACGGTATTGGGCAAGCTGAAGAGACCGCATTCGAAGTTCTACCCACCAAGTCGCCGCCGGTGCAAGAGCGCTCAGAGTTCTCCATCTCGCCATCTCCTCCACCACCAGGCAAGCTGAGCTCCGTCAGCAGGCAGCGAACTTCACTCGCTCAGCCCGGCTCTGCGCTTCGCTCACACGAGACTCCTGCCGTCGAGACCAGCATTCTAGCGCTCAAGAACTTCAAGCGAAGACCGAGACAGCCTAGTATGCTGCAAATGGTCCAGCAGCGAACTGCCAGTGCGCGGCCATCTGGTGTCGGCGCTCGCGTGGATGATGACCCGGACGTCTATGATCTTGTAAACGACGAAGACGAGCTAGAGGATTTCGAGCCGGAAGCCGAAGGCACGCCACTGCATGTAACCAAGAAGGGCCAGCAAGGCAAGGCGGCTTCCAAGAGGGTCTCGAACGCACGACAGGAACCACACTCTGCAGCAAAGCCGTCGCCAGTTGCCAACACAAGAAAGCGGAAGTCAGGAGATGTAGACACATCTTCCTCCGCATTAGAACCATTGAGAGCAAAACGCCGGAAGTCTAGCCCAGCACACCGCGACGAGGAGCCTCAAGCCGACGTCCGACGTAGCGTCTCTGTCCAGCAGACGTCCCCAGCTCGACTGGGATCAAGTCCGCCGAAAGTCACAGCAGACGTGCAAGTCATCCACTCATCAGTGTCTTCTACACCGCCCACTGAACCATCATCACCGGCCCAAGAGCAGCCGGATATGGATGAGGATGCTGTGATCCCATCTACAGAGAAGGAACGAGAAGGCCAGCAGTACGCTCTTCGTGGGAATGTCGATGACGCGCCGGAGATAGACGCCGACGGCACAATGGCAGAGCCTGCAAGTAGCAGCCCACCGGCCGAAGAGCCTCCTACCGCTACACAGCGGACGGACATCATGGCCGACCCTCTCACGCAAATGACACCTCTCAGACCACAACGAGACAAACCGAAGAAGAACAAGAAGACAGGTCCAGTGACCACTGCATCTCTTCAGAATCTCATGCCGAAGCGAAGGCAACCGCCGAAGCCTCGACCTCGCAAGTCAGAGTGTGACATAGATTCGGAGTCCGAGAACGACGATCCGCTCGACACGAGCCTACTTGAGGGCGACGAGGACGAGTTGGGTGGGAAGCTGCGGCGGAAGACGAAGTCAAAGCCTTCCGCCAAAGGCAAGAAAGGCAAGGCAGCCGCCGCTCAAAGTAAGCCTCGCCAATCGAAGGCCAACGCGCAGACTGCACGCAAGTCCTCCGCGGCTCTACCTCCACGCAAAGCGACTGCCACGAAGAAGCCTGCGAAGACTTACGGGCGGGCGGCGGCGGCTTCAGACAAGGAGAACAACTACGATGGAGAGAGCGCAGATGGCAATGATGACTCCGTGCTGCCGGACAATTCGATGAGCATGTACGAAGCGGCGCGGAGTAGGGAGCTGGAAGCGGCGAAGAAGAAGTTCGCAAAGGTGGATGAGTGGGACATGGAGTTCGAGAGCATGAGTTTCGAGGAGCATCGGAGTTCCAGTCAGGGGTGGCGGTGATACTTTATTCTCGTGTTGCTTGGGTGGGAAACAATGTCATGAGTTACGAGCGATCTGCAGTTGATACCTATGAGCCGATCGTGCCGATATGGCATAGTATCCGACGTATTTTATCATCCCCCTACAGACATCTCATCATTCATCCAAGCACGCTAAGTCCGCCTCTCATAAAAATCAATCGGGAATCCCAACTGCTCACACTCGTCCTTCCCACCATAGACATAAAACGGCTCCTCGGCACTCGGATACTCCATCAACCGCAACTGCATCGCCTTCCCCGCCTGCACTGGCTCCCACTGCCCCCCACCCCTCGCAACCTCCTCACTCGTATTCGTAAACCCCCTCACAGCCAAGAACGCCGGATCCGGCGTCGGATTGTACGTCCGCACAAACGACGCCCAGGTATCGACCGCGAACTGCGCCATTGGAATGTCCTGCTCGTCCCGTGGCGGGAGGCCGACAAACGCGATCGTGCCGAAGGTGTAGTAGAGCTCGCCCGAGTGGCATTTGAAGTACTCTTTGCTCGGGTCGCCGTACGGGTGGCCGGGGGAGGGAGGGGCTTCGCAGACGGGGTAGTTGGGCGAGTAGCCGATGGATTGGTAGCTGCGGTTGAATTCGTAGAAGTAGATTTCGCAGAGGGTGGAGTGCAGGGTCGCGCTGTAGGCGGAGGCGAAGGCGAGGCAGCGGAACTCGGAGTCTGTGGCTATGCGGGCGGTGGTGTTGAAGATGTCGAGGGTGGCGTTGGGGCCGGAGGGGGTGGGGTAGGTGGATAGTGCGCCGATGCGGGGGAGGTTGAAGCCGTTGCTTTTGATGAAGCTGGAGAGGGTGTCGTTTGGTTCGGGGTAGGAGATGAAGGCCGCGCCGTCGTCGCGCATGAAGCCCGTCATTACGTAGGCGGAGTTGATGGGGCCGTTGCCGGTGACTTCGAGTTGGTCGGTGACGAGGTATGTGCCGTCGACGACGAGGTAGCGCGCTCTATCGGGGTCGCTCTGGTTCGCGAGAAAGTAGGGGTTGGCGTTGCGTAGACAGGCGAGATGGGATGATGCTGTGGTGCAGTTCGTGGCGTTGAGAATTGGCTCTACGAACATGTTGACCTCCTGTTCGATGGTGTACCAGTCCGAATAGGTGTGAGCGTAGTTCAAGCCTGCCAAGTTAGATTGTGGAATGGCGCCTGCGAACAAGCCAGCAGCTTTCGGAGACGCCAGCAGAGCTCGTACACTAGCTGCTCCAGCACTCTGTCCAGCAATCGTCACACGGCTTGGATCGCCTCCAAAAGCCTTGATATGCTCTTGTACCCACTGCAGAGCAGTTATTTGATCAGCGATCCCGAAGTTGCCATTCGTCTCTCCATCCTCAAGCGCCAGGAATCCCAGCGTTCCTAAGCGGTAGTTGATCGTGACAACCACGACATCTCCTCGACTAACCAGAGGCCCACCATCTTGCGTCGGATCACTTCCAGTGCCTCCGGTAAAAGCACCTCCATGGATCCAGAAGAACACCGGCTTGAGCTCCCTCTGAGTCGCTTCGTCGCCCGGGAGAAACGGTGTCCAGATATTGAGGAAGAGACAGTCCTCCGAGCCCACATTCCCAGCTTGGACGCACTGGCTTCCGAAATCTAGAGCATCGGAATGTCCGGATTCGTTGTAGAGAGAACTATATGTGAACCGCTCCGGCTGGGCAGCATACCTCACCCCTTCAAAACGGAACGCAAACCTATCTCTAAACCCTGTCCAGCTCTGATCGCCAGACGCTACGGTCGATCGCCATGCAGTCGAGTTGTCGATGTGACCGGAGGTGCTGATCGGAGCCGACTGCGTGCAGAGGACCGGCCAGAGCTGACCGCAATCACTCATGCCTTGCTGGCCAGTGGCCGTGATGGTACTGCAGCTCGAGTCCTCGTGACCGGCAGTCCAGAACGGTCCGACTTGGCCTTGGTAGGCGAGGTACCCCAAGAACTCATGGGCGTCGGACGATGGAGACCAGAGCGACTCTCCGAGATACGAGCAAGCTGCCTGAGCGTCCGAGTTCGTCATAGAGGTGGATAGGACGAGTGCTGCGTTTGTTCGACTGGAGTTCTTGCCTGCCTGACATCAGCGCACTGTGGACGGAATGGGCGCTGCTCCGACATACCGTAGAGATCATTCTGCGCTAGAATGCTCATCCCACTGCCAACATCTGCTGGACCGCATCCTCGTGCCTGCTGTCGTGCTTCCAGCGCCGCAGACTTGGACGTCTCTGTCGGAAGCCCATGGCAGCACACTAGCATAAGAGCCGCGACAGCTGAAAACCGTCCTTCCATCGTGAACAGGCTAGGACGAGACGAGCGAGCAAGAGACTGGAGAGAAGCGACTACGAGAAGACCTACTAAGCTTCGGGAAGAAGGTGTACAAGCAACATTTTATGTGCCTGACTAGCGACTAACATTGTCCCGGCACTGAGCGTCCTCGTGGCACTGCCGTTCGAGCCGTTGCACTCAATGCTGCAGAAGCCGTTGTGCCGCGAGGTTGAAAGTCGTCATGGAGGAGACCAGAAGTGCGGAGTCGAGAGGTGAAGTCGAAGGCATTTATCCGCCAGACGAGGCACGTGACAATTGCTGCAACGACGCCAGTCAAACGTGACACGGTCGAGTTGCAGAGTTGAATTGGAGTTTGACGAATGTTCATATCTTCTTCCTCAATAAAGCTATAGTAGAGTGGAACGAGCGGGGCGTCTGCTCCACGCTCTTTTGTGTATACGCGCTGCGGGACGCACGCACGTCACGCTCATAATGAGACAGTCAGTCTCTCCATCGAATGAGCCAAGTGGCCCAGATGTACGTCCAACCGCATAGCCCTCCCAAAGAAGTGACAACTCTATACGCCGCGCTTGCATGCAACAGGTCGTTCGATCCATCCTCCCAGTAATACCCACAAGTTCGTCCGCCTTTTCTATCGTATCTCAACAATGTGCGAGTCAGGACTTCATGCCATCGCCAGCATCGTCGTCAATGGCTTGGCTCGCCATACTCCCTTCAGCCGTCAAAGGTGGCACGACCGGCCCAGATGCAACAGAAGCCGGCGAGCTATCCCTCTCCATTCTTGTGTCGGTGTTCTCCTTGTCTTTGGCTTGGGTCTTCCGCTTCGTGTAGTCGCTCAGGCTCATCTTCTTCTTGGCGGGGCTGGGCGTGACAGCCGCGGTGACGGAAGGTGAGAACATCGGTGGCCCGGGTGCGGTCAAGGATGCCGGAGACTGAGTGAGGCCAGCGGACAACGCTGGGCTCGACGCAGAGGCTTGACTGGGTTGAGCGAAGGGATTTATGGGCGGAGGAGGCATCTTTAGTTGCATGTCGGCAGGCTTGCTGTTCGTGGATGGCTGGGCTGTCAACTCCTGAGCGTGATGAGCGGATTCCGAAGGCCATGGCGGGGCTACAGGCTCTTTAGGCAAAGGCGACGTGATGTCCGGGCTGGCGGGCGGCGAAGGCTTTGATTCGGCTCCGTGGTTGCTAAGGTCATGCAACACAGGCGGCGCGATCGATTGAACGGAGGTAACGTCTTCCATCACGACGTCGTCCGCTGAGTCTGGCTTCGGGTCGTCCTCCAGTGTTGGCGGCGTCTGCGGCGGTGTCGAGGTTGGTGCCACTCTTGCGCTGCTGACTGGTGCTGGTGATGGTGACTTCGAGACCTTCGGCTGGTCGACTTCCATCTGGTCATCAGGCTTGGATGCCGGCGGTGTATGAGATTCGACAGCAGGCCGCTGCCTCTTGGCGTTATCAAGCACGCACCGTTGTAGCAGCCGTTGCCTCAGCGGGACGAACCGCCTCTGAGGTAGTGGATTCTGTGCGCGCTTCTCCGCCTCTTCCTTGTCCATGTCGCATTGAACCTCTGAGTTGGTGTACTGTGGCCGGATTGTCTTTTCAGCACTCTCAGCCGTCGGCTTCGGTGCATCACTGCTCTTGGGTTTGCGGCCCGGTTTCGCGGGAGGCATGCCGTTCTGCTTCGAGGTTCCGGCATCCGCATACTTCGATGGACCAGGGTAGGTGAAGTGTCTGGAAGACGTTGCGCTTGGCGTGTTCAATGTCGAGCCGCCGCTATTCCGTTTCTTCTTGCCCGTCTTTCCCGTTTGTGCTTCGGCCTGTCGCGCGAACATCTCCTCCTCTTTCGCGACCTTCCTCCGCTCTCGCTCCGAAAGCTCCGGCGCTGTGGAGAGCGACCCATTGTGTGAGTAATATGTGTTTGGTGTCATGTCACGGCTGGCCGATCCTGGCCCTGCAGACCCAGACACGGAGCGCGAGTCGGACTGTTCGTCATCGGGATCGGCCTTGTGAGCCTCACTGCCGGACCTGCTGTTGAAATGTGTGTTCAAAGGCGACACTTGTTGACCTGTCTTCCTCTTCTTCGACTTGGGTGCCTTTGCCGATGCCGAGTCTTCGTCATCGTTGACGACCTCCCGTCGCCGATCAAGCCGATGCATCAAACAGTCGTTCTCATGCTGTTGGCATGCACAAGGCCCACAGTTGGCGAGCACGGTGCTGACCCACGACTTGATCTGCCGCATGTCATTCTGCGACATGTTGTTCTCGCCATGTCGCAGGAGTGTGGGGAGGCTGTCGAGGGTGTCCCAGCCCACCGCGATCTCCGTACCCGGTTCGATCTGCTCTGTCGCCATAAAACAGAAGTGGTAGATTGAACCTTCGGTGACCAGTATCTGAAGTTCCGCATTCGGTTGACAGCTACGACGAACATAGCGCAGCTCGGTGCCCTCATTACGAGCATCGACGTAGACCGGAAGTCGAGGGTGGAAGAACACGAACGGCTCCGGATGGCGGAGTGAGGACCACCTGTTCCCCGGATCGCGCCGGTAGTCGTCTTTGGAGCCTAAATGGCCTTTGAGCTCACCAAGGTAGGCACCCTGAGCGACAGCTTCCTTCACGGTGATGGTCTTCCACGTGAGGACATTGTTGTCGTCGTCGCGGATGCGCTCGTCGATGGGAGCATCCGCTATCTCCAGATGCGCTTTGTTGGGTATGTCATCCATCTCTTCGTCCCACCGTCGATAGACCTCCTCTGGTGGTAGTCCATGCAGATCGCGGAAGGCATCCGGGTCAGTAGTGAGCCAGACAGACAACTCGTTTGCTATCGCAATACTGTCATGCAAATTGGCGTCTGTCACGTTCCAAACGTCGTTCTTGTAGCATTGGATAAATTCCTCCGAGTAAAGGTGATCTGGTAGGTCCGGAGACCTCGACAAGCTCCGTCGGCGGTTCAAGGCGGTAGCGGTTCGTTTGCGAGCGTGGCCTTTTGTGGTATTCGAAGCAACCGGTTCAGAAGTCCGATGACTGGTCTTGGGTCGTTTTGCAGGTGGTGGTTGGTCTCTGGGACTGGCGCTGTTCCTATCGTGTCGCGCTTTGTCCGGTAGCCAGCCATTGGTATACGGCACATCCCTGACCTTTTTCTTGTGGCTTTTCGAAGGCTGGCGCTTGACACCGTTCAACATTTGCACTTGCTCTTGTCTCCTTGTCGACTGTCGTTGACGCGCCCTTGCGATGTCGAGGTCAACTCGAGGCCGGCAGTCGATACAGTAATGCTGAAGATCTTCCGGCAGCGACATGTCCTCATAGTGTGGGTAATAGCACAATTGATGCTGCCATTTGTTACATAAGTCGCAGGCGACCGTCCAGCCATCGTCGTCGAAATATCCACAAACGCAGCTTATCGCGTCCTCATCCTGCGTCTCGGGCGCGACGAGGCCATGGTGAGGGTGGAAGGCGGCGGAGGGCTTGTGCAGGTGCGCAGGCTGGTGAAAGTCATGACCGTTGACAGTCTTGACAGAATACGAGGACTCTGTCATGCTATCTCGTCGCACCGCGTGCGTGTCGAGGGTTAGGCTAGGTGACAGATTCCTTCCTTGGTCTTTGTCGCATGACTGGAATGGCGCGATTTTCGGGTTCTTGAGGCCTGTAGACGACCCACTATCGACACCTGCACACTTTGTGATGTCTCTGCACGTCCTTTGCTCTTCTTGCCGGACTCCAAGAGGCCCTACAAGTCACGGGTCAGAAGCGACTTTCCACGACAATCTCCTCGGCGCAGCGGTGTGTGAGAGTGGCAAAGGCTTCGATAAGGATCTATGGCAAGTGGGCTGGTGTCCTGAAGGCTCATTGAAAGTTCGAAGGCGGTTGGCGAAGCGAGGAGGCCCAGTTGGCGACCGGAGGTGGGTGAAAGGGCGCGAAAAGCGGCAACAAAGGAGATGCGCTGTGGTGTCAGTACGTCAGACGCCGTCGATGGGTCCGCAAATGGTCGGGTAAAGGGGTCCGAGGACGGTGCGAAGGGAAGTGGTGGTGGTGTTGGTGACTGAGTGCAAAAGATGCAAGAGAAGAGCCCTCTCCTCAGTTGTTCTTCGATCAGTCACGTGAGAGGCTAGCCTCTTTCGGAATGCTCCTTGGCAGAATCGTCTCTTCAGCCCGCCAACCTCCATCTCGTCCAGGCCATCCAACGCCTACCCCTTGCCACCTACCTCTCTCTCCCCATTCGGCGTGCAGTATACTGCATTCGTTGGGCTAGAGTGCAATGTGAGCACTGGACCAGAGCCTCGAGAGGGACAGTCACGAGTGCTCGTCATGAAAGCACACCTCGCAGCTTTGATAAGAGGCGGGGGCAAGTGCGTAATTTCGGGTCGCACCAGCTGCATCAGGCATCGCTCGAATGTCGTGAACAGATGGTACGTCCAATCGGCGGCCTCACCTCTCAGACGCCGCACAAATCAGCAAGGATACTCCACCCTGTGTCCGCTAGCAGCAGACCAGGGTGAGGGCCACGCTTTTCTGGCCGACCTTCGGACGCGACGTCGACCTCCAACAGACCCGGATGCAACATCTCTGTGCGGAGTGCTGTACGGTATGCCGCCTGAGCCGCATTGAGTTGACGCCCGCAGATGCATCACGTACTGACACTGACCTCGGCACGCTTCTCTCGAGCTGACAAACTGTCTACACTCCTTCTCGCGGTGAAGGTAGGTTTGTGAGGCAAGCTGGTATATCAGGGACGATGGATTGATTCAGGTACACCATAGCCTTGTTACATTTTTTCATCCACTATGTCTACCGGAGAGAAGCTCACGAAAACCACTTCTCATACAGAAGGCTACGACCTGACGGCTGTCGAGGAGACCGAGCCCCCAATCTCGACAACTTCAGCTGGAGAGGCTCCAGATGGTGGCTTCTACGCTTGGCTGGCCGTCTCAGGCACTTGTCTGGTATTCTTCAACACCTGGGGATTGGTCCAGACATTTGGTGCATACCAAAGTTACTACACAACGGATTTGTTGTCATCCTATAATGCCTCTGCGATTTCATGGATCGGAACCATCCAAGCCTTCCTCTTGGTCTTTGGGGGCGTGATCACTGGGCCGTTCTTCGACCAGGGCTATTTCCGCGTCCTAGTAATGATCGGCTCGTTCATGATCGTACTCGGGATGATGATGCTCAGCCTTGCCCGCACCTACTGGCAGATCCTCCTCGCGCAGAGCATCTGTGTTGGTGCAGGCAGTGGGATGCTGTTCACGCCTTCTCTGGCGCAGGTAACGGTCCTCTTCAGCCGCCGACGACCCATTGCGCTTGGGCTGTCAATGATGGGAACGGGACTGGGTGGAATCGTCTACCCCATCGTGTTTCGACAACTGGAGCCGAAAGTCGGCTTCGGATGGGCAACACGAGTTATTGCTTTTATATCATTTGGCACACTGTCTGTCGCAGTCGTCGTGCTGTGCTGGCAAAAACCTGCGAAGAAGCCACCCCGGTCACTGTTCGACTGGACGGCGTGGAAGGAGCCCCCATTCGTCACATACACACTCTCCACGTTCCTTACATTCACCGGATACTGGGTTCCGTGGTTCTTCATCCCCCTGTACGGACAATTCGCCGTCGGGGCCACAGCAACCTTCTCCGCCTACCTCCTCTCCATCACCAACGCCACCGGTATCGTGGGCCGTCTCACAACCCCACTCCTCCAGCGCAGTCTCACACCCCTCCAGACCATCCTCTTCGCGCACATCCTAGTTGTCATCCTCATCTGGGCGTGGTTGGGCATCGGCAGCAGCTTCGGTGGCTTCGTCACCTTCTGCGTCCTCTGGGGTCTCTTTAGCGGTCCGCTCGCTGTTCTGCCGGCAGCTGCGGTGGCGGAGCTCAGTCCGAGTTTGAATGTGGTGGGGACACGGATGGGGATGGTGTGGGCTGTGTCGTCGGTGGGAAATCTAGTTGGACCTCCGATTGCTGGCGCCGTGTCGAATCCGTCAGAGGATGACTTTTTGGGAGGGCAGATCTATGCTGGCGTTACGATGGCGGGGGCGATTGCTTTGCTTGCGGTGACGGTGGTGCTCTTGAAGCGGAAGAAGAAGGGTGAGGGAAAGGTAGAAGGTTGAGGAGGGACGCCGCAAGCCTTCTCAAACTGATCTGAACTGGACATTTCCTCATCTAACTCCACGTGGGTCCGAAGAGGTCAACGAAGGCGAGAAGAACCAACGTGAAGGACTGCACATTTCAGAGGGCGCTGATGGCTTTGGACCCTTCCAGGGAGTAGCGGCAGCCCTTTCGGCATACAAGCATGTCCTGAGGACGCGAAACCGCTAACCTTCGGAAAAGTCCAGCTCACATAACGTGCAGCCCCCATGCGAGCTGTGAGCGGGGTATGGCCAGAAAGGTTCGGCAGAATTGCGCTCAAAAGGCTGCTTACGGTATCAAATGCAGTTGAATGCCTCGTTCTCCGGACATCGAGGGCAGAAGTTTGGTTGTGCTTGGATCAATCACCTCATAACGAGGCGTCAGTTGGGTCGATCATCTGCAGCGCTCACCCTCAGACGTGCGTTCACGGAGCTTTCGACGATTGCGCCTTCGTCGGTCATCTTACCATGGCAAGCAACAGGTACTCTCCGCTAAAAGTCATCATAGTCGGAGCAGGACTCGGTGGGCTAACTTGTGCAATCGCTTGTCGCCAGCGAGGGCTCGATGTTACTGTTTTGGAGAAAGCGCAAGAGTTCCGGCCTGTCGGCGCAGGCATACAGTTGCCACCAAATGCAACGAGAGCTATGCGTGAACTGGGTCTTTATGATCGAATGAAAGACCAGGGAGCCATTGTGGTGGATGGCCATACAATGCGCGCTTACAACTCTGGTCGGATACTGGCTCGCAAGGATGTTTGCCGAAGAATCGTGGATCTGTATGGGACTGAGTGGATGGTCATCCATCGTGCCAGGTATCACGCCCTTTTGCTGGATGAAGCCACGCGCCTGGGCGTCGATATTCATCCTGGATGCGAGGTGCAGGACGTCGAAGTTCGACCCGACAGCACAGTGGTGAGGCTTCACGATGGCCGGACCTTTGCTGGCCATGTTGTCATCGGGGCAGATGGGTTGTGGTCGCAGATGAGGAGGTCTGCATGGCAGGACCACACCGAACCTTCCGAGACCGGCGATCTGGCATACCGTGGCACCTTTTCAGCAGACCAACTCAAGGACATGCGAGATGAAGGCGTGGATGAGTTGCTGGAGGCTTCCGACGTCCAGGTGTGGATGGGTCCGGGGAAGCATGTGGTCTTCTACCCGCTCAATGGTGGGACGCAGTATAACCTTGTCTTGCTGTAGGTCATTGCTATCGTCGGCCTGCGCGCCCACTCACTGACTTCCTGAAAGACGACCGGACAACTTGCCACCCAATACACGAACGGGAGTCGGAAGTCTCGACGAAATGCGCCAAACCTTCGAAGGCTGGGATCCTCGTCTCACACGCATGATCGCGCAGTTAGACACAGCGCTGAAATGGAAGCTATGCCACTGCGAGGAACTCGAGACATGGGTGAAAGGCAGTATTGCGCTACTGGGAGATGCATGCCACCCTACGCTCCCCTACCAAGCCCAAGGCGCCGCCATGGCGGTCGAAGATGGTTTGGTCCTCGGTGTCCTGCTCGGGCGGCTTCAGCAGTCTCCAGAGCTGACACAGGATGGCACGAAGCAACAGGCTTTGAACCAGGTGTTGGCGCTCTACGAACGGCTGCGCAAGGCGCGGACTACGATTAATGTGCAGGGCGCGCTGAATATGCGGGATTTCTTCCACCTGGGAGATGGGGAGGAGCAGGTGTGGCGAGATGGGATTATGCGGGAGTATAACGAGTCTGGGGCGTGGCCGGAGGGGTGTAGGTGGAATTGGGGGGATGTGGGGTATGAGCGGTCGTTGTTGGGGTTTGATTTGGTGGTGGATGCTGGGGGGCAGTTCGATCGGTGGAGGGAGGGTAGGGAAGCGTAGCACCTAAATTTGATGCATGAGCTCGTTCAATGTGTTCCTCTTGACAAGGTGTCAAGTGATCCGGAGAAGCCCAACAGCGGAATCAGTTCAAGGTGATTAGGGAGGTCCTTGTGGCATTGCTTGTGCACGACTTTATGATGAAATGCGTCCAGCTCCAGATCCCTTCCTCAGCCAGAGCGCCAGAAAGTCCGTATGCTCTCCTCTCGTTCGCTTTGCCTTGGAAGCGCAGGTTCGAGACCAGCATGATCCAGCGCCGGTCCACTCAGACTTTGGCGGCATTGATGGCCTTCATACCCTTCCAGAACAACCGCAAACAGACCGCATTACCCATCCACCAGCAAATTCCTCTCATCTGACTCAACAGCGGCTTGTCAACCAGAACATAAATCGCCACATAAGCCAGCCGCGCCACCGTATACACCAGCGCACTAGCATTCACGTCTGTAGTATCCAGCCCAGCGACATGCGACCAAATCATCGCAGCGGCAAATACTGCGTAATTTTCGTAAGAGTTCGCGTGCGCGCCTTCGTTCCGCTTAAGCATGTCGAGCTGCTTCTGGGTGATTTTGCCGCTCGAGACTGCCGCGGGGCCGTACTTGGAGAGGTCTTCGCGCGGGCTGACGTTGTGGTCGATGCCGAGGATTTGTTTGAGTGTACGGCTTGACGTGAGGCCGTATGCCCAGATGAAGTGGAAGATCAGATATGCGCCAGCGTAGGAGGGGGGTTGGCCAAGGCCGGTTGGGGTGCGGAGGCCGAGGGTTGTTGCGAGGGAGGCCATGGTTGGGGGGCGGGGGAAGAGGAGATGACGGTGGATGGAGTTAATGAGACTATATACTTAACTGGGTCGCGTCGGAATGGAATGTTCAGCTCGCTTCCGTACTGTTTGCTGTATTGAGGCACGTGGCGCGCGAGTAGCACGATTCTGGAAGATGAAGTCGTGAGGGAGGTGGAGCTCGCTTAAAGCCGGGCAAAACTCCGTTGCGAAAAGTGTCTGAATTCGACCTCACCTTCGAGATATCCGGACACCAAACGTCAAGATGTTCGCGGTCAAAGGCTGGTCCGTGGACGCATCGTCACTGAAGCCTCAGACTGAGGTCTTCAAGTCAAAAGCAAGGGAAGAGAAGAACAGCAAGAAGCGGAAGCGCGGTCACCCACAAGAAGCGAAGCAGGATCCCAATATAAGAGCCGATGACGTTGGCCGCCTGTGGGAACAGCATGTCGAGGGCGGAGGTCCTACGAAGAGCCAGAAGGTTAGGAAGCGCAAGAAGCAGAAGCTGGAGCAGGGGAAGGATGATGAGGAAGCAAAGCCAGAAGCTGGGGAGGAAGAGGTGAAGGCGCCACAAGAGGGGAAGAAGAAGAAAAAGAACAAGTCAAAGGTCGAGCAGCAGGCAGATGAAGGAGCCAAGAGCGTACAATCTATCAAGCCAAAGGTCACCAATGGTACAGCGAAGGATGGCGACAAGAATGGTGCTGTTGCCGAGATCACGACTGTTCTCCCAGCAAAGGAGAAACTCACGCCTATGCAATCCGCCATGCGACAGAAGCTGGTATCATCTCGCTTCCGCTACCTCAACCAGACACTGTATACCGAGCCTTCGGTGAAGGCGCAGCAGCTCTTCGACCAGGACCCAGCAATGTTCGACGACTACCACGCAGGCTTCCGCCAGCAAGTCTCGGTCTGGCCTGAGAACCCACTTGACACATTCATCGCCGAAGTTCGACGGAGGGCGAAGATCAAGTCACCACGCAACCCGAACAGGCAGAAGACCAACGATGAGCTACTTCCCAGATCGAGAGGCACCTGCACGGTAGCAGACCTGGGCTGCGGTGATGCCAGACTCGCAGAGACCTTGACGAAAGCGAACGAGCACACCAAGTTCCACCTCGATCTAAAGTCATTCGATCTATATTCACCTTCGCCACATGTGACCAAAGCCGACATCTCCGACCTCCCACTCAAAGACGATTCTGTGGATGTTGCAATTTTCTGTCTGGCTCTCATGGGCACAAACTGGATCTCGTTCGTTGAAGAAGCCTACCGCATTCTGCACTGGAAAGGAGAGCTCTGGATCGCCGAAATCAAGTCACGCTTCGGTCGCGTCAGTAGAGCCGGCAAGCCCGTCGAGCACAGCGTAGGTAACAAGAAGAAGCAACTCGCCATGCAAAAGGCTCGAGAAACGAAGCAGCGCGAGGATCAAGAGGTGAATGAGCAAGAAGTCCTGCAGACAGCAGTCGATGGCGTTCAAACGAGCAAGCAGGAGACCGATGTTTCCGCGTTTGTCGATGTGCTCAAGAGACGCGGCTTCGTTCTCAAGCCACCCGCCGAACAACATGTCGACCTCAGCAACACGATGTTTGTCAAGATGGAGTTTGTCAAAGCAGCGGTGCCGACGAAGGGCAAAGGCGTGCCGAAAGAACAGCCCAAGGAGCAGCCGAAGGGGGCGTTCAATACGAAGAGGAAGTTCATCCCGGATGAGGATGAGCCGGCTACGGAGGACGAGGCGACCGTGCTGAAGCCTTGTCTGTACAAGATTAGATGAGGGGCATAATCTTCCGACCTGGTGGGACATGGAACAGGGCTCCGAGAGTCTCGATGCGGTAGACAGAGCTGTGCGATACCTCCAGAACCAATTTTCGCTCAGTAGTGGGTACATTGCCAGAATTCCGTTCGCTGCAATAGAGTTCTGGTGTTTCCATACACTTCTCCTACATGCTTACCTTTCAGCATCTTCTCCTTGTCAATAAAGCTCCTAAAGAGTATTACAGTTCCTATACTTGCTCCACTACACTTCACATCTCAGAGCTCTGAGCAGCATAAGTACAGCTTCCCCCCAGCACTGACTGAGTCTTCATAAACTACCACATCCGCCTCTGCAACCACAATCACTTTCACATCAACTTTCACATTCACAACCATCACCAACAACATCAATCACAACATGTCTTCTTCACCTTCACTCCGACTGAACGATCGCCGCCATAGCCTCGACAACGTTCAGCAACTCAACATAGGCGTCGACCAACCGTCTAACAACACACCATCAGAGCCTCCTACAGACTCTCGACCGTCAACCCCAGGTTCAGTCTATCACTAGCGTCACGATCGGCATATCACCACTGATCGTTCTGGACGACCACGTGCGGCGTCTTGTCCGATTTCTGCAGGGCTAATCGACTTCTCCGGCGATGAAGCGCCTTCTCGATCAGTCACGAGCTCGACTGTTCCTGGTGTCAACGATACTGGATCACATACTATAGGAACGATCACTCCGACAACGACAAACACTTCGGCAATTTCAGTCGACAGTCAGAACGAGACAGGACAAGCAGAGTCCGACGGTTGGTCTGATGTCTGGGACCAACTATACCGTTATCCGCGGTCAGGACCAACAATGTATTCTGAAAGATTCGTTCGCAAGAATAAGCTGGTCGAAAGGTCTGATTTGTACGGTAACTTTGGGGTTAGGGACGAGGGCTGCGAGTTTTGCTATGAACAGGAGATGGAGTATTGCCATGGACAGGAGACGGAGTGTGAGCGTCTCGAACGATATCTAGGCTCGAAGTTTATGGATGCTATTGGTATCGAGGGGTGTGTCTATTGGGTAGCAATAGCATTGGTATGGCAAGATTGATCCAATACTGCAGTTTTCCAGATGTCCCATGTAATGTGGTAACCAATCAACTGTTGATTGCCGGAAGAGTGGTACGGTATCAAGAAAGCCCAAACTCTAAAGATGTATACCGAACTCAACTGCTCGAAGTCGACAAAAACGACCATATTTTCGAACTCAACTGACGATGTTACTCCACTACATAGAGCATTTGTGCTACTGAGCAGTATAAGCATACGATGCCTCCCACTCGAAAAACACCCATCAAACGCAAGCAAGATCGATCACCTGTCTTCAATCCAAACCATCAATCACTATCAACCTTCATACCAACCAGCAACCAGTAAGCCTCCCTCTTCTCCAACTTCACAACAACACCATCGATTGCTAACACTCGCTGCAGTCCCACCAACTCACATCCGTTCTTCGAGAATCCAAATCCAAAGATCCTTTCAACCAAGTAAGTCCCACCCCTTCTCCAACAACCTAACAAGACCACAACCAACTTACACCCGCTGTAGTCGCACCCATCCCATCCCGATCCTCGAAAATGTCTTCCACCAACCGCTTCGCCCCCCTCGCCGTCGAGATGGAAGCAGAAGAAGCCATCTCCCTCCTCCAAGCCTTGCCCTATTACGGCAAATTCACCTGCCGCCAACTCGGCTACGGCGTCGGGACAGTCAGCGAGCAGACGATCCTCTGCCGCGGCGAGATCCCGTACTTGCGGGAGCGGAAGTCCCAGAGACTTCGAAATCTAATCTGGCGGTTCTTGAAGAGTGAGTGGCAGTGGCATACCGACCAGCTCCGGCAGATCCAAGAGCAGGAGCGTCAGCAGGAGGAGCGGAGGCTCAATCGTCGCGATTCGGGTGTTGTGTGGTATGCTTTTTAGTGAGGCCATTGTAGCGGGTGTGGAGGGCAGGTTGGTCTGAGCCGGTGTTCGAGAAGGGGCGCGTCGTCAGCGGGCGGGCGTTTGTTCTCCACCGTCGAGACATCTGAGGCGCCACCACAGCGAGAGTGAAGGGCAGATTGCATTGGGTTGGCGTTCGAGAAGCGGCATTTGTATTTTAGTCTGTACAACAATGTACCATCATCATCTTACTTCTTCTTGCCACCGTCCTCTCCTGTCCGCCGAGGGCTTTGTACCAGTATCAACATCATCGAAATCGTCAACCTCTTCCGTGCTCCCACTATGCGCACTTCCCTGGTCGTTGTGCTCAAGCTCACGGTGAGCTTCCTGAGCTTGCTGCAACCTCTGCTGTGCCGGTCCCGGCTTCCTCAGCCCAAAGAAATCCTCGGTTTGTAGGCCCCTCACGTCGTCTCCACGAATGCCACGCATCCTCTTCCCACTCTGCGTCTGCGTCCTGATGTACTCCCTAACCGGCACCATCGCTGCGTCACGACAAGCCTCCTTGATATCGCTTCCGCTCATTCCTGCACTCAGCCGCACGAGCACATCGAGTTCGAACGCCGCTCTCCTCCCATTTGAGCCATTTACTCTTGTGGATGACGCAGTCTCGTAATCGGCCTGAGTATCCGTCGTGTCGATCTTCGTATCTCTCAACGTCAGCTCAAATATCGACCGCCGTTGCGCCGCATTCGGTAGCCCGACTGCAAACTTCTTCGGCATTCTCCTCAAGATAGCCTCATCAATATCCTGTATCCGGTTCGTGGCACCCATCACACAAATCCGTTGATTGCCGCCTTCCGTCGTTGCAGAAGCCAAGCCGTCCCAATGTGTCATGAACTCGGCCTTGACCATACCGCTTGCCTCGTGCTCGCCGCTGCGGCGAGTGCCGAGAACAGCGTCAATTTCGTCAATAAAGACGATAGCTGGCTGCAGCTTCCGCGCAAGCGAGAACACTGCTGCGACGAGCTTATTGCTATCGCCATACCATTTCTCCGTCAGCGTGGAGATGTGAAGGTTGATGAAGCAAGCACCCGACTCGCGCGCCAGAGCTTTGGCAAGCATCGTCTTGCCGCATCCTGGAGGGCCATACAGAAGCACGCCTGATGGTGCGGTTAAGAGCGAAGAGTGGCCAGAGTAGAGATGGGGAAGCGTAAGCGGATAGATGACAGCTTCGCGCAGCTCCTCGATAATCTCATCCAGCCCTCCTATATCCTTGAAGGTGACTGGAATGTCAGCCGGGGACACCACCTCCCCTGCGATTACCTGCTCATACTGAGTCAGGTCAAAGTCCTGTACGCGCTTCCGCGGTGGCGATCGCCTTCTTCTTCTCCTGCGTCGGCTGCGACTTCGACTTTGCTCGCCTTCTGATTCTGTGTCTGTGTAGTCCTCGTCGTCGCTGGGATCGTCGAGTCGGTTGTTGCTGGAGAAGATGGAGTTGAGTCGGTTGCTGGCGGCGACTGCCTTTTGCTGCGCCTCTCGTTTGGCATTAGCATCGGGGTCGAGACGTCTGAGTGTCTCCGAGGCGAAGAAGTATAGGGCGATGGGCTGTATGCGCTCGTTAGCATCGTCCTTACGAGGTAGACGGTGTTGAGCGTACCAAGGCTGCGGCTAGTACAAGGTCCCGAATGAAAACACCGAGTTTCCTATCGTCGGCGCCCATTGTGGGCGAAGAGTATGAACAGCAGTGTGTACGATATACGTTCACGAGGACATGTTTGCTCTTCGGAGTGAGGATGAAGGTCGCTGGCATCGCCACACGTGGCTTCTTCTTCAGCCACTTCCTCTTATCGCGCCTCGGTCCGAGCGATAACGTGGACGCGTTTCAACGCGACTTCCCAAAATCACATGCATTCATCAAGTACCACGTCGAACACTGGACAGACATGGCACCAGCAGCAGTCGAGGAGATTGGTCCAGCAAGCGGTCCGGATGTCCAGCTCAAGCCGGAGACAGGAGCGTCAAATGGTAAAACAGAACAAGATCCATCAAAACCTCACGAAGAGTACCAATATCTGAACCTCATCCGCGACATCCTGCGAAATGGTGAACATCGACCAGACAGGACAGGTACTGGAACACTGGCTATACCTTTCCCACCGCAGCACAGATATAGTCTTTCGACTGCAACAGGAGCCCTCGTCTTGCCACTGCTCACGAGCAAACGCGTCTTCCTGCGTGCCGTCCTTGCGGAGCTACTCTGGTTCGTCTCCGGCGACACGAATGCAAAGAACCTTCAAGATCAGAACGTCAAGATCTGGGATGGCAACGCATCGCGCGCCTATCTTGACTCCATCGGCCTCGGACACCGCGAGGAAGGCGATCTAGGACCAGTCTACGGCTTCCAATGGCGGCACTTTGGAGCGGAGTACGACACCTGCCATAGCGACTACAGTGGCAAAGGTGTGGACCAGTTGGCAGAAGTCATAAACAAGCTGAAGAATAATCCATACGACCGGCGGATCATTCTAAGCGCCTGGAATCCTGCGGACCTGAAAAAAATGGCACTCCCACCTTGTCACATGTTTGCCCAGTTCTACGTCTCATTCCCTGCTAGTGCGCCATTGAGAGAAGACGGATCGAAGCGTGGCACACTGCATACACTTTTATACCAACGGAGCTGCGACATGGGGCTGGGTGTGCCATTCAACATCGCCTCGTATGCGCTGCTCACGCACATGCTCGCGCGGGCGTGTGACTTGATTCCGGGGAGCTTGACGCATACAATGGGAGACGCCCATGTGTATCTGGATCATCGAGAAGCGCTGGAGGTGCAGATCCAGCGGGTGCCAAAGGACTTTCCGACCTTGGAGATCGAGAAGGAGGCAGGCTGCAGTATCGATGGCTGGAAGGTGGAAGACTTCAAAGTAATTGGGTATGAGCCGCACAAGGGCATTGCTATGAAGATGAGCGTATGAATAATCTTCTGCGACTGGCGATCTCGCTTCCTTCCTTCAGCAAGGCGTCTTCGCCCGGCAATTTCCTCGACTCCCAGCCACGAGAGACGCGCTTGGCGCCATGGATACAACGCTCCAGGGCCTGCGCATCGCCTACGATTGACTCGGCATGCGGCACTCCTAGCGAACGGTATACATCGTACGAACGCCAATGAGACTGCTTCCACCCAAGTCAAAGCGCTCAGCCAAGGGCCAAGGCAAACTTCGCGGCGCATGCAGCCTAGAACGGTAAGGCTTCTGCCAATGTCTACACCACTAACATTCAGCTCTTGTAAATGCAAGACATTGCACTGAACTCGATAGTCTCGACAAACAGGATATATAAGCGTAGGTTTCGCTATAGGTAAGTCACTTGATTTGCAACTCAATCGATAGCCATACTACCAACAATGGCACTCTCCGCGCTCCTCCTCACCTCCCTTCTTTCCTTCTTTCCTCGGACAACAAGCAGCTTCCTCCCAGCAAGAGAGTGTCCCATTCTTGGACCCGCATACGATCGTGACTTCGACCTCCTTCCGACGGAGGCGTTTCAGGCCGCAAAATCCAGCTTTTCATCCAAGATCGAGTCGCTCTTCGAATCTGGAGAGCTGAACCGCACCCACTCCGTCTTCGCCATTGACGTCTATTCGACCTACACCAATGAGTCGATTTTCAACTACTTCTACACTGGGTCCGCTCTCAAAGAAGGCTTTCCCTCCGGTACGATGGACGACGAAACCGTATGGCGGGTCGGAAGCGTTTCGAAACTGTTCACTCTCTACGCCATTCTTGCTCATGCTACGCGTGGGGTATTCGAGCAACCTGTGACTGTTTTCCTGCCGGAGCTGAAGAGGGGCTCTAGCCCAGAGGACAAGCCGCTGAGGTGGATCGACTGGGACCAAATCACTATTGGCGCGCTTGCTGCGCAGCAGGCTGGCGCTGGTGGAATGCGTATGTCCTATGAATTGCGCAATATCCCATCCTATGAGCGAGGCTAACTCAAGGGCAGCCGCTGAGTCGGGCAATTGTTACGAGACCAAAGAGGGCTGTTCGAATGAAGGTACGCTCGGTCAATGGTACATCTTAAGCATGCCGCTTCAGCTAACACGTCATATCGTAGAGTTCCTCAAAATAATGCGCGACAGCAAGCGTCCAACAGCTCCACCTTTCTCGACAGCGCTCTATGCCGATGGCGGCTGGGGTGCGCTCGGCCGTGTTCTCGAGCGCATGACTGGCTTGTCCTACAACGATGCTATCCAGCAAGTACTCTCGAAGCCTCTGGGCCTCGACCACACCAGCAGCTACAAGCCCAACGGCACCGAAGTGAATGGCATGATAGTGCCTGACGCCATATCTTGGGGCTGGGACAACCAAGTCACTGCACCGTAAGTATCCCCACAGCATCTCACCATCAATCACGCACCTGCTGATCTTCTCTCTTATTCTGCCAGATCTGGCGGCATCTACAGCAACTGCCGCGACGTCCGCCGCATGGGCCTCTCGATTCTCCACTCAACCCTCCTTGACACGACCACCACAAATTGGTGGATGAAACCGCACAGCCACACCGCCTCCCTGACCTTCAGCGTCGGTGCACCATGGGAAATCTACCGCCTTACACTTCCGGTCTCATCCAATTCCACGCGCTACCGCATCTCGGATCAGTACACCAAAGGCGGCGGCAACGATGGCTACGGCACGATAGCTGCTCTCTCTCCGGACCACGGCCTTGGGTATACCGTCTTCGTGGGCGGACCAGGGTCGGGCAGTGAGCGCTGGAGCTTACTGGAAGCGACGGGAGGAACTTTCGTCCCTGCTGCTGAGCTTGCTGGCAGAGAGAACGCGAGGAAGCTCTTTGCCGGGACATATGTGGATAAGATTTCCAAGAAGGGTACGAATATGACAATCACTGTCGACCCAGATCATCCGGGTCTGGGGATCGAATCTCTCTTCCTCGAAGGCGTGGACTCATTAGGTTCGCTGAGCGTTGGTACCGCAGCCCTGCCGTCGGAGAACGTCACCGTGCGACTGTATCCTGCCGGGCTTGAAGAAGACCTCGGTGACGGCAAGGTGAAGAAGAAGTATCGTGCCATTCCACAATCCTTGCCGGCTGACTCGCGGTCAAAGGCGGAAGGGGGGAAGAAGTTCTTCGATGTTGAATGTCAGTCGTGGTTCTCCGTGGGGTTCAGCGGGGCGCTGGACGAGTTTGTGTTCACAAGGGTGGATGGGAAGGTGGTGGAGGTCAGGAGCGTCGGGGCGAAAGCTGGGATGAAGCGTTTTGGAGAGTAGGAGGGTTGTGGAAACTGTGAGGTCTCAATAGGAGGAAGTCGGCCGAACCCTCTAATGTGATACTAGATGATTGGTCTCTCCAGTATCTTGAGATCGTGTTGTGTCTTGAAGCTTGATCAGATTTCTTCGTATTCAGCTTTTCGGCCAAAATACATTCAATGACAGTCAAGCTCGTTCTGACTTCACAAAATCCCGCCTTGGCTCCCACCAGGTGTGACGACAGGAACGCTGTTCTTTCTACGTTCTACCACAATACTCTCAATAACATGCCTATATCAGCTGGTCGTGTCTTCGGCTTCATCGAAGGTGTGCTTTCTTTGATTATTCTTGCAATCCTCTCATACCTCGACAAGTCGTCAAATCCCTCAAACGATGAACTTGGAGAGGAGGTAGCAAAGGGTACGTGGAATGACCCTGCACTCCTTGAGCTTTCGAGTTCTAACGCTGCCATAGCACAAGATGACCTGTGGTCTCTAGACGTTCGTGAAGGTGATATCGTTCACAAACTTCTGACGCTCCCGGACGGCCTCCAACTGCACTACATCTCTCCAGCCAAGGCAGAGCAGCGCCGTGACCTAATCATCTTCCTCCATGGCTTCCCAGACTCATGCTTCGTATGGAGTCGAATGCTACGATCATCGCTATCTGAACATGCCACACTGGTGGCGCTGGATCTGCCAGGATATGGCGGAAGCGATGGCTTGCCCAATTATGGACCCGATTGCATGCTCTCCGCGATCGAGGTGGCGATCAAGGAACTGAAGCAGCAGTACGGGGTTAACGGAGCACCAAAGAGCAACGAGAGCCGGTGTATCGTTGTAGGACACGACTGGGGTGGAGCGATTGCTTCTCGAGTCGCTGCTGAAACTGAAGGACTCATTGACCACCTTGTCCTGATCAACTCCGTGTTTGTACGTTCGAGAAGATCAAGCCGTGTTGAGAGACATGCTGACACCACCTGGCTCCGCAGCCTCCGCATGCCGCAGGAATGGTAAAGGGTCGCATTGACCGAGCTCGCCAGCTTGTGTCGAGTCGTCCGCAAGGCTGGCTGCGTTCTGCCCGAGACGAGATTGGTTGCGTCGGATCGCAGCTCTTGAAGTCCCACTACGTGAGATATCTGACCTTCCGAGCAATTTTGCACTTACTGACTCAGTGCCAGATCTTCCTCTTCAATCTTCCGTTCTTCTCGGCTAGGCGATTCCCTTCCATCATGCGCTATCTGCTCAACTGGTGCTACAAAAAGGCTTCGAAGCATGATGGCAGCCTGAGCTCTACTTACGCAGCCTCTCTGGGACCGTCGGTCGCTCAGTGCCACGAAGAAGCGAGCAAATCGGTCTACAGCGCTTCTGTCCTGGCGAGAGCTATGGCACAGCCAGATGCCATCTGGGACGAGCGTATTCGCTTGTACCGCGAACGCCTCGCTTCAGGCCGTTGGACGCGGGCATCCAATTCAGCTCATAGTCCCGCATTGCCGGGGAGACGCTACATAAGGTGCCCTTCTACAGTCCTGTTCGGAATAAGGGATGAGGCTCTGGACCCGAGTATCTTCATGGAAGGCATCGACGACTACGTCCGGCCAACTTCTGGATACAAAGGCCTCGCAGTCTCAATCCAAGGAGTCGGACATTGGTCGCCTTTACATCCACTCGGCGCAGACGTTCTGGAGCAGGTCTTGACATCACATATCACAGCGACGAAGTCTGGAGTAAAGCAGCTTGAGACGGTCAAGGACCGGCTACAGGGAAGCAGCGTCCTGCACAAGGTGTCTGTTCGCGAGATGAAATAATGCTTTTCATGCTACATGCGTGCTGGATGGCTGCCTGCCATTCTACATCCAAGCCGCTATCCCAAGTCGTAAGCGAACTTGCTCCAGCTCCTGACACGCTTGCCGTATTTATAGAACAGGAAAGGTGCCGGCAAGAGGGCCAAGCATAAGAATCTGTTCAGAAACGGTGTCAGCACGCATCTCAAGCTAGGCGGCTGCGATGCACTTACCCAATAAGGCTTGTCGCCCACTGGACACCTAGTTTACTGTACATCGGAGTTGCGAACAATGGGAATCCAGCAGCCATTGCGGCTCGGACGAAAGCATTAGCCGCAAGCGCCGAGTTAGCATCGAAAAGGTACACGTCCACCAGATAGATGATGCCGGACATGAAGACCATGACAAAGCCGCATCCGATGAACACGCCGGAGATGATCTGTGGCCAAGGGTTGATCGATGGGAAGGAAGTCCAGGCAAACCAGAACAGGCCAACGACCAACACAGGCGAGCCAATGAACATTGGTATTAATCGCTCCTCGGGGATCAGCTTCTTTGCTTTTACCAACTTCGGGGTGTAGATAATCTTGGTCTCAAAGATCATCACGGCACAAGCAATCAGGACGCCGATGAAAATAGCCACGAATGGAAGCGAGGAGACGCCAAATTCGATCCCGCGGTCGTACTCGAAGCTGATGGGGTAGGCGAAGAAGGCCAGGTAGAGGATCGAGTACACCAAGCTCATGTAGAGGGTGAATATGATCAGAATCGGCTCCTGCGTCAGCATGCGCATTGGTTTGATGCCGTACTTCATGAGCAGCATCTTCCAGTGGACCGGATCTTCGTCCTGCGAGGTTGAGAACGGTTAGTCAAGTCTCTGGAGTCCTGAAACACGCTCAATAACGTCGAGCTCGGAGAATCCAACTTACAGACTTGGAGTGCAGGGCCCAGTTTCCAGTCTCTTGTCGGAGACGATTGGCCTTGCGCTGATGCAGGGTGGGTGCATGCGTCTCGGGAATGATGAACAGGGCGAAGGCAAACACGGTCGCGCCCATGATGAGGGTAAACCATGCCGTCCATCTCCATCCAAGACTTTGGTTCTTGACGGTAAACCTGTCACCCGTCAGTGCCCTGAACACTGAGCTACCCCAGCAATCACCTTACTCTCCAATAATCGGCCCGAGCGCTGGTCCTGCGAACACACCCGCCGAATAGAACATCGTCGCCACGCTTCGAGACACCGTGTCCCAAAAGTCCACGTACATGCCGGCGACGATAGCGAGCGGAGACGACCCAAATGCTCCAGCGAAAAATCGACACAGGAATATCGTCTGCAGGTTCTGTGCTACTCCGACCGGAATCTGGAAGATGAGGAAGCCAAAAAAGCCGGCCATGAGAGGTGTGCGGCGCCCATACCCGGCCTCTGAGAGCGGTCCCCAGACTAACGGACCTAGTGGTCGTTAGTTATCGCCTACCAGAGGGAGTCCAAACAGTGGTGTCTTACCGCACGCGAACCCGAGCACATATAGACTGACTCCCAAGATCATCACCTCATTGCTGGTGCCGAATTCTTCTGCAGTCACCTCAGTGGCCGTAGAGAAGACGGACGAGCCGAACGAGATGACGAAGGTCATCAAGGCAGCCACGGCAGTTATCCTGCATTTTCGGGCAGTCGCGAAGTTCTGGGGGTTGTTTGGATCTTGTGGCCCGTCCCATTCGACGAGGTTTGATGGTTCGGGCGGCTGCTCGGGCTGCGGCATATTCTTCTCGACATCATTGGAACTCGAGGGGCCGAATTGACTGTCCCCATGGTCTCCTCTGCTCTTCTCGGAGGCGGAGTCGCCTTTGAACGAGTGCTCGGCCGTCGATGCTTGCCGTGTCGATGTCATTGTATGTAGGTGGTGTATTGTGGCAAGCTAACCTGCGGTAAAAAGAGGTATGTTGGAGGTATGTTCAAAGAGGAGAAGGACAAAATCATTTACTTCAAAGCATACCTACCTTAGCTGAAGAGATCTCTCGACAGTGTCGACATCGACAGTTGAAGTGCCCACCACGCACGTCATGTTGGAATGCCCGAGACCGTAGAAGATCCGTTGTTTACGCCTCATTGAGTAGGGACGCCGACCAGACCGACTCATATCGCTGGTTGAGAAGTGTTGAAAAACGGCGACTAACGTCGAAGGAAAAAACCTGGAATGACTGCAAGTGGAAAGTGCATGCTAATCGATTCGCTTGAGATAACGAATGACGGTCCTGATGGTCCATTGGGTGATGCTCTCGCGAGGGTCGGGCTCTGAATTTGAGTTTTGACTGGGGTCTGCCAAGTCCGTGTTGATGCAGAGGCTGACGACCTTGACCGAACTTCATCGTGCGGCATTCGATACCATGATTCGGCTTCTGTATCATGAGAATCGAGCTTAGTGCGTTGGAAACAGTCGAATATCTCATGTCAGAGGACCACCGAGCTTTCGGACTGGCTTCGCTGGCACGCTCGTGGACGACTTACCTTAGCAGTTCAGCCATAGATCGAGATAGGCTTGTGGATAGAGGGTACCCACAACAAGTGCGCTGGCGCACCAAAGTACCGGCTTCTGGCCTTCGGGATCATGCTGGAGATCGGTCTTTATGTGAACAATTGTTGGCAGGGCTCATCAGACATGCGAGCATGCTTCCGTCGACCGTACCGCACAAACATGGCTTACTGAGATCTTACCGAGTTCCTGGAAAAGACATCGATCAGAGCCGGGTTTCAAGTGATCGATCGTCCGGACCGGGCCATAGTGCTATGCGCTATGCAGACCGATAAGTCAGTCGGGGTCTCTGCACATGCTGAATCGAAACTAGTCTCGGTAGTTGAAGTAAAAAGCAGGAATTGCGATAGACCCTTCGGCGTCAGTCCCCTCATCCGCGATCACGTTCAATGCTGCAGTGACGCCTGCCGCGTAGGAGCTGAGAAAAAGCATACAGGCTGGGCGTCAAAAGATGTCAATTCGTCGGCTCCGATGGCCTTTTGTCTGATGATGGAGCACCTTGCTGAGCCGCCTATCGAGTCGTCTCTGTTGGGGCTGGCGTATTCTCGATTGTCGATGCTGCTATCTCGTTCTCCCCTGTTCTTTATGCCTACCCGTTGCCTATCTGTTCAAGCCATTGTCCGCAATTTCTCATGAACTTCCGGGCCATTAACACTTCACACACCGATAGTGTAAGCAACGCGAAATCAGCGCAGCGTGCCGGAGCAAGCAGTAGCTTCCTCGTGATGCGTCTTCTACGAAGACATATCTTCGCTGCGAGGCCACGTCAAGGCTGGCATAGCGGAGCGCATACATATATGTCTCGCCAAGGGTTGTAATCGAGTTCTGCGTGGCAAAGTGCCAGGTTGTTTGTTTTGCGAGTGCTGCACGGCTGCGTCCGGTCGTGATGTATCCCAGAAGCACGCCTTCGCCTCTTCTTTGCAGACCGGACGAAGCCAGCCTTTGTCTCTCTATGGCAGGCATTATAGCCATCTCAAAGCCTCTCTTGCCGTCCCGCAGCCCTCATTGCCGTGTCCCCGTCCACTAAAACACACCACCCCTCCCCACCGACTGTACCTCCCCCAAACCCTCCCACCGCAGCATCCGGGAACTCCTTCTTAGCGTACTCGAGCTCTTTATCCGTGAAGCTCCCGGGCTGCAGCCAAACAGCGCGCACGCCCGCCTCCTTCGCTTCTTGCAGTAGCTTGGCTGTAACAGGCGGAGGGGTGATGACTGATAAGCTGGTATGCTGCGGATCTTGTAGCTTCGACGGTGAGCCGACAGTGTCATACTGCTTGTTACGGACGGTAACGGCGGAGCAGGTGGGGTTGAGAGGGATGGCGGGGAGGTTACGCTGGAGGTACCAGACGAATATTTTGTGCCCGAATTTGGAGGGAGTGCTTGAAGCGCCGGCGACGGCGAAGTGAGGGGAGGAGAAGAAGGATTTGGCTGCTTGTTGCATGTCTGTTGTCTGTGACATTGCTCTACCTTACTGTTCGTTTGGTTCGGAGTGCTTTTATAAGAGAAGTGAAAGAACGCGACAATCGCATGAAAGCTCGAGTGAGAGATGACGGATGACGTAATGTGAGCCTGCACCTGATTGTCGCGTGCAAACTTCAACACAACTTCAGGTCCTCTACACACTCGACAGGCATGAACAGCATACTGTGATGGTGCGAGTGAATGATCGCGACTTCACAAGGGACAACTTATAGTAACTCGTGGATTATGAAAGGCACTATTCTGACAAATCTTCTCGAAAGTGTTGATAAATCAATATTCCTCTATCTGATCAGTGCCTCTCCAAGCTACACGACTTTCCAGACAACGTTCAAACCTTCCCCGGCCTGCTAATGCGACCGTTGCATCAGCTTCTGCCCATCTGCCAAAGCCTTCTTCGCCCCATCCCTCGCCAGCAACCTCTGATTCCACTCATAGCTGACCGGGTACTTCTCCGGCCACGTCTTCGTGAAGAAGTCATGCGTTGGTTGCCCTGGGATCGCACGGTGCCATGGAATGAACATCAGATCAGCATAGGTGCACTTGTCGCCGACGAGGTAGGGTTTCCCAGTTCTGGTGAGCTGCAGTTCGAGGACGGACACGACGCGGTCCAACTCTTTCTCGTAGCGGGAGATGACGGATGGAAGCTTTTCTTGGTGGAACTGCTATGGAGTCAGAATTGCTCAGACGAAGCTGCAGCATCTTGACAGGGTGGGGGTTTACATTGCTGAACCACACCAGCTGACCGTAGTACGGTCCCTGTCCGCTCATCTGCAGATGCTTCCAGCTGCTCTGCGCCCACTTCTCGGGAGAGTCTGCATAGCTGAGCTTATTCTCGGTGTCGTAGGTTTCGATGAGGTACTCGATGATGGCGCCGCTCTCCCAGAGAACGATTCCGGTGTTGGGGTCTTCGATGGCGGGCATACGGCCGTTCGGGTTGAGCTTCAGGAAAGGCTCTTGCTTCACGTCTTCGAAAGCGACGATTTTGATCTCGTGTGGGATGTCGAGCTCGCAGAGGATGATAGCGACCTTGAGCGGGTTGGGTGCGAAGGGGTGGCCCCAGAGTGTGATTGGCTTCATGTCCGGCATGATCGAGTGTTGAATAGTGGAGTGATTGAAGGATACTGAGCCAGGAGAACTCTGGAGGTATGAGACTTATCTTTTTCATGGCAAGACTGGCTACTGCAGCGCTCTCTTATATGTAAAATCAGACTCTGCCCGAGGAGTATGAGGCTTGCCATTGGGACCAATCGACATCGACGTGAGCATCCTGCGACAGCAATGGAGTCGAAGGCTATCACACAAAGCGTGGTCAAACTTTTGGTTCATTGCCCGAATCGTACTGTAGAGACCAGCCATTGAGATGGTTTAGGTCCAAGGATGCTCCGGTTCCAGAAGTTGGCGTTCTCGGCAGCGTCTCTCCCAGCATCCGACGTGGGCGACGGAGTAACTTTGTCGAGGCTAGGCCGCTTCCAGCGCGCACGGACGCTGAGGATGCTGTTGTTGTCCCGGACATAGAGACGCGCCGCACCGGACGAGAGTGATTTTGCTGATTAAACACCCACACGCAGATTGTGAGCACTCTTATCCTCCGCTACCACCACCAAAACGTCTCATTCGAGATATTTATTGCTCATCAGAAGTTCCGCTGAACGATGCACTTCAGGCCGTGGCACTGACATAGGCCCGGCATCCAGCTCATGAATAACTCCCGGGCTGTATGCTCCCTCGACCGGCTCAAGCAGCTGGAGTATAAGTCCAGGTGCCGTGGGATGAGTGCGAAAACCTTGGGTTTGTTGCCCTCATCGTTACCAGCAGCCAGATATTGGCTATTACTCAGATCCAACACTATCCTGCTCATGCCCAAAGCTTCGCCTCGCCCCTCATGTTTGAACACTGCCGCTCATGAACAGGACTTCAGGCATCGCAGACATAGTCGAACGGACGGCTGCTCCTTGGGATCAACACGCTTCCGCGATCATGGCCTGTCGCGGCAAAGGCATACACTGTCTGGTGGCCATCAATCATTCTCTCCAAGTTAGGGCAGAGGACTGTTCAAAGTCTTCTTCGAAAGCAGTGAGTTGGTATAATCCGGTGTGATGTGTTCCCGGAGCAGCGTTGTACATGACGCTCTTTACTTGCCGCCGAGGCGCGCCATCGTGGGCACTCATGGAGTTGCCTTGCGTAACTCTCTATATCTTGCTGCTGCTGAAGCATTCCTCTCTGGCTTTTAGATCCCTTCCACCAGCTCACCGCTCCAGAGACACGGTGGTTTAGAAGTCGAAACGAGAATATTGGCAAGCCAATGGTATGTGGCGAGTCAGGTCACTTGAAGATTCGTAATCTCGATGCTGCTAAAAGTTGACAACAGTCACTCTAAGGCAGTCACCCCACAACCGAATGTCTGATGTCCCATCCATCGCGCTTTCCATTCCGTTGCTGAATGAGCTGAAGACCCAGACCTCCTCGGGAGGATTGATTTCTGGCAAATATGGTTCGCAAATCCTTGCCACATGCAGGCTTGTACGGTACCTGTCGTCACTACTGCGAAACCTTACATGTCTTGATTACAGAGACAACTCCACGTCTTCTAAGTCCCGAAAGACCGTGACAGGTTGCAGAGAAGTCCGAGAATATATAATTGAACACCTTAGGGCAAACGACAGTCCATCATCCACCATCAACTTTGAATTTTCACACTCAACAACAAGCTTCTTACTCCATCTTCCGTACCTGCATCATGTCTTCGAACAACCAAGCCGCTTGGATCGATGGGAAGGCCGCCCAGCTCCGTGTTGCTGAGGCACCTATGCCGAAAGCAGAGGCAGGCCAGATCGTGATTCGCAACAAAGCCATTGCCATTAACCCCGTAGACTGGAAGATTCAGGACTATGGTGAGTTCGGCCGAATTTCCTCATTTTGAGCGAACCACAACTGACAATCGAAATAGGACTGTTCATCCAGCAGTGGCCAGCAGTACTGGGAGAGGACGTTGCTGGCGAGGTAGTGGAAGTTGGGGAGGGTGTGTCGAGCTTCAAGAAGGGCGACAGAGTCACATCGTCCGTTCATGATTCCCCCAACGACCCGGTTCGATGACACTGACTTTTTGATTAGACACACGCTCAGCCTCGTCACCAGCAAGCCCGAAGACGGTGGCTTCCAGCTCTACAGCCGGGCGGCAGCGGCGAAGACCGCCAAAATCCCGGACAGCATGTCCTTTGCTCAGGGCTCCGTCATTCCCTTGGCTCTGGACACCGCCGCCGTGGGACTTTATTCTGACCAGTCGAGTGGCTATCTCGGTCTTCCTATGCCGTCGTTCAACCCATCTTCTTCCGGCAAGACGATCGTTGTCTGGGGAGGCAGCTCTTCAGTCGGTTCTATGGTCATCCAACTTGCTGCCGCATCGGGAGCCAAAGTCGTCGCGACTGCGTCCCAGCAAAACCACGAATTCTGCAAGAGCCTTGGAGCTTCTGAGGTAGAGAATTGCTGTTCCCGTTTTCCAGATCCAAGCACTGACACATTCAAAGGTCATCGACTACAAGAACGCCAGCGTCGTAGACGATGTCGTCGCCGCAGTCAAGAAAGTCGGCGGTACCTTCGTCGGCGTCTACGATGCCATCTCCGAGCAAGACAAGTCCTACAAGCACACGGTCCCAATCATCGAGAAGCTTGGTGGCGGAAGCCTTCCGGTCGTGCTGGGAGGCCCTGAGAATCCACCTAGCTCAGTGAAGGTGGGCCAGGTCTTTGGTGTCAACGATATGACGCACCCTATTTGGGCGGACTACCTTCCAAAGGGGCTTGAGAGTGGGAAGTTCAGAGCTGTGCCGGAGCCGTTGGTGATTGGGAAGGGCCTGGAGAATGTGCAGAAGGGGATGGATAAGAACAAGGAGGGTGTGAGTGCGAAGAAGGTAGTGATCGAGGTTTAAACCCTCACTGTATTGTATGAACAGAAGCATCCCGAAAGTACATCCTGTGGCTGCGTTACAGTGTTATTTTCTGTGTATCAATTGGCTAAGCTGCCTGCAATGGTTGCTGCGGGTCCCTCCCATCAATCTCCTCTTTCCGCCTCCTGATCTGGACCTTTAAATTTGGAGCCGTCATATTGGCCGTCTCGAAAGCAAGATCCTTTGGTCTACCCTCTCCATCAGGAAATTTGAGGTCATACCGCAGAAGTATAAAGCTCAAAGCAATCTTCATCTCATTGCTCGCAAAGAAGCGTCCAGGACACGCATGCTGACCGTGTCCGAAGCCCAGGTGGTCAGACGTGGTCGTTACGAATTGGTGCTTACTTTCACCTCCAGACTGCTCGCGCAAGGTGAGGAAGCGGGACACGTCGAACTTTTCCGGCTCTGGGAAGATGGACGGGTCGTGAGTACGATCGTCTGGGACAAGGATTCGGCTACCTTTTGGGAGCTTTGTGCCATCGGAGAGGATGATGTCGTTCTTGACAAGGCGGTTCATGGATGCTAACGCATCATCAGTCTACCGGGATGGATACTTAAGTGGGTGTGACTTACTCGTCGCTAACCCATGCGTCCTCTGCACTTCCTTTAGAAAGCTATCAAGCAGCCGCATCTTTCCCAATGCCACTTTCGTCCACCCTTCCTCACGTAGGACCTGGATCACTTCTTCCCGCAGCGGCTGAACAATTTCTGGTGTATCGCAAAGCTGCAAAATGCATTTCGTGGTGGTCTCGGTGGTCGTGTGGATCGCGGCCATTGTCAGCGAAAGCTGGGCAGGAACGTAGTCCACAGCTCTGCCACGAGCCTGGGCGATCTCGACCATCCAACCTATCGTGTCCGCTGTCTTTGGGGGCTTCTCTCCTGCCTCGAGAGCGTCTTCGGCTCGTTTCCGTCTCCTTTCCACCTCTGGAAGGATCAGCTGACGGGCATCTCTGACTTCTCGTCTGAGTCGGGTATTCGTGGGGATGAACCAGTATAGCAGAGGTCGTAGTGGACCAGGAACCAGGCGCATCAGGTTGGCCGCCATAAAGACGTCGACGGTGTAATTCTTTGATATGTTCAGCCATGCTGGATCGCGACAGAGGTCTTTGCCCAAGAAGACACGGGAGGATAGCCTAGCGACGAGATTGAGAATGGCTTCTTTCAGCGGCTGCGTCTGCCACTCCTCGCTCTCCCCAAAGTACTCCCGCATACAGGCATCTGTCTCCTCGACCAGATCGTCTGTGACCAGACCCAGGCTCTGTGTTAGCTTCACCCTCACAACAGTCTGGATGAACGTCGAATCCTCAAGACCATGCTTGAACCCATCAAAACCCGGGTAGCCGATCGGAAAGTCTTTAGCAAAAGCCTCGTTGAAGTTCAGGTCTGAATGACTCTTGATCTCATTCGCGAAGCGGTTTGGAACAATGATCTTATAGCCAGAGCTGGTGAGGACCTGGAAGCAACTTTGACATTCGTTTGAGCCCTTCTCCAGAATTTCTGAGCATTTTGTGATCCAGCCGAATTGGCTGGCAAGAGGCGCTTCCAGCCTTTTTCAGAGATGGTGATGACTGGTATGCCTGCGTGTGGACGCTCACGAGTGGTCAAGGCGTATACTAGGGCGAGGACTGAGCAGAGTCCCATGAATTGAATTGAGACTGGAAGCTCCTTAATGTTGGTGAGTAGTCTCTCCATTGTAACTGAGCACTAGCCCGGAAGAGTGAAGAGTGTTGATATCTCAATGTCGAAGAAGATTCTGGGCGGTCTTTGCGTTGTAAGGAATGCAATGGTGGTGGAGGTAACCGAGCTGTTTGTGGTGGGCTAAAATCTAAGGTCAATGTTAAACAATTTGTACAGTGGCAGTATGCTCTGCTGCTCCGCACGCCGATTCAATCCAGCAACTTTTCGTTACGAAGCTTGGTGATGCCGGTTTTTCTGTTTTAATCGTCACCAAAGTGCATAAATGTAGAATCGGCATACATGTTTCCGAAACGTTGATCTATGACGTAATCATATATTGAACGAGCATTGAGAGTACGTGCTGACAGCTTCATCATCGTGAGCGTGCTTCATCGAGGCTGTGGACGTCGTGGAGATCGTGTTGCATTCAACATGAATTGATGCCGCAGAATGCTGACTGACGGCGTAGTAAGCCAGCCGTGGCCAAGATCTCCCGTGGCAGCTTCTCACAAGGCCTGGGTCAAGTCTGCTCGCAATCATCCAGCACTCACAGCCGTCTCGATATACTCAACAGAGCTCTTCACTGTTGTCATATTCTCGCAGCCGCCTTCCAGCACCAAGATGTCGTCCTCGATCCGGACACCACCAACTTCCCAGTAGGGTTCCAGTGCCTTTTGATCGACAATGCCGTCCCACTTGCCCTCCTTCAACTCAGCTTTGAAGGGAAACTCGCGGAAGTAAATGCCAGGCTCGTTGGTCACAACAGAGTTGGCGGGGAGTTTTCCACGAATGCGGAGGTAGCGGAAGCACTCGTCCTCGTCGGCGTAGTTGGCATTGCCGCCAACGTCGTGGGTATCCATGCCGAGATAATGGCCCAGGCCATGAGGGAAGAAGCGACATGTGATCTTTGAGTCCATGATCTGTTGTAGTGACAGGTCCTTGTTCAGGATGCCCAGCTTTTGCAGTCCTTCGGCGGCTGTCCGGTGAGCGAGCATGTGGCAGTCCTCCCACATAACTCCAGCCTTGATCATACCCATGCACTTCGTCTGCATCTCCAGCACAAGCTCGTATATCTGCCGGCTCTCGGTCGTGAATTTGCCGTTGAGTGGGAAAGACCGTGTGATATCAGAGCAGTAGCACTGGTACTCGCAGCCAGCATCGATAAGCAGGTTCAGTCTCCCTTCCAAAGACACATCGTTGTGGACATAGTGGAGTGTGCTGGCGTTAGTTCCGGACGCGCATACACACCCGTAGGCCTGCTCCTTGCAGCCGTTTGCATGGCAGTGCATCACAAAAACAGCGTTGAGTTCGCGTTCATTCTTTGCGCTCCTCACGGATGCTAATATGCGTTCATGAGCGTAGGATGAGACTGCGTTTGCGTGCCGAATCATGGCAACCTCATGCTCGTCCTTGACGACTCGACAGGCCTCAATGCCCTGCCGTGCATGGTCGAAGTTGATGAGTGGGTTGTAAGCCCTTAGCTTCTTGGAGTGGAAGATGGCTAGGTCAGCGCGGTCCTTGATGACCATGACCACGGTCTCCTGCTTCTGTAGCATCTGCGTAAGGCTTGCGCCAGACGTCAGCTCGTCTGAGGTAAGGACCGCATCCACGTCGTAGCGCTTAAGAGCTTCATCTGGCAGCAAAGGCATGCCGGCCCACATTACGTATTCTGGATCGACCGGCGGGATCCAGAGGGTACTCTTGTCTGCCGTAATGTCGTACGCGAAGAAGCAGTCCGGTAGATCACAGCCCGTCAGGTAATAGAAGTGGCGGCGTTGCCTGTGTTCATCCTGTTAGTGAGTTAGACGGCTTCGGCGTACCAGGTTGCTTTACCTGAAGTGTGTCGCCTGATCATCGTCCTGTAGAGTCCATATCAGTATGATTCCAGACACAGTAGAAGTCAGAAAACCGCTGTAAGTCATGCAGGCTCCTACTCACCTCCGTCATCTCCGTCCCTCTGCCTTCGAGATAGAGGACTCCAGATGTAGGACCCCCATGTTCCGCTATCCACTTGGCGACGCGCCGACAGTGAGCTTTAGCTGGGTACTTGCCAGTAGGTGGCTGTGGTAAATCGGGATTTGCTATCGACCCCGTCATGATCGCGCGCACGCTGTTAGATGTCCTCAAGTGGCGTGATTGGTGTCGTGGTGGAGATGGTGGTGGTTTTGAGGTAATGTTGTCCGCGAGGCCTGATCGAAGCGCAGGGGTCGTTGTTGCTCCACTTCTTGGACACCACCTTTGACGAGCAACAACATTCAGCTCTGTACCTTAGGCTTCTTTACATACCAGCTCATTGTGAGTCGGAATACTTTATTTACGAAAAGATGGTAATGAGGGCCATGCCTGTATCGACGGACGAGCATTACCCTCGCCCGGACTTCCAGCGCCCTGACCTCCAGTGGCAGTCTCTAAACGGGCAGTGGGACTTTCTTTTCGACGACAAGGACATTGGCCTTTCTCATCAGTGGCACAAACAGGGACTGCAGGACATTGACGTGGACAAGGACTCTCCTCGAACCATCCAGGTGCCGTTTGTCTTCCAATCCGAGGCGTCTGGAATCCACCTGGAAGAGGTGCACGAGACTCTTTGGTACGAGCGCATGATCCAAGACATACGGACGGACGGCGAAAAGCATGACGGCTACCGACTGCAGCTTCGCTTTGGTGCTGTTGATTATGCAGCAAAAATCTGGCTTGATGGCAGCTTTATTGGGGAGCACAGAGGCGGCCATGTCCCTTTCGACCTGGACCTCACAGATGCCGTATCTCCTCAGTCAAAATCAGAGCGTGATTATCGTTTAACTGTGAGGGTCTTCGACTCAGCGACTGACTTGACTCAGCCGCGTGGTAAGCAGTACTGGAAGCCGAAACTAGAATCGATCTACTACACCCCATCTAGTGGCATTTGGCAGGATGTGTGGCTCGAGAGCGTGCCGCCCCTCAGGCTCGCTGACAGTAGCCATGGCACTATCATACGTTCGCAAGACATAGAAGGTGGGAAGTTAGATGCGAGAATCGTTGTCTTTGGACGCAGAGCTGGCCAGCAGTGCAGTGTCCAGCTGGAAACGAGTCTTTCCGGCACTGTTGTGAAGACTTCGGACAAGAAGAAGCTACCACAAGAGAACTTTGCCCGCTTCAATCATAACATGCGCTTGTCGAACGAGCAGATGGAGAAGCTGTCGGGCAACTTCCTACGGTCCAATCCGCCATCCGATGCGGCCTGCTGGCGAAACGACGTGGCACTTTGGTCACCGGAGCACCCGACTCTCTACGATCTCACACTTCGATTGTTCGATGCTGAGGATAAGCTGCTCGATGAAGTCCACACAACGACAGGCATGAGATCTATCAACTGGACAAAAGGCGACGAAAGCCTTCGTCTCAACGGCAGACCGTACTTCCAAGCACTTTTTCTTGATCAAGGCTACTGGCCGGAGACTCTGATGACACCACCAGACTCAAAATCACTAAAAAAAGACATCGAGCTGTCGAAAGCGATGGGCTTCAACGGCTGCCGCAAGCACCAGAAAGTCGAGGACCCGTTGTTTATGTACTACGCAGATCAACTGGGCTTTCTCGTATGGGGAGAAATGGCTTCAGCATTCCGGTTCAGCGTGGACATGATCGAGCGGTTCGACCAAGAGTGGATGGAGATGGTGAGGAGGGATATTAACCATCCTTGCATCGTCGCCTGGACTCCAGCAAACGAGAGCTGGGGCTACCCAGACCTCAAGAACAACGTAAGTGGAGTCGCGGTAGTAGAATGGCCGTTCGCTTATCGATCTCGCAGACACGTCAGAGAGATCACCTACGAAGTCTCTACTACTCCACAAAGGCACTGGATCCCACGAGACCAATCAACGACAACTGCGGGTGGGAGCACGTCCTGAGCGATCTCTCGACCTTCCACGACTATGCAGACGCCGACGGCATGGCCGAAAGATGCAGAAACTTCCGATCAATCTTAGAGCAGCGTGAGTGATGTTGACTGTGATGCATGTGCATGGAACGCTGACGACGACACAGCTTGGCCGACACAGAAGCAAATGTTTGTGAAGCCCATATACGGCGCGAACGGATTGTACGACCCAGGAACGCAGCACAAACCAGGGGCGCCGATCCTATGTACAGAATTCGGCGGCGTGCGGGTTGCCGGGAAGCAGAAGGATGGTTGGGGTTATACCACCGCTGATGACTCATCGGATTTGCTCAAACGGGTCGAGAAAATCATCACGGCCACGGTGAAGTCTGGCATCGTGTGCGGCTTTGTGTGGACACAATTGACCGACATCTTGCAAGAAGAGAATGGCCTATACACATATGAGAGGGAAGAGAAAGTTCCCGCAGAGCGGATGAGGGCTGTCATCGACGCTGCAAGGGAGACTTACTACGACCACCAAACCTAACCGATACGCCTGCGAGCACGTTCTGCTATTACGGGAGTGCCAGCCGGACCTTCAACAAGTCTCCGTCCACAATCTCTTCTCGCCTGCTCTCCAGCTCCGGAAGGTCCCAGGTAACATTGAGATACCGTCCGCTTATCCACGGCCGCCTTTCCTTCGTGAGATATACCAGGCTGTCCCCCGCCAGCTCCGGCGATTCCGTGAAAACAGCCTTCAGTGCGTCATCCATGCCTTCGCCCATGCCTACTATGTCCGTGAGTATGTTCCCGGGATGGATGCTGAAGGCTATAATGCCTTGTTCCGCATTCTCCTTTGCAAAGAATTCGGTGATTCGGAGCGCCGCTAGCTTCGAAGATTGGTAGTCGCTGAGTGTTGGCATCACGACCAGGGCTCCCACGCTCGCAACTGTGGCAACCGTCTTTAGCTCGCCTTTCAGAAGAAGTGGCAAGCACCCTCGCATGACGAGGTAAGGGCCTCGGACGTTGACGTTGTCTGGACGTTCATCAGCTTCCCTGCTCGGCCGAGCCCACCAGAGATGGACTCACAAGTTTGCCACCATGAATCTAGAGTACTATCACCGATCGATACCATATCGCCAATAACCCCGGCATTATTGATCACGACGTCCAACTTCCCGAACTCTTCTCCAATCCTCCGGCATGCTCTCTCGACGCTGCTTTGGTCAGTAATGTCCATCACAAGACACAACACCTCCGGCTCCTGCTTCCCGGCTTCTTTTGCAGCTGTCTTACAATCGCTAGCAACTTTCGAGAGGTTCGAGCGAGCCCCAACTGCGATCTGTGAAGCTCCAGCTCGAGCGTAGGACAGCGCCATTGATCTACCGAGCCCTCGAGAACCCCCTGAGACGAACACTGCTTTGCCCGAGAGGTTTGCTTTTGTTGGGTCGATTGCTGGGTACGACTAAGATGCGTTAGTTGGTACGTCGTTTCTGAGGAAGTGGTTGAATACACTCACATCACTGTGGACGGTCTTGGTGGTGGTGTAGTCGCCTGGCCCTTCGAGTGGGTTCCATGTTCCTTGGGGTGGAGGCATTGTGCTACTGTATTTGAAGAAGACGTGTAACGGTTTCTTCTATACGTCGATCGATATTGCTGCAGTTGTTTTGCGAGCTCTACCTTATATTCTAAAAGAGTGCTTCTGCCTTTTGAACTCGTACCAAGAAAGAGCGTTAACCCCATCGGCCGTAGGAGTGCGGCTGACTAAATTCCTTACGGCGTTTGCGGTTTTAAATCATTGGAGTTTTCCGCACGGCATCCTCTCGCCGTAGATACAACTGATTGATGCTAAGCGGATAAGAAAATACACATTTGCTCTAGAGGTATTCGGATGGGTGGCCGCTGGTTGGCAGAACAACATAGCACTCCTGGAGATTCCAAAGTGAAATCTGCAGCATCAACGACCGGTCGGCCTCAAGGTCTGAAAGCAAGAGTTTTCTATGATGTTGTATGTATCAATCTGCTACCAAGCGGATCACGCGGAGACACGCTGGGATGCCCGAAATGTTTTCATCAACCTCGTGGCCAAGTTAGCATTTCGTGTAGTTGCCCTTAAACCTGGTCTTTCACACCATCATCACCCTTAGCATGCACAGCAACACGGCCCAACTCTCCCGAAGAAACGCTTGTGTCTGAGGGACTAGCGACCTCGCCGTACAAGGCACCACGCTCTATCTCATCCAGAGTCTTTCCCCTTGGCTCTGGAATGAGCAGAGTGACTAGCGTGCAAAGAGCCATGATCCCGGAGAAGAGGCCCAACACGCCATTGATGCCAATCTTCTCCGCAACAGTACCAAAAGCAAACGCCGTAAGTACAGCACCCGCCTTGCCAGATGCTGCAGCAATGCCGTGAGCGCAGCCTCGGACTCTAGTTGGAAAGACCTCGACTGGCAGGAGGAACGTCGTACAGTTGGGTCCGCTGTTGAGGACTAATTGAGACAAGGTGAACAGAATCATCAGGCCTGCTGTAGACGTGTGGTTGGTGACGCCAGCCCAGATGGCATACAGCAACGTAACGAGAGCGCTGCAAATGGCTTGTTGGCTGACGCGACCGACGACATCCGGGAGGAATATGCCGATGTAAAAGCCAGGGCTGGAGGAGTCAGTGACCGTTCTCCATTCGGTGTGGGAGGACGGTAGCTTACAGATATCCCGCGGCAGCGACGATGATATTGCTGCGCCATCGTCAGTGCGTGCTCGAAGACGTTTGGAGGCCAGCTTACCCAATTGCAGTATTCCACAGAGTCTCATAAGGGGTGGCCCCAGTGCCGTATCCAATTGCTCCAAGGATGATGGACTGATTGAGGTTGATCCCGTAGAAAGCGATGTCACTGCATTATGCTCAGTCAGCCGCTGAGACATAGGAAAGGGCGTTTGCAACGTGAAGAGCCCGGCCCATCGGTCAGACCATGCTTCGGGGGCTGCAGAGGCAATGGACAGCGAGCCCAAAGGCGGGTAAGACTCACAACAGGAACCACGATGCGCACACACCAACTAACGTTTTGGCATGCTTCCATTGCGAGAAGTAGATCCTGAAGTCAGCGAATTGCTCCTTCAACCCTCTCTTGTCCTCTCCGATTAGACCCGTGTCGGTCGATACGTATTTCTCGTATGGCTTGCTTTCTTTCATCGTCAACCTTGCGTACAAAGTAGCGATCAGCGGCACCAGACCGATGCCGAACAACAGTCGCCAGACCCATTGCAAGTGATGGATGTTGCTTTTGATGGCCTCCCTGAATGCTGCTAGAAGGATGATGTACGTGACACCGGCGGAAACGCTTCCCAGGCCAAGGAAGGAGAAGACTGTCAAGATGAGCTTCGCGCGGGAGCCCATGGGATTGTGCTCAGCGGAGAGTGAAGACGACATAGGGTAGTCTGCGCAAGCGATCAGCCTTGCTCTTCTACATGCACAACGAGGAGCAAAGTGCTTACCACCCCCAATGCCCACTCCAGTGATTATGCGGAAGGTCGTGAGCCAAGCAACAATGCCAGCATGGCCGAGGTATGTTGGCGGGACGATGAGAAGTAGAGTTCCAAAGATTGTGATGATAAGCTCTTTGCCATAGACTTTGTGTCTTCCCAGAGCGTCTCCGAACAAGCCAAACGAAAGTTGGCCAAGGATCATGCCAATCTACACCGTTGTGTCAGTCGATGTCATTTGAGGACGTCAAGGAAACCGACCGATAATCCACCCTTGATGACAGATCCGGAGACTGTTGGCACTGCTCCCCCGTCATCCGTGAAATACAGATAGCCGATCATCGGAATAACGAGGCCGATGGTGATGTTGAGCCATCTGGGAGAAGAATATGCTCAGTACATGCTTCGTCATGTACCTGGACGATCTTGCAGAACATACCCGTCGCCAAACAAGCCGACACCTGCAATGCAAAGGAACTTGACGTTGTCCAATATCTTGCCCATTTTGGTAGAGATATACGAGAAGCTGTAGACAGCAGAGACTGATGAAACAAGGACAAGTGCTCAGTTGAGAAGGTGTTCTGGATGATTGTCCCAACGATCCTTCATTATGGGAGCTCACCGTGGTAGATATAAGGTCGCCCAGGTCAATGGACATTGCCGTCTGTCGGCCACGCGGCCGCAATCGTAACTCTGCCGTGATGCTGAACATATCCAGGGCAGCGAACATGACAGCGGCCTCGATCCCACGTGGGAGTTCATGAGACATCGCATTCGTGGTTCGAGTTCGTTCCATCTCCAATGCTAGACGTTGGCAGTCGAAGGAAACTCGGCGGAACGTTGATGTCGGCGAGAAGACCGCATCTCGAGAGTTGTCGTTGCTGGTGGAGTAACAGCATCACAAGGGGGGAAAGATGTTGGTGGTTTGGATCGTAGAGGTGAAGAGAGCCAGTCGAAGTTGCACGTGGAAGTCAGTTGTCGTCTCAAAGGGACGCGAGCCGCTAGCCACATCTGGTGGTCCGGCTTGGCATATTTGCGGCGACCTCACCTTATCGTCCACCGGCGAAGTGACCGATGAGGTCTTCTCGCCGCCTAGAGAACGATGAGTGCATCGCCGTCAGCGACCATCTCGGTGCGGGATAACGGTGCAGAGCAGCCGCCGGGCATCACGCGTAGGTAACCAAGGGGATCCTGCTGGCATATGCAACACTATTCAGACATATGCTGACGGTCCGACGTGTGCGTGCATAGGTAGGATCACAGCATGTGTGGCATGTAGGAAGCAGAAGATCAAATGCCATATGAAAGATTCGCAACCACCGTGTTCAAGATGCAAGAAACGTGGCTTACCGTGTGCTGTTAATAAATCGCTTCAAATGATCCTGGAGAGCGACTCGCTATGGAAAGAGGACATCAACAGCAAGATTCGTAAGCTCGAATCTGCAGTTGAGAAATTAGCCAGTCATACCTCCTTGTCTGATCTGCTCGATTCCGTGGAAGACGGAGACGCAGAAGATGAAGAAGGTTCAGGCCCAAAGAGTATCCCTCCCCCTTCTACTCAGGTATCGCCTCAAACCGAGAAGAATACGCCGCATAACTTCGAGATCGTGATGGACGACGATTCAGGTCCGGCAGCAATACCTGGCTCTGTGGTCTCACCTGTTGGATGGCCAGCGGTCGAGCAGAATCGTGCAGAGCAAGACATAATCAACAGAGGTGTCTTGACCGTCGAGCAAGCACAGAGCTACCTCGACGTCTATCAGAATCGACTCGACCATTTTCTGTACCGCATCATTGGAGACCGACGAGATCTAGTGCAAGTCCGTACTGGATCTCCTCTTCTACTTGCTGCAATTTGTGCCGTGGGCGCATTGCATGTCGCATCACCGGACTTCGAGAAATGCTATGAGCACTTTGTCAGTGTTGCAGCTGCACAGACCTTCTCCAGAAGCAACAACGTAGACGACATCCGCGGCTTGTGCGTGGGAGCATTCTGGTTGAGTGGCATCTCTTGGACTTGTATCGGGATCGCTGTGCGCATCAGCACGGAAATTGGACTACACCGGAGCATCTCCAAAGCTCTGGCAGGCGATCGCAACCATTATCTCCGCACGAGGCTGTACTATCTTGTATGGGTGTGCGACCACCATTTTTCCATCGCTTACGGAAGACCACCCATGACCAGACAAGATGACTCTATCCGGGCTTCGCTGCAATTCCTCGAGACCGAGAATGCGGTTGAAGATGATGCAAGGCTAGTCAGCCAAGTACAATTCTGGGCTGTCGGCAGGGACGTCTACGAAACCTTTGGCGTGGATGTCGAACGGCCCTTAAACCAGCAAATGATCGAGCCTCTGCGTCGTTACAGCATCCGGCTTGACAATCTTCGCGCTGACTGGACTGAACGGTTCGGGTACAACGAGTTTGTTGGCAACTACCCAAGAAAGGGGGTTGGACTACATTACCACTTCGCCAAACTATACCTCTATTCATTCGCGTTCAGAGGGATCAGCAGACCGGGCTGGAAGACGCCAGACATCGCTCTCGACATCGACGAGCTCGCCAACTCGGCTCTGCTTTCGGCCACAGCCATACTCCGAGCAGTCGTTTCCGATGCAGAAATCCAATCATACCTCAACGGGCTACCCACCTACTTTGACGTGATGATCGCATTCGCCGTCGTCTTCGTTCTAAAGGTCTCTACCAAGTACGCGACATCCGTTCGCGTAGACACCAGCGAGATCCGTACCCTCGTAGCACAGCTCGTCGACGTCTTGAAGAATGTCACAACCGCAATGCATTCTCGTCACCTGCTCGTGAGCGTGGCACGAGGCGCAGAACAACTGCTGAACAGATGCTGTCCATCAAACGCACAGATCTCTGTTGCTCCATTGCCGTCGAACGCCCATGTGACCATGTCACAAGCTCCGCAGCCTACTTTCGATGATGGGCTCTACGATATGTCTGCAGCTTGGGATGGATCATTTGGCAATTTCTACATGGGAGAGTTTGACTTCTTATCATCTCAGGAGCCTTGCGCCTTTCTTCCAGACATGCAGTATCAGTCAGCGCCGCAGACTTGAGCGAAGATTTCGAAAAGCTAACTATCTCGAAGCGGCTGGATGCTCAGTCCTCGACATGTCTAAGCTGCCCTATGTGCCACTGATCCGTCTCTCAATGGTTCAGCAGAAGGTCAAACATGTCAAAGTTGCGCCACTGCCTGCCAACATCTTCTAATCCAGTCGCAGGCCTTGACATGAGCAGCGGAATGCCCTGCTCGGACAGACCGCCATGAGAACGGAGACGATGATCCTGGAGGTTCGACAAGTCGTGCTCCTCCTTCCGGCTCCCGATTACGGCATTCTTCTTGGAAACAACCACAATGTCACCTTCTCGCTCAGTCATGAGCTCGAGCTGATCAACAGCGTCCTCGGTGTTGAGCGCTACTTCGACCTCTGGCACGCCTTGGATGAAACGCAACATGTCGTCGATGTCGTCTTTCCGACTGGCGTAGACTCGGACGAAGGAGCCGAGAGCGCCGTGGTGGCGGACGAAGGGATCTGTGATTGGGCAGATGACTCTGGCTTTGCCCACGCCCCATTTGGCGGACAGCTCATCTTCGAGGAAGAGGACGTTGGGCGTGCCGTCGGGCTTGCTCTTGTCGCTCATACCGTGGTCGCCTGCTGCTGTTAGTAGGTCACCAAGACCCAAGACTTTGGAGGCTTACCGGTGACTGCGACTTGCGCACCAAGCTCTACCAATTTCCCGATACGCTGGTCAAGCGCCGTCAGAAAAGCATTGGATTCCTTTGAGCCAGGAGCATGCTTGTGCTGGACAAAGTCGGACAAAGTCAGGTAGTAGAGGTCTGCCCTGTTATCCTCGAGCAGCTTCACGCCGGCATCCATTACGTAGAGGGATAGCTCGCCAGAATATTGCGATGGCTGTGGTCGACCTACCCACGACTCAACATCAGCGATGCCGTTCTCTTCTACGCTACAGCTGCCGGCCTTCTCAGATGAGAAGCACACCGCTCCGTCCAGACCGTGGGAGAGGATCCTTCTGAGCTTGTCTTTGGCCGTGACTGCCGCAACTCTGACTCCGCGCTGAGACATCAGCTCCAGGATCGTTGAATCGATAAGAAGCGAGTCGTCAAGGATCATCTTCTCCTCTTTGGTCTTGCGGTCCAGGAAGTAGTTGCCAACAATACCATGCTTCGAGATCGGAACGCCAGTGATGATGGAGACGTTGTTTGGATTGGTAAACGAAGGCATCGTACATTTCGCTGGAGCATGGAAGCCAGACTTGAACATCTTCTCCATGTTGGGTATGATGCCGTCGGCAATACCCTGCTCCAGGTATTCCGGATCGAAGCCATCGACGCAAACAGCAACCGTGGCCTTGGTCGGCAAGTTGTAGGTTCGTCCATGTAACACGATCTGCGAGCGGGACTCCATCAGCGATTGGACTGTCATCGCCTCGTAGTGAGACAATGGCGGAGTCTTCATATTTGGGTTCTTGGCCAGGTCGTCCCATCGTCGTAGAGAGACCTTGTTCTGGATCCAAGGGTCTTTGTTCGCCTCCTTGACTTGCTCTTCGTCAAACGGACCGCCCTGCGACCCGATCAGTCCTGACATTGTTCGACAGCTGGAGATCAAAACCTACCTGGTACTTCAAAGTATTCTTGCTATTCCAGCTCAGCCCATCATGGTACTTATCATCAACTGCGCAAAGATACCGCTTGGCCATCACGTGCGCTCCGACCAATTGGCAAACCATCTCGCTGAAGCCCAGCTGCCTCAAATACCTCTCCCCGAGCACCTCATGGCTGCCTTTACCCAGATACTTGCCTTCCGGCGAGATCATTGAGGCCATCTTGTCCGCAGCGGGGATGAAGCGTCCGACATCGTGCAGCAAGGAGCCGATGATGGTTTCTTCGTCGGCTCCGGCTTGTTCGGCGAGGGTGGCGGTTTGGATCGAGTGTTGGAGTTGGGAGACTGCTTCTCCGAGATAGTCGCCTTGGCCTTGGGCTTCGAGGAAGCTGAAGAGTTGTTTGACTGTTGCTCGAGTGTTTGCCTCGACGGATGGGAGGACGGCTGCTGCCATTTTCGTTGTTTGTCACTTTTTTATTCTCTTGCTTCGGCTGTCGTGAGTTGTGGCCTGAGTGTGTCAAACAGGAAATCTTCAGCTGGGCATGCGGTTCTGATATACACCACTCCCACAACGATCGGCCGGCTCTACTAGGCACCGTATTCGTCACGGTACTCGGCACGTAAAGCATGCATCGATCAATGCAACGACATCGATCTCATTTGTTGCGAGGGCGAAGTCGGACATGTCGCCTTGACCTTTCATCGGTGAGAAGGCCGACTTAACCGGACTTCATCGCGAGGTAAAGCATGTGGAGTAACGACGAAGATGCATTCGTCCAACCATACATAAGAGCTGCAGCGGCGACACCGCTGCAAAGATAGTGACACCAGGCACCAACAATCGCAATCAAGATCATTCAAGACCCTCAAGCTTCCGAACAAGCACATATCCTGCGACCAAAACCGACATCGCCAAGGCAACAACAAAACCACCATGCTCCAACTAAACCCATCTCAACTCGATCACTTCAACACCCAAGGCTACCTCATTCTCCGCCAATCCGAGCACGACCTCATCGACCCAGGCACCCTTCAGCAATGGACCAGCGAAATCCGCTCCCTGCCCCGTGAACACGGCAAATGGATGCCATATGACGAAGTCACCGCCACCGGCGAGCGCCAACTAATGCGTACGGAGAACTTCGCCGACTACCACACCGGCTACTCTTCGTTGCTCCACGGCGCGGCGCTGCGCGGGATCCTAGGCCAACTGACGCGGGATGAGATGTTGTTGTTCAAAGACAAGATCAACTACAAACTCGCCGGCGGGAACGGATTTAACGCCCACCTCGACGCTCCTGCCTATGACCATATCGGGTTCATCGAGCACACTACCGCGAACTTGGCCGTGGATGCCGCGACCATTGCGAACGGGTGCGTGGAGGTTGTGCCAGGGAGCCATCGACTGGATGTGGAGCTTGCCGAAGGTGGGAGGATTTCTGAGGCCTGGGAGGACTCGCAGACGTGGAAGCCGGTGGAGTTGGGGGAGGGTGATTTGTTGATTTTTGGCAGCCATTTGGCGCATCGAAGCAAGAGGAATGGGACGAGCAAGGCGAGGAGTAGCGTGTATGCGACGTATCATATGCGGAAGGACGGGGAGGATTTGCGGGCGAGGTATTATGCCGATCGGAGGGAGAATTTCCCGCCGGATCATGGTGAGTCGGTGCCGGGTTTCGAGCAATTGGGATGGTGGCTGACTGTTTGCGTAGAACGAGTGCCTGGGAAGGACTATGGTGCTGGCGTGAAGAGGTATGCGTTTGCCGCTCCGTTCACAAGGGTCGACGAGGCTGCGAGGACGCAGGAGGTCTTGTAGTGTTGCAACAATCGCCCGAGCCTCTTCTACCCGCCAACCATTGCTGCTGCCGCTGTAAAGTCCTGGTAGCCCACAGGCCCGCTTGCGGCAGTCTGTGTAGATGATTGTGTTGTTGAACCATCTCCGGCTGCGGTAGGGTGATTCTCGAGGTCGGTCAACAGCCAATCTTCACGGGAAGTGTCTGAAGATTTGATTGTTCTTATGAACCCTGGTCAATTCAAGGTCGCCGCGAACTAGTAAGCTCCACAAGTCGAGAAAATGGATGAGAAGGCTTGGTTGGTTAATCTGTACACGTATATGACACAACTTACTTCAAGCAGCAAGTATCCTCACCACCCCTGCTTCTTCATCCTCTGCACCATCCCCACCGTCTCCCTAAACGTCTCCTTGAACCTCCTCCGCCACCTCTCCTGCTTCAGCCTCTTCCTTTTCAACCCCGGCCGCTCATGGAACCGCTGCTTCATAAAGTCCCTCTTCACCGAGTTCTGCGCGCACCGCTGGTCCAGCATTCGAAACGCACGCCCGACGTCGATCCCTCGCTCGTTGTTGACGAAGATGGTGCGGCCGACGGTCGAATCGAGCTTCATCGGCGCCGCCTGCGGCTCCGGCGGGGGCGGAGGGGGGCTGGAGAGTGATTGCGAGCTGTTGGTAGAAAAGCTGCTGAGGAGCGAGTCCATGCCGCCGGAGAACTGAGAAGGCTTCTTGTCGCCTTTCTTCTCAAACTCATTGATCATCTCGTCTGCGGAGCTCATTGATCTCTCTGGGCGTTCCTGCGTTGCGGTGCGTGTTTGTGGGCCGGCGTTCCTTGCGTATGGATCTTGGTTTACTCGCTGCTGAGAAGCAGATTTGAAGCGTGATTGTCGCCCAGATGGGGCGGTGGGCACGCCTTTGCTGCCGTCGAGGGCGGAGTCGAGGAGAGCGGAGAACTCTTCGCCGGCGGAGGTAGAGGATTGCTGTCCTCGGCCTACGTTGTCATCTCTCCGTGGTTCTGCTGCCTGCTCCCGTCTGATACATGTCGTGGACAGTGGCCTCGAGACAGGGTGCTGTAGTTGCTGTCTTCCGCAATGCCTCGCTATGCCTCCTAATCGTTGTGGTGTTCTGTGCGCCGACGGTGCCAGGAATGGGAGCAACGGCTGTGTCGTGCGTAGTATGGCTTCGCCTGCCCGGAACAACTCCATTGTCAACAACGGATGGGATGTTATTGCATTGTGCTGGAGTGTCGTGTGTCGTGATGCCGCCGTCGACTGCTCTCGGAGGTGTTGCGGCGAGATTTGCGCTAGCGATATGTGCTCTCTGCGACTTCAGACCTCCAACTTCACTTCACCAAAATCACAAGCCGATTGCACCGCCTAGACGCACGACATCAAGCTGAAAAGGCAAACGCTTACTCTAGTCCTATAGTCACAACACGTCCTTGCAGCGGTAGGGTCAAAGGACAGCACCAAAGCACCTTGACCACGCGCAGCTGCCCAGCATGGCCTACAACTACGGCGCCCCGCCGGGCGCGTACAATAGCACACGTCAGCCCTCCTACAGCGGTGCGCCGTCTATGGGACCCCCACCAGGCATGGAAGGTGCGCCAGGCATGCCCTCACACTCCCCAGCCGTTGGCCAACAACCACAGTTTCAGCCTCCTCCGAATATGCCAAACATCAACTTCAATGCACCTGTCATTCGCCTCGGCATGCAAGACCAGGGTAGGAACAACTCGCCAGCGGACAGAATATCGAGAGGTGGAGACAACTTCCGCGGCAGCAATGCCGAGCCCTTAGGTAGGAGAGACAGAGCGGGGCTGGGCGGTGATCGTGATGGTGGAAGGAACCTTGACCGCATGAGAGCGGAGATGAGGGAGAGCATCCAGGCGCAGCAGCCGCCTACACGAGAGGAAGTCGCGCGGACAATCTTCATCGGCGGACTCAACGAAAATGCACCCTCCGACTCGGCGATCGAGAAGCTGCTGTTTTGCGCGGGAAAGCTCCGTCGGTGGACGAGGGTGAGAGACGCTGACGACAAGGTCTGCAAATTCGGCTTCGCTGAGTATGAGGATGTGGACTCATTAGACGCAGCTAACGAGATCTTCGTCAACCTCGAGGTGCCGATGTTCAAGCCTAGCGTGGCCAGCGTGATCAAGGACGAAGAGACAGGTGAGGTGCAGAAGATGTCCTTGCTGGTCGTTGTTGACGAGCAGAGCAAGAAGTATATCGACGAGTGGAAGGGCAGGAGCAAGCGAGAAGATGAAGACTCCAGACAATTCCGCATTGATGGTTGCAAGGAAGATCTCAGGCAGTGTGTTGCTTCACTCCAGAACATGGGAGCTTTTCTTGCGAACGGGGAGCCTGTCAATGCTGGCATGGCGGATGCTGCGAACGGTAATGGGGTCAAAGACGACGACCAGAAAGTCGTGAACATTGCTGTGGCATTGGAGGATGAGCTCAGTGACATCCCACCCGAAATGCGCGCGACTGTCGCTTCGGAGATTCGGGCATTCCGGGATCGGTCGACGCAGCGGGATCTTGAGCGTCTCAAGCGTGAAGAAGAGCTTGAGCAAGCTGAGCGCCAACGATCCGAGCGTGAGAGAGGTGGTGGTCGTGCTAGTCCCACGCGCACTTTCGCTCCGTCAGGCCCTGCCAGTGCTTCGAACGGCATTCCTGTCGGTCCACGTGGGGCTGCCGCTGTACCCAACGCACCATCCGGTCCCCGCGGATACAGAGGAGCTCAGATGCCTTCCGACTACGTCAATGGTGTCAACTTCGTCGGCGCCAACGGCGTGAACGGCGTCTCAATCAGGCAAGAAGACGAGGACGACTCCGCCAGTGACGAGGAGCTGGAGCGTCGCCGGAAAGAGAAGAAGAGCAAGAACAACGAGGCCGACTTCTTAAACGCAGAAGCACGCTGGGTGCGCAAGGAGAACACTCGCGCCAATGCTCAGGACCGCGAGCGGATGAGAGAAGACGACCTCGGGAGAGCGCGTACAAGAGCCAAGGATGTCGCGAGCAAGCAGATGCAAGAGTTCAATGACGACGAGGAGATCAGGAAGGCCGAGCGTGCAGAGCCTGGTGCGCATGAGTACTTCATCGACCCAAGCAAGTGGGCGGTGAGACGGCACCACATTCGTAAAGAAGAGGCAGCACAAGATGCGCACGACCGTCAAATCGAGGCACGCGAGCGGGCAGAAGCCAACAGCCGTAGCGCCCACGCCCGCGGTATGGCCGACAATTTCATGGATGAGATGAACGCCGAGTTCGCTGCACGCGCCGAGCAACAGCCCGCTGCACAGGGATTCAAGATCTCGCTCGGTTCTGCCGCGGCGCGCAGCAAAGCCGCTACCACAGCTGCGCAGACCGGGCCTTCGAAGCGTGGCATGGCGGATATGGAGAACCTGCTCGAAGACGAAGAAGATGCCGGTGCCTCTGGCGTTCGCAAACCGCTGGGTGCACTGAAGCCCTTGCCAACGGCCACCGCGGCGGACATGACGGAAGAAGAAAAAGCCGCGGCGCGCGCGGAGATCACGAAAGAGATCCCCATCTCCACAGACGAGCTGTTCTCGTTCCCGATGAAGTACGAGTACCTCACGCCCGCGGTCATCGAGCAGCAGGTCAAGCCGTTTGTGGAGAAGAAGGTTGTGGAGTACTTGGGTGTGCAGGAGGATTTGCTCGTGGATGCGGTGGTGGATGGGTTGAAGGAAAGGAAATCGGCGAAGGATGTGGTGGAGGTGCTGGAGGAGGCGTTGGAAGAGGAGGCAGAGGTGTTGGTGAGGAAGGTTTGGAGGTTGGCGGCGTTTTGGGGGGAGTGTGGTGCGAGGGGGTTGGCTTGAGGTGGGATGACGGAGGTGGAGTGCACCAGGGGTAGAACGGTGGACTGTTATGAATGATGTGGCGTCTCGATCCTCTTGTCGAATGTGGACGAAAACGAAGTAGCATAGCAAGGTGGCTCTATGAGTTGAGTCTTGCGACGCATGAGCGTTATCCTGCCTTATCATCATACTACCATACGAACTTAAACGCCAAAGGAGCCATCGCTTTGACCTTGACCATTCCCAAGCTTGTCGTACTGCTAAACCACATGTCTCCAAGAACATTGGAAACTGTTGCTGTCCTCATTGTCGTATGAAGCCTCGGCGGATCTTCGGGCAGTCTGCATCTCGACTTCCAGGCCTCGACCTCACCAGATACACCATCACCAACGTGCAATCTATACCAGCACCACCTCCTACGACACGACATCAAGATGGCAAACGGGTACGACCACCTCTTCCACCTACAGTATATGCGCTGACAGTCGTCCCAGCTGGTCTCTCCTCGTCAGCATCATCTTCATCGTCATCTTCTCCGGCGTCTCGTGGGTCGCCAGTCCCAAGGGGGAGAATCAGACGTACGTCTTTTATACGAAGCCAACCCATAGGAGTTGCGCTGTCGGCTTGTGCTCCCGCGCGCTGGTGGCTGGGTTCGTCAAACAATACGGAGCGCATGTGCTAACACGGCGATCACAACAGTATATGGCGATCCACCCTCGTGCTCTCAGCATGGGCTTGTTGGCTTATGTGGGGTACGTTTTCCTCCAGCCCCAGTCCCAACTACACACGAGAAGACGAACGGACGCGCGGAGAGTGTATGGGCTAACAGGTACAACAGCGATAACGTTCCTAGCCCAGTGGCACCCCCTCATCACGCCGGAGCGCAACGACCTGCGGCCTGAGTATCAGAACGGGCCGGCGAAGGGGAATATGATGTTTTGATCTGGGCATGAGTGAGGGCGTGGCGTTTTGGGAGTTACATGCGGTAGGGGTCGCGAAGAGAAAGGGAGGGGTGTGTGTATACTACCGAGATGAGGTGGAGATCGTGGCTGGAAGGGACTACACCAAGGGCAAGCGGCAAGATGTGCAGGAGTAGTTGCGAAATGTGCGCGGTGAAGGGACATCAATAGCTTCTCCAGGCTGCTTCTGAGTCCATAGGGTTATCACCCAAAGCCTGCGCTTTCTGCCAGTCTGTGCCACACTTCGATCAAGTCCTCCGTTTCCACCACGCCAGCCGCAGCTACTCCCCCACCCACACCGACGGTACGTAGAATGCACTGCAAGATACACATCAGTAAGAAGCGCGCGAATTCGCTGTCTTCAATGATATTACTCACCCACCCAACCCCAGCCCGACACACCGCCCCCACCGCCGCCAACACGCCCGCCCTCACATACCCACAATCCAACAAAATCGCCAACGCCGCGACATTGTTAATAATCACCGCCCAGCTCACCGCCGACGCACTGCTCGGCAGATCATACTTCCAAATCAACAGTAGCAGCGGGAACAGCTTGGTAAAACTGCTCACCAGCAACGCCGTGCTGATCAGCGCTCGGTGCGGATAATGCGGTACTACCGCTGAAAATGGCCGGGGCAGGCGGATCGAGAGCAGGAATTGGATGGGGAGGTGGAAGGAGATGGTTTCGATGGCGCAGAGGGCGAGGAAGAAGATGTATTGGAGGAGGATTGGTTGGGTGGCGAGGAAGTTGGGGCCGTCGGAGGTGGTGGTTTGAGTGGTGAGGGTGGTGTTGGTGTGGTTGGCCGGACTGGGTGGGAAGGGCGGTGGTGGGGAGAGGGGGAGGGATGGGGAGGAAGGGGTGGCTTTTTCGATGCGGGCCCAGGTTAGGTAGACGTCGAAGAGGAGGAGGAGGATGCCGAGGCGGATGACGGAGGGCTGGGAGGTGTTTAGCAGATCTTCAAGGCCTTTGCTGTATTCAAGAAGTACATTGAATTTGCCATCCTCACGTCCGAGTAGGTTGAAGAGGAGATGCCGGTAAACCTGCTATATGTTAGGAAATCCTCCTACACTGATTAGGCCACACTTACTTGCGGCTTGATCAATACCAAGTCAATGAACAGCACAACCAGGTCATGCTCGACGTACTTGTCTGCGAAGCTCTTGCAGCGCGGACATTGTGTTAGACGTACGCCCTTGCCGAGTGCCTTGTCATCGGCTTTGCTGTAGGTGGTGTAAAGATTTTGGACTGGGTAGCGGCATCTGTACGGCGTTAGCAATGCTGTTCGCAATTAGGAGGGCGTACAGGTACAGACTCTATACATATCGGCATTTCATGGTCTTTTTGATTTTGATTTTGTTGTTGAAGGTCGAAAGCCACCCGAGCGGAAGTTGGTCGGCAAGCCGATGTTGATGTCGCGTCTTCACCCTTGTCTTTCTTTCCTCTTCCTGCGCCGTGAGCGTGCCAACTACAAGATCTCAAATGTATTCTGACGGGTGAGAAAGACTTGCGGAGTGGACTGAGTGCCATACGGACTTCACAACTTCTACTTAATCATTCGCGCCTCCGACACCGACGCGATGAGGCTTTCCGCCGGCAAGAACGCGTTGACGCTCCTTCGAGAGCTACAACAACACATGTGTCTATAGCCAAAGGCATAGTCAAGATCTCGATGCACTCTCCTTGAGCAAAGAAGCTACAGCCCTTCTCCTGTCACACAACGCGTCTTTCTCAGCCCATGCTCTCAGCGGGATTTATCACCCGCCCTTCCACGTCTTTGCGGTTCATGCTGCCCTCCATCCACTCATAGGTGATCACACGCGGGCATGAGAAACTGTCCAGCATGTCCATCTCCGCTACTTCTTCAACGCTCATACCTGTCCGGTTGGTACGCTGATTCCTCATTCCCAATGGCGACCAGCAACCTCCTCCTGCAGGAGCTTGTACGGAAGTGTAATAGCATCCAGGAGGAACTGAAAGCCAAGGAGGCTGCTTTAGCAGAGACATGTGATGAACTATTGGAGGTGCAGAAGCTTCACGGAGCGCTCCTGGACCGGCATACAGCGGAGACAGCAGAGGTGGAGGAGCTCAAGGCACACCTTATGGTATGTTCTACTGCATGTCGTGTGCTCGAACAGTGTTGACATATATGGAAAGGCTCTGTTCGGCGGAGGCGCACATGTGGTCGAGAACCGCGGCCGGACGCCCATCACGTCACCAGGTGACACCATCGCCGTCAAGCGCAGACACAGCCAGGACTCTGATGGCGAACTAAAGCGCTATCGAACTGAAGAGGCCGACGAAAACATAGCGACGATGCCGATGTACCAGCGCCACGCTTCAAAACCCCAGCGGCGCAAATGCTCACGCCTGACACTTTAGCAAACGATCAGCAGCCACGCGAGTCTATCGAGCGTGACGTAGACGCCTCTGTACGCCGCATGCCAGCAATGAGGAATGTCCACAAACATTACCCTCTGCTGCACGTAGCATTCGGCTCTGTCGTCCGCGTCCACAACAAAGCGATCGCTGTCTCATGCTTCATCGATGACTGCCGAGCCAACGCACATGGTCCCTTCCCAGTGTACTTTCAAGGGATGCGAGGTCTACAGATCCATGTCCGGCAGTCGCATCCAGGCTACGAAGGCTTGAGCTTGGAGCAAGTGGCAAGGAGATGTACGAAGGTTGAGCTGAGCGCGGAGGATGCTTTGCTTGTTGAGCGTGGGCGGCCACCTAAGACCCCGATCGACTATGTGTTTAAGGATGGAATGCGAGTGGAGGGGCTGCGGGCTAAGAGTGTTACGGTTGTTGAGCAGGCCCCTCCGGCGAAGCGCAGGAAGGTCGTGGAGGACGACAGCGACGACAGCGACGACAGGAAATGGCTGGAGTCACCTTAATGGCAGACGAACGCCTTGACATGACCTACGAGACGATCGACCTGGACTAAACCTCGCGGAGCCCATCTTGCAACCTGGACGAGACTTCTGGATTTAACCACCAGTGTTGGCTTCTCTACACACAGACCCCGGCCATTTGCAAATCCCATCAAATCAGTGTTGCTGCCCTCATGTCAATTTTCTCTGTCGAAAAAACAATGTCACTGCCCGGATTGAGCGGAGTCACAGCAGTGGACACGGACGGTGCCATCTTGCGGCCATACCTAGCACAGTCCGACCACGATCATGAGACTTCCCAACCCGATATCAATAGCCCAAGGCATGCCATTCTTTCTCAACTTTCCATTCTTCTCATCATATGCTTTTTGCGAAGTATTCCAGTACCTTCCTAACACGGCAATCCGCGGAACTGCCAAAACCGCCAATGTCCCTCGTTGAACTCCCCGCGCTATGCTGTCATTGCGGCTAATCACATTTCTTGGGGACAATTTCTTACTACAAGATGGCGGATCGAAACATCCAGATCTCTTCCTCTTTTGACATCCAAAGCGAATCTTTACACGAGAAGATCAAGGACAACGACACCGGCGAAACCAAAACAGTCGACGTCGAAGAACCACACAAGACAACCGAGTCGACCACTATCACAACCAACCCCGTCAAGTACTCCGCCAAAGGTCCAGGCGAACCCCAAGTAACAGAAGGCAAAGCCGTGGACGTCAACCCAGCAACGCTCGGCTACGACACCAGTCAACTCTAGAGCCACCACGACCACCAACATGTCTACCAACGGCTCCTCACGCGGCATGGTCATCGCCATGGGCGCCGACGAAGCCGGCTGCGGCTACAAGAACAAGATCAAAGCCGATCTCGAAGCCGACCCGCGCGTCTCCAAAGTCATCGACGTCGGCGTCGACTCCTCGTCCGACAAAACCGCCTATCCGCACCCCGCCGTCGACGCCTCGAAGCTGATCAAGTCCGGTGAAGCGGACCGCGCGCTTCTGATCTGCGGGACTGGGTTGGGAGTGGCGATAAGCGCGAATAAAGTGCCTGGGATCCGGGCGGTGACGGCACATGATAGTTTTAGCGTGGAGAGGGCGGTTTTGAGCAATAATGCGCAGGTGTTGTGTATGGGTGAGCGGGTGGTGGGAGTCGAGTTGGCGAGACGGTTGGCGAAGGAGTGGCTGGGATATGAGTTTGATCCAAAGAGTGGGAGTGCGGCGAAGGTGGATGCGATTATGGAGCACGAGAAGAAGAATTTTGCAAATGGTGCTGCGTAAGAGGATACATGTTGCTATAGTGTGATGAGAACACAATGATGATGGCGCAGACTACAGTTCAAGCAATATGTGATCACGAAGAACATGGCCCATGTGTCTATCGGTATCGTATGGTTTCGTATATATCGTAAGTTCAGTACGAACTATGACCAATGAAACAACACCAACGCTTTCCTCCAACCACATGGTATCCAATGCCGCAACTCCGGCCAGACAGTGATGTCTTATATCTGTTCCCAAACTGGACCCTGCACTCGAAGATCAAAGACCCGTACGCCGGTGCATGCTCTTGTCAATGTTCACCAAAATCCGATCAAGTCAGAGTCGCCATGGCCAGTGCGACCTTCTTCGCCCTTGCTTCTCTTGCTTTCTCTGCAAACGCACTGTCAGCCAGGGTTCACCAGCACGGCAGTAACGGTCAAAGAACAGAAGGAATCGAGGCCAGTCCGACATACAATCTAGTGTGAAGACCGAACCAAAGCCATCCTACCTTTCCGATCCTTCTCCACCCGCACCACATTGCGCGGAGGGCTCTTCTCCCGCTCATACACATCCAGCACTTCCCTCGCTTTGTGCGGCTCGTACTCGACCAGCTGGTACTCATCAGTGGGACGCTCGCGGATGCGGACGGCCATGTTTCGTCGCTCGTCTGCCTCGCGCTCGAGGCGCAGAGCACGGCGTTCGGCTTCCAGTCTTCCGATCTCCGCTTGGATGTCGCGGTCAGAGCGAGACTCACGCTCCTGGACGATCAAGGCGCCGCTATTGGAATTGTGGGAGTGGTGGTGGTGGTAGTGTGGGTCATGGTAATGGGAAGCCGGCTGGCCGCGCTCCTCGACGACAGTCTTGCGCTCTTCGTAATATGCTGGCGCTGGGGGTGCCATTGGAGGCGGTGGCGGCGGTACGGCGTTGGAGGGAGCACGCTCTTCAATGACCGTCTTGTGTTCTTCGTAGAATTGCGGCGGCGGCGGCTGAGAGTGATGGCGGCTGTGTGACGTACGATGGGAGCGTGCCGTGCGAGCGGGTGAGAGGCGTCGAGTTGTGGTGCTCGCCCCACTTGGGGAAGAGTCTCGACGCCCGCGGTACTCAGATCGTGACGCAGATCGCCGGACGCCCGCAACACTTGGAGGGTTGATCCACTCCGTACGAATGACTTCTTCGTGCTCGTTTGGTGGCGCAAGTAAAGCTGGCGCTTCGTCAACTTTGTCTTCGTACTTGTAGACGACTTTCTTGTCTAGGTGGGGTTAGGTTTGCGCTACATCCGCAAGGACTGGTGAAGCTTACCTTCGTTTTTGTAGCTTTCGCTAATCTTCATCACTTCGTCAATCTGTTCCTTCTCCAGAGCGATGCGCAACACGAAGAAGTCGACCTCTTCATCGAATGGGTAGCCCAAATCCATAATCGCCTCACGCCTTACGAGACGCTTTGGCATGCGGGTTTTGCCCTTCTTGAACTTCTTCTCGATTTGGGTAATGCTGTCGCTGACACTGCCACCATGCACGCTCTCATGGAAGCTCTCATGAATGCTCAACCCGCCTGGCCCATGAATGTCTTCGTGAAAGCTCTCGTGAATGCTAGGAGCGCGTCGGCTGCGTGTGCGCCTGCTCCTCGTGTCCTGGATTGTAGTGTCGCTGCTGCTGCTGCTTGAAGAGCTACGTCTCGTGGTGACTGACTTCGCTTTTGAGCTCTTGGAGCTTTTCGGACCGCCACCTCTGCGATGCACAGAACGCTCACGGCGAATCTCAACTTCACGGTATTCCTCGGGCTCGTTGTATCCGCCCCTTTGAAAGTCGTCGTATCCTTCTTCTCTTCGGATGGGCAATGGTACGGGCTGGTACGCTGGAATGCGGTATTCCTCGCGCTCGTAGCGCGGGATCGGGCGGCGGTCAAAGGTGTCCAAGCTGCTTTGACGCCGCATGAGACCTGGGCGTGGTGGTGCGCCCCGGTTGATGTCGATATCGATGTCAATCTCGTCTCTTGTGCCTCTTCCCCCATCTCCACCACCGCGGTAGGGTGTCACAGCCATGTTTGCGAGCTCTCGCGGGTCGACATCTCCGAACAGCTCCCTATCAGTCCGCCTGCGACGTCCAGCAGGAGTGAAACGGTCTTCTTCGGCGTAGCGATCACGCTCCTCGTATCGGCCGCGAGGGCCTCGCTCGTCAATGCGGTCTTGCACCTGGACATCTCGCTGACGTGGGGTGTCTCGTTCGTGGAAGCGGTAGTCTTCTTCGAACTGGCGAGGTGGAGGTCCTCCGCCGAAACGCTCGAAACGAGAGCGGTCCCAGCGTTGAGGGAGCTCACCATAGGCTAGGTCGTCGCCCGGTGGGCGTCCACCTCCATAGCGTGACATGACGGCTTTGCGGAGGGTAAGCTAGACTCGTGGGGCCTGCGAGTGGTCCCAGTGATGAGTTGGAAAGCTGGAGAGAGGATCGTATACGTTTCAAGGCCGAGAAAGCTGGTGCTGTTCAGATGTTAAAGCGGTGCAGGCCAGTGATGTAGTCAGAGATCAGCAGTGGGAGGCCGGCTACTGGTGCGTTGTGCGCCAGTCGGAGGGGTTTGCTGCACTTCGGACGCACAAGAAATTCTGGAGATCCTGTGTGATGCTGCCAAAGTGACAGGAGCCGGGAAGATTGGGCTTATATTCTGCTAGGCGTTAATGGATGTAGGTTTGGGCACCATCTGCAAACTTGGAGGGCGCATCCGGTCCCGTGCGCTGGGCAGCGAGCGAAGCGATGACGCCGGGAGGATCATGTGATTCCAAGAAGGAGGTCAGTGAATCTATGAACGCCAAGACAGCCATCGTCGACCTCCTTTCCAAACTACAACCTCTTAATGCGCAACGCCATCAGTTTCCAACTCCCAGACTCGCTCAACTCCCAGTTCTCGTGTTGCCGGAATAGTAAACATAAAGCATGCGCTGAATGCCCTGGCACATGATGGCGGAGAGTTCCAAAGCAACGCCACGAAGAAGTCGAGAGTTGAGGCGTAGACGGCGAGGTGTGCACGGCGTGCGCAGTGTGCGAAGGCGTGATGAGTCGAGGAATGTTTCTGGCATCGAAGGATGCATGTCGATGGTTGGTGCAACTCTCACCATATCATGATGGCCTCTCGAGGTGAGTTCATATGCCAGCTTTGATTTGCATGTGAAAGGGTTCCTTCTTCATCTTCACGCACAGCCTTTCAATCCTTGTGTATCGTAGTCTACGCATCTAAGCATGATGACCTGGTAGAGCGCAAGACTGGATCGTAGTACACACGTGTTGAGATCGAGATGGTCAGTGTGAAAGGGCGTTTGTGATGAAGTGAGGTCACCAGACGGCCGCTCCTTCCCTTCTCGATAAGATTTATGAGTCCGCCGTTGTAACCGCGCTAACCACTTTCTACTTCATGTTTCAGGTATCTGAAATTTCATTCCCCCATCGTCACCACACCCACACCGGCACGCACTCCTTTCGCCCTATGCAGCTACACTGTAAGGAGAGCAACATCACGATCCTCACGAAGCAAGCCACGCGGTTGCAAGAATTTCACCGCGCGCTTGATGAAGATGTTGAGCGACAGCGGCTACGACTCCCCTGGGGAGAACTTCAAGGTCAAATCGGACGCTGGCTCAGACGAAGGCGCACCCCTGGATCTGAAAATCGAGGATGAAGAAGGCTACCGCCACCTCTCGAACGGACTTGTTGTTGATGGCGTGAGCCGTGGACCCGTCACCAGCAAGACGAGGCTCGCTGCCTTGTACGACTACGACGACGACCGAGTCGACAACAACCTTGTGCGGAGTCTCGCGAACACTGTCGGCGTGTCTGTATCCTGCCAGCTCGAGACGAGTGATGGGAAGGTCTTTCCGCCGAGCGCTGAGGTAGCTCAGCAGCGATACTACATGCGGATGACGTTCCGCAATCTGGTAAGTCACTTCAGTCCTGGTAAATGCTCATCGCTAATATATACCAGTACCTTGCACCTGCTGTGCGCCTGGAATGCCGTTTCATCCAGCCGTGGAGCCAGCACTCAGCCTATCTTACTCTGGCCACCGAATTCCACTTCAACGACTACACCGACGGCGAGGACAACATGATCAGCGCATACTCGCACAGAAACGCCACTATTCAGTTCGCCGCCGGGCGAGCGACTTGTTCTGGATTCAATCTCATCGAGAAGTGCGATTCGTTCTTCGGAGAAGAAGAGAGAGAAGTCATCGAAGTCATGCGCTCATTCACCCAAGCGAAGACACGACACCAAATCATGCTGCACCTCAAAGGCCACTCGCTCAGCCCAGAAGCTGAAGATCACCTTCACAAGATCAGGGCTCGGCTTCCTGGTGGTGGCGGCAAACTACTCCCATCGATTGGCGCAAAAGAGTACACTCCATTTGATGGGAAAGGACAGCTTGTGAAGTGCTACGATGGGTCCATGCTCACCCCGGCCAAGCTCCTGTCAACAGAAGTTCCATTTCCGATGGTGCCCCTCGAGTGCCGGACAACATTCTCCTCCGTCAGGGAAGCTGCCGTACAGTTGGCATACTCCGCAACGGTCAGCGATGAAGAAGCTCGAGAGGCTCTTCGTCTCTGGGCTGCGGTTCCGCATGATGCTGAGCTATACCTCCATCTGAACTTCCCAATCCTGGCGCTGTACTTCCGGCCCTTCGACAGACTTGGTGGAAGAAGAGCCGATGGAGACCTCCAGTTCCGCCTGCCACATGACATGAACTGTGGCTTCGTGATGGCCGACCCTGTGAATAAGGAAATACCCATCAAGATCGAAGGCTTCATGTTAGGAACAAATCCCGGTATTGTGCACCAGGACGGTCGAAGCCCAAGTGCGGTCTTCCGAATCACCAGTCGCACCAAGGCGCAGCTGGAAGATACGTTCGTCTACGAAGTATCACGCAGTTTCCGCACCAAGTGCGACCCTCATTACAGCTCCTTCACGTACAACTCCCAGCTCGAAGCAGTGAGGATGTTACAAGCAACAAGAAACAAGAAATGGTGGCCACTACTGTTGAACCAGAAGCACGATGAACTACCGAGCCAGGACCCCACTGAAGGCGTACCACCACATCGCAAAGAGAGAGCAGAGGTGTGGCTTCGTGGCTGGAAGAATTGGAACCCGGAGCAGCTGGCGATCATCGACGGCATCACCGCGACCAAGGGCGGCATGACACTCATCATGGGACCCGCTGCCACAGGCAAGACACTCTTGCAGCGTGGCATCGCGATCTACTTCTACTCGTTGGGATACCATGTCGCAGCACTCGCGCCGGCAAACGACAACGCAAACAAGTTGGCCAAAGACTTGCTCGAGATCAAGGCCGAGCTAGCCGAGCTTGACTGGATCGACCTGGACTTCCTCAGGCTGTTCCCCGGCTCCCGCGACGTGCCCGTTGACGAGATGACCGAGCAGCAGGCCGGCTTCCGAAAAGAAGGACATCGGGGGGGAGACGTGCTTCCATTCCGTGAGATGCTCAACAAGCTGGAAGAAGATCCACAGACTGCAGGCCCTCATCGAACGTACGGAGTTGTCGAGTCGATCATCAGGCACGCAGAAGAAAAGACACTCAAACTGTTCAAGGCAACGAGAGATGGAGACGGCCAGATTAGTGATCGCGTCGACACCTGGGAGACGTTGCGCGAGCTGATCGCAGCTTGGAAAGCGAACGAGCTGGATATGAAGGAGAGCAAACGCATGGAGCTGTTCCGCGTGGCCTACCTCGCATGCAAAGGCCAGGTTGTTGGGCTGAATCGATTCATCATCACAACGACGGGCAACGTTCGCTCGCGAGAGATGAGGGACTACTGGTTCAGCCAGCAAAGCGACTACGGCGTGCCTCGCAAAGGAGTTGTCGTGCTTGTCGACGAGGCTGCAAAAGACCTTGAGGTCAACGTGTGGTCTGGCATTGTGTCCGAGAGGTGGTCGGAGTATGTGAAAGGAGTCTTCCTGTTTGGTGATGACAAGTGAGTTTGACCATCTAAATCCAACGTACTCCCACTGACACCCTGAAAGGCAGCTCCTTCCCACGAACACCTCTGCGAAAGGCAGGACACAGTACAACTACTTCAGCGACCGGCTCGACATCCCACTCCCCAACCGTCTCGAGCAGGAAGGCTTCCCCTGCTTCCGCTTGCTGGAGCAGCGCCGCATGCACGAAGCAATCTCTGCATTTCCCAACGCTATAGTGTACAATGGGAAGTTGCGCAATGGCCCCGGCATGGACGTCTCGCTCGAAACACACATGCCAGGTCTGCGTCAGACACTGCTCGACATCCTTGCTGGTGCCGAAGGAGCGGCTTCTCCGCTGCAGCTCAGGGACAACGACCTTCGCCGCCACTACTTCGAGGTGTACGGCAAGCGAGTCGAGTACGAGAAGTCCATTGCCGTGCATGAGCATATCGACGTGTTCATGAAGGACATCTTCCCGAAACTGTTCGAATTTTTCCGTGAGAGTGGGAGGAGCATGAAGGAGGATGTCATGATCATCTGCGCCTACAACTATGCTGTAAGTTTGTCCTCTCCACTCGAAAAAGCACACATCTGACATTCTACAGCGCTCCGAATACGACCGCCGAATCAAAGAGTTCCTCCGCCACCACCACCCCGGCCACACCACGAACAACATCCCCCGCATCATGTCCGTCGACGGCAGCCAGGGCGACGAAGCGTTCATGGTCTTCTTCGACGCTTCTGCGCAACAGGGCCATCGCGTCGGTACGCTTATCTTCTCTTCATCCCCTCCTTCGCCTTTTCGACTTTATGCTAATGCAACGCAGGTTTCATGCAAAGCGAGAATCGCTTCAACGTGGCCATCACGCGCGCCAAGGGGGTCATGTGGATGATTGGCGGGAGCATGAGGTGTAGGGATCGAGAGCCGAATCTGATTACGCGGTACAAGAGGGAGCTGGATATTATGGGGCAGGTGTCGCATTTCCGGAGCTCGGAGAGGTACATGTAGGGAGGTGGGTGTAGGAGGGGCATTGTTGCATGGTTGAGTACGAGGGTATGGGGGTGGGACGGCGTTGTGTGGGTGTGGATATGTGGGATATGCGTGGGTGGGGTTGATGTTGTGTGGCATTTCTGGTTGCGGTTCCTACTATCGCAGGGCTGTACAGGTCGGGGTCATGGAGGGTGTTGTGTAGAAGGCTTATTCGGCAGCATCAGCGAGGGTGTCTATAGACGATAGCGAAGCTACCAGGTCTCAGCTCTGCTCCAAGATACCTCGCCCATCTTGCCTTTCTGCAACATTTGGCATGTGAAGATCTGTTGGGAGAGCTGCATCTTGAACAATAGGAAGGACATGTATGGCCAACACAGCTTGCTGCAGCTCTGATATCTCGATGCAGCATCCACAAGAGTACCGGTAGCTCTGGGGTCTGGCTGTGCCTTGTTGTTCAAAGAGAGGAAAGTGGGTTTGACATGTGAAGACCGTTGAGCCATGCGCGTCTTGCGTGCGAACGCAGTACACGAACGTTATCTCGCTACATACGTGCATTCGACCCAGTTGTACGTACACGTCCTCCTCCCACTCGTCATCCATCCAGGCCAGGTGCATATGGGCTTGACATGTGATAATTGTTGGGAGTCGCAGCTCCAGAGTACAGATGCAATGCAATATGCGAGCGTTGCTTGACTCTTGATAAAACATCGCTCCAATTGTACGTACAATCCGTCGTCAGCTCGTCATGCGTACAGTGCAGGCAAGCAGGTACATGTAGGTTTGACATGTGAAGCCCGTTGAGAGATAAAGCTCCCAGATACTTCCAGCGATGCCACGGCGCTGGTGCCTCGTTGAGCCCTCCGTCCCCGTCTGCACGTCGTTCCGCTGTGCTGGTTTCGCTCAGGACACGTGTGTATCTTCTACGACAACATCGTCAGCGTGGGGGGGAGATGGTGTATCCTTGGTCTGGAGACGGTGGAGGCATCTGCCGTGGGCGAACGAGAGGGTGAGGTCGAGAACGCTACGGGCGAGAAGGGGGCTTGGCTGCCGAGGCGGACGGAGACTCGGATGGACCCTGGAAAGTTTTGGGGTGGTCTGCCCTTTGTTTGGGGTGTTGGAAATTCACGATTGTTGAATGGACGTGTGAGCAATGGATGTTGGACAGTCTGCGATGACAGTTGGTGTTGTTTGCTGTGGTGCAATTGTTCTGGCCGTGATGACTGCCTGCTGTATGACCGATGAGGGGATTGTGAGAGGCCGTCGCGTGCTCGTACGATTCGCGGTCGCCCAAAGTCGGAAGGGAAGGGAGCGATGACGGATTGCAGGGTCCAGCCGTTCAACAATTTTCCCTCAGCTCAACCAATCCTCGTCGACCATTCACCGACTCTTGAGATCCAGGCACGCTCGCCTCGTTCGCTGTGACGTTCCGCTGGGAAAGGGACAACCCCACCTCCACTCGTGCCGGATGAAATATCGCTTACGTTGAATCCTTCCATCCTCTTGCCATAATACTTGACACCTACACCTTCCTCCTGTTCTCACCTTCCAACCTTCCCACACTCACTACTTGAGAGAGACTAAGTGTCACCTACCACCTGCTCACTCCTGAGCAACGCATCGAAGTCACCTACACTTCACACACATCGATATCACTCTGCACACGAACCACATCGACCACTCCAAGATGCCTTCGCATCAGCCCACGGCCGGCATGATGGCCGTCGATCCTCTGAAGCTATCATCACAGCCGCCGGCGACTGCATCACCACAAGAGCCCAACCGCAACCCCAAATACGACCCCAAGAAGTCACACATCACGGAGACGCCCTTGACGAGGAAGAACTGGTACAAGCACGTCAACTGGCTCAATGCCATCCTCATCGTGGGCATCCCAATTTCTGGCTGCATTGCTGCGCTCTGGACGCCTTTGCGGTGGCAGACGCTGGTCTTCGCTATTGCCTACTACTTCGCCACCGGGTTCGGAATCACAGGCGGTTACCATAGGTTATGGGCACACTCTTCATACTCTGCATCAACACCTCTTAAGATCTTCCTCGCTGCTGTTGGTGGCGGTGCTGTTGAGGGCTCCATCAGATGGTGGGCTCGGGACCACCGTGCACACCATCGCTACACCGACACCGACAAGGACCCGTACAGCGTCCGCAAGGGCCTGCTCTACTCCCACTTCGGCTGGATGATCATGAAGCAGAACCCGAAGAGAATCGGCCGCACCGACATCTCGGACCTCAACGACGACTGGGTTGTTGTCTGGCAGCACAAGCACTACCTCAAGGTCGTCCTCTTCATGGGTCTAATCTTCCCCAGCATCGTCTGCGGTCTGGCGTGGGATGACTGGCTGGGCGGATTCATCTATGGTGGCATTCTGCGCATCTTCTTCGTCCAGCAGGCCACCTTCTGCGTCAACTCGCTTGCCCACTGGCTCGGCGACCAGCCATTCGACGACCGCAACTCCCCCCGCGACCACGTCATCACTGCGCTCGTCACTCTTGGTGAGGGCTACCATAACTTCCACCACGAGTTCCCGTCCGACTACCGCAACGCCATCGAGTGGCACCAGTACGACCCGACCAAGTGGACCATCTGGCTCTGCAAGCAGGTCGGCCTTGCCTACGACTTGAAGCAGTTCCGCTCCAATGAGATCGAGAAGGGCCGTCTGCAGCAGATGCAGAAGAAGCTCGACCAAAAGCGCGGCAAGCTTGACTGGGGCGTTCCACTGGAGCAGCTCCCCGTCATGGAATGGGATGACTACGTCGACCAGGCCCAGAACGGCCGCGCTCTCGTCGCTGTCGCCGGTGTTGTCCACGACGTCACTGACTTCGTCGCCGACCACCCCGGTGGCAAGGCCATGATCCGCTCCGGCATCGGCAAAGACGCAACCGCCATGTTCAACGGCGGCGTCTACAACCACAGCAACGCAGCACACAACCTGCTCTCAACCATGCGCGTGGGCGTCATCCGCGGCGGCATGGAGGTGGAGATCTGGAAGCGAGCGCACAACGAGAACAAGGACACGATGGTCGTCAAGGACAAGGACGGCAACCGCATCGTGCGCGCTGGCGCTCAGGTGACGAAGGTGTTTGATCCTCCGGCGAGCGCGGGCGCTGCGTGATTGAGTGTTGGGCGAGGGATAGTTACTGCTTCATGATGATGGTGCGTTTTAGCGATATGAACGAGTATTAGCCGATGGGAAATGTTTTTTGGCGAGCGAATTGCGCTTTACATTCGCTGGGCGGATTTGGGTTAGATATATCCTACTCACTTGAGATGAATGAACACCGTCCTGAAACTACTTGTACTCTTCCTCGCTCCGATGCATGAGCCTGTCTTCTTATCGTCTCACTGGCTTCCTGCACGGAAATGGTCCCTCTCGCGCTGGTGTCCAAGTGAAAAGGTAAGACACGCTCTGCACGCTAGTAGCGAAACGCGGTTTCTGACATCTCCGTGGTGCTGAAGTTGGTACTGCTTTTCTCTCAAGAACGATCACGTGATTGAAATTTCACGGCCGGGAAAGTGTCTGTCGCTCGACTTTCCCTGACATCGCGCGTCTTCAGAAGTTCAACCTCGCGTCCTTCAATGTCACAGGTGAGAACACTGTGAAACGACCAACCACTGCCCCAATGGCGGACAACCAGGATGCGCTCAGTCTGCTGAGAAAGTCCATCGCCGTCGACAATGCGCCAACACCCAGCACCTCCGAAGACCCCAGCACGCAAGCAGATCTCGACATCTCCCTCGCAGACGCAACATATCTTGTCTTCAACTTCACCCAGGCCGAAGATGGAGGGCACCACATCGCTCTTCCCATCTCGCAGAAGACACGGTTCGAGTCGAAAGCCGCAAGCAAGGCGGTTGACTTGAGATCTGTCTACTTCACATGGCAGAACAGGGAGCAACAAACGATTAGGTACATCAATGCTGTCGCGGCGATCAATGAAGAGCTGAAGAAGGCTGGGAAGGATGAGGTTGTAACGAGCTTGAGTTTCCAAGAGAGGACGGATCTGGTGAACTGGCTGAATGGCGACATTGCAGAGAATGCCTGCGAGTTCATCCGCAGCCTGGATGACAACAAGGCCACGCGGAAAGAAGCCGACGATGCAGCAGCGCTGGTCGCAGGAGGCGATGAGGACATTGAAATGCGCGATGCAGGCCTCTCAGACGCCGCAGCCCGCAAGAAAGAAGAAGAGCTCCTCCGCGCCATCTACGCCAGCGAACGCAAAATGGGCGACCGCAACACCATCCTCCGCGGCAGCAAACTGCAAGACTACAGCGGCGTCCGCAAGCGCTGCGCCGACGTCTTCCTCAAAGGCCGTTCGGCCGCACAACCCACCCCGACCCCCGCCGCACCCACTTTAACCAACAACCCTGCGCTCCGACCGCCCGTCAAAGCCCCCCAGCCCGGTCGCCGCCCCGAGCCCATCATCCTGCTTTCCCCCTCCGCCTCCTCTCTCCTCCGCATGCCGAACATCAAATCCTTCCTCGTCGACGGCATCTACCAACCTCCCGACAACACTGCCTCCTCTGGCGCCAACATCCTGCACCTCACGCGCAAACTCTCCGACGACATCTCCAAACACCCCGTCCGCTTCATTCTGGTCGACTCGCCCGAGCACTTTCGGCACGACTACTGGGAGCGTGTGGTCGCCGTCTTCACAACGGGGCAAACGTGGCAGTTCAAGAACTACAAGTGGCAGAATCCGGCGGATCTGTTCGCAAACGCGCTGGGCGTGTATGTCGGGTGGAAGGGTGAGGTGGTGCCGGAGACGGTGAAAGGGTGGGGGAGGGGCGTGTTGACGTTGCAGGTGGATAAGGGCAAGGATCGGTGGAGGGATCGGGAGGTCGTGGAGGATATTTGGCGGGCGATTGAGGGCAGGATGAGGGGGAAGGGGTGGGGTGGAAAGTAAACATCGCTAGTGATTTGACTTGCGTGAGCGTTCTAGCGGGCGTTGTGCAGAATGGAACAGCTCTGCGGGTTGGAGAGCATGTTATGGATTAGGAGCTGAAAGGCATCTGGCTCATGGTCCATTCCTTTACTCTAATTACACTCGACGATTCCAGGTCTCCGTCATCCACTCAGCGCTCTCCAGGTTGTCGGGTCAAGGAAATCTCCCAGGGTGACTGGAATGTGGAACCAAGCTTCGTCGGTATGCCGAGACGCAAACAAGTTGCAACGGCGTCGGCTGGAAGAATTCAGCTCTGCTTTCCCACGCGGAGTGGACAGTGATTGCGACACCAACGAGGATAAGACCATGCGATACTGACGGCCAGAAGTTCCACACCCATGTCGATCAGGACCATGTCGTCCACCACATTCGCTCATATCGCTTTCTTCGCGCTCTTCCGCTACGCCTTCGCTCAAGCACTGCCAGCGTACACAGATACGATACCTGCGGACCAAATGATGACGACCTCCGGCACAACTATCCCAGTCAGTCTTCTCACCCGTCTTCCTACCCCGGAAGCAACGTCCACTAACCGACTGCGTGATTGATAGCCATCAACCTACCTCACCTCCGCCTCCCGAGACGCCTGCACCGGCACCTCCGCCTCGTGTCCCTGTCTCGATGGGTACGCGTGCAGCGAAATCGAGGATTGTCGTTGGAAGTGCCTTATGACTTCTGCCCCTCTATCGACTCTAGCATCCGCTACATCCGTCAGCGCCGGAGACATCACGACGACATCAACAGTCATCCCGATCGTCAGCTCGACACCTACTTCAACCCCATCACCGCTCTCAAGCACGACATACAGCCTGCCCACCCCTCCGCCGCCGATCTCGCAAAGCACCTTCGTCGGCTCGCTCTCCTTCCCCAGTTTCAGCTACGCGCCTACGACGTACGGTGGCTGGAATCACACGAGAACTGATCACCACTCGTACACGGCTGGGCCGTTGATGATATCGACGATTACGGAGTTTCCGATGACTTGTGCGGTGAGGACGAGGACGACGAAGCATTTTACTACCGAGACGGCCACTGAGTGTCCTGAGACTTGTCCGACTGAGGGGATGATTGGGATGGAGTGAGGGTGGCTGCGTTGGGGGGGATGTGGATGTGGTGGGCTTTGCGTGGAGGGGGAGGGTGTACGTATGCTGACTTCGGGAAACTGGGAGAGGGATGTGAATACCTACGGTTGGCTGGCTGCTTGGCAGTGATGGACTGGGATTGTGTGGTCTGGTTTGCCCTAAGCTGGGTTGGAGATGGATCACTAGGGTTTTTGTTCTAGAAGCTGTAAAACAACCACCACCTGGTTCGCGAACTATCGCCTTTGGTTTCGGAAAATAGCATTATGATTTCCGTGACTCTCGGCCGTAGAGCGATCAAGTCTCACTCTAATATGCTGTGTCTCGCATTGCAAGCATCGCAACGCGAGCTATCGGCTTACTCCTCACTCCGTACGAATTCATATCGCCAACATCATGGCGGATGGTATGACCGTCGTACCGCCGGTTGTTCTGTCGCAAAAGATGGTATGATCTGAAACTCCGTATAGTATCTTTCTCTCACCCTCAGATATCAATTTGACGAAGCAAGTAAGACTGATGTCCTCAAACTCGCACTCGCTTCACCTGTTCTATTCACGTGATGCGCACGTGCCAACCGAAAGAGGAAAGACCCAGCGATATTCGGCAAGCAACCGAGCCTCCACTATCTCGCCCATGCTCGCCCCGTGGGGTCGCATCCTCCAGGATCTCACCATACACTTCACCTTCGTGCGGCTGTCGGATTGTTTTACCCACGAACATCAGACTATCAGGCTAAATGACACCATGCTGGCCAAGACAGGTGGCTTGCGGAGCTCACCTTGGCCTCGACTCGCATGACTCTTGATGGGCATCAAGAACACGAGAAAGACTTGCTCGCCTTCCACCGGCTCTTGAGAACGAAAGGCTTGCCGAAGGCTGGAGCAGAGAGAGTAGCATTGATGCGCAGCAGGGATACGCTACGCATTCGGTTTCCCAGCCTCTGGGTGGGTTTGGGGATGTGTTTGAGGTGATGCCAAGGGCTTTAATGCGAGTGAGCTGTATGCTGGTGCTGGAACCGCGGTCCGAAGCTGCGTGGTCTGGGACAAGGTAGGTGAATGGGGTTGTATGCGGGTATGAAGCACGAGCGCGAGCACAGGCACTTCATGTAAGGTGTAGTAGTGCTGAGCTGCATACAAGGTAGGTCTGGATGGTGTATATAGCTCCACCGCCCTGCTGGTAAGTCTGTCTCCATCGGCCTCTCCGCCTTCACATTCTACAGGGCTGCTCCTTCGACCTCCTCGAGCAATCTCTCGGCGACGGCTTCGAGAAGCTTGGACAGCAGCAAAGATGGGTATGGGAGGGTTTTCAGCAGAGGGCGCGGATCCCGTGGTTACGAGGGCCATTGAGGAGGACAAGGTGCCGTGGTATCAGAAGCGGAACTTGAGATATCTGTATCTCTTTTTGTTTCCGACATGCATGTAAGGAGTTATTCGTGTGCTGTTGAGACAGGGTGGAAGCTTACGGGACTTGTAGGGGTATTGAGATGACCTCGGGCTGGGACAGCCAGATGATCAACGCTGTCCAGTTTGTTCCGGCATGGCAAGAGTGTAAGGCATTTGGGTGTTTGAGGAGCAAGCTTGACTGATGCTGATGCGTCCCTACAGACTTCGACAACCCCGGTGACCATTATGCCCTCAACGGCACCATCGCCGCCGCATACAACTTTGGCGCCATCGCCAGCGTGCCCTTCATCCCATGGTTTGCTCAGCGGTTTGGTCGCCGCTGGTCCATCTTTACTGGCAGCATGATCATGATCGTCGGCGCCATCATCCAATGCTGCAGCGTTCACGTGGTCATGTACATCATGGCTCGTGCTATCCTAGGCTTCGGTATCGCTCCCTGCATCGTCTCCGGCTCTGCCTTGCTCGGTGAACTCGGCTACCCGAAGGAACGACCAGTCCTCGGCTCTCTGTTCAACTCCAGCTACTTCATCGGGGCGCTTGCAGCAGCTGGTATCGTCTTCGGTACATCGAAGATTGGCTCAGACTGGTCCTGGAGACTGCCATCGCTCATGCAGGCCATCCCATCCTTCTTCCAAGTTGGACTCATCTTCTTCGTGCCGGAATCACCCCGCTACCTCATCTCCAAGGACCGCCGAGAAGAGGCTTTCGAGATCCTGGTCAAGTATCACGGTGAAGGCGACCGCAACAACCCCATCGTAGCCGCCGAGTTCGCTCAAATGGAGACGACCATCAAGCTCGAACTCGAGACCGCGAAGCTCTCCTGGCTGGATCTGGTCAGGACAAAAGGTAACCAGAAGCGTATCCTCATCGGCTCTCTGCTCGGTCTCTTCACGCAGTGGTCTGGCAACACGCTCATCTCGTACTACATGTCGACTATCCTGGAGCAAATCGGGTACACCGACCCCTTCACGAACCAGAAGATCAACGTTGGCAATGTCGCCTGGCAGCTTATCAACGCGACGTTCTTCGCTCTGATCGTCAACAAGTTCCCGAGAAGGAAGATGTACTTGGCCTGCGCCTGCTCGCTGCTGTGTTGTTACGTTGGCTGGACTATTGCGAATGCACGATATGCGATGACGGAGTCGCTGGTGGCTGGCAAATTGGTGATCTTCTTCATCTTTTTGTACTCGCCTTGCTACAATTTGGGGTATAATGCTCTGACCTACAGTATGTTCCCAAATGCAGCCATTTTGGAAAGCACTGCTAATGAGAAGTTTAGCCTACCTGGTCGAGCTCTTCCCGTACGCAATCCGATCCCGCGGCATCACCGTTTTCCAGTTCTGGGGACGTGGTGCTGGCGCCTTCAGCACATTCGTCAACCCCATTGGTATGGGCAATGCCGGCTGGAAGTACCTCTTGATGTACGTCTGCTGGCTGGCCTTCGAAATCGTCTGCATCTACTTCCTCTGGCCTGAGACTAAGGGAAGGACTTTGGAGGAGTTGACGTTCTGTAAGTGGATTCCAGCTTCATCGGAATATGCTGGCTTTTGCTAACTTTCTTGTCCTAGTGTTCGAGGGCAACGACCTAAAGGAGCGCCAGACCATCGTTGCGGAGAAGCACCTGTTCGGTGCCGGAGACGCTACGTCTGTTGCCGAAGACTTGCCAAAGGGCGATACGACCGCTGAGACACACGAGGTTGGGGGTAACAAGGCTTGAGGCATCCGGCACCCGTCGCTGTTGACCGGTCAAAAAGCTTCGTCCGCATGAGCGAACATTGAAAATATGGGCACTGCATCTGAAAACGTACACTGCAATACAACATCTGTTGTCAAAACGCCACTGCCTTTCAAATCGAGCCGGTCTCACGAGCTCTTCACCTCCGGCCAGAACTCCTTCTCCGCCCAAACCACCTGCCCCCAAGCCCTCTCACACTCCTTCCACTCCCAACTATCCTCTTCGTAATACCCCCCGAACTTGTTCACCAACCCCCCAATCCTCCTCACAAACGCCTCAAACACCCCCGAACTCCAATTTGGGATGAAGACCCTCTGCATGAGATCCTTTTCCTTCGCCGGCCGTCCTTGGTCCATCTTACTCCAGGCGTGCCTCCAGGAGCGTAGATAGATCTCCTCCGTCGCCCACAGCACGGTAAGCCCAACTATAAGCGGTCGTCCTTGTGCTGTTGCACCAGCAAAGAGGTCCTGATACGCTCGTGTCTGGACTGTAGGCTCAACGGAGCAGATCTCTTCGAGCCAGCCTTCGGCCTCGGCGGTGTCTTCGAAGAGTTTCATCTCCTGCCGGATGTTGGTGAGGCTGTCGATGAGGAGGTCGACGGCTCGCCACTCGAGGGAGGTTTCTCTGTCGGAGCTGGCGGGGACGGGTATCATTGCTATCATTCGGCCGATGAAGTTCACGTAGGCTAGTTGGTATAGGCGGTCCTGAGCGAGCCATGACTTGAGTTTGTCTAACGGGAGCTGGTTTGTTGCTGCTGCTTCCAGGAAGGGGTGGGTGGTTGCTGCTTTGAGAGCTCCGGAGTCGAGGTTGATGAGGTGGGACGTTAGTGATGGCATTGTCAGTACCTAGACCAGCAGCGCTGGAAATATTTTCGACCTCAATTGAGTGTAAGGCGGTTTACGACTTCTTCAAAAAAGTGTTCTGTTGAATAGCGGCAGAAGTTGGAAGTGGGCCTCTCGGCTTCACTCCTGCTGCAACAACCATCTGCTTGGATGTCACAATATCACAAGGTCTTGCGATCGGAGATATTATCTGAATAACGAGCTATCTCCAATTCCTACTTGACCATGCTGTTTATCGTCTTAACCTTTATCGATCTTTCAGCGCCTCTTCCACCGCCTTCGCGACAGCTACTGCCCTCTCCTCGCCAAATTTCCCACCAACAACCTGAATACTCACCGGCATCCCCTTGACTAACTCCGGATCATCTACAAGACTGTTAGTATCTCGAGCCCATCTAGTTCAAACGCAAACTCACATTGCTCCCAATTATACCTATCCGACTCGTTCCTTGGCGTGTGTTCCTTCCAGCTACTTTCACCCTCTTCACTTGCCGGCAGGTCGTCCGGGTACTCCGTCTCAACAGGCATTGACACGACCGCAAAATCGGCCAGGTTCCATTGTGAGCTATAACCGACGTAGACGCTTGCTTTCACCCATTCCTTCGGTCGGAAGCCAACATACGTCTGCACGGGCATGATGAGAGCATCTAGCTTTGCTTCGTGCCAGCGGGAGAGGTAGTGCTTTTGGTAGTCTCGGATCTCGCGGGCGACCTGAGATGGGTTGTTCAGCAGGGATGAAATAATTCGAGGCGTGACGGGCTGGATGCTTACAGCTTCTCCTCGCTCGACATCCAGCTTGTCCTTCTCCTGTCCAACCAGCATGCCTTCGATCAATGGCTGTCCACCGCCTGCCTCACAGAGCTTACGACATCGTGAGCCGCCATCTGCGAGGACGCCTTTGAGCCAAAGATCGTATGCGCGGTCGTGTCCGGTGGTATCCCACTTGAACACTTTATCCAAGTTAGCGAAGCAATCGCCACTCGAGAATGTTGATGACTTCTTACCTTTGTGTCCGGCGTCCTTCAACGCTTCGACGGCCTTCCGAGTAGCCAGTTCAATAGGCGGCTGCACTCTCACGTGTCCATCGTCCCAATAGTACCCTATCCTCAGCGGTGTGCTGGTTGGCTTCTCGGCCAGCTGCTTCCGCCAGGGTAGAGGTACAGTCACTGGGTCGTATAGCCATGGCTCTCCTGCTAGCATGCCTTCCATGAATAGTTCCAGAGTAGACAGATCATGGCACATCGGCCCTGCGACAGAGGGAACGATATACTCGCGGGAGCTGTTGGCATTCAGTCAGCAAAGCAGTCATGAGTATGAGAGAGTGGTAGCAAACCCTGATTTCTCCCAAGCTATACGTCGGCTCGTAGGACAGAGTCCATAGAGTCCTTGTAGGTTGGCCGGTATGCGTACTGAGCCTCCGATGTCAGTGCCAATCCCAATAATACTCCCTCTCGCCCCCACCAGCGCCCCTTCACCGCCCGAGCTACCACCAGAAATCAGCTCATTATGAAAAGCATTAACCGACTGCTTGAAGATATGGTTATAGGAATCCGACATCTGCCCTCACATTAGCACATTCCCTTCTCGTGGCACCCACCACCTTATACATACCATAAGCGACTGCGGAATATTCGTCTTAACATAAAAGACCGCCCCTTGCCTCCTCAAAACACCCACCAACACCGCGTCCTCCCTCGCCGGCTTCCCAATCTCACTCACCCACCCCAACGTCGAGTCCTGTCCCTCGACATCAAAGCCATCCTTCAACGACACCGGAAGCCCATGGAGCGGTCCCACCACCGTCCCTGTAGAAGCGAGATGCTGATCCAATTGCTCCGCTCGCCGGACCGCTTCGTCGAAGAACATCTCCGTGCAGCATCTAATTAGCTGCTGAGCCAGGGCGGCTCGGTGGCAGAAAGCTTTGGTCACGGTGACGGCGGAGAGAGAGCCGGAGGCCATTCGGCGGAGGAGCAGGGCGGCGGAGGCCGTTTCGGTTATTTCGAGCTCTTCTGGAGTTAGGAGACCGGAGGTTTTGAGGTACGAGTAGGTGTCTTTCGGTTGTGGAAGGCGTTCCTGGAGTCGCCATTCTGGAGGGATAGAGGCGTATTGGGCTGCTCGTTTGGCGGCGGCTTTTTGCTTCCAGGCGGGTTGGGCTGAGGACATCTTGTTGTCTTCACAGGTAAAGGATTTGGTTTTATATGGAAAGTGTACAATTGAAGGAACGGTATAAGGAGTTCAGCATGGTGGTGGACGGAAGTACAAATCTTGCTCCACCTTCAGTGATTGTGCACACGCTCGGCCATGGACAGGCCAACCTTTATCGTGACAACATCTCTCGCTTGTTTGTCGTACAATAGGATGGATCGATGTCTATGGGGTGTTCGAATCAGAGTAACGGGTGATCCTCAAAGAAAGGATAGGGATGAAGGAATGTTCGGTTTTAAGAAGACCCCTGACTTCAACGGCCGATCTCTCTCAGCGTAGCAGAAACAAAAACAAGTATGTGCACACAACATCGCTTTTGAGATAACACTATTCTACCACTCCAACGGCTCACTCTTCTCTTCCCCCCGATTCGTCTTCGGCACCGGCGCCGCATCCACCTTCACCGGCCCCGTCCGATGCCGACTCAAATACCCACTCCCATCCAACCACGGCGTTTCTTCCGTCCGCCTCTTCTCAAACCGCTCAATCTTCCCCTCCTTCTCCAGCGTCAACCCAATGTCATCCAGCCCGTTCAACAAACAATGCCGTCTGAAACTCTCCACCTCGAACTTCGCCAGCTCCTTGCCCTCGGCGTCTTTGACGACGTTGGCTTCGAGGTCGACTTCGATTTCCTTGCCGGCTTGCGCTTGCTCGAAGATGGTTTTCAGGTCGGACTCGTTGTCGATTTTGAGCGGGAGCATGCCGTTCTTGAACGTGTTGTTGAAGAAGATGTCGCCGAAGGAGCGGGCGATGATGCATTTGATGCCGAAGTCCAGAAGGGCCCAGGGAGCATGTTCGCGTGAGCTGCCGCAGCCGAAGTTGGGGCCCCAGACGACGAGGATCTTGGACTTCCGGTAGGGCTCTTTGTTGAGGACGAAGTCCTTGTTCTCGGTGCCGTCGGCGTTCCAGCGTTGGGCGTAGAAGAGACCTTTGGCTAGGCCGGCGCGTTTGATGGTCTTGAGGAATTGTTTGGGGATGATGGCGTCGGTGTCGACGTTGGCGCGCTCCATTGGTGCTGCGATGCCTTTGAGCTGCTTGAATGGTGGCATGCCGTTGCCGGTGGATGGTGCTCCGGTCTTTACGACGTTGCCTTGGCTGTCCTCAGTGTGGTCGAGGATGTTGTCGAGATCAGCGTCCGAATCAGGGTCGTCGACTGTAGGCGGTTGGATGTCTTTGGGTGCTGACTTCGAGCTGGGCAGAGCTTGCTCATAGCCAGCGAGTTCTCGAACGTCTGCCAGCTTGCCAACAAGCGCGGCAGCAGCAGCCATGGCAGGCGACATGAGATGCGTCCGTCCACCGGCACCTTGCCGACCCTCGAAGTTGCGATTGCTTGTACTTGCGCATCGTTCTTGAGGTGAGAGGATGTCCGGGTTCATACCGAGACACATCGAGCACCCAGCTTCTCGCCACTCAAAGCCGGCATCCTCGAACACCTGATCAAGACCTTCTGCCTCTGCTTGATTCTTGACCAAGCCAGAGCCAGGTACAATCATGGCGCGCTTGAGATTTGGTGCGATCTTCTTGCCCTTCACAATATGCGCTGCCGTCCTCAAATCTTCTATCCGCGAGTTCGTGCAAGAGCCAATGAACACCTTGTCGAGTGTGATGTCTGTCATCTTCGTGTGTGCTTTGAGTCCCATGTACTCAAGCGCGCGCACACAAGCCTCCTTCTTGTCTTTGTCGTCGAAGTCTTCTGGTGCTGGGACCATTCCAGTAATGCCAACGACGTCCTGAGGGCTCGTACCCCATGACACGGTAGGCTCAATGTCCTTCGCGTCGATGAAGATGTCCTCGTCGAACTTCGCGTCGGGATCCGATTTCAGACCTTCCCAGTACTTGACAGCCTTCCTCCACTCAGCAGAGTCAGGCTTTGGTGCAAGCGGTCGACCCTTGATGTATTCGAAGGTAGTCTCGTCAGGCGCCACCAGACCTGCTCTTGCTCCAGCCTCGATGCTCATGTTGCAGATGGACATCCTAGCCTCAATACTTAGACTTCGGATTGCGCTTCCACAGTACTCAATCACATGCCCCGTGCCACCAGCCGTGCCAATCTTGCCAATCACATAAAGGATAATGTCCTTGCTGCTCACACCGGGAGCCAGCTGTCCATCTACCTGCACTCTCATGTTCTTACTCCTCCTCGTCATGAGCGTCTGCGTGGCCAAAACATGCTCGACCTCACTTGTGCCGATGCCAAAGGCCAGAGCACCGAACGCGCCATGTGTGCTGGTATGGCTGTCTCCGCATACGACAGTCGTGCCTGGGAGTGTGAAGCCTTGCTCTGGACCGATCACATGCACGATGCCTTGTCTCTTGTCGCCCAAGCCGAAGTACGTGAGCTTGAAGTCCTTGACATTCTGTTCCAGTGTCTCGCATTGTAGTCTCGAGTCATCCTCTTTGACGAATTGGCTGACGTTCTTGTAGGTCGATCGAGGGGCGGTGGGAGTGTTGTGGTCGACGGTAACAAGAGTGTTGTCTACGGAAGAATAGTATGTTAGCTACATTCACACCATCTCCTCACTGATCACCGTACCTGTTCGTCGAACTTTTCGTCCAGCGTTGGTCAACCCCTCGAAGGCTTGAGGCGAAGTAACCTCGTGGACCAAGTGTCGGTCGATGTAGAGGAGGATTGTGCCATCGTCCTGCTCGTCGACGATATGGCTTTCGAACACCTTGTCGTACCTTGCAGCCGAGTCAGTTGTGTGGACTTAAAATCGATAATTGGGAGATCTTTGACTCACAAGGTCTGCGGGCCTTTCACAGCGCTAGGCATTTTGACTAATGTTGAAGCGCTTTGTACTGCAAAGAGGAGAAGATGTAGGGAAATGTGCAAGACTCCTCTCGTGGCGCGGAACGAGATATACCTTAAGCAAAGGTTGTGCTCGTCGTCGCCGATATCGCTCAAGAAGAGACCTCAGCAGAGACCGCCTCTTGCTTATTGGCTGGAGCAGCTGGCTTGGGCCAAGGATCCGTCATCGAGCTCGTTGCCTTGTCGATGAGCAAACGCGTCTTATCTTTCGACAATCATACCGTGGACTTCTTCCTCTAGACTCAAGCAGAGATGAGGTCGACATTGCTACTCAGCTGCCTCGCAGCAGCATCACAATCGCACGCCTTATCGCTCCCTCTCGGCCTCAGCAACGCTCTCGATCGACTACGCCCCCAGCAGCCTGTCGCGATTGAAGAGCGCTTCCTCATCGAGCATGGACCGAATCAAAGACAGTGGGTGACCGAAGAGGAGAAGTGGGCGCTGCGACGACAGGGTCTGCAGTTCTTTGACGTGACATCCTCGCTCGGCGACGCAGAACTGGAGAGCAGGGCAGAAGCAGTCAAGAAGTCCGTGAAGTACCCAAAGAAGGTCGAGAATAATGAGACAGTATCACCGCTGCTGGAGAAGCTGGACAAGGACAACATGCGCTCGCATCTGGAGACGTTCACGAGCTTCCACACGCGCTACTACAAGTCGGACTACGGCAAGAAGTCGTCTGAGTGGTTAATGGAGCAGGTCAACAAGACCTTGACGGACGCAGGCGTTGGCATCGTCCAGCCCTTCGAGCATGACTGGCAGCAAAGCAGCATCATCGCCACTTTGCCAGGCAAGAGCGAGAAGACGGTCGTCATTGGTGCTCATCAGGACAGCATAAACCTCTTCCTGCCGAGCATCCTTGCTGCACCTGGCGCGGACGACGATGGGTCTGGCACCGTCACGATCCTCGAAGCGCTGCGAGTCCTACTTCAGGACGAGGACATAGCTCACGGTAGAGCTGAGAACACAGTCGAGTTCCACTGGTACAGCGCAGAAGAAGGCGGTCTGCTCGGTTCTCAAGCCATTTTCAACGAGTACTCCAGACAAGGCCGCGACGTCAAAGCTATGCTGCAGCAAGACATGACGGGCTACACCCGCGGCACAATCGCTGCTGGAGAGCAGGAGTCTGTCGGCGTCATCACCGACTACGTTGATGCAGGCCTCACCGACTTCATCAAGGAGGTCGTGAGCTCGTACTGCGATATTCCGTACGTCGAGACCAAGTGCGGCTACGCGTGTTCAGACCACGCATCGGCAGCGAAGGCTGGCTACCCGAGCGCGTTCGTCATTGAGAGCGACTTCAAGTACTCGGACAAGAAGATCCATACGACGGAGGATCTGATTGAATATCTTGATTTCGATCATATGCTGCAGCACGCCCGGTTGACCCTGGGTCTCGCCTACGAGCTTGCGTTCTCAACATTTGATTGATGATGCGAGAGAACGTTTTGTTGGTTGGCATTGGCTTGTTGGAAGTCTGCCAGGATATTTGTATGAGCTTGAAGCTCATGTATAGCATTTCACCGCGTTCACGCTTCCTTGGACTTGAGCACCTTATAACCAAGTCTCTTCCACGTCTCTCCAAAAGTGACGAGGCGGCATCAACAACCATCAGATCCGTTCGGGGGCAGTCGATGTTGTCTCTCAAACCCCAGTGCACGGAAGTAGCCACCTCTCTCGTATCGGTGGGTTGTCGCTGTCTGTGAGAAGAACCATAATCCCATCTTCCCATACCAAGCCCTTCCTACCGTCGGCAGCTTGCCTGACCAACTCCAGCAGCACTGCCTCGACTGCCAGCTCATCTCACATCGCACGATCTCACAACATGCTTTCGACTTGCTCTAGCGTCTGGGCCTACGGAAGCCAAGTTGTAGCTTCGACAGGAGCAAGACGAGGAGATGCTTGTGCTTTTGTAGAATTGGCTTCTCTCGGCGAGACGAAGCATTGAATGAGTGGAGCACTCGAGAAACGTATATTCTGTAGCAATTGATAGATTGTGACAGTCGTTGTTTTTGCAGTCGTGGGAGAAGGCGAATGATTTGCATCCGGGATCTGTCTCCGATGCACTTAGAACTAAGCGCGACCGCGTTGTTTTATTAACGACCAAGGCGTGCCAGCGATTGCCAACTTCGAAACATGCTTTGCTGGTCTCGATCGGTTGCAGCAGCAGCAGCACACCACGTTCCTTCGCAACTTGACCTCATCAAGCGTCCTCTTCTACTACCACGCTGAATGCCTGTGTGCTATCCCTACGCACGAGGAAGTTCGTGCACTCCCCTTCGTAACCTGAGCTCGTGCTCCCCTCGACAGCACAGCAACCGCATCGGCCTGAGCAACAACCACACCTAAGCCTCATCTTTGCCCTTCCACTCCCACACCCACTCAATCACCACAAACAACCGCCACAATGGACCGCGAAAAGGGCCAACCGACCCAGCCTTCAGAGCATGACCGCGAGGGCATGCACCTCTTCAACCGCAAGAGCGCCAGCGCGCAGGGGACCCGCAACCGGAGCGAACGCAATCGCAAGCGCAACAACACCCGCAACCGCTCCCGCCAGAATGACGGCAGCAGAGCGGAGCGCGGCGAGGCCAAGCAAGTTAACCACAACGGCCACAAAGTGACTCCTGGCATCGAGCCCGACGGCGAGAGCGGTCGCAGCTGGTTCCACCCCTGGCACTTTGTACGCATCTGCTGGAGGAGCTCGAATCATGTCTCGAAGTGGACGAATGTGCTGTGGCCGTTCACGATAGCGGCAATGGTGCTGCACTTTCTAGATGCTGCGAAGCCGCCGGAAGAGAGGACGCATTCGCTGTGGATCTTTATTACCGCATATATTGGCATGGTGCCGGCGGCGAACCTGGTCGGATTCGCTGGTCAGGAGCTGGCGAGGAAGATACCGAAAGTGGTGGGTGTGATTCTGGAGACGACGTTTGGGAGCCTTGTTGAGATCATTCTCTTCATGGTGTTGATCAAGGGTGGGAGCAAGAACGTGCAGGTCATACAGGCGGCGATTCTGGGCTCAATCTTGGCCAACATGCTTCTGTGTCTTGGTACGTTGGCACCGCTCATATCCAAGTCTGAATTAAAACTAACAAATACACAGGCACCTGCTTCTTCGTCGGCGGGATTTTCCACCCCCAACAGACGTTCCACGAGGCCATCAGCGAAGTGGGTAGTAATCTTATGCTCGTCGCGGGCATGGGCCTCATCATCCCCACCGTCTACTACAACAGCCTCCTGAACCGCGAGATCATCGGCCAGGCCAGCCTCAAGACGGAAACCCTCCACATCTCCCACGCCACGGCCATCGTCCTGCTCATCGCCTTTCTGATGTACCTGTGGTTCCAGAGTAGATCTCACCACGGCCTGTACGAGGACATCCTCGAAGCCGACGAGGAGCGCGACCACGACCGCCACAAAGACCTGGCGAAAGCCAAACTCACCTTCACCGAATCCATTATCGCGCTCTGCATCGCGCTGACGTTCGTGTCGTTCATGGCCATCTTCTTGGTACAGCAGATCGAGTACATCGTCACGGAACGCGGCGTCAGCGACCACTTCGTCGGCCTCATCCTCATCCCCGTCGTTGAAAAAGCCAGCGAGCACCTCACGGCCGTTGACGAAGCATACGACAACCAGATGAACTTTGCCCTCGCGCACGTCCTCGGCGCCAGCATCCAGACCGCGCTGCTCAACACGCCTCTCGTAGTCATCGTCGGCTGGGGCCTGGGCGCGCAAATGGGCCTGAACTTTGAGCTCTTCGACGCCGTGGTGCTGATCCTCGCGATCGTGGTCGTGGGCAACTTCCTTAGAGACGAGAAGTCCGACTACCTCGAGGGCGCGCTGTGCGTGATGGTTTATATTCTGATCGCGGTGACGGCTTGGTTTTACCCGAATCCGCTGCATGTGCAGGAGGAGATTGCGCATTTGGCGGCCGAGGCGGCGGAGTCGGGGGGTGAGCATGCGGCGAGGATGTTGATGGGGTAGGAGAGGGGGTGTGTTTTTGAGAAGCGGCATCAGACGGCACATCGCGTTGATTCCACAAGGGATGGGGAAGCATAGCGGGTTTGATGTTCTACAGCGTCGGTGCTACTGGGCGTTGGGTCGATTGGGGCGTATTGTGGCATAGCGAGGAAGTGGACATACCTGTAGTTCTTGCTGGGATGAGAATGAACATAGTAATGCATGTCACCTACGTTTAGCGAATCTTCTCGTTGCGTTTTACTGTTCTGCTGTGGTGCGAAGAGGCCTTCGTTCGCTCTTGCCGTACTACAAACTTGCTTCTAGCCGTTCATCGTGCACTCCTACACCAACCACACATGTACGCAACATCTTAGGCGACGCGCAAATAATACCGCGATTTAGACTTCAAGGAGGCTCGGCCTGGTCGATGATGCTGTGAGAGGAACCTGGAAACATTGAAGCTTGCTACAGCTCCACCAACTTCACGAATCGCGATCTCCGCTCGGCCACCTCAGCAGCAACGCCCAGCACCGCTCAGTCCATCTGACCGTCTCCGACAATTCGCCGCTTTGTGCAATCTGTCGACCACCCCGTTTCCTAGGCTTTTGGGCTACTGGAGGCGTGTGCATGGCGTGCCGCGTGCCCAGGCGGTAGGGCCCCCGGGAATAGTCTCTACCGCCTCCCTCCTGGCCGCTTGCTGGACATCTGGTTGTTGATGGCCTCGCGGCGCGGACAAAGACAACCCAGCAGAGGTTTGGACGGCGAGTCAGAGGCCCATATGTCCAGCCCACTATCAACCACGAAACTCGGCAATACGAGTGCCGGCTACATCGTCCGTCCTCCTGGGTTGCGGAGAGCTCGTCGGTGCTAAGCACTCCCACCCCAGTCTCCCCGCAATGATCAACGCCACTTTCACCAGACCGTCCTAGTGCGGCATCAAACCTGGCGCCTCCTCGTTTCCTTCTGCCCGGAAATCTGGAGGCCCACTGCGGAGCGAGTGGTTTACGGGGGCCTGTCGAGGCAGAGTTTCGCTGGTCGACTATCTGAGGGAGCTAACTAGGCCTACGGCGGTCGGCAAGCGTGATCTCCAGATATCCGGAGCGCCGCTCGACCTGCTCGCATCGTGCATAACAAATGACATGGGCCAATGAGGTTGGCAAACAACCAGGACGTCCCTCCAGATTTGGATAGCTCTGGCAGCTCCCGGAGACCCCAAACGTCACTCGACGCGTTCCAACGCAGCAAAGGAGAGCTCGTCCGGATGGCGCGAGGACCACGACGAATGGCTGGTCCACTTGATCAGAGCTTCACTCCGTAATGTGGTTTAGGTGTTACGGGGTCTCGTGCGGAGCCGTGCACTGCTCGAGGTACAGAATAAGATACCAGTCTCCTCCTGTTCCTGCTCTTCCCTTTTCGACCTTGTCTGCTCCGTCGTCTGCTCTCCATCCCATCCGTGTTTCATTGAACTTCCAGGACGGGGCCCGCGATCTCGTGTACATAGCAAGGACCGCTCATCTCAAGAACCTCCACAATGTCGGGCGAGAACCATGGACAGCCTCTCGAGAAGGACTTCTCGAATGGTATGTATCATTCCTCAGTCAGACTGCCAATGGGGTTGCTGACGCGAGATGCGCAGGCTACCATCTGGATAGCAACCACGACGCAGATGATGCGCTGAGGAGAATCCGCACCACGGGCAGCCTGTCTATCTCCCCCGAGCTCTTTGAGAAGATCTATCTTTCTCCTCAGAACAAGGTCGCTGGTGAGCTTCGAAAAACCGTTGGTAACCCAACGCCCTTGTAAGTCTCACCTACCGCGCAGTGATCGATGCATACTCACATCCTACAGTGCTCTCGTCGGTTTCTTGCTCTCCCTCACACCCCTCTCCTGCGATCTCATGGGATGGAGAGGCGCGCCCACAAACGGCGCGTCTAGCATTGGCGTCTACTTCACATTCGGCGGCATTCTGATGACTCTGGGCTCCATTGGTGAAGTACGATCATCACTGACTTCCGATTATACTCGATGACTGACAACCCACCAGTGGATTCTCGGCAACACGTTCCCCTGCGTAGTCTTCGGCTCCTTCGGCGCTTTCTGGTTCGCCTTCGGCATCACCCTGACCCCTTACTCCGGCGCATACGGCTCGTTCTCACCGAACCCGGACAACCCTGGGCTAGGCGTTGAGACGACCGAGTTCACCTCTGGTTTTGGTACGCTGCCCTCTATCCATATCCGTAAGCTCGACCAGCTTCTCACTGACATCCCCTCCAGCCTTCTTCCTCGTCTTCATGGGCGTCCTCTGCCTGGTCTACGCCATCTGCGCTCTGCGAACCAACCTCATCCTCTTCCTCATCCTGCTCCTACTCGTGCCAGCTTTCGCCTGCCTCGCCGCCGCATATTGGTTCCTTGCGCAAGAAAACGCCTTAGCTGCCGCCCCTCTATTGACTGCAGGTGGCGCGATCGCCTTCGTCGTTTGTATGCTGGGCTGGTATATCTTCGCTGCTATCCTGCTTGCGGCTGTGGATTTCCCGCTTTCTCTTCCTGGTAAGCTCGACTACTATCTACCCCTAGTCCAAGACTATTTGCTGACTTGGTTGCTCCTCAGTGTTCGATCTCTCCCATATCATCAAGGGCGCCAGCGATAAGAAGAAGGCCAAGGAGGCTGTCTGAGCATAGAGGAATGCTGTGGGAGGATGGATGTTGATACCCTAGAGAGGAAAAAACTTGTACGCAAGACGATAGTAGGCTCTGTACGCTTGATACGGTTTGATTGTACTTATTTGCGTGGCTTGGTGCAGACCTGTCTTTCTCTGTTTGGTCTATTTTTCTCCCCTCGTCATCTGACACAATATTTCAAGCCCTGCTCATGTTCCACACTGATATGCTGATAGTACCCGATGGCTGATGGGCAACGCACCATCTTCGTGCCTTGAAGACTACAAGATTGTCCTTTCGAGCGCTAAGGCGTGTGTTACCGGTGAGAAGCGCCTTCTGATCGCTCTCAAGAGGACTCGAAGCATTTAGTCATCTCTACCGGAATCGGCCTACCGCAACCAACATACATACAGTGTTGTTCTATCACCCAACCGACAGCCCCCGGAAAGCGTTACGGCGACCCCGACTCAACTGCCTCCGCGCTCTGGCCCCTCTCCCCTCTCTTGTCCTCCTTGACCTCACCACCATCATAGATCGGCTGATGCTCATTCCAGAACGGCTGAATAGCCATGCCCTTGCCCGTAACGATCCCAAACAGATTGAACGGATCCAGTATCGTAGCCAGCATCGGCCGCTTGTCCGCCTTCGAGTACCCAGGTCCAACCCGTTCAGTCTTCCCATCGATTGGATCCAAGAAGATCCTGCTGTCCCGGGGCAAGTACTTTCCAGGATGAAACAGCGCAAGAATGACCACAAAGAGCGTGATGTTAGCAATCTCAAACACCCAAAGATAGGCCTCGTGCGTCGACACCTCGCCACAGTGCCCCGGCGGTCCGGCAGGGTTAGCACGACACGCCGCTGCCTCGAACCCTTCGATCGTGCGAACAATGCACCGTACCAGCATCATCGTGCTGGTGATGTAAAGCGTATAGCACACCACCCTCACATTCCGCGGAAAGCACCTCGCCTTCCTACACTTCCACTCCACGGACCCGACGAGCGTCAGGTAGAACACCTCAATCACACTCTGCACAATCAACGCGGCCTTCAAACACGCCAGCCCCGTCTCCACCTGCGCCGGCGTGCGTCCCTCACCCGCGCTATTCGCCGCGCCGTTCGCCGTAAGACTTTCCACGATCACGGACAAGATGACAAAGGTGCTGATCACGCGGCCTGGGTGGATTACGGTGTGGTAGGGGAGGTAGGACATCAGGCGGCCGAGGATGAAGTATTCGGCGGCGGCGTAGAGGGGCGGGCCCATGAGGATGAGGACGAATTGGGCGATGAAGATGTTGATGCCGTGCGGTTGGTGGACGGAGATGGCGCGGGTGATGAAGCCGGAGATCCAGACGGTGGTGGCCTGGACGAATTGTCAGTGGAGGGCTTCCTCGATGTTGGTGGGTCTTGACTCGAGAACGGCAGAGCGGTCGTGGCGTTGACGCGAACGAAGGACGACTTACCCAGGTCATGATCCCACCGAACTTCTTCCAATGGTACTTCCAGAACGACTGGTAGATCTGGTATACCCCAATCACGGTAAGGAAAACAGCAAAGACGATCGGCGCCGCCTTGACCGGCTCGTATGGGAACAGAGACCAGTCGTCTCCTCCACTGTTGTTGTCGTTCGCCATTGCGTTCGTCTGCTAATCGTTGCAGGAAAGGAGTGCCGATCAGACCGTCGTCAAACAAACGTGTCTTTGTCCGTATATACAACTCTCATTCCTCGCTGACCACGAATCAAACATATACTCCCCTTCAAACCCATCACACCACCTCTTCACCACATCGCCCATGCATCGCTACAATGCAGTCACAACCAGGCAGTGTACATAGCCATGTGATATCGCTTCAGCCCTGCAAAACATTCCCGCAAAGATAATTGGTTCCGAGAAGCAGATTGCTTCGAAACATGGCAGTGTTGTGAGGTCTTGGTCCGTTTTTGAGGTCTTGGTCCGCATCCTGCGAGCTTTCTGTCGTCTTGTTCCGCGCTTGTTCCTCGCGCGCTTCTGGGGGGTGGTGTGACTATGCCAGCAGAAAATTGCTTGGGACAAGAGCTGAAAGATCGCTTCGTCGCTTGTGACTGGTTATAGAATGGGTTTTGTACGGGCCTGAGGCAGAGCATCCAATATGACTCCGTTCGATTAACGGCCGTAGAGCAGAGGAAGACTGTGAGAAGAGCTGGAATGTCTTGTCTTCTCGTCGCTTGTAACTTGATACGGTATGCGAACAGGCCTGAGGCAGAAAAGGGCGGGATGTGAGGCGTTTTGGACGACATGCAGAGAAGGGAACAGGGGGCTGCGGTGAAATCCTTCGATGTCATTGTTATCGCTATGCATCTTTTCCCCTTCGCCTAGCCTGCCAGGCGTATCTTACCGCAGATGCGCATCGCCAACGCCACGCTAACGCTCGTCAACCGGACAATCAACCCAATACAACATCAAGAAAGAACCCACGCATCACCCAACACACCCAACCCCCAATCACCGCATCGCCCTCTGCACCCCAGCAAGCAAATGCTCCGCCCCACTCCTAGCCCCCTGCTCCAAATCCCCCGTCCGCAACAACGCCGCCACCAAATCGGACACCACGCTCAAATTCTCCTCGTTCCCAAAAGGCACCCTCTCGCCCCTGCGCTCACTCTCCTCAAACCACCCTTGCATCAGATACACCATCTGGCTCGCGAGAACTTTCCGCTTCGCGCCGACGAACGGGTGCTCGTTGCCGTAGTACATTTGCTCCATGACCGGCAGCAGCGTCTCGTGCGGGATATCGAGGCTGAGGAACAGATCCAGCGCCCAGGTCGGCGGCGGCTTCTGGTCGTGCGCGGCGATGGCGTAGCGCTGGAGCATGGGCAGGAGGATCTGGATGGGAAATGTGGCGTCGCTGACGTTGAGGCGGCGGCCGACTTCGCGGACCTTCTCACCCACGAGCTCCCAGGAGAGGGCGGTGCGGGCGTAGACGGCTTGGGAGGCGTCGTCGGTTTGGTTGATGAGGTTCTGCCAGGTGGTTTTGATGTCGGCTGGGTTGCGGTGGTCTGCGACTTGGTAGATGTAGAGGCAGATGTCGTGGTAGGCGGCTTGGTCGGCGTATTGGTTGTATAGCTCGTCGATGGGGCGGATGGTGCCGTTGAGCTCTTTGAGGACTTCTTCACGCCGCTGACCGGTGAGGCGGGGTTCGCTCTTCATGCGCTGGAGGATGTCGTCTTGGATGTTGGCTACATCCAGTAGGTCTGAGATCTCACGCAGAAGCTGCTGTTTGCTTTGCCGCGAGTCCATCAGTGCTGTCTGCCGTGTGCTGGCGTTTGTGCGAGCGCGGCTGAGGTACTCGATCCGCTCTTCAAGGCTGAGCTCGAAGAATCCCCTCGCTAGGTCCAGCTGTACAGAGGCAGCCTGCAGGTAGTCGTTGTGATGAGCGTAGTACCGCCAGAGCAGGTCGGCATGTCCTCGACCCTCCTGCGCACGACGCGTGAGGTAGTCGGTGACATAGTGCCCTTGAATGTCAAGTAGACGGTCCGACTGGCTGTTGCCGATGTACCAGTCGTACAAGCATGTCTGGAATACAGCATCGTCGGATGTGTTGACGACGTCGTAGGCTTCGTTGCGCCTCTTCGCAGCGACCGTATACTGACCTTCCATCCTCTCCGGCACGCTCTGGGTCTCAGCGTCCAGTGCTTCGATGACCGCAAAGGCCAGATGAAAGCATCTCTCGCGCTTCTCGAAAGCATCCTTGCGCGGGTCATTCTCTGGCCTGCCATCCTTTAGCCACCCTGCTGCCGCCTTCGCGCGATCCCTCTCGCCAGCCACCACAAGACACAGCTGGATCGCACCAGCATAGAACGCCATGTTGACATACTGCTCCGTAGCCCACTTCAAGTGATCATCGCTCAGACTGGGCGCCACCTTCTGGAACAATCGCTGGCTCTCATTCAGCAACACTCTTCCAGTCTCACTCTGCCCACCAGCCTCCGAAGCCCGCTTGACCTGCTCCTGAGCCTTGAAGATCACGACATCATCTGCACTACAGAAGCTGCCGCACTTCCGCCGAAGCGCCTCCGCAACAGTGTCAACGTTGCTACCGTTGGCGATGTTGAGATTGACGATGGCTTTGACTAGCTCCTTTGCGAGCTCGCGTCCGTCGCTCGATACGAAGAGTGATTCGTATGTGAGTTGCTTCGCCTTCTGCCGTGATTCGTCTCCCAGGCCTGCAAGGATATCCTCGAGCTTGTTTTCGAACAGCGTCAGGACGAACGCGATACCTTCGATCATGCGTGGGATGAGCTTCATCAGGCTGTCCATGTGCTTCGCCTCACCCTGATTTGCGAGGTCCGTCTGCCGAGACACTCCTCTGGAAGCAGCTTGAGCACCGTTCAATCCGTTGATGAAGCTCTTGTTGGCGTCGAGGAACTCGTAGAGCTTGGTGAGGGCCTCTTGGACGTTGCGAAGCTTCTGAGCTCCGACGGTAGAAGTCAGCATGACGGCTTGCCCGGGAGCAACGGTTTCCAGAATGATGGGCTTCCTCCAGATTGACCGCACCAAGCGGGAGATATACAGCGCCATACCGATGCATCGTGGACTCGGTCGGACATTGTCCACTGGGTTCGCGTTGTTGGTGGTAAGTGCATTGGCATTGAACTCCGGATCACCACCGTAGTCTGTGAAAGCCTTCCGCGCGCCCTCTCTGACCTCCGGATCCGTGATGCTGGTAAGGCGAGAATCTGACGCGACATCGATGCCTTGACCGCAAGCCACCGCAAGCGCTGTAGCCGCCATCTCGTCTCGGCCATACCTGGAGATGAAGCGCTTGACCTCACCTTCGAGGCCGTCGTCCGTTGAACGATACTTCATCATGGCGGCGAACATGTCCACCAGTCTTCTCCTCCGAATCATCTGGATCGCGGAAGACGTGACAATGGCAATCTCAGTGCTTGGCTGATCGAACTGCGTAGCCAGCTCATTGCCGAAGCCAGCGGGCTGACCGGTGGCACCATAGGGTTGCGACGAAGTATCGATCATGCGATAGAAGTCGCCGGGTAGATCAATGAACATGCCAAATTCTGGGAAGCGGCGGTTCATCTGCGCTGCCTCGTAATTCTTCACCCGACCAGCGTCCGTAGCAGCACAGAACAATCGACCTTGACCCGGACTGCTGCGCAAGGAAGCGAGAAAGTTGCCAGGCGGTAAGCGCAAGCCGTACTCGGTGCCCTTGAGGACCTGCGAGTTGAGGTCGACGGTGCTTCCTTGAGCTCCATATGGTGCTACGGCGTTCTGCCCAGGTTGTGAGGGAGAGCCTGCTGATTGCTGCTGCAGATTAGGATCCGAAGGTGGGAACCGTACGTGCAGGATCTGCATGCTGTTTGGCGGATCTCGACCAGTGCCACCGCCGCCGCCATACCAGTTCCCTCTCGTAAGTGAAATGTAAAGCCTGCAGCCGGTGGTAGTTGTCGCAACGAGAGCAACCCTGCTGGCTTCTGTTGCTGGAATCGCCGACAGTGATGCAAGATTGCAGTTCTCCAGCAGTTCTGAGCGAGGCATCATGTGAGAGAGGTTCTGTCTTAGTGCTCCCATCGACCTCATGACAGCGCAGCTCAGCTCCGGTTGAATGCGCCACACTTTGATCTCGTCCCGGGTGCTCAGAGTGTAGAAGAGGTCTCTCGAGTCATCGACCACCATCTGCTTGATCTGGGCCTGCGCCTTCTGGCCGCCGAGGAATGATCCCAGTGTCCTCGACGTGTTCTCTCCAATCATTGAAAACTGCGTCTTCGTGTGGCAGATTCTCGTGGTCTTGCTCGTGAACCATCCATCGTTCTGCTGGTAGCGGAACTCGTATATGTCTTCGGAAAAGCTTCCCACGAAGAATATCCTGCCGGTCTTGGTTGACACGACATGCTCCACCGCAAGCCCACGCACGGGTATCGACATCTTTGTGTTGTAGAGCTGGATGGTCTTGTTGCCTGACGGCGCAGTGTTGGCTGCCACTCCCAGTAATTGCATGTCGGCGGTGGTGGTGAGTACAATCAGATGAGCAACCTCCTTGATGAAGACCCCGGCTTGAGGTAGAGCGAGGTCGACGGAGGTGATGGTATGCGACTGCTCCTCGTAGCCAATAATCTCCGGGTTCGGGAGCGTGTAGTCCCACAGATACAAGCAGTTGTCGAGAGCCGCCCATGCATGGCCGATCGCTGGGAAGATGCCGAGCTGTAGCGCCAGACCGGAGTGATTCGTCTGATCGAGCAGTTTCGCGGGTAGCTCGTACTGGCTGAGCTTCTGGTAAGGCGTCCATGCTGGATTTGTCGACAGTTCATACTCCCCACTGATGCCCTGTGTCACGTAGTCCTCCAGCTGCGGGAACCGCTCTTCCCCTGCCAGCGTATCATTGATCTTCCTCGCCGCGAGCTCGATCGGCTCTACGCTCTGGCTGCTCGCGCTCGCGCTGCTGTTGGGTTGTGCTTGCGCGGGCTGAGGGTTCTGGCGCAAAGATGCCGCATTTGCTGCGAATATGGTCGGCGCCGGAGGAGCAGGAGTCGCCATGAACATGCCTGGGAGGGGCCTCTGAGGCGTCGCCGGCCCTGCGGCGGCTGCCATGTTCGATGCGACTGGTGTGGAGTGTAGCTGGCGCTATCGAGAGAAGTCGAGGAGATGGAGGTGGGTGTTCGCGATTTGGCCTCGCATCAGGTGAAAGATTGCGTGCGCTGAGAATGAAGAGTTTTCATGGGAGTCGAAATGTGCATGAGTGAAGTTTCGCTTCGAAAAGCGTCGTTCTATTGTCAAAGAGTGGACAAGACTTCTTCGACTTCACTTCACGCGTTGCGCCTCGAGCTCCAACTTTTTCGGACTAGTTCGCGTACCTGCATATATCGAGACAACGCCCTTCTCCATCATACAACAACTACCCTATCAACAGCCAGGCAACATGAATCCCATTCGAAGTCTAAGACTACTCCCACGAAGTTCAGGTCCCATCAAAAACAACTGGACCTGCTCACAATGCCGACACTACGCGACACCTCCTCCAACCACCCTCCCAGCGCCTCCCCTGCTCCTCAAGATCCGGAAAGACCTCAAGAATGCCATGAAAGACAAAGACACGAACCGGCTGAATGTACTCAGAGGCCTATTAGCAGATGTCACGGCTTCGGCGAAGACGAATCGCCCGATCAAAACAGATATGGAATTGCTTTCGATACTACGGAAACGAGCAGCATCGGCCAAGCAGGCGAGTAATGAGTTCAAGGCTGCGGGACGGGAGGACTTAGTAGAGAGAGAGGATGGGCAGGCGAAGGTGTTGGAGGAGTATGCGGGTGATGTTGAGACGATGTCCGAGGATGATATTAGGGATGCTGTCAGCAAGACGGTCGCGGAGGTGAAGGCTCAGGCTGGTGGCAAGGCGAATATGGGCGATGTGTTGAAGAAGCTACTTGGAGCGGGAGGAGAGCTTGAAGGGAAACCGGTGGAGAGAGCGGAGGTGGCGAGGATAGTCAAGGAGGCGTTGGCGACTCCTTGATCGATGGATCAATCGAGGCCTGGATGATCAAAGCTGGTTCTATGAGAAAGCCGGCGCCTAAGGACTGTGTTGATTCAGCTCATGGTCTGCAGAGACTCACTGGATGAACTCAGTCTCCGAGTTCTGTGGCAAGGAGAGGATGTCATGCCATCATTTCCAGCCGGAGCAGCAATACCGTGAAAGACCTCCAGTCCGCGGAGCTGGATGTACGACTGACTTAAAAATTACACTGCCATTCCACTGGAGCACCCGCAATGCTGTCAGCGGTGTAAGAAGGCGATAGAGGAGATCTCCTCTGAGTCCAATGCGGATGAGCTGCACGCTTGGCTAGCCACCTATATACTCCGCTCTTCTCTTGGAGAACCTCAACTTGCGTTCTACTGTATAGCACCGTGAATATAATTAGCTCAGAGCATCTAAGTGCCTCGGAATGAAGAACCACCTTCACTTCTCTCACACCCCAACGCCAAGCCTCCCTACATCCCTTCGCGTAGACCTCGCGTCTTCTACACCTATGCTCTCATATCAAAACAAGACGCCATTTCAGTCAAAAACCGTTTTTACAGACAAAACCGAAACCCCATCACGATGTCTTCCATCCTCGGCCGCAAACGCGACCTCCTCTACCTCCTCTTCTTCCTCACCCACATCCCTATCATCTTCCGTAAGAGCCCCCCCTCCCCCCCTCTCCCCTCCCGTCCGAAAAACCTATAGTAACCCCCCTCCTAGTAGTCGACGCCTACCCCTTCTACCCCTCCACCCTCCGCCCATCGTTTATGACGGATATCAGGGAATTTTATATCTCAACATACCACGACCGCTTCTTCACGGCCCCGCCGGCGTGGTTTCGCTTCTACCTAATCATGGAGTTGGTGTACCACGTGCCGGTCAGTCTGTGGGCTGTCGGGGCATTGCTGCGAGGTAAGTGATTCAACTGGCTCATGGCCTGAAGGCGTGGCGGCCTGAACTAAACCTGGCATATTAGATGATCCGAAACTCCCGATCCACCTGTTGATGTTCGCGACTACAACCGCTTTGACGACGAGTACGTGTATTGCGGACTACCTGAGCTGGAGCGGGTTTAGTAATGGGGAGAAACTGGAGTTGGGGAAGTTGTATGTGCCGTATTTGGCTCTCTGTGAGTTGGTCCCAGTCGAACGATGCCCTGGCCTCACCAAGTACTGACAGTAGCTCTCAGCTATATTTATGGGCGTGGACATGTTCGGCAGGCTCAGCGCGGCACTGGGCGGCAAACAGGGAAGAGGACCAAAGAAGACGGATTGATCATTGTCCGGCGACTTTTCACGTTTCTGCTGCATGATGAGCACAGAGGAATCCTATTGCCTGCTGCTGTTTCTGATAGTCAACAACATGCCCCGACCTCGTCCCTACTGCTGAACCTGAACCGCCTCAATTTGTTCCTCTCACCCAAAGAAGCGCCTCAATAATGCTTCCACACAACGATCTGAATTGACCCAAAGTCCCTATGTCGATTCGAGAATCCGACAGCTTGTCTGTCATGACACCTCAGAGCATCTGGTCTTGGGACCGAAAAAAGGTCGCAAACCATCTTGGCAAGGATTTCGCAGCGCTATTGCTGCCAGCGGTATTGTAGCCAAAGAACCGAGGCGACATTCCGTAATCATGTCTTGAGATCAATGCTACTGTATTAGCCAGAAGTGTTAAGCCGTCCATTCCCAGTTGACATTTCCAGGTCTAACTTATGAAGGTTTCTTCCTTGCCTTCCACCTGTTCGTCTCCAGGCTGAGCAAGACCAAAAGACAGCCATACTACCATCAAGATCTGTGTTACTTTAGAGGCCGCTCGACCCGGGCTCACGCCCCCCTTGGACACAAGCAAGGCGACAAGACCAATTATGGAGCTATTAGTAGGACCGCATCCATCTCGGATGACAAGTGAAATTAATCATATGTGGTGACACGGTGTAAGCTTTGATGTGGTTTGGTTGTAAAACTAATCGTAAAGTCTTAAAGAGGCGCCCCAGGGGCGCAGCAAGATTCAGTACGCCAAGACTCACGAGCTTGGCCCGAGCGTCGGCGAGTGAATGCGAAAGTAGAGCGGCACAGCAGCACTGTGAGAGTTGCATGTAGCTATAAGCAGCAAGCTGTCCATTCCAGTTTAACCGTTACAGGTCTGTGAACATTTGTTGCTACCCTGTCTTCCGTCAGTTCCTGATTTGAGTTTGCTGCTCCCCTTCCATCCGTACGTCTCCAAAAAGACAACACCCGTCCTTTGGACACAGGTAGGGGCAAAAGGGCAAAAGATGTAGGTCGGGGCCTCGCCGGGATTCGAACCCGGGGCCTGTCACATTTCACTCCCCTCTGCTGAAAGGAGGGCTTTGGGAGCCCCTGGGAGAGGTCAGCGGATGTCATAACAATTAACATAGTCGAAGAGGTGCCTTACGAAGCGACAATCATACCACTAGACCACGACTTTGAGAGTGTTAGCGACAGTAATCTGTTGCTGTGGATGTGTGGTGGGACGTACGGCCGCGTATATCTCATCACAGATGGACGTTGTGGCATAAGTTATGTTGTCTTGGCGGCGGCGGCGTGTCATGGCACGATCTTGAGAAAGCAGAGAAGCTCGAGATAGAGTGGGAGAGGTGTAGTAATTGGAAGAAAGACATGAGGTAGGCGGAGGGAATTTTTTCGATAGCATAAGGTGATTGAGAGACTGCGAAAGAAGCCCACACATACGCCTTACCCGCTCCGTGGTATCACAACAAAACGCCCCGGTCATGTACCCAAACGCACCCATTCATTCAGCTCATCCCTCCCCCCTTCTGACCCCGAGACAAGACCATTCTGCCCGACATCAACAAAATCACACGTTCTTCTCCCATCCCCCTCCACACACACAATCAATCCTCCTCAACAACAATCTTCTTCGTCATACTATCCACCACCCGCGTATAAAACTTCACCGCATGATTCCGCGGGAAGCAAATCTCCTCCGTCAGATAATCGGGCAGCAGGTCCATCAGGTCGCGGTCGCGGTTCTGGTCGAGCAGCGGCTCGTACGCGAACTCGGCTTCTTCGTACGAGAGACCAGAGGGCGTTTTGGGGTTGGCGATGCTGGCGTCGTTGGCGATGGAGAGGTGGAAGTGGAGGGCTGGAAGATCAGAAGTCAGTATGTACGATGATATTGAGGGAAGGATGAATGACTTACTGCCGTTCCTGCCCGTCTGGATGCAGTCGTACTCGTCCTCGCCTTCCTTCCTCTTCACACCCCTGATGATGAGGCCGGTGAGGTCGGAGTAGAGGTTCTCCTTCATCTTCGCCTCTTTCTGCGCATCTGTTGCATTCGGTCCCACGCTGCGACTCAGATCGTTGCGGGTAGTGGCCGCATTGGCCGGCTTCTCCTTCTCTGCCGCGCTGTTCGACAGCTGCTGTCTTGCTGCGACCAGCTTGGCTTCCATCGACTTGACCTCGTTCTGCGCAGTCTGCAGCGATCCCTTCAGGTTCGAGACTTCACTGCTGAGAGCTTCATTCGACGAGTTGAGCGTGTTCACCTGCTTCTGCAGCCCTTTATCCTCCTTCTCAGTAGACGACGCCTTCCGCAGCTCCGCAATCTCCTTCTTAAGACTCGCGATAAGCTCGTTCGCGCTCTTCGCCTTCTCGTCGCTTGCGCGCTTCAGCTTCTCGAAGTTGGTGTCCGCTTCATTCTGGCCCACTTCCTGCAGATTCTGGTACTTCATATTCAGGTTCTCGTACTTCTTCGTAACATCATTCAGCTTCCGCCGGATCTCAGGATCGCCGCCCCTTCGCTCGCGCGTGGTGTCACTAACACTGCCGCTGCGCTCGCGTGGTGGTGGGTAGCCTGGTTGTGCGGAGACTGATCGCGCGCTGGCGCGAGGTTGAAGAGGTTGGACGGAGGTGGAACGCGCTCGCTGGAAGAATGGCGGTGCGCGTGGTGGTGTGGGCGCAGTGGTTATATCCATGCCGTCCTGCTCCATCTCGATTGACATGGAGACATCGTTCGGATCTGCTTGCGTCTCTGGAATGACACCCAGTGCTTCGGCAGCTGGCGCGCGTTTTGTAGTCTTCGCTTTCGCCGGCGCACTATTAGCGCGTGATGTCTGTGTCTTGCTCGCAGTCGTCTTCGCGCGCTTGGCCTTTGGTTTCGCCATGTCGTCCTCATCAAAATTGTCGGCCTCCTCGCTATCGCTGCCACCTTGAACGTTCGTGCGATCCTTCAATGCCTGCCGATTCTGCGTCTTCGCGGGCGCTTTGCGCTTCGTCACCGCAGTGCTAGTGCGACGCGCGGGCATGTTGCTGGCGTTCTTTGCTTTCGATGAAGTGTTGTTGTTGCGTTTGTGCTGCTTCGCGTTGGCCGTTGCTAAGTCGTCCTCGCTCTCGGACGCGCCTGCATACACCACGTACTGGTTGGCGTTGCCGCGGGATGCCATTAATGATGTTGCGCTTGAGCTGGTGGTGTCCTCTGATATGCCCAATAAGTATATCCTCGTATACCAAGGGCACGGCGGGAAGTGAGCGGACTGTGCGCGGTGGGAGTGGACGCGCTTCGGTTTGTTTATTGCAGTACACACGACATTGATGCCAAGAGCGTCGTCCATTTCGAGCTTAGCTCGTAGAAAACACCGACAAGAAGCCGAAGCGGACTACACCTCGATTCTTGACCACTTTTCACGATGGACAGCATTTGGTGTACACCTCCAGTACATTTGCAGCTATCTTATTTTACAGTCTAAGTACACACAAAATACAGAAAACCATGAGCACAAGTATACAGTCTCCCTTCCCGTCAAACATCCCTCTTCATCGCCTGAACTTGCAAGCTCTGAGTTGCATCCACCCTTCCCTTCTGCTCCCACCCCCTCGCTACCTCTTATTCCTCGTCGAATTCCATCCCCGAGTCACGCTTCGCCACCGTACGCCCGGACGTCGGCATGGAGAAGACCTCTTCCAACGGCATCGCATCCAACCCGGGGGTCTTCCACCAAGCCTCCTTCATCGTGCCGGCAGCCCTGCGGTACTTCGGGGTGAACGGGTACCTAGAGTGCCGAGAAGAAAAGTCAGCAGAAGTCTCGACCGCCAAAAGAAGAACAGAAATGTCTCGGAGCGCCGCACAGTCCTTTGAACATGCGCGCGTCTTGGAGAAGCCTTCCACCACCAGTTCTGACGTACCCGTGGTACCCATTCGCGCGCTGCACTTCTCTCTTCTGCTCCGCAGCCTCCTCCCTAATCATCTCCTCGACCTCGCCCTCGGTCAACATCCCAGCCGTGCTGTTGCGGTGCCCGCCGCCAATGATGCCCGGCGGAGAACCCTCCTGCTCCTGCGGGGGCATGGACCGCGACCTCCGCAGCAACAACACCACACCCGCCTTTTCGCGCACCCACTCCGGCGCACCGTTACTCGGGCCGGTCAACAAGCCCATAGTCAGACGGATGTCCGAATCGAGGGCACGACCATCGCGGACCGTGGTCCTCGTGGGTCCGACGGACCCAGCGAAGACGACGTCGATCAGACGGAAAGGGCCGGCGTTCCGGTGATTGAGGGCCTCTGCGACGCGGAGGGCTTCGATCAGGCGCTGGAAGGCGGCGAAGAGGTCTTTGCTTCCCGTAGCGCGGAAGGCTTTGCAGAGGGCCTTGGCTTGGACGTAGAAGATGCCCGGGAGGATGGTGGAGGTGCTTTCGAACGACTCGCTGCTGGAGGGTTAGCAGGTGTTCTCGAAGACCGGGACAAGGCTGAAGAGGTCTCGGAGCACTGCGTAGTCATTTCGGCTTTGCCAGTCGTCTCGGAGAACCCCTCCTGCATGTTGGACTAGACGTACCCGATGATCGCCATTGTAGCTGATGGACGGGTTGATTGACTGGTTGGTTGAAGAGTTGGTCGATGTGTTGATGGATGGGTTGGTGATGATCGGTAGGTTGATCGATCAGTGAACGAGTTGACCGAGCAGATGGCTGATGGATGAACGAACGAACAGTTGCTTGATCTTCTGCTTGATCTTCCGCTTGATCTTCCGCTTGACTGACGAACCTCCAAAACCACCTGGGGGGCCCCAGCATTTTTATTCACTTCGATTCTCCCTACGCCCTCCATACCACCATTAAACTCCCCATCCTCAGATTTTCCGCCTGAACTCTCATGAAAACCGCTGACCCAAACCCCCTCTCATAGGCCAGCAGCACCCATCGCACTGGTAGAAAGTCAGTAGAGTTCAGAAGGCAAGACTTGACGAACCGCACGGCGATGGGGTGGTAAGCCGACCGAGTATTTGAGTTCGCCGGCGAGGAGCCAGTGGGAGGAACGGTGGTGGGGGATGGGGGATTTAGGGTTTGGAGGCAGAGACGGGGTGCCGTGGTACTGGGACTGGGAGTACCACGCGCCTCGCAAGTGAGAAAGTGAGATGGTCTTGCTTTGGTTCTGTTCATCGAAGAGGCCGTTGTGTCTTAACGGGTATGGTGCGGATGGGAGTTGAGGGGAGGTGAAGGCTATGTATACATGAATTGAAGCTATATGATCGTGTCTAATGCATATTCCGCTCCGAGCTGCGGCCACATGGCAGCGCTCATGCAAGTAGTTAAGCAAGTGTCAAGATCGCATCTATCTCCTTTCGCTGCCATCATCGTCTACTTCCGTCGCCATCCTGCACTACCCAGCAGCTGCGACGAGTATCGCAGCAATATCTCCAGCAGCAATCAAGATCCCACACCACCCCCTCCCCCGCACCGCACCCCTCTTCTAACTATCCCTTTCCTCTACTTCCTGTGTTGAGGACATCTTCACCCCTGAAACAACAGCCCAGCCGCATACTCCACATTCCCCTCACACGCATCCAGCGCCGCCACCGCCTGCTGTCGCGTAAACCCCAGACTCACGAGCTGATCCACCGCTTCCTTCGGATGGCTGGGCTTCGCGGACGCTCCCGGCGCCGCAGCGGGTGTGGATGCGGGAGTCGGACCGTTTGATACGGGCTGTTTTGATGAAGATGATGCGCCGAGGGTCTGGCCTGCGCCTTTGAACGCGCCGGGTTTGACGGAGGAGGAGCCGCCCGCTTGGGAGTTACTGGCGGAGCGGACGGTGCCGGATTGTGTGCCGATTTCTGTGCCGTTGGGCCCGGCGACGGTGGGTTCGTTCGCGAGCGCTTCTTCAAAGTACTTTGGGATATCCGCTTCACCCAGAAAGCTAACCTCGTTGCCGTCCCCAAACACCAGCTTATTCACCCTCAGATCGATCACCGCCTGGAAGCGCTTCAGCATGTCCAGCCCTAACAACAGATCCACGTCCTTGCCCTCCATCACCGTGAACGAGCAGGACATGGTGGCGTTGCCGATCTTGATGTCGGCGGAGTGCACGCGGCCGAGGATCTGTGCGGTGCCGACGCCTTTGGCGACGCCGGAGTAGCGCTTGTCGATGAGGCGCATGATGCCGCAGGCTTCGGCGCAGGAGGGGGACATGATGGTCGTTTGCGCGCCGGAGTCGACGAAGGCCTTGACGGGGTGTTTGTTGACTTCGACGGGGACGTAGAGCATGGTTACGCGGCCGAATACTAAATGTTGTTGTTAGCAAATGCCAGTGGTAGATGGATTCAAGACATACCCTCAGGGTTGTGCTCGTAGGCAAACTGCAAGTTCTCCTGCACCGACTGCTGCCGGATCATCTCCTCAATCTTCCGCTGAGCATCGATATTGAACGGATCCTCATTCAACAACCTCATCTGCTCCAGCCTCTCGCCCTCACGGTCCTCATCCTCCCTGATCATCTCCAACCACACCTCCTTAAAGCGAGCCGGATCATTGATCGCCTCCGCCAACACCGGCCTCTGCTCCCGCACCTGCGCCATGGCCGCCGGATTCTGCAAAATACTCAACCGCGCCGTCTCAATCTCCTGCTGGCCCTGCGGCGCCGTCCTCCTCTGCCCCTGCTGCTGCGGCTGTCTCCGCTGCGAACCCATGCTGTTTTCTTGCTGAGGTTGACGCATGAGCATAGCTAGCATATCCCCATCTTTAATCCCGGCCTCCTCGAACGTCTTCTCGTCCCCTGCTATGGGCGTGTTGTTGAGGTAGTACTGTTGTGACGGGGCTTCAACTTTGGTGTCGTCGTGGACGAGGCCCTTGAGGTCGGCGAGGGTGAAGGTGGTGGGCAGCTCGTAGCTTAATATCTGCTGGTCGAGGTCGTGGTTGGGCGCGATGATGGAGATGGTGATGCGAGGCCTGCGGGCGCGAACAAAGAGGGAGAGGTCAGCGGGTTCCAGGGAGCGTTGCACAGAGTCCTACCCAGCGCGCCAGCGGGTCGGGTGGTCTGTTGCTGGTACTCACATGTTGGTGGGTGTCTCTCAGATGGCAGTGGGCTCGTGTCCGGCGAGCAGGACCTGTGCCTTGCGTGATCGAGAGGGCGAGGATGCACGTCGCTCGATGGGGAAGGGGAGTCGAGGTGAAAGAGGAATGTCGGACTGATCGTGGTGGTACGCGGGTCAAGGAGAGGATGAAATGTCTGGCTGCTCACATCGACGTTGCCGGCCGGTGCTCGTTGGGGGTGTTTGAGAGTGGGCCGCAAGAGGGAGTGCTGGTGTTTGAAGTGGTCTTGCTCTTGTTCCTGATTACCTGACTAGCTTCGAAGGCGCTGGAAGGTGGAAGAGCGGGAGGCAGAAGTCACTTGCGTGTCCGATGCATGACGCTTGGAGCAGTCGTCTTCAAGTGAATGTGGGCTCAGGTATCGAGTGTGCTACAGAACAGAGCGGTCAAGCAGAAGTGAATGCTGTCAAGTGTCTACGCCTCGTCACTGCTGCTGCTGCACTTCGAACTGTCCGCATCTCGTAAATGCACTCTTCCGGCCTAGCCCTCTTTGGCGGGGTGAAAGTGTGAAAGTGAGAAGCCCAGGATGTCGCTGTCGCCTTCAACACCGACTCCGTGGGACACTCAACCTCTGGAACGCAAGACACTGTGGGAGCACATCACAAGGCCTACTCCTTCGAGCTGAAGTCGGAGAAAAGACGAGCAGCCAGCACACATCCGCCTGCAAGCGCTACCCCCATGCAGACGAAGCTCGCGGGGCATTGATTGTGCGTGCGCTGCTGGTGTGACGTCGAACCAAAGGCCTGGACCATTCGGAGCGGCAGAAGAAGAAAAGCGCATACTAGGATTATTATTCGATCCTACCCTCCACACAGAACCCCCCGATGCCGCGCGACCTGGGAGCCGTAGCCAAAGAAAAGGCACTCAACGATATGCCCGAATTAACCAAGTCGCCCGAGGACATGGATGAACGACAAAAACGACGAGCACCCATGGACGCCGAGGACGACATGCCACAGGGCTCGTTGTTCAGCCAGATGGTGCAGAACAACGACAAGCGCGACGAACTGCACCCTTACACGCAGACTCTCACCATATCCGACGTCGAGTCGTGCACACGGTTAGAGGAAGAGGCATTCCCTCCCAACGAACGCGCAACGAGAGAAAAGGTCAGTCCATTCGTCATTCCATCTTCAGGCAGGGCAAATGTCGCGCGTCTGTCACTGCGACATGGCGGTTGTACGGGTTTCGCGGTGTATGCGCTGGCTTCTGTTTTCGGAGAGTCCGGTGTGTCTCGTATGCCCATCTCCCACAAACGAGCAGCACGTGATGTCTTTCTTTCTTTCAGGAAAAGAGAAATGTTTGTAGCATGTTGGGCAGCACCTTCAACACGAAACACAGCTACCTGCACATTCCTATTCCACCTTACATCGGGCATCAAAGCAGCAACACAACCCCGCTCATCCGTACCACAAATCTCCCTCTCCCCCATCCCTGCCAGAAACACACCCAAACCCATCTACCGCTTACTAAAAATCCGTCCTCACAGTTTCAATACCGCCTCCAAACCTGCGGCTCCCTCTGCATGGGCCTCTACACCTCCTCCTCCAACCCCTCCTCCATCCCCACCGCCTCGACCGCCACCCCCGTCTACTCCGGCGCCCCATCCCGCAAAGCCGTCCTCCTCGCCCACATCGTCGCCACCAAATCCACCCACCCCACCGTCACCGACGCCGACATGTCCATTCCCGCCACCTACCCCGCCTCCTTCTCCGGCGTCGGACACAACGAAGCCGGCCGCACCGTGTGCATCCAGTCGCTGGCCGTGCTGCCGCAGTACCAGCGCCGGGGGCTGGGGACCACGCTGATGAAGGCGTATTTGCAGCGGATGGAGAGTCATGCGATTGGGGATCGGGTGGCGTTGCTGGCGCATGAGGGGATGGTGGGGTTTTATGAGGGGTTGGGGTTTGTGCGGCAAGGGGAGAGTGAGGCGAGTTTTGGCGGTGGGGGGTGGGTGGATATGGTGCGGGAGTTGAAAGAGGGGAGTGATGAGAGTGAGGAGGATGATGATGATGATGATGATGAGTGAGTTTGGAGATGGGAAAGTAGGCTGTGTCGCTTGAGTTCTCGTCATTGCGCCGTCGACTAGCTGGGTGCCTTGGAGCTGGAGTGGCTCGCGCAAGGAGGACTTGAACGTTGTTACTGACCGACGTTGATCGCGAGCTGTGGCCCTTAGCGTGCAATCGAAAGTTGAAGTCTCAAGTCTATTGCATATGGTTGAAAGCCGATATGAATGGACCTTCTCGTCTATGATGATCGTAACATAGGTTTGAACGCTCGCTCGACGTACCTGAAGACCCTCAGGTAACACATCAAGCCCAGTACCCGCAACGCCCAACACGTCTGGCAGCAAGACGTGTCCACAACAAAAACGCACTGCCCACACCGCACGAAACCAATCCATCTAACGACTCCGCGTGCTCCCAATCCCCCTCTTGCCCGCAAACAACCACTTCGGCTTCGCCGCCGTGGTATGCCGATCCGCCTCTCCCTGCCTCGCCATCCGATTCATCTTCTTCTGCCCCAGCTTCGCCAACCGATCCGCCTTCGTCCTCGCCACTTCGTCCGTCACGCCGTCTTCGCGTCTATTGACAGCCGACTGGCTGCGCACGCGAGCGACAGAGATCGAGCGCGCCAGCCGCTCTTTGGGAGTTTGGTCCACGTCCATGGCGTCGCCGTCTGGTGTGTCGGCGGCAGAAGCAGCGGTGCGGCCGCGAGGGCGCGAAGCTGAGCGAGCACGGGCGCTGATAGCGGAGGTGTCGTAGCCGGCGTTCGCAAGACCTTGCTCCATTTTCTCCAGGTCCACGGCTTTCTTGCTTCGGGGAATGACAGCGCGATTTTTCAGACTCTTGCGCATGCGGTTTTCGTTCTTGATCAGCTCGCGCTTCTCCCGGATGAGGTCTGCTTTGTAGCGGATATCGGCCGTGTCGGCGTCTTCGAGCTCGTCTTCCTCTTCACCTTCGTAGAACCCTTCTGCTTCTAACCTCGCTTCTTCGTCTTCCAGCGCAGCGAGCTTGGCTTCGATCTCTGGGTCGACGAAGTCTGCGACGTTGCGGCCGAGGTAGTATTCCGGCACTTTGTCGTTCTTCCATTCGTCGTTCTCGAGGAGGTAGTTGTCCTTCAGGTTGATGTTGAAGACCCCTGGCCCGCCGTTCTCTTCCTCGATGTCTCGCATGAGCTTCGGTCGGTTGGGGTCCTCCTTGTCGAACTTCATCCTGTTCAGTGCTGCTTCTGGTATGTACGACTCTCGAACCACGCCACCGAGCGGCTGCGCGACATGTATCCTCCGCAGAACGTCTCCCAATCTGCCAGTAGGCTCGCCGGTCGCATTGGTGCCCGCCTTTAGCTTTTGTGCGTTCCTCTCTGCAATCAGACGATCGCATGCCGCGTTCCGCACGTTCATCAAACCCTCGGAGGTCGTGCATGATAGCTGTAGAAGCTCCACATTGCCACTGTTCAACAGCTCCTGCAACTTCGCCTGCGTCTCCGCATCCAGGTCCTCAGGTCGCATCACATCGATCTTGTTGATGACGATGAATACCAGCTTGTTCGCGAACAGCGGCTTGATGCTCTGAAACAACGCCATCTGCGCCTGCACACTATACCCACACTGCTCGCTCAAATCCATGAAATACATAATCGCACTCCTCAAATGCGCAATAGCAGTAATCGACTGCATCTCAATCGTATTCATCTCCTCTAGCGGATGGTCCAGAATCCCCGGCGTGTCGATCGCCTGGAACCGCAGCATCTTGTAGTCGAAATGTCCCACGAACAGACTCTTCGTGGTGAAAGCGTATGGCTGCACATCCACATCCGCTCGCGAGATGTTCTTCAAAAACGAACTCTTGCCCACATTCGGATACCCGCAGATCAGCAGCGTCCGCGTATTCGGATCGATCGCGGGCAGACGTCCAAGATGCTGCCGCACCTGCTCCAGGTACAGCAGCGGATCTTTCAACCTCTTGCAGATCGTCGCCATTCGTCCCAGCGCTGCGCGCTTGAGCTGCTTGCACTGGAACAAACTCTGTCCATACTTCAACAACCGAATGTAATCCCTCGCCACCGTCTCGATCAGACCCTTCGCGGTATTCAGCTGCCCAAGCGCTATGCGAAAGTGGTCGGCATCGTACAGCGTGTTGAGCAGATCTTTGTGGAACGGATGGATGTCCGCCAGTCGAGGGAAGCCGTCGAGGATCGCGGATAGCTTCTCGGCGAAAGTCTCAGAGGTATACTTGACCTTGCGAATGTAGAAGGCTCGGATACGAGTGATCTTGAAGCCGGAGCGGATTTGGGTGGGGAGGCGGCGCTGGGTGCGCGAGAGGACGATGTCGAGAAATTCTTGGGAGGTCGGCACCGGCGCGATGTCCTTCCAGGTGGTCTTCATCGTAGCGGTGGTGTGGTGGAGGGTGTAGTGGTGTGTGAAGTTTCGCCTCGATGGCTTGAAGATTGTCTGAAGGCAAAATACTTTTCTGCTGCCAAGATTTCGACAGCTGACTTCACCGCCTTTGGGTGTCCCATCGCGATGTCTTACATCTTGACGGCTGTCACATGGAGAACAAGCATCACAGACGTATAGTATGATAGGCACACTGATCTTCACTTGGGCTTACGCAGAGTAGAGGCATGATAACGGCTCAATCACAGTTGGAAGATTCGCACGATCCCAAAAGTTCATCATATCTGAATCCAGAATAAATCGCTACTGAAATGGCTACAAACAAATGCAATGCTATAAGACCCAGCACGAAATATCAACGCAATCATACCCTCCGCTCCTGCTTATACGGCGCCTCCAACTCCTGCGGATCATGCCCCGGCAATTCATTCACCGGATTCTGCGCCGTGCCCCCCAGCTCACTCAACTCATGCCCCTGCTCCGGCTTATACGGCACATAATTCTCCCGGAACGCCGATTGATGATAAGGACCCTGGTTCTGGCCCGGGTTCGGGTACTGCGGCTGCGGCTGCTCGTTGTACGGCGAATGGTGCACGCTGCCCGGCTGTCGGTGCTCGGGCTGCGGGCTGTGCCATTGCTGCTGCGGCGCGGAGTGCGTTTTGGGGTCGTCGCTGTAGTGGGCCGCGGTGAAGGGGGTTTGCTCGTGGCCGGAATCTGAGTCTTTGCGCGTTTTGCGTCGGCGGAGGAAGAACCAGGCGAGCAGGGCGAGGAGGGCGATGCCGACTGCGGCTGCGCCGACGCCGATACCTGCTTGGGCGCCGGTGGAGAGCCCGTCATCGTCGTCGTCGTCAGAGGACGAGGAGGAGCTGCCACCGCTGCTGCTGCCGCCATCGCTGCTGTCGCTGGAGCTGTCGTCGCCTTCGAGGACGGTCCAGTAGTTTGACCAGGAGTCGGCGAAGCGGCCGTCGTCGGGGTAGTAGTCGAGGTTGGTCGCGCCGGCTTGGATGTCGTGGGGCTCGACTCCGAGACCCGCGCGCGATGAGCCTGGGCCGGGAGCTTGGGCGAGGAACCACACGCCGTTGCCGTAGTTCTTGCCGAATAAGGCAGCTTGGAGGAATGCGCGTCCGAGAAGCCAGTTGCCGCCATCTGGATCGTAAGGCATGCACGGGAAGTAAGGCGTGCTGCCAGATTGTCCTGATGCTTCGACCGTCAAGTTCAGCACGAGAAGCGCGAAGGGCACTTTGATGATGACGTCGTCCGTTCCTCCTGCTGCCGGCGGAAAGACGAAGCCCAGGTATGCCGCCGAAGTGGTGATGTTTGTGTACGTCGGGTCTTGAGTATCCCAAAGGTAGTAGCCGCTCGAGTCGAATGTCACGGGCAGCTGTGCAGCAAGTTTGTCGCACGTCTGCTTCGGAAGGTGGAGATATGGCACCACAGGCTCGGGCTGGACCTGGATAGGCTCGTTTGTGCTCGTATTCGATATCAGGAGACCGCTCTTTTTCCCGAACGGGAACGGCGAGCCTCCAGTCTCGACGCCTAGTATGATGTCTTGCAAGGGTGGGTAGGTGTCCGTGCCCCATGTCGTGCCCGGTCCGATAGCCCTGCCCTTGTCATAACCGCCGAAATACATCGATCCCGGGTAGTCGAACGCCGTAGACCCAATGTGTAAGCTGAAGGAACTTGACTTTGTGATCTTCTTCGAGTTGAAGTAGCCGGGCATGAGATTTAAATTGATCGTCGAGTCGTTGACACCGGATGAAAGGGTGGTAAACTCTTGCAACGGGTCATCAGCACCCAGCGAGAAGAAGCCAAGCTCGATGTCGATCTGGTTTCCGCTGGGTAAGGTCTGGTTGCCCACACTGGCCACTGCCACACTGGCGTTCGGGACCGTGTACTGGTCATCTCCGTTTACGTTTAAGTTCTGTGTGTAGATGGTCCCGGACATGTATTGGCCGGAGCTCCTGGTGTAGTCCCAGACGGGATGGTATTGAATCGGAGTGTACGAGTCGACATCCCATGTTCCTCCCTTGCCGCAGTCTTCAGAAGCGCCGCGACTGCAGAGCGAATTGTCCAGCGCGAAAGAGTTGTAATATCCGCCCGGCATCAGGTCCATTGTCGTCCATTGTAAACGATCGGCTGTACCGTCGTTCCATCCGCCCACGTTGACCGAGACCGCCTGCCACGGCCCATCAACCCCGTAGTATGTGTCCGAGAAGGGTATGTTGACGAATGCTGTTGTCCTCCATGCCCATAAGCAGATCGCTAGTAGAGGCGCAAGTGTTGTAGGTGTCCGCCGGCTCGACATGGTCGCGATGAGGTGTAGCGTCGCAGCCCGGCTGCTGTTCGCGCAGGAACCCTTCCTGCTCGTGTGTATGCTAGAGTACAACGATAATCAACGCTTCAATCAGATCGCAAGTCCAGGTGGAAGAAAAGCAAAGAAGGCGTTCAAGCGAGCGTAGGATGTGTCTTTCAGGGTCGTGCGCGCACCAACACACACAAGAAAGAGTAGGAAGACAGAAGAGATCGTGGGCGACGGTTTCATGAAACGCTACTCATCCTACTCGCCTAGCCTGCGGCTGGTGATAGCGAACGTGTGCCCGTGCGAGCCTTACAAGAAGGTATTTGGGGGCCGGTTGTGGTCAAGCTCGTGGGCTATCGACACCACGAGAGAGCTTGCGGCGCCCGCCGTCAAAGCCTCGTTTCGCGTAACATACCATGCTGCATTGCTGCTCAACTTGGAAGCTCGCTATGCTGCGGTCGTTGGCTGCATTTCGAGCTATTCTTCGCTGTCGAGTCCCTCATCATGCTGCTCTAGCCCGGATGCACAGCCAACGAGGACAAGGTGGTCCCCGGAAATGGTCCTCTGGAGCTGGCCCGTAGCGCCCAACCTTGCTGGTTGCTTAAGCGCGCGCAGGCCAGGCAGGGTAGGTTTTATTTTGGGCAATCGGAGGACTTCTCCACACTCTCTGTCAGCTGTTTCCGCTGGAGGTGGAGGTGTTGTTCGTCCGCAAACGTGGCCGAAGGGAAGGTGTCAGCGTCTTCTGCTACCGCTGATGAGATGTTGCCTTTGTACCCATCGTGTTCGCTTTCGGCCCTTCTCGCTCGATCTGCCACCGCCGCCAGTGGGCGTTTTGCTAGATCCACTGAGTTTCAGGAATCGCAATCTAAGCACTGCCAAGTCATGCAAGCCGAATGAACAAGTTTGGGGGCCATCTTCCCGTCCTTGTTCCGATCCTCCAGAGAGTCACGTGTGAGCTGTAACGGAGTCGTGAACGTGGCAGAGCAGGAGTGGTTGCTTGTCATCAACCTGAACTTGTGTCGACGTCCAACCCTGAAGTCTGCCTCGTCTGCTTCTTGGCCAAAGAGCTGACTACATCCCCGAACCTCCGCTTGAAGGCTACAACATTCGAGCAGTATTTGGACGGCATATACACCACCAGGCAACCGCCGCGAATTCTACACGACTCCTACACGGGTCAGAGCACATATGACCCAATAACTCAGCTGGCCGTATAAATTATACAACCACCCATGCCCGTGGACTTCCTGGCAAAGTGGAAATCGACCGTCTCCGAAGCTCTACCGCTACAGAACATGGACCGCCTCATGTCAAGTTGGAAGTACGCGCCAGTGGGAGAGTCGGAGGAGGGAAACCACCCCTCGAAGCGATCATTCTTCCAAAACGCGAGAGAATGCCTAAACTCGAAAGCCTTCTGGCGGACCTTCCTGGTGATTGCCAGCATCCTCCTGCTCGCCAACCTGTTCTCGCCGGTCCAGCAGTATGCGAAACAGCGTGGTTGGTTCCCGGAAGGACCTGACCAAGAGGGCAGCTCAGAGGGGAGTGAGGTGCTGGACAAGCCTATACCCAAAGACGGCATCGACTGGTCGCAGTACGCATACTGTCAATACGTTACCAACGAGGACTACCTGTGCAACTCGCTCATGATCTTCGAGTCGTTGACCCGGCTGAGGGCGAAGGCGGAGAACATGATGATGTATCCGGAGGACTGGACGGTTGGTGACAATTCCAACCATGGAAGGCTGTTGGCGCAGGCAAGAGATGAGTACAACGTGCGTCTGGTGCCGATCCAAGTGGAGCGGATGGCAGGCGACCCGACGTGGGCAGAGAGCTTCACGAAGCTGCTCGCCTTCAACCAGACGATGTACAAGCGGGTCCTGAGTCTTGACTCGGACGCGACAGTCCTGCAGGTATGTATTAACCCTAACAAACCCCCCTCGAACATGCACTAACGTGATATACAGCCCATGGACGAACTCTTCCTCCTCCCCTCAGCCCCCGTCGGCATGCCCCGCGCCTACTGGCTCGACCAGCCCTTCCTCTCCTCCCAACTCGTCCTCATCGAACCCTCCAAATTCGAATTCGCGCGCATCGAACGCGCCTTCGCCGAACGGGGCAACAACGACTTCGACATGGAGATCGTCAACGACCTGTACGGCAGCAGCTGCTTCATCATCCCGCACCGCAAATACGACCTCTTGACCGGCGAGTTCAAATCCCAACCCGACCAGCACGCGAAATATCTCGGCAGTACCGAGGAGAAGTGGGAATCGGATAGGATACTCGAGGAGGCCAAGTTTTTGCATTTCAGCGATTGGCCGTACCCGAAGCCGTGGATCGGGTCGAGTCAGGCGAGCACCGAGCAGAATATGCCGGATTGTCATGGGGATGATTGTGCGGATCAGAAGAACTGGTTGTGGTTTTATAGTGATTTCAGGGAGCGGAGGGCGAGGATTTGTGGGGAGGGGTTCAAGAGGAAGAGGGACGTAGAGGCGGAGCTGTTTGAGCCGGCTTCGTCGCCGGCGACCGGACTGGTGTTTAACTGGCGTTGATGTGCGAGTCAGGATGCGAGCGTCAGTCTGGTACGGGCGCTGAGGGAGTAGGCGTAGAGCTATGTAACTATTATTATGGAACGCCGACGTGACGTATGACCATGATCAGCTCATGAACATTGAAAAGACCATGAGAGTAAGTGGCAGGCTCGCTTCTCCGTCAGCTTGAGCCGAATGAACACGTATGCTTTGGATCATAATTCGTAAGTTCATAACTACAGGTACACGTGAAATGTAAGTCGTAAAGGCTCGCCTGCCGAGCCAGAGGCCATCGAGGGCGCCTTCCGCAAACTGAAGGACGAGTCTGCCATCCAATTATCCAGATCTCGGCTTGACGAAATAGGGTACAACGCCGCCTCTACCTCTCTTTCCAGTCTCGGGTAGGGGGCCATGTGCAGTTCGTCGAGACGGCCGAAAGTGAACACCAATCGTTCCTAAGCGGCGTGCTTGCAGCAGCATGCTTACGCCCTCTTCCCAACTTAGGCAGCAGAGAACCTCGTTCATCAAGTCGGAATGGTCCTAATAAGAGAGCTTGCTGGCGGGCACTGCGATATGCGTGGGTTCTGAAAGCCTTGAGCTTCGGAGAAAGTCGTCCGCAGGAGTGCTGGGTTAGCCGGCGAAGCCTCCTAGGTATGCCTTGTATGGTTGTAAGTCGTATGTTGCAGTCAGATTGCTCTGATCTGAGAGAGTCGTTGGACGTCTTCCAAGGCTGCGCGCGGAGAGTCCTGGTCGACAAGTGCTCCATCCCCGGCCGACGAGCACACCGAAGAACCACTCTGCTTCCACCCTTCACAAATTCTCCCCCACCCACCCCCACCACTCCTCCACCCTCCCCTCCCCCTCCCCCTCCCCCCTCACATTCCCCCCTGCCACCCGAACATCCACCCCATGCTCCTCCATCTGCCCAAACCCAAATTCCCGCGCCCCATACTCCCCCAACCAATTCCCCTCCTCATCCCCCACATTCGCATCTTCCATGCCAATCCCACTATCCAGCAAGCCTTTACTCCTCGTCTGCCTCACGCGGGCAATCTCCTCTTCGAGCTTGCTCTTGACCAGCCCGGTGGGGAGGGAGGTGAAGACGTCTTGTTTGTTCGCTGCGATCAGCACCGGGAGTGCGGTGGGGTCTTTGGAGGTTTTGGAATGGGTGTGGCGTTTTTGGAGGATGAGCAGGATGTCGTAAAGGTATTCTGCGGCTGCTGTCAGGCCGGCCGAGGAGCTCGTGGCCGCGCTGTCGACGACGAAGATCAGGCCTTTTAGAGACCCCGGGGAGGTTAGCGAGGTGACGGCGTGGTGGCGGAGTTTGCCGTGGCCCGGGGTGTCGACGAGGAGGAACTGGGGTTGGGAGCGCGAGGAGGTATCGTGTTCGGAGCGGTAGCGGTCTTCTGAGGATCGGACGGTGGAGGGCAAGCGGCAGAGAGCGGTTTGGGGTTCTTGGCTGGTATGGGTGGTGGAGGGGGTGCCGTTGGCGAACTGCGATATGATCAGTGTTTGGCAGGTTGCAAGGCTTATCGTGGTGTTGGTACCAGCGTGAGGAGGGTAGTTTTCCCAGCACCACTGGGCCCAAGTAGCAGGAATGAGGGTAATTCTTTCGACTGCGCCTTACGGTACAGGTAGATATGGATCAGTATGGGCGAGAGGAGACTGATCACAAGCGTGACCAAGATGGCTGATATCGAGGGCGAAAAGGCCCATGTGAGCCACGCTTCTACTGTGCTTTGGCTGGCCATTGTATTGATCTCAGATCTCAAGCCGGCAGAGGTGATGTAGCTGTGTTGGTGGTGTGATAAAGTGGGAGCGAGTCATGAGCATGCGTCAAGGTTACGGAGCCGGGAAGTCAAACAGAAGGCTTGTGTCGCACTTCACGCATAGCAACTACATGAAAATGCTGCTGGATCGACACATTGGAAAACTCTTGACGAAGTTGAAAATGCCGCCCTCATAATCAACTATCTACCCGCTACAGATACATACTGGGTGCGGTCTTCACTATCTACCCCAGCTACCTACTCAATTCGACATCTCATCCATCCTAGTTGCCTCCTCCTCCTTCCCATTCCTCACAGCCATCCAAGCAAAGACAAGAACGCTCATAAAACGCCATCTGATGCTCAAGCCCGCCGTGGTATCTTACGATCTGTCAGATAATTCATGCCGTGTCGTCAGTCGTCGAAGGTAAGGTATTGTACAAATCATCAGGGGCCGTCCCGTCGTGCCAGCCAGCCATCCGGTCCCGGTCCCTGTCCCAGAACCCAACCAAAGAGTACCTCTCTAACCAGAACCCTAGACGCCAGAAGTCAAGTCCGCGATGAGAAAGAAATGCAATGCCGAGTCTAGGTAACATGTCCTGGTGTGGAGGCCGAAAAAGAAATGGGTGAAACCGCACTGTGGACTCCAGGTATCCCTAATGTTGCGAAGAGGAAATGTGGAGAAACGACGAAGCGTGCGAAGGAGAGGAGGCGAGATCCACAGGCGCGGGAGCGTATGAGCAGCCTACTAAACAGAAGCTGAATGTCTGAGAAGTGCTAGGGATCGTCGTCTCCACGGAGCATCCGGATGGGGGACAGAATGTGGGTTCCGCAAGCGCGAGTGCGTATGAGCAGCCTACTAAACAGAGCGCAGTGCCTGAGAAGTGCTTGGGACATTCGTCGACATGGAGGTCCGTAATGGTGGCGAAGTCGGTTGGGGTGATTACAGCGCGGACGCTGCGGGCTGTCACCTCATGGCCACGTCATGAGGCGTCCAGCATGCACAGTGCAGTCTGACTGCTGCAGACTGGGAGGTAGACTGATGCAATAGTATGTGTGGTTGGTATGCGATCAGCCCGTCTTGTGTTGGTTTGCATTGGCTTTGATGTTGAGCCGCCAAGTGTGGTGACGTCCTCGTCCCGACGGCGATCCACCGAGACCTAGGCGAACGGAGCAGGCCCGAACTCAGGATAGAAGCCCGACGAAGACTCGAAGCCCTGGAAGCGTGGCGCATTAGGGTACACGCGGAACGATGGACCAGGCGTCGCCTCCGGATACTCGTTGAAGAGCCCGAGACCGTGCCCGTGCGTGACCTGGAAGTTGGCCGGCTCCGTGGTGCCTCTGGTGCCCGAGCTTTCGATCTTGGGCAGTGGCAGGTTCGGGCCTGCATTCGGGATGACAGGATCGTACTGAGCGAAGGGGTGGTAGGAGTAGCTCGGATGGTCTGGGATGCCCGCACGGTCGACTTCGTGAGCTCCGAGATCGATCGGATGCGCTTCGTCGGATGCACCACCCTCGACGCTGCCGGGGCTCTCTGGAGACTCCATCGATACGAGTGGGTACTGTGTCCCGCCGCCGTACGAGGAAGGATAGGTGGCGCGGGATGGGTATCCATTATTGGCAGCGCGGAAGCCTCCGGGATTCGATGGGCCGTACGATGGGCCGTGGTGCATCGTGTACGAGCTGTTGCCATTATTCCCGCCGGCGCTGCGACCGCTCTGGTTGGGTGCGCCTTCGTTCGAGTAATGGCTCGGCGAGCGGCCGCGGACGACAATCTTTTCGCTGGTCCGACAGGCGACCTTGACCCATTCCGGCTGGTCACTCTCGCGCGCGCGCACATCGGCCAGGACCTGGCACTCCAGAAGGAAGAACTGCTGCGAAGCGCGGCGCTTTCCGTTGTTCGCGGTCGCTTGTTTGAACTGGATCCGGTCGAAGGTGGTGCTGGTCGGCAGGCCTTGCATGGGCATGTGCAAGCCGCCGTTGCCGTATCCGCCGTTCGTGCTGCTCTGGCTCAGAATCTGGCCCTGCGAGGAATAAGGGTCCACGTGGCCGGCGATGGCCTGGTACGGAAGATCGGGCATAGCTCCCTGCCAGGTGGGGTGGTAGGTCATCGTTGGGTGATGGAAGCCTCCATGCGACGGCATGCCATGCTCCGGCCGTCCGGTCGGCAAGGGAGCGACATGCACATAGTTGACTTCCCACTTCGATCCCGCGTCGCGTCGGGGCGTGTGTTGGATCAGCTCAACCTTCTTCCCCTGGCTGCCGTCGATCATGGCCTTTACACACATCGCAATGGCTTTGATCCGTTTGTCGGATTGTCCTTGGCCTTTGATGTAGTAGAGGGAGGACTTATCATTGTTCGGGGTGATGGTGTAGCTGCACGTCACCGCGAAGTAGTTTCGGCGGTAGCACGTCCACTTGTTATCGCATTGCGCCTGGAAGAAGCCTTTTTCGACCTTTGCGTTGATGTCGAAGGTGATGTTCTGGCCAGCGGCGTTCTGGACCGTCGCGCATCCTTCTAGGTTCGGAAAGGGGAAGTTGCAGCTATGATCGATGGCACTGTGCGCCGACGGGCTCTGTGGAGTCGCCATGCTCGAGTGATACCCACTTCCGCCGGGCCCGAATGACAAGCCGGTGGGCGCAGCGACCGTGCGAGGAGTATCTGGATAGCCGTAGCCTGCAGGAGAGAAGTGAGGCCTGGTAAGGTATGTCTGTGCATGCGCCGGGTATGAGAGCCGGTCATTGATATTGACAATGCCAGGCACTGGAGAACGCAACGGAGGATACGCGGTTGAATGATAAGACAGAGACGTCGCGTCTCCTGAGCTGTGATATATCTGTCAGTCAAGGTGGTCGACGACGAGTTGTCGCACTGCGTCGTACGGGAGGGGATGACTAACAGGAGTGAGCCCCGGTTCGCAGAGAAGGCCTGTGGTGTTGCAAAATGTTGAGACAGTGACACCGAACCTGTCGCAAAATCTGGGAGGGTGGTGTAACCCGTCGTTTGATACCCGTGGTACGGGTTACTGTTGGACACACCTGAAGACGGGCTGGCTGAGATCGACCCCGAATTCGAATCAGATAAGCTGTTTGAAGTTGGCCGGAAGCTGTGCAACTCAGGAGGTTAGCCGGACACTGTCCCGAGCTTTTGCGAAGAAGAAAGGACTGAGAGTGAAGGGCGGGTTTTTGCGGGATATCGTGTAACCCTCCGGTGAGGGCAGCTCGTTTTCCGTCATCGAAAGACGCATGCCACGGTGGCCGTCGTGTGATGAGGTGCAGGAGCCCAGCGCATCGACAGAGCTCGCCGGGAAGCTGGACCTCAATGCTCGATCTCACTGCCGCGGCTGGTCACGCTCTAATTCTGGATGGCGTCGGAGCTCTCCACTGTCATGTGAACGAGAGCCTGCCCAAGCAGAACCAACACCGGAGGTGAAGTCGGACGGTAAGAACAGTGCGAGGGCCAGTAGAAGAAGAGAATCCACCAATGAGTGTCAAAACAGCGATACGTACCTGTTCACCTCCGCCGCCAGTCCAGAGTCCGGTCCAAATCGAGCTACTTGGGAATTCCTTCCGGCCAGCGTATAACCAGACTGTGGCGTGTTCCCATCACGCCGGGTACGATCGAAGGCACCGCCAGCGGTGTAGGAATGGACGTCTTGCTGTCCCGCGAAGGGATCGTGCTGAGACGACAGAGTATAGTCGGATCCAACAATCGGCTGAGATGAGAGCAAGCTGTCTGCGGCGTCTTGTCAGCGGTGCGGCCTGAAAGACGTCGCAACGTCGGCGACTGAGACGGCAAATCAACAGCAGCAGGCGTGAAGGATAAGAGAGCGCGAAGGGGAGGCAGCAGACGCCCGAAGTTGCACAGCGTCCAGCAGCAGCGTCAGTCGCCGCGACACGCTGGCGGACAGCAGGGCTATAAAGCCGACGATATGCAGCACGAGAATCGTCGCGGCTCATGCAACCCCACGGCCTTTCAACGGCGGTGCGGAGAAGTGCTGACTGGGAGCAGTAAAGCCATTATGTACTCTGCGAGCACCACTGCGGCTAATCTGCAGAAGCGAAGAACTTGCTGGGATGCTGGTTGGAGCTCACCTTGATCCATCGTTGTGGGTGGTCGTAGTGTTGACGTTGTCTGCTCTTTTCGATCGTCGGATGAAGTGATGTCTTTGATACTGTGAGGTGTTTGAACGGCGCCCACGCTTCGTTCGGTAGGTCGAATGGGCTTCTCGCCGTTGCCAGCGAGTATTCACAGGCGTTGTCGTGATTGATTGACGGCGATCTGTAGCGACCGACTTGGCACTGGCTGCAGTGCCTGGTAGACTGGGTTGTTTCTGCTGCGCGCCACATCGGCCCGTGTCGTTGCGCCCTGTGAGAGGTCGACGGTGCTTCCTAGCGCAAGATTTAGCCGGACGGTCTCGAAGCTAAAGATTGACTTCTCGGCCTTGCAGTGAAGTTCAAGATGACCTTACTCCACGACGATAATGGTCTGTACACCCCCTAACGCGACTGAACACCGCTGGACGGTTCGTCTGTCGTTGTGGTGAGAGTATCGAAACCTGTGGTTGCGTCAGCGGTCTGGCGGAAGCGGAATTCACCTGCTGGTGGCGAAGGGGGAATGCATGAAACGTGTCACAAAGCGATGGACGTTGCTACACGTATGCACTCACCGGGCGCGGTCGACAACTCTGTACGATCGATCTTCAGCAGCGGCCAAACAAGTGGGAAGTTGGCTTGTCGTGAGCTCAGGCTCGACGAGATGGCATGCGAGGTTTGGAGAGTACCACGGCGCTTGTGTTGAAAAGAGCGATGGATCCTAATTGCTGGCGAGAATGGTGTTCTTGTGCGCAATGCTGGCAGTCGTGTTGATATGCCTGCCGGCGAGACAGTGGTTGCAGGATTGATGTTCCGCGGTTCGCCGTCGGATCGAGACAAAGGGATGTCGGCGGCGCCGAAACAAGTTGGGGTGGAGAGAGAGAGCAGAAGTAAGCAGAGGTGGCAGCTCTCACGATATGAGAGTTGTTTTGAAGCAGCGAGAAGGGCCAGCTTGTGTAGTAGGGATTGGCCGGCTTCGCAGCGCACGTCAACGGAGGGCTTTTAATGGCCGATCTGGCCGGCTGCAGCTACACCTCTTCAAGATTTCATCCGACACCGACTCGCTGGGTCGCCAGCAGCCTCGAAAAGAGTATCCTCAGCATCCTGAAAGCTCAGACCACACACGACTGGGGCGGAGGCGGGTATCCGCAGAGAAGCCCACTTCACTTGGAGGTCATTCACCACTGCCCGCCGATGGCAGGGAGCCTCGATCCACTTCCCCGAAGACTCATAGCAAGTAACTTGTCTAACAGGACAGGGTCTGCAAGCGCTCCCGCTCAGTCTACACGATCTTCTCATCAGATGACCGCTACGACTTCTGTTGCCAGTGCCAAAAAAAAACATGACACTTCTTCAAGGTCACCAACTTGACAAGGATTACTCGCCTCGCGTGATACAGGAGATCGCCAGAGATTCATTGGAAATGCTTCTACCACCACGAAGCAGTGGCATCGCAACAAACCTACCGTTTCTCTGCCCTTCAGCCACCCGTCGGTCCGCCTGCCGGTACAGCGAGTCTAACGCAGGTCATAGTGGAGCCCGCATACGATGCGCGCGGATGGAAGATTGATGTATCACAACAACACTTGCTCGAAAGCAATGGGAAAAAGGTCACGCGAAAGGCTGACAGTTGCTGGACGTTTGAGGTTTGCTCGGTCGGTAGCGTCAACCAGGATGGATTTCTCAGTCACTGCGCAATTGCTTGAATAGTATGCGATGTCCGATGTACGCTCACCACAGCCCAACAAGATCTATTTCGGTGAGGTTCGGAAGGTGAAGCCCAAGCTCCGAGCTGGATGTCAACTCGGCGACATCGAGTCCGTACTCACGACAGACTTGAATGAGAACATCTTAGCTGATCCAATACCCCCTTGCCTCCGACGTTGCTTCATCGGGACTACGCCATCATGCATGGAAGCCTTGACCGGGCAGCCTTTGGAGAGTTGTGGAGACCTTGTCAGCGAAGTGCAAAGGGCAGACGGCGGTGCTGGGGTCCTTGACGCCTGCACTCTAAGAGCAGCGTCCAGACATTCTCCAGACCACCCACACCTTAGTCAGACCACATTCCACGGGCATCTTGATTTAGCAGCCCCGCCCCAGCAAACCAACCTCGAGTTTCGGACTCGGCGATCCGGTATACTGGGATCGAATATCTCCCTTGAGAATGACTGTCCCGGGAGGCAACTTGGAACTGCATCTGTGCAGGCAATTGATAACAAAGAAACGCATCACCATCCATCCAAGGGGCCAATGGTGAGCGGGTCGACGAGGCGTTGCGCCATGCATGGGGTAGACGACGCCAATGTCTCATGAGCTGTCTTCTGGAAATTCTCTCGCCGCCCTCTGTGAGCTGCAGATCACGGAGCGCGCTCTTCGTGGCAAAAGGACCCGTCGGCCTGGGTGCGTCCGGTGAGTACCAGTCGAGCGAGAGCCGTTGAAGCTTTGCACCGGTTGACCTGCGTCTGATCAACTGCGCATGATAACACAAACAATCGCACTGATACGTAGGAATCGACCCGACAGCGTCCAAGCCCTGCTGGTGAGTCCTGAGCTGGCGGGAGGCTGCAGCGTCACGTATTCAAATTTCATCGCCGCCGATCGGCTTGCCGGTCTGCATTCACGTTGCTCAGGTATCGAGCCCGGAGCGGCCCAACAACATTCAACCCAATTTTCATTCACTGCGCATTGCCTACCGGGAAGCTGCAGGATGGCTCTTGGAACGCCATTCAGGAGTCTCCGATCTGTCCGACGAGGGTCCTCGTGACCCGCGCGGAGCATGACTTGGTCAGCGTGCAGCGCGAATTTGTCAAAACTTCCTTGATTCCGCTGCACCATCTTCCAGCGCATCTGCTGTCGTTTCAAACCACGAGCTCCGTCTTCCTTCGACCTACCTCGCGGACCAGGAGCACAAATCGCCCCATTCCTCATTCCACGACATGGAGTACAACAGCTCCCTTGTCCCACACACCCACCTTTCGAGGGAACCACTTACCTATTCTCCCAAACCCATTACGCAGCAGCAAGCGTGGTCCGGCACTTGTGTTGCACCTTTTTCCAGGCTTCCAAACGACTGAACCGTGCTATGGGCGAGTGCTCGAACACTCTTGTTGTCAACTGCCGGGTGGAAATTGCACATGTGTGTCGCACATGGCGAAAGGTTGCTTCGACATCACCTCTGCCCCGTTAGACTAGCAGGCAGGCTCTAGTGACCCTCTCCCTTAGTGCTGGCTGGTTTGCCACCTGCGGCCTCACACCCAGTGGTCTTGCGCTGGACAGCACTTTCGTCCCACGGAAACACGACATCTCGTACGATAAATGACGGAGTGAGATCCGCTGAGTCCAGGCTGGCCCACGAAGTACGTAAGAGGTTGGACCTCGCGATGAGGACCCCCTAGCTCCACAGCCAAGCGCCGGCACCGGCATCGTCAGGCTTGCATGTCTTCGCTGGCGCACAGGAGAGTGGCGAGGCCCTAGGGATCACAGCATGTGCATCGCCATAGCCTTCCAACGCACAGGGGCCCGGGGAGACTCCAACTTCAAGTCCGGCTCAGAGGGAAGCACGACAGCGACAGCAACGCCTTGATCTGGAAAAAGAGTCCCACAACGTCATGCGCGCGATATGTAGCACGTTCAGCAACGGGTCGATCAATCGACCACAGCCTCTGCTCGATCACCGCAGGCCGCAGTCTGCAGCAGCACCGACATCGACACGTTATACGAATGCAGGGCCTTCAAACAGGGCCCGGAGCCCGGCACCGAGATCATGGCGAGGGCATCTGGTTCGCATTGCCTGGCATGGCCCGCGAGTCGGCGTGTCCGCAACCCAAGGTCGCGCGAAGCATTGGGCTCTTCAAGCATGGAACAAAGAAATGTCTCCAAGCTCGCAGTTGATTGAAACCCGTTCACTTCCATATACCGTGTAATTACATACGTTCTCTACCACTCTCCCGCTCCTGCAACAAAGCACCTAGCCATGCATCCATCCCTACGACTCCCAACCCACCCAATCCCTCCCAACAACCCTCCAAACCCTGACCTCTCCACTCCTCAAATCGCCGAGCCGAAACTTCTCACTCCGTACGCCCCCTTTCTTCTCCCTGCCCTGCTCCCACACACGCACAGATCGCCGTGTCCCATCCCACTCTTCCACGACAGCGACGTGACTCGGTCCATAGTCAGTCTTGTACTTCGTCTTCATCGCGCCGTGATGGCCCTCGAACCTGGCGTTGCGGACGGTGACGATGTCTCCGCGTCGGATCTCGTCGAACTGCATCGTCGATGCGTTGGCGAGGTTGGCGTAGACGAGAGCGCCGTACGCGCGAGTGCCGACGGGTAGGAGAGCGTCGCCTTGCGCCTTGATCAGCTCGAAGGGGAGGCTTTGCGGCGTGCCGTCGCCGACGTGGGCGTCTTTCTTGCTGTGGCCGACTTGGCTCGCGGCGTCTGCGATCTTGGTTCCGAAGCGCTGCCATGCTGACTCGAGTTGGTCTTGTCGCAGTTTAGGAGCTGGAGGCTCATGTCGCTGCTCGAAGTGGACGTCTGCAGGGTCCTGTGAGTCGTAGCGTGCTGAGATCACGGTTTGGCTGTAGTCCATGTACAGGATGTAGATGTCCTTTGTGATCTCTTTGCGTCCACCACGCTTCGACTTGGAGGTCTCTTCGCACTCGAACAGTACGTCGACACCGTTGCGACCTTGAAGAGAAGGCGGCAATGGCTGATCGGAGGTCCACCAAGGTGTGTCGGTGGAGAGATTCAGCTCGTTCGCAATCTGACCGTGTTCACCGCTAGGACGAGCCTGATCCATCGACCTCCGGGAGGTCGTCTGAGACCTATGGATATCCGTCGATGTCCGGCTAGGTGCCAGAGTATTTGGAGGGGCTTGCGATGGAGGCGGAGGTACAGCACGCTCTTGCAAAGGCGGTGGAGGTACAACCCGCTCTTGCGGTGCAGGAGGCGGCGCACGGTCTGTGGACTTTCGTGCAGGAGGTGATGGCGGTGCATATGTCTCGTCGTCTGAGCTTTCTTCAGCCTCTTGCGGAGGCGGTGGAGGGGCAGCGGCAGGAACACCGCTCGGCACAGGAGGGACGCCCCGCCCGCCACCATTGTATCGGTATGGATCGTATTCAGGATCATCTTGAGCAGCATCTCGCGATGGGATTGGCGGAGGTGGTCGATCAATAGACTGCCTTGTTTTGGGCGCTGCTTCCGGCGGCGGCGGCGGAACTGCTCGTGGAGCTGGTGCTGGAGGAGGTGCGGCAGGCGATCCAAGAGACAGCTCGTCAGCAGTGGAATTGTCGGTCAAACTAGACTCGCGATTGTGTGGAGCCTTCAGAGCATCCTTGTGCTTAGCGCCTGATGCTATATCGGTATCGTAGTCGCCGTCGTAGTCAGAGCCAACACGCTCGTCTTCATGTATGTCCATCGAAGAGGGCATTTGCGTGGGTGGTGGAGGTGGAGGCGGTCTAGGAGACGTCGGGGCGCTGCCGGTAGGCACAGGAGGAGGGACGCGACTGGACCGCTTGTCGGATGATGCTGAAGGAGGCTCGCTGCTGTCATGTTGAGATACACGTTTCGCATCTGGCGACTGAGGCGGACGAGGCGGCACATCGCGGCCAGAGGGCACTGGTGGTGCACGGCTTCGTACGGGCAAAGGCGTTTCGATACCTGAGGCATCTGCCGAAGTGCTCTTAGCATGACTCGACATCTCATCATCAGATTCCGAACCTGGGCCAGGCGAAAGTGGCGCACCACTGGGGGGCGGCGGAGGAGGAACTGGGCGAGACTCTGTTGCTGGAGCTCGCGGCGGAGGTGGCGGGACTGCACGTTCTTGGTGAGGTGGAGGCACAGGTCGAGTGTCTAGAAAAACGTCAGCAATGTGCACTCGTTGATAGCTCCTGTGGTGTTGATTCGATAACCCACCTTTTGGCACTGGCGGAGGAGCACCTCGTTCCGCCGTCGACGTTCGACTTGGCGGTTGCGGCGCTGCATCCTCCTCCTCTACGCCCTCGACTTCCTCGTCTCTCAATGGCACTTTTTCGGTCACATCAGACTCCGGACTTTGCACTCGCTGCATGCCAGGTACTGGCACCATGGGAGCTCTTTGCTGCGAAGCTGGAGATGGCGCGTCTTCGCTTGCTTGTTGGTCTCTAGAAGGCTGCTTTTTCCGCGCTGGTGCCGGAGGTGGTGCTCCAAACGGGTTGAAAGGTTGGCCCATGCCTGGCATGCCGCCTCCAAGACGTGCCATACGTGCCCGAAGCTCTTGCTTGCGCCTGGTTTCGTCGTCCATCTCCTCTTCTTCCTCTCCCTCATCACCCTCAGTCGTGTCCTCCTCATCGCCAACGTCAGGCTCCACCTTCGGTGCGGTAGGATGGCGCATAGGCTCGGCCTGGCGTTCGTCGTTGTCATCAGGTCCAAGAGTGCCAGTGTCGTCCTCAGTCAAGTCACCAGCTCCACTCTGGTCTGCTTCATGCCCATCGCTGAGGATTTCATGCTCGGCTGGCGTTGGCACCGGTGACATCGGCTCTGTCGGACGTCGCTGAGTAGAGGGCACTCGGCGCTGCTCTCGAGGCGCATCAATTGATGCTCGTTCTGTTGTATCGCTTCTGACTCTCTCAAGCGACTCTGTCTCCGCCTCTGGTGCAGCTGGCTGGTCAGAAGACTCCGAAGCTTGCTTTTGTGGTACCTTCTTCTCCTTCTTCTGCGCAGTATCTGCTCTCCTCTGAGCTTGCTCTTGCTGCTGCTTCTGCAGCAGTGCCATACGCTCTTTCAACGTCATTGGTTTGGGCGCATCTTCCTCTTCTTCGTCGGGTGCAGCTGCGGAGGCCTCATTGGCCAGTCCTGCAGCTTCTGCCGCAGCGCGATCCTCCTCCTGTCGCTGTCTGATCTCTGGATCTTCATCTCTAACGTAAGGCTTCTGAACAGGGTCGACCTTAGGTGGTGGCACGTATGCACTCTTGCTGGGTGGTGGCGCAACGAATGGCTTCTTGATAAAGCCGCCAGAGGGAGCTGATTTACCACCAGGTTGCATGGGAGCCAAAGGTGCAGCTGCTGGCTGGTTGAAGGCCGCGATTCTGTCCTTGAAGGCATTTGACTTGGCGGCGACTGGCGGCGGCGCCTTCTTGGCTCCTTCGGCAGGCTCTGCTGGTGCTGGTTTGGGTGCCGGCGCCTTTTCCATTGATGTCGCGGGAGCAGTCTGACTGCTTGCTGAAGGTGGAGATCTGACCTCCTCTGTTGTGCTAGAGGCCGCGGGCACTTCGATTGGAGGTGCAGATGGCTTGGTAGCTGCAGAGGCCGGGGGTGCCTCATTCTCAGCAGTCTCATTCACAATACTCGGAGCAGGCTGGGCTGCTGCCGCCGGCTGCTGAGCCTCCTGTTTCGGCCTGGTAGGTCTTGTTGGCCTTGTCGGCACTTCTGGCTCGTACTTCTCCACGAAATTCGAAGGGAAGAGGCCTTCATGTTTGCCACCCGTGGCATCCGTGTACTCCCCAACATACCAATCGTCTCCCTCCAGCTCCGTCACCGTAATGATCTGTCCCGTGGGGAAGTTCAAGTCGTCTTCATGCTCGCTAGTGTATTCGTATACCGACTTGACCTTGAAGGGCGGTGCGGTCATTTTGAGGCGCTCGCACGGGATGCTAGGCGTTATGTACAATGTGCGCCGGTGAGTTCGATGGGATGCTAGAGGTAGTCGGCCTACTTGCGACCCTCAGGAAGGCTGACTGACGCAATGGCCTGCGTGGCCAGCTCAGCGTTTCGTATGTTGTTTCACACCGTTGGAAGGATGGGCAGCCCGCAACCTCTTCTGGTGTGATATCGGAGATGGATGGACAACAATGCTGCTCCCACAACGAATATGGTTCAGCGGCAGGTCAAACGCAAAGTACCTACGGGAGGGAGCCTGCTGGTCCACCACGAGCGGCGCCGCCGGACGAGCCAAGCCAAGCCTGAGGTCACAAGCGGGATCAGCCGCTAGAGAGCTTAAGTCTAGACTTTCACATGTCGTTCGCCTTTGGAACAGCAAATTCACTGACGACAACTGACGACATCAACTGGTATCGAGAACGGCGTCCAAATGGAGACCACCACGCCCGCGCGATCCATACTGAAGCAGCCATCGGCACAACCAACTTTGAGCGACGAGCAGAAAGCCACAGCGGCGACCAACAAGCGACATCTCACCACAGCACTCTACCACGCCAACAAGATACAGCAACGAAAAGACGTTGAAGCGCGTATCTTTGGGAATATTGAGACCCTATTGGAGTTCCCATCTGCGACACCTTTCACTTCTGTCGATGTATCAAGACTCGTCAGTCTTGCTCGACTCTTCCAACCATCGGACTTTGACAACCTGGTCGAAGAACGTCGGATCGATGGCAAATGTGGTTACGCCTTGTGCTCGAACCCTCCGCGATCAGAATCTCTAGGCACAAGTGCGGCGTGGAAGTTAAAAGCCAAAGCGCATGGAGACTACTGCAGCGACACGTGCACGAGGAAGTCACTCTACGTGAAGACGCAGCTCAGTGAAGTGCCGGCTTGGGAGCGGGAGCCAGGGTATCATCCGAAGATCGTGGTGCATCCGGACGATCGAATGCCTACTTCGCGATCATCGAACCCTTTCATTGCAAGTGCTCCTCGCGCAAACCACCATGAGCTGGCCCTGGAGCGTGGCGACACCACATCCTCGATGAGGCCGAGCCAGGTCATGGCATCTACTGTCGTTGAAAACGGAGGTGCCTCGCGTCAGACGAATGGCCCGCCTGATAGACAGTCTGCTTCTCATACAGCTATTGAAGGCTATGAGCCACTTTCAGCGGCTACTGAGAGACCAACTCCTTCTGCACCTCCTGCACAAGCCCAAGGCACGTCGGCCAACCAAGCCAGCGCTGGCGACTACGATGAAGAGGCAGAGTCGTGGCGCGATCTCTACAGCAACATGCCCGAGCGATGAGAGACGAGACTGTGAGATGAGACTGTGAGAAACGTCGGTCGAACCGAAAATACTTCTTGTTACACTGCAGAAGCGAAAACTCCCGCGAGCATGGTAATATGGGCCCCACGCCAAGTTGCCTCCAGACATGCACCAAATGCGAGCACCTCCTCTAGTATGCAGTTCAACACCACAGCAATGCATCGCTCTAACGCCCAGCAGCATATCCCATGCCGCTCATGCTCGGCAAAGCACAGCATCTAACACCATATGCACGAATATACACGAGCAACGACATCACCACAGCATCGAAGCTCATCGCCGATAAATAGCATCCGCCATCTTCGCCACCTCCACCATCTCCTTGACATCGTGCACGCGGACGATATCAGCACCACCGCGTATGGCAGCAGTGACCGTCGCCGCCGTGCCCCAGGTCCGCTCTCTCGGCTCTTCCACCCCTGTGATCTTGCCGACGAAACCCTTGCGGCTGCTGCCGACGAGCCATGGCATGTTCCTGCACTTCCCCTTATGCAGGCCGCGACCACTCTGAAGGATCTCCAGGTTCTGTTGCTGGGTTTTGGAAAAGCCGATACCAGGGTCCAGGATGATGCGCCAGCGCCGTATGCCAGCTTCCATAGCAGCATCTATACGCGCTCCGAGCTCATCTCGAATGGTCGTGATGAGGCCATTGGGGTATTGTGTGTTCTCTTCGCTTTGCATGGTAGATGGAGTACCTCGCATATGCATCATGACATATGTGCAACCCAGTCTTGCAACGGTGGGCAGCATATCTGGGTCCAGCTGGCCGGCCGAGATGTCGTTGACCACATGAGCTCCGGTGTTCACCGCTACCTCCGCAACGGCGGCACGATAGGTGTCAATGGAAATCGTTATCTTCTCAGCCCCCGGCAGCGATCTGATCATCTCAATAGCTGGCACGACGCGTGCAATCTCCTCGTCTGCCGTGATGTCCGGCGCATTCGGCCGCGAAGACTGGCCCCCAACATCAATCATAGTTGCGCCTGCGGCAACGTGCGATTCGATCGTGCGTCTGAGGCCATCTCCATCACTAATATCGTGCGTTCCACCATCTGAGAATGAGTCCGGAGTAGTATTCAGAATACTCATCACTCTAGTCTGGCGCTCGGAGAAATCCGATTGCAGAGGGCTCGACCCTGCTGCGAGTGGTGTGTGGGCGAAGCTGGGATCTGCTTGACCTTTGATTTTGTGAAAGGCCCTTGTGACCTGCTTCTCCACGCTCTCTCCAAGGAGGCCACGACGCCTGCTGGGTTGAATTAAGCTGCGGCGAATGTTAGAATTTACACATCAATGGGGAATGAGTTTACGTACTCATAGAAAGGCCGGAGAACGAAGTCGCGCTCCATCATGAGTGGATGAGGTAGTACTAATCGCTCGGTGTTCATTCGCTCGTCTCGGTAGAACAAGATGTCGAGGTCCACGGTTCTGGGGCCCTTCTCGATGAGTTTGACGCGTCCAAGTTGCTGCTCGATTGCCTGAAGACGATCCAGTAGGTGGATGGGCTGCAGCTTGGTAGCAATCTAGGCTTGTTAGTAAGCGTCAGCATCAACAGCGCAAGCAGTACTCACCTCGCAGACCCCGTTTAGAAAACGTTCCTGATCTTCGACGTACATCGGTGGCGTCTCGTACAGACTGCTGGTCCGCAGGACCCGGACGTCCGGATCTGCATCCATCAAATTGCAAGCATCCTCAATGTTCTTCAAGCGATCGCCGACGTTGCTCCCAAGAGCGATGAAGACCATCCCATCATCCGGTCCTGTAGGCATGGCATCTTCGCCGTTGGTCATGTCCAAAGTCGTTCCATCATCCACTTGATCGGCTTGATCGCTCTCTGCATTCTCCGTGAACATTTGCACCTTGTTGCGGTTGTCGGGGTGCTTGGCCACCTCGTCATCCGCTCGGCTTTCTGCAGGCGTTGCGGCTTCAGCTTCGGCCATGCTCAAACTCATTTCGTCATCTTTGTCTTCCGCTCCATCGGCTTGGACGTTCTCTGCGTCTTCCACGTGGGTCTTCAACTCGTGAGCATCGTCAGAGTGCTTGGCTGTGCTGTCCGTATCGTTCAATATGGCGGTCTCCCCCACAAGACTGGAATCTGTGCGATCCTCCTTGCTAGAAGATCTTTCTGCAGTCTCCACTTCCGCAGTAGCCTTGCCTTTGGAGAGAGGTCGTTCGTTGAAGACCGTCGCAGCCTCCACCCACTGTATGTCCATTACCGAAACGAACCTGTGTCGCTGGTCCACAAGCGCCCGCGCAATGGCAGAAACGTCGAAAGTGGAAGGTTCGCTGTTTTCGGTACCTTTGCTCTCTTTCAGTGAGCGTACGGTGTCGACTACCGCTTGATGAAGATACTCGAGCTGCGAAGCAAGCGTGTCCGTCTGAGAAGTCTGTTGATTTGAGAGACGACCTGTCAGACGGACTGTGAGATCGATCCATGCTCCAGATGAGGCGTCGGCTCCGAAATGAGTGCATCGGTGTCTACTACTCAGAAGTATTTGGGTCGTACCACCTATGAACAGTTTGACTTCGAGCCTGTTGGTAAAGCGGGTGTCGGAAGTATGCAGAGCTTTTCGTAGTTCATCCGAGGGCCGATAGTGTGCATCAATCATGGAAAGACCGGGAATCCGCAAAGACAGTCTCGATAGTAGGTCCGCTGGACACGCGAACCGAAGGATCCCAGTGCCACTGCTCGAGCACAGTATGTCTTCTAGAGGCGCCTGTGCGGCGTTTTGCGACTCCACCGACTTTGGGTGCTCAAAATGTATGAAAACCTCATGGAATGCCGTTTGTTGACTGAGTACGTCTGACCTGATCTGCTTTTAGAGATGACCTGAGCGAAATACTACTCAAATGAACCTACCTTATCAGCATCACTCTTGACTTTGCTGGACACGCAACGTCGGTTTCTGTTGCGCGGGAGACATTGACATCTGCGCGATCTCGTCCAAACTGCTCTGGAATGGACCTGGTGTCGTCACCGATAGCGAGACTGCCAGTTTCCAGCGGGTACTGACTTGCTTGTAGTTCTTCAACAGCTCTGTCGTTGTGGTGTGTTGTCTCCTCGTGGTGAGTAGTGATGTTCTCGGCTCGCAAGGTACCTTCAACGTCCCCATGCACCGTTGAGCTCTCGTATGGAGTGGGATGCGCCAATGCAGCAAGCGAGAATACGGAAGCGTCGTGGTAAGGCATCAACCCGACACGAACTGCAGCCAGCTCAACAGCTGCGCTGGGGAGTCGCACCGCGCGCAATATCGCACTGGCAACCATCTTCGGAACATTTTCGAGTTTGTCAAAGACGACTTCTTTACAAACGTTCCGAATCACCTTTTCGGCCATCGAGGTTACTTGGTGCCAATCAGCTAACGCTGAGAGCAATGTGGAATCGCGACTTGCTTCATGTTGTCTCCGAGATGCTTGCTCCACGAGTCGTATCTTGAGCCAACCGGTCTGCCAATCAACCTTGAGAGGGGGCTGTTGGTCACCAGCAATGGCAATCTGTAGACCATTGAGTCTGGGCATGTGCAGTCGGACACTTGTGCTGTCAATACTCGGAGCAAGAGAAGGTACAAGTCCTTCTGACGTGTTGACGTTTATAGTGAATGGATAGAATGTACCTTCTGCAATAGAAGGAAGGTGCTCACATGGCCCATGAATCTGGAATCGCATGGCGAAGCACGCGGTCGGCAAGCGACGTGCGAGTAGTGAACTAGCTGCCGCCAGGTAGGCTATACCAGATTCCTTAATGGTCGCAGAAGCCTCCTCGAACATCTCGGCGAGATTCTGATGGTAGCGATCGAACGAAGAGCTGCTGAAGCCAACGGTCGTGACTCGTACATTCGGTATGCCGATTCTAGCGCACGTGGCAGCAGACCTAGATAGGGTCAACAACGATGATGAGCATAGGACACCAGATGGTAACTTACAAATCCACAGTTCGGGTTTCTTCACGAAGTTCCAGCGCTGTTTGACTTTGCGTGATCATGTTCCGGCGTACGCCATCCGATAGTGAGGAAGCTCTGGCTGCCGGCTGCGATGCAGGATCCTCCGGCTGCCGGTCTGCATGCAGGCGAACACTTCCATCCGGGTTCAACAGCATGTTGTCAACATAGCGCTCGCCTTTCTTCCCTTTTTGAGCCGTCAGCTCCACCCCCTCAAAGTCCAAGACAGAGGCCAAGGGCGACCGTGGCAGATATTGCAGGGCAGCATCTTTCATGAGTGAGGTTATTTGCAGGCCAGAGAGCACATTTTGAGACGTTGCCGTCCTAGCGTGGTGCAGCAACATGTCCATTGTCTCTCTAATGACTCCCTTCGAGCTGATTACCCGACCCTGGTGGACCTCCCGAGTTCTGTTGCCGAGATGGCCCGTGACTCTGATACATAACATCGGGGAACATGTCTTACTACCCTTCAGCGCAAGCTTGCATCCGATTGATGGCTCTCCCCACGATGCAGAGATGCTGATCAAGGGACTCGAGTATGGTCCCTCGGCATTCGGGCGCCATATTTGGCATCGGACATTCCAATAATACTGCGGCGTTGCGAATGCGGAACCAGGATTCCATCGAGCGCCCAAATCTCCGAAGTTCTGGCCAAAGCCTTGCAGGTAAACTTCTTGTAGTTCGTTCTGCAATGAAAACATCTGGAGTGCCATACGGTGCAGCATCCCGAGACTGGAAGTTGTCGTTGGAACTTCTTGATTCTTCGGTACAGACTGCAAGACATGGCTCAGCTGAGATTTGATGAACGCTGACCTCGCTTTGCTGAGCAACTTGACAGAAAACCAGTTTGTCTCCAGTATGCTGCACTGATCCGGCGGTCTACAGTGGTCAGTGTTGTGCTTGAAATCCCTAGAGCACGGCACGTACAATGAGATATGTCCAGAGGTATACTTGAGCAACCCAAACCAGTGACGGGAAGCATCAGGGTGTCTCAGCAGATTAGGTGCTGATTCAGTAAAAGCTGGAGATGCCTTCGAAATGCCATTGACCTCGTATGGCGACTTTCCTAAAGGAAAGAGGTATTTGGATGCGCGACCATCGGCGGCGTGACTCCGCCAAAGGTTTCCTTTGCGTAGAGATGCGTGGCGGAATATGCCTCGTATCCTCACCATAATGCAAGGCCGTTTTGCAACGGTCAAGTGCACAGAGTTGGCGTCCTTTTTACTCCCATTCTTCCTGGACACCAGACTTGCCCCGGCACCACCGTGAACCTCTAATGCAAGAGTAGAGAAGAATATTAGTAGCTTGAACGTACAACAGAAAAGAACGCAACAGCCCCCCGTAGTAAAGATGGGATGGAAACGTGATGAGATTGAAGAACAGATGCAGAGGCAAGACGTGGTTGGAATATAGGCTCCGCTAGCGCGCTCATGGGCCGTTCCCGTCCGGCCGAGCCGAGAGCCCAATCTTCAACATCAGACCTCACGTGGGTCCAGACCTCGCAACAGCTCACCAACCTAGAAATAGCAGGACCTACAATATGTCTCTGTGGCAGTATGCTCGCCCCCGCCCTGCATTTCTATTTCCCGGCTAACACAATCTCCAGATCATACCGCGCGCTCACCCCCAAGACGCGCATGCTCGTCGGTGGCGGCGTGATGGCATGGGCCGCCTTTGGCTTGCTGCTCTCCGACAGAGCAGAGGCGGCGTTTGGCTTTACGCCTACTGAGCAGGATAAGCGGGACTTGCGAGATTCGATGCCGAAGATTCATCTGGTTGAGAGGGAGGAGAAGTGAAGGCACGGCAGCCCAGGACCAGATTTGGAGAACGCCCTGTAGCGAAACCGGACGGCCGATTGTTGTGCAACCCTCAAGTCAACACTTAGGATTCTCTGGCTCCGAAGGCTCTGCGTTCAAAGGAATCTGGTCTACTTCACCAACGGACTCTTAAAAGCCAGGTCTGCAAGGCATGCTTGCCACTTCGCACTACTCGAGCGGATACGAAGCACCACCACCACCGGGTATTATGTGCGACGCCAGGCCCACCAAAAGACAACATATCTCAGAGAAGGACGGGAAATTGGACCTCGTCCCAGCGGTGCGACAAGAGGTACTACCACCGAATGATCAACTGGCGGCAAGGTTGAGTCCAACGCCTTCCAGCAAACTACCACCAGCAACCAGAGCGACCAACGCAATCCAACGCCATCTCCACCCAAGACTCATCGTTCTTGAAATACTTTCGCCACCAGTAGCCCGGCCCATTCCAAGTCACACAATCCTCCATCAACGTGGCTGCACCGGATCATCCCTTGTTGGCCCCCACCATGGCCTTACCAGATGGCAACAACAAATCACATAGAACCAAAAAGACTCCTTCGGCGCACGGATGGATGGTCCGGTCCTCAACTCTATCGACAACCCCGCCTGACGGGCCGCCACGCGGAATACTTTAGCGGAGCTTGAGACATCGACGAAGACGCATGGAAGGCTTATCGAGAAGCAGGGACGCTTTGGCATCTGCTGGAGAACATGACCATCGATGCAGCGCGGAAGCTTAGTCCGCTCTGAGATTTGGACGTGGGAGGGTGCTGTACAGAGCAATCTGGGTCGGATGCAAGCAGCCAGGTAGACAGACTATTGTCTTCCGCACTCCTGGCAATGATAGACATTCGAGACAGAGCGCTTGACACAGAGCGTTACAGGCGTTCAATTCTTCACATTTCCTCTACCAAACCTCCGCACCAAGTCCCTCAAGCCTACCCACCCCTAATCACCCTTCCCACTCTTCCTCCCCACACTTCCACTGACTCCCCTCGCTGTCGCAACCGCACCCCCAAAATACTGCGTCCCACTCCCACTAGCATTGGACCCAACCTCCGACCTCCCCCTTCCCTCCTCCTCACTCTCATCGTCCCCACCAAGCTCAAACTCATCAGTCATCTCAATCAAATCCCCAACACCATTCCTGCCCTTCCCCGGCGCTCCAACGCTCGTGCGAGGTCCGAGACCCTGACTCCTCGAACCCCTGCCTCTACTGCCCCCGGTCCCAGGACCGCCGTTGCCGGCGCCAGGTTCAGAAGGCGTTCGAGCTTTGACAGCCATACGCCTAACCCAGCCTTCGATCGCACCCCCGACATTTTCGAGATTCAGACCAGCTCCGCCGCCAATGTCTTTGGGCAAGAGACTGGGTGTAGCGGTCCCGCTGCCCCCGGGTCCATCGTCGTCTCGGTACATCGGTACGTCTGGTTGATACAGCTCGCGCTGGTTCTTCGGCTTGGAAACGTCCGGTAAATGCTTCGCAAAGAACTTATTCAACCCGTCTTGCGCTGGTCCCGGACTGTGGACGTTGGCGGACATGCTACCCACGCCGCCGGGACCGGCGAGGTAGGAGGGGAAATAGCCGTTCGTTGCGTTGCTGAGACGTCTTCGGTGGCCTGGGCGTGCGGGAGCCGGAGCGTTAGAGGGGGATGGGACAGGGTTGTTGGTGCTGGTGGATGTGCGGGCGAGGTCGAGGGAAGTAGAGGGCGTGTCGAGGTCGGAGAGGGAGATGCTTTTCCGGCGGGCGGGAGGGAAGTAGCCCAGGGCGCGACGGGAGAGACGGGCGATTTCGGTGGGGTGGGGAGAGTTGGACAGGAGGACCCAGGAGTCGTGGGTGTAGGGTGCTTCGGCTGTGGAGGCGTTAGTAGTGGGTGCGGCGCCTTGTTGGAAGCTGCTGGAGGTTATGGAGACGGAGGTTCGGGGGCTGGCTGTTGAGAGGGAGGATGTGCGGTCGCGGGTGGCCATGTCAGCAGTGATGTCGCCGTTGACCGTGGGTCTGGGAGTCGAGATTTCTTCTGCAGCCATATCGTCGGTCTCGTCGGTACCTAGGAGGTCGTCTGTGGATGGTGCGTCAGGTGCTGCCACCGGTTTGCCCTTGACCCCACAAGCATCTACAGGAAGTACAATCGTCTGCCGACTCTGTACAGTATCGTTCGGCCACATCCGGTTGGCCTTTCTGATCACATTCGCAGAACAGTTATACTTGATCGTGATGCCAGCCAACGTGTCATCCTTCTTGACGTGATGCACATAAACCAACGCAGCTCGATCATCGTTCTCAGCGGGCGGAGCAGACCTCGACTCCTGCTCATCCGACAGCCTCCGCTTGAACTTGCCCAGAGCATCCGCAGCATAAGAGCTCTCCTGCCGCGTGAGCATGTCCTTCCGCTTCTGTGCCCGAAGAGCGGCCTCTCTTGACTCCCGAGTGCCGGATCCGATGGCCGCTTGGGGGTTTGAGGCAGAAGTCGGACCCCAGGCAGTGTTACCACTGCTATCAGACGCAGTTCGTAGCTTGCTGCCCACCGGCTTCTTCTTCGCCTTTAAACTGCTATTGCCCGTACCTGTCAACTCATTCCCGAGGAAGTCAGAGGCCAGCCCTTGCAGTGTAGTCCAGCTACTGCCCCATATCCCAGCGAAGGAGTTTGGGCTCTCTGCTCTCCTCTGCCCTCCGCTTCCAGCATTGACTTGGGCTCGCCGGCCCCAGCTACTGTAGCCAGCATACCGCTCTCCACCATCGTCTCGTATCCGGCTGGAGCTCGTTCGCTGTGGGTATGGTGCTGGGATGGGAGAGGCGGACCTGCTTTCGAAGGGGGACGGTGATGGGGAGGCTATCCTTCGAGGTGGGGAGTCGAAGGAGTCGGGGGCGCTCTCGTCACCTTCGCTGAGTCCTGATATGAGTCTTTTCGCCCGGGGACGGAGAGTTGAGGAGGTGGTGAGGGCGGAGGCATTGTTGCTGTTGTTGCTCGACATTGGCGGACAGGCTGCGGTGCTGAGGTCGTGGAGGAGGCATCGGGTGGAGTTCAGGGAATGGGGTGGTTCATGGCGGATCTCCTTGTCGAGTCTAGCGATTCTATGCTCTCCTTGTGCTCAATATACCAGTTGTCGTGTACACGTCTGATTACCTATAATATCTGTCCTCGTCGCTGTCCACCCCCACTGTCATCCCGGTCCCTGCACCCCTGCCTCGTGGCTTCCGCTAGCGCCAGAAAGCTTACCGTCTATACCACAACCTCAACAACTACAACTACACCTCGAGCAGTCTGATACAGGACTGCATCGACCTTCCGCACGACTCTCCACACAATGGCCACACAAACAGACACAGCCCCTCATACCCCTCCCATCGCCCGCAACCTCCCCGACAGCATGACGACCGACCAACCCGACCCATCAGTCTACACCTGGTCCACCTTCTTCAGCATCATGACCGGGCACGCCTCCCCCACCGACCGCGCCCGCTACTTCCACCACCGCGACCTCCTCAACGAGAAACCCGACTGCGAGCGCGTCGACGCCGACAAACGCTGGCTCTTCAAGCACTCGCCTATCATCCGCTTCTTACAATCCGAGATCGCCCTCCTAACACCCCCCGTGGACCCCGCCACTTCACCTTCGCCAGCAAACCCGGGCGCTACTATCGACGAACACAACGTCCGCTGCCGCCGCTGCACCACCTCCCAAGGCGGCGGCTTCGACCCCCAATACGGCATCCTGATCTGCGCCAACCACATGCGCAACCGCGGGCACCTCGAAGACACGCTCGCGCACGAAATGGTGCACGCCTACGACCACATGCGCTTCGTGCTCGACCCGTTCGATCTGAAACACGCCGCGTGCATGGAGATACGCGCCTCGACTTTGTCCGGGGAATGTCGGTTTATGCGGGAGTTCTGGACGCGGGGGCAGTGGAAGATTACGGGGCAGTTGCAGGAGTGTGTACGGCGGAGGGCGGCTTTGTCTGTGGCGCAACGGCCGGCGTGTAGGGATGATGTGCAGGCGGCGAAGGTGGTTAATGAGGTCTGGGAGAGCTGTTTTAATGATACGAGGCCGTTTGATGAGATATATCGGTGAGACGAGAAGGATTCAGGACGAGCGATTCGGGAAAGCATTCATCACTGGATGCACTGAAGAAGCCGGAGCATGTGTGTTGCGGCTCAGCGACTGGCCGGTCGGAAGAAAGATTCGACTCATCGAGAGGCGGTTCGCCAGCCCTACGTCGACCGGTCTGCCAAAGGCGTTCTTGACAAGCGCACCCCCGCAGTACGCGGAACATCCACCACGGACAACGGAGGCAGCCGAGCTCCCAGAGCAGGGAGCATGTCCTTGCCAGAAGCGCCACAGCACGACGACGGGCACGCTCAGGAGGTACGCAGGAGGCCACGAGCAAAGAGACTCGTGTACGGGAGTCCTGCAAGCTACAAAGCCATCTTCACTCAAACCGTACGATATCTGCCGATATGGCTCAGAACAGGAGATCGATGGTTGCGAAGGGATATTCCGGAAGTAGAATGTACAACAAATCATTGCGACTAAAAGGCTCAGTTCTGAACAGTCATTTCATTCCACTGATGCTCAAAGCTCGTGCGGCTGTATCTCATACCCTCAGCCTCCCTACCCAAGAGACGCCAGATCATGCATTCCCACCCATCATCCAAGAAGAAACACAAATACGAAATTCATTCCATCGCCCCCTCCCTCCTCATACCCTCCTCCCTACTTCTCCCCCTCCTTCTTAGCACAATGCCTCAAAATCCACGGATGCACCTCGACCTCCTCCAGCGTTAACCGCTTCTCCGGATCCAACACCAACAACCTCTTAATCAAATCCCTCGCCTCACTACTCACGAAACTCGGCACCGTCATCTCACACCGCGCAATCCGGCGCTGCGTCATCACCATACTATCCTCGAACGGCGCTTCCCCGCAGAGAAACTCGTAGGTCAACACGCCCAAGCTCCACAAGTCCACTTTCTCGCTGTAGAAACTGTCCTCGCGGCTGGGCTTGATCATCTCCGGGGGAAGGTAGTCCAGCGTGCCGCACATGGTGTTCCGCCTGTTATTCGGCGCGTGCACCGACCAGCCGAAGTCGCTGATCTTGATCTCCCCGTGGATGCCGACGAGGATGTTCTCGGGCTTGATGTCGCGATGGATCACGTGTTTCTTGTGCAGGTACTTCAACGCCGACGCCATCTGCGCGATGTACTGCGCCGCGACGGGTTCGGAGAAGCGTTGCGCTTTGCGGAGGTGTTTGTACAGTTCGCCTTTGCCCGCGAACTCGAGGATGAGGAAGATGCGCTTGCTGTCGTGGAAGTGGCCGTAGAGGCGTAACAAGCCGGGATGAGCGAGGTTCGATTGGATTTCGATTTCGCGACGGACTTGCTTTTCCACTTTCCCTGCCGCGAGCTCGGATTTGTGCAGGACTTTCAGCGCGCAGACGAAGCCGGTCGCGCGCTCGCGGGCGAGGTAGACGCGGCCGAATTTGCCCTTTCCGAGGGGTTTGCCGATTTCGAAGAGGCCGAGGTGCCATTGTTTGGGCTTGGGTTTGGGTTCGGACGGGAGGTGGGCGATAGGGTCCGGGTCGGAGGGGCGGGAGTCGGAGGAGGGGCGTTGGGCGGCTTGGGAGGGGAGGGTGATTTTGGTGAGGGGAGTGGGACCTTTGGGTTGGCTGTTGGCGGGGAGTTTCTGGAGGGGGAGTTTGAGGCGGTTGGGTTGGGTTGTGGAGGTGTTTGAGGGGAGGTTGGTTAAGGAGATGGCGTGGGAGAGTGAGCCCTGGGTTGTGTTAGTATTGTGTGTGGTGGTTGGTAGAGGTGATGCCCACCTTCTGCTTGTGCTGAGCAGCGACGGCAGTGTTGACGTCGAGGTTCTCATCCTGCACGCTGATGCCCTCGAAGCGCTGCTCAAGGTTCTGGATGTCGGCCATGGTGGATGCTCGCAATGAATGTGTTAGCGAGAGTGGGACAGCGTGGACAATGGTCGGCAGTCTCAAGGTTGAAGTTCAGGCGAAGGCGAAGGCGGGCTGTCAACAGTCGTTGCTACGTCGTTGCTACCTGGCTGTCATTGGCTGGATTTCAAGAGGCGCTAGCTGATGCTCGGCTTGGCGGCCTTTTGGCGGTGCTGTTGCCGCTCACAGCAGCATGAGAGCTCTTGGGCTTTTGGAGAAGAGGCAGACCCGTGGACGGGAGGGATTCTCAAGTCGATCGAACCAAATTTCCTCGCGCTGGCCGACCCGCCTCTTCTCCGTCCTCGAAGCCAAGGCATCCTCAAGCTCTACAGCGGCGCCTGGTCTTTCACTCGAGCGGAGAACGTGAACAGCCAGCCCAGCTATTGGTGAGGACAACATCCACTCAACGCTGTCACATGCACATAACCCCCCACCACTCCCCTCCCTCTCTACCATGGCCACCAACGGCGACCCCTCACCAACCGCCGGGGACCCCTCCCCCACCGCCGGCCTCCAAACCCACACCACCCCGAACAAAACCTGGCGCCTCACCACGCGCAAACTTCCCATCCTCCGCGCCGGCCCCATCGAAGCCCTGCACTCCCGCCTCACCATCCCCGTTCCCGAAATGATCTTCGGCGACAACTACATCCAGCTCACCCACCTGCCCACCTCCTTCTCGCTCGCCTTCAACGCCCCGGACGCCCTGGATCGCGTGAGCAAGACGGAGGAGGGGATGCTGCAGGTCGCTGTTGCGGATGAGTGGAAGAAGGATCGAAAGGGGCAGATTGAGGATGGGGTGGAGGGGGTGGTGAAGAAATATGATTGGAGCTATAGCACTGACTACCGCGGGACGACGAGCGGTGGGAAGGGGGAGGAGGGGTGGAGGGAGAGTACCGCCGACCACGACCCCATACGGACGGATCTGCTGAGCAAGCCAGATCCGATTCTGTTCTTCGACTCGGTAGATCTCTACGAAGACGAACTCGCCGACAACGGCATCGCGCTGCTCTCGGTCAAAGTGCGCGTGATGCCCGAACGCCTACTCCTCCTCTCCCGCTTTTTCCTGCGGTTAGATGGAGTGGTGGTAAGGATACGGGATACGAGGGTGTATCTTGAATACGCTACTGGGAAAGTGGTGAGGCAGTACACGGCAAAGGAGGAGGAGTACGAGGTACTGCGGGAGAAGCTGGGAGGCAGGAGAGAGGGCGTGACGGAGCAGTTGCGGGACGCGAATGTGCTCGCGCCGCTTTTGAGGACGGTGGAGGAGAAGACGGATGTTTATGAAGTGGGGTGAGAGGTGAGAAGGAGGAAGGATGCATCGCGATGCCAGAACCATCTTGCTACGGAAACACTCCAAAAATGCTCAGAAGTCGCAGCTGCGACGGAGAAACGAGAAGGGCTGGTCGACGGTTCCAGTGGCTTGCTAGAGGCCACAACAGCAGCAGCACGACGAGAGGCCCGCAGACGAGCGGCGATAAGAGGCGTGGAAGGGGCGGGGGAGAGGTAGCAGGCAGCGCATGGCCCCAAGTCACTGCGTCGTTCGCGGATGGCAAGCGTCGGTAATCACGAGGAACCTAACGACGCAAAGAGAGTATGACAGAGTAATCGTTAGAGAGACAGCCAAAGCGCGAGCCCCAGCCTCTCATTCCTCTCCTAAAACTGTCTACACCCCCATCCCTCTTTTTGTTTCTATCCCCTCACCAATCCACAGAGCCCGTCGAGCATCGCGAGCGTGCGAGCGTCGATCGTAGAACCTCAAGCCTCGAGCGAAAAAAGAGATAGCAAAACACCTCCGACCCATTCATACCAGCGCATAAACACGTAAAAGCCACCCATCAGTCCCAAAAACCACGCAGCCGTCCGTCATGCATAGCAAGCAACCTCGTACCCTATCCAAAACCCCAAGCTCAAGCAAAAGCTCGAGCAGACATAGCAATCCTCCCATCGTCCCGATCTAGAAAATGTGTGCTTTTTGAAGAGAAAAAGAAAAGACGGAAACGCCGCCGCCGTCCGTACGTTGCTTTTGGGAAAGCGGCGTGGAGCCGGCAGGCAGAAGACTCCTATTCGTTCGTCCCAGTTCGTCGTCGTATGTGTGTGTATGGATTTTGTTGTGATTCCCGGAAAACGCCGAATTGTTGTTCCTCTCTATACCTCTATGTTCGTTATTGTTGCGTGTGTGTTTCTCGTAGTCGAATGAGCAATCGCAGCCGCCGTAGGAATGGAAAAGCGGTGATCGTAGTCTGGCAGCCGTACAATGCATTGACGGTTCAGCCTCACGACAAGCCCGGATCGATGTTCTCGTCCACATCCCTTTGCTAAAAGGAGTGCGTCTGAACACTCGCGACCGGGCTGTCGATCTGGCTGTTGTACGGTTTGAAGAGCAATTTCACTGTCACATCATCAGCAAACGTCCACAAAGTCGCAAAAGAGGTGGTGATGAACTCACTATCAAGCGTCAAATCATCCACCCCATACATCTCGTCAATGTCCCCCACACTCCCGATATCCTGCCCTTTGCTCTCGTTGTCGCCCACCACCATGCTCTTGATGCGCTTCAAGTACGACATGACCTGCTTGAAGCGCACGTCCGGCGGCGCCGTCCAGTCCGTCGCGCGGTGCGTCTGCAGGAAGCTGCGGCCGAGGTAGAAGAAGTGCACGCCGTCGCGGCTGAAGCCGAAGCGCCGGAGTTGCGCGGACGAGGGCGGGTATTGCAGGTCCATGTCGCTGTCCCAGGTGCGCTTCCAGCGGGCAAGGGCGAAGTCGAGCCGTTTCTTTTCCTGCTGGGCGGCGGTGGTGGAGGTGAGGCCGTCGGTGGGGGTGACGTGGCCGCTGCTGGTGGCGCTGCCGCTGCGTTGTTCGAGCCAGTCGTTTTGGGAGAGGGGAGTGGCGGGTGTGCTGCCGCTCATGTTGAAGCCTTGAAAGGCGTTCTCCTGCTGCAGTAGGACTGTCTTCTGGCACGCGATGATCCGAACAATCAGAGCGTGAATGAGCACAAACTTCGAATAAGCGTTCGTTGCACTGGGCTGGAAGTTGACGCTGGGATCCATGAGTGTGCGCATCGCTTCGCGCATGCCAGGCTGTCGAGGACGCCGCGTACCAGATTGATTCTTGATCTGCGCCTGTGGACCGTACAAGCCGAGCGCGCTAGCACAAGACTCCGGATCTTTCGCATCCCAAGCAGCGTCATCTGCAGGCAAGCTCAGGCGTATCTCGAACGCGTCCAGCTGCGGTACGTTGTTGAAATACATCACCGACGCTGCATCTGACAGGAACAACATGTAGAGCGCGCGGTTGCGTCTTTCCTGCTCCAGCCATCCGTGCCATCGCCAGCTGCCGACATCAACCTGCGCGTTCGCGTGGTGCTGGCCAAAATGCAACACACTGTAGGCGTAGTGACCAGGGGGCGTCGCGTAGCAAAGACCCATCGCTCTGGCTGTTCGTACGACAGCTGGCAACTCATTCCGTGCGGTCTGGCGCTGATGCGGCTCGCCATGCCAAGTCATCATCACTTGAAGAATGATCAATGCCTGCATCTCGTCCGTTTCCCACGAGCTGCTGCCCAGTCCAGCAATTTGTCCGGTCATCGTGCGATTGTAGACTGTACAGTTGGTCATGATGGTGGAATGTACAAAATCCATCATTTGTCGCGTTTTGGCCACACTCATCTTCGGGCTGTAAATCGCTCCAATGCAGATGATTGCCAGGACAAGTCCGTCGTTGGCATCCGTGATCTTGAAAGTTGGCATGTGCAGAATCGGCCAGTGTCCGTGGAATGAAGTGTAATGCTCCGCAAAATGCTTGACGTTATCCAGTGTCAGACACTCCCTGACAAGATGCGCAGTCTGCTCGCCCTGTGCAGCCTCAATCCCCTGCGGGAAGCAATATTGTATCAAGCTGTCGACCTTGCTCTGCAGAGGATCGTCTGGACTCCAGTTCGGGAATCCAAGTATGCCGTGATCGTTTTCCCCGTACTCGCTCCCAAAGGCATTCGGATGCGAGTACAGGCTACCTAAAAAAGACTGGCTGCTCATGTCGTCGTGCATCGTGAAGTTGGGCTTGGTCTCATTTTCGGTCTTGACGTGTATTTGTTGCGAGCTCGTGTTCGCAGGCTGGCTCCCGATAAAGCCATCCTGGCCGGTTGAGTTGAACATGCGGTTCCATTCGGGCATACCGCTGCCATCACCATTCTGGTGAGGGCTGTTCTCATGGCTGTTGCCGAAGCGCGAGCTCTGATGGCCTAAAAAAGGCATCTGAGACTGGGTGTTGAAGACGTTTCCACTCATCTGAGGATTGTTGAAAGCATAGTTGTTGTGCATGGTACTGGCGCCGCTCGAGTTGGGCGTGGAGTAGGCTGTCATGCCGGGTTGGTACGCTGCCGAGCTTCCCATCGGATCGCTCTGCCCGGCGTTCGATCCCAGTATTCCGAGACCGGCGATGCTGCCGCGGTGGCTCATTTGCGCAGGCGAGATGATGCTGTTGGCGCGTGACGACCGGCCCGAGACGTCTCCGTTCACTGTAGGGCTGGCCGTCATGCCGTCGGTGTAGTTGTTTCCAGAGACTTCCTGCAGACCGGCCAAACCAATGGGACCATCTTGCTGGCCCATAGATAGCCGGTTAGTGCCGTTGGTATTGCGACGCTGATGCGCAAGGTGGTTCGCTCCGGTGGGATTGCCTCGCCGTATCGAGCACTTTTGGAAGTGGCGCTTCAAGATGTCACTGCGAGAGAAGGTGTCTTTGCACAAGTGGCACATGTAAGGTCGATCGCCGGTGTCTGCAACGCGTTAGTACAAGCTTCAGAAACATACACAGCATAACCCTTACGCCTCAAGAGATGTCTCTTCAAATGCTTCGCATGAAGGTATGTCTTGTTGCAGTGTGGACACGGAAACTTTCCATCCGCGTCCTTCTGTGGAATCAAGCTCTTTGTGTTCTGTTGAGTACCCTGCGCCGGCGGGTTCGGCCGTCCAGGCGCACTGGGCAGGATGCCTCTCCTACCTTGCGAGCCGACCACATGTGTAGGTGTCTCCTCGTTCTGCATGAATGATGGCTGCTGGCCGAGCTGGCCGCCGGTGGACAGACTTGGCAAGCCGGTCATCCCACCTGGAGGCATAGGGCGGAGGTTCGGGAGGCCAACGGATGCGCTGGTGGGTGGCATAGAGGTGGCTGAGGATGATTGGTACTGCATGGACTGCGAGCTGTAGGCCTGGTGGTAGCTCGAGGGTGGAAGCATGGAGCCTTGGTGTGGGTTGGTAGACATGTGCTGGTATGCATTGCTGTTGCTGCCGTTCATCGACCCTGACACGGGTGTGTGCGGCGTCGTTGGGGTCTGCGACTGGCTGCCAGCATGGCCGAAGCCCATCCCGCCGTACTGATAGCCTCCATTCTGACTCTGTAAAGGTGGGAGGGTAGCATGGCTGGGCGACTCCTGCTGGTGATGCTGCGGTGGCAGGCCGCCGAAAGAACCCAGAGGCTGTTGCTGTTGGTTCCCCGGATTGTACGGCGCAATGTATGAATTAGGGTTGTACTGGTTGTCCATGCTGGGTGGATCGTATGTATAAGGATAGCGAGGAAGAAGTGGAGATGGTGCGGGCAGTCACTGGGGCGGGCGGATTACTGCAGCGAGTCCGCATGGGTCCACGTCCACGAGCTGGGGGAAGAAGTGGTACAGCGAACGGATGAAGCAAAGCTTCAAAAAGACAACCGCAGGCTGGGAGGGCTCCACACACTCCGAACCCCCAAAATAATGCGCTTGAAGAATGGGAAGTCGCGAAGGATGGATGGAGAAGGGCGGCGCCGCGGGCAGTGGTGTCGAAGTGAATTTTCCAGAGGTTGGACCTTTCCGTTGAGCGTTGGTGATGTAATCAGCTCTGCCAATTGGCCGAGGGGGAGTGCCACCAGCGTCCGGCGAGATGGGGGTTACGCCGGGTCTACTCACGGCGACACTGTCCTGGCCGGGAGGGGGAGTGAATGGCTCGCGCGGCGATGAGGGTGGTGTTGTCGTGAGGTCTGGGTAACCTCGATCTGCAAGTGGATCTCAGCCTCTTCCTGGCTCGCCTGGCTGCCGGAGTGGGCCAGGCACGCAACGCAGAGCGCTACTACCGCCACCAAGCAGGAGGGGTAGAGGTGCTAGGGCTGGACGGGCGCTGTCTGCTGCGCGACACAATAGTGGGTCAGTTCTGGATCCGAGCTGGGCCTGCCCTCGCGATATGGAGCAGAGGTGCAGCAGAGGGAGGGGGGAGAGTGGAAGAAATCAGCCAGACGTGGGAGAAGATTGGAAAGCAAGCAGGCCGGAGTGCTAGGGCTTTGGTCGGAGGCAAGACGCGCGCGCTAGCCTCGAGTTGTGAATGCACCCAGCGTCATCAGCGAGGGAAACTCTATTTTGTCTGTGCAGACTTTTGCGCCGACCACGGGATGCGGATGATGACTACGCCGACCTGCCTTCGACGAGGGTGCATGACTCTGCAGTGGTCTGCCATGGCTGTCTCCATCACCACAACTACAACCCTTCGGGTGCTATACAGCTAGGTGAGCACGGTAGGTGGACACGGCATCACTTCTCGCGCGCAGCTTGCCGCTACGCCGAGAGGCACGGCTTGCCTCCGAAACACGGATATATCGCTCTTCGCTCGCTTTCCAGCGCTTATGATGCCCGTGGATGACCTTTGCACCGAACATCAACCGATCCTCACGATCTCGCAAATCCGGTAGCTGCTCGCAATGCTGCCACCGCCGTACTAATGAATGGCTGCCGTGCCTGTTGTGACACCTCGACCGGCCCCAGGCTGGAGAGCTGGAAACTCTTTCATCGGAGGCCGCTCCTTCAACCCATGATCCCCCCTTGCTTTCGCGGTCTCGATGCTTCGTCCGCTCTTCTTAACATCTGCTCGAAAAGCCAGACACACGTGACTGCACCGTCAATTCCAACTCATCACACCTCCAACATGTTCCGGCCATCCGCTGCACCACCTACGCAGGTCAAACCGTGCATCTTCACGGCTTTTCCTGCTGCAAAGATGGCGCGCCTAAGCGCAAGCCACATCGGACTCCACGACTCCGGTCGTCAAACACACACTTGCCGGTAGATCTCTGGTCCGAGCATTTTGTTGTGCTTCGTCTTGGCAGGAACACAATGTCTATTGTGCGGTTGTGCGACTGATCGTGACGACCTGGAAACAGACCGCCATCTCCTACGACTCTTGTGGAACTCAAGTGTCAAGAGTCGGTGCAACGGTCGTCAAAGAGCGAGTGCAAGGGCTGGACAGTCTGGCCTGATCACGGAATTGCGATAACGGCAAGCCGATGCGAAGACGACGCACTTGCCTGCCACGGAATGGCGCCGGAGCGAACCACGTCCACAACCCGATGCTACCCCGACTGAACTGAATCGTGGGAATACCACGGAATCAATCCGTTGGACTATTCATCCATTCATCCAGCTCTCACGATGAATGAGCTGGTGCTATGTACTTGGATCTGTCCAATATCAAGCGACTGTTCAGCGCGAAGGCCGGGCAAGGCGGATGGACGCAACTGCCAGCAGAACCTGGAAGACGTGTAGGCTAGGCGCCTGATCTGACACTATACCAGGGTTACGCGGCCTCTGATTGTTATTAAACCCCTCAGAGCTCTGTACGACGGGCGTCCCAGCGCCTCTGGACGTACGCAGGCCGCTCAACGCCGGCTATCGAAGAGGGACACAGTGCTTTCCTTATGCTGTAGGGCAGTGGCGCAAAGGTGAGATGCAGTGCAGTATGAACAGTTTCATTTTCCATCTCTCTCAAAACTTCTCAAATCCACCAAACAGACCCCTCAAGACTTCTGCGACCACCCAACCGAACTCTCCACCCCCTGCTCCGTCTCCTGCGTCCCCCTCAAACTCACGCTCAACTCCGGCTTCTTCGCAATCGTCTGCAGCACCACACAATACCTCTCCGTCAACTTGCCCAACTTCTCAATCTTCTCCTCCCCCACCTCCGCCCCCTCCTCCAGCTGCAATTCAAACCCCAGCCGGATCTTCGTGAAACCCACCGGCGCTTCCTTATCAATCCCCATTGTCCCTTTAAAATCCAGATCCCCCTCCGCAGACACCGTCCCGCTCTTAATCGGGATCCCCATCGCCGTGCTCACAGCTTTCAGCGTCACGCCCGCGCACGCGACGAGCGCTTCGAGCAGCATGTCCCCGCTGCACAGCTCCCCGGAGATGTCCGGGTCGTCGCCGCCGGCTTTCTGGTGCAGGCCGGCGACTTTTTTCGCGTCGGAGATGGCTTTGCCTGTGTCGAGGGAGCAGGTGATGGAGCTGGCGTCGAGGGTGCCCGAGGAGGTTAGCGTGACTACTGCCGAGGAGGGGTCGCTGCGGTAGGAGTCTTTGAGGGGGGCTTGTTTGCTGCGGAGGGCGGCGGCGGCCATGGTCGCGGTGGGAGGGGGTTGGTGGGTGGTCGAAAGAGTTCTGCTATTTGTTGCTCGAACGTGGTGTCTTCGGCTGACTTAGTGACACTCTACGCAGTTTCTACGCAGTTGTGCAGAAGTGCTAGGTATGTATCTTGAAGGAACGGTCAGGTAGATCGGAAGCACGACTGCGTTGGTATTCTGGCAACTCAGTTTGGAGAGCAGTCTCGGATGCGATATTCGATGCGGATTTCTTCTTTTACTTCCACCGAACGCATTGAAAGCACGACATGTATGGGTTGCCCCACCTACCCCTCGTTCCCTTCTGCCGGGGCGAAGCTGTCCAGAACTGTACCTGCATATCCACAATACCGCGGGGTCGACCAAATACTTGTCGAGCGTAGACTTGAGAAAGCAAGCAGGATATGGCCTATGGGCTTGCGAGCTGGTAGTGTCGATGAGCGCTGCTAGTTGTGTCTGCGCGCTTCTTTATGAACGTGTTTTGGAAGGGTTCACCAAACCTTACCATCGCTCAGGTCGCGCGCCACACGATCCAACGATGGAATGGTTGTAGATATACGAGTTGAGGGTCGGCCATCGTCCAGACCGCCCGGTATCCTCCAGTCGTCCGGCAGAGTAAGACTGTGCTGATGTCGAAACTTCTTGTGTCCCAAGCGATATGTGCCAATGGTAGATAGGCAGTCGTCTCCAAACATTGTCCAGCATCATGGCCGGAGTGGAATGTACACGGTCACACATCAAGACACCCATTGATCGTTCGAATACTACCCGATGTCCCTCTCGGCCTCGTAAGTTCTCTCCTTATCACCTCTGCATCCGGTTTGCTGTCGTCCATACAGCCAAAGGCTGACTCGCAGTGGCCGAACTTGACGGCCTCGAGTCCGCTTAGCTCAAGCAGACCGGACATCCCGTCAACACACCACAGCGGCGACCTAGGCAGCAAGATCTTCGGCCGCGGGAGTCTGATCGTCAGCACCCGCAGCTGCTCGCAGGAGGCCAGTAGAGCGAATGCCATGGCGTCTTCTCGACTGCCGCAATGCACATCGACGAGATGCACAAGCTGTCGACCTCGCTTCCCGATGCTGCGGAGGAAGAGGTACATGGTCTTCGATGACGCGAATTGGAAAGTCGAGTGAGAATAGAGTAGATCTGAAGCCTCGTCGTTGATGGCTCGACAGGTGCGCAGGATGTTATGCTTCGTCGTATCCCGTGGACCTGTTTTCTCGTAGCCAGCACGTGTAATAACGCGGGAAGAGTCGCGATTCAGTGGCAAAACCTCCGTCACCTCATCCAGCTTCGGTAGAATCTGAGCATAGATCTCCAGCCGTAGTTCCGTCGGTAGACTAAACAACGAACTCGTCTGCGGCAACCGCTGGCTCGCCTCTCTCGCGGGTTTACCAGAAGCCATCTCCTCGAACTTACTCACCAGACTCCCAAGCTGCGACGCATACAACCCCGCCAGCAACGCCTGCGGCTCCAGCGGAATCCGCACTTGCAATCTCTCACAGTGCGCCGTGTGGAATCTAAACCCGCGGAAATGCTGCATGTAGTCCTGGGTGCCATTGTCGCCGAAGGCCCGCGTGCTGAGTTCTTTCCGCACGAACTGGGAGCAGGAGATGCAGCGGGAGCCTGGTTCGAGGGATTCCAGCGGTGGGCGGTCTGAGACGTGGCCGATGGCTGCAAGTTGGCGGGCAGTTGTGAGGCAGTCGTCCCAGTGGTCGGAGAAGGTGGTGAGGCGCTCCGGGTAGGAGAGGGTGGTGATGGGGGTCATTGTTCCTGATGTCCTTCGGGTGTGGTTTGGTTTTGGTTGTTGAAGTAGGAAAAAGGAAAGCGGAGGATGGAAGAACAGTGGTGCCTTGCTCTAGCTAGAATACGAGATGTTGTTGCTGGCCAAAGCGTCAGGGTCGATGTCGACTTCAGCTGCTCCTGTCCGCGCTCTTTACGACAATCGACATCTTTCATCAACACATGAGCGAACAGCGATTGCAGACTGTGCCCGTGTCAAGGCGGATTACTGGATTGAGAAGGCGTGAAGCCTTGGTTTGGCCGAATTAAGGAGAAGTCTACCGGACGCCTTGAGGCTATCTGAACACAAAACCACACTTGAACGCGGACTCAAAGGCCATCATATCGAGCCGCGCCCGCTATCTCTGTACTGCCCTCTCCCACCAGTACAGCGGCACCACCCGCTCCCAATCCAGATCGAGCTCATCATCAGTGACCTGCGGCCACGCCTGTCTTGTCGACCACTTCCACCGACAGCAATGCCAAACGGCCTCATAGCCGGGATATATGGCCTCGCAGCAAATGTTCTCTTCTCTGTCAGCGACACGTTGGCCTGAGTCTTGCGGTCATGTCACAGCAAACATGAAGCAGGCAGGGCCTCAAGTTATCAATGTCTCAACACACTTTGTGGAAGCAACTCGATATATGCTGCTCATTTGGCTCGATAGCAAGTCTGAAAGGGTTGTATGAATGCACATGCTTTCTCTATCAAACTCCTGCTAACAACAGAACAGCTGAAGCTGCACTATGAACTGCTTTTCCGACACTGTCGGCCCACGACGAGGCACACCCAGGTCTGCCGGCCCTTCGCAGTCCCAGGCAAGCGTTCTGCACATATATACGCAACAATTACCGGTCGGCCCTCCTTCCTGCCTGTACATTCGCTGCTTTGAGCTCCGTGATCGCTTTCTTCCCCTTCTTGCCCTTCTTGATCGTCACCTTCCATTCCGTTACTTCCTCGCCCTCCTCAGCGTTATGCTTCTCTATTGCCACTTGCCTCATGCGAATCACTTCTGCCATGGAGACGACGATGCTTTCCTTTCTCGCCTTTTCCTCATTCTGCAGCCTCTTCCTCTCCTCCGGACCGAGCGCTGGCAAGCCGAAGAGTCCGACATCCAGACCCCAGTCCTGAGCAGCACACTCCATCTCCACGGGCTCAGTATACCAGCCCGCGTGAGCTTGATTGGCAGACATGCAACGCTGTTCTTTCAACAGTTTCGAGATGTATTCAACCGTTCGAGACGAATGTCCGCCGGCATGTCCGCCGTCAGCCCACACAGCGTCCGAGATGACCTTTTCATCGCTACCTTGCCAACACAGCAAGCACGAGCCCTTGCGCAGCTTGAGTCCGTCTCCGTATCGATGCTCTTCGGGTTTCCGGCATTGCCCTAGGACGCAATCTCTTGCAACGCGCACCCAAATCATCGGTTGCGAGAGCTCCTTTCGACCCATCTTGACAGGTTCCAGGACAACGATCCGGAAGTACCGCAGCTGCGATAGCGTTAGGAGGAAGTCAGGGTTGGCGACGATTGCTTCCGGGCCCATCTCCAACTCTTTCAAGTTGTGCAGGCGTGAGATGATGGTCCGCGCTCGTCGACGTTGCTCCCCGAATTCGAATGCTTCTATGTCGTTGGGATCCAGCGCCGACAATCTCTGAATCTTGTCCAGAGTGGACTGTGGCAAGGATCCCAGCGTATCCAAGAGCGACATGCTGTTCTCAAAACAAAACATGTTCTGCTTCCAGAATATCGGGTCTGCCTCGTTATATATCTGCCGGCAGGTGCGGAGTAACGCCAGGCCTGGTCTTCCCTGGCAGAGATGCTTGCAGACTCGCTTCCCTTGTGGCGTTGGACAGTCGCACTCGGAGGGGCTGCAGTAACGTTTGTGGAGATACTTCGAGCGCACGCTGCTTGATTCGTAGCACTCAAATACTGGCCTTTGAGAACCTTTGGTCTGGCTGGGGATGGGGCCGCGAGGGTCATGCCGGCGATACCAGAGGTCGGGTTCGACAACAGCGAGCTCCCAGATCTTGTCTCGCAGCTCCTGGGGGATGGTGAGGAGGCTCGCGCGGGGCTCGCTGGGATCGTGTCCCAGTGAGTCCAGCCGGAAGATGTGGAAGTCCATGGGCACACGCTCTTCGCATGTGTACGGAGGCACTGGTTTGAGAGCTGCGGTGATGCGGAGCGTCATAGGGCGCTTGCCGTCGGCTTGCGGTGCCACGCTCCGAGCTATGAGCTGCGCTGACATCGTGGTGCAAGTTGTGAGTTGTCGTCAGAGGAGTCGTTCCAGAGGAGGGGTTGGAAAAAGTTTGAGACGAGCTGTTGAGGTGCGGAAATGAAGTACTGCCTGGAGAATATATCGAAGGTGAGTTATCTGAGGTGGTCAAGAAGAGGGCTACGAGCACCTTTTATATTTATGCTGGTTGCATGCATGGCTCCTTGCTGACGCGAAATCCCAGTTCTGTGGTTCGGTTTGAACTTAGATGAAGTCGAGCAACGAACCTACATGAATTCGAGCAACGCTTCTGGTGGTTCGGGGTGGTAAGCAGAATCAGAGGCCTTGGGAAAGCAGGGAAACGAATATGGTACGACTATCTTGGAAGCATTGAATGATGGATTAGTGAGGTGAAAGGTGCGTGCGACTACTCTTAGTTGATTCTACTCAACCGCTGCCATTCCTTCCTCCCTTCGCCTCAGCACGTACTCTCTTTCGCTCGCTCTTCTTCGATACGCTCAGATCAGCCGCTGACTTCAATGCCTTCTTTCTCGCCTCCTTGCTCTGATCTTTGTCGTCCACCTTCTCCTGCTTAGCCGTCTCATGCCTTCTGCACTGCCGCTCAATCAAAACTACAGTCCGATCTATCTCCTCCTTCCCAGTAGTGACGTCCTTGAATTTCTTCTGTCTCATCGATCGTTCCGACCTCTCCTTCGCTGATAGATGACCCTCTAACTCATCGAAATCGACAGGAACAGACTCTTGGGCACGAACTCGCCTTGCATTCGACAGAACTAGGGGGCTCAAGTCTTGGAGCTCGCGTTTTTTCGCAGCCCGCAGTGGCTTCCTGGCTGTTGCACTGAGGACCGGCAGTCCGTGCAGAGTGATCTCCATGCCTGTTTGCCGAGCCAGCTTCTCAACGACACCGTCTCGCACTCCATGTGCCGGTAATGGAAGCTCGCGGTAAGCCGACATGAGCCGCCGCTGGACGGTGTTCCGAATCACTTCCGGAACCTCGACGGAACCTGCTCTCATCCCGGTGGCCCATGAATGGTTCCAAGCATCCTCACCTGTTCCCCAACAGAAGAAGCAGGAATTTTTGCCAAGCTGCGGCCCAACCAGCGATTGGTGTGCGGCCGCCTGACGACAGGGCCCTGGGATAAGATCTTTCTCTACCCTTATCCAAATTGTGCCGATAGAATTTTCTTCTTCCCTTCTTTCGTGGCCGAGAATCTCCGGGAGAAGGCTCGTGGCTCGCACCTTGCGCAAGTGTTTGAGCCCGCTCAGATACTCCAGACTCCGATCTCTGAGCCATTCCGGCGGCAACTCGACTTCGACCAGATTCTTCAAACGAGGAACAAGATCCCGCGACCACCCGCTAAGGAAGATGAGCTCGTACGAATCCCGCGTCCAGTCTACGACTTCGAGGACTGATAGCCGCTGGATCTTCTGGATAGTGTCGGCCGGCAAGTGGCTAAGGGTGTCGCGGAATTGAGCCCCACGTGAAAAACAGAACATGTTCTCCTTCCAGAACAAGGGGCTCGCTTCTTCATAGATCTAACGACAAGTGCGTAGTAGCGCCATCCCAGGTCTGCCCCGGCAGAGCTTTTCACACACTTCAATCTTCTTGAGATCCACGCAATCGCAGGTCTCATCGCACCAGATTTGAGGCCAATCATGCTGATCTTGGTATAGCATTGATTCGTTGCAGTACAGAGGCAGGCGTTCCGATTGCTTTCCCCAGTTGCGCACTGGGCAGGCCACCTTATGTCGACGGTACCAGAGCGGAGGCTCGACAAGAGTGTGGTAGTATATCTCGTCTCGGAGCTCGCGCGGAAGGGTGAGGAGACTTCTGTTGACGATGCGAAGTGCAAGGCGTGCTTTGCGCTGCTGTGGGATTGCGTTGCTGGTGGCGTTCCCTGATGCCGTGATTATGGATGCTGATCGAGAATGCTTCAGTGTTGGATGGATGTGTGGACGATGCAGTCTTGTGTAAACGAGAGTGATCGAAGCGTTCTACGACTGGGGGACATCTACTTTATATGTTCGGACCCTCCTTTGCAACTGGAGAGTTTGGATAATCTGTGGTACTGCTGAACCTTAATGAAAGCGCAGTAATTGACAATAATCGTGAAGGTAAGCAGAACTAAGTAGGACACACTTGAGGCAGGAAAACAATTCAACGATTCGAAGAGGGACATGAAAGGTTAGAGAGATGTAGTGGTTTCTATGTGAGAACGTTTGCCATTCAAGTCCCAGTTGCTTCGTTAACTACTGCCTGGCACCTTCACTCTCCTCCTCTCGTGCTTCTTCGACTCAGCCAGCGCTTTCGCCGACTTGTTAGATCTTTTGGTCGCTTTTTTGGCTGCCTTCTTCTGGTCCATCCTCTGCTGGTTATCGATCGCATCTCTCCTGCCTTGCCTCTCCCGAAACAATTCCTTCGAGTCTCGCTCCAGGCCATCCTCTCTGCTGCGGCTCACTTTGCCTGCACCGATTTTGTGAAATCGCTTCACCGGTACAACGATCTCAACCTCCTCAATGTCGACTACGAGCGCTTCCTGTGCCCGAACTCTGTTCGCATTCGAACATTCCGATCTGATCTTTCAGATGCGTTTGCGCGCCCATTCCTTCGCCAATGCGAGCCTCTCCTCTGGGCTATGGACCGGCAAGCCAAGAAAGCCGACCTGAAGCCTTCTTTCACGAGCTATATCCATATCGACCGGGTGCGGATCTAGCCCTGCATATCCAGGGCCAGGTGAATCGATGAATTGCTCCCTCAGCCGCTCTGAAATGTCCGAGACAAGGGCTGGTACGTTGCCAAACCAAGGCGACTCCCACATATTACACCACCTAAGCCATTTCACGCTTCCCACCCAGTTGCTGAAACATTTGAACTCATCTGCGGGGAGGTTCGGTAGGATATGTGTTCGTGGGAACAAACACAAAAGGAGGATGGCACGCCCTTCACCACTCGAATCCAAGTCTTGGTTCCGCGTGCTCCTGGCTCCTCTGAAAGCGTAATAAACGAATGCAATATGACGCCTCGTAGGACTCGCAGCCGGGATAACGGCTCGAGGTATGCAATCCCTTCAGGGATGTCTGTAGTCCACCAGGGCGGGAGCTCGAGTTCCACCAGGCCTACAAGACGTTGGAGGTACTCGCGGGCCTTCGCCCGCAGCACGTGGAAGGATGTTGAGAGCATAAGAGAAGGCTTCCTGTCAATCACCGAAATGCGCTTGACTTTTTCTAGTATCTCCCTCGACAGGCCGGTAAGCGCATTAGTGAATTGCTCCTGGCCCTGAAAGCAGAACATATTGCGATTCCAGAATATTGGATCCGCTTCCATGTAGATTACCCGGCAGGTACGCAGCAGACTCCTCCCGGGCCGACCTCGACACAGTTTCTTGCATACCGCAATGTCCTTGCAGCAGTTGTCTCCGAGCTTGCATTCCCGAATGTCGTCGTTGTCGTCGTCGACACTCCTGTAACTACGGCATACGGGGGCACGGCCGTAATCGGACTCCTCGTGTTCTTCGCGCTCGAAGACAGGTTCTTGGGATGGGCGAAAATTATAGCCATGTGGAAACTGGAAACCGCAGCCAGACTTGTGACGTCGGTGCCAGAGGGTGGGCTCGACAAGTGTGTACTTGTAGATCTCATCGCGCAGTTCGCGCGGAAGGCTGAAGAAGTTTGTGCGAGGTTTGCGTGGCACGATGTGCAGAATTTGGCGTGCTTTCGGTATGGTCTCGGATGCGATGATTTCGTGCGGTGAAGCCATGATTTCGTAAGGCTGTAGTTTAAGCCTTGGTCGATGTGGGAAGATCGAAGCGTCGTTGGTGTTGCTGTTCAGGTTTGGGAGAAAGCTGTTTGGTTTAAAAATCGCAACACTGGGTGCCACTCGTAGATATACTTTTTGGCGATGTTCGCACAGCTGACTCACAGGAAGCCATTCTGTGGTACTGTTGAACTCTCTTGGGCCAAACGATCCTGATTGTCGGGAATGGTGAGCAGAACCTGCGAACTTTGGCTTCGCCTGTGTGTTCTGTCCAGAACTCCGCTTACCTTGTGAGGAAAAGAGAAACGTTGAGGCTCGATGGACGTCAAAGATACTAAGAAGTTGCATCAGCCAGGAAAGACGTAGGAACATAATGCCATTTCAAGACGTCAGTGTTTCATTTCGGCGTGTGCAGTACTCTACCTCTCTCCTCACCCGTCTGTCTATCCCCAGTACGTCGCCCACTTGCTCGCGCCCTTCACCACATCAATAAAGTTCATCGCAATCACACGTTCCGTCTGCTCAGAAGGATGCAGCTCATCATACCACAAGAAGCTATCCGGGCTGTCGTTCGCCACGCAGTCGCCGCCAGTGGTGTTGCAGTGGTTCACGTATCCGTCGACGTTCAACGGAGCGGTGCCGTTGAGGTAGTCGGATGGGTTGTTGTAGATATCCAACATCTGATGCGGACGTCAGTCAGCACGAGTGGCCATCAAACGGACAACTAGCGTGGCCGGAGAAGCTGGAGGTAAAGCTACTCACCAAACCATGAACATCATACACAGCAAACTTGGCCCCGGGATATCTGTTCTTCAGCTCAACGGCAAAAGGCGTCCGGTAGTCAAAGATGGCATTCACGGTCGCCACTTCCTCAATCATGCGTCCGTTGAGCAGCGTGTGGTTCTTCGGCTTGTCAGGCCAGTACTGGTTCGCGCCGATATCGTTCGGCGGCGCAGCGTATATTGGCGCAAGATCGAGTGGGGCGATGTTGAACAGGACGAAGTAGCGGCCGCCGTTGTTGTAGACGCGCTCCATCTGGCGGTACATGCAGTCGACGTAGGTCGTAAGGTCGGTGCCTGCACGCATTGTCAGCTCCATCTCGAAACATGCACTGATGGTCGACACTCACCCTCCACCTGCTCGTCTTGAATAAAAGCATAATACCCCAGATCATTCGTTCCATCCCAGAAAGCATACACCGTCTCATCCGGTGGATCAATCATGAACTTCGTCCCGTTCTTCTCCACATACTTGCTGTCAGCGATATACGCCGGAATCTCGTACTGCGCCAGCGCCGGGAAAGGTGCGTCAATGGCGCTGAAGTAGCGCGGCGTGATGTCGTTGCTGCAGACTGCACCGGAGACGGCGTAGTTGTACTTGTTGACGCCCGCGTAGCGGGAGACGTATTCGCCCCAGATATAGCCGCCGTCGGCGGACTTGTTGGCCTGCATGGAAAAAAGGTCAGGATAAGTTTCGTCATACTGCAGGGAAGAGAGACGTACGACAGGCTCCACCCAGCCAACTGGCGGAGGATCGCCTCCGCTGTTGATGAAGTAGCCCAAGCGTGAGTCGTCAGAGTAGCTGTCGCCGAATATCACAAGACTGGTGAAAGTCTCGAGGTCCCATCCCGATCCGGAACTTGGTTTCCCCGGCCTACCATGGTGATAGCTGGGCGGTCCATGGCGTTCACTGAGGTCCGGAGTAGCTAGCGCATTGGCAACAGTGACAGCGCCTGCGAGGGCCACTGCGACAGACTTCATCGTATCTATGCGTAATTGAAGATACCAGATTGATAGATAGAACAACCAACACAAGACGAAGAAAAAATCTAAGGATGTAGTCGAAGGTCAAGGCGAATGCTTTTGTAGCTCGAGCTATCCACTAGTCCAGCTGCAGGTACAAGCAGGCAAATCTCCACACTGTATGCACCAAACGAGCAGGACATGAGATATAGCCTGGATGTCGCGGCAATCTGGAGAATGACGCACCTCGGGAAGTTTTTTGATCGAATACTGCTTCGTTTGAGCCTTGCGCCGATAGTAGCCCTCCCTCGTTATCTCTCGGGGGTTGCAGGACGCCTTGCAATGGCTCGAAGACATCTGGATCGTGAAGCTAGCGTTTGTCATTGTTTCGACAAGGTTGAGAAGTGCCGTTCGAGTTGAAGTGATGATGCAGATCGTGCAGCAAAGACCACTCCATCTCCGCATCGGCACGTTTGTGGGGCAGATCCGCGGTTTAGCCTGAATAGCCACATGGGTTGACGAGGAGGCCAGACCAGAAATGTCTTCTATGAGACGCAGAGCATTGGCCAGACGTCAATATATTCAGCCGCCAAGCTCCAGGACGAAAGGAAGCAGACCGCCAGAATAGTCGACCATCTCACTCATGCCTTGCCGCCGCTTTCACCCTCGGTACTTCATCACGCCACGTCCTTTGAACTTGACCGGCGGATCGTAACCATCGTATCCTCCTCCTCCTCCTCCTCCTCCTCCGCCGAGTCTTCCATCGCCGAGCCGGCCATCGTTGTTGCGATGCTTTCGATCCCGAGCCGCTGCAGGTCGGTATCGATCGTCCTCTCTTCGGCCTTGATGGCGGTAGTCGTCGCGGCGTGGGCTTGGTTTGTACCGATTGTCATCTTCAGTGGAAGTCATCTTCAGCCTCTCATCGTCATACTGGTTCGGTAGGCTCCTTCGCCTCCGCTCGTAGTTGCCTGTTCCATCCGCATGGCGACTCGGCGAAGGGCTGCGCTTGCGCTTGTGTTTCTTCGCTGGCGAGCTTCTGTCGCTCATGTCTTCTTCAGTCGGTGGCGAGAGTGGTCGTGAAGGGGAACGTGATCCCGAGCGCTGCCGAGGACGGCCTCGTATACCTTCGTCTACCGCGTTGTCGCTCGTTCGGCGGTGGTAATGGGGTCTGCTAGGCGGTACCGGGCTGTTCTCCATTTCGACATCACCACTGGCGCTTCGCCTTGTGCGACCTCTGTCGCGACTTTCAGCCTCTGTAGAGGGTTTGACCACTGATCGTGCCATCTTCTTTTGCCTCTCCAGCTCACCGCAGCGTGAGACAAGCACAGGCTCTATGGGTCGATCTTTGTTATCCGTGTCTACGGCTGCGATGCTCTTCAACGTCTCCTCACCAGACACTACTCTTCCAACTATCGTATGCTTTCCGTTCAGGTGAGGGCAGGCTTCGAGGGTAATAAAGAACCTAAGCACAGTCAGCCTTTCTTGTCTCCACCACCGACCGTGTTGTGATGCTGCCGTACTGACTGCCGTTCGTATCCTTGCCTCTGTTCGCTGAGCATACAAGACCTGCCGCGTCCATGTCCCGCCAGCCTAGGTTCTCATCTTCGTACTCTCGACCATATATGCTGACTGTGCCGGTCCCGTCGCCCTTCTCAATGTCTCCACCTTGTATCATGAACTCGTCGATGACTCGGTGAAAGGGCGACTTCGCGTATGACAGCCCGTCGTGCTCGCCGGTGCATAGCTGTCGGAAGCTGTACGTATGTGTCAGCGCTGGGTCGAACAGCGGCATTCACCGGAAAGCTCACTTCTCGCATGTTCTCGGTGCCTGATCGGTGAAGAGCTCTATCGTCAGTCTACCTGCTGGTTGGGCGCCGATGTTCACGTCGAGAAAGGCTCGAGGCCTCTGGTTGGAAGCCATGTTCTGACGAATGATGAAAGTGGATGGCTGATCGTCAGGCTGCATTTGAAAACCGTTCGCGCAAGACGCCGTGCCCAGAAAATGCGGGGTCGCCGTTAGAGTCCGCTAGAGGTTGGAGGTTGCGTGTGCAACTCTCAAAGTGAATGTAAGATGAGACTATTTACATGCTGTGAATTTGAAGCGGATTGACGCTATGAACATCGATTGTCGAGCGGAAATGGTGTACCTTTGTACATCAAAATATGGCTTCCCAGAGGATCCAGTTCATTCAAACTGTCTTGTTATACTCCAAAGATCCCTCAAGCGATGGGAACCTTGTTGGACAGGACTTCAGTCGAGCCACTCAACGCTCGCTACGAAGTATAACATACTGGTTTTTGATCGATCAACCGTCGTCAAATTGGTATAGATCTCAAGAACAAGTCGACTTCACACTCGATATGGAGCGCATTTTGAGTCCACGCTAATGGCGCAGGTACTAGCTTCTAATGCGGAGCTCTGACGGCTCAGCTATCGCATTCGAGACATATACTAACTACCCTTCTCTTTCTAGGTCGCGCATCACATTCACTAACGGCCGAGGGCGCTGAAGGCGCTCGCGACACCAGCACAAGAAAGTCATGGCAGCTCCCGAAGTCACCATCGACCCCACCGCCGACGAAGAAATGGCTGAGGCGGAAGTTGTCGAAGCTGGCGATGAAGGAGCTGCCGACGACGCCAATCCGACTGGTCTAGAAGGTATTGAGCCCACTGTCGCCGAGCGCACCACTTTCTTAGAGTGAGTCGCATCCAGAAATGGGATTATGCTCCATGCGCTGACATTCCTCCCCTAGCTATCTCCGCTCACCAATAATCGAGCTTGCCATTGGCAGCAGCGACTCTGCCACCACCCTCTCAGCCCACCAAGGCCTCCTCGTCCAGTCTCCCTTCTTCGCCGACGCATGCGCACAGTTCTCCGACTCCGCGCCCGCGCGGCGCATCGATTTGGCCAACGATGATCTAGAAGCCACCTCGTGCGTTCTCGAATACCTCTACAAGTCCGATTACTTCCCCACCCTCAACGAACGCAACCTCGAGTACGACCCCTCATTACCGCAACCGGACAATGAAGGCGTCGGCCTCCTGCGCCATGCGCGCGTCTACACCCTTGCGCAACGCTTCGGCCTCCCGCAGCTCGCAGCGCTAGCGCACCGCAAGATCCACTTGACGGAGTCCACGGCCAAGGGCGAGATCGCTTACGCGCGCTTCGTGTACAAGGAGACATCTCCCGACGACGAAAACATCAGACGGCCGGTGGCGGCTTTCTGGGCACAGAGGAGTCATGTGCTGCGTCACGAAGCCGAGCACGGGTTCAAACGGATGTGTCTGGAGTTCCCTCAGTTCGGTTTCGATGTCCTAAGTATGGTGCTGGACGCGCAGGAGAAGAGGAGTCAGCGTCAGGAGGCGCAGAATGCCGGTGGTGCGGGCAGGAAGAGGCAGAGGGTGAGCGGGGTGGTGACTTGATAGGCAAGGGGTGGGCGAGGCTGGTTTGTGTGAGATATTGCGGAGGTGCAAGCGTCTCGAAATTCTGGCTCATAGCATTGCGATGAAGGCAGTCAGATCGTTGAAGTTGACAGCGGAGTGTAACATTAGTACAGATACCAAAATTTACTACCCGAGTCAGAACTTTACAAGCAGTTCCCTTCCGCCAGATGAGGTGAGAACTGCTGGAGGACTTTGGCGATAGCTGTCTCAGTTGCTACACAGTCAAAGTGAGGTCGACTTCAGGTTTCGTAGTCGTGATGTTGCGGCAGGCACGATGCTTATGGTCTTGCCTCCTTCCTCAACTTTACACGTGTGTCAAACTCCAAGTCGACCTCACCTCGTCCAAGAAGCTCGAAGAGACGACGACGATCCTAACCTTTGAGTGTTTTTGAACACTTGATAATCTTCATCCATCTGCGACTCAGAAGCAAGATCGTTGGCCTCAGGCCCAAGCAGCGGTAAGATCCTCGCGGCCCTTCCGATACGCCAGCAGGATGTGGTAGCTTTCTGGGCACCGCAGAGCACCGCAGAGACTGTTCGATCATGACTCGTCGCGCTGATGCCGGCAAGGTCTTGATCAAACCCTGTTCCTGGTTTGACGCGAGGGCGGAGCAAGCGCGTGGAGCGGTCCCTCGTCCAACGTCACCTCTGTACAGCTTGTATAGGTGAGAAGCTGCATTCGAGGAAACGAGCGTGACCAGCTAGACACGAGGATCGAACTACTCCTGTCGCAGCTCCCTCGACGGCGGTATCCTGGCGCTTGAGGTTTGCTCACCGAAGGTTGATCGCGTGATCTGGGGTCAGCACCCAGGATCCAGCATCATCCTGAATGTGCGCATCGAGGGGACTGGTTCCCTGAAGCCGGCTGCAAACCGATGAAATGAGTTTTGCTAACAGCAGAGCCTTGCAGAGTCGTGGTATGCTGAGCAGAAAAAGATTCAGAACGGATGAGAGCCCATGGCCAGCAGAGGACTCTTCAACCGGCGACGAGGGCAGTGTGACCAAGCTGTCAAACGTTTGTGCGACCTTAACAGTACGACAGTATGGCCAAAAATCACGAGGTGGTGGCAGAGTGATCTCCGAGGCAGTGCACGCATCAGCACTCACTTTCGCAATTGGGCAAGGAGGCGCAAGCGCAAGCCCGTCTCCCCAGCAGTGGGATGCCGCTACGGATGGCCGCTGATGAAGTTCAAACCAAACGCCAACAGGACGACATCACCCATTCGCAATGAGGAGACATTTGGATTGATTTCCACAAGACGAGGGCAGCTGTCGTGGAGCTTCCAGACGTCAAGTGTGCAAGCGCCCGGAGAGCTGTCCCGGCTGTAGCGAAGCGACCAGTTCCGCCAGTTGTTCAGCGTCCTGCAATAACCCGTACGACCGGCGGCAGACTGCAGCGCATCCGTGATGGTGATGGAACGTGGCTTCCATCTAACCCCGCTCGGACGAAGTGAATGACTGCGGTCTGCCAAAGGTCATAAGCCGCCCATGGCGAGGCTCAACGGACCTCAAGCTACTCCTCCTCGTCTCATTATCTCTCTGTGAGTTCCCAGCCTTGGGCAGCAAGATGGCATGGTATCTTCCGCTGCTTCTTCACGTATCACGAGACGATGCTGTCGTACGTCTACGTAAGCTTGCGGCTTGCTCCGTACTGTCAACTACACGATGCGCCGATTGAGCCGCCAAGGTGAGAGGCCGCCTTTGAGTCAACCTTATAACAGGGCAATCGGCCAGCAAGATGCCACCTCGTCAGTCTCACCGCCAGAAGGAGCGGGCGAGGTCTATATCCCTCGAGACTCTCCCTTCTCCCAACTTTCAAGCACGAACTCTCGACGTCAAGAGCAAGCAGCAGGCGGTGTCTTGTCAATCAACACAATCACTGCACACGAGCGGTAATCGGCCACAACGCGGCGCCGACTTCCAATAAGTCGAGTCTTGCGACCCACCAGGAGACATGAACAACGGAGCTCCAATGGACAACGAGTTTGCAGGTACGGGCGATTGGATCAACGACGCAAACGGACCTCCCTACCCACCTGCGGACTATCAGTACCCCTCTCCTACTGTCGCCCACCAAGCGCCTCGAGCGTACCACAACGCGCCGTCAAGATCCGGGCCAGATGGAACCATCAACGCTCAATTGGGACATGCACCTGTCTACGAACAACCGCCCGGGCCTGTTGTGCCAGGGCAAGGGTGGAACGTCCACCAATATGCTCTGCAACCGGATGAGCGAATATATATCGGGCTCCCGGCTCAACACCCACTACGGGCATATTGGTCCCCTTACGCACAGGTGCCGCGTCTGTCGCAACAACCAGCCCCAGTCGCCTCATGGTTCGTACCAAACCAGGATGAGATGCGGGCGAACGATTACCTTGGTCCCCCATACCACCCTGGGCCCGCAGGGATGCCTCAGCATGCCTCTTTACAAGGATATGCGCCCGACTTCAACATGCCCGACGAACCGATGTTCCATGCTCCAGAAGTTCTACCACAGCCACCCTACATCAATGTTCGGTGGCCACCCTCGGCACCACCCAACGAATCTGCAACAGGACGATGGCTGCGAGATTCCAGGACCGTTCAAGAGCTCACTGGACCTCAGATCGCTGCTACTGTCCCGATCGCCCCGACAGCCAATCCGCTTCCCACTCCGCCAAGCACTATCACCCGCTCCTCCGGCAGTTCAGCACGCCGGCGGAAGACTGAGATTCTCAGCTACGTGAGCAGCCACAAGTGCGCGAAATGCGATGCAGGCTTCGACACGGCAGGGGACTTGGCTCACCACAAAATCTCCGTGCATGGCGCACGCAGGTACCCCTGCCGTCAATGCTCGGAAGAGTTCGTCTACCCAAAGGACCTACGGCGCCATGCTAAGGGACAGCATGGCGACCGTACAGTCCTTCCGCGGTGGTACTGTCCTGTCGCTGAGTGTAATTATTACACGAAAGGGTTCTCTACAAACTGGAACTGTACCAGACACGTTGAAAACGCTCATGCAGTTGCAACCTCATCTGCGTCGATGACTGGATCAACTTCCAGCATGGACTTCTCGAGGCCGTGAAGACTTGTCCCTTGGCTTCTAATGCATGCTCTGACAACCTCTGGTTATCCTTCGCTCGAACCTACATCCAAGTGGCTGAAAGTACGAAAGGAGGAGGCTGTGTACGTTATGGGTACTATGTTATGGGTGGTGGATGTTGCACCAGTGTTCTGACCATTGTGTTATGTAGATGCCCTGTGGATGATACCTAGCCTAGCTTTAATGAGAATCACGACAGTAGCGTGCCGTTCCCAAGCAGAGAAGCTTCTCTTTCTTTCACTGCCGTCCACCTGCCGTTGTCCTTCAAGCTCTGCCCAAAAGACTCAAGACTGCGATGTGTTGGTCTACCGTAGCTGAGCAGCGAGCAGATGTACCTTGAGCGTGAACCACGACAGTAGATCAATCGGTGACAATTTCTATTCAGCACCGTCACCGTGTTTTATATTTGGTCAGCGACTTTCTGGACGTCTGTTGACGGTCGTACCTGACGTGTCATTCGAGCAACAGCTGCCCATCTAGTCGCCGGCAAACATTCGTATGGACAGCAGCCGCGGGTGTGTCAAAACCCGTCTTGCAAGCTAGTCACGTTTGATTGCCATGGTCCCTCGCTCCGTGGCACAGCATAGCAAGTGAGCTGGCTGGAGGCAAGAGGGTTGCCTGGGACGTAACAGTGCAGCCAGTGATAAAAGAGGCTCTTCATTCTCCCTGCGGCTTGCCTAGGAGGCTTCATAGTCTAATTTGATCGAGACAAGTACGAAAACCCACATCGCCGACATCCATCTCGTCTAGATTGCAGATAATGTCCAGCTCACATTCAGGCCAAGACCAGCGGTCGACAATGGAGCAACGCTGGAACCGAAGGCAGCACCGGAGCGGGTACGCGGACGAAATGGAAGCAAGGTCGGCGTCTCCAGAGGATGATACTACGCTGGTCGCCCCGTCAAGCCGCCAGTGTGAGGATGAAGTGACCGGGGGAAGCGATGCATCATCTCCCGCTACCGATCCGACGACGACAGCAAACAGCGGTTCTGAAGTGCCTTCCTTGCTGCTGAGAGGCTGGTGGCGTGAAAACTCCGATGGCAGTTTTGAGCCCTTCGAGCATTGGGAGAACCTTGAAACTCGGCCGAGATCAGATGTATCAAGTGCGGCTGGCGAGGCACCCTACGGACCACAATCGACGGCTACGTCGATCTTGCAAGATGGTCACGGCCAAAGCATGAACTTCTCGGCTAGGAACTCGTCGTCGCAAGACTGGCCAGCTGAAGTACCTTCTCCACCATCAAGTACGGGCGCCAACTACATGGGCAGCGAGAGAAGTCGTTCAGAGGTCGACCCGGATGACTGGATGAATGATAACGCCGGCGAAGAATTTCGCACTTTCCTCGCGTCGAATGGAGATGTGGACTTTCGGGTTTCAGAGGCGCCTGCGCGACAGAGATTCGCCTGCGACCAGTGTCCAGAGTCATTCGCCTGGGCGAAGCACCTCCGTCACCATGTCGCGTTGCACCACGATCCCGCGTCGTACCAATGCATCTTTTCGGAGTGTATACAAACTTTTGTCGGTGGTGCCAGCTATAACACGCACCTGCGAGCGGTTCATGGGATCGATGCTGGGCTCCGGGGCCAAACCCAGCACTGACTGGGGCTTCTGGGGCCTGTATCTGTTTTATGTTGGCTCCTACGGAGAAGCTTAGGAGTTGCAGTGCCACCGGATGGGCCTGCTTACCACCCGTGACCAGTCATCATAGCCAACGCAACCAGCTGACATCCCCCAACACGGGAGCATTGTCAACTGTACGTAGACTGAGCAGAATGCGGCAGTTTTTGGAAAGGCTCAATTGACTCCTGGTTTCTGAGTAGATTGATTCAAGTCCAGTCCACGCCTGTTGAAGTTCCATGCGTCTTGGTGTAGAATTGACATCGTTCCAGACACTCCGTCAGAAAGGTCTCCTTTGGAGATCCATTTCCGGTCACCCATGGGAATCCGTTTCGTGGCTGAGCATGTACCGGCCGGTCAATCTCTGGTGGTTAAGACCATGTACGATCCATGGGGCGTTGAAGTTGGCAATCTCAGTTCATACTCCATGCCAGCTGGGGTTTACGCTGCTTCTTTCAGCTTCACCATGGCCCGCGTCAGTAGCGTTAGAGGAACCTGGAAGACGTCTTGATTGAGCTCGACACCTCAAGGTCTAGGAAAAGTTAGCAAGGGCATGCATGCAGCAAGAGCAGCCAATGGAATGGTGACATGTTTCCGATGAGCGCAGAAGACCAGGTTGATGATATCTGACCCTGAATTGTGTTGATTGTATGCTGATTGAGGTGCTGCATCTCAGCAAAGCGTCTGTTGGAACAGCAGAGGATGCGATTTCAAACGCCTGCCTGAAACATCTTCATCAAGCGTGTGACCGAATGAGCGCCACTGTCGCTTCCTGTATGACTGTTGGCAGCCTGTTTTCGACCTGACCACTGACAGCCAAGATGACTGTAACCAACATTGTGAGTGGGCTGCCGGATGATCGTGTGGTCAAGTTGATGCCAAATCGCACCTTGATATCTACCATTCCTTCCGTCTAGCATCTTCAGAATCACAAGCTGGTTTGCACATCTATTATCAGCCCCCTGGGATTAACGACGTTCAATGTTCTCCGGCAAGGCCAGATATGAAGTAGCCATGCCACGGACTTCGTAGTGGTCGCGTGGTCCCGTCCAGAGGACATCCCGAGGAATGTGCAAAGCATTTGGATCCCCGCCAAGCCGGTCTCTTGAATCTTGCTGGACTCGCATGGTTCTGACCAGCCCTAGGAGGAGCAAGACCACACCGCCACGAGTCTACCTCGCCTTCGAAGAAAACAGCACCCGAACGGCTTCGGATGCAGCTTCGAGCAAACCTTACCACTGGTACAGAGTACCCCACTGCTAGTGGAGACTGAGCGGACTGTTGGATCTGGCGGTGCTTCGGGAGCGATTTTCGATGTCCTTCTCCGGACGGAGAAGAGAGGGAATCGGACTCCTCGACGACCTTGACAGCACCGACAGCTCTGCCAGGCTTGCCCCCAACATGTGCTGAGGCATTTGGTGCAGCAGGAAGGTTCGCCAATGCAGCCACTACCGCAGGACGTTACCAGGAAATGAGACTAATCTGCACGAGACAGCGGTTTCGCAGCCTGATTCGCTCTCGCGCCGGCAACGGCCTTGTTTACAGCGTCATTCGCGCCGACGATCGCGTGTCTTCCTGCCAGGGCCCGTATATAAGAGCTATCGCCCTCCCAAAGGCTGTTGGAGCACCGCCAATGGGTCTAGTCGTCACGGAACACCGCCAGACGTTCATTTGTTGCTGCCGATGGACGTCGGACGGTGTTCGTGGCTCGTCTTCTCAATGCGAGATCGGGGAGGTGCTTTCTGGGAGGTCGGCCGCTAGCCAGCAAGTCACGTTTGGGCAAATGTCACTGGGCAGTGCGAAGTGAAGTACAGTTCTCTCTTCTCAGGATCACTTTTATTGGGAGCATTGTACAACATATTCCGTATACTACTAACGCAGCCATTGCTGGCTGCTGGCGCTGCACCCCTTCAATAAGTGTAGTCGCCAGCAACAGCAGCGGGCGTGATCACGATCCATGAGCTACCTTACTGTACAGCTTCCTCGACCTTCCCTTCCAGACGAGCTCGGTATGGGAGACGATGCAGCGAGCGACTTCTGCCACAAGTACGAGCTGCCTTCAATGTTCCCAGCAGGCGAAGTGGGCCAAGAGCAAGGTCGCATGCCCGAGTCACAGCAAGATGAAGAACAGACGGAAGCGGGCATTGGCGACGGGCACGACGACTTCGAAGGTTGGGCGACACTCACTGCCGCATTGAACGGTCTGCTTCACACACAAATTCCAGAACATGCACGCCCTCGGGTAGTCAAAGCCCTCGACTCGCTTGACAGGCTCGGGTTTCCCACACGGCCTGAACACCAAACGCTTCTGGCGACGAGAACACTGGCAACGGTGCCTCTGTTATGGGACGAAGTGTCCCATGCAACAGCTGACCAGCCTCGGCCACATACACATGTCCCTCACTTCGAGCCACCACCAGAGACTCGGTTGTCCTACGAAGTATTCGCGCGACTTGCTACTCAGTACGAGAAGAGTCATACTCATGCAGCGCCGGAAGGCCGTCATGCTCAGCCATACAATGAAAGAGAGGGGCAGCCTTCGAATATCCAATATGGCAGCAATGATGTCCACACAGCAACATTTGGAGAGCGGCTCCGGGATCTTCAGATGCCCCAGAGCAATGTGGGCAGAAACCAAACGCCACCACAGACTGACGACCAGCCCAGAGAACATACTCAGTCCTTCAGCGACTATCTGACCAGTATCGACTGGGATCTTCTCGAAGGTCGTGACGACACCTCGATGTTCCAGCCAACCGGCTTACCAGCAACGCCGTCCGGAGAACCAGTGAACACTGGCGACGCGGAGACGGACATTCTCAGCCTGCATTCGGAAGCTCCTGATGCCATCCATCCAGGGCCACCCGTGCAGCCCGCTCAACCCACACAGCCGGTGCAGCACGTGCCTGTTGGCGTGAGATATGCTTGCGCCTGGCCAGACTGCCAAGCTGAGGGCAAGAGCTGGGCGACCCCAGGCGGGCTCAACAAACACTTGAAGAACTGCCACACGCCGGAAGAGAGCAAGAGGTTCAAGTGCGACGTCTGCTCAAAGCGTTTCGTCTGGGACAACCACTTAAGGCGTCATTTGAGCTCCCACACCGATGAGTGCCTCTTCGAATGTGGCCATTGTAACCATGCGTTTACCAGGTCCGACAACTTGCAGCGTCACTGCCGGGAATCCTGCATGGTCATCGAGCTGTCGTCTCCATCGTCCAGTGCTAGCAAGAAAAGATGCCGATCAGCACGCTCGTCACGCGCATCGTTGCCCTCGGTTGCGGAAGGCGTCGAAGCGGAAGTTGTCGAGAGGCAAGGACTCATTGGTCACCACTTTGCAGGACCTTCAAACTTCCAAGCTGGCGGCGTGCGAGCACTCGTGGACGACATGGCCATTGACGATAACATCTGACCTCTTCATCTTGAGTTATCTCCTACCGACTTGAGCCGTCGTCGCCGGCTTTCAGCGTCCGTGCATTAAAAACAGCAGACATCTCACGACAGAATCAGCAATTTCCTTTTGGGACCTCACAACATCTGGATTATACCGGGGTTCCTCGTCTTTCATATCAACCCATAGCACTTTGACCTTCTCGATATCGATATCTCGGAAAGTGCGAACGTTGATCGCCACCCTTTCAGCATGCTTACGGTTTGGGTCAGCAGACGTGATCATCATCTCCGGCACTTCGATAAAGTTCGACTGCAAACATCTTTTATGGCGTTCGGAGAGCCATTTGGCTCATCTTGAGGAGCCCTTTCCTCTAGTGGAGCGGGCCTTGTCGGCGAGCCGGTACGGAAACAGAGAGCGCCTTGGAGTCGTTCAGCACCTGGTTTAGATTGTCTGGCAAATGTCTGGAGCTTACGCTTACATGTCAAGACTTCGTGGCCGGAGCGAGACATCGGCTTCGAAGCGTACGGCGCCGCAATGGCATTGCGCATGGGATGTCTTGAAGTTAGGGATCGCATATTGCTTAGACGAAGGAATGTCTCGTATTGGGAGCAGAATGGCGTCTGGGTTGCGATGAGTGTAATGATAATGATACCCGGAGATAGTCCATGCGTGTGGAGTTCGTAGTCTGTTATATACAAGCTTGCTAGAAGACTGTTTCCTTGACTCCCTTTGCATGCGAATGTCTGCTGACATGTGATCGTCGCGGTCCCGCGTTTTCTCGTGTCTTAGCGCGTAAACTAAAGTGCACACTTGGAAACTGCACGACGCTTTTCGAAGACCGAGTCGCAACCTCAGCAAATGCAACTGCTCAACAACACCAGACAACGCCATCACCAATCCCGCCAGGCCACGGATAAGGAGAGCGCTGCTGGACAGAAGTAGCTATGAGCTCCCATAGATCCACGAAGCGCCGGAAGCTGGACGCAACACCAGACGAATCACCTGGTCCTCGAGACGCTGGACGAAAGAGTGCTACACCGGCCACCTACTCAAGGAACGGCAAGAACAACGTCCAACAAACAGATCGCACGGCAAAGTCTAGTCCCCTGCCGAGCGGCACCAAAAGCAGCACCGCAGCCCACGATGCATACCAACGAGCCAAGGCAGAGGCGCAAGCTCTCCGCGGCAAGCGACCTGGCCATGTTGTACGAAAGAAGCCGGAGAGGGCAGCGGATGTGTACGAGGATATCGAAGGCGCACATGTACAGACCTCGACGTTCAAGCAGAAACCTGCGCCCGCTTCTACCCCTTTGAAGCAGCGCCTGGATCCGTTGCGTAATCAGAGGTCAGGCGCATCTGCCACATCCAGCCCTTCGAAGGGCGGAGTTTCGCTGGACTTCTTCAAGCAGTTCTCTACGCCGAAAGCGAAGCCTCCCCCCGAGACAGCATCGAAGAGCGTGGCCAAGGCGGAGAGCCTGAGCAAAAGATTAGCCGCGGCCGGCAGCGCTGGCAAGCGCCCAGCGAGTACTACAGAACAAGATGGCAAAATACAGGGTACCGGCAAGACAAGGGAAGTCGAAAGGCCGGCGGACACCAATCAGTCCGCTGTACCACCTAAATCACACGAGAAAGCCAGTGAGAGGTGGGAATACGCAGACAAGCCCAAGAAGACCTTCGAGGATGAGATCCACGACTTGGAGAACGCAGCTCGAGAACAGGCAGAGAACGACGAGGATGAGGAGACTTCAGCTCGAACGTCACGAAAGCGACGAAGTACCCAGCGAGGTCAAGATGCTGCAGAAGAACGACAGGAGTCGGCCAGCAAGAAGAGCGACATTGCTACGGCTAGGAGGAAGCCAGCACCCGCAACTTCGAATAAGATGAAGTATCGTGTTGAGAAACCTGACCTTTTGCCAGCCGAGGAGCCGGTGTTTCCCTCAGAGGCCATGGAGATCGATGAGCCACAAGTCGACGAAGATGATGATGAGCCTGCATTACCAAAAGGCGATCAATCGGTGCAAGTCAATGGCGTTCTTGATCAGACACCGCAGAAGACTAAGCCGAAGCGAGTGGTGAAACCCTCAGTCGACTTGACCGGACTGAGTTTTGCTTCAGAAGAGCTCCAGTACATACAGGGCGTTGTCATTGACATGCTCAGCGGCAAGCGCCCCATTCCTCTCAAAGGTCTCGACACCGAACATGCGAAGGTCTCATCTCTGATCTCGCAGACAATTACAGCTGGCGAAAGCAACAGTATGCTGGTGATTGGTGCCAGAGGAAGCGGCAAGTCTGCTCTTGTCAATCATATCATTCGCGAGCAGACTGAACAGCATGCAGATGACTTTCACGTTGTCCGTCTCAATGGCTTGGTCCACACTGACGACAAGATTGCTCTTCGTGAAATCTGGAGGCAGCTGGGCCGTGAGATGGAGGTAGATGAAGACGAAAGCGCACCCAAGAATTACGCCGACACTGTTACGACACTGCTTGCTCTGCTGTCACATCCGGCCGAGCAAGGTCGTGAGCAAGGACAAGATCAGATTACGAAAAGCGTCATCTTCATCATCGACGAGTTCGAGCTCTTCGCCACTCATCCAAGGCAGACACTGCTGTACAACCTATTCGACATTGCGCAAAGCCGAAAGGCACCGATCGCTGTGCTAGGCCTCACCACTCGCGTCGACGTCACGGAGAGTCTTGAGAAGAGAGTCAAGAGTCGCTTCAGCCATCGCTACGTCCACATAGGCATGCCGAAGAGCTTTGTGGCGTATCAGGAGGCTTGCAAAGCGTCCATCATGCTCGATCATGATGATCTCACGGAGGAAGAACGCGAGGGCAAGCAGAAGCTGCAAAAGGCATCCAAGGGCCCGAAAACCTCTCCCATGTCAGCCTGGAACACACACATCGACGCACTGATGGCTGACGAGCTGTTCGCCACCCAGCTACGACGGTCGTATTACACAACCAAATCGGTGCCGCAATTCCACACGTCGATGCTGCTGCCGATTGCAACCATGCCTACTGAAGCGTCGACTACAGCCGAAGACCTACTTGAACACCTAACCTCGAGTATCAGCAACACATTCATGCAGCCACCGGATTCGAAGCTGGACCTGCTCTCAGCTCTCAGCACTCTGCACATGGCACTACTCATCTGCGCTGCCCGCTTGACAGCTATACACAGCGTTGACAATGTGCCTTTTGCTCAGGCATACGAAGAGTACAAGGTCCTTGCATCGAAAGCGAAACTGCACGCCTCATCTTCTGGTGCTCTTGCGCAAGGCGCTGGCATCAGGGTGTGGAGTAAGGACGTTGCCAGGGATGCTTGGGAAGATCTGCTAGACTGCGGCCTTGTGCTGGAAGATGGTGTGCGAGGCTGTAGAGTTGATGTTGGGCTAGAGGAGATTGGAATGTCGGGAGTGGACTTGGGTACCTGGGGACGGTGGTGTAAGCAGATCTAGGTTCGACGATAAAGCATTCGATTTCGGGGCTTGGAGAGATGTTGTGCATGCTCATGTCATTTTCATACGTTCAGTCTATAGTAGGCGACAGCCTGGTGCCACCAAGCCTTTTGCGCGTTCCATCACGCTTTACACATGCCTCATCAGCTGGTGGAAGAACCCTTCTAAGTGCTCTTCTTCGCAAACTCGACACGCAAGATCAAGTGGCCGAAACCGTAGCCATCCACCTTCTCGCAAGCCCGTGCCGCGTCCGACCGGTCAGCGTAAGAGACAAACGCAAAGCCCTTCGCACGTCCAGTATCCCGATCCTTAGCAAGGAAGACTCGCGTGACACGCCCGTGGCGCTCGAAGATTTCACGCAAGTCGTTCTCCTCCGCAAATTCGGAGACGTTGGTGACTCTGAGCGTGGCGAGGTCGTCTCTCTCGAACTTGCCGCCCATCCTTTCGCCACCTGATGAAGCCCCGGCGCCCTTGCGCATATGAGGTGGTACGTAGCTGCCGCCGATTCCACCTCCCAGACCTCCCTCAGCGCCGCCTCCGCCCATCCTCTCGTCCATGTCGGGTGGTGGGCCGGCAGCCTCGCCTTCGGGTGCCATGGTGTCTTTGAAGGGACACTTGGTGGTGAAATGGTCGCCTTGACAGATACGGCACTTGATCTGCATCTTCTTCAACGCATCCGCCTTCTTGTCCTCCTCCGGGTTCTTCTCCTGCTGCTGACCACTCTTGAAGCCCACCACAGGTCTGAAGATGATGTTCTCGCCCAGCGTCGTGGTGTCCGGTCGCGGGCCTGGAGGCTTGCCGGCTTCAGGTCCGATCTTGGCCCACTGTCGCCGCTCAGCGACACGCGGGTTCTCCTTTTTCTTGATCACAGTCCGCTTGATGCGCTGCGTGCGCTTGACTCGCTTGCCATCCTCGTTGATGAAAATGGTGATTACTGTCTCAGTGCCGTCCTTGTTCTTGGTCACCTGTGGCGGTGGGATGGATGTCGCTAGATCGGGCTCGTCGTCGTCGGCCCAGTCAGTGCGACCTGGCATGTTTTGAACGTTTGCTGCCATCTCGATGTTGTGTGGTAGTTGTAAAAGTGCAGCTTCAAGTTCCTTAGAAGTGTGCTCTCGACAAAATGTGACATGCGGAGATGACTCAGCCGGCGCCGAAGATCCGCCGGCCGCTCCATGTGGAGTGACACAGCAACAACAACGCTGGCATTCGCTACCAGGAACCACCAGCATTTCAAGTTGATGGCGTAACGGGACTAACTATTGGATAGAATTTGCTACCAACGCGAAGGACTATGGCGTCCTTCAAAGCTACAGCCGATTGCCATCGATTCCAAGTCCGACCAACCAACCACGAACATTTCCAACGAACGGTATAATAAGCCTTGACAATGAGAACACGACTTCAGAGACGCTGGGTTTTCCATCAATGGTCTGGGCCCCTACGTGGCACCGCAAGGTCACCTTTCTTCTGGATCTAGGACTCTTTCCACAAATCCTAACTTGATCAGGTCCTGGAAGAGGAGATACGGAGTATGTCCTTCCGCATAAGGTTGGACGGACATAAAAATCACTGGTCCCTGTTTATGAATGTGACCCGGTACGGAGTACTCCCTCTTCCATTCCTCCGGCTCCGTTCTGATGACCTGGCATCTGGAGCCGGGGCCTCAATGATCTGCTGCAAGCATCCATGTCCTGCCGTAAGCCCGGACACCACCCTTGACGAGGAAGGATTCGGACCATGCCTAAGACCGCAGTAGATGGACTCGCTGTTTCTTCGGGATTACAAGATTGCACCGATCTGCCCGCTCGTCAGCTGCCATCTCGAATGAAGGCATATGTCCGAGTTGGAGGGCTCGGAGTGGACAGTCGACATATGCAAGATACGCTAGTGGTAATGACTGCTCACTTGGCACTACAGACCAATGCCTTGCCCTTGAGAAGTACGTGCAGCCATGTTTTGGAACCACAGAACGACAGATGGACTCTTGTGTCTGACTACCTCGGCAGGGGGAAAGACTTGTCTGCAGTGACTTACTTGCACGTGGCCTTTCTACCGAGAGCCTGGGGTACATATATGACTTGGAAAATTTGAAGCTCTGCAAATGTCGCTCTCATGACTCTTGCGCACGATGAACCCGTCCTCCCCTATCAGCTGGTAGACGCGCGAAGCCTACATATCTCCTTGGTCGTGAGATACCGGCAAATCTTCGTGGAGAGGCAGAATGTTCAGGGTTCCGCTGCGTCGTTGCTTCACGGCCAGGATCTTGCTATCTTCCCGAAGGCTGTGCTGTAGACGCTCCGATCAAGGCCTGATAATCACATGCCGAGGTCTCGGTGTGAGACCGAGGTGTAAAATAAGCAGGCAGTGAGAAGTCAGGTATTGTCTGTGCGATCAAAGTATGGTAGCGTCTCAGCAGTCCGGAATGAACTTGTCGTCGAACGATGGGGAAGAGCCTTCTGCCCTGCGGCACAGTCTGGAGAAGCTGTCGGCATGTGTACTCTTGTCGATCTTCGTCAACAATGGTTAGAATGATCAGACAGTTCGGGTTCTGCGAAGCATTGGCAACATGTGTGAGCACGTGTGATCTGCACTGAAGTCGAAATCGATGGCGGAAGGTCTTTCAACGGCGGGTCGTTAGCGCTCGTTCCGCAAGGCGTGCCAGGCTGTCGGTTTTGCACCAGACTCGCTGTCTGCTGGAAGAGGTAGTCGAGAGCGACCGCCAATGATCACCTGGGCTACACGATCCTGACACTCAATCTCTGCTTCGGTGGTCCCGCAGTGCACCTAGTGTCAAGAGGCATTCCAGCGCTACATGTAGAAGCACGAGCGGTGCGGCATGAGTACATTGTCTCGTCCGATCGAGGCGGACGCTGTCAAGGCGTTTCCTGAAGCGGGAAGCGTTACTCCAAGTGAGATCGAAGGCCGAGAAGTGCAGCAGATTCGCACACAGATCAACAAGGGTATTCCTGCCTCTGTAATTGACCACATCAAAGCCTTGCCTCCATGAAAGATCTTCACAATGGTCGCCTCCGTTCATGCAACAACCTGCAGCTGCGTTCTCGTTGCTGACATGTCTCGGGGCGTTCAGGAAGTACGACAGTGTCGATCCATGTGGAGAGACAGAAGCAGTCGATCTGGCTTCTTGAGTCGACCGACGAATAGAGTTATTGCGCAATCTTCGACTGTAACGTCCGTGTCAGCAACGAGTCATCTTTCGAATGACTAGGTGTAGCCGTTGATATTGCGGAGGATCGTGCACAGGGCCATGAGGGCATCTGCCTACAGAGGAGAAGAAGAAGGAGAAGAAAGAAGAAACTCCTGAAGATAGACACCTGCCGACGAGTGAAATGCAGATCTAGACACCGATGGAATGGGTGCATGCCGATCTCATTTGACACATGCGGGAACGAGCTGCGTTCACCTGTGTCTCGGATGCTGGCTAAATGCAGTCTTCGCAGCCGTACGGGGCCGACGAAGAACATCCATCGACATTGCGGTATGTCCAGGCTTGTTACACTGGTCACTGACTGAGAGTGGATGGACTAGTGCGGACTCTATGACCGGCAGACAAGATACCGCAGATTTGGGCCGAGTCGACATGTGGTAGCTCACTAAACTACCGGGTTCATCGAGGAATAAAGGTCCGTTGGAGAAGCGGCACAAGCCGCTAAATCGCGGTATGGTCGTTTGAACGGGCACGAAACGTGCTTTGACTCCATACTTTTCCCCCTGCTGCCCAGCCTTGAATTGCTGCGCCGACAATCCAACGAGATTTTCGTGCTTTGGGGTCCTTTGATCATGCATTTTTCGGTCTGTGCTATCAGTGGTCACGCAGCCCTTAGTCCCGCGCTCTCTTGTCTCTACGATCTCAACATCCGAGTGGGGCCACATGGCGATTTACGGGACACGCTGCCGTCGCAGCCCAGGACGACCATGCGCTAGACTGCGCCGTGGCCGACAAGACGACTCTAGATGGCTCTCGCTGATTGAAACGTCCAGTCTCAACCTGCAGGCGGATAGTTTTCTCCGCCTGCAGCTAGCCATTCAAGACGTCGCATGTGGCGCTCTACTGAGAATCATCGGGACCTTCATGTCTGACATCGAACCTTAACCACAAGCTTGGGCTACTTGGGCTGCAACGCTGGGCAGATCGAACATTCTCGTGCACTCAAAATTGGCCCGCTCCAGGTCTGAGGTAAAGCAGACCGGGACGACTTGCATCGAACGGGTCGTGCTTCCTGGTGGGATGACCCTGGTCTCCAGGTTTGCCAGGCACAAAGCCGAACGGTGGTCTTCCTGGCGTCGATCTTATTAGCAGTCTGAAAAGGGAGTTCTCCGATTGAACACCACCAGCTCTCCCATGTCTTGCACATCCGCTTCCGCTCCCATGTCCATAGATGCCGAACTCGTGGAGCCTCCATGCATTTCCAGGAGAACGTATTTGGGCACGGTCGGCGCCAACTCTCTCGACTGATCTACGGAGGACTTGTTCACCCAGTCGAATGTTCCTCTACCTTTCCGGACATTTCATTCTCGTTGTGTAGCTACGAGATCGTTTCACTTCGAAGCCCTCTGAGCCTGTGACACGCAGCTCCTCCCATGGGTTGCATCCTCAGTCCTTTCCACAGCTAGCCTGTCGCCACGTCCTGCTGACAGTTCGCACCGATTGGAAGCGGGTCGCGCCTCTCCCGGACTCGAAAATATCTGATCGGATATTGGTCCTCTCGAACGCATCAAGACGACACATCCTTTGCGCACACTGCATCGATGGCGCACTGGTAACGATAACTTTCCGATCTCATCTCACAGTAAAGCCGTTGTAACGGTTGGGCTGCAAGATCCGCTACGCCATCGACACTCTATCGAACTCTGTGGACGTCAAAAACGGCCAGCTATTGCCAATATATTGCACCGGGTCAGGTGGACAGAAGATGGACGCGCAGTATTCGGCAGCAATGCCTCCGCTGTCGAATTTCTATCCTAGCGGGCAATGGCCCATCATGCCACCTCCGCCTGATCGTCTTTTCCAGCCAAGGCTCCACCAACTGCAAACACTTTCGATGGAGAACATTGGTAGCTATCCGGAGCCGCCCGACCCAAACCAAACGATCAGCCCGCATCCGCAAGGATCGCAGCGCTCGAGGCGAAAGCAACCGGCTGGGCCAGACCACGTCAAACACCGTCGAACGAGAAGTGGTTGCTACACTTGTCGTCAACGGAGGGTGAAGGTATGTACAGCAGGCTGTCGACTCTGTCTGCATCGTTGGCTGACGACGTGGTGACCAGTGCGATGAAGTTCGTCCACGATGTGATCGTAAGCATGCCTCTTGCGGAAGAAGCTAAGTACGTTACTGATTTTGTCAAAGGATGTCGGAAGGGAAAGCGAGAGTGTCTCTACCCAGACGTTTCATCTTCTTCCAGAAGTGGGCGTCGAGATTCAAAGCAGAAAGGTGTTGTAGGAGAAAGTCCTTCTAGCCCTTCTGGAGACGATGGAGACGACACCGACAAGAAGGGACTTTCGGTTATCCCTGATGACGACGAAGACCTCGAGACGGACGAATACGAACCTCTGTCGGCTGCATCAGACCAGCGCATAGATACCGGAGCTGCATCTTGGATCAAAAAAGAGCCCGCCGCTGAAATCGCTGCGACTTCAGCACGACCTCCGCGGCCGCAAGCATCTCGAACAAACTCCAGACAAACTGCGCCGTCGAGCGTCTTTCAGCACTCCAAGTACTCATCACTCACTAGAGACGACAAGGTCTACCTGAAATACCATCGGGACAATCTCTCTCATCACCATTATGCATTCAAATACGATGCTGGCGACTTCTTGAAGACCACTTTCTTGGAAATCGCCATGAATGACCCCAGCCAGGCACTGCTCTATTCTATCATTGCATTCTCTGCTTACCATCGTTCGATTGAGAGGGGAGACGTCATCTCGGACTTTTTGTCCTACTACAACAAGTCGATCATCTTGCTCCATCAGTCGCTGAAGAGCAAGAAGCCCGGCATTGCGACCCTACTCACCATTCTGCAGCTTGCAACCATTGAGGTGAGTTTGGAGCATGAGGATAATCATTGAAACATGACTGACCCTGGTCGATGCACAGGAGTTCCTCGGTGACTGGAGTAACCTTCTTGGCCACCAGAAGGCCGCCCACCAGATCTTGACCGACCTCTTCACTCCGCAAACGATCATGCAAGACGAGACGCGTAGAAGGATCATCGCGTGGTACATCCGGTTCGATCTCTTCGCAGGCATGATGTCAGGAAGCGAGACACGTCTGGGCCGCGAGTGGTTCGCTGCCTGCAACGACCACTACGTGCGTCAAGCAAGAGATCGACCGGACGACCTCGTTGCGAAGTTTGAGGAATACTTCTCCACGTCGCGTCTGCTCGCAACAGACGTGGCGCTTCTGTTCGCCGGAAAGGTCAAAGGCACAGTGAGCGACGAACAGTTTGGAGCAAAGACAGCAGATCTCGCCTCGCAGTTTTCCAGGGTGGGTCGTGTATTGGAAACGGCGTTCAGAGACCCACAGGACTACGTGAAGGACTTCCCGAGGGGACCTCCACCGAGCGAAGACGACATTTTCAACTTCCAAGATCCCAACTTCCTGCTGGGTGGTGATCTGTTTACGATGAACTTCGTTCGTCTGGATTTCTGGTCGATCGACTTGATGTACAAGTACAACATGACGAAAGTACGAGGGCGTACAACTCAGGAGGAAGGCGAAGAGTTGACGTCCATCGCCATGAGGAAGTGCAAAATGATTGACGCTATCCAGTACAGCGATCAAGGCCCGCCAGGAGCAGTCATTGGATGTCAGGCCAGCTTAGGGATCGCAAGTCTGTTCCTACCCAAGGATGAAAGACACACCAATTGGTGTCGACGGAAGTACGCTCTCATCGAGCAACTTGGGTAGGTGTCAACCGAACTTGAACAGAAGCCTCACTCTTGCTAACGTGGCGTACAGTTACATATATCCGGTGAACCTTCGAAAGCAACTTTCAGACAGCTGGGGAGTCGACGTAAGTCACTGGTGGCTGCCAAACGACGAAGGCTATCCCGACATCGTCCGCGCTATCCGTGACTTCATCGACTATCGATCAGAAGTCCCAAAGGACACCCTGGAAGCGCATCTTCGCGAAATGAGCGGCATCTTCAAGAACCTGAATGTCGACGAGCAGAGCAGTAGTGCTGGGACCGACTCTGAGCAACGCTCGCCACAATTTGGGCAATCGGTCTCGTTCGAGAGCAGCCCGGAGCAGAGCTGGCAAAGCTGAGACGCCTTTGAGATGAGCGCATTTAAGGCCGCCCGAATGGCTGTATGACCTCGACGATTTGACTTCCATTCCTCATGCGGCACCACACGGGTTACACCAACCACTATATTCATTACGCATGTGCGATACTGGCGAGTTCAAATGGCACGCGCGACCAGGATGCATGAGATATTGTTCTCACGCGTGACCGAGATTTAGATACCCTTCTTGTAAAGAACTTCTTCACTTCTCCTCTCGCAAAAGACCCGTTGACTTGAGGATTGACTGGCATCCTTTGCTCCGCGTAACCACATGTACCGTAGCTAGGAACTCGAATTCCCGTTTCCCAGTACTGTGCAGCACGTGTACGCCATTGGCATTTAGATGAAGCGGGAACAAAAGTAGTCTTACTGGTAGGGATAGCCTGGTACTGCTTTCGAGACTGAGGCGGCATCTTGCATAACGGATCGGAATGTGCACGTGGTCGCCACGAATCGCACAACCCAGATTGCTTCCTGCAAGCCGAGATTGCCGGGTCGTGATTGTGCTTCCGTGGTTTCGACCCTGATCCTGGTGACCTGGCGACGTGGGCTTGGTGGCTTCGTTTCTTGTGCCCGCGCACCCGTGGCACCACAGGCACGATTCGGGAACGCACTGCGTCTGTCTGCATGATGGCAAGATCTAGATTCGGCGGCTGAGAGTTATCGTTTGTGTGATAGTAAGCCATGTGAAGATCGTTCAGGTGCAGTCGATCCAATCTGCAGGGAAAGGCATGATGCCTCTGGTGAACACGTAGACGAAGGGACCATTGGTGTAGGTCTCATTGTAGTGGTGAGTCTGCAACTTTATTGTGTGCTGGTGATGAAAAAGAGCGAAGAAAGGCGGATTGAAGTGAATGTAGATGCGCTTCCGAGCACAGGCCGAGCTTAATCCGACGTCGCCTCGACGAAGCTCACAGGCACACGCATAACCAGACTCCACCCTCTCATTCGGACACCAGAAGGACGAACAAGAGCACTAACACGAGCCACCATGGCTCTCCCGCAGTCCGCATACAAAGATCGCGAGTTCTTAGCTGTCATTGGTGACGAGGTAAGCCGCTGCTTAAGACCGCAAGGTCGCAATGGGAGGAATATAGACTGACGATGCTTGACAGGACTCAGTGACCGGTATACTGCTCGCCGGCGTTGGCGTAAGGACTCCCTCCACCTTGTTAAATGGGCTTTTCGATCTATCGAGCACCAGCGGCCGCATCTTTCAAACTTCCCAGCTAACGTACGCTCCTACTGCTGCACAGCACGTAACAGACCCTCCCGACTCTCAGAAGAACTACCTCGTCGTCGACTCTAAGACCGAAACCTCCACCATCGAAGGTGCATTTGAGTCGTTTACAAGAGAGCGGAAGGATATTGCGATTGTCTTGATCAATCAACACGTACGTCTTGGTGCCTCACGCACAATTCCGGAGCAACAAGGCGGAAGTTTAAGAAAGCACCAAATGTGCCGTGCTAATGTGCATATTGGGACAGATCGCAGAGAAAATACGAGCAAAGGTCGACCAGTACAACGAGGCGTTTCCAGCTCTATTAGAGATCCCAAGCAAAGACCATCCATATGACCCAGAAAAGGATAGTGTGATGAAGCGGGTGAGGAAACTGTTCGGGGAGTAGAATTGGGCTGCCTGCATAGGTTAAGACATGTTAAGAGCTTGGGTGTGAGGGAACAAGCGGTGACCATGGGCAGGCGGACGAATGGGAGGACAACACCCGCTCTCGAAGACTGGCAGTACCAACGAGCAAATAAACCGCGCTACAGCGGCACATAAGTGGCCATGGAAGAAGAAAAATGGCTTGATGAGTCGGTGCTCGAACGCATGTCACGCGAGACGCTAGTATATACATAAACCATGATACCCAAAATTCTTGCGGTTCGCCCTGGGAGTATTGGAAAAGAACAAGTTTGGGTCGATGCATGCCAGTACGCCCGTCATCGAAGCCTCGCAGGGTCCATGATCTGTCCTTGATTATGTCTTCTTCGCAGTGAATCCTTCCTTGTGTCTTCAATCTTGTCGCTTCTCATACCACATCTTCACAGCTCCTGAGCTCCACCGCGTGATTTTCCTTTACTTCAGACCCTGGTGCACAACCATGTTCCCTCCCCTCTTGAACTCCACGGTAGCGGTCAAGCAGGTCACGCGGTCCTCGTCCTTGGTCTCGACATCGGCAATAACGTTGTACTTGCCTGGAGGAATCTCCTTAGGCAGCTTGACCTCCTTCTCCAGCGTGATCTCGCCCTTCTCGATCGGGCACTTCAGGTCAACTTCCTTGCCCGCGTCGCAAAGGTCGTTGGTCATCTTGATGATCGTAACGAGTCCCCACTTGACTTGGAGGTGCACTTTGGCGCCTTCAGTCACATTTTGAGAGAGCGTGCCGGTCGCGGTGATCTTGAGGGTCTTGCCGCTGTTGGGAGCTGGGTTAGTGGCGGTGTGCAATGACGGGGCCGTTTGCAGAGTGTCGGTAATACACTTACGGGAGCGGTGGGTTTGGGTCGAGATCTACGCTCTCAAGGTCGAGGATATCGTCCTTGGGGTCCTGGCAGTGCTGCAGCGGGTTCTTGCCAGGCACGTCCAGAGCATCGTCGTACGGCGCAACCTCAATCGAGCTGCCGAAGATGCTGGCGCTGACGGCAGTGGCCAGCAGGCTGGATGTGAGGAGGGCGAAGAGCTTCATGTTGGCTTCGGTTCGGTTGGTGATTTGCTGAAGTCTGTTGGTAGCTGGGAAGGTGGTGAGTGGATACTGGAGATAGAAGGTGGAGGAGGTGGGAAGGCGGGCGCTAAGGCAACGGTGATGACAACGGCGCCAAGAATACCGTCGTCGATTCAGCCGAGATCGAACACTCTTCTGATGAGCTTCCTTTGTCTGTCACTGTCGCCTTACGTTGTCTCCAGCAACAGCCCCTCTCTGCACAGCACTGTTCGGTCTGCGATCTGAAATGGCCTTGTCGACCATGCAAGACCCTTGTGGTAGGATGCCGTAGCAATGCCTCTCATACGCTATCGTGGGAGACCCCTCGCTGGCTCTGCCTGGCACAGCGGACCTCATTCAAAGGAGCCTGACCAGGCGTACTGGCCCTTCACTGGTGCTGTTCACGAGTTTGGCCCTTTCTGATGCAACGATACCACATGAATCCATCTCAGAATTCTTCTTTGACTGTCAGGCTTAGGAAAATCTCTTATGTTAGATTGCTATAGCAAGCTTCACAGACCATGCTGCTCGTGCTGAAGAGGTGAGGTCGTTTTAAGCATTATCAGATTCAGTTATGGCAGGAGCGATGGTCGTGCCTTCCATTTTAGTCACGTCAGGACGAGGCCGACCACTTCACTTCACTTCACGACTTGCACTTCCAGACCGCAGGTCTCAGTCATCAACACCACATTGACTACCGACCCTGTCCCCCAAACCCTTCTCGACCAGGGACATTTCATACTCCAAGTCCGGCGACATGGCTGCAGAACCTGTTTTTGGAAAAGGGGGAAGTCCCCCCTTCCGCTCGATTCACGAGGAGAACTACATCGAAGCCTCCGCTCTGCTCGACGCTGAAGACTGGCAAGCTTGCATTGCTGCTGCCCATGAGAACCTCTCATATCCAGGATTGCCGCGGTACTGGCGTATACAGAACCTCCTTCTCATCTCGGAGGCAACGAATGACTGGCATCAAAGGGAGAATTGTCGAGTCGCAGCTGAGCAGATCTGGGGCATCGCACGACGAGAAACACCTAACACCCAAAGGGACGCCATCAAAAGCCTCCAGGACGTTCGCGGAGAACTGGATCAGCTCTCCGCATGGCAGGAGAGAGAGTCAGACGACGACAAGCAGAAGCTGCTGGCTTACAACGTGGCAGAGACCAAGCAGCCTGCTACGGACCATACGCTCGGAAGACCTTCTGCGGACGAGGAATGGCTGCCAACGGGACATGGATCCCACAACAGCATCGGCGGTCAGTTGGCCTTGAGCAAGTGGGCAGACAGCATATACAGCGAAGAAGCCACAGAGGACGAAAGCCGCTGGAATAACGAGTCCACCCGACAGGTCGAATGTAACAGTGACGGAGGAGGCCAGAGACAGATGGAGGGCAGCCATGGCGACAAATGCGCAACAGCACTTGCTGGAGGACTTAATACAAGGGCGACTGATACGCCTACGCGAAATGATTCTGTCCAAGGGAAACCACCTGCTATGGAGTCTCTGGCCGCAGAGCTTTCAGCCCTACGCACGGCTACAGAGTCTCTCAAAGCAGCACAGCAGGCGACAAAGGAGGTAGGAGCACGATTCGAGAAGGGTATCGCGACAGTGACAGAGCTCGAGGACATCATGGTCGCCTCGTTGATGTCCGGGAGGAGTGCGTCAGGACAAGAAATTAACACGCTTGCGAAGGCTTTCGAGAGACTAGGGAGGCTGTAGCACATTCAATGAACGATAATGACGGAAGACCTTGCTCTACGTAATGTTCTTTCTGCCACGCGTTTGCTGGCATCGAATGTATCTACATGTGCTTAACACCTTCATTGCCAAGATTTTGTGTGCCTAAGGTATCTAGATATTTCCGACTTGACAACACCTGTAGTTTGTGATATGAACGCTTAGACATTGAGTGAACGAAGCTCTTTTACCTTCGAACTCACCTTCCTCAACCGCTGCTCTTTTCTCACACTGCCGAAACCGTACATTGAACCTTCGGGGTCTATGCTCAAGAGTGTCTGAAAGACGGTAGCAATCCCTTGCATCGGCGAGGGGGCCTGCGGGAGGACAGGAGCCGACCGCAACGATGAAGTTGGACGTAAAGGTACGATACCCTTTAGTGGAAGAAGTGAGAATGGGAGCTAAAGTCAGACTGGAACTACAGCGACAGCTGTTCGCCCGCTCGGAAAGAGGTACGAATATGCCAGAGTACTGCACTGGAACTTGTCTGACCGGCTCACAGTGAAGGGCATTGACTTCCACGTTACCGAGCCATGGATCCTCACGACCCTCTACAGCGGCCATGTGTACATATGGTCCTACGAAACCCAGTCCATCATCAAGACCTTCGAGCTCACAGATGTCCCTGTGCGCGCCGGCCGGTTCGTCGCCCGCAAGAACTGGATCGTCTGTGGCAGCGATGACTTCCAGCTGCGGGTCTACAACTACAACACCTCCGAGAAGATCACCTCCTTCGAAGCACACCCTGACTACATCCGCGCGATCGCTGTCCACCCCACCAATCCCTTCGTTCTGACCGCCTCAGATGACATGACAATAAAACTGTGGGATTGGGACAGGCAATGGAAGTGCGTGCAGGTCTTTGAGGGGCACAGCCATTATGTGATGGGGTTGGCGATCAATCCCAAAGACACCAATACGTTTGCATCAGCATGTTTGGACCGGACGGTGAAGATATGGAATCTGGGGAGCGGGACACCGAATTTTACACTGGAGGCACATGACGCGAAGGGTGTGAATCATGTGGACTACTACCCGCAGAGCGACAAGCCGTACCTCCTCACCACTTCCGACGACCGGACGGTGAAGATTTGGGACTACACTACGAAAGCTCTCATCGCGACATTGGAGGGGCATACGAGCAATGTATCCTTTGCCTGCTTCCACCCCGAGCTGCCTGTCATCATCTCTGGCTCTGAAGATGGAACTGTCAAGATCTGGCACGCCAACACTTACCGACTCGAGCAGTCTTTGTCGTATGGTCTGGAGCGTGCTTGGTGTGTTTCATATCAGCGCGGCCGGCAAGGCATTGCCATGGGTTTCGATGATGGTGCGGTAGTTGTGAAGATGGGCCGTGAGGAGCCTGCAGTCAGCATGGACAACTCTGGCAAGATCATCTACGCACGGCATTCCGAGATCCTGACTTCCGTGCTCAAAGGCGGCGACAAGTCGCTGAAGGACGGTCAGCCCATCACACTCCCCTCCAAGGATCTCGGAAGCACCGAGATATACCCTCAGACTCTTCTCCACTCGCCAAACGGTCGATTCGTCGCTGTGTGCGGTGACGGCGAATACATCATCTACACTGCTTTGGCGCTGCGAAATCAGGCGTTTGGCTCCGCTCTCGACTTTGCCTGGGCCAGCAAGGAGAACGACAAAGACTACGCCATCCGGGAGTCGCAATATTCTGTGAAGACCTACCGGAACTTCAAGCCCAAAGGTGGTGACGGCAGCATCAATGTCGGCTACACTGCAGATGGACTCAGTGGTGGCATCCTTCTCGGTGTGAAAGGTCAGGGTGGCGTGGGCTTCTTTGACTGGGAGACTGGCAAGCTTGTCCGGCGCATTGAAGTCGAGCCTCGCAGTGTGCACTGGTCGGAGAGTGGCGAGCTTGTCTGCCTGGCATGTGAAGACACGTTCTACGTGCTGAGGTACTCTAGAGAGCAGTATGTGGCGGCTGTACAGGCCGGGACGGTCGAGGACGATGGTGTTGAGGAGGCTTTCGAAGTTGTCTGTGACATCAATGAGAGGTACGTCAACGCTTCCTCACGCATACCATCTTGAAAAGACCGAAGCTAACGAATACTACAGCGTTCGAACGGGTCAATGGATCGGTGACTGCTTCGTGTACACCAGCTCTACCAACCGCCTCAACTACCTCGTCGGTGACCAGACTTACACCATCTCACATTTCGACTCACCACATTATGTCCTCGGCTACCTGGCCCGCGATGCCCGGGTGTATGTCTGCGACAAGGATGTCGCTGTCACGTCCTTCGCTCTTTCGGTGTCTGTCATCGAGTATCAGACTCTTGTGCTTCGTGGTGATGTCGACGCAGCACAGGACATGCTTCCGGAGATACCAGAGGACCAGCGACCCAAGATTGCTCGATTCCTGGAAGGCCAAGGCTACAAGGAGTTGGCTCTTGATGTAGCAACCGAGAAGGAGCACCGATTCGAGTTGGCTCTTGGGCTGGGAAGACTGGACATTGGACTTGAGCTGGCGCGTGAAGCGGACGTCGAGCACAAGTGGAAGACTGTCGGCGATGCTGCGCTTGCCGCTTGGGATGTGCGGTTGGCGGAGGAGTGCTTCCTGAATGCGAAAGATATTGGAAGCTTGCTGTTGCTGTACAGCTCCAGCTCAAACCACGACGGCCTGCGAGATCTGGCTTCCAAAGCGAAAGAAGCTGGACTGTGGAACGTGGCGTTCTCATGTCTGTGGCAACTGGCTGACGTGGATGGCTGTCTCGATCTCCTGCTCTCAACAAACCGTACCGCGGAAGCCGTGCTGTTTGCACAGACATACAAGCCGAGCAGGTGCAAAGCGATTGTCTCCGAGTGGAAGTCTGGGCTTGAGAAGCAAGGCAAGGGTAAGGTCAGCAGGATGCTCGGAATGCCTCCTGGCCCTTCTGCTGCAGGTCTGGACGGCGACGGCGCGGGTGAGGATGGAGACGAGGATATGTTCCCCGAATGGAACGAGTATCTCCGGTTGGAGAAGGAGGGTGGAAGCCATGCCGACTTGATCGATGTGAATGGTGCAGATGGTGGTGATGATGTGGTTGCTGCGAAGCAAAAGGCGGCGCCGACGGATGTTGACGATGTGGAAGCAGCAGATGGCCAGGATGGAGAAGTGAGCCCGCAGACCGAGACTGAGGTTTAGGATGGCTTTGTTATGGTGCGCTGAGATGGATGCGTGGAGTCTGGCGTCAAGAAAACTCTGGAACAGGGTCGATGTTATGGTGGACAGGGAGCAGAGGGAAGACGATGATCACCATGTCTGATGGCGCCACGACTTGTTGGAGCCGGAATGATCGAGCATTGACTAGTGAGTATCAAGATTGAAGCTAGTCTCTCTATCACATGCGACTCTAGAATGAGGTTGACGTTCTACTCCATCATTCCTCGTGGTAGTGTGCTCATTTCGGTCCTTTCTTCCCCAAAAACCACTCCACTCTTCGAGCGTGTCCCAGGTCAGGAAAAGAGCCAAAAATAAACAGGTTTGACGACCAACATCTGGAAGAACATTAGAGGAAATTCAACTTGTACTAAGGTTATTTCCTTACGGGACTAATGAGATCAGTTCGGTAGTCCAGGGAATAAATGGACACATGTGACAAACCTCGAACCTAGAACCCCGTTAACGTTGGTTGAGACTGAAAAGGTGTACATCAATTCTTACCCACAACCTTCCGCTGGGCCAGTGATAGGAGGCGGACGCTCTACCATTGAGCCAATCGGCCAAAGAAGTACTGGGACAGATCTAAAATAGAATATAATAGGTATTTCAATGGCTGGAATCACGTGTTCCTGATCATCAGGGCACATGGTGCTTCACTGTCCATCCAGACATCTTCTCCAAAGAGCAATGAGCTCAGATGCGGCGCTCTAGCATGCTTTCGAGCCGGGTCGAATGTCGAGATGCACACTTTTCACCTGGCTCACTGGTCGATGAAGATGGCTTCTCCAAAGCACGACGAGGCACTGGAGTATGTCGTTACGCCTTCAGCTGGATGACAGACAGGGGAAGTCTACCTTCTCACCTTTTAGTACCTGCTGAAATAGAAGTTTTGTTACTATAGTAGGCCTTAGCGGCGTAGATTGTGCACTTGGAGCCTCCTTCTCATCGTACGTTGGGGGAAACAGAAGCATAATCTGGCGCAAGCATGAACGTACACGGTCCTGATGGCTGATATTTGAGTAGAAAGAGCTCCAGCTAATGGAGGAAATAGACCATCTCCATGGATACGCCGGGGTACAAGTGGCATCTCATCAGGTCTCGGCCATGTATAATTCTCGAAACCGCAGCAATCGTAGAATGACAACTTCTCTGCCTTAGTCTTCTATGAGGGCCCGATTCCGTCGCGCACGCAGTATGTGTGATTAATACGGTGTTGTTTTGGTAATTCTATGCTGGTTAACTTTTACTGCGAGGTGCGAAGGTTAGCAACGAGGGTTGGCGAGATCAAATTCTGGAAAAGGAGACACATTGAACAGCGAAAGCCTTCATCAACCGTTCGTTTGCAATGTTCAACCTGTTGATTTGTGCAGCTATTCAACGTGTAGACGTGCGTGTAGCAGTAAGTTGCAAACGTCAAGCCAGCGCTGACCTGTCTCGCCAATACCACCGCTCAGCAGCTCGCTCCAACCCCATCGTATCGTTCAAGCACCGATCGTTGCTTCCTTAGACCTATCCTCGACGTGGACACAGAGCGACACTGTACGCACATTCCTTAGACATGCTCAAGATGCGTACTCTCCACATGCTTCGCGAACTTGCGGTGAAGGATTGAGACCTTGCACAAGGGGCAGATTACCCTGCCATCCTCTTGAGAATTGATGGCTGCACGCAGCAGCTCTTGTTGGCGAGAATGGTAATCGGAGCGCATGTGGCGGTCGAGCTTGGTCTTGTCCCAGAGTCTGTCCGGTGTAGCAGCCGTCGGGTCGAGAAGACACAGCATACACTTCATGTTCTTGACCTCGACCGAAGAGAGAGCAATGAACGATTTGAGGAACTGAAGACGTCCATCGACGGTTGTGTTGCCGTCCTGGTCACCCGCCGAGCGAACGAAGACTTCGTCATTGAGCGTGCCCCAATGCTCTGGCTCTTCACGAGTGGCTTCCAACGCTTCTTCGACAGCTTCTGCGTCGATGTCCGCCTCAGCAGAATCTTCTTCCACCTCGTCCGTGCTCAATCCTTGGATGAGCGCCTCTGAAGAGTCTTGGTACTAAGCAGCTCCAGTCGCTACAACATCATCGACGCCTAGCTGGTCAGAGCGGTTGCTCGCAGTCCTCCTCACCGCCTTCATTGTCTTCTTGTGGTCTTCAAGCATTTGCGCTTTCTGCTCCTTGAGATGTCTCTCCATGAGATGATACCGGAGTTTCTTACGCTTGGCGAGGAGAGTGGTAAGCTCTTCGTGCTCACTGAACAGAGACTTCTCCACAAGTGCGTCACGATACTGCTGGAAGTTGGTCATCTTCTGAAGCTCCGGCGGATCCATCTCTAGGATCTCAGCAATGCCTGTTAGTGTGCTGAAGAGCTTCTGCTCCATGTCGATGTATGTAGGATCTGAAGTTACTGAGTTCGCAGTCCGTTCGCGGAGCTCTTGCTGCAAGTCGATGCCTTGGGTGTCGATGCGGGTGTGCGCCTGTCGGAATGCTTCACGGATCGCATCACGGCTAATGGTTTGCTCACCAGTCCTCATGGCGGTGATGTCCATGTCCTCGGTAGTGTCTTCGTCGTAGTACGAGATGGTGGTAGAGTCGATGGCGTGGCCAGCGAGCTCCCGTGCCCTTTCAGTACCGTGGCTGCGTCGCATCTCTACTATTGCGGTCCGGCGGAAGGAGTATGTTGTATTGCGCTGAAGAAGTCCCACAGCAGTACACATCTTCCGAAGCTTCGGATTGAGAACCCCGATTCTCATAGGCTGTGTTGGCTCAAGCTCGCTGGCCTGATTCGAAGCCAAGAAGACTGCTTGTTTGGACACTGCGTCGATGGTTGGCAGATTGACACGCTCGTCGGCGAGGAGGTCTTCGATAGTGCTGAAGGGGAACAAGCCACGGTTGAAGGCGATGGCGAGTAGTACCGCAGACAGGTCGAACTCGTACCGCTCGCCACGAGTCGGAAGGAAGGTGAAGGTCTTCTTGGCCTCAACGGCACGCTGGGTGTATGGGTTCCGTTGGCCTTTGAGATACTTGTACTTGATGCTGACGGCGACGCCATCGACGTTGGGATAATGGAAGAACTTGACGTCGCTCCAGCGCAAAGTCTCATCGTCAGGCCGCACGAACCCGCCACTTAGATCCGCACCTTTCTCATAGCCTACGCCGACGGTGAAAGATCCCGCACGTACTCCGGTGATGTACATCATTAACCACGCCGCGAAATGCTGCTTCTAGTCATCGACGCCTTGGTGAAGGGTGATGAGTTGCCGGTAGAACAGCAGAAGCTCGGTGTCGGTCAGATTGTTTTTCGCATGGAAGCCTTTCTCCAGATCGTGGGTACGAGCGACAAGGTGTATGTGAGAAGTAACTTTGGATTGCCACGTAGGATATATGGCCCCGAAGTTCCCGATGAAGCGGACAGCCCACCACTTAAGTGATGCCATGTGCGCCCAGAGGACACCCGCCTTTGGTTTCTTGCCGACTTTTCCGCCCGGACTGAGAATGTTCATGACGTCGAGAAACTGCTTCGTGTAGTCGATGAAGGTCTCTTGGTTCCAGATTTCTTCCACACTACATGCACCGTTATCGTCAGCACTACCATGATTCTGGAAAACGTTAAGCAGAACCGCCTTACGTTTCCTTGCCGAAGACTTGCTTGATGCATGCCTCGAAATTCTTGCGGGTGAGTGCGCGCGCCTTGCGAGTGCCAGGGGAATGGCGGTCGAACCACTCAGAGGCATCTGCCCGCGCTGTTCAGGAATGGTCAGCGACATGGTACCCTCTCGCAGGCTGGGAATTGGTGGACGTACCCGCTATCGCTGCTAGTTGATCTTGGTCTTGTGCAATCCTCCTCAGACCTTCCAGCATGCGCGAACTGGGCTTACCAGCTGGTGGTGCTGTGTTTGGGTTCGACGCCATGGCGACTGGTGATTCAGTGCGGATGTTGAGGTCGATGGGCGATAGGTTCCGCTGTGAAATTGAGTATTGAGTGGGTGAAACGTTTGTTTTGGCAAGACCCACGACGCACGGTGACGTTTCCTTAAACCGCGTTTGCTGGCCTGCCTAAGGTTGATGCAATCGAAGCTTCTCCAGGGGCAGCGACCGTGAATGCAAGAAACTTCTTTTCTGTTGGAACATCAGCCAGGCAACTGCTCACATGTTCCTACTTCCAGGATAGATACCTCCAACCTCGGATCCCGTTCCACCACCAGCTCACCACAACTTCATCAGTGTCCGCGAAGATGGCACCCAAGGCAGCGACGCCCGTCATGTCGATGGATGAACTCGATGAGGACATCAGGTCGATGAAAGGTGAAGGTCTCAAGCATGAGCTGAAGCAGCTCAAGAACAGAGGCATCAAGACCAGAGTGACCGGTAGTGTTGGGGATCTTAAGCGACTGCTGCACAACGCGAGGCGTGATCCTTTAGCTGCAAGCGACAAGGCTGCTGCCACATCAATTGGGAGCCCTTCTGTAGCTGGAGGAGCATCGGTTTCTGCAGCTGCGATACCTGGCGCAGCAGGCTCAGAAGCCGCAAGCATCACCGCCTCCAGATTTGGTAAGGCCGAAGAGATCCTGCTTGTGTACGAAGACGTACATCCCATCACAAAGAATTGCCTGGAGAAGCTCGGGGAGGTAAAGCAAGTCATTACCACCAGCATCAATGACGACGAAGATGCCTCTTCGCGCCTGACCTTACTCCTCCAACCTGTCGCGCAGCTCATCGACGCTGTGGTCAATGCAAGGGAAGACATCACAGAAGACATGAGCGTGTCGCCAGCCATCAATTTCGGAACACTGGCCAGACTCGTTCGAGATGCGATGCCAGGGCCCATCCATGTACACAGCGAGCTTATGTCGATATTTGCTACGTTCGGTGTCGACTGTGTGCAGTTGCCGGGCGGGGACTCACAGCCAGCAGGACCTTCGCAAGAAGAGCAAGAAGAGCAAGAAGAGCAAGAAGAGCAACAGGCGACAGCGAGGCAAGAATCGACCCTAGATGCCATTCAGCGCGATATGCAGAGGAGGTACCGGCAAGACTTAGCGAACTCATCTCAACCAAGTGAGAACCAAAACTCCGACAAAGACCGTACGCCACCGACCACATCTGCTCCGCCTGTCGACCCGGGAATCGGCCTCCAGCTGAAGAGAGAGGTTGGCCATATCCAACAAGGCCTGCGCCTCGCGCTGCGTGCGTGGTCATCGAATTTCCCAAAGCCAGCAAACAGAGCCTTTCCGCTCGATTTCGACAACACAGAGAGGACCAAGGTTCGAGCATTCCTCCGCAAATACTTGCGAGATGAGGAGAACGGCATCGACCTAGACCTCAAAAAGCAACCGACCGATGAGGTTGCACGAATTGTCGACGACATCCTGGCCATGGACGACTTTCCGGTCGATGATGCAAAGAACAAGACCATAGTCGAGGCCGACGTTCTCTTTCAGTGTAGCAACATCTATGCAGACCGAAGGAAAGCCAAAGCTAAGAAAGATGCGAAGGCTACGGGCGGTGATGCTGGCGAGGGCGAAGAAGCCGGCGGGGTTGGCGAGCAGCCTGGTCCAGCGACTGGTGCCAGCGAGGTTGGTGAAAACGAGTCGGAAGGCAAAGGGAAGGGGAAGAAGCGTGCTTGCGAAGCAGAAGGCGAAGACGATGGAGATGAGGCGGAGGACGAGAGCATACCAAAGAGCAACGGCGGACGGAAGAAACGGCCGAAGCACACTGGTGCACCGCCAGAGTCACCAGCACCCCTGGGTTATGGCGAAGGTGGGCTCGAGTGCATGGCATGCTTTCTGTCCGGCAAGGACTGCTCCTTCAAGCAGCGCGACAAAGGTGCTGGAGATTGTACCCAATGCTACGACAAAGACGTCTTCTGCCGCATTCTCTGTGAGGCGTGCAAGGATGTGGTCAATGAATTCGGACGTGGGTACGGCGACGCCAGCATGCTGGGTGAAACATGGGGATACTGCGTCGATCGTGGGTGAACTGTGTCGATCGCAGTAAGGGCTATGTCGATCGCGCGTGGGTCGCAGTAGCCCTCCGTCTGGTGGCGGGTATAGTCATGGTTGCTTTGAGAGGCGTCTTGGGTGTTCGGCGCGGTGTACGCGGTCTTGCTTGAAGAGACTATTTGCAAGCTTGTCTGAGTAGCTGTAGCATCAACAGAAAGTCAAGTAGCCAGCTCAATCATTATTGACCCTTGGCCGAACAACAAGCACTTCCATAATCGTCTTGTGAAGCCCGGATGAAGCTGGAGTGAGGTGAAGGTGAGGATTGCGAGTGTGGCGTGCTTGGCGAAATCAAAGTTCAGCCAATCCAATTATGGAAGACCCTTCAAGAGCGCTCTACATATGCCTCCTGTTGTTAGGCATGTTTATTGCAATGATATCTATACATCCGCTCGACTCTACCAAGCAGCCGCCTCGAACACCCTCTCTAACCTCTCCCTCGTCATCGCAAATCCTCCCTGACCCCTCCTCGTCCGCACCACGGCCTTGACCCGATCAACCGCAAGGTCATGAGATGGACAGCTCGTACACCGCGGATCCCTCCTCCAACTAACAGGTGATGGTTTCGCCAAGTTGATCACAATTGCACTCCGGCAGAAATACGTATGCTCCGGAGAACACTGATTCTTGCTATGCTGATAGTCTTCCAGCTGCACGCGTCGGATCGATTGGAACGCCGCATCTGGTCGTCGTTGCAACCAGTGGTGGTAGTATGACATGTTCTGCTGTCTCATGGCGAACACGAGTTTCTTGCCTGCATGCCACATTGCCATGGTCTCTCGACGGATTTGGCAGCATGTCTGGGTGAGGCTGTAGGTGTAGCGTCGTTTGCCCGGGCTGCATTGGTAGATGAAAGGACAGAGGACTTCTTCCGTGCTGTCGTTGAGGACAAGATCGTAAATGCTGTTGCGGATTTCTGCTGGCAGGTCGAGCAGACCTGTAGTCCGCTGTGCTTTTTGGTTTCCCATTGTTTCGGGGCCCTTATATCTGCTCGTCCTCGTTGGATATGTACCACTGAAGCATGATGGGAGAGTGGGGGAGACGGTCGACGAGGTTCAAGTCAAGCATTGCTCACGAGACAAGGGATCCCAGATGGATGTAAAAGGCACCTTGACGAAGTCCTGCAGAACTCATCACGAGGCAATGCAGATCTACCATAGTGATTGGACTCTTCTCCAAAACACAGCGAATGGCTCTTCGTTAGATTAGAGATGTATGACCAGAGAATGACATTGATAGGAGAGCGGTCGGAAGTAGCTTCGAGATCTTCCAAACTATCGCGCATCAAAGCAACACACGCGGAGGGTACAGCGGTCCTTGGCCATCACAATCTGCAATCGCACGAGTTGGAGTTCGTTCGGACTATTCAAATGTGTCGAAGAAGCAGAGATCATCGCAGGGTTCCATCGTGACAGCTGCCGAAAAAGTCGAGATCGAAGACCCTGGAGTCCGAGGTAGGCAGTAGCGAGCGCAGATGAAGTGTTACCCGAGGCTGTTACGTGCGAATGTTCCAAATGCTTCACTCAAACCCGAACAAAGCGGACGATTTGTTGATGATAGGTCCTTGCGTGTATTATCTGAAGTAGCGTGCGCTGTCAAGGCAGACGACCATCCCAAATGCCTCCGGATATCGTTGTAGGCGTCTATAACACCAGCGAAAATGCCAATCGACCCCGCCGATGCCGCTGTCCTCCCAATCATGATACCATTATATCATCAATTCATCGTAGCTTGCGATAAAGCTCGCCACCACAATCTCGCAAACGCGTCGCTGCCTGCTCAGGAGTGATGTCTCGTTGCGGCTCTGCCATCATCTCGTAGCCGACCAGGAACTTCCGCACGGTGGCACTGCGTAGTAGGGGAGGATAGAAGTGCAGATGGAAGTGTGAGCATTCGATCTCTTCGTTCGTCCCTGATAGGGGTGCTTGGTGGATGCCCATGCCTGGATAACGTTAGCTTGTGTCTCAGACAATCTCCTCGGAGGTACTTACTATAAGGAAAGCTCGTCTCGAACAAATTGTCGTATCTCCTCGTAATCTCTGCGATCACTTCTGCCAAATCCTCCTTCTCCTGCTGGTCCAAGTCGACCAACGCCCTCTTGTGGCTCTTCGCGACAACCATAATCTCAAACGGCCATGTAGCCCACCATGGACAACCCGCCCAGAAGCTGCTGTTCTCAAACACTGTCCGCTCCGCCTTCTCACTCTCCAGCTTGGCGTAGTCTTCCAGCAGATGCGCGCCGTTATGTTCTTGCCTGTACCGAGCCATGTGCAGCAACTCAATCGCCGGCTCCTCTGGAAGCGATGTTGTGGTCCATATCTGCCCGTGGGGATGCGGATTTGAGCACCCCATTGCTTGGCCCTTGTTCTCGAAGATCTGCATGTAGCGGAATTGCTGAGAAGGATTATCGATGATGTTGCCATTCGGAGCTGACGGTGGCAGAGTCGTTGGCTTGGAAGCCTTGACCAGGGGGGAGTGCGGGTCCAGATGCGAGGTATAGATCTTAGTCCAGGTATCTATCACAGGCAGAATGGTATGCGCCGGCATGTCGGCAAGTGTGAGGTTGTGTTCTGGCGAGAAGGTAATGACATAGCATTTGCCAGTCGTGCCTTCTGCTTTTAATAACCGCGATTCGAGTGCTGTTATCCTCGATCAGTCGGACATCACAGGCTCGCTACGAAATAGCTTGACTCACAGCCATTGTCTGACGGCAAGTGGTATTCATCTTGTTGCTCTTTCACCGCTGCGTAGTCGTTGACGAACACGAATGTTCTGTCGTACTTCGGGTTGACATCGCCTTGTGCACGCTTATTCCCGGGGCATAGATAGCACTGTTCAACGTGTCAGTGAATGCCCTGCTCTTGCCATAAGCTGTCCGGGCTCACGTACGCTTGAATCATACGCAGGCAGCACATTCTTGCTCGACTCCTCTTGCTGCCCCTGCCATGGTCGCTTCGTTCTATGAGGGGACACCAATACCCACGACCCTCTCAGTGGATTGTATCGTCGATGTGATATATCATTGAGTATGTCGTCAGGCATGCTGTGCTTCGGCGAAGGAGGGATGGAATCGGGAGGGGTAGGTATCGAGGAAGCTGTAACGATGCGGTCAGGCAGGCCTGCTTCAGATTGTTGCAATGATCCTGAATGCATCCTCCCAACTGTAAAAGCAGGAAACAAGCGAGTACAAGGACAGTCCCACTACTGTAGATGCTGGGAGGCCTCGACCGACGCGACTTTACCCGACCAGAGGCAACACTCAGCGATGGACTTACGAGTTACATAGGGCCAGGAAGAAGAAGTGCCGCCGACATCCAGTCCATATATGTCGGGGGGAGACAACTAGCTAGAGTTGTGGGATAGTTTTGGGCGGGCCCGCTATCGTGTCGCAGCGCGCATCCACCGGGTGAAGTTGGAGGTGCAAGAATGCTGTTGCGCGAGCGTTGGGACCCACGGTAAAAGCAGGCGACTGCGGTTGCGAGGACGCAGACGCAGTTTGAACGAATGCATCACGGCTGATTGGAGGAAAAGAGGAAGTCATGCTCGGAATGTGGAGGACTTGGAGGGGCGAGATGAAACGATGCCACGAGGTGGTGCCTTTTTTTCGGGAGTTGATGTAGCACGTGATCGGATGTTTACGTGAATTCGGCTGTTCGCACTTTGCTCGCGCCAACGTCTTCTGTGGAGGAGGGCGAGTGCGGGCCTCCAGAGTCTACTGGTGCGTGATCGTGCTGCTGTAGGTCGATTGGGATTCCTGGTCGACCATAGCTACTGTGATAAGCTCGAACTCCGCGACAAAATACATCCGGAGCTTATACTGTTCTTGGTACGATACTCAGGCCGCCCTTTGAGAGCGCTAAAAAAACTGGGATGCATTCCTGGAGGTCTTGTGCAGCTGAGAGAGTCCTCGATCTCTTTCGTCGTGATAGCCCTATTTATCTTGCTTGATGGCCTCGACTTCAAGCTTGACCGTCATAGCAGGCTCAGCCAGCTTGGAAATGCCCAGGGCGGTCCAAAGCGGACGGTGACTTGGGACACGCTTCTTCAGCGTCTCCACCAAGTACTCAAAGTGATTCCCAATGTCCGTCTGATAGCTGCGGAGGAGATACACCTGCAATCGTATTACGACGGCGACGATCATGCTCGAGAGGGCCTCGACTTACGTCTTCCCAGCCACGGAGTCTGGCCGCCTGTAATACTCTGTCCACGTTGTCGAAGGCATGATCGATTTGTTGCTTCCAGTCGTACGATTCGACGTCCCCCTCTGGGTCCCAACCGCCTTGACCCGATAGCTTTGCAACGTTCCCAATCATGACAATCTGGGAGTAGTGGCTAGCATCGCTGTGCTTCTGGCCGGCGCCTTCCTCGTTGATGTGTTGAGATCAGACATGATGTATGTTCTGTGGAAGAAGTGGGAGTGACAAGACTGAGGAGGGAAGAGAATTCACCAGCAGTAAGGTAGGAGAATAGAACACCAGTCCACCTGAACAAGTTTTCGATAGCACCTACCTACACTTTGTCACCGTTTGGTCTCCAGGAGAGCCGTCATAGTTGGGGTTTGTCCGGTCTCCAGACCTTCGAGGCGACTTCGCCGGTCTTCAACAGGGGCTGCGAAGTCGGAAGGTGCGGCGACTCCCGCGTAAGGCTGAAACGCGTTACACTCCAAGGCAGCTGGTATAGACACATCTGGCCTCAGCGAGCTATACACATTCGACCAACGACGACGGCCGTGGAACAGAATAAACACTACTGTTGAGGACGTAGTGCACCTCTGACAACCCTCAACGACCCAATGGCGGCCATGATGCCCTCCGGCACGGGCTCGAATCAAACAGCCAACCCTTACGAGCACTACGACGCACCTGTAGAAGACGACCTGATTGACCCAGACGACGGTACCTCTCCCCAAACAGCGAGACAACGAACACGCAGTCAGACTAACGTATACAGCCACCCTCGACGAACTCGACGACCCCCGAAACCAAAGCGACCGCGCCCCCCTAACCGGCCGCATCACTAACAATCAAGCTCAATCCAACACCCGCGCCGCCGGCAACACCCAAGGCTACCTCAATTCCGCCATCCCCGGCGAAGACCGCCGCGCACCGATCAACACGATCGACGAGTCGGTGTGGGACACGCTGAGGAGAGACCTGCTGGCTGTGTGGGAGAAGATGCGGCAGGTGCTGTATCCGAAGTACCTGCTCGGTGGCATGATGAACAGCGGTGGGCAAGGTATGGGCGACGCGCAGATAGAGGAGGGACAGGGGCTGATGGGTGGTGCGGCGGGTGCCATGGGGCAGATTCGGGGACTGGTGGGGAGGTGGCCGGATGCGGATGCTGTGCTGCAGGGTGGTATGAGCGAAGGGTTGAGAGATTGGGATCTTTGGTATGTGCAGGCAATATACTGGTGTGGAGGATACTATGCTGACATCAGAATCAGGGGCCCACTGCTCTTCTGCCTTCTGCTGTCTTTCCTGCTCAGCATCAATGCGCGGGAAGACCAGCGCTCGCTCGTCTTCAGCGGCGTCTTTGCGACCATCTGGATCGCCGAAGCCATTGTCACGCTGCAGATCAAGCTGCTTGGCGGCACGATGTACGCAAACCCAAATCTCGACTCTCCAGATCACAGGCTGACGCTCACACAGTTCCTTCTTCCAATCCGTCTGCATCATCGGCTATACGCTCTTCCCGCTCGTCATTGCGTCGCTCTTATCCGCGCTGCGCGTCCCGACCATTGTGCGAATACCAGTCTACTCAGTGCTTGGTCTCTGGTCGCTAGCAGCCGGTGTCAGCATTCTCGGCGGAAGTGGGGTGGTGAAGAATCGCGTCGCGTTGGCGGTATATCCGCTGTTCGTGTTCTACGTCGGACTGGACTGCTTGTGTTTCATCTCTTGAGCGTTTCTGGTGTAGCAATAGCATGTTTTACTAGATGTATTGATGACAACAGTTGATCTCGAGAGTGTAGTTCTCACTTCTCACTTTCACGATTGCTCGCTGAAGGCTGATTGTAACGATATGTTCACATTGAATACTTATACACAGCGCTCAGTCCCGCTTCCCAATGCCATAACCATACCCATTGCCGTTCGCTATGCCATACCCACCCAACCCACCACCCCTCTCCATGCCACCCAGCCGATCCTTCCCATGACTCTTCAACCTTCTCGGCAACTCTACGCCCCTGAAGTACGCCATGCACCCTGCTGCGGTCGCCAGAATGCACAACATACAATACACCAGCGTACTGAACGTCAAGTGTCCACCCACCCCCGTCCACCCCGACGGCAAGCTCGTGTTGGGATACCACCTCACACTGAACCGCAGAGGCAGACTGTCTCCTATGACGATCCTCGTTGGCGGGTCTCGCGACACCGAGTACGCTGTCGCTGCCGCAATCGTGCCCGGCGCAACCGACTTGGCCGCCGCGTGCACGAGCACGTTCAAATTGGTGCTGACATGCAGATGGCTGAGTTGTAACGTCCCTGTCAACGCCACGATCATTGGCGTGTACACCTCGCTAAGGCTGCCCTGTCCATCGGTATTATCTGTCGTCCCAGCCTCGAACTCTTTCATGAGAAGTGACGGGGGTATAGGTTTCGTCGGGATGCGGCAGGTCATGGGCGCATCGTTGTGGACGTAGAACTCGAGAAGGTGGAAGAGCGGGTCGTTGATGAAGTCGATGGTGCAGTTGATGTCCTTTTCCACACCGAAGAGGAGTTCGAGAGGTCTACCGGTTTCGTTGCATGTTGGGAAGGGGATGTAGGCGAGTTGCCCGGCGGCGTCGGTGATGTGTTCGCCGGTGTCGCTGGAGTAATACTGTTAGACAGTGCGCCACCTTTGTGGGACGGGGGAGGAAGTACACTGATCTGTTCAAGCAGCTCACTGGTATGCTTTCGCCAACTTTGTAGCCGGGTAGGATGAGTGGTTCTTGTGCTGCGCAACTCGCTAGAGCGGTGTAGAATGCAACGATCAGATGGATGATAAGGGAAAATCTGTCCAGCATTTTGCCCTGTCACGCCGGTCAATATGTCGAGGAGTGAGAAAAGTTGTCTCGTGTTTCTCGAACTTCAACAACCACGTCGCTTGGCGGCAGCGGCGGCGGCAGGGTTCAGGAGAAGTGAAGACCGGCGCCAACGCCTCCACTGCCATATCGTCCAATACATCCTCCTACATTGCTTCCGATGGGCATAGTACCTCCTACTACCCTCTGAAGGCAGTGGATTTCGTACCTGAAACACATCGATCAGATTGGATCAACGTCAATCAGCAACAAGTGAGATAGAGTCTAGACAAATCAACGAAGTACTTTCTATGCACCAAACTCCACAAACTGCAGTCCACAGCCCCAACAAATAGAGCAACAAGCTATCTGGGGATCGATCACGACCACGGTCTCGATTCTCGGCATCAAACCTACTTCTACTTCACGAATATTCATTCCGCGGTGTTGTTGTACTGTGGTTGTTCGATCGCTGGTCTCGCCTCGCGCTATCTAAAAAGATCCCGTTCGATCCGGACGAGTGACGTCAAAAATTCAACTTGGACGACAGTTTCACGGTTCTTGGAGTAGATTTGCCCAGATTGAACGCGTCAGAACCGTTTTGGCGTTTGATATAGTCGGGTGCAACAAGTGGTAGGTGTTTGTTTGTTTTGTCTTCGTTCACTCTTTCCCTCACATCCTGCGACAGCTGCTGTTGGGACAGCATACTGAGAAAGCGGCGTGGACGAAGAACACTCCATCTAGAAGAGCAAGGTCGTGGAACACACAACACCTTCACAATGACCACGCGCTGGAGGATTGGTGAGAAGAGATCGGGGCCCACTGGCAACCTCGACATAAATGACGAGGATGTCAATTGGAAAGAGCGGATAAGTCACTTCACATGGTGCGCAACATCCATCATTCGCGAACGATGGTCGAGTACTGACGAAGTCCACGCGCAGGCCATGGTTCTCGGCAACGATGTCTACCGGCGCCATGGCGGCCGTCATCTCGCAAACGCCCAACACCTTCCACGGCCTTGCAACAATTGGGAAGATCTTCTACATCCTCGACGTGGTCATGTTCGTTACCTTCACCATAGCCATGGCCATGCGCTTCGTGCTCTTCCCGCGCAAAGTCCTGCAGTCGCTCTACCACCCGGTTGAAGGCCTGTTCTTCGGCGCGTACTTTGTCTCGGTCGGTCTGATCCTGAACGGCGCGCAGGCGTATGGTGTTCCGAATTGCGGGCCTTGGCTGGTGACGGCCTTACGGGTCTGTTTCTGGATGTACTGTGGGACTGTTTTGCTGGTGGCCATCTTCCAGTACTACGTGCTCTTCCAGAATGCACGACTGGATGTCGCGAACGCTGTACCCGCTTGGATCTTCCCAATCTACCCTCTGCTTGTGGTCGGATCGCTGGCTAGTGTGATGCTGCCAAGCCAGCCGCGGCAACAGGCGTACAACATGTGGATAGGAGCAGTGATGTTGCAGGGTTTGGCCTGGACGGTGGCCTTGTTGCAGTATGCAATATACATGCAGCGGTTGATGACGAGTCAATTGCCTCCTCCGCCTACGAGGCCGGGCATGTATGTGTCGGTTGGACCAGCTGGTGAGTACAACGAATCCGCACATGAGAAGTGTAGCGTACAACACTAACTGACATCGCAGGCTACACCGCCGCCGCTCTCATCGGCCTCGCCAACGCGGCACCCACCGTCCTCCCCGCCAACGCCTTCAACGTCAACCCGAACTTCGGAGACGGCCAAGTGGTGAAAGATCTCGGGATCATCTCCGGCACCTTCATCCTCCTCTTTTCCTTCTGGTTCTTCTGCATCTCGACAGCCGCCGTGTGCGCCGGAATAAAGAAGATGACCTATACGCTCAACTGGTGGGCGTTTGTCTTTCCAAATGCTGGTTTGGCGCTGGCGGCCATTCAGTTGGGATCGGTGTACAGCAGTCCAGGGATCAATGGGATTTGCAGCGCGTTGACGGTAATGTTGGTTATACTGTGGTTTATTGCGGCGATATTCTGCGTGAGGGCTGTGATTAGAAAGGAGATCACGTATCCTGGGAAGGATGAGGATGCTAGCTGAGAGTAGACGATCACATGCAACAAGTTCATCGCCAATGTTTTCGAATGTTGGAGCTGATCTCCAACAGTTGTGACTTGGTAGTATTGCGTTTGAATGTTCCTAGTACCAGTCTTGATCGTTAATAGCTCACCAAACAAACAAGGGAGTCTCTCTGAAGACGGTATATGAAGGGACAGCTGTCACTCAATTTTGTAGGTATCATGTTGTATTTGTAAAATTCTACTTTCAGATCATGAGCAAGAGCTTATTGCTCTGATTACTCCAACGAATCGAAGGACCGCT